TTTTTGCAATATTTTTTCCGTGTTCCGTGTTCCGTAAAAAAAAAATTTCCGTGTTCCGTGTTCCGTATAAACTACATTTTCCGCGGAAAAATTCGATCAAAAATTTATCTCCGGAAAGATTAGGACAATTGACGTTTTGTGGTCAAAATTTGAAAATTTTCGGATTCGGACCATATTCGTGAAAAGTGGATTCCATTTTCAGTCGTTTTTTACTGTAGTTGTTTACTGTTGTGTTGTTGGTTTTGTTATTTTTATGAAATTTGCAGTAAAACTTTCACATGAGTCAAACAGCTGCCTTGTCAGTCAGATAATCGAATTAAACAAAACATTATTATAAAAAAAATCACTGGAATTCTCTTGAAAACGCTTTTTTCCGTGTTCCGTAAAAAAAAAATTTCCGTGTTCCGTGTTCCGTGTTCCGTAGAAATAAGTTTTTTCCGTTTTCCGTGTTCCGAGTTCCGTAGAGTAAAATTCTTATTCCCAACATCTCTGCTCTAAAGCTCCAAGCTCCAAGATCTAAAATGGTCCGTGGTCCCTGTATGTAGTGTGCCCGGTCCGGCCGCCCGCATTCTTCGTCTAAACGTAGCCAATTTCCGTTTGTGCTCTCTGCTCACAATTATGCAAATCACCCGCTATTTCCATCGCCTTCTTCTGGCCCTATCTTCAGTCGGAAAGGCTGTGTCGCCCAAAAAATAGAAAGACGGAAAAGTCAGAAAAAGAGCCCATAAAAGTGGCTTCCGCTGCTTGCTCACTAACTTTTTCGCCAGGAGTGGTGCTCGTGGCGGCCGCGGGCTCAGATTGAACTCATTTCGAGAAATTGGATTCAGAAGTTTGCCGAATGTGCTCTTTTCGCTTCATTACTCGTAAAATGAACTTTCCAGTTCTTTGTTTTATGCTCATTTCACGTAACGAAGAGGAAAACGGAGAATTGACCACAATTGGGAGCGAACCAAAACGTCTTGTTTGGCAGAGTTTAACACTGAGACTCGTTTTACCATGCTCCCAGGGCATACTCAATACCGCCTGGCACCATTACTTTCTACAAAATTTGATTCCAAACTTGGAGAATTTCAGTCGAAAAGAACCGCTTCCGAGCTACAAATAACTCATTATCAGTGAATCAAACACTAATTCCTCTTTGTTTCACTCCCTCTTCCACCCACATTAACGATCAAACTACAGTAACCTGACCACTTTTCGGTCTCCCTTTTGTTTTCAAAGTTTTCAACTTTTTTTCCTGAGAAACTTCTTTTCACTTTGTTCGTTCGGAGCACAAAAAGAGCCCGACTTTCGCTTCTTTTTCTCCTTTCTTTCCGTCCCAACTTTACCTGATATTCTCCGAAAGATGCAACTCTATCCCTCCTGACCTCTCGCGGTAATCCTTGTGTTTCTGTGTGAAATTCGAGAGCCCCGAAGAGAAGAAAAGTGAGGTGCTGCTCACTTTTTCAGCAAACTTTTGTGCTTTTTTATCAAGTCCAGGGAAGGAAAAGAAGTAATCTGTTTCAAGTTTCCTATAAATTTTCTCACTTTTTTATTGTTTAATTCATGGATTTATCTCTGTATTTTGCTTTTTTTTCTGTGTTATGACTCATTTATGAGAGACAGAAGAAAGTCACACTCTTTCAGTCTAATCAGTTCAAAAATCATTCGAAAAGAAGGAAACTCAAGTTCTCACTTTCTTTTTTATTGAAAAAATCTCTGGTTTTGCAGTCAGGTTTGGTGCATTCGGACTGAAACTTTCAAAGTCGGTTCAATCAGATACGTTAAATCAGCAAACTTTCGTGAACAACTTTTGAGTTCATCGTGTTCCTGAAATAGTAAAAGTCAAACCAGTTTGCACATTACCGCTTCATCTTGCTCTCATTATTACCCTTTCACTTCTCAATCGTGTCTCTGACGTTGACGAACAACGAGAAAGAGGGGAACGAGTAATGGAGAAAAGGGCGGAATGAGGGGGAGCTCGTGGATTAGTTATGATGCGAATCCGACGAAAATCATTTCGTTTTTGGGTGGATTTGAATTATTTTTCGGAAACTGAACACTTTCTCCTGTAGCTCTAGTTGGACTTTACGTTTCTCACTTCTTAGAAACACAATTGACGTGCGAAGCAACTCGAAAAAGGTGATTACCGTTTCAAGAACTCCTCTTATGTATCTTCTCTTCGGGGTCAGTAAGAGTAGGAACTATTTACAATACTTTCATTAATCAATTCTACTTTGTGATCCAATTGAAACTGTAACTCTATGTTTCCGATTGAGCACAACTATTATTGGGGCACCGGACAGAAAGGGGGCGCGGTTCTCGCAATCTGGCCGAATTTCTAGGCCGCGAAGTCATTTTCCACTGAAAACGTGGCCTAACTTTTCAAACTCGGCCCCGAGGTCGCTCAATTTGCACTGCAAAAAGAGTTTCTCAACAGAGCGCCATTTCTGTCCGGTAATAATTTGACTGCTTTTTCAGATATTCAAACTAAAACAAATCATTTTCAATTAACAATTATTCTGTCAACAAATCAACTGAAATTATTTCCAACACAAACATCTTTTTCTACATCCCAGTTGAAACGGTAACTTTTGAAGGTCCACTGGACGCATCAAGTGGTGCCAAGACGGGGCAAGGCTGTAAATTGTGTTTCCATGGGACCACAAGCACTCCTTCTTCGGTCCTTTCCCCCTAGACGTTCGAAACCGCCGTGAGATCCCGTCGCAGACATGTTTTCCCATGTTCACAATTTGTGTTTTGATTGGCTGATTCAAGCCGTTCGTCACGAGAAGACAGCTGGAATTCCAGTCCATTCTTTCCAGGTACGCCTCCGGTTTTTCCGGTCGAAAACACTCTAAAAACCAAAAAAAAATCACGATGGCATCTCGCATTGCACTTTCAAGTGGACAGTCCGTCGCATGATTTCAAGTAGTCGCGGGTCATTTCTGATCAAATTCCGTCTGATGCGGATCCAGTTTTGACTCACTTCCCAGTCACGTCATCACCGCAAACTTCTAGCTCGTATTTCTTGTGCTCTTTGCTCCTCCGCTTCCCTTTTTTTCAATGCTCGAATGCTCGGTTCGTAATGAGAGCACGAGAAAGACGACGTCTTCTTTTGCTTCTGCCCTGAAAACACGCGATTCTGATTATGGGGTTCAGCGTCTGGACCGCTTTCAAGTTTTAGTCTGAAAACACATGAATTTCAGTCATTTCCCCCCTGGAACTGCTTGTTATATGGTCCCTTAACACATTTTTTGCGGACGTGTGCGAAAAAGCCTCAAAAGTATTGTATTTTCTTAAATTCGCTGAAACCACAATCGATTTTCGTTTTGTGGAGACGCCGTGGCCGTGGCCTAGAAACATCTTCCCAGCGCTCCGTGGCCGAAGATTCTTCTGGGCCGCCACTGGTTTCGCCATCACTTTAACAGAACACCTATGTAGAAGGTCTTCGTGAGTCCGTTCATTTCAGCATCTTTCGAGTTGTTTTCCCCTCCTTTTAATTATATCTGCAAAGTGAAAGAAGGTGTCCTTTGAGGAGCAGATTCGCCAGTAACGCATTTTCCTCGAATTGTGCACAATTTGAGTGGTGAAAAACAGCGAACAGTGAACTTTTAGCACGGAGAACACGCGCGTTCTCCCGACTTTTATGATTGAACCTTTCAACCCGAATCTCTCTACAGTTTCATTCATTTCCGTGAGAGTCCCCCTCATTTGACCTGCTTCTCGGTAACTTTTGCGCCTTTCGGACCTCACTCAATTATTCCCGAGGCTTCTTGCCGATTCTATTGAGAATATCCTGCAGACTGAGACGAGAATCGTGTGAATTCTCAAGGAGCCGAGAAGGCTTTGAACCTTCCTTCTCGACTTTTTCGGGTTTCCCGGTTGTAAACTCGCCTTTTCTGCTCTCAGAAATGTGCTCGAACTCTGTTCCCTCGTGAGCTCATCGGCGGAATGTACGCGTAAAAGCACGTGGCCGAGCACGGAAGTGCTCAAAGATTCGTGGCATTTCCTGATTAGAAACTTGCTAGTGCAGTCCTTGAGTAGACGTGCAAAAAGCACTTTTCTAGGAAAAGTTGGAAGTTTGTGTTGGAGGGTTGTAACCTGACTCATGATGATCCTGTTGAAACCGTCAAGATGACCTTCATGATCTTTCTCATGTTACAAAGGAAGGAATGTGAACTTCTGAGCATGTGTTTTCTGTTTCGATTTCATCAAAATCTCTATCTCATCTGTTAGTAAAGATATCAAAAAGTTGCTAGCAGATAAAATGTAGACATTTTCTTGGTCAACAATTTGCCAGTTGACAACTTTTTGATATCTCCAATGGCAGCTGAGATAAACAGTCCTGTTACAGTTTCTGATGTGTTTCATGTTTCTGTATAGATACTGTTCCATCAAAAGTTTGGCCAAGCTCCATTTTCCCAGTACTACTGTCCCGTAAGATCACACAGTTAGGATAAGAAACAATAAATTGGCATTCTGAAAGCGTATCCACGTTTGGTGCAAAGTCTAACCAGTTTCAACCAGTTCCAATAAGTGTTCGCAAGTGCATTTGTAAAGTAATACAACAATTGTCCGTCTCCTTTCCACTATCATCAATTGATGGATCATGTGTCACTTTACGTTTTTTCGTGCAATCCTCACTCATTCCACTCGGCCAAAGAACTTGGAAAGGCGGCTTCTGCAATCAAAGCCGCCATCTCTCGCTCTTCCTTTTTCAGCCGCCTTCCTTTTGTGTTCACTCAAATATATTTACGTGCTCACTCGGTGTGTTTTCCTATTCCAGACATAATTACTCACTCGCCTCTCTTTCTTGTTTTGCCAACTCAATCCGAGCATTACCAAGGAGCGCACAAGTGCACACGAATGGAATCGTTTCGCTCGTTCTCTCGACCAACCGTTTCTGTTTGGCCTTCTTCTTATTCCCCATCTAATTGCTCTTCTCTTCCCTCTTCTCCTCTTTTTTCCCGTCTAATTGTATCGTTCGCGAACTGAACATTTTCAGAATCCGAACGAAAATGGACGAAGGAGGCGGAATGCTCGCCAGAATCACGACCACAGCGACGATGATAAGGGAAGCGACGACGACGGAGAACCCGGCGATCGAGGAGATTTCACACATTTACTTTCTGACGCCTACTATGAAGGTACTCTGATTTATTTACGTTTTTGCAAATCATTTCAATTGTAAACCTAAAAGTGACTGAAAACGGTCTAGAGAAGTGAACGATTTCAAAAGAAATCTCTTTCAAAAGAAACTACCCATTTTTCAGATGCTGTGCATCCTGTTCTACAGTGTTCTCTGCGTCTTCTGTGTCTACGGAAACGTGCTCGTCATCCTTGTTATCATGTACTTCAAACGACTCCGAACCGCCACGAACATTCTGATTCTGAATCTGGCAGTCGGTAGGTCCCTTCCCTTCCCTTCGGCCATTTCCACCCGATTCCGTTTGCAGCTGACCTCCTGATATCAGTGTTCTGCATTCCGTTCAGCTACTGGCAAGTGTTGATCTTCGACGATCAACGATGGCTCTTCGGCTCGATGATGTGCTCCCTGCTGGCGTTTCTGCAGGCGATGGCCGTCTTCCTGTCCGCCTGGACCCTCGTCGTCATCTCTTTCGATCGCTGGATGGCCATCATGTTCGTGCTGACGCCCTCGATCCGCATCACGACGAGAAGAGCGCTTTACCTCGTGGCCGCCACGTGGATCTTCAGTATTCTTATGGCTCTTCCGCTTCTGTTCACGACGCGCTCCTTCGAAAACACGGAAGGAGTGGAGAACTGCGGCGAGAACTGGACGTATTTCGGCGACGCGGGCGAGCAAGTGCGCAAAGTGTACTCGTCGATGGTCGTCATTCTGCAGTACATCGTCCCGCAAGCGGTGCTCATAATCACCTACACCCACATCGGCATCAAAATGTGGAACAGTCGGGTGCCCGGGATGCAGAACGGAGCAACGAAGAAGATGATTGTGGACAGGCACGAGAGTGTCAAAAAGGTTCGTGTCTGGTTTATATATAGACGGCAATAGACGGAAGAAAATGCGTATGTTGCAGCTGGTCCCCATGGTCATCCTCATCTCGGCCCTCTTCGCTCTCTGTTGGCTCCCTCTGCTCATTCTGATCAATGTGATTCCGGAGTTCTACCCGAACATCAACAGCTGGGGATACATTCTTTATCTCTGGTACCCTTTTCACATCTCGACTTCCCCTTCTGAACCACTCGATTCAGGTGGTTTGCACACGGTCTCGCAATGCTCCATTCCATTGTCAATCCGGTCATTTATTTCATTCGGAACGCGCGTTTCCGCGAGGGCTTCTGCTATTTCTCGTCGAAACTGCTTCCGTGTGTCGCGTTCAAAGAGTTCCATCTGCTGACGGACCAGACGAGTCGGAGGTACGTTCCTTCGGTGCCCTCTTCTACGTTCAGTTCATCGTGTTCATCACTTCTTCTCACTCTAACTATTCATTTCAATTCATCTATTCAGTTTTCGAAATCGTTCGCGTTTTTCTGGCGTCATAAATCCGGCGTCGAGTGACGAGAAAACAGCTGTAAGCAAGGGGCCCACTCTCTGCATCTCGCTACTTCTTCTTCTTCTTCTTCTTCTTCTTCTCACTCTAACTGCTTCCGTTCCTAACGCTTCTGTTCCCTTGGTTACATGCACAAATGCCCAATGTTTGGTTTCTCACTGATTTGCATCCGCACATCATGCACTTTTGCACAAGCGAATACGAGCTTTCTAAGTATTCCTAGCGAGAAACTCATTAAACTGTTCGAACAAACTTTTAGTGTAGCTATGAAAAATTGAAATTATCTTTGAAAATGCACGGAATAACGTCGTTCTTCTTGAAGCTCGAAGCTCCGCCCACTTTCACAACCTAGCCGCTTATCAGTTTCGTAGCGTTGCACAGAAGTACTTTTTCAAAGTGGCGGCCGCGAAATTTGACCTTTTATAGTTTCTCTCTTCAAAATACGCAAAAAACAGCGACTTTCTACACTATTCGAAATTCAAATTTTCTTCAACCAATTTGTTTGAAGCCCTGGTATTCATTTTTTTTCTTCCAAGCTGGAAAAATATAGAAAATCGTTGTTTTTATTGTGTTTCCAATACAAATTATTAATCGATCGCGGCCCGCTGTCCTAAAATTGCGGAAAAGCGCAATTGGACAGTTCCGAAAGAACTTCCGTCCAACTGTGTAGTTGCCTTCCTTCCCCTCGCTTCTTCAACTGACATCTCCCCGTATTTTACAGGCACCGTTTACGAGATATCAACGAAACGGAGGCTTTGACGGCAGCCGACAGACGTGTCGTTCGGCCCGTTTCGAAGCGAGACCTCTCGTGCTCGTCCGGAACGTCTCCGCCAACTCTCTCGCGTAGCAGTCTCTCCCGTCTCATTCGCAAAATAGATCTGCCGTGCGCGTAAGAACGAGGAAAATGGAGTGAAATCGAAGAGGATCTCGGAGAATGTGTAGTCGAATCGAAACGGAAGAAACCGGGCATTCACGTAGGCAATAATTGTCGTTTCTCATGCAGGTATCCCAGCCAATCAATGTACGTACTTGTGTTAAGTTTATCTTTTCTGATCAAACAATGAAGTGTTCTCAATTCCACATTTTTTCAAGATGAGTGTTCTGAAAAGGATTCAGAATTTTCTAATCACTTTCTGATAACAGTAATCTTTTATCATCGGCCTCTCCTTCAGTGAACTCATAATATCAGTTCTCTCTATCAATTCTCTCTTCTTATCACTACTTGCCAACGTTATTTTGCACTATCAGACTGCGGGTGAGATCCTTCCAGATACTTTCTCCCAATCGCCAATCCTCCGATCCCGTTCAGTTTCAATCAAAAACTACAAAAACGCAATGATTTCGATGGCTCTTCAAATCTTGGCAGTCGCACTTCCGCTGCTCATCTCCTCTTATTTGCTCGTTTTCTGTAAGAGCAAGAAGAGAAAATCTTCGTCTCCGTCCGTGCCTCCGAGCAGCAAAGTGAGCAAGAGCCTGGGGACCAGATGATGAGCAAAACGGTTCTTTTCAGTCGACGCCCCCGAAAGATCCACTCAAAACTGTTCCCAAATTAGAAGCGAACAATGTGGATGTGACCGCTTTTCCGTACAAAGACGACGAGAATGAGGAGGAGAAGAAGGAGCCGCTTGGTGATTCGGGTGAAGACGAAAAAGAAGACGATGAGAATGATTTCAGTGTCGGTCGGCCCCAAAGATACTCTCGAATTCCCCTTCGGATCGACTTCCCAACAGAAAATGACCATCAAAAATGTGTCGAAGCAGAATGCGATCTTCATGGTTCAGCTCTCGAGCCCAGCAGTCTATCGGTGAGCTCTCGGACTCTTCCGCAAGCCCGTTTCCCTTCCAGATCTGCTCCGATCTTTGGAATCCTTGCTCCGAACGCCACCGTCAATGTGATCGTCACCCGAACGCCATCGAAAGAGAAAAAGGAGGAGAAGCTGGTCGTGGTGAACTCGGAAGCGCCGAAAGAAGTGAAAGAGAAAGACTTGGAGAGTGTGTTCAAGACGCTCAAACCGACCGGAGGCAATGTGGAAGTGAAGCTGAAGACGAAGTAGACTGTGAACTGGAACAACTCAATTCAATGTTTTACTTTAACGTTTATTGTCTTGCACATTCTGAATCGCTCGCAAAAACTTCAGAGGAATATGCTCGGAGGTTTCAGAATTCTGATCTTTCTTTTCAAGTTTCATGTTTCGAATGACGATGAGTTTATTAGAGTTTATTACAGATGAAAGCTGAAAAGAATCCCGGTCAGTCAGGGGGCAGGTCGGGCGACGTCGAGACGTCATCGTGCGAAGAGACTGGTGGTTGGGCCGCTTCATAGATCACCTCCGCCTTTCCGGTTTCGATTGAACTGAAAATAATCGAAAGTTCTTTGTTTGTACTGGTTCTCATTATCGCTTTCAATCATATAAAGTTAAATAACCAGTCTTGAATTGCTCTGTGGTTATGTTACAACTATACCTTAGGTAAGCATATAACTCTTCAAAAAAGACACTTCCTCTTTTGATTAAGCAAAAAACAGAAAAGTGGAACTAGGACTGGTGGACCGGGTGGAACATGGGGCAATAGAGCACACTCCCTCACCTCGCCAAATCGTTCTCTTCTCGGCTGGCATCTTCGGAATCTCGGCTCTCATTATTTTCACCAAATTCTGCTGCTCCATCAGTCTCTGTAAGGGTTAAACCGGTCGAAGAGAAACAGATTCGGTACTGGAAGGCTGGCGGGCATTCGAATTGCAGACCGGCTGAGAGAAGACACGGATTGGAGAGAGGGAATACGTCGGAAAGCGTCGGCTGTGATTCCGTGACCACTTGGGGAGATTCCGAGCGGCCGGTCTTTTTGGCGGAGGCATCGCCCGAGAAGAGATGATCGGTGGCGATAGGGACGTGCTCGTCCGTTTGTTCGATGCGGCAGACCAGGAACTAAATCTCTTCGGCAATCCGGCGCTGGGATACTGACGGTTTTTTGCAGCCGATTTCCTCATGATTCGCAGGAATTCCGCCGCGTCTTTGGCCCGGGAAATCAGACGGAAACCTTGGCCTTGTCCGTTGAACATCACATACAGATTGTCCTCCTTTCTGAAATTGAACTGGTGAAACTGAGATCATTTTTCTTCAATTTATATGTAGCCTCTTTGGTTTCAGCCACCAAACAGAGGCGAAAAACGCGTGCGGCGGACTTGCAGGCAAGACTCCGCCCCCTCCTCGGCTGCTGACCGCGGAGAAAACAGGTCAACTTTGAAGGGGTGTAACTCGGGATGTACCGAAAATTTTGGAAAAAAAATTGGGAGTGTACTCATATAGAGTAGGGGAACACATTTCAGCCTAGCTAATTCGCGTTTCTAACCGGATCTAATTAGATTGCTAATTTACTGCGATTAGATTGCAAAAACACACTGATATTAGATTCAAAATTTATCTAATTAGATTAAAATTTCGGGCAAACCAAGCTAGATTGTCAAAACCGTCACTCCGACGGTTTCGAGGTATACGCCAGAGTTGAGCGGAAATGGAATTTTGAAATCCGGAAGACGGCAGACGGCAGACGGAAGTAACATTTTTTTACGGAACACGGAAAACGGAAGACGGAAGGCAACTTTTTTCCCGGAAGACGGCAGACGGAAGACGGAACAAAAAAATCGTCAATGCAGAACCTTTTTCTCCGGTTTTTTTTTTGAAAAAAATAACTAAACAACAAAAAATTCGGATCTGGGACACTGCCCGTGGAAATTCGCGTTCTTCGGGGCTAGTAAATGGCTTCTGAAAAGCTATTACTCTTTTACGGTAAGAAGAAAAAATCCCGGAAGACGGCTGACGGCAGACGGAAGAAAACCTTTTTTCCGGAAGACGGCAGACGGAAGACGGAACAAAAAAAACCACGGAAGACGGAAGACGGAAGACGGCAGACGGAATTCCGCACAACACTGGTATACGCTATTTGACCGTTGCAGCGTTTCCATTTTTCTATACTTTCATGACTCCTTTAACAGTTTATCACCAGTTTTTTATGTTTACGAGCCGGCAGCGAGCCGTATCTCTTCGTGCCTCTCCCCGCCCCCACATTAGCAACTATAAAAGGGCTCGGACGACCCAGATCTATCAGTTTCCTCTCCCTTTCTTTTCCCCCCTTTTTTCCCCTTAGTTGTTCCCCTCTTTTCTCTTTTCTATTCTCTTGTTAACTCTTTTTAACAAAGGTTTAATTACCCAATTTTGAGAGGCTCATCTGTACGAGATCAATTCTACTGTCTTTTGACATAGATTATGTTTAGATTGCAAAATCAGCTAGCTAGATTCAGAAATCGGTAGCAATCTAGCTAGGTCCGGTTAGAAACGCGAATTAGCTAGGGATTGTTCGTGGATCCATAGACGGGATTGGTGCATCCGAAGCTCAACAGAGCAAAGGGAATGTTTGTGTGGACGAAGGGGACCGCTCCGAGATGGATCAGCTGGTCCACAGACGTCGAGTTGGTCTCCGACGGGCGGTCCATGTGCTTCACGTAAATCGACTCTTTGATGTTCACCGGAATTCCGAACAACGGCGGTTTCTGGTAGGAAGGGTCCGCGGAGACGTCCGATTCCAGCTTCTCCGCGTATTCCATCGCGTCCTGACGAAAAGCTCTTCCATTTGTGCGTATTTCTAGGCCACCAATCGCTTCCGCCCGCTCGCCAACCCAAAAAGAGTATCCTTTTTCTTCGTCGCCGCCCGATACTTTATTTGTTCTGCTTCTCTGCGTCAGCCTCCCGCTCCCCATTATTATTATTTTTTGAGGGACAGAAAGAGCCGTTGGTCACTTGAGAGCTCCTTGAGAGCTGGGCTCCTTTTTTGGATTGGAGCCAGAGTAAAATGCTCTTATTCTCTCCCCGCTGTACTGAATTTTTGCTTGTAAACTGTGTTCATTCATTAGCAAGTTCGCCGCACTTTTACAGACTTTGCCGCACGCGTTTTTCATAAATTCCTCCTTCGGACCGGCCGGAATCTTACAAGTCTGGTCTTAAACTCCTGTCTGTCCGAATTCCAACTCTTTTTCCCTGGTCCTTAGGAGATGACTCAACTTCAACTTTGTTCCCAAACGACCTATAACCGTTTGCACGTCATGAACTATTCGGCGCACCTGAAGGCGTCATGAAACGCGTTCGAAACGGCTGAATCATTTCGGAAAGATCTATCGAAGCAGAGAAATCAAAAAGCATGTGCCTGGAAGTTGTAGACTCCGATTCGAAGGCTCTCACGCCTCTCTGAACACATCGAAATTCTCCTCGCATTTCTTTCCGTTCTATAAATACATTCAAAGTCACAAGTTGTTCTCGCTTCTCGATCCATTCGTCATCCCCATTGCGCAACACTCGACAGTCACTTTTCCCGTCTCCGTCTCTCCGTTTCGCGTGCTCTCTCGGGCGGCTCACTTCAAATACGCAAATATTTTGCTCGTCTTTGACCGATCCACTCACTTTTTCTGGCTGTTTTGGGCTCTGATACAGTTTTCTGGTCGCATCTTCAAGATCTTTTACGTGCAACTAATTAGTTTTCCTCGGCAAACATCACAAACCACTGGTCCCTTCGGTCGCCTATAAATAGCGGTCTTTCGGAGATCCATTAATTCCGTTGATCTCTCTCTCTCTCTCTCTCTCTCTCTGTGCTAAACGTACACTTGTCTGCTCTTTTCCCTTCTTCTTCTCGGGCTCTTGCTCGCGGCGAGCCGGCTCTTCCGCTAATTCGCCGCACCCTCAATCCTTTTCGTTTTCTGCTCATCCTTTTGCCTCTGCGTCTCATTGAAACTGAAGCGCTTTCGGCGGATTTTTAAGATTTCCGAGAACCAATTTAATTTTTTCCGCTTCATTTTATCTGATGAATGCGCATTTTTTCCCTAAAATTTGAATTAGGTTAGTTTTGTCAAAAGATTCTAGGCCCAATGGGTTTCGGTCTCCCTCTCCTCGATCCGAATTTCAATGCATTTTTGACGAAAGAGACACATTTTTATGGTTTTGCGGGCAGATGAGAAAGGAGCACGTCATCCAGAGAGGATGCGTCATTTTGCAATGAAAAGAGCGAGTTTTCAATTGTTTTCTGTTTCGGAAAGTTGTAAAGTTGTGAATACCACAGACAGTACGGTTCATGACTTCCCTTTTTTCCTGTTCCAATCCAAGTCCAAAACAAAAAAGTGCACCTGGTGCTGAGCCTTTCCGAAAGTGCCCACCCGTCATAAAATACCGTACTTCAGAGTAACGGCCATTGCCTTTTCGAAACTGGATTCGTTCGCCGGCGCTCTCTGAACCCTTCTACCGTAATCGCGGCTTCCCCGCCGTCCAATCGTCTTATCAGCCTGCCGTCTTTTCTGCCCACTTAAATTGCATTTTCCCTTCTCCTCCCACTCAAATATTCCATCGCCAATGCCTCTTCTGACGTCTTCGTTCACAAAAAGAAAACGTTCTCCGGAGAAGGAGGAGAAGGAAGAAGAATACGGCCGTAAATTCGATCATTTCCCAATGTTTACGTCTTTGCTTTTTGGTGTTTTTCGAGGGGCAACTTTTCGGAGAAGCACTGGTGAGGACGTCGTTTTCTGAAAGCTTTCAAAGTCGGTCTTGTCGGCGTCTGATCCTCATATCCCCAGACCAGGCCGTCCGATCGGTTTGAATCTTGGACCCAGGATACTTCAATTCAAGTCCAAGAAGCCTGCAAAGTTTGGGAACGACTAGACCGCTCATTTGCCGAGCTCCCTCACTGAACAGTGTTACGGTACCGATGCAATAAGAAAACAGAAGAAATTGCCCCTATTACGCCTCTCCCCTTCCGATTCCAGCCAATTCCATCACTTGACACATCTCGCCCACAAATTGGCTTCATTTATAGGTGAAAAACAAAAAGAAAAGGGATGATTTCATCGAAAACGTCGTCACTTTTGCACGATGAGAGTTCCAGAGTAATCCGTGGGCTTCTCAACTTTCGGAAGATGAGCTCTTGATGCTCTTAGCACTCTTTCGTCATTAATCCGCATTTCCTGTTTCTGAAAAACCAGAAGTTCCTCTCAAGAACCGAACAAAACTTACTATTATCGATCTCAACAGTGTCATAAGATCTCGCTCCCCTGATCTTCGTGGTATTGACAATGTGATCGAAAGAATAGGATCGTACAGAAATCGCTTTCGCATTGAGGTCGTTGCGAGTGCACATTGAGTGGGAGACTTTGCAAGAATGATAAATCGTGTGGGATCGGTCTGGATTGCCGGAATGCCTCGAGAGTTTCTCTTCATTCCCGTTTCAAACTGTCTATTATCTGAATCTTTGAACTGGTCCAGTCCATCGTCTCGAGCGCCAGCGATTGTTTCAAAAGGTTGTCAATTTTGTGCTCAATAACTTTGTAGTTTATAGTTTTGAGCTCAAGTGCCTTCTTATACTCATACCTCCAAGAATAGTCCAAAAGACTCCGCCCGTTTTCTTCCAGAAATTCCCGTTGTTGACTGCTCGCTTCTCGTTGACACCAGCAAGTTTCCAGCTCGATTTCGCTGACAGTGTCCGACGTCATGAGCATCTGCTAACCCCTCCAACCCATGACATTCGTGCCCGTTATCAGTCCGCTTAATCAGTCATCTGACTTGGAAATCGCGAGCAAAAACGCATCGAACCGCTGATAAACGTGTGCCAGAATGCGTGCACAAACAAACGAAACGATTTCGAGCGAATTTTGAAAGTCACTCTTCACCTCTTTTGCGCCGTATTTCCCTCCAAATCGAGTGCTCTTTAAAGGCTTATCAATGGATGAAATGGCGGGGAAAGGGAGACGCGAGAGGGAGTATCTGGACGCGTTTATTGGCGTGTTTTTGGAGGGGCCGAAAGGCGAAAGTGTTGATGAGTGATAAGCGGGCAAAAGAATTAGAACCAGAGCACAATCAGTGACAAACACACAGCATTTCGACAATTGTCTAGCAAAATCATTCAGCTGCCTCGCCGTTTTCCAAATTTCGGGTGAGTTTTTTGAATTTGAATACGCGTTCTGAAACCGAGACATTTCTCAACCGAACCCGCTGCTTTGGAGTATTAGTCGCAAAGTGTCTCGGTTGCGAAAAGTTAGAACATCTTTCGAAAGGCTAATCATTCTGTCGAACATCACCAAAACTTGATTCCCAGTTGAAACAGAAAACATTTCGGATATTATCCAATCGTTCAATTACAGTGACTCACGGAAATGCCGAAAAACTATCTGGCAGTCGAGGTTAGTCCGATTATCCCGATCCCGTCCGGTCCCGTCGCCGGTTCATCCCTCCCTCTGTCAGTCCCGTCCCGTTTCTTTTGCAAAACGATTGCCTCGAAAAGTCAAAAGTCGCACTTCATTTCCATTTTCATTGTGGGAGTGTTCCCGCTGTTACAGGCACTGTGTAAATATTCAAATGTGCCGTTCCCATTCGTTTTTTCCCGCGCCGTTAACGGGAATGACAATGTGATGGAGAAGGGACAGAGAAATACCGTATCCGGTGCAAATAGACACGTTTAAATTGATTGGGAAACGGGAAATTTGGAAAAGAACACTCAAAGAGGATTCTCAAAATTTGTTGCATTCCTTTGGAAGTCGTCTGACATAATACCCTATCAAAGAAACGTTTCTTTGCCCTTCTGGTTGCGTTAGTTTTCAGAAAATGAAGAACTGTCGCAGAAAGTTTAGATTGGCACGTTTTCGAAAGTGAAAATCCACTCGTTTTCGTCATGTTCTCAGTTTGGCGGAGCGGGTCAAACGCTGTTGGTTTTTGAGGGAAATCGGAGTGTGTCACATGCATTTCCGAACCGGTTTCATCATTTCATTTTGCACTCTCCGGGTAAACATAGACAAAGTTTTATTGCGAACCCAACCGAAGGGGACCGATTTGTCACGAGTTTCAGTGAGTCACAAGCGGACCCAGTTGACCGTGTTCGTTCCGTTCGACGTCATTCCCATTCCGAAGCGTTTCCCTTGTTTTCAGCCGTTTATTTATTATTACACATCCGTTTCGCATCACGTTCGTCGTTTCAAATTTGGAAAGCAAAAGTGATCCGAAGCCATTTTTGGGAAAAGGAAATGATTGGAATCTATTCGGTTTTGTGTAAGGACGAACATTTTATTTTGCAAAGTGTAGTGCCTTTCGTTGGAAACATTTAGTTATGCTTTCTAACAGTTCAGTTTCATAACCATGACGAATAGTATCGGTTTCGAGAAGGAGCGACAAAGTGGCACGTCATCTACCGTACCCTCTCGCTCGCCTCGCTCGCCTGCAAACAGTCCCTCGTCCATCATCTCTTAAGCCCCACCCCCGTATTCTGCATCTCTGCGCCCTTTCTCTCTCTCTCTCTCTCTCCGCCAGCTCCCATCGGCTCGTACTCGTTGCCTTCCACACTTCTTCCGCTCCGCTTCCTTCCATCGGGTCCTCGGACCTTCCCCTCTCTCCTTTCTCTCCGTCTCCTCCACATCGCCCCACTCTCTCGTCCCCCTCTCTCTCTTTGTTCTTTCTGTTTGAGTGCGTCGTGCACCCGCGCCCGCCGGCCAGCCAGCCATTTCTTCTCTTTGAACTTGTTGCTGGCCGAGTGCCAAGTGGCATGTGGACACGGAAAGAATAGGGCCGACGGATTAGGTTTTCGAGGGCGAAAGGGGGGCTTAAGGGGCGTCCGTCATGTGCCCAGATGCTTCCAGAGTTTCAGAGTCCAGAAAACAACGGGAATACATTCCTTCTTCTCTAAATTTGCTGTATTCCACATTCTTTTCCGTCCGAAACATGTTTCTCTCTCCTCGCCTCCGCTGTGATCTTTCTTCCTTTTTCCCGTTGATCTTCGATTCTCATCCATCTCCGCCTTCTTCTTCTTCTTCTTCTTCTTCTTCTTCGTCTTCTCTCTCTTCCACTCCCATCCGCTCGCATTCCACTTGCTCCTCGAGCACTTTGCCCTTTCCTATTCAAAAGTGCATTGAAAACCAACTGCATTGTCGGTTTTTCTGCCTGCGGCCAGATGTCCGCCACGTGCATGGAATTGTACGGCTTTTGTTGCGAAACTCGCTCATTTCGGATGGATGTTTGCCCGCTTTTTCTCCTTTCTCTCTCGGTCTCTGTCCGCCTCTCAAGGTCATTTCAGCTTCTTCTCTAATTATTTTTTGTCTCATGTTTTATCCAATTTCAAATCTCATAAAGACACACAACTTTTCTTTTTTCATTCGAAGGACAGACGGAACTTGAATACGAATGGGATTGGCGATGCAAACGCGCTCCACCGGCCTCAGTGCAGCGGAGCGCGGAAGTCTGGGGAAATAGTGTTTCAATAAGTTTATAAGTGTTTCACTCGATTCCATCATCTATTACTTCTATTGGCTACAGAGTTTTCCGCTTCTTGCATTCCCTATTTTTGACCTTTTTCCTCTGTTTGATCAAACAATCTTTGTTGATTTTATCTGACCATCAACTTCATTTTTTCCGCCCAATTTGCCACCAACTTTCTGATTTGAAGCGAGAAAATGTTTAGAGATTATTTGCTTTCTAATCCCTTTGTCGTCCTCTTTCTTCTCTTCCTTCTTCTTCTCCGTCTAATCGGAATGATTCCAGAATAAAGCCGATCGTATGGGCCCTGGCGGCTCTCGCCGTCCTCGAAATTCGCACAATGCGACCGCCTCCGCCGCATCCGCCGCCTCATCCGGAAGAGGAGGAAATGAGCAAAAGCAGGAGGAGCACGAATTTGACATTGTTGCCTACAAGACCACGTTCTGGCGGACGGTCAGTGTTTCGAAGGTCCCAAAGAGAAAGTGTCCCCGTTTTCAGTTCTTCTTCTACGCGCTCTCGTTCGGCACTTGCGGCATCTTCCGGCTAGTCCTTCATTGGCTTCCGAAGCGGATGATTCAGTTCAGAGCGAAGCGGTGCTCCGTCGAGAACGCCGACCTGGTACTCGTTGTGTAAGTCTCGAATGTGTTAGAAGGCGTGAATCACCCGTGATTTCAGTGACAATCACGACCGATACGACATCTGCGAAGTGCACTATCGGAACAAATCTGGAACCGAACACACGGTATCGGTCCCCTTCTGATGGTCTTTATCTTCTCCTTCCAGGTGATTGCAAACACGGACGGCACGCTCTCGGAGCTGGACGAATTGCGTTGGTTCGAGTACCGTAAACTAAAGTACACGTGGATCGACGGAGAATGGTCGACGCCTTCAAGAGCCTACTCACACGTCACTCCTGAGAACCTCGTCACTTCGACTCCTTCGTCTGGCTTGACTTCGGATGACGTGGCACTTCGAAGAACGTTCTTCGGAATGAACACGATGCCAGTAAAACTGTCACCGTTCTACGAGATCATCTTCAAAGAAATACTCTCTCCGTTCTACATGTTCCAGGCAATCAGGTCAGTTGCGACGCCCACAGTAGCCCGTTATCGTTCCTTTTTCAGTGTGATCGTCTGGTACATCGACGACTACGTCTACTACGCTGCTCTTATCGTCGCAATGTCTCTGTACTCGGTGATCATAATGCTCAGACAGACACAATCCACCGAAAAAAGGTGGGTCTCACGGTTCATTGTCTCTCGTTTACTGATCCGGCGTGCTTTCAGACTGCGCGAGATGGTTGTGGAGCACGCGGACGTGGAAGTGATTCGAGAGAACGGAAGACTTCTGAAGATGGACAGCTCGGAGATCGTGCCGGGCGATGTGATCGTCATTCCGACCGAAGGATGCACCATGTACTGCGATTGCGTTCTCCTCAACGGATCGGTCATTGTGAACGAGAGCATGCTCACTGGGGAGTCCATTCCGGTCACCAAGGTGATCAGTATCTTCACATAACCTATTCTCACCCGTACCCATTCCAGATTCCGATTGCTGATGACGGTCACGAAAAGGAGTTCTCGATGGAGAAGCACGGAAAGCACGTGATCTTCAACGGAACCAAAGTGCTGCAGACCAAGTACTACAAGGGACAACACGTGAAGGTGAGTGAATGCTGAAAGGGCACAGAGAAATACGAGAAGTTGCAGGCGCTCGTCATCCGAACCTCGTATTCGACAACGAAAGGACAACTGGTCAGGGCGATCATGTACCCGAAACCGGCCGATTTCAAGTTCTTCCGCGAGCTCATGAAGGTACGTTATTTCCAGATTTGATGACAAAACAGTTGAGCTCTCTCTCTCTTTTTTCAGTTCATCGGAGTGCTCTCAATTGTCGCTTCGATCGGATTCCTCTACACCGCATTCATCCTCATCTACCGCGGAAATTCCATCGGAAGAGTGATCATCCGAGCACTCGATCTCGTCACAATCGTCGTTCCGCCAGCACTTCCCGGTCGGTCTCCTTCCCAACTTCTTCTCCAAATTGCATCTGTTTCAGCTGTCATGAGCATCGGAATCTTCTATGCTCAGCGACGACTCCGCCAGAAAAGCATCTTCTGTATATCGCCGACTACTATCAATACATGTGGCGCCATCGACGTGGTTCGTTTTCAAAGTCTCATCAATCCCACAATCCCTCTCCTTTTCAGGTATGTTTCGACAAAACGGGTACACTCACCGAAGATGGGCTCGATTTCTACGCATTACGGGTTGTGAAGAACGAAAAAGTGGGCGACAACATCGTTCAGATATCGGCCAACGACACGTGTCAGAATGTGGTCAGGGCGATTGCCACGTGTCACTCACTGTCGAAGTGAGTCATCCGAAAGAGTTCTAATCCAAGTGGAAGTTTCAGAATCCATCATGAGTTGCACGGAGATCCTCTCGACGTGATCATGTTCAAACAGACTGGATATTCGCTGGAGGAGGACGATTCCGAGAGTCACGAGTCGATTGAGAGCATTCAGGTGAGAACGAGAGAGCCAGAATCAAAGAAGCAAACCGAACTCGTTTCCATTTCAGCCGATTTTGGTGCGACCTCCGAAGGACAGTGCCCAGTCGGATTGCCAGATTGTGAAGCAGTTCACGTTCAGCTCGGCCCTCCAGAGGCAGTCAGTCGTCGTCACGTTCGAGGAATCCATGAAGGCGTACTGCAAAGGAAGCCCCGAAATGATCGTGGCGTTGTGCAATCCTGATAGCGTTCCGGAGAACTTTCATGTAAGATTTACCTTTTCTCTGCTTCAATAACTTTTTGTAAAATCAGTTGGATCGTGAAAACGTTTTTTATAACTTTTCAGGACATTGTGGAGGAGTACAGTCAGCACGGATACCGTCTGATTGCCGTCGCGGAGAAGGAGCTGAAGATCGGATCGGAAGTCCAGAAAACGGGAAGACAGTCGATCGAATGTGACCTCACCCTGATCGGACTGGTGGCTCTGGAGAATCGTCTGAAGCCAGTGACGACGGAAGTGATTACAAAGTTGAATGAGTACGTTTCCCCTCGTCTGCTTGTGCCCTAACGTCGCTCATTCTACAGAGCCAACATCCGTTCTGTAATGGTCACTGGAGACAATCTTCTGACGGCTCTTTCGGTCGCTCGTGAATGCGGAATCATCGTCAGTAACAAGTCGACGTACTTGATTGAGCACGAGAATGGAGTCGTTGATAAGCTAGGAAGGACTGTGCTCACTATCAGAGAGGTCAGCCCGATTCCATAGAACATCCGTTCACGACTGTAAAACTTTAGAAAGGCGAGCATCACACGGAGCGTCAGAGCAAGTCAGTCGATCTGAGCAAGATGACCAACAAGGATTGCCAGTTCGCCATCTCAGGTAGGCCGTTCCTTCCCTTTTCCTCCTCCTAACACGTTCTTCACTTGCAGGCACCACATTCTCGATCGTCAGCCACGAGTACCCGGATCTGCTCGATCAGCTTGTTTGCGTGTGCAATGTGTTCGCCAGAATGGCTCCGGAGCAGAAGCAGCAGCTCGTGGAACACCTCCAGAAGGTCGGGTCGACAGTAGCGATGTGCGGGGACGGAGCGAATGATTGTGCGGCTCTGAAGGCCGCGCACGCCGGAATCTCACTGTCCGACTCGGAAGCTTCGATCGCCGCGCCGTTCACTTCCAAGGTGGCGGACATCCGTTGCATGATCACGTTGATCAGCGAAGGCCGCGCGGCGCTCGTCACCTCGTTCTCCGCGTTCCTCTGCATGGCCGGATACTCGCTGACTCAGTTCATCTCGATCCTCCTTCTCTACTGGATCTCGACGAGCTACTCGCAGATGCAGTTCCTCTTCATCGACATCGTCATCGTGACCAATCTCGCGTTCCTCTCCTCGCACACCCGCGCCCATCCCCAACTCGCCAGTTCTCCGCCCCCGACGAGCATTCTTTCCACTGCCTCGATGGTTTCGCTCTTCGGACAGTTGGCCATCGGAGGTCTGGCCCAGATCGTCGTATTCTGTTACATCACGATGCAGCAGTGGTTCGTGCCGTTCACGCCATCGCATCACGACAACGACGAGGACAGAAAGAGTCTGCAGGGCACCTCGATCTTCTTCGTTTCCCTGTTCCACTACATCGTTCTGTACTTTGTCTTCGCTGCGGGACCTCCGTACCGCGCATCGATCACTTCGAACAAGGCCTTCCTCTCCAGCATGATCGCAGTCACTATCGTGAGTTTCGCCCGTACATTCCCATCCCTAACTCCTGTTCCCTTTCAGTCGTGCACTCTGCTCGTAGTCTTCTACTGCCCTACCGTCCACGTGTTCCTCGGGTGTCTGTTCATTCCGCAGGATTTCCGGCTCGTCATCCTCCTCGTGGCAGTCATCACCGCCGCCATTTCGATCATTTACAACCGATGCGTTGACTGGATTGCCGAGAAATTGCGTGAAAAGTAAGAGCTAATCTCTAGATTTCTGCATTCTCATCGATGATTTCAGAATCCGCCAACGTCGGAAGCGCAACTAGAAGTCCGCGAATTCATTCATTTTCAGCTTTACTCCTGTTTTGACCCATCTGAATTATCATTTCTATTTTCCCCGCATTTCCCTCATTCACATTCATAATTTCAATTGTTCCCGTTTGTTTGCGAAAATTCCCGAATGACGTTTCCCCGCACACACTTTTATACTTGTACTCATTCCATAATTCACCACTGGTTTTTTTTGGTTTTCAAATTTTTGTGAAATTTGAGAAGAAGTTTTATATTCAAGAATAAAGAGGTTTTTACACGGTTGCTATCGTTTAAGTTCAAGTATTATCAAAATAAGCGCAAGCTTCCTCCTCCGGGAAGAACCTAATCGTTCTGTAAACGACGTATGTTGAGCTGAAACTGAACCGAAGTGTTTGAACAGTAAAACGGAAGACGAATGAGTGCTCTAGTGAAGTTAGAAGGTTCTCGATGATCTTCCAACACGCGAAACACTTTATGACACGGAAAATACACAAATGTACACGTTTTAAACCTAAAATTTCGATTCTTCCAGTTAGAAACATGATTTGGTCTCTGAAAGCGAGACGTTCCGGAAAGCGCCACAACATTGGAAATGGCTGGAATGAGATGGGGAGGAGAGAGTGAGATTCTGAACGGATTCAGAAGAGGAGAGCCACGTGGAGAAGCACGAACGGGTCGGCGGATTCGGAGAGAAGAAGAGGGAGGAGACGGAGTGGAATGTCGAGTGGAACATCACGTAGAAGCCAAGTACTGAAAATGAGGATTCGGGAGAAGCGGATTGGCAGGCAGCGAATTACCGAAGATTAGGACGTCGAGAAGGAGGCGGGGCTTTGGGTGGTACTTCCAGATTCTGAAAATAGTGGTTGTTCATTTCTGATAATACACTCTATCACAAATTAGTCTTTTAGTCAATCCTAACTCAAATGAGCGTCATGAAACTGTACAAGTTAGGTACTCACGATGCGAGTCCGAACTCCTGTTTGGCTCCGTCCTCCTCCAACCGCTGTCTCACTTCCAAACACATTGCAAACAACGGAGGAAAGATGAGAACTAGAAGGGGCAGAGTGGATCCGCCCACGAGATTCACGACGACTCCAAAGTTGGGAACGGATGCGGCACTGAGGATGATCACCCAGAAGACGACGGTTCGGATGGTGAACCGACCGAGTCCGAACTCTAAAGACAATCGATAAGAGGGCAACCTGAGTATTCGAACCTTGTTTGACACGGAACACTTGCTCGGAGGCTTGCAGAAGCGGATTGACGATGATGAGAATGGAGAAGAAGACGTGGATTGCGATGAGAATGGAGATGGCGCGACGGAGAGAGTCATTCTGGATCGAACTGATCACAGAATCAGTCACACTGTCTCCGTAGATCCAGAAGCCGAACAGCGAAATCGGGGTGTAGAGGAGGAAGAGCGCTGAAATTGGAGCACTTGGAGAGAATCTATCGAAGCGACTCACCAATATAGCTCAAGAGGAAGCATCGGAAGAAGTGTTGCGGAGTCTTCATGTCGTGTACAATAGTTGGAATGCATGGATGTCCTCCATACGCAAAAATGATAGTAGCCAGGCTGTTGGAAGCGGAAGTGGGGTTGAAATCGGGGTAGGCGGCGAACTGAAGAAGATTGTGGAGGGAAGGGAAGAGAGAGAGAGAGAGAGAGAGAGAGAGAGAGAGGGCTACCTCGTGACATCCTTTCGCGTCGAGAAAGTAGCCGAGAAGGATGAGTACGACGGCAGTCAAAGTGGACACGGCTGCCACGATCGACACTTGCCTGCAGTCGGATTCTCAAGAAATGAACTGGAATCAGGGCCACTTACCAGAAGTGCATCGGACTTTTGAGCATCACGAACGGCCAGAGAATGACTCCGACCGCGAGAAGAGTCGAGCACATTGATGCTCCGATTCCGAATCCAGTCAGCACTTCGGAAAGAGTCTTGGCGGCGAGGAGAGAGAAGACTGCGCCGCCGCCGAACACGGTCAGGTAGGTGCAGAAACTGGTGATGTGCCTTAAAATGATCATCGTCTATTCAAGAAGATGTATCTCAGTTGCCATTGGAGATATCAAAAAGTTCTCAACTAATAAAATGTTTACTATAAAATTGTGTACATTTTATTAGTTGAAAACTTTTTTATATCTCTACTGACAATTGAGATATATTGTTTTGAATGAGCTGTACTGGGTGCCCTTCTATTACAGTATTCACGGTAGTCGGGAACGTACCCCATCCAGTCTCCGAGTGCTTTCTGCGCCATTTCCGGGTACGGATTCCTGCAGTGCTCCGAGTATTCACTCCATCTAAAGCTCTTGAATGTACACGTTCACACCAAGATCTTCAGTTACCGTGTCTTCATAATAATCCAATTGTTGCCTAGTAGTGTCGCCGTGTAGAAAGGGATCAAACACATCACCACAAGTGTTATTATTCCTCCCACAAAACCTGAAACAATGTGAACTAGACAGTAGCAGAAACAGGAAACTGACCTAGTGAGAGCATTGCATTTGGGAGGGCCACCAAGCCAGAGCCGGCCGTTTCTCCGAATGTGAATATGACGGCGATGTGCCAAGAATAGCCGTTTTCCATCTGAAAATCACAATTGTAAGTCAGTGTGACGGAAGCGAAAACATCAAACGACTAACGATCGCATTATTCTCCAGATAAATGACCTATCGAAGAAAAACAATGGCGCCGACGCCGCCGTGATTCGTCAAAAAGCGAAGCAAGCGGAGCGATATCACATGACATTTGTCATAATTCTCCATCTCTCTCTCTCTTTCTCTCTCTTTCCGACAAGGAATTTAGCGACTATCACACTTTTTTCCGTTTTGGAACACGGCCAAGTTCCACTATATCATACACTCTACGGGAAAAGTTGAAAAGATAGAGAGAGAGAGAGAGAGAGCATAGTGACGGGATCACAGAACACGGAAACTGTGACCGGGGAATGAAATGTGGAAGACGTACGTTGGAACAATTAAAAAGAGGCGAACTTTATGAACCTTACAGTTTGCTGGAAAATGCCGTGGTCCCAGAAGTTCAAAGCCATTGGGTACTATGTTCCTTACACTGACTTCTCGAAGGGTCTAGTCATGTGCGAAATCTATCGTACTAAAAAAGTTCAGTGCAGAGTGAAGAAACCAAGCTTCAGAAACTGTATAAATTGTAGGTTTCGGATAGCAGATCAGTTCTCTTCTCCTGCTAACATTGTGCAAATGATCAGCCTTTCAGAACGAACCAAACTATATATACAAGTATGATTTCGACCATTCGTTACAAAACATTATCATTCTTTTGCAAAACCATGAAAATAAGATGAAGGAAAAGTTCGACGTTTCAGGTTTCAAGGCGATGATATAAGAATTTTGAATTTTGAGAACATAATGATGTTAACTGTTTTTGAATTTCATGACAATCTGGAAGAGTAAACATTTTCTGTGGTGCATGCGCCTTTGAATGATTATTACGGTTAAAAAAAAGCGTGATCAATTAGGGAACGGAGTTTCTTCAAAATGACAAATGCACTTTTTGAAACTGCAATCCCTAACCAATCGTCTTTTTGTAGGCCCTAAGAGCAATAAATGATGACCCAGCAGAATTGCTTCAATTTCTCATTTTCCAGAACTATCAAAAGAAAATGCCGACGGAAGCAGAAAAAGAGAGAGAGAAAGAGAGAGAGAGAGAGAGAGAGAGAGAAAGATGACTTTCCAGATCATTTCTTCTTCTTCTTCTTCTTCGTCTTCATCTTCATCTTTCCTTTATATCTGAATCGTAAATCTCCCCGAAATGACGCCGCTTTTTTCGTTTTTCACAAGGATATCCCAAAATTTAACGATTTCGTCGTCACGGTCATTTGAACATTTGAAGACTGGGAAACACCCCCCAGGTACTACACATTTTCGTTTTCTGATGCGTTTGCGTCAGACTGATTTCAACGGCGTTTCCGGCTGTTTATGGGGTCATTTCAGGACGGAATTCGGGGAATTCGGGAACCAATGGTTCTTGGAACATTTTAAACCGAAAGAGACGTGATAGGGACAGGAAAATTGAGCACACTTGTGGCTGGAACCATGGCTGGCATTTCACGAATTTCAATTTCTTTCAATTTCTTCACAATCCTCTGATCACCTTCCGGAAGTGTCGAGCTCAGCTCCTCAATGAGTGTTTCTACCGGTAACGGATCCGCCCACGCGCGAAACCAACAAAACCAAAGTAAAAAAAAACGATTCACTCAAAAAACGAGCAAATCGATGATCTGATTGAGTTCTTGTTCAGACGTGCCTCCACGGCTTTCCGCCCGTCCTCTCCCAGCTTCGCGTACAGTTCCGGATCGCTTTGCTCCACCGCAGTCAGGCTCCAGAAGCGTTCCGCCGCTTCTTGCTCCAACGCCAACAGTCTCCGATCGATCTGAGCCAAGAACCGACTGATCAGGATCCCGGCAATCGTCGGAAACGGCTCTTTGTGGTGAAACGGTAAAAATCAACAAAAATTCATAATGCAAAGTTCATGGATTCGCCTGTGACGCCGCCGCCTCCTTCTCCTTCTTCGCCCTATTCTGCTTCTCCTCATACCACGTGGGAAGAGCGAGACCGCGCTGAAATAGTCCCTCTTCTTCTTCTTCTTCCACTTCTCCGAGCGACCACTCACCAACACCTGTCTCTCGCCCGGTCCCAGTCGATTCTTTCTGTTTTTTCGTCCGATCACGAGCTCTTCGTGGTTGAACCACCAGTGGACGAAGATGGCGACGGACATGAGGGCGACTGAATTCCAGAAATTCCAGACATTTCAGAAAAATTAAAGAACGGACCGTAGAGGAATGCGGCGAGGAGGATCTTCTCGATCGTCGTCTCCAAAACCATCTTTCCACGAAAATGAACGGCCGGGAACGGGTTCACGCGAAACTTTCCGTTTCAGTTTCAGTCTCACCAATCAGCGGATATTTGCTCGAGCAACAAAATGAATTAGGAAGAAAACCACAATATTTACCCAGATTTGGCTATCACATGAAAAAGTTTGGGTTATTCTCGCGTCTTTCCCAATTTCTCGCCTCGTTCGTCCATTTTTCGTGTTCATCGCGAATTCTCGAGGGATTCCAATAAAAAACGAGCCCATTTCGGATGCCAATTCGGCCCCTATTCTCACCTCTTTTCGAGAGAACACTCTTTTGGAGAAAAGGCCGAGAATTGGGGGAGCGTTTCCCGTTTCAAAGTGATGATTTTCGTTGCGAGACCCGCGAAAAGGTTTCGCTTTCCGTTTCCGTCGAGCAATTCGAATTGGCAATTCCCTTTCCTCATCTCATTTTCCTTCCTTTGTGTGCGTAAATCTTCGTGCTCTTCTTCAATTATCCGACGTGCTCCTCGAGCAAAACGACAAACTTTTTCATCAAAAATGCGCTCGCACAGCCTTTCTCGTTCCCCGCCGTCTTTCGAATGGTTGGACTGAATGCGGAGGACTCTGAATTATGGATACTTTTGCTCTCGTTTGCACTCCGCTCCGATTGACAGAAGCCCTTCTTTTCCGGAGGTCTGTCACGTAAAAAGTTAGTGCTCACTCTATTTGTAGCATTGAATAAAGCGACAAAAGTAACATACAGTTGTAGTTTTGTCAAAACAAATTATTAAGACCTCAACGCACTTTTCGTCGCCCGACTATTCAGAAACTATATTATAACTCAAAAATGACGGGTTTTGGGATAAAATGCTCAACTACAAAGTTGTAGAGAACAAAAATTACAATAGCTTTTCCGTTGAACACTTTTTGAAATAATCACCGGATCTCAAGATATAAGTGTTCAAGGTTGAGGATCTCTAGAGTAGGTCGAAGAGAAAAGTACGTAGAGGCCTCAGTTTCAGCGCTAATTCCTCCTTTAAGACACTTTGTTTATCTATAAGCTCTCTGAAATTCCATTATTTTCAGCATGCCCAAATGCATATCTTCTTGAAAGTTTTCAGTTTCACCACTTCTATTTTTTAGATTTCTATTAGTGTATGCTGTTTCCATGTTGCAACGAGATAATTCCAAAAAATCTGAACCCCTGGAAGTTCAGAATCTAAGCACCGCAAACCTGTCCAACTTGGTTATTTCCATTCTGTTCTTTCTATTTTCGCTCGGATTCGCCTTCCCGAACATCCTGTTTTCTTGCTAATCCTGAAATTGCCCTCCAATTTTCTTAAATTCCCCTCACTCTCTCTCTCTCTCTCTCTCTCTCTCTCTCTCTTTTTCATTTGTCCGTCCCGAAAGAATCCGTGGAGGAAGTGTGCGGGACGGAGAGTCGGAGACGGATCACCGGCACCGCCGACGGCGATTTGGCCGCTCATTTTTCGTTTTCCTCTCAGAGAGCACAACAACAACTGTTTCTTTTTCTTCTCCTTCTTCTTCTTCATCTGAAAAATGAAAGAGAGAGAGAGAGAGAAAGAGACTCAGACATGCACAAAACGACACGTGTCCTTGTGGATAATAATGAGATGAGAGGAATTGGAAGAAGAAGAAGAAGAAGTTATTTTTAGATGCCACCCTCTTTCTTTTCTTGTTTCATTTCTTCATTAATTTGTTCTCTTTGAACTCACTCGAGTGAGAGAGAGAGAGAGAGAGAGGGAGAGGGAGTCATCATGTCAAAGAGCAGAGTTCCATTGTGCAAAGGATGTGACTTTTTGGATATTTGATAGCGCACATTTCGCACTTCTATTGAATCATGTTCAAAAACTAGCATATAATTTCAAATCTGGTCTTTTTGATATAAAACTTTCAACTGCAAAGCTTTAAAACGCAGAATTTGCAACAACTTTCTGAAATAGTCAATGGTTCCCGAGATACACACCTCAGACGATGTACTTGAACACTTTCAAAGCTCACCAGTCAAATCAGGCAGAAATAGGCTTGAAGCCGTGTCTAATGATGTGAATATCTCCTCTTCATCACTCTTCCCCACATGAATATAATCTGTTCTCTAGAATGGCATTCCAACTTTTCATTTCCGTGTCTGTCCCAACCGGAACCATCCGTCCATCCGATGCTCCGAGTGCATCTGATCGCATGTAATCTGACACCTCCACTCTCTCTCTCTCTCTCTCTCTCTCTCTCTCTCTCTCTTTCTCTCTTTCTCTCTCTCTATTTTTCTCACTCACCTGTCACTTACTTTCGCTCATTTGCTCGCCGTCCGATTGTCACAGAAAACGCCGACGAACTTTTTTCGTTCGTTTCCGATCTTCCAAATGATTACTGTTTCTGCGGGTTTAGAACGAATCCGAGGATGATTGGCATGTCCTATACTCTAGACCTTCTAACAGAAATTTGTCGTTTCAACATCATCATTTCAGTCTTTTTTCGTTTTTTTTCTATTCGCCTCTCTATGTGATTTTTCTTAAAGCAGACAAAAAATGACAAAAAGATAGTGCATCATTTTCCCAAAAGTCATAATCGTGTTTCACCAGTCAGACAAGAACTCTTCTGGTTTCGGGGAATCCGCTGTTTGAGGATTTCTTTCGATAATGTCTTCATAACTCTATTTCAAGTCACTTTTCCGTTTCAACATCTCCATGAATCCATTAGAAACGCTACTATGATGTTAACTCCAGGTTTCTTTGTGAGCCAACTCTGAAACGTGCTGTATGCAAAAAAAAACGTCTAAAGTTACTTTTCCTGTTTCGACACTACCATTTCACTTCAACCCACTGTGTCTCCGCATTCAATCCGAATCAAACTCAACGCAAGCGATGTCGCTCGCAAAAACACGAACATTATCATTTATCAGGCAGACAATTACACTCGTTTATCGCTCCCCCAATGATCAAGATCCGTCCCTCCGCCCACTCTGCACATTGACAAAAATTACTGTAGCGACAAGTGATTATTGGAATTTGCCAAAGTTATGAAACAGAGAAATGATCTGGAGGGTGATTTGGTTCAAGAAAATCTAAGAATGTATCGAAACTAGAGATTTTCTGCCAGATTCAGGTTTGAAACATCCTAAGCTCCTAAAAAAGGCCCAAACTCAATTACCTCCCGATGAGGTCCGTCTCCTTTTCCAATTCATTTCCATTTCGATTTCCCCATTCACTTCCACCTCTTTTCTTTTCATTTTGCGTAAAATTCTCGAGACCGCAGCCTGATTTATGGCTGTTTTTGTGGGTTTTCGCTGCTGAATTAATTGTGAGCACTAGATTTATGGCATTTGCTCACTATTCAGGCAGTCTTTCGATGAAAAGCATCGGCGAGGACCCGAAAACGTGCCAGACCCTCCCCTAATCCCGTCTATAATTCCTTGTTTCAGCACCTTCCCCTCCCAAACCCCCCAAACCCCCCCGCTAAGCCCCCTTTCCTCCGTTTTCCTCTCAATTTCCGCCTTCCAGGTATCGTCATTTCATTGCCTTCTCCTTCCATAATATTGACCGAAAAAAAAGAGAGAGGGAAAGTGTCATTTATTTCTTTGCCAATGAATAAATTTGTCATTTCTCCTCCCCTCCTTTTTCTTCTTCTTCTTCTTCTTCTTCTTCTTCTTCTTCCTCTTCTTCTTCTTCTTCTCACACCCACACTTCTTCTCGCCAGAGATCCATTTCTTAAAACTTTAGAATAATGAGAAGATGGACACGATAAGTGATCGACATCACCGATGTCTGTTCGGATGGGTCCACGTCTCGGTGAGTCTTCTTTTTTCGAAATTATATTCATAGAAACCACTGAGAAAAACGGGAAGTCTCTAAAACTTGTAAGCACCAGGAAACTGTACAATTTGTTGGACTTATGCTACCGTCCGGTGTCCATTTTTGCTGCCGGCATCTGGAATTAGAGAAAATGGCTTCTTAATGATTCATCGAAATCAGGGGAGTCAAGTCGAGATAATACGCATTCTGGCCGACACTATTCGAACAGCGAACAAAAAAAAGACAAACATTTGTGATTTCAGACAACAATGCGGCTGATCCTGGCCTATTTCGTGGTGTACAACGTGGCCCTGGGCCTTTTGGGCCTTCCGTGGTTCAGCATTTACATCGGACTCGCGGGCCTCTGCGTCACCGCGTTCACTTCGTTTCAGGTCTACAAGAAGAACGATAGGATGCTTTTTCCGTTTTACCTTTATGTGGTCGGTCATTTGATCGCGAAAGTGGATTAAATTGACCGTTTGCAGCTCTTCACAATATTCTATCTTCTTTTTCTGGGTGGATACTTCTTCTTTGTTAACATATTCCACAAAAATCTGGTGAAAGGTGAGAGATTCTACCGATCTTTAATAAAAGAGAAATTGCAGACGCTCTGGGCGACCACTCGGACTCCATCTCATTCATTTGGCACTTCGCAGACATCGTGCTCATAATGACCCACGCGTGGGTGCTCTCCGTCTCTTCCAAGTGCCGAAAGTACTTTCGATGGGTGCGGGAAGGAGGCCAGAAAGGTGAGAATTCACTTCACTTCACTTGTTGGCCCACATACAGAAGCAGCAAGTTTGAGAGTAAATTTCATGATTAGAAGACGTCGTCTGAGTCCGAAAACTTCTTTGTTCTATTGTTTCCGTAAAACTTCTCATGAGACTACTGTAGGTCATGGAAGTGACAACTCTCACTAACATGAGTAGGGTACCTTGACTTCTATAAGTTACAGTAATCTTACTTAGAAGAGGTGGTGCAAAAATGAAGTACTACAAGTACTAGATCACACTCAACAAAGACTTAGATTGATGTAACGTCTTCAAACCCTGCTACACACTTTCAAACTTTAAAAAGTCGCTTCCGTATGTAGTCTCACCCTTTCGCACCTGTGCTCTTTGAAAAACCAAACAAAAAACGAGAATCCGTTCAAGAACTTGTCCCAATTCTCCACTAAACACAGCAGAAATCCAAGGAAACGGGCGCTTCGAAACGTCTTTCGATCAGTCGAACTACAGTATGCTGATGGGTAAGCACGCCGTCTTTTCGGTGTTGTGCTCGAAACTTCTGTCTCTATCCGTGCCCCCTTTTGCCTGGTCGTTTCAGTTTCCGCTGCCACCGTTCCCTTTCTCTCGACCAATTCGATCGCATTTTCAGTGGAAATGCCGACGACCAGCACGGCTCCTCGCCACGAATCGAAACCGGACATATTCTGATCTCTTTCGCTGTTTTCTTTTCTTTTCGCCCCCTCCACGAAGCCTGATGATGCAAACTTGAATGTGAGACGATTTCCTGTCACGGGTTACCCACAATTTCTTCCCTCTGGTACACATTTCCCACACCGATTCAATTGAAAAAATAAAGTATCCTTTGAAACAGTGATTTCGATAATAAATGTATTCTTGATTTATATTGTGCAACTACACAGCATTACATAACAACAGGCCGGACAGCCCAAACTCGGACCCTCTCCTCAGAGAGGCGCGGAAGCAAGATCTGATTGCCGGGAAGCCGAAGAGATCTCGGTTCACCGCGTGGTTCCACAAACGGTTCGGAACCCGATCCTCTCCGTTCGCATTCGATAACAGTAAGGAACCGCGTGGAGCTTTCCCTAACAATTATTTTCAGTCCCGTACTGGACGAGCGACGAAGTGTGCGCATGGCTCTCTTCGATCGGAATGTCCGAATACGGATCGACATTCCGGAAAAACGACATTCAAGGATCCGAATTGATGCATTTGGAACGGTCGGACATTCTCGAGATTGGCATCAACAAAATCGGACATGTCAAGCGACTACAGGTACCCCCCAAGCATCACAAATACCCCTTAACACCATCTTTTTCAGTCGGCCATCCTCGAACTGCGGGCCCACAACCAACGGGCTCGACGAGCACAAGCCCGCAAGAAACGGCGAGTCGCGAAGGATTACAAACCGGAAGCGGCGGCCGGCGGAAGCGCGGACAAGCGGAAGGAGTCGAGTGCGGAACGGTATCCGGACGGGCAGCCGTCGACTTCCTCTTCCGCGTCGGCGCCGTCCGGAAAGAGCGGAACGACGCGGCGAATCCCTCCAAAGGACGGAGAATCGGCGCCGGCGGTGATGCAGAAGGATCCGTCGAGCAGCTGACACTTTTTTATATTTAAGAATCTATGTACTTGTTTTGCTTCTGAACCTAGGAATTTGATTGTCTTCTTTCCCACGCCCAATTTTTATGTCTGAAATTTTCAATGTCTTCTGAAAATCGTTCGAATCGTAGACGCCAAGCGTCCCCCACTGTTTTTCTTCGCACAATTGCTCATTTCACCATCACTAAATATTATATGGTTTTACAATTATTCTATCTTCCCAAACTTCTAGCTGAATTATTATTATTATTTGTCCAATGCTTTTCCTCCTCCCATTTCTTTCCTTCCAATGACCAAATGTCACAAACCTCTGGAACCTCTGGAACCTCTTTTCCATTTCACAAACCCCGCCCCCCACACATCATCATCATCATCTTCATCATCAGCGAACACAACAAAAAACGCCCTTCCCGACTTTCATTTCATTCAGTTATTGTATAATTTTAAAATCCCTGTCGCCCATCCACCTCCTAGAATGTCTCATATCAATTTCGGTTTACTAGATTCGCTCCAAATCCTTTTCTTTTCTCTCTCCTGATTGCTTATTTACTCGTTTTTTATCAGTTCCATTCGGTAGACTTAATTTAATGAACGTTTCAATGGAAACTATATGGGACTTTGCGAAGATTTTGACAAGATTGGTAAGCCAGGGCCCGAAAGTATTGACTTGAGAATACGACGAATGGGCTCAAGATGAAATGTTCGTTTCAAAACAGTTTGAATATTGACAATTTATTTCAATACTAATACGAACATATTCGACAATTTATTATTAATGTGGATGCCTCGGTTCCGGATTCCAATGGCCATTCGTCCCTGGAGAAGTCGGCATCTGCTGATTCTCGACGCTTCCGCTCTGTCCTTGGTAGCCATTATTATGTTGTTGATAATGTTGCTCCACGTGCCAGTTGTTCTGAAATGGTGCATTTGCACTCACCTGGGACGGCATCACATTCGCTCCTTGAGGATGAGCGATCGATTGATGCGGCTGCTGAAGCGGATACTGCTCGGCATTGCGAACTTGCTCATACCTGGGCACATGCTGTCCTTGAACACGTGCTCCTTGCTGGTTATGAGCAGCATTACCCGTGGATTCATAGTTCTGCAATGGGACAGTAGTGCTTACCTGGTGTGGAACCACGTTCTCCACGTTCTCCACTTGGTTGTTCCATTGCTGTTGGTCTGGGGTGTAGAAGAAGTCTCTAAAAATTTGCTCATCTTCGATCTGCTCTTGAATGAGCACTTGTTGCCCATGAGAATCATTGTTCTCGGATGGGTACTGCTGCAACGGAACATTATCACCCACCTCCTGCTGCTCCACTGGGAGGTAGTCATAGAACACCTGATCCTCGGGCACCACTCCATCCTCGTCCACCTGCACCCAGATACCGTTATCTCCTTCCTGATCCTCCGGCACCACCTGATCTTCCTCTATTTGCACCCATTCAACGTTGTCTCCTTCCTGATCCTCGGGCACCACTCCATCCTCGTCCACCTGCACCCAGATAACGTTGTCTTCTTCCTGATCCTCCGGCACGACCTCATCCTCCTCAATCTGCACCCATTCAACGTTGTCTCCTTCCGGATCATTCTGCTCGAATGGGTTCATCTGAAACGGAGCATTAGAACTCACCTCCGACGGAGCCTGCTGCTCTTGTTGCACCTGAACCTGCTCACTTTCATCAGCACATACCTTCCTTTGCTTTCTCTTCGGCTCCGCAGTTCTCTCCGACGGTCTCTTCTGTGCTCTGCTCGGATTCTCCGCACTCTTCGCCGCTTTCAACTCTGCCTTCTTCGCCTTGAATTGCTGGCTCTGGAAATGGAATGAATGATTTGGTGGAAGGGAAACTCAAACACTTACATAATTAGAGACGACCACGAATGTTTGACTCTCAAACTGGAACGTATACGACGTCCCATATTCAGAAATGATCACAACGGACACGACGTACTTACGGAGCGCGTTCACAAACACGTGCAACTTCTTGGTGCAGCCCGGCTTGTTAGTGATGAAGAGTGCGGAGAAGTCGCAAGTCTCCCCCAGCCACTCCATTCCCGTCTTCCAGCCGTCCGGATGCTCGACGATCTGCGCGGCCTGCAGGTCAGACTGCTCCAGGCGGCAGTGCTCCACCCAATCCTTGACCATCTCGTTGAACTTGTATCTGTAATTTAGTAGTTACAGACTCTTTCATTGAATTCAAAATGAACTTACTTATGCTCGCCGACCTGTTCCACTTTCAACTGCACCTTGTACTTCTGGACCATGTCCAGCTTCTCCAGGCTGTACTGGAGCGTCGGCTGGAGTCGTCGTCCTTCCCCGGCAATTTGCTGCTCCACAGTCTGCCCGTAGGCAGCCCATTCCTCTCCTTGGAACGGAGTGCAGTGTGGGACATTAACAGAAGACATACTGATGATTTGTCTGAAAACATCCTAATGAAAAAGGGAAAAGAGAATGAGTGACAGAAGATAAAGTAAAGTGAAATAAGAGAGAATGCGACAGGAGTAGTGCGGTAGATGATGTGGATAAAGAAGAAAAAGGAAAGGAAGAGCAAGGAGTGCTCACCATTGTGCGAGATGGGTAATAGAGTGAATGACAGTGTGACCCCTTCTTCTGTAAGTGGCGCGGTCTGTAATACCCATGGCAAGTGTTTCCCGAGAGCACAGACACGCCCCGAGTATACCTTCACACGGTGCAGGACACCGATTGTAAACGAATGGACACGTGCGTCGCAGATATCTTCGCATTTTAAGATGGTCGCAATGGGGTGCCTCTTTTCAACTTGCCGATAAACATGACAGTTTTCCCATATGTTACCGAGAATTGAGGACTGGGTTGGAATGAGAATGAGCTTTTGAGGGTTCTAAAAGAATTGGAAACTGCAAAGCGGGAAATAAAAATCAACATGAACAGAAGAAGAGCAAAAAAGAAGAGAACAGAAAAGTACAGCAGAGTACATAAATGCTTTAGAACTCCATAAGTACAGGACTATAATCTTTGAAAGGAAGGTGCCAGTGATGGGAGCAACATAAGTGAGTCTATTTGATGTTATAGTACAGTAGTCGTCCTACGAATTCAGAAAGACGAGAGGACTAGTGAAATGATCTGCTCTTAATGAATAAAATGAACGGCACCCTATCTCGGAAATAGGAAAATTAATTGCGCGTGATGCCCTACGGTAGGCTGGTCGTATAGGCGCCTAAAAAAAAACAGGCGCAGGCGCCTAAAATCGCCTGTTAGACCAGCCTACCCTACGGTATTTTCCGTTCTGATTTGTTTTTCAAATCAACGGAAAACGGATAATTTCATAAAGTTTTCTAACGAATGATCACAAGTTGCACGCAGAGAACCGAATAGGAGGAGGTCGACTGAACTTGAGATATTCTGGTTTCCAAAATAGGGTGCTGGGAAATGAAAGGAAATAAAATAGTAAGAATAGATGAGGAGTAATGAGAAGTTGGAAAAGAGTACAGAAAAACTGAGAATCGATCTCGATGAGAGTGAAAAAGCGGTCACCTTCCGCAAGATGGATTATTAATGGAATGGCGGTGTGACCTCCTTCTTAGACTGCAAGGGGCGGGGATTTGGTCTAGAACAAACGTGGCAAGTGTTTCCCGGGATCACAGACACGCCCCGAGTATACCTTCACACGGTGCAGGACACCGTTTGTAAACGAATGGACACGTGCGTCGCAGATATCTTCGCATTTTAAGATGGTCGCAATGGGGTGCCTCTTTTTAACTTGCCGATTCCAGACTCTGTGGGAACCACCCATTAGGAAACGGACTGCCCTCGAAACAGAATTAGAAATGATTGGCAGTGCAAATATAAGTGATTGCGGACAGGGTTTGGGTTGCAGTTCTGATTTGGTACAGTTCGAAACTGCGTTAGCGCGATACTCAAAGAGGGTCACAGAATTATTCCTACGAGAAATTAAAGTCATATCGATCCCGGGGTTGAATCGTCGGCATTTCCACTGAAAATGCGATCGAATTGGTCGAGAGAAAGGGAACGGTGGCAGCGGAAACTGAAAGGACCAGGCAAAAGGGGGCACGGATAGAGACAGAAGTTTCGAGCACAACACCGAAAAGACGGCGTGCTTACTCATCAGCATACTGTAGTTCGACTGATCGAAAGACGTTTCGAAGCGCCCGTTTCCTTGGATTTCTGCTGTGTTTAGTGGAGAATTGGGACAAGTTCTTGAACGGATTCTCGTTTTTTGTTTGGTTTTTCAAGGAGCACGGGTGCGAAAGGGTGAGACTACATACGGAAGCGACTTTTTAAAGTTTGAAAGTGTGTAGCAGGGTTTGAAGACGTTACATCAATCTAAGTCTTTGTTGAGTGTGATCTAGTACTTGTAGTACTTCATTTTTGCACCACCTTTTCTAAGTAAGATTACTGTAACTTATAGAAGTCAAGGTACCCTATGCATGTTAGTGAGAGTTGTCACTTCCATGTCCTACAGTAGTCTTATGAGAAGTTTTACGGAAAAAATAGAACAAAGAAGTTTTCGGACACACACGACTTCTTCTAATCCTGAAATTTACTCTCAAACTTGCTGCTTCTGTATGTGGGCCAATAAGTGAAGTGAAGTGAATTCTCACCTTTCTGGCCTCCTTCCCGCACCCATCGAAAGTACTTTCGGCACTTGGAAGAGACGGAGAGCACCCACGCGTGGGTCATTATGAGCACGATGTCTGCGAAGTGCCAAATGAATGAGATGGAGTCCGAGTGATCGCCCAGAGCGTCTGCAATTTCTCTTTTATTAAAGATCGGTAGAATCTCTCACCTTCGAACAGATTTTTGTTTAATATGTTGACAAAGAAAAAGGATACTTTAGGATATTCACTTCACTTATTGGCCCACATACAGAAGCAGAAAGTTTGAGAAAACAAGAATCCGTTCAAGAACTTGTCCCAATTCTCCACTAAACACAGCAGAAATCCAAGGAAACGGGCGCTTCGAAACGTCTTTCGATCAGTCGAACTACAGTATGCTGATGGGTAAGCACGCCGTCTTTTCGGTGTTGTGCTCGAAACTTCTGTCTCTATCCGTGCCCCCTTTTGCCTGGTCCTTTCAGTTTCCGCTGCCACCGTTCCCTTTCTCTCGACCAATTCGATCGCATTTTTCAGTGGAAATGCCGACGACCAGCACGGCTCCTCGCCACGAATCGAAACCGGACATATTCTGATCTCTTTCGCTGTTTTTCTTTTCTTTTCGCCCCCTCCACGAAGCCTGATGATGCAAACTTGAATGTGAGACGATTTCCTGTCACGGGTTACCCACAATTTCTTCCCTCTGGTACACATTTCCCACACCGATTCAATTGAAAAAATAAAGTATCCTTTGAAACAGTGATTTCGATAATAAATGTATTCTTGATTTATATTGTGCAACTACACAGCATTACATAACAACAGGGCTCAGTGGTCGGGCCTTCCCGATGTTTCCCAAAAGAAGACATGCTCCGAGTATACCTTCGCACACCGATTGTAAATGGATCAACACGTGCGTTCCCTTTTTAGCTCTCGTCTTCTGTGATCCCGGGAAACACTTGCCACGTTTGTTCTAGACCAAATCCCCGCCCCTTGCAGTCTAAGAAGGAGGTCACACCGCCATTCCATTAATAATCCATCTTGCGGAAGGTGACCGCTTTTTCACTCTCATCGAGATCGATTCTCAGTTTTTCTGTACTCTTTTCCAACTTCTCATTACTCCTCATCTATTCTTACTATTGTATTTCCTTTCATTTCCTTTCAGATCTTTCAGATCTCAAGTTCAGTCGACCTCCTCCTATTCGTTTCTCTGCGTGCAACTTGTGATCGCTCAAATATTGAGTTCCTTTTCCTTTCCTTTCTCTTTTCCAACTTCTCGATCCTTGTCATTCACCTTATGTGTTACAGTATTTACAGTAGTCTGAATCATTCTGAATCTTTACCAAATCTTTCTCCTAGATCGGTATCTGTTTTATTAATTCCCAGTTCATTTCTAAATGTTCAAAATAGATTCAGAACCCGCAATTTAAAATTTTTTGGATTCAACCCCGGGATTGATATGACTTTAATTTCTCGTAGGAATAATTCTGTGACCCTCTTTGAGTATCGCGCTAACGCAGTTTCGAACTGTACCAAATCAGAACTGCAACCCAAACCCTGTCCGCAATCACTTTTATTTGCACTGCCAATCATTTCTAATTCTGTTTCGAGGGCAGTCCGTTTCCTAATGGGTGGTTCCCACAGAGTCTGGAATCGGCAAGTTAAAAAGAGGCACCCCATTGCGACCATCTTAAAATGCGAAGATATCTGCGACGCACGTGTCCATTCGTTTACAATCGGTGTCCTGCACCGTGTGAAGGTCGCGCCACTTACAGAAGAAGGGGTCACACCGTCATTCACTCTATTACCCATCTCGCACAATGGTGACCACTCCTTGCTCTTCATTTCCTTTTCTTCCTTATCCACATCATCTACCGCACTACTCCTGTCGCATTCTCTCTTATTTCACTCTACTATATCTTCTGTCACTCATTCTCTTTTCCCTTTTTCATTAGGATGTTTTCAGACAAATCATCAGTATGTCTTCTGTTAATGTCCCACACTGCACTCCGTTCCAAGGAGAGGAATGGGCTGCCTACGGGCAGACTGTGGAGCAGCAAATTGCCGGGGAAGGACGACGACTCCAGCCGACGCTCCAGTACAGCCTGGAGAAGCTGGACATGGTGCAGAAGTACAAGGTGCAGTTGAAAGTGGAACAGGTCGGCGAGCATAAGTAAGTTTACTCTCCATTCAATGAAAGAGTCTGTAACTACTAAATTACAGATACAAGTTCAACGAGATGGTCAAGGATTGGGTGGAGCACTGCCGCCTGGAGCAGTCTGACCTGCAGGCCGCGCAGATCGTCGAGCATCCGGACGGCTGGAAGACGGGAATGGAGTGGCTGGGGGAGACTTGCGACTTCTCCGCACTCTTCATCACTAACAAGCCGGGCTGCACCAAGAAGTTGCACGTGTTTGTGAACGCGCTCCGTAAGTACGTCGTGTCCGTTGTGATCATTTCTGAATATGGGACGTCGTATACGTTCCAGTTTGAGAGTCAAACATTCGTGGTCGTCTCTAATTATGTAAGTGTTTGAGTTTCCCTTCCACCAAATCATTCATTCCATTTCCAGAGCCAGCAATTCAAGGCGAAGAAGGCAGAGTTGAAAGCGGCGAAGAGTGCGGAGAATCCGAGCAGAGCACAGAAGAGACCGTCGGAGAGAACTGCGGAGCCGAAGAGAAAGCAAAGGAAGGTATGTGCTGATGAAAGTGAGCAGGTTCAGGTGCAACAAGAGCAGCAGGCTCCGTCGGAGGTGAGTTCTAATGCTCCGTTTCAGATGAACCCATTCGAACAGAATGATCCGGAAGGAGACAACGTTGAATGGGTGCAGATTGAGGAGGATGAGGTCGTGCCGGAGGATCAGGAAGAAGACAACGTTATCTGGGTGCAGGTGGACGAGGATGGAGTGGTGCCCGAGGATCAGGAAGGAGACAACGTTGAATGGGTGCAAATAGAGGAAGATCAGGTGGTGCCGGAGGATCAGGAAGGAGATAACGGTATCTGGGTGCAGGTGGACGAGGATGGAGTGGTGCCCGAGGATCAGGAAGGAGACAACGTTGAATGGGTGCAGGTGGACGAGGATGGAGTGGTGCCCGAGGATCAGGTGTTCTATGACTACCTCCCAGTGGAGCAGCAGGAGGTGGGTGATAATGTTCCGTTGCAGCAGTACCCATCCGAGAACAATGATTCTCATGGGCAACAAGTGCTCATTCAAGAGCAGATCGAAGATGAGCAAATTTTTAGAGACTTCTTCTACACCCCAGACCAACAGCAATGGAACAACCAAGTGGAGAACGTGGAGAACGTGGTCCCACACCAGGTAAGCACTACTGTCCCATTGCAGAACTATGAATCCACGGGCAATGCTGCTCATAACCAGCAAGGAGCACGTGTTCAAGGACAGCATGTGCCCAGGTATGAGCAAGTTCGCAATGCCGAGCAGTATCCGCTTCAGCAGCCGCATCAATCGATCACTCATCCTCAAGGAGCGAATGCGATGCCGTCCCAGGTGAGTGCAAATGCACCATTTCAGAACAACTGGAACGTGGAGCAACATTATCAACAACACCATAATGGCTTCCAAGGACAGAACGGAAACGTCGAGATGCAACCAATGCCGACTGCTCCAGGGACGAATGGCCAACGGAATCCGGCACCGAGGCATCCACATTATTAATAACTTCTCGAATATGTTTGTATTGATTCTAATTTTTTTTAATTTGTGTTCAATAAATTGTGAATAAATTGTCAATATTCAAGCTGTTTTGAAACGAACATTTCATCTTGAGCCCATTCGTCGTATTCTCAAGTCAATACTTTCGGGCCCTGGCTTACCAATCTTGTCAAAATCTTCGGAAAGTCTGATATAGTTTCCATTGAAACGTTCATTAAATTAAGTCTACCGAATGGAACTGATAAAAAACGAGTAAATAAGCAATCAGGAGAGAGAAAAGAAAAGGATTTGGAGCGAATCTAGTAAACCGAAATTGATATGAGACATTCTAGGAGGTGGATGGGCGACAGGGATTTTAAAATTATACAATAACTGAATGAAATGAAAGTCGGGAAGGGCGTTTTTTGTTGTGTTCGCTGATGATGAAGATGATGATGATGATGTGTGGGGGGCGGGGTTTGTGAAATGGAAAAGAGGTTCCAGAGGTTCCAGAGGTTTGTGACATTTGGTCATTGGAAGGAAAGAAATGGGAGGAGGAAAAGCATTGGACAAATAATAATAATAATTCAGCTAGAAGTTTGGGAAGATAGAATAATTGTATAACCATATAATATTTAGTGATGGTGAAATGAGCAATTGTGCGAAGAAAAACAGTGGGGGACGCTTGGCGTCTACGATTCGAACGATTTTCAGAAGACATTGAAAATTTCAGACAGATAAAAATTGGGCGTGGGGAAGAAGACAATCAAATTCCTAGGTTTAGAAGCAAAACAAGTACATAGATTCTTAAATATAAAAAAGTGTCAGCTGCTCGACGGATCCTTCTGCATCACCGCCGGCGCCGATTCTCCGTCCTTCGGAGGGATTCGCCGCGTCGTTCCGCTCTTTCCGGACGGCGCCGACGCGGAAGAGGAAGTCGACGGCTGCCCGTCCGGATACCGTTCCGCACTCGACTCCTTCCGCTTGTCCGCGCTTCCGCCGGCCGCCGCTTCCGGTTTGTAATCCTTCGCGACTCGCCGTTTCTTGCGGGCTTGTGCTCGTCGAGCCCGTTGGTTGTGGGCCCGCAGTTCTAGGATGGCCGACTGAAAAAGACGGTGTTGAGAGGTATTTGTGATGCTTGGGGGGTACCTGTAGTCGCTTGACATGTCCGATTTTGTTGATGCCAATCTCGAGAATGTCCGACCGTTCCAAATGCATCAATTCGGATCCTTGAATGTCGTTTTTCCGGAATGTCGATCCGTATTCGGACATTCCGATCGAAGAGAGCCATGCGCACACTTCGTCGCTCGTCCAGTACGGGACTGAAAATAATTGTTAGGGAAAGCTCCAAGCGGTTCCTTACTGTTATCGAATGCGAACGGAGAGGATCGGGTTCCGAACCGTTTGTGGAACCACGCGGTGAACCGAGATCTCTTCGGCTTCCCGGCAATCAGGTCTTGCTTCCGCGCCTCTCGGATCGCCGCCTCTTCCCGATCCATTTCTTGGCGGATCGAGTTGATCACGTACCGCCAGTTATCGGGTTCATCTCCCTGGAAAAAGAGTGTTGTGAATGATGAAAAGAAAGGAAATGAGTGTGTACATGGATCTCAAAGGTGAAGTGAGGAGAGGGTCCGAGTTTGGGCTGTCCGGCCGGAGCACGCGTCCGTTCGGGGAATCCAAAGTGATCTTCGAGCAGTTCGACGACTCTTTCGACCGATGCGACCGCTTCTTCTCGCTCTTCCAGGTCATCGATCGCCTGGAAGAAAAAACTAAAATTCGAATGGCGACAAGTTACGAAAAATGTTTTCTAACACAATTAGTTTATTTTTAGCTTTCCCCTTTTTGTTCATTTACGGATGATCCCTGCCCTGCTTTTCCCGTCCAACTTTTCTTTGCCGTATACAATTTGCATTTTGTCATTGACTCACTTCGAGCATAGATTGCCGCATGAAATTAGCATAATTTCTGGACCCCCCTTTTCTTCTTCTAACAGATTCCGGGTGAGTTCTGAGCACTAACCAATGCCTTTTTTGTGCAACGGGGCGCATGTGGCTCATTCATCATAAATGTTCGCTCCCAGAGGGCAAACGAATTTCCATTTTCTATTTGAAGACGGGAGAAAAGTGCGAAGAAAGTCATGAATACGACGCGACGTCAATGAATTTCTAAGTTTGCACTTTCTGAAGCTGGAGCCGCGAGCCGAGCAGCTGTAAATAGGCACCGAGGGCTCAATTAGGGCTCGCTATTCTAACGACTTTCTTCGGAAATCTAGGCGCCAAAAACAAAAACATATTTCACGCCGCCCACACTTTTCTTGATTTGGAAGAGGCGGCCGAAGGATGGAAATAGCGGAGCGTGTGGGGCACCTCTTCTTCTCTGCTCCGTCTTCTGAAAAAGAGAGCGAGCACACACACTCGCACAAGACGGAGCCGCCAAATTATTAATTCATAGTCGCGAAAGTGACGGACCCATCACAACTTCTTCTCTCCTTCTCCTTCTGCCGCCTTTTTTTTCTGCTATTTGTTCTCACTTTTCCTCATTTAGAGCACAGAGAGAGACAGAGAGAGTGCAGTCGGCAAAATTTAAGATGACGTGGCAACTTTCGATTCCTTCAAAAAGTCTTCTTATCCCTTTGAACGTTTCTAGACATTCTGCTCACTTCCCATATCACTCGAGAACCGCAAAAAATGCGAAGAACGTGAGAAACCCGAGAAGTGCGTATCTCTTCCAGGAAATCTTGCACATACAAACACTTTTCGAGCAGTTTCGTCGTCATTCGCAAAGAAGAACTTGAAAATCAAGGAGGAAATATGATCTCTTATGTCTTACAACCACTGCTCTCTGGGAGAGCCGCCATCATCATCACCATCCATAAATGATCACTTCCTTTCCTTCCTCTTCTTCTGTGCTTCATCCTCTCGCTAATGTTTTCCTAATGCGAATATCTCGATGAAACCCGAGAGACTCCTCCTCCCGCTCATGCTCTTTTCCTCCCAAAAACTTTCCATTTTCGTCTGTCCCCCCAGTTTCTTTGGGGCTCCATTCACAATTGCTTCCGTCAATTGTGTTAGAGATATCCTTTCTTTTCTTTTTATTTTTCTATTTGTCTCATTTTTAATACAATTATGTTTTGAAAGAAGGGAAATGGGAGGAGGAGGAGGAGCCCAGAAGAAACGAAAAAGAAAGCCAAAGTGTTCATTCTTTCCGAGTTCAAATCGAATTTCCGACGTGTTTCCGATCTTGTTGACATGTAAAAATAGGCTCGTAAATGTCGTAAATTTGGAGAAGAAAAAGGTTTGCGCGAATTTTGACGAGGCTAATCGGAGCCGACACGGGCAAGTTTCAAAGATCAACCATCCGTAATCCGAAGAATCCTCTCGATTTGCCTAATCTTTCACCATCTCCTTCTCAATTGGTCCCAATCCGAAATTACTCCATTTCGAGCACTGAATCCTCCTCAGTTTGTTTGCTTTTCGCTCTCATCCCATTCCGCGACTTGAAATTCCGCATTTTCAGAGTATTGGAGGCGGAAAAATGAATATACGAGATCGCAAACATCGCTGGGTTCAACGAGCTCGCATCCTGATGGGCGTCGAGCTCGCGTTGACCATTGTGTTCGATTTGACGATGATCGGATCGGTGCGGAGAGGGCAAATGTTGAACCTTCTGCTCATCGTCGTCATCACTCTCAATATCATAACGGCGGCAAGGTCTCTGAACAGCCGGGGAATGAGTTCAAAACTCCGAAAAGTTCCAGGCTCTTCTTGAAACTACGCGGAATCAAGTGCGCCAGCTCGATAATGGCCTACGTGCTGTGGAAGATCGTTCAAGAAGTGATCTTGATTCCGGCGCTCGTGGTTTTTAGTTTCATTCTAGTTGATGTAAGTGATCATTTTGAAATTAATCAGCAAATGAGTACATTTCAGAGGTATCTAAAGTCGTGGAACAATGCGAATCGAGGCATTCAGATATTGGTGATCGTGTGGACGTATGCAATCTATTCACTGTTTCTCATCATTTTCCTAGGTTCGTCTAACTTTTTCTCGGAAGTCCTTAAGTGCGATTTTTAGCGTGGCTAGCCCGTTTTCTCTGGCAACTTCAAGTGAATCAGTCGAACGGCGAAAAGAATGGTGAAAATGCGACGACAATCTCGTTCATCGACGGATTTCACAGCGGAGACGATCATCATCAGTTGCTCGAGGAGGCGAGCAACGAGGGGCTCGAGCTGAGGGAACTGCCGACTGAACTGCGGAATCAGACGAGACCGTTCGTGCCGTACGACCATGTGGTGCCTTACATTTCCAACTGATACGGAGGGAATAGTTTTACTTACGGGTTATTTTTCCCAAACAACGCTTGTAAATATGCATGTGAACAATGAATTTTTGATATCAAATTGTTTCAATTTTAACGTAACCCACCTCCGGATCCTCCTCTCCCGACGCTCCGCCCCTCACAATCGCGTTCGCATCGTCCAACGACAGCAAAAAGTCGGAAGAGACTCCCAATCGTGCGATTTCTCCCTCGATGAGCCGCAGAAACTCGCGAGCTCTCGTCAGAAACGGCACGTGTTCCGAGGGTGCTCCGAGGGCGGTCGGCGTGCTCGGCGCCGTCGTCGCCTTCTCCTTTTGCTCCTCCCACTTTTTGAGGGTCGCGTCGAAGACGGCGTTGCGAGCGAGCATTTGAGCGCGGTTTTTGTGCACGATCTGCATAATTCCGGGCGGTTGGAGCCACGGTTCTCCGTCCACTTGGACGGGAATCGGCTCGTCGCCGAGGATGACGATGCGCACGTGACGGCATTGGGCGATGCGGTGATTCTGGAGACGGACGGCGTTCGGAACACGACTCGTCGCCACGTGGATGACACCGAATAGAGCAACCACCTAAATAGAAACATTGAACAGAAATTGAAGAAAAGTACGTTCACTTCTAGAATGCGATCATCGAAACTTTGAACGGTAAACTCGGGTCCGTCTTTATTCCGTCCCCAAAAGTTCGCGCCGCCCGAGTAGGAAGGAATGTTGAGAATGACGATTCCCTGAAGGGACGGCAGGTCGATCGGCACCCCGTCGCACTCCAGTTTTATCCGTTGCTCCAGATTACGGTATGTCCGATGCATGAGCTCTTTTCCGCCGAGAATACCGTACCACATGAAGAGTTTCGATCTACTTCTCGTCTTTTCCGACTCCTCGCGTTTATTGTGGAATTCGAGGGCGATTTTCGCGTCGAGACCGATTCCAAAGTAGTTGTTCATCACGCACATTTCTTTGTATTGCGTGCTGAAACGGGCAATTTAAATTGTGGTCGGAACCGACGGAGCATCGGAAAAGAAGGAAGAAGACATTGGAAAAAACGTACAAGGGAGTCTGACAATCGGACGTCGTCGACTGGCTCGTTCCACGTGACATCTGCGACAGAACGCGCGCATTCAACAGAAGGATTTCGGCGATGAGTGAGCCGCCCGCAAATCCCGACAGCATGTTACGACAACTGCAAACCCGACATAAAGTTAGTGCATTTTCACAGATAAAAGAACACAGAAAGGCAGGCTTCAGTCCCCATCGGGCAGGTTACCTCCTCAAATGCGAACTGCTCGACAGTCCGAGGTCGCTTCCGACCGTCCGTTTCCGTTCTTTGATGCGTGCCCACGTGGAATCCGAGGCTCTTGCCGGCGAGAGCGTGCTTCCGGACGCACCGACTCCGCAGCCGGACGAGGATCCCTCCATGTGCTCGTACTCTCCGTACAGACTGCTGTCCGAGTGGCTCTGCTTGATCTTATCGACGTTCGAACAGATTGGATGCAGACTTTGGCTCTTGATCTTCTCAGTGTTCTTGTTGAGCGTCGTATCTGAGTAGATGCGCGGCCGATCCGGAGATGAGCAAGTTTTAATCTTGACGTCTTCTTCCTCGGGAGTCTGTGTTTCTGACGTCTTCCGGTTGTTCTCCTTGCTCACTTCTTCGTCGTCCTCGTAGGCTGTAGATGGTTCCCGAGTTCCTCCGGGCGTCGGCGGATGCACAGTTCCAATGCTTGGTTTCTCGAGCTCATCGAAGGTTCGGGCCGATTGAGAGTTGAACAGGGCGGAGAGCACTGCGGAAGAGCTGGACTGCGAGTGGGAGATATCAAAAGTGGCCTTGCACGAGGAACTTCGGAACTCTTTCCCTTCCTTTTCGGGCTCCTGAGCGGGAGAGCACGGCGGAGAGCACGCGGAGGAAGAGGAGAGATTTGAGTGGGATATCCGGAGAACACTGGGCGTCGTCTTGCTCCTCTTCTTCCTAAACCGTTCCCTCCGCGTGCACGCACTCGTGTCGCGGTAGTGCTGATCGATTCCTTTCTCGGCCATCGAAATAACCTCACGAAGTGCCTTCTTGAGACTGTTCGCTCGATTCACCACCGAATCCCTCCGTTTCAGCATCTCGTCGCCCGTGGAGCACTCGTCCTCGTCGCCCGGTTCGAATCCCGACTCCTCCAAATAATTGGCGTCTTCTTTCAGCGATTTCATGAGTCGGTCGAGCTTTCCGAGCAAAGTGTTGCAGTTCTCGGTCATTGTGTCGCTGCTCTGCCGGAGCTCCTCCTCCTGTCGCGTGTCCTCGTCTTGAGAAGTGTTCGAGTAGGTCTGTGAGACGTTGTGCACGAGTTCCCGGATGGTTGTGCACAGTTGGTTCGCCGCGTGGATGATGTCCGACGTCTGTTCGGCCTCGAGAAACGTGCGAACTCGCTCGATGACGAGCTCCTCGTAGCGTCTAACGGCGTCTGCTTGCGGTCCTTCGATCGCCAGCACACTCCACCGATCCAGCATCTTCGTGTGCGCTCGCTCCATCGTTCGGACCACTTGCGGCAGCAGAGTGTCGTCGTAGAAGGCGTGACCCCAGCCGAGTACCCGTGCGAGGTCGTTTCCTGTTCCGAGCGGGAGGATAGCAAGTTGGCACTGAAATTAGGGCGATTTGCTTTGAGTTTTGCGGGGGAAGTGTACCTTAGAATGCAAATTGAGTCTGTCGAAGGCGCTGAGCACCCATCCGACAGTTCCATCGCCGCCGCACACGAGAACACGAAACGATTCGAGTTGCGAGAAGAAGGTCAGACTGAAATATAATTTTTAATTCGAAGGAAATGTGTGTGCGAAGAGGGGACGTACGCAAAATCCGGACCGGCTGCTATGATATCGAACACTTGAATCGGATTCAGAATCCGCCGAAACTTTTTGATGATCCGTTGTCCCTGACTGTCACCCGATTTCGCATTGATCAGCACGATGAGAGGACTTCCGCCGGGAGAATCGCCGCCTGGAAATGGAAAATTGAGTAATGCCGAAATCTTGCGAAAATCCATCTCTAATGAGTATATCCTTCTTGATGACATCATCGAGAAGAGTTTCCGATGACCTCATCTAATTGGGCGCCTCAGTCAGGAGAGAATCTCCGTTGGCCGGAAGTCGCTATGACGTCACCCAGAGAAAGCACCTACCATAAGCCTCTTCGCGGAGCAACGCAGTTCCGTTCGCATTCACTTCTTTCAGTGCTAACGGCGAAATGACCGAAAGCGCCGAGTGGCCGAGACTGCACGCGCGCGCCAGGTTTCCGATGCAGGCAGAGTGCACGCAGCAACTGCACCAGATGCATCGGTAGTCCTGAAATCATATTTTCTCATTCGAAATCGATTGTATTCGTACTCACCACTAGCTTTCTGACAGACCCGCATGGTTTTTCGCAAACTGAGCATTTTGAAGGCATAGGTAGGTTGCCTTCCATCCATTGATGAGGTAGAATTGAATTCTGATAGCAAGTTTATTTCGAGGGCTTACTGCCATGCAAACCTCTGGGCTAATAAATTGTAAATGTTGTGGTATACTCGTCTGATTTGTCCATTTGCACGGCTCCGTGATGTTGTCGCGACACTTTCGGTGCGCTTTCACTTTGCAAACTTCAAAATAATCACATTTCTCTTAGAACTTCTTTGGAAAAACTCACTGTCACAAGTGTAACCGTGCCACGGCACTCCGTTCAGTTTCTCTCGGCAATAGTTGCAGAATGTGGGTCGAGGATGGTTTGTCTGAAACTCAAATTCGTGCGATTATTTACATTCTCCGTCAATTACCTCTGTCCACTGATGGTTTCCCGAGGTGCCCTCGAGCAGTGCGACGAGTGGTCCGGACGACTGAAAAAACAGGAAATGAGTCTGCAGCGGCACGAGCGGCTCCGTCACCTTGTCCGGCAAATTGGCCTTGGCACGCAGGATCGACTGCTTCCACGCCTTCTGTTCGTCATCGTCGTCGTCGTCGTCGTCGAAACCGGCACGCGTCGCCACCATTCACGGGATCGGCGGAGGCACGCACTCTCCGATCGGATCTCAGATGGCACCAGGGCGCGGCGAGACACTTACCACACGGGCTGCAATTATTTGATGATGATTACTTCCTAGACGTGGGGAAAAATCATAAGTTTACCACTAACAAGACATCAAAATGTGACAGAAAACCAATCTCAATTTCAGCTGTCTTCGGCGAATTCTCGATTTCGAATTGCGACTAAACGACTACAGACAGTTAAGTTTAATTGAATTAGACACTACATTTCTAAAACGGTTTGAGTGGTCGAGCCCATTACTCTATTACTATACGACGTCTAGACCTATTAGCATTAACCGAAAGGGACTGAGCTTTCACGAAAAATCACGAAAAATGACGACTACTCTCCGGAAAACCATCTGCCGATGGATTCAGGAGACAATGACGTCAAAGGCGCCTGATTTCTTATTTCTCATCGAAATATATATCAGGCCGAGATGTTCGTGGGAAAAGGATCGACGAGGCCCGAATGATTTCCCGTGAGAGCTACTAAAGCTGGAAAAAGAAAAGTATTCAGATGAATTGCAACTTCTCGGGGGAGTTAGGTGTGCATGTGTATAGGGGTTGTCTGGTGATATATTACGATTAGTAGTGGTCTCCAGTTGTTATTGCAAAAAGGAAGGAAAATAATCAGAACAATTGGATGTGGACCCTAAGCGGAAGCGAAAAGTGATCCGACTCGGGGACCATGATGAGGGCACAATCCATAATTCATCACACACCTGAGCCCCCCGTCCGATGTCCACACACACACACACACACACTTGCTCCGAAGCCAACACACTCGCAAAAAAACGAAGAGGAAAAAAATGGGAATGGGGGATGGATGGGAGAAAAAGGGGGTATGGGCGAGTGGGCAAAAACCCGCGGAGAGAAAAAGAAAGCAAAAGGGACGGAACGACCAGGGGGCCTGCCTGTGCTGCACAGTGCGAGAGAGTCTCCTGGATCGGAGACGCAGACGCGCAGACGCCGAGACACGGGAGGAAGCGAAAGGGCGACTCTGTCTCTGAGTCTCCCGGATTCGGCCCCCGAGAACGAGAAACGAGAAGAAGCGGATGGATAGAGAGGATCCGAGGAGAGAGAAAGAGAGAGAGAGAGAGAGAGAGAGAGAGAAAGCTCCGGAGGAGAGAAGCGAGAGAGAGAGGAAGCGGGATGAATCGCCGCGCATCCACTTCATCCCGCCGGAGGAGTAGGCGGACCCCTTTCCGCGCGTGTTCCGCGTGGCGCCGCTCGAGCGGAACGCCGCGGAACATGCTTATCTCTCTCGCCATCTCTCACTCCTCTTCTCTCGCTCTTGCGTGCAGCAGAAGTCCCGTGGGTGCTGCTCGAGCAAAGAAAAAAATGGAAAGAGAAGAGGAGGAATTTTGAATGTGAAATGTCAAAAATCGTCCTCCTCGTCCTTCTTGGTGGTGAAATTGAGACGGAGACGTTTCCGGAAAAACGACGGCATTGCACACTTGGATGGGCTCCGGCGCGTCGAGAGCCCCAACGACAGAAATAGAGATTGTTGAGCGAGAAGAAAAATGAGCACTTTTTTGGGATTTTTAAAGAGGGGAGATGGGGAAGAAGAAGAAGAAGAGTCCCTTCTGGGAATGAGACCCTTGATGAGCTAGTCGCTTTCGGTTTATGAGGATTACGGTAGCCGCAATCACGACGCCATTCTCCAAAAACGAGTAGGCGGGCGGACGGACGTTTTCTGCTCCTATTCAAATCCTTCATCATTCTCATCCTCGACGTCTTCTTCTTTTTGGATTACTCGGATTACAGATTATGATGGAGCTGCCTCCTGCCGGCTCAGAAGCGGGCTCGGGACTCACACACATGCACACAAGTACGAGTAAGAGTATTTGTGTCTTTGTGTGTGCTTCTACATGGATGCGGCTCCGAAATTCGGAATAAATGACGTCGTAAATCTGTGGCGAGCAGCTTGTGCACACCAGATGCCACGTCATTAAATTTGCCCCAAGATTTCTGCATCTGGATGCTAAAACAACGAATAAAGAATAAACTAAGCGTTAGTGTGGTCCACCGAAATTCTGTTGAGTGGGCGGAGAAAGAAGAAGGAGGAGGAAAAGAAGAAGAAGAAGAAGAAGAAGAAAGAAAGGCAGACAGGAAATTGTTTAGGAATCGACAGACGCGCACGAAGGGGCTCTTCCTCTTCACAAGCTCTTCTTTTCCATAGTCGCAAATGCTCGCATAAACGTTGTTTGGAAACAGTTCGGAATGGGAATTTCGAAACTGCAAACGTGGCCACCGTGAAAGTGCAAATTGGCAGCATGCCAAGAGAGTTCACAAACAAAAAGACAGATGCCTCGCTCCTTCTTCTTCTCCTCTCGCTGGCCACAGGGAAACACGGGGGAACATAGTGTGGTTAGACGTAGGCGGTCGAACGATCGGCGGCGCGGACAGCAAAAACCAATATGAGCGGCGAGAAGGAGCGGAGAACGGGAGACGCAGGCGCACGAGCGGATTCATGAAGTACCATACGGGGAAGCGATCGGACAGAGAGAGAGAGAGAGAGGGAGACAAACGGATCGTTATGAATTGTAAGAAGTAGGACTTGAGAAGCGAGACGTCTTTCAGACTTGCAACATTCCGGGTCGGATCTGGAGTTTCACCTTGGAGTCCAAGACGAATTTTTGCGAAAACTAAAAACGCGTGCAGCAAAGTTGTTAAAACTGGGTGTCAGTGTTGCGATCTGTTGCGCTCTACCTAGGCTTTTCTAATTGCAACAGCAGCGTTTGAAAAGAGAATGAAAGACAAAAGTCTTGTTACATTGAAAGTTTCTCATATTTATAAATCCCAAAACATAATCAAAAATTGCGCCTGGCTGAGATTTTACAGAGTTTTCAGAGAAAGGAGCATTTAAAGTTTTTACGTACCGTAAAAATTTATACGAAAATCTATTTTCTACAATAACAGGCTGTTTCACGGCTTTACGACCTTATCGTGACCATTTTTCTAAATATTTCTAAGCCAGAGAGTTCACAAAAAATCGTTTTAAAACGACTTTTGCATCGAGAAAAATCCTGAAACTGGTGAGCTCGATGGCTGCCGTCGCCAATATTGGAATATTCGGAAATTTCAGAGAAAATTGAGAAGCGTTTTCATTTCCGACAGAGCGAACTTGCAAAACTGAGATTTCCGTGCATTTTGTGCGTAAAAAAGCAGAGGGAGAAGCAGCAGAAAAGTGCGGAATGCTCTCGGTGCAGCCAACACAAATTCGTCAAAAATTCAGCACGTTGCGTGCCGGGCGGCGCCGCGAATTCAATTCATTTTCGGGTTTTCCCGATCGTTTCGCTCGCTTTTTCCACATAATTTTCACTGGCAACAAAAATGGAATGGAATTGTGGGTCGGCACAAAAGTTTTCCAATTAATATTTGGTGTAATCGTTATTTTAATCGAATTTCCAAATTGTACGCAAAAGAGCACAATAATTACGCGCTTAATGGGGGCGAGTGCGGAGGCGGCGGCGGCGGAAAAATAAATAGATGCAGAGTAATTTGAACGAGATAAAATTGGCTACAAACTGAAGAAAAAAGGTTCGAAGCGGAAAAATGTGGAAAAATAAAATGTATTTTATTCATGTAAAACTTAAGTAATGCGGGCGCGGGAGAATATGTATTAGGCGAACTTTTCGAGTGAATCGACCAAATTTCGTGGCGAAATTGCATGATCGGGAGAGCGGGATGGAGGAGGTCAGTAGGAAGGAACACTGTGGTTAAAAATGTATATTAGACAAGGCAGAAAGGGTATCGATTAAAACACAGAAAAAATGAAGAGGGGGGAAAGGCAGAAAAAAATGGTCAGCGGGCTGAAAAAACTGGTTTTCGGCGGTTCGCAGCTAGGGTTGTGTCAGGGACGAAACGATGGAGAAATCAAAGAGATAGGTGATAAGAAAGAAGCTCAAAAGGGGAGAAATGAGGTCATGCAAGTGGAGAAAAAGGATCGATTCTCATCAGAAGGGGTTCCTAGCCGTGTGTCTACGCGGAATTCATAAGGCGTTTGGGGGGCAATTTATTATTCACAGTAAGATCAGTGGAGACTCGTAGTGCACAATATATCGAATAGACGGGGACTAACAGTACATTTAGGCGAACACTTCACAACATTTATAAGGCACAATACGGATTCCTGAGAGTTCTGTCGCTGATACGCTCAAACGTCTTCGCCATTCAGCACTTTTTGATGCCTGCAATCAATTTCTCCATAGATTTTTTCCGTCATTCTCCTCATTTCTCACCATTCTTTGGCCGCTTTCAGTCCCGGAATCTTCTGCGTCTTCTGCACATTGTTCAAATCGAGCAGTTCGACGGCGTCCGGCTTCACCCACTTGTAATTCTCCAAATTCGCCGACTTTTGGAAGAACTCCACGTAGATCAGCGCCTGCTGCGGGATCTCGCCGAGAATCTCGCGGCGCTTTTTCATCATCGACTGCCTTTGTTCGTAATGAATGTCCGACAAATGGGCGAGTTGATGCTCGATTACTCTGGGAACGAAATTGCTTTGAAAATACTCTGGAAAAGGTTCTTACTTGGCTGCTCTGCCGTCGACTATCACCAGCTGATTGTGCGCGAACTTCGAGTGCGCCTCGTTCTCCGCCGATCTCCTCTTCTGCGCCGCCAGTTCCGACGGGCTCAGCTCCTGCGGCTGCGGCACAATCATCATTTCCTCGTCTTCGTCGTCAGTCTTCACCGCGCGCACTCCGATTTTTCGCGGCTCCGATAGCGGACTTTGAAGGGCCGACGTCATTCGGAACGACGTTCTCGGAGCGACCGATGAGTTGGAAGTGAATGAGGTGGACGCCGTCGAACTTCTCGTCGAGGATCGGGTCGTTTTAGGTGTGGAGACGCTTTCGAAGACGGAGCGGGCTGAAAAATTAGTTTGAGTACAATAAACTTGATATGAAAACTCACTATTCTTGTTGGCTGGCACGGTGGCGAACGTCAGTTGCTGATTCTTGGACGCCGGTATAAAAAAGTTGGTGAGAGTGGTCTGTCGGAGGGATCCGGACGGCTTCTCTGTGCTGAACTCTTGCACTTTGTTGTGAAGTGTTTCGGCGGCCTTGGTCCCTGACCATTTCGGCTCCGTCTTGATTTCCACGTCAGCAGCAGATAACGTGGAAGGTCCTTTCTGCGCCGATCTTCCGGATCTTCTGACACTTCCAGGGGCAGATGACGTCGACGGCTTCTGATCCTCTTCTGTAGGGTCTTGTCCGCCACGCCTCCTTGATCTTGGTCTTCTGGCAGTCGACGGTGGGTCTTGTGATGGTCCCGGCTGATCAGTCTCGTCCATTAGCTCAATCTTCACCGACTTTTCCATCTTCGACTCCGAATCGTTTCGTCTTCGGCGCTTCATCGCTGGCTCCGTCTGCTGCTCTCGGCTTCCCGATTCGTCCGGCAGTTCGACCACCTTCGGAGGTTCTTCCGTGTCCATCGGCTCATCAGTTGTCACGTTATCCGTCATCAGCGTGTCCAGTACGAGCATCATGAATTCGCTGTCCGCCAAGAGTTTATGCCTCTCTTCTTCCTTCTTTTTTTCCCTTTCCAGGATAGGTGTGGCGTTCCTTCGGAAAGTTCTTCCATAATTTACGAACCACGTGTTTCCTCGGTTGAACTTTGCACAATTGTCGAGCATCAGAAAAACATCAGCCGTTAATTCGCTCACATTCGCGTATTTTTTCTTCTTCGCTTTCTCGGCCATGGTCTTCAGATCAATCGGATTCGTGATAATCTCTTTGTAGCCGGGAATGTCGACGGGCTCTGCGAAGACGGCCGAGTCATCCTTTTCGGAGAGTTCTTGCACTATCTGGCTGCAGACCACGTCTGTCGGCACAAGCATTTTTTCGAGCAAATTGACCTGTGTTAGGTACTGAAAAAGAAAACTCTATTGTCCGATTCAAATGATATAAATACTCACGCATTCCTTCTTGAGCTGCTCCCTTTTTAACAGATAGTCCATCATCTGGACTCCCTTCTCGAGAGATCTTCCGACGGCAATGATCTGCTTTCGGATGGCCACGAATCGTGGATCGCTGATCTTCGACTCCCGCCGTCTTCTGCCGGGCACTCCATGATCCACATGGGTTTTCATGAGCGGCGCTCCGAGTTTGCTCTTTCTCTTCAGGTACCAGTGCGCGACGAGGTCCCGCACGTCCTGCTGATTGCCCAGCGGCTCCTGCGAGGAGATCAGGGCGAGCTTCTCGAGAGTGATGCTCGGCATGCTGAAATGTCTTCGGATTGGGAGATAGTAAGATAACTCGGGGGTGTTTCGATCGGTTACCTGACGGACGGCTCTCTGTCGATCTCGATCTCTCGTTTGTAGTTGCGCAGAGCGTGCTTGTGCTGCACAATGTCCTCCTCGGTCCGCTTCGGCTGGTGCTTCTGACACCACACGTACCTCTGGACCGTGTGGTTGGTCTCTACGACGCGCATGACGAGTCCCTCGTTGCGGGCGCAAGTGACGTGGAATGAGGAGGTGCACTTGGTTTCCGAGCACTGAACACAGGCTCCGTGCCTCGCCGCCTCCTTGTCCTTGTTCGTTCTGCAGAACTGGCAACTCAGCTGACGACGGTCGTTCAGGGCCTTGTCGACGCCCTGCACGTGCTCCATGAATATTGAATTTCCAAAGTGGGTCTCGTCGATCCAGACCACGCAGAGCACGTGAACCCATCTTCCGTCCTGGGTCCGTTTGAATGCGCCGACGTGCGACGGACACAGAGAGCAACGAACTCGGCCCGCCGGAGAGAATGCACATTTCCGGCAGAGCAGCGGGCCTTCGGGTAGGAACGGCACTCCGTAGCAGTCCTGATGGAACGCCAGGCCACACATGTCGCAGTAGACAATCTGGTTGCAGTTGGAGGTGTCGCCGTCCAGACAGATGCTGCACACGTCGTCGATCACCTCGCCGTACTCGTTGACGGGTCTCGGATGCTCGAAAGGCTGGAAGGTCGACCATTTCTCGAGGCGATCCATCCAGAACTCGAACTTTGGAATCGTGTACGCCGCCTTGCCGCGCGAATAACGGATCGCATTGACGTTGTGCAGGTACTCCATGTCGATCTCGTCGAGACAGTAGTCCACCTTCATCGGATCCTCCTTCTCCACGTAATCATGCTTCGTCGCCGGCCAAGGTCCCAGCGGATTTCCGAGTCCTGCCTTTTGCGCGGGTCCTCTGACGAACGCGATTATCTCTAAGTAGCTGATCGTTCTCGTCTTTTTCGTCAACAGCGTCTGCATGTAGAACTTGTTGCTCGGCTCCAGCTTCTGCTCGGTCGTCCTTTTGCCCCACCAGTCTTTCCGCGCAGCCAGGTCTGCAGTCCTCGGTCCGACTCGCTCGTCCAGGTAGACGGCCTGTCCGTTCTGTGATTTTCCTCTGCGCTTCTGAAGCCGACTCAGATCCATCTCTCCCGTCTCTTCCTGCTGATCCGACGGCGGCGGCGACGTCATTCTGATGTTCTCCCGCATCGTCGAACGATGTGTCGCCGGACGGGAGTGTGCTTCTTGTCTTTCTCGTCGTTGAACCGTTTTGATTTTGACACGGTGTCTGCAAATTTTTCAAGTTTTCACGTTTTCAAGCGGAAAAAGACAAAACGGAGCGAGAAAACTTTGAGTTCTATTTTGTTTTTCGGCATTTCAGCTCTAATTTCGCCCTTTTCAGGTATCCTAGCAACGCGACTTCAACTTTCGCAACTTTTTACGAAATTCCGTCGTATTTCTTCGAGCGCGCAGGTCTAATTTTAAAAGTGGCGCGCACACGGACGCCCAATCTGGAAATCGATGATCTCCGTGGAGTGAAAAGTGAAAAAGTGAATGAGAAAAGGGGGAGAATCATGTGAAGCGACGAAAAAACTCGCGCACAAATCGACGACACAACACGACGAGAGAGAGAGAGAGCGGAGAGTGCAGACGGAGGGAGTGCGGCGGCGAGGCAGTGTGCGGAGGGCGGAGAGGCGAGGGGGAGGTGTCCTCGCGGTCCGGACAAGCGAAACGATGTAGATGAATCAGGAGTGAAAAGACGGGACGGAGGCAAGAAATGAGAGAGCGGAGGCGACAGACCCTTGTTTCCGACTGTTCTCTTGTGTGTGTTTGAGTGTGTGCTGCCCTCTTATTCTTCGTCCGCTTGTGGCTTTTTTGCGGAAACGAGAGGTGTCGAATCGAAACTATATAGTTGCGAGAGAGAGAGAGAGAGAAAGAGAAAAATGGACTTGTAAATCGGAACGATACAGAGAAATAGGTAGAGGAAATATGAACACAAAGAAAGTGCGCGTGGGGCGACTGTTTTGAATAATAGTTATTATGTTATTATCTGTCTACACTCTAGAATCAGATTCTTGGAAGCGTTGCTGTGCTAATTGGGGAGGCGAAATAAAGAAAGGAAAGTAGTGCAATGTATCCCCCGGGCAGGTTAGATATAATCTGCAAGTATTAATGGAGATATTAGTGCACACGGGAAAGAAGGTGTGTGAGATCAGGCCTCTGGAGATGAGCTAAATCCAAGTTGGATTAATTCACGTGATCTCTGAAGCTTCGAGGTCTCAAACGTCTTCCAACCTCAAATTTTCTAACACACACAATGACGGCAAAAAGCAGACGGAAAAAGAAGAAAAAAAGAAAAAGTCGATAGGATTCAGCGGCAGATACTCTCTGATACATCCTGCCAACGACGAAGAAAGGAAGAAGTTAACAACGAAATGGGCGGAGTTTGAGTTGTCATACTAATAGAGGGAGAAGAAGAGAAAGGAATGAGCGACGCGATGACATCAGCACATCGCTCTATTATTTTGGGCGAAAGGAGAATGTCGAGATGGGCCCGAAGTGGAGCCAATCATGTGAGTCAGGAGAAATGAAAAAGAGCCTGGCCGAGCGAGTCGGTCAGAAGATGGAAATTCGAGAATATGGACGAAGACACGTCTCTCAAAAAGTCTCAACACTAATAACTGCGAATTCAGCTCTATTCCATTTGTTTTCATGACTTTCGTTCGCAGAAAACACAATGTTTTGGTGGGGAGCGAGACGGGAACGAGGGTCCGCGAAGCGAATTTGAGCAGAAATTGGGTTCGCAACAGATGTTTTTTTGTTTTTTATCGCAAAAAACACCCGGTTGCGCAGAAGAGCTTTATTTTTTCAATTTTTTTGGATAGACTGTGGGCTGAGACTGACAGATGACTTTTGAGGGAACATTTTTGTACTTTTCACATTTTTTGTGTTGCAAAACATTTAGAAAAAAAGAGAACTTACTTTCGCTAAAAATTTCAAAGTGATTTGGCCGGATTCAGCTGAAAACAGGTGAAAACTTCATAAAATTCTGAAAATCAAAGTTACAATTAGGAACCAAATTTTATTTTACCGCGTCTCAATAGAGCGCACTTGCATACTGTTTCCTCAGCGTCTCTTTATTTCCAATGCACTCTCGCCCGGCTACCTGTAAACTGAAGTTTTCCAGATTTTCAGAGAAGAATCACTTAAAAATGATGTCGTCCGGTCCTATCGAACCGTCCGATGTCATTCTGAACAGCTCGTACCCTAATCCGATCGTCGTAAGTGCTAAAACTGTACGAAATCAAAATAATCTGGAAAATCTTCCAGGTTCCGTTGGATTTCGTTGATAAGCAGTCACGGCCCTCACGAGATGAGTTGAATATTGACGAAAGTGGCCTGTACATGATGTCACAAGCATTGGTAAATCGTAATTTTTTAAATTTTTATCTGAAAAGAAAATTTTAGGAGAAGTTCATGAGGCGAATGATTCAGGAGGCGACGAAAAACGGAACTCTGGAGCTGAACTACGACACGATTGCGGAGTTCATTGCTCAATCCGAATTCAGAGCTCTCAAAGGTGAGCACATTCACATTCTCTTCAAAACTTGTCGACTCCTCCCAGATTTCTTCCCGCAACGAATGGAATTCGGCGACATTATGGAGCAAATCGGAAGAAATGCACAGACAACGTCTTCAGCGACGAAGCAATAAATAAAAACACAATTTAATTTTATATCAAAAGCAATAAACAAAACGTTTACTACCTCATTTTTTCCTCATCATCTTAATGACTCGGTCTTGCTGCGAATAAAGAAAAATGATATTACAGAAAAGAAAAAGAACAAAAGCAGCAAAAATAAGAAATTCATTTAGGACGTCGTATTGATACTGGAAAGTTGAGGCTTTGCAAAGATTCTAATCTTTCCCATGCTCGAAAACACTGCGAGAGCGACGGACACAATGACGATAACGAAGGTGAGGACGACGAAGATCATTCCGCAGAAGAAGTCGCTCTTCTGGAAACATTTCAGTTCGAATGAATGCGTCCCTTTCTCTTCTCACAAGTCGGTCGCTCAGCTGCTGCATACTCCCTGTGATCGGCGGCTCCTTGACGGTCGGACGCTTCACCTGTCCGTACAAAGGCTCTTTCAACCTGCAAGTTTCGTTCGCACTGGAGCCCTCTTCGGATCACACTCACTGAGCATCGCTCTGTCCGGCCACAAGCGTCGTGGCGCTTTTCGTCGTCGACGCGGCCATCAGAGTGTCGGCCGCTCCAGTTGAACCCGCGGTTACTGCAGCAGATGCCATTTGAGATGAATAATAATCGGAAATAAATACTTATTCTTTTCCTGAACGAAAAATTCGTAATTTTAAATTCAAATCGATAACAATCGACCTCGACGTGTTCCTGTCGCCGAAAAGAAAGGAAAGATCAGTCGGAATTTTCGCAATTATTTTGCGTGCGAAATGACGATGCTCTTTGCGTTCATTTTACTCGTCAATGCCATCGTTTCGTCGTCGATTCTCTTCCAGTGTTCCTCGTCGAAACGACCGCCCCAACAGAGGAAATCGCACAGAGTAAGCGGCGGGAAAAGAATACTCACATTGCCTTTTTCAGTCGAACAAATCGAGTCGTTCCCGTTCCCGTTCCCGCAAAAGCAGCCGGAGCGGACAATCTTCCAAGTCCTCCAAGTCCTCCAAATCCGGCAAATCCAGTGCCGTCCAACAGAATTCCTCCAGAGGACGCAGCAATGTGAGAGCTCTTTGTCTTCTCGAGCATCGCAATCAATTTTCAGAAAAAAGTTCGTGCCGCAATTCTGGCGGATCAGCAAGCGGCACAAGCGGCAGTGAAACCGAAGGTTCCGGCGGACTCTCCGTCCGAAAAGTCCGACAAAATCTCGTACGCGAACGTGCGAGTCAGTCCGCACGAGGTGACATTCCGTCCGATCGGAGGCCTCAAAGACGTGCGCGTGCGGAATTTGACGGGAAAACGGGCGGCGTTCATGGTGAAATGCTCGGACAATCTGCTGTTCAGCATCAATCCCGTCTACGGTATCATCGAATCGGACGGCGAGGCTAAAATCAATATTCTGCGCGAGAACGCCGAACCGAAGCATGACAAGCTGGTGATTATCACTACTTCGGTGAGCAAAAATGTCTCTAATCTCGAGCCTTTGGTGTTCTTTTTCAGCAAACGGACAAAAGCAAAACGGCCGAGCAGACGTTTGCCGAGATCTACAACACAAATTCGCAGAACTACAATATCAGTGTGGTGCCGCTGCTCGGACAGTGCTAGCCGACTGAAAACGAACAGAGACAGTGACAATGCGAGTGACAATGCACTTGTTGCAGATCAATGTTTTTTGTATAAAAAGTGGCTTAAATCGTTTTACAAACGTCCGTCCAAACGTGTCGAACGTGCTCGAGACCGTGCGGAGTCAAATGATTGGCCGCCGTGAAGAAGGAGAGTCCGCGGGCGTCCGAGAATCGGAATGTGCTCGTGGTTTCGTTGAAGAACTCGGGAAGATAGTCGATGAGTTCGCATTTGCTCCCGCAGTCTTTTACGAGTTGCGCATGACGTATTCGTCCCATTTCAAAGGGAATCGGGCTCAGTAATGCCTTCTGAAAGGATACAATATTTTTCGCAACGTGAATCTGTTACGTCAATATCCTCTTGCCTGGCTCCGGCTCTCATCGATTCTCCAATTTTTGCTATCCGCTCACTGATAATTCTGGGATACGTGTTGAGGATAAATAGTTTGATGCGAATATGTTTGATGTATTCCACAGTGTTGTTTAGCATTGTTTGATAAATCGGATCCTCGTCCAAACTGGTGATTCCGGGAGCGAACGGGTCGGCGATGCTGATGAACCTGAGAAATAATATTGGCATTGTAACCGACAGTTATGTATGAAATGTTTTTTGTAAACTAGTTGAAACGTGTAGAAAATGATAAATCGGAAGTGCGCAATTGCTTACCTCGTGAAAATAAAACCGTAATCGGGCTGTTCCATCCGTAGCCTCTGCTGAAACTCCGTCATATTCTTCCGACATCGTTCCAATCTCAATGACGGGTACAAAGGCTCGCAACCTGAACTCTCTTCTCGCTCTCTTCTGTAATTCTGACCTCACCAAAAGCAGTTCCCTGCAGAATACTCTTCGCTTTGTGTTTACACTCCTGATAGAACATGTCTGCATGATTCGCAGTGACACTGTTCCCGAAAATGATCATTTTGTAGGAGGAGTTCGGAGATAATCCCGAGTGCCGACACCATCCGTACGGCCCGTTGGATCCCTCGTAATCGCAAGTGCGGGAGAGGAGATTATCAATGTCTTTCAAGTTCCAGTAATGGTTCAGACGGTCCGCGTCTTCTGAAAATGTGCGTGATAATACTTTTCGATTCGTTTTTCGATACCGAATGTAAAGTTTTGCCGATTGAGTTTCTCTTCTTCCGTTTCCGTTCCCAATAGACTCTCTTTGTTCAGAACGAGAACATTTGCAGTGAGGAAAATGAGAATCAGAAAGGAATTCGATGAAAATGATAGCTTGAGGTACTGTTTCTCGAATGTCTCATAGCTGAGCGCCGCTAAAACAATCGATACAATTGGGTAGACCAACAAAGCTGAAACGAACGCGGTGTTTTGATGTATTTTGAAGTATTTCGCCGCTCACTGAACTGATTTCCGTCGTCTGTGAGCTTCCAGTAGGCGTAAATTGGCCAATGAATGAGATAAAGAGAGTAGGAGATGTCCCCGAAGTACGTGAGAATTCTAATGGACAGCAATGAACTGTCAGTCGAGAATAGGATCAGAAGGGATGTGCAAACTGCTATAAAAGGACTGAAACTTTAAAGGTATACACAAAACGATATAGGATTGAAAAAAGATTACCGAGCGATTATATCTGGTAAACGTTTTGGATAAAATGTTGTAAAGACAGTAGAAAGCAAGAGAAGGTTGTGGAGTTTTGAGGATATCTTTTGATTGTTTGACAGAACATGCGAAGTGCCCACAAACAAACTTAGCATTCCTGAAAATGTACTGGATACTTTGTAACGTCACTGAAACTGAATTCCCTTCAAACCTATGCAAAACTGCCACGTTCTTGCAAAAACGCTGTTGAAAGCGACAGAAGTTGGAGCAGTGGAAGAGTAAACGAAAGAAAGAATTGCGAGGGTACTGTAGTACAAGTACTGTCGCTTTTGAGAAAACCGTTTTCCGATTAGGAATATAAACGGAACAATAAAGTAGAATTGGACTTCAACCGACAGGGACCACGTGTGCGTGAATATGTCAATGGCAAGCGAGAGCTGCAAGAGTTGCTAGGGCTTTAATGACTTTTGAGAATACGGTACCATTTGAAAATAGTCTTCCTGAGTTGTCGGAGGTCGGTTTGATTGGAAAAGAAGCGCTCGGACGGCTGATTTCTGATTGGTTTCAATAGAAGTCTCCGGAAAAAGAGTGTTCAAAGCGAGAAGACAGCAGAAAATGAAGAAGAAGTAAAGTGGAAGGATTCTTTTGAGTCTTCTGGAGTAAAAGTTGAAAATGAAAGGAATCGGACGGTCGGAGTCGGAACGATTGAGAAGCATCCACATGAGATATCCGGAGAGAACGAAGAATCTGAGGGATTGTGTTTCACACCGTTCTGATATTGTCAAACTCGCATACTTGCATAGTTCTAGCAGATTTTCGAAAATTTACAAAAAAATACTCACTGATCGACTCCGAGGTATCCATTCGGAAATTCTTGGGGAAAGAAGTGGAAACCAAGAACGGCAAGAATGGCGAATCCGCGAATTCCTTGCAGATCCGCTCGTTTCGTCGTCATTTTTGTACTTTATTACAATGAATACCACAGAAAAACAGAAAATGGTATCTGGGATCGGCGATCTCGTATCTCACAAGATCTGATCTTTGCGGACATCCTTGTTTTTTTCAGGCGCCTGTTCGACTAGGTTAGCAATAAGAGATTCTCTTTGCTGCTGATGAGGCACATATCACGGCTGCCCTGACACGGCTGCAAACGTTTATGCACTGTCAATAGTACTTCAGTGAGTGTAGTTCACTGACGAATCGACAAAACTTGGCAAGTTATAATATCAAAATGATTGCCAAAACATGCTCAATTCATTCCACTTGATGCTGTGAGTGAATTCATTACCCCGAGAGACGGTCCCACTTGTACGATGAAACCTTTGACGTCACTAAATTAGAGGTAGCATTCCGCAAAAAGTTTAATACGAAATAAACAGATTATACACCTTTCAAAAGAAAGAAAAAATATCACGGCGACAACAATTTCTTTTGGTCAGTTACTTGAAAAAAATTTTTTTCCCAACTTTTGGTCAGTAAGCCATGGCTTGATAGCCTAGATCCCTGATAAGAGAAAACAAAATTCATGAACCCGACAGTGATAAATGCCAAAACAGAAACGGAGAAATCTCGATTCTAGAATCGTTCCTTCATGACACATCGATAATTCTTCGCCTTCATCGTGACTCCGCACTCTTTGTCCGTACTCGGATTCGGATTTGACGGATGGAGCGAAATGTCGAACTTGTTGAACAAATTGGCGAAGAACAGAAAGAGCTCCATGCGGGCGAGGCCTTCGCCCAGACACTGACGCTTTCCGATCGAGAAGGGCACGAGCTGCAAGGACCGAAAATCGATGGAAACCGCAAAAAGTTGGCTCACCTCTTCGACCTTCTTCAAACTTCCGTCTTCCTCTAAGAATCGCTCCGGTCGGAACTCTTGTGGCTCTGGGAAGATCTGAAATGTGACTAGATTCACCACAATCCGAATGTTCCCAAACGAACCTCCGGATCGTACATGACCACACTGATTTGCGGAGTGATTACCGTATCCTTCGGAATACGGTATCCACCGATTTCCACTTCGGCTGTCGTTTTTCGAGAAACATTCATCGGAAGGAGGTTGGCGAGTCGTTGGGTTTCCTGTAAAGACTCTTAATTATTTTCAAGTAAAGAGTTCCTTAAGCTCACATTAAGGGTGGCACTGATATAGTTGAGTTGATTTCGGTCGGAAGTGGTGATGATCCGATCGTTGCCGATCACTCTGTCCAGCTCCTCGTACACTTTGTGACGGACTTGCGGGTTGAGGAGCACGTACAAGAGGGACCAGTAGAGCGTGTTCGAGGTCGTCTCCATTCCGGCCACCCACAGGTCGAAGCACACGCTGTCCAGCTGCTCCATTCTGTAATGTTCTTTGAGGAAAAGCACTTTTTGAAGCGGGGAACTCACTCGTATCCCCCAAAGTTCTTCTCATTCTCATGCTTCTTTCTCTCCTTCAAAAATGCCTCCACATAGTCGGAATATTCGTCCGAATCGTAGTCGATCGTTGCCATTTTCTCCATCGCCTGCCTCCGGAACATCTCCATCAAACCCACAAAGTTGTCAGCGATTACTAAAAGAAACGAAGTGTTGTGGTTGTGATACGGTTCGTGTCGTACTTTTCTTGTAATAGCTGAAGAATGGAAAGTTTCCGAGCCACGGATACATTTGGACGAGGCCGCCGATCGGCTCCGCGGCCATCTTGAAATGCTTGTCCATTCGGCCCTTCAGCTCCAGGAAATCGTCGATGTTTGTCTGAGAATGGGTAATTAGGAATGGACCAAACACACCTAACCTCATCATATCTGTACCCGAACAGCAGAGAATTGATGATCGATCCGATGCACGCGTCGAAGATATTCTGCATGTTGACGTCATCCGGAGCCGCACGGATTCTCTCGATCATCGCCGTCACCTCTCCGAGAACCTGCCAATCATTGACAATATAAAGCCTAGTACATTGTCCACGAATCAAAGAAGACGTGGTAAAATGAGGAATTGTACAGGGCTGGACAATTGGCCGGCCCTTGACCTGGACTTTTGAACCACTTGCAATATTCCGATCGGACCCAAACTTTGCAGGATTGTTGCACTTGGATTGAGGGCCATTGGGACCAAGTTTCAGCCCGATCGGATCGTCGGGTCCCGAGATATGTGGATCATTGGCCGATTTTTTCCAAAAAGCCCGGGCTTCCGGCCAATTTTGGCCAATGATCCACATATCTCGGAACCCGACGATCCGATCGGGCTGAAACTTGGTCCCAATATGCTTCAACCCATGTCCAAGAAGCCTGCAAAGTTTGGGTCCGATCGGAATATTACAAGTGGTTCAAAAGTCCATTACAATGGTCGACCAACGAAAAGCCCGTGCCGGCCAATTGCCCAGCCCTGGAATTGTAATGTGATCGAAACCGAGAGTCACAGTTTGTCACAATGAATGTGATACCTTTTCCTCCATCAAATTCTTGCCCAACCCGAAGTCTCTGAGCACGTGCAAAGCGAACCGTCTCTGCTGGATCCATCGTTCTCCGCTCGCCTCAATTATACCATAGGAGCCTTCTGAAAACCAATACAACAATGATTTGGATGTTCAGAAAATTCACTTCTGATCTCAATGGACATTGGAAAGTCGGGTCTGCCCACAAAATTGCCTCCGTCCTTGATGAAGTGTTGTTTAATGAGTTTCCAGTCGGTCACGGTCACCATTGGCAGGCTGGCCATCCAGAACGTGTAGACCGGTCCGTATTGTTCCCTTCAATTCTGGCTAGGTTTGTTATAAGAAAAAATGTATGGGAATTGATAAGAAAACGGTGGACAAACTCACTTGAGTCTTTCAAACATCTTGTATCCTGGCTTTGTTTCTTCGGTGATCAAATGCAAATTTCCGACAAGTGGCATTGGAATCGGTCCTGAAAAAAGATAGGTGTATCTCAGCTGTCTGTAGAGATATCAAAAAGTTGTCAACTGATAAAACGTGCAGAATTCTTCGATGAATATTTTATCAGTTGACAACTTTTTGATATCTCTACAAACAGCCGAGATATATATCGCGAGGGAGATGTTACGTCATCCAGACGTATAATGATTGCTATTTGATCTACGTTGATCTGTCTGCTAATTGTTTTATTAACTAATCCATAACATGTACAATTCGATACAATAAATGCCAAAAACTACACAAATTTCACAAAAAGTAGCTCACCTGGCGGTAGATTCCTTCTCTTCCAGTAGACCAAATCGAGAATGTACAAAAGGGCAAGGGCTAGCAGAATTACCACGATCATCCTGAAAACGTTTGATTTCAATGTGAAACTGTAGAAAGCAGGAAAAGTGTGTAGAATGAAAAGAAGATACTCTCTTAAATACCCGGGTAACCCAAACGGACAATCCATTTTTCGGCGACGCGACTGTAGTGCGAGAGAGCGAGAGACGCAGAGAGACGAGAGAGTGTTTGTTCGTCCCGATGATCGACTCATGACACCGTTTTTCTTGCGATTCTCTCGATTCGCACCGATTTCTCGCGGCACACAAGCACGAAAGTCACGCAGAAACCATGAAAAGGGGCGGAAATGAAGTGATAAGAGTGATTAGTGGGCACATACATCACTGCGATTACGGCCGTGTTTTGAGAAAATAACATATTTCTCGCTCGAAGCCTAATGAGGTTTTCTTGTTTTTCACCTGCTAAAAATGGCTTTTGTAATGTCTGTAACTGGCCGGCTTCAAAGGGGAAGATTGACTTTTTGAAGATAATCTCAGTCTTTTGCTTGTGTGACTCATAATATTCTGTTTCAGAAAACTACATTAAAGTACATGAGTTGTTGAGAATAATGTTCTACTTTTCATCTACGCCAAGTTGTATTATTGAAGATGATGACTTCTCACTCGTGGACAGAACAAACAGTTGGATTCCCTGAAAACTTGATCACCCCATGTTGCCAGACAACGAATGGAGCAAGAAAACGATTGGTTTTGTTTGCAAACATTCGCATTTCAAAGAAAACTATATAGCTATCGTTAATTGCATTTGGCAATTTCCGTACCGTCTGAGACACTGAAAACATTCACCATTTTCCACTCGAAATGCGTCAAGACGAGTGGGATGAGTTCCAGCACAATTGGTACCGAGTCTCGGCCGTTCTCGCCCTTCTAACCAACTCGATTCTCGTTCATTTGGTACTCTGTCACTCGCCAAAGAGTCTCGGAACCTACAAATATCTGATGGTTTGCATTTGTATCTTTGAAGTTGTGTACGAAAGTTTGGACTTGGCTGCCTCGCCGGTAGGCATTTTCGGTTTTCAAAATGATTTATTGCGGTTGCAGGACATGTACACGAAGGATTCGGCGTTTTTGGTAGTGGTCAGCGATAAGAAGTCTCCTTTTCCAGCCGCCACGTTGCTAATCATCAACTGTACGTGATAAGGTGATGCCAATTAAAACAAGCCAAGTTTTCAGTGTCCTACTGCGCTTGCTTCGGAATTTCCCTCGCCATTTTCGCTGTTCACTTTGTCTATCGATACTTGGTTATCATTGGGTAAATGCCAAATTGTTCTAAATCATCAGTGATGTGTTCAGACACAAGGAATGGATTAGACGATCATTGCGAAACATCGTTTTCTGGTTGGTGGCTCCGCTCATCTTCGGAGGCGCCTGGGTGCTCACGGCTAGAGTTTTCATCTCGCCCGAACCGTTTTTGGATGATGTGTTGAGGTAAGAACGCTCAGCTGTCTGTAGATATATCGAAAAGTTGTGTACACAATTTCACAATAAAAAGTTTATTAGTACCACGGCGACCAAACGCACGGTTTATCACCATTTTGGCGCGAAATTCGAAATTTAACCCCATTTTTCATGTTTTTCGTCAATAATTACCCAAAGTTTGTACGATTTCGGCGACGACGATGCATAATAACTTTGTTAAACTAATCATCGCGGCACTTTTTGAGCTTAAAACGAGCAGGTTTCATTCTGAAATGAATCAATTGAAACGATTTTAAGTGTTGTGCTGAAAATGTGCGAATTTCAGTCATTCGCCGATACTTTTTGCCGTTTGAACGCTTAAAATACTTGTATTAACGTGCTTAATCACTTCCGACACTCACTTCGTCTCAAAACTATCCACATCGGCCGGTATGAAAATTCCGAAATTGCGGCGGCGATTGGCCGCGGAGAGCCTATTGCGAAATATGCCAAAAACGTCTCAACGCGGCGTTTTCACTAAAATTTCAATTTTTTCTCTTTTTAATGTCTCTTCTTTCGTCGATATCAACACACAAAAATATCGGAAAAGTGTGCTGAAATTGCGGCAATTTTCAGAAAACGCGTCTCAGATTAGGCCACGCCCCTTTCTACACTTTTGGTCGCCGTGTTGAGATGACAAATTTTTGATATCTCTTCCCGCAGCTGAGATATATCGTCTTAAATGAATTACAAACTTTCAATGTTTCACAAGTCCCACTTTTATACAATTTTGCGTCAACGTTCAATCATTCTTTAATAAACCATTTTCAGAAAAGAGATGATATCGCAGTACGGGATGGGCGTGGAGAGCATCGCCTACGTCGGTCCGTACTTTTACCCGACGGACAGGAACGGAACCAAGATGGCCAATTGGAAGGCCATCCACGGAATGATTCTTTTCGTCGTCATGATTGTCACCTCGCTCTTCACAATGGTTTATTTCGGCCTCAAATCCTACGTGGCGATCAACAGCGCCGTGCCCCGTCTCTCCCAATCCGTGCGCTTCAAGAGTCTGCAGTCCCAGTTGCTCTACGCTCTGATCCTCCAAACGATCATCCCGTTGACCCTGATGCACGTGCCCATTAGTATCTGCTTCTTGATTCCCTATTTCGAGTATTCAAAAGAGGTCTTCGGGCGGTTTCTGACCATTTCGATTGCGGTCTACCCCGTTTTGGATCCGCTTCCCAACATGTTTCTGATCAAGGATTATCGGAACGTTTTGAAGAAAAGTACAGAGTTGGAGGAACGAGAAATCAAGTGGAAATGAGAATTCTTTCAGGAATGTCTATTATTATGGCAGTGCCGACGGAAGTATCGACGCTGACTTTCAGAGGGACGACACATGCTTAAAACCACTTTTCCCCTGATTTTTGTGATCAAAAGTGATAAAAAATGATACTTTGACATGAAAACACAATTATTCTTGCAATTTCCTTTCAAAATGATCTTTGCGCTCAAAGATGGGGCCTATCTCTGGAGACCGTGGTGCCCCGAAACGGAGTGCAATTCCGTCGGGCGAGTGTCTCCCGGAAGCAGTGCTCCGCCCGCAGATTGCTCCGTATGATTCGGTCCGTCCGGCCACACGAAATGCTGCTCGCGGAGCCTAATCTGTCAGTCGGAACGGGCGTCGCAAACAGTCTTTCGGCTCTGTTTGTGCTCATTTCGGCCTCTCCCTTTTGTTTATGTTTTCTCAGAGTGACCGTCCGTCTTTGCCCCCCTCCTTACTTTACTGTTTCAACTTTTCCATTTTCGATGTTCATCTTTTTTCCGGTTTATTGGTTGTTTTTGAATTGTGTTGATAAAACAGTTCCAAAGACGCCGATTGTTTCGTTCTTTCCCTCCCGCCTTCGAAATCGTTGTTTGTCTTTTCCGTATCGAATTTCCTGCTGCTTGGAGGCGCTAATTCCCTCCGGTCGCACCGAAAACGCATAGATTTTCGAAATGCTCTGAAAGTGGACCAACCCGTTTTTCACTACTGTATTTTTGTCAGTTTTTGGCGCTTCCAACGTTGCTTCTGAAACAATTGGTTAACTTTTCAAATTTTACGATTTCTGGTGTATACCACACTCTACTAGTTAATCTTTGGTAGCAATTTGTACTTTTGGACTTGGTGAAACTTGAAACGTTCGAAATTTTATCACCGTTTCTGTGTCTTCAACGTTCTGAGCATACCCTGCATTCAAAACGTTATATCTCCATTGTCAGTTGAGATATCAAACAGCTGTCAACTGACGAATTATTCAGTAAGAAATTTTCTACATTTTATCAGTTGATAACTTTTTGATATCTCTACACACATATTAGTTATGATTTTTCAAAGCTGAGTTCTCTTCTCATGTTCTTTTCTTGTTGAATCCGACCCTTTGATAACTGCTCCACGTGGAAATGTGGTCCTACCGGTTGGACAGTTGTGCTCTGTGATCTCTCGGGTTACTAAGCCGTGAGCTTACATTGTTTGGCAAGGTGCCAGCCGTTCGACACTTGCTCTCACTTTCCCAAGAAGGCAAACGACGGTGCCGAACAAATAAACAGAAATGGAGAAACAACGGGAAGACTATGTACCTGTGAATCCAATTAATTATCGAAAGATTTAGCGATGACACTTTGAACAACCTTTTGAAACTGTACTTTGAAAGTAAACATCAGAGACTTTCGTAACTTCATCACAAATCAAGAATTGATGACTATGCCCATCGACGCACATTTGACATTTGAAACTTGAAACCATTCTGAAACACTTCAAAAGTATTTACAGTTTCAGAAATTTCTCAAAGTGAAGTGCTCACCTTTGACTTCACTTTTTTACACGGTACTATCAAATTAATAATCTTGCCTCCGGTTTCCCGCCGCAACGCGACCGCTTCGCAGCTGAAAAGACCACGCCCCTTTCTGCAAGTGCCGCACATGCCATTATTTTTCTTGGAAAATACACAAATTAAAGCTACTCCTGACGGAAATTAATTGTTTTCGAGTGTTTTTAGAGTATTATCTTTGCAAGCTGATAGATTTAAACGAGATTCTGAACTTTAGTTTGTGTATTTTCCAAGAAAAATTAATTGACAGCGTGTGCACATGGCATGTGCGGCACTTGCAAAGAGGGGCGTGGTCTTTTCAGCTGCGAAGCGGTCGCGTTGCGGCGGGAAACCGGAGGCAAGATTATTAATTTGATAGTATTCGATGGGGTTATTTAGCTTTTTTTTTGTAAAACGAAAAAACGTACGCTGAATAATCCCATTATCAGGTTCACCTAGAATATGACATCCCACGTGCGCTACTTGCGAAGTGGTGCCTGTGCCGCAGTGATAGAGTTTTGGAAATTTTACATTTTCGAAAAACTGTCAGCCGCGGGTTCGAATCCCACGAAATGGAAAGTTCTTTTGCGTTGATAAATTTCATAAATGGCATAGTGCTTTCATGATGACATAATCTCAAATGACGAATTAGCAAAACACGAAAAACATTCTGAAAGAGCCCGCTCTTTCCATTCTCGATGACGTGTTCGGCGTGTTTGCGGTGCATGCGAAGAACTATCCGTCGCGGCTCGCCTCAATTAAATAATATATTTTTGAAGAGTAGACAAGTTCGTGCTCCGAGCCGCCCCTTTGCGGCCTAAACTGTCCGTATTTGTGCGCGCACACGTGTCTCTGCGTGTCCGGGGGCTCGCGCGCTCTCTCCTCGTACTCGATTCCCTCCAAGTGACCACCCGCACCCCTCTTCAACCTGAACTGCACGCAGAAAAAGACAGAGAGCGAGAGGGAGTGTGTGCCCAAATAAATACAGTCGGACGTCGGCGGATTGACTTTAGCCTCACTTTCATTTATCTTTCTTATCTTTGACCTTTTTATCAACTAGTACCACAAAAAGGGTTTCTGTTTTCCATGATCTCTCCTACTACTCTGAACTTTTGTTGAACGCCTTCCAGATTTAAACATTTTCTGTTCTATCATGCTCATATCGAGTAGCTCTTACTTCCTTCGTTGATAATTCCGGAATAATAACTCATTTATTCGCTTCGACCACCAGAAAAGATTTACAAAAGAAGAGAGGGAGATATAAATAGTGGGTGGAGGAGGGAATAATGACTAAAATGACCATTAAGCCATAGGTCAAGTAGAATACAATATACAAGAGGGAATCGTTTCTATGCGCATCGCAAAATCATTTTCCATTCCTCGTTTTCATTTATCACTTTCTGATCCGATAATAGTTTCCTGTTTCACATTTTCCTGAAAGCTCTCTCCAACTTTGTTCATTAGTCTTTCCCCTAGGTTATGAAGCTATTCAATCAATGTCAAATATGGAAAAAGAGTGCACGCGTTAGGGGGGTTTTCCAATTTTTTTGCGATATCTGAATATCTTACCGTTACATAGTGCGGATTTTATCGAAAATTGTGCGATTTACTTCAATTCTGGGCAGCATAGATCATAGTCCACTGTTTGACAAATTCCTCAACTAATTCTCTGATAGTACAATATAATTTCCAATATGATTCTCAAAAGGTGCGGTTTCCGGATTGTAGTTTTTCTGTTTCGCAATGTTCACAAATTCAGTGCGAATCTCTACATTTAATCACAATTTTTTTCTTCCTCTTCCCCAAAAATCCCTTTTTTTAGTTTCTGCTGGCTCTCGAATTCAAAACTCAGAAACACAAATGTGATAAAACCTTCGCGAAACAGTGGATCTCTCTTCATCTTTTTAAAACGTTCCCAATTTTTCGCTTAAATGATTATTTCGCCGTTTAGTCGATTTTTCCCTGATCCCTAGTCATCAGAACTGTTTGAATCTCTCTGGTCCATGAGAATCCGGTCCCCTCGGGAATCCCATGCTCAAACACATGCTCCCCAGTCGGTCCCATTCGTGCCATCGCCCTCATGTTGACCTGTTCCGCGTCCATTCTCTTTTCGTACACACCTAATCGCCTCGGCTCATCCCTTTCGCTTCGTGCTCCGCCAATACAGAAGGCTCCGCGCCTAATCTTCTTTTGTGCTCCGACCAAGAAGAAGAAGGAGAAGAAGGAGAAGAAGCATGTTCTGTTTGACCCCCTTCCCTCTGTGCTCCAAGATCGGGCACAACCTGAACATTCTTCTGAAGTTTTTAGAATGATCTCCATGAAATGATCTCTGTTTCACGAGGCCCTAAAGTTTTAGAGTGTTTTTGAACACTGATTTCACTATACAGCAAATTAGAATTGTTGTGCATTGTTGTGGTTACAGTACTTTACTTTTCTGTTTCGAAAAGGATTGTTCCGTGTTTCTTGATTCTACATTTAATTCTCTATGACGCCGAACTACCTTACAAACTTTGAAAAATCATTGATTTTTTCAAAAACAAGATACATACTCCATTTCTGCCTTTAAATAACTGGAAACATGTGGGGAATATGGGAAAAAACACAAAAAATAGAGTATTTATCTCTGTGCTCATCCAAATGCACACATTTCGTTTCTCCAACCGCCTAAGTACAGTTTTGAGGCTGCTTTGACAAACCATAACTAATATCAAAAACATGCTTCAGAGCCCCCACAAGAGCGTAAAGTTCTGCAGACCATTTCAATCGTTGATCTGTCCCATAAATAGCCGTTCCGATTGTTTTTGGAGACAATGCTCCTATTGCCTCTCAATTAAGAAACCTAATCCTCCACCAGCCTTTCCATTCCCATTTTTCGCTTCCCAAACTGTTGACCGATCGTTTTCGTTTCCCCCCGTTTCTTTTCTTTTTGCTCATTAGGAGCTCTCTGGCCTCTGTTTACCTTTTGACCGTCCACACGCACGTATACTTTTGTCGCGAATCATCTTCGGACCGAAACAAAACGGGGACTGCGGAGCGCGCAGACAATGGAATTGCACACAAAAACGGGCGAGCGAGAAACGACACACTTTTGGGGGGCAAACTCGCTCTTCGTCCGGGGATGAGCCCCTTGTCGAACATTGTTTCCAAAACATGACTGTCTCCCTTCTCAGAAAGGTACTTCACACGGGGGAACGGTAATCGATAGTGGGCCCCCGGGAGGCGATTAGAGTTCGGCTTCGGCTCCGTATCCGTTTTTTGTTTGAGCACGCGTCTCGTTGCTTCTCCATTCCGCCCATGTCACTGATTAGCCCCCTCTTCTTCTTCTTCTTCTTCTTCTTCTTCTTCTTCTTCTTCTTCTTCTTCTTCGCACCTCCACTTTTGAGACTGCGTTTCACCGTTTCAAAAAAATGTCAAAGTTTGTGTACGTTTTGAAAGAACAGTAAGAGATGCAATATTTTTGGGGCACCGTACAGAAAGGGCGCTGTTCACAATCACGCCGAATTTCTAGGCCGCGAAGTAATTTTCTACTGAAAACGTGGCCTAACTTTTCAAACTCGGCCCCGAGGTCGCTCAATTTGCCACTGCAAAAAGAGTTTGTCGACAGAGCGCCAATTCTGTGCGGTGCCCCTATAATACTCGAATGTCTTCCAGTTGAAACTCTGCCTGCTCATAGCCGAGTCCCGAGGTGTCTTATCATAATCGAAACGTTTTTTCTTTGTAAAATGAAACTCATGATATCTAGTATTTCATTTTTTCAGTCGGAAGACAACTGTAGCTCTAAAATCTCAAAGTACGTCCATAGTGATAATCACTTCAAAAAGTTGTCGACTAGAGCAATGAAGTTAGAGATACAGTACTTTCAAACTTTTGTAGACTCCTCATAAGATTTAGGTGCGGCACCATAAACATGGCTTACCTCAGTGCTAGAGCATCCGAGAGTGCGTCTGACGCAGTGGTAGTGTTTTGGAATTTTACACCGACTTCCGTGGGTTCGAATCCGACACAGTGATAACCATTTTTGCGTTGACAAAGCTTACTATTATCGCACTTTTTGAGTCTTTTCTCAAGCCTTCGACCTGACAGACCTGACTTTTTCAATCTGTTTTTGACATCTCATAAGTTTCAGTTAGCTTTCTAGATCTTTTAATACGCCGCATCATCGGTTATTTGAATAGAAAACTAGACTTCTTCCCGACCAGGGTGAGCTCTCGAGACTGAATTCCCGCGAATTGCCGGAAAAAGTGATGAGAGAACTTCCCGAGAAGCGCTTTCCCGAGAAGTGTGAAGACTTGTCGTTCCCGGGAACGGGAAGTCCTTTAGACTTCCCGTTACCAAGAGTCTCGGTACCGAGAAGTCTTCAGTGTCCTCGTCACCGAGAAATTACGAGAAGTCTGTGTTGAAGGGCTTTTTCAGCCTGAAACAGCCTGAAATCAGGCTGAAACCGGTTTTTTTGTGGAAATAAATGTTTTTTTATTTAATTAAAAAAAATTAAAAAAATAAAAAAAGCAGAAAAAAATAAACAACAAATTAAAATTTTTAAAAAATTTAAAAATAAAATTAATTAAAAAAATACATTTAAAGTTGTTTTTTTAATTTTTTTAATTAAAAAAAAATTTTTGTTCCACAAAAAAAGCAGTTTCAGCACTTCAACACAGACTTCTCGCAATTTCTCGGTGGCGATTCCGAGACTTAATAATAACACATTTATTCTCTTCAGCCACCTAGGAATAAAATTAACAACAACAAAAAAGAAAGAAGAGAAAAAGAGGGGGAATCTCCTCAGGTAAAATTTCAAACTTTTCTTGGCTATTTTCAAACTTTTCCAGGCGCCACCTAAGAAATTCTTGGAAAAGTTTGAGAATTGCTTAGAAAAGTTTCAGAAAGTTTGAAATAATTTCGGCTAGAAAAAGTTTAAGAATTTCTGGAAAAAGTCTGAGAATTTCTTGAAAAAGTTTAAGAAAAGCTTAGAAAAGTTTTTAGTGCTTCAGAAAGTTTGAAAAGGTCTTGGAAACGTTTTTTGTCTTTAGAAAGTTTGAGAATGTCTTCAGACGAGCCAAGAAAAGTTTGAAATTTTACCTGAGAAATCTTACCGATCGGTAGTCTAAAGACTTCCCGGTACCGACTACTACCGAGACTCTTGGTACCGGGAGGTCTAAAGGACTTCCCGTTCCCGGGAACGACAAGTCTTCACACTTCTCGGTACCGACGCTTCTCGGGAAGTTCTCCCATTACTTTTCCCGGCAATTCCCGGGACTTCAGTCTCGGCAGCTCACCCTGTTCCCGACTACTGAAAATTGAGTTTATTTTATTCCGAATCTCCTCCTCGTTTTCTATTTCCGTTTCACTCACACTTTACATTTGCCGTTTCTTCTCCGTCACAATTATCTCCGATTCATAGGGTAATATTACAGTAATCCAACCCGCCAATCCTCTTCATCATCATCCCTTTATCAAGTTCACATGACCACCACACAATGACGAGACATCGACGTCGTTGCCCGGTCATTTTGCTCATTTCTCTGCTGCTGCTGCTCAGTCCGGAAATCTCCGCCCAGAATGTGATCGATCAGCCGATTGCTTCCAATTACGCGCCCGTTCTGCAAGTCTCCTCCACCGAGGGCTTCCTGGCCGAGACGGCGCAGATCGGAACGACTGTCCGGGTCTCGCCGAACATGCAGTCCGAGTCACTTCAGATTCTTGTCAATGATGATGATTTGGTGAGTACATCTTATAAAAGAGCAGAGATTGGCGAACAATTAATCGAGAGTTTTTAAGTCAAAGTAATGAAACACAAATTGCACATTTTCTCATCACTTTTTCAGCAACCGGGAATGCCACCGGCCACGTATCAGTACATCCTAACCGGTCTCGGCGCCACGATATTCGCGGTCGACCAACGGGGATACGTCTACTTGAACGTTCCGAAGATCGACGCGGATCCACCAAATCCATCCACTTATCAGTTGAACGTAAGTTATTTCTCAATCAAACACTTCAATTCAATTTCAAATGATCGCAGGTAGAAGCCCGTGAAGTGAACACTCTTCCGACGCGACGCAGTGAACCCGTGACGATCACCATCCACATTCTGGATGTGAACGACAACGCGCCGCAGTTCGAGCAGCCCATCTACATGGCGAATACGACGGCGAAGGGCGAAGAACGGGACGTCGTGAAGGTCGTGGCCACTGACGTCGATTCTGGAGCATTCGGACAAGTCACCTACTCGATTGCTCAGGTGTGTGCAGGTTTTCTAAGCGGAAAAATATAAACAAATATCTAGAGGCATTATAATTGTTGTTAACACAATGAAACGGTGAAAATGCTGCCGTTCTATGATGATAAACCCAATTTGCAGGTGACGAACGGAGCGGAAGACAAGTTCCGATACGAAGCGGCGACGAACATGCTTCTGGCGGTAGGCGATCTGGTGCCGGGAGAGAGATACCAGGTGGTGATCGAGGCGGAGGACGGCGGCGGAAAGATCGCGCAGGCAATCGTCATCGTGCTCGCCATGGATCCCTCCCAACAGACATTCAGCTCACTGGCACCTCTTCCCGGAATGGAGACGTTCGTTCCGAATCCATTGGCCATGGCGACGACGCCAGGGACGATGGTGACCAGTGCGGAATCCGAAGAAACGATTCAGACGTTCGTGACGGAAGTGAACGAGAACACGCCGCCGAACACGGTGGTAGTGTCGCTCGGAGGAGACGATCCCAGCCAACTGACATACTTCAATATTGTCGGAGGAAACGAGGAGGGCAAGTTTGCCATCGACAACGAGTGAGTTCAACAACAAAGGTATCTCTGAGAAACCATTTGCAGAGGGACCATAGTGACAGCGGACGAGTTGGACCGTGAAAAGACGGCCATGTACTCGCTGCAGGTGGAGACGAGATCCCGCAATCCGGACCAGCACCTCTACTGGACACTCGTCCAAGTGACCGTGATGGACGTCAACGACAACGCGCCCACGTTCACCGATCCGCAGCCGATCCGTCTCCGGCTGAGCATCGACGACATTGAACAATTGAGTGCGAACATGATAATCGGAAAGATCGGAGTGGAGGACGTCGATGCGGACGACAACGGACGGCTCGAGCTGAGGATCATGCCGCCGCACAACAAGTTGTTCGCCATTTCGAACGAGGGCATTCTGAGCGTGAACGGCGACTTCACATCCGCTCATTTCGGAGAGCACGACCTGACCATAGTGGCCAGGGACCACGGGGAACCGTCTTTGGAGACGAGGGCCCGAGTGCAGATCTCCATTTTCGGAACGCTTATTACAATGGCTACAGTTGCACCGACGGTTAGTTTCAGTTCAGTTTCAGTTTCAAATTGAGCATAACTTTACAGAACGAGGTGTTCGAGTACACGTCGAGTGTGGAAGAGGAGCCGCCGACGGGCACTCCGGACGACTACCTGCAGACGGTCACCGCGTCCCCATCGACCAGGAACCAGGTGCCGCAGCAGGTGTTCTCCTCGTTCCCGGCGCCAGGCGACAAGAGTCCGCAGACGTCGGCGCCCGAGTTCCCGCAGTTTCCCACATTCCCCACACTCAGTCCACATCCTCAGGTGAGCCTGCATTCAACCTTTTTTACAGCTTCAATATGTTCATTTGTAAACATTTTCCGAATTATTTTGTTATTTGTCGTAACTTTCCCGCAACGCTTATTTTCAGACACAAATCACCGCTTTTTCAGTTCCTTTCCCCCCTTTTTGTTTCTTTCCTCTCAGTTTTCGTTTCCCATTCATTCGTGTTCAGATCGACGAGGAAAACGAGGAGGAAGAAGAAGAGTATCCGGAAGCGCCGCCGCCGCCGCCGCCTACAGTACCCCGTCAGCCGGCTACCGTACCACCCGACTACTCGGACGAGTACGGTCAGCAGCCAGAGGCGAGTAGCACGCGAGAGCCCGAGAATGAGAGCACATCCATCGAAAGCGCACTTGAGACGGCGACTGATGAGCCCGAACCTGAACCTGAACCCGAACAAGTTTTCACTGAAAATCCATTTGCACCACTGCCCGAATCTTCATCCGAAACGGTTCCGTCGGAGTCGTCGGAGCCATCGGAGCCATCGGAACCGTCGGAGCACCTCGAAACGACAGTACCTGAACCCTCATTCACAGAGCCCCCGAGCACTTCCACAGAGCACTGGCCAGAAGAGATCACGACGGCAGAATCGACGATTCAAGAGGAAATGTGGCCGGAAGAGGAAGAAACGACGAGTCAGGTAGAGAGCATGAGCATCTGAGCATCTGAGCACTTTCCCCCCCGGTACTAACTGCATATATGGGTTCAAGAAATGACACGTGGAATATGAAATACTATGCTTGTTTTGCTTGTACGGGAGAGATGCAAGTGCGCTCTGTTGACAATCGATATATCGTGAAGGCGTTCTAATGAATTCGAAAAAGTCCAGAACTCACTTGCATGCCCATCCTCCTTTTTCTCTCTTATCTTTTTAGTTCCAGGAGCTCCCCTCGCCGACCACCAAAATGGCTCCGCCGGCCACAACTCAAGCCCCGCCCCCTCCGGCTCCTGCTCCAAAACGTCTTGCTCCAGTGTTCAAGCCGGCTCAAATCACGGTGCAAATCGACGAAAACGAGTCGCAAGTGGAGATCACAAAGGCGCATGCCACGTATCCGGACGGTCTCCCGGGCACGATCACCTACGTCCTGCACAAGGGAGATCCGTCGCTTTTCTCGGTCTCCTCCTACTCGGGATCCATCAATTTGCTGAAACCACTGGACGCGGAGGCCAACGCGACCGTCACCATCCAGGTCTCCACTTCAGAGGCGCAGATGATGGAGGTCGACCCGAAACTCGCGCATTTTGTCAGCATCACCATCAACGTCGCCGACAAAAACGATTGGATTCCGAACTTTGAGAGCAGCTCGTACGAGTTTGACGTCAAAGAAGACACGCTTCCGGGCACGATTGTCGGACAAGTCAACGCGTTCGATCAGGACAGAGATGTACAGTAACCCCCTTCCCCCCACCCAAACTACAGTAATGCCTCTTTCGTTGCAGGACCCGAACAATCGCATCAGGTACCGATTGCTTTCCGCCGGAGGTCTCGAGGCGCATTTCAATGTGAACGCCGAAAGCGGACTCATCACCCTGGCCAGACCGATCGACGCATTTGCCGGCGAGAAGATTACGGTAGGAGTACGGTTGGGTACTGTAGACTGACAGTTTCGTATTTCAGTTGAGGATAGAGGGAGCTGACAGCGGAATGCCGCCGCTTTCCTCGACAACTACCGTACTCATCAACGTGGTCGCCACGTCATCCCATCTAATTCCGGATGCGTCGCCCGTTTCGAACACTCCGAACGAGGGAGAACTGCAGTTCAGTCTGAGGAATTACACGTGAGTTCAACGATCCCACAATATCAAAGAGTTGCCCATTCTCAGTGCATCCGTGTCGGAAGCCGTCCGTCCGCCGCATCTCGTTCAAGTATTATCCGTCATGAACAAACCCACCGACACTCGCTTCATCATCTGTAATATTGTGTCTGGAAACTATCGAGGAGCGTTCGGAGTGACTGCTGGCAACGACGGAAACTGCGAACTGAGGACTCAGATGGAACTGGATCGCGAGACTGTCGAGAGGTAAATCAATTCGCTCGCACTGTCTTCTAAAACGCGCTTGCCACTTTCAGATACCTTCTGAACGTGACCGTAACCGCCGGCACCCAGACCGACTACGCTCTCGTCTCGATCACAGTGCTCGATGTGAACGACAACGTGCCTCGGTTCGTCTATGACTCGGATCTCGGCCTGACCACCTACTTCGGAGCGGTCTCTTCGGTCGCCAATGCTTTCACGAGGGTCCTCACTGTCAAGGTTCGGGATTTAAAGTATTCAGTCTTCTCAAAACCTTCTTTTCCAGGCTGAAGACGCGGATCTCGGCAACAGCAGTCTCGTGAATTACGCGTTGGACCCGTTGTCGGCGCACTCCAAGTACTTCTCGATCAGTCCGTTCGGCGAGATCAGCACAAAACAGAGCATGACGACAATTCTGAGCAGGAACCGATTGCAGTTCTTCGAGTTCCGAGTGTCCGCCTGCGACTCTCCGATCTCCGGACAGCAGTTGTGCTCGAAAGCGGACGTGGTGGTGAATGTGATCAGTTCGACGAACCGATTCAAGATGATCATCTACGGATTGAACCCGCAGCAGCTGAAGAAGCACGAGAAGGACCTCGTGAAGTCGATCCGACAGTTCACGGGCAGCTGCAACCTTCTGACCATCGAGAAGATGATCGAACACACGGCCATTGAGAATCAGGTACGTTATAGAAGTTCGCAATGAAATTCGAAAATGTCGCTGGCTAATAAGCAGTTGTTGGAACTGTAGTTTTCTCGAAAGTTGATATTGCAACAAGTGATGTGTGTTTTATTTTTCAGATTCGAACGGATATCTACTGGTACTCAGTGAATCCGACGACTAAGAAGATTTGCAAGAAGCAGGACATTCGGAAACTGTTCGAGGCTCCCAACGTTCAGTTGATCGCCGGAAAAGTGCAGCCGTGGTTCCGATTGGAGAGGATTTCAGAGGATGTGAGTGGAATGGTTCTAAGGAATTATTCCAACAAAATGCACTCTATGAAGTTAACAAGGTGAAACTGAGATAATCCTCTGATTTCAGGCGGGCGACGACGGAAGTCTGTCCTCGGGAGGCATCCTCTCGACCAACTGGAAGACCTCCAACATCTTGCTCATCATCCTCGCCGTCACAGTCGCTCTCGGCGCCATCATCGGAATCTGCGCCGTCTGCGTCTTCTGGAACCGCTACAAAGCGGCCCAGCGCAATGCGAGCAACTTCTCGCACTCGTACCCGCAGAAGCTCGGACCGATTTATCATCCGAACATGGGCGTGGATCCGCGGACCGAGTACGACTACGAGACGCAGAACGTGAACATGCTCATTTCGGACGAGGATCTGACGATGAAGAGCGGCTCGATCGGAGTGCCGGCGCACCAGAGAATGGGCGGAATGCCGATGGGCATGGGCGGTCCGCAGATGAACGGAGGAGGTCCTCCGATTGGCGGCGGAGGCGGCAATCAGAGCTACAGGACGTACGGATATCGGCCCGCGCAGAGCACCGCGTACGAGGGAGATTTCAGGTAATTACAGAAGATTCTAGAAATTGAATTCGGCTAGAGAATACGTCAAAACTGCAACTGCAGCGAATTCAGAGCTTAACCAGTGGCGTTCATGAGTACCTTTTCCATAAAATTATCGTAAAATAAGGAGAAAGCGGAGCTCAAAAATATATCATAATGAAATAATGCGTCGGCTGAAACGGTAACGTATGAATTTCAGCATAGAAGAGTCGATGTACGCGATAAACCCGTCGGGCCGGCTGGATCCAGTCACCAAGTAAGCCTTTCTCTTCCCTTTTCGTCCCCAAACTTTCCCCTTCGTTTCTCTCTTTTTCTCTCTCATTCGAATCCATTTCAGTCGAGTAATTCTGCCGTCGAATTTACCGCGAACCACAAGTAAGAGACCAGTAACTTCTGTTTCTGTTTCCCTATCTCTCTCGCTTTCTAACTCTTTTCTTTTCGGTTTCAACATTCTGTTATCTCGGTTAACTATTCGGACTTTAAAGATTTACTCATGGCCATAAGTTCTCAACTGCTTTAAAAAATCGCTGCTTCTCCTCTATATCCCAATACCGTACATTCAAGACGATTTATCTCGGCTGTCTGTGGAGACATTGAAAAGTTGTCAACTAATTACTTGTTCAGCAACATATTTTGTACATTCTATCAGTTGACAACTTTCTAATATCTCTGCATACAGCTGAGATACATTGCTTTGAAAGTCTGGTATTGGTGGTTCGACCGTACCCAACCAATCGTTTCACTTTCAGACGTATACAGACCATCGTAATCCCGACGCCCGACTACCATCAACGTACTCATCCGAATCAGCACAAAAGTATACTCTAATCCGACCCATTTCCTCACTTTTTCTTCCACAGAATCTCATTTTTCCCCCCTCTTTTCCCTCTTCTTTCTCTGTTTTCCATCGCTCAATTGTCTCCCAGAATTCCTTGTGAAAATAGGTGCTCAACCTGCTCTCGTTTTCTTTTTTTCGTTTCTCTACCCACCCCCAAACCAATCATTTGCCAGTGACCATCACGTTTTCCGCCGTTTCAGCGACTTTCAGAGACATATATATATATTTATTTAACTGATTGAAACGGTGTATTTTTATGTTTGAAATGTTTATCTATTTATTTGTATTAACATTGAACAGTTTGTATAACAAAGAAAATGAAAAAGTGTAACTAAAAGTTATGACACGAAATGACAGCACTGAATGAAGCATTCATGAGAAAAAGCAACACAGAGCATGGGACCAAGTGCCATTCCGGAATACTTTCAGTGATTTTATACAGACGTAGGTGCCGGTATCATTAGTCGTTACTGTTGTATTCTGCTCGTGCGTTGCAATAGAAACATATAACACATATTGGAAAAACTGTCTATCTCAGATGTCTGTAGAGATGTCAAAAAGTGGTCAACTGATTAACTGTGCAGAATATTTTCATCAACATTTTATCAGTTGACACCTTTTTGATATCTCTCCCAGCAGCTGAGATACATCGTTTTGAATGAACGGTATTATCCAAACTTTCGCTGTTTCACAAATCCCTCTTACTTTCACAGTTTTCAGCACAATAGAAATAATAGTGCAAATCGTTTTATTAACTGACTGAGTTCGTTTGTATCATAAATACACACCTTGTAATATCGATATCATTATTTGTTTGTTATTCGAGTACTTCAAATGGCATTTCGGAGTGTCTGACATGCTTCCAACAGGTCCACAATCTCTTCGATTTCCTCTTGAAGCTGTTCGTAACGCGAATTGAGCACCGCCATTGTGTTCAGGTTGCACGATACTTCTACAATAGAATCGAGTGATCAGATCTGAAGGACATGAAACAGTGGCGGCTTACCGTTGTCATCGAACCGTTTCGCAGCGAGATGGTAGTAATGGGCGGGCGTTCTCCCCACCAGAACTGCTCCGGCACTTCGTTTTCCGGCTGACGGACGCAGAGATGCTCTGAAAAAAGGAAGAGAACTTTTCGAATCTAGAACTGCTCTATAATAATTGAATTGTTCGAATAGACTGTCTCGTTTTAATATAAACCTTATGAAACTGCACTGCAACGAAATTTTGAACTGTTTCAGAATACTTATATAAGGGGAGCTTCAATTCGAATTTGTTCAAATATTACTGATCGATTGATTTATTTATTTATTTATTTACGTTTATTTTTAACGTGGAGAAGAGAGAGAGAGAGGAGAAAAAAGGGGGAGGGGATGAGGGGATTATACGATACTTAGATACTTAGATATTATACGGGCACCGCACAGAAATGGCGCTCTGTCGACAAACTCTTTTTGCAGTGGCGAATTGAGCGACCTCGGGGCCGAGTTTGAAAAGTTAGGCCACGTTTTCAGTGGAAAATTACTTCGTGGTCTAGAAATTCGGCCAGATTGCGAGAACAGCGCGCCCTTTTGTTCACTTTATAAGTACACTTTCTTAAGAACGCTTCAATTACATTGCAAACTCAGCAGTACCCGACGGATTTTTTTCTTATTATTTTACTTGATTGGTATTAAGACTTGTGGAGCCTATGAAACAGTAATTTTTATTATCATTGTTAACAAACGCTCATTCGGAACTTGCATTCTTTTCCGTTTCAAAATGCTCTCATATGATATTAGTACCGTTTCTAACGTTCGTATGCGGTAGTACAGCGGTTCTCAAAACTAGTTTTTAATTCAAAGTTCACAAACCTGCCGGTGGCCAGATTGGCATTGCAGACGGCGATGAGCAGAAGGGCGATGAGCACGAACGATCGAGCGGTAGACATGCTTCCGATGACGGATTGAAACAAGGCGGAACGGGGGACCCTGGAAGCGATTTATACGAAACAGATCAAGTGGGAGGAGGTGTCCGAAGGGCTTCCGGGTCAAAACAACATACGATCGAAACACGCGAAGCCTTAAAGTATGAATTCGTATCCGAAATGAAGTGAAATCCTATTTGTGGCTGCATTTCGGATTTATTACGTAGAAATGGGCAGACAATAAGGAAGTGATGTTATGAGTGCAAAGGGATTCTAATAAAAAAATAACAAAAAAGAATCAAAAGTATGCGACAATTAAAGACAACTTATTTTCTACTCGAAACGGAAATGTTTACTCTGCACGTAAAAAGAAGGACACTTTGAAAAGTATTCATAATTCTATAAATGGTCATCATTTCGGGGTCAAATTAAAAGTAGCCAGAGCTCGAGTGTTTTTGTTTACCCTCTCCGCCTCCCCTACTGTTTTTCATTTATTTATAGACAGAAATGCTCAAAAAACTTATTTTTCAGTGTAAAACTAGTGATTATCGAGAATCCAAAGTGCGTGAAAACTTGTGAATAGTGTGAAACTCAGAAGCTTTCTTACTATTCTTCAGTCTTCCAAAAGGAATTCACCTGGCCTCCGAGTAAGACACCCTGTCTACGTCAATTGTTATGACTCAAATTACGAGGAAAACGTGAGCACGAACTTTAGACTTTCACCCATTCGGACAGCTGAGCCGGAAATGGAAAGCTTCAGTGACGTACTCCTCCAACTGGAAATCTTCGATCGATAGAAGCGGATAGAGTCAGTCTTTAGAAGGGGAGTGAGCGCATTAATAAATTAGTGCAAAAGTTAATAATGTTTCGGAAACAGTGAACCTTAAGATTCCAGATGTTTCTAAAGCGGTCACTTCGGAAGTACTTGAATTGAACTGCAAGCGTTTCCAGCTGGCATTTCTTTTTCCGTGACGGTGCAGTGAGTCAGTAGCTAGGAGATCATTGCGTTACGTTTTATGAAAATGATAGCGAAACTTTGAAACAGAACTGTGAAATATGTCGAAACTTTGCATTTTAACGATGAAGACGTTCGTTTTAATAACGTTTTCTAAACCTTAACGGAAGAATGTGTTAGGGAATCTTCCCTGTGAACAAATAACAGATCAAAGTACCGCTTAAAATAAACTGAACTCAGCCAAATAAACCTTATGAAACAGTGATCCCAAATTTCATTTCAACACAACCAATTCGTGCTGTTCGTCATTTAAAAGTACAAATCTCTCACCATTTTTTTGACATGGAAGAAATGGAAACTTTTGTGTAGATTAGATTTGTGTGGCAGTTGAAAAAAGCTAACAGATCAAGTTTTTTTAGAATCGCAAACGTTTCACCAAAAATGTCGGTTACTGTTTCATCCAGCCAGTATAACCGAACCGAAGAGAGATTTGGATTATCCATTTAATATAGCGATCGTTTTAACCATAAAATCAGAAAAAAAATCCCTAAATTCTGACGTTTTCTTATCAAAGAAGTCAACGTAAAGTGAGTGCTGGCGCTCCGCTTATATTGGCCGGTGCTCTCCGATCGTGGGGGCTCTTTCGTCAACCAATGGCTCCGCCTCTTTTTGCACCTGTTCTGTGCCCCGGATTCGGTTGGTGGGCGCTGCTTTGCAGTTGAAGTATCAGTGATATCAGGCGGCGTCATATGAAATGATCTGAAAAACAGAGGCGCGATTCGTCACTTCACTTCCGAGGGCCTCCTGAAACTTGAAGATTTTGCAGTTATTCTGGGACCGCGCGTTTTGGAGTAAAATGTGTATTTGACACGTAAAGAGGGGGCGGGGCTAAACAGCAGAGATACGGTAGATGAAACGGGGTTTCTGGATTATGGAACAAGGAAAAGCAATATGAAAAGTACACAGTAGGCCTTATTTATCAACGAGTACGGATTCGGGAATCTGCGACGCTTCCACACGATTCTGGCTCGGATAGTAGACTTGGAACGCGTAGTCGTTGCTCGAAAAAGAGCCCGGATTCGAGACGATCGTGCCGATTCCGTTGAACTTTTCGATAAACGAATCAAAGTGATCGGCGGTGATCAGAAGGTCCGGGAGGGGGTGGAGGGCGAGCGAGTGCGAGAAATCGGGCAAGACTGGCACGATGTTCGGTGGCAGCGGGCACAGATGCGCCTGGAATGGGTGGAATCTCAGGTTACGTGAGGATGTGGTGTTTTTTGAAAATCACTACTGAACACCTGAATCAGTATTTAGCTCAAATCTATAGCATAATTTCTATTTTCGTCTCGTTTTCAGCCGTTACCTGACTGAGAACGCTCTTCGCAAATCGCTTCGGAATCGTCGTCTCGTCCACAATTTCGTTTATCGCGTGTCTGAAACAGAACGACTTCAAACTTCAAGTCCTGTGTATTTCTGCGAATTTCTGATAAATGTACGATTAATTGACGGCTTTTCACCTGTTTCGTACTCATTTCCCATTCAAATTAGTCTGTGAAAGCGGCGAGAGGGTGAAAAGTGATGAGAGGGCGCAGAGTGTTCGTACCTGCACATTTTCTTGATCATGTTCGCTCGGAAAACGACAATTTCGAGGCTGGCGAACTGGATTCTGCACGGATTCGAGGCGAAAGTGCACGAAATGATCGGGGAGACGTGCTTGAAGAGAAGGGACGGAAGATGGGGGCGGGGGAGGACCGTATCCACGAACGGGTCGTCGGGTCCCGGCACGAAAATGAACTGCGTCTTCGCGTACTCGTTTTTGAGCGAGGACAGCTGATTGGCCAGCCATCGGAATCCCCTGTCGAGCAGATCGATGGTATCCGTTTGTCTGGGTCTCGAACAGAAATTTCCGCAGAGAATAATGGCCACTGGCGGCTGATCTTTATAGCCTTTTAGCAGTTCGAACAGTGCTTTCATCACCTGAAAATTGAGTTTTGGGGAAGAAATTTGGATGATTTCTGACCATTTTATCATCGAAAAACACTTCGGAAAGGAAGATTATCGAAGTTTCTTCCTGCTTTTGAAGGGCTGTCCGCAGACGATCACTGCATCGGAAAGCGATCTAAATCTCGAGAATTTCCAGAAGATTTTCCATTTTCTAACCTTATCCTCTCCGCCGAACCAATTCTCGTTCGAACTGAGCTCTTTCCGGGTGATCTCTGCCGATTCCATGGGCACTTGGGCCACCTCGTTCACTGTCAGCACTCCGTTCTCGAACATTCCCTCAAAAATCGCGATAGAATGTTCGTGGAACAGAGCTTCGTGGAATTTTGTGCCGGGACTGCAAATTTTTGCGATTTTCCGTCTGGTAAGCGGCTGCTGGATCCCTACTTTTGCTCGTTTTTCGGTTTGAACGCCACCTCGATCGACCCGGTCAGATCTTCGACGTGGAAACAGTCGGCCTTCGGCTGGGTGAGCATTCCGAGCACCACCACCGAATCGATCGTTTTGTTGAGACCGAGAATCTCGCAAGTCGTAAATTTGATGTTTTTTAGAGACGCACAACGTTCGGCGCGCTGGAAAACACCGAAAATTACTCGATTTTCCAGTGAATTTACCTGTTGAACCAAGAGAAATCGTTGTCTCGTGGCGTGGGAAAACGAGAAAGTTTCGGCGGCCAAGCTCGTTTTTTCTTTCCTAAAAACGTCATTTTTTAGAAAAAAAAATTAGTGAATGAAAACCTCAAAATCATTTTTTTCATTTCGGGATAATAGTCATAGGGCGGTAGGGAGAAAGCGTCGAAAACGTTGAGCAATCGGCCACTGAAAACGGGTGTTCTTCAAAATTAATTTTAAAAACGAACGCGTCGGTGGGTCCCTTCGACTTGCACTGTCGGAAAGTGTCTTTGATGAGCTCTTCGCTGATCAGAGATGATTGCACTGAAAAAGTGCATTTATTTTCAGGTTTTCCGAACAATCCCATGCGTACAAGTCTGCTTTTTGAGCATTTCGATCATTTTGTTCATCCATTTCTTTCTCGTCTCCTGATCATGATCCAGAAACAGTTTTACACACAATTTGACCGCTTCTCTGCAGAAAACAAAAAACTTTCCACCCGAAACTCTGTTTTCTCACTTTTTCAGTTCAAATGCGTGTATTTGAAACGATCGGACAATTTCGCGACGGAGCGCATTTTCATCGACCGAAGAACTCATTTTCCTAAAGATTTGGCAGTTTGAAACACAGAAGACAGATCAGAAATTGCACGGCACGCAAACCAAACCAAAACACAATTCACACATCACGAAACACCGAGAAGTACTTGAAATTGGAGCCAGATTTAAATTAATCCGAAGTAATTAATTTATTAACTTTCAGGTTCAGAGCAGTACAGAAATCTTTGAGAGACATTTCAAAAAGTTTGTGGGGGGAATTGAATTTTTTTGAAAGAGGAGCAGGATGAAGTTCAAAATCCATGTACAAGTGAGATTTATGAATGGAAATGGAGGAAATCTATTGATTTTCAATCTGTGGACGCATTCGCCGTTCACATCGGACGGAATTGCTGCGGCGGACGGGGCATCATCGGCGGCATTCCTGGCGGTCCTCCCATGCCCATTGATGGTCCCGGAAACGGCATCTGCAAAATAATGATGATACTAGAGCGTTCGGATGATTTTATATTTCACTTACCCCTGGAAATCCCACTGCCGGTCCTGGGAACGGTCTCGGGGCCATGGCCATTGGCATTCCGGGCGGACCGCCCATCATCGGATGATGGCCGACCGGCGGCACTGGAGCCATTCCCATCGTCGTACGTGGCACTGCTCCTTGCATCTGAAAACATACAAGTTTAGTTAAATTTTTTCCAAAATAGAGGTTGGGGTCGAAAAAATCGAAAAAAAAACAAACCCGATTGGTTGCAAACGCCCTGGCGGTCTGATCGACAAGCTTCTGAGCCTGATCCTCCATCCACTTCTGGTAGAACATTCGCACGTTATCCTTGTGCTTTCTTCCTCCGTTGTGCGTTTTTCGCACCGACGGAGAGTCGTGCGTTAAAAACGTGTCGCAATAGTCACAGTAGTACTTTGGCATGCTGAAAATGTTTGACAATGAATGGGAAACGTGAAAGAGAGAATATGCGAAGAAACTGAGAAAATCGATGGGAAAAGACGAAGAATTTTCGAAAAAGGAACCCGGCGCGTCACGAGAAATGCGCCAGTGTTGCGAAGAACACGCAAACGGGGTTGATTGACGCGTTTGCAGTGAACGCAGAAATTGATTTGCGGGAGTTTGAATTTGGATGAACCTCTCTCGATAGAGAAGAGTGGATATGACTGCCTGTCTTGTGAATGAAGGAGGCCACTTTCTCACAAAAATACTGCAAGTAGGCGGAGTTTGGTAAACATCTTCACGAAGAATGCATTGATTTTATTGATTTTCAATCCAAGAGTACAGAAAAAGAACCCGTAAATATGTTTGGAGAAGCGAAAGATCGTGAAAGGATAACTACAAGCATGAAAATTGAGCAAATTCTTTAGGACAAGGTGATAAATACAAAAAATCTAAGCATTATGCACGAATTCTAACCGATTCTTCTAGCCAAGTCGGAATTTTGAGCCGGTTTTTGCGTAGGAACTTGTAAAGGGCCGAATTGTCGAGTGCGAAGATCTTGTCGAGTTTCAGCCGCAGACTTTCACTCATTTCTGGATATTTTCGGCCTTTGCTCTCCCCGAGACACTTGGTTTTCCCGTCCGTAAATCGGCAATGAAAGCCCTTGGAGGGACTGAATCGGATGTGGGTCTCAAACGGAAATTCGGGCAGATCGAGCCATTTGGACAAGGAATTGAGCACCTGGAAAAGAAAAAGAGTTTCTAAATGTTTGATTCTGAATTGTTGCCTGCGCGGGTTGCTCTTTAAGCTCATCCGAATCGAGAAAGAGCATTTGCGTGAGGGAAAAGTGCTCGAGCCATTTGTCCAAGTGGTGCACGTACCGCCCGCCGGACACACTTCTCTGCCGAATCTTCCGCCACGTGGCATCCGAACTGTCCAGAATGGCTTCCAGAGAACCGGCCGACACGGCTGACGGATCTTTGTGCGCGAGCAGGTGCTGAAAAATGAGTTTTACTGAAAATACGAGGAACGATAGGTACTTGAAACCAGGAATAGGCTCTTTGTGACGGATTCTGAAGGATGACGACGAGTTTGGCGTTCGGAACCAACGACGCCGCCTGCTTCGGAGCAGTCGGATTGTCAAAGTACGTGGCGCTCTTCTCGAATATTATAGAGGCGTTTCGGAAGTTGGACAGGTACCACTCGATTCCGTTTAAGTAATTGGCTCCGCCGAAGAACTGAACCTCTTCGAAACTTCCGGGAATCGGAGAGTTCTGCGAGACGTTCGGATGGAGGGAAAGAAAGTTGGCGAGGGCTGTGGAGCCTGAAATCCGGAGTTTAATATCGATTTTCAGTCTGAGACCTGCTTACCAGTCTTCTGAGGACCCAATATCAACAGATTTGGCAATGTCATGTTCGTGCAGTTGATGGTCGGCGGAAGAATGGCTTTGTGGCGTGAATCTGTGCATGGGTTCTAAAAACGTTTTATCAAATTGTTTCATTTCTGCAATCTTACAGTCCACAATGGCGTTTTTTCGTCGGCAAACTTCTCAAAGTACATCCGAGCCGAGTCGACGGGACTCTGCCATTTCAGCCGAATATTCGTCCAACACTTCAGAAAACGAAACAGATTTTCGAAAGTGTAAAGGGCGAGACGGTCGTGCGCGTAGTTCTGCTGATGCGTCATGAAGATTGAGATCTGAAAGGAAAACTGACATAACTGACACAACAAACAGAAAAAAAACGAACGGGATTGAGAAGAACGGTGAAAAAGAGGTCTCCGCCCTCGATCTGCTTCTGAACCTTGCCGAAACCCTCGGGGTACTCGTCGAAGAACTGTGTATGGGTGTACAATCCGCACGTCTGTCTTGGCAGCACGTGGATGCCCGCGTGCACGAATCCTTTCCGACCGCTCGGCGGTTTGAAGTGCGGGTACTCTTCCGTCGCCGTCACCGACACGTTCCACACCGCCTTCCACGCCGCGAACATTTGCTCGTGGACCGGAAAGACGCCGTCGTGCTGCGGAGCGATCGCGTACGGATAATCGACCGGAATGTGCATGTTCTGAAGTCAGACGTAAAAACGGAAATTTCCAGAAACTAAGCACCTGCGCGAAAAGCTTGTTCTGTGTCATAATCGCCTCCAAGTACGTGAAATTGTGCTCGTGGGCGTGGTTGTGCCTCCACATGTGCGGGAACCAAACGAACTTCCGCGCGTTTTCCACGAGCATCTCGTCGCCCCGATCCTCGGCATCGTCTCCGTTTCGGAAGTAACTGCCCGAGAATCCGAGCATGAATGTGAAGTTCTGCACGAATTCGCGGAAGTCTTCCTGCGTGGAAATCAGTTGTCTGACGTCTGCCTCGACTATTCGGGTACCCTGGGCGCCCACGAACACATCGTCTATGTCGACCTGAAACGTTAAAGTATTTATTAAGACTTTTCTTGGATACGTTGCTACTTACCTGCACAAACCGATCCAGCGAGAACGTGTCCTTGTCGCCCATTGCCCACCAGAGCGAGTCCAAAAATGTCATTTTGACTTGAAAATCAGAGACATTCCTTCCGAAAAGCACCCTCTCCACACCGTCCTCCGTCCCCCGGTCCCTCACGACCACCGCCCGTTCGTATCCGCTTTTGACGGTCCCACCGAGAATCGACTCGAACTGCGGCGAAGTCTCGAACAGAACCCAATCGGACGGGGACTCCGGAGGGAAATGGGAGGATGCTCCGACCCTGGAGAGCTTGTGGATGGGGGAAGGGGTGACCGAAAGGGATTGGATCCGCTGGTTCTGCCACATCCACAGAGAACTGCCCTGAAATCCAAATATGAGAATTTTTCTGATTACAACTTTTGTAGTTTTGCCTTTATGCGAATCCTTTTCAATTGGTCGTTGGGTTTGCTAGCGATGAACGAGAACACGGGCACTTTGTACTCTTTGCAGTACTTGTCCAGCAACTGTCGATTCCACCTGGCCATATTCAGATACTTATAATAGTTCTCCACAATTATCAGCGAATATCTTCCCTTTCGCGCCGTCGTCAGCACTGGCAGATTCTTGCTGATCGCCTCTGCTTTGTATGCGAACTTTTGCGAGTTCAGCATCTGGATTATCGACTTTCCGTTTCTGGAGAACAGCGAGTCCAGAATGACGAGAATTTTCGGATCTGTTCCGTTGTTCCCATGAAATTCCAGGTTTTCCAGGGGAGAATCTGATATTTCAAACGGGCACGTGTAATTCTCGACAGGTTTCGGCCTTTTTCTCGGTTTTGGCGGTTTCTGAGGCTCCGAAAACAGTGAAGAGTATAAAAAGTAGAGGATGAGAATGGTGCAGAGCCATTTTAGAGGCCGGGTGAGACGGGGATTTAGGTATGGAGTTATTATCATCGTTGCCGCATTATCGATGGAATCTGTAACGTATTTCTGATGTCTTTAATGTTTTTGTTGTATAAAAAACCTGATTATTCCCGTAATCGGAGAAAATTAATTAATATGTCGTATGATCTGGTACCGCGTACGCAGACACGGAGAGGTGCATACTCTGCATTTAATCCGACGCGCATGTTTCGTAGTTGGGAACTGCAGCTGTTTCAGCTGGGAAATGGGTGGATTGATGCTAGTTTTGGCTGAAAATTACTTAAAATTGCTGAAAAATAAATTTTTTGTACTAGTTAACAACATTATTCACACTCATTTACAAAATATGCGGAAATCGGGAAAATCCAGAGTTTCGACTCGCGATTGGAACTGCCGACGGAGGAATTCGCAAGAAAACGTCAAAGTTTAACGAATTTTAAAAAAGACATCAGCAGATTCCAGCCGAAACTAGCGGAAATTCACCCATCGGCCGTGCTTCTCCGATTCGACACATTTCAGATCGATTTCGATTGCCGAATGCGGAGAAAAAGCTGAAAATGCCGACCGTAGTTTTCGTTTTGGACACGAGCGGATCGATGGCCACCAGATCGCATCCCAAGTTTTCGTTTTTTGACTATGCAAAGAATTACATTGAATTGTTCATCAAGGTTTGTAGAAAACAGCGCATTCTTTCAAAAAAGGCCAATTTTAGGGTCGGACGAGAACCGACGGACGAATGATGCCTTTGGGCAGGGAGAACGACCGCTATTTTCTGGCGACAACGCAAGGAGTGTTCCCTGAAAACTTTAAGGTATTCAAAGAACTCTTATTCGCAAAAAACCATGAGAAATTGCAGTTAATGATGGAAAAAGTGCCTCAGCTGGTGCTGGACGAGCTCAAATACCTTCCGTACCCGTACGGATGTCACTCCCTGCACACGACCATTCTCGACGCGTTCCGAGCCCTTCTGATGAACAGAGCACAGACCGGAATCGACGGATACGGCAGCGGAAGGGCTCCGATGCACACGGAGCAAGTGATGGTCATCGCGCTGACCGACGGAAGCGGAGTCGCTGCGATCCCCTCTGATTTCAGAGTAAGAATTGCATTTTTGCTTTTTTATATTTCGTTTTCAGCTCTTTTTCGATCCGCCGATTCTGGGAAGTGAGTACACGAAAGAGGCGTACCGATGGGACCAGAAACTGTACACTATTGTGAGTCTCGAGTCTCATACCTCCGCAGAAACTCATCAAATCTCCAGGTGTTCCGTATTCCATCGACTCCGTACCGCCCGACGAACTCCCAATTGGTGCAGATCGACATCGACCATCCGAACATCGAGAGATTGTGCGCTCTTACGGGCGGTCGCAGCTACTCGATCGTCTCGGTCCGTCAGATACAGACGTCCATCGACCAGATACTCTTGATCGCGTGTCAACATCGCATTGGAGTCCGATTCGATTGTGTGCCGCCCATACGTACGTATTTTGCTAGCACTTTGCACGATCAGTATAGGTTTGGAGCCTTGAAAGTTTGTTTCAACCCGATTGGATCATCTTGTCTTGAGAAATATAGATTTGAACTCGAAAAGCTCTTTTTTTTTGGGTCTAAATTCCTCAAAAAAGCAAGAGCAGTCTAACCGCCGTCAAGACTTTACAGCCGGCCGAATTCCCGCAGAAGAAAGCAACAAAATGCGGATAAAAATCAAGAGAGTGGTCGAGAAAAGGCCCGTCACGAATCTGATTTCAAGAGTGAATCCGCAAGGCCGGCCCGTCAACTGCCACTGGCCCATTCCCGAAAACTTCTTCCCGATGCGAAATCAGTGAGAATCTAGTTAATCTCTTCCATTTCCTTTCAAATTCACAATTGCAGAGATAACCTGCCGCCTCGTACCGCCCATCCCGTCATTCTTATGGCTCCGGAAGCGCTTCCGATTCCGGTGAGTCGAAGTTGATGGATTGTCCGAACATTATTGGTTTTCAGATCCGAAACGAGCTTCCTGTCGACAAATTAGAGCTCGAACCGGGGCCGATCGGTGAGCTTGTGATGGAAATGTTGCAGGGGCGGAAGGACTGGACAGTTTGGGTCAGAATTTATAAGTAATGAACGTGAAAAGTGATCCTAGATGTTTGCAGACGTACATGGAAGGTGCCTCTCACGGCCCGACCTCTCCGTTCGGATGTCTCCGTCTCAACGCCTCCGGCCTGGGCGTCTCCCTGCTCCTGCTCCCCTACAACTTCCCTCTTCTCTATCCGCTCATCGAGGATCTCGTCCGAGAGCCAATCCTGACGACGTCGCAAGTTTGGAGGGCCAAGATCGAGCAGTACATCCAGACGGTCCCCTACTACTACTTCAGTGTACGTTCCCTTTTAAAAGCGGCACAAACGGGCCAAGTTTTCAGTCCCTGAGACATGCAATGGATAAGCTGAAAGTGAAATTGGACATTTCTTCGTCGATGAGTTCAACGTACGCCCCGCAACTGCTCAGCCACCTGAATCGCCTCAAAATCAAGGCAAAAGAAGACTGGGACTCGTCGGCGTTGGTGGCCAAACTGACGGAATCGAGGTGTCCGCGGGATCCGAACAGAAGCGGAGAGCTCCCGCCGGTAGGATCCGTGCTCGGTCCGGCCCCCCATTTCAACGCTTCCGTTTCAGGTGTCGATCCGAATCGAACGGATCACATCGCGGACGTGCATGGTCGGATTGAAAGGCGACGACGATCGCGACGAACGCGACAAACACCTCGAGAAAATGGACTATCCGCCCATTTACTCCGGCGACTATTCGGTAGGCGCACGGCTGTTGGAGCGTGCTAATCGGGCGCCGAGGATATTACAGATTCCGCTGTACCCTCCGAAAGTGAACGACGCCGAACGGGATTCGGCCTACAAGACGCCGCATTGCGGATCTGTCGAGGATATGGTCGGAAAGTTGAACAGGTTCGGATTGGGAGGATTGAGGAACTCAAGAGCATCCAATTGACAAAAAATATTCCAGAATCCAAGCGAATCTAGAATTGATGTTCGATCCGGGACGAGTCACTCTTCTGGATATGGCCAAATTGGGAACGCGCGTACAGTTCAGCACTTTAGAGGAACTCCACAACATGACGATGAAATCGATGGGAGAATACGAAGGATATCAGGCGGCGAGAGTGCGGCACTACGGACAGCCGTTCAAGAAAATCGAGGAGGAGAAGGAGAGATCGCACGCGTTCGGAAATCCGTATAAATTGAAGGGACTGGGAGCCGGAATCGATGAGGTAGGAGGGAGAAAAAGAGAGAAAAAGATCATTCAGCCGATGTTTTCAGGTGATGGACAGTGCAATCGTGGAGGGAAATTCGAAGAACGAGGCAAAACGGTTCGGGGACAGCAGCCGGAACCAGTGGGGCGGACCGCCGAAGAGACGAAGGGGGCCGCTCGGCATCGACGCGTTCGACAAGTGGAGAACGAGACGGTCGACGTGCGGATCCAGCGCCCCTTCGGACATTTCTGAGGACATCTCCTCCGTCCTCTCCGATCTTGCGGAAAACGAACCGAGCACTTCCACTTCCACTCGCACTCCTACTCCTGCAGCTGCGAGCACTCCGATCCGCGAGTTTGAGGGAATGAAAGTGGAATCGACGGAACGGGTGAGAGCGAAGGAACCACCGGTTAAGCCGGTCAAAGAGAAATCGGTGGAGGTGATCCGACAGAAGACCGCCGAGTCTTATGTTCAAAAAGGGCGGACGGAGAAGTCGGAAAAGCTGTCGAGTCAGGAAATGATGACCCGCAAGATCCGGATCGGGACGATCGTTCGCAAACCTGCCAATCGTACGTTTCAATCAATGGGCCTGGACATTTGACCCACTTTCAATTATTGGATCAAACCCAGGCTTTTTGGATTTGAATTGAAGTGCCTTGGACCCAAGTTTCAGGCCGGTCGTGTCGTTTACTCAGGAGATATGTGGGATATCCGCATATCTCCGGACCAGATTATCCGATTGGGGGGTCTGAAACTTGGGTCCAAGACACTTCAATTCAAATCCAAAAAGTCTGCAAACTTTGGGTCCGATTGGATAGGCCCAGCCCTTAACAAAAACCAACAACTGCTTCATTTCAGACCGTGCCTACGAGGAAATCCAGTCAGTGGTGGCGGGCACTTCCGAAGAATGCTCTCAGATTCTCATCCGGCACGCCATCCGCGAAACGATGAGATTCAAGCTGAAAGAATTGACGAAAAAGCTCGAAAAACACCTTTCCCAAATCTGAATCTCCCCCTTCCCCTGATGATTTCCCCTCAATCCTGTGAATTAACTATTAGGCAACCAATTCTGTTACAATTTCGACTCTATTTCACACTTATTTTAGTGATATCTTCGTTTTTTACTATCATTTTAATAGAATCTTCATCAAATTTCGTTTGTCCACGAGATTTCCCCCTCAAATTCCATTCTAATTTTATTATTTTAAAACTAAATAAATGTGAAAACCAAAAAAAGAGCAAATAGAGATCCAAATGTGTTCATTGAACCCGTAATAGCGTTAGTACAAATAGAAATGAGATCAGCAAAATAAGGCTAGAAGTGTAATGAGATATGAAAAAATAATGAAATGGAATGTAGGGAGAATTAGGCTAGAAGTTTGCCGCTGACGCACGGAGTACGGTACAACGACGGCATCGACAGATGACGTTGCTTGTGACTTCCCGACTTGGCCGACTGAAAAAAAAGAGAGAGACGTTTCCGAGTGATGCCAATGATCGGACGAAGAACTACGCATCCGATTGGCTCCATCCCCGCCCGTTTCCTCTAGTATTTTTCAAAACAATTCGCCTCAAAATAAGCTCATCCGGTGTGCTCTTTGAGCTCTTTCCGTTTCGCAAAAACACGCACTCCCTCTGCGCGCGTGCTCTCTTACCGTAATCGCGTAGCTCTCGGATCGGGAGGCCGGTGACGCAAAGTGCGAGTGCCACATCGTTCGGAGATCGCGGAATTGGCGGGTGAACACAAAGTACAGCTGAAAATAGGAAGCCATTTTTTCGAGAATGATTCGTTTTTCGTTTTGTCAATAATCATCAACTTCTGTTTTTTGGTGTCGTTGTTTCGGGACATTTCAGAAAGACTCACGAGCGGATTGGCGAACGAGTAAACGTTGAAAAGCAGATTGATGATATCCTTGAGCAGCACGAACAACTCGGAATTGTTGTACTTCTCCTGATCGACGAATCGATAGGCGAGACCGCCCGTGTGGCACAAGAAGAACATTGTGACGATCGAGATGAGAAGGGTGACCGAACGACGTTCCTGAACACTTTTTGCTACGAAAAGAGCACAGTTTCAATCTGTTTATAAGGGGTTTTCTTCATCCGATCATCTCGATCATTCTATCGCCAAGCTAGTCGTCGTACCTGTGCAAACCGGGATTTGTGATCGAAAGAAACTCTCCGATTGGAAATGTTCGTGAGAATTCTGAAGTTGAGCACCGACAAGAGCAGCAGTGGGACCAGATAAACCAGCAAAGGATACAGGAGATTGTCGAGCTGAACCACACAATGATTCTCCTTGAAATCCGTTGAAGACTCACCACCCGATGATAGTTCTCATTTCGGGCCAAATCCGACGGTTCGTGCGCCAGAATGAATTGATATTCGGACGAATTCGTGGGGTCCTGCGACCAGAACCATCGGAATTCGGCCCATTTGCACGCATTGAACAGAAGAGCCATTGCGGAGATGAAGAGCAGCGGTTTGAACGGCTTCGAAGGCGATGATATGCTCGAGAGCGGCCGGAGGATCGCCTGCAAAGAACTGTTTCACAATGGGTTCTTTCCGGGCAGTCTACAATGTTCTCCATTACATACTAGGCAAATATATTTATAGAGCCGTCAATGTGAAACCCCTCTTTTTGTAATCTCCGGTGCCTAATTTTTCGGCCGCGAAATCTGAATGCTGGAAGAAGCGCCTTCACTTTTAAATGTCCCGATAGTTTCAATTCAATGGACTTACCCGATGTCTCTGAATTGAAATGAAGCAAATCGTCCATATACTTGCACAATTGAACGCCAAAAGAAGAGGAGACAAGAGACCCGTGGACAGATATGCCATTTGACCTGAAACCAGCGATTCATGAGACAAAGATCAAATGAAAGAGGCCGAAACGGACCTAGCGTCGAGTAGGGTGTCGATTGTGAAAAGTCGTGAAGTGCGGGCAAAAAGAGGACTAGAAATGAGAAGAATAACTGGAGACAATCGCAGAATGAAAGGAATATCAGGGCCTGAAATTGGGGTGTTGAATGGGAAAGAGTCCGGAGGATCCGAGCTCACCGGAACCAGTGGATGGCCTCTCGTGGAGAAGAATACAATCAGACAGCCGATGTTCAGGACCAGACCTGGAAATTTTAATTATTTTTTTAAAATTTTATTCTGCTAAATTGTCAACAGAGTCAGACATTTTCGCAAGTTTTATGGAATTGCTGAAACTGTAATCGAATACCGTCCAATTAAAGCGATATATCTCAGTTGTCTGTAGAGATATCAGAAAGTCGTCAAGTGTCAAAATTTAGCGAATTTCTTACTAAGCAGTTTATTCGATTACAAGTTTGTGATATCTCTACAGACAACTGAGATATATCGCTTTGAATGACCGGTATTGAACCCAGAATATCAAAAATTGGTTTTTGTTCATGCTGAGCTTTATTGAGTCAAAATGAAACAGAAACAAAATAAGTTAGGAAAAATGAGCAAAACGGAATCCATTAGAGACAATTTGACGGAATTCGGAAACCGGAAAACTTGTGAAACTTGACGTTCTCTTGCAAAGTTCTATGAAATCACTTCACGGCTTTACGGAAGCCGGAAGTCGGAACAAAGTGATGTTTTGGCTGCGTTTCAAAAAGCAATTTCTTGTTGTTTACTCTCATTAGTATCTTGATGGTTCCCATGAATAAAAGCTAGCAAAAGGGTCCAATTAGCCGATAACAAGTAGAATGAATGAAACTGCGAGCCGAACTATGAGGGACCGAGAACTCACCGACTCCGCAGACCAACGGAAGAAGCCATAGGTTGAGTATGCATCCGAAGAAACGAGTTCCGAACTCTTCGGATACGCACATCTGAAACTCCACCGCAAACTTTAAAAAAAAATGAAAATGTATAAAAGGACTCGTTGTCATTTCCAGAAAACGGGGCGAAACGAGAAGAAGGAAGCGCATTTGTTGTGACGGGCTCTCCGGCCCGATTCGGTTTTTATTCAAATTGGCGAAACGAGAACGTGAACGAGAGAAGAAGAGGGAAAAGAGCACTTCATTTTCGATATTCACAATATTGAGACTCTGAATTGGCGTCGAGAATGGTTAAGGTCAAAAAGAGCGCTTCTTTCCGGAAGTCTTATGACGAAAACGAAATCATTAAAAGAGGGGCGGAGCCAATGAAACATGCGATCGGAAATTTGGATCAGAGAACTTTGAGCTCGAACTTTTCAAGTTTTTGAGCTGAAAATTAGCAGATTTCAGTGGGAATGACTCATGAATAGGGTCAAACTGATATTGTTCACTTCGAAGCGAGCACAAACTCGGTCGATTGGTGCGTCAGAGAGGAAAAGTGAGGAAAAAAAGGTTCGCCGTTTCAGACACTTGATTTTTGGCCTACTTCTGTTGGAGGAGTCGTTTATTGAGGGAAAAAATCGAATTGTCACTGTTTTTTAGGTCATTCGAGAGATTATTTCTAATTTTCGACGACGCCATTTTATGAGCTTTAGAAACGGATATTGTATGTTCACAAGACTCTGTGAGTGTGGAATTTGAAGAATTCGAAGCAACAAGGAGCCAAAAGTTCGAATGGAAAATAAGCACGAAACCGTAGTTTCACAGACATAGGGACCGCAGGGTACTCTGCCCGATATCAACCAAAAGGGAGAAGATCAGTCGAGATAATGAATATAAATGTTTGAAAAGTAGGAAGATAAGCTAACACTGAAACAGTGGAAATTGTGTTTCAGATGCCTCACATCAACTCCTTCTTTTCAAATTCAGTTATTAAACCAAACACATGGCTTGAAAAGGAAAAACACTTGCGAGAAAGTTGTATAAGCACATGAAAGTATGTTTCAAAAAGGTGTACCCATGGATCTTTCTCATGAATGGGCTCTTAATCAAGTGGGCTCACTCTCTCTCTCTTCCTCCTCCCGAAAACTCTTAAAAAATTGGCATTTGTCACGCAATTCCAGTATTTACTTGGGAATCCCCACACTGAGGAGAAGAGGAAGAAGAAGAGGAAGAAGAAGAAGAAGAAGGAAGTGAGGAAGTGGGGGGTAAATAATGAAATCATAAGAGTTCGAACATTGGCGGCTGATTTGAATCAAATTTAGAGCCAGCCTTCTTCATTCAGCTCAAAACGGGTTTCCCTCGGCGGTGACGTATTCACGAGTGACGCAAGTTTTCATATTTTCCCCCCAATTCCAGAGATATTTTCGGTTGTTTTGAGCCACAACTAGAGGTGCCGGCACTTTCTTTTAGAAATTAGTTATGCTTTCTCAAAATTTGATAACTACTCTATAAATAATCAAAGAAGGATATCTTTCAAAGGTTGATGAGGTGTTGAAACTGGAAATTAGTGATACAAGTAGGGTTTTTGTTCAAAATGATATCCATTAAGTACCTTCTTTTTCAAACTTTGTTGAAACTGATTTTTGTTTTGATTTGAAGTATACTGACTGTTGTCTCATCATTCCGATTCATACAAGACTTTTGAAACTGGGGTCCGAGCTGACGCTAAAAAAAGATTTCCATTACTGGGATTCATGAAAAAAATCTATGTAGAAGTAGAGGTTTTGAAAGTGTAACTTCCCAGACTGAACCGATAATTGAATCAATCGGAAAATTGTTCCCATTTTGATACTAGGTTAACATTTTCCGTTTTTAAAATGGTTTCATGGCTGCACAGATCGGTCCGTCAACTACCGTAATCTCATTGATCTCTATCATTTTGATGCCAAAAGTGATACATATCACTCGGAAAAACCGCAAAAATCGGATCTTCGTCACACCGGAAATCATCGGATACTTTAAAAGATTATCGATGGATGCACGCGCGAGAAATACTAAAAACCAACATCTTTTTTCAGATATCTCTGCAAAAAATCCGCCGGAAATTGTACATTCGCGATGATGAGATCGGATGAGAAATGTGCGGATTTCAAAATGAGCGAAGCCATTCGAATTTCACAAAATGGCTTCCGATTCTTGCGATTCGAAGGGCTTCTTTCGTCGCGAAATTTCGATTTGGAGGAAATGGAAAAAAACGGGCGAAAGAAGAGAGGGACAAGTCATGGATTCTGGAGACGGCGCTTGGATTTCGATGATGCACAGCTCTGTCGATTCATCTGATCCGCATGCTTTCGGCGAGTTGTCAAACTGCCTTCGACGCTCTTTCCTTTTTTCGGCACACAGCTTCCGGTCAGCCGATTTTATGAGAGAGTAAAATTCAAAAAACGTGCCTTCGAAACAGAACTTTTTCGGATTTCACATTTCGTTTCGAATGTGCACAGTCTAGAAGAGCCCATCTGGTTTTCTAGCACAATTTCAATTCAAATCGCCTTTGTGAAGCTGTATTCTGATCCGATTGAGGCAAGATTTAGAAAAGAGCCGCTTTTTATGTGCTTTGTGGTTTGTGCTGGAGATTTTGAAGAAGCTGGCTGGATTTACTGATAATCAGTAGATATCACCAACAAACGAGAGAAATTAACGGAAACCGGGTTGGTTGGAATGGCCATTTGTAGTGTAATCGCATTTGTAGTGTTATTGAAACGGGAAACTAGAAAATCCAACAAAGTCTTGAGCCAATCCATCTGTTTCAAGTTTATTTCGAAACTAGAACTTTAACTAGAAGTCCTGATGCCGCCAAGAAATTATTTGAAAAAAAAACTAGACGAGAAGGAACAAATTCAGAAAAAAAAGAGGAAATTGAACTTTTTCGAGGCCGAAAACCCATTTGCATAAGTGAATCGAGCGGTCTCCGAAGGGGGAATAAGTTGCGATTCCATTCGGAACCAAAAAGGAACCGAATCTTTATATTTTGGGGAGGAATCAGAAAAGTCCGTTTCAAGATGTTATGAAATGTTTCTGAATCAGTCGAAATATCCAATGAAAAGGCCTTACTATTTAAAAAAACAAAAAAACGGTCTCTTCAAAACGATGTATCTCAGCTGCTAGTAGAGATATCGAAAAATAACCAATTGATGTAGAGTATTTCTTGCAAGTGGACAGTACTTTCGAATTGCGATCAGAATATAGTTAAATTCATAAGACGTTCTTGAAACCGCAAAAAGTTCAGAAGTTCAACGGTATGAAGTGCATTGAAACTTGAAAAAAGAGAGAGAGAGAAAATGGAGAGATTCCAGAAGTAATAATAACAGCAGAGATTGTTTGTTTATAAGGGGTTCTGGAAGAGCATGGAAAACGGAGGAAGTTCAGCCGAGAAGGCCACCTTTTTCTATAAAAGAATCAAGGACCTGAAGCTAAAAGTGGGAATAAATGAGTTTTGAGAGGGACAGAAAAGGTCGTTTTTCCTGTTATTTTTGCCTCTAATTGAATTCTGCGAAAATCGAGCGAAAAGAAAATGAAAAGAAAGGATTATACAAGAGGGACCGCCCTTCCTTCCACTCTTCATTTCATTTTTCGGAATTCCGAATCCAAGTATCAACATTCAAGTCTTTCATGGCGAAAAGTGTGAAAAGAGACCTCAAGAGGCGTTTTTTGAAAGAAAGTGCTCAGAAATGCACATTTCCGGATGGAACCGTTCAGTCGAGTATCTTCATGAAGACTTGAAAATTCATTCATTTTTCCTCATTTTTTAACGACAAGTACAATTTTGCAAAGTTTTTGCACAAAAAGTCAATAAAAGTTGCGAAAAACTATAATTAGGCAAAGTTTTCCTTAAAATTCCCTTGTTTTTCGTTAAAATATGAGAAAATGCTCGGGAAGAAAATTGTGTCGATTTACGGTAAACAGAGCGCGCCAGCGGGATTCTGGAGTATCGTAAAAGGTGAAATTTTCCGTTTCAAAATGGTCATACTTATGAATTCGGGGTTTTCGTGTGATTCTTTCGGATTCGGAAAAAAAATCAAATGAACTCTCTTAATAGAGCACTGAAATTTTGGGTAAAACGGTGACAGTTTTGAAAGTTTTCCGTTTCAAAATGGACATATTCTTAGCTGCCTGAAGAAATTCTGTTCTTGTCGATTTTTCAGATTAGGATAGTACCGAGAGAGCTGTTTCAAAAGTATTATGCCTTCAAAAAACGGTGCCAAAAGTCAGTTGATGAGCCTAAAGTGGTAAATAAACGAGAAGAAGAAGAAGAAATAGCAGTGAAGCGTATCTTCACCAACATTTCATTTCTGTCAAACGCCGGATAGACCCATCCTTTCTAATCCGATATTATCCGTTCACAGCTTGGAACTCGTGCTCACTTTCAGAGAAACAACGGGAAAAGTGACACTGGTCTTAATTTCCTTTCGAGCGCCTCGTCTTCTTTCTCTTTTCTCTTTCTTTCATCATCGATGTTTTTGCTCGAGATTAGAGGTTCTCGGCTGCAGAATATAATAAGAGAAGGGGCGAAAAGGGATGAGGAATATGAATATGCGTGTGTTTGGGGCGAATAACACTCAGGAGAGTAGAAGAAGAACACCCACAAATAACTCTAGAAAGAGAGAAGTCGTGGCTACAGTGTTAATGGCTGGAATGTCCTTAAGGGGCAGCAATCTGGACATTTCCGATTGGTTTAACCACAAGATGAATATAGATACTTACAGTTACAACAAGTTACTATGAGTCCTTGTGAAGCTACTGATTTCAATAATTTTGCGTTTCAAGAAGTGCGAAAATGAGGTTGTTGAGAGTAAACTGAAAGGTTTCCTGCTTCAGCTACAATCCGTTTAATTTTCTGATCTCTCGCTTGAGAATAGAACAATAATGTTGAAAAGTATTGAACATCTCTGTTTCTAACATCATTCGTAAGTCCTCAGAAAACGCAGATTACCGTTATTAACAAATCGGCAGCAGTTTGCGACCAAAACATACATACTTCTGAATATTATTGTTCTTTTAGACGTTACTTTCGTTGCAATTCAATTCAATTCAATTCAATTTGATGCAAATTTATAGGATAAGAGAATCATATTCTCTAAGGAAACTTCGAATATAATAGAAGCATGAAGCTGAAAGTTTATCTAACCATCTTCGTAATACGTGCAAAACCCAAGAGAAAAAGTGGAAAACTCGGATAAATTTTGTGGGCCGAATGATTGGTTTTGATTGATTGGCCGAGCGGTGGAAAGGCACAATATTCAATTAGAGAGTTCAGAGGAAAACGGCGAGATTCGAGACTTCTAGTCCGTTTCCGACCGCTTACTCATCCCCGCGACGTCTATTTTTACGGGTGTCTTTCGCGAAAATAACACGATTTTTAATTGGGGCGGCGCTTTTCCCGAAAGACCACGAATTCGGAGATTTGAGCAGAGATGAGGATGACGAAAATGATGATGAAGTGGGCTGAAAATGGAATAAAAGAGGATAGCAGGTACGCATTAATAACAAGTTCTGTTTTGAACAATTGCCATTAAGCTGTTAACGAAACCGGAAATTCTTATAATTTCTGTTTTGTATCGAATCGATATCTCTCATTTTTTGCCTAAACTTTAATGTTTTTAAAATGAAGGTTATTGGCATTTCGTGAGTTTGTTTGTTCATCGCAACAAAACTCATTTCACACGGGATCGGAATCGAAACTTTTGCAAAGAACACTCAAAAAGGGGGCTGTGCGACAGACAGAATCTGCAGAAAAGGTGAGCCGAGGGCCGTCTAAAACACTCACAAGTTTATATTTGTGCGAATAAATGATAAATCCAATAATAGACGTCATAAAACCGAATTATGGTTCACGCGAGCAGTGAACGGAGAATACATCAGCAGCCAGGAAGGCAATAATATTTAAAGCAGGAGAAGATTCACAAAAAGAAATGCATAATTGAAAATAATAGGCAATTATTTCCTTGAAATGTACCGATCGATGTGCCCTTTCAAAGTTCGGAAGACGAATTCCTTATCGTAATTCCCTTCCGAAGGATTCAGCTGGATCAGCCACTGGTAAACGACGCCGATAGGGATCCTGTGCTTGGCCATGAGATCGGTCAGAGTCCGGCACATCGTTGCTTCCTGTGTCATATTGAACACACTGATCACGAGCGGACGGCTGGCCAACGAAGCGGCGATCCCTTGGATCATGGCTGGAAACGGATAATATTCTACTTGGAATCGGAGTGCCGTCCACTCACTTTTCAGAACGTGATCTCCCCTGAACGCCCCGCATCCCCACCATCCACTCCACACCGGAATCGTCGAAAAATTGTGTTGTGCGGAGAATCCGACGTACGCCTTCGAGATTTCTCTGTGTATCATACTCGTCTCGAACTGTTGAGCACGTTTTTCGAACGGATATGCGTCGATCGCGATGCATTCGTATTGGAGCCGTCCGAACTTGTCCCGCAATTCGGGCACATTCTGCAGAGCATCGGAGGCCTTCAGAGGCCGCCATTTTGTAACTGCAGCTGCAAAAAAATGGAATTTTCAAGAAATCCAGTGGGATCGGGGCTGTGCAGCAGCACCAAATTTCGGCAATTCGGCAACTCGTTGCCGCACAGCCCTGAATAGGATATCCGTACCGTATCCTTGGTAGGAGCTGTAGGCCTGTGCTCCGACGATCGAAATCGCCTCCTGCGCGTTCATTTCATCGCAGAGAAACATGCCGACGATCATCTCCGGACACATCATGAACCGTATCTCCTCCTGCACCATACCGCCCTTCAGAACTCCTCCGCCGAGGCATTTGTTGGCGAAATCGACTTGAGTGCACAAGTAGGTCTCCTCGATTTTCCGCGACGCGTACTTTATGTTCATCATCTTGCTCGCTTCCGGCAACTTCTCGAAATCGAGTACTCGCCCCAGCGAGCACCTGCGGAAGCTGACGTTCCCGTTCGGACGCAGGCGCAGGTACTCGGAAAAGTAGTGCATTAGGAAGTACACTTTCTGTACGGCAAGCTGAGTCCCAGACGCAAAAATTCTGGAAAACGACGTTATTGGGGAGAGAAGAACGGGCGTACTTGAAGAATCCTCCGCGTCTTCTGAACAGCGCGCGAGCCATAAGGATCGCACATTGGTGTTGAGAAAGAGTGACCGATTCGACGGGGTTGACGAGCCGGTAGATGCGCTGCAAAACGATATTGACAATTTGACGAATTATAACTTTTTTCTCACCTTCGGAAGAACCGTATATGAAAGAACAGCAAGGCGCGCGATGCCGCAGAACAAATCCATGAGCGCCGGCTCGCCGACCCGGCTCACTTCCTGCAGGAACCACGACTCGAGCGCTGGAATTGTCAGCGTGAACGTTCCCTCCTCGAATCCGTACATTTGCTCGATGGTTGCCTGCAAAACACAACTGTTTCGCGTCGGAAGTGTCCGATGGCTGACCGTGAAGAGCACGAATCCGCCGCCCCGACACCCGGCCACATAGTTCTCGAGTATCATTGTTTGTTGTCGGAAGCTCGTCGTACCGTCGTCCTTCAGCTGTTCAATCATTCTTTTCGTCCGAAGATTGTGATCTGCGTTCTTTTCCCATCCGTAATCTGAATCTTTTCCGATTATTCATCTCCTCATTTTGATAAATCTCACCGAAGTATGCCGGTGTTTTGCGCACCCCTTCGATGTCGCAGTAGACGTGATGGGCCCGCATGTCACGATTTTTGAGATCCGGCAGGAACAACAGGTCTTTCTCGTGAAACTCGCGCAGATACAGGCTGAGCTCATCCTGTTTCTCCTTCCGATCCCCAATTGCCATCTGAAAACGGAACAGAATGAACTTTTCCGTCTCTGAATGGTTTGCCGACCCCATCAATCTCTTCTCTCAGTTTTTTGACTGGCGGAACATGCTGCCCCGCCCCTTTCTCTCCGGATCTTTGCTCGCGGACCATTCTGATCCCTTCTATAGTGTTCTGCTTGATCCGTTTGGTCCGAGAATCATCCTCTGCTCTCTCCGACACCCCAGTGCCCTCGAATACGTCATCCTCCCTCTCGTCGTCATCTTCTTCTTGCTGCATCGTCGCGTTCAACTGAAAATTATTGAATTTCACAGAATGAATTCCGGTTCCCACCTTGTTGACGCCTGCTTCCTGCGGCGAATCATCCATCATCCTGACCGGGGACTCTTCCTTCGACGGTCCCGCTTTGCTCCCGAACAGGTCTCTTCTCGTGTGCTCCGTTCTTTCGTTCGCCACTCTCGGAGTGCCTCTTGGCGTCACAAAGTCCTTTTTGGAGCGGCTCGAACGGTTCGACTGCGGAGTTGCTATCTAAAAATCCACATGGCACCAAGTAAGTTTGTGTGCGGCAGAGCGCAATAGCAACTTTCCCACGGCAACAATAGCCATTCTTACCTTGCGATCAGCTGATATGGGCGTTTTCATCGGAGAACGGCCGCTTCTGACGCTTTCTGGTTTCGGTGAAGATTTCTGAAATAATGTTCCTTTTTAATTGAAAATTACACCTTTGCCTCTGAAATGTTCCGCTTACCTCATATTGGTCGATGAATTTCTCAATGCGATGTTCCTCGTGAAAGGTCCGATTGATAAAAGTATTGTAGGACTCGTTCAACTCGACCGAAACGAAGCTAGTGGTCGACTGGGTCCTCTGCGGTCCCTCCTGCGAATCCGGCACCACTTCCTCCTCTTCGTCTTCTTCCTCTTCGTCTTCTTTTTCCACCTCCTGACTTCCTTCAGGAGCCGTCGTGTATCCTTCCTGACTGTCGGCGAACACGTCACGACTCGGCGGCTCGTCCTCCAGATTCTCCGCCACTTCCGGCTGGATCTTTAGGCTCGGTCTCTCCATCTTGTCCGTCTCATTCTGCACTTTTGACCTTTTCGACGGCGGACTTCTGTGCGCGACCCCATTTCCCACGTATTCTTCGAAGGCGGCGCTCTTAAAACGTTACTTTTCGTATTTTCGGGATTTTTGTGTCACTTACGTCCTGATCAACCACTTGAGTCCGATGAGGTACATCACTCATCGCCCTGCAAAGAAAATGATTTGAAAAGGTGATTTTACGACGAGTAAGAGCTTAAAAGACGTAAAAGTGGCCTTCGAACCAGATTCTCTCAAAAAGCAGGATAGCAAGAGTCAAACTCCGTAACAAGTTCTTTATAATAAGTCGAGAGATGCAATCGCAGCAAGATCGTCGGTCAAGATATTCGAATTTGGCAACACAATCAAGAATCCCCATTCAGTTAGCTTCGCCACCAGTAAAACCGCATCCTTTCCCCCGAAATGTGGTCTCCTTCCACTCAAAAAATAATTATTCTCCTTTTTATCGTCGTTTTGCTCATCAAATTTTGCTTTTTCTCAAGTGCACATACGAGAGAACGCGATTTAAATCGACCCGATGTGTTCGACGCCGTTGTCGAGGCCAATGTGCGTTTGGAAATTTAAATTTGAGCTCGGAAGTTCGAAACGAATCTGATTTCAGTCATTATGGGTCGATGAGGACGAAGAGAAAAAGTTCTACTTTTACAAGAATATCCCCGCATTCGCACAAGCCTCTAATAAAATTGCGGCAATTGGAAAAGCCAAAACTGCAGTTTGTGAGACTGATAATAGCATCGGACAGACGGTTCTATGTAGTCTGCAAAATTCACAGGATGAGGAGACGTGAGTTTAGAGGGCAAAGTACTTATAAAAATAAATGTTAAGCCCGTGCGATAGCGATTCCCTCCAACACTACGCAGATTTTAACGACTTGGCCAGAAAAGAGAAGCTGGATAAGAACTTCACCGACTGGAATGTGCTTTTTGCTCGAAGAGACCCAGTAGAACGACTAGTCGATCACTTTATGGACACGTGTGTTAGGTACTACTGCAGCGGTTTCAGATGAAAACTTATCGAAAAGTTGCAGAGAAGCGCGGCCATGTTTCGACTGCCGGTTGGATCTCAAGTGTTATTTGACAATTATTCACAGTGTCATTAAGGACTTGGCCAAAAATATAAAACTGGTGACGGAGGATCACTTGAAATACGTGCCACAGAATTGGTAAAGCTAGATATTTTGATCTGAGCGAAAATGTTTTTTGAAGGTACTGCCAGATGGAAACTATGTCTCAAAGGTTGACTTTTGTGGATTACAATCTTTTTGCGAACCCGACCAACCCGGAATACGCGGATGCGAAGGTTTCCAGGCAAATTTTTCGAAAAAACGGGCAGAACTTTCAGAGACCGGACAAATGGCACCCCGAGGATATTTTCGATGATCCGCTCTCTTCTCACGAGAAAATCCACCGATACTACATAACTTTTATCCATTCTCGACCCGACGTTCTCGACTTGGTAAAGAAAATATACTACTGGGACTTTCTGCTGCTCAAAATGCCACTTCCGGAGCTCAAAGTGGCCGAAACGAAGGATTTCAAGGACGGATGGCACTGAGAAACTGATTAACTGAACGATTAGAATAAAATTTTCGAATAATGAATTGGAAAATCAATTTCGATTCGTGATATTTCAACAAAAACAAAGTTTGGCGCCGGCACGAGAAACGCGTTAGGGCCGTATCGCGAAGTGCGTCAGCAGTCACAAGCATGACACGCGAATGTGTTCCAAAACGTCAATTTTCCGGTGATTCTCATGACTGAAACCCTTTATTTTAAGCGTATTTTAACAAGAAATATAGATTTGGACGTAATTCTTATTGTTTTGAATTCCTGCTTCGTTTCAAAAAGCTTCAAAAAGATAAATATTATCGATTTTCTAGCAATCTTCAGCAGTCGCCATGGTTTTAGCCGATTTGGGTCGAAAAATCCGCAATGCGATTGGAAAACTCGGTCAAAGCACGGTCATCAACGAGGAAGAGCTCGATTTGATGCTCAAGGAGGTGTGCACGGCCCTCATCGAGTCAGATGTGCACATTCGTCTCGTCAAACAGCTTAAAGACAATGTCAAGTGAGAAATCGAACTCGGAATTTGAAAATTCGAATTATTTTCTGCACAGGAAGGCGATAAACTTTGAGGAGATCGTCGGAGGAGCCAACAAACGGCGTTACATCCAGAAAACGGTCTTCAATGAGCTCCTGAAGCTCGTCGATCCAGGAGTGACCGCCTTCACACCGACAAAGGGAAAGAGAAACGTTTTCATGTTTGTCGGATTGCAGGGATCCGGTAAAACCACCACTTGTACCAAGGTAAACGGAAATATCACATGAAAATGCCCAAATTTGATAGTTTAGATGGCCTACTACTACCAAAGAAAGGGATGGAAGACCTGTCTGATCTGCGCGGATACTTTCCGTGCCGGAGCTTTCGATCAGCTGAAACAGAACGCCACCAAGGCCAGAATCCCCTTCTACGGATCGTATTCCGAGATTGATCCCGTCAAAATTGCCGCGGAAGGAGTAGAAAAGTTCACGGTAAGAAAGAAGGTAATTATGTTTAAATGTTGGTTGTTTTCAGCAAGAAGGATTCGAAATAATCATAGTGGATACGTCCGGACGTCACAAACAAGAGGCGTCTCTTTTCGAGGAAATGCTGCAAGTTTCGAATGCCGTGCAGCCGGACAACGTCGTCTTCGTGATGGACGCCTCGATCGGACAGGCCTGCGAGGCCCAAGCCCGCGCCTTTTCGCAGACCGTCGACGTCGCCAGCGTCATCATCACCAAGTTGGACTCGCACGCGAAAGGAGGAGGAGCTCTTTCTGCGTAGGCGGACAATTCGAATATTTTTAATTGAAAATTACATTTTTGCAGTGTCGCCGTCACCAAATCGCCCGTAATCTTCATCGGAACAGGAGAACACATTGATGACTTTGAAATCTTCAAACCGAAATCGTTCGTTCAAAAACTGCTCGGAATGGGAGACATCGCCGGACTCGTGGACATGGTCAATGATATTGGAATCCAGGAGAACAAGGAACTCGTCGGAAGACTCAAACAAGGTTTTTTGAACATTTTTCAATAAAACCATATCGATTTCAGGTCAATTTACGATCAGAGACATGTACGAGCAATTCCAGAATATAATGAAAATGGGCCCATTCAGTCAGATTATGGTGAGCAAGAAATCAACAAAATTTACATAGAATTTAGACAACTTCAGAGTATGATTCCCGGATTCGGGCCAGAGTTCATGAACAAGGGAAATGAGCAGGAATCTGTGAATCGGCTCAAACGGATGATGACTCTGATGGATTCGATGAGCGACAAGGAGCTGGATCATCCGAAAGCGTCGGAACTGTTCACGAAAGAGCCGAACAGAATCGCCCGGGTGGCCAGAGGATCCGGGTGTTTCCAGATCGAAGTGAAAGAGTTGCTGGCGCAGTACAAGAAGTTCTCGGACGTCGTCAAGAAGATCGGCTCGATCAAGGGACTCTTCAACGGAAAGAACGGCGACATCAACCCGAAGAACGTGAATCCGGCCCAAATGGCGAAGCTGAACCAGCAGATGGCCAAGATGATGGACCCGCGGGTACTGGCCCAGATGGGTGGCATGGGCGGCCTCCAGAACATGATGCAGCAGATGGCGCGGGCCGGAAAAATGTGAATCCATGTTTTTTGGGTCTCGCCGCGAAAGTCTACAATCTCAGTCATTTTTCCTTTTCCTTCCCTGAAACAACTCGATAATATCTGTTCACTCCTTTTCTGTCTAGCTCGTTGTGATATTCAATAATTCGAAAAAATGTCTATTTATCTCTTTCCGTTTAAAAAATTTCAAAAAATTCCATAATTTTCCGACTCGTATTTGGTGTATATACACATGGATAAATATCGTCTTCTTTACTGCCCTCTGGTTGAAATTTCGTGGTGTTGGCGAATTTTTATCTGTTTTTATGCGTTTTTTTAATGTTTACTTTCTCTCATTTTCAGCCAAAATGCCGCCAAAAACCAGAAAGGCGAAGAAGAAAGTCGAAGAGGATGAGGTTTTGAACACGAACATTTCGTTTTTAAAGCAATTTTCAGGAGATTTTGGAAGAAGTGAAGCCGGCGAAACTTCCGGAAAGCGACGAGAGTTATGCTCGGAAAATTGTCGTTTCCAAATGTAATTTCAGCAAACATTCCAGAAGTTTTGTGTTTTTATTTTCAGCGAACACCCTTCCAAACAGTCGGATTATCAAATTGAGACATCCGAAAGAGGGATGCGCTCTCTTTCACATCTCCGAAAACTCTTTCGATGAGGTAAGCCTTTGGGTCCCGCCACGAAATCGCATTCTTCCGCAGATTCTCGCCGTAAACGACGGTCACCGCTCGTTTTTCTACGGAGAAAGTGTGCTGGAGGACGGCACAATCCACCTCTTCTCGCCCTACAATCCCGTGTTCGTCTGCCTTCCGTACCTCCAGAAAACGGCCGGAAAATTCGTGGAAGTCGATGAGATTCTCGTCGACGAACAATTCGAACTCATCAAGGAGTTGACGACCAATCAACGAATTCTGAAGGCGTTGGAAGGCGTCGCCGACGTCAAAGGTATTCTGGAGTGAAAGAATTAAAGAGAATGAGGATTTCAGATGTGATGGATGTGAAACTGTTCCGATTGAACGAACAGAAAATGATGGAATGGATGGGCAAAAAGTTTGAAGCGCTCAAAAAGGAACTGGAAAAGGAAGCACACCGGTCACTGATCGAATGTCGTGAGTAAAAAGAAAAACTGACTGGAAACCTATTCCTTCCCGTTTCAGCCGACGCCTTCGACCGCTACGTCTTCTCGTTCCTCTGCGATTACCTGCCCTCCGACCTGACGGCGTCCGTCCGAACGCATCTGAACGTCCAAGAAGCGGTCGCCACCGAAAACATCGACATGAGCATGAAAAGGAAGACAACGGAGGAGGATGAGTACGAAAAGGAGAAGCCGGCGGCGAAGAAACCGAGAGAATCGGTTCAGACGAAGAAGTTGCAGGCGGCCTCGAAGGGCACCAAGAGCATCTCCTCCTTTTTCACTAAACAATGATCCTCCTCTGTTATTTGTAAATCTCAATCGAAAAGACCTCATTTCCTCACGATTTCCGATGATTTTTCACTTTTCACATTGTCAAATTGCTCACTTTTCACTGTTTCGAGAAAAATAATCATTGCTTAAAAATTTTTCTCTTGAGTTTGAAGAGTTTTGATGCTCTTTGTATATTTCACACTTCCCATTTTTTTTCTCAGAATGTTTCAGAGTTTAGTCTATTTTCAGATGGCAACGCGTCTGGCGGCGTCGCGAATCGCGCACGCAGGCCGCGGAATCTCGCAGCCAACGGCGTACGGAAAGCGAATGGATCGGCTCTCGAATCGAATCTGGGGGGAAGTGGTGATGCCGACGGACAAGAAGAGTCTCAAAGTGGTGCGCGTGATGTCTGCGGAGCCGTACGAGACCCGCGAGCAGCTGTCCCCCGAGTACTACCCGAACCTGCCAATGTTCCACTACCTCACCAAAATGCTCCGATTCCACGGACTCTTCTTCGATGATCACGTCGTTTTCAGAGAGGTCTTGCAGTGGATTCCCTCCTGAAACACCCCCGAATCTCTGTTTTTTAGGTGCAAGACAATCTGAAAACGATTCGCGGAAAAGTGGTGCATCCGCCGATCGGACAGGGAAAACGAGCACAGTTGCGCGGAAAGAAGTGATCTCCGAACGGGAAAATTCAGAATTTTCCACTCTTTTGCCTAGTTTTCATTAGATTTCTCCTCGTTATGGTTTTGATTCGAATAAAATAAAAATTTCAAACGTTTTCTCAGTAGCGGTATATTGTGTGCAGTGTCCTTTGTTATTTTCAGAAAACTTACTTTTTGAAACCGATTATTGAACCGAAATCTGAAAAAAGTGAATTTTGTGCGGTAGAGCGCGAATGCAACTACTCAAAATTTCAGAATGAAAAGAGCCGGCGATTCTGCAATGAATGAGGCAAAAAAATCGAAAGGTATTGCAAAAGTGTCATTGTATTCTAGAAAAAATGAATTTTATCGTTATCCAGACGCTGATTTATTCGGAAGACCACTCAAAAAGACTGGAACATGGGAATCGAAGGTTTTTCTGGAAAAATCACGAAAGAAAAATACTATTTATTCCAGGACGACGGAGATTTGATAATTTTCACGCACAACGATGTCGAGGGAAAAGAGAAAATCGCCGCTTTTGATATGGGTAAAAAATTAAAGTTTTGAGTTTTATCAGCCAGATGTGCATTTTCAGACGGTACACTAATCACAACAAAGTCTGGAAAAGTGTTTCCGACTGATTGCAGCGATTGGAAACTTCTCTATGATCACATTGGCGCGGTCCTCAAAAAATGGCATTCGGATGGCTACAAAATCGTCATTTTTACCAATCAGAAAGGAATTCAAGTGGGAAAAGTGGACCGAAATGAGTTCAAAAAGAAAATCGAAGCAATCGTCGTCAAAATAGGCGTTCCCATTCAGGCATTCGTGTCGGTGGCCGGCGGAATTTATAGGTTGAGCTTTTCAAATGAATGAATTGAAAAAGTGAACGTTCCAGAAAGCCCTGCATCGGAATGTGGGAAGAATTGAAGCAAAAGAACGACGGCGTCGAAATCAACGTATCCGAGAGTGTGTTCGTCGGCGACGCGGCCGGAAGACACAAAACGAAGACGCGATCGAAGAAGGATCACTCGTTCGCTGATCGCTTGTTCGCCGCGAACGTAGGCGTCGAATTCAAAACGCCCGAGCAGTTTTTCGGGAAATCGGCGGCCGATGAACCATGGGGACCGCCCGCTTTCAACCCGAAAGACCTCTTCACAGAGGGAATCGAGCAGTTTGAGCCGAAAGGTTTGCGAAAGACAACGATAATATTTAGAGCATAGGGAATTGCAGATGCTCATTTGAAGAAGAAGGGCGTAGAGATTGTGGTGATGGTCGGGTTTCCGGGATCGGGGAAGTCGACGGTGGCGAAAATGTTCGCGGATGAGCACAAGTATAAGGTAGAGAATGTGAGAGGAATCGTAAAAAGCCGTCTCCTGTTGCAGCTGGTAAGCCGCGATAACCTGGGATCGTGGGAGAAGTGCGTCGCCACGACGCGTCAGCATCTCCGCTCCGGCCATTCGGTCGTCGTCGACAACACGTCGCCGGACGTCGAATCCCGAAAACGATATGTCGACGTGGCGAAGGAGCTCAGCGTGCCGTGCCGTTGTTTCGTGATGCAGTGCAGTTTGGAGCACGCGCAGCACAACATCCGCTTCCGGAAACTGACGAACGAGAACGCGTTGGACGTGCCGACGATGGCGTTGCGAATACACAAGAGCAAGTTCGTGGAGCCGACGGAGCAGGAGGGATTCGAGCAGATTGTCAAAGTGAACTTCCGACCGAGATTCGAGCAGAAAGAGCATGAAAAACTATACAGAATGTATCTCATCGATTGAATTTGTGCAATAAACTGTGACGTTGCCCGTGAACCGATTCCATTTGCATTCGTAATCATTCCGCCCCGCCACGCGGCGCCATCGCCCCGACCCTCTCCAAATATTGTATCTCTGCCCCAGATCTTTGTCTATAAAAGGGAACTATCGACGCAAAAGCTCCGCATAACTCTTCTTACTCGACGCGAGTTCGAATACTTCAGGTAAGTCATTTTTACCATTTCCAGCCAAAAGAGACCGTTTTACAGCACTCGGTGCAGCCAATCCGGTGAACATCAATTGATTTTGAAATGGCCGACGGACAACCTTCCGCTCCGATCGAGGGCGCCACCGCCCCGATTCCCGCCGACTCGATCGCCCAGCAGCCGCCCGGCGACCCGGCCTCTGCTTCCGGAGCGCCGCCCGCCGAAGCCGGAGGAGCCCCGCCCGGCGGATCCCCCGGAGGCGACGCGTCGATCGCATTCGTGACGAAGACGTACGCGAACTACGTGCAGGACATTCAGCAGGCGGCCGAGGGACTCCGTCAACGCGCGCTTGTGCTTCAGCAGGAAGGCCCCGCTCAACTGCAGCAGCTCCAATCGCAGATCCAACCGCAGACGCAGGAGATCGTGTCGGCGCTCCAGGAGATGCAGTCGCCGATCGGACTGCCCACCTCGTCGGTCGTCGAGATCTTCGGCTGGTCGTCGATCCTGCTGCTCTCGGCCGGCATCTCCAGCATCCTCGGAGGCTACGTTCTCTCGCCAATCCTCGGCATCTTCATCGGCCGGCTCGGCGCCGCGCTCCTTGCCTCGCTGATCCTGCCCGCGACCGCCGCCTACTACCTGAACGGAAACGACGGATCGACGGCGGAGACGCGCTTCCAGCTGCTTCTCCTGTCGATCGTGCAGGGAGGACTGCTCGGACACGCCATCTCGTACACGTACATCTCGGGACAACCACTCGGATTCATCACCCCGCTCGTCATCGCCTTCGCCTATCCGCTCGTCGCCGGGCAGGTTCGTCTCTTTTTTGCTCCCTTCTTTTTCCATTTCCTTTGTTTTCAGGTCGGAACCGCGCACGCACCACTGCTCGGAGGATCGGTCGGAGCCGCGTTCGCCGTCCAATCGGTGCTTGGCCTCGTCTCGGGATCCTTCTCGCTTAGCTACTTGCTCCTCGCCGCGTTCTACAGCGCCTCCTCGGCCGGACTCCTCCAGATCGCCTTCCGTCACCTGAACGCGCCCTCGCGCATCCACCTCTACCAGATCCTGCTCGTCGGCTCGTTCCTTTTCTCGAAGGCGCTCGTCTACGGAGTGTTCGGATCGGCCGAAGCTCCCAAACTATCGAACTGATCGAAAAACTGATCCTCTCTGAAAAAGAGCCGTGTTTTAAAGGGAATAAATGTTTGAATTGAAAGAGTTTTATGAGAAAATGATTTATCAATATCGGGTCGTTTATTGACTGACTCATCGTAATAACCAACTTGTAAATAACAATTTTGAAACAGGAACTTGGTTTTGCAAAACTAAAATTTTGTGGCTTCCTTGTCATTAACAATCGTCAAAAAGGCGTATTTGCTCACAACTCGATAAGCGAACCAAGGAAATGTATGAAAAAGGACCGAGAATGGACGAGACACGGAAGCCGAACATATTGCAAAAGCAATGAGATTCTCGACATTTCTGTGCTTTTAAATGAACAATTTCTTCGCCGAACAACGGAAAAACACCAGAGAAAACAGGATTTGGCAAGACATTAGAACTTTATTCATTCGGGACTATTCAGTTCTAGAGTGGTTCGGGCGCGGCGCCTTCCTTCATCACATCCTCCTCCTCCTCCGTCTGAAGTTCCTTTGTCTCCACCATCACGCACTTCTCCTTCTTCAGCACCACTCTCTGTTTCGGGTCGTCGGACGCCTTCTTCTCCGATTCCACGTCCCTCTTCATCGTCTTTTCTCCGGCTGGCTTCAGCTTCATTTCCGTCTTGTATCCCAATTTCGCACACGCCGCAATTATTTCCTTGTCCTCATCGTCATCCTTTTTCGACTTTTCTTCCTGCAAATACAAGAGTCTCGATGGCTTTTTAGGGTTTTCCGTACGTTCTCCTGATCGATATTTCCGAGGTATTTGACGTTGGACGGCGCGAGAATCATGTGCGGATTTGTGTTGATGAACGCTTCGATGCGATCCGTGAATGCGGCTGAAAAGGGACGAAGTTCCGGGTTATTGTAGTAGCACTCACGATTCCTGTTCTCCTCGATAGTCTCCTCCATGTCGGGACACTCCTCCGCCCTGATAACCTTCGGCTCGTCGTCCTTCCCTGCATCGCCTTTGCCTCCGACCTGTGCTCCGTCCGTCTGCGCCGCCTGTGTCCCGTCCATCGGCTTCGTCGGCTGGTTCTTCTGCGAAGACGTGCCCTGCTTCATTTCGCTCTTCTTCGCCTCCTCCTTCGCCTTCTTCGAATCCCGCTCGCTCGGCTGCTTGCCCCCTTCCGGGACCGTCGCCTTCTTGCCCGGATCCTTCGTCTCCTCCTTCTTCTCGCTCTTTCGACTCTTCTGCATCGAAGACACCTTTGGCTGATCGACTGGTGTGAATTGTGAAACTTCGAGTTTCTTTCCTTGCTTCTGCAAAAAAAGGTTTGAGCTATAAGGCATCTAGTTGCTCGAACCTTGCTCGCCTTGCTCGAATGCGAGGACTCCGGCTTCTGCTGCTTCTTTTTCGCACATTGCGACACAATTTTGACGGTCAAACCGAGAACGGTCGATATTTCGAGCACTATTTTCGCTGAAATTCCATAAAATGTACCTAAAAAGGTTTGGGAAACTCACCGAACGGTACGATTTCCATCTTTTTTCCAGAAACGTCTAAATGTTCACAAATTTTTGTCGGAACTGATTCTTTTTCTCTCTTATCGTCATAGCAACACGCGTGATGAGATCAAAGTTCACGAATAACAGTAATAGCAATATCGAACAAACTATGAGCTCAATCTATTGCAAACTGGGATCTTGTTTACTGAGAATTCTGGCAAAAAAAGAGACATTGCAACATTTCTGATTTAAATAGATCGTATTTAGGTCAAAATTTGAAGACAATTGATAAACGATAAAAGTAGAAAAACGGATAATAATTTGAGTGAAACGGCCGAATTGTCCGATTTGGGAAGCCGTAATTCGGGCAGTTTGTCCACTTTGAAACTGCCGCAATCGTGCGGGAAATTGTCCGGAGGCATGTAGATTTGGTTGTCGTTCCCCACCTGAATTCACATTTTACAACTTTGAAACATCAATGCTAATACAGGATTTATGGAATGCCGTTCATTCAAAACGATATATCTCAGCTGTCGGTGCAGATATCAAAATGTTGCCAACTGATAAATTGTTCTTTAAGACATTGTCTACATATTATCAGTTGACCTCATTTTGATATTTCCACAGGCAGCCGAGTTACACTGATTTGAATAGTTACCTTGTACGCGTATCCAGTTCCGCCCATCAAATGAAGTTCCAAATGGCAATGCGCGAACCACCAGCCGGGGTTTACTGCACGAAATCTGAAAATGTGTACAGTAGATGTATGTATGAAGATGTCACACAAAACTTTTCCGAACTCTAGGACGTCTTCTAACCCAGTTATAACTTTACTGTTTCACCAAACTCATATGAGAGTTCTTATGTTAGATTATTCTATTAAGTGAGCAATCTTTTTACTTTCTTTTAGATGCAATGCTCACCTGATAGTGATGTATCCGCCGACGGGAAGTGTGATCGTGTCCCTCTTCGTCGGATTCTTCACATTCATTCCCTCCAACGCCCCGCCCAGCCACTCGGTCTTTCTCCATTTCTTTCCGTTGCAACTGACATCCGGTCCCGGACAATCAATGTCCGCGTTCATTTGATCGATGAAGCCGCTCTCGTTGTACGTCGGCCATCCCACTTTCATCACGTAAAAGTGATGGCCGTGCAGGTGGAATGGATGCGCGTATCCGGTGCCCATCGCGCCGCCCAATCCCATGTTGTACAGGGTGATCTGCACAATGTTGTTCAGTTTGTGCTCCAAATGGTAGAAGCAACGGCACGTGGTGTCCAGATCCGAGGCCGAGTTGTTCGCGCAAGCCGTTTGGGAACAATCCTGGAATTTGCACGTGGAACACTTTGAGAGTCGTCACTTCGGAAAATGTTTTTGTGATGTTAAAAGAAGCAGTGCTTACCGTCGAAATGGAGGACATGTCATTCGAGTGATAATAGGGAATTCCCCAGGGGAACTGGAACAGGAATTGGTCCATTTGCGAGTCATGGTGCATGTTTATGAAGTGTTCCTGTAATACCTCGTAGTGAGCTCGCTGAGATCGCTTTGCGGGTAGCATCAATAACAGAAATCAATAGTTTGAACCCGTGAAATCACCTCGAACCCGCCGTTGAACTCTGTCGCCTGAAGAATCTCCTGCTCGATGCTGTCCGCATACGGATTCTCGAGTTTATCGTAGGAAATGCACGTGAAGTTCGGCTGGGCGACCCATTTTTCGAACGGACAATTGAGCACGGAGCACTTTTTGTCCGACGTGCACTCCGGATGCAGCAGATTGGCTGGAAAAGCGGTAAAGAGGATGTCAGACAGGGTAACTTACGAGTGACCTTCTCCTCCGGCAGACTGCTATCCTCGTACTCCACGAATCCGAATCCGTAGGTGATCGGGATCTCGGTCCAGTCGAAAAAGTACTTCTGAACGGTCTCCACCTGGATCCGGTAGCTCCTCTTCGTCGGTTTGTCCAGTCCTTTGATGAGAATGTCGTAGCGCTCTCCCGGGAACACGATGAGTCTGTCCACCTGCATCGGGACGACTTCATCTCCATCCGCCGAGACGACCACCATCGAATGGCCCTCCACGTACAGCATCAGTTCCTGGGCCACTCCTCCGTTCACGATTCGGAAGAGAACGTCTTCGCTGGCGTTGATCTTGAATCTCTCGAGAGGCAGGTTGAACGGTTGGGTCTTCACAATGTCGTGGTCGTACCATCCTTTGTCGTTGAGCAGAATCGCCGAGATCGGCACGGCTCCGCCCACATTTCCTCCGTCTGAGGTCCTAGTTGGCTCCCAGCACTTTGTGAAGTCATCGTATCCGTACATCCATTTCATGGTCTTGTCCTCCAATTGCATCCACGCCTCTTCTCCGACTTTTGTCGCCCAATCCTGGAATTGAGATGAATTGTTTGAATGTTTGTATGATGGATGCTCGCTCACCTGAAGAAGGATAAAGTATTCTCTGCTTGGAATGATTCTCTTTCGATCATCGAGAGTCGGGACCGAAGTGTCGTTCTGATCGACCACTATGAATCCTGGAAAAACGATGAGGACGTACGGTATGATGTGGTTATTCAGTATGTCGAGATGCTCAACAACTAAATGTAGACAGGTTAAAACAGCAACATGTTTTTTGTTGCACAGAAGTTTCAAGTATACTTCTGTGCGCTGCGAAACAATATTACGAATTGAATGTGTCATTTACTTTTACTATTACACTACAATTCAATCGTCAAGCTCCCCACTTTTGATCGAAGCTAATCATTGTTCAATTTATTCAAAAAGGATACTATCGACTCAATCAACCGTACCTCCGGCGATTCCGTCGCCCCTGTCCGTTTGCATGTGTCCGTGGTACCAATGCGTTCCTTTATTGTCCGCAATGAACCGATACTCGAAGCGATTTGTGCTCTGAATCGGACACTGCTGCACGAAAGCGACGCCGTCCATGTACCACATGCCGTGTTTGTCGATGCCGTGCACGTGGATCGTCATCGAGTCCATGAGGATCTGGTTGCTCACGCGGATCCATACTTCCGACATGTACGGCACCACGATCGGCTCCCCGGGCCTGTGAGGCACTCAATTATGATGAAGAAATGTTGTCAGTTTCAGGTTAGTGTCAAGTTTTACTTCCTTATTTACTATATACTTCTTCTCTAGGTACACATCAACTTTTCCCTTTTTTCCACTTACATGTCATTGTTGATGGTGATGACCCTTTTGTGCAGTCCGTCCGCCACGAGCACATCTTCCATTTTATCCGCGTCTCCCGGATCGGACTCGATATTGAACGAGTAGTTCTGGAAGCACGGCATCAACTGATTCGGCTCTCGTTTCGTCCATTTTTGCTGGAAACGTTCGTCATATTTATAGGCGAAAGGGGGGAATTTTACAGTTTTGTAGTCGTAGTCGACGGGCGTCGCGTGTTTCGCCGCGTTGTCATTCTGATAGCTCATCGTCAATTTCTTTCGGATTTTCATGTCGTACGCGTAGACGCCGTTCTGGAAATTATTAGAAAGATGAGATGAAAAAGACATTACTGCTACAAATAGGTCGGGAAAGTTAAACAGACGTCAATGCTCAAAATAGTAGTATGTTATTTTAAATCAGATTGAAAAAGCTACGTATCACAATCACTCTATCCTTCATATTAATGAAGCACATGCGAAACAAACATAGATAATGCGAGAATACCTCAATTTTAAACAATTATTAACGTTGCATAGTCAATTAGGGCGTGAGTAATCACATTTCATAGCCTGAATCATAGGCCATCCTTGAAACACAGAGATGTGAAGAATTGAGCTCATCGAAAATCCAAAAAGCTCCCGTCATTCCCGTCTCTTCCGAAATAGAATTCCCTTTCCAAACTGACCTCGTCCGGCTTCATAATCTGCAGCGGTTTCGTGTATTTCTGATATCCATCCGCGGCCAAAAACATGCCAAAAACGGCCAGAAATACAGAAATCTCTCTCATTTTCGCGCCGAGACTGTTCTGCTCACTTTTCGCCCATTATTTCCTCCTTCTTATCATTTTCGGCCGACTGTTATCAGTGCGCGCGTTAAGCTGCACCTAGTCAACACGCTGCGGGCCCAAACTTCTCACTTTACGTGTGAAAATCGACTGGAAAATGTGCTCAGATCGGTGACTGATAACATATTAAGAGGGGGAAGGAATCACGTGACACTCGACGACGTGAATCGTTTATTGCCTGGTGCACCGCATGCGGCTGCATCAATTATTCGTCAGGGCGAGAAAATGTTACAAACAGAAACAAGTTACGAATAATAATAATTACACAAACGAAATTAATCAATTCAAAAATAAACGAACGACGCGGTGGGATTCGGGATTCAGAATTCAGAATTTAATATTCAGAGGGGTTCATTCACATGGGAGTCGTCGAGTTGTAGTGCTCTCCAAGCGTGTACATCTTCTGCAGGAACACCACGCTCAGCGCCTTTTTCTGTCGGCTCAGAAACTGCCCGCCGAGCACTTCCTCGCCGCCGCCGCCGTCCTTGTACACCTGGAAAACGGAGATAAGTGGGCTCCTCTCAAATTCGGACTCACCACGATGGTTCTCTCGAAAATGTTGGCGCACGCGGTCAGCTCGACGGTTCCACCCCACTCTCCGCCCACTTCGGCCATCTGACTGACTCCTCGCAAGTAGACGTTCCACTCGTGGACAGTCGGTCCCGACGGCCGATCCGCGAAGAGCAGCGGGCTCTCGACGGCCGCTACCAGGCCGCGCCCAAAGTCCGTGTCGTCCAGGTAGTCGAGGAACTCGAGGGGATGTTCGCGCAGATACTCTGCGCACTCACGACGCAGATGCTTCACCGATGTCTGCAAAAATCGAATATTGTGGAGATGGAAGATCATGCGAAGGGTCACCTCGATTCCGACTTCCTGCAATTGATGAACGATGGAGGCGTACATGCAGTCGCCGTCGGCTGGAATCTCAACCATTTTGAGTCGCGCCTCCGTGAGCATCTGAAATCGAGTCGATTGTGAGGATTTCGGGCTCTAAGCTCACCTTCTTGATGTTCTCCTTCTCGCAGTACTTGGCCGTGTCCTTCCGGTTTGCCGCTTCCTTGTCCGCCTTCTCCGCATTGGCCATTTTTTCCGCGTTCGCCTTCCGTTTCGCCAGCTTTTTCTCCGACTTCTTCGACATTTTCAGCGACTTGTAGAACTGCTGGGCGCACGAACTAGTCGCCTCGTCGTCCTCGTCCTCTCCTTCCTCCCGTGCGGCTTCATGCGGGAGCGGGGCAGCCGACGGAGCATCTTCCGCTGGCGGTGGAGCCGGTCCGGCGGCCTCCGCCAGCTCCCGTTGATGTCGTTCTTCGAGCTCTCTTTCGGATCGCTCAATCTGCAACAGATTATCGTGATTTTCAATCGAAAAAAAACGCTCACCTCGGCATTCACTTCCTTCTGTCTTTGTTTGTTTCCGCTCTTCGCCGACTTCTTCGCCGCCTGGTTTCTGGCTGAAACCCACCAATGAACGTTTCTCATTTTGGCACAGAATCACGCGATTCTCTTCGGAAAATCATGTCTATTTAGAGGCCGAAAATTGAAAAACAAAAAATTCCTGCCTAACGCTGCGTTTTTGACCTACTCGGTAGAAATTTGTCAAGTCGGAAAGTGTAAAACTTACAAATCTTTTGGAAGCTTTTAGTAAAACTAAAATGACTACGCATTTTTCGGCGCCAATTTCAAAGAGTAAAAACATAATATTTTTAGATTTGTCCGCCGTCCCCGGGAGAATTTTCGCGAAGATTCTACGTGCCAATTAGCACAAACCTCGCAGCTCCTTCTTCTCTTTTCGATGACGTGCCAGCATCGGATTCTCATCGGATTGCTCATCGTCGGAACTCATTTCGTAGCCTAGAACCTTTGAAAAACAGAAAAAATATAGATTAAGTTTCAAAAAAGGGTAAATACCGAAAAAGATCCACTACTTTTCTACACAAAAACGATCAAATTCGAGTGGGAAATGCGTTCATTTTCTTTACATAAAAGAATTTCAATCTAATCATCACATTTTTGCAAGTTTTAAAGCACACACTGGGGGAAATTGGGGAAATAATATCGAAAAATGGTTATTTTGTACAATAAAAAGGTTATGCGGCCGTGTTGCGCAGTCCGAGCACCACTTTTTCGAGCGAACGGCCCAGTTGCCACGAGTTTTCGACAGTGTCCGCCTCGGCGTACACACGCACAATGTTCTCCGTTCCGGACGGTCTGAAACTCAGAATATCAGAGAATTTCCTCCTTTTCCGGCGGTACCTGATGAACGCGCGCGAGTTCTTGTACTTGGCGACGTCCTCGTCGATGATCTTCTGAATTCCCTCCGGCTTCACGAGTCTCTGCTCCGAATGCGTCGTCTTGAAGATGGATCTGTCGATGACGGGCACCTTGATCTGAACGTTCGGCACGTCCGTGTACAGCTTCTCCGCCCAGTCGTCCATAGACCATCCGAGATGACGGAGCACCGCCTCGACGGCCAGAAGATCGGCGAACGCGTCGCCGACGGTCTCGTTGATGACGCGCGAGAAAAGACGGAGACGGCGCAGACAGATGTTCTCGTGCGGGAACCGCCGGATGATCCGATCAAAGACCTCGCTGAAAACGACGGTTCCGTGTCCGTTCGCCTCGAAGTAGATTCCGACGTCGAAGTCGGAGGCCGCCTCGTGGAGGTGCTTCACGCCCGTCGGCACGATGATCGGCTCCACGCCCAACTTCTCGCGAATGAAGCGAGTGGAGGATCCGTTCGCGTACGCCGTCTGCACGATTCCCAGCCGGAGACGTTCCCGTGGCTGTGACTGTTCGTAGGCCCTCATCTGCTCACGGATGTACGTGGCGATCAGCACGGCGATCTTGTCCCCGTCGAAGAGTTCCGCGTCCTGAGAGTTCGGGCACTTTGAACGGAAGTAGATGAGTCGATCGGCGTCTCCGTCGAAAGAGGCGCACTTCGGATCGGATCTCGCGTCCGCCGGGAAGTTCGTCGGCAACTTCTGATTGATTTTGACAAAATCGGCGCCGCATTCGTGGTTCAGAGGTCCAGAAACGTTGCGGAATTCCACTTCTAGAAGATCCGTCGGGATGCGGGAAAGGAGATCCCGGAAGCGGGGAGCTCCGACGCCGTTGGCACAATCAACCACCAGCTTTTTCTGGTATCTGTAAGGGAAAAAGGTGGAACTAAGTATGTCACTTCAGGAATCAGCTACCAACCTGGACCCTTCGGGCTCGTCGGTCAGATCGTGCAACTCCTTGAACGCCTCCGTAATGCTCGAGTAGTATCCCTCATGCGTCGGAGCGGCGAACTGCGGCTCGTTGTGGCACTTGACGGCGTAATGGAGCATCGGCGTGCTCACCACGCCGATATCCTCGAAGGGAACGTTGAAGAGGGCGGCTCCGGCGCGGGCTGCGGCCATCAGATGGGGTCCGGACACGCGAGTATCCATTCCGCACACCACACGGGAGTTCATCGTCTTCGACACTTGGATTTGACGCTCCAAAGCACGCAAGACGGCCGGCAGCTCGGCGTCCGTGGCGTTCACGATCTCGGTCGCGTAGATCTCCCACTGCTCGTTGAGCATGTCTCCGCTGGGATCGACCAGTTTTACGCCGTTGTCCTCCGCCGGATTGTGCGAGGCCGTGATCATGACCCCGATGGCCGAATTGAGTTGCCGAGCACGAAGACTCGCCACGTACGAGCATCGGAAAACGAGGAACGGCAGCTTTTCCGCTTTGTATCGGAAACCAGCGGTTCCTATAAGAATTTCAGTATTTTCGGATCTTTCTGGCAATTTTTCCGTACCATACGAAAACTGCTCGTCGTCGCCGATGCTCTGCAGAGCGCCCGTGTGCGTCGTGTTGCCGTTGCGCGAGAATTCCGACGGTACAACGATTCCAGCCATTTCTGCAATGTTATTGTTACTTTACTGATTTTAGACGAGTTCAGCGGTGTGAGGAGTAGTAAAATTGGACGGAAAACATGGCTGATAACACTCTTATCAGGTTTTTAGGTCAATGACGTACGAAAGATCGAAAAACGGACCGAAAACGTGGGGAGGAAAGGTGGTAGAAGCGCAAAAACTTGAAGAGGGACGAGGATTTTACCCGTCCACGGTCGCGTGTACTCCCGGTGAAGAAAGCGGAAGTGCAAAAAAAGGGCGGAATGACGAGGAATTCGATGATTTTTCCTGGTCAGATGGCTGATAGAACCGGAAAAAGGGCTCGGAAAACGTAGATCAAACATGTCGATCAAAAAATATCACTTTTTTTGCAGAATTTATTTATTTTTCAGACTGAAATAGTTAGAAAAGGACAGAGAAATGAAGGCAAAGAAGATTTAACGAGAAAAAAACGCTTCTCATTAAAAATTTCTAGAAAAGGGATCACTGGAAAGGACTCAATAAATAGCTCAATTTCGAGTATACGAAACTTCTAGGAAAGGAGGAATAAGGGTAATTTAAGGGATCATTGACGAAGATCGGCTTTCCGCTTGAACTTGCTCTTCCGATGGTTGTTTCGCATGTGCTGCACCAAGTCGCCGGTCAATCTGCAAATGCACAGAATTCGACAATATCACCGGATAAAATTAAGGATTTTTTGAAATCGTTCTCTTTCGAAACTTTATGAAAAGCGGACAGGTTGTTTCGGAAACAGTGGTAAGCGCAGGAGATGTGAAAAAGTTGTAAACTAAGAAAATGTGTAAAATGTTTGATGAGTATTTCATTAGTAGACAACTTTTTGTTATCTGTTAAGGCAGCTTTTAATTAACGGCATTCAGGTTTTCGGGATCTTTGTTTTCTCAATCGAATTCTTCACAGTTTCATGAAACATTATAACATTTTCTCTGCTTTGATAAGTACTTGTTAGTTTTATACAATTATATGATATAATTTATATCTGTTTCTCTTGATCTAAAAGTTTGGAGTCATGCTAAAAAATTATTTTTCCTTTTAATCCTTTCTTTTTCCATGACAAACCTGAAAACAGCTCCACAAACAGCGCAACAGTTCTCGTTGACAACCTGATTCCCGAGCGCCGTAGCCACAATCGGATTGATCGGAACGACGGAAGCAGAGGACGTGGAGCAAGAAGAAGAAGAAGAAGTCGAAGAGGAAGACGAAGACGAAGTGGATCCGGTGGGCATCGGAATCGAGGAGATCGAAGGGATCGGAGGGGCCGGAGCCGGTGGGACCACGTGGCAGAACGTGGAGAGGAACTGTCGGCGGGCCAGTTCTTCCATTTGACGCTGCTGCTGGAGGCGGATCATCAGCGGCGCCAGTTGTAGATAGTTCTGCAAGTGTATTTGTGACAAGGTTCTTATGAAGTACTTATTGCTTGAAACGTATCAATGCCCGTTTTTACCCGTTCTGAAACCGAAAACGTACTTGGAATATCTCGGGGAAGGGCATTTGAGTGTTCTTCGCGGTGCAATCCAACGGCTTCTCGTCCGTACTTTCCTCGTCTTGAGTCTGCAGGTTGTTCGCAGGCTCTGCCTGATTTTCAGACAGTTCCGAGACTGCCGGATTCCAGATTCGGAACTTTTTGGCCACCGGACCGTCAGTCATCGTTCGCAAGACACTAAAAAAAGATATTGTCATTAATGTGAACGGAATTGTCGAGATGAGAATAATGAAGTTGAGAAACAGGACATTTTACGGTAGATGCAAACGCGCTCCACCGCATAAAGCGACATTTTGAAGCAAAATCCCCACGAAATAAGTATACTTTTAATTTCTCGTTTGTGTACCTTTTTGTACCATTTGTAATTTGACGTTTTTGCCTAAAATAACTCGAATTTCATCTGTTTTTCGAGCATTTTGTTGCTCTTACGTTATTGATCGTTTTCAAAACTTAGTTTGTCTGAAAACACTAAAAAATGCATCAAATTTTATTTTTCACCGCAAAAGTCTGGAAAGAAGAGCTCAAATTCAAGACGATCGTTTCGAATTTCAACAGATTGCCGACACCGGCTGTCAGCAATGCAATTGAATGCGCGGAAATTCAAATGAAATGTGTGTGAAGGTGCGAACCGATTTGCATACACACATCCGCCCCATTTCTACCGTATCCGTTCACTTTTCGCAATCCCTCCCAAAAAATATTTACGTATTCGCGGTGCCCAATACGGGAGTGTCGAAACGAGAGAAAGAGGAGGAGGAGGCTACGGTAGATGAATATTTATGAAGTTGCGCGGAGAAAATATGTAGAAGGATGATAATTAGATGGAGAAATGAATATGCGCGAAATGCGCGTATGATTATTCTGATTTGATGAGTCGGGCGAGGATTTATGAGCATAAACATTCGAATGCAAAGCAAAGGCTGGGGTAACAGTTTTCTCAAAATAAATCCAAATTCGAGAAGGCTATGGAACAGCAGAGTTTGAAAAGAAGTAAGGACTTTTTTTGCAATAAATTTAAAAAAACAATGTCCAGTGGAGTTAAGAATGAAAGTTGAACTCGATGAAATCCCAGTTTCACTAGGTCTTTTTGAACCTGAACTTCTTGGGAACACTTACTTCCGAGAGTTTCAAGTAATTACCATAGTTGCCACGGGCCGGGCCGGGCCGGGCCGGGCCGGGCCGAAATTTCCAAAACTCCGGCCCGGCCCGGCCCGTCGGCCCGGCCCGGCCCGGCCCGGCCCGACCCGCCCGGCCCGGTCGGCCCGGTTCAAAAAGCGGGAATTCAAAATTTGAATTATTGATCGCATGAAGCCATTTTTTTGTAGAATTAGGGGTTTTTTTGCAAGCATCGAACATTGAAAAAAACAAATGTATTTCTCATAAAAAAATTCATAATAGCAAAAAAACAAAGAAGAAACACTAAAACTTTAGTTCGAAAAATTTTTTTGTAATAACGAAAAATTTCCGCGAAAAATTTGAATTCCCGCCTTTTTGAACCGGGCCGACCGGGCCGGGCCGGGCCGGCACTTCACCGACCCGGCCCGGCCCGGGCCGACCCGGGCCGGCCCGCATGGCCGGCCCGAAATCTGGCAAGTCTGGTAATTACTGCTTCGAAAAACCGTCAAGACATGGCGGATAACTCTCAAAATAATGCAGTACTCTGTGAGCAAAGCATTCACTTTTAGATTCATGTTTCGGGTTCTCTATTTCTGAACTCTCAAAATTTACAGTTAGTATTGTAAGAATATGGCCTTAGAAACTGAACCATCCCGAAAGCCCCGGCGAAAGCAGGTGCTCCTTGCGCGTGGGCGTTAATCCGTGCTCTCATGTTCTCTCGGTCAATCTGTCAGTGTATTGAGAAGGCGAGAACGTGTTGTTTCGTGTGGTTACGCAAACGAAAAGAGTGAAACATGCGGACAGATGGCTCGTGAACGGAATTAACCACTGGTTAAACGAGAGAATAAGGTGAGTTGAGAGGACGGACACGTTACGTAATCGATGACTGGGCAGGGGCGTACGGTAAGAGAGAAAGAGAGCAGCTTAACGAGAATATCCGGTTTGAACGAGTGAACTGACAACAGAAACGGGTGGTGAGGAACGGGAAACAATATTTTCTTGTTTTAAATGAGTCACGAATAAAGTTTTCGCAATCGTAAAATATTGCGAAGCACGGTCTCCAGAGCTGACAATATGGGCGTGGCGGCCTCGGCCAAATGGCGTTTTCATGAATTGAGCACGTTTTCTCTGATTTTTGTGGTCAACGGCGATGAAAAATGATTGTTCGACATGAAAACACACTAATTCTCAGAATTAATGACGTTTTGGCGCCGCATTTTTCGCGGACTTTGCTTTTTCGCCTTCGCCGCCGATAAACCGCACTTCTCATTTTGCGCTTTCTTGACCGTTTTCAGACAGAATTGGTTTTGAGAATGATAAATCACGTAAATACAAGCATTTTGAGCGCTCGAACCGCGAAAACTACCGAAAAGCAACTGAAATTCACGCAGTTTTAGCCAAAAACCTTCAAACGGATAAATGTGATTTGCGACCTGACCAAATTTAACGCTCTTGCGCTTAAAAGATTCGTAATAGCCTATACAATTGGTATATCGAAAGACAAATGAGAAATTATCGGTTTTTCGTGGCTAATCTGGCAAAAAACACAAATTTTGCTGTTAAAATTTGAATTTCGCGCCAATGTGGGGCGCACTTGCGCCCATTGTCAGCTCTTGAGACCGTGCGAAGCGAGAATAAGTTGGATGGACAGAAAAGGTTTCAGGATCATGTGAAAAGTGTTCTCTTCGTGAATTTTCTTGTTCCGGATACTTGGAAAAGCAGAGCTCATCCTGAATACAACAATGGATTAGCATTTCAGTCATCCGACAATAGCAATGATTCACTGTTCGATTGGTGACTTTTTTTTCGTTTCTTCTCGTTTCAAATAGTACACTTATTTCTAGCTTAAAGGGCTACTAACGATGTGTACAAGGCCACAATTATATCGGTTTACTCAACGAATGTTTCAAAGTCATGATGACAACTTTTGCCGATTGTAGTCAAGAAAAGTACGGATTTTTATGGTCAGAAAAAAGTACTTTTAAGTAGAATTTCAAGAATTTCAAGGGCCAAACCGACGTGTGCTTGAGAACCACAGTGTCACTGTTTCAGATGGTCTCGATGTAACAGAATCTTACAGTTTTCGTCAATGATCGTGAATTGAAGGATACTATCAGTCAAATTTCAGAGAATCACCGTCGACGAGACAATTTCGAGAGACAAGACGGACGAGGAATGCGGAGGCGTCCAGCTGTGAATGGGCCCGAGAAGGTGTCGAATGTCTGCCGCCCATCCCGCCCATCTTTCTCAATTACCATACCTTCGAATGCGTTTCCAATATCCTTGATCGTGCTTGTTTTAGGCGCGAGAAGAAGTAATTGCAAAAGTGGAAAAACAGAGTGAACAGGGGGGGGGGATAACTCAAAAAGACGGGCGGTTTTGGGAGAAGGCGCGAAAAGAGGGCGGATTTGATTGGCGGCCGGCCGTTTCACAGCAAATGTCTCTTGAGACAAGAAGAAGAAGGAGAAGAAGAAGAAGAGGAAGGGAGCAAATGGGTTAAGTGAGAAGAAGAAGAAGAAGAGGAAGAAGAAGAAGGAGGAGGAAGGGTGCATATGTGGAAGGGAGTTATTAGGAACAAGAGCAACAGGGGGCGGAGTCTCGGGAAGTCGAAGGAACAAGCATTTTCGAACTTTCGATTGGAAACGTTCACAGTTTAGATGGAGGCCATGAAACTGACAAGGCATCAAAAGAACATTACACTCTGGTTGCGGAATACGGAATTCGGAATGTGGAATCACTTTTTATGGATTCAAATAGGAATCTCAACTTCTCGTAAAGAAACTCATCTTAGCACATTCCAAAGTACCGTCTGTCCTAGAATCCTCACTTCTCCCATGTTCTTCTTCTTCTTCTTCTTCTTCTTCTTCTCCCGGGCCTAATCTATAATTTCGGAACAATACCCTGACCGTATGCCCGTGGTTCCTTCATTCATTCACTCGAAAGCCCAACCCGTCCATTGTGGTCCCAATTAATAATAAGCGCATCTTGACGGCGAACACACTAATCGCTCCCCAGAGCACAATGATTCCAATGAATGGAGACGTCTTCAGCCAGGACACGGCACGGATATTATCGAGTTGAGCAAGTGGACAAAGTTCGGAATCAGTATGATAAAATCGAAAAACGGTAGAGAAACTGGGATCTACTTCTATTTGATACAGTGTAATGCAGTGCGACTTAAGCACAAACGATTTTCGTCCGCACTTTTATCAAACATTTGAAACAGTCAAACGTCAGCCTTGATCCACTTTTCATTTCCAAAATGTGAACCAATTCCCTCATGCTATGTTATTCCGCCACTGATTTCTTTTGGCACTGTGTCGGCAATCAGACATCAAAGGAGGCCGCTTCCACGAAGCAATAACACATTTGGATATGACACCCCTCTCGTCCGGGCCGATGTCCCTTTAAATCCACACCGCCCGCCACGCTTCTCATTTGTCATTCGGATCTCATTTCACTCGTACGACACATCGATCAACAGTTTGCATTGGGTGCTTATGATTATTTGGACTGACATTTGGAATAGGGAAACGGCCAGAGATCTCAATTTTATTCGCCACAAATTTGGTTTTCGCTTTCAGAAGTGAAAGAACGCGGGTTTACTTTTATTTCTGCACAAAAAGCTTCTCAAAATGACAGTGTAAACAATTTTAGCGCAAGGACATAATACAATCTGAAAAAAGCATTCGATTACCCGAAAATGCCAGTTTTTCCAAAGTTTTTCCGGTCGGAACACTTTCAACATTTTTCGACTTCCTACCATATTCTTTAAAGGCGCACAGCAAAAGTTTTCGGCCTGTCTCGCAACAAAATACGTTTTTAATGCTTTTCCCGCATTTTTCTCGTTTTCAGAGTTTTCTTTCATAGAAAAATAATGTTATCCTCTGAAAATGCAGAAAAAGTAAATCGGCATCTAGTTTTAGTCGAAAAAGTTCTGAAGAAACGAAAGAAAACTGAAATTGCAGATTTTTTCATTATGAATTAGAATACGAGAAGTCAAGAACAAATACTTTTGCGAGTTTTTCAAGTTCTCAAGCCACTCCGAAATCTCAAGATATCTTCGTCAATGAGAAACGTCTCGTCAGAAACGACAACAGCGTCCCTTTGAAACTTGACAACACTGAACACCGTTTTTCATTTCGGCTTGTACTTGTCATGTCCCAGTCTTGTAAAACGGCAGCGTACCGGTAGAGCTGGAAATCGATAATGAGACCTTTTCTGAAAAATTAGAAAATACTCATGAAAAAAAAGGCGCCGATGCGACACCGAATTGATGGGAAGGCGGGGTCGAAAATCGATTTTTCGAACGAAAAAAGCGAAAATTATCGATTTATTGATAACATTCTAATTGGACAATAAAAGCGGGAAAACAATAGCCTAGGTAACAACCGAAGAAGACACTCGAACGGAGTAACAATGAAAAGGGCAGGCTGCGAACAGAGCTAACAGGAGCTTTGAGAATTCGAACCTATATGGAAGGGAATAGTACAAATATGGAAGCGAAAAACAATGACACGGCCGTAATAACAAAACAAAAAACAGATAAATGGGACCGATGAGTGAAGGATACTAAAATCCAAAGAGAAAAATGGGTCAGCTCACAGGGAGAGAAAATGAAGAATGAAAAGACTGTAGAGGAGCAGAGAGGAGAAAAAATGATGGGACAGAACAACAGATGAATCCGGCAGAAGCATGATCAGGTAGCCTGGCGTTTGCGCGAGTGCTGGAAAAAAAGGTATATAAATGATTGAGTGGTATTCCGCAATAGTATACTTACAGTTCTCGGTTTCCATCTGTCGGCGACCTGGCCGTCTCCACTTCCAGGAAGGAATTGAGCGTTTCTCACGTCACATCTGTAACGATATAGAGTTGCAGTGCTAAGATAGCACATTCCAGCGACTTACAGTGCCTTTCGAAGTTGGTATCGGAACGTGCAGGTCAAGAAGGCTTCCCGCGCCTTCGAATACATTTGGAAGACATCTTTTAGACTTCGGGAACCCTTATATGCCTTGAGACATCGCATGTTATCGTGCTCCTCGGGAGAGTAGTCGCGGTCGTCCAGTTTAGAGTCTTCCAGGAGAAAGAATTCAAGGAAGAACTCTGTAATAAGTCAAAAGTTATTATAATGTAGCGTTGAGAGAGTCATTTACGTTTCAGATTCTCTTTGAGTCCTTCGGGGAACTTGTAGAAGGTGCCGTGCGCAGTATTGTTCGAATCTTCTGGCTCGTCGATATCTTGAAGTGACACTTTTTGAATGTCAGCCGGCGAGGAACAGCTCTGCAAAAGGGAGTGGATAATCTCATTTAATGTTCTATTAATCACTCTTTGTAGCAGCTCCACAAGGGCTTTTTTCAAATAGAGGTGAGGCGTACACTTCGCGGTGTATTGCGGTAGCCATTTCATGTCGAATTGTTCGTTCTGAAGTGCTTATTTTTAACTGGAATACTATGTATGAGGTTACTGAGAAAGGTGTCATCCCTCCGAAATTGAACTGAGATCGCACGTATACTGCTCCGTGGGCCGGCACGACGTCGAAGGAATTCGACATGGCTTCGATAGTCCTGATAGTTGGCTGCTCTCTGATTTCGGACATCTGCTTCTGGAATTCATCAATATTTCAGTTACGCAATACGCTCGCCGGTTTACCCAAAGATTATTAGCCAGATGTGAGTTATGAACGTAATCAGTGGATTGGAGCTGCTCTATCGTCGGAAGTCGCGTAGTGACCCTGCGGGCATATTTACGGGCAAATAGAGCCACTTCCTCTTGCGTCTCCTCTTGCGGAGCGCAAAGCAGGCTTCTACCGATGATAGCGCCAGCAGTGTACTCGCACAACTTTCCTTGGTGTACAGCATGCTTCACAAGAGCGTCTGAAATCGTATGCGTTTTCCATTCCTATATACTCTTGTACTACTCACTGATAGTCCACTGTACTGCTGGTTGGTATTCCGGAATACCTGTGCTTACAATAGCATCGGGAGGCGGACGAGGTACAGTCGGGTATTGTTGATGGGTAGGAGCGGCGAGCTGATGAGGTACTCCCGCTCCACCTTGGCATTTGTGATGTAGCGGACCTTTAGGCGGGCTGGGGAACTGTGGACAAGCAGGCGGGGGAGACAGTTGGGCCGGTTCCGTTGGGTTCTGGTGTGTCTTCTTCGTTTTGGGCCTACCGCAACTATGGCAGAAGTATAACTGCTCTCGGATGACGTTTCCCCTCACGCGATTCATCAGCGACTTCACATCGGCATACTGAAATGTAGAATTTGAAGAAGAGGTATAAAACCTGTTCATTATTACTCACATTAAAGCGCGGCGGGCAATCGTATAACAGCATCATCATACTTTCCAATCGCGCAACGGTCTTCTCCGATAGTTTCTCCTCGATGATGAATAGAGCGTATGCGCGGAGTACGGGATCTTTTCGCCGCTCTTCCCAATAATTCCATTGTTCCCCTTCATTACATCCATTTCGGTCTTCGAAGTGTTCGCCTTCTACTCGAATTCGGTCGTCACACTCGTTGATATCGATTGGTTGGAGCTCAACATCGTGTTGCTCTTCGCGTCGGCCCGTATCCTCCTGCACACCGTCTCGATGAAATCCGTGGCCATTCTCCCGAGAGACGTTGTGCATTCCTGCAAATGAAACTTTGTTATCATCTTCCGTGTCACTAATTCTCATTCAGCAATGTCAAAAAAATGAAAAGCACGCAACACATCCACTATTTTTCTCATTTTTCATTTTTTAGATCGCCGAGTACCGCCCCGCCATTCAATGTGTTAATTCGAATAATTGCTCCATTCGAATTTTTTTCGAATCGAATTCGAATCAAATTCGAAAAAATTTGAAAAACTTCGAATTTTTCCGAAATGTTTCGAAAAAATTCGAATTTGCACTGTCGCAATTGTATATTGTATCAAAGCGACTTACTAATGTCTGGTTCTCGATATCCTGGCGGCAATTCCATCGCGAACACGAGTGTGAAATGTGGCAGAACGTGTTCAAAATTCGTCGTGAAAGTGCGCCAGCGAATTGTGCGTCAGCACTGCTCTGTTTGCAACGCGCCCCCCATTTCGGCGCCGGCGCCGATGCGGCGCCGAAATTGCCCCCCAAATTCGGCGCCGGCGCTTATGTGGCGCCGACCGACGGCGCCGAGAATTTTATTATCGAAAATGGCAGTGAATAGGAATCGATCGACTGTTCGAGAACTGTCTGAAACAAGGTTATTGAAGCTTTAAAATTCAGTGCAAACCTTGCGTTTCTCGAATTCAATGCAATCAATAATAAGGTTGGCTCTCAAGTGAAGTTCACGGAATCCAATCGAGTATGAGGATAGAGTGGCTGTGAATTTACCGATCCATTGAAAATTGAAATCTACTAAATTAGATACGATTCGCGAAATCTCATGTGAGAAATAATCGATTTATATGATGGATAGGAAAAGGTGCGGACGGGCATTGCAATGCAGACTGAAGGGACACTCGGAGAAGGACTCTGAAGAGATCTCAGGGACGAGTCGATGTAGAAAACGAGAACTGTCTAAAGTAAATAATCGAACACGAAAAAGGACTTTGCTCTGTTTCACCTCCCTATTGAAACGGTCATTTTCAACTTGTTAATCGTTTCAGCGGTTATCGTCCAAGGAAAGCAGTTCCCATTGGTCTTCCAGGGGGTTCCACGGGAGTTCCCATCCATAAACCGATCCGTTCTCATTCCCAATCCCCTCCGAATGGGAAACTGATTCGATTTGCACTCCGCTCCCCCCCATAAAAGAGCCCTGTTCTCCCCGTAGTTTCCTCTCACTCCATCTCGAGATGCTTCTCCTTCTCTCCTTATTTCTCTTCTTCTCCGTGTCGCCCGTTGCTGCCCAATACGACGTCTTCACTTTCAACGTGACAATGATGTGTCGGCACGAGGTGCAGTTCACCTACGACGCCACCTTCAACATCCGCTACGAGGAGCCGGACCGTCCGATCCAGTACGGCGCCATCGGCTCCGTGAACAGTGTCGGAAACGCCGGCTTCAACCGCTTCGTCGTCTCCGGATTCTTCGAGTTCGAGCTGTCCAGGGCGCCCGTCTGGGAGCCCATCGCCCGCATCAACCACAATTGCGTGGCGAAGGGCGTCAAGAAGTACAAGAAGATCATGCTGAACTTTGCAAGTGTTCCGGCCGTCCGCAAGAAGGTCAACTACGTCTACAAGTTCCAAATCGACATCACCGATAAGGAAGGAAACTTCCTGCCGGAAGCCGAGATCACTACTGCCTGAGACATATTGTATGGTTGAATAAACAGCGTGAGAAAATCGAGAATTTAACAAGATTTCATTAAAAGTCAGATAGATGAAACAGTGAAAATGATAATAACCGGAAGTTTATAAAGAGGAGATTAGCTGGAAGCCACTAGAAGTCTATCTGGTCTTAATACAGAAACACCTTATCAGAAGCATGACTCCGAACGCGGAAAGAAAGAATCCCATGAGGAATTTGAGCTGGAAGTTGTCGGAAATCGGAGGAATCATTCCCGGAACGAAGATTTTGCAGTTTCGAAGCGGCACGGCGGGCATTCTGTCGACGAGCACGAAGTGGATCGGAACGTCCGTCGCCGCCTGATGATGCGGTTGCGATTTGGCGACGACGAAGAGACGGTCGATCGACCAGGAGAGAGGGAGTTCGAATTGGTTGGGCATTGTGAAGAAACATCTGAATTTGAGCGTGTCAAAGATCAATAAAACAACGGGTGATACCATCCCCAATACCATCCATTCAAGACGATATATCTCAGTTGTCTGTAGAGATATCAGGAAGTTGTCAACTAATAAAATGCTTCTTTAAATATTCTGAACGTTTTATCTGTTGACCACATTTTGATATCTCCACAGGCAGCTGAGATCCACAACTTTCCAATTGCGAAATGAGAAGAAACAGAATCGACTCGGGACGACACGGATCTTCAACACTTTTCCGAAACAGAGATCATTTACTCACTGCGGACACTGCTCGCAAGTGGTCACATAACTCGCGGGTCCAATGTGTAATTTGTTGAACTTTGGAATCTTCCGCCGAGAATCACACAACTGCAAGGATATTGTTTTATCTTAAAATTGTCTTAAAACTAGGAAAAAAATAACTTGTTCATCGGAAAGAAGTCGAAAGTCGAGGAGAAGCGGTGAGGGACCGTCTATCGGCGGGATTACTGTCACTGGCGACGAGTAGTTCGAGCATTCGATCTTTCGGTTCTGGAAATTATGAGAACTTTCAAATACTTCCGACGTAAAACAGATCCTTATAAGCCAACAAAGCGAAATAATGTCATTTCGTCGATACAGTAAACTTTACTCACCACTGAAGCATCGACCAAATTCCGATTCAAAACGATCAATAATAACAGTAGGAGGAGGCTCAAAAAAGACGGCCTTTTCATGTCGAATAATAATAGTCGTAATCGTAATAACGATGATAATGAGCACACAAACATAAAAGAGGCCTTCTCGGAATACGAGTATCCGCCCCTCTGTAATTGAGCTCATTTCTCCGCTGCTTCTCGCATTTTGAAGTGAGGAGAAAGAAGGCGGAGGAGAAGAGGGGCACCAGTGACTATCATGGGTTCATTCAAAACAATCGTCACTGTAAATATGTATGGGGGAGGAACTTTGAGATCTTCGGGACATATGTACTCAAGATTTCGGATTCATGAGTACGACTTGAGGACACCAGACAGGCACGTTCCGCTTTTCAAACAGCTTAAAATTCCCATGCTCACAATCAGTTCGGACCGAGTACGAAGAATGACTTTATGTAACTTTCGGAGCTCTGTTGAAGTAGCTTGAGCGTCATCAATTCTTTACTGACAAGAATTCTCTAACAAAAGTTTCCCTCTTTCTATTAGAAAAAAACGAGAATTCTTCAAAAGAGTGCTCTCATTTCGTCGATTTCGCCTTTTTCGGCGAGTCCAGATTCGCCTCGTTTCCCGTGATTTTCGCGTATTCGCACGCCTCCGTGTTGCGTGGCATCGACTTTAGAAGTCTGCACAAATCCGAGATTTCCTGCTTCACCTCTGTCCGAATGTACACCTTCAAACAGATTCGGATTGACGGACCAAAAGCGACTACGGACCTCATTGTCGAACATGGCGTTCACGATATCGTCGATTTTCGTGTTGTCCAGCTCGAAAGCGGCGGCCAAATGCGGAGAGAATCGGAAGAACGGGACCTCCATCGAATGGGCCCACTCGCGCGATTGGCCGACGTGCACGTTGTGCGAAGTGGTGCATTGGTAGAGGAAAACGGTGATGAGGTTCTTGGCGCTGGCGATCCAGTTGCCTGTGATGCCCGTGATCGCGTTCGTCATGTTGATGTCGATGCCGTTGATCGGACACGACGGTTCGATGCCCGTTCCGATTGAGATCACGCATCCTATCTCGTCGCTGTTCTTCTGAAATCGAAAACGTTCTATTGGCCTCAAAAGCTCTCGACTTTTCCACGATAATTCTCAATTTTCTTGAGCTTCGCAAACTCGGTCATCGCCATAATGCACGGATTATTGCAGAATATCGCGCCGTCGGCCATTCCGTTGAACGATGAAAAATAGACGGGCGCCGCACTGAAATCGATACGTCAAGGACTATTGTGAGCAGAGGGAAAACTGACGACGTGCACCGGATAGCCTTCCACAAAAGGACTCGGTCTGGCTTGAAATAGCCGAGTTGCTCAAACTCCTTCGGGTCTATTCGAGGGGCGTAGGAGCGGAAGAGAACAAGTTGCGGAGGCGCCAGGGTCACTTTCGCAGTTGTCACCACCAGTCTGAAATTGAGTTTGCAGGAATTTTTAGAAACATTTTCTACGCTTCGCAGCTTTAGTTGTCTCGAACTGCCTTTTCCAATAGAAATACATCTGAAAGCACGAGAAAAAGCAAAAGTTGATAATTTTTTTTCCGTGAACTTAATTTACGTAAAAGTACCACCAATCAATCAGTTGAAAATTTCATTGTCTAAATTCATGCAAACTTGAAACCGCCTTTTTTAAAGCTGAAATTGCGAGTGCTTCTCACCGATGCGCGGCGATGTTTCCGATCGGCGTCTTCGGTCCCATCACCTCTTTGAGGACCGTCTCGATGCCGGCGGACGAGTGTCTCGGGAACATTGACGAGTTTCCGCCGAAGATTCGCTTCCGCACGACGATGTAAATGCGGAGTGCGTCCGGGAGGTTTATGCCTGAAATCGGTCAGAATAGGTGATGCTAAAACGGCATTTAATTCCGAGGGTACAACAATTTTGGGGCACAACAGGGTACAACCTATTTTGGGGTACAACTTTTTTAATTTTGGGGTACAACTTCCCCGATTTTAGGGAATAATTTCTGTCAAGTATTTTAGGGTACAATAATTTTAGGGTACAACACTTTTAGGGCACAACTAGCACATAATTTCAGGGCACAACTTCTTACAATTTTGGGGCACAACAACATGATTTTAGGGTACAACACTTTTTTTTCTCATTTTTTTGTATTTTCTTGCATTTTACTACAAACCCATATTCTTTTTTTATACCAATATTTCGCTGATTTTTTTATTTCAATGACTCATCTCTTGTAAGAGAACCAGTCTTTCGACTCGTGCTTTCTGCGGCAGTTCACACATTTTGTTTTTCATCAAATCGTGAGGTTATTCAAAACCTTTTATTGCAAAAAAAAGCATATGACAGTAACAAGTTGAGCACAAATGAACGGATCTGAAATAAAGAGTAGTTAATCTAGTCTATTGTCTATTGTTTTCTTGCAGTAGAGGTTTTAGTGCACCACAAAATATGCTCCCAAGGGAAGCCTTGATCCTATTCTCATAAACCCGCCTTATTAATAGAGCTATTTAAAACCCAGATTAACTACTCTTTATTTCAGATCCGTTCATTTGTGCTCAACTTGTTACTGTCATATGCTTTTTTGCAATAAAAGGTTTTGAATAACCTCACGATTTGATGAAAACAAAATGTGTGAACTGCCGCAGAAAGCACGAGTCGAAAGACTGGTTCTCTTACAAGAGATGAGTCATTGAAATAAAAAAATCAGCGAAATATTGGTATAAAAAGAATATGGGTTTGTAGTAAAATGCAAGAAAATACAAAAAAATGAGAAAAAAAAGTGTTGTACCCTAAAATCATGTTGTTGTGCCCCAAAATTGTAAGAAGTTGTGCCCTGAAATTATGTGCTAGTTGTGCCCTAAAAGTGTTGTACCCTAAAATTATTGTACCCTAAAATACTTGACAGAAATTATTCCCTAAAATCGGGGAAGTTGTACCCCAAAATTAAAAAAGTTGTACCCCAAAATAGGTTGTACCCTGTTGTGCCCCAAAATTGTTGTACCCTCGGAATTAAATGCCTGCTAAAACACAAGTTAAAAACCGGGAAAAAAAGAACAGAAAACCTCATCAGTATTCGCTCACCGACGCTCATCGAGCTGGCCATGATTCCGCCGCAACTCGTGCCGGCCACCCAGTGAACTCTCTGCCGGAGCGGCTCTCCGATTTCCCGTTCGATCGCCATCAGAATCTAAACGTCTTCTGTCTTCTCAATATTTCTGGGAGTCAGCTCAGACCGAGCACTGCAGAAGCACGCGTAATCCGCCGCCGTCGAGGCTCAGAATCACTTTCTGATTCTGATTGCTCTCTTTGATTTTCTCGATTTTCCGGTCGATGAGCAGCTTGTTGAATGCCATGTGGTGGCTGTCGACGGTGCTCCGAACGGCCGTCAGACTCGATAAATCTCGCTTTATCCTGCATAAAAATTAAGTTTTTTCCCGTGAATTCATCCGTTTTTACATCGGATCTTCAGTCATTTCCACCGCCGTTTTCCCCTCCTTATTCTTCAGATTCCACAAATCCAAATGCGGAGCGAATACGCAAAGCGCTCGGCAAAGAAGGCGTCGTTCTGAAAATACCTGTACTTTCTGAAGAAACATTTCTGAACCACTTTACTTTGTTTGGCGGCCAAATGCAACGCCGTATTTCCATTTTTGTCCCTGATGTCAAACTGTTGGTTTCGCACAAACGCACTGAAAACGTTTCCGTAATCCAGATGGAAACTTTCAGAAGACTCACGCAATGAGCCCCTCAACATTGTCATAGGTGACTGCGTGGAATATGTCAATGTGACGCTAGAAAGCGAGGAGTTAGTCAATAACACAAAATTCGAAGTACCTTGTATATTTCATGAGCATTAATTCTTCTTAAAACATCAGAAAACATCTTAGTTTGATTTGGGTCGTCGGGGGAACGAATGGGCGGCATATTAGGAAGATGTGCGCGAACGGAGAAATAGTGTTATCGGGAAACGAGCTTTTCAGTGATGGACTGAGAGGTCATGGGGACACAGAGGAGCAGTTCACTGAGGAAATTGTCATAAGATGGGGAAAATACACGTGAAAGTCACATTAGCAACTAAAACTATGCGACGCTCACGCGTCAAGGAGAATACAATCAGAAGATGTTCGTATGAAACTGTTGAAGAAGAACAATTGAAATCGCGTGGACCAGAGCGAAAATGCACATAGAGTAGCGGTAACAGTGGGACAAAACACTGAATTCGATCGAGTTCTCATCAAAACCTTGAGAATACAATTAGAAGATGACGCCGTCGTCCGAGTCGATGATGACGATGGCGTCGTTGGGTCCGCCCAGCGTAACCTCGTAGCCCGTCTCCGTCTGCGATACCATCACTCCGTGTTCATCGTACGTTGTCTTCGTCTCGAACACGTACATTTTGTCCAACGGAACCTTGGGCGGCCCTGCCGGCTTTACTGGTTTCTCTAGTGCCGGTTGCTGGAAAAATGTGAAATTGGAACCTTCGAAACTTTTTTGAAGCTCTTACCGGCAGCGCAACCTCCTCGTACATTTCCTCCACGCCATAAATGAACGGCGACAGCGCTGCGATCAGCTTCTGCATCTGGGGTTCTGGCGTCGGCCGTCGGTTCATGGAGTCCTGGCCAATAGAGGCCGATCCGCAGTACGCTCCCGGATTGCGCACCATGCGTCCTGACCGACGAGCACCTCCACCATTATTCCGAGGGAAAGGAGCTGTAGTCCGCGGAGATGTCATCGGGGTCATGAGCGGTCCAGGCAACGCTGAAAACTCAAAGACATAAAAACAACATCCTCCGAAAACTTTCGAATTTCACTCACAGCGCTGCTTCTGCTGGACGTTTCCGTTTCCAAATCGGCTTCCTCTCGCTCCATTCCGATTCGTCGCTGGCCGGTTCCGGTCCCTCTGGCGACTGCAGTTGTTATTGTTGAACGAGTTAGGGCTGCCTGCGAAAAACAACGATTCTCTTCAATTTTCGAGTAATTTCCGGCCTCACCGCGCGAAGTTCCTCTCGATCTGTCGTTATTTACCGTCCCCGATATCATTTTTTCTCCGTCCGCGCGTGAATCGGCTGAAAAAACGCATTTTGCGCCGCAGGAAATCAGAAAATTTAGGCAGAAATAGAAGTTTCTAGGCGGCGAAACACTTTCAAGGCGCATCGCCTCGAGACGCGACCGATATTTTAATGCGTGCGCCTTTAAAGTACGGTACATTTCGCCGCGTTTTTCTCCATCTCCAGCTCTTTGCAACTCCACGAAGTGTGCCGTTGTCCGCAGGCGACACAACCTGAAATAGTTTTTCTGGTCAATTCAGTGCATGTTTTCCCGGGACTCACTGAGGGATAGCGTCGACTTTGTGCGGCCGTTAGTATTGTCAGTGTGCATATTTACCTGCAATCCACGTTTGTTTAGTAAAAAGGAAAGGTTTTTATGGAACATCCGCGTGGACAGACTGCACGGTTTTGCCACGACCAGATAGGCCACGCCGTATCTTTCGACGCCCTTTTCAGAGGCACTGTCTCCCCAATAGCTAATGCTAAATTGAGCGCCACGTTAAAACGAAGTGTCGTTGAAAACAAAAGCAGGTCTGAAATTTCTGGATTTTTTTCCGAAAACCCGAAATTTCATCCGAAAATGAGAAAAATGAAGTAAAACAGAGAATTTCAGAATTGTCAATGACAGCTGTGACCTTTTAAATTAGCGTTTTGCCCACAAGAAAGCGCGCATTATTAAAATGAATTTCTCAGTGATTTTTGCATTTTATGGGCCGTCTCTGTGCTCAAAATGGCCGGTTTTGTCTGCTGAACAATCGTGAGGCAAATGTTTTTTGATTCTGTCAACTGTTTTCTCAAAACTTCCGAAAGTTCGTTTTTTCAAGCCAAATTTAAAAAACGAAATTACTCTTCGAATTTTCACTTTTACACGAGCACTCTGTGATCGTTTTGTAGCTATCGGTTATATGAACAAACGTGGGGCAAAATTTTTTAAGGAAAACTGCATAATCCCAAAAACTCGGGAAAACACCATTTTCAGTTGAAACACCGTATCCCGTAAATCGACACTGAGAGCCGCACGCAAAAAAGCGCGCGAAAATTTTTTTTCGCCGAAGAGGAGACAGTGCTAGAAAAAGACGAAATGTATTCGCGCGCATTCAAATTGAGAGTGCGCGACGCGTCGGTCAGGCAAGGCAAGGTGCACGAGGAGAAAAAAGCATAGTTGCCACGGGCCGGGCCGGGCCGGGCCGGGCCAAAATTTCCAAAACTCCGGCCCGGCCCGGCCCGTCGGCCCGGCCCGGTCGGCCCGGTTCAAAAAGCGGGAATTCAAAATTTGAATTATTGATCGCATGAAGCCATTTTTTGTAGAATTAGGGGTTTTTTGCAAGCATCGAACATTGAAAAACAAATGTATTTCTCATAAAAAATTCATAATAGCAAAAAAACAAAGAAGAAACACTAAAACTTTAGTTCGAAATTTTTTTTTGTAATAACGAAAAAAAATTTCCGCGAAAATTTGAATTCCCGCCTTTTGAACCGGGCCGGGCCGGGCCGGCACTTCACCGACCCGGCCCGGCCCGAAATCTGGCAAGTCTGGAAATAAGAGAACGAGTCCTCTTCTCGGAAGGGACGGACCGTCGAGGGAAAGACCGCAACGCATCCGAACTACGCACTTGTGTTGGTGGCCGGGCAGGGACCGTTCAAGAATTTCACACTTTCCTGACGCCTCGCAACCAGATATTCGCAACTCGGGACACTTTGAAACTAGCTTACTTCCGTTAAAAAAGCCAGCCCTTCAAAAAGTCCTCATTTTTCCAAAAAAGACAAGTTGGCCCGTCCGAATTCCTCCTCGAAATGTTGCCAACGTTCCCCCATTTGTCTCCTCGTCGGCCTTGTCTGCGTCTCTCGTGCGCGACGAATCGATATTATGCACACTGGCTCTGGGCTCCACCACCACGAAACCACCTTTTATACTGGATGGTGTGGGCGCCTCTCGTCGTCTGCGTCTCCTCCGCCACTTCCTCTCTCGTCCCCGATTACTTCTTCTTCTTCTTCTTCTTCGTCTTCTTCTTCTTCTTCTTCTTGCCTTCCTTCCGATGACCCTTTTATACTTTTAGTACACTTTTCCCTTATCCTCTCCATCCATCCGCTGCTTTCAGAATTGACTCCAGTACCGTCTAGACCAGTTTTTCTGCCTCTGAAAAATGCAGAAATTTCCTGACTACTAGTCGAGTGGCGAATGGTGGAAATCATGAAGAAAGCGTCGAAACAGGAAACCGTAAAGGCAAGAGTTTTGCACTTTTTTGTTTGCACCTGTGCTCAAAAGGGGTAAGAAAAGGGGAAAAGAAAAGACAGCTGGAAATGGATTTAGACTTTTCAAAAGTTTTTGACTAGTCAGTCTATGTATAGAATGCAGGTAGAATTCAGTCAAAAAGTGAGTTTTTCTATTCACACTTGGACCTTCATATCTCAAGAACCAAACATGCTCTCAAAAAGTGTGCTCAACTGAAAAGTTTTTGCAAATTTCGTGCTCAGCAACTTTGTAATTGATCATATTTTCCGGTTCACGACCAAACCCTCTCAACCATGTAATTAGGCGGCGGGACGAAAAGTGCAAATAAGAAGTATTATACTTATTGTTTTCAGGTCATTGTCAGATGCCGACCGTTGTCGTCACAAGAACTCGGAAATGGACATTCAAAGTGAGTGGGGGGGGAGGATTACTGTAAAAATGGATTACAATCTTTGGGAAAATACTTTACTAGTAAGACCCAAAAAAGATTCTTCCACACAACGGCCAGACCTTTGTTTTTTGACTTTCAAGATACCATTCTGAAACTGTGAACTCAAATTCTAGCTGAATTCACAGTTTCAAGGTCTTCATAAAATGTGTGAGAATCGGGATTAGACAAGTTTTTCTCTTTTTAGAATAGTGAATATGCGAACGCAACGTGGCCAAATCGAATTGAAGAATCCGAAAGAACAGGACGAGCCGACGAAGGACTTCACTTTCGACGCGATCTACGACGAAAAGTACGTGTTTTTGTGGATGCGTCTAGAAATCGCATTGCAACTATTGACTGTTTCATCAATGTCTGAAAATGGACTTTGAGAGGCTGTCTCTGCTTACCCTCTTAAATACCTCCTGCTGAAATTTACGTTTTACTGACAACCAGATAGCTTGAAATTTCCGCTCTTTTCTTAGCTGAATCGTGCTGCCTACACTTTCTAGGATTACACTTTAGTCAAGAAATCATTTCTCCCCGATATTTCTCATTCAAATGTACTCATAATGATTTCAGTTCGACGCAATCGGACCTGTACGAAGAGACGTTCCGAGATCTCGTGGACTCGGTCCTCAACGGCTACAACGCGACAATCTTTGCGTACGGCCAAACGGGAACGGGCAAGACGCACACGATGGAGGGCAAATCGGAGGATCCGTCGCAGCGCGGAGTCATCTACAAGTGCATCGATCACATTTTCGAGCACATGGCCGCCTCGCACAATCAGGAATACCTCGTGCGCGCGAGCTATTTGGAGATTTATCAGGAGGAACTGCGAGATTTGCTCGAGGCCGAGTCGAACAAAAAGTTGGAGATTAAGGAGAGGCCCGACGGAGGCGTTTATGTGAAGGATCTGACTGTGAGTCGTGTTAGTTTTGGGCGGCAACTATTGTATTTGTGTGTTTTCAGTCGAAGCTCACTCGATCGGTGGCGGAGATCCAAGAAGTGATGATCAGAGGGAACGCACATCGGTCTGTCGGGTAAGTTGCTGAAAACTAGATGTGTTGTAATATCAAATGATCCTTTCAGCCGAACGAACATGAACGAACACTCGTCGCGCTCCCACGCCATCTTCATAATCACCGTCGAGTGCTCGCGGGTCGGCGGAGACGGAGAGAGCCACATCACCGTCGGCCGCCTGAACCTCGTCGATCTCGCCGGATCGGAGAGGCAGTCGAAGACGGGCGCGACCGGCGAACGCTTCAAAGAGGCCACGAAGATCAACCTGTCCCTCTCGGCCCTCGGAAACGTGATCAGTGCGTTGGTGGACTCAAAGTCCGCGCACATTCCCTATCGAGACTCCAAACTGACCAGACTGCTCCAGGATTCGTTGGGCGGAAATTCGAAGACGGTGATGGTCGCGTGCATCGGACCGGCTTCTTATAATTTTGAGGAGACGCTGGGCACTTTGCGATACGCGAACAGGGCGAAGAACATCAAGAATCAGCCGAAGATCAACGAGGATCCGAAGGACGCGCTGCTCCGCGAGTTCCAGGAGGAGATTGAGATGCTCCGCGAGCAGTTGAAGAACCGGAAGAACCGCACGAAAGGCGGCGGCACTCAGAGTTTCTACGACTCGGAACGGGCCAAGCTGGAGGACGATATCGAGGCGATTCAGAAAGACGATTCCCTCATAAAACAGGAGAAAGAACGGCTGATCCGGGAGGTGCAGGAGAAGCACGCACTGCTGGAAAAGGAGAGGATGGAGCAGGCGAGAGTAGCGGAGAGGATTGCCAACATCCAGAGCCGGCTGATTGTCGGAAGCGATGAGGACGGGCGGCTGGAATCGCGGACGAGGGAGCAGCACGCGGAGTTGGAGCACAAGAGGAGGGAGCTCGCGGAGCAGAAAAAGCGGGAACGCGAGATGGTGGAGGCACTCGAGCGGCAGGAGGAGGACACCGTCGATCTGAGACAGACCTTCTCGGATCTGCGGTCGGAGGTCGAGGCGAAGTCGAAGAAGTTGAAGAAGATGATGCTCAAGTTAAGACAGGTCAGAGCCTCTTTTACTGTTGCAGAAATTGCAAAAAGGCTGTTTGAATAAAAAAAAACAGTTTATTAGGGAGTATTATTTTAAAACAATTAGTATGGAAGACACGGCGATCGAGCTCGTTCCTCTTTTTCGGACTTTTTCTTCTCCGCTTCCCGCTTGATCAGCTCCTTTTTCATCTTCCGCTCGCTCTTTGTAAAATCCTTCCGTCGCTGTCGCTCCCTTGTCAAATCTAGCAGCCTGAAAAGTGATCGTTTAGAGTTCGAATAGATTGATTGAGTGGAAAACTTACGAGGGGAGCCGAATGACTGTTAAAAGGGAGACGACGTAGGCGCCTCCCTTGTCCTCGACGATCACTTCGTCGCCTTTGATCTCCATGTTCTTCGTGAGCCGCAGTTTGTCTCTCATGGAGAACTTTTCGTTGAACCGATACTCGCCGGCTCTGAAAAATGGCACATGAAACAAGGAAAAAGCGGGGTGAAAACTAACCGTTGGGGCACGATGGTCAACGCGGCCAGAACCATTTGGCCGTCGTAGAGAACGGCCTCATCATCGGCGAGGACGTCGATTGCCGCGCGGACGGCATCGGCGGATCCGTTGAGGGCACTTGGAACCAGCGCGCGCGGGTACATCTTGAATGTTATCTAAATATCGACAATTGAAAATTGAAAATTGAAAAATGCAAAATCTCAAATCTTCTCGCAACTGTTCCAATTCACAATCAAATGCGAAATGTCTCAGTTGCGAAAATGGTACTCAACAGAAAGTTGTGAGCAATGTTGTGCAATGACTCTGTACCAATCCTTTTTATATTCGCAAAACGCAGCTCGCTCAGCCCTTTTGTCTGAGAAATCCTCTACAAATGCGTCTAGTACCTCTCCTTCTCCACGTCTTCAATCGGCGGGGGACGGATCTCAAAAGAACAATGATGGAAGGCGGAGGTTCAGGGACGGACCGCCACGTCAGCCGAATGTGATCTTCTTGGGACTCACTGGCGTGGGAAAACTCTAGTTGCGCAAAAAACGGAAGCATGGAAATAGTGCTTTGGAGCAAATGATTATCAGTTTATTCTTCTCAGCTAATGCTTCCAGAGCGGGCGAATCCAAATCAAGTTTTGGCCGAAACTTGCCGTTTGCAGACTCGAAACGACATCCGCGACTTGTCCTCCGACTTTTCCGACGAACGTCAGGAGATGGATCAGACGATCACGGAAGTGAGCAAAGAGCTCAAGTTGAAGTGAGTTTCGAATAGGAAAACCTCTTTTTCTCGCTTTTTTCCCGCCAGATTCCGATTGTAACACGATACAATTCGCCCGTATTCTCTTTCTTCTCCTCAACTAATTCATTCATTTGCATTCAATTTTCAACGTTTCAACGACACTCCCTTCATCTCATTCACTTTCTATTTCAGATTGCTAATAGTCGACAACTTCATTCCGCGTGACGTGAGCGAACGAATCAAAGACCGTGCCGAGTGGAACGACGACGAATCCACGTGGAATGTGAAGTCGTTCCAGTCCACTTCCACGTCTTCTACTCCGGTTAATGGTCAGTTTCAGTAAGATATTACTTAAGATAGTTAGTTAGCAAAAGTAATGTTGTATGTTTCAAATGTATCGGATAGTTGAAACCGGCATCCGTCTGTTCAATTGCATACATTATTTGTTTGAAACAGGAAATTGTTTGTTCCCTCGTTCACCACATTTCATCTAAACTGTTCCGTTTTCAACCAATTCCAGATGACAGTGTCCAAATTTGCGTCATCCGTGCACTTCTGTTCCATCATACTCTCAAATTATTCTACCAATCCACCCGAACCAGTTTCTCCTTATTCATCTCTTTCTTATTTTCAGCATCTGCGGAAGTGAACGAAGACGGCGTGCTGACGCGTTCTCTCGGAGCCGACAGCGGAGTTTCCGTGAGCGGCGGCAACGGCTCTTCGACGGCGTCGTCGCAGTTTTTGGATAAAAGACTGGTGAGCGGAGGGGAGGGCGCAGAGAAAAGAGACATTCGGCCGGCACACAAACTGCCTCTGATTATGGACGCGAAAAGAAAAGAGCACGAGGCACGCGATTCGCGTGTTGTTTTCTATTCCCTTTCGCGCTTTACAAGCCCATTGAATCTTGAAGACGACATTCCATTTCATGACTGAAACTGAAAAAGCAAACATTTGTGGCTCAAACACCAAACTGATATTTGTTCAGGTGGCTACTCCCGGCTGCCGGAGGCCCATGTCGATGTGCGAGCGATTGCTCGTCGACAAGGCGAGAGAGCAGCTCGCCGCGGAAAGGAGACCGCCCATTTCTGGTGAGCACTTTTTCGCTTTTTTTTTTTTGAATAATTTCTGGTGAATTTCTGGACACAGGTGAAATGCGGTTTAGCAATTATACAATTGCGCCAATTCTAGACAAATCCTGAACTTTGGGAATTTGGGAATTTTTGTTTAGATTTGCCGAGAATTTGTCTAGAATTAGCGCAACTGTATAATTGCTAAACTTCTTCAGCAGTGAAGGAATATTGACTGTCGTGATGGTTGGAGGGAATGAGAGTTTTGTGAAACTGTAATGTTTTACGATACATGTTGCCCTAATAGTAAATTTAGAAAGTTTGACTAATGATAATGGCACGAGGAAACCGAAAAGTAAAACTTTTTCCGAATCTCTCTTTAGGAAAGGTGACTCATAGGGCCGTTCCGCATGGGTCATGTGTTCCACAGATCAAATGATCTGAACCCCTAAAAATGAATTCCGTTTCAAAGTCCTTTCAAGTTTTCGCCAAAACCAAATGTGCCGAATCAGTTACGTTTGCACCAATTTCGCCGCGATTGCCCTCAAAACGCTCTCATCACTTTGCTCTCACCGGAAACCCGTCCGTCTGTCTGTTTAGCTACGTGTCTCTTCCCGTCAGTTGTCATTTGCATCTTTCGTCGCCGCCGCCGCCGCCGCGTTTTTTTTTCCATTCTCACTGGAGGTTTGAATGAAACACGTATACTTGTTGTGACAAACTCGAAATGGAAAATCACTTCTTTGAAATTCGCTTTTTTTATTGCAGGAAGCGGCGCGCACGTGGAAGTGCTCATTCCGGACGAAACGATTCGGTTCTGCGGCGAGAACGTCGTGGTTTTCAGTGCTTTGGAGCGATTCGTTCCAGATGTGACGGACGCCGATCCGGCATTCATGAGCTCGACGATCGTGAGTTTTTAGAGCGGGAAATAAAGAAGAGAAAAAGAAAGAGAGGGGGGAGATCAAAGACGGATTAGATGATGAGCAGTTTTTGACCGATTTTATACGCACACCTCTTTTCTATAAGCCTCATTTATTTATTTCCCTCTTCTTCTTCTTTTCATGTATTCTGTTTTGCATAGTCCCTCAAAACTTGTTTCATAATAATAGGCACCAAATTTTGAGGACTACTGTACTTGTGAAAGTAATGTGCTATTATTTTGGTGTCTGAACAAATGGGAAACGTGAAACGGTGATAGTTTCATGTTGTTTCGAAGCCGGAATCTAATTAAGAAAAACAATTTATTACATTGGTATTTCGATGTTTCACAAATCGCATAACTTTTGAGCAATTCCTCGAAACTACAATATAGACATACCTTGTAAGTATTTCAGTCAGAACGTCGTCCCTCAATCGAGAATCTGACGATCGACGCGTCGAAAGTGCTGGTGCCGATCTCGACGCCTCCCGCGCACAAGTCAGTTTCCGCCCCTTCCCCATCCCATTTTCCATCTTTTTCACCGTTTCAGGAGCTCAAAAAACGGTGCAGCCCGCAACGACACTTTGAAAATGCCGCCGAACGGAAGGAACGCGCAAAACTATTAACCGGAATGGAGTACGTGGATTATCTGATTCAGGAGACGGAGGAAATGACGAGGAAACTGAACGAATCGACCGACTCCGAGGGAATTTGTGCGGATATGAGCGCCACTTCGATGAGCTCTTCGGTGCATTTCGAACGAATGTTCCACTCGACGACGTCGACTTCGCGAAGACCTCCGTCCAGAATTCCGGCCCTCATGACGAAGAGTCTTCACGTTCCCAGGTACAGTAATCCTTCGAGTTATCTGGGGAAAATGAAGGAGTTTCAGATCCTGCTCAACACCACAAAACGGAGGAATTGAAGTGTACGGGTCCGGAGAGCAACTGTGTGAAGGGTACAGAAATGGACGGATCGAGACGGAAATGCTGTTGAGCAGAAGTCAGGAACGGAGGAAACAGAGGGCCAGCAGCTATGATCCCAGGTACAAACGTGGATATAAAAAGGGACCAGTGTCTTATCCATAATGTTGAAATAATGAAACCATACAGAAACTGTTAACTTTTCACAGTTTCAAAACATTGTAAAAGTAAGTGGGTCGGACCCATAGATCATTTTCGAAAAGAGAATATTATGCGACTCCTACTGAGCTCACTAACCGATTCGGATCCTTGCAGATGCCTCGTTCCGCTTCTCTCGACCGCCCGTCTGACGTCATCCGCGTCGGCTTCTGCCTCTTCTTCCCATCATCCTCTTCTCACTTCCTCCTCTTCCTCTTCCTCCTTCTCCCGTCTTTTACCGAAAAGACCGCAATGGGTCCGTCATCAGCCGAACGTCCAATTGGCCGAATCGACAGTCTCTCTGGATTCCATTCGACTGCACAAGGAAAAACCCGAATTCATGTTGAGCTTCGATTCGGACGGATCGGAACAAGGAGATGAGACCCCGAAGGCGAGGAGGAAAACGATTTCGCTGAGGAAATTGAAAGAGAGGAACCGGAAAAAGTTTAGGTACTTTTTACTGTTTCATGATCTTTGGAAATTAGATTGGAATAGTTGATCTCCATAAGCAATAAGTGCAATATACCAACAAGTTGTCAACTGATAAAATGTACACAATTGAACAATTTATCAGTTGACAACATTTCGATATCTCCACAGACAGCTGAGATCGACAACTTTCCAGAAGCTCTCTTCGCCGTCTGCACCGTCCGACCCCTCCGAATCCCTCCGATTCCGTGCCGATCCCCGCCGAATTCCTGTCCGTCTCCTCGCCGATCTTCTATTTCGCTCTCGCATTCCTCCTCCGAATCCTCCTTTTCCTTTCCGAACTTTGCCTTCCCTCCGAACTTACTTGATGTCGTTGCGGGCGTTCCCGTTCAGATTTCCATCTGAAAACTCTTTCGATTCGATCCGTTTTTATCAATGTTTATGGGTTTTCTATATTTTTTTGTAAAACAACTGCTTTCTCGCTTTGATTAGTGCTATTTTCCAATGAAATTGTTTTATGTAATTGACATGGTTTCATCGAGCAAAAAGTTATCGAGAGAAACAGTTCTACGCTCGAGGAAACAGAAAAACAAACGATTCCTGATATGCAACTTTAGAAGCAGTAAACTATTACCGTTTCAGATACCGGATTTATAATAATCATAAATGGGGAATCGAGAATAATCATGACTGGAAAAACTTCAGCTACTTACCCGCGCAAAAGGAAAGAGATCATCATTTCACAGATGCCTGTGCCGGATTCATTTTAGATAAGACTCTGTGAGTGAAGAAGTTGTGTCTTCGATTTTGGAGTCTTCCATCGGTAAACGTGACTCCGTCTAGTCCGTGTAGTGTTTAAGCGTAGGAAGAAGTCATCAGGATTGATGTCCACTTTGTTAGCTAACAATTTGATTAAAAACTTCTTATCTAAATGTGATCGGCGAGTTTCTAGTGATTCGAGGTTAAATTGACGGCGACGTTCACTGGCGTTTATGTAGTTTGGCGAATCTCGAGGTACGAAAGCTCCTATTTTCCGTAACCAAAGCTTACGAGAGAAGTTACTCTGAACCTGTTCTATTGCTCTTATCGTAGCTTTTTTAGAAGGACATGTGACAATAGTGCCGTATTCAAGTATGGGCCGTACGAATGTTTTGAATAAAAGGGTCATCAGGCGTGTGTTTGGAGAGTAAAAAAACTTGGTTCATATGATCGCTTTTTAAATGGTCTTCGTCCAGTGGTCAGCAAAATCTAATCTTGAGGAGATTAGAAATCCGAGGTCTCTGTGTCTATGTAATATTTAGTTATTGTGGGATTTCGACCTAGAAAAAAAAACTGATTTAGAGAGATTAAGAGACAGCTGGTGACAGTTTGTGGAAATGAAACAATTGTTCAGTAACACTGATGTTCTGGGGACTTTGATGTCTTTGTAAATAAAGATCCATTTCATACTGTTCACATGTGTTCTGTGTTGACTTATAAAAATACTCGAGTCCTAATGGATATTTCGATGCTTTATAAATGTTCTGTTTCATACTACTCACTTAATTTCAGTTACTATTCAAAACATACCGACCACCCTTTCGATGTGTACAATTTCCTCTGATAACAGTCGGTTACGCTTCCGATGAGTCACTCGCAAAGCAAATAGCTTCACTCTTCCCCTTTTCTTCCATTTTCGGTTCCATTTCCGTTCCATTTCCTTCCTAATCAATGATTTTCGTGTTTTCAGTCACAAACTACACCCTTTCACTCCATTTTCTTCGTCGTTTACAATATTTGCTCGTCTTTTTGGCACACACACACACACACAAAGTCATTCTCTCCTGCGTCTCCGACTCTCGCTCTATTTGATCTACAACTCGAAGGAAAGAGAGAGAAAAAGGGAAAAAGTTCAGGTTATTTCTGAACATTTTCACGAAAAACGATGCCTGACGACATTCCAAAACTGCCGAGACGTCGCGGAAAGAAGAATCAGCCCAAAGGTACGTTTTCTTCATGGTTCATGGTTATATCGAGAAACAGTTGCTTTTGAATGGTACTTGACAAGTTTATGAAACAGAAACGAACAATAGGTTGAAGGACCGTTCGGAATCAATTTTTGTGCAGCGCTTCGGGTGTGGGTATAGGCAGCGATAATTGGGGCGACTCGTTTTTCATGAACTTCTAAACGCTTCTTGAAACGGGAACTTTTATACCGTTTCACAATACTAATAAGTGCACATTTTCTCCATTTGAGTTAATATGTTCGGTTATGTATCAAAAAGTCCCCAAATGAAGGTTCGACTCCTCTACGGATTCGTTAACTAGACATTCACAGCACTAGTAGATGCCCACATTTTCTTAATTTCAGCTGCTGTCCTTATGGATTGGCCTATCGGAACAAAATGTGCATAGTTCGAAAGATCTCGACTCTAAAACTTGAAGAACTTCTCCGAAAGTCTATTTAAAACGTGCTGACAGCAAAAGTTAGCAAGACAGCATGTTTCAGATGGGTTTTTCTCGAGTGTCAGAGGTCGGCAGTAGAACTGAAAAACGCGGTTGGAATCGTAATGTTTGGATCTTTGAATCCTTGTAAATCTAGTTCAGCTAGGTCAAAATACTTCCTAATGGGTCCCGTTTCTCTACTTCGGTTCTTCTTCACCGTTACCTAGGAAGTTTGCAGACACGGCATGGAAACAGCAGCGTCTTCCGTCTCTCCGCGCCCACTACAGTGTCACCTCGGCGATTCCGGTCACTTTGACGGTCGGAGTCGCCACGCTCGCAATGGGAATCGCACTCTACTTCGGACATCAGGGCTGTGAGTCTCTATCGTTTGTTCTGTGCGAAAACGGAAAAAAAGCAGTCGGATAGTATTGAAAGCAATAAAACAATGTGAAGAATCTTCTTAGAATATGAAACATTTACTGCTTTTCAATGATGACATTTGAGGAATATTCGATACTTATTTGTTTGTAGCATTGGAGCAGGAGATCAAATACACGGATTGTGCTCTACCGAACGGAACACAAGTGTCACACTTGATACGGAGGGAAATGATGAACGAAACGCTCATCTGCCAATATTCGGTCACGCTGGATCAGGATTACAAGGTGAGCTGAAATCAGTTCTCTGATATTTATGAGTTGTGTGAAACGTAGACCATCATTTGCAGGGCGACGTCAAATTCTACTACGGACTCTCCAAGTACTATCAGAACAACCGTCTCTACTTCAATTCTCGGAATGACCAGCAATTGCGGGGCAAAATTGACAAGATCGACGGGTGCGAACCACTGAAATACGTGCTGCAGAACGGTTCGAAAGTGCCGATCGCGCCGTGCGGAGTCGTCGCCAACTCCATGTTCAATGGTAATTCAGCTAATTGTTTGACTCCTTTCTTACAGCGCTCTGTGGCATCAAAAACAAAACATGCCATTTAAAAACAATTCTTTTATGAGCAATCTGAAACAGTTATTTTTTTTTCCGTTTCATAATCTTCATATCCGCTAGCTCATCGTCAAACTGCACTTGAAGATAACTGATTCCTTCAGACACCTTCCAACTCTTCTACATTTCGAACCGTTTCACGAACGGAACGACTCGAGTCCCCTGGGTTACACGTGGCGTTCTGGGAGCGACCGAGATGAAACGGAAGTTTGCGAACCCGATCAGAGCCGTCAATCAGACACTTTGCGATGTTTTTGCGGTTAGTCGGTTATTCAGTTATACAGGGATTGCCCAGAAAGTTGTCCTACCTAAATATGAGCCCATCGAAACGGTTTTCATTGTTTCAGGGCACAGTGCAACCTCCGTCGTGGCGCATTCCGATCTGCCAATTGGGCGTTAACAGCACGGACGCGGACGTCGGAATCGGCCTCGAAAACATTGATTTCATGGTGTGGATGAAGGTGGCCGCACTGCCAAAGTTCAGAAAACTGTACAGAATACTCGATACACAGGTGAGCAAACTTTATGAATATCAGACGAGGACTACTGTATTTCCAGGTGGACATGTTCAGCAACGGACTGCCGGCCGGAGAATACCGACTTGAGATTACTTACAGTGAGTTTCGGTTTCATGAAAGTGATAATAATGAATGAACAGAGTAATAACGAATGAGCATAATTAACATAATCCTGAGGATTTGGCAGATAAAATTGGTCTGAAAGTACTGTTTTTTACATCTTTTACGTTTTTCGTCTTTTCTGCAACTCTGCGCTACGCAGAAAGTACGCTTTTCCAGATGTTTGCTCAGAAGATCCATTCGTGGGAATGTAATTTCTCAGTTAAACATGTTCATGTAATCAGAACTCAAAAAGCAAGACTAAATGGAGTTCCCTTGTCAGTTTTTTACAGTTTCAAATTGTTGCCAAAGTTTCCTCGCAAACCGCACCAGCAATGTCCAACCCATTACCATACCTTTCTCATTTTGCAGACTACCCGGTGGACATGTACTCGGGCGACAAGTACTTTGTGATTGCGAGCGAGAACTGGGTCGGACCCCGCAACCTGTTCCTGCCGGTCATCTACCTCGTCGTCGGCACCTTCCTTCTTCTCGTCACCCTTTTGTTCATTTTGATCTGGCTCAAACAGAGACTCTCCAGAGTTCATCCCACTTAGAACTCCGATTTGAAACAAAACGGGTGCTTATTGTTACGGGCCGTTTATTGTTGTACTTTGTATTGTTTTTTATTGCAAATAATGAAAAGTTCTGAAAGTTCAGTGTTGCTAGGACCGTGAATAGGATCAAAGCAGGAAGTCCCGTCTAATTGTGAAATATGCAGTGTACGAAACAGATTTATTTAAAAAAAAACATAACAATCACTGTCGCTGTCGCTTGATCTTGACGAATCCCTCGTCTTCCTCTTCGTACTCTTCCTCCTCCTGGATCGTGTCCAACTGACTCTTCCTCATCACATCTTCCTCTTCCTCTTCTCCCGTTCCCATCTCTTTCCCCTTTCTCATTTCCATTCGTTTGAGTGCTGCGGTCGCTTCTCTCAGTTCTTCTTCCAGCTCCAATCGGATCGAGTTGCTCGTCACCTCCTTCCGTCTCATCGCTTCCACTTTCTCCCTCAGTTCCTCGTTCTTCGTCACCATTTGCTTCTCCGAATTCTCCAACGTCTCCTGGAGGATTGTCTCGTTCGTTTTCATTTCTGCACACTTCGCTTCGATGCGTGCATTCTTCTCCTTCAACTCCCTCATTCCCTCCAGCAATTCCTGATTCTGCTGGAAGAGAAGGATGTTGCGGCTCTCCGAGTTGCCGATCTTCTGGAGGCGGTCCCGGAGGATGCCCAATATCTGGTCCTTCTCGAAGCACTGTCCCTGCGCCTCCCTCAGATCGTCCGTCATCTCGGCCATTCTGTTCATGAAGTGTTCCTCGTCCTTCCTCATTTTCTCGCGATCTTCTTTCCTCTCCCACTGCAGTTCGCTCACCCGATCCTCGAGCATCTCGACCTTCTTCTCCAGCTCCGTCACTTTCTTCTCCGCTTCATTCTTCTGCTCCGCCAGTTTCCAGACTTCTTTTTCTTTCGCCACGAGTCTCTCGATGATGATATTGTCGGTCGAATGTTGCATTTTAATCGATTCAATGTTCTTCTGGAGCGTCGAAAAACATTCCGAAATGATTTCGGTCAGATTGGGAGCCGAAGACGTGTTCATTGTAATTAACTGAAAACGATAATTTCCATACGATTCATACATTTTCTTTACAAGAACACAACGGAACAGAATGACGTTATAGGCACTTTGGTTACATAAAAAAGAAATAATTTAGCGAAAAAGGGAAACTATCACGACCTAGAGTCTACCCAATGTATTTCGAATAAAAAAAACCAAGAACAAACGAAGGAATAAAACATAAATGAGGAAAGGAGAACGAGAGAGAGATTCAAACGTCGGAATTGTTCGATTTTGGTGCGCACGCGGTCGCGGAGCGGTCACTTGTTGCGTCGTCGGAGAGGTTCGCTGCCCTGAAAGTCAATAATATTCGTCGGGACCCTCGGAAGAGTGCGTACCTGCGGAACAACCACATCGAAGGCCGATCCGACCGACTGAAGTGGTACGGCGACGGATTCGGGAACGAAAGAGGATGACGTGGCAGTGGAAACACGGGAAGAAGTCGAGAGACGGGAAGACGGGCGGGATGACGAGATCGAGGGGGTCTGGGCGGGACGGGCAGTCTGCCGACGCGCCGCCGCAATCATTTTCAGCTTGCGGTTCAGCTCTCCGATCGTCTTCTGCTGCTCGATAATCTGTCGGCGGAGCTCGGCGATGTGCCCTTCCCGCTCGGAGATTGAGCCGTTACGGGCTCGCACTTCTTGTTCTGCGTTCGCCAGCTGTTGTCTGAAAGTATCCCCGAAATGATAATCTTCTGTCGACGTGGATTACCTGAGCGTGACGAGTTCGTCACTCGACTGTTTCAGCTGTGCTCCCTCGCTCGTGCTCTTCTCGATCTGCGCCTCAAGCTCCGCAATTCGGGCCGTCAGTTGAGCACACTTCTCCTTATACCGTTCCATTTGCACAGCAAACTCGTCCGCATGGTCCAGAAGTCGCGCCTCTGAGTCCTTGAGCAGTCCGTTCTGTTCCTTCACAATCCGAAGGTCCTCTTTGATCTTCTCGAGGTCCTCGAGAGCCGAAAGATCCGACGATTCGGCCGCTTCGATCACTTCTCTGTGCAACTGGACAATCTGCTCGCGGAGCTGCTCGACAGTCTCATTTCTCTGTGCCAACTCGGCCTCCAACGCCTTTTTCTCCTCATCTTCCCCGCTCTGATTCCACCCGTCATCATTGTTCCACGAAGAAGATTCCGCTTCTGCCAGCTTCTCTTTCGTCTCTTTCAGCTCTTTTTCAGTGGCTTTCAGTCTGGCTTGAAGCTCTTCATTGGCATCCGTGAGCTGAAAAGATTGTTTCTTTGGCAATATTCAGAAGACGTTCGCCTACCTCGAGTTCCCTCTCCTTCATCTGCTGCCATTCCGTCTTCAGTGCGTCCACCTTCATTTCGAGCAGCTTCTGCATCTCCTTCATCTTCTCCACCTCTCCATCGTCATTCCATTCGTCGTCGTTCCATCCGGATGAAGACGTCGACGCAGCCACGGCGGCCGACGCGACCGCAGAAGCGGCGGCGGCCGTGGCCGAGACGACGGCAGCCTGAGCAGCGGCGAGTTCGGCCGATTTGATGGCCAAAGTGCTCTTGACCTCCTCCAACTCTTTCTGCACTTTCTCCATTCTGTCCTCCGTCAAGAGACGTTTCTCTTCCGTCAGAATGATCTTCTGAGCCATAATATCACCTTCATCCAGTAGATCCAAGTTTTCAGTCTCCAATTTGCGGATTTTGTCCTTCAGCTGCTGTTGTGTCTCTCTCAACTGAATGAGCTCCTCGTTCTCCGGCTCTTCCGGCTTCTCCTGATTCTCGTCGTCTCCCCACCCGTCGTCGTTCCATCCTCCATCAACCTCTTCTTTCTGCGCCTGCGTCTCCTCCAATTCTTTCACTCTCTCCTCCAACCTTTTCTTTTCCGCTTCATTTTCTTCCATCTGAACCTTCAACGAGTCTCTTTCCATTTTCGCCTCTTCCAATTGCTCCTTCAGAAGTGCCAACTGCTCCGTGAGCTGCTCGCCGTCTCCTTGAGCTTCCTTCAGTTGTTCGTAAATCACCTCGAGCTCATCGTATTTATCCTGCTGCTCAATGAGCTGTGCTTCGGCCTTTTCGATCACTTCCTTCTGGAATTGCAGCCTCTCCTGAAGTTCCGAGATGGTCTTCTGAAGGGATTCGACGACTTCTTCCTGCTCGCTCGTCTTTTTCTCTTTCGGGCTCTCTCCCCATTCTCCCCAGTCCTCTTCTTTGTTCTTCTTTTCCTCCGGATCGTCTTTGTTTTTCTTTTTCTGCTCAATCAGTTCGTCCTCCATCTCTTGGAGTCGTTCCTCCAGCTCCAGATTCTGATCCTCAAGAGCCAGAATTCGGTTGTTGAGTATTTTTTCGATTTGAGCGAGCCGTTCGACTTCGGATCGAGCATGTTGAAGCTCGGGGCTATCAGCGGGAGCTTTTGGGGCTTCCGGCTGTTTCTCCTCTTCTCCCCATCCCCAATCGTCTTCTTTTTCTTCAGGTTTAGCTGGTTCCGAGGTCTGAAAATTCGCTTATCATTCTAACTTTTCAAAACTCCAATTCGTTTACCTCTCCCCACGCCCACTCGCCCTCCTTCGTTTTCAGCTTTCCCTCCAACTGCTCTGTGTGCATCTGGAGCATCTCCACTCTCATCGTGAGCGCCTTCTCGACCTCCTGGAGTCTGTCCACCTCGTTCTTCGCCCCTTCCAGCTCTTCGTCTTTCTTTTCGTCCCATTCTCCCCACTCTTCCGACGTCTGCTTCTGTCCCGCTTTCGTCTCGTTGCGGACCGTCATCAGTTCGTCCTCAATCTCTTGAACCTTCTCCTCCAGTTCCATATTCAGATCTTCGAGCGCGAGAATTCGGTTGTTGAGGGTCTTTTCGATGGAAGAAAGGCGTTGTACTTCTTGCTGTGCCTCTTCCAGCTGCGCTCTGTTCTCCGGGACAGTCTGGACCTGCTGAAGGTGCTGCTCGTGTTGCTCCATGAGCTCGGCCACTTGCTCTTCCAGCTCTTTCACATGCTGCTCCAACTGCTGCTTCTCCTGAAATGTCTCCATTTGCCTCTACCTCTTTTTCGATTCTCTCACCTCAATAATCTTGATCTTCCACTCCTCCCCATCGTCCATCTCGTTTTGCAGTCGAACATTCGTGTGCGCGAGCTCCGCGTTCGTCCGGAACAGCGAGTCAACGTCCGCTTGCCGCGTCGTCAGTCGGGCGGCTAAAATGGCGAGTTCCGTCGAGAGGCGACTCACAGCGGCCGCTGCAAAGCCAGAGAGCCACCTAATTGCCACAGGACACAGGAGAGAAAGGCGTCTGCTTCGGCGGCAGGAACGGACGGAAAGTGTGGGTGAGAATGGAATGATGGACTAGGACTTCGGTAGAAATGGATAGTGACAGACAAGTGACAGTTTGAACTGAACAAAATCTCCTTACTATTTCTAACTTTCAAGCGTTGTATTAGTCAAAACAAGTCGTGGCCTACTGTATTTCCTAGTAAGACATCTAGATTTCTCCAACATCTATCCGAACGTTCACAAAAGCATGCTCGAAAACCGACATCAATGAACCAATCACCAATCAAATCACGAGAAGAAGAAGACGTTGAGAAGACACCAAGTACAGATCAGGTGGCCAAACGGCTTGGGACGGGAATGGTCTTGTCTCGTGGCACCAAGAAGTATGTTGCATGGTATGGGGACCATTTATTCTTCCTGCCCTAGCTGTTTGGATACCTGAGTACGGATTAGTCAAGAGAATGGAGAATGAGTAGTTGACTGAACTGAGAACACAAACTGAGACAGGATGGGTCTCGCAGCGAATATTTCTAGCGCTTTTCGACGGGCAATCTTCCCGTGTGCCCTGTGGACGTCGAGATGGGCGGCAAAGGCTTTGAAGCGGTTTAGAGTGAGCACGAAGCACCGGAAATGGAAACGAAAGTGAGAAGGAGAAGGGGAGAAGGTACAGAGGGGAGAAGTGGGCGGAAAAGGAGGAAAAGAGGTGGCGTGCAAAGGCTTGAATGTGACCGAAAAAAGAGAGGAAGGAAACTGAGCTCTTTTCTCGAAACAGCTCCGTTTCCTCCCTCCCCATTTGTGCTCATTGGCTTCTCACCTTCAGATTCGTCGGCTCTCTCCGCCACCGCTTCCAGCGCCTTCTCCAATTCCCGGATCCTTCGCTTCAATCCCTCGCACTCCTCCTCTTTCCACTCGATTTCTCCTTCCAGCTGCTCCACTCGTTCCCTTGTCGTCGTCACTTCATCACTGGCTCCCGACGCTTGTTCCAGAGTCTGAAGACGTGCTTCCAGTGCCTCCGAGATTCGTCGTTGCTCTTCGAGAGCCTTCTGATTCTCATCAAACTCTCCGAGCAGTGCTTTCAGCTTTTCAGCCACTTTTTCAAGTTTCTCTTGCGTCGAAAGACTGACAGACGGGTCACGGGAGATGAGAAGGATCGTCATGATCCCGTCGACGATGGGGCTGATGTTCTCTGAGTTGGAAGTGTCGGAAGAAGCCGTGAGAAGTGTAGAAGACGACGTGGATTCGGATTCAGACGCTTGTGCTTGAGCAGCGGCCAGTTGAGCATAGACGGTATTGTAGGCCTCCTGCAGTTGGTTGTAGTACTCGTTGAGCCGGGTGTACGCCTTCTCGATCTCCTCCCTCCGCGTCTCCTTCTCCAGACACTCGGCCATCCGCTGATTCGACTCGTTCTCCGCCTCGGCGGCCCTCCGAACTGCGCGGTCCGTCAGATCCACTTGCTCCTGGAGCTCCACGTCCAAACCGATCGCCCTTTTCTTTTCCTTCTCAACCAGAGAATCCAGCTCGGCCACCTTGTCCTCAAGACTCTCACGGTCCAGAATCGAGGCCTTCAGTTGTCCGTTGAGACTCCAGATCTCTGCTTTCAGTGCTTGCACCGCGATTTCGAGTTCATCTTTGAGTTCTATCAGCTTTGACATGTCCTGAAACAAAAATATGAAGATTTTCATTGAATTTATAGATTTCCTACTCTAGAAACGTCGTCGTGACACTCTCTGAGCAATTTGTTCTGCTCGCGGATCTCATCGTCATTTCCAGTGACCGCCGAAATACTCTGAGAAGCAAAAACGGGCATAGATGGCGTCAGAATGTGTGTCTCTTGGAGGACTGGCTGCTCGCGGAGTACAAGCGTCTGCTGAGCCTCTTGAAGTTTCGCTTCCAAATCAGCAATGTCCCGGCGAGCATCTTCCATTTGAATTGAGAATTTTCGGATTTCCACGTCGTGCTCTGTAAATGCATACAAATTTCGGGTGAATTTCTAGGAGGGAATCATACCACAAGTGAGTCTGGAGAGGTCATCCTTGCGAGCCGATTCGAATTCGGCCAGATTGTGGAGAAGGCGAGTGATCTCGTCCTTGGCCCGTTGGTTCTCATCGCGAGTGCTCGCCGCTTCCTCCTTGGCCTTCTCCAACTCCGCCGTCTGCGTCTCATGTGCCGTCTCCATCTCGTCGATCCTCGCCTGCATCGACACAATCTGCTCGTTCATCTCGTCGACCATCATCATGTGCAATTCGAGCTCTCTTCCACTTGCCACGTCATCCGCCGCCACCGCCACATGCTCTCTTTTCAGCAGCTCGTTCTGCTCTTCGAGCTCGAACATCGCTCTTCCGAGTTCCACGTTCAGCTCTCCCGAGAGATTCGCTTCCATTTCGGCGCGTTTCAGTCTCTCCGCGAGCTCGGCGTTCTCTTGTTTCAGAGCTCCGAGCTCACGCAAGTCTTGATCTGCCGGCGGTGCACTGGAAACCATTTGGACCTCTTGTTTCTTCTGAATCTCCTCCAAATTAGGAGCCTCGAGCACTGACGTCGTCTTCCTTTGTACCGGAGTCACTTCATCGGCCATTCGCAGCAATTCCCGCTCTTTCTGCTCTAAATCTGCCGCCATTTGCTCCTTTTCCACCCGAATCTGCTCCAATTCGAGGCTCATCTCCTCGATTTTGTGCTCGAATGCGAGAATGTACTGCTCCTGTTGCACTTCTAGCGACGTCTTCCTGTCCGGCACGTCGGCTTCTCTCTCCAGCCGTTCACAGTCCGCTTCGAATTGTGCTTTGTGTAGTTCTTGTTGTCGCGAGAGTTCCGATTTGAGCAGTTTGACCTCTTCGGCGAGTTCGCGCGTCTCCGCGAATCCTTGACGTGCAAAGTCGAGTTCAACTCTGGAATTGAGACTTTTAAAGGATGAGAATCAGAGGGGAGTCCGTGCGGATGCTCACCTCAACGCCTCGTTTTGTTTGGTGAGCGTCTCGACGTCCCACGTGCTCTGCTTCAGATCCGCGTCCTTCTCTTCGCACTCCTCCTCCACCTCTCGGACTCTTTCTTCGAGCTCCTCGTTCGAATTGGCCAATCTGAAACTTTGAGGGCTGAAAAAGGGGGTTACAGTAGTCGGCGCCTACTCTTCCATCGTCCGTTTCGCAGTTTCGATGTGCATTTGGAGGTCAAAGTTGGTGGCGCGGAGCTGTTCGACTTCGGCCATTACTTCCGTGACTTTTTTGCGAGCCGCCTCTACTTCCACACCCATTTCGTCAATTTCTGAAGAAAAAGCGCGGGTTTTCAATTAAACGAGAAGAGAAAAGAAGCGGAATTGTGTTGTAAAAATGAATCATCTCACTGTTCTCTGCCTCCATCCTGCTCATCTCGACGTCCCTGCGCATGCGATTGTTGCTCGCCTCCTCCTGCCGGCTCTTCGTCACCAGCTCTCTCTCCAACGCCTCCTTCGCCTCTCGCAGCCGCTGACTGACGTCTCTTTCCGATTCAAGAGCACTGGCTGTCTGGCGGATGCGTTCGTCTTGCTCGGCGAGCCGGCGGTCACGCGAGTCGTCGCACGTCGTGTTCGCCATTTCCAGTTCGCAGAGACGGGCCATCAATTGCTCGTTTTGCTCGACGAGCACGCGGCATTTCTTGTCCAGCGCCTTGGTTTTGAGGCGATCTTCTGCAAAATATGCGTTTGGTTAGAATTTTCTGACAGTTTGAGGTAGAAGAGCCCGAAAATTGCGTTGAAAACCAATCGGCTTGGCCCCAAGGACGAGTGTTTTGACATCCTGACACGGAAAATAATGTGAATTATTCATGCCTACAGATAGAGCGTGAGCGTCAAAAATTGCATAATTTCTACGTTTCGAATTAGAAGCGCTTAAAAGAAAAAAAGGAGATAAAGAAAGAAGTCGTCATCTATCTCAGAATGCTGGCCAAACAAAAAAGTACGAATACTCATTATTTTTGTGGCAAGGGCGAGACCCACGTCCTTAAGAGGTCAGGGACCAACGTTTCGCAGAATAACAAGCCATGTGGTCGACGGAAACAAAATAGCGACGAACGACACTTCAGCGCCATTCCCCCGGCGCCACACGGGGAGTTCATTGTCCTTCTTCTTCTTCTTCCTTTTCTTCTGTTGTTGATCACCAGCTGACTCTTTTCCATTTTAATGTTGACAATTGTTGGGTCACACAAACACACACTCTCGGGCCGGGGGGATTCATTTGCAAAGTTAATCGCACTTTGTTTCGCTTATTTCAAATCGAAATCGATTTAGTGGTTGGCATCAGCTCAAAAGTGCGGAAAGAACCCCCATTCGAATGCTATTCAGACACTTCCCGGCCGTTCTCGTGTTCTGCTGACTCATCCGTGCATGTTTCCCATTCCCTTGCCAGCAAAAACCGTTATAAACCGTCCGAAAAAAGAGTACACTTCTAGTTTTTGTGTGGGTGTTTCCCTTGTCGGGGCATGTCCTCTCATCACTTGTCAACACAATTGTCTCTCATTTCTCTCCGTTCTCTACCCACTCTAATTGGAAAGTGTCATCTCTATCTCTCTCCCTTTTCTCTCTTCCTTTGTGATACTTTCGGTGATCGATACATTCCACGTGGCTGAATCATTCTTGCCCATTCTCATAATAGTTCCGAAACGATTACAGAAATGTCCACCACCTCGTCCGCAACTACTTGTCCGGCGTGTAATGAGAAACAGGTGAAGAGTCGGTTCAGTTGGCGGGCGATTCTCTACGCGATATTCTGTTTTCCGTGCGGATTCTATTGTTGTCTGAAGCGGAAGACCTACTATTGCACCAGATGTCAATGCGATGTGAGTCGGGAGCACATTTCTCTAATTTCTTCCTAACTTCCAGGTGGTAAAGAAGACGGAGCGCAGTCCGATCGTGCACAATCATCATCTCGGCTACAATTATCGTCTGTACGAGTCGACAGAAACCGGTCTTCCGGCTTCTTTTTCCGCCTACCGCAACGAGGCGCTTACCGTTTCGTCGGCCGATTCCACCTGCTCAAACACTCTTTCCACTGCCCCAATTATCCCGTAACTTTGAGATCCATCCCAAAATCCAAATTCCAGCTTCTGAGAACTTCCAGAAGCGCCCAAAGTGCCCGTTTTTTGCATAAGTTCCTTTACCATTCGATTTCTTGTCAATTTGCTCTTTTTCCCGTTCCAAAGCCAACAGTTTCGTCTCGAAGGCCTTCGATTTGATGAGCGCGCGGTGGTCAATCTGAGATTGTATATATTTTCCGGGTATTTTTTAATAAATAAAAATAAATTATGTATTACCTTCGATGCTCCAAGATTCTCACGAAGTAGCCCAATATGTTGCTCGTAGATTACAATATCCGCCTCCAAGATTTCGATGAAGCGGTCTTGAGCAACTATTGCTTCTAAAAAACGAAAAAAAACGTTTTTGTTCACGTTTCGAGCCAAACCATACCTTTGAGCCTATCAACATCCTGGAAGATGGCTTCCTTTTGATTCACGTGGAAGTTGATGGCGTTCTCCGCTTGCAAAAGATCGTCAACCATCAATTCCATCAGCTGAAAAGGCTACTTTAAAAAATTCTCGGAAAACCTCACTTTTCCGGACTCCTCGACCTCCGTATCGAGGTTTCGTTTCGCTTTCTCGCTTGCATCGAGCTCCTCTGTCAGCTTATGGCTCTTTTCTTTCAAATGGGCAACTTGCTCGCGCAGCTGACCGTTCTGTTCGATTTCCCAGTTACGAGAGGAGCGGAGAGTGGAGACTTCCTCGCGGAGACGCTCTGTCTACAAGAACATTCGGTTTTCACCTCGAAATGTCTGATTTTCTTACCTCATCCTCAAATTTCTGGTTGCTGCTTTCCAGCGTCGTCTCTAGCTCCTTGATTCGCGCGGTCGCCGCCACTCTCGCCTTCCATCCGGCCGTTTTCGCCTCTTTTGTATACTTTACAATCTCCGTCTCGTAATCCGACTTCATTTTCTCGACGGCCGCATTCAAATCGACCACCTGCTGCCGGAGCACCGCATTTTCGGACGACGCTTCAGTGAGCGCCGATTCTAGTGCGTCCGGATTGTGGGCGTGGAAACGGGCGGCGCCGGGATTCAGATCGAACGTCACTCGTTTCCTCTGATGCTGTTTGCGAATTATTCCGTCGACGTCTGGAAGATTTGGGCCCAATTTAGAAGAGGATTCGAAGGGGGGATCGATCGGAGGAGGGGAGAACGTTCCGGACGGGTGTGCTTCTGAAATATTGTCATTTTCATTAAAATTTTTCGAAGATGTCTCACTTCTAGATGCGATTACATGCCCCGGCGACGAGCTTCTCGCTCTTCGTTCGCTTTTGCCGCTGCCTGACGGTCCTTGGGCTGAATTGGCCAAAAGACTGGGCTCCGTCTCCGTCGACATGTCCTTTTTGTCTCTGTGCATCTCTTCGAACTGCTGCTGAACGATTCGCATCGCCTGATTCTTGACTGTCGCCACTTCATTGTGCTCTCGGACTCTTTCCTGGAAAAATAGCATATTGACGAACTCAAGCATTCTGCCAACCTGTAGATCCAGAATCTGTCTCTCTTTGTCCAGAATCACATTGTTCAGGTCGACTATCCGGTTGTCCTTGTATACCAGTTGCTGATGAACCCGTTCATCGATCGATTTATCGACCGGTTTTTCTTTTTCTTTGTCTTCCATGGTTGATTTACCTGCAAAACAAGCTGTTAATCGATAAAATTTATAAAAAATCAGCGATTTTTACGGAAATTAAACGAGAAATGAGTGGGAACTGGTTCGAATTAGCGGGCTGGCGACACGTCGGCCGTCCTCTCCGCGTCATCGATTTTCCACTGACGCACTTTTGTTTGTCGCCTTTCGGGTCAAACTGCGTCCGGGAAGCTATCATCTGTCGGGAACATTGCGAATTTATTGGAATTTTTATGGATTATGCGAAATTTTGGACGCTTTGAGGGATATTAAACATTTATTGAAGTTTTTATCGTTGGGAACATGATGTTTTGTAGAGAAACTCACCAGATTCGGTTTTACACACTTTTTCTTTGAAAAACTGCCGGAAAACAAAAAAATAATCCACGTACGTGCACGTGATTGAATAAAAGTCTCCGTGGCGAAACCTTCAGCATGGAACGAAGCATGCGCCTTCAAAGTACGGTAGCTTTTAACAGCGAATTTCAGCGTCCCACTTTTTGTTGCGAATGTACGGTAAATTGTGAGAAAAGTAAAAAAATTAAGGAGATAAACCAAACTGGAATTGATATGGGAATGCTGAAACAGAAGTGTTTTTCTTGTTCCCCTGAATGAAAACAAGCGCGAGTAGATGAGAATAGTTTATTTGGATACTTCTCAAAAAGATGATGCTTAACGGCGGGTTCCGTCCTCGAAGAAGACTCCTCCGTCGATGGCGCAGTACTTGGGGCAGATTCCCTTCTCTCCGGCACCTCCTGGAGTTCCGGCCTGTCCTGGGGCTCCTGGGTTTCCGTCGGCTCCTGGGGCTCCTGGGTTTCCATTTGGTCCCTTTGGTCCTGGGGCTCCTGGCTGTCCGTCCTGTCCTGGCTGTCCTGGGGCTCCTGGTGGTCCCTGTGGTCCAGCTGGTCCAGCTGGTCCTGGGGCTCCTGGAGTGATTGGCTCGGATGGAGCATCCTGTCCTGGCTGTCCTGGCGCTCCTGGAGCTCCTGGGTTTCCGTTTGGTCCAGATGGTCCCTTGTTTCCTGGGGCTCCTGGCTGTCCGTCGTTTCCTGGCGCTCCTGGGTTTCCGTTGGCTCCGGCATCTCCGGCTGGTCCTGGTGGTCCTGGTGGTCCTGCTGGTCCGGCTGGGCATGGCTTGCATGGTGGTGGGGTGACTGGCTCGCATGGCTGCTGTGGTGGGCGTCCTGGGTTTCCTGGGAGTCCTGGCGCTCCTGGCTTTCCTGGGCGTCCTGGCTTTCCTGGGGTTCCGGCCGGTCCGGCGGCTCCTGGCAGGCAGCAAGCGTCGCATCCTCCGGCAGAGGCGGCTCCTCCGGTCACTCCGGCGTCTCCGTATCCAGCTTGACGGGCGGTACGGTTTCCGGCCGGGATGGCCTTAAGGTGGTTCACCTCGGACCAGATGTCCTTGGCGGATCCCTTGCAGAAGTTGATCTCGGCGTGCATGGTTCTCTTCACATTGTGCACGTAGTTGTAGACCATCGGAAGGGTGACGCACACCTGAAAACATGCATTCACACAGGGAGCAACACGATTTGGAACTCACCGAAAGGACGGCGACGACGGAGAAGGCGACGGCCGAGTAGGCGACGAAGCGGTAGGCTTTGATGCGTTGTTCGAGGTCCATGATGCTGGGCGCTGATCTCTTCCACCCCGCGATTCCCTTTTATACCGCCCAGTCGCTTACTTTTCAGAAAGGGCGGTCGTAACACTGACTAGCAAAAGAAAGGTGAGGGTTTTTCACAGGTTTACAATATTAGATCGTGTTAAGATAGCAATGAATCATGCCGAGGTGATTCCAATACGAACCAGGTCTTTACAATAGATCTGTAGACAATGATCATGTCTGTACGGAATGTTTATGGTTTCACAAAGACTATGAATGTACCAGATAATTCCAGATGCATTGCTAAACGCGTATATTCAGTTTCAACATGGACCCATCTATACAAAATTCAGATACTTTTCCATGGCTTCACAGCAACCGCTTCCTCCATTTGCTTCGTTGCCAAATGTCGTCCGCCAGGTTGCTTCCTCCTTTCCTCCGATTATCCACTTCCTCCTATTATCATCAATTAATCTGCTTCCGAAAGACCTTGAGAAAACGGCAGGCAGTGTGTTCACAGTTCCCAAATAAGCCGCGAAAATCGGCATAAACACTGGCTGCATCGCCAAAAATCGGCTAACCTTGAAGTGGGAGAAAGAGTGAGACACAGACAAATCTGATCTGATATCGTCCTCTTCTGACTCGTCCGACGGCTTCTCTCCCACTTGTTCACACTATTTCTGTCCGTTTACACACTAAACAATCGACCTTGCCAATCAATTTTTCCTCTCTTTTTTCTTTCTTCCTTTTGCTGTTAGGTTGTAAACCTGTAGTACCTCCCGTACGGCCGCCCCTGTGAACAACTGGGCGGTATAAAAGGGAATCGCGGGGTGGGAGAGATCAGCGCCCAGCATCATGGACCTCGAACAACGCATCAAAGCCTACCGCTTCGTCGCCTACTCGGCCGTCGCCTTCTCCGTCGTCGCCGTCCTTTCGGTGAGTTCCAAATCGTGTTGCTCCCTGTGTGAATGCATGTTTTCAGGTGTGCGTCACCCTTCCGATGGTCTACAACTACGTGCACAATGTGAAGAGAACCATGCACGCCGAGATCAACTTCTGCAAGGGATCCGCCAAGGACATCTGGTCCGAGGTGAACCACCTTAAGGCGATCCCGGCCGGAAACCGTACCGCCCGTCAAGCTGGATACGGAGACGCCGGAGTGACCGGAGGAGCCGCCTCTGCCGGAGGATGCGACGCTTGCTGCCTGCCAGGAGCCGCCGGACCGGCCGGAACCCCAGGAAAGCCAGGACGCCCAGGAAAGCCAGGAGCGCCAGGACTCCCAGGAAACCCAGGACGCCCACCACAGCAGCCATGCGAGCCAGTCACCCCACCACCATGCAAGCCATGCCCAGCCGGACCAGCAGGACCACCAGGACCACCAGGACCAGCCGGAGATGCCGGAGCCAACGGAAACCCAGGAGCGCCAGGAAACGACGGACAGCCAGGAGCCCCAGGAAACAAGGGACCATCTGGACCAAACGGAAACCCAGGAGCTCCAGGAGCGCCAGGACAGCCAGGACAGGATGCTCCATCCGAGCCAATCACTCCAGGAGCCCCAGGACCAGCTGGACCAGCTGGACCACAGGGACCACCAGGAGCCCCAGGACAGCCAGGACAGGACGGACAGCCAGGAGCCCCAGGACCAAAGGGACCAAATGGAAACCCAGGAGCCCCAGGAGCCGACGGAAATCCAGGAGCCCCAGGACAGGCCGGAACTCCAGGAGGTGCCGGAGAGAAGGGAATCTGCCCCAAGTACTGCGCCATCGACGGAGGAGTCTTCTTCGAGGACGGAACCCGCCGTTAAGCATCATCTTTTTGAGAAGTATCCAAATAAACTATTCTCATCTACTCGCGCTTGTTTTCATTCAGGGGAACAAGAAAAACACTTCTGTTTCAGCATTCCCATATCAATTACAGCCTAACCACAACAGTCACTCCAATGTTGCTCTGTTTATTTGTTCCAGAATTATTTTCAAACTTTGTTTATCTCCATAATTTCAAAATTTCAAATGTACGTGAATTGAATTCATTTGATTGTGAGAAAAAAGAAGCTTCCCGATCAGTTTGAATTCAGTTTCGAGAATTGCGATAGGATGTGATGATGAGTTGGCGTGGCGATGCTCCTGTTTCGGAAAGATCATTCTAAAAGTTCCAAATTGGAACGGTGCATCGAGGAGCAATCAGGAGAGGAAGGAGAAGGATGGGAAGAAGAAAGAAGAAAGATGTGGAATAGGAGGGAGGAAGCGATCGGCGATACGGAGAAGAAGGATTGAGCGAAAGGGCAGGAGGGACAAGAGGGGAAATTCACTGGGGCCATAGTTAGTGTAGCGGTTGGGTTGAGAAAAGCTCTGAACGTCTGAAGGCCCCGGGTTTCAGAAACAGTGCTAGACTGTAGAGAGCGCTCCTTTTTTGAAAAATGTATGGCTCTGTAAAACATTTTAAGTGCAGTTTGGAACTGATTTGCCAGAAAACTTTACTGCGCGGCTCCCGATCATCACTATCAAGTGAAATCAAGTGAAATGAATCAGTATTCGCCCGACGTCACGCATCTGAAGTTTTGGCGGATTCATTTCACTTGATTTCTTGGGAATGAGTTCATTATAACGTAAACTAACAAAGTGGCACAAAGAGCACGCACGAGCTGTGATATTTCGAAAAAAGCTGTTTTGGCGGTGATCCCGAGACATTTCTGCGAGTTTCTCGTTGCTGCTTGCGAGTTTCAATCATAATGAAGTCATTCCAAAAAAATTAGGAAAAATGAATCAGTATTCCCGGCAGCCCTGGCCACCGGGACCATCTTTTTTTTGCCGTTATTTAGTTTATTTGTCTTCTCTTTGCTGTTTCTTCCAATTTTTTAAATTTAATTTCTCCTCCGTCGTTCTTTTTTTTACTTTTTTCAATCAAAAATTAGGGCTACGGCTAATTTTTCTTATTTTTTTGTTACTAGTGAGAATACTCGCTTTCCCGTGAAAAATCAATCGGAATTTCTTGTCCTCACTTTTGAAATCCATTTCTTCCAGAATATCTACATTCTCTTTTCGATTTCTTGCCGACCGAATCGACTTCTCACGGCAAAACGGTGCCTCCAGTTCTTTATTCTGCTAATTTGTCTATTGATTGAGTTTTTCAGGTTTCGTTGGCGCTTTTTCTGTAAAAACAACATGTTTGCACAATAAACAACTTCTAAAACTTGTTAATACCTCAAATTACCTGTTAAACACAAAAAATCATCGAAAGACGGGGGGAAACCGAACTGAAACTCTAAAATCTCACTGCATTCCGCTGCCGCCAAAAAAAGCAGAAAAACGCGTGCGGAGTGCATTTCAATAACGTCAGAGGGAGGAAGAAAGGAAGAGCTGACTTGCTGCATTGCATTCCATGGGAGCCCCAGGAAAAAAGGGTCCAAAATACGATCATAATCGAATCTGTTTCCAATCCAATCCAACCATTCATTCATATCAAATCATCATGCAAACATCTCATTAAATTATCAGTTCTTCCTTCCGATTCTCCTCCGTTTTCAGTATAACTGGACGCCTTCTCCCATAATCAACACGTACAGTTTTCCGCTGGCAAAAGGTACGTACTCGGGCAGATGGTAGAAGCGGAGGTTCGTGTCCATGAGGGAGATGCGACGGAGGTCCCGACACGATTGCGGCTTGCGGATACTGTAGAACGAGCGGCCCTTCGCAATGGTCTGTTTGTACGAGGTGAGGGTCCCGGACAGCTCGGCCACTCGGGTTTGAGAGGGGAACTCGCAGTCGAGAAGGACGCGATAGACACGATCCACGGACTTTCGGACGATGCTCACGTGGACACGAAGCATCTCCCACGGTCCTTCGTTCTAAAATCAACAGTTCCAGAGGGATCATAGCGGCCTTTGGAGGCTTACGGAGCAAAGCGAAGTGGCCGAGATGTTGGAGAGTTTGCGGCCGGAGCGCAGTTGGTATCCGTCGATCCGCGCCTTCTCCAGACATTCCTTGTTGCAACATCCCGGCGATCCTAAACGAGAATCTTTTGGAAAAAGAAGAGTACTAGGAAAGCTACCATCAAAAAGAATGGCGCTTTTTTCGGAGCGACGGCACTTGTCGCAGATGACGTGGTCGCATCCGAACTGAACGACTTCCGACATTCGGACCGTTTTCCCGCACGGTCCCTCGCACTCGATCTCTGGAAAGCCGACAATATCCCAGAGACTTCAGGGCGGTCGCTCACTTCCTCTTTTCAGTCCGTCCTGGATCTTCAGCTCCGATTTCTTCCGTTTCTTCGCCAGCGACTCTTCCTCGGAGCGTCCGTCGTCTCCTTCGGTCCAAGTGACCGAGTAGTGGAATGAGAGCCGGCCCTGTTTGTCCATCGAACTCTCCATCCGCACGTCTTCCACCCTGATATTGTCGGTTTTCCGGGGCAGAACGACGGTCGGAACGAACGTCTCCGCCTTCTCCTGACGGCTTCTTTCGAACGATTTCGTCTCGAACAGCTCCGTCACTGGCTTCCGAAACTTTTTGGAATCTCTGCAAAACGGCGGGCAAGTTTCTGGAAAGAATCGAGTCGAACGCACGAGTCATTTGTTCCCATTTCTTGAAATCGACGGTTGTTTCTTCGCAGCACAATGAGAAACGAGTGGAAAATGATTGAAAGGAGGAAGAGGAGGAGTCCGTGGGGTGTGATCCACGTGGCAGAGAGATCACTGTGTCACGTTGGAATTGAACATGTTTCCGTTTGATTCAAACAAGAGCTCCATCAAATTTCGCTCTGAACTTGAAGTTTTGGAGGAAAGAAAAAGGAGGAACATACAATCTGAAACAGTAAAACTTGTTGTAACGTTTTCTGTTTCAGCATTTCTGAAAGTTCTAGGGCAAAATATCTAGTTTCTTTACTTCCTTGTTTTCCAAACAACGCCAAATTCATTCAGAACCCCCTTGAAACTGCGGGGGTCCCTCAATCTCAAACTCAAACTCCAAACCACAAAAACCATCGACTTTCTGACGGATCTCTCGCTTATTTCCCGATCAATCAAATCGTGTCATCCTTCCTTCTCGTCAATTCCTTCTTCTTCTTCTTCTTCTTCTTCTTCTTCTCGACATCAACAACTTTTTTGACCGTTTTCATATTACTACAATCTCTTTTACTTTTTGTGTGGGTGAAAAGAGGGTCAGGGGTAGGTATTCGAACTGTTTCAAGTTGGCAACAAAGTGGAAAGTTTGTTCCTTTCGTTTGCTAGAATTAATAGGGAATCTTCAGCTACTTACCCGCGCAAAAGGAAAGAGATCATCATTTCACAGATGCCTGTGCCGGATTCATTTTAGATAAGACTCTGTGAGTGAAGAAGTTGTGTCTTAGCTTCGATTTTGGAGTCTTCCATCGGAAAACGTGACTCCGTCTAGTCCGTGTAGTGTTTAATCGTAGGAAAAAGTCATCAGGATTGATGTCGACTTTGTTAGCTAACAATTTGATTAAAAACTTTTTATCTAAATGTGATCGGCGAGTTTCTAGTGATTCGAGGTTAAATTGACGGCGACGTTCGCTGGCGTTTATGTAGTTTGGCGAATCTCGAGGTACGAAAGCTCCTATTTTCCGTAACCAGAGTTTACGAGAGAAGTTACTCTGAACCTGTTCTATTGCTCTTATCGTAGCTTTTTTTAGAAGGACATTTGACAATAGTGTCGTATTCAAGTATGGTTCGCTTATGTTCGCTATTTGAATGGTCTTCTTCCAGTGGTCAGCAAAATCTAGACAATGCGAATCAGTGAACGTTGGTTGAAGATCAGGTTCCCAAAATGAATGATTTCTCAAAAAGTTCTTAGTTTCGACATACCGTTATCATTCCCCTTTCCTCAATTCACTCATTATGCTGAGAAGAATGTTTTCATTGAGACATCGTTGGACGAACAGTCCATAAGCGGAAATGGATGCGGGGGGCGATGCGTCATGATTCTTTGTCCCCGTGTTATCATCACTCACATAAAGTATATAAAGGAGAGAAGAAGGAATGGATTCTGCGCCCTTCTTCTTTTATTCTTTCGTCTTTATCTTGGTCACGACAGTGTTTCACTACAGCATTGATAGGGGAGAACTGTTTTGAAGGTCAGATGCTTCCATTAGAACCTTATAAGGGTAGTTTCATTAATCTAGTCGGTTTTTTTTTGTGAAAAGCTCGCTCTCAATATATCTTGGGGGGTCTGAAACTTGGGCCCTATAATACTTCAATCCAAATCCAAGAAGCCTGAATAGTTTGAGCCTAGTAACTAGCACTTCATTTTCTGTTTCATGCTCCTCATTTATGTACTCGTTTCATTCCCATATCTGATGTTCCCTTTTCAGATCTTTCTTCCAGAAATGAAGATCACACTGCTGCTTCTGGCAGTCCTCGTGGCCTACGCAACTGCCCAGGGTATGTTTGATTCTGTTAATTTCATGATTGCCGTTTCACTTTGTACCCATTCCTATCTTTGAATAGACCACGTTTCAATCTGTAATGCAATGTTATTACAGTACCAAACAAAAATTGTCATATTTGTAGGCATATCACACAATCATTTTCATTTACCAATCGTTTTAATAGTGAAAATGAAAGTCTTAGGATTGAGGAATGTACATGAAATCTCACTGTTAACTGCAACTCTTTTTCAAGTACTTAACATAACTGAACATAGCTAAAATATCTCGATCCACCGTTCTCACTCGCACCAATTGACAGGTTCTCCGGGTCGTCAAGGTGTGAGTTCAGGTGACGGAAGTCTGTTCGGAGGCTCCGACGCCGGCACCGGAATCGGAGGAGAGTCCGGAGGATGGGGCGGAGCGGCGAGCGGAAGTGCAAGCGGAGGAAGAGGAGCCGGAAAGGGAAGAGGTGGAGCCGGAGGAGCCGGAGCCAGTGGAAGCGGAAGTGGAGCAGGTAACCTACCATTCTACTACTTTTCAATTTTTAATGCTCTTTTTCCAGGTGGTTGGGGAAGCCAGGCCGGTGGATCCAGCGGTGGAGCAAGCGGCGGAGCCAATGGTGGATGGGGTGGAAGCCAGGACTCTGGATCTGGTGCTTCTGCTTCGGCCGGAGGATCTCAAGGCGGATGGGGAGGACAGCAGGGTAAGTGTGGAGCGAGATGTCGGTCCCGGTACGCCCACGTTTTCAGGAAGCGGTTCCCCTTCGTCCGCAGCTGGTGGATGGGGAGGATCTTCGCAGGGTGGAGCCCAAGGAGGAAGAAGTGGACAATCTGGAGGACAATCAGGAAGTCAAGGGGGATGGGGAGGCAGCAGCCAGGACTCTGGATCCCAGGGAGGATGGGGTGGACAAGGACAGGGACAAGGACAAGGACAAGGACAAGGACAGCAAGGCGGTTGGGGAGGGCAAGGAGGATCGCAGGGAGGACAAGGTTAGTCGGAACTGAAATGAATGTTTCCGTGACAAGGTAAAATGTGGCCAATTTTAAACTACATAATCACACTAATAGCGATCATGAGTTCAATGCAATTTTGTAGGTGGATGGGGCGGACAAGGCGGTCAGCAAGGAGGATCTCAACAAGGAGGATGGGCAGGACAACAGGGAGGACAGGGACAAGGTCAGTTCTTTCAGCAATTTCCTCAAAACTGACATGCAGAAGTTTACAATATCATTTCAGGTGGCTGGGGAGGTGCATCGAACGGAAACGGAGGAGGACGTGGAGGAGGATGGGGAGAATCCCAAGGAGGACCACAGGGCGGAAGAGGCGGTCCCGGTGGACCGGGTGGACGAGGCGGATGGGGTGAGCATACTCTGGGGACCACTGTTTTGTGAGCTCGTAACATTTGTTCGGATCATTCTCAACACGCTCACTAATCTTTTTTTCAAAAAAAAAAAAATACTATGTGTCTTAGCACTTTTGTGAAACAGATATAAGTAAATTCCCTTTTCGCTTTGCACCACTCATCTTCAGGTAGAGGTGGAATGGGCCCGGATGGTTGGCGAGGTGACGGTGAGTTTCTCATCCACTAACTTTTCCGTTTCATTTGTTCGTTAAGTTTTTCACTGCTCTTCATTTGTGCTCTAACATAAATGCAGTCAAAAACATATATTGTTTCAGGCTGGGGACGATTCGGACCAGGAAACCGTTGGGGACCAAACCAGTGGGGACGAGGATGGTAGAAAGCGGAAATCGAACGGGATTACAAAATTTGATAACTTTTTAAAGCTTGTTCGTCATTTGTAATAATAAAGTTATCTTCTACTACAAAGCAAAAGACAAAGAAAGAGTTCGGGGTTCGAACTTTGGTCTTGAAGTTAAAATGCAAAATCACTAGCCGAACGGCTACACGCATAGCGATCGATCGATGACATAACTGCGTATAAATCCATCGCTGCCGGCGCTGCCAAAACCTGAAAATACAATGCTCAAATATTTTGATAGAATATGTAAACACTCTGAAACCGACAAAAAGTTCATCGTTTCAGATTCTTCGTATATATCTTTTTCTTCTTTTTGCTGAAATCGTTCTTCTGTCTTCATCTTCTCGTTTGATAATCAATCAAAAACATGTCAGAAATTCAAAGTTTAATCCATCAAAACACCAGATTCTCGTTCAAATATTATGTTTCTCCGCTAGATTTCAACTATCTTTTCCGAAAAAATTCAACATTTCCCCTCGAAAATGGCTGAAATTTTCTCCGTTTTCGCGCCGAAAACGTTTCAAATTTGAGCCAATTCGAGCCCGCTCGGCCCCCGCTTTCCCTTCTTTTCTCTCTTATTTTTCTCGCGGATTTTCGGATTCTTATTCAGTGGTGAGTATCAATTATGATCATGAGCCGCGCGTAATTCGATTATTATCGAGCTCATCACAACGGGCTTTCCGCCCGCTTCCTTACTATTTTGTTTTCGTTGAAAGAAAGAGAGAGAGAGAGAGAGAGAAATACCAAAAGTATAGATTGTTTTCGTGTTTCCAAAGTATGGTAATTGCGTGGGAACACAAAGAGATTCAGTAGCCGCATGAGTTTCAAATTGGAACGTATTTTAGGTACAGTTTGAGAAAAGTGTGCAAAAAATCAGCGTGTTTGGAACATTTGCAGCTTCAACTCTGTGATTAGTTCACTTCAGTCAGTTCCTAAACGATTGTAGCAAAACAAACAACATTCTTAGAGTTTGATAATCTGATTCTCCGTTTCGACTTCCACACGAATGCATTGGAAGTTTAAAAAGAGTCAATTCGAACCGTCAAACATCCGGAAGATGTGCAAATCATTCAATTTCCAGTCGAACTCTTCTCTTTTTGGTTGTGATACCCTTACTGTTCACATTCTCACTAGAAATGTATGTTCACCCGTTATCCAATTATTTCAGTCCTGGATGCGTGCTGATAATGCGAGCAAATCTTTGGTTTATAGTTAGTTGGTCTCTGCTTCTGTCCCTAATATTATCGTTTCTATCACCTATTAACAGTTCTTCATAGTTTCGCGAAACCGATCATATTACTGGAAACGTTTCGGATGAAACTCAAACTCTACTAGACACCCCCGCATTGATTCCCTGACCAGTTGAATGAATTCCTCCGAATTCTCTTCTCCGTCTACTATCAGTGTTGTGATTGCAACCAACTGCTCCCTTCTTTCTCTTCTTCTCTACTCCCTCTCCTCTCCCCATACTCTCTCTCTCTCTCTCTTGGCTCGAGAGACTCAGAGAGTGACCTGTTGACCAGATCAGAGAGTGTAAATCGGTTGAACACTTGGCCCCCAGTCCTACTGGTTACCCCTTTCACTTGTTGCTAGTATTTACTGACTGGGCATGCAGACACAACCTTCGCTCTTCAATCCGATGCACTTTTCACATGGTGAGCCCATTTTATTTTCGAAAAACTGCAGTTTCATGAGGCTTTCTTCATCGAGGTTCGTTTTCGAATCTTTACTCGTTTCAATTTGTTAACTGGATCCCTCAAAATCATTAAAATTACAGTTTCACACAGGTTTTACCTACTTATTCATATAATGTTGATTTGATAGTATTGAAAACCCGATGAAAAGCCGTTTTTGGGCGCTTTTCCATTTTCAAGACCCTTTCGAGCTAATCTTTTCTGTTTCATGTGTTTTTGGAATATATCTGACAGCCACCGGACTTTAGTATAAGGTACCGAATTTTTTTCGCTTATCGAGCTATTTACGCGCAAAATCACTCGTCAAGCCCGCCAAATTTGAATTTTTCGGCTCAAAACAATAGATTCAGAGTTCAAAATGTTCCATTTCGGTCTAAATTTGTGTAATCCGATGAAACTATCCGCTCTGTTCCTCTTTTCCCTTATTTGTAAACAATCGCTCCCTTCGGCCCCCAGATTTTTCCTTTTTTTCCCACTTTTCGCTTCCTTTTTCTCTCGCCTCATTTTGCCTTTTTCAAAGAAGCGCGGCGGAAAAATAAACTTTTTTTTGGTGGGATTCCGCCGCACAACTTTGTAGCTCTTTTTCCGCTGAAAATGCATAGTTCTTCGTGTTTTTTTTTCAACTTTTTCTCTCGGTTTAGTGTCTGTCAAGCGTCTTCTTTTTTCTCTTCGAAGATCTTTTGACACGTATCGGATTTCGGCACCTGTCTATTCGCTTTTTCACCTTTCTTCTCGCGTTTTCCTTGTTTTTCCGAACCGACGATCGAGTAAATATTCTCCAATCTTAAAAAAGTCAGAGGCTCTTTTTTTTCTGCGTTCTGTCTTGGCCAACTATCCTTTTTTCGTATTTATTTTCGAGAAAAATGCGTTTTTAGCAAGTGTCGTCAATTGTGGCGCATTGTACGCAGTGTTCACCGTCACGTCAGTTTGCAGACTATCGAAATCAAAATTCCGTTCTTTTTGTGACTGTTTTTACGGTTAGCAGCGTAATTTTCTCTCAATAGGACTTTTCTCCTTGTGTTCTTAGAAAAAAGAAGAAAAACGATAAGAAAAAGCCAGCCGAAAACCAATTTTTTCGCGTTGGTAGATCAAAAAACAGTGAACTCGTAGCGACTTGACAAAAAAGTGTGTGCGTGCGAGGCATTGGCTTTTGGAAAGACAGACAGGGGTGTAAAGAAATATTTTTTTCCGTTCCTCAAAAATCAGTTTTTCCAAAAATTGTTTCGATAAAGCCCACTGGCACGCGGCTAAAAGGCTCTGAGCACAGATGATCGGGCAGGGACCGTTCATCATGTCGGGTGTTTACGACTGTTTGATTGACACATCAAAGGGACCATAAACACGAGGCAGGGGGAAGTCCGCATCAGACGGTCGAAGCGTTCTCCAATTTCCCAACTTTCTGAAACTGTTTCTGTTTGACAAATTCCATAATTCCAGGCTACGTGTCATTTTAATAGCTGCTGTGTGATTCCGTTCGAACGAGCGCATTAGAGTGGCCCTCCGCTGGAACGTCTCTTTTCATAATGAATGTGGCTAATCCGCTTTTCACTTTCCTTTTTGCGTCCGAAATGAAACTGGTTGACACGTGTCAGCTGACATTCCGTCACTTGCCTTTTCCAATAAAGTCCTATTTTCTGAGCGGTTTTCTGGACACGTGCACTTTCGAAAAATCAGCATTTTTCTCCGGGAAACGAGTCAGAATCCCCTCCTCTCTATCTACATTTCTCATCTTTGAAAGGCGAACGCATTTTTCAAAAAGCTCACGAGCACATGCAAATTTTTCCACTTTTTCAACGTTTCGTGGTGGTGTAGAATGCGAAAAAGGCACGCTTTATAATGTTCAGATGTTTCTTTTGAACGCGCTTAATCTGTCGAGATTGACCGCTCGTGACTGGCGACAAACTCTGCCCCCTCCCCGCGTTTTCCCAAATTTTTCCATTTTTTGCGTGCTCCGGCCACTCTATTGCCCTCCCCGGACCCATTTTTTTGTTTGTCTCTCACAATTTTCTATGCACTTTTTCGCGTTTTCGTCGCGCGCCGACGCCGTGCTCATTAGAGAGGCGCAGGGATTTGTTCGATAAAGTGTTTCTTCGAAAAGCGCCGACTTTTGACTTTTATGCAGCTGAAAACGGTCCAAAACTTTGAAATTCCCCATCCGATTAACTCGACTCTATTCACTAAGAACTCAAAAAACGGGCCGAGCGGCAATTTGTTATGAATGGAGAAACTTTTCCGCTTTTTTCGTGCCACCAGAAGAAGCAGACGTCAGGAAACAATTGAGAATGATAAACGTATTGTTTCCGTTCTTCCCTCAAATTTCGATATTTTACTGAAATCCGCGGGTTTTCTTTTTTGAGCTTTTGTTGTGGAACTGTAGAAGATTTTGCAGTTTCAGCTACATTTGAAAAGTGAGAGTTCGTTTCTCCTTTCTTTTTCATTTTGGAAGGTAGGCTCGAAATATGTTCCCGACGGTACTCTTGGCCCGAAATAGTTGATCGACAATATCCGTTTTTTTCGGTTTCAATCTGTTTCCTAACTGAATCCAAAAATGCTTCATCAATCAAACAGTTCTCACATGTCATTTTCTCATTTCCCTTCGCTCATTTTGATGCATTTGACGTGGCAAAAGGGCATGGGAATCACGGAATTCTCAGTTTTGTGTACATGTTCAGTGCTCCGTGTAAAACTGCACAGAAAAGTGAACATTTCCCTCGTTTTTCTTCATTTTTTATTGTGGTTTTCCGTTTCGAGACCATCAAAAGTACTTTATGAAATTGAAATGCAAGATAATGAGCTGAACGCTATTAAGCAATCTTCCGAGCATTCTCCACTGAAAATGGTCAGAAATTTTGACAGTTTTCGGGGAAATGAGCTGAAAAAAATGCTACGGACCCCCTCGAGCGCTCAAAATAACGGAAAGAATCAGGAGAATTGAGTGTAAACAGCAATCGGACTAGGTCAAAATGAAATCAACTTTGTGAAACTGTAATTCCTCGGCCCGAACACGAACTCGAAAGAGCCCATTCTCTTTGTGTTCGACGCTGATTCGTGCTCTCAACTCTTTTCCAACTTTTTCCCCATTAATTTCTGTGTCAATCTTGTGCGCCCACTCGCATTTCTCTTCATTTTTCGCCTGTCTTTTCCTTCCCACTCTTATTTTTATTGCCATTATTCTCCGGTGCGCAGAATGCTCAAAAGAGAGAGAGAGAGAGAGAGAGAGAGAGAGAGATGGACATGGTTCACTTGCAAAAGACAAAGTGAGAAATGGACGGAAAGGGGAAGGAAAAGAGGAAGAAGAAGAAGAAGAAGTAGACGGAAATAATGAATGAACTTCCTGTCTCACAATGTTTCGGATGGTGCGTGTGAAATTTGAAGTTGAACTTGGCTTTTTTTTTAATTGATACTGTATTTGTTCGGTTTCACCAATACGATACAATTTTCGAAAAAAGGTCACCAAAAATTCATTGTAGACATACAAGAATCCCTTAAAAAAAGAGTAGAAAGTCCATTTTTTGCTCTTTTTGCACCCAATCTCTTTGTGTTCCCCATTCTAACCCAATATCATCCGTTTGCAGCAAACCGACCCAATTCTCTTCGTTTTTTCGCTCCTGTTAATGAGCTCCAATATATCATGCTCCCCTCTCTCTCTCTCTCGTTTTGACGTCATCAACCGCATGATTTGTGTTGCGAACAGAGGAGGAAGAGAACGGCACGAAGTGACTTGTTTTTCCAGACATTCTCTATCACTTCTTCTCTCTCTCTCTCTCTTTCTCTCTTTTTTTGTTTTCTCTATTGTATTTGGGACCGGAAGTGGACGGGAAACACTTTTTTTCTGTTTTAAGCACTTTTGATACTTCCGGAATTTCCGGTATCTAAAGTATCGGTGTCGTACTATTTTCCATGACATTTTGATTAATAATGAGGGTGTTGAAGCAGTGTTCAGTTTCAATTTTCGTAAATTTTGGAGTGCCGTTGTTCCGAACAATTGTTTTTTCTACTTTCCCCACTTGAAAACGAAGAAAACCCGTCAAAAAGAAGCCTTTGAGACGTCGTTCGTTGCGAGACCCGCGGAAAACTTCTGCTGTGCGCCTTTAAGGATTACTGTAGTTTATATTTTCGAAATTTACGTCTGCGGCGCGCTAGAACAATTCGTGTAAATTCAGAAGGAAAGTGTGATAAAGCTCTAATTTCTGTTTCACTTTTCATTCTTCACTTTTCTCTTGCATTCTCCAGAAATTTCTCAAGCCCATTTTAGAATTTTCCGCCCAAAAAACATGTGATTTCGGTACTCGACCCCAAAAAGTGGTGCTTTCGGTGAAATCGGAAACTTCTTCCACTGATTTCCATACATATTTGTAATGAGAATCCGCGCAATTCCGAATTCTAATCCTTTCGGCGACTAAAATGGCGAAACTTCTTTGTTTTTTGTCTCGATTTCACTACGGAAAAGAGGAGGAGTCTCTCAGAAACCAAAACGATCCAATCAAATTTAATGGCGATTTCTCCTCGCGTTTCGTGCTCTTTTTCTCTCGTTTTTGCACGTGAAATGGCCCTTGTTTCTTTTCTTTTTTTGCTTTGTTTTTTCGACGAACACTCATATTCTCGTGATTTCTGATTACTTTGAAATTCAGTTCATCGAAGCGAAAAAATTATATTCATGTTTCACTGTGCCCATATTTTGGGTCCATGTTCCCAGTAATCAGTGTGTTTCATTGGATTCCTTTGCTCATTTTTCATTTTTGCTTCGCAATAAGTGACCGTTTCAGTACGATTCTATTGAGAAATCCTTCCGTGGACAACTTTGATAGAAACTCGCTAATATCCCCTCCAATTTCAACTTTCGCTCCGGCTTTCCGAATGTTTCGTCCTCGTTTCCTGTTGATCCCTTTTCCAAACTGACCACCCGTCCAAACAAAAACACTTTTTTCCCCTTCTCCCATTCCCAAAAGTTCTTTTGTTTTGCCCGGATATTTTTAGGCGAGACAATCCAATTTTCATTCGGCCCCGAAACAACCGAAATGGCGGGCAACGAATCTGAATTCACACTTTCGCACTCCCAATTCATTTCATTGGAAAAATGTCAAAGAGAAAAAGCTAGCAAAGTCTGCCAAAAGTAAAACTACAAATGGTTGGGCTGAAACATGAAATTCCCATATGAATCCTCCTTTTTTATGGATCATTCTGAGTCACTCTTCTTCTCCGTTTCTGCGAAAAGAGCAAACAGTTCACTCTTTCTCTTTCTCGTACACTTCTCATTTCCAGAGCGTTCAAAATGCGTTTTCCCATCTTAAAATGACGACGAAAACATGGTGGTCTTGAATTGTGAACAATAACTTTACTTTTCACGACTTTTTGAAACTGAAAACGTTCAGTTTTACAGAGCTTTCATAAATTTCAATTGTTCAGTGTGGATTCAACAAAATGAGAAGTTTCCGTTTCACATTCTCTATTTCAGTACGTTTCTACCATTTTGAGAAGTGACCGTCGTGAATAGTCAACATTTATCTTCAGTTTCACCAACTTCTGTTTACGGTCACTTAAGGTTGGTGTTGCTAAAATTTCCCGTATTTCTGCAAAACCTAGTTTTCCATCGAACAACGCTCAATTTCCACTTTCCGAAGAGTAATGAGTACTAAAAGCGGCAAATCGGCATCCATTCAAAAGGTGAGAAAGAGGAAGAGAGAGAGAGAGAGAGAGAGAGTTTGATAGTGGTCTAGGTGAGTCACACAGTGATTGCGGGTGGCAAAGTAGGACTACAAAGAGAGAGAGAGAGAGAGAGCGAGTCTCTTTCTCTCTCTCTTTTTCTATACCAATAACAATAATTGAATGGAAAAGGTGTGAAAAGAGGCGAAACGGGCGGCCTTTTGTCCTTTTTCGGAACGCTCTCTCTCTCTCTCTCTCTTCGGTCATGACCTCGAAAAACTCACAAAAAAACGTTGTGTTTTCGCACTTTCTGACGACTTTTTTATGGGAAATATGAAGGAATTGAATGGAAGAGGAAGAGAGAGAGAGAGAGAAAGAAGAAGAAGAAGAAGAAGAAGAATCCGTTTTTGTGTGTGAAAAGCATCATCCCTCTCCACAATTATTTGTACTGTATAGTCGGAATTATAATGTACAGTGTTACAACTAGCATTACTAATCTCTCTCTCTCTCTCTCTCTCTCTCTCTCTCTCTCGCTCCCTAGTACATAGTTCTAGTCAAAGTTGCCGTAACACCAGCATGTTTGCCCTCTTTCTCTTTCTCCGCTCGTCATACTGTTTTCTACTACTTGAAAGCGAGAGAGAGAGAGAGAGAAGAAGAACATAGGGTGAGCCGACTTTTCAAGTGTTTTTAGGTGACCGAAAGTGTTTTTTCGGTGAATTTCATACTTCCCCCATTTTCTCCAGTCGATTTGCGTTATTTTAAGCGTGCGTGGTGGCTTGTAGCATTTTTTTGAAATTAGTTATGCTCATTGGAAATTTTCGACCGGAATGTATGAATAATTTCTCAATTTCTTAAATGAACTCTCTGAAACGGTAGTTCTTTGAGCTATGGTTTGATTTTGAATCCGAATTACGCATCTTCCCAAACGATAGAAGTTAATTGTGGCTTGAAACAATCTGAACTCCCCACTCACGTCTATGCAAATCGATATATCTCAGCTACCGATGGAGATATCAAAACGTTGTCAACTAACGAAATGTTCGTTCAGAAATTCTGTACATTTCATCAGTTGACCACTTTTTGATATCTCCACAGACAGCTGAGATACATCGCTTTGAATGGACAGTATTGAGATTGGCAAATTGGCACTGAACAGTCGTCCCGATAAAAGTACCTTTTCAATACTCCCCCATCAATATAATCAATTTGCGAAGCAGAACATCTTTTCCACTCAAAAGTGCGTCAAAAAGTTGTCAACTAACAAAATGTTCATTCAGAAATTCTATACATTTTATCAGCTGACCACTTTTTGATATCTCTACAGACAGCTGAGATACATAGCTTTTCAGCAGAATATAACAGTAACGAACATTTTTGAATCCGGGCCCTCTTTGGACAAGTATTTTAAATGAAATTGTTTCGTTAAACTGGATACTGCTCATGTTTGATTCTCGAATCAGATAAGCCCTTTCTGAAACACAATCCATTGAGAAAATGCCCCCGTACCGTCCAAAACAGTCTAAAATGTTATAAGCCCGGCGTTTGTCTGCTTCTCTCGTCCTCGTAATCGAAATGAAATCAGTCAGCTGATAAGCCATCACTGGTTTCATTTATTTGAGTTTATATTATGCTTCCCTCGTTTTCGTCTCCGTCTCCTCAATTCCAAACGGTCTCTGCCTAATTGATCACTTTTTCGGCCACCTTCACACAAAACTATGTCATTTCTCGGTCTTTTTCTCTCCCTCGAGACCTTTTTATCATCCTTCATCCTTTTTCCGTTTCCGGACAGAAACGAGAAGAAGAAGAAGAAGAAGTTCGTCCGTTATTTTATCACTCCCGGCCGCACACACACACACACACACACACACAAATATTTATCTTTTTCTTGTATTATTTCGCCGTCGCCCACTTCTCTTGAACATTTCCGTCTCGAACCACTCCTTTTATTTGATCTCATCACTTTTGTGATACCATCCGATCACTTTCCCGCCGCTTTTCCTCCCAGTTTCGAGAGGTTTTGATCACTTGCAAGGGCTCAAAATTGTCTAGTTTTATTCGAGTCATAGACAAAACAAAACAATACTAATCATTCCGTATTCCAAGCCAATATTTTGAGACGTTGTACGCATGTTTTGAAACGTGGAAATGGACACTTGGACGGTGATTCACTTTCCGCTCTCACCTCTTTTTCTCTTATCAACACGTCAGCAGCTTTTTAGAGTATTTTCAATGTATTACCGATTTTTTCTTCTGAAAGACTAGAAATGTACCTCAAATTGACTATTTTTGAGATCTTCTGCTTTGAAATTGTAATCACTAAACACGTTATCGGCTATATTTATGAAAGTTGTGAAACATGTCAATTTTCCAGGACCGCCCCGCGAGTGGAACCCGTTCTTCCCGGCGCCGACGATGTCTTCGTTGGTCCAGTTGCCGTCTCAGCCCTCTTCCGCCTTCCAGTTGGATTTCGACGCCGTCCGCAACTTCCAGAACGTGCCGCCCGTCGATTTGGAGGGAGGAACACTGATTGACGCCACAGAGGTGAGCCGAATTGAGAGCCGCGTTTATTTGAGACGATGTATCTCAGCTGTTTGTGGAGATATCAAAAAGTTGTCAACTGATAGAATACTCAAAAAGATATTGTGCATATTTTATTAATTGACAACGTTTTGACATCTTCTCCGACACCTGAGATACGTCGTTTCGAATAGAAGACATTGCGACGGATCAAACTGAGGAAATGAAACTACATTAATAAGGCTTATTATCTTTCCGAATTCACGGTCTCCAGAGCTGACAATGGGCGCAAGTACGCCCCGCCCGCCAATAGAGCGATACATTGGCGCGAAATTTAAATTTTAACAGCAAATTTTGTGTTTTTTGCCAGATTAGCCACTAAAAACCGATAATTTCTCATTTGTCTCTCGATAGACCGATTGTATAGGCTATTACGAATTTTTTAAGCGCAAGAGCGTTAAATTTGGTCAAGTCGCAAATCACATTTATCCGTTTGAAGGTTTTTGGCTAAAACTGCGTGAATTTCAGTTGCTTTTCGGTAGTTTTCGCGGTTCGAACGCTCAAAATGCTTGTATTTACGTGATTTATCATTCTCAAAACCAATTCTGTCTGGTAACGGTCAAGAAAGCGCAAAATGAGAAGTGCGGTTTTTAGGCGGCGAAGGCGAAAAAGCAAAGTCCGCGAAAAATGCGCCAAAACGCGATTAATTCTGAGAATTAGTGTGTTTTCATGTCGAACATGCATTTTTCATCGCCTTTGACCACAAAGATCGGAGAAAACCTCCCGAATTCATGAAAATGCCATTTGTTTCAAGTTCTAGAGTTTGTGAAACTGGAATTTAAACTTGGAATGATCGAATCTAATTTCCATTTCAATAATTATTGAAATGGAAAGGTGCTATTGATAAGGAAAATGCAGACAACTTTTCGAGTTAGAAATTCAAAATTATTGAAAAGTGTTCATTTAAATGCTTTAAAACTAAAACCGGATCTAGTTTTATTCAATCTCTATATGCCTTTTTTGAAACATGAAACCACAAGTGTTCATTGGGAATTCGAATCTGATTACCTTTTCGGTTTCACATTTCCAGTAATTCGTCCCTTTTTCTTTTCCGGTGATTCAATACTTGCACGTGGTCATAACGAGCTCATTTTTGACGAAAAACGAACAATTCTCCACTTTTCCGGTTTCAAAGAGGCTAGAAAGGCATCGCGATGGTGTAAAATGCTATAAATTATACCTCAAATTGACTATTTTTGAGATTTTCTGCTTTAAAATTGTTTCCATTCCACGATCATTAAACACGTTATCGGCTACATTTATGAAAGTTGTGAAACATGTCAATTTTCCAGGACCGCCCCACGAGTGTTTATAGCCTATAATTCACTAACGATGCTCCGCCATAACTATACAACTTTATGAAAGTTCGGAAACTGTCATTTTCCCCAGAACTTCTGTTTCGTGTCCGATCAAAATAGATTTTCGTTGCAGGAAGAGGAGGTGGACCCAGTGGACGGATGCACAGTCAAAGTGTTCACCTACCGTATCCTTTCGGCCGATGAAATGGAGGAATTGACGAAAACCGTGCGGCAAAAGATTAAATTCGATTGTACGCAGACGATGCGGAGTCTGAAGATGGTCGGATCCGAGGCCAAGGTGAGCGTTCAAGTCTGGATATCTCAGTTGCGGGTGGAAATTGCAAACGGTTGTCAACTAACGAAATGTTCATCAAGAAATTCTGTACATTCTATCAGTTGACCACTTTTTGATATCTCTACAGACAGCTGAGATACATCGCTTTGAATGGACGGTTGGCAAATGTTGGCACTCAACAGTTGTCCCGATAACAGTACCTTTTCAACACTCCCCCCATCAATATAATCAATTTTCGAAACAGAACATTTTTTCCACTCAAAAGTGCGCTTCGGCTGAGCAAACACCGAAACGGCCGTGTTCCGTGGAGTTCACGAACTGAGCACACAAACTATTCTCCCCCGAATATATCGCTTTTCGCTTGTTTCACCGTGCCAACGCCCTTTTCTCGCTGAATTTCTATAAATCATCACTCAAAAATAAGGGAAAACGGGGCTTTTTTTTTTGGTATGGAGCAATTAGAACAAAACACTTTTGGGTCAGCTAAAATTGTTGAGAATTCCCGAGTATTCCAAAACAAGACACTGAAATAACAGTCGATTGAAACTGAAAATGTTACCCCTTCTATAAAGAAACAATGCATTTCTCATCGGTTTTCGCTCATTTCGTATTCACCGAAAACGGGCGCGACACACATTCCATTCCATTTCACACTCGGAAACTCATAAAAACTCACACAAAACATTCCCCCCCCCCATCCCTTTTTTTGTCGTTTGCCAATTCTTTCGGTGCAAATGGAGCCGATATTCCCCAGAAATGGAGTAGAACTGAAGAAGTTTGTCACTTGGAAAATTGAGAAACCACGGGCGCAGATTGTGAGTTTGGGCTTCTAATTATCTCGTGTTCGAACAAATATTATCGATTCGCGAGAAATGGCATTTCAGTTGGTGGAAAAGAGTCAGCGGATGAGTGGAGACATCAAAGGAATGAAACCGATCGAATTTTCGAACAATTCGAAGCAGATCTGCTTGGATCAACACAGTTTGCAGCTGGATCCCAACGATGAACAGGTAAACTTTCCGCTTTCAACCGAATCGATGTTAGCCGAAACTTCACATGAAAGACAGTTTCGACGTGAGCCCATTTGAATAAGGGCTGATTATGAAACACGAAAACTACGGTGGTAGTCGGCGCGGATCCACAAGTGCGCAATTTGACAATACTTGCAGGACCAGCAGATCTCGCGGGTGCTCAACCAGGTGCCCAACACGTTCATGAGCCTTCTGAGCCGCGAGAAGGACGCTTTCGTGAAGCTCTACCCGGAACTCTTTGAGAAAATGCGAACGGAATCCTCGTTGATTCCCTCGACGACGACAGAAATCATCACGAATGCGGACGGATCCACGACCACACGGGTCAAGAGCAGCAAGTCGTACAGGTAGAATCATGGGTGTTTTGGGATGACGTGGCGCCGGATGACTCATGCTTTCTTCACACTTCTTTTCGTATTTCTTCAATCAGCACGTTTTGGGCAGGAAGGTGCTTCTTTTGTCTCTTCTCAAAATCATTCTGTAGCAGTCGATTTTGAAGCTCAAAACGCTTCTAAACTCACATTTTATCATGATTTTCCGTAGAAATCACTCAAAACTGGTCCGATGACAGGATTTCAGCAATTCCGGGGTTATATCATCAGTAGGCCTCTTTTTGACTCCTCACTTTCCCCGCGTATAATCCAGGCAACGAATTCATGCAAAACAGACGGCCTGTTTCGATTTGCCCGCTGAAAAAAAAATAGTATTTCGGAAAAAGAAACACACAACCTTTTTTGTTGTTGTTTGCGCATAGATTCCCTGTTTCACATTTGTCTCAAGATTTTGAAAAATGTTTTGAGGGGAATTCGTTCAGTTCGCTAATCTCCTACATTTCAGTTCGCACTTTTCTCGTCAGGAGACGTACGTGAACGGAGTGAAGAAAATGTCGAAGAGCAAATTCCGAGCATTCGTGGAGTATCGGGTACGTTCCGCTCCGTCGTTTCGAAAGGCCATCGTGCATTTGCAGGGACCAGAAGGCGGATTCCAAGTGAAATTGTCGGACGGCGACGAGTTCGAGCTGTCGGAGGACGAGCAGGAGGAGGACGACAAGAGCCAGTGCTACTCGGAAATCGATTCGGAGTCCGACATCACCGGACCGTCTCCGAAGACGGATCTGGACAAGCGGTACCAGAAGGCGTGGTACGCGGCGAAAGAGTTGGTCGACAGCGAGCAGAGATACGTCGACAAACTGAAACTACTTGGAGATGTGAGTTTGGAGGCACATTTCAATTTCTGAGCACTTTTCATGTCGGGCCTATTGAGAACTTTTAAAAGAGCGGCTAGAATTGAGCCAACTTATGAGAGTCTTGAAACAGTAGATTATAAAAAACAAAGTTCAGACGTTCCGCAACCGTCTGATCAAAGAGGAAGTGGTGACGAACGACAAGATCAGCCGACTTCTCGCCAACGTTTCCTCACTTTACCAGTTCCACAATACACATTTCCTTCCGCAACTTCTGGAATCGATCAGAGATTGGCACACTACCAAAAGGTATGCACACATATATTTGAGTTCACTTTTTCTCCTTACTTGCTCATATTCAGAATCGCAAACGTAGTCCGAAAGCAGGCGCCATTCCTCAAAATGTACTCGGAGTACACGAACAACTACGATCGGGCGAGCAAGCTGTTCGAGGAGCTGAAGAAGAAGAAGAAGTTCGCCGACGTGGTGAAGGAGATCGAGAAGCAGTCGGAGTGCGAGGGATTGCCCCTCGGGCACCATCTGATCTGTCCCGTGCAGAGGGTCATGAGATATCAGCTTCTGCTCCAAGAGTACAAGAAACATCTGCAGCCGACGGACGTCGACTTTGACGACTCGACGGTCGCTCTGGAACTGGTGCTGCAGGCGGCCGCCCACGCGAACGAGATGATGAAGAAGTTGGATCGGTTCGGGAAGGTGATCGAAGTGCAGGAACAGCTCGGCAACTCGATCTCTCTGGTCTCACCGGGCAGGGAACTGCTCAAGTCGGGATCCGTGCAGAAGATATCGTCGACGACGGAGAAAACGGAGGAGCGATTCATATTCCTCTTCAACGATTTGGTGATTCTGGCCAGCGAACGCAAAATGATCGGAGTGTCCAAGTACAAGTTGAGGGCGGTTTTCAGTGCTTCTCACATGCAGGTCAGTTGGAATAAGAAATAAGAAAGACGAAACTGTTTTGTGGACCAGCTGAAACCGTGTTTGTTTCAGGTGTGCGAAGGCGATAATCTGGAGCGAGAGCACTCGTTTTACGTGCGCGGATCCGACGGAAGCGGCCCGAAACGGTGTGTGGAACTGTTCACGCCGACGCAAAAGGAGAAGAACGAGTGGGTCGACGCGATCTTTTCGATCATCGACGAGGCGAAGGCACACTCGGCCACGTTCACCTCCAGCTCGGTTAGTTTCAAGTGTCGGCGGAGCATGGAAATGATGAGACATTGCATTTCAGAGGAGTTCGATCAGTGAGAACAACAACAATTCGATCGAATCGAAGCATTGCGCCGACTGCGACATTGAATTCGGGTGAGCATCTGTTTCAGGAGCCGCATAACCTTTTTGTGACTTTCCGGATAAACGTTACATAATCTCCCAGCTAGCTGATAGAAACTTCAGAATAAGCTCTGAAAACACTTTAGAAAAAAGTTTACAGTTTCACGAACCCATTGAATTAACCCCCCCTCCCTTCGTTTCCAATCAATGTAACATCTATGTACCTAGCTGATTCAGATTCCTGTCGCGCGGCTCCAAATGCGTGAAGTGCTCGCGTCGATTGTGCAAAAAGTGCTTCGGACGGCATCGAAACGAGGCGAAAAAGAACCGAATATGCGACACGTGCACCAAGAATATGGACCTGGACGGAATCCCGCGCAGCTTCTCCACACAGAGCAACATGCGACGGAACCTGCTGCAGATGCCCGCCAAAGGAACCGGAGTGCTGCATTCCAGCCAGATCAAGGTACGACCACTGTCTATTCAAGTCTGGATATCTCAGTTGCCGGCGAGGATATCGAAAAGTTGTCAACTAACAAATTGTTTACTGAGAAATTGTGTACATTTCATCTGTTGACCACTTTTTGATATCCATACCGACAGCTGAGATACATCGCTTTGAATGGACGGTATTTGATTTTGTTTCAGTTCCGTGGATCACTTGGCAAAACATTCGATCGGTTCATGGTGGTTCGCGACGACTTTTGCATGTACTCGTACAATTCCGATGAGGTAAGAATCGCGTGCGTGAAAAATTGAAGAAAGAGGTAATCAAAAGTATTGTAGAGTGTCCGAAACACAAAATAGGATTGACACTTAAATTTCAGTTTCATAGAGTTTATGAACTTTTGTTCCGTGTCGTGGACAAAGTTAAATTTTTCAGGAGACGTGCGCGCTGGCGATGTTGCCGCTTCCGGGATGCGAAGTCAAAATCTGCGGCGAGAAATTCGCATTTTCGGTGCGAGTCGGCGCCCGGCGGATGTACACGATGCGGGCCGAGGACGAGCAGACTCAGATGAGGTGGCTGGCGATCCTGGACCTGGCGGCCAACGCGCACCTCAAGAATCAGCGGAATTCGGGCAGCGAGCAGGAGGAATAGTCCCACTCGGTCCCTTGTAAATACCATTCTCCAACATATCCGTTTCCTTCTCTTCTCTCGAAAGCTATTACCCCCTCTCTCTCACCCCCACACTTTTTGTACCGTTTTCACCTCAATTCTAGTCGATAGAACTATTGTGAGTTCAATTCCATTTCCATTTGTGGACCAAACCGTCTATTCGCCAACGAGTTTCCTTCCCCCAATTCATTTTGTTTGTAGTTTTGACACATATATATATCTCCGACCAATATGATGAACCGCTTTTTGAGCCTCATGAGAGAAGTGCCTTCATTTTATGTTTCACAGCAACATGAAACAGGAACACTTTTTCCAATAATGTTAGGCGATCGGGCACAGCACGTGGAGGCGTACTAAACATGGGAACAGTTGCAGAGGTCCTCTACCGTAGCCCGGAAAAGTGCATAAGTTGTTGCGATTGTACACCATCGGGGCATTTCCGTTTCACACTTACATGAAAAACAACAGTTTTTACCATGAAAATCATTGACGCTATTTCCTTTGACCTGTTTTCATTTCGATCCGATACATTTGTAAAGCACTCTTACTACAGATGGATTTCCGGATTCTTCATTCCAAGACTCCAAGGTTACAGTAGAAAGTTTCTACTAGAAACCCGACCTTTGCCCAAATTCAATCAAAACTCATTTATCTCAGCTGTCTGTAGAGATATCAAAAAGTTGTCAACTGATAAAATGTACACAATTTCCTAGTGAACATTTTCTCAGTTGTCAACACTTTGATATCTTCACCGGTAGCTGAGATGTATAGTTTTGAATAAACGTTACCTCAGAAGGTTTACCTGCAACCGAGACGCTCTAGAAAGGGGGGGCGTGGCTGTTTCAAACGTGAAGCACAAAGATTCTTAGACGAGAATGACGTCACAAGGTTCGACATTAGAATCGGAGTTGGCAGCGAGCCAAGGACACGCCCCTAAATAGCGTGCGGCAGTTGCAGTGGAAACTGTTTGGGAGGCGTGTCCTTGGCTCGCTGCCAACTCCGATTCTAATGTCGAACCTTTTTTTTTTCAAACAGTACGTCTTTGTAAAACCAAAAACATCGCGTAAGATTGAACTTTCACAGTTGCAAGAAACTGTCAATTACACTTTAAGCAATCCACTGATAATAAGTCATCTCTGAGGGCAAAAAAGAATGAAAACCCACTTTTTGACGGTCTAAATGAGAACATCCGCACACCAATCAGAGTTGAGCGGAAATGGAATTTTGAAATCCGGAAGACGGCAGACGGCAGACGGAAGAAAACGTTTTTTACGGAACACGGAAAACGGAAGACGGAAGAAAATTTTTCTCCCGGAAGACGGCAGACGGAAGACGGAACAAAAAAAATCGTCAATGCAGAACCTTTTTTTCCGGTTTTTTTTTTTTTTTTAAATAACCAAACAACAAAAATTTTGAATCTGGGTCACTGCCCGTGGAAATTCGCGTTCTTCGGGGCTAGTAAATGGCTTCTGAAAAGCTATTACTCTTTTACGGTAAGAAGAAAAAATCCCGGAAGACGGCTGACGGCAGACGGAACAAAAAAATCCACGGAAGACGGAAGACGGAATTCCGCTCAACTCTGCCGCACACCAATCCGAACGGACCGAACACTTCATGTTCATGTGCAAGTCGACGATTCCGTTGGCGGACAGAGAAGTGAAAAAGATCGAAAGATACAGAATCGATTGACAAGAACATGATTCTTTCCAGCAAACATGGAGCGGGAATGAAATTGCGAATCTTCTTTTTCTGACTGTTTCCATTGTGCGTGAGCGGTGGGAATGAGAATTGGCTTCGAGAAATGTTTTCCGTTTCCGGAAGGTTTGAAGAGAGTTTCATGAAATTAGCATAGTAGTTGCAACGTTGGAAAACTTTTTCTGTTTCTCAATACTCTTTTCACTGTTCACTTGTTTGTTCTTGTTCAATAAACTTATTGACACTTCCCGTTTCACCTCCAGCTCTAGTTTTCAACCAAACGTATCTTTATCAGTTCCGGTACAGTGTAAATCACAACATTTTTCTGCAATGCTCCTAATCTTGCCGAACTTTTTCATTTTTCCACAAACTCGGCCCCTACATCATTACAGTTTGCACTGCAAAAAATAGTTTTTAGCGCGAAGAATAGCAGAATAGTCTTCCTGGAACACCAAACTACTGTAGATAACTGTCATTTCAAGATATATAATCGAACTTTACTGTTCCACGCACTCATCAACTTTCCATGCTTCTGTGCCGAATCATTCGGTTGCGCGATGTTGCGATGGATTTCTCCGTGTACAAGTTTCCGAGAGAACTGGAAAAATGTTGCGTTTCATTCATAAATTGCTCATTTTTCCGTTTCAATTCGAGCATTTCCTTGGCCTCCACCCATTTTTTTTGCCGGCCGTCCATATTCTACACAATGCTTTCGTTACAAGTCCTTCTTGTAGGGTGTCTATAAACCGATACTGTAGATTACTGTAACTTTAAGAGCACACATACGTGTCATAACTTGGTAATGGTAATTTGCTGTCAATTGATAAAGGGAACTTTGATACCTATTTACTTCTCTTGAGAAACATCCGACGTTGTTGTGTGTTTCCGACGTCCATCATAAAATTTAACGACTCACATCTCCTTCTTCTTCTTCTTCTTCTTCTTCTTCTTCTTCTTCTTCGTCGTCCGAATTCCTTCCTCTTCCCAAATGATAACATAGAGAGTCTTCTCACGTGAAATCGTCTTCGTTGAAAAAGATGTGGGCCGAAATGAAATATTATGTTTCGATGCGCGAAGACGATCGGAGAACTATACTTTCGTGCTGGTACAAAAGAGAAACGAGAGCACACTCATTCGTTGTTTTCCATTCAAAATGTCCCAAAATGTCTCGGTTTCTTCTTCTTCTTTTCCGTACAATTGCAATAAACACACATTTCTGAAGCAGATCATCTTTTTGTCCGTCGTGCAGTTCAAGAAATCAACTCTTATCGCTTTCCCTTTCCCTCAAGAATTAATGATCATTTCCACGGAAAACGCGCCGATAAGAAACGGTGCCGGCTCTGCAGTTCTCGCCAACGATTTCTTCCTTTTTCCTCCGCCAGCAAGCAAGTTGAGCTTCTTGAAAAGGCTCAAACTCGACTGCTGCAGCAGGGAAACCCCATGGCGAAGAGCGGAGGGAACGCGGAGACGCAGACGGCGAACTACGTCCTCAGCGCAGAGACCACTGTGCTCTTGGCTTTTCTTCATCTTGTGGTGCAGCAGAAGAGAAGCAGGAGGCCGAATAATTCGAAAGATGTCTGATATTCCAATCTTTTTCCCTTCCCCAAACGAACGAACTTTACTTTCCATCCATTTTTCATTGCTCGCCTACATTTTACCATTCAAAAACAGAGATTCAACGTAATAAACGTTGGCCCTTTCAAGGCCACCGTCAACAATCACCAACAGTTTGTTTGACGTCAAAAGTAACTTTTGTGTGCGTGTACATGTGTAGTTTGGACTCTACCATACCTATACTTTGACTATTATCCGTTTCCAAAAGTTTCCGTTCTTCTCAAAACTGCAAAAGTCTTGCACTTTTTCCCCTCGACTCCCTAATTACCATCGTTTTGCGACGGGGTGTCTAGTAAGACAGTCATTCATCCATTCTTTCGTGTCCCCACCCGTCAGTTGGCCTATTCCGCTCGTAAAATAGGCATAAAATCAGTGACGGTTACGGTAGGAATCACGTTTTCGAGGCTACGCAACTTTTGGTCATACTACTCAGTTTATAGGGACTTTTTGGAAGTTAACGCCTGAAATTGAACCACGCAACGAAATTACGGTAGTGCGCGTGCGAAATCTTCGTCGAAATCGTCGTTTTGCGACTTTTGAAGATGATATCCGCCCGGGTGATAGACACGGATGTAAACAGGCGTCAAAGTACGTCAAAGTGGCCATGAAATGGAAACAAAGCGGTTTTAGAAACGTTATCGCAATGCAGTTTATTCGAGACGATATATCTCAGCTGTCGGTAGAGATATCAAAAAGGTGTCAACTAACAAATTGTTTATTAAGAAATTCTGTACATTTTGTCAGTTGACCGCTTTTTGATATCTCTACCCGCAGCTGAGATACATCGCTTCGAACGTCTTTGCAGTTTCACACTGTCCTCAATTGTTTCCCAAACATGTCGGTTCCAATCACAGTCTCAAATTCTGACTCATTCTCGATGTTTTCTCAAGAATATTCCGGCTAATTATGTGAACTTTCCGAAAGCGTGGAGCCGACCAAACATCTCCAACTTCCGCAACTTTTTGTGACACCAAACTTCAAAGTATCCATTTGATCACACAGCTGTATTTTCCCACTGTTCAGTGCCCACAATCAATCAAACATTCCCTTCTCTTGTTCCCAGAATGATTCAGAGCCACAAAAGGCACGAATCTGATGTCATTTTGGTTCTTTTCTTCTAAAAGTGTTTCGGTCTTCACGAAAGTTCCATTACATCTGAAACTTTTGATGATTTTGTTGACGTTACGGTGTGAATATGGCAAAAAGTCACAAGAACTTTTACGATATTGTACTCTTCCGCCAACTAGTTTTGGTCCGAAAAGGATGTAAATTAGGCATACCGCACTCGGTACCGCCCTTTTCTTATTTAACTCCTCCAACTGATCTTTTTACGTTTTTGACTTGAAGATTTCCATTTTTTGGTGTCATGCTAATCTTAACATTTGTTTCTCTATACCATAATTGTGATATTGTTCTCTTCCGAAAACGTTTGCTGTTTCAGTGTGGTCCCTTTGAGGTTTCTTTGTGAACGACTTCCGGTCGCTGTATTCGAAGACTGATGTTGATAATATTTTCGGATTACTAGATAGTTAGAAAAGCATATTCATCTCAATATTTCACAAAACTAATAAAGAACCTAGAACAGTGAAAGCAAACACATTTTCAGTTTCAAACAGTCGCCAAAAGTTCCTTCTTCCTTTCTCGATTTTAATAGTTTTTCAATTCATTAGAGCTTTTTCGACTTCCCGACATTTCGCAACTAACGTGCACTGTCAAAGACACGTCGGAGAGCCATTTTTCGGTTTCAAACAGTCATGTTTAGATTGTTCTTTTTGACAATACGGTATTGCTTTGTACAGTCCCTTTTTGATATTGCTTTTTTCGTGTGTTCGAAGATTGTCTCTCAAAGACCGGAATGCGTCGGCTTCTCGTCATTTTGCCCGCCCAAACACAAAGTTCAATGAACGAATCGTCCGTTTGTTTCTCCGGGAAGCCCCGCCCCCTCTTCTCCTCCCTTTCCGTCCGTTATCATCAAACTGTCTACTTTCTGTCTGCTCGCGAGTGTAAAAATAAAAGAAGGCGGACGGGGGGTCCAGAGAGGCTTGTTTCGATGCTCACCACTCAAACAAACGCTCCGCCGTCTTCGATTCCTACAATAGTTGAGCGGCAGAACGTTTCCCACGTGTTTTGTTCGCTTCTTCTTCTTCTTCTTCTTCTTCTTATTGTTCTTCTTATTGTTGGCGACGAAATAGGAAACTTTTCTAGCACTTGTACCAATCAACAATCGATTTCTCTTTCGAAATGTGTGCTGATGGGCTTCTGGAAATTGTGCAATTTGCTTAAATCGAGGCCCCGACACGTAATGTCCGTATTTCACCAGGCCAAAACTTTCAAAGAAAGTCGCCTTTTTGTGGCGTTTCCAAGGCCAAACTCCACTGATCGGTGGCCCGTAATGTTGTGATCGGCCTCGTTCCCCCTCGCCCATTTCTGTCCCGTCAACCCGTCGGAAGATTTATGACGTGGCATCTCGCCCCGAAAACTCGTTCGTTCCCGTTTCTCTCTCTCTCCCGATTTCGCCAAATCGGCCATTTCACGTGCCTGTTTTCGCCGGAAATCAGATGATATTGTCCCTTTTGGACAGACACCTTTCGTGTCGGAAATCTGAAAATACAGTAACGTTCCCGATGTTTCCGCTTTTAAGAGTCATCTTCCCTCTATTCACCCCAACTTTCCGCGATATAGTGTTCTGTTGAGGTTCGACGCGGTTGCGAAATGTCCTGACCCTGATTTTCCACTAATTTTCACTCGAAAGATGATCCATTTGCTCTCTGTTTCGACCTTTGCTCTTTGATTGATGATTTGGCGGCATTTGGAGATTTAACAGAGGATCCACGACTCCAATTCTAAAAGTTTCTTCGATGTAAGAAGGACCGGACCGTCTTGTCCGATTCTCAGATCGAACACAACCATTTTCAGTTTCAAAACCCTCCTAAAAACGGTCTGTTGCAAGCCGGTTTCGCACAGCCATCCTCCATCCCCGGCCGTCCCTTTTTCGTCCATTCCTTCTCATAAACCGCCTATCACTTTCCCATCTATTTGCATTGATTACCGCCGACGTGTTGTCCATTCAGAATCGAACATAAAATCACAAGTTTACTCTCATTTCGCCTGTTTCGCCTGTTCAAATAACGTCTTGTGATAGCCGTTTTAGGGGTGATGAAACGGGGGAAATTTTGTCGTTCCACTAGGTTTTTAGATCGAATCCAGTATCTTGGTACATACATTTATCGAAAAACTTTAAAAGTACCGTTTCACACACTTCCTAAGTAACTTTTAGTCTTCAACTGCTCACTTCCCTCATGTATTCGTCTTCGCCTCCGGAAAACTCGCGCGCGCGACTTTAAAAGTGTACATACACTCTGCGAGAGAGCACGGGAAATCGGGGAGAGCGCAGAGAATCGTGAGTGTAATTTGAGATGAAACTAGCCTAGCGTGGCCGTGAAATGTGGCAGAGAGGCGAATTTTAGCACAGAATGGACAGGATCGTCCTGTTTTTACTCGCACTTTACTAGTTTCAACAAAAACACTATTTATTTGAGACGATTTATCTGAGTTGTGGGTGGAGATAGCGAAAAATTGTCAACTGATAAAATGTGCATGATTTTCTGATGAACATTTTATTATTTGACAACTTTTTGATATCTCTACCGGCACCTGAGATATATTGCTTTGATTCAACTATTACAGTTTTTGAACTTGACCAGCAAGAATTTTGCTCTGATTTCTGATATGAAATCGACATAAACCAGAATCGCTTGAAATAATTGAGCAGATAATCTTGAGAATATTTTGAAACATTAAAAGTTATTAACATCTCCGTTTCAGACCTTCTAATTAGAAAACAAAAAAAACAAACTGCACTTCTAGACTGTCAATATCCTAACCTTCATTTATGAGCAGTTCAAAATAATCAGTTCTCTTCGATCCATCTGAAGAAAAATCCGAAAGATCCTTGACTTTTCCCGCCTGCAGCCTCAGGGATCCTCCCTGCCTTTTCGTTTCGAGACCAAAGTCCCAAAAGTAAATCTTTTTATGCGAGAGCGAGAGACCACTCGGAGCCCCAGCGAAAGCTCGGTGAGAAAAGCGAGAGAGTGGGGCGCAGAGAGGACGAGTGTCCACTGCCCTTTGCTCCGAGCACGTCAGAGCCACGGGCACCAAGTGCTCGGCTCGACAGACTCCGCTCACTTTTCGGGGCGCCAGAGTTTTGCAGAAAAATGAGTGAACGGATGGGAACCGGTCTGTTCTTTGCCATCCGAGAGCTTCTTCTTCTTCTTCTTCTTCTTCTCTTTGTTCCGTAAAAGGAAAAGAGACGGATAATATCGATTTGCAAAAGAGTACCGTTCCAAGACGTCCAGAAGGTTCGGCGCACCTCTCAAGGCGCTAATTTTTCGGAACTCCGGGTTTCATCGGCATTTTTGCACAAAACCTCTCAATTCAGCTCCTTTTGGCTTGTGGTCCTGAAAGTTTAATCTCCAAGCGCTCAAGGTTCTAGAATACTAAAAAAACAGTGAAAGTTCCTGGCGTTCACCAAAGTTTGCCACAAATATTGTCAATTTGTACCGGTTTTCAAAAATTTTGGCGGACCAGTACTCGTTTTGAACCCCTATGCTTCTCAAAATTTCAATTTCAAGTGTCCTAGGCACACATATATGTCGTCAACTTTGAGAGAGTACAATAATTGAAAATTTGAATTTGTACCCAACTTACATGGACTTTGAGAAACTGTAAATGCTTTTGTGGCCGCTCGCTCGGTAAATTCGTTCCGATTGTTTCGCTGGGGGGTTCCTCCGTGTTTCTCTCCTCTCGCTACCACCACTTTTTTGCCGATGATCAACGACTATCATCACCCCACTTTCCCCTCTCTCTCTCTCTCTTTCTTTCTTTCTGTGCTGGGCAGCGAGAAGAAGAAGAAGAAGAAGAAGACAGTGCCCTCCTCTGCGCCAGGCACTATTTCCTCTCTTCTCCGCTGTACAACCTCTCTCGCCGTCCGGCGGCCCCGTGTCTTCTCCACAGTTCCCTCTTCTTCTCTCTCTCTCTCTCTCTCTCTCTCTCTCTCTCTCTCACTCTCTCTCTCTCTTTTCCCCCGTCCGCTGTTGTGTATTTGAGTGTGTCTGTCTGTGTGTGTGTGTGTGATGGTTGGGCTACGTTGGTCCTTCTTCTTCTTCTTCTTTTGCTTCTTCTTCTTCTTCTTCTTTTCCTCTCTTTCTCTTGCTTACCGTTAAATCGTTTGGAATTCCCCCGCGAGGTTTTCAATTTTTCGGTTAAATCTTTACGAAAAACTCAAAAAAAAAAAATGAAAAATTTCCAATTAAAAATCCGAAATATTGAAGGTGGAGTCTGTCAACCCCGCGTTCTCCAAACTATAACGAGTGCAAGTCCCGAAAAACATCAACTCGCCGTCGCCGTCCTTCAATTCTTCATCTCGTCTGAAAGCGGTGACCCCGAAGTCGTCGTCCAAAATTCGTTCGTCCGTCTGAAACAATGTCCGGAGATGCGCAGCCCAACTCGAAACAACGTGCTACCGAAGCACGACCGCCGCCTTCGCCCCCTTTAATCAAGGAGAAGGCCGCGATTGGCGCCCTTGTGAGTCCCTTTTTCCACATTGTGAACCTATTGGAACCGTTGACGCGTTCGGGAGGGTCTAGACGGTCTTAAAGCTCTCAAATTTGGCCCTAAACATCCACAAAGGTACTAGTTTTGGTCCCAAAGATGTAAGAATGTCCTAAGCGGTTAGAAATGTACTAGAAGGTTCAACAGTGCTCAAAAGTTGGACCTTGGAGGATCTAGAAAGGCCCTAGACGGTTAGAATAGTACTAGGAAGTTCAAAAATTGATCCCAAAGGTCCAGAGATGTCCTAGAACGTCTGAAAGTGCTTACAGTTGATCCTAGATGGTTAGGAAGATGCTAGAAGGTTCAAAAGATGGTTTGAAGGTCTAGAATTCTCCTAGGAGGGTTAAAAGGTGCTAATCCTAGGAAAAATCTTATTAAGTACGGTAAAATCCACGTTTTTAATTATTTTCAACTTGAAATAGTCAAAATTCATTGAACTGCCAGGGACCGATCCAAGTTTTGCATTTTAAATCAAAACGAACTCGTTACAGTTAATTTATCAAGGTAATACTTTCGGAGACCGATACACTACCGAAAGTTACTGTTTCCGAGTGTTGTGAAACATGAACATTTACTTTTTCACTAATCGACAACTATTCGAAGTCAAATTGAAGCCAAGTTAAAATAGTTCTGTTCCTAAATACCCGTTTCTATAAATAGCCCGTTTATTTGCTCGCCCGCTTACCTCATCGGGCTCTAAGAGTAATGTACACTTTGTCCGGGAAGAGCACACCGATTAGTGATCTCGAAAACACAAAAAGACGGTCCCAATCGATAGCGCCTGCGGTCCCCGGCCAATCGATGCCCTCTCAGATTACCGTACTCCCCTTCCCTTTCGGGTGATAACGTGTTTCTCACTCCCTCTTTCTTTCTTTCTTTTTCTATTTTTGTCCGATTGGGAGGCACCGGAAAGCGTGGGCGTAGGGCAAGAAAGAAAGAAAGAGAGAGAGAGAGAGAGAGAGAGAGAGAGAGAGAGAGAACCAATTTCGATGAAACAGTACACGTTCAATTTCAATTTTCGGTGTCTCTGCCAAGCTCCCAGACGTTTGATCGCTCTGTTTTGTGTAAAATTGAGCGGTCACCGAAAGATCTCAAGCTTTTCGTCGTCTAATCCCTCCGAGAGCTCATAGAACATAGCAACACATGTTCGGTGGCGAAGAAATAAACAAAACAAACGATCGATAATGGCGGTAGGCGAACTTTTGGGTTCAAAGTACCATCGGTCCCTCACAACGCATCAACGGTCCGATTGATCACAATGTTCCCCCACTTCTTCTTCTCCATCTCTTTCTTCTTCTTCTTCCTCTCCTTCTTCTTTCTATATTTTCGTCCGTATCACCTTCTCTCTCTTTCTCATTTCTCGGCCGTCTCCTTCCAGTCCCCTACAGTAACCCTCCGTAAATCCCCCAGTTCCCAATTTCTGCTCATTTTCAGTGCGTCGTTTGTGGAGATCGTGCGTGCTCGCACCTCTACTACGGAGTTGCCGCTTGTCACGGATGCAAGTGTTTTTTCTGGCGAACCGTCAAGAGTAGACTGAACTACGTGTGCCGATACGGTGGAACCTGCTCGATTTCCACCGGTGAGTTGGGGGATACTGTTACACAAACCTTCTCAAAGATAACGGCACTTACTTTGCTACTTTACTTTCGAGTCTATGTAACTCAGCTACGTGTAGAGATATAAAAAAGTTGTCAACTAACGAATTGTTCAGCAAGAAATTTTGCACATTTTATTAGTTGACAACATTTTGATATCTCTACCGGCAGCTGAGATACATCGTTTCGAATAAACGATATTACAGCCTTTACTCATTATCTACGCGATAGTACGGAAAAAAGATTCCATGATTTCTAGTTGTCAACTTTCTGAAACCGTACTTTTGTCTAGACGATCTATTAAGGAGTTAATCAGACTTGGTCCTTCTAGAAACCTTGCGAAACCATTTGCCTGTTTTTTGGTCTCCACTCGAAACACTAATCTATGAAATCACATCATCGGTCGGGCGAAAGTTTGCTCATTTTCTCGATCTGATCCGCCCCCCACGCATTGAGTACACAAAAATGACTGGAAAACAAATAAACAAGCCGACAATATCGAGAGAGAACTCCGCCTTGATTCGTGTGTGTGTGTGAGAGAGTTTTGTTGTCGAAAACAACGAAAAACGAGTACAGTTCCTGTTCCGTTCATTTTTGAAGCACTCAAAAAAGAGCCGAATCTCTGCTATTCCCTAGTCAAATTTTGGAAGTCACCTATATTTCGCCAAAATTTCGTGTAGGTCTCTAGACAATTTCCGTTTTTTAGGCGCCTGTAGGGGTGTCTAGCATTTTTTTGAAATTAGAAATGACTATTCAAAGTCATACTTTCAGCCGGCCGCAACGCTTGTCGCTACTGCCGTTTCAACCGCTGTCTGTCTGTCGGTATGAAGATGGAAGGTTCGTTTTCTTGTTCTCCGAGTCGACAATATCTCATTTCGATTTGCAGCGGTCAAAATGGACCGTAAGGTGACGAAGCGCAAGCGAGAGAAGATGTCGGAAGGCGATGAGGTGGACGAGGGAGGAGTCGAGAACTACGAGAACACCGTACGTTTCGGGGGCTGATCGGGAAAAATGGGAGAAGAAGAGAAAGAAGAAGAAGAAGAAGAAGAAGAAGAAGAAGGCAACAAGTCCATTCAAAACAATGTTCACAATGTGACATATTTTTGATATCTCTACCGTGACAGCCAATATTCCTTTGAATGAACGACATTGGGATGCCCTTCTATAAAATGAGCTTATTCTTTCTCTCTCTCTCTCTCTCTCTCTCTCGCTCTCTTTCCCTCTTTCGTAATACTCTTGCAACTTAAAGTGTACTTTCTAAAACATCGAACAACTTGCATCCAATGCACCATGAGCAAAAGAAAGAGAGAGGGAGGGATGCTCCTCTGTTTCACGTGCTCCTCAGCGGGCTCGAGGGGAGCACGGGGTGGCTCGGCGAGCACTGAGAGCAAGAGAAAAGAGAATTAGAATGGCGGAGAGGGGGATGTGACGTTGGGAGACCAAGGCATGCCTCAGCCCAAGTTGAAAGGGGCCAGAATACAGGGGACCTCGAAGATTTCATTTTCAGGTCGATGCGAAACGCGCGAAATCGGACAATCGTCTGTTGATTTCGTCGCTGCTGCTCATCGACAAAACGTCTTCGGACGGCAACGCGAAGCTCTCGTCGCTCCATTTCGTGCAACCGTCGCTGACGAATCTTCTCGACGAACCAGAACTTCTTGACGGTTTTCGCTCGGAAATGTGTTATCGAGCGACTCGACTGGCGGACGAACAATTGTGCTACGACACTGAACGTCGGCTGGTTACTTGGGCAATTGACTGGTGCCGTCAGACTGCTGAAATTGGAGACGTGCACCACACAACTGATAAGGTAGGATTCATCGAAACTCTCAGTATGGTTTTGTTGCAGATCGCTCTGTTGCGTGCGTGCTGCGCCTCGCTGGCCCTCCTCGAACTGGGCTGGCACAGTTCCAGCCAGTCGGACGCACAAATTCCCTTGTCTAACAACTCTTTTCTATTGACTCACGCCGTTCCACCGTCCAACTCGTAAGTCTTTCTCTCTCTCTCTCTCTCTCTCTCTCTCTCTCTCTCTCTCTCTCTCTCTTTCTCTCTCTCTCTCTCTTGCTCAGCTGAAACGATAATCTCCTATGTCAGGTTCCTCAACTGGAAGACCGTACAGTCGTTGAGCAAGTGGACCCAACGTGAGCTCAAGCCACTTTGCCTCAAAGCCAAGGAGATCGTGCTGTTGAAGGCCCTGATTGTACTTAACCCGGGTAAGAAATTGAGACTCGACGGTTTCCGGACGCCATTACTTCTGGAATTAGCCCCCCTCTTATCAGTTTTATTGCATTTCCATATCTATTTCGCAGCAGAATCATCACTAATTCGATACGAATGACATGTTGATAACGGGCGGTTTCCGGTGCAGAGCACAATGTCGTAGCGAGAGTGTGTGCTCGAATTGAAAACAGAAAAGAGATGGGGGTCTGTTTGAAAGGAATCAAGGATTGAGTTGCAGATGCTCACGGCCTGTCCTCGGACGCCGAATCGTCGATCCGTATGCTGCGCGAGCGAGTTCACACCGCTCTCTTCCAACTGCTCACCGAGAACTGCGAGCCCATCGCCGCCGCTTCCCGTCTTGCTCATATCCTTCTCCTCATTCCTCAACTTGCGGTTAGTTCTGTTCCCACCGGTAGACACCAACAACCCGTACTTGAGTTTCAGTTGATGGGTGTCGATGTGATCGAGCAAGTGCGCGTACGTAACACCTTCAAAAAGCGCTCGGCCGATGGGGACGGCCTTCTGTTCTGGCAGCTCTACGGCGACATTTTCGACGACGTGCACACCGACGACTATCTGGAGCACTCGGCGTCGTGCAGTCCGACCGACAGCCAGTACACCACAGACAGCCGCTGACTAGCAAAGTGGCGTCGTCCCGAGACGGCCATCTCACCGTTCAAGACGACGTCGTCTCAGCAATTGCAGCAGCACGTGTTGCTGCAGTTGCCAGCCAACAACAACACCACCAATATCATCATAATGAATAAGAAGAAAGAGAAGACGCTGTTGAATACAAACTTTGAGATGGACGATCACAAGGACGATCTTTTTGATCTCGGACGGCACGAGTACGACGAATACCACCGATTCATGGTAAGCGTTTTTGTAGCTTTTTGATAAACCACGGTGCTATTTTCCGTTTGACTGGGTGCCAAGTTGAAAAGTAATGCAGTTTCATAAAGAGTAAAAATTTCGGACGGGATTTTTGGCGATTTAGCAAATTTCAAACGTTTTGTTTAATCACACGATTAAAATCGAAAAGCAAAAACATGTTAAGCCTCCAGCGCGTTCTCAACCAAGACATTGTTCATTTTCAGACCGGATCAGAAGTGCAGATGCAGACGGATTCATCTCGAATGTTCGCGTCGGACGTCTCGTTCCTGCCGTCGTTCTCGATGCACTTCGATCCGTTTCCATCCTCGGAATCGCTCTTTTCGTCGCACTTTTCTCGATCAGTCGTCCCAAATCATTTCGGGTGAATGAATTGGAACAGGTCACTCTCAAAAGGTGTCCTCATTCGGTCCGTCTGAGCACACCTTCGCAGGTTCTCTGTTCGTCTTCAAACACTCCTCGTTTCCCCCATTTCCACCCACATTTACCTCTCTGTCTCTTCGGTTTTTAGTCGTTTCCGTCCAATAAAGTGCACTGTACATAGCTTCCTTCAGAGCATATTATCTGTCTCTCTCTCTCTCTCTTCCTCTCTCTTCCTCTCATTTCCACTCCCTCCCGACTTACTTCCCCCCAAAATCACTACAATTTGTTCATTTTTCCCTCCTTTTCTCTCTCTCTCTGTGCGTTCGTTTCGGTGTATGTCGCTTGTGAGGAACCACTGTCAAAGACTAATTTCTAACTCGCAATGGACATGCACCATCTCATGAGAACCTCACAACAACAACAACAAGAACACGTTCATAATTTCCTTTTCGTTTTTTTTTGTTCGGCCAAAAACTCCAGTTGTTTTGGACATTTGACCCCCTTTTTCACTTTGAACGCCCCCCAAAATGATGGCTGAAATTTCCAGACGAAGTATTGGAGTTCTCTTCCAATATTTCACCTGAAATTTCACTTTTTTTAGGCTCCTTCTCTTCTCGTTCGATTTCCTCCACTTTTCGATGCGTTTTCTGTTTCGCTTCTTCGTTTTAAACTACAACTAAACAATAAACGAATAAAGAAAGATATTCTTAATAAATAAATGTGGCGCCCTTGATTCTTTGCTTTTTTCGGTTTCAAGATACAACAACAGTGTTGAGCGGAATTCCGTCTGCCGTCTTCCGTCTTCTGTTTTCCGTGTTCCGTAAAAAAAAATTTTCTTCCGTCTTCCGTCTGCCGTCTTCCGGATTTCAAATTTCTATTTCCGCTCAACTCTGTACACCAGGCACGAAGATTTGGATTGAATGTTCAGATTTTACAGATCGGAACTCAATATGGGCCGCTTAGAATGTCGTATTCCGGAGGTACACGGGAATTGTGAAGGAAGAAAGGAAGGAAGGATAGATGACCGAAACTATTTATGTTACTGGGGATAGCAGCGGTACAGACCCGCAAGAAAACGTCCCAAACTGCCCGCCATACTTCTCCAATGGTTTTAATAAACATTTTATCAGTTGTCTGTTTTTTGATAACTGCACAGACAGCTGAGATGCATAGTTTTGAATCGGAGTGCCGTTCTATTTCAGTTAATCGATTATTTGGACAGATCGCTTGAACAGTTATAAAGTTCTCGATAAAAAAAATTAGTTTTATATTAATGACTGTCATTTTTCATAAACCATATTGCGTTGGAGTGTGATTGCAAAGTAAGAGTGTTCCGATTGTCGGATCACTGAGCCAATCGGCCGTCGGGACTCTTGTCCTGGTTCCCAAATCGAATCGCAAGCTGTTCGGCAATGTTCTCCAGATAGATATCGACAGTATCTCCGGCACGGACCCGGTAGCTCGCAAGAGTGCGGTCCGGGATCCACAGTTCTTGGCCTGAAATGAATACGGTTTCAGAAGGTTCATATCATATCAATTGAAATTGCAATAGAGTTTTCCCCATATTCACCCTCGAAGTACAGCCGCAGAATGTGTCCGGACACGTCGATCTCCTTGAGGAGCATCTCTTTGAGCTCTCCGACCGTGTACTTCCATCCCTCGTCCAGAATCGTCGACCTCTTCCCTTTCACGTCAAACAAACGAATGTAAAGGGTGACCGGACGGACCGCTGGAAGCGTTTCACACAATTTCAACGACAATATTCAAAAGATTACCCTGTTCGGACACTTGAAAAAGTGTAGTTACAGCCAGAAAAGTGGCAGAAAAGGCGGTGAATCGCATGGCGGAAGGCAGGAAATGAGGAAATCATAAGGGAAACGACGACGTTCGGAATGGGGAAGAAGCCAACTGGTTTCGGCCCCTCTTTCTTGCCAATCCAATCACTATTGGCTACTTTACGCTTTGTTTTTGTTATGACGAGTCAGAGTGACCAACTGGACGACACCCCTAATACTGTTTGTTCTAGACGATTTATCTCAGCTGTGGGTGGAAGTATCGAAAAGTTGTCAACTAATAAAATGTACACAATGTTTTTAGTAACATTTTATTAGTTGACCGCTTTTTGATATCTCTACCGACATCTGAGATATAGCGTTTTGAATGCCTTTCCTATTACAGCGTGACGGTTTTCAGAATGTTCAATCGAAAACTTGAATTTCCTGAGAAAATACGTCGCTTTTTGGTTCAAAGTTTCATATTAGTACCGAAAAAGCATCCCAGTTTCAATTAGTTCATCAAAAGTCTCTCGCGCAGACGGATCAATTCGTTCGCGTAATTTTACAATTAACCTGTTTGTTGCTCAATGTTTCTCGGCTCCCAGTCGACGAATGGAAGTTGGAGCCTCGTTTACAACGGTCGCAGAGAGCCGATGTTCACCAAGAGCACAAAATATACATAACTTTGTGTCCTAGACGAACGTTTCGCAAACAAGAAGACACTTTGCAACCACCGAAGTGGGTGTACCAGAAAATGATCCATCGGGACGGCGACTGTCAGACTTGCGGAAACTGAAGACAGGGTCCCGATGATCGGCACCAGAGTTGAGCGGAAATGGAATTTTGAAATCCGGAAGACGGAAAAAAAAATTTCTCACGGAAGACGGAACAAAAAAATCGTCAATGCAGAACCTTTTTCTCCGTTTTTTTTTGAAAAATAAACTAAACAACAAAAATTTTACAAAAATTCGGAAGACGAAAGACGGAAGACGGAATTCCGCTCAACACTGATCGGCACCATTGCTCTTAAAGAAATTCGTGTTTCCACTGAGCTTTCTTCATCTAATTCGACCCGATAATCGCTCAATTCTCCGCCGATAAGGTCGCTGACCACTCAAAACGACCGTGTTCCCAACCACAGTTCGTTTTGCGAACCCATTAGCCCTAAAAACAGCTGTCTCCCCCCGCTCGCCCGCCTTCGAAACCCTCTCATTCTCGTTCTTCCCGCGTCCGATGTATTCCCGCTGCCGGTCCGTTCTGTTCCGGTCCGTTCTGATCGCCGTCCGACGTCAAACTTTTCGGGTAGGTCACCTCGAATTTCACACACTTGATCGAACTGAAACGCCCATTAAAATCGAATCACGGGGCGGCGAAGAGTGCGTGTAGATTCGAGAGAGAAAACGACGAAAAGAGACACAATATTTGATAGGGAAGAGAGAAAGAGAGAAAGAGAGAGAGAGAGAGAAAGAGAGAGAGGGAGAGAGAGAGAGAGAGAGAGAGAGAGAGAGAGAGAGAGAGAGAGAGAGAGAGAGAGAGAGAGTGTCCCGTGTTGATAAAACCATTAGTCAGTTGTTGGCCGACGGGGCCTCGATTCCCGCCCGTTTTCACACTGTTTTCAAACCAATTTCCGTGCTTCTTCTCGATCTTTCTATCTCTGTGAGGGAGCAGAAAAAAGAGTGTTTCGAAAAGTTTGAAAACTTTCAGTTTCGAGGTGAACATTTGAAACTGACGTAAAACTGGGTGTCCTGATAAACGCGAAAGTGATTCACGAACTAATTTAAAAACTACTTTTGCATTTGCAGTCATTTCCCAAAAGTTTTAAAGGTTTCCGGTTCCATCACAATGTTATTTCTCTTTTTGGAAGCACCTTCTCAGTGTGCGTGATGGATTTAATGATAATAACGAAACATCTCTCCGAAAATGTGCTCAAAAGTCCAAACTTGTGAACTTGTGTTTTACCATGTGAGAAACTCAAATATTACAGTCTCAAAGGCTTCACATGAACGATCTTTTTGATGGCTCAACTTATTCGCAGGCAGTTTTTGGAAATTCATAACTTTTTTCACACAAATCGTATCGATTCGGGGAATAGCGAAGACAGCTGGCGATTTGGTATTCTATAAAATAAAAATGCTTTCGATTTACGAAATAAGTGTAGCAGTAATAATTTGTTGTAAACTACTCGTATTTTTCCTTCATAGAAAGCCTAAATTCTGACATTTCCGCTTCTAGCCAAGTCTAGACGCCTTTCTGGGAAAAAGAAAAGATTTGCTCAAATCCGTTCGCATTTCCAGACCGCCTTTGCGAGCGAATCACTTCCTCGCCTATCGCTTTCGATCCCGATCATCTTTTCTTATCTCGTGTGCCCTTTCTCAAGTGGAACGATTATGATACAAGACAGAAACAAACACTCTCTCCTTTGCTCTTTTCGAGGTTTTTAAATTAAGTATAGGTCTTAATCTATTAAAAATATTAAGAAACTATCAATATCTGATGGACGAATGAAACAGAAACCAATGATAGTTCAGGCACTAACGATTCCTTCCAACAAAAAGTAATTTTCCCACGTGCACACGTCTGCGTCTCTTATCATTTCCTCTTTTTCACGTGAAAAGTGCATCCGTCTCTCGTAAATCTCGAGCCGCCGAGGCTCATTTAATGAAAAAGTCAGCGAATTGGAAACAGAATGACATTCGGCTGCTGGTTTTAGGACCGAATTGGTATCATCCGATTCGGATCCTCCGTCCCTCCGCCAATATTTCCGACGCCTGATCTCTGACTCCCCTCACATCATAATTTGCCACTTTCTCTCTCTCGTTTCGTCTATTTGAATATCACTTGAGAAACCGTCGTTTCTTACTCTTTCGGACACCAAAAAACCGCCTCGACACACACTTTCTCTTGTAGTTTTACGAGATTCCCACACGTTTTGGGATCCAATCGGAGACCGAAACGTTTTTGCTGTTTCACGTTGTGCTCATCATTGTTGCTACTATCAATTGAACCGTCGCTGTCGAAACTAGCCTAGCACGAACCGGAAAATGTTATTGGCATACTAATTAATGAAAAAGTGAGCATCTGTCACATGAAACCCACTTTTTCACTTTCCGAAACATCTACATCCGTCTAGTGCTGTTTCACAAAGTTCTCAATAACCGTTACACTTGGCGAGGTTATTAGTCGCTTTGCCACTCTTCGCTATAAACTAGCTGTAAGAAGCGTATTCTTTGAAAAAAGATGCACCATGACTGGAGGTTGTCTCGCCAATGATATTACTTAATGTTCACGAAACTTGGACCCCGTTTCAAATAGTCCTTTAAACTGACAACTGTACCGTGCAAATAATTATTTACCATCATGTTTTCCTCTCATTGATATCATCCGGCTGATCCGCGCCGCCCTCGTTCCCTCCGTTTCCGTCTCTCTTTCCGCCCGGCCAGATCACTCTTTTTCTCTGCGCCCTCTCCAATTCGAACCCTCTCTCGGCGCCCCGCTTTTTTCTCGCTTTTTCATGCGAATGAATGAATCGGCGATGAGCAGAACGAGGAGCCGACAAATTGGTGCCGCCAAATTGTTGATGTTGTTGCACTTTTTCGCACCAGTTTTAGGGAATTTTCACATTTTTGCTGAAAACGTGAAAAAAACTATAAATTTCGCTGTTTCTAGTAGTTTTCAAAAAATTTCAAGTTTTTGAGCCGAAATGTTTCCAGTTTTTAGTAGTCTCTTTTCTCGGCGCTCTCTCACTTTCCAACACTCTCTCGCTCCGGCACCTTGATAAATATTCCTTCCGAAAGAAATATATTTATAACTTTGACGGAAATAATCTCGACCAAACACACACCTGCATTTTTCACCTGCATTTTTAATCTTCGTCCCCACTCCCAACAAAATTCTCGTTTTGCGGGGTCAGATTTTCGACATTTTTACGGCCGAGTGTGGAAAACTATAAAAACTGGTTTGGCAGCCAATTTTTATGTCAAATTTCGAATAAAATCGCCGTCAAAACGCCGATATCGACATTGTTTCTGACACTTTCGATTGTTATGCGTGTTTCGCTGAATTTTCTTGATTTTTGCAACACAAATACTCGAGAAAAGTTGAACAATGCAAACGCGCTCTACTGCACTTTTCGGAAAAAGCCGTGAATTTCAATACTTCCCTTCGAATTCTCACCATTTTCAAAAGAAAAAAATGTTGCAGATGGTGTCGCTGGAGGTGCCGTCGGAAAGCCCGGGAAGATCGCAAAGAGCGCCTTCCGAAGAGTGCGAAATCGCATTTTCGCACGACGATCCGACGCTGACGTGGAAGGATCGGACGACCGAGTGCGTCGATCTCAAAGTACGTTTTTCTTATACTCAATTTAGAGTTTTTGCCTCTTGGTGTTTGCAGACTCAAGCCTAATTTCAGGAAATTTTGGCTTTAGTCTTCAAACACCGAGGGTCAATAACGATACATTGAGCTTATTGAGATGCTCAAATCGATAATCTCCAATCCGTCTGAAATATTCGATTTTTGCAGAAAGTCTTCTCGAAATTCGACTCATCGGCGCCGATCAGCGGCGAAATTCTGTTCCGAGCCCGATTTTTGTGCGCAAAATATCTCGGAGGGGCGTGGCGGAAGGCCAAGATAGAGGATTTCCGCATCAGAGCCATAACGTACGCAAATTTCACAAAGGAATCCGAAAAATCGCAAATTTTCAGGGGCGGAATGTCGAATCTGCTGTTCCTGGTGGAGCTGCCGGCTCACTTGACGCCCATTCAAATGGAGCCCGAGAAAGCGTTGCTCCGAGTGCATTGCCAGGCCGATATCGATCAATTACTGTCAGAGTCCGTCGTTTTCACACTTCTTTCCGGTAGAAATCGAGACTTCCCGACTATTTCGTAGTTTTTGTGATTTCAGAGCGAAATTTGGGTCCGAAGATGCTCGGCGTGTTTCCGGGCGGTCGATTCGAGCAGTTCATCCCCAGCCGGCCTCTGCAGTGCCTCGAAATCAGCAAACCCGGGTTCATTTTTTGGAAAAAACAATCGATTTTCAACAGAATCTTTGCAGACTTTCCCGATTAATTGCTCCGATCGTCGCACGAGTGCACACTTTGGACGCTCCGATTCCGAAAGAGCCACAAACCCTGGAGACTGCTCGGCAGTGGCTCGAACGCTTCAAGTTTGCCGAGATTTTCACTAAAAGCTGATAAAAAATGGGATTTTTCAGGAAAACGCCCGCGGGCGAGCGTCCCATCGAACTCTACTTGACACGCGCAAATGTGCCCGAATCGGATGTGAGTTTCCCGTAAAACAAATGAATTCATCGGCAGAGTTTCAGTATCCGTCGTCGATCACAGTCGCTCAGCTGGAACGGGAACTCAATTTCGTCGAGTTTTTCCTTCAAAAGAGCGGAAGTCCCGTCGTTTTTTCGCATAACGATTTGCAGGTAAGCACTTTTTAAAATGTTTGAAAATTTCTGTTTCATAATTATCATAAATGCTGTTATGATATTAACTGCCTAATATTACCATAAATCTTCGCAATTTCAGGAAGGAAACTTCCTTTTGATCGACGGATACCAACTGGCCGACGACGGGACCGTTCTGACGGCCGACGGAAAACCGACGAACGACGATCCGTTGTCCCTTATTGATTTCGAGTATTGCAGCTATAATTACAGGTAGAAAATGAATTTAATCTGATTGACTCATTCGATCAGAATTTTAATGCTAAAAAAAAATCATGTTTCAAAGGTGTGCCATGTAGTGACCTTTTCAAATCTTTCTCTAATTCCATTGGATTCAAGTCTGGAAATTTCACAACATTTTTTTGAATTCCCTGTTTCAAATTGTTGGATAAAATTGAGAGCAGCTATTTCGGTTGTAATCATTTTTAAATTGACTTTCAGAGGATTCGACCTGGGCAACCATTTCTGCGAGTACGGCTACGATTACAACGAATCCGAGCCGCCCTACTACAAAATCCATCAGCACTTTTTCGACGTGGAAAAGGAGCGGAAAATATTCTGCGAAGCGTATCTCGACGAAGTTTATAAAGTAAAAAAAAGGCCCAGAAGTTCAGCAAAAATCGGATTTTTTTTGTGTTTCAGATGCGCGCGTGTGGGGATAATCCGCATTTCCCGTCGGATCTGGTGACCGGAGACCGCGAGAAGGATCTGCAGAAGATCGTGGAGGAGTCGATCCTGTTCATGCCCGTCTCGAACATCTTCTGGGTCTGCTGGTCTCTGATCAACGCCGAGGAATCGTCGATCGCCTTCGACTATGGAGCATACGGCCGGGACCGGCTCGCCCTGTACTTCCATCAGAAAAAGAACCTCGAAAAGTACCTTTCCAATCTGTGATTCCACTACAGTAATCTTCCCCTTCCTGGTCACATAAATCGCCTTTTCGGTTACAAAATTATTCGCCTTTTGTGCCTTTTTGTGATATAATTCCTCTATTGAACAACTGGGATTCTTCGAGAATGTCGCTAGTTTTAAAATATGATTCGATTTGATTGCCTTTTTTTTGATAATAAACGATTTCACATTCCTTTTTCTCAAATCGCGATAAATCGGCAACCGAAATGAGCAGTGTCAAGGTATTGATAATATTTGAACGGATTTGAAATTGACAGTGAGCTCGCGTTCGGAATAACGTACTTTTCGAGAAATTTCGAGAAATTTCGAGCATTTTCAGATTTTCAGAACTCGAACAAAAAATGCAAGTTTATTGGATCAGAAAACTCAAAGCGAAAAGGATCAGGACACTTTTCGCTGTGCTCTTATTCAGGAATTCCTCGGAAACGAACAGATCGTCACTCTCTTTCTCTCCGTCGTTTCCTTCTTTTCGCGGGACGTCAGTAGCCTTCGCGGGCTCTTTCGGTGCAGATTTCGTCTGTTTGGTTGATTTGGTTGACTGGTTGACTGGTTCGGTCGGTTGCGGAGTGGTCGGTGGTGGAGCAGCGACAGTCGGGGGATCCGAAGGGACGGGCGGAGGAGCGAGAGTCGAGGGAGCGGATGGGACGGGCGGCGGAGCAGTCGAAGTAGGAAGGAAGGTCGTCGTGTCGGGCGGAGGAGCAACAGTTGAGGAAGGCGTAGAAGTGGACGGAAGAGCAGTCGAAGTGGAGCTCGGCGGCTGGCCTTTGAATTCGTTATGGATTCCAGCGAATCTCTTAAAATCCTCTTGTATGAGCCTCAAATCCCAATAGTAGGTTCTGGGGTACAGCAAAGCACCTAAAAGTACGGTCATTTTTTCTTTGAAAACAGGTACTCTGACAGACCATCTGCGTTGATCCCCACTAGTATCACAGTTTCACTATCATTTCTGATCAAAGGACCTCCTCGGTCCCCGAAGGACAAGCGTTGATGATCGGTCAATATCATAAATTTCTTATCATCCGTGAAAGAATGAATCTGTGAACCGAAAAGTTAGAACAAGAGCGAAACAAGAAAATAAATCCGTACCGCCGCATTTTTTGCATACATAGTTACTCTGTGCATTTCCTGCTTATATAACAATCCGAAAGCGTCCACTCTAGACAATTTGGGTAAAACGGTCGAGGCATTGATCAGACACGGATACTTGATCTCTTCTTCGTCGGCTTTCAGTTCGAGCAGAAACGGCGACGCCTCTTTGTGGTAGCTTCTCTCTCTCCCGCACAAGTTCAGAATCCACGCCTGAACGAGTAACAACGAGGAGGGTGTCTGCGAGGCCTCCTCAGCTACCGTACCCTCTCCACTGCGAAGCTTTTATATTTGCAAGCCAACGTTTCACCCTCACACCACATTGCCCTTAAGACTAGCAACTCGGTCACTTCTTTAGGCACCGGCATGTTCCCTCTTTCGTCGCAATCCTCGCCCGTCGGATTGACAGCTTCTCCATTGTACGCCCAAACAAGTGTCTCGTTTGTCACATTTGTGCCGATCACTACTTGCGACGAAGTGATGACGTGTCTTTTCGAGATAATACTCCCCAAGGACATGTTAGTCCGATGGGCATGGGTGGGAGAGTCTGAAAAGACCGCATCCGCTTAGGTGTCCCACAGTCTCCGCGCTTACATTGACTGGAAACGCCGACGAGCCAGAGGTGCTTGATATCGGAATCCAGCACAGTCTTATCATAGTTAATGCCGGTCCCAGTTTGGTAATCTTAAAATATGCCAAAGTGTTGCCGAAACTCTTTCGAGTCCTGAACTCACTGAGGAACTGTCTTCCGCACTTCTCCAATCGCTCGTCGTTCTCCGCGTAGGTAAGTGGCCCATTGGCCAATGTGCTTGTGAGGAAGGCTGATGTAAGCAGGAGAATGCGAACTCTCATATCGATCAAGAGAGAAGAACTGAAAGTGTGGGAAGTTTTCGATTCACTTCAGACGGAATGAACACGTGGATTCGTGTATTAGGCCACGAGAACCACGTTTTGCATCCAACTTTGTGACTTTTTTTGTCGCAATCTCATTCTTTCATATCTGTTTTTTTCTTCTCGGCGACAAAAGTGTACAAAGGAAATTGAAACTTTAACCTCATTTTTGTGCACGATTTCGATTATCTGAAAACTTGACGAAACGGATCTGAAAATCTGCACGTCCGGTCAGGAATATTGGAAAACTAGACTGGAAAGAAAACGAAGACTGGTTCATTGGATCAGAAGACTCAAAACGAAAAGGATCAGGAGACTGTTCGCTGCGCTCTCATTCAGGAATTCCTCGGAAACGAACAGATCGTCACTTTCTTCATCCTCGTCGTTTTCCTCTTTTCGCGGGACCTCAGTAGCCGTGTCGGGCTCTTTCCGTGCAGATTCCGTCTGCTTGGTGACGACGGAAGCGGTCGGTTGCGGACTCGAAGGAACGGGCGGAAGAGGAACAGTCGGGGAACTCGTAGAAGTGGACGGAAGAGCAGTCGAAGTGGAGCTCGGCGGCTGGCCTTTGAATTCGTTATGGATTCCAGCGAATTTCTTCAAATCCTCTTGCATGTCCTTCAAGTCGAAAAAGTAGGCCTTATCGCCCGGTAAAGGACCTAAAAGCACGGGTTTCAGTTGAAAACACGGACTCTAACAGACCGTCTCCGTTGATTGCCACAAGTCTCGCCGTCCCACTCTCATTTCTGATCAAAGGACCTCCTCGGTCCCCGTACGCCGGCCGTTTTCCGTTCAGTACCACAAATAGCTTGTCGTGCGTGTAAAAATCGAACTGAAAACGGAAAAGGTGAATGAAAAAGCTCGAGTCAACCGTACCGTTAACTGTCTATCCCTAAATGATGGGTTCGTGTATTTTCGTTTCGAATACCTCAATTCGTAAGCAGTGAGCGGTTCGCCTCCGGATAAAACGGTCGAATCATTGGCCAGACACGGATATTTGATCTCTTCGTCGTCGGCTTTCAGTTCGAGCAACAACGGCGACGCCTCTTTGTGGTAGCTTCTCAGTCTTCCGCACAAGTTCAGAATCCACGCCTGAAGTAATGAATGCCTCGAAGCGGTCTTCAAGTGTTCATCTACCGTACCTTCTTCACTTTGAACACTTTATGCTTACACTTTCCTTCCGTTTTCGCACACCACACACCCATTATGTTCAGATTCTTCGCCATTTTCTTCGGCACCGCCAAGTTCCCTCTTTCGTCGCATGTTGTATCGACATAGGTGCCGTCGAGAGCCCAAGAAAGTACCTGTATGTGCTTATCAGGTTGGACAATGATAGTTTGCGACGAAGTGATGAGGTGTCGTTTGGATATTACACTTCCCAGAGACATGTAAGTGTCGCGAGTGTAGTCCGAAGCGTCTGAAAAGACAATATCCATTCACTTCTCTCTCGGTTTCGGCTCACTTTTATTCATAACTTTGAAGAGCCAGAGGGACTTAGAATCGGCGGCCGGCATTGAGTCATTTTCGTCCGGTTTGATGTCTTCGCCGGTCGCTGAAAGCTCGACTGTATTCAATTTTCGAGTCGAAAACTCACGGAGGAACTGTCTTCCGCACTTTTCCAATCGCTCGTCGTTCTCCGCCGCCGTTAATGGATCACTTTTGAGTGTGCTTGTAAGGAAGACTGTTATCATACAGAGAACTCGAATCCTCATCTCGAAATGTGATAAGTAGTGATCGTTTCGACATTCGGAGTGAACGTGGATTCGATTGATCGGCCACGTTAGAAAATTGCTCATTATGGAATGATCTTCAGGTCAAATGGAAGTTTGCATGATTCGATAGTAATCCTCGTCGTTCCCAATTTGCGCTACTATTAAATAACTCCTAGAATAGCTCATCAGTTGACTCTACTGAAGTTTTTCAGACCGAAAGGTCATTCTAACCCAAGTTGTTGAATTTCAAAGCGTTTTTTTGCTGGAATTACAAACCATTTCCCCTCAGCACAAAACTGATGTCATTCGAATCGTTCGATTGGGAAGAAACAGAAAAAAAAGCAACTAGAATCACTTTATTCCACTGAGAAACGGTAAAGCAAGCGAAATCATCACAGATGTTATATTATGGAATTTCCGAATCGAGATCATTGAATGTGCAGCGGCACGTGAGTGTCCGTCCTCTTTCCGAACGGCGTCTCGCTCGCGTGGATGTCATACGGGAGACCGCCGCCGGATCCGTTGAATTCCGTCTCGCCCAGCGACACCAAAAGCGCACTCTCGTCCTCGTATTTCCCGAGAATCTGGAATCATGCAATCGAATCAAGATTTCTGTTTGAAAAGTGTGAGAAACTGCATAATTGTTTCACTCTTTGTCGTTTTTCTCGTATGACGTGCGTGACAAACTCACATCAACGGCGGGAAGTAATTGCAGAAGTTTGGCGGTGCGGAACGCCGCCTCGATGTACCCATTCGTGTTCATGCGCACGTACTCGCACAGCGCCCGTTTATACTTTTCCCTTCCGGTCGAGACGACGTCGTTGCCCCGTCTCGTGAGCCGATAATCGGGCGCCAAGTGGCAAATCGCCTTCAGAAGCACCATTTCGGTCTCGTCGATTTGCAGCTCGAACATTTCGTTGACGACGTCGTGCATGAACATTTCTGTGATGCGCGCGTAGTAGAAACAGCATCTGAAAGGCGAGAGAATCATTGGAGAAAAGAAGACAGAGGGGCACGTACGTGGAGCACACTTGCTTCTGAAGTTTCGGATCCCTCGGGAACCAGCTGCCGTCGACGAAGACGATGCCGTCCGCGTGGAATGCGTAGCTCTTGTACGCGTACCACAACCATCCGACGGGCATCAGGGACAACTTGACGAGCAACACTTTGTCGTCGTCAATGAGCGCCTGAAAGTACGCATTGTACGATTTGTCTCCGTCACCCAGTCGTTCGAAACTCACCCTGTGCTCGGGAAGAGTGTTGTACCAGTCGACGGTGAGGGTGAAAGTGCGGCACCAGTTGAGACGGAGGGCTTCGGCGGTGATCAGAGGACGGCACTGGCTGCTCCATTTCAGCTGGAATTCAAGATACTCGTGTTTCTAACCGCTTTTCACAGCCTCCGAACAGTTTCGCTCGTTTCTTATCTATTCAGAAGTCATATCAATGACAAGGATAGAAATAATACATCATAACTATGGTTCATGTCACTTTGAGATGAGGATCAGCTGTAGGAATGGCACTACACACTCTAAAGTAATGAGAAGAAGTAGACGGAACAGAAAACTTCTAGGGAGCTAACTGTTTCAGAAAGTTATTATGTAAGGGCATTCTACTGCTCTTTCACTGTATGACCTTTACCCGCTTGCAAAATTCCCGGCCAAAGATCTTTCTGACCCGGAAGTTGCATTGATTTTGAACTCGGAAACTTCTAGAACTTTTGGAACCCCGAGAATTTCACAAGTCTGCCTAAACGAACCTCAGTCCGGGCGCACACTTTCGCCGGGTCCTTGATCGCCTGAAGGACGTCCGCGTCCATTGTGTAGTACCTGGTCGGATCGTACGGTTCCGACCAGTCGAGGATTCGTTGTTCCTGAAAACCGCGAATCTTTTGTCACCGAACAAGAAGGAAGCTTCGTCGTTACCTCACTGAGCATGAGGGCGATGATTTCCTTCGTCTGCCAGGCCATTGCGATATCCGGTTTTATATCCTGCGGACATTCGTCTTCTGGCTCTGAAAAACTCGAAAACCTTTAAAAATCGGGAGCGAAAATCAAGATACCCGATGCGATTTCATCCTTGATTTCCATCTTGATGCCCTCCTCGCTTTTCACCGCCGATTTCCGGGTCCGTTCACTTCGAACCGCTGCAAAGGTGGACGAATGCACGTAATACGAGAGACAGTTTGCTCACCATTCGCATCCATTCCCACTTTGAGACATCGTTTGAGTCGACAGGCTCTGCAGCGGTTACGGTACTTGAATTCGATGATGCACTCGTTGTTGAAGCTGCATTTATAGGTACGCTTTTCCCAGATACTGGAAAGCAAAGTAATAGAGGAGTGTTCTGGAGAAACGCTAGAGTGCTATTAAGAACCACGTGAAACAGGGAACTTTGAAAAGTTTTCCGCATTGCGAAACCGGAACCACCAGTTATTACGGTTTCCAAACATTGATCAAAGAAACGCATAGGGAAGTAGATATCACGGTCTCCAGAGCTTACAATTGGCGCGCAAGTGCGCCCCGCCTGCCAATAGAGCGATACATTGGCGCGAAATTCAAATTTTAACAGCAAAATTTGTGTTTTTTGCCATATTAGCCACGAAAAACCGATAATTTCTCATTTGTCTTTCGATAGACCGATTGTATAGTCTATTACGAATTTTTTAAGAGCGTTAAATGTGGTCAAGTCGCAAATCACATTTATCCGTTTGAAGGTTTTTGGCTAAAACTGCGTGAATTTCAGTTGCTTTTCGGTAGTTTTCGCGGTTCGAGCGCTCAAAATGCTTGTATTTACGTGATTTATCCTTCTCAAAACCAATTCTGTCTGAATACGGTCAAGAAAGCGCAAAATGAGAAGTGCGGTTTTTAGGCGGCGAAGGCGAAAAAGCAAAGTCCGCGAAAAATGCGCCAAAACGTCATTAATTCTGAGAATTAGTGTGTTTTCATGTCGAACAATCATTTTTCATCGCCGTTGATCACAAAAATCAGAGAAAACCTGCTGAATTCATGAAAACGCCATTTGGCCGAGGCCGCCACGCCCATATTGTCAGCTCTGGAGACCGTGATACCCGCCACATACCTCCTTCTGAAGAATCCTTTGCATCCGTTGCACGACATCGCCCCGTAATGCCGTTTCCCATTCGGATCTCCACAAACGAGGCACGAAGAATCAGAGATCGGCGAGGGATTGCGCCATTGCAGTTTGGACACCGAATTGAACGGTATATTCATTATCTAGACATTCGGATTAGGTTCTGGCTCATACGGGATCAAGAAAAATAGAAAACTGGAAAACGACCAGATGGATGAAGAGAATTGGGAACAGAAATGATTTTGAACGATTCATTACAAGCGGAATGCACACGGGAACGACGAGAGGTAGTCACTGAAAGAGAGATCACAGACCGAGAGAGAGAGAGAGAGAGAGAGAAGGGGACGGGGGGCAAACGGATTATTCGTCGTAAGAGTCGATCCGACGAAGCGCCGAATGCACTTCATACGGGAGACCGACCAGATCGGCCATGTTGAAGATCGCCAGGTACTGTACGTTGTCGTCTTCTTGGCGGGTCAGCGTCTGGAAACAAGGATTTGAATAATTTTGAATGATAAATGTGGCATTTTTTCATTGCGAAGCGAAACTGCATTCAGTTGGAAAGTGTGAGAAGCTGGAATTCAGAGTTTGTGCCAAGAGGATTCCTCCAAACCTCAATAGAAGTGAGCATGAGCATCAACGTTCCGAGTCGCTCCATCGCCTTCAATTCGGACGAATCTCTGCTCCGACAGTACTCCGCGAGTGCCCGCGTGAACATGTCTCCGGTCGATTGGAGACGTTTGTTGCCTTCCGCCGAGATGCGGTAATCTGGAATCAGAGGACGTTTTGCAACCAATCGAGTGGCGGGGGATTACCGGATCGGAAGGCGGTGATGGCGAGCATGACCGAGTACTCCTCCTCGCTCATTTCGATTCGTTTCATCACATGAACCATCTCATGCGCCATTGTGGAGGCGATCTTTGAGTAGTAGTCGTTGCAGCTGGAATAGGCAACACTTTTGTGATGTGCGTGGAACCGAAACATCTACTCACGCCTTCGGAAGCATCCGCTGCTTCTCCGGATCGTTCGGATACCACGCGTCGTTTGTGAATGCGACGCCGTCAATGTTGTGACGGTACGCCTGCCACGAGTACAACATCCACGAGACGGGTGCGAACCGCAACTTGAACAGAACCAAACGATCCACGTAGCTGAGCTTCTGAACGGATTACTGTCAAAATGATTGATTTTCGGGATGAAATCTACCTCCAGTTCATCGAAAGCGCTGAGATAGTCGTGGTACCAGACGAACGTGCGGCACCAAGTCACTTTCAAATCGTGCATGTTCGCCAGACGACTCGTGTCTCCCCAGGTTAACTGGAAACGGAAAACAAGTGTGTTTCACAGGCCAGCCAATATTTTGCAGCGATTTACTATTAGTAATTGCAATCCTGCCGCCGCTTTTTCTTCATAATGTCAAAACCCTCACCTTTGTCCTCGACGCCACTTTCTCCGGATTCTCAATAGCGGACTGCAGTGTGATTTCAATGTTGCACATGGTTCCGAAGCACGAGATCAGCTCGTCGAACTCTTGACAGAACGTCATTTCGATGCGTTGTTGCTGAAAGAGCATTCAAAAAGCGAACAGAGAGCAATGGACTTACAATATCCATGAGAGTCTTGACGATCGGAGGCATTTCGAGGTCCGGGGTCGTACTGGAACTCGGTCCCGAGCCCGCTGACAGCGGAATGCTCCCCTTTCTCTGTTTCACCGATCCTTTCGGTTTCTTTCCGTTCTCGCCGGGCGAACGGATCTCTCGTTCCGATTGGACAGCTGAAAGAAGAAGAATCGGTTTGGTTCGCACTAGTTGACACGCACCTCTAGTATCCATTCCGACCTGAATGCACTTGTTGAAGCGGCAAGCTCTGCATCGATTCCGGAACTGCTGCATCACTTCGCACGTGTCATTTGCCACACAAAAGTAGGTGCGCTTCTCCCAGACACTGAAAAAGAAAAGGATCAGAAGTGGACTTCTGTAGAAGTACAATAGTCCCCGGGACGTACCTTCTCCGAAAGAATCCTTTGCATCCGTTGCACGCGACCGTTCCGTAGTGTCTGCTCGCTTTATCGTCGCCACAAACAAGACATCTCCGATCTGACAGCGACATGTTATACAAATAATACAAAGAAGCGGTGTGTTTGGTTTGGTCTCTCAGCGAGTGGGACGAAATGAGCGGTTGCGAGGTGCTAAGTTCTCAGAATGAATGAATTACGCTCCAGCTGATCAGGCTACGTGCGCGCGCTTTCGGAGCATTCCCTTTGAGAACTGGTAGAGAAACAAAAGAAACAACTTCCATGCAACTATTATCGCTCTCAAACTGTTGGAACACACCAGTGGCTTCAGTTTTCAGTGACTCACTATTTTCAGCAGAAGCGACACGATTATGAGGGGCCATTGTTGAGGTAGATGAGGATAAAGTGCTACCCGAAGTGACGATTCCGAGTGGCGAGGCTATTTTGAAGGCTGAAAATGCGAGGATTTGTCTCTGAAACTGTGCTCTTCCAATTGCTGACTATTGTAGTGAAGTTGAAAAAGTTTAGAGTTTACAACTTTTTCGTACCGCTACTCCTAGTACTTCCGTAGGCCCTCAAAGTTGACACCATTCTATCTAATCTATATAGTTCATTTCTCGATTGAAAAGTGGAATTTTTTGCCAGATTGGAATCTCAAATCTTCAAGTATTCGGCCGCGGCCTTCGAGAGATCGTTGTAAGATCGAAATATTCGTTTACCTTGATAAGATTGATCCAGATTTCCAATAAACACAGTTGCACACTCAAGGCATAGATCTTTCGAGTCTTCTGGAAATATTACATGACGAATCGCGGGACAACGGTATAAAACGAATGAGAATGGAAGAGTTATTGGGCCGAGTTCGGTTGAATGAAAACAAACACGAACGGAGGAAAGAGTTTGACTTTCTTCGGCTTTTCAGATTCACCAACTCTACATGTATTGAAAGAGTTTGTATTGAAACGTTCGTGATTTAAACTTCAACAACTTTTTAGGACAATTTCAAGTGAAATGGAGTACAAAATGATACGTTCGTTTTCAGTCGAAAAAATAACTTTTCTGTTTCATTTGTGTTGTAGATGAGTGATCATTCTGGACCGATTTGCTTCTCTTCTTCCACACGCAGAGAAAATCAATAAATGGGTCCAGAATGAGCACGCATCTACAACACAACTAAAATACGGAGCACACGGAAAAAGAAGTCGTGGACATTTTCGTAAAATTTGTCTGTTTCACTAGGAACATTTCTAGCAAATACCGAATGATCGTATAATAATGCGAAAGACATTTTCATGAATTAGATTCAGAAAACAACAATGAGACGGACTGATTCATGTAAATTGAAGTCGCAAGTGCAAAGTGAATCAGAAAAATTCAAATATTTCAGTACATAGAGCTAGTTGGAAATCAATCGACTTCAATGAGCATCTCTCTCTCTCTCTCTCTTTTATACCGTCTCCATCCGTTTGTGCCTCAAAAACCACGCCCGAAAGCCCCATCGGCGCCCCGCATTTCCGTGGCTACGAACGAATATGGCGGATTGTTAGAGTATCAAAACACAAAAGAGAAAAAAGCACGAAAAGCGGCGAGTCGGCAGAGAAATCGCCGCGCCGACGCCAGTCTTCAGAAGGCGCCATGCGGCTCCGTGGCGCCACGCAACACAGATTTCGCTCTTTCTCTCTCTCTCTCTTGTGCCGCCCACGCGCTTTTATCGATGTTTCTTTGCTTTTCTGATTTGAACAGTTCTTTTTCAATCAAATGTATCGGTTGGTTTGTCGTGTCTTTCAAAAGAGAGGTTACGCGCAATCTTCAATTTCGGGAGAAATTATGATCAGTCTCAACAAGTTTTTGAAACGGAAATCTGAGAATCAAGGCTCTTGTAGGAAACGGGGCAGAAATTGAAAATGCATGTATGAAATTGAACTGACTCGTTCGAAAACCAAGATTTTTTTCAAATTTGTTGTGATAAAGGAACTACATAACTTGTTAGTTTCACTGTCTTCACGGACGTTGTACTTTTTCCAGAATTTACTGTTTCGAGAAGTAGAGAACTTGAAATTGGATAGTTGAGAGATAATAAGTTGAAGTTTTGCTTTTTTTAATTCTAACTTAGATCGCGCCGCATTATTAAAATGAAAAAAAACTCTGTATTTCTCTCAGCCAGGCAGTAAGTGAACTATGAACCCAGTTGAGATGATTCGATAGGGACCAAATTTTGCAGGGTTCTCGGACTTGAGTTGAAGTATTTTTGGACCAAGTTTCAGACCGATCCGATCATCTGGTCCCAAGATGTACTCTTTTCGGCCTCTGATGCACACATCTCGGCACTTGGACCCATAAATTATGGGCCATAATACTTCAATCCAAGTCCAAGAACTCTGCAAAATTTGGTCCCTATCGGATCATTCTAACTGTGTCAAAAAGTGATTTGCCCCGGTAAAGTATCAAAAAGACCAAACTAGGTACACTGGAACGAACAGTACGTGTGTTCTGACGGATTTCCCACACGAATGCAAATAGTTTACAAAAGGAAAGAGAAAAAGAGAGAGAGAGAGACAAGTTGAGCAGCTGAATAAACGATCGGTCGATCCGATTCCTCTCCTCTTTTCGAAAACGGATAGAAATGAGCTGAATTCGAGCGGAAAACGTAGTTTGTGACACTTTGTAATGACGGACAATAATAGGAGGACGGAAGACCGAAAAGGGTTCGAAAGTGAACTTTGATGATGCTTTTTTTTGAATTTGAAAAAACGGGAACAAAACTAGTGTAGTTACACAAAAGATACCGAATGAGAAAAGGAACTGAAACTGTGAACAGTGGCAACGTCCCTCCTTCCTGGCACGGGTTTTGCGCGGTTAATCTCCATTTGATCTACACTTTGTTTCGTTCAAACCCACGAATTTCGGACTGGACGGAGAGAGGTGCGAATTGCCGCTCGGAAAACGATCAAATGCGAAACATGGGCGAACTTTTGGCAAGTAGCACGGAGAAAACCGTTTTATTATAACTTTAGCAGTTGCAAAACGTATGGTGTCGAGAAGAAGAAGAATATGACCAATTTTAAACTGTACTTTTTCACAGTTTCACTGTCAGTACATGATAGTTTGTTGTTGGAGTCTGTAGATCGGTATCTGAAGGAAAGAACTGTCCGTCTCCTTCTTGCACGTATACGTATTTCGGAGATTTCGGAGGATATTCAATGTCACCCACCACTACACACTCGGTCAGAACCCCGCGAAAAGGACCGAGACGGAGATCAGTTCCAACAAAATACAGATAGAGACCATGAATCGACACCGTTTCGCGGGGGAGGATGAATATAGTTTGGCCGACAGAGGAATTGAGGAAAAAGATGTTGAGGAATTGTTAAAATCAGAAATATCACTCTTTTGAGATGTTTTGGCACCGGTAAACATTGGTTTTCATAGAAAACAGTGCTCAAGTGATTCCGAATGTGCAACACTTTTTCACGGTTTCACTTGTTCCACTTGTAGCGTCAATCGATCACTGTTCATTTGATTAATGTCTTAGTTTTGACTTTCAAAGAATTCGGTAGTAGTACCGGTTGAGAAGCTTCGAGAACTTGAAACTGGAAAACCAGCAATCTAGTTCATTTCTGGAGATTTGGAATGCACAGTGTGAAGGGCAGATTTCTGTGGAAATAAGTGGATAACTTGAAACTGAAAACAGAGTTTGCTCATTGTGAGTGCTCACAAGAATACGCGAAATGTGCCGCCCGTTTCTCGTGAAAAGGCGTCAATTAGGGTGCCGAAATTGGCAGGTTTCCGGGCGGGGACACGTGCAAAACAAACGATGACGTCGACGTGGCCTAGAAAACCGGGCACGCAAACCTAGGCCATTCACGGGGGACACGAGGAAAAAAAGGACAAATAAAACCGTGGTGTGGCCGAAATGAAATACTTTGAAGGTAAATAAAAAAGATTCGCGAGTGAAATTCGGAGATGTTCAATTGAACTGATCTCGAATGAATGAATGAATGAAAGAGCAAAGAATGAACCTTTCGCGTGCGGGATTACGGTACCAAACACGTGTGCGCGAAAGCAATTGAAAGGGCAGAGAACGGAAGGGACAATGAGCGGCAAAGTGACCGAAAGTGTCGTCGAGATGGTTTCCCGAATACGGGGGACTTTACAACTCGAACCAAACGATTGGGTTACGGTAAGGAGTGGTGCAGAGTTGAATGAAAAGTTGTTCGTTCCCTGCGAAATCCCTCCGATGACCAAAACTTGGAAAAAGAGAATGCAACGGGAAGAATACGCTGTTCGAATATTGTCAAAACTGTGAAACAGTGGGCTCACAATGGATAACACCCGGAGAAGTCTGACATATTGACTGGCTGAAATGTGCGAGCACTTTTCTGAACTTTTTGAAACAGTTTTGTTGCTAGACTCCTCAAGTGGTTAATAAGTAATGCGTTCACAATTCTCAGACACGTCCTTTTTGAAACTGTGATCATCAGGAGAACTGTTTGGATTGCTTCATCACTTTTTGAAACTGTTTTGTGGGCGTGATGGGGTTTTTCAAGAAGCGTTCGCCGTTAAAGAGTCTCAATTGATTCTGAGAGACTTAGAAACCGGCGATAGCTGAGTGATTCCAGTCTTCTCACCACGTCTCGACCTATGACTTGTTTGAAACTGGGATCGTTGAAACGCCAAAATTCTAGCTCTTTTCCAGTGATTTTTGAGTTTCACATCGCCGCAAAAAACTGAAGGGAACTTGAAGTTGTGCGCCAATTCATCACAACAAAAAACGCGAGCGCATAATACTAATAATCTGGTGATCAGTGACTAGGAAAACATGTCTTCGAGGCGAAAAACGGAAAACGTTGACTTCCAAACATTAAAATCTCCATTTCAAGACTAGCTGGGTTGGAAGGCGAAAAGGCGGGAAAGTAAAGGGCAAAAAGACTGTATGGCAAGTGATAATAATCGCATCAAAACATGTGGATGAACGGGAAGAAAAGGAACCCGAGGTATCTGGAAATAAATGGCGCTCAAACCACTGTTGAAAAAGTTATGCTCACGGTTTCAAAGAGATCATGAAACGGAACACAATTCGATCCATACTATTACGAAGCAAAAAAAACAGAAAAAAAACGTTGAAAGACTGAAAGTTACAGTTTCAGAAAACTGAGAAGTTGTTGTTATGACTTTCGGAACCTTTTTCAGGGAAATTTGCAAATTTAAGCTAAATTAGTTCGAAAACTCGGCAGTTCTCATGAAAACCTGAGCATTTTACGGATTCACAGTGCTCACAAACAGTTTCCCTACTTGGAAGATCGTTGTTCATGTGTCAACGTCACAAAAAAGAGCCAAAAGGCGTCCCACGCAAAGCTCAAACCAGAAAAAGGTGAGCTCGAAACGAGCAGAGTACACTCGGATTAATCCGCACGTCTGACCAGACTTGAACTTTTCCAATTCGAGCAAAAAACGAGGGGGAAACGAATAGAGAGAAAGAGAGAGAAAAAGAGAGAGAGAGAGAAAGAGGCGCGCCGAAAATCTTTGATCTGTTCAATGTCGGCAGTCAAACAGACGGAAAAAGAGAAGTGCAAAAGGGAAGAGAGTGGGAGAGAGAGAAAGAGTGAAAGAGAGAGAGAGAGAGAGAGAGAGAGAGAGAGGGAGAGAAGGGGGGCCGTGGCGACATGCCCACACGCACGTACTCTCTCTTTCTCTTTCTCTCTCGCTTCTCTGCTGCCACGTGAAAGCACGTAAATGGACGAGAGAGAGAGAGAGAGAGAGAGAGAGAGAGAGAGAGAGAGAGAGTGATAGGCGTCGGCCGATAGGAAACATCGCAGTACACATGGTGTCTGACTATGAATACCGCAAAAGGGTACTTGGAATCATAACGGCCCGGAAATCCAAAAATGTCATATGCGTTTTCGTGGAATCGCTCGAGAAAATGTCTCAAAAAGTGAGTTTAGCATAGTTGGGACGAGAAAAATGGAATTTCAGTTTGAATTTTCTCACCCAATTTTGATTGAAACGGACAGTTTTTATATGTTAATTTTTCGGGTTCACGACGCTTTTTTTTCAATAGTGTTGCCGGTTTTTTTTGAGATTTGACCTATGTAGATCAAGAAATGAGTGGAAACAACGGTTTTTGATCGAAATTGGGCCCGTTAATGGAATTTTGTCGCGAAACTGATCAGTTCCAGGTGTATTAGACGGAGAAGAGGAAATTGGGAATATAAAATGGAAACGTAACTAGAGAATCGACCGGGATCTATCGCAAACAATGTAATTAGACGAAATTGAGGATGAGAACTATGTGAAACTGAAAAACGTGAGTTGAAAGAAGAAAAGACCGTTTCAAGTGGTTTGTGTAACACAGCGAGGGTTCGATGGACACTAGATTCGCTCTCTACGTTGGTCTCAAAAAACTGAACATAAAAAGAGACAATTCCCCTAAAAATACGACAATATCGCCCGGAAAAGGTGGTGCTAGACCTTCTAGACCCTTTTTTCGCAGGATTATCAGTCGGGAAGCTGTTTTTTGGACTGAAACTCCAGACTATACAAGTATATGAAGAGATCTTTGAAATGTGAGCGTAAAAAGGTCGCCCACATGACTGTTGAGTCACTTTTTAAAACAATCGATCCAACTCTCTCTCTCACTCTCTCTCTCTTTTTGTTATCACTCCCACTTTTCATTCCATTTTCCCATTTGTTTCCATTTGTCATCAACTGTTGGGAGCGAGAAAGAAAAAGAGAGAAAGAGAGAGAGAGGGAATGATTCGGAAGATCAAAAAGAGCACAAGAAGATAGGGAGAAAGGGGGCACCAGTAGAAAAATTAAAAGAGCTGGTAGTTAAACAAACATTCGCGTAACGGTTTCACAGTTGACATGAATGTGAAACCGGAAACATTGAAAGTCATACGTGCAAAATGGGCCCATTTCGGGCGAGCACGGACCGGCTGACAACTCGCTTCAGAATGAAAGTTGTGCGTGGAACGACATATCAGATTGTAGATATTGTAGGCCGCCAAAAAGAGGCCCCGTTTTTTTCTAAAAAGTCATAGAAGGAAAACGTCATTTGTGTTGTCAGGGAAGGGATTAGTCAAGGATAAGAAAAAGGGAAAACCAAAGAAATCAGGTCCAAAAATAGCCCCATGTGACTGGGAACAGATGAAAATGAAATGGAGCAAAAACCATTCAGAATAGGAATTCAATGAACTCGTAGAATTATATCATTTTAAGACAACTTATTGCAAGGAATTATGTCTGTTTAGGCACAGAAAGTTTTTGAGAACCACATGAAACCGAAACAAACCGGAAGGTTGTGACATACCAATATCATCAATTCAAAACGCTGTATCTCAGTTGTCGGATGAGATATCAAAAAAGTGTCAACTGATAAAATGATCACCAAGAAATTTTTCACATTTTTTCAGTTGACAATGTTTTGATATCTCCACCGACAACTGAGATATACTGTTTTGAATGAACACGAGTTCTAAACGTGCGGTTCACGCTTCAGCTGCTCGAAACGATGTGATTTGTGTAATTTCAAGTCACAAGTATGAATTGTGTGTTTTCCTCATTATCATCGTCTTGTAATCAACGTCTATTCAACACGAAAACAGCGAGATTAGCAGGCGAGAGCTCAAAAATCGAGATTTTCATATTTTCATGTTCAATATCAGAAAATTATGGTTTTGAGCAATCAAACTGCATATATATCAACTCATTGTAGCCGAAATCGAATCGGAAAAGGTAAAACAGGTGTATTTGCATCGAATATTATAGAACTACAAAATACGAAAAATCTGTGTGGTCTTGCGATGGAAAGGAAAGAGAGAGAGAGAGAGAGAAGAAGAAGAAGAAGAAGAAGCCATACAAACGGAGACATATAAAAAGAGCAAATATAGAGGGAAAGAGACGGAGCAAAGGGACTTTGTGCACAGAGACAAACTGTTCCGAACCATTTTTTTCTTTTTGTAGAGGATTTTCTGTCTGGCGAGAAGTGTTTGAGGAACGGGCGAGAGCAGAGAGGCAGAGCATTGATCAGAGCACAAGAAACGAAAGAAGCAAAAGAAGTTTCACCCCAGTGGGGATCGAACCAAAACCGATAGGATGGTAGCCAACAGTTTTACCACTGCGGCAGCCGCGTCACAAATCTCGTGCAGCTTCCAGGGCAAACACATTTCCGCAGACTTGCCAGATTACGGGCCGGGCCGAAAATTTGCTGGCCCGGCCCGGTCGGCCCGGCTCAAAAGGCGTGAATTCAAATTTTTGGGGGAAATCTATTTTTTCGTTTTTTTTTTGCGGGGATCAAAATTAAAACTTTTGCTTTGATGCCAATAAAAACTATTTTTGAGAACTACATTTCTTTTTTATGCTCGATACTTGCAAAATTCGTTAGTTCTACGAAAAACAAACATTTTATTTAATCAATAGTTCAAAATTTGGATTCCCGCTTTTTGAACCGGGCCGACCGGGCCGGGCCGGGCCGGAGTTTTGAAAATTTTGGCCCGGCCCGGCCCGTGGCAACTCTGCATTTCCGGCGTCGGACGCCGTTTCTCGCAGCATCACTATTAGACATTCACCCCAGAAAACCCATACCATTTCAAGAAAACCGTTTCAAGTTTCCATTTTACCACTAGTGCTTTCTTGTTGACAATAAAATAAGACACCCGCAAAACCATAGATCTGTCCAGAGACCACCGTGTTCGCTGGTCTCGAGCAATCAACAAACATCAAGTGGGAAGCGGGCGAGTGTGTTTGTTCGTTCCGAAACCGTCTGGGGTCTCTTCCTGCTGTCCGACCGGTGAATGTCCGACCGAAATTTGTATATCCGCCGACGAAATTTGCTAACGAACGCCGGTTATCGGTGCTTGCGCATAGAGAAAACTGAGAAATGTTGAGTTTTGGTCGAGTATCCAAGAACTATCCAAGAACTATCAAAGGACGGCTCTGGGAAGTGAAATATGGAAATGTTATGTGCTGAGCTAGTGAGTCAGACGACAAAAAGGTCCAAAAAAAAGAAGCATTACTTTCGGAGATGTCAAAAATTGATTTTTTCAGTCGTGTCGATAGCAGAAAAAAACCACTGAAGACAGAGCCTTTTCAATTGAATAGAGTAACTGAAACTGTATAGTGTTTTCTCAGTAGATCAAGATTGCTCAAACTTGGCAGAAACGCTCCTCGGGCCTATTTTCAAATACTCTGAAAGTGGCCGATTTGTGTCTTTTATAACATTGGTAACGTTATCGAAAAAAGAACCGTATGTAGGTAGTTTCATTTCTTTATTAAAGTGAAAGATGTTAAAACAAGACAAAACATTTATCAGACATTGAAAGCGTCTCGGAACGGCGCGACAGTGTATCGTTCGGAAGAGCACGACACCGAATCCTCGAGGCACTTCTTCTTCTTCTTCTGCTCGGAAACTTGCAGCTCCTCCGGCTCGATGTAGACGTGCGGACGACGACGACGGAAAACGGCGACGCAGAGGACGGCGAGAAGGACAAAAAGAAGGGCGACGGTGAGAATTAGCACGAGAAGGAGGGAAGAGGCCGGAGAGACTACTACTGACGGCTTCTGGGTGGTGGTGGAAGTGGTGGAAGTGATGGTTCTGACGGTCGTCGTGGTGGTTGTAGTAGTGGTAGTAGTAGTGGTTGTTGTTGAGGTTGGTGGCTCGGTGATGACTTTAGCAGGAGAAGTGGTCACCGATGGATCAGTGGTTTCAGTGCACTGGACCCCGTAGAATCCAGTGTCGCACTCGTAGACCGCCTGAATGAGCACGACGACCCGACTGTGCTCGAAGATCTCGCGATGCTCGTTGCTCGAATTCGCCATGAGGAAGGAGTACTTGGCGGTGGCGCTTCCCTTCATCGAAACAGCCACATGGACGTCGGGCGCGTGGCTCGGCGGGTGGAAGCTCACCACTCGCGGCTCTCCTCCGAACAATCGAAGCATTTTGGAGGTGACGTCGGTGTGGAGCGAGAGCTCGCAGTAGGCAGAAGACGTGAGCTCGAGCCGGAGGTGTCCTTTGGCCGACGCCGAGGAACAGATGATAGCGAGAATGGCGAGAGTGGAGAGCACTTTGAAGAGCATTTCTGTTCAAGATCTGGTGAGCAGACTGAATGGAATGAATGAACGGTCCGATCCTTTTCGCAGACCACGCCCACGGATCACGACCCCGCCCTCAGGGAAAAGTATATCCTAAAGATCTCCACAAAAAAGGTATACCAATCTCCAGAAATCATGATGACATTGCCGGTTTACAACGGGTACACAGTATACTTTCAGACAGGGATCTCCACTTTTAGTCATCATTGGAACGAAGGAAGATCGGATGATATAACAGGATAACGACAATAGATTAGCCTGAAATGGGTAGAAAATAGGCCAGGCAGCTGAGAGCTCGACTTTTCTGTTTCGAGAACTTTTGATGTTTGATGTCAGTTTTGGTACACCCATTGTGCATCATTTTCATTACCTTCCTGACGTACCGTACTCTTGGAAACAACTAGAGAAGTTTCTATTTTGGGATGAAAAACGTAAAACTTGAGCTGTTTCAATTCAATTCATTTATTCATCGCAGAAGAAAGGAATTCCGACGTCCGGAAACTGTTCGACTTGAATTCAAGTTGGGCCCTCTGGAGCCCCTTTTTTTTCAAAGTCCAAAATAGAATATGAGTCAGTGAAAATCCTTTTGAAGCTAAATAAAACTTGTGTGCGCATGCGTCCAAATGAGTCAGTCCATACGTGGAAATCCTTTCGTTTCGTTCCAGAGAAAAAAGTATCGGCCACTTTTATTTCGCCTCTTAGCGGCTCATCCCGCATATCTGAGGGGGAGAGCCGCTGGAACCTTTTGATCCGTCCGGATTACGAGAACGCCTATAAAAGTGTGAAATGCGGAAACGGCGGTGTTAGAAAAGAGAGTAAAAGTGCGGAATTGTCAGTGCTTTTTTGTGTGAATGAACGTGTACTCGTGCTCTTCTTGGACCAATCACAACTGCTATTGTATGAGGATGGACGCGCCGATCGCGTGGAACAGGTCAGTTCTTTTCTAGCTGCGAACCTTTTGTACAGCCCAACTTTGCATTCGGGTCTCGGTTGCTCACTGAAACCTAGGTAGACGGTTCTAGTCCATCGGGATCATTCTAGACCTTACTATTCGACTCAGAAGACGTTTGAGGCGTTTTTCAACTAAACCATACATCGGACAACCTGAAACTTGTTGTATCCTTTGCACCCAATGCACCTAATCCGATTTCAGTGCCGCCCAAGAGATGATCTGCTCGATTTGCTCGGATAAAGCCGAGGGATACCACTTCGGGGCGATTAGCTGTGCAGCCTGCGGAGCATTCTTCCGACGGAGTGTCTCCGATCAGAAGGTCTACGCGTGCTCCAACAGGACTTGCAATATCGCTCACGGTACTGTTTCAATAGATTGTCAAACAATGAGACTTGGAAACTTTCTACAATAAATGACAAATATCTGTTTGTGGGTGTCTCCATAAGTGTGTCCAACCTGATCCTTTCAGATCCTTCAAAACGTGGCGGAAGCTGCCGATTTTGCCGCTTCTTAAAGTGCGTAACAAGCGGAATGATGCCTCAAGGTTATTCGAAACATTTTTGCAAATCCATCGCGATGCTTTAGATGTGAAAGCGAAACGGTCATCGGGTCATTATCATCAGAGCTCAACGTCGCTCTACCGAACTATGAACCAGAGTTCAATCCTTCTCATCGATCAAATCATCGGATTCCGGCGGAATATTGCAGCCGAGAGGCCTGGATTTGAAGCGGTTAGTTGAAGACCTCAAAACGGGGGTGTTGGTGGGGGATTTGAGAAAGATTTGATAAATCGAGTTCGGCCCGGTAAATCTCGCGCGATTTGAGCAGATTTACTCTAATATTGAGGATGAACCGATCAGGAACATTCATTTCCAGATGAGAGGACCCATAAACCGAGCCAATTTGATGGTTTTCCTCCATCAAGACTATGAAAATGTGAAGAGAATCGCCGCCAGATGCCCACTTTTCATGCAAATCATCGAGAATCTGAACACGCCGTTCGGAAGCCAGCAGAAGGCGAGTCAGAGATGGGAGATGGTCTCAAGTTGAGGATGTTCAGAACATTTGCGTTGCAGGAAGACCCCCTCCGCGACATTTTCCTCGTCGTTTTCGTGTTCGAAGCCTGTTGTCTGACCTCTTCGAAAGGGGGCGTACAGTTGGATCGACTGGTGCTGCCGAACTTGGTATCGGGGGACCGGGAATCGGATGGCAACTGATCGGCACCGCTTTTCAGATGTTCGTGGATCTGAGTGAGCACGCGTTCATCGAGTTCTTACAGTTTGAGCCTCCGTCCGAGAGTGCCAGGTGAGAGCGGAAATTTCAGAAAAATGCTTATCACGATCTTTGCAGAAACGTGCACAACGCGTTCTCGTTCCTCGTCCAACTGGCCGCCCGTTCGTTCCAATCCGCCAACTTTGACGAGTCGTTCCTCGCGGTCCTTTTGTATACCGTACTCACGGAGACGGTCCCGCTCAGCTTCCGACATCGATTCGCCGAAGTGAACAGAGAAAGTCTTCTGGCGGATTTGAACAGAGGTACGTCGAGAAGAAACAAAACTGTGATGGGGAATGAATGGTTTCAGTGGATCCGGCCACGGGACCACAATTCCACACGATCACCGGACACATCCATCACGGAACCCGAGTGTTCAAGGACGTCATTTCGGGTTTCTAGAGCCCAGCAGTTGCACATTTATTTGTTTCATTTTGGGATAAACTTATTTTGCCATATTTCCTCTCACAATCACAATCACAAGACGGTTTATTCGATTCCTTGAGAATGAAAAGAAAGAGAAGAATCATCACACATTTGCGGCACAAAATCATCGAAAATCCCTGAAGAATCACAAACGAACTGAAATTGCCTATATTATGCGGGAACTATTGCATTTTGAGTGAGTATTCCGAGTAGTAGGACGAGCCGGAGACGGGCTCGTGGCTGCTCTCGCTGCTCCGCGGACCGTCATTGTTCGACGTCACTTCGTTCACCTGAAAGTGTGCAATCCAGGACCGTCTCCCGGAAATCTTGGTACAAAACTGACCTGCGTGTCATCGTCTCCAATCGGAATGTGCTGTTTGATCGACGAGTGCAGTTCGTAGGGCAGTCCGTTCAGGTTGGCCAGGTTGAAGAGTGCCAGAAACTGCACGTTGTCGTCTTCTTGTTGTGAGAGGTGCTGCAAACATGGATTTATGGAATATCTTGTGTGTGATGATATGCCACTGCTGCAACTGAAATCTACCTCAATACTGGGAAGCAAGAGCAGAATCTTGCTGATGCGCATCGAAGTCTGAACGGAAGAAAAGTGGCGGTGCTGGTGTTGAACGTGTTGGTAGAGGGCCTCGATGTACTTGTCACGGACTCGTTTCACGTGAGCACGACCCTCTTCTGACAGGCGACGGTCTGCAAATTCACACGGTTCGAGCGAGGTCTGTCTTCAAAATGTTATTGCGCTTGGGGTGTTTTCGTTTTACTATTAGTGCTCTCTAGTGAGAAGATCTCCGGTGCCTTATTTTGCAGCCGCGAAACGAGTTTTTCAGCTGTTTTTCATTTCAATTCTGGAAGCATTTTGTCGGTTTTCAATTGGAGCAGGACTGGAGAGCACAAGAAAAACGGGGCGAAACATACGAGCTCTGAAGAGGATGAGCGCCTTGAGAATGACGAATTCGCCCTCGTCCATTTCCATATCCCGCATCGGAATCACCAAATCCTCCATCAAGTGCTCGCTGAGAATGCGGAAATAGTGATTGCATCCGGGATCCAGCTGCCTTTGCAGTTCCTTGTCCCTCGGGTACCAACTGCCGTTCACGAGGGCCACTCCGTCGCATCCCGCTTTAAATGTCTGAAAATGTTTTCAGTTTCTCAGTTTCATAAAGTTATTCCTTTAAGTTATTTGCGATAGAGCAAAACTATTTCTCTAACCTTATAAGTGTGACACAACCAATTGACAGAGACGACTCGATTCCTAAGCAAATTGTACTGGTCCGCGTGCGTCAGTTCCTGATAGTCCTTCATCGTTTTGGCCCAATCCAAGCAGAGAACAAAAGATCGGCACCAGGCGATGTGGACGTCTTCGAGAGTGGTCAGACGTTCGAGGGCGAGCCATCGGGGCTGAAAACGAAAGGATATTATGGGTTTAGTGGGGGAAGAACCAACGGGTGTCCTCTTTGCAACAACTCCAGGCTGGCGAAACGCAGCTTCGATCGTAACGTCCACCCGGCACAACTGATCGAATTCCATGCTCATAAAGTCGCAGTTCTCATCGATCAGATTGTCGACGGTCCGTTCCAGATCAGTCAAGTACCTGACCAACGGGACTTGCGAAGACGTGGACTGTTGTAGCGGTGGCGGTGGCGGAGTCTGATGATACGAAGGCACCGATTCGTCGCGCATTATAAGATTCTCCGAGAAGGATCGGCTGACGACTCCGGGAATGTGTTGGTAGGAGAACGAAGTGGGAGCGGGTGGCGTCTGAGCGGATGAGGTGGAGGGCATCGAGAGGGGCGTGGCCGGCGGGTACGTCGGAGAAGCACTGCCCTCCGGATTCGCGTCCTTCGGGTTCTTCTTGTGTTTGTCCCGCTCCGATTGGACGGCCCTTGCGTCCATTCCGACCGTGAAACACTTTCGGAGTCGGCACGCACGGCACCGATTACGGTACTCCTGGACGATGAGACACTTTCCGCCAAAACGGCACACGTAGTCTCGTTGCTCCCAGATACTGGAAAAACAAGGTGTATCTCAGCTGTCTGTGGAGATATCAAAATGTTGTCAACTGATAAAATGTAGAGAATGTCTTAATGAACATTTTGTTAGTTGACAACTATTCGATATCTCTGCCGTATCTCTAGATAATTCGGTTTAACTGACCTCCTTCTGAAGAACCCTTTGCATCCGTTGCAGGCGATCGTTCCGTAGTGTCTTCCGGCTCGCGCATCTCCACAAACGCGACATTTCATTCCAGTGAATTCTAAAAAATTCAAATTTATTCCAAAATCGTAGATCAAAACGCACCGCTAGCCAGGAAAGTGTCCATGAATAAAACAACAATTCAGGAGAGTCGGCCAGACAGAAATGGAGAGGCGAATGAACGAGAAGTGAGTGATTCGGGCGTCTCTCTCTCTCTTTCTCTCCCATTTGCATACTCTCTTTCTTTCCCGCTATTATCGTCGCCGTCCAGCCCCCCGATATCGTATTGTTTGCGCAACTTGCAACACACTTCTCACTACACTCCCTGCGTCTCGACGGGGGAATACTCTCTCGCCGGGAACAGCCCTTTTAAACGTGCCGGTCATCTTTTGATCTTTTCGCGATCAAAAGAAATAGTCGGATGCCCAAGTTTGGACACAAACATTCTCATAGTAAAACCGTGTTCTCAAATGCTGTGGTTCGGAACTTTGTGCAGACTTGTAATTGAAGGGAACGTAATTGATATTCAAATAAAAGTGATTTCAGAGCAAATAGTGCATCGAAAATCGCCATATTTGCTCAGTTTTTGTAGTAAAGAACCATGACCGCAAACTAATTTGGGTACACGAATGGAGGACGAAATCATAGTTTTGAAGCAGAAACCATAAGTTGGATTAGGACACTTTTTCAGTTTCAACCAGATCATTTGGCAGGTGACAAAAATAATTGTACATAATTGGATAGGGGAGTAAACTGACCGCTCTGGACGCCGGCGCTGGGGATCTCGATGAGTCCGTCCTCGGTCTTCGGATGGATGAACTCGATGGACCGCGGGACGATGCAGATGGGCGGTGCCGAGGTGTTCGGCGCCGTAGAGTTTTCGATCGAGGACATTTGCGCGGCTCCGGCCGCAGTCACCACTCCTTTGAGGTTGGAAGTGCACGCTTGAGAGTCGGAGGGCAGGAGCGAGTCGCCCACTGGAAGAGAATCAGAATTAACAAGAGATGTGACCGAATTGAAACTTTGTTTTCGTAAATTTCGATAAAATTACTGTTTTCCGCCGTTTCGAACAAGCACCAAACCAAGTTGAACTGCTTCAGTTTTTTATTAACCCAATGCGGAGCAAAAAACGAATTCCAAAAGTAGATCGATGATTGGGCCTTTAAAGCTTTGCTTTGCAAAAGCCGAAAAAAAACAGTTCTACATGACTTTGAAATGATTTCCAGACCCTAGACCGTGTCTACTTTTTTTCAAAAAAAGCTCATTTGTGCTCGAACAAATCCGAGACGATACTGTTAAACTTTATAAAACTCACAGTCGAGGGGCATCGCAGTGAGTACGGGCGGCGAAAGTTTCGGTCGTTTGCGGGCCGGCTCGAACGATGACGTGGACTGGTGGTGCCTCGTGGCGGAGGACGTCGGCGAGTCGTTGTGACTGAAAACGGGGACATTCGAAATGGTTTTTTTGCTGTTTCAAGAGGTCCGTTTACTTTGGTTGCACGGTAAATTTACAATCTCCATATTTTCTCCTTGGCCTCGGACTAATATCAAAATTATCCATGTTTTTGCACGTATCGACGCAGAAGAAACACACAAATGCTGTTTTCGTGGCAAAAGTCGATAAATGAGTAGAACAAAAAAAGTTGTTGGGTCGATGAAATCGGTGCGCAATGATCATATTCACTATTCGGTCTCTCTCTCTCTCTTTCTCTCTACTCTTTCCATTTTTTCATCCAAATATTGTCGCCTTCCAAGTTCAAACGTTCAAAATCGGCCGACATCGATCGGACGGCGAGAAGAGAAGAAGGAAATAGTGTCACGTGACGGGGGAAGCGCCGCAGAAACGGATTCGATACGGATCGAGATGAGACAATTAGGCGAGATCAAACTCTTATATTTGGGCGCCCTCGAATTTCACACGAGGCGTGCAAAATTTAACAGAAATTCGTGTTTCATGGTGGTTATAAATGAAAATGAAGTTTCAGCATAGCTAGTAAGTGAATTGCGCACTTGGATCAGAAACTGTGAAGATTAAAAGTACGCTCCAAATGAGTTTCTGAGCGCATTTTGTCCAAATTCTACATAAACTAGCACACAACGAGATGCGACTGTCAAATCGAGAGATAAAGCGTTTCAGACATGGCAAAAGGAGACGAAAACTGGAAATAAGATTGGCGGCCACACATAATCAACGCTTGTTTCGCTCTCTGTCAATCAGAAAAAAAAGAAAAAGACAGCATTTCGCCCGTTTTGTTTGTACAAATAAAAATGAAGAGGGACTTGGCGGGCGGCGGAGAGGAATCAGAAGATCAGAGGGCGCCACGTGGCATCGGACAGGAAAACAGAACTATAAAACGGAGGGGGGACAGCAAAGAAACAAGGCCACTGTTTGCACCCCTGATGATGTCATGGTCGGGTGTGGTCAAAGTTGAGGGAAAGCGTGAAAGAGAAATGGTGACTAATCGTATTATTCTAGAATCGCTTCTTTGCACAGTTACAGCAAAGTGACAAATGACTTTCAGAACATTTCTGACTTAGTTGCAAAACTTCGAGGAGCTGTAACAAGAAGACGTCAAGAAGGAGGGAGGGAATGAGAAGTTAATGGTACCATCGAATCGCTTACTCCTTCTTTTATGGACATTGTAAAACCATTGCTTTTTCCAAATTCTATTTTTCCCCAGCACGGTCTCCAGAGCTTACAATGGGCGCAAGTGCGCCCCGCCCAATAGAGCGATACATTGGCGCGAAATTCAAATTTGAACAGCAAAATTTGTGTTTTTTGCCAGATTAGCCACGAAAAACCGATAATTTCTCATTTGTCTCTCGATAGACCGATTGTATAGGCTATTACGAATCTTTTAAGCGCAAGAGCGTTAAATTTGGTCAGGTCGCAAATCACATTTATCCGTTTGAAGGTTTTTGGCTAAAACTGCGTGAATTTCAGTTGCTTTTCGGTAGTTTTCGCGGTTCGAGCGCTCAAAATGCTTGTATTTACGTGATTTATCATTCTCAAAACCAATTCTGTCTGAAAACGGTCAAGAAAACGCAAAATGGGAAGTGCGGTTTTAGGCGGCGAAGGCGAAAAAGCAAAGTCCGCGAAAAATGCCCCAAAACGTCACTAATTCGGAGAATTCGTGTGTTTTCATGTCGAACAATCATTTTTCATCGCCGTTGACCACAAAAATCAGTGAAAACCTGCTCAATTCATGAAAACGCGATTTGGCCGAGGTCGCCACGCCCATATTGTCAGCTATGGAGAAAGTGCGCACATTTTGACAAAGTAATCTAAAGTTTCAGAAACAGAAAACTTATGCGTTTTGTTCCTCTCATTTTTTATGACAACGTTCCGAACAGCAACAATTTCATTTCCTTTTCCCCTCTGATCGATGAAAAAAGTGGAGTAACCGGTTGGATTCGAGCATCCTTTTCTCTTCTTTTCCATTGCATCACGTGGTCTCACCTCATGACGGATAGAAATAGAAGAATACAATAGCGATGACGGGGACGGGAGAGGACATGAAGAGATGAAGAGAAGCAGACGGAGATGTCGATGACCACACACTCATTGAGTACAAAATACGGTTTTGCGAAGTGCTAAGAAAATTAAACGAAGCATTTTTAAAGGCCCTGGCAAATCGTGCTGACGAAACAGGTAAATAGATTTAAAATGTGCATAACACGTTCAAGTTCCAAAAAGAATAAACAACTCAGAAGAGCTTTAAGGATTCATCTTGGGTGTCTGAAACAATGAAAAGTCTCAGAAAGTTCACGAATGGCTAACAATTGGTATGGAAGCACTGAAAGATGGTCCCAATCAGATCTTTACCACACATACTTGAAACACGAACATTTTTTCGGTAATTAGGGATCATTTTGCTGAGCATTCAAGCAGTGCTCTACAGTTCGAGACAGTTCAAGTTACGTGGGTATCGCAACGAATGGATCGATTGTGTATTTGAAATTCAATCAATAAGAAGGAGTTTTCAAATGTTGAAGAAACAGAAATATACTTGAACCAGGGCTGGGCAATTGGCCAGCCGTTGACCTGAACCTTTGAACCACTTGCAATATTCCGATCGGACCCAAACTTTGCAGGATTGTTGGACTTGGATTGAGGGCCATTGGGTCCAAGTTTCAGCCCGATCGGATCGTCGGATCCCGAGATATGTGGATCATTGGCCGATTTTTTTCCAAAAAGCCCGGACTTCCGGCCAATTTCGGCCAATGATCCACATATCTCGGAACCCGACGATCCGATCGGGCTGAAACTTGGACCCAATGGCCCTCAATCCAAGTCCAACAATTCTGCAAAGTTTGGGTCCGATCGGAATATTGCAAGTGGTTCAAAAGTTCAGGTTAGTTGGGGTCTACAACGGCCGAAAACTCACTTGAAGTGCATCTGATGGGCTTGCAACTCGTTCATCATTTGCGTGCCGATTGAAGGAGAATTGCTGAAAAAGATGAAAGTTTGAGAAGGAAGCGAAAAAAGAAGAAGAAGAAGAAGAAGAAGAAGAAGAAGAAGAGAGAAACGGAGACGGGCACAAGGCGAGACATTCAATTATTTGTAAGGTAGATAACTTTATCCCATCAAATTTGGAAAACACAACTTGATAGAATACGAGTTATTGAAACAGTAACAAGTTCGGTGAAACAGTTCACCACTGCATAATTCAAAGCGTGTCTAGAAGAAACGGAAACAGTGCATAGTGGTGAGGGTACAAAGTACACGAGTGACTAATTAACTGATGACACTCAAACATCCGACGACTTTGCTTTGAAAATAAATTTCTAGAGTTCAAAAATGTTTCAACATCGCAGTAAATCTGATTGAGCAACCATTTCGAACAAAAGTATGTTTTTAGCATCGAATGTCAGGTATTTCAGTGAAAATAGATTTTAAAAAATGCAAACTTTGGTCACATTCGGTCCAAAATTTGTCACCCTCTCCTCTGTGTCGCCTGCCGATGCGTACCGGTTGCTGAAGTGTGATCTTTTCTCTCTCTCTTCCTCTTTCTTATCTTCTTCTTTTTCTGATAAAAAGAGGCGAGAGAGAGAGAGTGAGAGACGCAGAGAAACGCGCGAGAGAAAAAGGTGATCATTGAGGGTTTCTGATGCAACAAAAAACGAGAAAAACGTGAGAAAATCGGAAATTACATGCTATTCTCAGGCTAATTTTCGTATTTCCATCCCTAGATGGGAACCAAAGCGAGAGAGTACAAGAAAAAGAGAGACGCAGACGTGCAGAGACACTCTCACGGTCGCGAAACAACGAAAAGTGAGCGGGATGGGGGCAGCGAAAAAAGCGAGAGAGAAAGAGAGAAAGAGAGAAAGAGAAAGAGAGAAAGAGAGAAAAGGTGCACGTGGCAACTGGATTCTCGCTTCGTCTGAACGCGCGAAGAGACGGAGAGACAAGGGCGGGTGATGTCAGCGGGGTACGGTAGGTCATGCCCCGTTTTTTGACTACCGACCCGCCAAAAAAGTTTGATGGCAATCACAGAAAAAGATTAAAGATGCTGTTTCAAAATGATTCATTAAAGTCCCATGAACTCGAAAAAGTTGATGATAAGACCTTCTAGAACCTCAAAATTTTTGAAATATCTCGAGAACAGTAGATATTGTATCGCCGAAACTTCACAAGTTCGGGCTGTCTTTCGAGCGAATTGCCGGCAACGAGAGAAAATAGTCGGTTTCTGGTTGTGTAGTTAAAAAACTTCGTGACGGTAGGAGAGAGCGAGAGAGAGTGGGAGCAAACAGAAAAGAGTACACTGTTGACTGGGGGTACAAAATGAGCAGTTACCGTTTCGAATGGAACACGAAACGGCGAGCATTTTTGGGAATTGTTCGATTTGATTGCTTTCGGTGACTATTCGAAGAGGTTCTCACATAGAATCTGAATCTGACCGGAAAAATGAAATCCTCTTGGAAGCGGGTCCTAAAATCGTTTGAATAGTCCGATAAGGCTATTGTTTTGAGCCAAGTGTTCAAAAAACGTGAAAACTGGTACCTTCGGACGGAAGACTTGAAAAAAGCAAGTTTGAAGGTGAATGAAAGGGTCCAGCACTGAATTTTCGCAAAATCTTGGGCTTGTGCCCAATTTCTCCACTTTTTCTGTTTCAATGCGTTTTTTTATATAGCTTTATTGTTCGATTTGCTGTTTCCACTATTGTCGCAATACTTTTCTGATCAATGACACCGAAACTGTGAGAAAAGAGAGACGTCTACGGCCCATCACAACTATAAAATCGACTTACTGTTCTAGAAAAGTCAGAAAATGGGAACATTTTCGAGTTTTCACTAATATTTGCACACATATAGCTATCAAACACCGGAAAATGGAATGAAATGAAGTCACGGGGCACAAATTGAGTTGTTTATCGGCCGAAACAATCACTTTTCGGTCGGCATGGACAATTTCTGATAAGCACGCGCTCCCGGTTTCACAAACGTTTCGAAAGACGGAAAAATTGGGGGATTAATTGTTTCCGACTGATTTTTCAGAAAGTTATCATCACATTCGAAAGTCAAAGGAATTGTGTTTATTGAAGTTTACGTTGAAAATAAAGGGCAAAGAGCCTAAATTTAGTGAGCAAAATATCAAAGATTATGGAAATTTCTATCGGAAAATTAGAAATTCCATCTAAATTACCCCTATTCCAATGCATTTTTAAGGCAAATTTTCCAATTTCAATCATCTATAGAAAAGCGAAGAAGAAGAAGAAGAAAAAGAAGAAAAAGAGGGAATGACGAAAGTGTCAATCCCTTTTCGATAGATAAACTGTTGCCGAAATATCTTCTACAGTAATCCCATTCAGAACCTGTTTTTATGAAGAAGAAGAAGAAGAAGAAGAAGAAAACGGATAATATCACCATCACCAGAGGCCGAAAAGTGTCGGAATGCGCAGTTTCACGGGATGCACAATAGTTCGTGGGGTTCACAATTTACCCCCCCCCCCCCTAACTTGGAAAATTCTGAAAAAATTCTCAAAAATCAGAAAAATTCTGAATAGCACGCTCGATTTTTTTCAGAATTATGCCGAATTTTTTGGCTTTTTCACTTTTCAGAACTTTTAGGATACGCAGAAGAAAATTCAAATATGGTCACGTGCGAGGTCAAATAAGCACTTCAAAAGCACTTTAGAACGGTCTAGAAAATCCAAAAATTGCGGCATAATTCTGAAAAAAATTAAGCGTGCTATTCAGAATTTTTCTGATTTTTGAGAATTTTTTTTAGAATTTACCAAGAACCTTCCCTTGTGAGTGAATGTCTCTGGAAACTTCGAGAAAATCCGTCAAACGTTTGCTATTTTTCCATCTACAAATGTGTTGTTATGGTCATTTTCAGAGTGTCCTTAAACGGTAATAGACCTATTCAGTCCAGTAAAACACTGGTATTTTACGCAAAAAAACCCTATTCAAATGAGGAAAAACACCGCGGGGAGGAGGGTTTTTTTCGTGTGTGGAAACCGCCCGGTTGTGTTTAAAGGCTCATGCCTTTATTAGCACGGGTCTCGCAACGAACACGGTTTCCACACAGGAAAAAACCTCTTCCCCCTGGGTTTTTTTCCCGGTTTTTTTCCTCATTTGAATAGGGTTTTTTGCGTAAATTACCAGTAAAATACTCGGCTGAATAGATCCATAATCTTTAAACGTCTCCTCTCCGATACTGAACTATTCATAAGGCTCAAAGGGATGTAAAGTTTCCGAAACAGTTCACATTTCGCAGGTGACAACGGTATCTTAGTGAGCAACGGATAATTCAGATGAAACTTCATTCAAACACTTTTTGTTTATTCTCATCAATCGCGCGAATGAATGTTTATGAGTGTGTCATTTTGATGACTATGAATATGAAATCGGAAGACCCCCCCACGTGGGCAGCAAATCCTTTTCATATCAGGTTTCTTCTCGATAATAATCAACATTCTTGTGTTTATCGAAACAATCGGGGCGTCGTTTTGCGAAGGGCCTTGTACTTTTGAGGGACTGAGAAATGAGTTTGAAGATTCGAAATGGAAAGAAGGCGTTTTTGGTGCCAAAAACAAGATTTTAGCAAAGACAAGGAAATTCACACATTTTGAGCGCTTCAAGAGATTTTCAGCAATCTCTTGAGCTCCGGAAAATGTGTCCATTAACTTTGTTTTCATCTGCCTGTTTTGATAAGTTGCAAATTTGCGGATTCAGGTAATATACAGGGTGGGGAATAAATATAGCGCCCAAACTTCGCGTCAGCGCTGGCGCCTACAGAACCAATGGGATGGCCGCTCATGTTATTTTTTCCATTCATCACTTCATTTTTGACCATTTGTCTAAGTTGCAGACAATTCTGTTAATATTGAGAGAAATGGTGGCTCCGTCATCGCCTAGGTCCGTAATTATGGGGTTCACAAGGATAGGAATGCGATCGTCTACAATAGTTAGGAAGCTCGGCGTAGGAAGATTGTTTGTTAATATGACTTCCCGATGTTTCTGACACCTCGGAACATTGGAAGACAAGTAGAGAAGTGGTCCCCCGATCCCAGTGACAACTCCCAAGATGGTCATATCGGTTAGAGCAAAAATCGTAGAAACCCGGAGAGAAGCACGTAGAAAATGTCGTCAGAGTTCCGTATGAGCTTAAAATCTATGTAAACTTTGTCAGACAGGAACTAAATATGATTCCTTATCGTATTCAAAAGAATCGTTCCATAACAAGGACTTTCGCTTCAAGAAAGCCGGAAGTCCCGTTGGCGGCACGCGGCAAGGCACGCGCCTGCAGACGCTGATCGGAGATGAGTGGCTACACGCTGCTGGTATCGACAGTGATGATCACAACAACAAGATCATCTCAGGGGACATTGAGACTGTCCGTCGAAATGGAAAAATAATTTTTAAAATTTTTTATCCGGCTTCAGTAATGGTTCTTTGGAAAATTTCCGCCAATGGCAAAACAGCACTGATATTGGAGCGAAAATCAACAGTAAATGCTACTCTAGTAAGATTCTCGGGTCGAAGGAACTGTCTTGGATCTAGTAGATTACGGAAAACAAGATAGGGTCTTCCAGCAAGACGGTACACCTGCTCATCGAGCCAAAACCACCTAACAGTGGCGCAAAGCCAATTTCGCAAGTTTTATCACTTAAGAAGAACGAGTAGATTTCAAGTCGGATATGAATTCTATGGACTTCTCCGAGTTTGGGTGGTTTGCCTAGTATGTATCCATTCACAATTAACCAAAATAGGGAGTCCGGAAAGTTGAACTACGGAAGCCATGACACGATCTTTACGTCAACTACCCCCGTGCCGCCGCTGACTCGTATCCGAGGAGACTGACGGCTGCCAACGAAGAGAAAGGTGCAATCGGCAAAAACTGCTAATGCCATTCTTTTTGTTATTGTTTAATAGAGCTTTTAGTAGATTTACAGAAAAAAATCTTGCGATTTGAACTTTTTACGGCATTTTGAATTGGGCGCTATATTTATTCCCCACCCTGTATATTTATAAAAAGCCTTGCCGATTTATGCCAAGAGGAGCAAATTGGAAATTTGCGCGATAAAATTGAATATGAGAAGTAGAAACCGTAACTTATTGGTGTAAACATAATTTCTACTTGACTGCAAGTTCAGAAGAATTGAGGAGCACGTTTGGCGGTCTCGCTGTTAAGATCTTTCATAGCCTTCATACCACGTCACTTAAATGATCCATTCCAAGACATTTCATGGTATGAAATGTCGCGGAGTCTATGACATCTACACCCGTCACCCTTTCTCATTAACCAATTTCCCTTTTCGCACCACCGCAATGAAATGCAATGCACAGCGAGTGTTTGTGTGTGTGGTGTAATCGCGTTTTTTGTTCGGAACTTTCATCGCCTCTCCATTTCTTATCACTTTTTCCGTGATTGCTGTTCGGTGTAACATGTTCTATTGCATTGATTTCATAGAAACAGGGGAAGATTGTGATCTGAACATGTGAAGCATTCTGAAAAAAGAGTGTCTTCTCGCCTTTTCCCTCTGTTCCCTCTCTTTCCGTTTTCGCCTGTTTGTTTCTCTGTGACACATGTACGCGTCCCATCCGATGACGTCACCGACTGTGCACCGTCCGTCGGCCGGTCCCTGTCAGTCCATAGCCCTCCCTGCCGCACCACACGTCCCCCCCCCCTCTTCTCTCTGCGTCTCCACTCTTCTCCACACTATTTTGCCCGTTCTCTTTCCAGAGGTGTCTATCACACCGATTCCGATAACCGTCGGTCCGTTTGTATCCGGTGGGACATGCCCGAACGGGACCGGTACACCGATTTCAGTGTTTCCTGTGAAAAACGAAATGTTGCGGACTAACTTTTTTGAGAAAACTAGTCCGCGCACTTTTGAAACTAGTGGCACTTTCAAATAAACGAGCCCGATTCGAAACATTTCCATGGAAACCCAAAGGATTGCTTCTAGAGCCTTCTATCTTTTGCCATTGTTGTCTGATCAAGGGATCTTTTAGAAATTCGTCACGTAGCACAAAAAATTTCATGGCGATTCCAAATCTGTTCTTCACTTTTGCTCAATGGTTCTAGGATTCGAGAAAATTTGAATTTTAGGCCAGAGGGACCATTTCAAAGTGTTCGGTAGAGCGTAGTTGCACACAGACGTCCTTCATCATAGAGAAATTGAGACCACTGGCAGAGAGTGCTTCAAAAAAGTGCAAAAATGTTTCGTCTTCCGTTTTCCGTCTCGTTTTCCTCTCCTTTTTGTGATTCACTATTGTTTGTCTGTTCTCGTTACTATTTGTCCCTTGGTTTCGAAACGTCCGTTTTTCACTCTCACAGATGTTCAGTTTTCATACTTTTCTGAACTTTTCATCCTTACATTTATGTCTTTCAGGTCCTATATGGCTCCGCATAGAAGAAATGTCAATCTGACGGCAGAAGAGAGAAGATTCTGGGAGAGTTTTGACACGAAGTCCCGCCCGAATCTGAGCCGTGACGAGTGGGAGAAGGACTTGGAAGAGTACTTGGGCAGCGTCTCGAAGACTCTCGATGAGAGTGCGAAAGAGAAGTTTGCGGAGAAGTTCGGAATACCGATACGGACGGTATGAAGCAAGCGACAGCGATACTTTGAAACCTCATCAATCGTTTCGTTTTAAGGTGGAGGCGAGTTTCAGAAAACTAGTCTCAAAGGAGAAACAGAAGGCGATGGGAAACGGCGGGCGGATGGTGGTGAAAAGGTCGAGGTTCGACTCGGAACAGAAGCGGAAGATGGAAGAAGCGATCGAAAAGTGTTATGCGGAGGGACGGAGACTTCACAGCAGTGCTCCGAAGATTGCGGAGCTCGTCGGAGGAGTGACTGCGCGGCAGGCGAGTTTAAGAATGTCTTCAGGAGTGTGAGTGATTTGCTCGTTTCAGGTCGTCGATTTCTACTATAAAAATGTAGAAAAATTTAAGAGAAAGCCAGTGACGGGAAAGAGGGGGGAGGAAGAAAGAGACGCGGAGCAGGAGGAGGAGGAGAAAAGCGAGCGTCAAGTCGGAAGGATCATATTGACCAGAGACCAAATGAAGGGACTCGCCGAGGAGTTCCGTCTTCGAGGGCGACGCGTTTTCAAGGGAAGGTCCCTCAAATGTATCGCCGAGAGGATCGGAGTGTCGGAAGAACTGGTATGATTCGACCGAGCCGCACGCACGAGCCATAACTAATCATTTTCAGGCAGAAGCCTTCTCCCAAGGACTGGCGTATCAATACGATACGGCAGAAGAAAAAGACAGAGGAGGTGAAGGAAGTGTGGAGAAAGAAGCGGGCCACTCTCGGCTCCGAGCAAAGGTGAGTTCGATGAAACTGCACTACACTTTCTATGAACATTTTCTGATTTCAGAAGACGAACAACTCTCCATCTCCATCAGATTACGAATCTCCGGAAATATGCTTATCGCAGGATCATTTTGATGCGGACCGGGCGGGCCCTTCGACTTCCGCACCGTTCCGACTTCCCGACGAAGGAGAAGAGAAAAAAGGACGGGGACTAGGAGACGATAAAAGTCATGAAGAAGAAGGACTAGGCCAAGGAGATCGAGAAGACGAAGGAGAAGGATTAGTGAATGAAGATGAATCATTTGAGGAAGGCAAAGAAGATGAAGAGAAAGGAGACGGTCAAGAAAAAGATGTTGGCCAAAAAGAAGGTCCAAGTCAAGAAGAGAGAGATAAAATAAACGAGGAAGACCGAAGACAAGGTTCAGTGAATGATGAAGGACCAGCTGAAGAAGGCAAAAAAGACCAAGAAGGAGGAGCTGAAGAAAATGAAGAGCAAGAAGAAGGTCAAAGTCAAGAAGAGAAAGAGGAAGAAGAAGTAGATCATGGAGATGGAGACCAAGAAAAAGGAGCAGGTCAAGAAGGCCATGAGGAAAAAGTAGAGCCAGAAAAGGGCAGAGGAAAAGAAGACGGACGGGGCCAAGGAGAAGTAGAAATCAAAGGAAAAGAGAAGAAGCGCGACGAGGTTAGTGTAGGAGAGAATGAAGAGAGAGAAGAAGGACAATATCGAGATAATAGGGCTCAGGAAGAAGGACCAGGTCAAGGAGAGGAAGAAGAAAGAGCTGGGAAGGATGAAGAGCAGGAAAAAAGATCGGGTCAAGGAGAAGGAGAAGGAGCTGAAAAAGAGGAAGAGCTAGGAAAAGGATCGGGTCGAGGAGGAGAACTCCGAAGAGAAGAAGAAGAAGAAGGAGGCAAAGATAATGAGCAAGAAAAGGAGAAGGTATGAAATACATGTTTGCTAACAGCCATAATCACCATTTCATGTTCAGAAATCCACTCCAATCAATGATGAGCAACAGACCGAACGAGATGCTCAAGGATTGGAATCGATTGTTCCAGAAGCTCCAGTCCAAGAAGCAGGAAGACTGCCAGCAGAAGACAGAGACTCTCAAAAGCCGGAAAATCCGACCGAAATCGTAGCGGATAAAGAGGTAGACTATCATGTTTGTTCTAGTTTTCACAATCTTTTTTCAGTCTGTCAACCGTCCGTCTCCTTCTGCTCAAGTAGTCGAGACGGAAGCGGCTCAGGAGGTGAGAAAATGAAAGATAGCTTTCACTCTAATCAATCTCGTTTCAGGTTCCTACTCAAGTTTCCGATGCTCAGAGGGAGCAACCGGAGCCCAGCACCTCCACTCTGAAGAGGAAGAAAGAGGATACGGTAGGAGACTCGGAGCCTCCAGCGAAACGGCCACGCGAAGAAGACGTCATGGACTGGACGACGGCGGAGACGTGCGAGTGGCTTTCCGGAAGGATCCCGCACATTCGGACGTTCCTCGAGGTGCTCCGAAAGCACGAACTGACCGCCCGTCAGCTGATGGTGATCAAGGAGAGCCGGAAGGAAAAGCTCATGAAAAGAGTGCCCGAGCTGCGCCGTTTCGACACTCAACTCTGGCAATCCGCAATCAAATTGCAAGGCTTGACCAAGCCGAAGGGTTACAAGAACAACTTTCGTTAGCACTTTTAAAGATGCGGCGGCTCTATTTTAATGTGCTCTGCAGCGAAATCCCTATTTTTTTATCTCCGCGTTTCAGTTGTTCTTCATTTTAATTCTGAAAGATGGTAGCATTTCACATGTACCCGTTTTTATGCCATTTCATTTCCCAATGACACATTTGAGTCGTCCAGTGTATTGTTCAATTGATTACAGTTTCATGAAATGTTCCTTTTCTTATCTCTTATCACTCCTTCAATTTTTTCTCTGATCTCGAAAAAACGTTGTATTTTCTTCTCCCCTAAAGAATCTTAAGAAATCCAAAGGCTCCATTTGTGACCTGGATCAATCCTCCAACAATCCTTGTCCATTGATGACTTTGCCAAGACGCTTCTCTCAATGGCTAATATCGTTCAAACTCTCCAAGTACAGAATGCCGAGCTGATCAGAGAAATTAGTGGACTGAAGGATGTGGTTTGTAAGCTGAAGGAGCAACAGAAACGACAATTGAACACCACTCAGGACAACGAGTTCGGCTCCAAAGTTGTCAATGTTGCCTTTTATATCAAGTCCCATCTAAAAAATTCTACTAAAATAGGCGCTCAATTTACTACTAATAGAATCATCAATTGCTGGAATAATCTACCCACTAGACTCCTCTGAATTGCTAAGGTCGTATATTAGTTCTATTCCGTTAAACAAATATCTTATTCTAAACCCTCTAAATTTTTAACTCTTCTTTCTTTCGTTTATTGTATAAGCGGCGTTGTTCTTCAATAAATCATTAATTATCAATTCATAACTTTTGGAATCCTATGCGGTGAACCAAGTTTATTGCCTTTTCCACCTTCCATCCATGTTCTCATGTTCTTTGAGAAACGTCTCAGGTCAATGTCATAGAGAACGATTGTGAGTGTAAAAATGTGTGTTGGAAGGAGACATGATCAATATTGATGGTACTTTGGAGACGCAGACAAACTGAGAGCACAGCCATCGTTCATCATCACGCCGTCTTGTGACACCACAAGAAACGACAATACTTTTGTTGGGTGTCATTGGAAGAGCGATTCTTACTGAAGTTGTGAGCCAATCGCCGAGTTCTTCACAGATATCTCCCTTTTCCTACGCAACGACTATCGATCTGACCTCTCGTACCATGTCTAAATGACGTGGTTGCCTGGCCAAACAGATTGTATCGTTCTTTTTTGAGTTTCCTCTTATCGAACTTTGAAATTGTGTACAATAGAGCGTGTTTACACCCTCTCTCTCTCCAGTTTTCTTGTCACCGCCTGCGTTTCTCTCTCCCACACACTATTTCGCAATCAAGTTCGCAAACTGTTGGAGAATCATGTACCTTTACCTCGATTTTGTCTAATTTCTCATCCCTTTACGGAATGAAGACATTCCCTTTCCGATTTTCGCTATTATCAATTCCAGAGACTCTAACTCTCGCTCTCTTATGCCTCAATAGAGATGTCGAGACGTGGTGGGCCCTCTACAAAACCATTGAGTCCGACGTGTGCGAGGAAGAGAACTGTGAGTTTTTCACGAAAATCGGCAACGTTCACTGAATGATTTCGCTTCTTTTTCAGGCCAGAACATCGGCGTCGCCCCAGGAAAATGGATCTCAGAGAGGACGGACTCGACGGAAGAATCCGAAGGTCTCATTAGCATTCCTGAATTGATCAGTTCGTCCGATGATTCAATCGATAATATCTTTCAGCTGGACGACAATTTGAATGGCTCAGATGCCGACAAACTCTGGCAGAAGGCCATCGAGCACGCGTTCTGGAGGAAAGGAAAGGACGTGGACACTAGAGAGCTGAGAAGCATCATGAGAAAGTACGGAAACAGTCGCAGAACGTTCGTAGATGCCGTCACGTACTTTCAAATTCTCATAAACAGGAAGGCGTTCGATGATGTGAGTTTTTGCGGTTCTGCACCTCAACAGTCTACGATTTCATCGCTTTTTATAGAGAGGCGTTGGAGTTCAGTCAAAGGCGACGGGGCAGTCCAACGGCCACGGACCTTCCAACGGATATGGTCCCGTTCAAGTCAGAGCTAGATCAAAAGCGACTGCACTGTCCAACGGCCAAGGACCGTCCAACGGAGCTGGTCCTGTTCAAGTTCGAGCTCAATCAAAAGCGACGGCTCAGATCAACGGCCAAGGACCGGATACCTCGCGGCGAACATCAGAAGATAATGGACAAGCAGGAGCCGATGCGTTGGCGGAACGGAACGGCAGAGCCCGGTCCACGAGTTCAACAGAAGCCTACCTCAACTCTTGGACTCGCCCTGATCAAGTGTCCTCGTCAATGAAACCGGCAGTGGACGGAGTGGAGGACATGATCAAAACGATCAAAAACTCGCCGCAGAATAAGGGAATGAGAAGAAGTCAAGGATCGTCCAACGGAACTGGTCCTGTCCGAGTCGGAGCTCAGTCAAAAGGAACGGTGCGCTCCAACGGAGCTGCTCTTATTCAAGTTCGAGCTCAGCCGAAACCGACGACGTCGTCCAACAGATTTCGAGGTTCAATGCACTTGTTATCTGAAGAAAACTGGCAGGAGGTCTATGACGCCGGCGATTCTGATGACGTGCGTTTCAAATCGATCAACTATGCTTTCAAGATATCAAGATCATGTTTCAGGATATTCAAATTGTAGACACGGCGGTAGATTCTCGACGGGTGATCTGTCTCGACAGCGATCCAGAAGACGTGCGTTTCGAATCGATAAACTATTTCATCAAGATCATGTTTCAGGATGTTCAAATTATGTACTCGTCGGTAGATGCTGAAGGCGCTCCGAACGGGGTTATTCATCTGGACAGCGATTCGAAAGACGTGCGTTTCAAACCGATTTCAAGATATTACGATCATGTTTCAGGGACGTCAACGTTTGAGCTCGTCGTTAGATGCAAGAGGCAATCCGTATAGGAAGATTTATCTGGACAGCGATTCAGAAGACGTGCGTTTCGAATCGATAAACTATTTCAGCATGATTATGTTTCAGGATGATCAAATTGAGGATAGTAATGGGCGAAAAGGACCAGGACTAGAAGAAGATCAAGGAGAAGTGGGAGAGGAGGAAGAGCAAATGGAAGTCGATCAAGAGGTTCCAAGCAGTTCGAAGGCTCCGGAAAACGAAGAAGAAGAGTTGGATGCTCAGGAAAACAGAGGCGGATCAGAAGATGAATATGAAGAAGTAAACGATGTCGAGCAGATGATCGAGACAGTTCAAGACGCTCAGAAACACGAAGAATTTGAGCAATTGGCCCAGAACGGTCACGATGCTCCGGAAGCTAAAGAACAAGAACCTGTAGGTATCTCTCTACTCGAAGTTTGATCGTACCCCTTTGTATCATAGTGTTTTCAGACCCAAACCCCGACGATTCCACCTCCACTCAAATCGGCCTTCCAAACTCGCTCCACGGCCAACCTACGAGCGCGTTTTTGTGAAGAGGCAATAGAAGAAGATGAAAGAAAAAATGCTGTTAAGGTCCGTTTTGTCTCTTTTTGACAACCACTGTTCACAGTAGAAAGCCGGCATTTCTTCGATAGATAATATGTAAATTTCAGGAAAAGGAAGCCAAAGAAGCATATGAGGACAGAGAAATCAAGGAAGAGGTGAGCTTTAATTTGAAAAAAACCATGTAATTATCCTCGTTTTCTTCAGCCAAATTCTGGATCCGACTCGGATGATCCCTATGACGTGAGTGGAATGAAAGTGTGACAGTAGGACAAAAGTGTGTCCGTTTCAGAGACTTTGGGCAATCAGCGAGCCCTTCAAAAGGGAACAAAAGCGAATGGAAGAAGAGGACGAAGTTGTGGAACCAGAATTTGAGGAAGAGGAAGAAGAAGAAGACGAGGAACGCCCCCGAGTTCAATGGGCCAAGAGTGAGTTCCGTTTCTTGGACGACGAGGATTCGGTTCCATCTGACGATCCCGATGAAGAGGTCCATCCCGAATTGACTCCGATGCCGAACGACAACAATCCAGAAGAGGTGCTCCCACATGAAGAACATCAGCCGGTACCCGATGGAGTCCCGATTGAAGACGTTCCCGCTCAACCGAAAGGAAGATCTTCTCAACCTGCAGCGGCTCCGACAGAAAGAGCTGATCCATTTGTGAACAGTGCTCCCGGTTATGTGAATCCAAAGTTCCCGGAGAGACCACAGATGAGGAGGAGAAGCACGAGGAGCAGGCCGGCACGCAAATAACTGCTCATTATTATCGTTTGCTCCGGTTTTTGATGTATACAGGTCTAAACATTTCACATTTTCGGTCTTTCATTGTGCTAAGTCTTTCAAGGTCATTGAAAATAAACGTATTTGATTCGACCTTGAACTTTTCAATTCGAAAAGCCCGGAACGCGGGTCCATTGGAGCGCACTTGCCTCGAAACGGACTGTTCATCATTTTAAACTTGTTTATCCCAAAATTGGACACTTTTTGCTTTTTCTGTGATGTTTTGAGCTCGAAAATGATTAATTTTGAAGTCGGATTTTTCAGATACGAACAGAAATGGACGATGATGAGGAAAGAACGGGTTGCATAAAAAGTCTGGTAAGGAACTTTTTTGAAGGAAAATTAAATTTAAAAAAACTGTTTCAGAGTTACGTGTTCAACAAAGAACAGGAAGAATTGCTCGAGCAACAGTACCGTATCGATCGGTTCTTCAGAAAAGACTTCAGTGACAGCTTTCGCAAGATTTACGAAGATGTGGACGAAGATCAGATCAAGTACTGGTTCTATACGAAAGCAAGAACCGAAGCACGAAAGCAGGAAAAGGAGGAAAAGAAAGAGGAGCAGATGTTTGGACTGGAACCGATCGACTGGAATCAACTTCTTCGCAGCATTGGACCGATCACTGGGGACCAGATCGCTGCCCTTTTCTCGAGCGACAGTGCTCATTCCTTGACTGTCGGCACTCCGGACACTCTCTTCGATTCGGTCCCATCGGATAGCCCTGCCAGCTTCATTTCCGATTGTTCCCTTTTGTTGAAGGAAGAATCGGAAGAGGATCCGGCCAGCGAACTTTTGAAGATTGATGGGCTTCAAGATCCGGTTGCCGAAGCCGAAGCATCGGTCTTCACTTCTGATCAGATCAGAGATCTCGAGATCAAGTACCGGGAGAACAAATGGCTGATGAGCCAGTGGTCGCGTAGCTTCTCCGACCACCATCGCGTTCCCCAGCAGATCGTGAGTTCCTCTTTGAAGTTTCTGCTCTAAAACTTTACTCTTCCAGGTCGAGCAATGGTTTGACACGCGTGAAAAAGACGAAAAAAACAGAGAGAAAAGAGTGCACATTCGTTACCCCTATCGAAAGTTCCCGATGGAAGCCAGGGCTCTCATGGATCAGCACTTTCAGAACGGCGTGACCCTTCCGCCGACGCCGACGCTCAATCGTCTGGCCGAGCAGACGGGACTGAGTGTGAAGCAGGTGAGGAAGCCGGGATTCTCGACGGAACTGACATTAAACGTGTTCAGGTCCAAACGTACTTCAAGAACAAAAGGACCGCTTTGCAGCGGCGCGAGAAGAAAGAGAGAAGAGCCAAGACCGCGGAGCTTCAGCGCTTGCAGCTAGCTCCTTCTCAGATGCCGCAGACCGTCTCACAAGATGCACCAAGTGCTCCAAACCCTACTGTCAATTTGACCGAGTTATACGTGAGTTAGAATCATCGTAGCAAAAGCTAGCGAAAAGAATGATTTCAGATGAAACAAATTGCTCAATTCGCACACGATTTTCTTCACAATTCGAGCACCAGCAATATCTAAGGACTGATCTTTCATCTGACAACTCGAAGTCAAATTTATCATTGCTGTCCCGAACTGGCGGCTCGAAAACTGAACGATTCGGTCCTCGTGTGCCCAACCATTCCTTCCCATGATCCTCTGTTCATCATCTGATTCGACCCATCTTCCCCCAATGTGTCTCATTACTTTTCATTCGTTTTTTCTGTGAATTCGTTTATTCTCCCCTTTTCTTTCCCGTCGAACCTTACCATTTTCGTGTGTCATTAGGGAACTGCAAAACTCAACTCAAGCCGGTCCCAGATGGTGTGCTCAACCATTCCTTCTCATTTCATTTCATCCTATGGATAGTCTTCGATGTGACAGATTCCTGCTTCAGTTTTCTAGTTTCATTGTGAATTGTTCACGCATTCCTGTCAAACATTTCTCATGAAAGGGTAATTTATTGTCAACGTGTTCACCTTTCCGCTTTGATAGAACAAAAGTTGCTTCTTCTCATTCAGTTTGTATATTTTTCACATTTTCTGAAGGTTCACATAGCACAAGGATGTTTGTAAGTGTCTACTTCTCAGTCGTTGTGAGGATGTTCCCATTCGCACAGCTCTACAAATCCATGCGGTCAAAGCGTAAAAAGAAGAGTAAAGAGACGAGTGAGCGGAAGAAGAAGACGTCGATTCCGGCGGCGGGCCAGAAGAAGGAGGAGAGCAAGAGGAACAAGACGAAGGCGTCGAAGGAGACGGCCGACGGAGTGAGCCGGGCCGTTCCTGCTCCGCCGCCGAAAAACGACTTTCCCGGGGAGGCGGTCGCCAAGAAATGGATGACCGCTCCAACTTTAAGTACTCTAATCTTTCATCTTTTCCATCTGAGACCCGGTTTTCAGCCTTGGACGCCATCAGCAAAGAGTTCGGCCAAGTTTCGTCGGCCAAGCCCGCTGCGGCCAAATGCCCTCGATTCCAGGCGAATCTTCCAAAGTCTCGAGCCACGGACTGTCCCATTGCCGACGATAAACTCGTGAAATTAAGCCACGCGCCGGAGGGATTCATCTGTGCCGCCAAACTGACGGTCCCAGAGTTCAAACGGACGGCGCTAGTGGCTCAGGTGCCCGATGTGACGAAGGCTCCGATGCTCGAGGACTTTTGGCGGATGATATTTCAGGAGGAAATAGTGTCAATTGTGCTGGCAGTGATGCCGATGGAATGTCAAGTGTCCCTCCAACAGTTGCTTCCGATCGCCAACGGAACGTTCGCGAACCACGGAAAGATGTTTCTGAATAACAAAAAAGTGGAGTCGTCGGTCGGAATGACCGCCTACACACTGGAATTGCTGCCGGACGGATGCTCCAACTCGGTCAACACCACCGTTTATCACTTGCTGAATTGGAAGCAGAAAAAGGGAGCGGACAATATCGGAGAGCTCGTGAACACCATCGAAAAAGTGGTCAAGCTTAATGAGGTACCGTAATCCTTCCCGTAGAATCTACAGTAATCCCCCTACAGAACGTGGCGTTCGTTAGCATGAACGGAACGGGAAGAGCCGGCACGATGCTGTGCGTCTTTGCGGGAATGCAACTGATCAACAAGAGTGTGGATGTGAAAATGAAGGAGATTCTCGAGAAATTGAGGGCCGAACGGAGCGGATTGGTCGAGAACGCGGAGCAGTACGTGGCAGTGCACAAGGCGATCGCCACGTGGATCAAGACAAAGTCGAAGGACGAGCTAATCGCGAAGAAGGCCAAGGAGTTGGGCGTATAATAATAAACTATGTTATTGTACTTTGCTGTTTCGAAAAATAATCAAGTTGTCTGCTGTTTTTGTCGTCTAATACACGATTTTTTTGAATTTAAGTAGTGGAATTAAAGGTAACCAGGGGGACAATTCGACAAGCACTTTTAACCAAGACTCGTTTCTTTTTCAACGCTATGATAATGACTATATTTTTTAAAATATTTACTGTAGCGGCTACAGTGTAGCCCTTATCTAATAGTGAAATTAGAAGTGTGCCAACATTTGGCGGACTATTGAAACAGGCTTTTTAATGATTTCCCCGCATGAAACCGCATCTTCCTAGATGCCGTTTCCTGTCATAATGGCCTTCTCCTTGGTTTCATCAATCTCCGCTCCCATCCCATTCTCGTAATGCACACATCCTCTCCTCTCCTTCATTTTCACTAAAATCCGCATTGTTCGTTTATACACAACCCCCACCCAATAAACAATTTCTAAAAGAAAGAGTCCCTCCCGGATGCTTCTCCACAATAATTCATAGTTTGATTGGCAATAAAAAGAGCGCCTTTCGTTTCCGTTTTCGCTGTAATTGAAGTGTACACGCTCTCCGTCTCTCGCCTCCTTTTTCGCTCGAAAACAATTGGATGAAAATGGCGCCGGACTACCACCTCTCAATTATTCATTTTACGCGAAGCAGCACCGAAACGAATCTAAACCCACTCTTTTTCGAAAGTTTCCTCTTGACAAACCTACTCTTTTCCCTTTTTGTGAGAGATTTTGAGATGTTTGGAACTGTTCCAAAAGAGTACTGTTTCTGACAGTGTAATCGGTGAAGTATGTCCTTGAAATCCTTTGCAAAAGTTACCGTTTCAGCATTTCTTTTATTAGGCCAACCAACGATTTTCAAACAATTTTATCATCTACTTTTATTATAGGGGCACCGGACAGAAAATTTCTAGACCATGAAGTGATTTTCCACTGAAAATGTGGTCTAACTTTTCAAACTCGGCCCCGAGGTCGCTCAATTCGCCACTGCCTTTCTGTGCGGTGCTCCGATAATAAGTTATCAGTTTCGAAAACTTGTTATATCAAAATTGGTTCTAGAAAGATTCGCTCATCTTCTTTTCTCCAGTGTTGGTAACCGTTTGGCAACCGGTACGATTCGCAACTGCTCAACGGTAGCGAAACGTCCGGTTGCGAAGCGGGTTAACCGGAAAACAATTCTGGGTATACTTTTTCAGAATATCACTGGCGAACAAATGAAGGGTTCGTTTGGAATTCCGGAAAAATATCAGTGGGTGAGTCATTGTTCACAGTCTCTTTGCAATACCTCAAACGGAACCCCCTTTCCTTTTTTCTTGCTCATCTGACCAAAAAGCTGAGGTGCTCGATAATTACGCTCTGCATTCATTCGTGTTTCCGTCATGTCATTGTGCTCACCGGAAGAGCACGTTGGCAGTGAGTGAGCACACTCTTATTGTCGGCTCGAACCAGTTTAGTCCTAGTTTTCACCTTTTCTTTGTGCGTTTCAAGAACTTTGAATCGGAATTTGAATTTGAATTTGAATACAATGTTTCTTGTGGACAATTTGAAGTCTACGCTCGCCGAGGTGGGTCATCTATTATGCATTGGGATAGGGTTTTGGGCGGGCAGTCTGTTTCAAAGTGTGCATAGATTCGTGTAATTTGTGAAACTGTTATTCTAGTTGAAAACATGAAATTATGTGAATTGACGTTCCAGGCGACAACACTCTTCGTCCACGTGGCACTCATCGGCGGAGTGGCTCTGTACACAGTGTTCGGCGCACTTTCGATGCAGTGGTTGGAGTCGCCCGAAAGAGTGTCAGTTGTATCACTATCATTGCGGTTTCAGAGACCGTTTATGTGGGCCAGAAAACAAAACAGTCTTGATTGGCATGAGCAGTGCAAATTACTGACAGTTCACTGTTCCAAACACTCTATTCAAGAATGTTCAATAAATAAATTTAAGATGATTCACACAAAATTGCTACAAACCGTTTTCAGACGGGCTCTCGGCAAGCGAGAACTGCTCTCAAGGGCTGAAAATCTGCCGGATCCACCTTCGATCACGGGTCTGCCTGATAGGATAACGAGGGTTTATTTGGGAGAAGAACTCGGAGTTATCGATCAGCAAGTGAGTTCGGATGGTCCCTCAGAACACACATTTCTCGTTTTCCGGCTCCTCTAGTGGCTAATTTCAATGTGAAAACCAATTTTCTCCGAGTTCTCACTTCTTTGCGTTGTCAGGTGCACAAATGTCTCGAACGAACGATTCTGACGTTATTCCACGAGACGAAATGCGATCCGTACGAGCTGGAACATTTGAACATCGAGCTGATAGACAGATGCTATGCAGAAGCGAATGTGCCGATTCCGGAAGAGTTTGGAGCACAGCCGAAGAGGAAGCAGAAGAAAGAGGAGGAAGAGGAAAAGAGAGAAGAAGAGGAAGTGCAGGTGGACAAGTGGTCGATCGGGAACTCGGTGATATTCGCATTCACTGTCATCACTACCATCGGTATTGTTTGTTTCGTTGAATACAATAACAAGGAACCATTAGTGCTTTTATGCCGGTTGAGAAACAGAGATTTTCAGTTTAAATAAGTTAACAATTATGTTATACTTCTCTACGTGACCGTCAACAGGTAGGTTGGCCTTATGGGCCGTGGCTGACATAGTTAGATAGCTTATACCAAGAGAATCAAATGTTCTGTTGATCGTTTTTGCTGCCGGCAATTTTTAAAAATTGCCGCGTACCCGTGACCGTCAAGGGTACATGCCAATTTTTAAAAATTCCCGCGTACCCTTGACCGTTAAGGGTTAATGCCAATTTTTAAAAATTGCCGCGTACCCTTGACCGTCAAGGGTTCATGCCAATTTTTAAAAAATGCCGCGTACCCGTGACCGTCAAGGGTACATGCCAATTTTTAAAAAATGCCGCGTACCCGTGACCGTCAAGGGTACATGCCAATTTTTAAAAATTCCCGCGTACCCTTGACCGTCAAGGGTACATGCCAATTTTTAAAAATTCCCGCGTACCCTTGACCGTTAAGGGTTAATGCCAATTTTTAAAAAATGCCGCGTACCCGTGACCGTCAAGGGTACATGCCAATTTTTAAAAATTGCCGCGTACCCGTGACCGTCAAGGGTACATGCCAATTTTTAAAAATTCCCGCGTACCCTTGACCGTTAAGGGTTAATGCCAATTTTTAAAAATTGCCGCGTACCCTTGACCGTCAAGGGTTCATGCCAATTTTTAAAAAATGCCGCGTACCCGTGACCGTCAAGGGTACATGCCAATTTTTAAAAAATGCCGCGTACCCGTGACCGTCAAGGGTTCATGCCAATTTTTAAAAAATGCCGCGTACCCGTGACCGTCAAGGGTACATGCCAATTTTTAAAAATTGCCGCGTACCCTTGACCGTCAAGGGTACATGCCAATTTTTAAAAAATGCCGCGTACCCGTGACCGTCAAGGGTCCATGCCAATTTTTAAAAAATGCCGCGTACCCGTGACCGTCAAGGGTACATGCCAATTTTTAAAAATTGCCGCGTACCCGTGACCGTCAAGGGTCCATGCCAATTTTTAAAAAATGCCGCGTACCCGTGACCGTCAAGGGTTCATGCCAATTTTTAAAAAATGCCGCGTACCCGTGACCGTCAAGGGTCCATGCCAATTTTTAAAAAATGCCGCGTACCCGTGACCGTCAAGGGTCCATGCCAATTTTTAAAAAATGCCGCGTACCCTTGACCGTCAAGGGTACATGCCAATTTTTAAAAAATGCCGCGTACCCTTGACCGTCAAGGGTACATGCCAATTTTTAAAAATTGCCGCGTACCCGTGACCGTCAAGGGTCCATGCCAATTTTTAAAAAATGCCGCGTACCCGTGACCGTCAAGGGTTCATGCCAATTTTTAAAAAATGCCGCGTACCCGTGACCGTCAAGGGTCCATGCCAATTTTTAAAAAATGCCGCGTACCCGTGACCGTCAAGGGTACATGCCAATTTTTAAAAAATGCCGCGTACCCTTGACCGTCAAGGGTACATGCCAATTTTTAAAAAATGCCGCGTACCCTTGACCGTCAAGGGTACATGCCAATTTTTAAAAATTGCCGCGTACCCGTGACCGTCAAGGGTCCATGCCAATTTTTAAAAAATGCCGCGTACCCGTGACCGTCAAGGGTTCATGCCAATTTTTAAAAAATGCCGCGTACCCGTGACCGTCAAGGGTTCATGCCAATTTTTAAAAAATGCCGCGTACCCGTGACCGTCAAGGGTCCATGCCAATTTTTAAAAAATGCCGCGTACCCTTGACCGTCAAGGGTACATGCCAATTTTTAAAAATTGCCGCGTACCCGTGACCGTCAAGGGTCCATGCCAATTTTTAAAAAATGCCGCGTACCCGTGACCGTCAAGGGTTCATGCCAATTTTTAAAAAATGCCGCGTACCCGTGACCGTCAAGGGTCCATGCCAATTTTTAAAAAATGCCGCGTACCCGTGACCGTCAAGGGTACATGCCAATTTTTAAAAAATGCCGCGTACCCTTGACCGTCAAGGGTACATGCCAATTTTTAAAAAATGCCGCGTACCCTTGACCGTCAAGGGTTCATGCCAATTTTTAAAAAATGCCGCGTACCCGTGACCGTCAAGGGTACATGCCAATTTTTAAAAAATGCCGCGTACCCTTGACCGTCAAGGGTTCATGCCAATTTTTAAAAAATGCCGCGTACCCGTGACCGTCAAGGGTCCATGCCAATTTTTAAAAAATGCCGCGTACCCGTGACCGTCAAGGGTTCATGCCAATTTTTAAAAAATGCCGCGTACCCGTGACCGTCAAGGGTACATGCCAATTTTTAAAAAATGCCGCGTACCCGTGACCGTCAAGGGTACATGCCAATTTTTAAAAAATGCCGCGTACCCTTGACCGTCAAGGGTTCATGCCAATTTTTAAAAAATGCCGCGTACCCGTGACCGTCAAGGGTACATGCCAATTTTTTAAAAAAATGCCGCGTACCCGTGACCGTCAAGGGTTCATGCCAATTTTTTAAAAAAATGCCGCGTACCCGTGACCGTCAAGGGTACATGCCAATTTTTTTAAAAAAATGCCGCGTACCCTTGACCGTCAAGGGTACATGCCAATTTTTTAAAAAAATTGCCGCGTACCCGTGACCGTCAAGGGTCCATGCCAATTTTTAAAAAATGCCGCGTACCCGTGACCGTCAAGGGTTCATGCCAATTTTCAAAAATTGCCGCGTACCCGTGACCGTCAAGGGTCCATGCCAATTTTTAAAAAATGCCGCGTACCCGTGACCGTCAAGGGTTCATGCCAATTTTTAAAAAATGCCGCGTACCCGTGACCGTCAAGGGTACATGCCAATTTTTAAAAAATGCCGCGTACCCGTGACCGTCAAGGGTACATGCCAATTTTTAAAAAATGCCGCGTACCCTTGACCGTCAAGGGTACATGCCAATTTTTAAAAATTGCCGCGTACCCGTGACCGTCAAGGGTCCATGCCAATTTTTAAAAAATGCCGCGTACCCGTGACCGTCAAGGGTTCATGCCAATTTTCAAAAATTGCCGCGTACCCGTGACCGTCAAGGGTTCATGCCAATTTTTAAAAAATGCCGCGTGTGAATTTTTCATTGGCCTGTGGTTTTCAGAGGGGCTTTTTGTGCACGCTTTCCGTGACATTTTCACGTATGAAGTCACCCAGTCGTGGAATTTCTCGTGGTGGTTCTCTCCATTGCGTGTGATGTCCTTCGACATAAAAACCATGATTTTAGTGGAAATTTTCCGGCGCCATTTTCTCGAAATCCAGGTGCCGGCAGCAAAAACGATCAACAGAACATTTTATCCTTTTGGTATAAGCTATCGAACTATCTCAGTCACGGCTCATAAGGCCAACTTACCTGTTGATGATTCCCTAGTGAATACTCGAAGTCTAGTTCTTCTTAATTGGACACTCGTTGCAGGCTACGGCCACGTGGCACCGGAGACGTTCGAAGGCCGTCTCTTCCTGATTTTGTACGGCCTCGTCGGCGTTCCGTTCACCCTTCTCACGATCGCCGATCTCGGAATGTTCCTCAACAAGTTCCTCAAGTATCTGCTCATTTCGGCTCATCGATTCTCGCGATTTCTCAAGAATCTGTGGCACGGAATGAGGAAGAAGCCTCGGAAGACGAGCTCGGAGTCGGCAAGATCGGAAGTTTGGAGTACGGGAAAGGAAATGAAAGAAATGAGCATGAGAACGGCCAGGGAACCGGAACAAGAAGACGAGATTCAGGAGATGGAAAAGGGAGAAAAAGAAGGAGAAGAAGAGGAACATGAAGAGCAGAATGAGGAGCCGAGGTGGGCACAAGACTGTCAATCAGCTGAACCTCTGTGACACTATGTGTACTAGTTCAGAAAAACGGAAGAGTCAATAGCGCTCGGGATCACTTTCACGTGTTACTTGCTGGCTGGCGCAAAGATATTGTCGGTTTACGAGCCGGAAATGGACTTTTTCAAGGCGCTCTACTTCAATTTTGTCACTCTCACCACCATCGGATTGGGCGATTTTGTGCCGAAGAGGTGAGTTCCGAAGAGGAATGGACAGATTCCATTACAAAGTAACTGGACTTGAAGGTCACAGCGTCTACTTTCCAATACAATTTTTCCGTGTAGAAAATAGTCATTTAGAAAAATTAGAAAAGTATCATTTGTTTGGATTTATTGATTCGCTGAAACTGAAACATCTGCGTTTTCAGTTTGTGTTTACTGACAATAACGTTTCTGATAAAAGCTTATAATGTTCAGTTTCGACTACCTGCTCGTCACTCTCATCTACATCGGAATCGGCCTCGCCCTCACCACGATGGCCATCGAAATCGCGGCCGACCTGCTGAAGAAACTGCACTACATCGGCCGGAAGATGGAGAACGTCGGCAGTGCGGTCGTCTGGTTCGGCGGCAAAAAGTGAGACTGTTGTCGTGTTTTCTTATTGATAGAAAAGGAATTAGAAGATGTTTTGAGAGGGTTGTAAAGCTGTAACGTTTTGGAAAAAGCTATCTAAAACTGTTTTGTTGCAGAATGACAATGAAGGCGCTCGTGAAGCACTTGGGCGATCAGTTCAACATTCCCGAGGAGGAACTCGCCAACTTTGACATGTCCGCGTTCGTCGACAATGCGATCAAAGTGGAAAAGGGAGAGATGGCCACGCTCAGGGTGTGCCCTACTTACTTTCCCTCCGAACTTTGATTCAACTCGTTTGCAGAAGCCGTCGACGCCTCCGGTCGTGTTCAGAGATCGCGCGTTCAGCTACAGTAACGTGCGCAAATCGAGTGAGAGCGCTCTCAAATACGTGGACGACAGCAGATTCAGCAAGGCCACCGGTACGTAGTACAGTTTCATTTTGGAGAACGAAACGATCAATTTGAGAGCCGTCGACAGCAGTGATCCACGAGACCACACGGACAATCGATACTCTGCAGAACTTGGCGGGCGCGATGCGAACCAATCCTTCCGTGAGTTTTCTTCCGTTTCGCGCAACTTTCTACATCAAATCCGATCATGCCTGTGTTACGTGTGAAAGTGTAAAAGTACGCCAAAAACGGTGTTTCCCACGTTTTTAATGCAATTTTTTCGCACAAAATATTCCAGTTTCAAAAAACTTGAAAATAAATTCTGGATTTTCTAGAGCTTGGTTGTTCTATCATACGGTATCATACCTTCAGATTCCGCGTTTGGACTTGGACGTGCATTATCTGACGGACATGTCCGCGCCGTCTTCCTTCGATGAGAACTACCTTCGGACGTATCCGAACGCTCACAGACAGTGATAAATCCGATATTCCCGAATAAACCATTTTCAAAACCGTACACAAATCTGCCCGTTGAAAAGATTGCATTGAACAGGTGTGAGTCAAAGGGAGAAAAACAATCGAGAAAATGGGGGCAATTTTGAATTGACAAAATCAACGGGGACACAAAAAAATTGAGCAAAAAAAGAATGGGATTAAAAGTTGGGGAAAAGCAAAATGGTTAATCGAAATGGTAAAAACAGAAGAAACAAAATAGCAAAAAAAAACAACAAAAAAGGGAGATTTAGGAGCCGTTTCAGTTATTTCGACGACGATTCTGACGACGAAGGGCCGGATTGAGGGCAGTCGTGCTCACGCTGTTGATCTCCTCCTCTTCCGATCTGAAATAGCACCGGTTCTGGGGTGAATTTGAGCGACAAATAAAGAAATTCTATTCTTTATGCGGCGCTCAGGAAAACCCGTACTGATAGTGTTCGCTGTCGACGTCTGCTCCGTCCTCGTCATCTTCCCCGGCCGCCGCGTCTTGCGCGATCTCCCTCTGCAGCTCCTCGAGCAACTGTTCGTTCTGGGCGAACCGGCGGGCTCTCCGTTCGTTCATTCCCATCGCCCTGTTCACCGCCATTCTGTCGCGTGCTGCCTGTACTCCTCGGATGATTCCCTCGTCCACTTCGTTTGGTCCCTCGGCTTCGGCCTCTCTCGCTGCCTCCTCGTCCATATCGTCCAGATTGATATCGTCGGAACCTGAAAGAGCGTTATTTTGAGGCATTTCCCCATTCGAAAACTGACTGATATGGCTGGCGGTTCTCCAGCTGCTCTCGCTGCCCAGCTCCTCGTCGTCCAGATCCTCGTCCACCTCATTCACTAGCTCGTCCATCGCCTCGCCGACGTCAAAGTCGGGATCCTCGTCCTCGTCCGCCTCTTCCGCGCCTCTTTCCGCTCCTTCCGCGTCGTCCGGCAGTTCCACGACCTCTCCGTTAGCAGCCGGGGCCACGGGAGGAGGCCTGCTCAACGCGATGGCGAGGGCTCTCGTGGCGTCGGCTCTCCTGGCCATTCGGTAGATCTGATCGTTCAGATAATCTTCAAAATCGTCGCTCAGATCGCGGTCGTCGTCGCTCTCATCTCCCAACTGAAATAAACTTTGTTTTTCTCGAATTTGCTGAAAAATTGCTGTGTAAAACCGACCCTTCCGATCACATCGAACACATTCTCTCCGTGTCGATGCGGTGAATCGCCGTCCAAAAGGATCTCGTCGTCCTCGTCGACCTCAGTGTCCGAACCCGAAGAGCTGGAGCTGGAGGAGCTGGAGGAAGAGGAGTCGGCGTTGCTTGGCTCGTCCTCTTCGTTCTGCCGCTCCTCCTCCTCCTCGTCGTTCTCGTCCTCCTCCGCCTTCTTCCGTCCCACCTCGATCATCCGCAGCTGCGTCGCCGCCTGTATCACGTAGTCCGCCATCAGCGGCTTCATCTGCTCGATCAGGCACACTTTCTGATCGCGGTACGAGGTGCACAGGTCGACCGTCGGCCGCCTGCCCTCAAAAGTGGTCAGGGCCGAGTAGTCGCGTGTGTCGAAGGTGCGGAACGACGAGTAGATCATGTCGGGGAAGCTCTCGCGGTGCAAATCCGTCGCTTCCGACGCGAACATGATGTTCTGCAAGTAGTGAAAATCGGTTGAAAACTGCGAAAACGGCTTACTCCACTGGAATTGAACGAGAATTGGCACGAATCGAGTTCGGGAACATGATGGAGAACACGATAGGTTCGGATGTCGTACTGAAATGATATAAAATTGAGAATTCGCAGAAAAAGAGGATTTCGATACAATTTCAGTGTCCAGAATGATTTGCGATCCGAGTGGATGGAATGTTCCCGATGATGACTTGTTGTGGAGACGATCGAACGCGTGGATCGGCTGGAAACGTAGAAAGAGTTTGCCAAAAACTAGAAGAGCTCAGGGATTTCTCACGTTTTTCTTCCCGCGGACGTCCCACAAGAATCCGTCGTTGAAAATGAGCTTGTCGTCGGGCGAGAACGACGCGTAGTTGTTGCGATAGTGCAGTCCCTCCAGGTTCGTCTCGTACGTGTCAATGACGAAGTTGGTCTCCGTGTCGTAGACGGTCGCCTTCGTACCGCACGTGCCCACAATCCGCTGCTGTGTCGTGTTCGCGAATCGGACTTGCGAGTCGGCGCGGAACACGTGCATACGCTCCATCTTCTCGGTGAGACGCCAGAGCGCCGAAAGGGGACGCACGTAGGCCGACGAGGTGAGCACCAGCGATCCGTCCTGGAAATGGAGGTTTTTCACAGGAATTTCCTTTCAAACATCACTCATTATGAAATTGGTTCGTTTTACGCTCAAAATGTGCACGATGATTCATGTCACAAACTGGTGAGAGCACACTTTGAAAAATGTGAAGAATTGGGCTCGAATTTTAAAGGACCAGGGAACCCAAAATTTTTTTTATTTTTTTGTGAAATTTTTTTGTGACTGTTTGAATTGTCTCTTATTGCCTCATACACTGGTGAAATGCTGCCTCTCAAAAATGCCAATGAACGAAACGGCATGCAGTTGAAGTTGTGGCCGTGGCCTAGCGCCAATGGCCGAAAAATATATAAAAATATATGCGCTTCTCGGCCATTTTATTTTTTTCCACTTTTTTTACCGGTTTTTCCAAAAAAATTCACGGTTTCTCCCATTTTTCAGTTGATTGACATTTGTTCGGCACTTACTTATTTTTTCACTGCTAAAAAATTGTTTTCATTCAGTCGATACGAAGTGCCAGATGAGTGGTTTCGTGTTTTTTTATTTTTTAAACCGGTAAAAAAGCGGAAAAAATAAAATGGCCGAGAAGCGCATATATTTTTAAATATTTTTCGGCCATTGGCGCTAGGCCACGGCCACAACTTCAACTGCATGCCGTTTCGTTCATAGGCATTTTTGAGAGGCAGCATTTCACCAGTGTATGAGGCAATAAGAGAAAATTCAAACAGTCACAAAAAAATTTCACAAAAAAATTAAAAAAATTTTGGGTTCCCTGGTCCTTTAATTTTCAGATATTGATTGCTCACCTTAGACGGTTCGATGTGCGTAATGGCACTCGCGTGGCAGTTTGTGTGGCTCTCGTCAACGCCCGAGTCCAAATTGAACCAGTGCAGTTCGCCGTTGAACATTCCCACAATCAGATGCTCGTCGTCCACCGAAAACGCGATTTTCGTGTACGATTCGTCGTGGTCGTGCATCGTTTTGATGTTGCGGAACCGCGAGAAGATCATCCGCTCGTTGCTCCACTGCGAGACGACGCGTTGGTGCGGCCGCAGGATTTCGTAGTTGAAGAAGCGGTAGGCCATGTTCTGCATGACGGGCGTCTTCTGGGTGCGCTCCGGACACTGATGCGGGTAGTAGAGCGAGAACGGCGGGCACGTCGTCACCGGATTCTTGCACGAAGAGTGTTGAGTTCTGGAAGGGGATTGTTTTGAAGGGATCACACGTTGACCTCCGTGTTCTCACTTGAAATACTCGACGACAATGCTGTCGAGGTCCCTGACCGGCCGAATTGCTCCTCCGTTCTGGTCCCCGGACGTTGAGAGTCGTTGTTTCGAACGGGCGGGGCTGATTGTCAACTTCCGAGGGAATCCACTGCCTCCGTATTCTGGAAAATAAGCGATTAGTTAGTCGTCCATGAAAACGTCAAACTTTTGGGAAGCGTGGGAGTTGCGAACACGTCTTCCTCGTTGGAAATTGATCGCCTGATCATGGGAGAGCAAAAGGCGGCCGGATTTGACGGACGTCTTCCCGAAATGCCTCCGATCTCCGATTCGAGCATTCGCGGAGCAAGAGTCGGGTAGGCGTCCTCGATTTTGGTGAAGTTGTTGCCGGTGCTAGGCTGAAAAGGGGAAAGAAAAATGCTTTCCGACTCGATTCCACTCACAAACGGGCGAAGCTTCAGCGGGGCGACAGTGGTCCTGCTGGCCGGCTTATCCGGCAATTTCGCTTCCGTTTTGAGCATTGCCGCCACCGAGGACAGTCCCTTTTTCTCCAAATGATCGTGGATCAGCTGTAGCAGTTCCGTCTCGTTGTAGCTCACTTTTGTGTTGTCGATCACCCATTGCCGGTGGATTTTCTCCTAAAATTGAGGTTTTCTAATGAATTTCAGCCAGTTGGGGCTACCGAAAGTGCGCCGTGGTTCAAATTGAGATCTTTCGCCTGATGAGCGTGCATTTTCTTGCCCGTGACCACTTGAAGCAATTGCATGGCTTCCCGACAGAACGCCGCGTGGATATCCCGTTTGTCCGAGCACACCGGGTCGCGCATCAGTACTGAAATGGAAATCGATTGAAAATTTGGCCACTTTCTAGTCGAAAACTTTGTAATTGTCCCTGCGCAATGATCGGAAGTTTCGAGAGGATCTGCCGGACTTCCGGGTGCCGCGCGAGTCCCGTCAACGCGATCGTCGCCGTTTTCCGGATCGAATCCGCCTCGGTTATCGGTTTGCGGCAATTTATCAGCTCGAGCAGGTGCTAAAAGTCACGAAATCACTGAGAAATCCGGGAAACACTTACAATAATGCCCTCGCTCCTTCTCACTTCATTCCACATTTTCTCCAGATGACTAATAATCGACGGCGTGTGCTTTTTCGACAGTTTCCTGAATCCAGAAGGTGTCGTGGACAAGTTTTGCTCCGAGGAAATGGCCGATTTCATGTTTTGCTCGTAAATCTGTGGAAGTGCATAGTATTTGTTGAGAACTTTTGTACTTTTCATCGACCTGATATTGTCTATTAGAACCCTCTATAGAACATTAACTTTTCTGGATTATCAGTATTGGTTCGGAGTATAAACCTTGAAAGTTTCAGCTTTATTGGATCATCTGGTCCGGTGATACAGTGATTTCAAAAGTCCTCACTTTTCGATCTCAACTTGATAATTCAATCGAGCTGAAACTTTCGAGGTAGACCCTCCAAACCCATACTGATAATCGTGTAAAGTTGAGGTCGTATCGGATAATAGATAATAGCAGTCGACAGTTCCATACCTTCCAGCACTCGGGTTCTACACAAACGCATCTGCGAATGCACCCGACGGCGACCATCCTCAGCTGCGGATCCTCGTCCCACTTCACACTGGCCGTCTGCCACAGAATGAACAGTCCGCTCGACGTCTGATGCGCGATCTGGACCTCCGGCACGAGTTCCAGCTGGATCGGCGGCGAGCAGAGCATCATGGAGATGGACTCGAACGCGTGGAGCACCATCTCCGAGCGGATGTTCGACGAGATGCTGCTCCAGTCGGCCGAGAGCACTTTCACGCTCAGGAAGATGCGGATCATGCCGAGTTTGCGCATGTTCTCCGCCTCGCGGAACGAGCCGCCCGTCATTCTCGACATCTCCAGCATGATCGTCGTCAGATCCCACACAATCTCCTCGTACGTTTTCATACTCTACAAAAAACATAGATTTCCTTAAGAAATTGAAATTCGGGCTGAAACTGACTCTATAATCGGGTAGATCCGCTTGTAGCAGTTCCGGAAACCGCTGACCCGTGGGCAGGGTATTTCCGTACGTTTTCTTGAAATTCTCGACTTTGGAGAATATGTGGGCAGCTAGGTATCTGAAATTTATAAAAAATCGTTCAAATGTTCGATGCAAATCCGGGCGCCCACGTTCGGAAAGTGATGCAGACTCCGCGAACGCACTGCGTGCTCGTGTGCATCTGCTCATCCGTCATTTCCGGCTGTTCTTCGACGTCCTGCATCACTGTCAACGTGGCGATCTGCAAATTTTCAGATTTTTCAGGTTTTGGCACATGAATTAGGGCTCACGTAGTTATGCAGTTTCCTGGGGCCGTCAAATTGATCGAATCGTTTGAGAATAGCTTTGTAGAAGAGTGCCTGCGAGAAAAACATGCACGCGCTCACCATTCCGGACTCGTGGCTGTGCTCCAGACACCACAACACGTACCTGCAAAGTTTCGAGTTGAGCGTCGGCAGTTCGGGACAGGCGAGTGGGAGGGGTCTGGTTTGAAAAAACAATTTGGTAGCCCTAAGGCTAAAAATGTTTTGGCATGTCTCAAACGTCCCGCACCTATTATAAGGTGCTCAAATGCAAGGTTAAATCTTCCAAACCCGGTACGTACTCGACAACTTCGTCGACAATTTCTGGTTTCATCTGGCAGAGACCCTCCATGACGTCGTTCGAGTAGGCAATGTAATACAGACACGTGACGACTCCGACGGAAGCGAGCGAAGTGCGCGGAAGTCGGAGAAGGGCCAGGATTCCGCCGCGCTCGGCGAACTCGAGGGCGAATTTGCGGTGGACGAGGAGGGAAGTGAGGTACTGAAATGAAGGAGGGTCTCGAGGGGAATGGGAGGGTTTACTGTACTTTGAGGGCGTCGAACGTCAGCCGAATGTCCTTTGATTTCTCGAGATCGATGTACTCGAGCAGCAATTCCAGGGCATTTCCTTCGAACGTTTGCAGGAGCAACTGGAAATACGAATTTTCGCTTGAAATTTTTCAACTTTTCTTGAAAACTGAAAACGCACATCCTGATACTCTCCGCACGCGGCCAAATACTGCAGAATGTATCTCTGATAAGTGGCCAAACTCATCGGATAGACCCTCTGTTCGCCGATGAGAAACGGTTGCAGAACGTCCCATTTCGAGTTGCTGTCGTCCAAATTCTGCAGATTCTGGTAGGATGGCACTCGCGAAGCGGCTTCCGCGTGCAGAACATTCTGGAGAATGGGCACTTCAAAAGAATTTTCGAAAAAATCGCTCACGTCAGTTCTCCTTTTCTTCGGTGGCGGTGGTTCTGAAGAGCTCGGCGTTTCTGCTGAATTTTCACGGTCTTCTCCTGAAAATGCTGTTAACTTTTGTAGAAAATTCGTTTTTTTGTACCATTTGCGGTGGAAGCCGTCGTCACATTTATCTGAATGGCTCCATTCTGCTCGTTTTGAATTTCTTGCCTCAATTGACGGAAACTGGAAATGATATTAAGTTCTTTTGTGAAAAAATGTACTTACTCGACTTGTGGACCCTCTTCGCGCTGCTCTTCTTCAGGGATTCGCATCTGAAAGTTCAAAACTTACCAATGTTTCAAAAAAAGTCAAAACCTGCAAGACCCGGAGTCGATTGAGTGCGATCGGCACCAAATGAGCATTCTCATTCCGATATTTGCTCGCATTCTCGTTATTTTCCAGCGCGGCGGCCAAAAGTCCGCACGCGTACCCCTGCAGTGTCTCGTTTGATTCGTCGTTCGCCCACGCGTACAAACGGGGCACAAAATCGTCGGGTTCGCCGAAAACCACCTGCGAATCCATGCCGGGCACGCAGGCGAGCAGCAGACGGCACCCCTGGATCGACAGTTCCACGTTGTCCTTGCCCAGAATGTACGAGACCACCAACTGAAAGTTGTTTTTCGGTATTTTAAACAATTCTTTTCACCAACCTTAGTCATGAAAACGTCATTTTTGAAGACTATTCGCAGAGCATTGCCGAGCGCGGAATGCGGATGAATTCTCAGCGGATGACGATCGTCCAGTGGGTCCGGATTCTGTTTTAGGTACTTGTCTGTGGCCTCTTCTAGTGATTCACACAATCTATAACAAAGTTTCATAAAATCATTGTATTCCATTCGGGCACTCACTGTTTCAGCAGTTGGAGGGCGTCGAAATTGGGCAATTGCTGGGTTTCATCAAATTTTTTGAGTAGAGCTTGAATTCCCACGTAACATTCCGTGTTTCTTCTCTCTTCTTCGGGCGACAAACTTTGTCTGGTTTCTGTTGTTCGAAGCGGTGCAATTTCAATCACTTCTGCCATTTCTGCTGTAATATCTTATTTTGAGGCCGAAAATGACGAGAAATTTGTGGAAAATGATTTAAAATAAGGCTTCAGGTGCAAAAATTGGGCTGAAACTCGCAAAGTTCCCGAAATTCCATTTAATTAAGGAGGGATACGGTGCGCAACGGTGTCTGCGGATGTGCCGGAGTGTACGACAGATTGCACACTCCATGTGATTATTTTTCACTTTCTTTTGTGAAAATTGACGAAATTTCATCAAAAAAATTCATTTTTCTTATCAAATTCAGTGTTAAACAATTTGGAAAAAATTCTGTCAATCGTCTTATCGATTTTCTGCAAGTTCTTGCTGCATACCGATTTTTCTGAGTTTTTGGTGAAAAATACAAACATTTTACAGGTAATCCAATAATGTCCGTGTTCCACGATGAAGTCGAAATTGAGGATTTCGAATTTGACGAGGAAAAGGACGTCTATCACTACCCGTGCCCGTGTGGAGACCGATTTGAGATTGCAAGGTGAGCATTTTGATTAAAAAGTTATTGTTAAAATTGGAGAGACTTTTGTGCAGCAAAAAAATTAATGTACGAAACATTCAAAACAATTTTTTATTCATCAAAAATTGGTAAACATCTCAAAAGTTTGCAGAGAAATGCTGGAAATGGGCGAAGACGTCGCACAGTGTCCCAGCTGCTCCCTTCTGATCCGAGTCATCTACGATCCCGAAGATTTCGTGAAGCTCGAGACCATTACCACGTCGAAGCCAATCGCGGAGCCCGTTTAAATGCCCTTTTTTTTAATCTGAAAATTTCTGTGAAATTCCTCCACATTTTCGTCGCTAGATTATTCTGTTCAATGTTCATTTCTACGGGTTTCGCGAGTAAATTTTCTGTGAAAATTTGTTCGATTCGGCCCAATAAAGTCTCGATATGTTCCTTTTAGATCCTGGAAAATGCAAATTAAAATTTGGCTTGAAAAAATAGGAAATCCCACGAGTAAGACTGTCCGTTGATGATCAATTTGGTCAAATCCTCCTTTTTGAGCGCCGGTCCGCTGAAAATGCCCGACAAATCGATCGAGTGGGCGCCGATCGCGAGTTTCGTCGAGAATTTCGTGCGCTCGATTTTGAGCTAAACAAAAAACCATAATGTTTCCAAAATCAAGAGAAACAGACCTTGTGGCACGACTCCAATTGTTTCGGAACAATCGGAAAGTCGCCAAGAGTCGCCTTTTCCTTCTTCGCCTCCATCGGCTGCAGAAGCATCTTGACACGTCCGTCTTTCGAGGTAAACTCCTTAAAATATGGATTTCAAGAAGAAAACTGGAAAAAATCGATACCATCGGCTGGTAGATGAGGCTGGAAGTGTCGGCCGAGGAGGAGCGCGAGAACTCGGAAGAAGCGGCCGACGACATCGGAGAGAGCTGCAATCGTTTCGGTGGGCCCCACAAAACAAATGATCGGACAATCTCACCTCTAGTATGGGCTTTCCGGTGCCCGCGTCGTAGGAGGCCTCCGGGAAGAGACTGTCCGGCTTTGACTTCTTCACGCGACACTTCCTGAAAGAATTGACAGTGATTGAGACTTTTCGCCCAGTTCCAATACTCGGCAAACCGCGCTAAGCGTACGCAACTTCAGCTGGCAAGTTGAGCGAAAGCTGTTGCGGAAATGTTGCAATTTTGGCAAATTTGCGCAAAAAACTCAAATAATTCAGGCCTGGAGAAGCCTGGGCGATATTTGTCTTCGAATGTGCCGCTTTTGTTGTTACATGATCATGGCACAAGTTAGAAGCTAAGCAACTGAAACGGAAAAGAGGAGAAGCTCACAAATGTTTAATGTCGAAGAGCGGGTCGTTGCCCATCTTCCCATAAAAAATGTGATGTCCGGCATTGAGCCCCGCCATGTCAGAGTCCGAGCAAGTGCTCCGACGGGAACTCTCGCACGAGGAGGAACTCGAAGAGATCTGCAACCTTCTCGATTATTCTATGAAACTTTGATAAAGTGGACGGACCACTTGCTTGGCTCCTTTGCCCGCCGGAATGTAGATCGCACTCGGGAACAGCCTGGAAGCACTTTTTTCTTAAAAGAAATAGTCCGTTAGTATGCTTACGAGTCCGGAGTGGTGGTGATCGGATCCATCGAAGTCACGTCCGAAGTGTCGAAGCTCACAAAGCCGATTTTGGCAGGAGGAAAGTATATCTTCCGATTTCTGTTCCTCGCATCGATCGGAGTGCGGATGGTCGCTTTGGGCTCCGGCTCCTGCTCCGGCTCCTGCTCGTCGCAACTGCTCATCGAGCAACTCGTCACCGAAACCGCTTTGTGCGTCATTTTGAGCGTCTCTGAAACGAATGAGATAAAATATGCTTTTGTGATCATGTCGAACTAACTCTTCTTCGGCTTCTGCTGCTTCTTCTCGGATATCTCGTCGTCCTGCTGAATGTCGAGCTCGCGGAGCACTTGCGCGGCCGCCTGGAGCGTCGTCTCCACTTGCGCGTCGATTTTTTTGTAAGCAATGGCCGCTCCGAATTCCATTTTTACTAAAAGTCAGATGAACGTTTTAAAGTGAAGACCACAAACTCACATTCTTTGGATATTTCGCCAACAAGAGTTGTGGATAATGGATGAATGATACTGCTCTGATATTGTGAAAAGGGAAAAAAGGGGGGGGGGTCACGTTTCTGGAACATTGTATTGAAATTCACTCAGTTTCAACCAGAAAACTTCAAACGGATAAATGTTGTAAATTGCTGCCTTTCGAGTCCGAAAAACATTTTTTTAAAAATCACATTTATTGTACGCAAAGACGATAATGAGACATCTAGTTGAGCGTCGACTTGTTCGTCGTGTCGGCCGCGCCCGTCGTCGCTTCCGTCATCTCCGACTTGTTCGTCGTGTCGCTCTCCTCCTTCTTCGAGCTCGACGCCGAGCCCTTCTTGCCCTTCTTGCCCTTTTTGCCCTTCTTGCTCTTGCTCTCCTTGTCGCTCTTTCCGCCCTTCTTGCCCTTCTTCTTTCGCGGACTGTACTTGTCAAACACCGATTTCGAGCGGTAGCACACAAAGCAGACGAGCGAGGAGATGAGGAAGAGGCCGCCGCACGAGAGCGAGATGATCAGGACCGTCTTCCAGAACGAAGAGACCTCCGGTCGGATCGCCCGCAGCGGATTGTAGTAGCAGAAGTGGACGTCGGCGCTCTCGTAGATGCACACCTCGTTGTCACGGCAGTTACTAAACAAATGGATTAGGGTAGTTCTTCGAGGTGACCGACTCGTTGATAGTGCACGCGGAGCCCGACACCTTCGTCAGCTTGTCGCCATTGTCGTGGAACCTTCCGACCACCACCACCTTCTTCGACTCTTGCTCACAGAAAGCAAACGAGAACAGCGAGGGCACCGGCTTGGCGGGATCGCACGGAAACTCCGTCACGTAGAGATTCTTGCCCAACACAATCGACGTGCCATTCTTCTCGACGGCCACTAAACAAGAGGCATTGTGAACGGGAGCACAAGCGCGGAAACTCACTCGCCGGACAGCAATGTCCGTTCTTGCACCGTCCGCCCTTCTTCGAACACTTTCCAGACGACGGATTCGTCGCCTGGACGCCCGTGCAGTTGGGCTCGTTGAAGAGCGGAGTCGCCAGATCGGGGCACTGCCACTCCGAGTTCGTCACGCGGTCCCTGCAGCAGATGCCGAGGCCGCCGTCGTCGCACCAGTGGTTGCGGTCCGCGCCCGTGTTGCAGTCAAAGATCGTCGAGCACTTCTTGAACGGAGTGACCGCCTCGCCGATCCGGCACTTGGGGTTCTTCTCGAAGCAGCACAGCTTGCGCGTCTGGTCCGTCGGATGGTACTGTCGGCAGTGCGGGTTGAAGTCCGAGTTGCCGGCCGACACGCCGGCTCCCTGGCAACTCGCGTCGTCCGTGCACACCTGATGGTTCACGTTGAGCACCGATTGGAGTCCGTCGTCCTTCTTCTCGCAGGCTTGCACTGAAAACAAAAAACATTGGGCAAAGATCGGAGAAAATGAGGGAACCAGTCATGCAGATTCCATAAATCGGAACAGACGGATTCGAGGCGTTGCGGAACGTGTACTTGTCCACTCTGTGGCACACCTCCTTGTCGCTTCCGCACTCCTTGTCGTCGTTGCACAACTTCAGACCCACTTCGATGTTCACGTGGCTCATCTTGGGCAGCGGTGGCGGCTCTGAAACGCGCACTGGAACTCGAACCTACAGCTCCAACCCACTTTTGTAGCAGAACTTGCGCGCGTTCTCACTGTCACTTTTATCCAACTCGTCCGGTTTGAATGACGGATTGACAGAGTCTCCACAGAAATGATTGTCGTCCGGACACTCGGAGTTCTTGGCGCACGACTTGATTTTGAAGGTGGAATCCTTTTTCGCGGCCTCTTCAACGTTCCAATCGAACGGAAGGCTGGACGCGTCGCCGTCCTTGTTCAGAACGAACGAATAGGGGATCGCTGCAAACGATCGATCGGGGTTCTTCAGACGAGAAGAGAGCAAGAATTGACTCACGGCAAGCGACTCCTTCGTCTCCACTGACTTCCACCTCTTTTCGGTAGTACCCTTTCGGCTCAATCGTGTCGTACTTGTACAGCCATCCCTGGCCTTTGTTGTGGAACGTTTGCAGGCTCGTTTCCGGACAAAACTGCTTCTCCATCGCTGCAAACTCTCATTGTTTTCTCGTTTCTTCTACACGAAAACTCACAGCAGCAGCCGTTCGACGGCTCGAAATCATTGGGATTGGTGCTACTTATCTTGAAAAAGTCTCGATAGCATCGAGAAGATTTGTCAGTGCAGTCCTCGTCTGATTTACACGACGTATCAGTGGGTTGGTCTCCATTTGGGCACACTGTTACTCGCTTGTCTGGATATTTCGGCGGTGGCAGTGTTGTTGTCGTTGTGGTTGTTGTGGTTGTTGTCGTTGTTGTGGTTGTAGTCGTCGGAGGTTCAGTTGGAGCTGCAGTCGGAGCTGCAGTCGGAGCTGCAGTCGGAGCTGCAGTCGGAGCTGCAGTCGGAGCTGCAGACGGAGCCGCGGATTGGCCGGTGACGAGTGTCACGGCAAGCAAGAGGAGGAGAAGACACGTCGGACGGACCGTCATCTGCACGTGGAAACTACTGGAACGGGTGTGTTGCGGACCGGAGGGCGGCCACTCACTGAACGATTCTTCGATGGGCGAACCGCAAACGATTGTAGTTGGAAACTAGACGAGTGTTGTTGCCAGAATTCCGTTTCAAACTGAACCCACTGCCCGCTTCTCCCGTTCTTTTGTAGCCTCGTTTCTACGTGGAAAGGTCACCGCGAAATGTTATCGATTGATCGGCAAAAGGTCAGGATGTCAGTGTGCCGTCGCGTGAACTGCTCACTATAAAAGGAGAGTTCGTGGCGGGGAGCGGTCAGTTATTGCGACAAAGTTCCAAGTCCGCGAAAACAAGCCTTTTGAAAAGTGCGAGATGGCAGACAAATCAGCGTTCGTCCCGGTCGATGCGATCGGCAATCACAAGAACACCGACCTCGACGTCGACATTGACGACGAGCTCTTCGGAAAGAAGGTACCGTCCTTCAGCTATTCTCGAACTTTTTCGCTCTTTTCAGCCTCCGAAGGCGACGAGCAGCAAGACGAACCAGGCGCCGCCGCCGGCCCCCGCTCCGGTCGCCGTCAAACCGACGTCTCCGGCTCCGAAGCCCGCCGCGCCTGCTCCGGCCGCCGGAAAGTACCAGTACAAGAAGGCGACGAACTATCAGAAGTCGTACGCCAAGTAGTAGAATCCACATCGATATTACTGTTTTCCGCGAATAAATTGTCTCGGGGACCGCTTGTTTTGCGTCGTCTATCATCTGAGGGTGGTCCCGCTCGCTTCGCCGTCATAATAATTCGATTTGTCCGCCGTCGCGGTCCCGTCTGATTAGGGCTCTCATCAAATTACGCGAGAGCAATCTGCTGAATATCATCATTTTCGCGAGCCCGGAACTTTCGGCTCATAACTTTATACTGCTGCTCTCTACTATTGTCGACTTCGGGGAAAAAAAATGTGTTGCGCTTCTCTCATTTGTGCACTTGTGGGAGGGGGGAATTAGAAAAAGAAAAAGACGCGGCGTCAAAACAACGCTCATTTGAGTCGAAACCCAATTAACTCGATTGAGACTGAAAATTCTTTGAATTTGATGACTTCTACACAGGAATCTAATGTGCTTTTAACGATAGAAAACTTGCAAAAGAAATTTACCATTTGTGGGGTTCGAACCTGCGACACTGTCCGCTTACAAAATCAAAACGTAACCACTGCACCACCATAGCGATCATCCGCACAAGCTCCTAGTTCAGTGAGATTAGTGCTGCGGCAACAGTGAGAACAGCCCGAAATTCAGATGATTTTCCACAAAAGTACCCATAAATTCCAGCAATTCCAGACTAAAAACGGCTAAAACAGTGCGAGTGACTTGTCGCGAATCCTCTCGAACGAATCCGCCTCTAATTGAATCTGCTCTCGGTGCCCAAGTGCTCGGGATCCTTGAAAATATCACGTCAAATGTCGAGAGACGCAGTCCTTCTTCCCCGCTTCCTTCCCTCATTCTTTTTCCTTTCCTTTGCATATGCCATTTCCTCCCTCTTTTCCCCTTTTTTGTGTCTTGTTCGCAAACGTGTCCCACACAAATCCGCCTAAACTTTTGGTGTGCCACACACATGTGTAGTGTGATAAAAATGTGAAAGATGAGGAAGAACACTTGGTCAACCTCGGTCCGTTGGTCCCTTGGGAACGTGGCTGGCCAGACGACACCAGTCAGTCGAACTATTCGCGAATTCGTCTCCTCTCCGCTTTTCGTCTTTAATCACACGGAATGTCTCTTCCGTTTCGCTCGCTTAATTCGCGAAGAAGACCTCCGTGTTTTGTGCGTTTCCCATCCAATTTGTCAGATTTTCGCAGCGGGTAACACTATTTCCTCGCTCTCTTGCCTTTTCAATCTGCAACCGGCAGTTGTGCGCTGAAATTCAATTGGGTTTCAGTTGAAACAAGCATTTGTAGCTGAAAGTTATCGAGCCGCACAAAGAAGTTGACGAGTTTTGATTAGATTCTCTAGATCTTGTGCTCTAAAAACTTGAGTTTAGCACATATTTCCTAAAAATTTCGTTTTCGGCTAAACTACTTTCAACACTGTTTCACTGGCTCATCAAAACATTGTAGAACGGACGGAGACAACACTGATTCAATCAAGTCTGTCAAATTCCCAAATATATTGACCGTTTCAAAATGACCTCATTAAAAGTTGAACTTCACTACTTCGCTTGAGAACATTAAATTTTTTGTACAACCAACCCTGCCGATTCCAGGTGCACTCAACCTTGCTCCGACCTCCAAATGAAACGGGATCTCTGTTCCGGCAATATGATATGCGAATTGTGATCGAAAAGGAAAAAGTCGTCGGGCAGGAACAAATAGAGCCCATAAAAAGGTTGGATTTCCACTTTTTTTCAAGATTTCATTCGGTCAAAATTAGACATTAGCACGATACTTTCTTCCAGTTTCACTGATCCCTTATTCGACATTCTAGTTCTTTCTTCATGCATCCAAACATTAACGTCACGTCATTTCACACCGAGATTTTTGCGGACCGTGACCTTGAAATTCCCTGCTTTTTCTATTCTCAATCAAGAAAACGTACAGGAAAGGACAAAAGTGGGCGGAGCTTTCATTGTGTTTCCCAAACTCTCATAACGTGTTATAACAACTGTGACAATCACCCCCAAAAAAAGAGAAATGTCGTAAAAAACTGGAGAAGCGAGCCGAAAAATGCATGAAAATTGTCAGTTTTATTGTTTTGCTCCTCGCCGCCTCCGTTCCTCTTTTCGCGCTGGTAATATGCCCCGAGGCGATCTGAAAAAGAGCGTTTTCTCAGTTTTTGATACGTCTTGTGAGGAGACCAGAGTTCGTCGTGAAAATACATTCGAATACAACGTCTTTGTTGCTTTTTTGACCCGAGCAGATCACGAGAAGGGCGGCGAATCGAATCGAATTCATTCGTTTCCTTCCTGACTCTGATTCCCATTGTTGACATTATTTCAATGCCGAAAAATCAGGAGATTACTGTAAGCACTGCTTTTTTCTGTTTCTAATGGTTATAAAGATTCTGTAACCGAATTGTTTTATCAGTAAATTTATCAGCTCAATCTTTCTCGTTTCTCTTTCAAATGAACCAACTTGTAAGGCCATACACTTTCCAATCTTTCTTTGACTTTAACTATTTTCGGTACTGTTTCAAAACTCTCAATTGATTGGTTTCATTTTGTTCATTTTATTCATTTGACTGTTTTCATGTGATTCATTTGACTGTCCAATCTTTCTTTGACTATAACTATTTTCAATACTGTTTCAAACCTTTTATTTAATTCCTGTTCTTTCATTAGCCGAAGTAGAGAGAAAACCGTACCTCTTTTTGAATATAACTCCAATAATACTTCATTTCAAGTTAAAAGGGACTGTGATTGTTTCACTGTGGTGCCACAAGTCAAATTGCAATCATTTCTAGTCTCTACATCCTTCGAATCACCGCTTAGAATTCAAAATTGTAGTATTATAGGGGCACTGCACAGAAATGGCGCTCTGTTGAGAAACTCTTTTTGCAGTGCAAATTTTGCGACCTCGGGGCCGAGTTTGAAAATTTAGGCCACGTTTTCAGTGGAAAAATACTTCGCGGTCTAGAAATTCGGCCAGATTGCGAACAGCGCGCCCTTTCTGTCCTGTGCTTCTATAATAGTCGGATTATTGAAACAGAAATAACTCTCATTGGACCTCTGAAACTCTTGAAACTGTGAATTTATTGAATTTGAATCATTTTCGCTCAAAAATGGTTTGGTTTCCCCCCCGAGTTTTAAAAGTTTCATCAAAGTGACGAAGAGCAGTTCCAAATGTGGATATCATTAAGAAAAATGGAAAAGTGGGCCCGAAAAGTGTCTTGTAGAAAGAGCAGAGCTCTGGCCAGTTGGCTCCGGAACCGAAGGAAGCGCCATTGTCCTTTCAGACGTCAAAAATGAGGAGAAAAGAGAGAAAAGAGATGCAAACAAAGTGAAAAAAAAAGTGTTCACTTTTCCTTTTCCTTTTCATCTCTATTTCTCTCATTTTGGGCAGACTAGAACCTTGAATTTCTCAATTTGAAAAAGGAAATGTAGGGGTTGTAACAGTAAGTCACAGTTTCCACCTAATTTCATTCAGGAACGGAAAAATCAATGGTTTTTGAGCATTTTTCGTAGATTTCGATAAGCTCTGCTCACAATCACTTTAATTCCAGCATCTTCAGATCAAGAAGACCTCTGTTTCTTGGCAAAACTTTGTCATTTCCTGACTTTTTTGTCCAGAACACAATTTCAAAGTTCTCAGTTTCAACAAGTAACTAAATCACTGTCAATGGAAATGTTCTAGAGTACAGTACCAGATTGACCCCCTCTCCCCCTTTCCCTTTTCATTCTTCTCGTCCTTTGCTCCGATGTCTATGTGAAAATCAAGAATGCGCTTGTTGAATGAAGTCGTCGAAAGTCTTCTGTCCGTAACTCAATTCGCTCCTCCTTCTTCTTCTTCTTCTTCTCCTACTTCTGCTTCACTTCCATGACCTCCCGTTTTGTGTGCCACTGTTTATTCGTTCTTCTTCTCCTTCTTCTTCTTCTTCTCCCTTCTCCATCTCAACAACTTTTCTCGTGAATCAGATTCGAAACGGATTGAGAGAACCGAACCGAACACACGGAGGTGACGGACGCATCATGGCACGATGGGTAAGAATGGGGAACATGTTGGAGCACGGACACGACTTCTCTTTTTGTTGTCTGCAAGTCTCCCTTTCGCTTCTTTTGCCTCTTCTTTCTTTGTCTACACTCATTTCTGAAAGATGATGTCTGGAAATTAGTGGAAAGAACTTTGATGTTTGGGTTCATGTTTCAAACACTTCACTTATACATTACTCTACTTCATGGTGTTTAGTTTTCGAGATTCACCCGTATATTCTTATTTTGAACTCACCGGGGCGCCAATACTAGGCTTGACCTCATTTTTAAATGCTTCATAACAGATCTGAAACTGTTGTTCTTTTGAAAACTTGAAAAGATGCAACATTGAGAAGCCTACAATAGCGGCGCATTGGACTGTAGCAGTAATATTGGAAGAAAATTATGGAAAAACTGATGTCGACTTCACGAAACTGGGATTTTCTCCAAAAAGATACGGGTTCAAAGCGTCTACCAGTCTACGTTCCATCCGTTCGCGATCACGGTACAAATCACGTTTTGACCTCTCTCCCTCGTGCCCTCCGAATCGCTATTATTCGATTTTGCGTGACGGAACGTGCATTTTGTTCAGTTTCATGAACTCGTGAATATCCGCGCTGACAGAGTTAGGAAAAGAAACGAGACTCCAAAATTCTGTGTAATATCAGTTTCCGATCGATTCAAACCAAGTTTCCCTTTGAAAGCCACCACGAACAAATCTGTTTCATTGGGTCAATTAGACTCGGCTGAAACTGTTCATCTCTACACATTTTCAGATGAGTCATCCCGGCTGGGTGATGGTTTCATTTCTGACGGAATTGCTGTCGCAGTCCTCGAAAGGCATCGCCCAATCGCTGGACAACTGTGCAAATGACACCGAAATCATCAATGCACTTCTCAAGGACAGCTACAACAAGGTGAGTTCGATTAGACGATCAGTTCGTAAAACTTGCGTTCGATAAAACGAACCCGTTTTGAGCTCAATGTGAAACTGAAACTTGCCGACTTTTATTGGGAACATTTGTCTTGCAGCACTACATTCCGTCGCATCCGACGCACGTCCGAGTGGACATGTGGGTGCAAGAAGTGACTTCCGTTTCAGAACTCACACAAGACTTTGAGATTGGTCCGCCCATTTCACTAATCCTGCATAAACACGCCTTTGTTTCAGACCTGTATATCAACGAATTCTGGGAGGATCCGGCACTGGTGTACGAGGACATGAACCCGTGCAAACGGAACATTTCGTTCGACGACAAAGTGCTCCAGAGACTCTGGATACCCAACACGTGCTTCATTAACTCAAAGAATGCGGCGATTCACGAGAGTCCCTTCAGGTACGTTCAATTTCCCGTTTCAAAAAGCTCTGTTCCCTTTTCAGAAATGTCTTTTTGATGGTATTTGCGAATGGAACACTTTGGACGAACTATCGAATGAAACTGACGGGACCGTGCGACATGAAGCTCAAGAGATTTCCGTTTGACAAACAGAAATGCTACCTCACTTTTGAGTCGTAAGTTTTATTGCATCGTGAGTCTAGTAAGACAAGAAGAATGACTTTAGTTTCAACTACAACACCGGAGAAGTGAGAATGCAATGGAATCAACCGTATCCGGTCATTCTGCTGAAAAGAATCGAGCTTCCCGACTTCAAACTTGTCAATTTCAGTGTGATCGCAGTGGAACAGGTCGGTTTTGAAGTGTCGTTTGGTCTCCAACTTTTCAGTTTCACTTTCTGATATTCATTATTTCTGATATTCAATTCATTAATTCTCTGTGCTCACTCCGAACTCCTCGTATGATGTTGTGTTCTGTTCAGATGTACCCGGCCGGATGGTGGGACGAACTGACCGTCGCGTTCGTGTTCGAGAGGCGCTACGGATGGTACGTACTTCAAGGGTAAGCGTGACTTTTGTTGCCTTCTTCGTGATTTCATCGTTGCAGATACATTCCAACAATGGTGACCATTGTCATCTCGTGGATTTCATTCTATTTGGGGCCAAGGTCGGTTTCTTTTCCGTTTCTATTTGAGCTCATTTGTAGAAAATGACTAGTGTTGGTAATCAGACGTGTGACTTTTTTCAGCAACAAATTTTTGAAAATAAGTACCCAAAGTCCCAAATTTTAAAGAGACCACGAGACCGGATTATCGATTTTTCGAGCGGCACTCGAATAATTCGACATTTTTGTGTCAAATCTTGAACATGATTGAAATTTGGGACTAGAAAACCCTATCTGTCGTGTGCTTTTTTGGAAAATTCAGCAAAATTCGGGGAAATTGTATTGTAGAGTTCGAAAAAAAAACCGATGCTCTGAGGGTCGACGATTCAATACAAAAGCATCAAAAACCACTGCTTTGCAGAGCGATCCCAGCTCGAACGATGCTCGGAGTGAACTCGCTGCTCGCAATGACTTTCCAGTTCGGCAACATCATCCGCAACCTGCCACGTGTCTCCTACGTGAAGGCGATCGACGTGTGGATGCTCTCCGGAATGCTCTTCATCTTCCTCTCTCTTTTGGAGCTCGCCGTCGTCGGATTCATGTCCAGAAACGATGGATTACCCCCCAAAGTGAGCACTTTCTCGTGGTTCTTCTTCTATTGTCGAATAACTTTCAGATAAAAAAGCGAAAGCGACAAGAGGAGGACGACGAGGGATTCTCGTGGAAGAGCATGCAAACGAGTCCCCATTTGGAGCTCAGACAGGTACAGTAATCCCTGCCCGAGATGACGTGCCAATCGGACATTTTTCAGTTCTGGGTCGACAAGCGAGTCAATTCGCTGCGGAACAACAGTGAAGTGCCGCCAGTCGAGGATTATGTGAGTTTTGAACATGTTTCACTACTATTTCATGTTTTCAGGCGCCAATGGAGCTCGAGCAACCGTATCCGCACATTTCGAAGCGGCGGGAGAAGAGGAAATGGATGAGTGGGCTGCGGAAAAAATGGAGAGCGATGAAGGAGCTCCGACCGGAAACTGTCGACTTTTATAGGTGAGAAAATGAAGTGGAAGAGCTGAAGATGAGATGGAGAAGCAGTAAAATTTGAATTTCCGAGCACATTCTACAATGAATGGACCACAATAACTGCGATTCAAAAGTTCCCAATGAAACCGTCGAATTATTTCAGCGCAATATTCTTCCCGACGGCGTACATGCTTTTCAACATTTCGTAAGTGCCCCCCTCGTCCGTTTTCGGCTCACCCCGGTCCCGATCGCTTTCAGATACTGGAGCTTCTACCTGACAAGTCTTTCCGAATACTTTGACGACGATGTGAACAGTGTCGAGCAGCCGTGAAACTTCGAAAAGTACAATATCACCAATGTTATGTGCTTTTTTGCTCTCAATGATTCACACAGGCCTTTTCTACTATCGATTCATCAAAATAAAACTGAATTTCGTACTTTTGGGTAGAGCCAATTAAACCAGGACCCTCTGCTTGTTATTTCACATTCTAAAGTCGAGTCAAAACATTTATCAATCAAAATAATCAAACAATATTGAAACATAAACACAAGAAACTTCAAATAAACCTGATTTTCTCAGAAAAGAGATCAGAAAGATCGTTAGAATTGAAAAAGCACCGAACTAATCATTCCATCCTTTCGAATCTTCAATTCTGAAGCGGCGGAAGGTTCAGGCCCGGAACCATAGGGACCATGGGAAAGTTGGAGCCGTTCTGCATCGATCTCAACACCATCTCGATCCAATTCGGATTCTGGAGCGGGAAGAGCATTGGGAAGTGGGCGGGAAGCGAGAAAAGAGGGGGCAAGAGCGGAAGGACCGGAAGCTGAGGCACCGTCGGCGGTCCTCTCTCGATCGGAGACGCCGCCTTCGGTTTGGTCGAGCGGCGACGGAGCTTCCCGCACTCTTTTCCAATGTACACATCCGTTCCGAGGTCCGTTTCCATTGTCCAGAAGCTTCCTGAAATGTCTCATTTTGCGAGTTGCCTCTTGGTTTTGGAAATTGCGCTCACCTTTTCCGCCCGGAGACCTCGGCACCTTGACGAATTGTCTGTGCAGCGAGAGATTGTGCCGAATCGAATTCTGCCACTGCAGTTTTTCCATGCGGTAGAACGGGAAGTTGGTGGAAATGAAGGCGTAGATCTCCGCGAGCACCATTCTTTTTTCCGGACTGCTCTGGATGGCCATTGCAATGAGGGCGTTGAAGGAGTACGGAGGACGGACTTCCCCGTCCGAATTGGCTTTCGAAGAGGGGCGGGGCGTTGAGGAGGGCTCTGGAATCGAAATGTACGGTTTCCTGGATTCAATGGCTACTTCAATTTTTTTAGCTTTGGCTGTTCTGGCTAAACTAGTCCAAAAAGGCTGCAAAGTTTGGGTGGCCCAGCCTCAAACTCTCACCTGAAAGCGTCTCCATCTTCACTTCCTGCTCGTCAAACTCTTCCATCTTCGGACTGGTCGCTTGACTGCTCCATGGGCTTGTGGCTTTAAAATCGAATGGTTTAGAACTGAAAATGAGACTGAAAAAGTACCTGGCGGGGTCGGAGACACGTCCAGTTTCTTCGGTGATTCCGTGAGCACTGTGAGGTCCGGACAGAGGTCTGTGATCGAGAACCCGGACATTTTGGATGCTGAAAATTGGAATTTATTGACAAACTTTATACATTCAAATGAAGAGTACATGTGCAACTAATGGAATCGAAGAAACACTCTCCACTCCATCCACACCCGATACAACACATTCGGGTGCATTACCCGGCCACTATTGTCCATCAGGAAGTTGCACTTGGGTACGAATCACTCCCGGACATTTCGAAACCAACATTTTGTCACTATTGTGTCTTCTAGTACCTAGTTTCAAACACGGGACAAAATAGAGATTGTTTGAAAAGATTTTGATACGGTAATCGTTCAGTTTGACTAGAACAATCCAGTGTAACTTTTGACGGGGTTGGTATAAGTAACTTGAGCACAAATCTTAGGCCTCCTTCAACAGATCTTCACAATATTTCTCCAAAAGTGACACACAATTAGTGCGAACGAACCACCTATTAATTGTCTCTTGACACATTTCCAAAAAGACCCGTGCATGAACGGTCACCGTTGTTCGAGGCGGGGATCGAATGACGGGAAGTGACACAAAGAAGCACTTGTTACGCCAGACTTGTCCGAAATCGGATCACGTTTTGGAAAAATTGTCCCATTTCCATTTTTCACTCGGAAAGTAGCGAGTTCTAACCTAATTTGCTGACTCAAAAGGACAAAAAGTAACGACAAGGGGCTCGGCTAATGTTCGATTAAATCCTATGCACTTTTACAAGCAAAAATTTGTGATTTTTTTTCGAAAAGTTAATGTTTACCGAAAAAATGGTGTACCTATCACCTAAAAGTGTCTAATTTGAAACGGAATATGACCAGACAATGACGAAAAATGAGAAAAAAGAGAAAGTAAAACGACCTTTCGACTCTCGTTTTTGTTTGATTTGAATGCTGTCTGTGTGTTCAAACATTTGAATTTTCGAAATGAAATGCTAATGGAGATGTTAATGATAATGTGAATTGACTGATCAATGAGTATGAACTTTGCAGTTTCAGGATTACGGTAAGAGTACTGTAGCATTTCGAGTTATAGTGCTGAAAAGTAAAGCTCTAACTAACCTGACAGTTTCGGAGACGTTGCGGCGATTTCCAGAGTGATTGGGGAGATTGGAGTGGTCATTCTGAAGCGAATAGATTGGTAAAGGACGGAAAAACGGCGAGAAACGAGAAAAAAGGTACTGTAGAGATAGGTATATTCCCAAACTTGAAAAAAGTGCAAACGCAATTGGGTAGTGCACCTGGCACACCATAAAAACATTATCCCCCTCTCTCTCTCTCTCTCAGTCTCGTTCTCGCCCGGGAAGGGCGGGTCTGGCGGGATGGTGTAAAACATCTGGCACGGACTGTACCGCCCCCACTCATTAGGCCCCCCTCCCGGCAAATGTTGAAAAGGATGTAAAAGTGATAGAGAGAGAGGATCGGACTGATCGGACTGTAAACAAAAGAGTCGGGAAGGACAAGATTAGTGCCTATAGTTTATCAATGTTTCAAACGTTTCTGAAACGGGAATATTGATGGTTTGACTGGTATAATAGAATGTATAATGATTAGGCTTAAATCGAAACGAAATATTATATGAACCATGAGAAACAGTACCCTAGAACCTTTAAGCTCGAGTGTTTAAGAACTTGTTGTGAAACAAAATGAATATGAATGATGTTACAGTTTTTATCGGAAATGTGAAACGGAAAATGTTGGAACCTTTTTCAGCAACAATTTCTTTCTCACTTTCTGCGTACGTTTTTGAGCGCAATAAGAGCAATGATTCGCATTTCGACTCACTAGGGATACGGTATTCGATGCGGAGCGATACAAACGCGCTCGAGAATGTTCAGCAGTTCATAAAAAGTTGGAAAAGACCAGAGTATGTGTAACAAACAAATGACTGCCACGTCACAAATGTTATAGAGGCAGAGAAACAGAAAGTGTTGGAAGGATTGAGCGCTTTCAGCACGGAGAGTTTTATGTTTTGGTTATCGGACATACTAACAGCAATCATGCAATAGTGTATGCTTCTGTCAAAGTGAAGTGAGTGAAACTGAAATTTCAAGTTTTATATACCGGTAAAATTCCATCGCCGAAATCTTTTACACTTTCACACTTATTTGAAGCAGAAATACTCTATTTTGGCCTGGTTTGTTCATATTTCGGTGGACAAGTCGACCGTTAAAAATTGGTTCGGTGAGTGTAAACTAGAGGCCTCAAAGTTTTGTGTACATGAAGAAACAGTGAAGCGGACAGAGAGCAAATCCGGTGGGACACCGAAAGAAGTCGTCTAATCACTAATCCCTTTCAATGTTTTCGACACTCTCCAAAAATAGAGCCGTTTTCGATGATCCGTGCTAATAAATCCCCAGCGGGGCGGATTTGCTCCGGAAGGGACGAATGTCAATTGGACGGACGGACAGGTGCACGAGCAGAAACAACACGAACTAACTAGCTAATGAAGACGTGACAGGTTCCGGAAAGATGGCACCAATTGACAGAGACGGATAATAGCGGCGGTCCGTGAACGAACTTTGACACTTTCAGTACAGAAGCACACAGTGCTTGTAGTTTACGTTCTCACGACCGAACAATGGGGTTTCACAGTGGAAAAGACCGCCAAGGGGACGGAATATTTGATGAGAACTTCACACCCAATACGCAGGAGAAAGGGAGTCGGTTACCGAAGGTGTGAATTGCTCCGGCGGTCCCTTCTGAAGGAGGCCCCGGGGTGCGAGAGTGAGAAAAAACGAGAAGGGGGGCAGGTGCAAAGGTTCGGACGGTCCCGTAAAACTGAAATCGCACTCGCTAGTTAAAGGACCAGGGAACGCTCCGAGTTTATGCCCAACTTTCAGAAATACCTGTGAATGGAACAGCGCTTAGTCAAAGTTGTGGCCGTGGCGCAGAAAAGTTCTAGGCCTTGTGATCTTTTCCGCATTTTTTTTTGCGTTCGGCACAATCTTCATACGTTGCAAAACATTCACCCAAATCAGCATCCATACAGAGTGCAAGAGCATCAAACTGCTCACAGGGAAGAGAGTTTTCACACCGGAGTTTCCTAGGCCACGGCCACAACTTCAATTGCACGCCGTTTCGTTCGATCATTGGCATTTCTGAGAGTCAGAGAGACAACTTTTCGAAAAAAAAACGTTGTGCCTTTCGTTGGTTTTTTTCGGCGCTACAATTGTAATTAAAACATGCAAAATGAGTGCAGTTTCAATGAGAACACGTAGGTTTAGGATAATGCTTTGGAGCAAAAAGTTTAGAATCCCGTTTGGACAGCATCTTGAGACCCAAAAGGATTCATATGACAAGTTTGGCCCGAATCGGCTCACTGGGAGCAGGGAAAAACGAAATCTCTTTTAAAGAATACGGTATTATTTCCGAAAAATCTCCGAAATTCCAAACCGCTTAAACACCAAACAGTCTTAGTTTCTGAATCGAAAATGTTTATTCGAATGAGCACTTGGAAATGTTCGACGAGAAACAACACAAAAGAGACTCATCCACTGCCCGTATTAATTTCATGCGGTTTCTTGGACACGCCAATTAGTTCTGCAATTCGTCTCCTTTTCAATCAACTTTTCCTTCGCAAACTCACCGAAAACCGCATTTCGATAGTTGTCGACGATGAAAACGACGGGAAGCGGGTCGATGATCGGGTAGAATGCGACGGTCATCGTCGTGACGTCACCGATCCACTGGGCGCCAAAGTGAAAGAGAGGGCTGAAGAAGAAGAAGGAGAGCGGCACGATCATGAAGAAGATCGGGATCACCGTCTGAAAATAGGGGAGTCGGTTTCAGGTTCCGGGCAAAAAATGGGGAAATTACCTGAATAACCAATGCTTGGTAAAGCTGCTTCTGAAGTCGTTTCGTGAATTCGGATCGGCCTTGAAGGACCAGCAACTTGATTCTTTTGTATGTCAGGGTGCCGAAGAAAGTGATGAGCACGAAGCAGATGGTCTGAATCCACGCGGAACTTCACAAATCTCAGACTCTTTTACCATGATGCTGCCGAGCACTGTCACTCCCTGGATTCCCTTCCAATTCACGAGCTCTCCTCCGTTTTCCGCCCGTTTATAGTACAAAACGCCGACGTGCACAACATCCGAGATGCTCGTATTGTACTCGGTTTCCATTAGTTCTCTGCAAACTCACTCGGATTCTCATCATCCGCTTCCCATTTCCTCACCTGATGTACTCTGAACTCTCCGCATCTTCGGACATGAACCAGAAAAGGGCCTGAGTCCAGACGAAACCGGTGAGAATCGGAATGAGCAGCCAGCAGGGGAAGTAGAAACCGTCAAAGTACCTCAGGTGGCCACGTCTTTCGAGCGCGAATAAACGGAAGATGAAGTGCACGACGAACATCGAAGTTATGACGCCGCAGAAGCCGCAGCCGTAGTCTGCAACAGATTTGATATTGGGCCTGGACTTTTGGATCACTTGCTATATGCAATGGTAGTAAAACTTTGTAGGCTTCTTGGACTTGAATTGAAATACTGTTAGGCCAAAGTTTCAGCCCGATCGGATCATTTAGTCCGGAGATATAGCGGTCGTTCGCAAGACCCCCGACTTTAGGCCGATATATCTCGGGACCAGATAATCCGATCCATCTGAAGCTTGGACCCAAAATACTTCAATCTTAAAGTTTGGTGGTCCAAAAGTCCAGGTCTGGCTGATACTGTCTCTGACGTGACTTCCTGACGCTTTGAGAAACCTATTCAAGATTCGAATAAGAATTGGGCAAAGAACACCTCTATTTTTGCCTATTCTGAAACAGAAATCCGACTCACAAAGGAGATATCGATCGATGTTGGGGTTGGCGAACTGAATGACGGACACTACTTGAAAACAGTCGCCGTGGACGATCAACAACGGACCCAACAAGGCCTCGAAGCACGAGTAGGAGACGGAGACGGCGGCGAAGAAGATCATCAAGTACTTGTACGTTCCGAGTTTGCTCGGCGATCTCGTACAAATCAGAAAGATGAGCGAGCAATTGGTGAGGAGGGCGATCGGAAGACAAAAGATTTGGATGGTCCTTCTCGTCGGCGTCTGCATTCTTTTGGATCAATGGGAAGAGGGATGGGTATGAAGGCGGGGAGTTGAATGTGATGAGCAGAGGGTTACGTGAGCTCGCTCGCCCGACAGGAAACAACACGAGACGGTGCTCGGCGGGGCGGAAATTGGACACAGTCCGAAGATTTTAACTAGCAGTTCCAACGTCACACTTCTTTTGAGCATTTCAGCTCAAATCTTTTCAATGTTTCAATTTATTTTCGCAAGAAAATATTGTCATTTTTACCGTTTCGGGATGAACACTTCCTTTCAAAAAGTTTCATTTCAACATTGCGTCCGGCGTTAGTAATAAATAGAAAAAGGGGAAATAATCTTGATCTATTCTGCAATTTATCGATATTCCCTTCGTAAAACTGTAAACTTCCGTTCTATTATTCCCTAATAATAATCATCATCATCATCATAATCGTTAAGAAAAAGAATCAATTTATGATGATGATGACTTTCAATTTGGATGATAAATGTAATGTCATCATAATGTCATTTCCGAGCCCGCCTCCTTTCCTCCTCATTCCCGTTCATTCATTCTTCTGAATTCACGAACAATGCTGTTCCTTATTCTCCTTTTCGTCCTCTTTCCGACGGTCTCCACTTCCGGAATGCTCCGTTTCCAAGTGACCGCGTCGAACGACTGTCTCTTCCGAATCACCTCCGATTCTGGCATCCAGCAGCTCTCCCTTCCGCTCGGCGACCATCTTTCCACCCATTTCCGACCGCAGAGCCACCTGAAATCACTGGAATTCACGTTTTCGGTCGAAGGATTGGCGGTTCCGGCTCGCAAACACGTTTTCCAACTGATCCATGCTCATGGGGATCCGCAGAGAATCGTGCTGGAATTCGATCAGACCGTTGTTCTCGTCGAGTCCGAATTCGTGTGCGACAATGGATTTTATGGTCCCAGGTGTCGGAGCCAGACGGAGAAAAAGACTTCTACTACTATTTCGGTCCCTTCCACTACTTCTGCTGGACCCACCGGATCCACTGATTCGATCGAGGGTTCCATGTCCTTCGCAACCCTTCATCTGGCCTTCGTCGTCTTTTCCGTGGTCCTGCTCGTCGCCGTCATCATCCTGGTCCTGAGAAGTCGAAAGTCAAAGTCATTGAGCGGCAAGATGATCCAATATTTGGAAAATCATAATAATAACAATTGTTCTAACCCCTCCTCTATTGTATAACTTTTCCATAATGATCATAGTGTTCTAGTATTCCCGCTGTTATTTGTTCTCCGTTTAACTGTACATAATATTTATCCATTTCAATCAATAAATTGTAAGAAAAAATTAGCCTTGAAATTTCCAACAATGTGAACAACAACTCTTGGGACCACGTCGAAACAGTAATCACTCATAGTCGGTACACCTCTTCCACCAGGCCAAGTGCTTGAAAGTCTGAAAGATTCTTATGTGGTCCCATTAGTCCGACCCCTCAGATTCAAAAACCTTTCTCATACCGCGGACAATACTCGAATCGCAATTGTCGTAAACTCGGTCGTAGATACAATCGTCTTGATAAACCGAGCACACGAATCTCTGAAACGGACTGCAATCAGGATAGTGTATCTCAGCTGCCGGTTGAAATATCAAAAAGTTGTCAACTGATAAATTGTTCAAAAAGACATTTTACACATTTGATCAGTTGACAACTTATTGGTATTTCTATCGGCAGTTGAGATACATCGATTTGAATCCTACCCAATCTTTGGACTTCCCCAGGTAAACGTGCATGAAATTGGTGGCGCACACGTCGTCGTTCAGTCTGTCCAGGACCTTCAAACACTTTCTAAACTCGGGGACCATCAGGAACTCCATGGTGTCGCAGGTCCTCGGATCGGAGGTGGATCCCACCGAATCGCAGTGTTCCAAGTCCTCGAAACACTTCAAATTGGCGCGGCAAGTGTGGTTGAACCGCATCATTTTCTTCATTTCCTCACTCATTCCCTCGTACTTTTCATTTGCAAACACAATTTTGTGGTTCTGCACGGAAACTGTGAGAAATCAATGGTAAAGTAGGGAAACTCACCGCCAGACACTGCTGCAACTCTTTCAGATTCTCATCTGTGCATATTTTGAAGGGTAGAGGGATTACTGTAGCCAAAAGGGCACAAATAAGGAGAAGGGATGAGTTGTTCATTTTAATAATGAAACTCGTACGACTATATCATTGGATAAAGGTAAAAGAGAGGCCACGAGTGCGTCCCGGAGGACACCAACTGTTTCCTCTGCGTCTCTCTCGCTCCGATGCTCTCTACCGGCTCATGGAAAACAGAGAAAAAGCGGGGTTCTTGATGAAAACGGGGTCAAATTGAGTTTCATGTGGAATTTCCCGTTACAAATGATTATTTTCGGCAGAAAATTGTTTGCCTACTACTCTTGATTGTCTTCCTGCTACAAACACTATATTAGAAACGGAAAGTGTTTGGTTTCAACTGATTTTGCTGAAAAAAAACAGAAATTCTCGAGTTCCGATATATTTGTGTGGTTAAATTAGCTAAGCGGACACTTTTCTTCCGTTTCGAGACCGAGATGAAAAAACCAGAAGTCAGTGCGCAAAAACGACAAGAAATCATATATTACAGTTTCTATTGTCGCTCAATTCAAAGTGCGAATTCAGAGAGCAATGCCAAGTCGTCTAATAGGCAGTGAAAAATCTGTACATAAAGAGATTTATTCATAATTTTCTAGTCCATATTCAAATTGAAAATAGCATTCAAACAGTTGTGTTCCCGCGCGAAATCTCCTCATCGCCCATCGAAATACGGCTCTTTTTGGTCGTGCAGCAGTAGAAGTAATCTGGAATTAAAAAAAAAAAGACTAAAGCATTGCGAACTCATCAAATTATCACATTGACACTGAAATTCCAGTTTCACCTCGTTCATTAGTTTTCAGAAGAGTCAATATGGAGTCGATCTGTCTAACAGACTCAGGTAGTTTTCGGCAAGGGTGGGGCGTTGCTACGGTAGCATGGGGTGAGCATGTGTCACGCACGGATCAGGCACTGCATCCGCATGGATAGGGCGTGCAACAGGAAAAAAAGTGGGATAGGGGGAGGGGGAAGCAAGGGTTTTAAGCGGCACGGGAGCACGGTTGAAGCTAGGAAGTAGCAAGGGTTCAGCACGTAGCAAGCACGGAATCGGCACCCTTACAGTAATTTGCCGAAAATTACCTGAGGACAGAACAGACTTTGAAACAATGATTGTGACCTGCCAAAGAATTGCGGTAGTTGTCGATAATGAAGAAGAGGGGAAGCGGGTCGACTGCCGGATAGGCGGCATAGACGAGAGTGAGGAGGCGGCTGAAAGAAGAGATGTCCCATCCGATCGCAGAAAAGATCAGGTAGTTGCTCATCGGCAGGTACATCAGAACTATCGGGATTGTCGCCTGCAATCGAATCTGTTTCAAAAAGTTATCAAGTAGGACGTTTAGAGATTCCGGTACCAAAAGAAGTGCCCAAACCTGCGCGACGAGTGCCTTGTACAGCTGCCTCTGCAGATTCTTCGTGTACGACGACTCCCCTTCGTTCATCAGTGCCCTGATCCGTTGATAGCTTAGATAACCGTAATAACAGACGACAGAGAACGAGATGCCCTGGAAGAACGACTGTTTCACAAAGGTTTCAATAAAAATTGGCAGAATCTGTCGTTATTGTGATGTTACTAACCATCATTGCCGCGAAGATGACAACAGCACACACGCTGCTAGCCACCATCTCTTCCTTTCCGTTCTCAGTGGTTCTCCAGTAGAGCCCACACACAAAAGTGACATTTTCCATCGGAATTTGATAACTCTCCTCGATACTTTGTCTGTAATTCATGTTTACTCTCATTTGTTGTGTCCCTGGTCCCTCACTTGAGATACTCGGTCGATTCCTCGGTTGGCGCCAGAAACCATCCGACTGTGAAGGACCAGAGAGCGCCGAATAAGACGGGAACGGCCACCCAAATGGCAAACCAACCGCCGTGAAAGTATTTCAGACGGCCTTTTCTGGAAGAATTACAGCTTCAGAAGCATTTTGTGAACTCGACATGAACTGACCTTTCCAAAGCAAAGTATCGAAAGAGGAAGTGGATGGCGAAAAATGCGATAATGACTCCGTAACAACCACAGACGACACCTGGAATTACAGACAATTATAGACAAAATTCACATTGGGAATCAATTTGTTGTAGAATTCAGAAGAAAATTGTGGAACTACTGAGCCCAGAGCATCTAGGCGTCATTAGAACGCATTGAAGCCGTAAACTTACACACTAGGAAATAGAGTATGGGTGGGGCGATGTTGGACTCTCTTCTGTCCGCCAACACTGCGAAACTCTTGCCGTACGAGTGCACGAACTAAAAAATCTGTTTCTGGGAGGTTATAAAACAATTCTTTTTCTTACTAAACTAATTGTGGTTTTGGATGTGTGCACAAACTTTTCTCATGACCAAGTCATTCTTGAAATTTGTAAAGGAACTACACATTCATTGCTACAAACTTATCAACCCTCCACGATTTTCACCCTAGTACAGGTTCACATGGAAATGCTTCTCTATGCTTTCACAAGTTACAGGCTTAGCGGGTTACCGGTCCGACAATAACATCGATGATGGAAAAGAAGATGGCGAAACAGGAGAAATAAATCATCAGATATCGATAGTTTCCCATTTTTTTCGGCGATTTCGTGAGGATCAAATAGACGAGGAGACTGTTGAAACAGATCGAAAAACCGAATGAAATCCATTGGATTGCCGTCTTCAACTCCGGGTACGTCGTCATTTCTGGAATTATCTGAAAGTTTAAGGAAAAGAACGAGTATTGGAAAATTAGAAGAAGAAGAAGAAGAAGAAGAAGAAGAAGATTATATGGTAGAAGAAACCGGGAATTATGTAGGTATCATTATTGTATTTCTACTCGGAATCGGCTTTAAGTGTGAAAGATCAAAACAAAAAAGAGAAGAGAAAGGAGTGTTCGGGTTGCGTTAATTTCCGAATAAACGTCGGGGGAGTATAATATTGTCGGCAGAGCATTTACGAGATACAATAGCAAGGGAATCGAGTGACAAACAGGGGCGATGTACATAAATAAAACGGATTATCCTGTAGAAATGAAGAACCGAACAACAAGAGATGAGGCAATTTCATGAAGATTTTGAAACAGAAACGTATTGAAAATAGCATTCAATTGGTTGTGTTTCCGCGCGAAATCTCCTTATCGCCCATCGAAATACGGTTATTGTTGGAAGTGCAGCAGTAGAAGTAACCTTTAAGTAACCAGTTTGTTCATTAGTTTTCAGAAGAGTCTATGGAAACAGTTTGACGGATTTCGAGAGAAAAGACATTGAAACAATGATTCTGACCTGCCAAAGCATTGCGGTAGTTGTCGATAATAAAGAAGAGGGGAAGAGGGTCGACTGCCGGATAGGCCGCATAGACCAGAGTGAGGAGGCGACTGAGAGGAGAGACGTCCCATCCGATCGCAGGAAGGATCAGGTAGTTGCTCATCGGCAAGTACATCAGAACTATCGGGATTATCGCCTGCAATCGAATCTGTTTCAAAAAGTTATCAAGTAGAACATTTAGAGATCCCTATTGCAAAAAAAAAGTGCCCGAACCTGCGCTACGAGTGCCTTGTACAGCTGTCTCTGCAGATTCTTCGTGTACGACGACTCCCCTTCGTTCATCAGCAGCTCGTTGATGCGTTGATAGCTCAGATAGCCATAGTAACAGACGACGGAGAACGAGGTGCCCTGGAAGAACGACTGTTTCACAAAGGCTTCAATAAAAATTGGCACAATCTGTGGTTATTGTGATGTTACTAACCATCATTGCCGCGAAGATGACAACAGCACACACGCTGCTCGCCACCATCTCTTCCTTTCCGTTCTCGGTCGTTCTCCAGTAGAGAGCACCCACAAAAGTGACATTTTCCATCGGAATTTGATAACTCTCCTCGATACTTTGTCTGTAATTCTACTTTTTCTTTATGCTTCTCCCAACGTGGTCCCTCACTTGAGATATTCGGTCGATTCCTCGGTTGGCGCCAGAAACCATCCGACTGTGAAGGACCAGAGAGCGCCAAATAAGACGGGAACGGCCACCCAAATGGCAAACCAACCGCCGTGAAAGTATTTCAGACGGCCTTTTCTGGAAGAATTACAGCTTCAGAAGCATTTTGTGAACTCGACATGAACTGACCTTTCCAAAGCAAAGTAGCGAAAGAGGAAGTGAATGGCGAAAAATGCGATAATGACTCCGTAACAACCACAGACGACACCTGGAATTACAGAAAATTATAGACAAAATAAAAAACAATTAAATGAATTGAACTATTGAGCCTAGAGCATTTAGAAGGCATTAAAGCCGTGAACTTACACAATAGGAAATAGAGTACGGGAGGTGAGATGTTGGACTCTCTTCTGTCCGCCAACACTGCGAAACTCTTGCCGTGCGAGTGCGCGGACTGAAAAAGAGAACTGTTTCAGTTTCGAACGCACTGTCTCCCCAATAGCTAATGCTGAATTGAGCGCTGCATAATCCCAAAAACTCGGGAAAACAGTGTTTTCAGTTGAAAAACCGTATCCCGTAAATCGACACTGAGAGCCGCACGCAAAACCAAGTCATTCTTGAAATTTGGGAAACAAGTACAATAGTCATGCATTCATTGCTACAAACTTATCAACCCTCCCCGATTTTCACCCTAGTACAGGTTCACATGAAAATGCTTCTCTATGCTTTCACAAGCTACAGGCTTAGCGGGTTACCGGTCCGACAATAACATCGATGATGGAAAAGAAGATGGCGAAACAGGAGAAATAAATCATCAGATATCGATAGTTTCCCATTTTTTTCGGCGATTTCGTGAGGATCAAATAGACGAGGAGACTGTTGAAGCAGATCGAAAAACCGAATGAAATCCATTGGGTTGCCGTCTTCAACTCCGGGTACGTCGTCATTTCTGGAATTATCTGAATCTTTTAAAAGGCAATGTCTGAGAACCTCGAAATTCGCAAATTTCACCAGGTCACTAAAAATTCAGAATGCTTCAATTTGTCCTATATTATACCCAATGGGTACTTACATAACAGTGATACATCAGACAAGTTTTGGTCCGGCTCCTTGGTCCCTAGTCCGATCACGGTCCCAAAATAGGTCACAACTGTAACTAATTTCAAAAAAATTCTAGCGTCTCAGACTTAACGCCATTCGATTTCACGCATCTTTTTAAGCATTTTTCATGTTGGCCCCAAAAATTTAGCACCTCTCCTTCATGGAGCAAAATATTGTTTTGTGACATTTTTCAGAAAATTTATCAGTTTTCTGCTTGTCCTGAAAAATTTTAACACTACATAGCCATGATTTTATTGCTGATTCTGAATCTAGACGTTATCGTGCTTCGGCAAAAAAAAATTCACCCCGATCCCGATTGACATCAAGGGGTTTTTTGACCGAAATTCACAAAATTCGTAGTACTTTTGCATGGAAAAATGTTCGTGAACTTGAGAAAAGTGCGTTTTCTCAATTTTCAAAGGAGTCTGATTGCGATTTTTGTTGTTTTCGTATACTTTTAGGCATTCTCGATTTTTTTAAAGCATTTCGAGAATAAAAAAAAATTAGAACAAGTCGTCGACCCGGGGGGGTAATGACAAAATTTTCGAGAAAAAATTAATTTTCGAAATGCTTTTAAAAAATCGAGAAACAATTAATTTTCGAAATGCTTTTAAAAAATCGAGAATGCCTAAAAGTATACGAAAACAACAAAAATCGCAATCAGACTCCTTTGAAAATTGAGAAAACGCACTTTTCTCAAGTTCACGAACATTTTTCCATGCAAAAGTACTACGAATTTTGTGAATTTCGGCCAAAAACCCCTTGATGTCAATCGGGATCGGGGTGAACTTTTTTTTTGCAGAAGCACAATAATGTCTAGATTCAGAATCAGCAATAAAATCATGGCTATGTAGTGTTAAAATTTTTCAGGACGAGCAGAAAACTGAAAAATTTTCTGAAAAATGTCACAAAACAATATTTTGCTTCATGAAGGAGAGGTGCTAAATTTTTGGTGCCTTCATGAAAAATGCTTAAAAAGATGCGAGAAATCGAATGGCGTTCGGTCTGAGACGCTACCATTTTTTTGAAATTAGTTACAGGTTTGACCTATTTTGGGATCGTGATCGGACTAGGGACCACGGAGCCGGACCAAAACTTGTCTGATGTATTACTGTTATGTAAGTACCCATTGGGTATAATATAGGACAAATTGAAGCATTCTGAATTTTTAGTCACCTGCAGGTTTTGAACTTCTCAGACATTGCCTCTTAAGACCTAAAAAGGGAAAGAACGAGTATTGGAAGACTAGAAGAAGAAGAAGACGATTATAGGGTAGAAGAAACCGGGAATTATGTAGGTATCATTATTGTATCTCTACTCGGAATCGGCTTTTAGTGTGGATTCCACACTAAAAGCACTGCCCGTGGAAATTCGCGTTCTTCGGGGCTAGTAAATGGCTTCTGAAAAGCTATTACTCTTTTACGGTAAGAAGAAAAAATCCCGGAAGATGGCAAACGGAATTCCGCTCAACACTGGTGTGGAAGATCAAAACATAAAAGAGAAGAGAAAGGAGTGTTCGGGTTGCGTTAATTTCCGAATAAACGTCGGGGGAGTATAATGTTGTCGGCAGAGCATTTACGAGATACAATAGCAAGGGAATCGAGTGACAAACAGGGGTGATGTACATAAATGAAACGAATTATACAGTAGAAATGAACTATGACGCCGAACAACAAGAGATGAGGCAATTTCATGAAGATTTTGAAACAGAAACGAATACCCCCCAACTAGGCCGTGATTCAGGCTTATTAATCCTGTTTCCAAATGATTCCTAATACTGATACAAATAGCAGTTTCCATGACACCTCAAGAGTTGTCAACATTGGCTCCCGACGTTTCATTTCCATTTTCATTTTACCCCCAAAATGCGTCAAACAAGGTCCGAGCAACATTTTTATAGCTTGAAGAGACAAGTAACACTCCTCGGAAACGTGTCGCGGAGCCAAAAACAAAACACTTTTCATTTTCTAGTACACATTGAAAATAACATTTAATTAGTTGTGTTTCCGCGCGAAATCTCTTCATCGCCCATCGAAATACGGTTATTGTTGGCAGTGCAACAGTAGAAGTAACCTGGAAGTAACTAGTTTTTCATTAGTTTTCAGAAGAGTCTATGGAAACAGTTTGACGGAATGATTGTGACCTGTCAAAGCATTGCGGTAGTTGTCGATAATGAAGAAGAGGGGAAGCGGGTCGACTGCAGGATAGGCGGCATAAACGAGAGTGACGAGGCGGCTGATCGGAGAGATGTCCCATCCGAACGCAGGAAGGATCAGGTAGTTGCTCACCGGCAAGTACATCAGAACTATCGGGATTATCGCCTGCAACCCAACACATTTACTTTCAAAAGACCGATAGTATTCAAAAGTTTCAGATTTGTGGCGATAGACAGAGAATCACGTGAATCAATGACAACTATTATCGATCTTCACTAGTAGCCAGTCTGCATTTTACCGTTTCATTAAGTTTATGAACATTTTGCAAGATATTCAAAATTGATTTCAAATCTCCCATGCCTCAAGTTTTTCATACCACGAGCGCATGCCACAAAGCAGTGGCTCCGCGATGCTTTGAAGTTGAAATGAGTTTCGAAACGGCGGGTGGCATGCGAATACCGTCCATTCAAAACAGTATATCTCAGCGGCGTATGGAGATATCAAAAAGATGTCAACTGAGAAAATGTGCACAACGTTATAATGAACACTTTATTAGTTGACAACTTCTTGGTATTTTCACTGGAACCTGAGATACATAGCTTTAGATGGAAGGGTACCGTTCTATTAGAAGTTGCCTGTTTCTATGTGTTCACATTTGTTGTATCACCAGGCTGTTGAGATTGCTCGTCGTCTATTACAGTCTTAGAGATCCCGGTAGCAAAAAAAGTGCCCAAACCTGCGCGACGAGTGCCTTATACAGCTGTCTCTGCAGATTCTTCGTGTACGACGATTCCCCCTCGTTCATCAGTGCGTTGATGCGTTGATAGCTCAGATAACCGTAATAACAGACGACGGAGAACGAAGTGCCCTGGAAGAACAACTGTTTCACAAAGATTTCGAGTCATGTTACCATCATTGCCGCGAAGATGACAACAGCACACATGCTGCTAGCCACCATCTCTTCCTTTCCGTTCTCAGTGGTTCTCCAGTAGAGCCCACACACAAAAGTGACATTTTCCATCGGAATGTGATAACTCTCTTCGATACTTTGTCTGTAATTCTATCTTTTTCTTTACTCTTAACTTGGTCCCTCACTTGAGATACTCGGTCGATTCCTCCGTTGGCGCCAGAAACCATCCGACTGTGAAGCCCCAGAGAATGCCGAAAAAGACGGGAACGGCCACCCAAATAACAAAATAACCACCGTGAAAGTAGGTCAAACGACCTTTTCTGGAAGAATTACAGTTTAGGATAACTTTTTTGATATATCAGTCAGTAACCTTTCCAAAGCAAAGTATCGAAAGAGGAAGTGGATGGCGAAAAAAGTGATGGTGACTCCGTAACAACCACAGAGGACACCTGGAATTACAGAAAACTATAGACAAAATTCAAATTGGGAATCAAATTCGTGTAGAATTCAGAAGAAAATTGTGGAACTACTGAGCCCAGAGCATCTAGACGTCATTAGAAGTCATTGAAGCCGTAAACTTACACAAAAGGAAATAGAGTACGGGAGGTGAGATGTTAGACTCTCTTCTGTCCGCCAACATTGCGAAACTCTTGCCGTACGAGTGCACGAACTGAAAAAGGGAACTGTTTCTGGGAGGTTATAAAACAATTCTTCTTCTATTGCACTTCAATCGTCTAGGGGACTACGTTTTTCGGAAATTAACATTTGGCCAAATGTTTCATCGGTGTTTTGTTTTGAACAAACTCTTCACGGAGTAAGGTTCGTTTATCTTGGATTGATAACTGATTAGAGAAATTGTCGAAGAATAGCAAACGTTTGAGGACGTTTCTAGACGTTTCCGAGCTGATCCCGAATCGAAATAATATCAGCTCTTACCGGTCCGACAATAACATCGATGATGGAAAAGAAGATGGCGAAACAGGAGAAATAAATCATCAGATATCGATAGTTTCCCATTTTTTTCGGCGATTTCGTGAGGATCAAATAGACGAGGAGACTGTTGAAACAGATCGAAAAACCGAATGAAATCCATTGGATTGCCGTCTTCAACTCCGGGTACGTCGTCATTTCTGCAATTATCTGAAAGTTTAAGGAAAAGAACGAGTATTGGAAGATTAGAAGAAGAAGAAGAAGAAGAAGAAGAAGAAGAAGAATAAGAAAAAGAAGAAGAAAAAGAAGAAGAAGAAAAAGAAGAAGAAAAAGAAGAAGAAGATTATAGGGCAGAAAAAAACGGGAATTATGTTATGTAAGTACAATAGAACGGGGTGGACTTTGTGAACTTGAGTTTGAGGGGGACCAGAGATTAAAGGTACATTACTCATGGGTGAGTAATAGTGAATAAACATTGATATAGATGAGGAAGTGAAAAAAACAGAAAGAGGTAATTGAGAAAAGAGCGGAAGACCGGAATACTCTCGCCAAACTGAGCTCAAGTGATCGAGCTGAAACAGAAACAGTAGGTCCAAATTTCATTTCCTTTGGCCTCTTGTCCTCGAAAAGTGATGTTCTTCATTTCGATTACACGAATGTTTACTACTGGGCTTCTATTTCCCATGATTCTCAAATTCTCAAAAAGCGTCGAACGTCACTACATCTAATAATCACTTTCGCAGGCACTCTCCCAACGAACGAACAACCAAAACGAAAATAAGTATGAGAATTGTGTGACTAGCACGGTCTCCAGAGCTGACAATATGGGCGTGGCGGCCTCGGCCAAATGGCGTTTTCATGAATTGACCAGGTTTTCTCTGATTTTTGTGGTCAACGGCGATGAAAAATGATTGTTCGACATGAAAACACACTAATTCTCAGAATTAATGACGTTTTGGCGCATTTTTCGCGGACTTTGCTTTTTCGCCTTCGCCGCCTAAAAAGCGCACTTCTCATTTTGCGCTTTCTTAACCGTTTTCAGACACAATTGGTTTTGAGATTGATAAATCACGTAAATACAAGCATTTTGAGCGCTCGAACCGCGAAAACTACCGAAAAACAACTGAAAATCACGCAGTTTTAGCCAAAAACCTTCAAACGGATAAATGTGATTTGCGACTTGACCTAATTTGACGCTCTTGTGCTTAAAAAATTCGTAATAGCCTATACAATCGGTCTATCGAGCGACAAATGAGAAATTATCGGTTTTTCGTGGCTAATCTGGCAAAAAAACACAAATTTTGCTGTTAAAATTTGAATTTCGCGCCAATGTATCGCTCTATTGGGCGGGGCGCACTTGCGCTCATTGTCAGCTCTTGAGACCGTGACTAGTGAATGCAATTTGATTTTTAATTTAAAGAAGCCGGGTGGTGGGCTATAGAAGTAGTAATGAAAAGAAAATATTGTCTGTTTCGGAATACAGTCATCACGATCTTCTTTTGGGCAACGTGATTAAATTAGTAAATACAGATTACTCAAAAAGTCCGATTCGATCCGAATAATCTTTCGGAAAAAGAGTCAGAAGTCAGAAGTCAGAATCATTTTTTTGTATTTGAAATTGTCTCTTTGGGAATCAGATGTCAACTGACGACGTCTTCTGATTTCAAGTCGAAGATCGAACCATAGGAAACCAAATACATCGGAATGAGAGAAGAGAAAGGAGAGTGCGTTCATTTCGAAATGAACGTCGAGGGAATATAATAATACATGCGGGCCAGAGCACGAATATCATCATTCTACTAGATACGTCAGCATGGCAATTGGAAGACACATTGACGTAATGATTTCGGAGTGAACTTGAATCCCTAAACACAGTTTCATGAAGATCTTGAGACAGCAAAGAGATTTATAGTCTCCAGCTGTTTCGTGTCTAACCTCGAAAATCACACATTTTCTACTGGACTTGTCACGGATTGACAATTTTCGAAGTAGTAGCTATAAAAGTCAGCAGGAACTTTGGGGGAATTTGTGATTGTCGGGTAGGAACCTTGACTGTTTCAAGATCAGCACGAAACTGAGAGTTGCACTTCAATTCGTTTGTCGTTGAATCTCTATTGAGAAACGAAAAGTAGATCAGTTTGTCTAGATTTGTATGAAAAAAGCTGTCGAAACGACGCATTCTCAACGCTAATGACATGTTTTTGTGTGTCTTGCGAGAAAAACTCAGAAATTTGCGGGTTCCCAGTCTAGAATGTGATTAAAATGGAAGAGCGGCTGCAAGAGGGCTAGTCGCGTGTATAAACTCAAATGACATTTGTTATACAGATTTCTAAACTCTATGAAACTGCAAAAACACGAAGGGAATCTGGGAATGTACGACATTTTCCTGTTTCATTGCCGTCTCTTGATCTGTACTTATGAACGAAGACGAAGGAACTGTTCGATATTGTGAGTAATCCGATTGGATCCCCGTCTTTGCCAGGATTTGTGGCCACGTTTGACTAGTCAACTCAAAATGATACTCGAAACCAAGTCATTCACAGTTTGGAATGATTGAAAATAGAAATTGGGTGTCAAAAATTAGAAAGGTCTCTAGTTTTTTCAGTACAGCGCTATATAGAAAGAATACTCAAGCAGTCGGAACATGAACATTTGATGTGAGTTTGAAACGGAAAAGTTGATGAGAAAAAGGTTGGGAATAATACTTTCGAACTTTAAAACTTTCAAGCTAAACCAATACGTTGAAGCGGAAAAAGCAGTTTGTGGTGGAATGACTCAAAACAATCCATTTTCTTCGTGGAATACAATATAATCGTACTTTTTGTGACGACGCAGCTTTTTATAGCTCAAAGATCTTCGAGATCTTGAGCACGAGATGTGATAGTTGGAGTGGAACAAAAATGGCGAAAAAAAAGAAGAGGGGTTCCGGTTCTATAACTTTTATTCGCAGATCATGAATATTATGATTAGCTGCAGTTGGAGACGTGTCGGGACACACTCGTCGCTTCGTCCGGCTCCGCGTTCACCCGATTCTTTGTGCTGCACACACCGAGCATATCTGCAAAAGCGACATTGGAGCCCGTCGATAGAGACCGAAAGAGAGAAACGAACCGAGAATAGCGTATCGATAGTTGTCGATGATGAAAATGATGGGAAGAGGGTCCAAAGCGGGGTACATTGCGTAGATGTACGTCACGATTTGGCCGATCGCCTCCCAATCGACTCCGATCAGCGGAAGTGTCAGGTAGAGACCGACGGGCACGAAAATGAAGAACATCGGGATCGAGGCCTGCAATCACTTTGGCTGAGTAGCGACCCAATAGCGTTGGCGGTGATACGGAGCTTTGGGTTCATCAAACTACTCACAAATAAAACATTTCGAGTTCAAACACGTCGGATAAGCTTTTATCGGAGAGCAGCAGTTATTGACTTCGTGCCATTATACAAAACAAAGTAAGTATGCAGAAACCGTAATAGTTCAGGGCTCTAATTTGGCTCTTCTAGTCTATGTATCTGCCTCAAAATCGTATCTGCATTTTCTAGGCCACGGCCACAACTTGTTCGGTTCTACAATAGTGTTGAGCCCATTTTGCTAACCTGAGCGACGAGCGCCTTGTACAGCTGTTTCTGCAGATTTTTCGTGAAAGAAGACTCTCCCTCGTAGATGAGTTTCCTGATCCGAGTGTAGCATTTGGACGCGAAATAGACGAGGATCGAGATGGAAATGGCCTGCAATTGGACAATGAAGGCGATTGAACTGAATACGGATAGGGATTGACTGGCACTAACCATAATAGTGAAGAGAATGGTCATTCCGATGAGTGCGAAACTGTTTGGAACCAATGTTCCGTGCTCATTCCGCACGTAATAGATTGCTCCGAGGTACGTCACTTCTTCCATATCTATTCCATAGTTCTCCTTTATTCGTTTTCTGAAAACATGTACTGTTTCAAGAGGTTATCAAATCTTCATACGGTCTTTGGTGTGAATCGGATATAGTGAAAAATTACCTGGCATACTCCATCGTAGTCTCATTCGGAGCACAAAAATAAACGGTGACCATTGTCCAAACGACACCGATAATACTCGTAATTATGAGCCACGCGGCCAGGTAACCGCCTTGGAAATACTTGAGTTTTCCCTTTCTAAATCATCAGTATTTGACCGTTTTTCCAGAAGTTACGAGTACCTTTCAAGTGCAAAATATCTGTAGATGAAGTGAATTGCGATTGTGGCCAGAATGCATCCGAAACAACCGCAAAGAGAGCCTAGAAATGGTTGCTAAGACCCCAAAAACCGGGAGAAAACTTACTGATAAGTGTGATTTCGCCCCAATATCCGAGAAAAGAGTTGTGAATGCGGGTGATCACTACGAATCCGGGTCCCGCCGACAGCATGTACTGCAAATCATACGGATGATAGCGTTTTGAAAGTCGAAAAGGCTCACCGGCTGAACGAGAATATCCAAAACGGAGAAAAAGATGGCGAAAATGCAGAAATAAATCATCAGATACTTGTAGGCCCCGAGCTTTTTCGGCGATTTCGTCAATATCAAGTAGATGAGAAGTGTGTTGGAAGCCAAGGAAGTCACGAACGAAACGGTCTGCACGATGCATTTCATCGAGTCGAAAGCGGTGTTCACCGGCTCCGTCATTGTCGGATAACTGAAGTGAAGGGATTAGAAGTGACGAGAGTCGTTTGGAAATGAGAAAAAGTGATGTGAGGAGGAGAGGACAAAGTACGGACAAGGTGGGATGGACCCAGCGGATCACCAGGGAATTCTGGTCGAGCTAACGCAATTTTTATGGTTTCTCAGCTATCCTAAATACATTTTGAAAATAAAACGCGTACAACTCAAATGTTTACTGGGCGCGGACATAATAATAATAATCACACATTTATTCTCTTCAGCCACCTAGGAATAAAATTAACAACAACAAAAAAAAGAAAGAAGAGAAAAAGAGGGGGAAGGAACAATGGCTTGACATGACCATTGGCCGGCAGTAGCCAGAGGTCAGTTAGAATACAAAAAGCTAGGGGGGATCTTCTCGATGCGCGCCGCGAAGGCCTCAGAGGACAGTCTTTCGGGAAACAACTTGGCCACTCGGTTCCAAAGGGCAAGATGGGTATGTAAGAAAGAGTCATGGGGTAGGCCAAGGGAGGATAGAAGGTACGGGTAACGGGGGGAGACGCCGGGTTTGAGGAATATGCTTAGGGAGGGGAAATGGTACTTGTGCGAGATTATGTTGTGGAATGTTCTGAGAATAAGAAGAACCCTTCTGTGGAATATCGATTTTGAATTAGATTGACTGAGACGGTCGCTATAGGAGGAGAACCGCATGTTACATCTTTGGAAGACTCTTCTACTCAAAAATCTAAGGGGAGACTCTAATTTGCTGGAGAGGGATGTCGATGAGGGATGGAAAAGTTCACAGCCGTACTCGAGAATGGGTCTGACGTAAACGTTGAAAAGTTTAAAGTAGAGACTGGGGTTCGAGGAGCGAAAGGCTTTCAGAATTTGTTAGCATTAACATACAGAGAAACAAAAGTTTTGCGTTTTAGCAGAAACGTATATGTCAAGACGGAAACCGGAAATGATACAGCGAGACTAATATAATCATTCTCGTCAGAAGTTTTGGTTGATCGTTTAGGATGCTATGAGTCCGGTAAGGAAATGAAGTCAAGAGAATTGTGATGATTGTGACTTCTTTTTTTTTGAAAACGACAATTTCAAACCGAAAACATGTTGTTGATTTAACAGAAAAACCAAAAAGTCAGAGCTGAAGAAGGAAAAGAAAAAGACACGTAGACTTCAGAATTTATTGTATCACGTGGCTAGCGAATTGGAAAATATGAGAAATTACTGTAGGAGCACGTTCTAATAGCTTACATCTTTCGGAATAATATAATATTCATAAACCTTGTGTTTGTTAAAAATTACTTGAGCACAGCTGTGCACAGTGCATTTTAACGTATATTTATATTCTGAAACTGGAATTTCCGGTTTATCTGCTTGTAATTTCGATGAAAACACGGTTAGAACAGAGTTTTTAGAGAAATCCTGTCTAGAATCATCCTCGAGACGTTTTTGAGCTCAAAAATTGATGAATCGGCAAGAATGTGAGTGAAAAAGGTCGAGAAAAGTGGAAAAATACAATATTCAGATCGGGAAACACAGAAATGAAGCGTCTACGAAAGAAGAAGTGCACTGAGCTCAAAAAAAGTGTGTCATACCCTAATCGGCAGCTTATTTTCAAACAAAAGAGGGCAACGAATGGATTGGGAAAACAAAAGTGCTCCGGATTTGTGGTTTCTCTTTTCTGGCGCCGAAAAAACAGAAAATCAAGAGAACAGGGCCGAAAATGAATGATCGTAATGGTATTGTCAAATAACTTATTAAATATACAAGTTGTGAATCAGAAAAACACACGTCTGACGAGTCTCGTTCATTTCCGGAACACGGGAACACAACTGGAAATGTACAATATCAAGACTTCTTCTGTTTCAGACATCTCATAAGACACATCGAACTACGCTTTGGCTACTTTCCTAAACTTTGATATTGTGAAACTTCAGTTCTAAAAACAGGGCTTTTAGCTCAAAAAACGTTCTTTAGAATCTGTTAAACTTTAGAATCTGTTGTTTTCATCGTCAGCACGAGTAGGTGGGATTCTGATTCTGAATGTACTTTTCTGCTCAAGCACACATAAACGGATTAGTCAGCTGGCACACATGACGAAGTTTCTTTTCTGACGTCATCAGACACCTTTCTGCTCAGAAGTTTGAGGCGGCATTAATGAGCATGCTATGCACAAATCAGAGCAAGGTTTTAATGAACACAACAAAAAAGTTATTGAAGAAGGGCTAAACGACGTCGGCGGAAGCGTCCACAGAGGCAGAAGATGTCATTTGATTGTGGGAAACTTTGGAGGATCGGTGGAAGAATCCTGAAAGAAAAAGAATCTGATTTGACTCGAATTTAGTCTGGAAATGGAGTTTTCGTGGACTATTTGATCTGGACATGTGCTAGACTTGCATTTTCTGCAACAATTTGAGATTTTCGGGATGGAAAACTGATAACCATGCGAAATGATTAGAGCGACCGAGTATTGTCCATTCAAAACTATGTATCTCAGCTGCCAGTGGAGATATCAAAAAGTTGTCAACTGATAAAGTGTACATAATGTTTCAAGAAATAATTTATCAGTTGACAACTTTTTGATAACGCTACTAGTAGCTGAGATATATCATTCTAAATGAACAGTATTGCTTTTTGGTAATTACTGTTTCCGAAAGTTCTTGAATTCAATCACTTCTTCTAAATTGTAATCACGCGGCGATGAAATCCTTAAAAAGCACGGTTTATCACCATTTTGGCGCGAAATTCGAAATTTAACCTCATTTTTCATGTTTTTCGTCAAAAATTACCCAAATTTTGTACGACTTCTACGATGTAATTGCATAATAACTTTGTTAAACTAATCATCGCGCACTTTTTGAGCTTAAAATGAGCAGGTTTCATTCAGAAATGAATCAATTGAATCGATTTTCAAGTTTTGTGCTGAAAATGCGCGAATTTCAGTCATTCGCCGATACTTTTTGCCGTTTGAACGCTTAAAATACTTGTATTAACGTGCTTAATCACTTCCGACACTCACTTCGTCTCAAAACTATCCACATCGGCCGGTATGAAAATTCCGAAATTGCGGCGGCGATTGGCCGCCGAGAGCGTATGGCGTTTTCACGAAAATTTCAATGTTTTCTCTCTTTAATGTCTCTTCTTTCGTCGATATCAACACACAAAAATATCGGAAAAGTGTGCTGGAATTGCGGCAATTTTCAGAAAATTTACGCGTCTCAGATTAGGCCACGCCCCTTTCTACAGTTTTGGTCGCCGTGCATGACATGAACTAACCCAAAAAACAGTTGCGATAGTCATCGATGAACAGAATGATGGGCAAAGGATCGACGGCCGGGTAGAGGGAGTAAAAGAAGGTAACCAGAAGACTGCCTTTCTCGATGTTCAAATGGAAAAGGGGCGCCGAGAAGAGGATTCCGATCGGGAAGAACAGAAATACCATCGGGATTATTGTCTGGAAAGTGATGCGATGTTATCATGGGATCATTTTTCTGCACTGTTCCCTGTCCGGTCGAGTTTTTAGTTGTTTTCACACTTAAAACGCTGCTCGCACGAATTGAACACAATTGCAAAGTTTATATATTTTTTAAATAAACTTCGAAGTGGGGCATTCACTTTCCCAAAATCCCGAATTACGAAAAAAATTCCCCGATTTTTTAGATTTTTTTCCAAAAAAGTTAATGGTACCGAGAGAAGTACAAGGCGAAATGGAAGAGCTGGCCTAGATTTTTCTAGTCCCCAGATGGAATTCCCCTTTCTTCCGATTTTTTTTCCGTTTTCGTGCAAATTTCTTAAATTTTCAATCGTTTTTTCACTGAACACACTTATTTACAATATTTGAAAAAATTTATGTTTTTTCTGTGAAAGAGATCGCTCAATCATTTCCTGAGTCTTAATTAAAGTTTGCGAGTTACAGAAAGTTATATTTTTCAAAGTAATGCGAAAAATCCAAAACTTCCCATTTTCGGTTTTACAAAAAGTGGCTGATTTTTTCTGAATTTTGTCTGAATTTTGAAAGTTTCAGATTATCGATTTTTTTGGCGTCACGGCACAGAAAAAACATAAATTTTTTAAAATATTGTAAATAAGTGTGTTCAATGAAAAACGGTTGAAAATTTAAGAAATTTGCACGAAAACAGAAAAAAATCGGAAGAAAGGGGAATTCCATCCGGGGACTAGAAAAATCTAGGCCAGCTCTTCCATTTCGCCGTGTACTTCTCTCGGTACCATTAACTTTTTTGAAAAAAAATCTTAAAAATCGGGGAATTTTTTTTGTAATTCGGGATTTTGGGAAAGTGAATGGCTCACTTCGAAGTTTATTTTAAAAATATGTTGTATATCACGTTGGACACATCTATAGCGAATTGAAAACAATTGGAAAATGGCAGGGAAGAAATGAAGTATGCGAAACGGTAATCTGATCAGAAAACTACCTGTGCGACGAGAGCTTTGTACAATTGCATCTGCAACCTTTTCGCGTAGTCCGATTCTCCCTGAAATATCAGTTTCCGCACGATTTTATAACTTCGCGAGCCGAAAATCAGGATGGTTATGAAGGGAATCGACTGGAAATCGTATTTTTCAGTTTCAACTATTGTACATCAACAAATACCATCAGGACATTGAGCCCAAGTGCTCCGAGTGAGTTCTTAAAGCTCCAAAAGACATTTCCACCCGAATCGGTCCGGTAGAAAAAGGCGCCGGTGTAGGTGATATTGTCGGCTTCCAAAGAATAGTTTTCCTTGATGCTCTCCCTGCAAATGACTCGTTTGTGCGTGTGCGTGAGCGTCGGGGACCTACCGTAAATACTCGGAGAACTGGAGATCCGGGTACATGAGCAGCCAGCACAAAAGAACCCAGGAGAGCCCTCCGAAGATCGGGATCAGGAACCAGACGGGCAGGAATTTGCCTTTGAAGTAACGGAGACGGCCTCTTCTGAACAACAAGGATATACGGTCCATTCAAAACGATGTATCTCAGCTGCCAATGGAGATATCAAAAAGTTGTCAACTGATAAAATGTACATAATATCTAAATGATCAATTTATCAGTTGACAACTTTTTGGCATTCCCACCGGCAGCTGAGTTACATCGTTTTTAATAAGAGGTAAGGGTGACTGACACGTCTAGCAATACAAATCCGATTTTTGAAACTTGGTCATTTCTAGAAGTTCAAAAGGAAAAGGTCTCTATTCAAAAGTACTGCTTGAAACGGAAACCTTTCGAAAGCGAAGAATCTGAAGATGAAATTGATGGCGATCGCGTAGATTGTGACTCCGAAACATCCGGCAAGCGACGCTGAACACTTTCATTCATTTGCAAAGATTTCTGGTTTTGAAAATTTAAAGCAAAGTGCCGGCCCAAGTTTTTTGAGGCCTGAACTATCAAAACACTGTAGACTTCTTACATATTGGACTTGGTTATTCCGAAGATGCTGTAATTGAAGAGCACCTAGGATATTGTCTATTAAAATGTTTGTATTTCAGCTGTCTGTGAAGATATCAAAAAGTTGTCAATTGATAAAATGTTCACAATATCTTTTTAAACAATTTACTAGTTGACGACTTTTTGATATCTCAACCGACAGCTGAGATATACCATCCTAAATGAAGTGTTTTCAGGTTGACCTTTTCGAGTCATCAATGTTCAAATCAGAACTCTTTCGGTAATCCTTGGTCACCAGACATGACGTCCGGACAAACAAGAAATACCCAGTTTCCATTGGTTTCTTGATTTTCCTCCGATCGTCTGCCTCAATAACTCACCAACCAGGAAGAATGCCGCGTCCTCCGGAATCCAACTGTCCCGCAAGTCCATGATCATCGAGAAACTGGCTCCGTAGCTGTGAATGTACTGAAACTCGCTCATAACTACCGTAATCCTTCCCCACTCCCTTTACCGGCTTCACAATCCAATCGTCAAGTGCGTAAATCATTGAGAACGTCGAGAAATAGCACATCAAATGCTTGTAGGTGCCCATCTTTTTCGGCGATTTCGTCGCAATCAAGTAGATAAGAATCGAGTTGAGAAAAAGGGAGAAAATGAGAGAAAACAGTTGGATCGACGACTTTAGAGCCGATAAAAACGACATTTCGGCTGGCGAAAAGCGGAAAATCTGGTTTTACTCTTTGATTTTATTCAATTTTCGGTTGAAAAATAAACGAAAAAAAAACGGATTAGGCGAAGAATTGAGGCAAATTGACGGGAAAAAAACGGTGATCCTTTTGGTTTTTCAAGGAATTTATTGGCTATGAATGTGCGCGAATCTGCCCGGGGTTTACTTGTTATTCAGTTTTTCGCTTTTTCACCACTTTTACGACCGGAAAACGAGGTAGTACACTGATTTCTGACCGAAATGTGATGTGCTTGAAATATGTGAAGTCGGTGAAGTGTAACTTTTGGTTGTTTGCTTGAAATGACTCAGAAACAAGGGCTTTTATGAAGAACTGAGCTTGTACTTGTCCGGTAACTCCATTTGTTACTAAAAAGTGAAAACAACAATAGTGGACACCAGAGGCAATGATCCCGATATTATTTTGTATCACCGCCAACGCCATTGGGTCGCTACTCAGCCAAAGTGATTGCAGGCCTCGATCCCGATGTTCTTCATTTTCGTGCCCGTCGGTCTCTACCTGACACTTCCGCTGATCGGAGTCGATTGGGAGGCGATCGGCCAAATCGTGACGTACATCTACGCAATGTACCCCGCTTTGGACCCTCTTCCCATCATTTTCATCATCGACAACTATCGCTACGCTATTCTCGGTTCGTTTCTCTCTTTCGGTCTCTATCGACGGGCTCCAATGTCGCTTTTTTTCCAGATATGCTCGGTGTGTGCAGCACAAAGAATCGGGTGAACGCGGAGCCGGACGAAGCGACGAGTGTGTCCCGACACGTCTCCAACTGCAGCTAATCATAATCTTCATGATCTGCGAATAAAAGTTATAGAACCGGAACCCCTCTTCTTTTTTTTCGCCATTTTTGTTCCACTCCAACTAACACATCTTGTGCTCAAGATCTCGAAGATCTTTGAGCTATAAAAAGCTGCGTCGTCACAAAAAGTACGATTATATTGTATTCCACGAAGAAAATTGATTGTTTTGAGTCATTCCACCACAAACTGCGTTTTTCCGCTTCAACGTGTTGGTTTAGCTTGAAAGTTTTAAAGTTCGAAACTCTTGTTCTGTTATGAATTATTTTCTGTATGTACGTGACCTTTTGACGTGGTTACTGAGTGTTCTCATAATCGAGAGTTCACTTTGGTGATACTCGTCAGTTCTTACTAGTTAATGGGGCTATTCAGACTGTGAAAAAAATGATTGTTTTCCGTTTTTTTCGTTTTTTTACGTCAAAAAATCCAATTCAGCGATGTAAAAAAACGAAAAAAACGGAAAACAAACATACGCTGAATAGCCCCATTAAAACCTGAAAAGAGATGTCCGAGCTACCTCAAAGAGTCGTCCCTACGGACCAGGGGTGTGCGGAAAATTTTTTTCGGAAAATTTCGGAAAATCGGTTTTTCCGAATTTTTTTTTTCGGAAAATTTCGGAAAATCGGGTTTTCCGAATTTTTTTTTCGGAAAATTTCGGAAAAATCGGAAAAATCGGAAAACTCACTTGTTCATTGGTTCAATAAAGTGTTTAAACAACGTTCTAATACAAAAAAATGCTTATTATGATTTGAAATCACTTGAGTGGGCGGAAGCCAAGCAATGGAATATTTTTTTGCAAAAAAATTAGCCGAGAGAAGCTCTCCGGGTCCAGTGTTTTCCGATTGTCAGTGAGAATCAGAGGTGTGCGGAAAATATTTCGATTTTCCGAAATTTTCCGATTTTCCGAGAAATGTTCGGAAAAAAGACGCTCGCTGCTAGACCCTTCCAAAAATTTTGTGATGCGCCTTTAAAAAGCATACGGTGGTTTCGGACAAATTGACCTTGAATCCACACTAATTTTCCGAAAATTTTGCCGAACATTTTCGGAAAATTTTCCGTCGGAAAAATTTCCGAAAATTTCTCGGAAAATCGGAAAATTTCGGAAAATCGAAATATTTTCCGCACACCCCTGCTACGGACACAACATTTTCCTAATCGTCTTCGTTCATAAGTACAGATCAAGAGACGGCAATGAAACCGGAAAATTTCGTACATTCCCAGATTTCCTTTGTTTTCGTTTGTGCAGTTTCATAGAGTTTAGAAATCTGTATAACAAATGTCATTTGAGTTTATACACGCGACTAGCCCTCTTGCAGCCGCTCTTCCATTTTAATCACATTCTAGACTGGGAACCCGCAAATTTCTGAGTTTTTCTCGCAAGACACACAAAAACATGTCATTAGCGTTGAGAACGCGTCGTTTCGAGAGCTTTTTTCATACAAATGTCGACAAACTGATCTACTTTTCGTTTCTTTTGAATATAATAGAAATTACAACAGCGAACGAATTGAAATGCAACTCTCAGACTCTTTTTTTGCAGATGTTGAAACAGTACCCGACAATCACAGATTCCCCCAAAGTTCCTGCTGACTTTTATAGCTACTACTTCGAAAATTGTCCATCCGTGACAAGTCCAGTAGAAAATGTGTGAACAAAAATTTAGCACCTCTCCTTCATGGAGCAAAATATTGTTTTGTGACATTTTTCAGAAAATTTATCAGTTTTCTGCTCGTCCTGAAAAACTTTAGCACTACATAGCCATGATTTTATTGCTGATTCTGAATCTAGACATTATTGTGCTTCGGCAAAAAAAAAAGTTCACCCCGATCCCGATTGACATCAAGGGATTTTTTGGCCGTAATTCACAAAATTCAGAGCACTTTTGCATGGAAAAATGTTCGCGAACTTGAGAAAAGTGCGTTTTCTCAATTTTCTAAGGGGTCTGATCGCGATATTTGTTGTTTTCATATGTTTTTAGGCATTCTCGAGTTTTTTGAAGCATTTCGAAAATTAATTTTTTCTCGAAAATTTTGTCTTGACCCCCGGGTCGACGTCTTGGTCTAATTTTTTAAAACTCTTTTTTTTTAATTCACAATAATGTCTAGATTCAGAATCAGCAATGAAATCATGGCAATGTAGTGTTAAAATTTTTCAGGACGAGCGGAAAACTGATAAATTTTCTGAAAAATGTCACAAAACAATATTTTTCTCCATGAAGGAGAGGTGCTAAATTTTTGGTGCCTTCATGAAAAATGCCTAAAAAGATGCGAGAAATCGAATGACGTTCAGTCTGAGACGATAGCATTTTTATGAAATTAGTTACAGTTTTGACCTATTTTGGGACTGTGATCGGACTAGGGACCACGGAGCCGGACCAACACTTGTCTGATGTATCACTGTTATGTAAGTACCCATTGGGTATAATATAGGACAAATTGAAGCATTCTGAATTTTTAGTGACCTGATGTAATTAGCGATTTAAAAAAAAATAGTGGAGATTTAAAAAAAATAGTGGAGATTTAAAAAAAATAGTAGAGATTCAAAAAAAAATATGGAAATTAAAAAAAAATAGTGGAGATTATATGGAGATTAAAAATAGTGGAGATTTTAAAAAAAATAGTGGAGATTTAAAAAAATGGTGGAGATTTTAAAAAAAATGGTGGAGATTCAAAAAAATGGTGGAGATTCAAAAAAATGGTGGAGATTTCAAAAAATGGTGGCGATTTAAAAAAATGGTGGAGATTTCAAAAAAAATGGTGGAGGTTTAAAAAAAATGGTGAATGCAAAAACTAGTAGAGAGACTAGGAACCAGAATACGAGAAAATGGCCCGTAAAGTATTTCAGACGGCCTTTTCTGGAAGAATCCGAGGTGAAGTAAAAAGAAGAGGAAAGGGGGCAAGAGGGTCTGGAAAACGTACGATTCTTTGTGATCAGTTGAACACAAATGAGTTGACTGTGACAGAAAATTTACAAAATAGTGTTTGCTGTAACTCAAATAGTGATTCCTTTAAAACGTCTTCAAACGCGCCCACCTGATATACTCTCTCGTCTTCTCATTTCTCCGATAATAGAACCAGAAGAGATGGAACCCGTTGAGACCGTCCCACAACGGAATCGCAAACCAGGCGACGAGAAAGTATTTCAGATTTCCTTTTCTGAAAGTCGATTCGTCGAAAGAATTTTGAGTGCAAAGTATCGAGCGATGAAATGGCGATGGCGATGAGGAACGGAGGGACGGCCCATAGGCGGCTTGAAAATGAGATATAACCCTCATTTCTGTTCTTTTTACAAATTTTTGTAATAGCAAAAGTTTGCTGTTTCATGTTTCATACTAGTAGATCTGAGTTGGCTTATTTGAATTTATGACGTTAATCTCACGGAACCCCAGCATTCCAATGCGCAAGCAAGTTGTCAATGGGGCGCGCTTGCATCCACCGTCGGCTCGGAGTTTCTTTTTTCAATTGAAACCCAGAATTCTTTCGTTTTTCTCTTAATAAACACTAAAATTTTGTTCTTTGCGAACCGTGGGGCGATTGTGTGAGTTAAAAGCATCGATTTAAGCGCGAAACGGAGCAGATTCGTTCAGAATTGACCAAATTGAGGGATTTTGTCGAAAACTACTGAAAAACCGGAGTTTTAACGATTATTTGCCGAATCGAGTTCGGACACTGGCATTCGAACCGTCCAGTCAACAAAGAGTTTATTGCGCATCTTTTAAGCGCTCAACCGTCGAAAAATATACAGAATTGAGATAATTGAGGCAAATTTTCGATTCCAACAGGAAAAAAATTCTGTAATTTTCACATAAAACGTTTCGAAATTGATGACAAAGCAGTTAAAATTTTATTTTTTATTCATTTCTAATCATTATCATAAGTTTTGACACTGATTGGTTCTGAAAAGATGGGAATAATGCAAAAAAAGGGAAAATTGAAATGAGAAACTCTACAACGACGCTCCGAAATTACGCGTTACGCGCCTTGTTTAGCGCACCTGAATTGCGCCAAGGGAATTTTTTATTGGAAGGCTGGGGTTAATCTTAGCAACTATATACACAAATTCATTTCCAGACACGGCGGCGAAATTGTGTAGTTTCAAAAAGGTTTATGTATACGAAAACAGTGAATTTTTCAGTAATTTCTAATCGAGAGATGCAGTCATCCGCGAAAAAGTGACCTATTAGTGATGAAGCGTTGATGAAACGGGTGGGCAAGAAGTACAGAATGTGTTAGAAAGTACGACTATTCCTCGAATCTCTTCCTTCTTCCACTCCACTTCCCGAATCGTGAACACGCCGAGATTTGCAGCACAACTCTGAAAATACACCGTTTTTAATGCTGACTTTTAGTTCGCCTTCTCCTCATTACTTCCGATAGCATTTCGATAGTTGTCGACGAAAAAGAGAGTGGGCAACGGGTCCAATGCGGGGTAAATGGCGTAGATGAATGTGATTGGAGCCGAGAGAAACTCGCAATCGACGAGAAACAACGGGCAGAGGAAGAGCATTGCGAAGGGAATGAAAATAAGGAGCACCGGGATCAGCGTCTGCAATTATTATCCGTCTCGATGATCGGAAACCTGACCCGACCTGAGCCACAAGTGCCTTGTAGAGCTGCATCTGCAAATTCCTCGAGTACTGCGACTCTCCCTGCTTCAAAAGTCCCCGGATCTTCGTCCAACTCTTGGCTCCGGCGATTATGAGCACAACGAACGGGATCCACATGGTCACGAGCAGATCTATGAGCCCGAATCCTGATTTCCAATTGAATTCCGTCTCTCCTCGCGTGTTTTGGATCCAGAAAACGGCGGCCGAGTAGGCGACTTGATCGATGGACAGATGGAAGACGTCACGGGTTATTGGACTGTAAGAAAAGAATAGAAAAGGGAGGGTAAAGGTTGAGTTGAAACTTCAAGTATTCCGATGCGGAAGGGTTCATCGAGAAGAAGTAATTGCAGATGAACGCCCAGTTGAGAGCACCGACGAGAGGAAGAAAGAGCCAGAGAACGAGGTAGGCGCCTTTGAAGTACCGTAATCGGCCTTGTCTGCAAACCGAGACTGGTAAACATACAAAAGTTCCAAAATGTTTGAGGAAAGATTTATTACTGTAGCACTAAACTCACTTCTGATCTTCTGTTTCCCAGTCTGCAATTATGTTTTCCAACAAACCTTTCAAGTGCAAAGTATCGATAGACGAAATGAACGGCAATTCCGTAAATGGTCACGCCACAACAAGCACATAACGCATCTGAAATCAATGTTTTCTGCTTTAGCCACCCAATTTGTTTACAAAGCAAAACCACGGCTAGCCACATGGGCAAACGTCGTGTTCGTAGATTCATAATAATGAAAAACGCACTTCCCCTGCTGTAGATCATCTGAAATTTGGACCCAATGCTTCGAGAGCCTCAAAAACACTTACTGGCTCGACGGCAATCTGGAGGACGGCGAAAACGATGGAGCAGCAGCAGAAATAGGTCATGAGATGGCGATAAGTGCCCATTTTACTCGGAGACTTGGTGGCGATCAGGTAGATGAGAAGCGAATTGAAGAGGATTGCGAGAATCGAGGAGAACAGTTCGATGAACGTTTTCAGCGCCTCTAAAGTCTCCGCGTTCATTTTGTCAATAGACTGGCCTGTCGATCGCTGTTATGTAGGCGGCGAGTGGTGAGCGAGCAGACCGGAAATTAGAGCTGTTTTCATTAAAGACCAGAATTCCACTACAAAGTGTATTGTTGACTGCTCGAAGGCTCATTCCACTTTGATCGGAATTTCCAAAATCGCTAGAAATTATTGTAGAAAGGGGCGTGGCCTAATCTGAAACGCGTAAATTTTCTGAAAATTGCCGCAATTCCAGCACACTTTTTCGATATTTTTGTGTTTGATATCGACGAAAGAAGAGACATTCAAGAGAGAAAACATTGAAATTTTCGTGAAAACGCCGCGTTTGAGACGTTTTTGGCTTCTTTCGCAATAAGAAGTGAGTGTCGGAAGTGATTAAGCACGTTAATACAAGTATTTTAAGCGTTCAAACGGGCAAAAAGTATCGGCGAATGACTGAAATTCGCGCATTTTCACCACAAAACTTGAAAATCGATTCAATTTATTCATTTCTGAATGAAACCTGCTCGTTTTAAGCTCAAAAAGTGCCGCGATGATTAGTTTAACAAAGTTGTGCAATTACATCGTCGAAATCGTACAAAATTTGGGTAATTTTTGACGAAAAACATGAAAAATGGGGTTAAATTTCGAATTTCGCGCCAAAATCGTGATAAACCGTACAGGCGCTAGGCCACGCCCCTTTCTACGTTTTTGGTCGCCGTGATTATGAACGATCTCTAATCGGAATTATCAACGATTGTTATTAATTATTGTTATTTATTCTATCTTCCTCTTGTTGAGCATTTGATAATAACAAAAGATTGATAAAGAATTCTATATCTTTTATCTTATCTGGGAGAATGTCTCACGCACGAAGACACCACGCAAGTCTTTAATTTTCAACGTTTCTTCTAGATCCAGAAGATCTAGATTAGTCAGAGACTTCCGACGACTAAAAATTTTTAAAACTCGTGTAACGCGACGACAATTCGCTTATTTTCAGCTTATTCGTCTAGTTCGTTTGTAAAAACTGAATGGCAAAAAAGGTTGAGCGTGCATGGGAGTCGAACTGCCATCCTATTCTGCATTGCAGATGTGGGGTGAGGTGTTACCTACTGCTCCACGCAGGCGCCCCATCCCTTGAAAGATTTTTCCCCTATCTACAACACAACGCGGCCTAGCAGAGCGGAGACAGCCAGACGGTGGGGGTGCGAGAGAGAGAGAGAGAGCGTGTCTCCTTGTGCAATGATGTCGTGTTTCCCTCTTCTCCACATGCGAGTCTCTTTTGTGATCTTCGTTTTAGATACTATGAGCCTTCATCATTGATGAGTGATATAGTGATAGACCGTGATTGATTACGAAACGGACGCAAACTTGTTAGAGCATTTCGGTAACTGTCGACAAAGTAAAGGCCTCTGGAACCAGACAGAGATGCAGTAGCTGAACAGATTGACGTTTGAACAAGATTCATGCGTTCGGAAGCACGTTCTACGGCGACGGTTTCTTGGGCGGCACTCGTTCGGCGGACGGCTGAAACTGTATCACATTCATTGTGAGCGCCGCTCGTCTTCTGCTCACCTCCGTGAAGCTCTTCCCGTCGGTCTTCGGAATCGCGGGCACCTCGTCGAAAGTGTCGTCGCTGTGGTCGTTCACCTCTCCCTCTTTCAGCCGATTTCTCCGCTTCCGCGCCGTCGTCTCCTTCGCCGAGTTGGCCGCCGATTTGAGCGTTTCCGGCTGTGTCAGATCCAACTTTACCTCCTCCTCCTTTTGTGGCGCTCTTATGTACTCGGACTTTTTCGCCGTGATCATCTTCTTCTTTTCTGAACATTTACGATTATGGGGTGCTCGCGAGGATTGTCAGTTCACCCAAATGCTCCGGAATCGGCGGCGTCGGCGATGACTTTGCTTTGGGAGTTCCTGCTGGTTTGCCTTTTGCCGACGGCGCCGCCGTTTTCGGTGTTTTGACCGGGATTTCCACTTTTTTGGGTGTTTCCGAAGTCTTTGCGGGCGATGGGACCACTGGGATCACTGCCGGAGGTACGGTGGGTTTGGGGACGGGCGACTTGTGAGAAGACGGGCGGTGCTCTGGCGGCGGCTTTCTGTGGCGCGGCTCCGGTTGTCGTTCCGTGCTATCCGTTCGAGATTTCGACGTTGTCGAGGCGCTCTGAACACGAATTCGATAGGGACCACGATTGGCAACTTGCCAGACTCGTCGCATGATTTCTACTCGACGCTTTCTTGGCACATCCGGAAAGAGATGGAAATATTAGAAGAATTATAAACAAGAGACTTGAGAGAAGTATCATTGACCTGCAAAAAAAAGGAATGTTTGGGGGAAGAAGAAGAAGAAGAGGGACTTACCGGTGCCGGAAGGTCCGTTGTGAAATAATGCGATTTTCATGCAAACTGACTATGAGACGATGCTAAAAACGTGACCAGACACTTGGTTAGTTGGATTGGTTAATGTGGTGATGGAACTGAAAAATAATCAATTGAGAAACACTGGAAATGGGATCGAACAAAGAGAAGGAATGGATGGACGATTGTCTGCAGAGACTCGAAAGTAACTTATATTATCCGTTTACTTTTTTCCCTCCTCACTTTTCAGCCCTCTCCCACAGCAAATCCAAATCGATCGTCGACATAATGAGCGGTCACGAGATCATCGCAATCCTACGGCTCGTCGAAAAGTCGTTCATGGACGAGTGCAATCTGATCGAAGTGGAGGCGCCCATCAAAATAATCGGAGACATTCACGCGCAGTGGCACGACCTCGACCGTCTGTTCGAAGTGATCGGAAGAGTGCCAGAGCAGAAGATGATGTTTTTGGGGAACTATGTGGACATGGGCGGCCAGGGAATCGAGGTGACCGTCACGCTCTTCTGCTTGAAGATCCGCCATCCGCGCAAGATGTTTCTGCTGCGAGGCAACCATGAGATACCCGAAGTGAACAAGGTCTATGGGTTCTATTCGGAGTGCGAGACCAAGTACGGAGCGGGTCTCTGGTGGGACTTCCAGTCCGTCTTCAACCGCATTCCCATGGCCGGTCTCGTCTCGAAGAGGGTGCTTTGCGTGCACGGAGGCCTCTCTCCCTTCCTCCGTTCGCTCGATGACATCCGCAACATTCCTCGTCCGTGTGAACCTCAGAACAGGGGGCTCGTCACGGATCTCTTGTGGTCCGACCCGACGAATCGAGGAGACGGATGGTTTTATTCGGTTAGAGGTACGGATGGTCGAATAACGATACAACACAATTGATCGTTTGCAGGTATTAGCTACATGTTCGGCAAGGCGATCGTCGAAAATGCGTGCAAAACGCTCAAAGTTTCGCTGATTATCCGATCGCATATGGTCGTGCAGAATGGATACGAAGTGATGAGCGGAAGGAAACTGATCACGGTCTTTTCGATGCCCAACTTCCTGGGACTCGTCAGCAACTCGGCGGCGGTGCTCCACTTGAATGCGCGGCTCGAAGTGTTCCACCAGATCATCCATCCGTCCGTACATCCTCCCCATCCATCGCATCTTCGAGAAGCTTCTCCACTCGCTCGAGATCTCGATCCTCACATTGCTTTTGCCGATCAATTGACTGTGAGAGCACTGGAAACCGCATCGAAAACTTAAAGTCTAGTATATAAATTGAACAAAGTCACGGTATTCGATTGATTAAATGCATTTATTTCTTGAGACTCATCATAATAAAGGCTACTATTTATACATTGAGATGGACCGATGGATTTCTGAAAAAAAGGGTCAAACCTTTACTTATATTGGCATGTTCATTGGGAGATTCGAAGAGTATTCAGGGCATTTTGATCCCAAACTGAAGAGGAATGTTCGCATTCCGGAGCAGAGTAGTTGGAGCTCGAATTAGATTGATCCAAAGATTCCAGTGAGACATCCGAACCCGATTTGTCTTCAGTCAAAGCCGAATGCTCTGGATCTTTGGACTTTGGTGGCTGTACGTCGTCCGATTCCGATTCATCCAAAGCAATCGGATCGACGTGTCTGATCCGCTCAATTTCTCGAATATACCATTCTTCGTGCATCCAGGAAAAGTCCGGAGCATCGAAATTCGACGGATTCTTGAGACGATCGTACTCGTCGCGGGTGAAGAACGTTCCGTTCACAAGGCCATCGATTGGTGCATCGGCCGAAGACGAATTGTCGGAGAACCAAGAATCCGAGTTGGTGGGGCACATTTTGGAGTGAGACGGAATGGAATGAGGGAGGAAACCGGAAGGAATCCTCGTGGGCGGAGCACTGCGAAGGTGCGAACGGCCCCTCCGGCGGTAAGCGTTTTTACAATCACAAGCAGAGTTGGGTGTAAAGGTGCGAACGGTGAGGTGCGACTTTCGGGGACCACTTCTTGCAGGCATTCATCGACCATGAACTTCGATTCAGAGAACAAACAACGCAAAAAACCAGACTTGCTAGTTTCACTGGCACCGACTTTTATGAACAGCTGAAAGTTGGTTCCAGTGTTGCGATCTTTCGCTGTCACTTTCGAACAAAGTTAGAGCTGTCGGGCCGCCGGAAAACAACGCAGTTTTTGCAAAAAACCGTCGGTACATTTGCAAAACGCGAATGCCTGCTGCTGGAATCGAACCAGCGTCGCCACGGCCACAACGTGGAGTACTAACCACTATACTAAGCAGGCCAAGAAATGGGCCGGCGCCAGGGAGTTGATATTGCCGATGTATCACTGCGGGGGGAGGCGCCCGCATCTTGCGTTACACGGAGAAATGGAAAAAATGCGATAGTTTTCTGGAATTTCAGCTATCTCAAAAGCGTTCATGTTTTCAGATCATTGTTTCTAAATATGCAAGGAACATTTTTGAAAATAATGTAGACAATATGCTTTGTTTCCCATGTTCGAATGAACTAGAAAAGAAAAGACGTGTACAATTTGTGATTTTCTCAAAAATTAATGGCAAAGTACGTCGAACGTGGAATTTTTATGATGTGGATTGAAAGGTTCTCGCCGAAAAGTTGCGTTTGCGGCCGCCGACTCCCCCGTTTCTATCGGTTTTGTCATCGCCATTGGCACCGAGTCACGCCGGCGATCTCGTGGTGTAGTGGTTATCACATCTGTCTAACACACAGAAGGCCGGCGGTTCGAGCCCGCCCGAGATCAAACTCTTTTTTTTTCATAAAAAGTCATAAAATGTAATGTTCCCATCGTTCGAATGTAGAAATTTATGAGATTCGGTGCATATAAATGCAATTTTCCCCATTTCTTTCCCAAAATGTCTTCGTCAATTCCCGTACATTTGCCTCAACTCGATCGTTATTTGATCGACGTCATGAAAGAATTCAAACGAATGTGGGGACCGCCCAACTATACGAAAGTGCTCAATGATCACGATTCGGTTAGTTTGGGAGCATATACTGCTTTTATTTCAATCAATTATCAATTTTTATTCAGATGCTCGTCAAAGTGATAACTCAGAACATAAATGCCACGTTCGAATGCAATTTCGGCGCAGATCAGATATTCGGGCGGTGGAATACTTTGAAGGAGATGTTCTACACGGAATACGATCGGAACGGACGCTCCATTCGCAACTATCACGGCCCGTTCGTTCCGTTCTTCAATTTGATGACGTGGCTCGTCGTGGACACCTGAATATTGAACATTTCGGTTTCATTTGGTACACAATAAATCGCTAACCTTCAAATCTGTGCATTTCCCGAATTCTCGGTTGTGCTCACTTCTTCATTCGTATTCGAAACCTTGTTCCGTTTGCACCAATCCAATTTGAGCATTGCTAGAAACAATGGAACGTTTCCAATTCCATGAAGATCTGTCACTCACAAACAGTTGCCTTTCGGTAGTCGTCGACGATGAAAATGATGGGAATCGGCTCGATTGCCGGGTAAACGGCGTAGGTGATTGTGGTGAGTTTGCTGAGGAATTCGACGTTCAGGTAGAGAAGCGGGGCGGAGATGAAGATTCCGACGGGAACGAACATTAGGACGGTCGGGATGCATGCCTGCAAATAGCCGCTTCGGTGCGCTCTATTCGAAACGATGTATCTCAGCCGCCAATGAAGATATCAAAAAGTTGTCAACTAATGACTTATTCATCAAGACATTTTGTACATTTCATCAGTTGACAACTTTTTGATAACTTCACAAACCGCTGAGATACATTGTCTTGAACACATGGTATCGCGGTGTCCTTCTACTTGTTGTTCGGACCCACCTGAACGACGAGTGCCTTGTACAACTGTTTCTGCAGATTCCTCGTGTACCTCGATCGGCCCTCTTTCATCAAATTCTTGATTTTACAATAGCTTCTCGAGCCACAGTAGATTAGAATCGAGAAGGAAACTGACTGAAATCGAAGTTGCAATTGTCGGATTCGTCGCTAACACTAGATTCGGATAAAAGCATCTTGATTTCAAGTTTCAGACCGATTATTCACTCGTAGGATAATCCACCACGTAACTTATGGCGCCTTATGAGGATTATCGGTCTGAAACTTGGACCCTACGATACCGCGGTCAGGAAAAGATCAACGAATCCGAGTGCGACGGTCCAGTCCAATTTCGGAGTTCCCGAAGCATCCGGCGGGTAGAAATAGGCGCCCATGTACACTTGATCGTCGATTAGGAGGCCATAGTTCTCGAAGACGCTTTTTCTGAAAGACGTTTGGAACTACTGTTGAAAAAGAAAAGGTTGGACATTGGAATGGAAGCTGGCAGCGTGCCAAGGCCCGGCCTCCCAAACGCATATGCTGCGCGCGATTGTTGCAACATTGCCGCACGCTTTATTGTTCTTCGTCTTTGTCTTTATTTTTCGGCTAAAAATCAGCAGAAACTTTGGTTTTTCCCATTTTTCACCCATATTTATTCATTTCAATCGTCTTTTGCTATTAAACTTCAACTTTGAAAACAGATTTATCGATTTTTAGCTTGAATTTTCGAACATTTCTCGATTTCTGTTTTTCTCCTTTCGATTTCGCTGAATTTGAGAATTTTCAGGATTTCCACCTTCGGAGAAGTCGAACAAGCAACAAAAGGACATTGATTTCTTCTTTTCGGGTTAGTTTTTGACGTAACAATAATTTTCTCTCCGATCAACGTTTACAGACCGTCTTCTCCCACGGGGTCGTCATGGGTACATCGAAAACTAAAATTTGAACTTCCGCCGACGGTCGATTGCGTAGCGCCCCTATCTTAAAGCATTAGGCCAAAGCAAAATTTTTGAAAATTTCAGTAGAGCGCACTTGCGCCAGTGTACCCCGCCACGACTCCGTGTTCTCCACTCCACCGTCAGCACACAACGCTATACAAAAACTTGTCGTATTAGTTTGAAGAGGAACGAAGATATTTTCTCTCCGACCGTTTTTTCAAAGTCCGTGGACGCTTCAATCCGGAAAAAAGGAGAGGAAAATTGAATACCACTGATACTAAAATTCTTACACTTGTCATGTCATTTAATTTATTTGAAAACGTAATAAATACATCTAAAATAATTGTTATTAGTGCCAATTCATCCAACGGGAGGCGGAGTGGAGTCTGTAAACGTTGATCGGAGAGAAAATTATTGTTACGTCAAAAACTAACACGAAAAGAAGAAATCCATGCCCTTTTGTTGCTTGTTCGAGTTTTCCGTAGGTGGAAATCCTGAAAATTCTCAAATTCAGCGAAATCGAAGGGAGAAAAACACAAAATCGAGAAATGTTCGAAAATTCAAGCTAAAAATCGATAAATCTGTTTTCAAAGTTGATTTTTAAAAGCAAAAGACGATTGAAATGAATAAATACGGGTAAAAAATGGAAAAACCCGAAGTTTCTGCTGATTTTTAGCCGAAAAATAAAGACAAAGACGAAGAACAATAAAGCGTGCGGCAATGTTGCAACAATCGCGCGCAGCATATGCGTTTGGGAGGGGCACGCTGCCAGCTTCCATTCCAATGTCGAACCTTTTTTTCTTAACAGCTGAACCAATGTTTAAAATTTAAAAGATATATATCGTATCTATGAAGCAGATAGAAATTTTACATTTCCCCACCGTTTCAGTTTCAAATAGCCCCACAAATTGCCTGTTTTCCTTGTACACCACATATTCCATCTAGTCACATCCCAAGTGCACATTCATTACTCACCTCACATAATCTGAAAAGTGCTCGTTGGGAGCAAACACTAAAACGGACAATAGCGTGTGATTGGCGCCGACGAAAACGGGAATGGAGAACCAAAACGGAAGGTACTTGCGGTCAAAGTAACGTAATTTGCCGCGTCTGAAAAAAGGGCGATCCGTCAGCGATTCCAAGTATCGTTACCTTTCAAGAGCAAACAATCTGAACACGAAATGGATGGAAATCAGGGCGATCGTGAAGCCGAAGCAGCCAGTCAAAAAGCCTAAATTCGGGAGAAAATGAAGAAATTTGGAGGCTTTTGGGACTTACAAATAAGGAAAAATGCAATTTTAGGGTTGATGAGCGAGTTGGGCGCCAATCGCATGATCACTAGGAAACTGCAGCCGTGCGTGTGGGCGTACTGAAACGAAACCTGTATATCTCCGCCGTCTGGGAAGATATCAAAAAGTTGTCAACTAACAAAATGATCAGCATAAAATTGTGTACATTTTACTAGTTGACAACTTTTTTTCATCTCTACCGGGAGCCGAGATACAACTCACCGGCTGCACAACATTCTCCAAACACGTGAAAAATATGGCAAAAAGAGCAAAGTAAATCATGAGATACTTGTAAGTTCCCATCTTTTTCGGCGATTTTGTCTTGACCAGGAAAATCAAAAGAGAGTTGAAGAGGAGGGCGAAGAAAAGCGAGCATAGTTGGAGGGAGGTCTTGAGCATCGGGTACGTGTCCGGCTTCATTTCGAACGGGCGAAACAGTGCCTGGAAATCTCAAGAGTGCATTTCTGAACGTGACTTCATGAATTCCATGAACAAATCAGGTGTCACGCCGACTTTTATATCGAAAACGCTATGAATTGGGGCAATTCCGAGAGCAGGCGGTTACCTGGAAATTGGGGTGTCTTTTCAAACCGGTGTATCTCAGTTGTCCGTGAAGATATCAAAAAGTGGTCAACTAATCAAATGTATAGAATTTGTTGATGATCATTTTGTTAGTTGACATTTTTTTGATATCTCATAGCACAACTGAGATATGGCGTCTAGAAGGCACAGTATTCTATTTTGTCAAGTTCGAACACCAACTCTTCAAAAATCATTCATTAATTCAGAAAAACGGAAATAATTACACGGTATGCATCATAAATTACCCATTGAAATCACATTATTATTCAGAAGTTTCAGATTAGAAATAGAGAACCGAGCGAATTGGAGCCTAAACCGGTGCCTAGGTAACCAAAAAAAAAGGGAAAGCAAATTTGAGGGGGGAAAAATGCGGAAAGGAGGGGGGGGATTGGATGGAACTCGAAGGATCACAGTCGTTCTATGATCACGTCTGGCTGCTCGACCTGTAGGAAATTTCACTTTTTTTTTTGGGTGTCTTTTTTTGACTGAAAGCAGAGGAAATTGAAGCACAAACGGAAAGCACTCACTCACAGCACAATGAGAGAAAAACGAAAAACGAAACGAGATCGATTGGAGAATTGAAAGGATTACGGTAGAAAAGGGGGCGGGGCAAAGAGAAAAGGTTTGAACTTTCTATTGGTTACAGTTAGTTCAGTCGGTAGAGCGAATTCACTCAACTGTGCCGAAACTATTACAGATTTTTGAAACTGTTACCTTCCAAGCGATGTATCTCAGCTGCGGGTAGAGATATCGAAAAGTTTTCAACTGATAAAATGTGCAAAATTGTGTAATAAACATTTTATCAGTTGACAAGTTTTTGCTATCTCTACTGGGAGCTGAGATATAACTCTTTTTTGTCCCGGACCCCTTTGACAATCAGATCACACTATCACTATCACTAAACTACATAAATTAGAAACAAATAAATACACACAACAAAATGACTGAGGGAAAAAAGTGGGCGGAGTCTGCGTCTTCGGCTATACCTGTGTCTCCCGAGACATGACCCGATTGCGTAGGAGGCGTCCGTCTCCACGCAGCACGGTCCCTTGAAGTGGCGACGGTTTCACGTACGACGGACGGTTTTCGTGGTGGGACCTGCGAGAATGAAGAGCACACGATGAGATTACGGTAGAAGTGGTGGTGGTTACGGTCACAATATTGTTGTTATTGTTCTAAGGGAACATGCAATAGAAGTCTCGAGATGATGACTCACCAATCTTCAGTATTTACATTCAACGTGTGAGGCACCACGTTTTGAGCCCGAGCGCCCATTGGAAGGTGCATTGCGGGAATTCCGGACGCTCCTTGACCGTCCTGCAAAGAACTGGGTTGGCGTAGAAAGAGGGATAATTCAAGAAATACCCCCCACCAGTACAAAAAAGGTGGACAACAAATTTTTAAAATAAACTTCGAAGTGAGCCATTCACTTTCCCAAAATCCCGAATTACGAAAAAAAATCCCCGATTTTTAAGATTTTTTTTTTCAAAAAAGTTAATGATACCGAGAGAAGTACACGACGAAATGGAAGAGCTGGCCTAGATTTTTCTAGTCCCCCGATGGAATTCCCCTTTCTTCCGATTTTTTTCCGTTTTCGTGCAAATTTCTAAAAAAATTCACTCGTTTTTTCACTGAACACACTTATTTGCAATATTTGAAGAAATGTATGTTTTTTCTGTGCCGTGACGCCAAAAAAATCGATAATCAGAAACGTTCAAAATTCAGCAAAATTCAGAAAAAATCAGCCACTTTTTGTAAAACCGAAAATATGAAGTTTTGGATTTTTCGCATTTCTTTGAAAAATAGAACTTTCTGTAACTCGAAAATTTTAAATAAGACTCAGGAAATGATTGAGCGATCTTTTTCTATTTACTTTTCAGCGCACAAACCGAAGATTGAGCGAAAAACCCCGGAAAAGAACTAGGTATTCTCAAAGGAAAGCCACCTAGAAAAAGAAAAAAAAATCTTTCCTTATAAAATGAATGTTACAGTTTAGTGAGGGATTTGATAGGGACACCATGAAACGGGGGGATCTTCTAACAACACAGTTCTGAAGATTTATCAAATTTTTAGAAAAAATCAGTTGAAAACTGCAGTTTCACAAGCAAGTCATGATGATGTCGCTTCTAGAAGCTATGGTAGGTATGTTTTCAAGAGTAAGCACAGAAATGTAGTACATTATTTCTCACAAACACCCCGTTTGGTGCCATATTTCGGTCTTCAAAGCACTTCTAGTGAACATTGTTGACAAAAAGTGGGCATATCTCGAGAAGGAAACATTTTTGAATGAAATCATCAACAGCGAAGTTGTTCAGTACAAAATTTCCAACAAATTTCTTGTTGAAAGCTTTTTGAAATAACCATTGGTTTTCGAGATACACGCCTCAGAGCGTATGGTACTTTTTCCTAAACTTTCCGCTTCAAAATGCTCCTATTCACTTGTCTCTCTTTATTTTCTGTTATTCTAATGCAAGCACTCACATCGGGCACCGAAGAGATGAGCATCGGCTGGCTGTCATCGGACGGATGGATCTTGGCCGACGAGCCCCTTCCGCGGATGTTCTCCACGTTTTTGAACAGTTTTCCCTTGAGAATGAGCTCTCCGAAGCCTTGCGAGTGCGAGAACGCGTAGCCACTGCGCAGAGATCCACGCACACTCCGTCGAGTCGCCGCCGTTCTCTTGAACGCTTGTCTGCAAATTTGACGAGTGTGAGAAACGCCCCACCATAAAATAGTCAGTAGTAACGTACTTTTTGTCCTCCTTATGCGACGGTTTCTTGCCCATCTTCCGTCGAACGCGGAGGCGATCGGCAAACGACGGATGTGTGTCGAGCCAGAAGAATCGGTTGAGCATGACTGGAAGGAGGAGCACGACGACGACCATCAGAAGCGAGAACCAGAAGTGGGGCGTGACCATCGTTCGGTAGACGACTCCGTACGAGATCGACGAGGAGGTCTTGACGATCCACGAGACCGGCAGCCATTCGTAGAGGAGGAAGACGACGAGAAAGTACAGAACTAGGGATCCCCAGATGACAAAGTGCGAGATGGCGGTCCAGTAGGCCGTGTCGAAGGCGATCTGTCCGGTGACGACGACGATCAACGCGGTGAAAGTGGTGAATGCCAGCGACGAGTAGTCGTCGAGATCCTTTCCGGAAGAGGCGGCCGAACTGTAGAACGCGCCGTACGGAATGAAGAAGATCACGAGCGAACTGAACATTCCGTGAAGGACCGAGTAGATGAAGATGCGCATGTTGAAGAAGATGTTGTACTGCCCGGGCAGGTACAATTTCGGATAGCGCAGCGAGTAGTGATCGTCGACGTCCTGGTCCAACGAGCCCATCGCGAGAACGGGCAGAGCGGTGAAGAAGAGGTTGTAGCAGGCGATGAGGATGGCGTCGAAGACCGTCTGCGCCGAGTAGCCGCAGAAGAACGAGTACCAGAAGTTGGTGAGGGTGAACGCGAAGTTTTTGTAGAAGAAGTAGCGCAGGAACTTGGCCATTCGGATGTACGACCAGCGGCCGTGCACGAGCAGCAGGCGTTCGAGGTACTTGAACTGGCCGATCGAGTAGTCCGACGCCAGCACCGCTTGCATTCCTTCCTGACCTGCAAATTACACGCTTGTCGCTCTTTTCACCTCTCTTCATATTGAGCAGACAGAATGTGTGCCGAACTAAACGCAAAAATTCACAGTTTGATGAAACCGTACTCCTCAAACATTAGATCGTGAGGGCTCAGCGTACTCACGCAAACCGTACTCTTCTTACCCGATATTCCCACTCCGATGTGAGCCGTCTTGATCATGCTCACGTCGTTGGCTCCGTCGCCGATCGACAACGTCACCGCCTTCTTGTTGCGTTTCACCAAATCGACGACTTGCGCCTTCTGAAGCGGAGTGACACGACAACAGATCACCGCCTGAACGATTAGTCTCGATGAGCTTAAAGCGGGATGATGACTCACATTGCACATGCAGGCGACCTCGAGAAACGTGCGTTCGAGTCTGGCTCCAAGAGCAAACGCGAGCGAATCTCCGTTGATGACGAGTGCCACACCTCCGCCGTTGTCATTCTCGGCCATTTCGGCGCCTTTCAAATCGGGCGTCACTATGTTCCCTACAAGTTTACGACTATTTTTGTCCTTTGGTAATCCTCGACTCACTGTCCATACTCCTGGCCGAAATGATCTCCGACTCTTCGTGAATCGTTTCGATCTCGATCCGTGGCTTTCCTCCATCGGATGTGGGCTAAAAGTTTGAAGTGAACTGATCAGACATTTTCGAATGTTTGTTGTTTTAGTTAAAAGTATTATACGCCCCCGTTCAACTGAATAACATGCTCTCTCAAACCCGTTTCTCGGCGGCTTCTAACAGACGGATTATCTCGTTTATGTACTCATCCACTTCTGGCGAACGATGAAATTCCCGTGGCACATTCTTCTTCTTGTTCGTCTTCTGACAACACACAACGGACGGTTTTTACTGTTTCTCGAGACTACATTTGTTCCTAATTCTTCAAAACTTTCGGACGCCATCCAAATGGTCACCTAACCGCCTAACTAACCGCATTGAGAATCTGCTCGAACGTGTTGCGGGTGTCCTTCAACTGAACTTCAACTTCCGGTTCCGTTTGCCCGTCGACCACCACAATTTCCTTGGTGTCGTCGGTCAGGAGACGGCACGAGTACGCAATGTTTATTGCGGTTTCCTGAAACAATGCGATGCCGGATTAGCAGAAAACAAAGACATTAAGATGGTGTTATCAACTTTTTGAAACAGCAGTTTTTGCAATGTATCTCCAGAAATCGGACACACAGAGATGTGCTCTGCTTCAAAATATTGGAAAATGTGTTTTTGTGCATTTTTAACTTTACTCCATTCCTGCTATAACCGTACCGTTTTGTCTCCCGTGAGCACCCAAATCTTGATGTTCGCCTCGGCCAGTCTCGCAATTGCCTCCGGAACGCCGTCTTGCAGTTTGTCTTCGATCGCTGTCGCTCCAATCAGAGTCATGTCTGGATAGAGTGTGTTTAGGTCGGATCTCTTATTCGTTTCACGCCTTACCCTTCTCGATCTCCTCGTAAACCTCGTCGAGCTTGGCCTCCCGATCGACCATCGCCACTTGAGCCTCATTTTGACGCTTCTGAAATGCTCAGAATTCGAAAACGTGTTCAGAAATAAGTGCATACAATCCAGTCCGCATAATAGTTCGTATCGATGTCTTTGTAGGCCAGACAGAGCGTTCGGAGGCCGATGTTCGCGAAATCGGACAAATGGGTGGTGGTGGAGTCGCGGAAGATCGGTGAGGTCGACGGCTGAAAAAAGAATTGGATAGATAATATCTTCTCCGAGTACGCACCTTGATCCTCTGCATGACCATCATATCGGCGCCCTTGCAGTACAGGCGGATCTTGCCGGCCTGGTCCCTCACGACCACCGACATCCGCTTCCGTTCGTTGTTAAAGTCGAGAATGCACAGCAACTCGTACACCTCCTCCTTTCCCATTACTTCGATCGTAATGCTCTGCGGAGTTCTCGCGCGGAATACGTAGCCAAAGTTGCGGGCGGCGGATGTGAGAGCGGCCTCGTCGGGCGACTGTGCCTGGTAGACCAGTTGGCCCTTGTCCCTTTCGGGCATCACAGTGTGGCACAGGGCCAGGAGGCGCCAGAAGTCGTCCACTTCGGGCACTCGCCGCCGTGTCGCATCCAGGAGGTTCGAGTCGTAGAACTTGAAATTCGCCTCGGAGGAGGAGTTCCACGAGAAGTCGAGCGACGGAGTTTTCTGAAAAGACAAAGTTTCATTGACTGTGAGAGAACGAATTGGTATGTGCGTTTCTTGAAACAGAAAACGTTCACTATTAACCACAACTCACGTCGGTCGGTTCGATGGCCTCTCCTTTTCGATCAAAAACGTCTCCGTACGAGATTCCGTTGATTGTGCACTGAAAAAACACACACTTGTTTTCCTATTCTCGCTCATTTCCGACCAATACACCGTCTCCAGAGCTGACAATGGGCGCGCAAGTGCGCCCTGCCCAATAGAGCGATACATTGGCGCGAAATTCAAATTTTAACAGTAAAATTTGTGTTTTTTGCCAGAATAGCCACGAAGAACCGATAATTTCTCATTTGTCTTTCGATAGACCGATAGTATTGGCTATTATGAATTTTTTAAGCGCAACAGCGTTAAATTTGGTCAAGTCGCAAATCAAATTTATCCGTTTGAAGGTTTTTGGCTAAAACTGCGTGAATTTCAGTTGCTTTTCGGTAGTTTTCGCGGTTCGAGCGCTCAAAATGATTGTATTTACGTGATTTATCATTCTCAAAACCAATTCTGTCTGAAAACGGTCAAGAAAGCGCAAAATGAGAAGTGCGGTTTTTAGGCGGCGAAGGCAAAAAAGCAAAGTCCGCGAAAAATGCGCCAAAACGTCATTAATTCTGCGAATTAGTGTGTTTTCAAGTCGAACAATCATTTTTCATCGCATTTGACCACAAAAATCAGAGAAAACCTGCTCAATTCATGAAAACGCCATTTGGCCGAGGCCGCCACGCCGTGTAATACCTTATTGAAAGTCATGATATTCCTGGTCAACGTGCCGGTTTTGTCGCTGAACACGTACTGCACCTGAAATCCGTTCCATTTCAACTAGATTCGCGTCGCGTTCGCTGCCAAACCTGTCCCAATTCCTCGTTGAGCGTCGTCGTGTGTGCTCTCGCGGGCACACTTTTCTCTCCGTTCTCGTAGTACATCTGACGGTCGTAGTTGATCCACATCGAATGAATGAATCGGATGATTTCGACGGAAACGTACAGGGAAATCGGCACGACCGTGTTCAGGAGGATGATGTAGGAGAAGAATTGGAGGAAGGCGATGAGGGCCACTTGACGGCCGCCTGAAAAGTGACATTTGACAGTCGGAAATGGGGGAAAACAAGGGGAGACTGGTAATTTCAGAAGAGAATAAGGCCGTCTTGGAAAGGTGCAAAACATCTCGAAGCGAAATAAAACGAGCAGAACGAAAAGACGGATAGGCTTACATTATATTACGTTTTTGAAACAGTTAATGTCTGTAACTAGTCGATACCGATGTTGGCGGAATCCAAAGCCCAAAAGAAGAGTCAGTTCGAGCCATTGCAGTACAAACCTCTCTGTTCGGGACTCGGAACGACGTCGTCCCACGGCAAGTAGACGGTGAAGTAACGTCCGGTCTGGTACTCCCAAACGGCGCAGAGAATGGTGCAAATGAGGCACATGGCGATGAGGAAGAGCACGATTCCGACGATGAGAATGTTGAGGAATCGATCGAGCGAGGTCCGTTTGAACTTGGTCTTTCCGCTGTTCATCATCAGTTTCGTGTCTTTTCCGGCGAACACCACCACTCCGTAGCACCTGGAAATTTGGAATCAATCCGATTTTTTTTGAAACCGAAACATGTTTCACACTTTCCCTCAAACATGTTTGAAGTTTTCAAAGCTAACCATCTCGTGTTCTTGAGAATGCATCCTCTCAGCAGAATATTGTCGTTCGTGATGCCCGTCTCCTTGTTCTTCCAGATCAGCTTTCCAGTGAACTTGTCGAGTTTGTTGTTCGGCGGCTCGCACACTACTTCTCCTGAAAACCGTCTGTTTCGGGACATAATTCGTTTAAAACAAGTTCGGTTTCAGAGAGTTCATGAATGAATTGAATGAATGTTAAGTTAGTACGTGGCCAATGTGAGTTTTGGTGTATGACAACAGATTCCTTCTTTAAATTGTGTTTCGAAAAGTGTCTCATTAATAGTGGTGATCTTACTAGTTTCCCCTGTTTCAGAAAGCTGTGAAATAGTGAATGAATCAAAGGAGTGACAGTGGCAGTGGGTAGAAGAATGTCTTTTTTTGAAAATCCCCAAACGAACCGTCAAACCGCGTGATCTCATCCAGATCGTCGCCCATTTGTGCCGTGTCCGTCATTGCGCCTCTCGTTTTCAAATTCGTTTCACCGTCCAATTCCATCGTTTCGATGTAGCACATTCCGTGCGGTTCTGACGTGGAAATGAGCAGGAGATCCGCCTGAAAATAATGGATTTTAATGTTTCCCAGACAATTCCATTGCAAGTACGCTTTCTCAAACTAATTCCGTTTCATCAACACTTTGAATAATGCGGAAAGGTTCACAAAAACTGACCGCGACAAACTGATTGCTCATCATTCGAATCACGTCGCCCACTTTCACATTGCTCCATTCCTCGGGACACAAAGTGCCGTTCCGGACGACGTACGACTTGCGCGTGTTCACATTCCTATCCGATATGTGTCTTTGCTGAAATGCTCTTCACTGTTTCTCTAGTTGCCCGTCTCAGCGAACTCACCACATCGTCATATCCGTCTTTAATGGCTGAGAATGCGAGTACTATGACCAGAGGCACCGCCGTCGAATACCACGAAATCGACGAGATTTGTGGCACGAACTGTAACAAGCAGACGGTTTTTTAACTAAAAAGTAAGGTGAGAACTTACTTGTAAAATCATTAAAATTAGGAAATAAAAGTTGGCTATCCGTTGAAATTGTTCGAAAAGATTCTGAGGCACGAATGTGATTATGTTGTATTTGGACGTCTTGATCAGGTTGTCCTGCAAAACAAAAAACGGTAGTTGATGGATGAAATTCACTGTTTCGCGAGCATTCGTTCACTTCAAACACTTTTTTCCGACTCGTTGCGGCGTTTTGACAAATTAACAAAGTTGATATGTACGTACCGCGTATCGGAACTGTGCATTGTACTCCCTATCGTTGGCCCGCAGTCTCCGTTCCGTCGGCGCATTCCTCTCCTTTTCGGAAGTGCTCGAACAGCACGGCAGCCAGCTGAACATCCCTCCGCCGCCGCCTCCGCCTTTCTTCGATTCTGTCGCCGCCGCCGCCGCTTTTTCTTCTGCAAAAACAATCATTTTCGGTTTCAGATCGATCATTTTGTCTCGTTTCGAATTCGGTTCGTTGATTTAGGAGTTTTAACGGTCTCCAGAGCTGACAATGGGCGCAAGTGCGCCCCGCCCAATAGAGCGATACATTGGCGCGAAATTCAAATTTTAACAGCAAAATGTGTGTTTTTTCGCCAGATTAGCCACGAAAAACCGATAATTTCTCATTTGTCTTTCGATAGACCGATTGTATAGGCTATTACGAATTTTTTAAGCGCAAGAGCGTTAAATTTGGTCAAGTCGCAAATCACATTTATCCGTTTGAAGGTTTTTGGCTAAAACTGCGTGAATTTCAATTGCTTTTCGGTAGTTTTCGCGGTTCGAACGCTCAAAATGCTTGTATTTACGTGATTTATCATTCTCAAAACCAATTCGGCGCGAACTGAAACGAGTTTGCAATCGAAGTTGAGCAAACCAGTGTCAGCAAGTGCGCTCTACCGCACTTTTGGCGGGAAATGCATTTTTGTCACGATTGAGGCCGAAAATGCTAGAAAGCTAACATTTCCGGTGTTTTCCATCCATTCGGAACGCGAAAATCATGTAGAAATGCACTTTTTCAGCGGAAAATTGTGAAAGAAGTTTTCTGTTTCATTTTTGTCATTTCTTGGGACCTTTCAATGAATTTCAGTTACGGAAAGCTCAGAAGCTCACTTTTTCGATAGTTTTTTCAATTATGAAAGAACTGAAACTCACCGATCGGTTTGTCGTTGTACGCCTGTTGTGGCGGCACGTAGACCGGAGCAACTGGCGCTGAAATCACTCAAATATTTGATAGTGAACTAGTTGCAGTGTCCCCCGTCCTAAAAGTCCATAAATGTCACAAAACACGGTACACATGGACACACTTTGGAGCAGAAAAAGAAAAAGAAGAAGAAGAAGAGTGACTAATACGTTTTTGTGCGTCAAAACGGGGCCTGATAGTGACGGAGAGGGGAGGAGGAAAGGAAAACGGGTGAATCACTGATAAAAAAACGGACGAAAACCAAGTGTTTTCGATGGAAAAACTGAGAAAATGCAACAAAAAGTCGAGAAGCATTTTGGGAGCACGAGAGCGCGACCACTACCCGAAAGACAGAGCTCAGAGAACTTTTAAAAATTGTGAAACACAAGACAAACGTTTGAGAGAGTACGGGCCGGCCCGACGCTTTCTTTATCAGTCGAGTGGAAAGTGTGTAGCATGGAAACGATTTTGGGAAAATAATGACCCATTTGTGATTGCTGACTCATTAGGTGGTCTTTGGTCCGATTATGATAATGGCAATATCCAACAAAACAAGAGGCATTACGGTCGTAGAAACCACACGTTTACTTCCGATAACTTTGAAACAGAAAACTATCTGTATTTAGGAAAAACCGGACACTTTTTCGGTTTCACAACTCTCACTTCACTTTATGTACGTCTTCGGAAGTGATGGTCGTTTTTCTCTGCCGAAAAATTCATTTTGCACGGCGAACTGGTCGAGTTGGAAGAAAAGCGGAAAAGTTCGAGTGAATTTTTGGAACGGTTTTCTTCTTTTCGCGATTACATAAATAATGCTTCAAGAAGACTCATGGTGATGTTGAAACTGAAGTAGTTTAGAAAAGCAAGGTCCTAGAAGTTCGGGACCGAATTCTCTCAAAATTAGGAGTTTAACCAAACCTAGGGGAGCACTTTAAAGAACAACAATAACAAAGTTCGAGTGTGATGAAACGAGTATGAAACGGCGAAAGAAGGCCGCGCAAATGGTATATTTGGCGGAGAGAGCGTCAATTTGCATAAGCGGAGCGGATTATCAGGTGAAGGGGGGACTGTTTCCGATCCGAACAAGCCTTCACAATGCCGAATGGAAAAATTCGACGAAAATGATATGAGATTGAAGCGCGAAAACGATGGAGAGTCCCACGAAACAATCAAAAGTGGGCATTCAATATCAATTTCTTCACGAAAACGTTCTTCTCTGTCAACATACAAATATTGTCGACTTCTGTGGCCGAGAATTGTCAACACAGACCACAGATTCTACAAAATGTTTGAAAAATCATAACTAAATTCAAAAAAATGCCACAAACCCCCACGAGCGCTTAAAATAACGGAAATCAACTGGAGTACATGGGAAAAATCGATAATTTTAGTTTTATGGAATTTGTACGGACAATACGGGGCGATACAGTTGTGCCGAACTAATGTTCGTTGTGAAACTGTGATTAAGAAAAAGTGGCGAGTGAGGTGAGTCACCCGAAAAAGAGCCAAAACGAAGGAAGGAAGGGGGGCGAACTTAATACCCTGTGACTCATTTCTTTCGGAATAAATAACGAAAAAAGTAAGAGGAAGTGATGGGGGAAAGTTCTGTAAAAGTTCTCCAGTGGAACTGACGATTCAACCGGAAAAATAGGGTGAGCTTCAGAAATTCGATTTCTCAACAACATCAAAACCAAGTGCATTCAGTGAAACAGAATCCACGTGGCACGCACTCACCTCTCCGAACTTTCGGTCCGTTCGGCCCCAGAATATAGCCGTAATCATCCAATACTTTCGGTTTCACTCTAATCTCCGCCTTTTTCAGTGCTTTGTTTTTGCGATTCTTGGGGACTTTCGAAACTTTTGAACGCTTCGCCTTCTTCGATTTCTCCGTTTTCGGTTCTCCAATCGGACGAACTTTCTTCGATTTCCGCACTTTTTTGGGCATTTTTAGGCGGAAATTCGGGGCGGAAATGGAGGATTGCCGAAAAAGAGAGAAACGTTTCGGGCGGGCAGGCGGGGAGATTTGCTAGGATACGGACGAACGTGACGGAATGTGGATGGGACACGAGAGAGTGACGTGGCTTTTTTGCGAGCCGAAGAAGTACGCTTGAGCTTTGATTTTTGTAGAAAAGTAGAAAAGAAATGTATGTCGCGCATTCTCCCGTTTCCAAAAGTTTTCATAATCTCTTTCATAAGTTTTCATAAGTTTTCATATTCTCGTTAAAAAATAAAACGTAAATAATTAATAATAGTAATAATAATAATAATAATAATTGAAAAGTCGTTGAAACTGACATTTATGCTCATTTTTGACCACGTTCTGATTGGTTTAGGACTCGAGAGTGTTCAGTGAAAGTTTGAGCTCTTTTTCGCGAAATATGGGGCACATATCTGTGTTTTGCAGTTTCAGCGATAGCATTTTTTGAATGCCAACGACTTCTTCAACCCGATGATTTCCACATTTTCGAGATAGTGCATACCACGGCGACCAAAAGTGTAGAAAGGGGCGTGGCCTAGTCTGAGACGCGTTTTCTGAAAATTGCCGAAATTTCAGCACTTTTCCGATATATTTGCGTTTGATATCGACGAAAGAAGAGACATTACAGAGAGAAAACATGGAAATTTTCGTGAAAACGCCGCGTTTGAGACGTTTTTGGCATCATTCGCAATAGGCCCTCCGCCGCAATTTCGGAATTTTCATACCGGCCGATGTGGATAGTTTTGAGACGAAGTGAGTGTCGGAAGTGATTAAGCACGTTAATACAAGTATTTTAAGCGTTCAAACGGCAAAAAAGTATTGGCGAATGACTGAAATTCGCGCATTTTCAGCACAAAACTTGAAAATCGATTCAATTGATTCATTTCTGAATGAAACCTGCTCGTTTTAAGCTCAAAAAGTGCCGCGATGATTAGTTTAACAAAGTTATTATGCAATTACATCGTCGAAATCGTACAAAATTCGGGTAATTTTTGACGAAAAACATGAAAAATGGGGTTAAATTTCGAATTTCGCGCCAAAATGGTGACAAACCGTGCACGCGTTAGGCCACGCCCCTTTCTACGTTTTTGGTCGCCGTGCATACTGACATCATAGCGACTTAATTAAATTAGGAAAAGATTTGAATTAGGAATTAAATTAGGAAAAGATTTGAAAAGACCAGATGAAACAGCAAGTTCTCATTTTCAATCTGGAATACTTTGAAGATACCTAATCGATCAAGATCAATAAATACTTTTCTGAAGATTTAGTGGAAATAATTTCGTCTCGATCAGTGACACAAACACTTTGCATAGTTGGAAAGGAGTTGAAACTGAAAATGGAAGTGAAAAATGCAAGATTAGCTATCGGATCGGGCTCTAACTTTGTACGATTATCGGTTTTTCTACCATGCACAGCGTAGCCCGGAGCGAGAAACGGAAAACATGCAAAAAGAGTTGGAGCAGTTATTATAGGGTCATTTCTCTGCTTCTCACTGGGAAACTTTCTCAACAGAGCGTGATTGCAGTGAAACGTCCGCATATTAATTAGAATTCGTTGAAAATTAGCGAGTGTGGTATAGCGAAACTTTTAAAAAGATTGGATGAAACGGTATTCCTCGTTTCCCTTTTGCCATCTGTTCAAACTTGGCGCCGCTCGGATACAGTAATCCCGCACAAAGTCATGTGCTCAGTCATCGGAATGCAAATAAACGAGAGTTCATGGAAGAAGAGTCGAATTCAAAGCGAACTTGCAAGGGACATAAATGGAACCATAAACACATGTAATTCTCTATGAAGCGACGATGTATCTCAGGTGTCTGTGGAGATATCAAAACGTTGTCAACTGATAAAATGTGCAGAATATCTTAACGAGCAATTTGCTAGTTGACAACTTTTTGATATCTCAATTGGCAGCTGAGATGCATCGTTTTGAATGGACGTTATTTCAACAATGCTCTTCCATTACGGTACAAATCAAAAAGTCAGATAGGTGGCAGATGGAAGTGAGTCAGACAGTCCTCGGTCGGTCGAATTGGCCCGGACGGCGGGTTTTCAAATGTTTGCCAAGTGGTAAAACTCGCCCTCCGATCTCTCTGTTCACAGTCCAATCGCTCTGTGGACTCTCTTTTCCCTCCTCCGTCTCTCCTCGCTTTTCGCGGGTCATTTTGAGGCTGAATTTTGGCGTCTGATACACGTATCTCTACAAATAAATTCGAGAGATTCTCAATTAGCCAAGGAATAGGAGAAACCGTAAGTTATGGTAGGGAACAACAAATTTTCGCAAAAACCAACTCGCTCAACTTGGAAAAATCATAACTAACTTCAAAAAAATGCTCCAGACCCCCACGAGCGCTTAAAATGACGAAAATCATCTGGAGATTATAGAAAAAATACGAAAAATTTGGTAACCGCACACGATGCCGTTCTTTTGTAGGCTCAACTGTAAACATCGGGAAAGGCGGCGGGAGATTAAAGTGTTTAGTGGCTTTTTAGTAAGTTTTTCGCATTTTCCAACAGTTCAAAGGAGGAGAAGCCAAATTTAGTTAAAAAAGATAATAGTTTTCTCTGTTACAGTAACCCGCTACTATCATTCAGTACTTCTGCGAGAACTCTTGAAAGGCGAACCGATAAATCGAACAATATCCATGCACAAAAAGCAATAAAATAATAATAATAATAGGTGTACACACACACAAACACACACACAAAAACATTGGCATCACATACCCATATCGGCTCTTTTTGTGTTTGCTCAGCCGATTCTCTCTCTCTTTCTCTTTCTCTTTCTTTCTTTCTCCTTTTATGCCATCGTGTTGGGGCGCCGACAATATGAGCCAAAGGATTTCGAGTCGATTCGGATGAATCCCGCGGGAATCAGTCTGCAAATTTAAAGTTTTATGGCGGTTTTTGGCAAATTAACGATACGGATGGGAAAAGTCAAGTGGAGACGGTGAAACGGAGAGGTTTGGAAGGATGGGAGACATTGAAATCATAAAAACATGGAAATTAGCGGGAAATACCAAGGGCAGCTCATTTTTTTAGGGGTTTCCGGCTTCAATGGACACTTTGTAAGGACGAGAAGAGGTCTGTTAAACTTGATGAAACGGTAACTATTTCAGTTTCTCGAAAGAATTTTCTCGTTGATTGTTTCAAAATCTTCATTAATTTGTATTGCCGTCTAACAAATTATGACTGTGTGGAACTGGTATCCAAAAGCGTAACTGTAACAAATAAATTGGGAAAAGTGAAAACAGTTTTGTCTGTTACAATACGTTTTTAAAAGTGAAATCGAACAGTTGAACGGAGTAATCAATCCGAAACGAGTCGAAATGAATGAAAAGTGTCGATTGAGCGTACAAATGCTCGCAGTACACTCGTGCTAAACCAGGAAATCGGAAGCGAACCGTCCGACATGAACCTCTTGACGCAAAAACGAGAGAGCGGAGGGTGCGGAGGCGGAGAGATGAAGTTGACAAACAATTGGAACCGAAAAGGCAAAAGGTATCCGATTCGGGGGGGCCGGATTTATGTTTCAAACCGAACAAATAAAGTGTAGGAGTAATTTGAAGATAATTTTAGAAATAAACACGATAAAAAAATCTAATGTGTACACGTTGATTTTGGAAACCACAGCCACGCCTACATATAAATAATTATTATATTATATAATTAATATATTGTGCGATTCTCGAAATTTGCCTCAAATGTGAAACAGTCAAATTAAATGGTTACGGAGAATTGAGTGTAACTATTTTTTTTTCAAAGAAATCCGAGGATAAGTGATGAGTTGGAAACGGGAAACTTTAAATTTAGTCACAAACTACAAAAAGAGCCCCACTTTCATTCATTTTTTGACCAGAAATGTCAATTATTTCAATTTCCTATCAGATGCGCGAACTAGGATTTCCAACATGTGTCAAAGTGATTGAAACTCTAACGGACCGTCATGAAACAGCCAAGTTTTTGAGTGGAAAAGGTTTCGAGTTTCGAAACATCATCCAAAGTCACAAAAATGGAGCACAAAGGGTGGCACGCAAAAAATGAGTGGTTTGGTTTTGGCAAAAGAGAGTCAACAATCGGGAGTCCGACACAGATCAAACAAGTTCGGCGGCGATGATGGAATTGAGAACCAACGGGGGAGGGGGCGGGGCACATTTTTGTGTTTCTGGTGGAATTGAAACGCCCAAGATGATGAAAATTTGAGAGGATTCACAAGATACAAATGTGAAGAATTTGATTGCGAAAGTGGCAAGTTCAAGGGTGTGTGTCTCAGCTGTGGGTAGAGATATCAAAAAGTCGTCAACTGATGAAATGTACAAAATTTCCTAATAAACATTTTATCAGTTAAGAACTTTTCGATATCTCTACGGACAGCTGAGATATAACGGTTTGAATAAACGCGCTCTCTCAAATCGGTAAACTCGATCGGTTTTACATAAAAGAGCTGGATTGTGTTTCATGAAATGCTAAAGAATATGTGTGGACCTTTTTCCTTACTAATTAAACATTTCCAGTAAAACGCTCTCTTTTCAATATATATTCTAGACAAGATAGGGCGTTTTCTCGCTCGAAAATAGAACTTCCATTCCTTCTTTTATACTCTTTTTTTTTTCTATAGAAAACAGGCCAATTTTGGTTGGTGAGTGACATGTGGCCGAATTGATTGCGTTCCCCCTCGTTTCCTCGTTTTTTTCCGAAGAGAACGGAGAGAAAGAACTATGAGCTTTTTCAGCGAAAAACAATGGGAAAAGGAGGAAAACAGGTGAAGTTGCCAATTTCCGGAAAGGATGATTTCAAAAAACGGGGGGATAGCAATTCTATGCAATGACAAAATGTGAAAGTGCAATATTATAGAGCAATGCTGTTTCAGAAGTGCATGAAATCAATGTCACTGCAAATGAGAGTTGTTCTGTTTCAAAAGCTTTCTAAACATGACCTGAAAGTGCGCGATTCTGAAAATAAACTGCACTTTGTCAGTTTCGGACAACCAACTAATGCAACCGGAAAGAAATAGTGACATTAGGGGGGCCAATCGATAAAGCTCCCAAAAAAGAGCAAGTTGAAACAGAACATATCGAATTTCCGTTTGTTTGTCGAACTCATGCGTTTTATTCCTTTGTTAACCTAGTAGAGCAATACAAAATAATGTGGAAAATGAGTTGAGGAACTGATGAAACAGTATAAAAAGTGTTGTTGCGTCTCTAGTCACCCTCAGACCCCCTAATTAGTTTTCCGTTGCCGTTTCCGCCAAGTCAGCTGCATTATTTATCACTTCTTTGTGTCCTTTTTTCAGCATCTATGTCTAGTTAAAGGTTTTCCAGAGAGAAACTCTGATAGACAAGTGAAACGGGAACTTTTTGAGTGATAATCCAACAGACGGCGACGAGCGTGTGCTGCTCAATGTGAAGAGAAATGTGTGAAACAGAAACTGAAAAAAGCAGCCGGGTTTCCATCAGAATTCGTGATGAAGCACAAATCACATAAAGCTCCGATACGTTTATTTCTTACTAATTGGATTAAAAGTTACGAGAGAAATATTTGAGAACATTGTGAAACTGGAAAAGAAAGATGTGAAAAAAAACTATCATAAACTTCTTGGAACACACATTCCTTACAACTTTTACTGTTACCTAGTGTCCTGATCACTTTCAAAAACGTTTCGAACTCCAAAACACACCAAAAAAGTAACGAAAAAGTCGTAAAAGCGCGTCACGCTTCTCTTTTTTCGGCCGGCTCTCAGTTGCTATGGAGCCGCTGGGAAGGGCTTCGCGAGCCCGACAAAAAAGCGAAACACGGGGGGTGTACAATGGGAAAAAAGAGGGAAAAAGAGAGAGAGAGAGAGAGAGAGAGAGAGAGAGAGAGAGAGAGAGACTGATTATAATTATCTTTTTCGCCGCTACTTTTACTCTTTTGGCGGCCAATTGCGAAATAAATGCTCGAGGCTGTAAAGCAAGCGCTGTTTTTCGACAGAAATTATTGAATTGAAAAGGCGCAGAGATCTCTGGTTGTGGGAACGTTTTCTGGTCCCTGAGAGGGTCTATCTTCAGAACTTTGTAAAAAAACAAAAGAGCTGGGCATCAGAAATGGACCTCTTTCGCGAAAAATGTTAGTGTTCTGAAACGGCAAAATTTTTTTCAAAGTGCACAAGTTTCAGGTCATGTTCGGAAGATTCGCGAATTATACGAAACACAGTGAGCCGCGCGCGTGAGTTCTTTTCCGCGCGGATAAATAAACGAAGGAGTTTGCATGGGCTCTGTTTGAGCACTCGCACGAACTTTTGTCAAATTTCGGGGAGGGGGGCGGCGGAAAACTTTGAAGTGAGAAGAAGAAGAAGAAGAAGAAGAAGAAGAAGAAGAAGAAGAACGTCACAAACAGAAGGGGTAAGCTGTTGGAAATGGAATTCCGCCAACTGGCCTAATGGACCAAACAATTCGGCGCTTCCAACGACACGGGGACCGTTCAGGACCATCCGTGTTCTCCGGATACCTCACCGCCGACTGTCACCAGCACACTCTTCTGTCCAATCTTTCCGAGCATCGTTCCTTTTTTTGTCTTCCCACCCTCTCGCGTACGGTCGTTTTAAAGGCGCATCTTATATTTTGTCGCATCGCTGCGAGACCCGTTTGACCTACAGACCACTGGTCCAATTGTTTTGCCGATGCGAACACACTTTCAGACTCCCGGACCCCCTCGAAATCATGATTTTGGTAAGTGGGATGAAGAAACAAAAGTGTTAACTGTTGGAAAACAAAACCCAACTTGTAAAAGCTTCGAGAACAGTTTGAAACTGTGAATGACTGTCTTCAAAAACGTGTGACTCGTCAGTGTTGAACCACAAACCACGGGACGGGCGGGATCAGCTGTTTGTTGAGTGACAAGTTACATAAATGCAACTGTTTGTGTGCCGCCGACACTCGAGACACTCTTTTCGAGCGGGCTCAAACTAATAATAGTTGTAGCCTGAGCGAGCAACAAATGGCAAACAAATCAGCGAACGGGGAGATTGAAATCGCGCTCTGCCGCTAAATTTGTTCGAAAATTATGAGAATAGACACCAAAAATCAAGAAAATTATTTGATATTGTCGACATCTAGTAACTGTAAACTTGCTGGCCCTTCAAAGTTTCTTCAGAACGGGCACCCTAATATTTGTTCATTCAAAGCAGTGTATCTCGGCTGTCGGTAGAGATATCAAAAAGTTGCCAATTGATTAAACGTACATCACGTCCTCCTCTGCAATTTATCAGTTGTCAACTTTTTGTAATCTCTACCGACAGCTGAGATATACAGTCTAGAATGAACAGTAATATGGTGCACTTCTATTACAGTATGTACGGCCACGTTTTGCCACGGCCCAACGTGCTCTCTTTCCTTCGATTCCCTTCACTTTATTTCACAAGAAACGTGCGAAAACGACAGAAAAGCAGTTGACACGATGATTACAGAAGATGTAGCGCTGTCGAAGAACCTACAGGTCTGACAGTATCCCCACAGTAACCTTATTTTCGTCTCCTTTCAGGTTAACGTCAACGGAAGACTGACAGATTTGATGGTTTTGCGCGGAAATCAAATTCCGGAGGAGCTGCAATCGATGGTGACTGCCAGTTACGAGTTCAGAAAGGACAAGGACCAGAAGGTGTGTCGGGACACCATTCCATTGCAAGTGTACCGCCTCTGTTCTGTTTCAGAACTAGCTGAAACAGTCTTCGGTCTTGCTTAACTAATAGTAGCGTTTTTTCAATTTCTAACTGCCCTCGGCTCCGTTCATAACATTCACGACACTCAGAGCCTCGGACTGACGCACCGCCTCGGAATGGTGATCCGCGTGGCGTACACGAGTCCGTTCAAAGGACTCCTTCTGCCGGGAGACCTGATTCTGAAGGTGAACGGCACCGAGATGGCCTTCGAAGAACGGTGTGCGGAGGAAAAGACCGCCGCGCCGAGCACGCAGAACAGCAAAATGAAGAAGCCCGTCGCGCCGGTTACGTCGTGAGTTTTATGTGTCAAGAACCCCACAAAGGACACAACTTTGGCAGATATCCGTATATTTATCTTCCTCTTTTTTCCAGAAAAGCGTCAAAGTCAGTGACCGGATCGAAAGAGTTTAATAAGTTTGTGGAGAAACTGTTTGCGACGAAGGAAGAAGTCGTGAAAGTGGACGTCACCGTCGCCAGACTCAGAACCCGAATTCAGAAGTTTATAATGCCGCGAGGTCACATACTCCTATGAGATTCCATTCAATTTTGACGCTTTCAGAAAACATTGAAATCACGTCCGGTTGCACGTACGAAAAAGTGATAATATTCCAGTACAAGTACCTGAAACTGGGCCTGAGCATGCATCAAGTCGGCCAGAGGGTCGTTGTCAACTACACCGTCCCCGAGTCGGTTTCGCAGATTTCCTTGAACGTCGGAGAGACCGTTTTGATGACGGACGAACGAGTTGTGAGCACTTTGGACCACTTCAAAGAAGCGATGATCTGTGGAATCAGATCTAAGGGTTTGCCGATTATGCTTTCATTGCATCTGAGCATTGATTCACAGGCTTTGTCCGTCTGATTGTCGAGATTCCGGTAACGGATCCGCTGAGAAACCAGATCAGAAACCAGTTGGCGGTCAGTTTGCAAAAAGGACGGCTCTTCAAATGAATCACTTTTGCAGACGGCCGCGAAAGAGACGGAACGCCCGTCGTACGCGCAGTTCGATGACGTCAAAAAGTTCGTGGAGGAGGGCATCGCGGCGCTGAAAAAAGCGAAAGAGCCGCGTGGAATTTGGAAGGAGACGAAGGAGAGCGACGGGAAGGAGGTGGAGAAGAAGAAGAGCACGCGGAAGGCGGATCAGAAGTGAGCACGGGGGGTACGGTAGATTCGGTTGAGTACAGTAATCCTGTTGCAGAGAAGGCGTCGTCGCATTCAATGAGAAGACCGAGGAACACGGCATTCCGAGCGAATGGAACACTCAACTCTTCGTCAAGGTTTGCTCGTTTCACTCTTCTTTTTTTTACTGAAAATGGACTTTTAGATGCTTCCTCCAAAGACGAAACAAACGGAAATGTCGACTGGAAGCACTCTGATCGCAGCGTTCCCCAAAAAGTGAACTCGTTTGGAAGTTATGAGAATGACAATGAATTGGAGACTATCTTCTCGATTGTTTCTTGTCGATTGAAACCACCAATTCACCTGATTCCACTGAAACAGGTGCTTTTAAATGCGTAATCGCCAAACTCCAGGCTCTCAATGCACAAATGACTTCATCGGACGAAGAAGAATGGCGACTTTTCGTTCTTTCAATCCCTTTTTGTCTTTTCATTCTTTTACTCGCAATCATTCTCGTGTTATCCTCACTTTCTCTCTTCTTTTATCCATATTTCGTTCATATTCACAAAAAGAATCAGAAAACTTATGAGCAGGTAAACAGGGAATCGATGTTATCGAGAAAACCGTTTCATTTTCAGTCCCCAGTCTATCCGATAATCCATTATTGCTACACAATGGTCCGCAACCTGTACATTTGCTTTCTTTTGGTCGCCGTTCTGGTTTGTCTCTTCGTTTGGGCACAACTCAAGTGAGTTTGTTTGCATGTTTTCAGCTGAAATTAGTGAATTTTCTTGCAGCAAATCTTCGACAGACTCGTTGTTCCTCGTGCTTCTCATCACCCTCTTCTACTCTTCCTCTCTCACCCAATTGCTCTTTCTGCTGCTCTCTCTGCTCGGCTTCCAACGATTCTTCCTTCATTTCGTGCCTTCCACCGAAAGATTTCTCACATTCTCCCACAAACCATTCGAAAAGTTTATCAAACGAATCCAATTCTTGTACCTTCTCAAAGAAGTCATCCATTTCGGTTGTCTTCTGACAAGTCTAAACTGTCTAAAGGGATCATTCGTCGAGACGTTTCTAGAATTGAACTGGATTCTTTTCCTCTCGCAAACCGGACTCTTTCTCATCTCTCTCGTTCTCTACGTGCCCGTCATGATCAGTATTTGGAAGAAACGAAAGTTGGCTACTGCTATTCGGACCCGTCCTGACAAGTATTTGCTGTTGCAGACGCTCATGATATTCATACTCAAAATGGTGAGAATCGTTCGAGCTATAATTCATCACATCGTTTCAGTGTTACGGCGTTGTTCCGTTCTTGCTTCTGAACGAAGAGACCACTTTGGCCTGGCTTCCTTTTCAACAATTTTCAAATGTGGAAGAAAGAGAAACGGTGGGTCCCGCTTTACCGATGAGCCACGGTCTCCAGAGCTAGCAATATGGGCGTGGCGGCCTCGGCCAAATGGCGTTTTCATGAATTGAGCAGGTTTTCACTGATTTTTGTGGTCAACGGCGATGAAAAATGATTGTTCGACATGAAAACACACTAATTCTCAGAATTAATGACGTTTTGGCGCATTTTTCGCGGACTTTGCTCTTTCGCCTTCGCCGCCTAAAAAGCGCACTTCTCATTTTGCGCTTTCTTGACCGTTTTCCGACAGAATTGGTTTTGAGAATGATAAATCACGTAAATACAAGCATTTTGAGCGCTCGAACCGCGAAAACTACCGAAAAGCAACTGAAATTCACGCAGTTTTAGCCAAAAACCTTCAAACGGATAAATGTGATTTGCGACTTGACCAAATTTAACGCTCTTGCGCTTAAGAAATTCGTAATAGACTATACAATCGGTCTATCGAGAGACAAATCAGAAATTATCGGTTTTTCGTGGCTAATCTGGCAAAAAAACACAAATTTTGCTGTTAAAATTTGAATTTCAGCTCTGGAGACCGTGATGAACTCAACAATCCCTTAAAGTTTTCAGCTTCTTCCCTTTTTCCATCTGTGCGACGTCGTCACTGCTCCACTGGTCATTCAATTCTCGTTTCTGATGAGCAGCCGCAAAAACATGGAAACAATCCGTTCAAATCATCTTTTTATGGTTATTCTCTCGCTCATTTCACCAAACTTCAGAGCCTTAGAGCCACCGCGACGCGTGGATCTCGACAGTACTCGTAATGCATAAACCGTTCTCTTTATTCATCTCACTTCTTGGCCGTCAGAACACTCCGTCTGTCCGTCGTGCTATTGTCCTTCTCGTCCTGCGCCTTCTCCATAATTCTCGTGTCGAGGAACATTCCCTGACAGTCCTCCTCTCGTTTCGTCTCTTCGAACGATTTCACGTCGGACGGTCCCAGCAGGATGCCCATCAGAAGGCCACGCGCACGACGGTTGAAGTTGCCGAACGTGTCTTCGGGTCCGTCGTCGAACGATTTGTGTTTGGGGTAGGAGAAGAGCACGCGGAACCAGTTGATCCCGTTCTTCTGCTTCTCCGCCTCCGATTTCCAGGCTGAAAAGGAGATGGTCGAGGAAAAAGGAAAAGACGGGTCACTATACCATTGAACTTGGCCGTCCAGGTCTTCGGGAGGTACTGCGGCGACACCAGGAACTCCTTCATCATCGCCGCTTTCAGCTGAAACTTTCAGAGCCTCCTCTCCTCGTACTCTTTCTCCCCCTCCCTACCTTGTCCCTCTTCTTCATCACCGCCTTCGTCTCCTCGTCGACGGCGCAATTGTTCTTCTGCAGATAGTCGATGATCTTGTCGAGCGCCCGATCCAGCACCGCCAACACGTTCGCGTCCAACTTCTGTTTGCCCGAGAAGAACTTTGCGAGCACGTCGTTCTCCTCGGCCGTCAGACACTTTTCCATCGCCGCGTGCTTCTTCGCCACCTTCAGCAGCTTCGGCGCCAACTTCAGAATCTCCTTCTCGTCGACGTCCGACGTCATCTTCTCGAACTCGTCGTCGTCGAGTTTGTCGAACGCGTCCGGCTGCTTCTCGGCCATCGGAACGTCCTTTTTCATCTCGGTGATCGAGGGATTCGAACTGACCGCCGACAGAATCGTGTACTCTTTCTTATTCTCTTCCGTTGGCTCCTTCGGCGGCTCTCCCGGCGGCTGTGTCTTGTCCAAATCGAGCAGGGGCTCCGGCTGCTGGGGCTGTGGCTCCAGAGGTTTCAAAGGCTCCTTCTTATTCTCCGGCTGCTCCACCGTTTTCACAGATTCCGACGGTTTTTCTTCCGACGAGTCCACCGGCTTCTCCGGTTTTTCGGCCGAGAATCTTTTAGTCGGAGTGGAAGCCGTTGGGGTGACTGACGTGAAGGAGTCTTTCTTCGGTATCTTTTGCTTCTTCTTCTGCGCACCGCTCGCATCCGATTCGGACTTCTGAAAGCAGATTCTAGAAGGATCCTCCACACAATCCCACCTTATCCGCCCGCTTCGTCGACTTCTTCAAGTCCTTCTGCCGCCGTTTCGCCGTCCGTTTCGACGTCTTCCACTTCAACTTCTTCTCTGGCAACACGAACGGGACTGTCTGTCCGGCGGGACCGTCCGCCTTCTCCATAACTGTCGGCGACTCGTCCGCGTCGTCCGCCTTCACAAAGATTCCCCGCCTACGCATCTCGGCCCTCTTCGCCTCCTTCTTCTCCTCGGCCGTCTGTTTTTGCTTCTTCTCGTCCGGCTTGTTCTTCAGAAACTGCTTGTATTCGTCCTGAACCACCACCGCCGTCACTTTCTTTCCTGAAAAAAATAAATAAATGTCTTTGGTCAGTCAGTAGTAGCTTTGGAAAAAGTTGTTACCAATGTTGGATCCGAGCATTTTTCGAGTTATTGCTACAAATTTGAATCAGAATTGATTTTCGAAAACTATTCCTCAAAGGTTCTGCTGAAGATTGAGATTGCCACGTGGCAAGGTGGGGAGGGTGTCAGCGCGTGAACTCGAAAGTGTGAAAGGACAGTTATTGCGACAGAGTTCCCAGTCCGAAGCCTTTTGAAAAGTGCGAGATGGCAGACAAATCAGCGTTCGTCCCGGTCGATGCGATCGGCAATCACAAGAACACCGACCTCGACGTCGACATTGACGACGAGCTCTTCGGAAAGAAGGTACCGTCTTTCAGCTATTCTCCAACTTTTTCGCTCTTTTCAGCCTCCGAAGGCGACGAGCAGCAAGACGAACCAGGCGCCGCCGCCGGCCCCCGCTCCGGTCGCCGTCAAACCGACGTCTCCGGCTCCGAAGCCCGCCGGAAAGTACCAGTACAAGAAGGCGACGAACTATCAGAAGTCGTACGCCAAGTAGTAGAGCCCGAATAAAGCAAAGGAGCAAAGCACATCCAGATGTCATTCTCTCTTTTCTTTTTGGGTCATAGACCCGCCCGGAAACTAGATCATTGCAGAAGAAACCTCCTGCAACAGTCTAGCACACTGATGGGCTCCAAAAATTTTCAATAGCACAGCTCCGGTACATTACTTCGGTGTCCATAGGCACTTATCGATAAGGCACGGAGGCTATCACATACGGACACCAGTTGGCAGGCGAACTTCATTTCGAGGAGCAGCCGACGGCTCACGGGATCCGCGCCCCGCTATCAGTTGCCTGCAAAAGGGACGGGGAGGGGGAACTTCCGGGTTCCGTAGACAGACACAGTCCCGTCGATCTTTCTTATCAATTTTTTTTGGGCACGTGAACCGCATTCCCGGCACGTACACCGTCTGAATTCGGGTGAAGTATGATCGATTTGGTCGGAAACAAGAGTGGAGTCTCCGAATTTCCATATGATTATCATTGATCGGAATGCGAATAAAAGGCAAGTGATCTACGCATTCGTTATCGTTTCGTTCCCCCTACCTTTTTTTGAGTTTGTTCTGGTGTTCCAGAGTAATCAGTTAGGGATTTTTTGAGTAAATAGAAGTAAACTCTTTGAAACGAAAAGTTTTGGTGCACGATTTGAGCCGTCACGAACAAAATTTGACCTATTCTCATTGCGATAAAGCGTACATGCGTGCCTTTTGGGGAACTTTCACCTAGAACTAGTCAACGGTTGATGTTCGGTACATCAGCGTGTAAAACGTTACAAATCTCACTACCAAGAATGACAGTTTTACCAAGAGGGCTTTATGAAAATGCTTCCGAACCGCCAAAGTTCTCAGTTTCAGTAAAGTGGCGGAAGATTTCGAATAGCTGAACATTCACGGAAGAGGCCAGATGCTGAGTACTTTCAAAGCGAACAGAAATGATCAAAGTACATTCCTTGATCATGAAAGGCAACACAGAGGCCGACGCCCATCTGATTGATATTCTCTGTTCGAATCAAACATCATTTCGTTCTTCTTTTTTGAGGCGACAAACTATGCCCGTCGAAGAAAAAGAAGAAGAAGAAGAAGAAATATTGTGGCTCTTTGACTCTTTCAAAAAGTGCTCATGCTCACATTCTTTACGACTTTCAAAACTCTTCGACACTATCCATGAAACCTCATTTCCCTCCGATAATTACCTTTCGGTCACTCCTTATCACCGTTTGCCCTTGCGAAAAGTTTATCAATCAAGTCAAAATGTGTGTCGCTTTCCTTTCGCTCACGCACACATTTTTCCGTTTCTGCCCAAACCGAACGAATTCCAGAGGAATGCAGTTGCGAGAGAAACAATTGCGCCGGCTCGTCGAGAAGGCCTTCCCGAACATTGAGCACTTCCACTCGAAAGTGACTGTCGACTTTGAGAAATTGGAAAACGCCAAGAGTTTCTGGTCGGAAATCTTCCTGGCACGACTGAGAATCAAGCACGGATCGGAGGATGTGCATGCACTTCCGGACACTGTCTTCATAAAGGTACGCGGGGGAGTTTGCAGTGGAAATTGAGAAGAATAGAAAGTTCAGATACCGAGAATCAGTGAAAACGTGCTGAGATGCGAAGATGGAAGCGCCGTCGATCAACTTCAGCAGACTTTGGACTACTATTCCAGAGTATGTACTTGGACTTTTCCTGTGAAAAGTGTAATAAAGGACGCTATGGTCACCAGCCTCGATTAAGCTACAGAGTTTTAATGCAAAAATGGAAACGGAAAGCGTTGAATTCCATTTTGGTTTCAGAAAGAAAACCTCTTCTACAAGCACTTTGCACACGGCTCCATCGCGAATTTCCCCTTTCCGAAGGTCTATTACACCGAGGACATTGACGGAGAAGCGACGGGCGGTCTGGTGGCCGAGAATCTGAGTGCCGAGGTGTTCGCGGTCGAGCACATTCCCGGACTGAACGGGCAACAAGTGAACAGACTCGTCGAGGCGCTGGCCGGCTTCCACGCGCATTTGATGAAGAGGGACGACAAGGAGTACGTGACGGACTTTGAGGAAGGAGCACACGGCAGGGAGGTCTTCGCGGAGGGAATGCAGAATATGATGGTGCGTTGAAACTATTTGGAAAGATGTTGAAACAGTCATTTCAAATTTCAGTTCGAAGAGGCACTGAGACTGGAGACTGTCGATCCGCAAATATTTGGAAACGGAAGAATCCAGAAGATCGGCTGGTCTTTTGACTATGAGAACAAGAATAAGGCACTCGCGGAGGCCATTCGAGGTGGAGTTAGACCCCTTACGACTCCAACGTTCTGCTTCTTCCAGCCATCCCGGGAATCCTGGCTCACGCGGACCTGAACGTGACGAACATTCTGTGGCAAAAGGACTCGCCGACGGATGCGATCCGCGCGGTCATCGACTTTCAAATGGTCCTCGTCGGCTCGGTCGCCCACGATATCATTCGAATTCTGACGCTCGGATTGGGTAGAGAAGAGAGGAGACGGACGAGCCGAGGGTATTTGGAACACTATCATCGGACTCTCGCAGGCTTCTTCGACGGAAAACCGCCGTTCTCCCTTGATGAGGTGAGTGCATTTGATATCAAAAAGTTGTCAATTGACAAAATTTGCACAACTTTTCGATATCCCCACTAACAACTGAAATATAAAGTCTATCGTGAAAACAATCAATAATGTTTTCAGTTTTCAAATTTCAAATTTTCGTCTGAAAAACGCACAGAAAAACTGTTCTCATTTTCTGTATTGGAAACTTTCTTGATTATCAGAAAATTTTTTGTTCATGCGAACATTAATTAGCTGGAAGCTGTCCTACGATAGAAATAGGGAAATTCTGAAACAGAAAAGTTGAAGACACAATTGTCTATTGATTTGCAGCTGCACCACGAGTACAACCACTATTTCCCGTTCTCCTCGAACTTTGCCCTCTTCGGAATCTCTCTGTACATCAAAATGTACGCGGACGGCACGCTCGGAACTGCCGATTCCCGACAGGCGAACTGCGACGAACTCGTCGACAGAGCCCGCGGAATTGTGGAAGACATCGAGGCGCTGAAGCAATAGGGATCCTGGTGACTACGTAGATTTACCAATTTGTAACACTTTTCGGTGATTTAAATGCATCTAAACAGCTATTTGTTTGACAATATTCATAAAATGCTTATGGTAAAAACTAGGCGACCTCATTGACTTCGAACAAATTGGTGAAGAAGGGGAAAGTTAGAGTGAATGTCCGACGGTTTTGACAGTTTCAAACTAAAGTATCCTGAATTTCCACAATTTCTCCGCCGCCCAAGCACTCGTTTTTCGTCGTGTAGAATACGCACATCTGCAAGAATGTTTCCTTGATTTTCCGCATACTCCTCTTGAAAATCACCTGTCCTGGAGCGGTGGCTCTCAGCGGAATTCTGGGAATCACCGACAGAAATCGAGAAGTCTCGCATTTTTCGACGGTGCACGGGACTGGCGGGTGCGTCCTTTGGATCCGGCACAGAATTTCCGAGTCTGGCAGCTCTTCTGCAAACATTTTATGATTTTCTATCGAAAATGGGTGGAAAATGAAAACCTAGAGGATTGCGAATGGGAATCCAATCGGGCGATTGGATGCGGAACCGAGTCGCGTACAGATCCGGATGATGGGATCCTTCGCACGCGACGACGTCCCCGTTCTCCGCGTCGATTCGGCTCACAAAATAGCCGAGATGGCTTCTTTCCTCCAAATATTGTCCGTTTATCCGTTTGCCGATTGTAAAATGATGAACTCCTTTGTGATTTCCCACCGTTTTCCCATTACTCAGCACGATTTTTCCGGGCTTCGGTTCGATGTATTCGTCGAGAAACTCGGCGAATCTTTTCCGTTTGCCCACAAAACAAATGCCCATGCTCTGAAGACAAAAAAACGTTTTTTCTTAAGATTTTGATAAAAAGTGATACCTCCGGTTTGGTGGCGACCGCGTGGAATCCCTCTTTTTCGGCGATCCGCTTCACTTCCGTTTTCTGCAGAGATCCCAGCGGGAAAATGGCTCTTTTCAGCTGCTCCTGGCTCACTGTGCACAGGAAAAACGTCTGATCTTTGAGCGGATCCGCGCACGAATACAATCGGATTTCTGCAAGTGCAACTATATTAGACTTTTGACGGAAAATTCAAATTCTCGTCCAAAATTGCATGTTTCTGACACTTTTTCAAAGCTAAAAGTATCCTTGCGCTTGCACTGCTTGCAGCAAAAATTGGCAGATTTAGTGTAGAAGTGAAACGGAGAATATTGACTTTTGAATTTTGGCAAAAAACCTTGTTTTCCTTCCGTTTTTTTTTCAAATGACATTACGAGCCTTGGGAATCGTTTCGATTCTGCTGAAAGTCCCCGAAACTCGTCGTCGCATAGTGTCCGGTCGCAATGAAATCGGCTCCGAATTTCTCTTGCGCGATTTTGTGAAAAATGTCAAATTTTATCGATCGATTGCAATCGATATCCGGCACCGTCGTCCGCCCCATTTTGTAGTTTTCCAGAAATCGGCTGCAATTTTTGGTTTCAAAACTTTTTATCGAAAACGCGTCAAACAGAAAGACGTCGTTCCAGTATTGCTTGACAAAATTGACAGTGTAAAATGGGATTTTCAGCCGATCACACACACTCTTCGCGTCGGATTCGTCTTTGGAACGGGGACATTGAGAGGTTCCCTCTTCTTGCGCGTCCCAGTTTACCTGCAAATTTTATATAATTTCTTTTACGCTTTCTCCTTACCATGTGCAATCCGATCACATCGAATCCTCGTTTTTTCAGCAAAAACGCTGAAACTGAGCTGTCGACGCCTCCGGACATTCCGACTACGACCCGTGGAATTTTCATCTGGACTTTTAAAACATTTAACATTTTTTCCAGTTTTGCGACAAAAATACAGAAAATAGGGTGAATCCTATGCGAAAAAGTGTGCATTTTTCAACAATCATTTTTACCCGTTTTACATCTCTAAAAACCAGAAGAAAAGTCAAAAATATAACAAAAACGAGAAAAGCTAAATTCTACCTAAAAATACAGAAAAATGAGAGACTATTGTTCTTTTTTCTGCTCGATCGCCTTCTTCATCGCCTCTTTCGCCGATTTTTCCATTTCTCCGATCTCGCCGAGCCGTTTGTTGAGCCGTTCGTGCTCTTCCTGACGCAATTGAGCAATCGCCTCACGTACTTTTTCCTTCTCTTCGTCTTCCAGCTGAAAACATACATTTATGTAAAACAAATGGAAAATTAAAAACGAACTCTCTGATATTCATCCAAAAATTTGGCATTGCTGCTGATTTGCCGAATATGTTTTCCGACGTCCTGAAACGAAAATTTTTTAAATTTTTTTGAAAAACGCTTACTTTTGCCTCGTCCATCATCATTCTCTGGTCGGATTTTCCTTGCACATGGTCTTGAAGATCAGCCAGGGCGTGACGATTTACCACCTAAAAACTATGACAACTTTCACAAATTTTCAAAAGTTCTAGACTTTTTGCTTATCCTTTCTCTCAAACGGCCGGAAAAATTCGTAGATATTGTCCAGAACATCGGGATTTACGCGAGTAGTTACCACGTGGGAGGACATCACCTCGGCCGCTTGTTTTCTGGAAAACTTCAGATTGTCGAGGAAAACACTAGAATATGATACTTTTGAGCAGAAGAATTGGTGTCGGAGAGCAGTTCTTGACGAGTCCGGAGGTACTGAAACAAATATAGGTTGTTTTATATTCAAAAGTGCAAAAATACCTCGAGCGCCTCTCTGAACATCAATTTATCCTTGGGAATTCGCTCGACGGGCGGCTCATAGAATCCGTATTCCCAAATTGGATCGTTTCGGTGCAAAAACTCGGATTCCCTAGTCGGAAGATCTCTGGATATCATTTTCAGTTAAATTTTGATATTATCAATTCGCTAACTTCGTGGAAGTCCATCTTTCCACCGGATCCGTCGACGTAATCTTCATTTTGTTCATATTTCCGACCAAATTCTCGTGTTTCGTCGCCAAATCTTTCTTGACTTCATCGCTGACTTCGCGTGGCTTTTCTGTCGGATATTTTGGAGCAACTATCTGCAAAATAATACGTTTTTTAAAGACTGTTGCTGAAAAAGCTAATTTCTCTTACTTTCGTCTCTCCTGCTTCGATTTTTGCCACTTCTTCTACCGATTTTTTGAGATAATTCGCATTTTTGACGTTCGAACCGACTTTTTTCCACAGACGCTTCATCTGAATTCATGAAAACGAATTTCTAGGAAAATGAAAGCAAACAGACAGAAAGGATACGGTAGATTTAAAGGGACATAACAGAAATTGTCGCTGGGTCTCACACGGATTTCGCCTCGGACTCCTCGTGGACAACCTTTTTTATTACACGTTGACTTTCTAGAATTTATCAGCGGTTTTAGAATTTTTTGCGTCATTTTACAAAAAATTAAATAAAAGAATAGAGAATTGAGCTTATCATCCAATTTTTATCAAATTTATCAGTGAGAAATCCGATGTTTGCAGGTAAAACAAGGCTTTTCACAAATAAAAGTCTGAAATTTTAAAAGAGAAGCGGGCATTTTCGGAGCAAATGCGCTCCCCCGTACTGGGCAGCACTGATCAATAACTGAAAGTTCGTCACTTCACTCTTCTCGACGTCGGCTACTCGCTTTCCGCTTGCTTCTCTGGCACCCTCTCGCACTGAAGCACTCTCTCGCCCTCCCGGACAAATATCCACTCGCCGGTGCTGAACAGACATTTCGGCTCATTATCGGGTGTACGCACTGGATTTCTCCCCAGGTTTTCGCAAAAAAGAGAACGATTTGCAACGTCTTCGTGGTTTTTACACAAAAAACCAGTTTTTCTGCTTTTTCTTATCTAAAATCGATATATTCTCGGTCATTCTTCGTGTTACACGCGTAATAACCTCAATTGTTCTTTTCATTTCCCATGCAAATCGATAATATCTTGCAGGCGCCATGACTGCGGACGCCAATCGGAGCGAATCACTCTTATGCATGGACAAGGCCAGAGAGGCCATCAAAGTGAGCTTTTGCCTTTTAATGTGATTATTATTAGAGCAATTTTCAGTCTGGCGACACGGAAAAAGCACGCCGAATGCTTTTGAAAGCGAAAAAATTGGACCCCGGTCAGGATATTGAATGTGAGTGTTTCATGTTGATTTTTTAGAAAAACTGATTGGAAAACATGCAAATTTCCAATATTTTCATAATTTTTAGCTAAGATTTGTGCTCAGACTCTAAATTCAACAAGAAATCGCATAAATCGTCGACGCACCATAGAAACCACTACACTTCTCTGAAATCTGCCCTTTTCCTCTGGTTTTTTGCGGAACTTCTGCTCGAGTTTCCGTGCAACTCTTTCACTCTCTCTCTCTGTCTCTCTCGCTCGTTTCACTGCGAAAAACAAGCGAAAAGTGTCTGATTTCCTGGGCGAAACGAAGTGTAACGCACACAACTGGTCATTTTCACGTTTTTGAGGAGAAACCCGAGAGAAATCCAGAGGCGCAGAGAAAAGAGCCGCTGGATGAATGCGGATTGACACTTTTTCGATTTCTTTTGTTGAAAATGCATTCAGGATATGTTTTCTAATCAAATATAACAAAACTTTGCAGTTTTGACGAAAAAGATAGACGAGATGACGTCGTCCTCCTCTTCTCAATCCTCTTCGTCGCGGCCTTCCGAAGAACGGAGCTACGCGCACGACGATCACTACGAAGAGCCGAATCTGCGGAATCGGAAAGCACGGAGCCCCGTCAAAAAGAATGGTGAGCAGAAAGTTCCAGACTTTGTCTTGCTACTTGTTTATCGATCACTCTACGAGACCATGCCTTTGTACCACTTGGTTTAAAACGTTTATCTTGAAAGTTTCAGGCCGATTAGATCATCTGGTCCGGAAATATAGAGCTTTGAAGCCAAAACGCCGTGTTTTTTAACGGGGTTTCGGCCTCAAATCAATATATGCCCAGATTATCAAATCGGCCTGAAACTTGCAACATGAATACTCCAAACCAAGACGAATATCGGTGGGAAGTTATATTACGATCGGATGATAGATAGTCATCAATTCATTTCAGGAAAAGTGGAGCCAGAAAAAGCAGCTCCGAAGCCACGTTCCGCGTCCAGAACACCGAAACTTGGCGTCGATTATACCGCTGAAGTAGGCATATTTTCAATTTTTCCACGAAAAATTCTCATAGGAGCGTTTTTTTTTCCCAAGTGTTTCGAGTATTTTCCCACCCAAACCGTATATTCTTGCAGCAAAAAGAGCTGGTGGAGCGAATCCGTCACTGCAAAGATTATTACGAAATTCTGAAAGTGGACAAGAAGGCGAGCGACGACGATATCCGCAAGGAGTACCGCAAAATGGCACTCAAATTGCATCCAGACAAGTGCCGCGCGCCTCATGCCACCGAGGCGTTCAAAGGTGAGCGCGAAATGTCCACAAATTGATTGGATTTTGAAAATCGGTGCCATTTTTCCAAACATACAATTTCAGCCCTGGGAAACGCGTACGCAGTGCTCTCGGACACCGACAAACGTCGGCAATACGATCAGTTCGGTGCGGAGGCGGCGAACGGAAGCACGCCGACGACGAGGAGACGCGGCGGCGGCGGCGGCGGCACGTTCTTCGAGCACGACTACGCCCACGGATTCGAAGGTTACATCCTCTTTTTCCGCTTTTCCAAAGTAGACCATTTCAGCTGATTTCACGCCGGAAGAGATCTTCAACATGTTCTTCGGCGGCGGATTCCCGTCGGAACAGGTGCGCCGACGCGCCCGTTACGCCCAGCAACAGAACTACCATCACTACGAGCAGCAGAGTCCCTACGGCCCCCTTCTGCAGCTGCTCCCGCTCCTCGCCATCATGGTCGTCGGCTTGTTGGCTCAGTTGATGGTCGGAGAACCCGCCTACTCGCTCCATCAGACATCGTTAGTGATTGTTTTCGTTTCTCGCCTCCGAACGGAGAAAATTGCAGAAAGTTCTCGGTGAAACGGCAAACGACAGATCTGCGGGTACCGTACTTTGTGCGAACAGACTTCGAATCGAGCTATCGGGGCAGAATACGGCAAGTGGAGCAGCAGGTCGAGGACGACTACATTCAGAATCTGCGCATGAACTGCTACAAAGAGCAGAACCTTAGTGAGCCCTTTTTTGAACTTTGGAAATTTATTTCAAGAGAACATCTTGGAACACGTTGAAAGTTACCGAAAAATGAGTAATTTAGAGCTTTAAAATAGGAAGTTAGCGTCCGTGTAATAGAGGATTATGTGAAAATCAGATGTGTTCTTCCGGTTTTAACAAACAAATCTGCAGAAGAGACGAAACTGTACCGGGCACGCTGGATGCGAGACGAGGCGATGATGCGGGACGCGGAACGGACGCCCCTTCCGAGTTGCGTGCGTCTCAATGAGATCTACTCGCACTGATCTGAAAACGTCTGAAAATCGTCTGGAAATGCCGGTGAATCGACTACTTCTCCCTTCTTTTTTGCTCCTTCTTCCGTTCGCCCGCCCACAATTCCTCTAGGCCCCTTATCCGAATTTTCGTCGGAAAACACTTGAATACGGGACAATATCTTCATCCTTTTCTTCTGTCTTGTCATTGAAAATTCCCCCCCCCCCCTTTTTCAACAATTACAACCTTTTCTTTTGACTATGTTCCTGTCGAAAAGGCTCATTCGAGTTCTGTGATTTGTGTGCCCCACCAGAAACCAGAATATGTTGTATTTTTAGTTAATTTTCTCTCTTCCCTTCTTTTCCTACAAATATTCTCTATGTTCTCGTAATTCATAAATAGATTATCATAAAAATGAAAAAATCAGTTGCATCCGGCCTCTCCCCACTCGGAAACGTCCTTTTCGAAGTAGGTCAGATGGTCGGACACCGAAGTGGTTATGAGCAGTCCGTTCGAGCAGTCGTTGCTTTCGTCGGCCGACGAGCACACTTTGAATGAGGCTCCGGAGCTCATGGATTCCTTGTAGAACACCTGAGAATACCCATGACCCTTTTACATTCCAATCATGTTTAAACCTCGGCCTTGTGATGCTTGTAGTCCTCGAATCCCTCGTTGGGAATGTGCGGAACGACGTCGCGATTATGCGTGATTCTGTACGAATACTGCATTTGTCCGTCATGAGCGATCGCCCACGCACTGTCGCCGGTCCTCGGCTGTCCGTAACTGATCAGTTTCACCTTGTCGCCGCTCTTGATCTTGTTGGCGACAATGTACGAAGCGGCGAGAGAGGCCATCGAGCCGCCGAGCGAGTGCCCCGTCACCCAAACTTCGAACGTCGGATACTTCTGGAGGAGGGCGTTCACGTCGTCCTTCATTCCCGACGTCCACAGAGTGTTGAACGCGTCGCCAAAGTATTTCGAGACTTTTCCGCCGGCGATCCACGCGGTCTGCGATTGGAATACCGACTTGTCGGCTTCTTCGATCAATTGAAGGAAACCTTGCGTACCTCTGGAAACCGGCACTGTTTTTGAGTTTCGAGTATGAAGTGGACGTATAGATTACTTACCTGAAACTGAGCACAATAGCCTGATTGTCGACGAGCACGGCGGTGTAAGCAGAGCAAATGTCTTCTTTCGTCGCATCGCACTTCACGTTCAGTTGGCGACGGAGCTGCAAAGATTGCATTCGAATTCAGTGAGCTTGAGCCAAATACTACCTGTGCGTTTCCGAATTTTGCCGAAAGACAAGTCTGCGGATTCGATGAATAAGCGGCCGCGGCCAGGGGAAAGAAGGTGTTACGGGCGACGCCGTCATCGTAGGATGCGAATGCTGGAAAGGGAATGTACGTTTTGTTTTGTCGTCAACTATTCTTGATACTTACCAGAAGGTTCGAGAAGAACACGTGCTTGTAAGCGTGACACAGTCACCGAAACAAGACACAATTTGAGCAAAGTCGACCACATTCTTACGCGCTTGTGACGCTCTTCTTCGCGGGCTTTTATGCGCCGAGCACGAGGTGATAACGAGTGCGTTTAACGACGCTTTTTATGAACACGGAACTCGGAATTGGCAAGAAAGTCACGGATGTTTCAGGATTTTGCCGCGAAAATTGTGATAAGAGATAGATCAAAAATGAACAAAAACTGACACGTCACATTTTATTTACGCCAGAATCGGATATAGATGATCAGAAGAAGTATAAAAACGAGAAAGTGTTCGGAATGCGCGGCCCTGTTCCCGGTAATATTAGCTCTGATCATCGACTCCTGTTTCGCTTCGAGCTGCTCGGTCAGAGTGTCGTTTCGGATACACAGAACTCCTTCCTGATACGTTCCGTCCTCTTCGCGATACCAATCACAATCGGATCCAGGCGGGCAGTGGGTGCACGAAGCACCTCTCTCGAACATTCGACCATTGTATTTGACTCTGTGAATATTGTTGTCTTCGGAAATACAACTGCTCGACACGAACTCATCCAGGACACAAGTGGATAGAATGATTCGCGAGTAGCAGCCAATTTGATATCTCCGGGCATGAAGAGCTTCCGCGGCGCCATGCGTTCCGTGCTCCGATTCTGGATACACGTTCAGTTTCGGGTAGCTCAACGCCATCCAAATCACAATCATGAGAGTTTCGATCTGAGGGGAAGCACTAGCTGGAATGAGGCACGACGAGTGTCGAGATTACCACGTTCTCCAATCGGCTTATGAGATCGACCAAGAAATTGCTTCCCATACCCTTCAGAAACTGTTTTACAGCCTCAATCACGTCGCCGATCCAGGTGAATTGTGAGTACTTCTGCACCCTTCCTGCGTCCGTCTTGATAGTCGCATTCGGATTTCTACCCTTTGCGATGTTGTACGCAACCTTTTCCAGGTCACGACTCCATTTCTGAAAGTCTATGCGAACACATCTTAGCCAGACACACCGTACCAGTTTGTACATATCCGCGCCGGGACCAACTGAAGGTATAGAATTCGGACTACCGGCCAACTGCCCGGTCACCATAATCTGCTCGAGATCACCGGAAGCAATGAGCGTACGGGCGTAGTTCATTTGTCGGAGCAGATTGTAGCGAAAGTTGAACGGGTCCGCCATGTTGCGTCTCTTCTTGAGAAGCTCTTTATCGCTTGCACTTGTAATATCTGTAAAAAGAGGGAACGGTCAAAGACATTGCAGAATCTTACGGTCTAACCACTTGGGACCAGGATAAGAAGTAGTGTCGACCAAATGAAAATCGTCTTCATCGCTGCTCCGCAAAACGATTGTAATAAACTAAACATTTCAAAAATTAGTGCAGCGGTTCCCATCGATTGATATCTTTTATCAGAGCCTTATCAGTTGCTCACGTGGATTTCCACAAAAGGATAATTACACATTTTTATTTGAATATTAAGATCTAGCTCACAATTACATCAAAGCAAAAATGAAAGAAAAGAAAAGCGTGAGCATAGTGAAAGCAGTGGCACCAGAGTCGCTCTTCGGCTCCACAGGACCGTAACGTCGTTCGTACTCGGCTTTCGAAATGACTCTCTTCTTCGGAGGAACTCCTCGTACAGCATGACACACAATAACCGCTTTCCTCTTACCGCCTTCCTTGCACAGAGCCATGTCGCATGAAAATGAATAGTATCCGTCCATGATTTGCGCAAGATCGTCCTGCTCGTCCGTCGTGTCCTTATCGAAAATGTCCGCTTTGTCTGTATAATACGCGGCGTACATAACACGAACCTGAAAGTTTCACTAGGGAATGGTTACCTTGGGCTTTTGGAATGGGACCTATATGATTCGAAAGAGAATTTCACGGAGAATCCGAATCGTCTGCTCTCCATTTTTGCTAAAGAGCACTGGCTGGCGAGAAAATCGCATCTGAAGTTCCCGTGCAAAATTCTTTTTTTTAAACATGTAATCTGCAGTTTAGTGCAGAGTGTGTGGGCTCTTTTCTTTCGAATCATATAGGTGCCATTCCAAAAGCCCAAGGTAAGTGCGGGCCATTCCCTAGTCAGTTCAATTATTTGACAATTTTTCACATTCAATTTTACCATAGGGTCGACTTTCGGCCATTCCTGCTCAACTTCACGGAGCCGCTTCCGGGCAGCCGCCGACAGATTGTACTTCTGAAGATTGCTGACCAGGAAGAACTCAGTGAGGTTGTGAGTGGAGGAGATGCGGCGTTCCGCGGGACACTGCTCCGCTCTGGCTTTTGCTCCGTCTCCGAGCTCTTCTCCCAGTCTCTGAAGTAATTGTAATCAGAGTACACCAATGCGTTTTCCTACCAATTTCAAGAAACTCTCCAAAGGGTCATCGAGTTTAGCGTGCGCAAAACAGGCGAGCATGTGGAAGTAGGCGATGTTTGTGACGACTCCACGAGTTTGCACGCTGACCGTCTCATTCTCACTCTTCCCTTGTCCCCCGGTATTGTTTGTCGCATTCTTTGGAGTTGCCACCGTTTCACTTGCATTTTTAGAACTGGCACCGTAAACTAGAGCAGCGTAAATCTTTAATTTATCTCGAAAAACGAAAAACTCACTTGTCAAAGCGATCAGAATTGAGTACGTGAGAAGCTGCATTGTCCTCACTTGCGTTTCGAATTTTTCGAACTGATTTTATTGTATCAAACACGTTTTGTAATCAAACAACTGATTAGATCGGAAAGTAGATACTGTAGAATTACTGATAACAAACATTGGTTTCAATGCAGTTTATTTCTAAAAACTTATAGCTACAAAGCTATGCTACTCTTTCGCGCCATTTTCTGGCTTTCCGTACTCATAGAAGGTATTGAGAACAAGTATTGGCAACTGTTATCTTTTCCATTACAGTACCAACAATTGAATCGGTGGAGATGGATTTGGGACTGAAAGACGCGTTCGATTCGTTCAGTATCGCGGATGAAATCAAAAACTTCAACCTGAAAGACCGACTCGCAGCCACGGATCGCCACCACCTCGAACAATTGAACTTGATTCGTTCTTACGTCGGATCCGGATGGCTCCGAATGAAATTTGGCTCAGTTATCGATTGGATTATTGCGCTTTGGAAGGGTGGTCAAGCAGTTGTGCAGATTGCGACTGCCGGATGGTTCGCTGTGAAAAAGTTCGTGAATAACATCGGAAAGAGCTTTGGTAACAGGAACTGTTTTGTAATGTAAAATCCATGGAAATTTTCAGGATTTTGGAAGAGAAAAAGAGAAGAAAATGGAAACGGACATGATAAAGTAGAAGCTCATATTCCACTTATAGGCCCGGCCTCCAAAATGAACGAACTTGTAGGCATAGTCTCCGTCGCCATTCCAAAGATGTCCTACTGTTTTGCAGCGATGGAACAAGAGATTGTCGCAGATGTGCTACCGAGACATGAAGCATTGGAAAGGCGGTCAAGTGGTAACCTACAGAAACAAGACCTATCGAGCGTTCGAGCACGGAAGTCTTTTCGAATCTGCGGTCAACGACTTTTTCCCAATTTTGAAAAGTGTTTTTGATAATGTTTGTGTAGACTGACTATATTAACATTCAATCGAACACTTTCAGATCAAGGCGGTCTGGGTTTGTGCTCAGTTGCTTTTTACACCTGTTGACAATCCCGTAGAAGATCCCGCAGACGTTACAAATCATATTTTCGAAGTCAGTTTCGAGTTTCTATCGTTTTCTTCCTAGCGAACTGTTTAGTACTTGTTTGATAGTTACGTCGAGGTCGGTTGCGGAACGAACGTCGATGGATCCTGGTGTCTGATCGGGCCAACGTGAGAAAAGATCGCTTTAGAAAAGTGAACGGATGTCGGCAAGTTCAGACATAAACCGGACGGCTCATTAAAAGGTGTTACTCTTATCACAACTACAAGCTCGTGTCAGGAATGCGAAACTGAGTGTATTGAACATGGAGACTATCAAGGGTTGTGCGAAGCGAGTCCCGATCTTGAAGAACAAGAAAGACTCCGCAAGATTGTCGAAGGAGACGTCGTGGTCGAAGAAGTCATTGTGGAAGAGATCAGTGTTCTCCCGCCGGAGCGCGTGACGTCTACAGGCACACTGAGAATGTGCGCCGTTGTCTTTGCTCCTATCCTTATTTGCAATTTTTTTTGAATAAACATTGATTCTTCTAGTGAATTTACTCAAACGAAATAGAGCATAGAAGGTATAGAAGTAAAAAAAGAGCGCATTATCCAATGATTCGTCGCAGCCGAACTCGACTTCTCTCCTTTTGCCATAATACGTTCGCGAGTGCACAATTCATTTTCACAAACGTATCCGTCTTCGCACTTGCTGCACGGTTTTCCTTCAATGAACGGCGTTCCTTCGAGAGTATTCCTAAAACCGAATAGATATGTCCGCCTTCTCACATGCGTGCAACCACTAACCCCGGCGCCATGTGACACTCCAACAATTTCCGATCACCGCACTTCACAATTGCACATCCGATGCGTTCTCGCGTGGCCCAGAAGAACTCGCCGGCGACGTAGTAGTAGAGTGTGGTGTTGACGTCGGGTGGCATGACAGAAATCATCCAAGGAGCCATGAAATTCAGGTTTTCAGTTATCGTTTCTTTCAGATCTTCCTTTGCAGAAGTTGAGTAGTACAGTGAAAACTCTCGATATTTCTCTCCTCGTTTTCCTCCGATTTGTGGGCAAGTTTGGCCCGTTCTATTAGCCGACTTTTCCAGTTCCTCATCCCAAATCTTGAATGTTTATTGGCTAATGTAACGTTTGCACAAATCTTACCAACTTCTTCACATTCGCCATTGGACCCACTTTCATCTGCAATATCTTCAACGACTTTTGCCGGTTGCTCTCGTCTAAATCCGGATATCCTTTCACTTTATCATCCATCGACTTCTCCGCAATGTTATGAATCAGATTGTTGAGCTTTCCGACGGCAGCATCCGAGCGAAACTTGTTGAATGCGTCAAGGCACTTCCATTTGATGCTTGGCACCGAGAACACTGAAAAACCGTTTAGCAGAAGTGATTCTTCCGTTTATTCACCTTCAACATTCCAGAAAGCAAGCAGAAGGACAACTCCGAAGGACTTCATTGCAAAGTGATCTTCTGGTTCTCAAAAGTTTTCTGATAAGAAAATAAAAGTTCACGTTGGGACTTTATCAGTTAGACAAGAAAGGGCATCAAGACACAGATAAGAACGGAAGAGACTTCAACGGATTTTCTGTGCCCATTGTCCGCATCATCATCTCCTTTTGGGCTCAACGTGCTCGCCTCGTACTCCGGATCAAAGATACAAACATCGCCTTCCGCAAGCGAATCGTCCGGTTGGACCACGTACTCGCATCTGGAACTCTGCGGGCACTCTGTGCAAGTGACGCCTTCTTTGTAGAACTCGGTCGCGTTATCTTTTCTGAAAATGTATTTATTTCAAGGTCTGTAAGTACATTCTACCACTGACCTGACAAGACAAATTGCAAAGAGTTTATTCGACCAACACCCGATTTCATGACGTTGCGCGACAAGAGCCTGGAACCGTACAAACGTGCTTTGTGTGTGTGGAATGCCGAATGACTCACAGATGCCGGTCCCAAGTGCTCCCCAGATATGTTCTTGTCTTTTGGATAACTCGCTGCAATGTAGATAACCGAAATCAATATCTCAATCTGAAAGACATTGGAGACATTCATAAAATTGATAACTAAACTTACAAAATCTCCGAATTTTATGATTTTATCGATCGCCTTCGAGACATCTCCGCCGCTCTGTCCGTTCTTCCCCATCACCTCTTTTATTTTTGCGGTGATCTTTTTGATTGGAAAATCCCATCTGAATCCATGATAACCAGGAATATTAATATCGGAAAAGGTGTTGCCCAGATTTTGAATGGTAGACGGTAGAGATTTCAGAGCACTCATGCTCGTGCTCATGTTTGGCTGGATGTTGTACTCCTTTTTCACAATCGCCTCCATTTTGTTACTCCATTCCTAAAAATTAGATAGATATGCCAATGTACCAAGTAAGGGTTAACCAATTCCATCATATTAGCCGCCGGTCCCATCGGGATATTGATTGCTCCAAAGACGCCAAAAGATTTGACAAAGTCCATCAAAGTGTCAATGCGCCCGGACGCAACTATCTTTCTGATCGAGTTGAACGTGTACAGCACTTTGTTTCGAAGCCGTTCGTCTTCTGTCTTGAATCTCTCCCCATTCAGTGTTCTGTTTCTTCGAATGAACCGTAACTCTTTCTGTGGTATACCCTGCTTCAAACGGTAGTGCTTGGGATTGTCGAGGAAAGTGTAGACGGTTTCAGCAAACTCCATATAGGCCAGATATCCTGATTAGAAGCCGTTTGTTGCACATACCGTTATTTCAGTTTACCTGTGGCACATAGTGAGGCAATTCCACCAACTATCAACATGATTGCAAGCTTCATCGCTTCAATTGTATGCAAAACTGATAAACTTTTCGTTAACTGTTTTCATCGTTTAATTCTAATCTTATCTGTTTTTTTTTTTCGTTTATCAGTTTGAATGGTAACGGTCACGAATAATCAGAGTTTTATTGATTAGTAAAACAGGAAAAAGGAAAGGATGACAAGCAAATAAATGGAAAAGTTCGGATTGCCGGCCGAATTGTCCATCGATCCCTTGGGCTTAATCGTCGTAACTCCTGGTTTGCTCAGCGCCATCGTGCCATTCGGATCCGGCGGCGTGCACAAATCGCCCTCTTCGTAGTATCCGTCCTTGTTGAGAGTGTATTCACAGTGCGATCCCACAGGACATTCATTGCAAGCCACGCCCACTTTGAAAAGTTCTTCGTCTCGTGTGCTGAAAGACTATCAGTAGTCTCATTCAAAGTGAAATTGATGCAATTACTGTCTCACAACGCAAACCCCACCGAAAACGTTTGTGAAACATCCAATTTCGTAGCGAGTAGCGAAAAGAGCCTGAAATAGCAATGATCAATGTGTGCAATCATGAAGAGCCCACTTCAGCTGCACAATGAACCATTCCATGGTTGACGGGAGACTCCTTCGGGTAACAGATAGCCATCCAAACAACTATGATGATTGTTTCAATCTGAGTGATCTCTTTCAGACAGAAAATGCATGAAGCAGCTAAACGTGCCAGCTCAAGAATTTTGCCGAGCGATTCGATGATACTAGCCGGAATGATCGACAATATTGTCTTGGCCAGTTCGATGATTGGTCCCATCCAAATGAAGGCTCTGTATCCTTCCACTTGTCTCACGTTCATGTGTAGAACCGCCGTCATACTTCTACTTTTCAATTCATCTTGAATTTCATGAAAAAGTTTCAGCGCAACTTGTTCCATTTCGCGGCTCCATCTCTGAAAAACGAAATAGAATCATTGTAGCTGAAAGAATCCTCATTACCAGTTTGTACATATTGGACGCCGGACCCACTTCTATTTTGCTCGCTCCTACGAAACTGCGGCCTTTATTCACAATTTTCATAAGAGGAACCAACGATCCGGAAGCGATAATGCGTCGAGCCTTGTTGAACTTCTTCACTGTTTTGACATGAAAATTGAACAGCTCTACTTTCTCACTGACTCCTTCTGGAACATTATCGTTATTTTCTTCTCGTGTTCATTCACTTTTTTTGTTACCTTCCAAGAGAACTGGCAAGAATATTCCAAGCAAACAAGCGAAAAACAGAAGCTTCATTATGCAGACTTGTGTAGAGACAGAACTATGAAATGTTTCGTTTTGATTACAATCTAATCAGTTGAGTAAAAGTTGTTATCTGTTTGGAAGATTAGACTAAAAAAAATTAAACTATTTCGCTTTCGAGAAAACTCTTCCGAAACGCAATGAAGACTTTTCTCTTCTTTCTTCTTCTTTCGGAAACGTGGACCGGTTTGTGACTTCTGACATGACTCGTTCCTTATCGTTCAATCGTTTCAGGAACATCGGCTTTTATCGACACCAAATTTCGGACCAAGAATCTCAAGTTTTTTAACGATTGCAGAGATATGATTGCCACAGGATCGATTTCAAGAATCACTGGCATCATCGAGAAAATTGGTATGAAAGGTTTCGTGAGTGTTGGCCCGGCCTCCGACATGTTCCGATTGGTAATATTCACTATTATGAGTTTGCAAGAGTTAACTCGATTCTCAGCAATGGAGCCGTGAATTGGAACAGATCGCTTACGAACAGTCCGATAGTGGAGCATTCGAATTTGGGCACAGGGACAAGAAAGGATACGGAATGTTCACGTGGAAAGGAGACATTATTGACATGATAATAGCACTTTTGGATGCGATTCCATTAGAAAAGTTTATTCCGGGGCCTGTGATGAAATTTATCAAAGATATAATTGGAACTGTGCTCAGACTTGTAATAATGCAAAGGTAGGCATGGTTCACTAGAAATTATTTCAGTTCGAAACCATAATCCTTGTCATTTACTTGGCCTACAAATATCCGGCACAATTCCCAGTTCCCCGATCCACGACTCTCGGACCCACACATGTTAGAGTAGCAAATAATGAACGTTCCTCTTTTTCTTTCTTGCAGGCATTTTTCGGCGAGCGCACACATATTGGATGTTTCAACCACGTCACTCATTCCGTCTGTGTTCTCAAAGAGTGAGCATGTGTGTCGTGACCGTAACCATTCATCCTGTTTCAGAGTGCCTGCCGACGCCGAACGACTCTTCAAGATCGGTATTCCGTGTGACGATTGCCCTGAAGATTCTCGCTGCGAAGTGTTCACACTTGCAAATGGCTGGTACCAGGAGGGAAATTTGTGCATTCCGTGGAGGAATGAGAAGCCCGAGCCTGTCAGACCGCCAATTGAGGACGAGGAAGATGTGGGTCAAATGGCGATTGTGCACGACGGCAGTAAGGGATCCTTCTCGCTCGTTGATGACTTCCTCTTGTGCACGTTTATCATCATTTTCTTGTGAAATAAGACTTTCAAAATCTCCGAAAAATGAACGTTCATTTCTATGACATTATCAATAAACACAGAAACGCAGTGAGCAACACATTCATAATCCTTCGCGATGCGTCCGGCTCGACCGGTTGCAAAAGATCCACTTGTGGGTAGTTGAAGCGGTTTGCATCGAGTATGTACTTCGTCTGCTTCTCGTCTAGTACGGGATTGATGATACATAAGTTGGTGACATTGTTCTCGGCAACATAGTTGGTGGGGCATTTCGATCCAGACTGTCCCTTGATGAACGGTTCACCAGCCAGCAATCCTCTAAAAATGATTTTTGCATTTTGTTCATCAACGGTCTCACTCACCCTGGCGACAAACGGCAAACAAACAGATCCGTCTGTTCGATTGGTTCCCCATCTGGCGAGCTGAAGAAATAGTACGCATTTTGTAAAGTAATTCCGTAAAAACCTGTAACTTCTCTTCTCGGTCAGAACATTTCGGCAGTCCTTGGCCACAGCACATCCAATCTCGTCCCGATCCGCCCAGAAGAACTCTCCGAGGATGTAGTTGGTATGATTTGTATTAGTCAGCTGAGGAAGAAGGACTCAAAATCGAAGAGAACCGACGTTCCACTCACATCAGTTCCATTTTCAACCGTTCCAGCTTCTGGCGGTTCAACCATTTCCAGCTTGGATCCGCTACGATAGAAATATTGTCTGAGCTGTACAAGAATTGGGCAGATAACTTTTAGAGCAAACTTACAACATCAATCAACGTCGGATTTGGATTGTTCTCGACGTTTGTCCAGTTCAAAGGAAGCGCGACAATTCGATGGCTTGTCGTGCTGTTCTCCAATCGCGTATTGTTCTTGTCATCGGTCACATTCGATTGGAAAACGTAGGTTCTGTTTTCGCCACCGATGAAATCCCGACATCCTTCTTCCTTGACCAAATCCTCAAGAAGTTTACTGTACGCCTGAAATATCACAGTTTTGTCAAGTGGCAATGTTGAATGTCTACCAGCTTTTTCATGTTAGCCACCGGTCCGACAGTCATATCTGCAAATCACAAAACTGTCTTTTTTCAAAATGTACCTGTTGCCTCACTTATTCGTCTTTCCTGACTTTCCCTGAGAAGTTGCATCTGAGACGTGGCATTGAAGTTCGGTGCAAATTGGGTCAAGTTTGCAGTTTTCAACCTGTTCAAGTACATGGTGACGTATTTGGCAATGTCTTCGGTGAGATTTCCAGCGGCCACATGAGCCCGAAACTCGTTGATGTAGTTCACGTAGTCGGGTTGAATCGGCGCCGTTTGATTGGACGAATTGGTCGGAGCCGTCAGACCTGTGATGTTGCTCTGCTGATGAAAAGTAAGGGCTAGTTACCTTGATTCACACAGAGTGCAAGGAAAAAGGCGATTTTGATGATCAACATATTCCCAAACTAAATTAATATCAGTCGATTACCAATTGATAAGAGAACGACTTTTAAAGGTAAGTGGAGACGGTTCACGTACCGCCAAAAAGACCGGGGAAGCATTCACAATTCAAGTTTTTATTGTAAGCACACAATTCTAGAGCCAAGGAACAAGAGCAATACAGCAGGCAGCGAGAAGGATCCGTCGCTCGCGTCGTCCACCAACGCCATCAGAGTGACGTCTTCCTCGTCCGCAGCCTGTGATGCTCTCACCGGCTCCGGCTTCTCGTTCTGCCACGGAATACACAAATCGCCCTCCTCGTACCATCCGTCGTCGCGTCTCGTTATCTCGCATCTCGACTCCTCCGGACATTCGGAACAAGCGACGCCGATCTTGAACAGCTCATCGCGGTCGGCCGCCGTCTTTTTGAGAACACACACTGAATGCAGCAAGTGGTCGTAGCAGCCGATTTCAGTGCGCTCCGCAAAGAAAGCCTGAAAGTATTCCTTGTTCGGGAAGCAAGATCGATAGGTTTCACTCACGTTGGCACAACCAATGTCTTGCCCGGCTGGAATCGGAAACTTTTTCGGATAATCATGAGCTATCCAGACAAGAGTGATAATCATCTCAATCTGAAAATCAGAATTTGTGGGGAACAGACATTGCACAAGAGCTTACAACTCGCATGATCGTTCCAATTATTTCTTTGATCATTTTGTCCGCTTGGTCACCAAAGAAGATGGAGAGTGGAATTGCTTTGAGAATTTTCTGCAGCATTTGCATGATACTCCCCTGCCACATGAACATTGCGTATCCCTCTTTGCTTTCAAAGTTGAAATATTGTGTTTTACTTTGTGTCCACGCGATATGCTCCAATTCTCGGCTCCATTGCTGAAAGTGAAAAGCGAGTTTGGCCGAAGTCATCCGCCGCAACCTACCAGTCTGAACATATTGGCCGCTGGTCCTACTTTTGCAAATTTACCAAATTTTAACAGTTCCAGAATGGCAGTGATTCTGGAAATGGAGCCGGCGGCCATCATTGAACGACAGTCGTTGAAAAGATTGAGAGTTCTCGTGCGAAACTTGGCATCTCGTCTGGCTCGCAAACCAGAGTTCGCAAGTGATCCGAACGAACCGATCAATGCGCAAAGAAGAATGATGAGAAGCGTTTTCATGGTAGGGCGAGCAGAAAAGAGAGGAATAATACTGAATGAAGCAGCAACCTCATTAACTGATTAGATATTAGATAAACAATATCCAAACTGATAACACTCCTCTCAATTCATTTCCATTTTACGATGAAGTACTTGTTTCTCGCTTCTCTGCTCGCACTTTTCGCGATCCACCCGACCTACACTGAAAGAGAGGTTGATTTGTTCAACTTCCACGAGAAGACGCTGGCCCAGTTCAACCAAGCGCGGCGGATTATCGCTTCCGGATCGGCCGAAAATCTACTGAGGTTTCTTCGCAGCGCACTGTCTGTTTTCAAACAACTCCAGCTTCCTAACGTGGGTCCGGCAGCCAATATGTACAAAATGGTATTCGCAATGCGCATTTTCAAAGTAATTTTCGAGTTCAGAGATGGAGCCGTGAAATGGAACAAGTCGCCTATCGGATTTATAATTCTGGCGACGAAGACTTGATGTCAAAGAAGATAATGCCGGCTCTCGAGTCAGTGAAAGGGTACAAACACTTTACTTGGATGGGAAACATCCTCGATGTTCTCAAAACGATTCTCGACGTTCTCCCCGAGTCTTGGGTCGACAGTCTGCACGACTTGCTGGAATTGGTGAGTGCTTGATCGATTCTCAAATGAAATTACTTGATTCTGCAGATCGAAACCATCATAATTGTGATCTGGATGGCATGGAACTACCCGCCTGCGCACGAGAAACCGATCAATCACAACAAACATCACGCGTCCGCCGAAGCACTTTTCGCATCTCGATACGAAATCGGATGCTACTCTAATCTGATATTCGGAGTCTGTGTTGTCCGAGAGTTAGTTTTCTCTTTAAAATGTGTAAACGAATTGGATGCGAATGCGTTTCAGCTCGAGAGAAGACGAGATGCTCTTCGAGCCGGGCGTCGCCTGCTACAATTGTCCGGTCGGATCGCATTGTGAATGGACTCGTCTGCCAGATGGATACTTTGAAGAAGGAGAACTCTGCACCGCTCCGGACCCCAATGGAACTATGATTCTTGGAAAAGCCAATGGAACGACCATCTCACCGAAAGGCGCCTATGACAATTTGTCTGGAAATCCGACAATTTACCTTGCTATTCTCGTCATTTCTTGCTTTTTCCTCTTCAGACGCTCACCACTGAAAAGTCACAAGCGTGACAATGGAAAATTGATAAACTGATACTCTCAAATTGAATCGCAATCACTTTTTCTGAGCTCACATTTCAAAATCAAACGATGAAACTTGCTATATTGTTGGTCGTCGGCGGAATCGCCCTACTTTGCGTGACAGGATATCTGGCCTACGTGGACTTTGCCAACACCGTCTTCAACTTTTTCCGCAACCCTCAACACTACCGTATCCGCCAGGCTGCTCCGCAGAAAGAGCTCCGGTTCATCAGACGAAACCGGACGAATTTCAATAATGGGACGGAAAACGAACGGCTTCGCGACAGGGTTCTGCTGATCTTCAACTCTGTTCGAAGAATCATCGCGTCGGGAAGAATCGACGCGCTGATGAAGTTCGTGGAATCACTCGGCAACTTCCAGCTGAACATTCCTTTCGGACCCGCTTCAAACATGAAACTACTGGTAAGCAAAACATGCAAAACAAATCGACTCGATGAGTGTTTAGGAGTGGAGTTTTGAGTTGGAATCAATTGTGAAAAAGCATTACGATCCGAACGTTAACAAAATTACGAAAGACGCACTGGCGGCACAGAACGCTACTCAAAATCTGAAGAACAGCGCTCAGAACTTCCGACAGAATCCGAATTTGAAAACAGGAAAACAAGTTGTGCAGAACGTCGGGAAAGGCATCAAACAGATCGAGAATGTAATGAGCATGTTCAACGATGACACACTTCAGAAGATCAGAAAGTCACTGAGCAAAATCGACATTCCCGGGTTTCACGGCTTCCATTGGCCTGGTCTATTGGCCGATATTGTCAAAGACTTACTCGGGTCTCTCAAGATTCCGAAGGTGAGAAGTGCGATCGACCAAATATTGGCTCGTGCGGACATTGTGAGAATACTAATGGTGATTGCAACCGAAATGTGATCCATTTTGAGGCGGAAACTCTAATCTCACTGATTTACCTGGCAACCTCCTACCCGACAAACGGAAATGTGGCAACGAACGATATGGGACCGGCGGCGGTAGGCAATCGAGCGAAACTCTTCGTTCCCATTGAGATCTTCAACATTTCAGGCTCTCGTAGCAACTCGTCACGAAATCGGATGCTGGTCTAATAGAATCTTCGCCATCTGCATCGTTCGTAAAGACGACGCGACGACAATGTACGAGCAAGGAGCGACATGTCTGAGTTGTCCGCCCGGCTTCACCTGCGAGTACAGGGCTCAACCGGACGGAACGTTCATGGAGGGAGACATGTGCGTTCCTGACCCCAACTACGTGCCGCCTCAGAACTTGACAATGAACGGCACATCTACAGAAAGCTCGGGAACACGGGCGCTCTTTGATTGGAACCCCTTGTTCATGTCACTTTTTGCCGTGATGCTCTTAATTTGACTGATAAAAAGTGAACTGATTGTTTTTTATCCGTGTGATTCCGTAGAAGTGTCGTGAAAAACAGTTATTATCGAAAGATGAGACTGCTCAAATCGCTACTTTTGTTTGTTTTTTGCACCGCCAGAGTTCTCTGTGCCCCGCGCATCAAATGGAAGTGTCTGGACGCTTTCAATCAATTCCGATCGAAAGCAGCCGCCGGACAACTCAACGGAGCCATCCACAAAGCAGCCGGTCAGGCGATGGACACAAAAGTGTACGGATTTCCCGATATCGACAAGGACATTCGGAACAATTCCTTGAGGGCTTTGCAAATGCAGATTGGACCGATGGCGAATGTGAAGAAGTTGGTGAGTAAGCAAATGCGTCGTGCGTCGAAACCTCAAGATCCGTTTCAGTACTGGGATGAGAATCTTGTCAGATCGGCCAACAAAACTGCTCAAAAGTGCCCGCAAGTTGGTGGAAAGCGAGGAGAGGAGAATCGGGAGTTCTCGATGTACTACGATCCGACCGAACAAGAGGATATCGGGAAGATGATCGCCGAACGACTAAACTTCATGACTCCCTGGATGAAAAGCGTCACGCCTCCGCACGTCAACACCACCATGTACTTCTACGTCGCCGGCGAGTTTTTCTGGGCGACGCGAGAACGCATCGGATGTGTGATTGCCACGTGCAAGCAGCGAACACTGCTCGAGTGTCACATGGCGCCCGGGAACACGTTGGAAGGTCGGCCGTACATTGAGGGCAAACCGTGCAGCAAGTGTGAAGACGGATACTTTTGTGAGGAGAATTTGTGTGCGCGCGGGAAGTTGAAGCCGAAGGGAGAAGAATCGTCGAAATCGGGGGGAGAAGGCTCAACAAGCAGTTATTTGACTTTGTTATTTCTCATTCTTCTCATCGCTTGAATACATTTTCGAGTTGGACAGTTTTATTACATTTTGTGACAGGCTGCTGTGCCTGCAGCAAGTCGGAGAGAAGTCAGTTGGGTTGGAGAGAGAGAGAGAGGACGCACTGCCCGTCGTCCCTTTTCTCAGAAAGGACCTGTCCCTTCTTTAGTTTTATCCCCCTTATTTTGTAATATTTTTATATCTTTTTATAATAAATCTTTATAATGTAAGATCCAGCTTGTTGTATCTGAGTCAGAGTAGAAGAAACCGTGCCGGAGAGAAGGCGCGTTTTACAATTTATTCAAACCTAGTGTCTAGCAAAAAAGAGCGATAAAATGAAACATTCAATGGTGTTCAAGTTGTGAGCATTGGAGACCTCGAGCTCCGGCGGCAGAACAGTGACCTCTTCAACAATGACCTCCTCCACTTCAATCTCTCCCTCCATAATCTTCCGAAGTCGTGCCTGATCCACAAAGTCCGGGCTCGCTTCGCACATTCCCTCCGTACACTTGGTGCTGCACTTCCCACACGTTTCACCCTCTTCCATGAGTTGCAAACTTTCAATGGAACCCTTTTGTTTGACAGCTCTGTGAAAAGAAACTATAGTCTAGAAAACAGTGATCAGTGAAAGATAAACTTTTCATTGAGCGGTCCGATCAAACACCACGAGCCGATTCCATTCGTTCCGCATCCCACTTCTTCATAATAGTCGAACAGATACTGTAATTTGAACCTTTCAAGTTGGTGCTAAATGTAGGACCTTACTTCAAATATTTCATTCTTAACTTCCGATTCTTTGGCACTTCCGTTTGTGACTCTGGAGAACAACAACTGTGCACAGACCCAGACTGCTTTTAACTGGCAAATAAAAGAGTCGGTCTTTCTTCTCCGTCGCTTTGATAACTTACCGCATCGAAAATACTGCTCAGAATGGGGAAAAAGTCGTTCATGCATGATTCGAAGAGACTTCCGTGCTCGAAAGCCCGGTACATCTTTCCGTTGTACTCGTATCCCACTCCAGCCGTCAGGTCTTCCATCTTGGCGTAAACCAGTTGAGACAATCGTTTGTTCCATCTCTTCAACAGAAGAAAAAAATGAATATTAGTACTGAGCCGAACCGAACCAGCTCGTTCATTTTGGCTGCTGGACCTAGAAGGGGCTTATGAGCATTAATCGATTTGCCGCTGTTGTCTTCACTGAATCTTGCGTCAGGATCTCTCCGACGATGCCGTTTCAGTCCTGAAACGTGTTTTGTCTAACCACTGCGAACACCAACTACGCGTCACCCAGCCATGATCCAACATTGCTGAAAAACTTTTTCACTTTCAGCCACGCTTCGATGACACCTTTGACGATGACCTTCGCTGTGTCCCAAATGTGAAGAATCCACTCGATAGCTTCGCCGAAAACTTCGCGGAGCCATCCGCTTCCGACGTACGAGCGAATTTGGTTCAGCTGGTGCACATGGTGTTGATCGGTGGCCGAAAGCCGGCTTTTGAGGTTAAACGATTCACTTGTTGGTACTGAAACTCTATTCCAGAAATGACATGTGAGCATAATATGGTTACCCAATACAATCAGAGAAGCCCAGAAGAATAGCACTAGAAGAGTCCGGTTCATTTCGAAACGCACGATAGACTTTTATGGAAATGTCGTTATCAGTTTATCCTTATCAGCTTCAGAAGTTATCAGACGGGCAAAATGCACGTGGACCCACTGATAAGCTTACAGGAGGGAACGGATGGTTAGTCAGTTTGTTCGAAAAGTTCGATTCGATTCGTTAACGAAGACGATGCAACTCATCTTCTTCTTCGCACTTCTTGTCGCTTTGGGCAGTGAGTTTGCGAAGAAGTCGATGATATCCGTTGCCATTCTTCGTAGTCATCGGTGCGTCGGCGGAGAACAGCACGGAGACGCCGCGCAACGAAACGACGCATGTGCAAACGAGCGGAGTGGTCACCAACATCGCCTACTTCCACCTGCTCGCCTGTTTCGCCCTTGCAAAGCATGAGAATCCTTTGGACAGTCTGCTCAAATTGGCACGTTTTTGTGGAAACACGTCATAATGAGTGAGAGGACGTGTTCAGACTCTCGAAGTTTCTTTGGCTCCTGGAGCAAAGGCTCGTGCCGAAGAATGTCCGACAGAACGCCGCATCTCTTCCACGCACAACCTCACCGAGTTCTTCTTGGTCAGCGAAGTTCAGAAGCACAATCTGACAAAGTCCGCACGCAAACGTCTCCGGGAGAACGAGAAGGACTGGCCGGAAGTTGATCCGATGGTAACCGACTTTCGGACACCTCAATCCACTATAAAACTGTTTCAGGCTCGAATTGTACAAGCCGCTTTCTACACGGATAAACCGGAGATGGCGCTGGACAAGGAGACGTACGATGAACGCGAAGATCTGGGATACACTGTCAACGGCTACTTCTCGTTCGCGTGCGACATGGCTAACTGTAAGGATGACGGGAAGAAGAAGGCGATCATTGTGTGCCACATGACACGAGGAGTCCCGCCGCAGAAGAGAGTCATCTCGAAGGCCGAGTACGAACGACGCTACGGACCGGTGGAGCCGAAAGCCGATTCTGGAGCTGCCCACGTTCCTCTGCTCGTTTCAATGATACTTGTCGTTCGGGCTCTCTTCTGAGCTGAACACATGAACTTTTGTGATGAAAAGTAATTCTAGAAATAAACATTTTATTCGTTTGAGTCAATAAAGAAGCGTGAACAAAAGAGCAATGAGCATAGGCCCCATCGCCAGACTCGCTCCGTCCGGCTCCTCGGGCTCCAACAGCTGGATCGGCCGTCCGTCGCGATTTCCCTGCAGCACATATGACTTCTGAGTCTCGCTGAGTTTCGGATTGATGATACACAAGTCGGTTTCATTTTGCTTCACATAGTTGTCCGGACAGTTCGAGCCAACAGTGCCGCTCTCGAACGCCGCCGATGAGAGTGAGAGTGGCGGTCCCGGTGAAATGTGACAAACGAGCATGTCAATCGGAGTTGGAAGAGTCTCCATGCCCGTCCGAACATTCGGACATCCTTGCACCATTGCGCATCCGATCTCGTCACGGTCCGCCCAAAACAACTCGCCGATGATGTAGTTGGTGTGGAATGCACTAGTAGTCGGTGGCTCGACTTGTTCCAATTTCCGCGCATTCACTTCGACATACTTTTCAAGCTGAAAACAAAACAGTCACGAGTGGAAAGGCAGCACAAACTCGCCGCTTCCGACACATTGAGTGCTTTCCCATTCGAACCGGTCGAATTGAACTGCAGAGAAACAATTCGATGGCTTTCAGTGTAGTTTTGGAGAGTGACATTATTCGTGCCCTCTTCTGTCACATTGACGCGCCACTCGTAGTTCTTGTTCGTTCCTCCGAGAATCTCTTGACAACCGCCATCCTTCGCCATTTTCTCGAGAGTTCCGTTCCACGTCAGCTTCTTCATATTGGCCACTGGACCGACCGTGTAATCTGTAAAAAGTGTGTGTTCCAGGAAAAGCCCGCGGATTTTTAATGTACTCACTCAGCCGTCGACTTATTCTTCTGCGGATGATCTCTTTTTGACGAGCGGCATTGAAAGTGGTCACTGAAAATAACCGAATATGAATAATGCTTTTTCAACACTCTGACTCACCATTCGTTCCAGCGCCTTGCACCGTCGGCATTGAGGCAGGCGCCATCGAAAAATTGTAGTTGTTCAGCTTCTGCAGATATAGATTCGTGTAATTTCTGATGTCCTTCGTCAGATTGCCTCTGGCCACGTAGGAACGAAAGTTGTTGATGACTTTCACATAATCTGGCTCAACTGTTGAGTTTGTCAGTGGTGCTGTCGCGTTTTGTGCAGGAGCTGAAGAAAGTGGCAATAGCTGGATGGGAAACTGCTCTGGTTACCTTGAAAAGGGCAGAGTGCAAGGAGAAAGACGATTTTGATGATGGTCATCATTTCGAACTAAGGTTGGTTTGACTGGATTATCAGTCGAGTGATAAGAAACAACAAAAAGGGAGCACGTATGTGTCACAGATTTATAATATCTCAGTTCAACGCCAAAAACGAAGACACAAAACGAGAACGACGCCGAAAACAATGAGATACTCGGGTCGGCAGCCGTCACTCGTCATCGTCGACGTGAAATTCAATCCGGAAGCGTTATCCGCCTTCGCCTTCAGGTACTTCTCGTCGAGAATGCACAGATTGCCCTCTCGATACGATCCGTCGTCCTCGCGGAACCATTCGCACTGCGATCCGTCCGGACACTCGACACACGAGGCACTCCTTTTGAACAATCTTCCGTCGTATTCGGCTCTGTAAATTCAAAAAGCCGCAATGTAAAGGAACCGGCGAATCCCTACTCTCCGAGCACACAATAGGAAAAAATGACTCGAGAGTAACAGCCAACTTCATATCGTTTCGCGTGAAGAATTTCCGTGGCTCCAAAAGATCCGTGTTTATCTCGTGGATAATGAAATGGGTCGAGAGGATAGTTGACTGCCATCCAAATTATAATCACAATGGTTTCAATCTGAAGAATATCTTCCAAAGCGGGTGAATGTCCTCCGTTGACCTACTAGTTTTTGATATTTGTTGATCATGTCTACAAGTTGTTGCCCTCCGAACCCTTTGACGACTTCGATCAGCGCATCGACTAAGTCGCCGGCCCAATAGAATCCCGGATTGCCTCCTGTATCAGTTCCGCTATTCTTGAGACCTTTCGTGGCCGACGCGTCAGGAACCATCCCCATCGCCTTTTTGTACGCCATTTGCTCAAGAGTTCGATTCCATTTCTGTAATCAGACCACTGAAAATATCATTGAACACTGTATTAACCAGTTTGTACATGTTGGACGCCGGTCCGACCGATGGCAGTCGTCTTAAAAGGGCTAGAGTTTCGAAAAACTTCTCCAAGTCTCCGGAAGCGATGATCGTCCGCGCGTAGTTGAATCTGCGAAGTGTGTGATAGCGAAAATCGAACGGATCCGCCAGATTCCGCTCGTGTTTCGCCTCCTGCCGAGACCTCATTTCCGCGTCCGAAACCGGCAGTACTGAACGACGAGCAAATATTGTGGATCTTTTGGATGACCTACCAAGTGGCATCAAAGCCAGAAGTATTATCAACAAATGGAAAATCGACTTCATTTTGAACCGATTGTATTCGGAAATAAAACGAGAACTTATCGCTGTTGTCCATAATCATTTTTTACTTTGTACGTTATCTGTTGTGTTCGGTTTTCCATGGAACTACCGTAGTGACTTTGAAAGGACAAAACCGTCCTTCACTTTTACTTTCTCTCTCTCTCTCTCTCTGCCTCCCAATTATTATTCGGAATGAAAAGAAGAATGGGAAAAGGAGGAGAAGGAAGAGAATACATAAAAATCCGAGGACAGGTGTTTTTGGTTCCCCGTCCGTCCGTCCGAACGAACGAACGAACGAACGCAAAAAAGCGGCGCCAAGGTGACCATTCGAAAGGTGTGATTTATGGGGGAACGGAGGAGAGAAGCCACCGTTTCACCCACTTTCCGGGCTTGCCTTTCGACGAGCTAATTGGCAGTTTCGAAACGAAAAATGGGAGAAAGAGAGAGAGGATTACTGTAGGTTTTGGGGGTCTTTTCAGTGAAAATATCAGGCTTGGTTGTTCATTTTGCTCCTAAAAACCAATGGGCGCCACGTCACAACCATTCATTCATCCCCACCCGCAATCAGAAACAACCTTTTCAGAAGCGCTCTCCGTCTATGACTCAGACACTCTTTGTCGGCGGCGCCCGTCTCCAGGTGTCCTTTTATTTGAGTACTTTAGCGCTTTCTGTTGGCGCCAAATGTCTTTTGGGAACGAACGAACGAAACGATCTGGGAACCGGGTCAGAATCTCAGCCAAGAGTGAACATGGTGGTGCTCGGAATGACACCATCCTGATAAACGATTCGAAATCTCTTTCAAGCAGTTTCGCCTCGAGTTCAGGACGATGTCAATGGGAACAACAACAACAGGAGTAGTACGGTTGAGAAGAGCAGAGGGGGGCCACACGATCGCCCGTTCGGACGGCCTCCTTTTATTGGCACCGACGAGAGAGAGAGTCGTAATGGAGAGCGAAGAGAAGGAGAGGAAGCGGGCGCCGGACAGACTGGCCCCGCCCACACAATAATGTGCTCGTGACGGACGGACGGACGGACGGAAGAACGGCGCCCTTCTTCTTTTGAGAGACGAACGAAGGAAACCGATGAGGAATGAGGGACGAATGGATTTATGCGAAGTGGCAGACAAATTGAGGGGTTCGACTGGGAACGACGCGGCTTTTGGGTAGACGAGTTGGTGCGGGAAGAGGGTGGTTACGGTAGAAATGTTCGTGTTCAGCTTTGTCTGTTCGTGTCGGAGCTCTCAGCTGATGGGGACTGTTCACATCGTTCTGGTTCACAGACGTTCCCCTCATTAGTTGTCTCAAGAATGCGTTGCAGAGTGGCATCTGTAAAAACTGACCGAAATTTTGAGTAAATGCTCACCTCGCTAGAAAATTTTCCTTCTCGAGCTAGCTACTTTCAGGCGTTTTTTTCAGAAAGGGGCCATGGACGTGGAGTTTTCTAGTCCAGTAGACAAAAAATGCCGTTCAAATCCTGATCTTTTCCGTACAGTTGACAAAATTTCATTTCAGGTGTCGCTCCTCTTGAAACTACGAATGGTCATGGAAACTCGTCGCTTCGCTTCTCAACACTGCAATACATGATTGAGGAGAAGTACGTTTTTTAACAGTCGCTTACCGTGTCATATTCGGGTTCTTCTTTCAGTAGTTCTCTGATGAGTCGACGCGAAGAGAATGGACAAGAGAAGTCATCGACAGGGAAATGATGTTGGAAGTATATTTGGTTTACCTGAAGGAAATGAATGCCCAGCTCGGCGCTCTCCGCCGCACTCAACGAGGCTTACCCGGGAATACAATTTGATTTTTAAACGAATGAATGATTTCGAATTATATAATTTACTCAACTGATAAAACCTTGTGGAGTTGGATGGAATTCGGGGGGCTCAGAAAAGAGCAAGGACGACGAGAAGAATAAAATCATAAAAATAGATTAACAGAGAAGAGCGGGAATTTTAGAAGGGATCTGCGATTATCAGCTGTTTTGCAAGGGCGAAACAAGTTTTAGCGGAAGAGATTCGGAGAACCGTCTGCGGCACTCAGTGATACGGATTCGCGCGCTTCTCGAACATCATCTTGACACGACGCTCCTCGAGAGACAGCGTGTGATCGTCGGGATGAACAATCCGGGTGCGGGAGCCCAGTTTCGACGCGACCGCCGCCGCCGCAGAAGACGCTGTTAAGGCTGCGATCGGCTGAAATGAGAATAGATTGGTTTCTGATGGCTTTTCCCCATTTCTCACCTCGAACTCTGTCTTCACCTCTGTCTTCGGCTCAAATCTGCTTCCTCCGGGCCCTCCCCGATCTGCCGGTCCGTCCCGTTCTCTGAACCGATCGTCGTACCCTGCTTGATGATATCCTCCGTCCTCATGTCCTCCGTACTCTTGTGACTCGTGTCCATTGTGCTCGTAAGGTGGTGTCCTAGGTACTCCCCGCGATCCACCCCACCGATCATCGTTCGGCTGATCGAACCGACTCCTCGGCATCGGCGGTCCCATTGGCATTCCCATCGGTTGACGCGGCGGTGGATAGGCTCCCGGCATTCCGGGCGGCGGAATGTAGACGCCTGGCGCCGGAGCCGGTGGGTAGCCTGAATGGCGCGGGGGCGGATAGGCTCCGGGCATTCCGGGTGGCGGCGGCATCATCCCTGGATGCATTCCCTGTGGCATTCCGTAGCCCATCGATGGAGGCGGCGGCCCTGGAATTCACATTGTGATAATTCCCATGAAATTTCCGATTTTCCCTCACCTGATGGCATCGGCGGCATCCCTGGGAACGGGAAGTGTTGTGGGAACGGCATCGGAGCCGGCAACGGAGGCGGCGCTGGATCCGACCTCGACCGCTTCTCCTCTGGCTCCTCGTCGGCAGCTACAACACAAAAATCGATAGTCTCCAGCCGGATCACCCGAAAACTAACCTCCACGATAGGCTCCTACTGGAATTCCCTGCATTCCGTAGATTTCCACGTGAATATTGTCTCTTCCGTGCACTGCCGCCGGAATCTTATCGATTGTCTCCTTGTGAACCTGTAAATCGAGAAATATGTCTAATTCCGCCGGAAAAACTTTAAAATAATGCATTATTCTGTTTCTTAACAGAATAGAAATGAAATTACACACCTGCATGCAATGAATCGACAATCCAGGTCCACTGAACAGCTTTTTGTGGCAAATGTGGCATTTGAAATGTTTCGCTTTCTGGTGCTGAATCAGAATCTTCTCGTCGTCGAATTCTCGATTACAATACCTGAAACGCGCCCATTTTCAGTAAAAAATGGGGGGAAAAGATGGAAAACTCACCAGCACCACGGCTTATCGACCTTCTTCTTCTTTCTTCCCATTTTTTAACAATTTTATCGACTATCCGTCTCTACAACAACGAAAATAATTAATTTGAAAATGAAAAGTTGAATTTTTGAATGAAACAGCGCAAGAAAACACTACGAAACGTGCAAAAAATCGAAAAGCAACCGTCAGTTCTGCGCGGAAAAATTCAATTTTCTGCGTGCGGCGCGGAAAAGTGGGCGGAGCCTAGCGTTCGCAAGTGTACCGCACACTTTCAGGGCGGTTTTAGGGCGATAAAAGATTGGATAAACATTGTAAAAAGTTTATAAATAGGAGGGAAATCTCAACGCATTTTGAGCTGAAAAATAAGTTATCACGAAAATCAATTGAAAATGAAGAAAAAATGATAGGAAAAGAAAGTGGATTATGCTCGGAAACCCGACAGAACGATAGAAAAACGCCTTAAAAATCTGAAAGAAGAGAAAAAGACAGGAAAGGAAAGGGAAAAGAGCATGCAGTAAAAGTGAAGTCAAGTGAGAAAAAGAAGAGATAAAACGAGTAAATTTAAATCTAGTCTTCGTCGACGAACGAAATGGTTCCGGCGTTCTTCATGTACCGCTTGTACCGTTTGTACCGCCCTGATTGTGCCATTTTCTCCAGGTCCGCGGCGTCTCGTTCCGCTTTGTAAACTGCACAGTTCGCCTTGATCCAGCACTCGCGCTCCAGCATTTCGTCAATGTCGGCGTCCGTGAAACGCTGAAAACAACTCGTTTATCAAAGAAATTCCTGCAGAAAAACCTGATCGAATTCGATTTGCGGCACTCCCAGATACTTTCTGATCAAATAAAGCTTCGCCTTCTCGTCGTACTCTTCATTTTTAACGGCGAATCTCCAGTACCAGATGACCGTCCATTGGGCGTAACGGAAAATTGTGAACGGAAAAAGGACGGTGTGCCAGGCCAGAGTGTCGTAAATCGACTCCTTCTTGTAGCCTCCGCTGCAAACATTTTCAGATAGATTCGCGAAAAATCTGAAAAAACTGACGTCACATCGAGATTATCGATTATGATTTGCTTGATAATCGCGTCATTGTCCACTCCTTTCGTCTTTTTCAACTTTCCGTTTCTGTCCATTTCGAGCACCTGAAAATGTATAAAATCTAGAAATTCCAGCTTTTCCAGCATACCCCCTTGTCGATTCCGTCCTTGATGGCCATATTTCTGAACTTTCCGACGCTCGTCGCGTATTCGATCGCCTCCGAAAACTTGTGTTTTGCGGATAGGTACTGGAAATGTTAGTTTTCAATGACATTTTTCAAATAATTGCCAACCTGGAACAGAGAAATCAGCAGAATTGTGCCCACAATGACCACGCGAACGTCGACTTTCGGGGCCACACGAAGCCGATAGTACTGGTAGTAGTTGTAGAGTCTCTCATCCGGATGGTCGAGGTAGTAGTCGTACGTCGTCCGCGATTCCTCGTCCTTCAGTATTTCGTAGGCGGTGGCGACTGCCCGGAAGCGCTCTTCTGCGAGGAGTTTCTCTTCCTGAACGGCAATTTTGAAAGGGAACAGTACTTGCGGGATCCCTTTTTTTTTAAACGGAAAACAATCATTTTTTCATCCCCTGAATAGCCCCATAAGCTAAGAGCACGTCAGAAAAAAGAAAAATGTCTGCCTTTCATGCAGATTTCGCAGCCGATTTCCTTCTCGTGAAGTACACAAGCTTGCAACGTAAAGCATAGCGAGCGGCGAAAGCCGAGAGTCGTCGGCTGCGAAATCCGCATAAAAGCAGGTCTTTAACCGTTTTCCATCGGTTTCATGGCTTGGCGAAAGGGCCAGTGTTTAAACATCTCGCCTAGTTACTGGCCTGAAAAGTCAGTAATTAACACAAATTTTTGGAAGGGGTACCCCGGTACTCCTTATTCTCACCTTGTTCTTGGCCTTGTCCGGATGGTGTTTCCTCGCTTGTCTTCGGTAGGCTTTCGCCAGTTTCTGTTTGTCAAAGTCTTCTCGGTTGAAGTCAAGCACTGAAATTGTCGTCTTCTGAGCAGAAACGTCCGCGCAAGGCACCCACCCTCATAGCAGTTTTCGAGTCCGCAGTACAATTCGGGCGCGAATCCGACCGATTCGCATTTTGGGGCGAAAAACGCCAAGAGTACGAGAATAATTGGCGCCCCAAATACTGAGCGCATGCTGGCTGCAAATCAAGAAAATAATCGAAAAGGAGAACAAAAACGCAAACATTGCACACCGATTTCGGGCGTTTCCTTGCAAACAAATAGGGCTATTCGCCAGTGATTTTTGGGGGGCGTTTCGACACATTTATCATGACGATACGAGACGAAATTATCAATAAACTAAAAGATCTACGAGAGTTCAGGGATAAACGGAATAAAATGGGTTCACTCCGTGATTTTCGCCTTCTTCGACGACTCCTCCGTTCCCTCGTCGTTTTCTTCGACCTCTTCCTCCTGCGACTTTCTCTTCTCGACCTTTCTGCTCTGCGACTCGGCGTACTCGGCAAAGTATTTGTGGTACAGATCGTTGTCGACTTTGAGGAACGTGACTAGAACGATGCGCTCCATCTGAAAAACTCTAATAATTCGATTGAAAACGGTGATTTGAGTACAAACCATGTCATCCGTCTCGAGAAAATCGGTCACGAACTTGGTGACGGTCTTGGCGGCGTCGTCGTTTGGATAACCGTAGACTCCGGTCGAAATGCAGCAAAAGGCCTGCAAAAAGACGGAGTTTCGAGGCGAGATCAGCACTGAAAAAGCGGACCAAAGTGGTGTGGGCCAGACCCAAGGCCATGTGCGTGGCCGTTCCGTAGCAAGAGAGCAGATCCTCGCGGTCGCTGTCCTTTACGTGGCCGTACACTTGCGGTCCGACCGTGTGGATGATGTCTGCAAAAAAAGGAAATTGAAACCGTGATTTTACGAAAACTGACTTTTGATGTGTTTCATGTTGCAGCCAGAAGTGAGCACGGAGTCACCGACCATGCACGAGCCGAACCGCTGGCATTCCTCTTGCAGTTTCTCCCGTCCGGCAGCCCTGTGGATCGCCCCGTCCACGCCACCGCCTGAAAACAATCAGAAGGTGCATTTTTTCTAAACAATCACCTCCTCTGAGACTGCTGTTGGCCGCGTTGACAATCGCATCGACTTCTAGCTTTGTGATGTCTCCGTTCCAGATGCTCACACGATCCAGCACCTTTTTGGCCACTTTCACTGCAAAAATAAATGTTTTTAGACGCTTTACATTTTCCTAGGATTTTCAGCTTTAAAGGCGAAGCTCGCCGGACTTACGTGATTGGAAAAGGGTCGGAATTTCAACAAGAGTCGTGACTGACATTTTATCACTGAAAATCAATGAAAATTGTGATAAAATTTGATAAAATAGGACGAAAAACGCGTGGAAGCTTTAATCCGAGAGGAGTACACGACGCTGCGGCCTAGGATTTGCACGCTGGCGGCCGAACATTCGCATCGCGCCCTCCAGAATTTTCTTATTTTTCAACTGAATTTTCGCAATTTTCAGATGTTTTAGCCGTAAAATTGAGAAAAAACCGTTTGATCAAAGTAAAAAATCATAAGTAAAGTCTTCAGAATGTCGGGAACAGCAAAAATAGTGACGGCCGAGGACCAGGCGCTTCTCAACAAGTTCGCGCGATCGTTTCAAGTGCAAACTCAGCTGAAAGTAAGCAAAAATCCGGGAAAACATGGCGAAATTGATAGTTTTCAGACAGATCTCGAGAACGCAAAGACGCAAGTGGAGAATATCAGCGAGGCGAACGACGAGATTCTGATGCTAGACGACGAGGACGCCGCGTCGATTCCGTGCCGCATCGGAACCAGCTTCGTTCATTTCAACGGGGTAAATTTGGAAAACTTAAAAAAGCAGAATGACAGCCCATCTGTGGATTTTTTCAAGAAAAACACGATTTTGTAGTTTTTCAATTGAAACCGCTAGCGAAAAGTAGATAAAACGCGGAAATTTCTTGTCTGTATCGTGCCGCTGCAAAATTATCAGCAATAGAGCGCTTTTTTTTAAATGTCTCTAAAAATTCCTTTTCTTTTCAGGACAGCCTGACGGAGCATTTGGAGGGCAAAAAAGCGGAGGCGGAGAGCGTGGTCGCACAGAAATCGGTCGAATTGGAGGCGATCACGGCCGAAATGGAGCGAATCAAGAAGGTGCTCTACGCAAAGTTCGGCGATCAAATCAATTTGGACGCCGAAGACTGATTCTCAATTCATTTTTTGCAATTTGCCCTAAAGTTTTCACATAAATCTGCTTGCGCACCTCCAATTCGCTTGCAAAAGTGTGTTCACTGTTCACTTTTGTGTATTTCTTTTCTTGTTGCTGACATTTTCATTTACCTTATCTCTAAATGGCACCATTTCGGCCGTCGTCCCACAATCACACCAGATCCGCGAAAAAATTGATATATTTAGCGGAATTTTCGGGGGAAACAATTTTTGATTGAAAATCTTCCAAGTGCGAGGGTGGATTTTCGGATTTTCGATAAAATTGATTAAAATTCCATTATTTATAATTTTACAGCCGACGCGCCCGTTTTTATCAGTCTGCCAATCTTATCAGATCAAGAACGGACCGAATGACAACATTGTACCTTATTTTAACAATTTGTGGAAAAAATTACCAATTTCCCCGAAAATCGTCCAAATTAGTCGCAATTTTCTTCTCGGCCAGACACCATAAAAATCGTGTTGTTCTCACTTTTCCCTCCGATTTGTCATCATTCACTCGCATTTTATTTGCACTTTTCACCTCAGAAAGTCACATTTATTTGTGGCCATTCTCCTCCGACTGGTGTGCCGGAAATTTCCGCCGGATTTCTCTGTTTTCTATTGCCAAAGATCTCTTCGAGACCAAAGTTCACATTTTCGAGTTTAATGAACCGCGAAAGTGGCCGCTGATTACACTCTTTTTCTGTGGCGATTTCGAGCGATTTTAATCCGAATTTTTGTCAAATCCCGTGACAATTTGTGTCTCCTTCATATTTACGTCAAATTTTTCGGAAATTTAATTCCACAACTCGTAAATCATCATGAATTCACTGGCCTTAAAAAGTGAGCAAGAAAAAAGTTACACAAAAGTTTCGAATTTCGGTCTCGGAAACTCAAAAACCAGCAATGTTTGTCGGGAGAACATTCACTTGTCATCATCGCTTTTTTTCTCGTTCAATTTCAGTAAATATTTTCATGTTTGCCCACTTTTTCTCGTTTCTCTCCGTCTCGTCGCGGTCACACAAATGTTATAGTTAGACTACGGGCCGACACACACTTCTACTAGTCATCACTTTATGGTCGAATTTTTTTCTTGAACACATATTTCACAACCTCACGCGAGACCAGTTTGTGATAAATGAGGGAAAACATTAACACATCGGATGGGATGCGAAACAAAAACAAAAGAGGCACTTTGTACTTTTGTCTAGTATTCGGGTGTGTGAAGACGTTCTCCCGTCTGTATTCTTATTTTTCGATAAATTTCTACAACTCTAAAGTTCAGGCAATTTTGTCATTATTTCTCTCTTCTTTTTAGAAACTGCTTCCTAGGCTAATGTTTATTTGTTGACTCAAGTCCCTCACTCCCACTTTACCAGTTCGTCTCCCCTCTGATGTCTAGTAAAAATGGCGGGCCTTTTGCAGGAATGACGGACGAGTACAGAAGGCATTCGGTGTCGGCGCCCCTCTCGAAGGACCTCGTCGAGTGTCTCCGCGAGTCGATGCAGAGGGAGATCAAGTTCGAGACTCCCTACGTTTTCGTCGTTTTTGGAGCTTCGGTAGGGCGCAAATCAGTCTTGCTCAAAAAGTTTCTAAGCCAAAATCCCTGCTTTTTGAGTAAAATTAGGGGTTTCAGCTTCAAATCGCTATATTATAGGGGCACCGGATAGAAAGGGCCCGCTGTTCGCAATCTGGCCGAATTTCTAGGCCGCGAAGTAATTTTCCACTGAAAACGTGGCCTAACTTTTCAAACTCGGCCCCGAGGTCGCTCAATTTGCTCTGATCGTTCAGATAATTTCATAGTTGTAACGGGAAGTACTTTGCAGGGCGACCTGGCAAAAAAGAAGATATACCCGACGCTGTGGTGGCTGTTCCGCGACAACCTCCTGCCCGTCAACATCAAGTTCGTCGGCTACGCGCGCTCCGATCTGACCGTCAGCCGCCTCCGCGAATCGTTCGAAAAGTACTGCAAAGTGCGCGAAACCGAGAGATCCGCGTTCGACGAATTCATCAAGCATTGCTCTTACGTTCAGGTTTCCTCGTTTCTTCTGGGAATTCCTAATAGTCTCAAAAGATTTACAGGGCAAATACGACACTTCAGACGGATTCCAACGCCTCCAATCGTACATTGACGACTTCCAAAAAGAAAGTCACAATCGTAAGGCTTCCCCCTTTTCCCGGGAAACCTACAGTAATCCTCCGTTCAGAAGCCGTCAACCGTCTCTATTACCTGGCCCTCCCCCCGTCGGTCTTTAATGTCGTATCGACGGAACTCAAACAGAACTGCATGGACAAGGGCGACTCGTGGAGCCGTGTCATAATCGAAAAACCGTTCGGACACGACTTGAAGTCCTCGTGCGAACTGTCGAATCATTTGGCGAAACTGTTCAAAGAGGATCAGATCTATCGAATCGATCACTATCTGGGCAAGGAAATGGTGCAAAATCTGATGGTTATGAGGTTCTGACACTCTTTTTTCCGCCCGGCCCCTGACCTCGAACCCTTACAGATTCGGAAACCGCATCCTTGCTCCGTCGTGGAACCGCGACCACATCGCCTCCGTAATGATCTCGTTCAAAGAGGACTTTGGGACGGGCGGCCGCGCCGGCTACTTCGACACGGCCGGAATCATTCGCGACGTGATGCAGAACCATCTCATGCAGATTCTCACTCTCGTCGCCATGGAAAAGCCGGCGAGTCTGAACGCGGAGGACATCCGCGACGAAAAGGTCAAGGTGCTGAAGGCGACGAAGGTTGTGGAGCTGAAGGACGTCGTTGTCGGACAGTACGTCGCCAATTCCGAGTGTCCACGTGAGAACCCATCGAGGATGAATCTCTCGAATCTTTTCATTGCAGACCCAGAAGCCTCGCACGGCTACCGGGACGATAAGGACGTTCCGGCCGACTCGACAACGCCCACCTACGCACTCGCGGTCCTCCACATTAACAACGAACGATGGGAGGGAGTGCCGTTCTTCCTCAGATGCGGAAAAGGTTTGACCGAACTGGCTAGTACTTGTAATTACAGAAAATACCATTTACAGCTCTGAACGAAAAGAAAGCCGAGGTGCGCATCCAATTCAAAGAGGTTTCCGGAGACATTTACCCGGCGGGCGAGCTGAAACGGTCGGAGCTCGTGATGAGAGTTCAGCCGAACGAAGCGGTCTACATGAAATTGATGACCAAGAAGCCGGGAATGGGATTCGGCGTCGAGGAGACCGAACTCGATTTGACCTATAATAATCGGTGAGGGAATGAGGGGATTTCTGGCAAAACGTTGTCAGAAAACTGAGAAAATTTGCCTTGAAGTATCACTGTTTGTCTTCAAAACGTTCCATTTGTCAGGTACAAGGAAGTACGACTTCCGGACGCGTACGAACGTCTCTTCCTCGAAGTGTTCATGGGATCGCAGATCAACTTCGTTCGAACTGACGAGCTGGAGTACGCGTGGCGCATCCTGACGCCAGTGCTCGAGCAGCTTGAAAAGGAGAAAGTGAAGCCGGTTGAGTACAAATTCGGAAGGTAACACCCCTCAAATCTAATCAGATTTAATGGTATCCTTGCAGCCGCGGACCGACGGAAAGCGACGAACTGATGAAGAAGTATGGATTCGTGTTCACCGGAACCTACAAATGGGTGGCGCCGAAACTGTGAGGAAGAAACGACTCATAGATGATATTTGTGTAGTTTCACGTATTCCAATGCAGCTAGTATTCTTTTCACTTTTCTTCACATACTTCTGAGCTTCTCCCCACCTACTTATGTCTATTCCCAATTCCCCCAATTCATATTCGCATTCACTTTCCTCTTTTTTTTTTTGAAAAATCGATTTATTAATGGCAATTAGTTAGCAGTGTTAGAATAGGTTACAATATTATTATTATTAACAGATCAATTTCTTCGCAAACGCCGGCGCCAAGTGTTGAGGGTTCCGAAGAGCAAAGTAGACGAGATCCAGTGACGCCAACGCGTCCTCTTCCGAGCAATGTCCGAATCCATTCTGAATCTGGTACCCCAGCAGTTGATCGGTCAAGTTGCGAAGTGCCGGTCGACGGTTCGTGTGGGCGTAGAGGATCGAAGAGTCGATGATTCTGGAATGGATTATCCCGAGTGCTTTGAGGTCCCCGTTCAGCCCGTGGCCCACCAGAACGCTCTTCTCGTTGAGGTACTGAAAGAGCATCTGACGGGCACAGTCCAAAGACAAAGTGGCCTTTTCCATGTCCTCCAGCGTGAGCCCGGAGAACTCTGTGACCGGATCGAACACGGGATCTTGTGGCTTCACGAGCGTGTCCACCAGCACCTTCCCGCTCTGATCCACCATAGTCACCCGACCTACCTCCTGTCCTCTGCTCGTGTAAACCATCTCCACGTCGATGGCGAACAACCGATCGGACTGATGCTCATTGTGGAGGCTCACTTTCGGTGCCCTCACGAACATTTTCAGTTTTTCCTCCGGTTGCTGATCTGTAATATGGTAGTTGAACTCACCGTTTCTACTCATGCAAACAATCGAATCGGCTCGTCTCTGATGTCCGTCGCTCGCAACTTGATAGGCGTACTGGCAACGCGTGCACACTCGGATTCGATCTGAAAACGAGATATTGAATAGAAACGATTGGAAATCTTGTTTGAAACTTACCATTTTGCGCGTAGAACATGTTTCGGTTTCTCTGAAACTCGTTCTCTTTAATGACTACATTTCCAAACACTACACATGGAAATCCGAAATTGAAAAGTTGTTCCGCATTAAGCAGAAGCTTCTCGTTTACCGGCTCAAAAACGGGCACCGGATTGTGCACTGGGATGACGGGAACCACGTGGTACACTGGCACGTAGACACAGGTAGCAATTGGGGCAAATGTATAGTGCATCATTCTTGGTTTTATAGAGAATAGTTTAGAAATCAAGAGAGAAAACAGGGCGCACCAGTTCGGATGAACGTAAGACGATGAATGAGACTGAAACGGACTGAAACGACCGCGAGCAGGCGTAGTTGCCTTCCGGGAAACAACACACGTGCAGATGGAGGTGCCGACAAAGGTGGGAAGGGGGGAGAGGGGGGTCAGACCGTCTTGTGGGACCACACTGTATCTTCACCCGGTACCATATGGGGTTCGCTACGGTTTTGAGGTTATTATGGTCCAATGTCCATGTGTTTTCAGTCTTGAATTTCATTCATGTTCTATATTTGAGTGAGTTTTCTTGTTTCAGAACAGTTCCGATTCTGCTCGCTGTTAAAACCTGAAGAGGAGCACTGACGAGAAGAGACGTTGTGTGAATATAACAAACTTTAAACGTGTTCCATTCCAAAAATTACAGTCTTCAATTTGCAATGTCTTCTTTCAGCGTTCACCTCAGTTTTCCTATTCGTAGAAATTGCTCCGTAGGGCGTGATCCGGAGGAGTCAACATTCCGAGAGGCTTCAACTTGTCCGATGTCACTTCCCAACAAGAAAAGAACACGCGGGTGAACTAAGCAAAAGCTTCAGATGATTCTGAAGAATCAAAACTTCCAGCTCATCGCCTTCCACTCTCCACACTCCGCTAATCTCTTCACTTCCGACCATAATTGTTGCCTTTTTCATTCAATATCAAATAGAAGATGAGTTCCGAGAACTCGTCGCCAAACTTGGAGTTGAGAGCGATTGGAGTGGAGAAGTTGTCACTGGAGATGAAGAGAACGCTGGCCAAAAACGCGTTCGAACTTGTCTAACTCCCCCTAGGCATTGTGCGGTTTAGTGCGCGTGCTCCTCTCCTCGATGACCAGAGTTCTTCTACATCCCTTCTCTGTAGTCTGTCCCTCTTCTCTGTCGCCTGCAAATCTGTTTATTTCCCTCACCGCGTCCTCGCTAGTACACGTCAACAAAAAGGGCGAAAACAGAAAACGTTCAACTAAGAGTGAGCAATGTCGGCCGTATAAAAAGCCCCCAACAGCCACTGAAACCCCATCTTTCTTTCTGAAAATGTCCGGAGGCCATCAAAGCGTGTGGACCGACGGATCATGTCGTAACCAGGGAAACCCGAATGCGACCGCCGGATACGGAGTCTACTGGGGACCCGGTGAGTCATGTGTCCCACAGAAGGAAAGCTGAAAACTATATCGATTGTAGGACATCCGAACAACCGCAACGGACCGGTCGCCGGTCACCAGGACAGCAATCGTGCGGAGCTGCGTGCCGCTCAACAAGCCGTCCGCACTGTAAGTAGTTGTAGTTTCCTCTGAAAGACCATATGATACATTTCAGGCTTCGAGACAAGGAGTGCCGAGCATGACGATCCGTTCGGATTCTCACTACGTCCGAGACGCCGTCGCCAACTCGGCAAAGTTCCAAAGGTTCGCACTTTGCATAGCCTTGTAATAGTAGCCTGTTCATTTCAGCGTTCCCGCCGTCAATCGTGACCTTCATCAGTCGATCAACGCGATGAAGGCGCGTACTTCGGTCAGTGTGCAGCATGTTCCGAGCAACTCGAGCCACGGCAACCAAAAGGCTCACGGACTCGCCAAAGCTGCTGCCTCTGGAGGCGGGGCCAAGCACGGAGGAGGAGGAGGTGGAAAAGGAGGTGGAAAAGGGGGAAGAAAGTGATAAAGTTGTGTTCAACTGACTGTTTCAATAAAATCATGTTAACTACAACTACAAACGAGTCTGTTAGATCTCTCGAACAATACTTGATCGCAAAAAGCGACACAAATCCTTTCAAACATAGAGTTTCACAATAGCTAAAGGCGTGATTGAAACGCACTGTTCGTTGTCCTGTTCGAAATGTGCTTTAAAGGCTACAATACTGATAAAGTATCCAAGTAAATAAGTGTTGTACGATGCAACTTGCTCCTTTCCTCTGAGCACTTTGATCAGCTGACAAGCGCGCAAAAAAGTTCAGTTTCTCACAAATCCGCCCGTAATTTCCGCTCTCTTTTTCTCCCTCATGTGCTATTTGATCGGTCAATTCGCGTCGTACAATACGGTATTGCAGTCTTCATGCAAAGAGAAGAGATCGGAACCGTACACGTTGCAGAAAGAGACCAAACACATATTTTTCCGTATTCACATAAAATTTTGATAGCCGCGCTCCGCGGTGCCCATTCAAACAAATCGCTTTGCACTTCGAAACGGTTTTCTCGCTTTTCGGCTTTCTCTTTCCGCCTCAAACACATTTCTGTACGTAAAGGAGCCAGCGACGTCACTTTGAGCTCCGTTTCAAAGAGTCGCCAATTCAATCTCTCTGCGTGTCCTTGTGTACATCGAAAAAGTGTTTGTCATCGAATGATTAAATGTCGGAAAAGATTGTAAATCGTGAGAAAACCACGTCTCTTTTGTTGGCTTCGATGGCACACATTCATCACTTCTTTCAGTTCACTTCTCCAAACCGCACTTCAAAATGTCCGCTGCCAACGGAAATGTCGTCCTTGGCTCTAAACAGGTAATTGTTAAAACTCTACAAAATCTCTGTGTTCAACTGTGCGAACATTTCAGAGAACCCGCCTCGAAGCAATGGCCCGAGGACCAATCCAGGTGGATCCGGTGGTCGAAGCGCCGGCGACAGTCCCCTCCTTCACAACGTCCATCCTGATCGTACTCCAGATGTTAGTTGCAATGCTGCGGTAAGATCTTCTTTTCCAAACGTCGCCTGAATCATTGTTTTTTTGAAGGGAGGTTGCAATGGAGAACCTCGTTGGAGGCACCGTTACTCACGTGGTGTGCCCGACGATCAATCACGCAGACTACGACATTGAAGTAGCCGAAGTGAACGTTGTAAGTTGCCCGCTCAATTATCCTCTCACAAAACGAGTTTCAGGTTCTCACCTACACCGAGGAGAAAACCATAGGCACGCGGGACCACCATGAAGCTGGTGGTCTTGCAACAGAAGTTAGTTTCACTTTTTATTCATTCGTCTCCTCTCTTTTCTCTCTATTTTGATCGCTAACTCTAAACTGATTTCAGTGTCATCATAACAAGATTCCGGCGCGACAATGAGATCGGAATGGAAGATGCTCTCAAGGCGGTCGACTCGTTCGACCAAACGAACCCTTTATGGAAATTCCTAAAGAACCATTTGGGCGACGTGGAAACAACGACGGACAATTCGCTCTTTTGTAAGCGTTTTCATTCGGTTTTCATTACAAAATTCTCATTTTTCAGGCCCGCCTCTGATCTCCTCCGACGACAACTTCCCGCCTCTCTAGATCTGGGCCATCATCGCCCCCCTAATTGTCTCTTCTCTTCTTTTCCGTTCCACTTTCAATAAATTCTCTCCCTCATTTTGTATTTCTAGTGGACTTGGCACGGCGCGCGAAAACATTTAAAGCCGAGCAATGGATTACCGTACGCGCACATTAGACCCGTTTCGCTCATTTTTCCATCATTTTCATCTTCGGAAACTGCTGAAAATGTGTCGTGAAGGAGCCGGAAACGCGCCGACTGGTACTCCGGTCGTGTACATCGACGGATCGGTGCGCAATCACGGAGATGCGAACGCGGCCGCCGGATACGAAGTCTTCAGGGGGACTCAGGTCCTAAAAGATGAAAAAAGCTTCAAAATCTTTGAATTTCCCAGCAGTTTTTCACTCTATTTCGGATTGTTTTAAGATAAGCATAAAAGTTTATATATATATCCTGGATTAAAGCCAAAAAGCCCGCATTTTTGACTTCAAACCAGTATTTCTTGGGACCAGATAATCCGATCGGTCTGAAACTTGGTCCCAAAGTTTGGATCCGCTCGGATCTTTGCAACACTACAACGGTTCCTCAAAGTTTGCAGGTCACGCGAGCAACCGCAGCGGGACCGTTTCGGGAGCGGCGAACAGCGACCGCGCCGAGTAGGCTCACGGGCTTGCCAGAAGAAGTAATTGGGGTTTTGAACTTAAATAAACAATGTTGTTAATATTATTAAGGCACATTTCATCACAATTATAACCTATAAGAGCATTGGGGTGAATAATGAATACATATACTAGTGTTTTCAAAGGGAAGGAGATCTGACGATACGGATGTAATTACATATTAAAAAGAGATCTACTACTGCCAGTTCCATCGCTGCACACTCGGATCCTGCTGATTCGCCGGGTTCTGCGCCGTCAGCCCGAGATTCGGAGGGGCTCCCTGCGCGATCGTCGGCAGGCTTCCGGCCAGACTCTGCAGATTCTGGCCCAGTTGGAGGTTCGGCTGCTGGAGGGCCTGCAGTTGTTGCTGCAGTTGCTGCTGGAGATGCGCCTGCGACATAGCTTGCACAAAGTCCATCTGGCCGTACGTCGGCAGACTGAGCGGGCGAAGCTGTTGCTGAAGAGGCGGCGCGTCCGAAGTGGACGGCATGTTGAACGGTGGGACCACGCTGTTGTTGTGCGCGTTTCTGAAACTGGAATGAGTGAGCGGGGACCCGTTGCCGATCGTTCATACCTGATCATAAAGTCGTTCATCATTGGCTGAATATCGAGCCCTCCGACCACATCCAGCTCTTCGATTCCGTCCAACGGTCCCCTCTGGATGGGCCGAGACGGAACGGGAGCCTGCACTTGAACCGGAATCTGTGGGACGGGCGCCGCAATCGACGTCTGGAGGGACGGCGGCGCAGCGTTCGACGTGGATTCGACGAGATGATGGTTCTCGCGGAGGGGCATGTTCAGCATCGACATGGCTCCGGGGGACTGTTCTCCCTGCTGCTGGTGGTGGGATTGGTGGGCGGGGCCGACGGAAGAGAATGCTCGAGGCGGCGAGTGGTTGTTGAAGGTGGACGTCGAGGGACCAAAGTCGTTGTGGCGCGGCGAAGAGTACGACTGAAAAGTTTACTGTTTTTCGGTCCACGAGATATACTGGTTTGCGGCCGAAACGATTTGCCTGGCTTTGAATTCGAACTTCAGTCCGTCATTTGAAGCTTTCGCGACGCAACTAGAACCCTCAACGTACATCGAAATTCTGTCTCTGCCACGTGGTCACCGACTCCATCTGCTCGTCAATCGTAATCGGCCGGAACAGCGCCTCCGGATTGTTGTTCCCGCCGCCGTGCGGTGCCAAATTCGTCGCCGCCGCCAACATCCGCTGCCGTTTGTTCCGCCGCCGCTGCGTCTTGTGCTGCAGCCCGGCTTCCGTGTTGTGATGCTTGATGATGTGCTCCTACAAATATATTATTCATTTCCCTTCCGAATGGGTTACTGTACCTTGAGCTTGTCCCTTCTGCTCGACGCGTACTCGCACTGATCGCACTTGAACGGCTTCTCCTCCAAATGGATTCGTTCGTGCCGCACCAGATGTGATTTCTCGATGAATCCGCGTCCGCATTGCTTGCAAAGATGCGCGCGGACGGCCATATGAGTCCGCAGATGGGCGGCCAGTTGCGACTTTTTCGTTGCCGAATATTCGCAACCCGCTGAAAAGATGGACAATATTTGGATTTCTGGAGGCTACTTTTGGGTTATCACCTGGATAATAGGGAAACATTTGCAGCAAGTCAAGATGCAGGTTAAATGCAATCAAAATGAGCGTTTCGCCAAATGATTTTATGCCTTTTTTTATGAAAGTGGGCGGGCGATAAAAAAGCGCGTACCCAGGTACAGTATCCCCGATTCCGTGCAAACATCGAATGATTCTCTCTCTCTCTCTTTTCTCCATTTTTTCTCAAAACTTTGCGGGCATCCGGCGGGGCACTCTGTCGCCAAGGAGAACCCAGAAAACGAGAGAGTGCGCGCGACGGAGGGACGCAGCGCCGACGAAAACAGTTTGGATGTGACGAAGAGTGAAAGGAGATGATGGATGGGCCGAAGTGAGGAATGATATCAAAGGGGGACCGGGCGGCTATGAAGAGTACAAACTGACCAATGTGGCAGTTGAAGTTGTCCGCCGAGTGCTGCCTTCTGTGGATTATCAGATGCTCGTTCGTCTTCGTCGCGAATCCACAGTCTTGGCAGATCAGTTTCCTGGAGGAAAAAATATGGATGTTTTGACGGTTTTTTATCTCGGCATTCGACCGTAAGGGACTACAATCACAACGCTGTTTTCTAGACCTTTTTTCAGATTTTTCTGACCCGCTGGTGATGCGATATGGAGATCAAATACCAGAGAACGGTCACTCTGGCAATCCCTTCAGGTATGTCGCATTTTTATAAATGCCGCCGACCATCTTATCTTGCACTGATATTCAGACAAAAAGTTGAAAAAGGGAAGTGACCTAGCTGGCACAGCTCACAAAACATACCTGACGTCGTCGTGCGTGTCAATGTGATGATCGAGTGCCGAATGCGTGTAGAATCCTCGCCCGCATTCTTCGCAATGCAACGGCCGGTTGTCGAGCACCGAATGCATTCGTTCGTGGGCGAATAGTTGCGAACGGGTCCGTCCTTTCCACGCGCACTCGCCGCATTTGAAAAAGCGTTCATCGGCTGAAAATGAATAGGATTTGTTCGTGAGAGAGAGAGAGAGAGAAAAAACACGAAAACCGAAAAAAATTGCTTACTGTGTTCGAGGCGATGCGTCAAAAAGTCCTGAAGCCGATTGCTGACGAATGAGCACTCTTCACACCGATACGGTCGTTCCGTCTGGAACTTAAAATTTACCACTTTTAAAAAGAGGCCGCCTACCCAGTGTTCGTTGCAATGCGAATAAAATTGTTTGCTCCAGTTCGTCTCGAATTCGCACAAATGACACAGATAGTAGGTGTTGCGGTTGTGGTAGCGCGCTTTGTGCTTTTCGAGCATCTGCAAGAGCAATAGTACAAAAAAAAAACAAAAAGAAAGAGAACAAACATCTTCGTCAGAGGTTCGGAATCCGCAATAAATGCACACGCATTCTCCGTTCTCGTCGGCCACATCGTCCTGATCGTCATCGCAATCGTCCGGGTCCAAAAGATCTTCCGGTCCGTAAGTGTGCGCCTGCTCCAGGGATGCCGTCGCGAACACTCCGTCGATTCCGTCTTCGTCCGTCCAGGGAATGCCTGTGAGAAATGGATGATTTGAGATCGGCGTTTCATTGGAAAAACGCCAGATCTGCAATTTCGATGCGCCGGAGGGGCGAATGAAATTCGCAATGCAACAATATCTAGCTTCAGCTCATTCTAGTCATAAATACAGGAAGACCAGGCTTACTTTCATTCTCGGGGGCCGCCTGAGTCGTGGAATCCTTCGTGTTCGTCGACGGTCTCGGTCGCTTCAATCTGTAACTTTATGGACATTATCAAAAACTGGCAGGAACGTTTGAATAGATTACCGATACTTGTCGCTCTTCTTGTTCAGCACCAACTTCATTTTTAGTGGTTGATTGAGCTGAAAACTCGATTTTTCTCAAAACTTCTATAAATTCGAAAGCGTACCACTTGAGAAAGTGTCGGATGTCCCTCTGCAATGTGATCCTCTTCCTGCTCACCGCCCGAATCGTCGGTCTCGTAGTATTCGTCTTCGAATTGGCCCGAAGGGTTCAGCGGAGGCAACTCTCCGATTTTCTGCCGCAGCGAGGCCAGTTGGGCCGTGTACTTGTCCATCAGCATCTCGTTTTGTTCCCTAAACACGATAGCATAAGTTTTTTCACTGAAAAATCGACTAACATGACATGAAGGGTAAGGTATCGACTCGGCGGATTCTTCTGGAGCAGTGGCGAGTAGTCGAGCAAAAATTCGAGAGTTTCTGCTGAAACTTCCCGAAATTCGCACTTTTCCAGCAGTATCCGGAACATTGGCTGTCTTTCGAACGTCAGCGATCTAAAAATGTTCAAAATTTCTGGTTGGACACTATATTTTTCCGTACTCACCTCGGATCATCAGTTTTTCCAACCCATCGTACAATTAGTCTGAAAAGAAGACATTTCTGAGATTTTCAAGCTTTTCAAAATAGAATTACTTCAAATAAGTGTCGGCCGATATGCAATCTTTGTACTTTTCCTGCTCCATGAGCCGTGTCAGTTGAGTGAACGAATAATTGAGAATATCTAAATCTTCCAGAAGACATCTATTCAAATTTGCGTCGAAATAAGAGATTGACGACTGAAAATGAGCGATTTAGCCGAAAATCCCTAGAAATGTCTACAAACTTTGACGAGCGCTGGGAAGTTGTACTGGTAAGCGAGATTTCGTATTGAAAGACTGTTCGAGGCGTCCATGTACCGATCCAGATACTCGAAACAGTAGTTTTTGAGCCTCATTATCTGCAAAACCCTTTTCCTTGCTAATTTTGAAGATTTTTGAATTTTACCATAAAATTATTGGAAAACCGTAATATTTCTCGTATTGTATGTCGATCAATGATGATTTTTCCGCTATACATGTAGTTTAATACCCTTTCGAACGCCTCTGGCTCCCGACTGTTTATTGTTAGCTGAAAAGAGCGATTTGACGTGGAATTGGGCGCATTGTGCAACAATTGACGCGCAATTGACGCGCAATTGCAAACATTACAGTAATTTTTCGTCGAAGAATACGGGAATTTTCAAATTTTTAGCGAGAAAAAAGTGAAAAACGTACATGCTCCTTGGTTATTTTCGTAAATTTGAAAATGGCATCGAAATACGGACTGTGCGCCGCTAAAACGTTCCGATGGGCGGCGAAAAGCCGCTCGCTGACATGCACCTCGCAATCTGTGAATCGGCCAGTTTTCCGCTGATATTGTAATCGCTCAAACACTGAAATTTCACTTTTTAGGTAGTTTTGTACAGGTATTCGTAAAAAATTGAATATTTTCACTGTGTAAAGAATTGTTTGCTTTCGTATTTACTTAAATTTTTCTAAATATAGTTTTTTAAAAGTGAAATACGCTATTTTTGATTTTTTTTCAAATTAAAACTTACCCATTTGACCCGACGAATCGGTAAATGTCATTGGATTTGATCCCGAATTTTCTGAACTAGAAGCTAACATTATCTGCAAAAAACCATTTAGTTTTTATCTCAAACATTCAAATTATCAATAAGAGGACGGAAAATTACTGAAAAACGGCAAGTTCTATTCGAAAAATTAACTAAATTTCTGTTTCGAATTTATTTTTTCCAAATTTTTTAGCAATTTTCAGGCAATTTATGGTAAAAATGGAAGTTACACATAATTTCTCACATTTGATAAGGCATAAACTATGGGAAAACACACATAAACCCGCCAAAAAAGCGGCAGTTTGCATTCAAACAATGCGAGGTGTGCAAGTGCGCTCCACCGCATTCGATTGTTTATTGATCGCCCCGACGGCGGCCAATCCGGCCCCGGAAAACCGACGATTTCTGACTTCTCAAGGTCAGAAAAGCCATGGAAATGATAGCAAAACTTAAATATATATTTGGGAAGCAATAAATCAGTCAATAAATGTTCAGAGTAAAATTGAAACAGCTGGAAAATTGAAAATTGTGGGGGGGTGGCAATTGAATTCGGCGATAATAAACATCTGAATTAAAGCAATTCTTAGGCGTAATTTGAACAAAAAAGCCTATTGGGGGATTCCGCGGAAGGGTTTTTTGTAGAACTCGATGACGTTGGCCACGTAGGATTCGTGCAACCAGTAGCCGGGTTCCGAACTGAAAAAAGAACGATAATTTTCTAAAAGTACGATGAATCTTGGTCTGTAGTATCTTTCTTGAAAGTTTCAGTCCGATTGGATAACTTGGTTAGGAGATGTATTCATTTTAGGCTTCAAAACAATATATCTCCAGATCAGACTATCCAATCAGTTTGAAACTTTCAAAGTAGATACTCGAAACCAATACTTTAACAAAAACTAACAAAACGGGGACGTTATTCCGCTTCAAAGTCTCCTCGAACTTCTTGTACTTAAACAGTCCGTCGCTGTCATCGTGAAGGAAAAACACGGGCGTTTTGATGGACTTCGCGTGGTTCACCGGCTCCACGTCCTTCAACTGCACGCCTCCCGGGAAGATGTCCACCACCTTCTTCTCCGGTTTAAACGGAAATTCGAGCATCGGACGGATGAGCGCGCACCGCTTGTAGAACTTTGGATATTTGACGATCAGACTGCACGCGACGAACGATCCGAACCGTTTTCCGAACAAATTAATGTCCATCGGATCGATTCTGTTCACGTACTGCGAGAGGATCGCCAGCACCGCTTCCTGAAATTGAAATTGAGGTCACAATATCGCAAGTTAGTCTAACATGAACGTCCTGAATATCAGCAGATCCGCTCGTTTTCGGGAAATCGTAGCCGGGAAGAGTGACGAACGGCTCGCGGTAATTGACGGTGAGCACGAAGAATCCAGCGTGAGCGAGCGTCTTGATGTACGCTTTGTGGTCGCTGAAAACATAGAAATTCATTCGATTTTCCTTTAAAATCGCCCACTTGATCGTGTGATTCGGCGCGTTTCCGTAGTGCGGAATGACGACGAGCGGCCTCATTTCGCCGGGGGTCTCGCACGGCGTGATCAGCACCGCCGAGTAGCGGTCCCCGTCGAACGAGTGCTCCGAGGCGCCGAACGTGTGGACGTGCTGGTGGCGCGGCGGCTGTTCCATCAGAAAGTTCGCGTTCTCGTGCGCATCGGGCGACTCGGTCAAATGCGATATCCAGAGCCGCGAGTGCGTGTTGCCCGACACCGTCTCCATGAGCATTTCGTCGTCGCGCACGTCGATCACTGTTCCCGGGCGGGGCAGCGAGATGGTCGTCAGCGAAAGGGACTCCACGTTGAGCACGCATACTCGCTGCAATACTTGGGTAATCTCAATTTGATTCGATCCTTTGGGTATTCAAAGTATAGTATTAGCATCCAAAAAAGGGCCCCTAACTGGACACCATGAGACAGGAAGAAAATAGACCTTTTGGAACGGTACCAACTCGCCCGAATCCGCCTGTAAAACCATGCACTCACCACGTCCGTGTTCACATTGATATTGAACACCAACAGCTGATTTCCGGCTCCCCACGGCCGGTCGGGCACACTCCACACGTTGAACGGAGCAATCGAAATCGCGTCGTGCTTCATGCTCGCCGCCTTCACCAGAGGCCAGTGGTACTGAAATGGAAACCATTTTGGACCGGGAGCACTCAAAACCAGAACTGGTTTTGGATCACTTGCAATCATCCGACTGGGCCCAAATTTTGCAGATTTCTTGAATTTACAACAAGAAACCTTCAAAGTTTGATTTCAATCGGATTATTGCAAGTCGGTCAAAAGTTCAGCCGAAACGTACCAGATAAACGGCGCGAGTGCACTGAAAGTCGGCACCGATGAAAACAGCGAGTCGGGTGCCGTCTGGCGAGAAGGAAATGCGGCGCGGCACCGGAACCTCGTTCATTATCTGATTGTAGTAGGACTCTCCAAACTTGTGCCAAACGAGCTCGCGGCGCCGATGGAAAATGATGCCGCGGCAGTCGGGCGTCCATTCGATCTACAATACTCATTTTCCGACGATTTTCTTGTTTTTCTCCAGGAAACTGACCATATTGATGGTGCGTTCGCACAAATTCTCGTCAGTGTTCACCGCCACTTTTTCCGTGTCCAAATCGAAAGTGCACACGACGAACTTGCGATTCTTGCCCGATTGCTGAAGCGAAAGCGATGAGAAAATGAAAAAAATTCCAGTAGAGTTACAGTTTTCAGTTGTTTCGCATTGGGTTTGGCAAAGTAGAGAAGGCGGCGGTTGTCGGAGGAGAAACGGATGGTTCCGTGCGGACCATTCGTGATGATCGGTCCGTGCAGCTCGTTTTTCGGCAAAACGACCGAAAGGACCGCCTTGTTGAACTGGACGTTCACAATTTGGATCACATCTCGCTCCGAGCACATTTCGATCGATTCGGCCACGAACGCCTCGAGTTTGCAGTCCGCCGAGATTGTGTGCACTCGGAATCTGAGATCGAATATTTAGGGCTACTGGGACCATACTTTGCACGATTATCAGTATTGGTCTAGAGTGTCTATCTTGACTGTTTCAGACCGATTTGATTTAAGCCGAAAAGGATTCACTTTCAGAGAGAAATATGAGCAAAAACCAAAAAGCACCAATTTCAAGCGCTCCCACACCGACAATGGTTGGAAAATGACTGAAATTCATGAATTTTGAGCCGAAAATTTGATCGGATCGATTTCTACGCTGATTTCCCCCTGCCGTACTTCCTGTTGTCCTCCGGTTTCCCTTTCCTCGCAATCTCAAAGTATTTGCGACTTTTCGACACGAATCCGCGCGTCCGATCGTAGTCGCCATACGGATAGTCGCGTTTCGTCACCCAAAACGTCATAACCTGGAGAGTTCACAATTCTGAGCATTCTTTTGCGCTTTCTGAAGTACCTCCATCGGCTCGTACCCCTTGGGACTGATTATCCGCGCGTTCTGGATTCGACGCACTTCCAAATTCATATAATGCGCGAGTTGGATGTGCTCCAGCGGACATTCTCTCATTTTGAGCCACGTGAGCACGTCCATCGCACCGTTTCTCGGGGGGACCGTCGTCATTCTAGTAATGAGCTGTAAAATGACCGGGGAAAACAACGAAACAGTACTGCTTCTGGAACTGAACCAGGATTGAGAGAAAAAAGGAAAAAGGAGTTTTTGTTACAGAGCAATTATTTGTTTTAAAGTAGTTAAACGAGCAAAATAATCAAAATATCGCAGAAATTAGGAGTTCGCGTGCTGCTCGAACCATTCCATACAGTCAATCACATATTTTTCGTCGAGGAGACGCATTTCCAAAACTCTGCAATTCGTTCGCATTGAAATCACCAAAAACGCCAGTCTCACTTGGTGGGCACGTTCTTCTTTTTCAGTCTGTCCATATATCTGCCCAAATCCTTGTCGCCCTTCTCCTCGACGTCCTGAATTAGCAGCAGCGGCGTGCGGATATTGTCGGCCTTCATGAGCGGTTCGTGGCATTTCGCCTTCGCAATGTCCTTCGCGTGGCGGCGACACGTGCAGAAGAAGTGGAGGATCGGCTGGATGTAGGCGCCCGCGCGGTAGAATTCCTGGAATATAATGGAGTCTAGTAGGATTACTATTGGGACTACTGTACCTTGTTCATGATCATCATCCGCGCCGCCACGAACGCGCCGTACTTGGCGCCCATCAGATAGACTTTGCTCGCGTCGAGCGTCGTGTACATTTTGAGCACGTTCTGCACGGCCACGTGAACGTCATCGCTGTCCTTCGTGTTCAGCTCCTTCGGCAGGGACCGACACGTCCCGAAGCCCGGGTCCATCCCGTTACGGTAGTTGGTCATGAATACCGCGTAGCCCGCTTCCACCATCGTCAGGGACGCCGGCGATGGATGTCTGCAACCGGGAGAGGTTTCACATTTGACCGGGTTGCAATACTCCGATTGGACCCAAACTTTTAACGAACAAACCTCGCGAAAACGTGCGGCTGCATGCCCGGATTGGGCACAACAATGAGCGGGAACTTCCTGTCCGCGTCCTCGTACATCATCCGGCCCGGCAACAGAAGGTATCCGGCCGACTTCCTGCCCGGTGTCGACCCCTCCAAGAACGTCTCCAGCTGGATCGTGTACGGTCGGGTTCCGGCCGTCGGCGGCACCCTCAGGTCGACGATCGTCCGCATGTTCCGTTCGATCTCTTCCACAACCGAGGAGAACGGAAGGAGATTCAGACGGAACGCATTCGTCGGGACCGTGTTTAGCAGCAGAACCTCGTCGTCGTACACGTCCAGAACCTCGCCCAGAGTGGTCGTGCTCGACGAGAACCGACTGACACTGTTCCTCGTCAGATCCAGACACAAAACCACCGGCGCCGACATGTAAATGGCGTTGAAGAGGAGCTTGCGTCCGTTGGCAGACCACGCCCTCGGCGGCACATTCACAAATTCGAAGCCGACCAGAGTGGTCGGCATCTTTTGACGGTCCGAAACGGGCCAGTCGATCTGAAAGCGAACAAATGGATGATCAAGTGTTTTCGCAGAAACTGACAATTGAGAGGGGCATCACATCGTGTTCTTTGTACGAATTTGGCCCGCCGAACACCAATAAACTTGTGCCGTCGGGCGTGAATTCCAGATGACGCGGCCGTTTGTACGGCAGGCACATTGTGCACGAGAAATCGGAAAAGTTAAAGTGAAGGATTTCTTCGGTGAAATTGCGCCGTCGGTTGATGAATACGGCTCCCGAATCGTCGGGCGTCCATTGGATCTGCAAGCGGAATCGGGACATTACTAGGACTTGCCACTATCTGGATATTATCGGATCGAACCCTAACTTTTTCTAGCGTAAAAATCCATATTTGTATTCGAAATGTAAAACTTAATTGAGGGTCGTCATCGCATGACAGAACATTAGACACTAGGAGAAGGGATCAACTTTTCGTCAAACTAGATATAACTCCATATCGAATGATCCAATTTGGCTGAAACTTTCAATGTGAATACTCCAAGCCTAGACTGATAATCGTGCAAAGTTATGGTCCGATCGGATAATCAACATGAGGCCTAGAAGACCAGAAAACCCTCCTAACCCCGTACAAATCCATCGACTCGTTGGGCGCCGGCTGGACGGCCCGGATCGTTCCGTTCGCGATGATATCGCAGATCATGATCGCCGGCGGTCTGCTCTTTCCCTTCTTTTCGTTCGCGTACGCCAAATACATCACTTTGAGGCCGTCGTTCGAGAATTTCACCGTACCCCGATCTGTAACTTGGCTCTATAGGTTTTCAGTGGGAAATTGGGGACTGACGGTCAAAAATGGGTTCCTCGTGGCCGCCGGTCGTCAAATTCACGTCGACAATGAGGGTTCTGTGCCGGACGTCTTCCACTTGGAATATCGAGTGTCCTCCGACCGACATCAGTCGGGCACAGTACTTCGAATCACGCGAGTAGCCGTACAGTTCCCATCTGCAAATGATTTCGCGTATTTTTGTAATTCAACGCTTGCAAATCACTTTTTCGGCGTTTACTTACTAACTTCAATGAAAAAAGCTAAAAATTAGATTATTTTTGATCCCCGGCCGAATTCAAAATGTAAAAATGTCCTACTCGGCGGGTTCGAGGTCTTCGCCGGCTCCGTTGATTATAAATCGATTCGACGAGCGGAAATCCACGTTTTTCATGTTCACCTCCGTCGTTTTCATCGGCAGCGGCGTGCCGAGAATCGTCCATATCTGCAAAAATGAAAATGCAATAAAATGTTACCAATTTAACGACATCTTCAACAAACAATTATCGATAAACTATTGTCGCCTCGAAAATCGGGCTTTTTGCAAGCGATACACGTGCGAAAACTCGGCCACGGCCACGGCACGACAACAGCGACGTTGAAAATGGGTCAAATTTGTACCTCAAAAGGCTGGTATCCGATGGGACTGATGATCCTGGCGGTGACCACTTCCGGCGGTTCGCACATGTCATCGTAGAACACGCGCAGCTCTTCCCTGTCGATTTTCGTATCCGACTCGACCGCCGCCATAATATATTTTTGAAATAAATAGTAAATATCGTTTCGATACCCGTTTTTGATTGGAGATTACTGAAAATTGACATTTTTGGGTGGAAAAATGATGGGAAAACTCACTTTCAAACAAGAAAACCCGCTCAAATTTGGCGCATAATAAATTCGAGAAAGTGCTCAAAACCTGCAAAAATGTTGAAAAAACAAAGACAATTTTTTTAGAAATCGCATTTAAATAAAATCTGGCACCAAGCAAGACCAAAAAGATAGTGAGAAAATGAAAAGGATAATAGTTTCTTTACAAAAAAAATGTACAATAGTCATCACGGGTTTGTGTGGAGGCAGCCAAAGAAGGGATATACAATATCGGAATGGGTTCTCTAGTGGGAAAGCGACTTTTCGAACCAGCGGACCATGTTGATCGCGTAGTCCGCTTCCACGTTCACCTCGTCCAGCGGATGGTTCGACGGCGGGTAGCTGAGCACTCTGAAAACCGAGTTCAATGTGATAGATTCCAACGGACAATCCCCGAGAGCTCAGTGCCGAATCTGATATTGGCACCGTTCTGATGAAGAACTTCTCGAATGAACTGACTTGCACGGCACTCCGCGGGCCTTGAGAGCCCGGACGAATGACCGATAGTGCGGCACGACGCGAAGATCCTTTTCGCCGATGAGCAGCAGGTACGGAGTGGTCACTTTCTCCGCGTGCGCCAACGGCGACGACAGGTACATCCGCTCGCGCTGCTCGACGGAACTCGTGCGCCGCCAGTCCGGATACTCGCCCGTTCCCTCGAAGAAGCACCACTCGGGGATGTCGGTGATGTCGTGCATCGTCGCGATGTTCAGCACCGGATTCAGCGCCACGCACGACTTGTAGAAGCCCTGAGAAAACAGAAAATATTTTGGAAAAATCTATCAATTGGCCTACTGGATACTGTCCAACGAGGTGCGACACGAGAAATCCGCCGTGCGATCCACCGAAAAGCACCACTTTTTCCCGCGAAATTCTCGATTCCTTTTCCAAAACGTGCAGGACACCGTTCTTAAGTGAAACGTTATTTGAGAGATAGTTTCAAAACGAGTCAGTACATGCACATCTTTCACGTCCATGTCTCCACAATTTCCGGGCAGCGCGCGGATGAAATCGTCGCCGAAACCGACGGTTCCACGGTAGTTCACTTGAAGAACCGCGTATCCCGAGTTGAGAAGGGTGGTCAGATCGCGGCGGGGCCAGCTACAAATATATATATTCAGGAGCCTAATCAACCTATTCAGTAAGGTTAGAAAACCCATTGGTGTGGAAAAAGCAACCTAACAACCTGTTACAGTCGTGGTAACCAATGTTCGATATAAGAATATCGTTTTCCGTCTTTCGACTACCGAATTCCGCTAAACAACTAACATAGCATAGGATGCACCATGTGGGCCTCCGTGCGGATTCACCACCAACGGAAGGTCGGTTCCCTCGTTCGGCACCATCAGAATCGCCTCAATGTTGGCGCCGTCGCGCTCGAAATTTACAAATTCCCACGAATAATTGATGAGATGCTGACGCTTTTCGATCGCTTTCGACTCATCGATTCGCACCCAAATCATCTGGAAAACTATCTGTTTACTAAGTTTTTTTTGTGAAAAAGTCTCTACTTGTTCAACATGTCCCGGCTCGGGGAGTCGTCCCATGAGCACGTTCGGCGGCCGATTCGGAGCCGAAACGACGGCGAGAACCTCGTCATCGAAGACGTCCAAAAGGACCCAGGTGCCGTGGCACTGGCCGTGATTTGTGAGCTTCTCGACGGCTCCCGTGGTGATATCAATCGAAATGAGCTCGAGTTTTGAGCGCCATCCGTTCGAAAGGATCAGGCGTTTTGAGTCGGACGACCACGAACGAGTGGCGATCTGAACTGGGAATCGGTGCTGAACAGAATCCGATAATAGCCGCCAAGCTCACCTGAGTGAAGCAGAGTCCCTGGAATTCATCGGCCGGCCGTTGTTCCTTCACAATCGGGACCACCACTCGCTTCTCCACGTTTTCCGTACTTTTCAACGGCCATTCGACGGAGAGCAGCTCGAGGACCGCTTGATGGGGACCGTCGGCCGCCCGTTCGAACCAAACGAGCGTGTTCCCGTCCGGAGAGAACGAGATGTTCTCGGCGGCGATTCCGTCCTCGCTGATCTTTGTCAGTTTCGCGGTGGCCAACTCGTAAAAGTAGACGGCTCCGCGACGATTGTTGCAGTAGATTCTGCCCAGGCGGGGGGTGTCGCCCTCGTCGAGGCCGAAGAACACTATTCCGGTGTCCGACGGAGCCCATGTCGCCTGAAATATGGGCTTATTTCAGTACACAGAAACAGAATCTCACGTAGCAGGGCGAGATATTGGCGGGAATCTCGTCCAGCGCGGTCACTATTCCACTCGAAACGTCCACAATGCAAATGATCGGTCGTTTGACGGCGTCGTTCTGTTCGCCCCACGATTCGGTCAACTCAAACTTTTTGCCCTGTAACAAATTGAGCAAAAAGGTTTCGTCACAAGAAAAGAGGAAGACGTACAACTTTGGAGTCGAAGACTTTCGTCTCGTTGTCCCACTCGATGTCGGCGTCAAAGTACTGTGCGGTCTTCTGATTCCGCTCCGCCACGTACATGACGTGTCCCTCTCCGTACGAGAATCGGAGGCATCCGAACGGCGCGGCGCCGCCTCCGTGGATCGTTCCGTGCTTCTTCTGCGTTCCCACGTCGGCGCACAGCTCTTCGACGTGCTCCTCCAGATTGAACACCTTCACGTATTGCTTCTTCTCGTCGCCGGTCCCCGGAAGAGTGATAAGTTGGGCGACACGAGTGTTCGACGTCGAATAAGCGATTCCTTGTGCTCTAGAATCAGAATTTAGAGGTTTTTGATTTTTTTTTTTGCGAGCTCACTCGAAATTGCACATGGGCACGGAGGTGCTCGAAAGAAGGAATCGGTCGGTGACTTCGGATCCTTTCGTTCCGATGATACTCACGCGCTGCTGGCGGGTTATCTTGTTCAATTGCATCGCTCGGTTGTCCCACGTGGTTGTCACCTGGAATTGTGTATAATTTCATTCATTTCTAGTAGTAAATAGATTTTTTGTAAATTTTACCCGAAAAAACCAGGAAATATTTTAATTTTCAGTGTTTCAAGTCACAGAATTGCGTTTTTCTCTCACTTTGATAAGCGAGTCGCCCGCATTTTTGTCGATGCGTCCCTGCGTCGGATAGGGTATCTGGGCGAGGTCCCCGTACAGATCCTTCAGTTTCTCCAACGCTTTCACGTCGTACTCGGCGGCACTCGTCGTCGCCATCTTCCGAACCAGTCTCGACAGCGTCTGCAGCTCAAAAAGTGGAGAAAACTGATAAAATTCTATAAGAATCGCGCCAAGATATCGAAAAATAGGTCAAAACCGGGGGTCAAATGGAAATTCGGCTGAAGACTCAACAAAAATGGTTTCATTCAATGATTTCAATCGGAAATTCATAACAAAATAGTGGAACAGTAACAACAATAACAACAATAACAACTAAATAGGTTCACATCTCCTCGATGAGCGGTTTCCTCGGCGATTCCTCCTTTTTCGGGTCGGCGTCGGTTCGGAAGGCGGCTGGAAGTGCTTCCACGTCCTGAACACTCACGTCCCGCCCGTCCACGGCGCTGTTTTCTTCCCTGAACACGTCCAAATCGATTTCGATCCGATCGCCGTCCACTTTCTGAACATGTTCAATTGGTCTTCGGATCGAAACGGCTGAAAACTGCTCACTTTCGCCTTGACCTTCACTTCTTTTGCCTCGTTTCCATCGGATTCCTCGTCAGAAATGTCCGAATCCGAATCGCTCGACTCTTCGCGCACATTTTCGATTTGGAATGCGTCCGAAGGACCGCCTTCTGGCATATTCCGATTCGCTTCTTCCATTTGAGGAAGGAATGTTCGAAGTCTGCAAAGCTTTTTGTGAAATCCACCGAATGAATTCAATAAATCGATCACGAGATCACGATCACGAATTATCTTTTTCTGCGAAACAATTATTCAACAGAAAGGTTTAAAAGGCGCTCCAAACAGTTATATTATGTCGCGGTGCTATTCTGCCCAGTTCTATTATGTTGGACCGCCACGCTCGCGGAGGGGGAGCTTGAGTTCGGATTACGGTTGACGACGGTGGTCCGCAAACAACAACTATCGCAAGAAAAACACCGCAATAATTCGCAAACATCCAAAATTTCTCCATCAAAAATTTCATCGCAAACCTGGAAAGAAGGGAAGATTCTGCAACTGGCGCGATCTGCGGTTTTCCGTTCAAAAACTGCGAAATTTTCGATTCTTGTGACATCTGGAACACCTTTTTCATTCAAATTGTTTGAAAAACTGAAAAAATAGATCAAATCGATGAGAAACGGCTAAAAAACGAAAAAGTTGGGCGATTTTCGCGAAAACCCTTTATTTCTATGTTCTTTCCATACGGAGAAAAAATTAAGTTAAAAATAGCAATTGATACAGGGAAATCCAAATGGGAATCGAATTCGAATTCCATTTACTTACAGCCGGATTAATAAAAAAGAGAATGACAGGAGAGAGAAGCAGGGAAAAATAGACCAGCAGGGGAAGAAAAAGGAGGGGAAATTGCATTGCAATTCATGGGAAACGAGCATTCACTGCTCGAGTTCCTTGATCAAATGAATGTATTCGTCGGCGATGATTCCCTCGGTTTCAGTCGGAATCTGGGCAAAGACCAGATGGAGAAGAGCGGCGGGGGCGAGCGAAAGCTGTGCGAGAGTGGCCGATTCGTCCTCAACGAGCTGTCCGACGGCGTCGCGGAGCGAGAATTCAGAAGTCGCGTGGGCTGCCGAGAGCGCGGAGGCGATGAAGACGCGGACGGCCGAGAAGGGCTCGTGGCACCCGAAAACGCCCTGTATGAGCACGTTTCCGGGCACTCGCACACGGATCAGAGTGTATTTGTATCGGTAGTTGGACAATTGCTCGTCCTTTTGTCTCATCTCCTTCGTACGCAGCGTGAGCATCTGAAATCCACAGAAACTTTATCAGATTTAACTGAATTTCTGCAATATTACCCTCTCCACTTGCATCTCCTTGGCCTTCTGCTCGGCCTTCAGTTCGGTAGCCGACAAATTGAAAAAGTCGGCGGCGAGCTTCGGCGCTCTCGGCTGCTGCCCCTCCCTGAGCACAAAGAGCTCCATATTGCGGGCCACCTTGATCGGCACCGGTTCTCCGTCCTTCAAAACTTCCAGCGCGTGCACGAGATGGACGTCGTCCGAACGCGTGTACACGAGATGCGGCTCTCCGTTCACCGACTGCTCCTCGAACCCGACCGACTCGAGGAACGCGCGCCCGCCGACAGTCGCTAGCACGTTTGTTTGCATTTTCGGATTGCTCAGCCGGATTCTCTTGTACTTTTCCTCCTTGAAATCCTTGAGAATGTTCTCGCACACCGTACTGATCGTCGTGATTGCCAACTGGAAAACAAATGTATAGAAATTCGTTTAAAATCGACGAAAAACCTCTTTCTGTGCGGATTTGTTCAGCGAATAGATCATGAGAACGGCGGCGATCCACTTGTCGTTCTCATCGTCGGCTTCGTGGATCTGCTCCAGCAGGAACTTTTCGATTTCCTTGAGCAACTCGGCCTTCGTTCCCACGAGGTCCTCGCCGAGCAGTTCGCACGTGTACAGCACTCTCGATATGGCCGATCCGTGCTCCAGTTCCTGCGGACGCTCCGCTTCAGTCGACTTTCTAAAAGAAACGGTTGTTTGGCTCAGATTACCAGGTTTTTGTATACCTCTGGTCAGAAATGTTGAGCTCCTCGAGTCGGCGTCTCTCTTCGTCGAGTTGCTGCTTCGCAATCATCTGAATTCTCTTTTTGCTCGCGTCCACTTGCGGCTCGTTCTTCTTCTGAAGGCGTCTCTCGGCAGCGGCGGCCGCCACTTCAGAAGCGGTCATTCCGGAAACTGAAGAAGAGGACGACGGTTCGCCCGACAGTCGGACGCCCTCTCCGCTGCGTGTGAAGTGCGCCTGCACCTTCTTCTTTGTCAAAAACTTCTTGATGGTCTTCATTCTTCTTTTTCTGAATGATTTTTGATGATTTTCCCTGATTTCCCCACTGCAGCCCTACTATTCTTGTCGGAACTTTTCGCTCTCGCTTTCTCGATATTCTCCTTGATGATAAACTCCTGGATGATGGGCGAGTATCGATTCCACGCGATCACAGTGCCCACCGAGAAGATTACGAGCAGAAATGAGAGGAAAAGTCCGAGAATAACCTGAAAAATGTCAAATTCTATAATTACACGGGAAAAAGCGGAGAAAATCGAAGTACTTGTTTCTTATCCAACGAATTTCTATCGCAGAAGTAAATGAGAGCGCGATAGGCGTCTTCTAGGCCGTAATTCTGTGAAATGGGGTCTGCGGAGCTCTGAAATGCGACCGAGTTCGTGCTCAACGGGCTCTGTTGGGCGGTTGTCGGCTGCTCGGCGACCAGCGGCTCTCCCATGCAAATGGCGCTGGAATTTTGATAAGAAATTCGTCGATTTCTGGCGGAAATTATAAGAATGTGCAACTATGAGGAACAAGGCGTTTTTATCTAAAAATCATTGCGAAATGGTAAAAATGACGCAGTTTCGGCGGTTGTTTACCGCCTTGTGTGCGAGGACGATACCGAAGATCACAAGATTTTTCCGCCGATATTTTTTTGGGAAAATTTATCTAATGAGCAAATTGGAAAAAAAACAAGCGGAAGAAGAAGCGTTGTGAGAATTATGACACAGAATCCACGAAAATTTGGAAATTTCTACCGAAAAAATGTTGTTGTTGTTGGCGAAAGCCCAAACATCTACAGCAAATTGCTTTTTTTGAGAGATTCTTAGCGCTTAAAAAGAAATCAACACGCTGATCACGAATTTACGAGGAAAAAAGTCGGAAAACTGAGAGAATCCGAAGAATGAGGCTGAAAACGAAAAAGAGGTCAGCTTTTGGAAAGTGTCGTAGAGTGTGGCACCGGGTCCGCAAACACTGACAATACCTCGCGCCGCACGATTGCAATTCGTAGGCTCCGCCCACTATAACCATGCCCGACGCCACATTTTGCCGATTTTGTGCTGACGAGTTCGATTTTTACGCCTTTTTGCTCATTTTCTTCTGCAATTTCCCGAAAATTTGATCAATTCTCTGAGCGCCGCCGCAAAATCTTGCATTTATTGTGTTAGAATTCCCGCCGATTGTCTGATCTCCTCGTGATAAATTTGGTTTTTAGGATGCACTTGTTTTTTTGGTAATTTTCGATTTTTCACTCTAAAAAATACGTTTATGCTTTCCTTTTCGCAAGGTTTCAGTATTTTTCCTCTCGCTACCCGCGTTTTCTGATGTTTTCTGTCGATTTTAACGTTTCGAAAACTGATTTCGCAATACTTTTCAGTCATGCCGAAGAATAAGGGAAAGGGAGGAAAGAATCGTAGAAGAGGAAAGAATGAGAACGATTTCATGAAGCGCGAGCTCGACCTCAAGGAGGAAGGCCAGGAGTACGGACAAGTGTCGAAGATGCTCGGCAACGGACGCGTTCAAGTGTTCTGTTTCGACGGAAAGCAACGCGTGTGTCATATTCGCGGAAAGCTCCGGAAGAAGGTGTGGATCAACGTCGGAGACATCATATTGGTCGGTCTCAGAGACTATCAAGACGATAAGGTGAGCAATTTCGTGAGAGCTTCACTGACATTTGTTATTTTCAGGGAGATGTGATCCTCAAGTACACCCCGGACGAGGCTCGCCGTCTCAAGAACGAGGGCTTGATTCCGGAGAACGCCAAGCTCAATGAGAATGACGAGCAAGATGAGGGAGAGGTCGAATTCCGTAAGTTTTACCTCGTTTTTCAACTGAAACTGATGAATCCGTTTTGAAGTTGACACTGTCGGCGGCGACGAGGAAGCCGAGGGCGAGGAGGACAAGGATTCCGAAAAGAGCTCGGACAGCGAATCGGACGAGGAAGAAGGATCGGAGAAGGAGGGAGGGTCGGACGACAGCTCGGACGAGGAGGATTCTGATGATTCCGACGACTCGGACAACATAAGAGAAGAGGACTTGGCTGCGGGACGTGGATTCAAGGAAGACACTCGTCGTGTTGGAAACCGCGGCGGGAAGAACAAGTACGGAAAGAGGCGCTAAATTATCGAATTTTTCCGGCTTATCTTTTTTACCGTTCTTTCGCTTCTTTTTCACATCTTCCCACTCGCTCCAATTATCGGCGCATTTGCGTTGAGAACTCCCCCAAAAAAAATTCCGCCTAATTGATGTTTTTGAGTGAAAATATTCGGTTCCTGGTGTCCAATGGTCTTCTGTCGACGGTCATTGGACACCGAAACTCAGTCATTCAGTCACTTGTTCGTATTTTTTGCTCGTTTTCTTACAAATTCTATTTATATCGCTCTCTTGGTGGATAAATTCTTGTTGTTTTTTTCTAGACCTAGGGAGATAGCCTCCAATTTGTCGCTAAAGTTGAAAAAATTTCAGGTTCCCTTTTTGGGAAGCGGGACGATCAGAGTATTTCCAGTCGTCATTTCCGTTTGTTTCGTTTTCGGAGGAAGCATCTAAAAGTCCATTTTCAGTTTAAAAAAAAATGAGTGAAACCAGTAAACCTTGACGAAGAGTTGAGTGTTCCATTCGCTCGGAATGCCGTGTTCCTCGGTCTTCTCATTGAATGCGACGACGCCTTCTCTGCAACAGGATTACTGTACTCATCCGAATCTACCGTACCCCCTGTGCTCACTTCTGATCCGCCTTCCGCGTGCTCTTCTTCTTCTCCACCTCCTTCCTCTCGCTCTCCTTCGTCTCCTTCCAAATCCCACTCGGCTCTTTCGCGTTTTTCAGCGCGTCGATGCCTTCCTCTACGAACTTTTTGACATCTTCGAACTGCGCGTACGAAGGGCGTTCCGTCTCTTTCGCGGCCGTCTGCAAAAGTGATTCATTTGAAGAGCCGTCCTTTTTGCAAACTGACCGCCAACTGATTTCTGATCTGGTTTCTCAGCGGATCCGTTACCGGAATCTCGACAATCAGACGGGCAAAGCCTGTGAATCAATGCTCAGATTTACAATGGATGCAATGAAAAGAACCTTCATGTTTGATTCCATTGACAATCCCCACTTTGACCTCTTCCAAACTGTTCACCGCTTTTTCGTTAATCATCGAAATCGTCTCTCCGATGTTCAAAGCGCCGTGCGAAACCGAATCGGGGAGGGTGTAGTTGACAACGACCTTCGGGCCGATTTGCTGCATGTTCAGACCCAATTTCAGGAACTTGTACTGGAATATTATCGCCTCTTCGTACGAACTGTTGGCTGCTCGCTCTAATTCTGAAAGGGAGTGAGTAAGTGGTTAGAATGGAATAGGAGCTTACCTCTCGGAACTCGAAACTTTTTCGTCCGGGTTCTGAGTCTGGCGACGGTGACGTCCACTCTCACGATTTCTTCCTTCGTCGCAAACAGTTTTTGCACAAACTCTTTGAACTCTTTCGATCCGACCAACGATGCTTTTCTGGAGGGAAAATATGATAACATTTTATCAGACAACTCCAAAACGACGTCTCCTTTGTGGGGTACTTGAAACATAAAACTAACGGCGTAACCGGCGCGGCGGGCTTCTTCCGAGCCAACTTCATTTTGCTGTTCTGGGTGCTCGGCGCGGTGGTCTTGTCCTCCGAGGACCGTTCTTCGAAGGCCATATCCGTGCCGTTCACCTTCAGAATCAGGTCTCCCGGCAGAATGAGTCCTTTGAACGGACTCGTGTACCCCACGCGGATCACCATTCCGTGACGGTGCGTCAGGCCAAGAATCTGTTAGAGTTTCATACGTGTCTTTCAATTTGGCTGCCGAGAAAAACAACTCATCTGAATCAATCAGATTTTAGGAAATGCTCCTTCAAACGACCGAATAGAATAAACTAAATCGACAGAAGAAAAAGCAAACTCCGTTTCATCTAGTTCTGAAACAGAATCTGGAAAGTGTTTCGGCCGAACCTTCTGATCCTTGTCCTTTCTGAACTCGTAGCTGGCCGTCACCATCAATTTCATCTCTTCCGGCACTCGATTTCCGTTCAAACGCATCAAGTCTCTCAGTCTGTCGTCGACCTGTGCCGAACGAAAAGAAAGTTACAGCGCCGTCAAGATTACTGTGAATACCCGCGGCCGTAGGTTGTCCGGAAGTGCCACTTCTGCTGTAATCATCGTTTCAACTGCTTCTTCGAACTTATCGCTTTGCGAAATAAAGTGTAAATTTAGCGATGGGAAAGGTCAGAGACGTACACAACGGTTACGGAATCAGTTTTCATAAAAATCTTTATTAATTTATTCGACAAAAAGAAAGAAAGAGTTGCTGAGGACTCTGATCCCTATCAAAAAAACCAGGCGGGGGCGTCATCAGTCATGGCGGTATTCACATAATAAATAATAGAAAGTTTGTGAGGAACGGCGAGAGGCACTTTTGAAGTGGCATCACAGAAAACAGTGAAAGAGTCTGCCGATGGGCGGCAGAAAAGGGGGAAAAATGAGACCATTTTGGGGGATAAGGGAACAATAGTAATTGGGAGGAATTTAAACAGAAGTCTTGAGTCCGGCCAGATGATCGTCCGCCTGAGCGTATTGTTCTTCTCTGAAACGTTTCGTTTTATGAGAAAGGAAAACGTGACGTTCAACAGATGCTGTTAGCGTTCCAAACCACTGTTTCTCTATCAATTTCAGGAAAAAGTTATGCGTTTTTGGATGGGTGAATGTTTTGAGTGGTTTGAGTTGGTAGTGCTTCTAGTATTCACTTACTCCTTACTCATTTTTCGACGCTTCTTCAGATCTGGAACTTTTCGAAACGTACAAAAGATTCGACGCAATAAACAGTGTCCCAATCAGGTGCAAGTGGCTTACCTGGCGGGCGGATAGAAGTCGTCGTCCCTGTAAATGTCGGGGTCGAATCGTTTCTCGGTGTTCAACGGCTCCGACTCCATCACCGGATACTTTTTGCCGGCGGTTCCGCGTCCGCTCACCGAGCTCCTGCTCGCCATGTCGTACCCGTTTTGGCGTCTTTGCTCGTTCGCCTCGTTCCGCTTCTTCTGCTTCACAATCCAGCAGCAGAGGAAGAGCACGAGAATGAGGACGATGATGCCGAGGAAGCCGGCGATGGCGGACAGCCAGATCAGGAAGTTCTCCTTCTCGCGCGACCGACACCACGGCTGCTCGCCCTTGTTCCACTCGAAGCGATAGTCGTTCGGACGGTTGCGGTCGACGATCAGACCGCACTTGTACTCGTGCACTCCCTTGATCCAGTGCGACTGGAAGCACTCGAAACGCGCCACGTCTCCTTGCATGTAGGCCGACGACATTGAGGACGTCTTCATGAGGTACTCGGGGTACTCGATGTTGATCACTCCGCAGCTGTTGTCTGCAAAATGGCGAAATTTGATGTGCGATAGAGTTCAAAAGTTTGTAGATTTATTGGACGTTACACCCTCAAAAAGCCTCCTGTTCCATAAACTTTACGGTTTCCTGGTTTACCAAACTCCAGATAGTGCTTCATGAATCACAAGTTAGTTTCACACCCCTCCTTTTAAAAAACTCACACTGCCGGGAAGCGTCGAAGCGGTCGGAAGTGAAAATGCTCCACTCGTTCTTCACATTCATGCCCAGAATCTTCGCATTGAGGGTGTAGTAGTCGTAGAGACACGGCACAGAGTCTCCGCAGTCCTGAATCACACCGGCCGGATTGTCCGGGCACTGAGTCTGACCGAATTCGTTGGTGAGTTGCGATTGGAGCGGTTGGAGGTTGACTGAAAACGAAATGGAATGAGGCTCTAGTTATTTGATACTCACTGGTGTTCGATTGTTGCATATCTCGGCACGTTTGCAATCTCTGGTTCATCTGTGTTCCGGTGATCGGGTAGAATCGGTAGGCTCCACTGAAACACGCAAAAACTTTGATTTCCTTCCATTTCACTCCAAAACTTACGTCTCATACTTTGGAGCGGTTTTATAGATCGGCCCGCTCTTCATGTACGCCTCCGGGAACACCTCGAACTTCTTGTCCTCGTCTTTCGAGGTCGTGAACATGTTTTCGGTGGGCATTCCGTAGGTGTTGCCCTGATTGTTAATGTTCTGATCGGAGCCGGCCTCACCGGATCCTTGCACGCGGTACTGATTGATGATCTGTTGGCGGTAGGTCTCCGAGTTGACGTCGTTGAGCGTGAGCGTTTGCAGATAGCTTCCCGAGGACTGATCCGGGAACGGTCGGAAGATTCCGCTGACACGTGGCAGGTTGTAGCGCTGTCGGAGCTCCTGCTCTCGCGTCTTGTCGCCGTCCGGACGGACTCCGTACTGCGGCGGCACCGAAATCGCCACGTTGAGCATTCCCATCGATTCCTGGTACTCTGACAGTCGATCGATGTCGATGGCGTAGGATTCGCGGACGCGGATTCCGATTTGCGCTTCTTCGAGCACCACGTAGATCTCCGGCTGACCGCGTTCCACGTTGTTCACATAGACCATCACACCTAGAAACAAGTATTATAGATCTGTTAGTCAAAACGCGTTTACCTTTGAACCTCTGAATGCGCATCGTGTCAAAGTATCTGAGAATGTTTCCGACAATGATCGAGGTTCTGTACCGAAAGCGTCTCGTGTCCTTTCTGGAGAGCACGTGTACTCTGTCGGTCCCAGTCGCTTCGAGTACGACTCCAGTGACGACGGTCGCGTTCGTCGGCTGAACGAGGTCCTGTTGAGACATGTACCGACCGAGCAAACCTAAAAGGAAACGTCTCTTTTCTCTCTTTCCAACTTCAGCAGCAACTCACTGAAATCGACGCGTCGGTTCGGATACCGTTCCATTCTGATCTGCACCTTCACTTCTGGCGTCGTGAACGTCTTCGGAATGTAGAGACCGTTGTAGACTCCCGGCTCGTTGAAGATGAACTTGTCGTTGTCGATGGTGTTGAACGTGCCGGCGCCCATCACTTCCCCATAGGCGGGCGGCTGATACTCCTGACATCCGGACGAGGGACGTCGCCAATAGAACATCTGACAGCGGAAATCGGCGAATTTACAGCACAAGAAGTAGGGCATGTAGTCGTTGTGGAAGGCGGACAGGCCGGGCACTTCGTACTGTCCCATGTAGGGCGTCGTGCCGAACTCGTAGGCTCGCATCGGGAAGCCGGGATTGTAGGGTACGTCGGGTGTGACTTTGATGACCGGTTGGTAGGATGTTTGCATCAGATGACCCTGATCGTCGTAGCAACAAACTTGACCGTAGTGAGTTGGAAAACGACTGAAAAGTTGGACGATCTTGAGAGTTACAATGAAAAAAGGAAAACTAACGCAGTGTTCTCGGAAGTGAAAGTGCGTCCGTCTCCAGCATAAGTGGTCATCACATTCTGCGAGCTCATGTAGCAATTCCTCGAGCCTATCGATGTGGTGCAAGTGATATCTCGGAACGCCTGCGAGCATCTCGGATGCGGCATAAAGCGTCCGATGTCGGCGATCGCCTGTCTCTCAATGCACGGGCACGAGGAGTTTGTCTCGGTGTCGCGGATGAAGTTCCACTGGGCGCCGTCCTCGTCGTACCAGTCGTGGCACATCTCCAACGACTTCTTCTTGATGTACTCGACGCGGGCGGCCTCGTCGTTCTGCGAGTACGTCGTCGTGGTGAACTTGGGGTTGTTCGAGGTCCACAGGAAGTGCAGCGAGATCGGCGCGGAAACGAGACTGAAATTGCGGTCTTATTTAGTCGTGGCACGCACTTACCTTGGGCTTTTGGGACCTATATGATTTGAAAGAGAATTTCACGGAGTATCCGAATCTGTTTTCATTTTTGCTAAAGAGCACTGGCTAGCGAAAAAATCTGCCTGTTTCTGCCACATTTTCCTAGCAAGTTCATCTTCGGCGACCTGTATCTCAAGAACCACGCGTCCGTTGCAGAAGTAGTCAACTAGTAAGTTAACGCAAATTATCTCGTGAATAACTTTGTAGTTGATTGTCTATTTTAAAAAAAATTAGTTTTCGAGTTATCGCCGCTCTGACCCCAACACTAACTTTTTTCTTGTCGCTCTAGGAAAACAGTTCATAACTCGAAAACTAATTTTTTTAAAAATAGACGATCAACTACAAAGTTATTCACGAGATAATTTGCGTTAACTTACTAGTTGACCACTTTTGCAACGGACGCGTGGTTCTTGAGATACAGGTCGCCGAAGATGAACTTGCTAGAAAATGTGGCAGAAACAGGCAGATTTTCTCGCCAGCCAGTGCTCTTTAGCAAAAATGGAGAGGAGCAGATTCGGATTCTCCGTAAAATTCTCTTTCAAATCATATAGGTCCCATTCCAAAAGCCCAAGGTAAGTGCGGGCCATTCCCTAGTTAGTTAATCGTGGCCCCTTGTAGTCAAAGCGCTTACCCGGACAACAAGTTCTGCGGATTCTGCTCTTGATTCGTGCGTAGCGGCGACAGTTTGAGATACCCGAATCGGTAGTGGTAGAGGTCGTTTTGTCGTTCCCAATCGGTCATGTACCACTGCTCCACCTGGTACAAATTGATTCTCTCCTCCTGCGGTTTCCATCGGTACTCGTACGTGTTACGGTTCGAGTATGTGGCCAGCCGACAGATGACTCGATGCTCCGGCCGGAACTTTTTGATCTGATCGTCCTTGTACTCTCTGTACGCGATCACGTACAAGCCGAGCTGCGTCGAGTACAGAGTGTCGTCGTTCATCCGAATCTGATCCATGTGCGTGCTCATCTCGGGATTCGTAAAGTTCCTCGGGTACCAGACCAACGGCATCGTCGTGTAGGGAAGCGGATTCTTGAACCAATCGTACACGTTTCCAATGTCCAATCGCATCGGATCGAGCGTGGGCGGCACGAAGTAAATGTAGCCGACGAACGCTTTTTCGTCGTTCGCTCCTCCGGACTGCGGCTGGAAGTAGACGGTCTTCGTGCCCCAGTCGTAGATCTTCGGAAGGCTGCATCGGGCGATCGCCGAGGTGAGCACGGTGCACGTGGCTGTCTGCCGCTGCTCGATCATCAGGATGTATGTTTGCGACTTGTCGAGACAGATCGCGTTCACGTCGACCGTCATCTCACCGAGCATGTTCACAATGTTCGGGTAGATCAGCATTGGGTCTGACAAAGTTGAGCTTAGATATCTGTTTTGGTCCCCAATAGTTCAGGTGTTACCCATCTCAAACAAAATCCAACTCACAAGTTCCACCGGTCTTGTTCGAGCATCCGGCTGGACGGACGACGTCATCCACTCGGAACATGTACCTTCCTCTCACCATCTGAGGAACTCCGGACCGTTGAGCCAACACTTTCGGCGTGTTTTTAAAGTCCTGGGTGGGATCGACTGGCACCAGTCCAGTGTGGTTTCCTCCGTTGAACAGCGCCTGCAAACATTTCCAAGGGCTATTGATGAAGACGCTTTGATGTTGCCCCAGACTCCATTTAATTTCAGTCATTCCCCCTAACCACCCGGAAAGCTCTTGAAATCGGTCGAAAACAAGTGCGCTTCTATTTGCACAGTGAGTCATTCGAGTGCAAACATTGCCAATGTACATCATTTCGAAAGTACAAAAGGCTTTCAGTTACCTGGCATCTTCCCGAACGCGAGTTCTGGCGGAAGTCGGCGGCGTCGAATCCGAGACGATCGTAATTGAGAATGACGTACGAGAGTCGTGCGGTCTGCAATATTCCATTTTGACCTCACTGAAACAGTCCCTCCCTGTATCTAAGTACCGTCGGAAAGTGTGCTAATATGGTGGTAAAGCGTCATGAGACGTGTGTATTTATGAGCTACTGATAACCGAGCACAAATTGGAAACAAAATATTGTGATAAGGAGTAGGTGACCGAGCACAACACCTTAAACTCACCCTGTCAGTCAGCCAGATCGTTTGATAGGTGGCCAGTTGTCCCGCATCAATGTCGGACCGTCCGGAGATGGCCGACGCCGTGTTGTACCACGTGACGACCAAGGCGGCGTCCGCGCGGAACGCTGCCGCTCCGGCCACTCCCTCGATCAGCCATCGTTGCATTTCTTCGAGAAAGTAGTCGGCTTGAGTGTCGCATCGGACATAGGAATCGGGCGTTCCGGGACACGCCTGAGAGGCGGATTGGCCGAAGAAGCTGGACTGATACGTGGATGCGCCGACGTTGGCGTTGGAACCGGATTGGCGACCGAACAGCGATTGACGCATCATGAGACGGTAGAAGACGCCCGAACGCATTCCGGGATTCAGAGATTGAGGGATCTGGAATGTCACGTTTCACTTGATGTTAGCGGAAATAGAGACGAGTGGTTGGGTGTCCAACTGACCTGTTGCTTGCAAAGATACGGAGCGATCATTGCTGGATCCTCGTGTCTCGGCCAATCTGTCATATCCGGACCCACATTAAGAGTCGGTCCCTGGTCGAGCACGGTTGCGAATCCGATGTATCCGTTCACCGAGAGCTACAATACTATAGTACTAGAGTCGAAGCGTGATCATGGAATCAGAGTTCCGACCAAAATTTATGAAAGTATTGAAACGGGAAGTGAACCCGTATTTTGCGTCACAACGAACCGTCGAGTAATTGTAGAGTCCTCCGTAGAACGGAAAGTACATGTGCAGATCGATCGTCTGTCCGGCGGTGAGCAGTCCCGGATTCACTTCCTGATCGCCGACGTCGGGTCCGAACGGCACGAGGTTCACTCCGTAGTAGAGGTTGCTGCCGGTGCCGGTGTAGAGGAGCGACGAGTCGCCGGTGCCGATGTTCTGGTTGATGTTCGCAGAGTTCGCCTGCTGCACCTGCGCCTCCAGTGGTATCAGCGGGAGAAGAAGCAGTGTCGCCACGAGGGCGAACGACGAGAAACCCATCGAAGTGGGCATCTGGAACAACCGAAAATCGATAAAAGGCGAATAAATTTCGAAACGTGCAGAGTCATCGATCAGAAATGGACGAGTCGTAAAACTAAAAAAGAAACGAGAAAGTGAGAGAAAGAGAGGAAGGAGGCAGAAAGGTAAATATTGGTAAATTTAAGGGAAGGGAAACGGCAAGAAACGCTTGCGGGCACACCGCCGCCGATCGGTCAAGGATAACGAGCGAGATGTGATGTTTTACACTTTCAGAGTGTACGGATCACTGACTGCTAATTTATAGTATAATCTGGCTAGCCTTTGGTGATCCTACAATAATAAAAGTGACAAAAGAAGCTTCACCGCAGTGGGGATCGAACTTGTGTGCAAAAACGAAACCACTGCGCCACGAGCGTCACCGATCCAACTAGCTTTCGCGGCGAACACAATCTCGGTGTTCGCCGTGATTTTTCAGCCAAAATTAGCAAACTTTTGGCAGACGACACTGATATTTTCGGGGATTTCCGTGTTGACAAACCAATAAACGGCGATGTCTCTGCCGGGTTTTCGCCTTCGCTGACAAGGTGACCCACTGAGCAAACACGAGAAATTGGAAGGGAAACGAGGTGGGAGGAGGCGGATGGTGAAAAGAACAACTCACGGGTGAAATTGAATACGTTTCCTTGGGAAAATCCAATCGGCCCAAGGATTTGCATAGGCCACAGGTACGTTTTCTAGTGCCATCCTATTGTACATACTTTTTAAAAAGTATTTCTATAAAATCCAGAAAATTTTCTTTTTCTATTAAACTGTTTCGAGAAGGTTTTATAGGGAATATCAATGAAACATCCGAGCTCCCTTCACTTTATTTCGCCGTTGAAATTCTGTCAGTACCGTTTTTTTTTAAACTTTTCTAGAATTACAAATTCAAACTCAGGTATAAGCTACAGTTTCACTCTTGAGAAATAGCCGAGAATGCGCTAAACTGGAGTTAAAAGCGCGAAAAGAATTGTCGACGGGGTTTTCAATGTTCTAGAAAAGAAGAGAACTATCGTGTACGGGTTTCACTAGGTGCACAAGTTCATGTGGAAAATAGCAATAACAAGTGCCCAAGTTTTACCGTTTCATTCTGCGCATAAAGTCAGTCAAAACAACCGATTTTTAGCAGACTTGCCAAATCCCGGGCCAGCAAATCGTCGGCCCGGCCCGGCCCGGCCGGGCCGACGAGGTTTTTATGCTATAACATTGCCTTTTTAAGTCTATAAAATTTTAAGTCTATAAAATTATGTTCGTTTCGAAGTTCTAGTTCGCTTTGAATTTTTAGGTGCATCCTCCCGGGCCGACCGGGCCGGGCCGGGCTGGGCCGGGCCGGAAAATTTCCAATTTTGGCCCGGCCCGGCCCGTTGCAAGTCTGATTTTTAGTATGGAACACTTTTGAAAAAGTCCGACAGAAGGAAACCTCTCGTCTCGGTTTCAAAATGCATTCGTTAACAGTTGCAGAAAAGGTTTAATGCTCGGAGATTTGAAGTTGACGGGAATTTCTGGAAACAACGCGCTCTTCGAATGATTCTTCGTGTGTTGGAACACGTGATTTTGGTCAAAAGCCATCTAATTTTCAGTTTCATGCTGGGCATACAACTTCTACTGCATTTTCGCTGCAAAAGTTCGAAAAAAAAGGAAAATTTCATTGAAAACACCGAAACGGCAAAAGTAATCCAGAAAGAGGAGAGAACCATTGCGATTGCCGGAATAGAACGACACCATAACATGCACTATTCAAAGCAATGTATCTCCGCTGTCGGTGGAGATATGAAAAAGTTGACAACTGATAAAATGTACAGAATTTCCTAATGAACATTTCATCCGTTGACAACTTTTTGGTATCTCTACGGGCAGCTGAGATATATTGTTTTGAATAGCAGTTCCCCCGGAAAAGGCGATAGGTGAAAAGAGGAGGGGGGAGAAAAGCAGGAAAAGAAGAGGGGAGGGGGAGGGAAAAGTGTGATAAGAAATATGCACAGACGCATATATTTACCTACAACCGTCTCCTCCTCCGCCGCTTGTATACACATCGGAAAAGGGGGTACCGACGCGGTGAGTCATCCGGAGAAGTGAGTCATCGAAACAACGGGGGAGCCGGAGCCAGGCATCAAGGTTCCGAGTCGTTTTCAGTTGGGGAACAGTACTGTGAAGGAAGAGAAGAAGAGTGAAAAAAATGAGTCACGCGGCGGGCGGAACGGGGACGTTTTATAGTCGAATGTGCAGGAATGGAAAAGCGGGGGGGGGGAGAGAAAGAGAGAAAGCGATGGGAAACGGAAAGAAAGTGACGTGGCACCGTGCGAACATGCAAATGAACTTGTGTACGATGTGACAAATCAAAATGCGGTACTGATGAAACTGACAAACATAGTGAACACTTTCAGTTTTCTGTATTAGAACATCACACCAATACCGTCCATTCAAAGCCATTGTATCTCATTTGCCAGTGGAGATATCAAAAAGTTGACAACTGATAAAATGTACGCAATTTCTTAGTGAACAATGCATAAGCTGACAACTTTTTGATATCTCCACCGACAGCCGAGATATATCGTTTTGTGTGAAAGGTATTGCTTCTATTACAGTATTCACGTTAGTTCAGTGAAACGATAATTTTTGTATGGTTCTAAACATATTTTCCCTCATGTTCGGCTGATTTTTGTACATATATATATATCAGAAAATCTCTGATTACCAATTTTGTGAAGCCGTATTTGTTGTGAACTTTGAAGATACATTGTTCAGTTTCATCAACAATATAAATTATTTGAAAGGTTCAAAGTGTCGCCAGTCGGCTGATGTGTTTCCCTAAAAAACGTTTTGTCCGGTACTGTACACACTTTTCAGTTTCAAATTTGGTATAAAAGTTCTGGGGGATGAAAACGATTTCAATAGACGGACACTATGTGACATAGTCTATGTCACACCCTATGTGTGTTAAAATCGAGAAATGTAAGAAACTTGTTCGTAAGACGCTCAAATTAATTGATTTTTTGTTGAATTTCTGTGTCAATGAGCAAAAACCAATTACAGGAGCGCCAAAGAAGCGAGAAAACATTAAAAATTGAGGGCGAGCATATAAAAAAAAATGCTAAAAATAGGGTGCATGATCGGAGAAATAACGAGTAGACTGATAATAGAATCACTAAATTTAGAACAATGTCGGCGGCGAGAGAGAAGCAAAAACGGTTCAGGACCAGTGGGGATTGAAGCAAAACGGAACTGATATTCAACAGCGTTACCACTGCGCCACGCGCGCCACTTTTTGCCCAGTCTTCCAGGGCGTATTCATTAAGGTCGAACGGAGGTAGGGGTCCGTTCCATTTTCACGAAAAAATAACAATATCTGTTTCCAGACTCCACAAAATTATCAATTTTTCAGCTGGCCGCATTCTCAATCAAAAAACGGCGTACTAGGAACACGGGCGGGTACAAAACAACAAAAGTGGAATGGGGGAATGAGTCAAAAAGGAGTCAGATGAAGAAGAAGAAGAAGAAGAAGGCGAGTAGAAGCATTGTGTGTCCGTCGTCGCATTCACACATTGATAACATTCTCTCTCTCTCTCTCTCTCTCTCTCTCTCTCTCTCTCTCTCTCTCTCTCTCTCTCGTCCACTATCAGAGCAGTACTGCTCCTCTACCTCCAGAGCAAATAACCAACCGATCCGAGCCATCCTGTATACAGAAATACACCCATTTCCTCTCGTTTCTCTCTCTCTCTCTCTCTCTCTCTCGCTTTTCCGCTTCTTTCATAAATCGACCGACGAAGAGAAGAGTGGCAAAAGGGACGGAAAGTAAATAGGGAAAGAGAGAGAAAGTGTGTGAAATGAGGAGGGAGGAGAGAAAGAGACAGACGAATTGACACGTGCAAGTGATCAGTGATTACTGTAGATTCTGGAAGTGGGCAAGTTTTTCATGTTTCAAAAGGTTCAAGTGTACCGCAACCTATACTGGTGATCATTAAGAATATCAACATTAAAAAGTGGTCGAAACGTGAAATGGAACATTCTTGAACTGAATATTGTAGATTCCAGAACAATGCACATAAGTTCTCTATGTAGATTAAGCCTGATCATGTCAAAAGGGGCAGACAATACATAGATTTACTAGTGAAAGTAATTGTGGCAAAATTAATGAGCATTCTGAAACTTTGATCATTTTTTGCATTAGCGAACCAGGAAGAATCGATCAATTTGAAAAAGGAGAAAACTTGTAAAGTTTGTGGAACAGCGATTTGAATATTGTAGCGTACTTTTAAAAGTTTCATAGTTCCTCGGAAATCTTATGAAAATGTGGTACCATTTGGGAAAAACTAGAATAATATTCTAGTTTTTTTTAAATCGATTTTATCGAAGATAATCAAGATTAAGTCGGTTTCAAAATGCGCCGACTTTTTGGAACCCCATCGAAAGAAGAGTAGCAAAACAATGGAAAACCCCCCTGATCTTCAAAAAAGGAAACAGGGAAAATTTGGAGAACTACAGGCCGATCTGCCTCCTCCCCGTCCTATATAAAGTATTCTCTAAATGTGTGCTCAATAGGATTCGGAGAACACTAGAAGAAGCCCAACGAGTCGAGCAAGCTGGATTTCGTCGCTCCTTCTCTACGATCGACCACATCCACTCAGTCCAGCGACTACTCGAGGTTAGTACCAGATCCCACTCACACTTGTATTCATAGACTTCCACAAGGCATTCGACAGTGTTGAGCCAGGAGCTATCTGGGAAAGTCTCCGAAGGCAACGGATAGATTCGGCCTACATCAACCTACTCAAAGAGTGCTATACCAACTGCAGCAGCACAACATTCAAACCCTTCCACCGACCTGTGACGGTCCCAATCACGAGAGGAGTGCGGCAAGGCGATCCTATCTCGCCAAACTTGTTCTCGGCCTGCCTAGAACTAGTCTTCAGCCAAATGTCCTGGAATCATCTGAAAGGGCACGACGAGGACCACGCGACAAACCCTGGAATCAGAATCAACGGCAGAAATCTAACGCATCTTAGATTTGCAGATGATATTGTCCTAGCGGCAAATTATCCAAATACTGCCAGCGAGATGATCCAGGAACTAGTGGAAAGGTGTGCAAAAGTAGGTCTCCAAATCAATACTAACAAAACCAAAGTGTTGCGAAACATATTTGCCACCGACCATCCGGTCTGCATCAAAAGTGGCGCAACCACCACCACCGCCATCGAGGATGTCAACGAATACATCTACTTGTTAGGTGGTAGACGACGAGCAGTGTGGGCGGCACTTAACGGAATCAAGAACACCACGGATGCCCTCACCTGCCCATCGTCCTCCCGGCGCTCGCCTACGGCTCAGAAACCTGGACCTTTACAAAGGCACTGGCTGAAAGAGTGCGAGTAACCCACGCGTCATTGAAAAGGAGACTCGTCGGGCTGTCGCTCTCCCAGCAAAGAGAAAGAAATCTCCATCGAGAAGACATCCGACGCCTATCCGGCGTCCGCGACCCTCTACTCCACGTCAAAAAGAGGAAGTTAGGCTGGGCCGGACCACTCTGACGCAAGAATGGATCCCAAGAGACACAAAGCGACCGGTCGGCAGACCGCCGATGAGATGGATCGACGCCCTCAACAAAGAAGTCACCATCCGACAAGGAAACCGAGTGGTACCATGGAGCACCATTGCCAAAGATCGGAAGGCGTGGTGTGCTGTGATCCGCGCCCACACAACGTGAGCGAGGAACGGATCGTAAGTAATCAAGATTAAGTTGGTTTCAAAATGCGCCGACTTTTTGGAACCCCATCGAAACCGCAACTTTTTTGTGCAGTTTCAAGAAGTCAAAATGAGAAAATCGTCGAATATTTTAGCTGATTCAATAAGGAACGGCTGTAAATAAATGAGCGAGGACCTATTGCCAGTACGTTGACTTTTCGATGAATTTTCTCAATGTCCAACAGAAGCACGCAATAGATCCACATCAACACAAATGTGCCAGCTGAAACCGAAAAATTGCGGAGAGTTGCAGACTAACAATTGTCCGTCATTCTCCCTGCCGAGTGAGTATCGGGGCGCGTTTGCCCGTTCAATCAGGGCAATCACTGGTGCTTAGCACCTTCTTAACACCTCTCCGTCTCGCGCTCCGTTTCCGATCGTCCGTCGAATCGTAAACGCGTGTTGATGTGTGTGTGTTTGACGATCGCATTTGCATGAATAAAGGACACGTTTGTATGTGTGTGTGTGTGCAGCCGAGAGACCGCAAAAGGTATCAGAATGGACGAGGTGATTGCTTGTTTGTTTTCGTACTCGGTTTGGAGCGATGCAATTCGGGGAACGAATCGAAAAGAAGCCTGAAGAGTCAGTGCGTCCTTTGATTAGTCGGTACATTTGACAAGATTCTGAAACACTTTGATGCACTATGGTGTTCACCATTAGGCCAAATTACTTCCTACAGACCCAAAATATGTCAAAAACCTTCGGAACACGAAGTTGTGAAGCTGTTACTTTTCTGTCATGACTCGTTTTCAAGAACAGAATGATTTCAATGAATTCTTCTGACTGTTTCGAAACTGAAAAGCAGAAAAGATGGATAACCGTGAGATTGGAGCCAATTTTCGATAACCGATATCCCTTAAAGCTTTACAACTTCATAGAAAATACGAAACAGAAAGTGATCATTCCTCCTTCTGCTCCTTCCAAAGTTCGTTTGATGAGCTACGTGACCCTTTCCAAAACGTTAATTGAACTCTCTTTTCCCGATTTCTTCTAATCATTTCACACTTGTTCAATGTCCTCGAACGACGATCATCTGATAAGTGAGACGTCTTTCAGCGTTCCGCTCATCTTTTCATTCTTCTAGAATGTGCTCCATATGGAGTCATCAGACATGCGTTCGCCATTAAACGAGAGACGTTGATTAACTGCCATAAACTAGGACCAAAATGGATGACTGGAAACGTCTTCTGGTGAGTGACCAGTGGGACACGATCAAAAAGAAACACATTGTTTTGAGGACGTCTACTTGGCACACCACTTATAGTAATGGTGTACAGCAATTATCTTTTTTTGTGCATTGCGATTGTGTTGAAGAAGGTCTTGATGATTGGGATGTTAGAGGCTCGCTTCAATCTTGTATTGTGAATCATCTGGATAAGGACAACTCGTACGCTCAGTGCTACATTTCTAACTTCAATGTCTCGAGACCGGGGAGGAGTTTTTATGCGTGCAACATTGCTGACATATCAGATGATGAACGCGGATTTCTAAAAGATGACGAGCTGATCGTTGAATTGGAGATTCGAGTGACTGAGGTCAAAGGAGTCAACATTGCGCGGATCTTCAACTTGACCGATGTCACTCCGCACACTGTTTCCCTCAATATTGGAACGGTGCAATTGAATGTGAATGCGCGGGTGAGTTGCGAAAAGCTATCAGATAGTTGCCGAGAATCAGAACGTCCAGCTCATCGCCTTCCACTCTCCATACTTTGCCAATCTCCTCGATGCCGATTATGACGATTCGTTTTACGAACTGTCTGCAGAGAAGACTGAACTTTTAATTCAATGTGCTCTAGGAGCACGTCCCAAACAACTTGCTTTTTACAATCCACTTGGACTCATCGTCGAACCTGCTCACAAGTTCAAGTTATTCAATGTGGTGCGTAGATGCGAAGAATGGCTTCTCTTCGAAACACTTTCCAATTCCTGGCTTGACTATGCGGTGAAGTATGATATGAGAAGACTTTTCGTGCGTTTCTTGATAGCACTTTGACACTTTTGACGCCTATTTCTTTCAGTGCAAACTCATGTCCAAATGGAGTTCGAAGGAAAAACGGCAAGAGGGGAAGACGGTGTTGAGAGCGATTAACGTCGAGAAGATGTCACTGGAGATTAAGAGAGCGTTCGTTAAAAATGTGTTTGAACATGTCTAGCTGTTTTTATTTATTTATTTTTTTTTTGATAAACTACGTCACTCTTTTCAAAACGTTTATTTTTCCCATTTTTTCAATGTCCTCTCATGGGTTTTTACGCAAAAAAACCCTATTCAAATGAGGAAAAAACCCCGGAGAAGAGGTTTGTTCGTTGCGAGACCCGCGCTTTAATGGCATGCGCCTTTAAACACAACCGGGCGGCCATTTAAATTGTTTAAAGGCGCATGCCGCAACGAACAATCACACACAGGAAAAAACCACTTCTCCGGGGTTTTTTTGCGTAAAATACCAGTATTTTACTGGACTGAATACTGGTCCATGAGGAATATCAACTCAAAAGTGGGACCTCAGGATTAGAGCCAATTATCGATAACCCAGTGTCACTTCTTTAAACTTCTTAAAGCAATACTACTTCATTTTGACCAGTACACATAGAAAATACGAAACAGAAAGAGATCATTCGGAGATTTCGAGACTTGCGAGCGCTTCGGCGACGCCTTCCTCCTCCCGCTCCCTCCAAATAATGCTCTCGCCGCCGAAATCGTAGGCGATCTTGTGAATGGACTTGACGACGAACACCGACTCGTTCGTCTTCAGCTCTCCGCTATTGTTGGGCACGAATTTTCGCTGCGCATTCTCCAACATGCGCACTTTGACCGTCACGCGCAGTTTCTCCTTTTTCAGCAGATGGTACTCTTCCGGACGGCGCGCTTTCAGCTGCTGCCAGTGATACTCGATCGCCTCGACCATCTGACGGATCGTGTGCGGATAGACCTCGATCTTCCACAGCTCCGAGTCGTAGAAGTGTGCAGTTTTGGAGAAGTTGTTCGAGCGCACCTTCATATCCTCGATCTCTCGGTTTTCGGGACTTTCAAAGTTGTCGGGGCGGTAGACAAACGAGCAGGTGAACTGAAAAAGACGAGTTTTTACGTTGACTCGTCCACTTCTCACCTCCACTTTTCCGTCGATCACTGTCGTCGGCACCGGCACGTTATCGGCGTCCATCTCGACTAAATCAACGGCGCGGGCCTCGCGGAAGTGCCACGAATTCTTGCGTGTTCTCGTCTTCGTCCATCTGTCGTCGATGACTCCAAAGTAATACCAACTGCCGACCTGAGAGAAAGGCAACGACGTAAGAGGATACAATTTCATCGGTACGCCCTCACTTGAAGATTGGGAGCCATACATCTGAGGATTCCGAGCATGCCGCTGTACATGAGAGCGCACGTGGGAAAGCAATTTCTCGTCGACTGGATGTGATTCGGGACGTCGACGGCGCACACGAATCCAATGTACGCCGATTCCTTCTTCAGCGGGAACTTCTGGTTCGACGGCAGACGCTGAAAATGCGGGGAAATGGTTCTGCTGATCTCCATCTCTCCTCACCTCACTATCGTCCGGGAGGGAACAGAGTTCGGGCAGTTTCAGGTCGAACGCCTCCTGATGCCACGGCTGCAAATGTGTTGATTTTGGAGTGAGAGGCGAGAGAGAGAAAGAAAGAGTACCGCCGCATAGACAATATCGAATAGCTGCCACTCCTTGCGAAGACTTTCCATGTCCACAATCTCGAAGACTCGGCCGTCGTCTCCTGGCGCGTACTTGCACGTCACCTGTTAAAGTGTGTTGAAGGTTCAGGCAAGCTTTGAGGTGCCAGAAACCATTCAAAACATGGTTTTGCTACACCTTTGAGCACCGTAACATGGAGCTGGGAGCCGATATTGTGGATGGAGTCCCCATCAAAGTTCTAAGCTCGGGGGCAGAAGGGAAGGAGCCCAGAAAAGTGAGCTAAAAAGCGTACCTCGATGGGGGTGACATCGGGGTTTTCGCGGTAGAAGTTGTGGTCGGGATCTCTGAGCATTCGGAGGAACGGCGACCACACGCACAGCTCGTACTTGTCGCAGATCTCCTCCATCTCATCGTAGAGCAGGATCGGAAAGCCGACGGCGACCGTCTTCGCCATCAGATTTCCGTCCTTCTCGAACAGATCGATGAGGTTGAGATCGGGATGGAACGGGCACAAGAACTGAAATTTGATGGGAAATTATATGGAATGTAAGGTGAGCGACCGACTTTTCCCTCGAGGGAAACCGAGTAGAACAGGCCGCGTTCGAACTCGTCTCCCTCGTGGAGCGGCAGTTCGCAGACGCCTTTGTCGTAGTCGTAAATCTGAAAAAAAAAACTCGGAACATTATCGGTCTAACACAAAAATACTCACTTTGTACGACTTTTCGCCGACTTCACAGATGAATCCCTGCAGGATTTCGGACATTTCTGGAAGATTCTCAGTCACTACTAAAAAACACACAAGCGGAAGAGAAAGAGCGAGAAGAGACGGAGAAGAGAGAAGTGTGCAATTTCGCGTCGCGGTGTTTGCGGACTGCGGGCTCTAGACGGAGGGAAAACGAAGGGTTTTGATGTTCTAAAAGAATAAAATTGGATTCGAATCGCAGAAGTAGCTAATTTTGAGTCGTGTTAGAAAATTTCAGCTTCTAATTATGACATTTTATCAAAATCTCAATCTATAAACAAAACCCCATCAAAATCGAATTAAAATTAGGCGGTTAGTCACTAAATCGAAAAATTGAAACGGAAACAATCACTTTTAGGCCGTTTTCACAGGAATCAATGAAAATGTCATGAATGGATTCGCATTCGCGATTAGGACGTAGATCAAAAAAGATCAAACTATAATTATACGTCTCCGTCAACTTTTGTGTGGTGCGAGTCGACAAAAAACGAAAAAATCTACTGCGGAGCTTCAATACAATTAAACAGACTTGCCAAATCCCGGGCCGGGCCAGCAAATCGTCGGCCCGGCCCGGCCCGGTCGGCCCGGAAGTTAGACCTCAAAAAAAATATGCAAAAAAATATGAAGGAAGAGGAAAACGCGTGCGGCAAAATTGCTAAAATGGCGTGCCAGAGTTGCAATCAATCGCTCCGCCCACTCTTGAGAAAATTTTCGTAATTTTTGTGAAAATTTTGCGACTTTAAACAGCAATTTCTATTTTTTAACAGGTTTTTATGCTATAACATTGCCTTTTTCGTCTTTTTTTCTATTTCTGCTGGTTTTTACAATGAATCTTCGAAATTGAAGCAAAACGACGATAACGTAGGCCGTTTTCAAAGTTTGGTGGGTAAAAATGGACGAAGACAAAGTGCTTGAAGAAAACGGCGGTCAACTAACTATTTCTGCGAAACAACTGCAAATTTTGGTACGGAAGAAAGATAAAAAGTGATTTTTGTAAGTTTTTTACCGTCATTATTCAAAATAATATGACATGCAATTCAGGGCGATATCTTCAAACAAGATAATGTCCAGTTAGTTCTCTTCCGACCGAACGAGGATTCTGAGGGAAAAGAGACAGGAAAGGCAGCGTGCATAATGTGTTTCCAGCTTCTATCCACCGCCGACGGAAATCATGTGCGAAGGCACGTTTTGGAACGGTGCAAAAAACGAAAAATGGAATCGGCACCCGAAAATGAACCATCTCAAAAGCAAATAAAACTAACGGAATTCACTGCGAAGAAGCTGACGAGTACGCAAATCAAAAAAGTGACTGCCGCCTATTCGAAATTATAGTATTTTATTAGTTGTTTTGTTGTACAGATGAGTAAAATCTGTTTGTTACATTTTGTTTACTTTGTTCTCATTTCTTCGTGGTCCAAATTTGACTGATTTGTTGCAATTTTAAGTCTATAAAATTATGTTCGTTTCGAAGTTCTAGTTCGCTTTGAATTTTTAGGTGCATCCTCCCGGGCCGGAAAATTTCCAATTTTGGCCCGGCCCGGCCCGTTGCAAGTCTGCAATTAAACATTGTTCAACCGTTTTTCAATGTTTCACAAAGTCCCCGAAACTGAAATATTTCAATTACACTTTTTTATCGAAAGCAATAGTTTTTGCACTTGAAACTATCGCCAAAAAAGCAGGCGGCACCTAGAAAACGATCAGAGAACAATCAATGACAATGTATGTACAAAGTGAAGAAGGGACCGGTGATTGGGGCGCGGGACGGACGGGAAATGTGTCTAGACCGGTCCAGAAATGTCCGAATCGTATTCGTCGCGAGAAGGGGCGGAGGCGGAGTCTCCAGAATCCTCTCCGTTCAAGTTCTTCGAGCTGGAGCTTCTGAAAGATGCAATATTCCTCTAAAATTGGATTTGTGTTTGGTATTTGTAGCCTCTTTTTGAGTCAAGTTGCGCTTTGTTTCACACGGTCTCCAGAGCTGACAATGGGCGCGCAAGTGCGCCCCGCCCAATAGAGCGATACATTGGCGCGAAATTCAAATTTTAACAGCACAGTTTGTGTTTTTTGCCAGATTAGCCACGAGAAACCGATAATTTCTCATTTGTCGCTCGATAGACCGATTGTATAGGCTTTTACGAATTTTTTAAGCGCAAGAGCGTTAAATTTGGTGAAGTCGCAAATCACATTTATCCGTTTGAAGTTTTTTGGCTAAAACTGCGTGAATTTCAGTTGCTTTTCGCTAGTTTTCGCAGTTCGAGCGCTCAAAATGATTGTATTTACGTGATTTATCACTCTCAAAACCACTTCTGTCGGAAAACGGTCAAGAAAGCGCGCAAAATGAGAAGTGCGCTTTTTAGGCGGCGAAGGCGAAAAAGCAAAGTCCGCGAAAAATGCGCCAAAACGTCATTAATTCTGAGAATTAGTGTGTTTTCATGTCGAACAATCATTTTTCATCGCCGTTGACCACAAAAATCAGAGAAAACCTGCTAAATTCATGAAAAAGCCATGATCAGTGCGAGGCAATGATTGTAGACAAATTGTGTGAAGAAACATAAAAAATGATTGAAACATGAAAAAAAAAACTCACGTCTTCATGTCCCTCATATCCTGAGAGATCGAGAACGAACTCGAGTGTAATCGGGGTCTCCGTTGAAGGCTGACTGCCGGGAAGTTGGCCTGAACAAATGGCGAATTTCAGAGAATTTCCCGACCGGATCGAGATTACATCGTCATATTTGCGGAGAGTGTGATCTCGGTGCAAGTTGGCGAGCAGCGGGGACCGAGTTGCCAGACGGTCCTCAATGGAGACGGGCGAAAGGTGACAGTCGATGAGTGGCTTGCTGCAATCAAAGTAGCAAGAGCATTGAATTGAGACTATTGTGAAACCGCAACCAATACTTCTCATTCGAAACGATGCATCTCAGCTGTGGGTAGAGAAATCAAAAGGTTGTCAACTGATAAAATGTACAAAATATATAAGCGATCAATTTATTAGTTGACAACTTTTTGATATCTTTATGGGCAGCTGAGATTCAAGGTCTGCAAAAAAGAAAAAGAACCATTGCAATTACTTGTTAGTGAATTGTAGTTTGGAAAAGAACGTTTTGAAACTTGTAATGAAATTGAAAGCAACTTTTTAGGAATGCGATTGTTTTGTCAATACCAAAACGTTGAACTTCTCCGACTTACGTGAACTTGGGCACCTCGATGGAAGTTTCCGGAAGTGACAGACTCGAGGCAAAGTTCTGGGAGGCTTTCTGTAGAAAACGACAATATTTGCACCCCGGTGCACAGGATCCGGTACCTTGTTTTTGAGCAACTGAACGACTTCATCACTCGCATTCGAAATGTGGTCGATTTTGGACTCAATGTCATAGACACGACCCTAAAAAAGGCTACATTTCTGGTCGTTTGATGGAAACAAACAGACTTTGAGCAAAAAGTTCTCCTGCATCAGATCGTGCACTCGTTGGCAAGTCAGTTCCGTTCTGAAACACCCCTCTTTTCCATCTACAACCCATATTTTCACCTACAAATCGGCCATATCCAACGGTTTTTTCGTGTCCAATTTCAATCGTCTCGTCCTTGTCAACGTGTCGATACAATCCTCTTCGAAATCTTGCATTCGTTTCATTTCATCCTCACTCACACCCAATTCTGAACGGAAATTAGCGGGGTTTTTCGGGCGAAAATGAGCCTACTGATCGAGTATTCGGATCGGAAACGTTCTGTGTCCGGACGTTTACTTCGCAACTGGAAAAAGGCTGATCAAAGGGCCAAGAAAGAGTGAATTTACATTGTAGAGATAGAAAATGAAGTGAGTGACGTGGGCGATTATACTGAACGGAGGCGGAAGGAACGGACTGTCGTGGTATCTGAAGAGCAATAATTCGCATTGGAAATAGTTGAATTTGAATACAGTTTCTTCAAATCGTCATATCTCAGCTACCTATAGAGATATCGGAAAGTTGTCAACTGACAAATTACTCAGTAATAAATACTGTACATTTTGCTAGTTGACCACATTTTAATATCTCCACCGACAACTGAGATACAATGGAATGCCGTTCCGTCTCGTTTTTACAATCATTGTAAGCAAACTATTCGAAAAAGAAAGAAGATGATTGATACGTTTTGCAACCGATAGATTTCGTTCAAAGTTTTGTTCAACAAGCATTCAAGAAATGTGTCGCTCAACTATTGGAACCATGAAACACAAGTTGCCTCGAAACTCACTCCATCAACTGTTGATATCTCTGGAACAGCCAAATCTCTTTGGACTTTTCGATCGAATCGTTGTAAATGTTGCTGAAAGTGACTAGAAGTTACATTAAAGTTGTATAAAGTAGGACTTCACAATTTGAGGTTTCCTGGCTCTTTTAAACGCTCTGAGATCATTAGAGCGGAGGATAATAGTGATAGTAAGTTTCAGAGACTTTTCAAATTAAATGGAAAACTGTGACAAGTGTTGTCTGAACCTTTGACGGTGATAAAATGTGAAACTCACTTGAAAATAGCGATGAGCAAGTTGAGGAGGAGAATATTGGCGACCAAAAGGAAGACGACCATGAGCAGGGGCGGGATAAAGTATCCGGGGAAGCAGCGGATGCCCTCGTCCCCGCAAGTATCGATTTCTCCGGCGTACACCTCTCCGTACAGCATAAAATAGGGTTTGTAGAAGATGTTGCGCACGAGCAACCAGTTCCAATCCTTCACATTCGGGACGGTCAACGACTGTCGGTTCACTCCGAACGCGATGAGCGGCACCAGAAGCAGCACGACTATGTAGCACATCGACCACACCATTTTGGCGGCCATCTGGATGTACGGACCGAGCAGCGGGTGCACGGACAGATATTCGAACGTCTGGAACGATGGGGGCGAATTTAAAGAGCGCTTTTTTTTGAGACTCATTCGAATACTGTGAAACCGAAAGATTGTGATGAAAAGTGCGAACCTTCATGTGAAAGAGCACATTGCTGCACGAGAGAAGGACCCTTCCGAGCGAGTGTCTGTAGACGGGAACCAATCGGAATCCGTAGCCGACGAGGAAGAAGAGAAGCGCGGCCGACGTCCAGATATTGTACCATTTCGCGTAGAACACTTTGATCTTTTCGTTTATCCGAGAGCCGTCCGATGTGAGCAACTGGAAGTGACATTCAAAATCGTGTATCTCATCTGTCTGTGGAGTTTTCAGAAAGTTGTCAACTAATAAATTGTTTATCAAGAAAATGTGCACATTTTCTCAGTTGACAACTTTTTGTAAACTCCGCCGCCAGCTGAGATATATCCATTGGAATAAACGGTATTGATTTCGGTTTCATCTTCTACACTTTTCCGACGTTTTCATTTTGTAGAATTAAATTAATTGTACCGTCTTACCTTTCTCAAATGCTCGACGGACAGTGTGACCGTATAGATCAGTGTGATCCATTCGTACTTTGACGGTTTCAACGACGTCTCGAGCAGCAGAATACACGTTTGAGTGGTCAGAAATGTCAAAAACGCGATGCACCATGACCAGAACTTTGTGATGGGCGCCGAGTAGAACGCTTGGAACTTCTCGAACTTGCTCAACTGCGGCTCCCGTTTGAACATCATCGACGAGGCGGATCCGTACACACTTGCCACGCCGGAGTTCTTGCGCGAACTCACAATAGTCACTTTCTTGGCGCCCTTCTCCAAAAGCGTCTCTTTCTGCTCGACCGACGACGACGCCTTCCGGTAGCGATATCGATTGAAGTTGGACGTCTGGCTGGTGATGCTGTCCCGCGGCAATCCGTTTTCCTCCGCACATTCCTCCGTGCTCCGCGTGTTTTGCGCTCTTTTCGGTTTGAACGCGAGGAAGAGGACGGCGGGCGGACAGAGGAGGGCGGTGAGCACACGCACGTTCGAGCCCGATCGCACTTTGAGCGATCCGTGCCACAGCTCGGCGAGCAGAATTTGACAGCTGGAAATCAGAAGAGTTTTCGGTTTCAACACAGTACGACTGTTTGTTCTGGAACTGTAGATCTTCTCATAAATATGTATGTATTTATGTATGTCTTCGCCGGTTTCGAATTCAGATGGGATGAGAGTGAGCAGACTCGCAGAAACAGGCTTCTTTTTGTGGACTCACAGAAACAGTATTCATTTGAAAGTGACTTCGAATCTAGTCTGAACGTTCGCTGTTTTTGGACAATAATGAAATATGAATGGCCACGGCTACCAAAAGTGTAGAATGGGGCGTGGCCTAATCTGAGACACGTTTTCTGTAAATTGCCGCAATTCCAGCACACTTTTCCGATATCTTTGTGTTTGATATCGACGAAAGAAGAGACATTAAAGAGAGAAAACATTGAAATTTTCGTGAAAACGCCGCGTTTGAGACGTTTTTGGCATATTTCGCAATACGCTCTCCGCGGCCAATCGCCGCCGCAATTTCGGAATTTTCATGCCGGCCGATGTGGATAGTTTTGAGACGAAGTGAGTGTCGGAAGTGATTAAGCACGTTAATACAAGTATTTTAAGCGTTCAAACGGCAAAAAGTATCGGCGAATGACTGAAATTCGCGCATTTTCAGCACAAAACTTGAAAATCGATTAAATTGATTCATTTCTGAATGAAACCTGCTCGTTGTAAGCTCAAAAAGTGCCGCGATGATTAGTTTAACAAAGTTATGCAATTACATCGTAGAAGTCGTACAAAATTTGAGTAATTTTTGACGAAAAACATGAAAAATGGGGTTAAATTTCGAATTTCGCGCCAAAATGCTGATAAACCGTGCAGGCGCTAGGCCACGCCCCTTTCTAAGTTTTTGATTGCCGTGCTGGCGCTTAAATTCAATAAGTGTTGTGGGATTCGGGTGTCGAATCAGCGAAACATTGATGCTTCAATTAAATTTCATGAGGCCCGTCAAGAAAACATCAAGAATCTCTCACAAATTGCTCAAATATCTGGAACTTTTGAAACTGTGACCATCAGTTTCCGATTGTTAATGTCTAGTCTTGGAATTGATTAGTAATAAAGCAGTCGAAAGCTGACCAGGGATGCGCCAAGAACGCTTTGGTGTTGGCGAGAACGGCGAGCGAAAGGCAGTTATTGTTGCCCCAGTGAGGCAGTTCCATTCGGAGAAGACGCAGAGTCCGGTCGTGATCGGTTCGGTAGCACTGGTCGACCAATTCGATCGCGTCTTCTCGGCACTTTCTAGACAATCGGATGCTCTTAAAGTTCGAACCAAACAGAACCGAACTCACACAGCATTGTCGAAGAGTCGCTTCGATTCCTCAACATCCAGGTACTCGTCCTCTGCTATCTTAGCCGTTGATTTGTACAGTCTGAACACGTTACATGTCATTTTAGGTGGTGTTTAGTATGCCTACTTGATGGCCACGAGACACTTGGCCATCGCGTCCTCCCCGTGCACCCACATACACCTCGCCATTCCGTGCCGACTCGTCAGCACCGCCCAAACGAGCAAATCGTTGAACGGGTAGGCGAAGCAGAAGTCCTCCTCCTGATTCTCGTTCATCTGCTCGTCCGACTTCTTCTTGAACAGCTCTTTTTGCACTATTTTCCGCTTGCGATAAAAGTAACTGCTCTGAAACGTCGCGATGCTTCTATGTAGAACTTTAAAGCGACAAACCTGATTCATTCGCTTGTACCTATCATACTTTGCCTTAAAGTTTCGAGATGTGTAATACAGTTGGAACGCGTTTCCCATGAGCTTCTCGACCACTTGTCCGATCATTGGGATGGTGAGGTACGTGTGCGGGTCCATCGAGTCAAAGTTTTCCATCCAATTTCGGACCGAGTGCGCGCTGTTTATATCGTCCTGCAATTGTTTAGTTTCACAAAGCTACCCAGTCGCTTCTTGGACTTGGAGTATCTTGGGTCCAAGCTTCAGATCGATCCAATCATCTGGTCCCTAGATATACCGATTTTAGTCCGAAAAGGTTCTGTACTTTTTGATCCACATATCTCGGGACCAGATAATCCGATCGATTCGTAACTTGGACCCAATATACTTCCATCCATGGTTTCAATCAAATTAGGGCCGAAAATCCACAAAACGCACCATGTTATAAAGATTTTCCAGTCGATTAATCGACAAGAAGTTCTTCATGGACACTCCGTTCTCGAGGAGACATTCCACGAAATCGACCTGAAACAGCAAACGATATGTCACTTTTAGAGACTCTTGCTTCAAAATTTGATTAAAAAAGAAGTTGAGTTTCAACATGCCTACAAATACATAATCGAGAGGTTAAGATAGTGGTGTCAATTTAGATTCTACCGAAAAAAACACACGTACGCGGTCCCAGTAGAGTGCGTCATTCATCGCCTTTTCGAGCACGTCGCTCGGCCACTTCCGTCCGTTCGAAAACAAACAGCTCTTCGCGAGATCCACACGGTTCCACGACAATGTCAGTGCTAACTATGCAATTAGATTATATGCAACACTTGAAAACGCTGTTGTTCCGGGTCAAAATTAGAGCGTTGTTTGTGAAGCTCAGTGTGTCACAAACTTTGAAAAATGCGCTCACCTGCTCGTCGGGCGGCAGATTCTGTTTCTGAAGTACCGTACTCAGAATGACAAAGTCGACGTCTTCTTCCTCTTCCTCTCCGTATCTGAATATTCTCAAAAGATCGTCGCGAATGACGCATTCCGTGATTTTGGTGAGCAACTCCTCGAGCTCACTGTCCGGATACACCATTTTGATCAAATTTCGCAGCTTCTCGCCCACTTCTGCGGCGAATGTTCTAGAAAAAGAGAGAAAAGTGTTGGAAGTGGAGAATGGATGAAGGGTACCCGTCGGGATTGATGTATCTGGCGGCGAATGATATGAGATCCGCCGCCCGGCCACTTCCATCGCACACAATGGCCGGGATGTCGGGCTTCCTGAAAGTTTGGAATAAAAAAAGTCGAGTTTCAAAGACTCTACACAACTATTTTCGTTTTTCTGACTTTCCGACGTTCACTCTTTTCTCAGGCTCCGGTCCGAAACAGTGTGCCTTACCGAAATTTTTTTTACCGAAAGAAGTGAATTTCGGTAAATTTTCGGTAAAAACGTTTTTACCGAAAGAGTTTCGGTGGTAAATCGTTCCTTTCGAGAATTACCGAAAGAACAATTTTGATTTTTTTTTTTAATTTTTTCAAATTTTTTTTTTCAAATTTTTTCAATTTTTTCAATCAAATTTTTTATAATGCTATGCAACGAGACTCCGAAACCACTTTTTCGTAATTTTTGAATTTCTTAATGGGGTTATTCAGGCTGTGAAAAAATGATTGTTTTCCGTTTTTTTCGTTTTTTTACGTAAAAAAATCCAATTCAGCGATGTAAAAAAACGAAAAAAAACGGAAAACAAACATACGCTGAATAGCCCCATAACGAACATATATAGAGTTTTGAATAAACGATATTGGGGTGCCGTTCGCACATAATTCAATTTAACCGATCCTTTAAACTGCCGGGCCTCCAAATTATTCCCTAACAAATATGTTTTACCAGAAAGCCAGCCGTTGCCTTGATTTAACCCACATGGTAACATAATCATGAATTGCATTGATCGAATTGATGCCTCCCTCCAAAAGCGTACAAACGACCGGCACTTTCCGACCGTTACATCCATACGTGGCAATGTGATTCTCGAGAGTTTGACGGAGATGCAAGTCGGCGCCGAATCTGCAAAGAATCTTTCATTTCGCCTCCATTTCTACAATGCAAACCTTCCGACGGTTCCGTTATCGGCAAGAAGGAAGTACGAGTGTCTGTCGTTGAGAATTCCGACGTTCGCGTTGACGGAGAGCGAGTGCACATCATAGTAGACGTGCTCGTTTTTTCGGATCTACAATAGAAGTCTGCATTTTCGAATAGAAAAGCGCACTGACCAGCCTCTCCTTGCGCTTGATCACTCCCCACGGCGCGATGCCGATCGTCACGATCTGCGAGCGCATTCTCGCCGAAATGCCGGCCTCGTCGAGTGCTTTTGCGACGTGGCGCACGACTCCGCAGTCCAGACCGCTCGTGATGATCCACGCGCCCGTCGTCTGCGCCGCTTTCAGCATTCCTTTACGGAACAGGCGACCCAGACGCTCTTGGAGTCTGCAGAACAGTGTTGTTGAATGCGTATTTGAGTGGGAACTCACTCAAAGTTGCTCATTCCTCCATGCACCGTAATCACCAGACGCGGCGCCTCGAGTCCCCACACCTTCTCCATCAAGTACATCACGTCCAACGGCTCCGAATCGTACGACAACCGCACGTACTGAGCCTTGTGCGCGTGTGCTCCGCCCTGAAAGACGATCGTGCCGAACGCGTCGGTCGTCGACGTCTGCGTGTTGTTCGCAATCGTCCACGTCTGCTGCTCCTTCTCGAGCAACGGATGACGTGGCAGTGCGGAGAAGATGCGGCACGCGGAAGAGTGCGCGGAAAGGGAACGGCCGCATCCGCACCGTTCCGCGTCCTTCGATTGCGGCACGAAGCGCACACAGTCGCGCCTTTCAAACGTGTTCTCGATCCACGGAGGCGACAGTTTTTCGGTGAGTTCGATGGCGAACAAGTTGGGATTGTCGAGAAATTTGTGTGTGGATTTACGCGACAGATGGTCGGATCTGCAAACTGAGAGAATGGAATGGTTTTATAAGGTTCGGTCACCTGAACGACGAAATGCTGTGGATGGTGTTCGCGTTGCACACAGAGTTCCGCGGAGCATTCAGCAGACGCAGGTGGGAGACCGAACGACCTCTGAAATTGGAGACTCAAAACATTATTTTCCAGTTTCAGCACTTCTAGTTTGACTTGCAATGCGTTCACCTTAATCGTTCAGAAAAAATTACTGCCTCATTGTCTTCACTTCTAACAGAATTCAGGAACCACAGTCATGCTTTTTATACGGGTTTCAGCTGAATTGTCTGTGAATTTTGACAATGTAATTTTGTTAGAACATCTCAAACGAAACGAAAATCAAAAAACATTACAGGGGAATCGAACTCGGCTAAAAAGTTTGTAGTTTGTAGCAAATTCTGATACGGAGTCTATTCTTTTTAAGAAACTGAGCGTCTCAAAGAATTGCCTTTTGTAAGAGGTAAGAAAATGAATGAACCGAGTGAAACAGTACAATAACAACGCCGTTATCACCAGTTTTTTGTACCTCTGCTCCTCCGCCTCCTCCTCGTCGTTATCGCTCGCCGTCTCGTCGATGTCGTCGTCGCCGATTCCGTTCGTCTTCGTCGTCTCGTTGTTCATACTCTTCTCCGATATTGTCTATCCATAAAACGATTCTGGACGAAAGAAAATCGATCGAAAAAAGGTCAAGTGAAAGGAGGTGAAGGAAACGAAACGGTACACTCTCTGAATTCTATGCAAATGTGATGCCTACGGATTATGAGTTGTTTCGGTCGGAAATGAAGGGTTTGCAATGGAAATTTCATGTTGATTTCGATACTGATCATGACGTCATCGCCCAGTAGATCGGTGATGAAAATGGAGAACGAAAGAAGGGAAAGGATTCGTATTGTTTGGGAAATAAATCATGAAAAGTTTGTGTTCTCTTCCTCGACGTCTTCCGAAATGATAGTGATATCGAACACGGACAACGATAAAGAGAGAGAGAGAGAGAGAGAGAGAGAGAGAGAGAGAGAGACTGGTTATGGTGAAAGAAGAAGAAGAAGAAGAAGATGGAATTACAGAGTAATGAGTACGTGAATGGGGTTGTGTTGGTTGGTCTTTACAGTCAAAAACTGACGTATCGCTTTCGTGTACTGTTTCGGAGATTCATTTTTGAAAAACAACTGGAAATTTGCGTGAAAATGGTCTTTTCATGGTCTCAAACAAAGCAAAAATCAAAATGCATCACAGGGGAATCGAACCGGGATGGAATAGTTTGAAAGCCAAAACTGTAAACCACTTGGCCACGCACACCCGAATTTTGCTTCCTAGGGCAGTCATAACAAAGCCCTAATGTGCGGTTCACTCCGCCATTGTTCGGCGCTCAAAATTGAGGATTTTCAGAAATTCAGAAGCAATTCTAGCGCAAGTTTTGTGTGACTTTAAATTAGAGAAACATATTTTGACGATTTCTCCTGTAAGTTTTTTTAAAATCTATCCTTTTTGACTGGTCTCAATATTGAAATTTAAAAAAAGACCAGAGCATAAAAGACGGAAGAGAAACAGAGGTAAAAAGTGTTTTAGAACTGAAAAAAACACAGACCGGACGGTTGTTTTTCTATCTGTTTGTCCATCGACTTACCCACTCTTTATGATATTTCGGTTTCTGAAACGTATTTTCTTTCGGTAATAATTAAAGTTATATTTTCATTCAAGTATTCACTAGATTGGCCACGATTATGCTTTACTGATCATCTCGAACAATGCAAAAATCAAAATGCATCACATAGAGTCAAACCAGGATGACATTGTTTGGAAATCGTCTACGAGAGCCAAGAAGTCTGTGCTGAAACCGTTTTTTTGTGGATGCGTAGCTGTCGGAAAAGCAATCATGAAAAAAACTCCCTCTGGCCACAAAACATAGCGGCGGCCGCGAGAAATTCTCGAGTCCGCAGACCGACACTGTGACGAACACCTAATTTTTGCGGACGAGGAGGAAAGCATTCATGAAATAACTGTCTTCTTTTCAAAAATTTTTATTGGGAAGTAGACGTATAATTTGGTTCCATAAACGTCGTCATCGTCATTCGTTTCGGTGTTTTAAATCGATCGGGATGGACTCTTCAAAATTTCCTGGGAGAAGAATCAGAGGGAACAGTTTTTATAATTTTAAAGACTTGCCAAACATTTATCATTTATTGAAAAAAAATTGGCCACGTCTCTTCAAAGGTCTCGACACTTCAGCCTCGAGATCTCACTCTGATGAGAGCGTTGGACCGGCCTATCTCACTTTTTGTCTTGTTCGAGATGCCGTCTAAATCAGACTTGCCAGATTTCGGGCCGGGCCGGGTCGGTGAAGTGCCGGCCCGGCCCGGTTCAAAAGGCGGGAATTCAAATTTTCGCGGAAATTTTTTTTTCGTTATTACAAAAAACATTTTCGAACTAAAGTTTTAGTGTTTCTTCTTTGTTTTTTTGCTATTATGAATTTTTTATGAGAAATACATTTGTTTTTCAATGTTCGATGCTTGCAAAGAAACCCTAATTCTACAAAAAATGGCTTCATGCGATCAATAATTCAAATTTTGAATTCCCGCTTTTTGAACCGGGCCGACCGGGCCGGAGTTTTGGAAATTTCGGCCCGGCCCGTGGCAACTATGGTCTAAATCGTCGAATTTGAGTGCCGGATGTTGGCGAGGGAGACAGCAGATTTGCCCATTGTTATGAGTTCCTTGGAAGGCAGGTATATACAGTACCGCTCAAAAGTATATTAAGTTTTGGTTTTTTGGTGATACCTCAGTGAGTACTAATCCGATTGACCTATAATTTTCAGGGATAATGTAAAATAGACATTGAAACATATAAGGTATACCTGGACGTGTCCGCAATCACTGTGACGCGATTTCACTCAATTTTTCAAAAAATTAAGTTTTTTCGTTTTTTACACTTTTTTTTAATTTTTTCCAAAAAAATTTTTTTTAAGTAGTAATGTGTCCATATGTTTGTTTTTATGTTTTCGGATATGGGAAAGATGTCTGGAAGGAAGGATTTGACTGATAACGAGAAAAGAGCCATCGTTGCGGGTCGTCGAAATGGGCTGACTTTGATAACGCTGGCAAGAATGTTCAGCGTGACAGAAGCGTGTATTTCTCAATTCTTAAAACGCTGGAAGGCTCAGGGTGGCTTTCCCGTGAGCCACCGCACTGGAAGACCACGTGTCACTGATCCCAATGACGATAGAAACATTTTGAGGACCTCTAGAGGCAATCCAAGACTCACTGCCCCTGCGATCAGACGGGAAGTTTTCGTGAATTCGCCATCTCCACCATCCGTCTCGACCGTGAAACGTCGTCTAAATGCTGCTGGAATCATGGGAAGACGTCCAGTAAAGAAACCCTTGATTTCTGAAAAGAACCGATCAGCCAGAGTGAAGTGGGCAAAGGATCACCGCAACTGAGGACTGGAACAGGATTCTGTGGTCCGACGAAAGCAAATTCCTGCTCTTCGGGAGTGACCAATTGGTTCCAGATATGATCCAAAAATATCAACTGCCGATTGTGAAACACGGTGGAGGTTCGTGCATGGTGTGGGGTGCCTTCTCTGGAAATGGCATCGGGCTGATCCATCGCGTGAAAGGGCATCATGGATAAGAAAGTCTACAAAGACATTCTTCAAGACCAGATGTTGCCGCACTTGAGAGCTATGGGTCGTGGGAGTGTTTATCAACAGGATAACGATCCAAAGCACACTTCTCTCTTTGTCAAGGTGAGAAAATTGACAAGTAATCCGTATTATGTTGAGTTTCAGGATTGGTTCAAGAGCCGTCGGGTCAACGTCATGGAGTGGCCAAGTCAATCTCCGGATCTCAACCCGATCGAACACCTCTGGGAGGAGTTGGAGAAACGTTGTGCTAACAAAAGAGCCAAGAATTGCGACGAGAAGTTTGCCCAACTGCAGTCAGAATGGAATCAGATCCCCATGTCGACCATCGACACTTTGATCGACTCAATGCCCAGAAGATGCCAGGCAGTTATTGATGCCAAGGGCTTTGCAACGAAGTACTAGATCCCAAATATTGTTTTATCACTGTTTTTTGTTAATAAACTTTGTTTTCGTTGAGCCAAGATAATTTTAAAGAAAATACCAAAAATTCGATTTTTTCAAAAATTCGATTTTTTCTCGAAATATTTTTTTCTATTGAGCTAGTGGCCTAAAAAATTGCCAGAACACGCCTAACCCTTCCAGGAAAGTATGGAAAAAAATTTGGACCGATACCATATCTCAAAATAAATTTATCACCAAAAAACCAAAACTTAATATACTTTTGAGCGGTACTGTATATATTTTTCGGCCATACCGCTCGCTCCGCCACCGTTCGGCCATGCTTCGGACATCGCGGTTTACCTGTGTAAGGCAGGTGCGCACGTGGCCTAGCGGTTTACATTTTTGGCTTTCAAACAGTTGCATCCAGGTTTGATTCCTCCATGATGCGTTTCAGTTTTTGTTTTGTCCCACATGCATTTTCAACCATTTTCCACAATAAATACCCTTCCAGTGTCCCAAAACGTGTCCTCGAGAGAGAATGGCGTCATGTTCGATGGTTTTCCCCGTCTGCGACTCACTCTATTATTCGCCAACTCAAATAAACTTTTCGGTGAAAGCGAGAGAGAGAGTGTTGAACTTGAGAGATCCGTGCAGTAACCGGGACATTTGCCCGCCTACGTCTCTCCGATTCGAATCAATTCTATTGTGCCAAACAAATACCATCAACAGTTCTTCGAAAATAATCATTTCATTTTTTGACGACGAGTTTTCCTTTCTTTCCCATTTCTTTTTCAAAACAAGACCTGAAATCGTGTAGGAAAACTCATTTTTCGCCAAAACTTATTGTTTCACCTACCCTTCATTTTTGTTTCCAATCTCTCTTTAATATTAGTTCCAAATACTTCTAGTTTCACGAACAGTTGCCAAAAAGAGTTCAGTTTCATGGCACTGATATCTTGAGAGTCACTTACACTTATTGTACGAAATATTGTCCGAATTAGCTCTAAAATGTTGTTCTATTCAAGTTTTTTGAATTTTTCATGAACATTAGCGAGGTTAACCGCAGATTAGGGCATTGTTATCACTGCCCTGAAGGGTTATGCTCTAGGTTTGCGCGTGGCCTAGTGGTCTACACTTTTGACTTTCAAACTATTACATCCTGGTTCGATTCCATGTGGTACGTTTTCATTTTTGCTTTTTTTTCCGGATTGTTTTGTTTAGTGACTAACTAAACTTTAGTCAGTGTGAATAATTATTGAATTTCTCCATATGAGTTCTTCGAAACAGTAACTTTTTTCTTTTTATTAAAACACAGTTCAAGAAATCATGTCTAACTTTCGAAAAGTCGTTGAGCACACAAATGTTGCCCCGCTACAGTTAACTCGTTGTTTCTAATCTTCCTGCTCTATCAAAATGCGATTTTCTTGCTGCTCGCCAAGCCGTTTCATCAGTTTGATTGCTCAAAAGTTCACACAAAGACCATAACATTCGGAGTGGTGCGCCTGTATCTTTCGGATGTGAGCAAAGAGAGAGCGCCGTCTCTCTTTTCTCCTTAATTCATGACTCATTTCGGTTGGCTAGAAAAAGAGAGAGAGAGAGAGAGAGAGAGAGAGAGAGAGAGAGAGAGAGAGAGAGAGAGAAAGAGAAAGAGAGAGAGAGAAAGAGAGAGAGAGAAAGAGAAAGAGAGAGAGAGAAAGAGAGAGAGAGAAGACGCTCTAATACTTTACTGTTTCGACCAAAGCATGAAAAAAATGTGAACGTTGCTCTTGACTTTCTCCTTCAAATGTTTGACACAATGAGAGTCCGCGCCTTAAATGTTTCCGTTTTTCTCGCTCAATAATCCTCATCACAGTTTCCGAGCCTTCAGATATTCTACCTTCGAAACTAAACATTACTTATCTTCCAACATCCTATTGTGAAACAGCTTGTATTTCGTTTATCCCAGTAATTTCCGGCCTTGTTTCAACACGATCGGACAATGGGGCGGAAGAGTTTTCACACTTGACTTTTCTAGGCCACGGCCACAACGATGACTACGAGCATTGAAGGCTTTTTGGCTTGTAACGCAACTTTTAAAAAGATTTTTCTCTTGACAATAATATCGTTTATTGCAGCACCCACATAATCTGAAACGTCACATTTGAAACAGAAAACTGAGAAAAGTGATTTTCAGTTTCAGATCCTCCTCATTCCGAACAATCTTTGTCGTTGCTCATTCCTCGATCCTTCAGCAGGTCTCTTCTTTGAAATTTGTCCCCCGCGCCCCTCAAAAATGCGTAGTTGTGAGGCGACAATTGCGTCGAAACGGGTCATTCCCCCGTCCGTTTATTCTCCCTTTCACATCCACCTCTGACCGTTTTCAGGCCGTCGTGCATGACGTGAACTCTCTTCCTCTCTCTTTCTGTCTACCTCCATTCTGCCATATTCTCCGCGTTTTTCACCATTCACTTCACCGCTTTTTCTGTGTGTGTGTGTGTGTTTCCAATGCAATCCTACTCGAATCGCATTTGTGCCGTGTGCGGCGATACTCCGGCCAAGGTGAGTGCCTAAATGGATTTCAAAACGATATATCTGAACTGTCAGTTGAGATATCAAAATTTTGTCAACTAATCAAATGCTCATTAAGAAGTCGTGCACATTTTATCAGTTGACACTTTTTTGATATCTTTACCGGCTGCTGAGATACATCGACTTGAATGGACATGATATTTATTGACTGACAGCCATCAGTTTTAATTCCACAGATCCATTACGGAGTGCTCGCCTGTTTCGGCTGCAAAGGCTTTTTTCGAAGGGCCGTGAAGGACGGAAGGAACAAGTACGTGTGCCGATTCGACAAGAACTGCGAGGTCAACAAATGTACGTTACCACTGGCCTTTTATAGTCCTCAAACAGGCCGACAAAGTCTTCGATTTGAAGCAGACTTGCAACGGGCCGGGCCGGGCCAAAATTGGAAATTTTCCGGCCCGGCCCGGCCCGGGAGGATGCACCTAAAAATTCAAAGCGAACTAGAACTTCGAAACGAACATAATTTTATAGACTTAAGACCAGCAGAAATAGAAAAAAAGACGAAAAAGGCAATGTTATAGCATAAAAACCTGTTAAAAAATAGAAATTGCTGTTTAAAGTCGCAAAATTTTCACAAAAATTACGAAAATTTTCTCAAGAGTGGGCTTCCGGGCCGACGATTTGCTGGCCCGGCCCGCCGGGCCGGCCCGGGATTTGGCAAGTCTGATTTGAAGAACAAATTACAACTGAACTTTTATTTTAAAAAAACAGTTTCAGTCCGGGTTTATGTGAATATCTTCAATGACTTTTCTCATTGCTATTATAACACATTCAACTACTCAGTTTGTGTCCGATCCCATCGGACTTTTTACCGAGGTCCCAAATTGGATAATAGCAACTTTCATGCTTTCAGTCGAGCGAAATGCGTGCAGATATTGTCGGTTCAGAAAGTGTCTACTGGTCGGAATGAATCCTGATTGTGAGTTTTTCAAATTATCAGTAGCACTAGTGAAAAGCCTTCCTGCAAATTAATAGATTGATTTCGAGAATGCAAAGAAATGAATATTGTGAATCCGAAAAGTTTCGAAACATTCTGCTAACAAAAAGATACTTCAGATGTGCGTCCGGACCGCGAGAAAAGCAAGAAGGGCAAAGCGGTGCTGTCAAAGAAGAAGAGTCTGCAACGGAGCATCTCGAACCGTCTGGTGGTGGATCCGTCCGACTGGACCTCCCTGCTTTCGCCCTCCTCCCGCAAACAGCTCGCTGAGATCGGGAAGCTCGCGGAGCAGAGTCAGCCGTGCTCATCGGCCCATTTTGACGGAATCGGCAACTTCTCGCTCAAGAGTCTCATCGCCGACCGATCCCTGGCCCGAAAGACGGGCGACTCGGCACCCATGCACTGCTCCGAATCGCCGAGATCCAGCAGTGAGCAGTTTCTGTCGATCGAGCGCATCGTGCAGTCTGTCGATTACATCGATCGCTTCTTGAACATGCTGGAGGAGGAACACTGCAGAAAGTTCAGTGTCGAGGACAAGGTGAGACCGTTCAAAAGCACCCCGTATCCCTCACAATTATGACTCCTTATTGCATATGCCACTACTACTAAAATCCGAAATTTCGAAATATCAGAAAAAGTGTGGAGTTGTAGGAGTTCAGGGAGTGGATGAAACCGTAAAGTGTCACTGGGTTCTTTCTATCATTCTCGAGTTTTCCAAAATTGTTAAAACCTGATTAATTCAAACACTCTACATCTTTTTATACGTGTTTGCGGTGAAACCGAACTTTTGTGAGTGAGACTGTTTCCCGATGGACATTTAGTTGTTTTATGCTCATTCGCAATGTTTCAGTGTGCTCTCATCAGCAACACAATGATCCATTTGCTCCTTTTCGAGTCCACGTCTCGGTTTGTGGCGAAAGGCGCGTCTGGAGTGGAAGACCTCAAACAGTGCATTCATCAGTTGCCAGTGTGAGTTTCACCGTTTCTCATTTATCAATCCAGAATGTATCTTTCAGATGTGCCACCCATTTGACTCAAAAGATCGCCGACGTCTTCGAGATTTACCTTCGGAAGCCGCCCTCGATCATCGAGTATTCGGTGCTCAAAGCCTATATTGTCGCTACTGCAGGTACTGTTTCAACATCCTCATAAGACTTATAAATGTTCATCCGAACCTTAATAGAACGCTCAAGAACAGCAATCGGTTCTTTTTGCAGAAAGCACGCTGCTGTCGAACGCACTGAACGAGAGTCTGTCGATTGCCCGCGAGAACATGTCCGAACTGCTGTTCAAAGTGATCAAATACAGTCGGAACAGGGCGTCCGTCTCGTCTGCCAACACTCTGTCCGCACTTCTTCACTTTACCTACGAGTCGAGGGTGAGTCCGATGAAATGCAGCTGACTTTGGATGTACTGAAGTTTCTCATAAGTGACTTCAGGTCTTGCACGGTCTCCAGAGCTGATAATGGGCGCGCAAGTGCGCCCCGCCCAATAGAGCGCCATTTGGCCGAGGCCGTCACGCCCATATTGTCAGCTCTGGAGACCGTGTCTTGTGTGGTTTTTAAAGCAGTAATTCTTCATGTCAAAGTGGTCCCGTTTTGCAGAGTCTCGCCTCGCAACTCCACCAGAGCCAACAGCCGGCGTTCCTGCGTGACTCCACCACGAACGTGCCGTTCCACAAGATCCTCGTGGACATCATCAACCCGGAAGTGTCGGACCTGCTGCTCACGACCGCCAACTGCCGCAAGCCGTCCGCGGCGCCCTCGGTCCCCGTTCCGCCTCAAGCCGCATCCCTTCAGGAGACCAAACCGCTTTTCCACTTCTCGCCGCCCTCGTTGAGTCCCCTGCCGCCGCCGCAGTACTCGGACTATCCGGCTCCGTATCCGACCACCTCCTCCACCTTCGTTCCGTCCCCGTACCGCCCGAATTCGTTGTCTTCGTTCCCGAAACTTCCACTCGAGATGACCAAATCGATTGAGGAGTTTCTGAGGCCTTCCGGAATGAGTGCCGACGAGATGAACAAGCCGTTGGAGAAGAACTGGGCCGACGGATTCCGACTCACGCCCGTTTTTAACAAAGACATCGTCTCGCAGTTCTTCCCCGAACTCTCCAATACCAATACACATCATCAGTACTAGTCGTTTCCCCTTTTTTACTCTTGTTTTCAGTTCAAATAAATATGTTTCTTTTTCCGCTGCAAAAATTAGTGCCTCCCATTTTTCCTCTTCCGGCGGGCTGCGGGCGCCATGTTGTGTACGCAGTGTGGAGGCATAGCCGCCCGTCGGGGGTATAGCTCAGTGGTAGAGCGCTCCCTTAGCATGGGAGAGGGCTGGGGTTCAATTCCCCATACCTCCAGAAACGTTTTTGACACTTTATTTTTTCGACACATTAGTAGTAGAAGCACTTGTCAATTGACGAGACGGCAGACTCGGCACCTCTTCGTCGATCAAAACTTGAATCAGATCCTTCGTCGTGTCCACGTGTACGTGCCTTTTGAGCAGAAACGCGATGAACTCTTGCTCGGTGAACACTGTGAACATGCGATCCACGTCTTCCCTGTACGCTTTCAGATCGCTGCGTCCGTCGTGGAGAATGAAGATGGGACCGAGATTCGAGTGGAGGTACGGATGCGATCCCCGGTTGAACTGCTCCTTTTGCGGGAACTCTTCGAGCACTGTGCCGCCGAGACTCTTGACGAGGTTGTGGATGAGGAGGACTGGAAAAGAGGGTCCTGGGCTCGAAAATATTGTAAAAACTCACGATTCGGGCACTCTTGCATGACGACGACGAGATGAACGCCGTAGAGGAAGGGCATGGCTCCCTTGGCGAGGGCGGTCGTCCACGGAACGACGGCGTTCTCGTAGACGAGTCCCTTGTAGCGGACGCTCTCGACCACGTACTTCTCGTCCGATCCGATCAATTTCGCGTCCGCCAGACAATCGCTCATCCACTGCTCCTTCACTATTATCGCTCCGTTGAAGATCCAGACGAGCAGGTTCAGATCGTCAGTCTCCAGAATCCCGTCCGCATTCGTCTTCACCACCACGTGCGTGCTATTCGGCGAGGGCTCGATGAACGCGATCGCTTCAAAGTGCTCCATAAACTGATTTGTGACAGTGTCTTCGGTTCGTGGCTCGATGAAAATGTGGAATGAGCTCGTCGGAAACTCCTCGGGCACCACTGAAAAGCGAAAAGAGTTCGGAAGTGTTTCGGATGTTCCAACTCACTAATCCTAAACTTTTTCTTCCGATACTTTTCGAATATCTCGACGGTCTTGTCGTAGCTGCCCGCCAGTTCCCGATAAGACACTTTATAATTGTCGGGGATCGCCTGCTCGGCGGTTCGGTTCAAGTAGTTCAGTTGTTCCCGATCGGCTCCGTGCTTGATCAGCATCGCCACAATCTCCCAGTATCCGAGATTCGCGGCCACGTGCAAGGCTGTGTTGCCGTTTTCTGAAAATGAAAGAGCGTGAAAAGGAAACAATGAAAAATGGACAAACGATTGAAGACATTGACGTATGCTCCTTTCCTGAGTGCTTTCAGAGTGTTCGTCGGATTCGAATCGGCCACCGCCTCGAGCAACGCGTTTTTTCCGTCCATTCGGTCGAGGAACAACTGAAAGTACACTGATATCATCGGATTATGAGAAAACCACTGACCGAGTACCTCCATCGTCGCTCGAACTCGTCCATATTCGGAAAGTAGTACAAGTACCAGTTCCTATACTTTTTCCTTCCGTTCTTTGTGCATCCGTATCCAATGATGAGGCCCAAAAGGATTAGCATCAAGATTCCAGAACATATTCCGATAATTGCAAGTATATTGAGGTCTTCCACACTGAAAACAGCAATGAGAACCCAATGTCAATTCAAACAAAGACTCACATAATCTGCTCGTTTCCTTTCCGTTTCACCAATCCGAAGAGCTCATTGAAATTGTCGCGAATGCCGCTCAAACTCGCCGCGGCGCCCGTAAAATCCGCCTCAAACTGTGTAAAGTCCAACTTGAGGCGGGAGATGTGCTCCAACAGCGCGCCCTCCTCCAAATACTTTTCACTCTTCACCGCTCTCGCCAAAACGAACAGCGCCTTGCGTTCCACACTGATCCCTCGGACCGTCTTCGCCTCGTCGAAGATCGCCTTCATTTCCTCGACATCTTTCCCGATGAGCGTCTCGGAGATCGACATCAGACCGTGCAGATCGTTCATGATTCGATCGACGGCTTTCGGGTAGATGTGCTTCCACGTGTACTCGAGTTGCTCAGTTGCGAAGCGGTAAAAGGCGAGGCTGAGTCCGGTGGCGAGATTTTTCGCGTTTTGGAGCGTTTCGTTGGATTCGTACACGCGGTTGAGTTCGCTGAGAGCCGAGACGCCCCGCGAGAAGCCGAGAGCCAAGTCCTCCGAATTCTTGAACGCGAGCACGAGACTGCCGTTCCCTTTGATCTCCTCCTCTTTCATCGATTCTCGCACACTTTTCATTTCTCTCTGCACTTTTCCAATGTTCTCCAAGTGCTTCTGCGCCTTTTGCACGTTCTTCTTGTTCGCAAACTCGCTCACATTGCCCAAAAACTCCAGAATCGCGCCGACTTTCGGAGCATCGAATGGGCTCCTGTGAAAGCACTCAAACACTTCCAGCGCTTTCGATTCGTCCATAAACGTGTTGAGTTTGAAAGTGTCCGCCGTGATCTCCGAACTGTTCCGCACTTTCTCGACACTTTTGAGCAGAGACCGTTGAGCGTCGAAAATTTCGTTCAATTTCATTATGACCGCGAGAAAGCTCGGGAAGTAGGGGTCTTGAGTGAAAAGACCGACGCGTCTGACGGTGTCCTCGACCGGTATCACATCCTTGAGTCTGGCCATATCTCTCAAAAAGTGAACAAACTGTTTCATGTCCACACTCAATCGCATGTTCTTCACCAGTTCCAGAATGCTCCGCGAGTGCTCCATAATGTCAAATGGCATTTCGTACGGATCCTCAAAGTCGTGCAGCACCAGAGCCGCCATGGAATCATTGAGTTTTGTGTGTTTGCCCCAGCAATCCTTGAAAATCATTTGGAATTTTTCAAGAACTTGATCGTCATCGGCCTGTTTAAAGTTTGCAATTCCGTCCAATCTCTCCCCAACTTCTATCACATTATCCTCGAATTTCTTGAAATCTTCCAACGATGCGCTCCAGGTTGCTCCGAGTTTTTGCATTTGAACGGAGAACTTGAAAAAGTCGGAGAGCGCCGAGTCCAACTCACTCGTACTCTGATTCTTTGCGATTTTGTGTTGAAACCAACTGGATTTGAGGTCATTTTGAACTTTTCCAAGATCGCGGATGTCTCTAAATGCTCCGGTGAGCTTTGAAGATTCACGAAACTGATGGTAGAATCCAGAGTCCGAGTAGGCTTCGATTGCCTTGAAATTTTGCGTGCTCGCGATCCCTTCGCTCTTCCTCAAATCCGCCCGTATCTTCTGAATCTCCGCCCCGAATTCCTCGAGTTCATCGTGTTGTTGTCCATGGAAATGCTCAAGGACACTGTGCAGATGCTCGAGTTGTTCCAGTTGTTTCAGACTTTTCGTGATCGGCACGTGTCCGAACGAATCGACGAACGTGTCAATGTTTTCGATGCACCGCGCAAGTTCCTCGGCCCGCTCGCCCATTCCGACCATTACCCGACTGAGTCCGTACGAAAGTAGTTTGATGGTGCGCCTTCGGTCGAGAAAGAACTCGGAAAAGTTCTCGAGGACCGTCTGCTCGCAGAACATCACATTCCTGATCTGATTGTCGTCGTGAACCGAATCGAAGAAGTTCAGGGTGTCCGAATCTGCAGAGACCCTCTCAAAAGTGTCCTTCTCGTCCATCATCTTGACGAGAAGCTTCAGAATGTTCCGGGCGGATTCGATCCGTTCCCCGATTGTTGGGTCACTGTCAACGAGCGCACTGCTCTTTTCGAACAGATTATTGATTGTCGAGTTGATATTCGGGATGTCGGTTGCGAGAACGGTTGCGAAATGGCCGTTTTCGACGCCTAGAAGCTCGGCAACGACGTTTTGGACTTTGATGACTTTGCGATGAGAAGCCGCTTGGAGGGAGATCGCATTGGTGACTCGGGCAAGGATTGAGAGGTCGTCGACGATGAGGCCCAGTGAGGATTTGGCTGAAAGATTGCATAATGGGTAAGAGACACTTCGCAACCAGCTATGCTTAAAGTGTCTCGGTTGCGAAACGTCCAAACACTGAACATACCTCTAATAGCAGATCCTCTTCCGTTTTGAACGCACAGAAAGAAGAGTACAAACCGAAGAAACGTCATTTCGCTTCGAATTCTGAAAACAAAGCGTTAATCGATCTGAAAAACGCTACTCGCGACTGTCTTCGGCGAAAACATTTTTCGCGCGCTTTTTTGCGTGCGGCTCTCAGTGTCGATTTACGGGATTCTTTTTTTTCAACTGAAAACACTGTTTTCCCGAGTTTTTCGGATTATGCACACGTTTCCTTCAAAACGTTTGCCTCACGCTTGTTCATATGACCGATAGCTACAAAACGATCACAGAGTGCTCGTGTAAAAGTGAAAATTTGAAGAGTAATTCCGCTTTTTTTTAAATTTGGCTTGAAAAAACGAACTTTCGGAAGTTTTAAAAAACAATTGACAGAATCGAAAAACAGTTGCCTCACGATTGTTCAGCAGACAAAGGCGGTCATTTTGAGCACAGAGACGGCCCATAAAATGCAAAAATCACTGAGAAATTGCAGTTTTTGAGGCGCCGGACTGAAATTCACAGAAAAGTGTAATAATGCGCGCGTTCTCGTGGGCAAAACGCTAATTTAAGGTCACAGCTGTCATTGACAATTCGGAAATTCTCTGTTTTACTTTATTTTTCTCGTTTTCGGATGAAATTTCGGGTTTTCGCAAAAAATCCAGAAATTTCAGAGACCTTCTTTTGTTTTCAACGACACTCCGTTTTAACGCGGCGCTCAATTTAGCATTAGCCATTGGGGGAGACTGAAACTCACAAGTAAGATTAGAGAACGAATTGATAATATTCGCGGCGAAAACTGATTTGACCTCCACGGCTTTTTCGTGAACTTTCCGACGTTTGTCAGTTCGCAAAAAAGGTAAATCCAACTTGTGAGTGCTCGTTTTGTTCGGCAATTTTAGACGAGAAAAATTGCAGAATTCGAAGCTGAATGAAGATTTTCATCCTACTTTTCAACGTCTTTTTGTGTGTCGAAGCTGGGAAAGGTTCGGGTGAGTGTCGGTTTGCAACCAACAATGATTTGGAAGCAAAATGTCCTCAAACAACCACCGGGAGGGACACTTTGCAACCAATACGGACAATGGTTGCAAAGTGTCGCTCAGTTGCAAAACGTCTTCACGTGAACTTGCAGCCAAATCGCCGCTGGGCCTCATCGTCGACGACCTCTCGATCCTTGCCCGAATCACCAACGCCATCTCGCTGCAAGCGGCTTCCCATCGCAAAATCGTAAAAGTTCAAGACGTGGCCGCCGAATTTCTGGGCATCCGAACCTCCGACCTCGAGATGATCGCCACGACGAACCCGCACAACATTCGAGAAAACATTGACGGACTGCACGAAAAATGCGCCGATTCGGCGAGACGGAAGCAGTCGGCAAACGTGGAATTGGGTCGGATGGTCGATGTGCTCGACACGTGGAAGAAGGCGTTGAGCAACAGGAAAATGCTGGAGATGGAAGCCAAATCGAGGCCTTCTCGGTTCATTCGCGTCATGAAAAACGAGTACAAGATCCGCGAATTGTTGTTTTGTGAGCAGGAAGCGGTCGAGGCGGCCGCTGCGATCCACAAAAATCTGTTACGGGCGAATAGGCCGAGACCGTTCAGAGTTCGAAAAGTGTACGAGAGGCTGGCGACGCACGCACCGACACTGCTGAAGTGTATCGAAAATTATGAGGTGTACAATCGCACGTCGCCCAACTTCGATCTCATAATTGGATTGTATCGTCTCATGGACTTGGACAACGTCTTCTCGATTGTCAAGAACTTTCAAGGACCATTTCGAAAGCGATTGAAGGGATTCACGCAGAAAATGGGCGTGTTGATGCACGATTTGAAAGAATCCGACAATATTTGGGAGAACCGAACGGACCATGGTCTCACACCGATCTTCGCGACTTTTCAACAAGTGGCGAAGAGGAAACAAGACAAAATGCCGGAGACTCTCAAGTACACGGCCGGATTTGAAGAGGTCGGCGACTTGGCCAAGGTGTCCGACGATCTCAAAAGTGAGTGGTTCACCGAGAAAGTGTCCAGAGGAACGAGCGCTCGGGAGTTGGAACACAGTCTCGACGCGTTCTTCAAGTTTGAGAAGAAAATCATGGCTTTGGAGCTCTCCTGGAGCACTTCTTTCGCTCATTTCACAAGAAACTCGAAGCTCATCGAAGCCGCCGAGCTGGATTTAAACAAAGTGGTGACCTTCCGACCGGCTGACCATTTCGACAAGCTTCAACGCTCCCAATTGGCCTATGAAACGTGCTGGAATGTGACTGTCGACGTGGCAAACGCGTCGGTCTTTGAAACGTTCGAGGAAGGAATGCGAGCGCCCTCCGAGATTCCCCACTTGGCGCAAATGATCCGAACGTTCGGACGAATGGTCTCCACGACCACACACTTTGAGAGTTGGAGCCAGATTCTGAAGCAGATGCACAACGATCTAGACTCGAAGATCAAGAGACTGAGGGACGACGACGTGGCGAAATTCGAAAAATCATTGAAAAAGTCGGAGCACTTTCCGACGCTCGTGACCGCTTCCGCCTCGTTCCGCAACCTGGCCTCCATACAAAACAGATACTTGAGTCGGATTGAGAAGATCAAAGCGTCGAACATTACGGCGGAAACCTTTGATTTGAAGGACTTTCTCGCCGAATCCAAGTTTCTGCGCGCCGTCAAATGCCTCACTACCTCTTCGCACTTTCACATTTCCAGCATCGACGACGTCATCGACATCTTGACGTACACTGGTCATTTTGTATCGTCAAAAGGCCAGTTGGCCGCTACTCGGAAGTTTTTGGAAAACGTCGGAAAAGTGAAGAACGACGTCGAAAGGATGATGAAGATAAGGGAAATGAAGGAAAAGAATGGGACCGCGCGCATTCTCGACTTTAAAAGTTCGGAGGACTTGGCGTTGAGCATCGGAATGGGCGTCGCGGCTCTTCGCCAGTTCGACCGAACCTACGAGGCCCGAGAGCACATCCGAAAGACCATGATCCTAGACCCATCGGTCGTTCCGATCATCAAACGGTTCCCGTCGGTTGACCGCATTTGGCTGAAACTCAACGGACAACTCCAGAAGCTTCTCGACGATTTGGACCGTCTCGTGTCGATTGCCGGCAAACTGAAGGGAAAAGAGGTGACGGAGATGAAGGAATTGTTCGAAGCGGCCAAGCGGATCCACGGCTTCTCGGTGGATCCGTCGGCGCTTCGAGACCTCGCCAGGGCTCTGGAGAATGCGAGAAAGCGCGATTTGGCTGAGAACTTTCGACAAATATCGCAGCTCAAGTTGGATTTTGTCAAATTCGAGGCCGATTTGACAGGGGCAGCCGCCAGTTTGAGCTCCCTTCGGCACAACTTTGACGAGCTCTTCGGACTGGCCCAAAAGGACCGGAATAGACGGAAGTGAGCTGGAACCGTGTTGAGCATTGAATAAAAACCTTTTTTCAGAGTTCAAAAGTACAGCATCTTCACCATCATCGGAGTGTGCCTCGGAATCGTTGTTCTCATCCTTCTGGCGGTCGTCATCGGATACGGATTCACAAAAAGCGGAAGGAAAAAGTATAGGAACTGGTACTTGTACTACTTTCCGAATATGGACGAGTTCGAGCGACGGTGGAGATACTCGGTCGGTTATTTTCTCAGAATCCGATGATATCAGTCAACTTTCAGATGTTTATGGACAAACTGGACGGCAAGAACGCCCTAGCGGATGCGGTCCTCGAAGCGAATCCCACAAATGTGCTGAGAGCACTCAAAAAAGGAGCCTACATCTCCGTGTTTGACAGTAACCTCCTTCATTTCTGTCCAAAGTGCCCATTTTGTTGTAGAGTACGGAAACACGCCCCTCCACACGGCGGCGAGCTTGGGCAGCTGGAGAATAGTCGAAATTCTGATCAAGCACGGAGCCGATCGGACGATCCTGAACGCGAGGAACCGGACCGCCGAGCAGACGGTCCCGACGGATTATCAAGTCGTTTATAAGGATCGGGCCGAGAGTTTCGACAAGGTTCTCCAGGTTTTTGAAAAGTATCGGAAGAAGACGTTCAGGATTGGTGAGTTTGGAGCCCTATTGTATGACTGTTCTTTTTCAGAGGTGCCCGAGGAGTTCCCAGTGAGCTCATTTCATATTTATATTGAGCCGAAGACAGATCCAAAGCTTGGCGAGATGTTTATGCAGAAGTTCGAAGCGATCGTATGTACCTTCAACTTTTGATAGTATTTTAGAACGTTTACTTTCAGAGCACCATGGAACCCTCGCCGAATAGCACGCACGTGGTGGTGAAGACGAATGCGGACGGGATTCTGGAGACTGACGATCTGAACCTGCTCGTCTGGATCTTCAACGGAGCGATAATAGTGAAGGAGCAGTGGATGAGCGATTGTCTGGCGGACGCGAAATTGATCGGATCGGACGAGAAGTACGTGGTCGAGAGCGTCCGCTACAAGGGACTCGTCTACGAGAACGCCGTCGTTCCGTGGACGACCGCCCTCGCCAAGGGAGCCATGCCCTTCCTCTACGGCGTTCATCTCGTCGTCGTCATGCAAGAGTGCCCGAACCTGTCGCTCATCTACGATCTGGCCAGGGCTCACGGAGCAACAGTGCTCGAGCAGTTTCCGCACAAGGACAAGTACAACCGGGGATCGCATCCGTACCTCCACTCGAATCTCGGTCCCATCTTTATTCTCCACGACGGACGCGGCGATCTGAAAGCGTACAGGGAAGACGTGGATCGCATGTTCACAGTGTTCACCGAGCAAGAGTTCATCGCGTTTCTACTCAAAAGGCACGTACACGTGGACACGACAAAGGTGCCTATTCCGATTCTTGTGGACTCATGATTCAGCAATGAACAGTTTTAAAAAACATTTATATATCATAATAGTTCTACCCATTTTTCCCACATTCCTCAAAACACTAGATACATTAGAAACTGCTAATTAATTTACAGAAAACGACAAAAATACTATAGAAGAAAATTAGAACTAGGAGAGAGTGAGATCCTAGAGACCACAATTCCCGTTTTTGCAGTGTCATGACCTGTTGTAGCTCTCGCTACACTTTTCCTTCTACTCTCTTACTTGTAAAACAGATAACACAGTCTTCTAGATAGTTACTAGTTTATTAGATGAGCTGATATTATATAATAGTATAAATAGAGAGATAATAAGTGAGGGCAGATAAATACCGAATATAATAGTATTAGCTGGATAGAACGCTCTTGCTGGCGAGCTCTCCGTTCCAACTGTTGACGTCTGTGACGCTCTCGGTCCTCGTGATACAAAGGACCCCCTCGATCTGGTCTTTCTGGGGTTCTGGATTGACTTGACATCGGAAAGTAGGTGTACTCCGTACAGTTGGACAACAAGTGGGGTGGTGAAGTTTTCAAGACAAATTCCGTCTGTCGCGGACCTTCTACCGACCCGGTTTCCCGGATGATTCGGTGGAAGAAATTCCACTGTTGAGTGTGGGATGGCTGATGGACGTCTGCGACCCAACCGCTCATTTTTACTTCCGGAAATTCCAAAAGGAAACCATCGTCTGATGAATGAAACATCCCTCAATCGCTTTCTGAACGCGGCTGAGGTCTCGGTCGATTTTCGTGAACACAGACCCATTTCTGGGATTGCCAAAATGGCGATTTTCTTGGCTCAATTGATGTTATCAAGATGGCTGATTGATCTCCAACTTTACACAGTTATTAGGCAAGGTATCGAGTATCCGTCCGACCGCATCGCGACCGCTACGCGTTCCAAAAGACTAAAGTGAACCTTCGGGGACGCGTAGTGGTCGGGACACACGAGACAAACAGTTTCAGCCGTCAAACTTTCACCGAACACACTTTATACCAATGCCTATCCGCTGTGCAAAGCTAGAATCCAATCAGAAAACCGATAATAGCAACTGGCTTCGAAAAAACGTTCCGAGTCGGTCCCGTCAGTTGGAGGCCGATCTCTTGGGACCGCCGATGTGTAAAGAAATGCGTTCTTTAAAAAAATTTTTATACAAAAACATTCAAACAATAAGTGAAATCGCACTCAACGACTTGTACATTTCATATCTTCGTGAGCCATACTGAAAGGAAAACTTGTGAAGACGATTTTGAATTTGAGACTTACCAACTCGCCTTTACTCCCTTTAAAACGCGTTCTTGCTCATTGTACTCATTGCGAACAGAGTTGAACGGAATGGGTTTTTTGAAAAAGCGGAAGGCGACGTCTCCGATCTTTTTTACTCTAGCTGCCACACAATTGCTTCTTGCATGAGTTCTCCTTGTCAAACGTGCCCGGATTCCGGGCTGTTTTCTTCTACTCTTCTTCAGATGCAACACCCTAACGCGTATATCAAATATATTGCGTCTTTTCTGTGAAATAGTTGGATCCCGGACGGGGCCACACACACACACACACGTCGAAAATCCAGAACACCCGCAACCTCCATTCATACTTCCATCATTTTTCCGCCCCGGAAAACCCCGAGGCGGAGGACTCAAAATTTCTTTGTTCAACGCATTCGTTGCCGAATGATCGAACTCCAATGCTAACCTTGGTTAACTTGGGTTAAAACCAACGACAAATGCCGACGGCGGGCAGGTCACTAAACGCGGCAGCCGACATCTCGTGGGTTCCGCCTTCCGCTATGTTTTGTGGGCAGGGGGCGGAGTCAAGGCGGCGAGAGCGCGGAAAACGAGAAATTGGCGGAAAAAATTGAAGCAAAAAATGGTCTAATTTTCAATGATAATTTTTATACTGATTTTTCGGCGCAAATGTTTTTAAACTGCTTTTCTAACAATTTTTCTGGACGAGAGAGCGTGCAAATCGAAGAGACTGCAGACAAATGGCCGTGGACGTGTTCCCGATGGCCTAGAAGTTTCGTTGGCGCGAAAACGGATTAAAATTGTTCGGTTTCGCATTTCGAATCAAATTCTTTCTTTTTCTCGGGATTTTCTTCGGATTTTTGCAAATTTCTCGCATTTTTCAGTGATGGAAGGATCCAGCACCGTAGAAATGATAGTCAACGATCCGCCAAGCGAGGCCGACGAGGTATTTTTTTGTTAAAGTCTTAAAAAATTCGAAAAACTAATCGCAGTGAAGCTTCAGAACGTCACGGATCCGTCGAAAGGCGTGAAAAGAGTGGCAAACTCGCCACCGGAGAAAGAAGCCAAAAAACCAAAGGTAGTTCTGAACATTTCCGTGAAAATCCAACTAAAATCCCCAGAATATCGTTCAGCTATCAAGTGATTCGTCGCCGACGTCCTCGATCGAACTCACCGACGGATCGCCGCAAAAAGACGCTTCGACGACGCCGAAAACGCCGAGAACTCCGAAAATAACGAGGGAGGAGCGCGAAAAGTTGAGAAAAGAAAGAATGGAGGAGAGGGAGAAACAACGGGCGGAACGGGAACGGATTCTCGAGGAAAAACGACTAGAGAAGGAGAAGGCGGCGGAGGAGAAACGAATGGAGAAGGAGAAGAAAGAAAAGTGAGTTTCAGGCTGATCTTCTTTGAAATTTTCCCATTTTTGCAGAGAAAGACTCGAGAAAAAGCTGGAAGAAGACCGTAAAAAGGAGGAGAAGCGTCGAGAAGCGGAGGAGAAGAAAAAGAAGGAGGAAGAGGAAAAACTGAAGAAGGAGGAGGAGAAATTGAAGAAAAAACGGGAGGAGGAAGAGCGGAAAGAGGCGAAACGAAAGGAGGAAGAGGAGAAGAAGGAGGCCAAGCGGAAAGAGGAAGAGGTATTCAAAAATTGAAGAAAAATCCAGACATTTCCTACTTTTTCAGGCGATCGAGGAGAAAAAGCGTCGCGAATCGGCGCGTTTTCTCGGTTTCTTCTCGAAAGTGGAAAAGAAGAAAGCGCTCGTCGAGGAGGTCTCCATTTCCACGTGGTACCGCCCGTTCGAGCTGAAAGACGGAATGACGCTGGCTCCGATTCGTTGCGGCGACCCTGTCTCGCCGGATTTCGACTTTTTCGCGAACCAGGACTTGACCGTATAGAATGTATGGAAAATTCCACCAAAAATTCTAATTTTTGCAGGTGACGATCGCTAAATTCCTGGAAACAGCCGAGAAGCCAGTGTTCCTTCAGTCAAAGTGAGCTTTTTTCGTGTTTCGCTCACAAAAATCCCATTATTTTACAGGGGAATGCGCGCGAAACTGTTCCAATTCCACGACAATCGCCGTCCGCCGTACTTTGGAACCTGGCGAAAAAAAGCGAAAAACATCAAGGGATGGCTTCCGTTTGGCGAGGAAAACGGACTCGATTACGAGGTTGTTTCATCAGCCACTTTGAACTGATTTTTGTAAAGTTTTCCTAATCTTTGGACCAAGTTTGGGCCTGCCGGGCCGCAGAATTCCATTTCGGCCTATTGCAGTCTGATTTTGTGGAAATGAAGGGACTTTTACAAACATTTTCAGGCGGATTCCGACGATGAATGGGAGGAGGAACCGGACGGCGACGAGTGCGATTCTGACGATGACAATGTGAGTTTCAGTCTGGAAATCGAGAGAAAAATCACTTCCTTTTTTCGTTTTTCTAAGGATTTCTAAAGCATTACTTCAAATTTCTCCAGGGCTGGGCAATTGACCGGCCCGGGCTTGGGCTTTTTAACCATTTGCAATATTCCAGTTAGGCCCAAACTTTGCAGACTTTTTAGACTTGGATTTAAGTCTGTTGGGTTCAAATTGGCCCAAATACCGGGCTTTTCAGCCAAAATCGGAAGCCAATTACCAAGCCCTGTTGTTTTGTCAATTTTCCAACAAAAACCGCAATATCTCATTTCAGGACAAGGAGGAAGAAGGCGAGGAGGACGAGGACGACGGATTCTTCGTGCCGCCGTGCTATTTATCGGACGGAGAGGGCGAGGAGGACGTGACTTCGGACACGGAAGGATCGGAAGTGCGGAAGGCAGAAAAGAAGACGAAGAGGATCACGATCGACTCGGACGGGGAGCACGAGATGGAGGAGGGGGAGGGCGGCGACGCGGAGGATCGTAAGGCCCGGCTGGCGGCGAGGGCCTCCGAGTGGTCGAAGCGGACCGAGAAGAAGAAGGTGAAGGCGTTGGTGCCGAGGGCCGTCGGACCCGAATACGTCATCCCGGAGATCCCGGCGCCCGAGTTCAAGTTCATGGGCGCCATCAACTTTTATTAACCTTTCGACTGTAAATATGCCCTGTCCATTTTGGCTATTTATCACTTATTTTATCTAATTTTGAGCGAATTGCATCTTAATTCTTAACGTTTATCCAATTCAATTAATTCTATCCCGAAATAACAAATTTGTGCTCTTTTGTATCCTCCGTGTCTGTTTGCTGGTCAAACACGTTTATATTATAACTTATTCTCAAAACAAGTCGCGTCAGGGATAAGCGCCGATTGTCGAGGCCGTGCCAAAACGGGGGAAAAGGAAAAATAATGGAAATATGAGAGTGATAGATGCGATCTTGCACATTTGTTTATTTTTCTGTCGAGACCCGGTCCTGGTTTTCTGGTTGCCGCCAGGTCGGAAAATTTTTTTCCGTTTCTCAAACTTCCCGCACCTATGAGTGTTGCGCCTGCACGGTTCCGCGCGGTTTTCGTGAATTCCCCCGTTTTTGGCACGGCCTCGAGAAGCAACAAGCAGATTTAACGGGAAAATGGTCGGAAAAGGACGAAGTGAAGGTGAAATAATTAATTTTAAGAAATTAGAGGAAGCCGGAAACGTGTCAATTCGATGGAAAACTCGCCGCAGAAGACAAGAATAAGGTAAATTTGTGGTTGGCCACTTGAAACTGGAAAGCAAACGGCTCATAGAGCTTCAGTCAATTTTATGGAACAAATTTAAAAGCTTATGAAACACATATTTCAGAATTCTCGACGGAACAAGGTCAAATTGGACGATTCCTGAGAGCATTGATCGTTCGGGTGTATAGTGGAAGTCAGTAGAAGCTGGAAACAACCAAATGGAATTATACACTCGGAACTAGCGGATATGCGATCCGCTAGGTGAGATACACTACCTGCAAGCTGAATGGTCAAAATCGGACCACTACGAGCCGAGGTAGTCTAGATAGTGCCAAAAAATGCCAGAATTTATGATGAAAGTTGTATGTATATTCTGATAGATCGAGATAGTGTGTAAATAGAATTTATCAAGTTCATGCGCAGTTGTCGTGTGTTCCACGTCCTGTTCTGCAGTAACAAAAGAGCATAATTCCGATGGCTGCCAACGCAAGAGGAGAGAAGCAAGTGAGCATTTTGTAGAACATGGACATGAAGGACCACGTGAAGTTCAAGAAATCGCACGAAATAATCGAACTTTGCACGGAATCGTGAATTTGCTTTCCTTTGCATTTCGAAGATTTGTCTTGAACTGTTCGACTTGTTCGTGATTGAAATCACCAAAGTATTCGTGAGCCCTGACGATTTTCACTTCGTGCCGACTGTGTCTTCCTTGAATGTCCACTCCTGCGATTGTTGCTCTGTGTGTCGACGGCAATTTCAATAGGAACTGGTTTGTTTTCACACTGAAGGTCGAACTGACGGTTCCATTGTAAACTGTGTATGCCTAAAATACGATAATAAGATAATGGAATGTAAATCGTGACAACGTACTTTGGCTGTTGTAGCGACGAAAGTGAAATCCTCCAAATCCAGAAGCAGCTCGAATGAACAATTTCGCATCCATAATGAGTTCCTTCCAACTTGCACGAATTAACGGACATCTCTCCTTTGGGTTGAGAGATGGCCGTGGTTGGAACGTCAGAAAATCGGAAAATCTTTCCAGAATTAATGAAGTTTCCAATGGGAGCGACCTGAAAAATAAGAAATAATGAAAAACTGATAAGTAGTTGTTGTAACTTACTCTATGGATGTCTCCGTAGACTCGATTTCGGTCGATTTCGGTGCAAATATCGACCTATACCAACAGCTATGGCGGTGGGATCGTAACGTTTTGAAGCAGCCGTATCCTTGGGTTCATCATGGCGAACCCCGTATTCGCTTGATCCGATGTTTTGAAATGTTTGACGTGCGAAAACGATTGTCGCCATGTTGAGTTGTGCTTCCTTCTCCACGTAGTAAGTTATCCAATAATCCTTCAAATGAGGCAACCCATCACACTTCAAAGAATCTGAAAGTTCGCATTATTTTTGAGACTTCTTTGTGAAAAGTGAAAGCAAACGAACTTGTTGTTTTGCACAGACCCAAAGTATCGGAAGCGGATGCGTTACATCAGTTACGATATTAACTTTTTGCTTCGCTTCGTAGCTGAGCGATCTTTTCATCTTTGGCTTTCCATATTTTCGTGGCCGCAAAGACGCTAGCGTCCTTCATAATGTACCGCTTCTTTTTCTAAACTATTTCCCATTTTTTGTCAATCTATCCTCGAATAGTAACCAACCTTTGAGTCCGTGATGACCGAACATTTCTTCGAAAAATTCAGTATTGAGAGTAATAGTTTGGAGAAAAAAGTAGAGAAAATAGGGGGGGAAACGGGGTGAGATTCCGGGTGGAATCAGAAGGAAATAGGGGGGCAACCGATGCTGCCCCGAGGAGACGAAAGGAATGAGGAGTCGACGGAGGAGGACGGGACGAGCAAGAGGAGGAGGAGGAGGAGGAGAAATAGTGGAAGAAACGAGATAAGGGGTCAATTCGTAACCAGTAGAGGGTCAATAGATGATACGCGGCGAGCCACACGAATCTAGGCCAACGTCGCATTCTCCGTGCGAGTAGTATACAGATTGATTTAGGAGTGATTTTAAAGCACAAGAGGCGGAGTTTATTCTAAAAAAAAATCGGTAAAATTATAAGGATGATTGATTGATTGATTGATTAAAAAAGTGATATGATAAATGGGTGATAAAATGATAATTATATGATAAGGTGATAAAGGATTGCTATAGTGATATGATACTAAATTGTTGAGCCTAACTCTTAAAAACGAGAGCTAAAAAAAAGTCACTAATTTCTAACTCGGAAACTGACACGAATGACATGTTTTGTTCATGAATGACTTTATAACTGTGATCGAAATAGATGATGTCATCACCCTAGTTTTTTCCAAAATTCCAAATTACGATTTTTTTTCTCCAACGTGAACTAGTTTTCTTGAAATCAGCGAAATGTGGAATACGTGAACACTTGGAGAAACGTGTCGTTTTTACAAGAACGATTACTCACAGACGAATCGACATGTGCAACGTTGACGAGTTGACGAGTACAACACAGACGGAAGACGGAAGACGGAAGAAAACATTTTTACGGAAGACGGCAGGCGGAATTCCGCTCAACACTGCCTTCTAATAAATCAAACGACCTGGCAATTGTGGGATCACCAATCCACAACCCAGCAACGTGATTTTCTTTCTTTCCTTTTCAAAATTCCTCCGTAATTTTAGGCATTCTGGATCTGGACTGTCAGCATCATCATCATAGTTTGTATTCTAAGATATTTGAAACCAAATTTATTAGTTGAATAAATATTGTCTCCTTTGTCTGACAAGTCATTATCATCAAAATCAGGCAGCTCGACATCATCATTAACAACAAACGAAGCATCCGACAGGTAGTCGTTTTCAGCTTGCGCATCGAGTAGTTCTTGCAGTCGATTGATGCGGTATCCAACAAGTTCGAGGCGAATGACATCCATACCAGTTTGAAGAGTCACAAGAGGCGCGTTCGGGTATCTCAGCTCTAATTGATGGTCTGCGCGGTAGAATTGGGCCAGCGTGACACGTGTTCCATTCAGAGAGACCATCTTTGTGTTTGCAGAGAAACGTCTAAAAAACATTGAATGAGCTGAAGAACATTTTTTGAAAAAATAAAAAACAAACCTAGACAGTCCAAGGACTTGAATCAAATCTTCAGTGCAAACGTTCCAGGTGCCAACAACCTCGTTAGAGTTTAGAACATTGAGAAACAATGGCCGGTTGTTAGTGAAACGATCCATCGGAAAGTTGGATTGAAGAGCGTGATCCGCCAGACAAGCGTCTTCTTCTTAAATTTCAAATTCTATTTCCCATTTTTTGTCAATCTATCCTCGAATAGTAACTAACCTTTGAGTCCGTGATGACCGAACATTTCTTCGAAAAATGCAGTATTGAGAGTAATAGTTTGGAGAAAAAAGTAGAGAAAATAGGGGGAAAACGGGGTGAGATTCCGGGTGGAATCAGAAGGAAATCAGGGGGGCAACCGATGCTGCCCCGAGGAGACGAAAGGAATGAGGAGTCGACGGAGGAGGACGGGACGAGCAAGAGGAGGAGGAGAAAAAAAGGCGGGCCACACGGATCAAGGTCCGCGTCGCATTCTCCGTGCGTTTGCGCACTTTCGGTGCAACTCTATGCGAACCCAATCAAAAAGCGCCTGAAAACAGACGGAAATAATTCATTTTCTCAACATTTCTAACATTTATTCAAATACGGACGAACATGTTTAAAATTGTATGCTCTGAAAATCTGACAGTGTAAAGACATACAGATACGGAAAGAATATGGTCGGCGGGAATATCGACGGAGACGGACAGTCTCGTGATAATGCCCACTTTCTTGATGATTTCCATTTTCATCTCGACCGACATATCGTTCCAGTTCTGGCCCATACCAGAGTTGAGCGGAAATGGAATTTTGAAATCCGGAAGACGGCAGATGGCAGACGGAACAAAAAATCCACGGAAGACGGAATTCCGCTCAACACTGGTCCATTCCAGGCCGCAATTAGGCAAAGTTGCAATCAAATTGGCGATCTCCTCCGGTGTCGGTGTGCAAACTACAAATTTTCAGGTTAACACATGTGTTTTTATTTTTTGCCGGTCGAACTCTGCAAACATTTGTTCGAAGAATAGCTTAAAAATCACATATATCTCCCAAGATCTTACTTGGAACACTTTAAAAAATGATGAAAAAGGTCAGGGTGGTAGAATGAGCCATGAGCAAATCTTTGACGTTATACATGCCCATTGTACCATCCTGATTTTTTCCAGCGCTTTCTAAAAGGACTTCCAAAGGCGAAATTTCCGACAAATGTGATGAATTCGAACGCCGAATGCAAATTCAAAAAACGAGTCTTCTATTCGATTGGTAACAAATCGGAAATCCTTCAATTCCTTATCACTCTTTTTCCGAATCCTCTTGGCACGTTGCCATGACGTTTCGAAATCCCAATCGGTCTTTCTCGTCAGAGTCCTTTGTCGGCATCCTTTTCACTAATCTCCAACGGTAATTAAGTCGGTTGCTTTGAAATTTGCCGCAAATCCGCTTGAAACTGAAATTCCCACACCTGCGGTCTTGTTTACCGGGGGGGAGATTAGTGAAAAGGACGCCGACAAAGGAGTCTGATGGGAAAGTACGATTGGGATTTCGAAACGTCATCGCACTGTGGGAAGAAGGAAAAGCCAGGTGTAGTGGCCACGCCCACTAACTACACTCAGTAGTACCGGTGTCATTTCGCTCTATTGTTTAGTGTATTCAAGACTTTCAGATAATATTATCTTTATTTCGTGCCTTCATTCGACATTGGAGGGGAACACAGAATGAATGTATCTCGGGTTCCAGCGCGGAGATACATAGTGCCGGGTCAGGGTCAATCATATCTTGCCCGCCTACGGATAATATCAGCAGGAAATCGGAAGATAGTAGTTATAGGAAGATAAATTCAACGCGTTAATGTATTCTATACTTACTCCTCGCTTTCTTTTCGACGATCCGTACATGGTTTGGAACTTGTGTACCGATTGCCGTCGCCTGAACCGAGCGGGGGAAGCCGAAGTTTTGGACGACGAGTACCAGGAATTAAGTAAGCACGATTAGTTTGTTTTCTGTAGTAAACTTTTGTTTTTTGCAGGAATAAAGATGTGTCGGATCTGTCGCTCGCACATAAATCACCAAAGACGAATAAAGTACTTCAAATTTGATGTTCTTGTGGAAAAGAGAAGGCTTCGCGAACCAACTCCGAGCTCTACCGTAGAGTAATTTTCCTTTCTTCTCACATTCTTTTCCTTGCTTCTTTCATCGCCGTTTCCCTAGACGTTTCTCTTTATTGCTTTCTCGTTTTTTTTTTTTGCAGTTTTTTTTTTGCTTTTTTTTTGCTGCTCCTACCTACTCTTCGCATTATTCCTATATCTCTAGCCCTTCTTTGCACCTTAACGCATGTTCTGCAAAATAAACTTTTTTTTTTTTTTTAATTAGTTTACAGCAGGGCAACAGTTACCGAACGGGAACAGATGGTTCATTTATTATGGCCGCACACGCGATAGGGACACAAAAGTTTATACGAACTAATTTAATATTAACGCAGAGAGCTCAACCGCAGAGAGCTCATTAATTATTACCGCATAGAATACATTAACGCGTTGAATTTATCTTCCTATAACTACTATCTTCCGATTTCCTGCTGATATTATCCGTAGGCGGGCAAGATATGGTTGACCCTGACCGCAGGTGTTTCGTTGGTCAGCATTCCGAGTCCTGATCCTATCAAGTCGCCCAAAACATTACGTCCTCGTTTTTGTTTGAAAATCACACTGTCCGTGTCACAGTATATAAGATTTTCCGGTCCAATCGCTTTCATGGCTTTGTAGAGGCGTATCCGTGCAGCAGACGTTGTAAGAGATCCGTATGCAATGTTTGTATATGAAGACGTTTTGATAGCGTCTTTCATCGGTTTCCTCGAAACAAAAACATGGTTTTCTCCCCAAAGAGCCAAATGTTTAGGCTCAAATCCTGGATCGTCGAAAAATTGAGCAATTTCGTGATGATTCTCGATCGGAATCAGTTTGTCGTCGGATTTGTCAGGGTTCTGAGCCGCTTCTTTTTCTAAACTATTTCCCATTTTTTGTCAATCTATCCTCGAATAGTAACCAACCTTTGAGTCCGTGATGACCGAACATTTCTTCGAAAATTGCAGTATTGAGAGTAATAGTTTGGAGAAAAAAGTAGAGAAAATAGGGGGGAAACGGGGTGAGATTCCGGGTGGAATCAGAAGGAAATAGGGGGGCAACCGATGCTGCCCCGAGGAGACGAAAGGAATGAGGAGTCGACGGAGGAGGACGGGACGAGCAAGAGGAGGAGGAGAAAAAAAGGCGGGCCACACGGATCAAGGTCCGCGTCGTATTCTCCGTGCGTTTGCGCACTTTCGGTGCAACTCTATGCGAACCCAATCAAAAAGCGCCTGAAAACAGACGGAAATAATTCATTTTCTCAAAATTTCTAACATTTATTCAAATACGGACGAGCATGTTTAAAATTGTATGCTCTGGAAAAAGCTGACAGTGTAAAGACGTACAGATACGGAAAGAATATGGTCGGCGGGAATATCGACGGAGACGGACAGTCTGGTGATAATGTCCACTTTCTTGATGATTTCCATTTTCATCTCGATCGAGATATCGTTCCAGTTCTGGCCCATACCAGAGTTGAGCGGAAATGGAATTTTGAAATCCGGTAGACGGCAGACGGAAGAAAATTTTTTTACGGAAGACGGAAGACGGAATTCCGCTCAACACTGGTAGACGGCCACTAAATGTTTGCCGATGAATTCGAACGCCGACTGCCAATTCAAAAAACGAGTCTTCTATTCGATTGGTAACAAATCGGAAATCCTTCAATTCCTTATCACTCTTTTTCCGAATCCTCTTGGCACATTGCCATGACGTTTCGAAATCCCAATCGGTCTTTCCCATCAGAGTCCTTTGTCGGCGTTCTTTTCACTAATCTCCAACGGTAATTAAGTCGGTTGCTTTGAAATTTGCCGCAAATCCGCTTGAAACTGAAATTCCCACACCTGCGGTCTTGTTTACCGGGGGGAGATTAGTGAAAAGGACGCCGACAAAGGAGTCTGATGGGAAAGTACGATTGGGATTTCGAAACGTCATCGCACTGTGGGAAGAAGGAAAAGCCAGGTGTAGTGGCCACGCCCACTAACTACACTCAGTAGTACCGGTGTCATTTCGCTCTATCGTTTAGTGTATTCAAGACTTTCAGATAATATTATCTTTATTTCGTGCCTTCATTCGACATTGGAGGGGAACACAGAATGAATGTATCTCGGGTTCCTGCGCGAAGATAGTGCCGGGTCAGGGTCAATCATATCTTGCCCGCCTACGGATTATATCAGCAGGAAATCGAAAGATGACAGGCCAAAGTGCAGGCCTGTGACAATTGCTATGCAAGAAGTCGGGCTCTCTCTCTCTTCCTCCCTCTGATGTTATCCGATGCACATGATTGATGTGCCCCAGATGGATGGGTTGACCTGCATATATTCGAACTGGATATATTGGTTTATTATCTGTTGTTATCGGATAATATTATGTATACAGTCTCCCGTCGGGTTTATTTATCGCGGTGTTCTTTGGTGAACTCATGTTTTAACCGGCATCATCTGGTACGATCGGTTATTCCACGGTAGTACAGTTCTTATGTCTTGACCTATTTCGAAAAAGTTCTAATGCCTGAGAATAGGAACTAGCACTCAAAGACGCTTGGCACGAAAATATACGATTCTGTTAGAGCTCAGAGTGGGACCTCCATATGAAAAATGTGGTCGTCCAGACGAAATACAATAATAGAGGATAATATAAGGGGGGATAAATAAGGGGGAGCGTATAGAATAAAGGGGAATAAAATAGGGGAGAGGGTAAGAACGTCGTCCCGATGTTCCCTGCTGTCGGCGGTCTGATGTCGACCGATGGTGATCATGATCCCGGTCGTGGCGTCGAATTTCCGGGCGATTATCGGATCGGCCTCCCGATCTCTTCGAGCTCCGAGCTCTTTCTCGACACCGGCTACCAAGTGTCTGCTCACTGCCTCTGTGATTCTCTCTGCTTGGAGGCCGTTCAGCAGCACTTCAGTGATGTCGCTCGGCCTGGATTGACGGAACATTGGGCTTCTCTCTCGTCCGTCCGATCCTCTTCTCCAAATTGGGCGGTCTTGTTCTGCCCGCCGATGCTGCCACCGTCAGTAGTTATAGGAAGATAAATTCAACGCGTTAATGTATTCTATGCGGTAATAATTAATGAGCTCTCTGCGGTTGAGCTCTCTGCGGTAATTTTACAATACTCATGTTAAGAAACTTTTGGATGCCAAAGACGTGAAACTAGTCTCCCCAAAAAGTGAATTAAAGTGTTCGGTTGTTGAAAGAGCTAACAGAACCCTAAAAACTCGGCTGGCCAAGTACATGACTGAAAAGTATGGTAAACGATATATCGATGTTTTACCGAAAATTGTCACGGCTATCAATAACAGTGTGAACCGTGGAATTGGAATGAAACCGATCGATGTAAATCATGGAGACTTTGCAATACCATTTCCCAATTCGAGCACGGGAAAACAAAAGTTCCGACTAGGAGATCATGTACGCATTTCGGCAAAACGCGGACACTTTGACAAGGGATACGAGCAGGGGTGGACGACGGAAGTATACGTAGTCAGTCGGGTGGTACCAGGCCGTCCTGTCACCTACAATTTAGTAGACAAAAACGGAGAGGACATTATTGGAATTTTTTACACTCAAGAGCTGACAAAGTGTACGTACGATGAGGACGGGGTCTATAGAGTGGAACGAATCTTGGAAACTAGAACCGTTCGACGAAAGAAGCAGCACAAAGTTCGCTGGGAAGGATATGGACGAGAATTCGATTCATGGGTTGACGCTGATTCTTTATTGAATTTATAAGTTTTTCAAAGGATAATCTTCCTCAATATCTTCGTCGTCACGATGGCCGTAGGGAAGCAGTATGCCTTCCTGATTTTGTCCCTTGTCCATGTTAGGTTTCATCACCTTCTCCTGCAAACGGGTTTCGATTCCCGTTAGTGGGATTCTAGACTTGATAAATCGTATCTGCTTCGCCATCAAATTTCCGCTAATTTTGTAATTAAGCCAGTTTCCCATCTGTAATAAAGTCATGAAATCTTTAAAAAATGTGCATTCTTACTAATTTCTTCATCGTCTCAAAACTGATACGTTTCGCCGTCTCCGAGTTCATAGTGATTCCTTTTGCCTTGACGACATAGGAAGAGGCACCACTTAAATCTTCCATCCGCAAAGCGTACACTTTAGGAGCCACACACAAAATTTCCTTGATTTCTTTACCGGCAGGTGTTTCGTTGGTCAGCATTGCGAGTCCTGATCCTATCAAGTCGCCCAAAACATTACGTCCTCGTTTTTGTTTGAAAATCACACTGTCCGTGTCACAGTATATAAGATTTTCCGGTCCAATCGCTTTCATGGCTTTGTAGAGGCGTATCCGTGCAGCAGACGTTGTAAGAGATCCGTATGCAATGTTTGTATATGAAGACGTTTTGATAGCGTCTTTCATCGGTTTCCTCGAAACAAAAACATGGTTTTCTCCCCAAAGAGCCAAATGTTTAGGCTCAAATCCTGGATCGTCGAAAAATTGAGCAATTTCGTGATGATTCTCGATCGGAATCAGTTTGTCGTCGGATTTGTCAGGGTTCTGAGCCGCTTCTTTTTCTAAACTATTTCCCATTTTTTGTCAATCTATCCTCGAATAGTAACCAACCTTTGAGTCCGTGATGACCGAACAGTTCTTCGAAAAATGCAGTATTGAGAGTAATAGTTTGGAGAAAAAAGTAGAGAAAATAGGGGGAAAACGGGGTGAGATTCCGGGTGGAATCAGAAGGAAATCAGGGGGGCAACCGATGCTGCCCCGAGGAGACGAAAGGAATGAGGAGTCGACGGAGGAGGACGGGACGAGCAGGAGGAGGAGGAGAAAAAAAGGCGGGCCACACTGATCAAGGAAAAAAGGCGGGCCACACGGATCAAGGTCCGCGTCGCATTCTCCGTGCGCTTGCGCACTTTCGGTGCAACTCTATGCGAACCCAATCAAAAAGCGCCTGAAAACAGACGGAAACAATTCATTTTCTCAACATTTCTAACATTTATTCAAATACGGACGAACATGTTTAAAATTGTATGCTCTGAAAAAAGCTGACAGTGTAAAGACATACAGATACGGAAAGAATATGGTCGGCGGGAATATCGACGGAGACGGACAGTCTGGTGATAATGTCCACTTTCTTGATGATTTCCATTTTCATCTCGACCGACATATCGTTCCAGTTCTGGTCCATACTACCAGAGTTGAGCGGAAATGGAATTTTGAAATCCGGAAGACGGAACAAAAAATCCACGGAAGACGGAAGACGGAATTCCGCTCAATCACCCTTGTCAATGTATTCGAGTTTGGCGTCTCCTCCGTCGGTGAGCATTTTGCAGACGGCAGAGTTGAGCGGAAATGGAATTTTGAAATCCGGTAGACGGCAGACTTCCGGCAAAAAAGGACTTCCAAAGGCGAAATTTCCGGCAAATGTACGAACAAGAAGCTGATTCCCTGCGTGAACGGATCACCCTTGTCAATGTATTCGAGTTTGGCGTCTCCTCCGTCGGTGAGCATTTTGCAGACGGCAGAGTTGAGCGGAAATGGAATTTTGAAATCCGGTAGACGGCAGACGGAAGAAAAATTTTTTACGGAAGACGGAATTCCGCTCAACACTGGTAGACGGCCACTAAATGTTTGCCGATGAATTCGAACGCCGACTGCAAATTCAAAAAACGAGTCTTCTATTCGATTGAAGACCTGGTAACAAATCGGAAATCCTTCAATTCCTTATTGCTCTTTTTCCGAACCCTCTTGGCACGTTGCCATGACGTTTCGAAATCCCAATCGGTCTTTCTCGTCAGAGTCCTTTGTCGGCGTTCTTTTCACTAATCTCTAACGGTAATTAAGTCGGTTGCTTTGAAATTTGCCGCAAATCCGCTTGAAACTGAAATTCCCACACCTGCGGTCTTGTTTACCCGGGGGGAGATTAGTGAAAAGGACGCCGACAAAGGAGTCTGATGGGAAAGTACGATTGGGATTTCGAAACGTCATGGCCCCGTGGGAAGAAGGAAAAGCCAGGTGTAGTGGCCACGCCCACTAACTACACTCAGTAGTACCGGTGTCATTTCGCTCTATCGTTTAGTGTATTCAAGACTTTCAGATAATATTATCTTTATTTCGTGCCTTCATTCGACATTGGAGGGGAACACAGAATGAATGTATCTCGGGTTCCTGCGCGGAGATACATAGTGCCGGGTCAGGGTCAACCATATCTTGCCCGCCTACGGATAATATCAGCAGGAAATCGGAAGATGACAGGCCAAAGTGCAGGCCTGTGACAATTGCTATGCAAGAAGTCGGGCTCTCTCTCTCTCTCTCTTCCTCCCTCTGATGTTATCCGATGCACATGATTGATGTGCCCCAGATGGATGGGTTGACCTGCATATGTTCGAACTGGATGGATCGGTTTATTATCTGTCTTGACCTATTTCGAAAAAGTTCTAATGCCTGAGAGTAGGAACTAGCACTCAAAGACGCTTGGCACGAAAATATACGATTCTAACGAGAAGATCCCGCCCTCGACTTGGTACTTGAAGCATTTGTTGGCTTCCATCGTTGTAGCATGGTTTCGGAGTGCGAACACGCGGACGGCGCACTCCTTAAGTGCTGGTGTCGTTTGGAAGTTGCAGTTGATCGGCGTAGGCGGGACGAACACGTTTCCCGCTTCTCCAAATCCGCAGATTTGAAGGGCCGTCGCTCCAGGCAGTAGAGCGAGCATCATTATTCCGAGCAGGAAATGCGAGATGCTGTTGATCAGAGACGGTCTGCCATTCCGATCGACTCGTTGTCCCGGGTTCTGGGTCGGGTTTCTGGCGTTGGCGTTTTGACCGGGGTTGGTTTGACTGTTTCCCGTCCGATTTTCGTTTGTCGGTCGGTTGTGTTCGTTGGATTGTCGGTGGTCGTCGCTTGGCTGGCCCCTGCTGTCGTAGTAGGGACGGTATCCGCCGTTCCAGCCGCCGTATCCTCTGCCGTAGTTGTACCCTCTCTGGTATGGGTATCTCCATCCCGGGTATCTCGGATAGAAGTTGTTTCCCGGGTAGAATCCGTTTCGTTGGAATCTCTCAGCGTTCCACTGGTTCCAATTCGGTTATTCTGGAAATAAGATGATTCAAGACATCTTCTTCTTTCAATTCTTACACGAGTCCGTGACATTGCGGGTCTCGCTGGATTGTTCAGGAGTCCGTGACCGAACATTTCTTGGAAAAATGCAGTATTGAGAGTAATAGTTTGGAGAAAAAAGTAGAGAAAATAGGGGGAAAACGGGGTGAGATTCCGGGTGGAATCAGAAGGAAATCAGGGGGGCAACCGATGCTGCCCCGAGGAAACGAAAGGAATGAGGAGTCGACGGAGGAGGACGGGACGAGCAGGAGGAGGAGGAGAAATAGTGGAAGAAACGAGAGGAAGGGTCAATTCGTAACCAGTAGAGGGTCAATAGGCGGGCCACACGGATCAAGGTCAGCGTCGCATTCTCCGTGCGTTTGCGCACTTTCGGTGCAACTCTATGCGCACCCAATCAAAAAGCGCCTGAAAACAGACGGAAACAATTCATTTTCTCAACTTTTAAAACATTTATTCAAATTTTAAGCAGTACGAAAAGCAGTATTCTGGCCTAGTTTGCGTAATGATCAGCTACTCTGTCGAAAGCCTGAAAAAGTGTCACGTGGAATGGATTATCGCGACAAACGGATTAGCTGACCTCCATTCCATTTGCTATAAAGTAGTCAACACACGAGGAGGCTGATTTCTAGCTCCAGTTTTCTAAACTTTCAAAGAAGAACGCTGATCTTGCAGTTTCCTGAAACAGTTCAAGTTTATGCTAATTTGACGGCAAAAATAACTTACGACGATTTGTCTTTTTTTTCGGCCACATTTCTTCAAAACATTGATGTGCAACAGCGCGTAAAGACTGGAATTCCAGACGCTTCTTCATTTCGGAATTGTAGCAAAAGTTCCATATTGAGTGGAATCCGGAGAAGTAGTAGTAGAAATTAAAGAAAATAAAGGGGAGACGGGGTGAGATTCCGAGTGGAATCAGGAGGAAAAAGGGGGGCAACCGGCGCTGCCCCGGGGAAAATGGAGAGGAATGAGGAGAGTTGGGGATTGGGCGAGTGATAAGGAGACGCAGACGAAAAGAAAAAGGGAAAAAAGCGGCAAACAAACAAGTGGCAGGGAGCGTCACGCGGTATTCGGATGACGTCAACTACTAGTTTATTATTTAAGAACGGTTAACAAGAGGATTAGAATAGTGCTTTAGCGCCTTTTCTGTGCAGTCCCGTTCTGTGAAATAGTTTGATCCCGAACGGAGCCACACTCACGTCGAAAATCCAGAAAACCTGCAACCACCATTCACATTCCCATCATTTTTCCGCCCCGGAAAACCCCGAGGCGGAGGACTCAAAATTTCTTTGTTCAACGCATCCGTTGCCGAACGATCGAACTCCAATGCTAACCTTGGTTAACTTGGGTTAAAACCGACGAGAGACGCCGACGACGGGCAGGTCACTAAACGCGGCAGCCGACATCTCGCGGGTTCCGCCCTCCGCTATGTTTTGTGGGCAGGGGGCGGAGTCAAGGCGGCGAGAGCGCGGAAAACGAGAAATTGGCGGAAAATGGGAAACAATTGAAGAAAAAAATGTTCCAATTTTCAATGATAATTTTTATAATGATTTTTCAGTCTAAATAGAATCAGGGCCTCGGCCAAATGGCGTTTTCATGAATTGAGCACGTTTTCTCTGATTTTTGTGGTCAAAGGCGATGAAAAATGATTGTTCGACATGAAAACACACTAATTCTCCGAATTAATGACGTTTTGGCGCATTTTTCGCAGACTTTGCTTTTTCGCCTTCGCCGCCTAAAAACCGCACTTCTCATTTTGCGCTTTTTTGACCGTTTTCAGACAGAATTGGTTTTGAGAATGATAAATCACGTAAATACAAGCATTTTGAGCGCTCGAACCGCGAAAACTACCGAAAAGCAACTGAAATTCACGCAGTTTTAACCAAAAACCTTCAAACGGATAAATGTGATTTGCGACTTGATCAAATTTGACGCTCTTGCGCTTAAAAAATTCGTAATAGCCTATACAATCGGTCTATCGAGAGACAAATGAGAAATTATCGGTTTTTCGTGGCTAATCTGGCAAAAAACACAAATTTTGCTGTTAAAATTTGGAATTTCGCGCCAATGTATCGCTCTATTGGGCGGGGCGTACTTGCACCCATTGTCAGCCCTGGAGACCGTGTTTGTCTCAAAATTCTACTCGAATACTCTTACCCGACATAAACTGTTGTGCGTGAGTTGAGATCCGAAATCAGAGATGCGAGATTCAATGGAAACGCCGTCGTCGCGATGTTCAAAGGCCTCGTGTGGAACTGCAAAAAGCAATAATCAAAATATGTGCATAGATACTTACTTACCAATAAAATGTAGAGAAGGAAAATAGAGGCGGGTGGGTCGCAATGCCTTCCGAAACGAGCGAACGGACCACGGGTGGTCCCGATTGTCCGATGTGGCCGAATGTTTGCAAAAGAAATCGGCATTCGTCGTCGCAGAAAAAGTAAGTTTTCTTCTAATGCAAACGCTCGTATTGTCTACACAGGATTCTAGAAAAATGCCAAGATTTCTGATTCAAATGGATCGAATTTAGGTCAAAACTTGAAGACAATTGTTCAACGGTAGACAGTCTGAATTCGGTGAAACTTGGATCAATTCCCGCGTGCCCTTTGTTCGTCTATGTTCGGGACGTGTTTTTTCGAACTTCAAAACAAATTATTTCGAATCGAAAACTATGCGAGCGCAAGACGCCCTTTCTCGTGATCGGAACTCTATTATTCCGGTAAGTGCACTTTTTTTCGGTTTCAAATGTTCGCTTTCATTGAAAGTTTGTCCGATGATATCGAATCGATTCAGAAATCGATTTCCACTACCCCATCCGTAACGATTCCATCGAAAGAGGCGAGTTCGCAGTCGGGCTGGGATTACTGGAGCCGTGTCTACTCGTCCGACGAGCCGTTCTCCTCCTCCTCCTCCTCGACCTCGTCTGGCCCCTTTCCGCAACCGCCGCACCGTGACATCCGCATCTCGGACATGCTCCAATCGGAGACTCTGGTCCGTGCCAAACTGCTCTTTCTCAACGTGCCCGGCCTTCCGATCGCCCACAAAAACATCATCCGCAACCTGGTGCGTCGCGAGCTCCGCGAAGACATCTCGATGCAGGACGTGATCGTCGCGCCCGGCAAGTGGTTCCTCAACTTTTACCGGCCGGAAGACGCGCTCCGCGTGCTCAAACTCTTCAACGGCTACGCGTACCGCAACCACTCGCTCGTCGTCCGATTCTGCTATCCGGACGGCACGTACGGCGACGAGAGTGCGCTCGCCGCGCTCGTCGAGTGCTCCAAAGCGGCCAAGGGACACATGTTCGAGCAGAAGGAGATTGTGCAGGATGTGAGTGTGATTGGAGCAACTGATTCGAGCACACGGTTTGCAGAGCCTCTCGTCGGACTGCTGGACGTGGGCCGAGTACCAGGCGGTGCACAAGTTCGAGCGGGAGATTGTGAAACTGCTGCAGTCGCACGCCTACTTGCCCTATCACAATGTGCTCCAATCCATGAGGACCATGTTCGCGGGCACTCGAAAGTGAGTCACTAGTTGCCAAACTTTCCGGTTTTGTCGATCTCATAGAAACTCGTCTAATTTGCATATTTTGCAGCTGTCCCGGTTCTCTGCTCATCTCGGAATCGTTGTCCGTCTGGCCGACGGGCTTCATCCGCATGTTCAGTCGATGCGTGAAGGTGGTGGCGAACACGATGTGCCTGTCGACGAGTCCCTACTACACCCAACGCATTCACGATTCGGCGATGCAGGGCGGATGCTCCGTGCACCGCAACTCGTGGGAACCGTTCGTTCCCGAGGACATTCGTTGCGACGTGCAGCTGAGACAGTACGCCCACGCATTCCTCACTCACTTTGGTCCCCAGCACCTTGAGGTCAGTCACACTCGTTTCAATCAATACAGTAACCCCCCCTGTTCCTCCCTCTCAGATCGACGCTCCGATCCGTCTGCTGGCCCAATGCCTGCGTGGCACTTGGCCCAAAACGGGCCGTTCCCTGGCGGTCCTCTTCACCGAAATCTCTCTCGAGTTCGTGATCATCAACTCAGTGCTCTACTTGTCCGCATGCGAGAATCATCGCGACAAGATCATCGACAACCTGGCCGCCTTCCAGGACGACTGCTCCGACGTCTACTACCTCCCGCTCAGCTGCGTTTCCAAAGAGCAAAAGGTGAAAGTGGTCGACTACGAGGACCTGTGAAGACGTTCGTTCCATGATGATGATCATGAGCCCTTTATCATTTTCCGGTTTTGCTGTTTCAAAAATTGCTATACAAACGGCATTGACTCGAATAAACCATCCGCTTTATTTCATTCATTTCAAAAAGGACGAAGAGCTCTCGGGCCGCTTCTTGTTCGGTCTCTCCTCGTACGTTCCGTTCATGATGGCGTAGTGCACGAGCTGGTCTTTCTTGTAGTCGTCGTGCGCCGGTGTCAGAAGACTTTCGACCCGATCGGCGGCCTTGTCCAGAAGCTCTTCGCACTTGCGCTTGTCGGCGTGTCTGGCGATGAGCAGGACGTGGAGCGGCTCCTCCAGATGTTCGTATCCCTTTTTTCCCTTGAGCAACTGCTCCTGCTCCATGTTTCGCACCGATCCGGAGCCGCGGATGAGGAGGGTGACGTCGAACTGACGCTCGAGCATTCGAGCCGACATTCCAGAGGGTCCGAGGATGCGACCGATGTAGTTGCACTTCCTGGAACCATTCCGATCAAGGCTTTGTCGCTTAATCAGTCAAAAAAGATGGAACTCACACACTGCGACCGCCCATTCTGCTCGGCGGCGGGTCCGGAATGTAGATCTTCGTCTGCAGAACAAACTTCTCCTCGCTCACACTGTTCTCTTGCCAATCTCCGTCTTTCGGACTCGTGGACGTGTTTTTGATCGGTGTGGCGAACGGATTCGAGGGAAGCGAGTCACGGAACGAGAAGGAGGAGGCCGACGGCGGATAGAACACATTTGTGGAAGACGTCGAGGAGAGGGGCTTCGGCTGCAAACGAACCGGATGTTTCACGGGGAAGAATGAGTCTTTCGAATGTAATCCCTGTTTCAACAATGTTATTTGATCCCTTGCTACTTTTTTTGGATAATAATTTTCGCTCAAAACAGGTACGAAAAATCAAATGTAGACAAATGGAAGAGAAAAACGCACTGATCCCCCCGGATGATGATTTTGACTGAAAAAAACCTGACCAATTGTCCCCGTGCAGTTTTCGCGCGCAAATTCTCAACACAGTACTAAATATGACAAGTGTCGTTTTCAAAGCGGGCCAACTATAAACTGACCGTCTGAAACGGGTTTCTGCACACTCGCTCCTGCCCGAAAAACTCGTCGTGGTGGTTGTGGTGGTGGCCGCCGCCGCCGGCAGCGCCGCGTCTGCTCATCTCGTCGTGGTGGTGGCCGCCGCCGGCACCGCCGCGTCTGCTCATCTCGTCGAACACTCGTGAAATCTCTTTTGACAACAGAATACGAGCATTTTTGCACTCGATCGCCGTCTCCGACAACTGCCTCATCTCGTTGATCAACTCGTTCAAGTAGCTGAATAACGTCTTTTGGAACTTTTGTGGAATTTTCGGGCGGAAACTGACTTGGGATTCGAAGGCGCCGAGTACATTCTCTCTCTCTCTCTCTCTCTCTCGATTGACGACGGAGAAAATGGAGAAAATAGGCAAAAATGGGAGAAATTTGAGCGAAAAAGAAGAAGAGGAATAAAAAGTGAGATTAGAATGGGGGAAGCGGGACGTTTCACGTGCTCTTCGCTTTGATGTTTGACCACAGACTGAAAATTCACAAATACTTTTTCATTTTTAACTATACCGCAATACCCGTTCATTCAAAACGATATATCTCAGCTGCCAGTGGATATATCAAAAAGTTTTCAATTAATGAAATGTACACAATTTTGTAAGGATCATTTTGTCAGTTGGCACCTTTTTGTTATCTCTACAGACAGCTGAGATACATTGAGTTAAAGGGACGCTATCGGGGTACCCTGCTACGGCAACTTCCAAGCGCTACAGTAGTTCTAGAAGTTGAGTTACAAAAAAGCTGTCAACAGAGAAAATGAAGGTCTAGATGGGTAGATTACAGACAAACACTTCCAGAACAAACTTTATCATTAGAACAATTCAAACTTTACGAATAGATGAGATGATTAGATTAAAGGCGAAAATGAAAACCACAGAGTACAGAATTTGATAATATAAGTCGTAAAATGAGACAGGAGAAACAGAAAAGAATCAGTCGAACTGAAATGCGTCGAAATAGGAAAAGTAATTGAAATTACAGTGAAATAAGAGACGGAACTGGGCTTTGCGAGGTGTGGGGGAACCGAGAAATCAGAAAACGGTGCTGTGGAGGACGGAGAAGCCGTCGGCGTCGTCCTTGAAGAGTCCGTGCGAGGGCAGCTGGTCCCGTCCGTCGTCCACGGGCCCGTTCCCGATCGTTTCGATGCTGCCGAACATGCGGAACGTCGGCGAGGGCCGCGCGTTGATCGAGTTCAGGTTCGGCTCCACGTGGAAGACTGTTTCGTTCAGTTTCCACACCGAGTACGTCTCGATGTTTTCCTTGTTCGGTTGTTCTGGAGCAGGCGGAGCAGGGGCCATGATCCGTGGTGGCTGGACTCGGATTTCCTGCACCTCATCGTCGTCGTGCTTGTCCTCGAAGGCTTCAGGAGAACCTCGCTCAACGTACTTCTCTGAAAATGCGAAAACTTATCAAAACCAGTATGCGCTCAGACTCACTCTTATCGCGGGAGTACGGCGTCTTCGTCGCCTTCTTCTTCTGCTGCTGCTGCTGCTTCGGAAGCCGTGCCATACTTCTCATCTGATTCAACTCCTCTTCCAGCTTCGCGCTCGGACAAATCTTTTCGAGAAGATTCCGGAAGTTTGCCAGTTCTGGTCCTGAAAACATTTCAATCTCGAAAAGCTAACTTTATCACAACTATGCATTTTGATATTAGAACTTACGAGTTGCCGGTTTGACCGGTTGTCGATTAGAGTTTGGGCCATAAGAGGTGGTCGAAGAGCTCATCTCGGAGGAGAAAGAAAGAGAATGAGAATGAATGCAACGACTGGGGCCGACCCACTAATAGGACCGCTCGCGGGCAAACGTGCAGATGGCAAGGAGTTTGGGAAGGACCCCGGTAGATCGTGTGTAGGTCAACTAGAGACCAAAGGGAAGACAGTGACGAAGATGGTATCTCGGCCCATTCTTCACGCAAATTATGCTTCTGGCGTTTCAGTGAACGCACATTCACAAATTTCATTCAAATTGCGTTCCCCATCATTTTGCTGTGTTCGAAACGAATAGTACCGCTCGTCCAGGCGTGGTTTTTCTGCTTTCAGGACGCATTCCTTACTGAACATTGTTCAGTTGAGCGGAAGAACTCAACGGATGAACACGGAAGAGTTTTTAACTTTTTTAGAAAATTCCCAACGAATTTTGAGTACAGTGGGCACGAAAAGGTTGAAGTGGGCAAGTTCCTGCTTGCGGAAAGTTGAAAACAGCTATAATCAACAATTGACTAGTTGGTGGAGTCAAATTGATATTGTGAAACTGGAAAAAAAAATTTTTCGATTTCGATGGATGTCCGACAAAAAATAGCACTCCGAAAACATTTCGACACGCCACCAGAGTTGAGCGGAAGAACTCAACGGAAGAAGAACACGAAAGAATTTTTATCTTTTTTAGAAAATTTTTTCATGGAATGTGATCAACTGACGAAATGTATAGCAAAGTGAACTCTGCGCATAGAAAAATAATTGTAAATTTAGCTTTTCATACAAAAAAGTTATTCGAGTTGTTGCGTGAAAATGTCCTTCCGTCTTCCCCGTTAGCCACCTTTTTTCACGGAACAACTCGAATAACTTTTTTGTATGAATAGTTAAATTTACAATTATTTTTCTATGAGCAGAGTTCACTTTGCTATATATTTCGGCAGTTGATCACATTCCATGAAATAATTTTCTAAAAAAGATAAAAATTCTTCCGTGTTCTTCCGTTGAGTTCTTCCGCTCAACTCTGCAGAACACTCTACTATTACTGATTGTGAAACCGAACGGAGCCTCAGTTTCTTTGAGTTTATGCTCGAGATTCTAGAGATTGCCCACAATTCCAGCCGTCTCCGCCCGCAAAGACGAAACTATCATCAAAAACCGAAAAGTGCGTGTGCGTGTGCTCCTTTCCTCCCTTTTACCGCCTTCATTATCAACCGATCACCACCATCAATACCTTTGTTGCGTGTCTTGCTCGTCGGCAAATGATTAAAGAATGCCATACCAATACGTGTGTGCTTCTTATCGCCCATTTTTCAGTCTCTCCGCTCATTTCTCAACTCTCAAACATACCCTTTTTCAAGCTAAACGTGTTTTCAGGTAACCTGAACACTTGGAGCAAACGTCGCAAACGGCAAAGGGAAGAACGTTTGAATTGAATGGACAGAAAACGTGGAAGTATTGTGCCTGCCATCCATGTTAGTCTCTTTTGAAATGGGAAAACCGTTTTCTCAATGATGAATACAATGAATAGTCACAGAAGTGAACATTTTGAAACTGTACAATAGGGCTTTACAGAAGTCACCCCAATATCGTTTATTCAAAACAATTTATCTCAGCTGTGGGCAGAGATATCAAAAAGTTGACAACTGATGAAATGTATGAAATTCATCGCTTAACAACTTATTAGTTGACAACTTTTCGATAGCTCAACCGACACCTGAGATACATTGCTTTGTGTTGTTTCGTTCTAGACGTATGGTTTATCGTCTTTTATCTTTATAAGAGGTCTGTAAGCACGATTTGAAACGGGAAAAGTTTCCATTTTAGCAAACTTTCAGGAAGTTTAATAGAAAACTGATTTGAAAGAAACTTTAACAATCACTTTTTTGCAGAAAGCGGTGGAAGAGAGTCTCCGAGCGAACAGTGTTACTGTGGAAGAGAACAGTCATGAGCAAGAGGCGCAGAGAAAGAAACGGAGGAAGAAGCAGAGGAGCGGCAGTGGTCAGTTCACCGTCCATTCGAAAAATGATTGTTCGACATGAAAACACACTAATTCGCAGAATTAATGACGTTTTGGCGCATTTTTCGCGGACTTTGCTTTTTCGCCTTCGCCGCCTAAAAGCGCACTTCTCATTTTGCACTTTCTTGACCGTTTTCAGACAGAATTGGTTTTGAGAATGATAAATCACGTAAATACAAGCATTTTGAGCGCTCGAACCGCGAAAACTACCGAAAAGCAACTGAAATTCACGCAGTTTTAGCCAAAAACCTTCAAACGGATAAATGTGATTTGCGACTTGACCAAATTTGACGCTCTTGCGCTTAAGAAATTCGTAATAGCCTATACAATCGGTGAGAAATTATCGATTTTTCGTGGCTAATGTGGCAAAAAAACACTAATTTTGCTGTTAAAATTTGAATTTCGCGCCAATGTATCGCTCTATTGGGCGGCGCGTACTTGCGCCCATTGTCAGCTCTGGAGATAAAAAGTGTGAATTAAACAACAACAAGATGTGTTGCTGAGAAGTTTATCTGTTGACAACCTTTTGAAACCTCCAATGACAGTTAAGATAACTGTTTCAAGTACTTTATATCGCCCTGCAAGTTTGGGTTATGCTCACTGCTGTTCTACACCCCTATTCTTCTCTTTCAGCCGACGCAGCCCCACTGAACTCGGCGCCTCGACATGTTCAGAAGTTCGATTGGAAGGATATGCTGCATTTGGCCGATTTGTCCGGCAGAAAGGTTCCCTCTCTGCGGCCAACCGCTTTACTCTTCTTTTCTTACAGCGCGGCAACTCAACCACGAGCCATTCTGGGCACGCGACCAGAGCCGGATCCTTGGTAGGTCTTTCGGGTTCTGGGGGATTGTCAAACATCTGCGTTCCAGAAAGGCAAAAACTGGATCGAGACTCGGCTGAAACAGCGTCAATGCTCGTACTTTGTGCCCTCGCAACGGTTCTCCGAGCGATGCGGGTGCGGAAAGGAACGATCGAAGCATTCGGAAGAAGTGTTGGAGAGAAGTCAGGGCAAAGAAGCACACAACCACCTGACACTGCCCGGAATCCAGGAGGTGGACACTACTGACGCGGACGGCGATGGGAATGAGGTATATCTCAGCTACGCGTACAGATATCAAAATGTTGTCAATTGATAAAATGCACAAAATGCCTTAACGAACATTTTGTTAATTGACAACTTTTTGATATCGTTGCAGACAGCTGAGCTACATCACTTTTAGATGTCTGTTTCAATAAGTTCACATTTGTTGTTTCCTTACTATTTTCCTCGTTAGCTTATAGAATTTATTAATGTCTATCACTGTTATTCCAGATAAACTTGGCTCCCGGGCGTTGGTCCATCCAATCTCACACCGAAATCGTGCCAACCGACGCGTACGGAAGTGTGGTTTTTGAAGGTTTCCTATTGTTTTCCACACCTTTTTTTTGTCAACAAATAAAGACATATTAGCTTCCAGGAACCGCGCATCATGCTCAGTACGCGCGAGTCAGTTTCGACACGGATCCACGTGATATTGTGCATTTAATGATGAAGGTGTGGAAGTTGAGACCGCCCAAACTGATCATCACGATCAACGGAGGATTGACCAAGTTCGAGTGAGTCTTTTTAGAGCCGAGCCACCTCTTTTCCAATAATTATTTCCGTTTTCTCCTCCGCATCAGTCACACTGACTGATAATGCGTCTTTGACGTCATCATCATCACCGCCACATTCTTTTTTTTTTCACAAAAGCGATTGCAGTCTGCAACCGAAACTGGCGAGAACGTTCCGCAAGGGAATCATGAAGATCGCCAAGTCGACCGACGCGTGGATCATCACTTCCGGACTCGACGAGGGCGTCGTCAAACATCTCGACTCGGCACTTCATGGTCAGGCGCACATCATTTTGAAGTAAACTGTATAGCAAATGTGCAATGTACTGATAATGGAAGTGAGAACTTTCAGCAGATTGGGAAACATGAAAGTTTAGGACTTGTGACATTCAGTTTAAACCTGAAACAAAGCAAATCGGTTAAGAACTGACCTAACAGCAGAGTTGAGCGGAAGAACACGGAAGAAATTTTTCTATCTTTTTTAGAACATGTTTTCATGGAATGTGATCAACTGACGAAATGTATAGCAAAATGAACTCTGCGCATAGAAAAATAATTGTAAATTTAGCTTTTCCTACAAAAAAGTTATTCGAGTTGTTGCGTGAAAAAAGGGGGCTAACGGGGAAGACGGAAGGACATTTTCACGCAACAACTCGAATAACTTTTTTGTATGAAAAGCTAAATTTACAATTATTTTTCTATGCGCAAAGTTCAATTTGCTATACATTTCGTCAGTTGATCACATTCCATGAAAAAATTTTTTAAAAAATATAAAAAAATTCTTCCATGTTCTTCCGCTCAACTCTGCCTAACAGTCGGTAATTCCTCGTACTTTAATAGTCTCGACACTCAAAAAACAAACGTATGCCACATTCGTGAAACACAATATTCAGATCAGGGGAACCATCACTCGAAGAACCACGTCGTCGCGATCGGAATCGCCTCGTGGGGGATGCTGAAGCAGAGAAGCCGGTTTGTGGGAACGGATTCGACGGTGACGTACGCGCCGAACATTTACAATAGCGGACGGCTCAAGGAGCTCAACGACCGACACTCGTACTTTCTCTTTTCGGATAACGGAACTGTTAATCGGTTGGTGTTTCAGCAACTACTTTTTTTTTGGGTTTTATGAAAAACTGCTTGTTTTTTCTCCAGATATGGTGCTGAAATCATAATGCGAAAGCGATTGGAGACGTATTTGGCTCAGGGGGACAAGAGGAGAAGTGCGATTCCGTTGATTTGTGTGGTGTTGGAAGGAGGAGCGTTCACGATCAAAATGGTCCATGATTATGTGACCACGTATGTAGTAAAGTCATTGTATCTCAGCCGCTTGTAGAGCTATCAAAAAGTTGTCAACAGAAAAAATTTACCGAATGTCATGGAGAGCATTTCATCAGTTGACACCTTTTTGATATCTCCATCCGCAGCTGAGATATGCTCTTCAGAATCCCCCGAATTCCCGTGATCGTGTGCGATGGAAGTGGTCGAGCCGCCGACATTTTGGCGTTCGCTCATCAGACTGTTTCACAAAACGGGTAAGTTCTTGAGCCCTATTAAAAGTTTGCTGATAAAGGATTTTTAGTTTTTTATCGGATAACATCAGAAATCAGTTGGTGAACATTGTGAGAAGAGTCTTTGGATACGACCCGAAAACTGCACAAAAAATGATCAAACAGATTGTGGAGTGCACTACGAACAAGTCATTGGTAAGGAACTCGAGGAAAAGCTATCAAATTTTATGACAAAAAGTGGGCTGAGAGCCATAGTAGACTACAGTACAATGCTAACTTTCAATAGCTACAGTAGTCTTAGGAGTAGTGGTATAAAAAATATGTAAAATTGAGAAATACAGTACTAGGCATCTAGTCAATATGAAGTTACCAAAGTGTGTTGTGAAGAGTTGAAAAGAAATTTGCAGTTTCTGCTACTACATACAATTCCAGTTGCTCGTTTAGATGACAGTGTTCCGTCTCGGCGAGTCGTCGCGAGAAGACCTGGACCACGCGATCATGTCGTGTCTGCTCAAAGGCCGCAACCTCTCGCCTCCCGAACAATTGCAACTCGCCCTCGCCTGGAACCGTGCCGACATTGCGCGCACCGAAATCTTCGCCACCGGCACCGAGTGGACGACGCAGGACCTGCACAACGCGATGATCGAGGCGCTCACGAACGATCGCATCGATTTCGTGCACTTGCTCCTCGAGAACGGCGTCTCAATGCAGAAGTTTCTGACGTACGGACGACTGGAGCACCTGTACAATACCGAGAAGGGACCGCAGAACACGTTGAGAACGAATCTGTTGGTCGACTCGAAGCATCACATCAAGTTGGTCGAGATCGGGCGGTTGGTGGAGGATCTGATGGGCAATCTGTACAAGTCGAATTACACGAAGGAGGAGTTCAAGAATCAGTACTTTCTCTTCAATAATCGCCGACATGTGAGTGGTACTTTCGGCGAAAAATGGTTGATTTTGTACTCATTGCAGTTCGGAAAACGCGTTCAAAACATGAACGGCGGCCGGAACGACGTGATCGGACCGTCCGGGGACGCCGGACGGGAACGCATGTCGTCGATGCAGATCAGTCTGATCAACAACGCGCGCAACTCGATCATCTCGCTCTTCGGAGGCGGCGGACGCAAAAGGGATTCCGATGACGGTACGCACGGTCTCCAGAGCTGACAATATGGGCGTGACGGCCTCGGCGAAATGGCGTTTTCATGAATTGAGCAGGGGTTTTCTCTGATTTTTGTGGTCAACGCCGATGAAAAATGATTGTTCGACATGAAAACACACTAATTCTCCGAATTAATGACGTTTTGGCGCATTTTTCGCGGACTTTGCTTTTTCGCCTTCGCCGCCGAAAAACCGCACTTCTCATTTTGCGCTTTCTTGACCGTTTTCCGACAGAATTGGTTTTGAGAATGATAAATCACGTAAATACAAGCATTTTGAGCGCTCGAACCGCGAAAACTACCGAAAAGAAACTGAAATTCACGCAGTTTTAGCCAAAAACCTTCAAACGGATAAATGTGATTTGCGACTTGACCAAATTTAACGCTCTTGCGCTTAAAGAATTCGTAATCGCCTATATAATCGGTCTATCGAGAGACAAATGAGAAATTATCGGTTTTTCGTGGCTAATCTGGCAAAAAACACAAATTTTGCTGTTAAAATTTGAATTTCGCGCCAATGTATCGCTCTATTGGGCGGCGCGCACTTGCGCGCCCATTGTCAGCTCTGGAGACCGTGGTACGCCACTTTTTGTCGGTTTCAAAAAAGAAGCATGTAATAGTAATGTCATCGCTCTGCAGACGAAGAGTTCTCGAATCTGGAGGAAGAGGCGAACATGGACTTCACCTTCCGCTACCCGTACAGCGATCTCATGATTTGGGCGGTGCTCACGAAACGGCAGAAGATGGCAAAGTTGATGTGGACGCACGGAGAAGAGGGAATGGCAAAAGTGAGAATCATATTTGAGAAAAAGTAATTTAAAAAAAAAGAAACATTTGAACTTGAGGCACTCGTCGCCAGTCGTTTGTACGTTTCTCTGGCGAAAACCGCCTCTTTGGCGACCGGCGAAATTGGAATGAGCCAGGATTTCAGCGAGTTCAGCGAGTGAGTCATCTTGAAATCTGACGGCGACCAAAACGGTGCTTTTCAGTGAGTTCTCCGCGTTGGCGGTGGAAGTGTTGGAGTACTGTACGAAGCACGGACGGGACCAGACCCTCCGGCTGCTCACTTGCGAACTCACCAACTGGGGCGATGAGACGTGTCTCTCGCTGGCCGCCAACAACGGACATCGCAAGTTTTTGGCGCATCCTTGGTGCGTTTTAATGGGGGCGAAAAACTGGGGAAAAAGGTCTCGTTCAGCTGTCAAATGCTCCTTTCCGACCTGTGGCAAGGCGGACTTCTCATGAAATCCAACCAAAACGCAAAAGTGTTATCGTGTCTGGTGGCTCCTCCGCTCCTCTTCCTTCTCGGCTTCAAAACGAAAGAGCAACTGATGCTCCAGCCGAAAACGGCGGCGGAGCACGACGAAGAAGGATCGGATTCGGATGTGAGTGCGGTGGAATCGGAGACCGACGACGACAGTTCCAGCGATTCGGACGAGTCCGACGAGGAAGCGGCCAAAGGACGGGCTCCGAGCGTCGGAGCCGATCAACCGTTGAGCATTCAGAGGGTAAGAAACATCGGGGGGACACTTTTGAGAGCCAACTGATAGTGAGCAATTGTAGTTGATGCGTGACAAGCTCAATTTCTCGGAAAAGAAGAAGCCCGAAATGGGAATCAGCCGAATTGTGGTCGCGCCGCCGATTGTGCAGGCCAGAAGTCGAGCGAGGACGATGTCGATCAAAAAGAGCAAAAAGAATGTGATACAACCGCCGGCGTGTTTGAAGATTGACAATTCGGAAGACGACGACGAGCACGAGCAGAGAAAGGCCACCGAAAAGTGTGCGTTTTGCTCATTTTGAGCTCAAGATGAGCAGAATGAATTGAGAAATTTGAGAAAAAGTTGAATCGATTCCCGTTTTTTTCGCTCAAAATGCTCGAATTTCAGTTTTCCACATCTAGTCGTCATCGCCCGCTTCCACAATTATATATTATCGTTCTCCTGATACCATAACCATTTTCAGACATCAACCGAACCGGAAAACGTGGCTCTGTCGCTGTGGCGATCGCCCACGACGACATGTATTTGGATCCGAGCGAGGAGATGGAGACGGAGACTCGGCAGAAGTCTTCCCGCGAGTTTTCCTCGTCTCGCAACGAGACAGTCCATGTCTACACGGTGCCGAGCACAAATGTTCGAGTAAATGGTTCATTGTGTTGTGTTGCAGCAACGTCCATTGTCGTGGAAAAGAAAAATAATGGAGTTCTACAAGGCGCCGATCACCACCTACTGGCTCTGGTTCTTCGCGTTCATCGTCTTTCTGATATTGCTCACCTACAATTTGCTCGTCAAAACTCAAAAAGTGGCGAGCTGGTCCGAATGGTACGTCTTCTGCTACATCCTCGTGTGGACCCTCGAAATGGGTCGGAAAGTCGTCTCGACGATTATGATGGACACTTCGAAGCCGGTGCTCAAACAACTTCGCGTTTTCTTTTTCCAATATCGAAACGGACTGCTCGCATTCGGACTGCTCACTTATCTGCTCGCCTATTGGATACGTCTGAGTCCCACCACCAAGTGAGAGATCAAAGCTATACACGGTCTCCCCCAATAGCTAATGCTAAATTGAGCGCCGCGTTAAAACGGAGTGTCGTTGAAAACAAAAGCAGGTCTCTGAAATTTCTGGATTTTTTTTCGGAAAACCCGAAATTTCATCCGAAAATGAGAAAAATGAAGTAAAACAGAGAATTTCCGAATTGTTAATAACAGCTGTGACCTTAAATTAGCGTTTTGCCGCCACGAGAAAGCACGCATTATTACACTTTTCTGTGAATTTCAGTCCGGCACCTCAAAAACTGAAAATTCTCAGTGATTTTTGCATTTTATGGTCCGTCTCTGTGCTCAAAATGACCGCCTTTGTCTGCTGAACAATCGCGAGGCAACTGTTTTTCGATTCTGTCAATTGTTTTCTCAAAACTTCCGAAAGTTTGTTTTTTCAAGCCAAATTTAAAAAACGAAATTATCATTCGAATTTTCACTTTGACACGAGCACTCTGTGATCATTTTGTAGCTATCGGTCATATGAACAAACGTGAGGCAAAAGTTTTCAAAGAAAAATGTGCATAATCCCAAAAACTCGGGAAAACATCGTTTTCAGTTAAAAAAAAGAATCCCGTAAATCGACACTGAGAGCCGCACGCAAAAAAGCGCGCGAAATTTTTTTTTCGCCGAAGGGGAAACAGAACCGAACGTCAAAATCTCATTCAGAACATTGGGAAGAATTCTGATCATCTGTAACTCGGTGGTTTGGTCGTTGAAACTCGTCGACTACCTGTCCGTGCAACAAGGACTCGGTCCCTACATCAATATTGTCGCCGAAATGATTCCGTCGATGATTCCCCTCTGCGTGCTCGTCTTCATCACCCTCTACTCGTTCGGACTTCTGCGCCAAAGTATCACGTATCCGTACGAGGATTGGCACTGGATTCTCGTCAGAAACATCTTCCTCCAGCCGTATTTTATGCTTTACGGAGAGGTCTATGCCGCTGAAATTGACACGTGCGGCGATGAGAGTGAGTGCATTTGCAAGAGCACCATAATAGTACAAAGCGACTTTCAGTCTGGCACGCGCATGAGGATGAGAACATTCCGATCAGTATGCTCAATGTTACTCGTGAGTTGTCCTTTTTTTTTCTGTTTCACTAGTCAAATTGAATGAACGGAACATTGTCCAGACGAGACGTGTGTGCCCGGGTACTGGATCGCCCCCGTCGGACTCACCGTCTTCATGCTCGCCACGAACGTCCTGCTGATGAACGTGATGGTGGCCGGATGCACGTACATCTTCGAGAAGCACATCGAATCGACGCGCGAGATTTTCCTATTCGAACGGTACGGACAAGTGATGGAGTACGAGTCGACGCCCTGGCTGCCGCCTCCGTTCACCATCATCTATCACATCATCTGGGTCATCAAGTTGGTCCGATTCTCGAGTCGAATGTTCGAACGGAAGAATCTTTTTGATCAGAGTTTGAGTGAGTTGAGAGTTCCGTTTCAGTGTTGTTTTTTTTCGTCTTTATCGTTTTTTTTACATCGCTGAATTGGGTTTTTTGACGTAAAAAACCGAACAAAAACCGAACAAAAAAACTAATTTTTTCACAGCCTGAATAAGTTCATGGCGGAACCGCTGCAAGTGCGCTCTATCGCACTTTCAGCTGGAAATTGAGAGCAAAACGTCTTTATCATTCAAAAGCTTCCTTTCAACGAACAATGTAATGTGTCAATTTGTGTAAAATTCCAGAATTATTCCTCTCGCCGGACGAAATGGAAAAAGTGCACACGTTCGAAGAGGAGAGTGTGGAGGACATGAAACGAGAAACAGAGAAAAAGAACCTGAGTTCGAACGACGAGCGGATCTACCGAACCGCCGAGCGAACCGATGCCATCCTCCACCGAGTCGCGCAGTTGACACAGATGGAGGTGACGCTGAAGGAGGAGATCCGCGAGTTGGAGCACAAGATCAAGAGCATTGACACGCGACACGTAAGTACAATAGGAGAACTTGATGATAGCTGGGATTTGCAGAAAGACCAAATGTCGGTGATGATGGAAATGAACAGGAAACTGTCGAAAGTGCTGAGCAAGTCGAAACGGGGCTCATTCGGCGGAAGCGGAAGCGATGGCGGAACATCGGAGCACAGTATCCTCGAGCAGAAGAACAGCCTGCCAGTGGTACCCGTTTCCCTCCACTCCTTTTCAACTTGGTCCCCTTTTTCAGATAACTGTCGACGGACCGACTCCGATTGGCTCTCGACGGACCTCTGGACAATATCTGAAGAGGGATTCGATTCATTCGAAGAAGAAGGCGATGGAGAATCGAAGAAATTCATTGGAGCACACGAAGAGTGTGCCGGCGATTCAGTTGGAGTTGCTCGAAGGTAATGAGCAACTCGGAGGACTAGACAATTTATGAGAATGTTCAGACAACGACGACTCGGCGGCCGAATCCGCCTTCGAAGAGGGAACCATCAGTATAGCGGTGCCGCAGATGAGGGTCCGACACGTGACGGAAAGCGACAAATCGGAGGATCTGTCGGAGGACGATCTCATCTCCCGCGAGGTCGCTCCGCCGCACAGCATCAAGTGAGTCCGAGCAGTTTTGAAAGTTCCAATAGGGGAAACTTTTGCAGTCTGCCACGTGGTCCCCGCCGTCACGCCCTCTATTCGACAATTGCTGATGCCATCGAGACGGACAACGATTTCTATGCGGTCTGTTTTGGTTTCGAGCACTTTTAATCGATTTCTGTTGCAGGATAGTCCGGTTCCGATGCCAATGACTCCGATCCAACCGGAAGATGGCTCGTATTTCGGAGAAAATGTGAGCGCAATCCCAGAAATTACAACTTTTTACTAAAGTGTCATTCAGTTTCAGGAGTCGATGAGAGGCGATGAGAGCGACTTCGAATAGGACGTATTTGAATACATTTTAGCGTTTTACTAGTAACAAATTTGTACATACTATTTATCAATAAATCAATCGGAAAGTTCTATTTGGAACTCTTTTTGCATTAATACAAGACGTTCCGACATTTTCTCGCTTTTCTGCCCTTTTTTGCTTCACATGTTCATAATTGAAGCGGAAAAAAGTTAAAAATGGGTCGCGCAAAGAAGGGTCACGCGGCCGGCCGCCCGTCGCCAACGCCGCCACGTTTCTCATTTTGCCGTTTCGTCACTCGAGAATGCGTCACCATCAATGGATAATCGCCATCGGAGCCCTCGGAGCCGTCGTCTGTGTGCTGTTATCGATCACACGTTTGGGTGAGATTCGGGAAATTTGGGTGACACGATTTGATCAGTTTTTTAGTTTTTTTTCTAGTTTTGAAGGCAAAAAAATCAAAGAAAACTCCAGTGCTGGGCAATTGGCCGATCCTTGACCAAGTGGTTTAAACGTTTAGGTCTAGGATAGGCCAATTGCCCAGCCCTGTTAAAACCATGCTTTTTGCAACAACAAAAAAAAACTAGATTGCGCGTGAAGCTGAGCGCAAGGTACGCAATTGCGCGTCTGGTGAGGTGAACGGTGAGTGCACCGTCAGTTGAATTTTTGGAAAAAATCTCAAAAAATTGATCGTTTTCCATTGAAATTTCGAGTTTTTCGCTCTTAAAATGGCCAAATGTTTTTTCGAAATATTAAAAAAGCTTAAAACTACAAATTAAATTTTCCTCTAAAAGTTCGCCTTCCAGCTTTTCCTCAATTCAGGTTTTCTCTTTTCAGGTAGTACTGGCAGCCGGGACACGCACAATCGAATCAAACGAAAAGTAAGATGGGAAAGTAAGTTCTCAAACGAATCGATAAGAGTCTAATAGTTGCATTAAAAACTAAATTTTTCTCATTAGACTCGAATTTGAATTGTCAGAGTTCTCATCATACATTCCGTAAATTTCAAACAGCACAAATTTTGAGCTATCTTCGAAGAAAACTGGAAACTGGCGACACTCGCGCACGTCTTGTACGTTCACCGCGGCTTCTTCTTGGGCGACACGAACTCGTCGCAAGTGGTCGATTGGACGTGGAAACTCGAAGGATCGAGACACTCCGGGTGGCCGTATGAAGTGTTCAATGCCCAATTCATCGAGGAGGCATCTTTCGAGTCGTTGAGCGACAAATTCCTCGAAACCGCCGATTTCATTGAGAATATGCCTTCGGGACCAAACGATACTCTGGATTACTGGGCTGTTTTCGTACCGGTTCGCATAATCAACGAAATCAATGAGGACGGCGAAAAAGTTATTATTGCCACTATGGACAAGATGAGCAATGTCAGCTACAGCGATATCAACAAAATGAAGACGGAGAACAACTGGACACTGATTGGCGAGGAAGTCGATGCCAGTTTACGTTGTCTGAACTCTCTCGATCAGCCCATGACCGCCGAGGCCCTAATTGAGCATGTTCGTTTGGAATGCGAGAATGTGAAACTCAACGAATCGACGATCGCCATTGTCAAAAAGGCAAATTCTACGATTCGCGACTTTGAAAATAATATTGGTAAGTTTGTATTGATACCCGGCGATCGGCCATGCGTAAATCGACGTGAATTTTTCGATGCCTTTCCAGAAAGCAGCGCGATTTCAACGAATTTGTTTCGTTTTTTGATGCATTCATATCTTTCACACCTAATTCACGATTTTCTTCATAAAACAAACAAAAATTCACTTAAATGAAGAAAATTGTGAGTTAGGTATGAAAATGGATGGAAATGCATTGAAAAACGAACAAAATTCGTTGAAATCGTGCTGTTTTCTGGAAAAGCATCGAAAAGTTAATGTAGATTTGCGCGTCTCTTCGTGTCGAGACCCGCGTGGTCGAGTGGCCTGGGATCAATAAAAATCGCTCTTATAGTTGACATTTTTCTTCATTTTCAGTGTCGATGATCTCCGTTGCCGAAACCTTCCTCAAATATCACGAAATGCGTTCGAACCTGACCAACATTCCTAAAGAAAGTATGCAGAAGGCAATCGTTCAAGTCAAAAACACGGCAGCCAAGTACAAAGTCATCAAAACGATTCTCTCGCAATGGGAATCGCTCAAAGGAGGGCATCTGGCGCTCTGTGTCGAAGAGTTTATCAACAAGATCGATGGTCGGACCACACTCCTCCGCAATCTAATTAACTACGACATCTTCTCGACGGTCGCCGACAACGACATATTTCTCTCGTCGATTCTCAACGCAGGAAATGGATTGGAGCTTCTGCTGACTGCGATCGAGCCGGTGAAGCCGTACATGGAGGAGATGCGTCGGCTCGAGAACCTGTTCAGAAAAGTCAGTGTCGAAAGGTACATCTACACGACCCTCCGTCAGTTCTCGAGATTCCTCCCGCCGGAAATGAAAGAACAAGAAAAGAGACTCGTGAACAATCTCAATCTGCTTGATTGTCTGGAGAATCCGATGTTTGTGGAGTATCCGGAAAAGGATGAAGTTGAAAAGTGGATCCAGAAGGGACGGGCGTTTGTCGATTGGGCTCAAAAGAATCAGAGCACGCAAATCAGCGATAACTCTTTTGCTAATTTGGATTTCTGGCCGGCTATTCGAGACGGATTCCTTGAAATTGTCGAACGGAGTCGAGCGAATAAAAGTGCGACACTAGTGGTTGAAGAGCTGAAAATGGCCAACAGAAAGATGCCTCTGGATCAGGTCAAGCAAGTGCTCACACTTGTCAAGAACTTCACGATGACCATCGAATACGACAACAAATATCAAGTGGAAAACGTGAAAAAAATATGGTCTGAGCTCAAAGCGTTCGGCGAGAAAGTCTACTCGAAGGGAATCATGGTGCCAGCCTGCAAAACGGTCATTTTCAATCCGGAAAGTTTTCACCGCTTCGCTGAAACCTACTCTACCTACCAGCAGTTCAAGAAAGAGAATCTGCAGGGTCCGCTGCGATCGTACGTCGAAAGGGCGCTCCGACCTCTGCAAATGGCTCAACGGGTCCTACGAAACCTCACGGACATCGCCACAAAACTACATGACCACGCGTTCAGCTACCCGATCTACGCGGACGAACTTTCCCTCCGACTCGAGCAAAACAAGGGATCGCTGGAGGACATTGCACAAGCGGCCCAACACTTCGATCGGTTACGCAAATATGTATACGAGGCGGAGAGCATCATGTTTCTCGTCAAGAACGCCGACGTCGTCATCGAAGAATCATTCAAAATTACCAGTAAGGATTTGGCGCCCTCGCGCATTCGGAAGGCATACGAAGAACTGATGACGAACGAGCAGAAATTGAGAAAGATGCTGGCGGATATAAAAGAACTGCATCGGATTGATCATGGTGGCGACTGGAGAAGCGTGGCGGATCTGTCGGTGGTCTACGTGAACGCCTCGATGATCGAAGGCGTCGAATTGAAAGGACTGTTTCCGGTGATGTCAATGTTCAGCGAGGACCAGATGATGGCGAACGCAACGCTGCATACAGCGAGACACTTGGCAGAGCGAGTGGGGAAGTTGGATATTGATTGGAAGGAGAGCAAGATGGCGATGCAGAGAGCAGCGGAGTCTTTGAAGCGGATCGAGGAGCCGATTGCGAGATTCTTCCGATTCTGCATCATCAAACCGGCCAAATACGTCTGGAAGTTGTGAGTTTGAACAAATACACGCTCACAATCATTTCCTCCATCTTTCAGCAACTTTGCCCACATCGCGTTCACATTCGTCGAGTACTTTTGTTACTTTTTCGCTGTCTACACGATCTACATTTACTGGACCAGAAATGACGGAATGCGGCCGCGAAAGAAGAAAACTGTGGACGAGCCGTTCTTTGTGGTCACCAAGGAGAACTGGGAGCACATTCCGCAGATGCTCCAAGAGGCGCGGCTTCCGATAAATCAGCGAGACGAGAACGGAAAAACGGCGTTGTTCCGAGCTGTGGAGGAGGACAACTACACGCTGGCGAAAATGCTGGCCGAACAGGGAGCGGCGATCAATGCGACGTGCGGTCCGACTGCCCGGACAGCTCTCCACGTGGCCGTGATCAACAAAAATCCGGAAATGGTCAACTTGCTCTTCAAGCACGGTGCCATGAGATATACGCTTGACACGAACGGGAAAACGCCGAAGAAGTACTGCTACAAAGGCATGGGGAGCAACCACATCGACGGACTCTTCGCCAAGTACAGGGACATTAAAGTGGACAGTGAGTCGGGCGATTCCCAATCGAGCACATTACCGTTTTACAGGAGTCATTCCGAAAGTACAGAGAGACTTCTACGTTCTGATTGTGGAACCAGAGAAGTTCGCTGAAGAGAACGTGGCTCTTCTGCCGGAACGCCTCGACGTCGTCTACGGATACCGCGAGTGGGAGGTGAACCTCGACGACTTCACGCACTTTGTGATCGATCCGCTGAAGGAGGGCAACAACGATTTGCACCTGGACTTTCTCTTCAAACTCCCGTTCTGGGAAATCCTGGCCAAGTAGGTCCGATTTGAAGAACATCTAAAATTCGTTGCTTTTAGGCCAGGAATGATTGTCTCTTCCGCGTGGCTCAATGCCTGTCTGGACGATCCGGCCGCTGTGGACGACGACTGGAAGTTCCAGCTCAAAGACATTTCGTTTGAAAAGTTTGTGCACAAGGATCGTGCGATTCTCTGCAAGAATGCCATCAACAGACTGGTGAGCTATTGTGAAGTTCTGAAATCTGGAAAATTTATTTGCAGAGACCGCCTCTTCTGGCCGGCGCCTCCATCCACACTTCGCCGACGGAGAAGTACCACTTCATCCGAGAGGACTGGGATCATTGGCAGCGAGTGATCGAGGCCTTCGGAGGCACGGTCGTCAAGGAGCCGCTGCCGTCGCACGAGGACGCCGTTCTCTACCACAACTTCTTCTCCGAGAGCTTTGCCGGCGCTCCGCTCTACCCGTCGATTGTGCTCATGTTCAAAGACTCGATTGTGAGTTGAAACGATAGAATTGTTGAAAAATGGGTGGTACAAGGAATGTTCTCATTCATAGCATTTCTCATTTATAGCAGTACTCATTCCTTTTACACCGAAACGATTATTTCTGTTGCAGATCTTCGAGAAATGGACGTATCCGGAGAACCACATAACGGTCGTCGGATGGGCGTGGCTTCCCGAGTCGATCGCCCGATATTCCCTGCTGCCGCCGGACCACGGAGTCTTCAGATACGAGCCGAAACCGTCGCAGCTCCATCAGATATTGGATCGAGGATCCAGATACAACTAGCTGGATTAATAGTTTTCTGTTATTGTAAATCTTTAGAGTGTAACTTCATATGTAGTAATAATTCCGTTTTTTTTAAATGCATAATCGAGTCTATTCGACTTTATTGTTTTGGATCTTTTCAGTGTCACTTCCCATGTTCCATAGTTGTAATCCCGTGCCATTGCCTATTCGGATTTTTCTTTTTCGTTAGAATCGCATTGTAATGTAGATCTCTATAGTGTTTATCTTCTCATGTACCATTGTTATAACAAGCTTTTTTTGTGGAAAATAGAAGTTCGTCCATTTTAAATGGAAACTGCCGTTTTCTTCCTCTTTTTGAATTTCTTCATTTGCATGTCGTCCGCTTACTGACAATTTTACGATTATGTAGTTACGTCAATGGAGTCGTTTGAAAGCTGTTTAAAAGGAAATGATGAAAATATTTACACTTCTTCCTCATTGCAGAGTTATCAACCGTCTATAAATGTCGGTTGATAAGAAAACGAGACGACTTCTACACTTTTCAAGTAGGATTTTTGTCCCCTCTCAACGTTTTTTTGTTTGCCGAGACCATGGGCAATAGCCATGAGTCATCGGAAAAGTCAACAAACTCGACTGTTTGATTTATCGCCCTCCATCACTTTTCTCGTTTCAGATCCTTCTCAAGCCTGGCAAGAAACGATGAAAACTTTGAGCTCTTCGACGTTTAGCTTTAGCATCTGGTTCAGTTTGCTGAAGGGCCTATCGGGAAGTCTGACGGAATTTGGTAGGGATTTTCGGAAAAACGCGCTCAATCATTCATTGCTTTTCAGACCCGAACGATTGTTACGAACCGGGAACGATATTTGAGGAAAACGAAAAGAATCTGGGATTCTGTCCGTGTAAATACGGATATTTTGGGCCGTTGTGCTTCGACATTTACGATTGTGTTATTGGCAATTTGCGAACAGACAAGTGAGTCTCAAAAAGAAAAGTTGCATACAAAAAGTTGTTGAGCGGAAAGGTGTTTCGACACAAACGTCATTGGAACTGATAAGAGAGGCAGCAAACAGAGCGCCTCAACACAAATTGACGAGTTTTGGGCTTAAAATGTCGTCAACATCACGGCGACCAAAAGTGTAAAAAGGGGCGTGGCCTAATCTGAGACGCGTTTTCTGAAAATTGCCGCAATTCCAGCACACTTTTCCGACATTTTTGTGTTTGATATCGACGAAAGAAGAGACATTAAAGAGAGAAAACATTGAAATTTTCGTGAAAATGCCGCGTTTGAGACGTTTTTGGCATCATTCGCAATAGGCTCTCAGCGGCCAATCGCTGCCGCAATTTCGGAATTTTCATACCGGCCCATCTGGATAATTTTGAGACGAAGTGAGTGTCGGAAGTGATTAAGCACGTTAATACAAGTATTTTAAGCGTTCAAACGGCAAAAAGTATCGGCGAATGACTGAAATTCGCGCATTTTCAGCACAAAACTTGAAAATCGATTCAATTGATTCATTCTCTGAATGAAACCTGCTCGTTTTAAGCTCAAAAAGTGCGCGATGATTAGTTTAACAAAGTTATTGTGCAATTACATCGTCGAAATCGTACAAAATTTAAGTAATTTTTGACGAAAAACATGAAAAATGGGGTTAAATTTCAAATTTCGCGCCAAAATGGTGATAAACCGTGCAGGCGCTAGGCCACGCCTCTTTTTACGTTTTTGGTCGCCGTGAACATGTGTTTTGAGAGAACTTCTTCATGGCGTTTGTTTAGAAAGAAACTTCGAAGCATAATTTAAGAGAGACACTTTCACAAACGCTCGCAGTAGATTCAGTCATCGGATTTCAGTTGTTCCCGTGACTATCAGAACGATTATGACCTCCAGTGGAGATGTGCGGCTTCCAAGAAGAACATTGTCAAGGTAAGTCGTTTTTTTCAGTCAAAGAAGCTACTAATAAGTGATATCGTTCACTTTTCATCGAGAACGACTGACACACACGTTCCCGCGAACTACTAGTTTTGTAGGCGTTTGTAGTTTAAATGAACGTCAGATTTGCACGTGCCCGGCAGGATTCAGAGGCGAAACTTGTGAGTATATTCTGGAAAACACTATCGAAACGTACTGGAAGACTGTCGAGCAGTCGCAGAAGTTCTTCGAGATTGTCTACAACAATTCGCATTCGGTCGTCCGGCTAGTGGGCACCAAAGTTTGCAGAACGGTACTTATCGCTTATGCTCAGGTTTCATACCACTTTTGGCAGATGAATCAATATCGTCGGATGATTATGATGATTATATTCATCGCAATCTTTATCGTTGTGTGGAAGCAGCACAAACGGAATATTAAGAGAGAAATGAAGTACAGAGAACTGAGGGATGCTCCGCCGAAATATGAGTGCTCTCCGAACAACCGGAAATTGGACATAATTGTGAACGGTTTTCCACTTTTGCTCTGCAACTTTTTGTTCAGGAAAGCGGAGAAATTGTGAAAGTGAAGATTCGAGAGCCGAAGGATTCCGACGCTTTCCACACTGTTTCGGAAGTTAAGCAAGAATCAGAAGAGGCGCAGAGACTTCACAAGCCTTGCCTTCACATTTAACTACTTGATTCGAGTCTGAAAACTTTTTTCCATTTTTCTTCTCACACGTTTCGAATTCCCGCGACAAGTCTTCGTTTATTAATAAAAGTCAGAGAGTCTGTGTTTTATTACTTCCGTCCGTATCTTCACTATTTCAACAATTCCTCTACGCACTACGCATAAATCGTGTACTTTTTCTCAATCAATGGTCCGTGTCCTTGCCTGCACGCGAAGATGGAGTCGGTCCCTTTCGCTTGTTGAGCAGTGCGGTTCCAGAGAGCATTCATTCATTCGGGAAAGTGTGAAGACTTCTCGTTCCCGGGAACGAGAAGTCTTCACACTTCTCGGGAAAGCGCTTCCCGGGAAGTTCTCTCATCACTTTTTCCGGCAATTCCCGGGAATTCAGTCTCGGGAGCTCACTCTGTGTGGAAGGACCTTTGCGAGATCAGCGATTGGATCTTGTACAAAATCATGTGCGAGGGATTGCCCGCCGTTTCAAACCCCGATCTTTTCTACTACGCCTGCTACAGACTTTGGCCGAACAAGGCAACGCAAGTGGACATGAGTGAGATGTCAGTTTCGGGTTAGGATTTGAGTTTACGAATGACCATTCTTCCAGATTTCCTCGATTGTGTGCTCAATACGACGTCGGCGGCGTCGACAACACTATCTTGGAGTCGTTCAAGCCGCGCGAGAGGAGGCCGATGAAACCGAGAGAGCACAATTTGAAGAACTACTTCTACAACAATCTTCCACTTCCCGCCGCCCACAGTGACAGTCATTGCTCGGAAGGTTGGCGGCTAATTCGGGTGCAAATGAACTGGAAATAATGCGATTCTCGATTTCAGAATCAAATTGATGAGAGAAGATAAGGACGAGGTGGAAGAGGAGAAGGATTCGGACGAGAAGGAGAATCAGGAGCCGAGAAAGTGATAGCTGGCTAACATTGTTTTTGTTTCGTTATGAATTGTATTTTCTTGCAGTTACCAAAGGTTTTGAAGTGTTCAACTGAAATCCTAGTCAAATTGTGTGTTCTCTGTCCAGAAAGCCCAAAAATACTTGCATAAGAAGCCCATCTTCATCACTTCCTCATTCCCCCCAAACTCCAAACTCTGATCGCTTCCGTCCGATTCTTGACGCCGTTTTGCCATCAAAAATCGTGTAGAGTCCGGAAGAAAGGCGAGTATTTCGGGTTGAAGACGACGGGAACACGTCAACTATACTCAAGGGGCACTTTTATTTTGTCACTTACTTTTTAGAGGCCAACCCGAATTTTGACGGGCAAAAGAGGGAAACAAGCGCGAAGATGGGCAGCGTACGACTTTTGTGTTTTTCGCCGTTTCTGGAAATGACGAGAATTTCGGGGTTTTTTTTTTAGCGAAACTTCAGTTTCAATTTCATATTCTTACTGTTTCATTTTACTTTGAAAGTTTTTGAAAACAAGATGAAAACGTTTCAGACTGACTTTCAGTCTTTTCCAGTTTCACAGAAACTGCTTTAAATTGTTCTGAAATTCTCCGAATCATCTCAAGGCATAGTTTTGCGGTATCTACACCGTAAACTGTGAAATCAGCGCAAAAGTACTAAACAAACTCTTTTCCGCCCGTGTTCCCATCTGTTCTCATGACCGAATTCGTTGTAATCCATTTGAAAAACCCGAAATGCTCGGGCTCTTTTCCCCGGGGATCATCGGAAGGTTATGATTTATTTCGCCTGGCGACTAACAACTTTTTTCCTCCTTTTTCACAATTCTATTCACTTTTCATTTCCTCTCTCTCTTTTTTCGCTTCACTTTTTTCGATGTGTCTAGCCTAGAATTGAGCAAAATTGAATGGTAAAAGTGAGAAATGTCATTCTGCTGTTTCACCCCGAACACTTCATTCCCAATTCTCTCCGCTCGCCCCAACCCGAACGTCTTCTAATCTGTTCGTTTTGCTCGTCATCGAACCGCTCGTAATTACTGCCCCCTTTCCTCATTTCCACTCCATTTTCTTCCTCTTTTTTTTTGTGACACTTGTTGCCGCGAACAAAGTTTTCCGGGAATTATTCCTTCTCTGCCCATCGATTTACCCCGTTTTTTCTTGGAATTCAGTCTCTGAACTGCTCGAGTTCGTCCGAAATTAGCATTTGTGTCGCATCATTTGACATTTCCAATAAAATTTGACTCGGCACGACGTTTTCCCTCTCTCCCAACTCTTGTCTTTACTGGGAACGACTTCTTCGGGGCGGTCCAGATCTTGCCACTAGTAGTACCATTTCTACTGTTTCGCCAAAACTTTGTCTGGAAATGACTCAGCAAGTATTTGTTCGTTTTGAAAGAAATGATGGCCCCGGGGGGATTGGGATTCGCAAAAGATAATACGTTTTTCGAGAGCAGAAAATATATTTCCACTCGTTTTTCGGTTTCACTTTTTCCCCATAAATCTGTCTTTTTTCCGTTCTTCTTCGGCATTCTGGATTTGTACTCTTTATCACTTTGGTATCGCGTTGTTGGAAAGAACGTGGCGGGAAAGGGGTCAGTGAGCAGGCAATCAAAGGAAACAAGTGGGGAGCGACGAATGAAAAATGAATAATAGCACGGAAGGGGGCGACTCGTGAATTATTGATGGAAGCTCTTTTCTTTGCGGACAAATGGGTCCGTTCTTTTTTAAAGTTTCATGTTGTAGGCATCTGATACTGTCTCCATTATTTCCTTCAACGGGTTGTACTGAACTCATTGTAATTATTACAGCCAGAGTTGAGCGGAATTCCGTCGGCCGTCTTCCGTTTTCCGTGTTCCGTAAAAAAAAATTTTGCGCGGGGAATAGTTTCCAAATTCTCAAAGTGTTTTCGGGCATCTTTGAAACCGCAGTTCTTCTGTTTCAAATTGTCGACATAAATCCATTCATTTTCTGGCGTCAAGTATAGAAAATGCAAGAAGGCCTAACTTTTCCGAATTTTTTCCTCTTTCCCGATCGAATTTCATCGTTTTGCATTCAATACTTGGCGCCAAAACAGACAAATATTGGGAAGGGAACTGGACTGGAAAGTTGAATTTCCAAGGGGTCTCAATTTCCGTTTTTCAGATATCCTTCCGTCTCTTTTCCGTCTTTATCTAGCGGAAAATAAAGGGCAGAGAACGTTTTTTTTTTGCAAATTTTTTCGGTTTCTCAGAAATCCTTCAGAAATTGTCTATTTTCATGGAAAAGGTGGGGACTATAGCGCGAAGATATTAATTTTCTCGATCACAAGTGTCAATATTTAGGGACGCTTTGAAACAGAAACGTTTTTTACAAAAATCCTGTACGCTTTTGATCGATTGGTAACTTTTTTGCAATTTTTTGTGGTACGAGGTACCAAAATGTGAAAGCTAGTAAATTTACAGTGTTCTGTGTGAAATATCTTGAATAAAAAGGGTCTAGCTTCGATATCTGAAGTTTGCTTTTTGAAACTGAAAACTTTTATCACCACCGTTTTACTCACTCGATAAATCTTCTCTGATTCTCTCATTTCACCACCACAATCGTACCACAAATGTTCCAGAATCCGATGATGTCCTCCCTGCAAACGTTCGCCCAACCGACGTCTTCCGGAGGCATCCAACTCGTCGTCGTGGTCAGTTTCCCTTCTTTTTCTCCTATTAATATTGTTGTTCCTCACTTCTGCACATCACACGTCTCTTCTTGTTTTCATTTTCATGTCACGCACTTCTCGAATCGAACTTGAACTTTGCCGATTCTTTGTAAAACCCTTTTCTGCGTATAACAATCTAAAAGTCTCGCTGAAGATGTACTGGTGATGAAACGGAACTTTCATCTTTTCTTCTCTACTTTCTACTCGGTTTCTGGCTTCTTTTCCCAGTTTTCCAACTCAAAAAAGTGATCAACTTCCTTTTCCTCCTTCTCCTTTTTGGTTGGACTGGAAATGAAAGGTATTTCCGGTTTTTAAAAGGATTACTGATGCGATGGCTCATTCGAACGGAAATTATCTAGAAGACTTGAACTTTTGACCCATTTGCAATGATCCGATCGGACCCAGACTTTGCAGACGTCTTGCACACGGATTGGAGTATGCTGGGGCCGAGTTTCAGACCGATCCGATCACCCGGTCCCGAGATATGTGGATCAGAGGCCGGAAAGACACTTTGATCACTTTTTCTGCCTCTTCACGTCTAACTCTGAACATTTTATCGTTTTTTGCTCGAAAAACGTCAATTTGCAAGACGGAAATCCCGAAATAAATCGGAAATCGCCCGTAATCCTCAAATATCTTCCACCCCCTCAATTCCTTCCTCTTTCCTCTTTTCCTTCTCTGGGTATTAGCCATTTTGGGCTAGAAATTGTAATGGTTAAGTCTACAACCAGTGTTTTGATTAATTCAAGTGAACTATTGAAAAGTTGGTGAGACAGTGAATGTTCGAGATTCGAAAGGCGATCTTGCGGTGAAAAAGTTTCGTTTCGAGTTGTTTTCATATCAAATACTGTAGAATCTTTCTTACAAACACAATAGTCGTCAGTCAGTCTGTCCTTTTGGATGTCCTCTGAGCGCAACAGAAAAAAAAATGGGCCGGGCAAAAAACCGAGCATCATCAAAATGTTTGGTTTTTTGGTTTGTTCCGCCCATTCCATTCATTTCATCATCAAAAAAAAAATGTTTTTCACCGATTGATTTGAAAGTGCAATTTGTTTTCAGTGTTTCGGCGGCGCAATTTCATTTGGGGAAACTCTGGTATTGTCAGTTTCTTCAATGATCCCTATTGTACCGTTCTAAGCACTTTTTCGGTTTTACTCTCAAGATAAAATATCAGAAAAAGGCTCCAGTTTTTTATTGCCCACATATAATCATTCCAGTTTCAAAAAGCGCTTACAATTTTCCACACTTCTCGCCAACGCTCAACTCTAATATTGTCGATTTTGTCGGTTTGCACTCGAACTCGAATCCAATCAAACTTCTTCTTCTTCCTCTTCTTCTTCTTCTTCTCCTCAAGTGCTCCCCCTTTCCCGTTTCAAGATTTTTGATCGTTTCCCGAAAGATTACTCCATTTTTGACAGGAAAATCCAAAGATTTGGGTGTCGAATTTCCGGAAAACCCTCGCAAAGAATCTTTCTCATTTTTGGTCGATGAACACAAAAATCATTTTGTTTTTCGCTATTTTTAGACGCTTTTGACGGAGCGGTGCAAAAATTGAGCCCATTCGGCGGGGCTCAATGTATTTTTCATACTGTTTCACGGACTTTTGTTCTAGAACTTTCCATTCCTAACCGAGACTTTCATTCTCCGTCAAAAGCCTCATAAAAACTTGCAAAAACTCGACTCGACTCGTTTCGTTCTTTCCTCTCTTCCCTTTTGGCTCCTCTATTCAATTCGCCCTCTTCCTCCTCCCGCTATCATCCGTTTCTCTCTCTCCCTTTTTGGCCCAAAAATGTATTCAGTGACCTCACACAATCCATTGGGGAGTTCTCTCTCCAGAATGCTCCAAAAAAGAAAGAAAGAGGCGGGAATCCAATTTCCGATCGGCAAAAAGGTTCCATTTTGGTAATTTGCATTGCACTCGAGAGACTAATCCAATTTCCGCTTTTCTTCTCACTTTTTCTGTTTTACTGGTCCCACTTTACACTTCCTTTGTGAAACCGAAAAATGCATTTTCGCTTGATCAGCGAACCTCGTAAAGGGTAACTTTTTCTTGTTCATAAGCAAATGTGCACCCTTACCAGCTTTTTCTATGAAAATCTGGGAATCTGTTTCATTTTCCTCACAAATTAGTGTCAGTGAAGATTTGTACAGTTAATATTAGAAAAGCTGCGTTCGCATTTGCTGGAAGAGCACAATATCAGTGTCATCGGCTTCATTGCCTCTTCCCGCTATTACACTTTCCTGATATTGTCCTTTCTTTGGAGATAATCGACAGCTATGTGTTTTGTGTTTCAAATCGGTGTGATCAGAGTCTCGCAGACATTTCCCTTTTATTAGATCTCCTGTCGTTTTATAATTCTTTTTCTTGCTCCCTCTCCCTCTTCCTCTTCCTCTTCTTCTTCTTCTTCCTCTTCCTTCCCATTTCTCATTAATCACCGCCCGTTCGTTTCCCCATTATTTATGCATGTCTTCCGTGTTTCTGCTGCTCGCAAAAAAAACAAAGAAATAATCATTTCTCTCCCCCGTTTTCCTCTCTCTCTCTCTCTTCTTCTTCGTGAAGATTATGCAGTGACTCATTTGTTTTCCGGCACCAAATTCTTGCTTTTCGGTATTTTTTCTGTTTCGAAAAGTACAAAAATAGGGTCCTGTTTTCAATTCTAGTACTACAAACTAAGTTGGAAATGTTTAGGATAAATTTGAGTGAATCAAATGGAAATAACACAGTTCCATAGTGTCGTGAAGGCTGGTCGTTAAATGGAAATCTAATCAGCCAAATGTTCGTTTTCGCCACTTTTTTCCTCTTGAACTCCATTTCCATTCCGTCTGCCGATGAATTTCAACAATAGAAGCCATATCGCTTCCGAAATTGGCGTCTGGCCTGAAATTTGATACTTTGAACTCAAATTGATGCACTAAAGACCGCCCGTTTCACGAGCTTCATTTCTAGGTGGAAAACGCCGGATTTCTGTTTGGAGAATGTGCATTTGAGACTGTTTCACTGTTTCCATGAGTTTTTGAGTCATTTTCAGAGCACTCTAGATTCTGCGGACGCATTCGGAACCGGAAAAAAAACTTTTTCTGTTTCTGATTCTTCCCACTTCGGGTTCACTTTGTCAATTTCGTTGTCACTTTTGTTTGCACGCATAACCAGACCCCGAAAATCTTGGAAATCCCTTTTCCCGTCGTTTAGAGGTGCTCCGTGTCATTTTTCATGTTTTCCCATAAAGCCAACAATTTTATCGTTTTTGCTTCGTTGAAAGTAGGAAAAAATAAAATGTTCATGCATTTTTTGTTACAAAGACCATAGATTTCCAGAATTGAAACCAGCAATTGAAAAAACGAGCCTAGAGAACTTCAATTCAAAGGTTATTTTAATACAAGTCGTGTGGCCGAAGGTTTTTCTAGGCCACGACCACTATTGAGACTAAAAGAAATATATAATCGGAGAACGCTTTTAAACAAAATATACTTCTTGACAATCTGAAACTGTAACAGTTGGGAAAAATGTCAAAAGATCAAGTTTACCCACTTTATTTCTGTTCCAGAAAGCGCTCAAGTGTGTATTGTTTATGCCATCCTCACTCATTTTATTTCGGTTTGCGTTCCATCGTATCTCAACTGTCTGTGAAGATATGAAAAAGTGGTCAACGAAGAAAATGTGCACAATTTCATATCGATCATTTTATAAGTTGACAACTTTTTGATATCTCAGCCCACAGCTGAGATATAATGGTTTGAATGTACGACAATATCAGAGAATTGGACGATTGTAAAAGTTCTGAAACGGAGAATGTTTTCTTAAATGTACCAAATCATTTCCCTCGAGCTCTTCTCCTCCTTTTTCTAGCCCAGGAACTCGCATTCCCATCTTTCTTTATCCAATTTGTGTGCCCGTCCTTCATTCCTCGTCATCCGTTCCTCTCTACTTTTCGCCGCTTTTCGCCGCATCACAGAACATCAAAAAGCCAGAGAATCTTCGGGAGAAAATGCGCATGGCCCTGGGGCGCTCGAAAACAAAGAATGCTCCCACACTCTTGCTCGCAGATTTTCATAATTAGTTAGGCACGCAAACAATACAAAACTTCCGCTTCCCCCCCTTTTTTTTCATTTCGAATTCTGATGCACTTGGACTCGTTTCCAATCATTTTCAATGTTGCAGATGCCCGACGGAAACGAGCTCACCGAGAAGCGATTTCGATGCTTTTGCGGCATTTGTCACGTGGTGGTGAGTCCAAAGAATGCGTGGTGGTGGCCGAGTCGTTTTCTAGGCCACGGCCACCTCTTTTCATCACATCAAAGTGCTAATTACTTATGTTGACGATCTGAAACTGGAAGTACAAGAATTGTGTGTCTTTTTTGATTGTAGTTGAAAACTAGAAAGTTTTTATTTAAAAAAAACCGAAAACGTTGAGTTTAGCACTTGATTGTTGGCTTTCGAAACACATTTCTCAGTTTCAAAAATCATGTTCACAGCATAATTTCAAAGTTTAACACATGTGCTTCAAAAAAAGGCCCACGGAACTTGAAATTGGCTTTCATTTTTTCATTACTGTCTTGTATTTACTACAGCATCACATTTTCAATTATAAAAACGATTGGATGAAACGGCAGTTTCACAATCGGCATAGAATGAGTCCAAATAGTATAGAAACTCCAATTTCGTAGCCAGAAAATTTTATTTTATTATTAATAGTAAGTGATCTCAACTGTCAGCATTATTACACATCCCCCGGTACACTTTGCGGGCCTTGAATAACAGTGATTTCTTGCAGACGGGCACCCAATTGTGTCTCATCTGGTACATCCTCACCTCGGGCCTCTCTCTGTTCTTCGGAATGCGCTCCACGTGCACGTGGCTCATCGTTCCGATCTGTGTCGTCGGCCTCGGAATGTACGCGTTCTACTCGAAGCGCCACAAGTTCCTCTACCCGTTTCTGATCATCACCGTCGTGCAGCAGCTCGTCTGCATGCTCATGGCCACCATCATCACCATCTTTTCGCTGTGCAGTTTCGACACGATGCGACAGATTATCGGTTCGTTTTCGTCGTCTTTTCGGGTATAGAACTTGAAGAATCTTTTAGGCCACACCCTGGACATGGCCCATTCGCCCTCGAGAAGCCTGGCTCTTTTTGTGGTGTGTGGGACCGTTTCCGCGTGCATTCTACTCTCATTCATACACGTCTGGCAGGCGATCATCATTTACACGTAAGACAAATTGACATGAAAATTAGTTGAAAGATCGCACGGCGACCAAAAGTGTAGAAAGGGGCGTGGCCTAATCTGAGACGCGTTTTCTGAAAATTGCCACAATTCCAGCACTTTTCTGTTGATTTTGTGTTTGATATCGACGAAAGAAGAGACATTAAAGAGAGAAAACATTGAAATTTTCGTGAAAACGCCGCGTTTGAGACGTTTTTGGCATCATTCGCAATACACCCTTCGCGGCCAAGTATTTTAAGCGTTCAAACGGCAAAAAGTATCGACGAATGACTGAAATTCGCGCATTTTCAGCACAAAACTTGAAAATCGATTCAATTGATTTATTCTCTGAATGAAACTTGAAAAATGGGGTTAAATTTTGAATTTCGCGCCAAAATGGTGATAAACCGTGCAGGATAGGCCACGCCCCTTTCTACTACGTTTTTGGTCGCCGCAAAAAGAGGTAAAATTGCGGAAAATCATTTCGAAATCACTTGAGAACGCGTTGAAACTGATCAACCGGTAGAAAGAACAACCGCACTTCCAATAACCCCTAGAAACCCGGTTTGCGCGAAACGGTAATCACGTGTTGCAGGTGTCTCGAGTACTACGAGGACGAATACCGTAAACTGGAGGAGGGATACTGTCTGGAGACGTCGCGATTGGACGCCACCGACTACGACGACAGCAGGAGCAGATGCACGCCCGACCCGCCGTTTCAGCAGAGAATCGAGAACCGATTCCCCGTTGTTTGACACGTTTTCACTTGTTTTTTTTTTTGGATTCATGATGATGATATCACCTCGGGTTCGAGTCTTCACACTTTCCTTTCGGTCAAATCAATGCTTCAATAAACTTGTTTTCTTTTCTTCCATCTAGTCTCAAAATAGGACACTAAAAATTCAATGGAAACCGGAAAGTACAAGTACCAAAGTGGGTTCATGTCTAATGGTTTAATTTTTAACGTTTCAAAGCTTCATAAACCTACAATATTCACAATTTGCCAGCCAAATTCAAAAACTCCCCGACGGCGCTGTCAAAAGTGAGTTTACAACGCCCACCTCCGGCCGTAAAGTGCGTGGTCCCTCGAAAAGAGGAGAGAAATCCACCTTTGACCACATTCTCACTTCCGCAGCACTTTATGATTCTCCCAGCTATGAATTCATCATTTTTCTTCTCCCTCTCCCATGAAATTACCAAGAAAATACTGTAGTAGAAAGTACCATTCATTCAAAACAAAATATTTCAGTTGCCTGAAGAGATATCAAAAAGTTGTCAACTGATAAATTGTTCATGAAGAAATTCTACACATTTTATCAGTTGACAACTTTTAAAAATCTTTAGCGACAGTTGAGATACATCGTTTTGAATAGACGGTATTACAGAGTTTGTGAAATGCAATGTGTTATTGTTGTTCTCTTCCTAGCCTCCTGAAACTGTAATTTACCGTACTGAAAATAACAGAATTTCATTGTTCAACCGCTCAAAATGCTTTTATTTCCATTTCCGGCACTTTTCTTGTCTGAAAAGCGTTCAGCTCGGCCCAAATGAGACATTCAAGTTTTCAGGGCCGGAAAAGACGGCAATTCAAAATTTAAACCAGTATTTTCAAATCTAAAGTCTCTTTTCCGAATCGCCCGGAGATCCCACCTCGCGGATCTTCGGGTTCTCAGGGACCACACACGTCATAAACGTTTGTGGAGATGTGCGTGGGCGGACCGAATGGGGACACTTCCGGACCGATCATTCCATTTCTTTCCGTTTCCAGTTCTTCCTATTGGTTCTTCGTTTGCTATCCTCTGTGCTATTCAAACGTGGTTCCTTGAGTTTTTGTTTCTAGGCAAGCGCAATGGATTCGACCCGTATCGTCATGGAAACAACGTATCTCGAGGAGGAGGATGCCGATTCTAGGGATTCTGGTGAGTATGTTATCCGCCTGTAGAGATATCAAAAAGCGGTCAACTGGCTAAATTTACAAAAGTTCTTTATGAGCATTTTATCAGTTGACAACTTTTTGATATCTCTACCCACAGCTGAGTTACAACGTTTTGAATTAACAATATTTTTGATATATTTGTTCCAGGCATCTCGATGACTTCAACTTCATCCGCCGACTTGCCCACCGACTTTTCCGCAATGGAAATGGAGCAGAGCATCTCGTTCAAACGGAAGAGAACTTTCTCCTTTTCAACTGTTTCGGGTGCAAAACGGCCTAGAATTGAGGATTCTTGTGAACAGGTTGTTCGAGGAGAATTGGGCGCTCAGAATGCTTTGGATATGCTGAAAGTGGTGAGAAGAAAAAGGATAATGTAAAGACTAGATATGTAGGGATTTAGTGGAGCAGTTGGAACAGCTGCTTTTATGGGGTTATTCAGCACAAGCCTAAGAGACAATTTCCAGAAGTACACCCTTCCATCGGCCGTCCGTCCTCAGAAGAACTCGTCCGCCTACCGGAGCATCAGTCCGCAGACGATCCTCTCGGAGATGCGACGTCTCGGAGCGGCTTTCTCGGATCGGTACGCCCTTTACGACTGCCGATATCCGTACGAGTACGCGGGCGGACACCTCCGCGGAGCCGTCAATCTGTACAAGAAGTCGGACATCCGAATGGAGTTCTTTGATGAGCGGAAGCCAAAGAGAATTCCGATCTTCTACTGTGAATTCAGTCAGAAGAGGGGACCGAGCATGTAAGAAGGGGACCAGATCCAGTGGGACCATCTCCATCAACTTTTCAGGGCCAACGCAGTGCGCTCGATCGACCGGGTCCGCAACGAACACAACTATCCGCACCTCGAGCATCCGGAGATGTACCTGCTCGACAGAGGCTACAAGAACCTGTGGGACCAGCCGGAATGCCGCGAGATCTGTGCAGAACCCATCGGTTATCTCCCGATGGCACACGAGGACCACACTGAAGAGTACCGAACCGCCCGTTTCGAACGACATCGCTCCAGTGAAATGGTCAAATCGAATGGCGAAGTGGAGGTGGAAGAGAGGATCCGATCGATTCGGCATCGGAGCAGTGTGCGGGCGAGGAGCACTGTGTTTCGGGTGAGTGTTTGGTGAGGCATCGACAGTATAATCCATGTTTTTCAGCTAAACTCCATGTTTTCCGGCTCGCTGAGCCCTGCTTCCAAGGAAATTCTTGAAAAGAGCTTTCGAAGATGACTTTCGTCCGAAAATTCTATTCTATGAGTATTAATAAACTTTTATCGCAAGGTTTTTTTTTCAGTTTCTTCGAAGAGTACGGTAGTTGTTTAAAGGCGCAGCACGCGAAACGAGTCAACGTGCACGAATACCGATAATATTCGAAAAGGTCCTTCCCAAGTACCCCCTCCCACTGAGACCCACCTGTAATAAGGTAATGAGGGGGGCTCTTCTGGCCGAGAAAATCCTCGGCCAGCCATCTGATCCGCCAATATCGACTGAGCTATGAGTCCATTTATCTATTCCTTTCTCCTTTTATTCGTCTTTTTTTCAGTATTTTCTGCAGTAATGGCTGACTTTGGCGTCTTCATCAACGACGAGGAGGATTCGAGAGATTCTGGTGAGCTTTTCTGATCTGAAAGGGACCAAACATGCATTTCAGGCGTCTCAACGAGCGGATCCACTTGTGCTGCCGAAACGGACGGCGCCACGTCGGAAAAGAGGTGCTCTTCTTTGACGGCTCTTTCAAATTCGGCCGTCAACTGTTTGGCGAACGGGCGACGGCAGAGGGGTTTTGAGGAGGAAAGAGAGGCGGAGCTTGTTGAATTGGTGTGGAAGAAGGCGCCGGAGAGTGGTAGTCCGGCCCGGAACGAAGTGGTGAGAAAAAGAAAACAATCTTAAGAGTATATTGCTCTACATCAATCCGAACACTTTGAATTGCAGACCTACTCGCTGCCGTCGGTGGCCGACCCCAAAAAAGTGTCGCTGGCCTACCGGAGCATCAGTCCGCAGACGATCCTCTCGGAGATGCGACGTCTCGGAGCGGCTTTCTCGGATCGGTACGCCCTTTACGACTGCCGATATCCGTACGAGTACGCGGGCGGACACCTCCGCGGAGCCGTCAATCTGTACAAGAAGTCGGACATCCGAATGGAGTTCTTTGATGCACAAAAGCCAAAGAGAATTCCGATCTTCTACTGTGAATTCAGTCAGAAAAGGGGACCGAGCATGTAAGAAGGGGGCCAGATCCAGTGGGACCATCTCCATCAACTTTTCAGGGCCAACGCAGTGCGCTCGATCGACCGGGTCCGCAACGAACACAACTATCCGCACCTCGAGCATCCGGAGATGTACCTGCTCGACAGAGGCTACAAGAACCTGTGGGACCAGCCGGAATGCCGCGAGATCTGTGCAGAACCCATCGGTTATCTCCCGATGGCACACGAGGACCACACTGAAGAGTACCGTACCGCCCGTTTGGAACGACATCGCTCCAGTGAAATGGTCAAATCGAATGGCGAAGTGGAGGAGCAGGAGGAGACGGACGAGAAGTTGATGCGGATTCAGGCAAAGAAGACGCTGTGTAGGGTTAGTTTTGGGTCGTTTCTTACTATTTCGTTAAACCAGAAATCAATACTGAAATCCCAAAAGATTGCAGACAAAACCCCGGTTTCCACGGTCCTCATCAGTTTCGTTGAGCCCCAATTCAAGAGGAATTCTATTGAAGGCGTTCAAATCCGAACAATTCTAGCATCTTCATTATCATTCCCTGTACATATTTCACTTTTAATAAACGTTTGTTTTTTCGCTTTTTCACAATGAACACAAAGTTCTCGATGGAGTGCAACTTTCAATGCTTTCTGGGAAAAATTATTGGAAAAAAAGAAAAAAAATACCGTTTCCAACGAACAAATACAAATCGCTTTACAAAACAATTAACGATTACTGTTTCTTAATGTAAATGAGTAAAAGTCAAGAGAATGATAAAGGATGAACTGTTTTTGCACGAAAAGTTGCTTAAATTACTTTTCGAGCATCGGAAAGGTTGCCCATTTTCCGAAGTTTATCAAATTTTACAGTTTCCGATCTTGCATAACACTTCCTTGGGTATTCCCAAGACTGCTCCTTCCAGTTGAACGGATCGGGACCAAATTCGACGAAACCCTTCAGGACCGTGTGGTTTGGTAGTCAATTTCGGGCGAGGAAATTTTGTGATTTTGTGCGTATAATTTTGTGATTGTGAATATAAAAAAAGCAGTGAGAACTTAAACGTTTTCCAACCATGCACATCCGTGTTCTCCACTAGTATTTGAGAAATAAAACAAAATAGTTCTGCGTTCGGGGGGAATCGAACCCCCGTCGAATGCTTGGAAGGCATCCATGCTGACCATTACACCACGAACGCGGCGATCGAAACGGGTCCAGGCGTCAGTGACAAGAGGGGCTGGGCAGGCTACAGACGGGTTGTTTTGTATAGATGAATAGGGGATATCATCTCTTTTGTCCCCCGAATCGGATAATATCGGATATGCGAGCGTTCGTGGTGTAATGGTCAGCATGGATGCCTTCCAAGCATTCGACGGGGGTTCGATTCCCCCCGAACGCAGATACATTTTGATTTATTTTAATTAGGTACCGCAACGTGTTTCGCAAAACTCCGAAATTCCATAAAATTCTTGTTGGAATGTGTTCCCCTACTCTATATGAGTACGCTCCCAATTTTTTTCTCCAAAATTTTCGGTGTGTCTAGCAGAGATGTTGGGAATTCCGTGTTCCGTGTTCCGTGTTCCGTGTTCCGCGTTTTTTTCAATATTTTTTCCGCGTTCCGTGTTCCGTAAAAAAAAAATGTTCCGTCTTCCGTGTTCCGTGTTCCGTAGAGTAAAAATTTTATTCTCAACATCTCTGGTGTCTAGAGCTCTGAAAATTCATATTTGGGTTCTCAGAGAGTGTGTATCTATAGATTCCGAAAATAAAAAAAAGGGGTCATCGCTGAAAATTTTCCGCTAACTTTTCTGGCAGTTTGAGAATCTGCAAAAAATTTCGGCAACGTGGGAATCAAAATCTGACTTCAAAAACGGATTCCCCATCCCTTAAACTATCGGAATCACTTGAGAATAGGCGTGTGATCCCATAAACTTGGCCACACAGGCTCTCAGACTGACTTCCATTTTCGTTTTCGCCGTTTTTTGGAAAAACGGTGCGTTTTCACGGGAAACTGAGTTGTTCATTGGATTCAGCATGGTCGATTACATTAACATTGTAAGTAAAACTTTTTGGGTATGGTACAGAGATGTTGGGAATAAAAATTTTACTCTACGGAACACGGAACACGGAAAACGGAAAATTTTTTTTTTTACGGAACACGGAACACGGAACACGGAAATTTTTTTTTTACGGAACACGGAACACGGAAAACGGAAAAAAACTTATTTCTACGGAACACGGAACACGGAACACGGAAATTTTTTTACGGAACACGGAAAAAAGCGTTTTCAAGAGAATTCCAGTGATTTTTTTAAAGATAATGTTTTGTTTAATTCGATTATCTGACTGACAAGGCAGCTGTTTGACTCATGTGAAAGTTTTACTGAAAATTTCATAAAAATAACAAAACCAACAACACAACAGTAAACATCTACAGTAAAAAAACGACTGAAAATTGAATCCACTTTTCACGAATATGGTCCGAATCCGAAAATTTTCAAATTTTGACCACAAAACGTCAACTGTCCTAATCAAAATAATAATGAAAAAAATAAAATTTTTGATCGAATTTTTCCGCGGAAAACATAGTTTATACGGAACACGGAACACGGAAAACGGAAAAAAACTTATTTCTACGGAACACGGAACACGGAACACGGAAATTTTTACGGAACACGGAACACGGAAAAAATATTGCAAAAAAACGCGGAACACGGAACACGGAACACGGAACACGGAATTCCCAACATCTCTGGTATGGTACTTCATTTGGGGACCTCGGTACAGACCATCAAACACGCGACCGCGAAAATCAGGAGAAAATTCGTCAGGCCACGCTCCCTTTGTTGCGCCCCCTAATTTTAATGTTAAAATTATGCACATTTCTTATTCAGCTTTTAGATGCTTTTTCATTGATGTTTCAAAGTATTTCGCTTGTATCCTCTCACTCGAAACACAAACAAAAAGTGAATTCGTAACTCCTCCGTCAGCACTCTAGTTTATTGATAACAACCGACGACACTATGGACAGGAAAAATGATGCCCGGAGGTCGTAAATTTGCACAATTTGCCTTTAAAGCCCGTTTTTGGGTGGGGCAGTTTCAGCAGAAGGATGTACTGTTTCAAGGAGGACACTTTCAGAAGGGAAACAATGATTAATGTTAATAGCCCGATTGCCCACTCTTTTTGCAGATTCATTTATTCGAAGACGTTCTCATGGAATGTACGGTACGAGAAAGATCTGGAATTTCTTCATACTGGAACTGTCCGAACAACATCAGCGTTTCGGTACTTGTTGAAACGTGTAAATCGTGCTGACACTATTTTAGCAGTTACCGTTTCAAAAATTCCTAAAACTGATAAAGTTTTGATTGGTAATCGTTGCGATTTATGTACCGCGCTAACGGGGAAAAACAACTGTTGTGAAATGGAACTCGCTGGTTTTTTGCCGCCAAAACCGTGCCTATCTGTCATAACAGTTCTATTCCGTTCATTTATGATCTTCTTGGCCCAAGAGAATTTCTAAACTTCTCAAATTATGGTTGTCAAGTCAACTGATGTCAAATTATGAAATTTGACTTCATAGACTTTCTGTAACACAAATGTGATGAATACATTTTCAACATTGGTCGCATTGCAACTTTGTGAGAAGTAAGACAGGTATCAACTTTGTCTCAACTCATTTTAGGTACGAAAAAGTTGTTTTAGTTTGTGCCTGCGTACTTTTGAACCCTTTTGGACATTCAAAGAACAAAATCATGCCATCGAAAGCGGAAAACCGGCGAGTCAGGTGCAGTCGGTCAAAAAAGGATCGTAAAATTATTATCAAATTGTGCTTCTCTCTCTCTCTCTCTGTCTCAATTTTTATGAATTCGCGACTTCTGTTTCGATAACAGACCGGAGAAGTGTGCATTTCTATTTTGGGAATACTTTTCCGGGATGACTTACAATTACCACTACGATTTGGCCACTTCACAACGAAAAGTGAGTTGATTTTCGATGGATCCACTCCAGAATCATATTGTTTCTCAAATTTTCACTTAACAAAAAAAAGAAAAAGAAGTTTCGTCTCGTCGGGGATTGAACCAGAACCGACAGATTGTAGGGCAAAAGCAAAACCCTTGCTCCACGCGTGCATCCTTGGCGACATGGCCTCCAGGGCGTACACATTCCGGCGGGTTCCCACCAGAGCCGGAAGGTGTCGTTCAGAGTTGAGCGGAAATGGAATTTTGAAATCCGGAAGACGGTAGACGGCAGACGGAAGAACATTTTTTTACGGAACACGGAAAACGGAAGACGGAAGAAAATTTTTCTCACGGAAGACGGCAGACGGAAGACGGAACAAAAAAATCGACGGAAGACGGAATTCCGCTCAACACTGGTGTCATTGTTGTGGTCGTTCACGTGAAGCCTTCAAAATCAACCGATTCGCACCAAATTTCATGGACTTTATCTCGACATCCTAGAGGGTCCCTTCTCCAAGTTTGGTCCCAATCGGTTCCCTAGAAACCGAGAAAATTTCACATTAATAAAAAAAGTTATGGGCTTGCAATTGGGTTGTCTCTAATTACCACGTCTTGTTTTCACTTTCTTTAGGTAATTCTGAAGCTTCTGTTCAAGTGGAAAGGTTCGATTTGGAAGGCAGTTTATCAGTGAGCTTTTGACGACTTTCTCCCCATTCTCACTACTTTTTTCGATCATTTGCTCTGCAAACTACGACAAAATGCGCAACAATTTCCAGAGATTTGCTCATATGGTGCTTCTGCTACGCGATAATCTCGGTCCTCTATCGCTATGCACTGGACCGCGAGCAACAAGAGTAAGCGGCCGACGCACTCGCGCCGGCGACACAAAACTCGCGTTTTACAGCACTTTCGAGCGGTTTATGACGTTCTGCAACCGACGTCTCGACTACATTCCCATCAATTTCATGCTCGGATTCTTTGTGACGACGGTCATCAACCGATGGATGACTCAGTTTGCCAATTTGGGAATGATTGACAAGTGGGTCCACTCTTTTCTTCTCTTTTTCCACGTGTTTTCGATCGATGACTCGTTCAGTATTGCGCTTTTCACCTCAATGTACGTGTCCGGCAACGATGAACGTGGACGGCTCCTGAGAAGGAGTATTGTCAGGTTAGTTAGGGACACGTAAAAACTAACAATATTCTTTGATGTTTTGAAGGTTTTGCGTAATGTCGCAGACGATGGTCTTCCGTGACATTCATATCGGAGTCCGAAAGCGGTTCCCGACTTTGGAAACGATGGTAGCCGCCGGCATAATGACTTCTGCCGAGCTGAAAAAGTTTAACGAGGTCGAGAGCAGGTTTAGGATGGCCAATTTTATGATGAAAAGACTTTGAAACTGTTTCAGATACGCAAAATACTGGCTCGGCTTCAATTGGTCCTTTAATTTGCTCAATGAGGCGAGGAGAGAGGGTCGAATCGAGAGCTCCTACACTCAAAATGCCATCGCCGAGGTGTGCAGTTAGAAATTGGAGAAATGGTCACGAGGTTTCACTTTTATTCTAGGAAATTCGAACGTTCCGAAGCGGTCTCTCGTTGATTTGGACGTACGACTGGGTCCCGCTGCCGTTGATGTACCCCCAGCTCGTGTTTATGGCTGTTCATTGCTACTACGTCGTGTGTTTGGTGTCGCGTCAGTTCACAATCAACGCGGATGCTCCGATGACGACCGAAGTCGATTTGGCGATTCCGTTCATGACGATCATCGAGTTCATCTTCTACATGGGCTGGCTGAAAGTGGCGATGGATCTGCTGAATCCGTTCGGAGAAGACGAGGACGACTTCGACTGCAACTTTCTCATCGATCGCAATTTGACGGTCGCCATGGGAATCGTCGATGACACGCACGACGACGTGCCGATTCTCGAGAAGGACATGTTCTGGAACGATACCGTCTCGCCGTTGTACTCGAAGGAGGCGGCGCAGAGAAACGTGAACTTCTACTTTGGAAGCGCCACCAACGCCGATTCACAGTTGGTTTTGCTTTCGTTTTGCTTCAGATTGCCACATTCACTGTCCGAGCCCCAACTTTCAGAAATACCTGTGAATGGAACAGCGCTTAGTCAAAGTTGTGGCCGTGGCGCAGAAAAGTTCTAGGCCTTGTGATCTTTTTCGCATTTTTCTTTGCGTTCGACACAATCTTCATGCGCACGGTCTCTAGAGCTGATAATGGGCGCAAGTGCGCCCCGCCCAATAGAGCGATACATTGGCGCGAAATTCAAATTTTAACAGCAAATTTTGTGTTTTTTGCCAGATTAGCCACGAAAAACCGATAATTTCTCATTTGTCTTTCGATAGACCGATTGTATAGGCTATTACGAATTTTTTAAGCGCAAGAGCGTCAAATTTGGTCAAGTCGCAAATCACATTTATCCGTTTGAAGGTTTTTGGCTAAAACTGCGTGAATTTCAGTTGCTTTTCGGTAGTTTTCGCGGTTCGAGCGCTCAAAATGCTTGTATTTACGTGATTTATCATTCTCAAAACCAATTCTGTCTGAAAACGGTCAAGAAAGCGCAAAATGAGAAGTGCGGTTTTTGGCGGCGAAGGCGAAAAAGCAAAGTCGGCGAAAAATGCGCCAAAACGTCATTAATTCTGAGAATTCGTGTGTTTTCATGTCGAACAATCATTTTTCATCGCCTTTGACCACAAAAATCAGCGAAAACCTGTTCAATTCATGAAAACGCCATTTGGCCGAGGCCGCCACGCCCATATTGTCAGCTCTGGAGACCGTGATCTGGTCTAAAAATATCGGGTTCACAAAAAAATAAAAAAAATTGAGGGTTCCTTGGTCCTTTAAGTATTATAGGGTCATCGCACAGAAATGGCGCTCTGTTGAGAAACTCTTTTTGCAGTGCAAATTGGGCGAGTTTGAAAAGTTAGGCCACGTTTTCAGTGGAAAATTACTTCGCGGCCTAGAAATACGGCCAGATTGCGAACAGCGCGCCCTTTCTGTCCGATGCCCCAATAATATTGCCATCGATCAATTCATCAAGTGCACTAACAAAACAAACGTGCTCGCTGAAACAGTAACTTGCATTCCAGAATTCCCGACGACGTGCACCAGATCACAATGATTCCGCATCCGTTCAACGAGAAACTCGACCGTCAGTACGGCAAACGAACGAACCGAGCGCCCGTCGAAAGTGTGGTCGAACTGAAGCGGGATCAGCGATTTTCGACGGGCAACAACCGGAAACAGACTGTCGAGGCGAAGTTTTCGAACAAAATTGGAGCCATCTTCCAGAAGAGACATTCAAAGTGAGAAAGAAACAATTCAGGAATTCAGGTTGCATTGCCTTGTTCCACAACTTATTATCAGTGCAAATGAGACATTCTTCTTCTATGAATGTCCCGAAACAGAATAGAATTTAAATGGGAAATAACTCAAAAACGCTCATTTCCACAGATCGCTCACCTTCACTCCCGAAGGTTTCAACACAAAAACGCGTGCTTCCACCGACGTCGAAACCCTTCCAACATTTGTGAATACCCAGAAAGCGTGCTACAGCAATGCCGATTGTATTGTGGAAGTTGGTCGGTTACAGACTTACAGCAGTCCCCAATCCAATCAAGACCAAGAGTTTCAGATGAAGAAAGCAACGTTCCGGTCGAAGATCCGAAGAAAAGAGTGAATATTTCTAGCAAACGAGGTCACTTTCATAGCTATTTTCCGGAAATTGAGAAAAAGTAAACTTTCAGAAAGTGTCATCTCGATGGGACGGTCCAGATCGTTCAATCATTTCGGCGAACACGTCGACTATCATGACTACTATGATTTTGACAAAGAATAGGAAAACACAATATGAAATTGCTCTTCAAAACACACAAAAGTCGCTTCTTTCAGTTCTCCTTCATATTTGGTTTTCTGTAAATAAATTCTGTGCAATGCCATCTTGAGTCGCTTTCGAAGAACGAATAAGAAGGCGTCGAGTTGTTCTCCACTTTCAGATTCCGGGTGAAAGACCAAACAACCACATCGGCTCCCACTTCTCTCGCCCCTCTTTTCTTTTCGAGTGTTGTTAGCAACGAGTACATTCGAATCACAGGTGAAAATGCCCGTTTTCAGACGTCTTGGCAACGATGTTGATATTATTAATCACTCATTCGGTTTCAGCGCCTTCTCTTATATTTATTTTCAACGTCTTCTTTGCTTAAATTCCTCTTGCAATTTTCGGTTAAGATGAACATCTTCTGATTCGGGGTGCAATGGTGAAGAATCTGGTGTCGACGACGACGGATTCGTCGTCGTTCGACTGGAATAAAGTGTGGTTCTCGGAGGAGACGATCGTCGAAGCACGTCAAACACTCGTCGAGGCACTCTACATTGCATTGAGTCCAGGTACCGATCCTTAGGTTCCGGAGGACTCAAGAAGGCGTGTGGGAGATGTGAACTATAGATTTACAAGAAACACCCATACGCATACTAGCCGAGAGAAACTATCAAAACCAATTAACAGTGTTTGAAACTGAAATTTTTACTGCGATACTTTCTCTCTCCCACCAATGAATACAAATTCTGCAAATTTGTTTCGGTCTCGTGTTATTGGCAGACCGTAGTCCTCTTCTGTCAATTATTTTAATCAACGTATTATTGTGACCGTCGAGTTCCGTTAACGCAACGCTCTATTGTTTGTGCCATTGGTGATACAGTAAAGTTAACAAACTTGAAAAACGATGTTGTTCTTATGATCCATTTCCCGATCTAGAATCCTCTTCCAGGTTCCGTGCCCTCTGCGTGCGTGTTCGTCTTCGACTGCTTCCTAACTATCGTGCACTTCGTCGTCTCCAGCTACATCCTCGACGATTTCACGACCACCTTCCTCGGGACCGTCTATTCGCCGTGCACTTTTCTCAAGATCATCTACATTGCCGAGTGCTTCAGTTCTGCGACATGGTTCGTTGAATGTATATGAATGCTTTAAAATGTCCATTCAGGATCAGTGACCTGAGCGACACCATCACTCAAATCTTCAACATGACCATCATTCTCTCGTGCGTCGCCTACAATTTCATGTGTCTTTTCGTCGCCAACTACCGCAAAAACATTCCGTTACCCGTGTGCCGAACCGTTTTCGGCCCGATCCTTGTCTTCTGCTCCCTCCTGGTCATTGTTCCCAAACTGGTAGGTCCAGTCCTTCTGGCTTCCCACTGATCCCATTCAAATAGGTCCTGTACCAAAGCATCGACAACTTCTTCCAATTCACCACCCAACTCTCCGGTTCGCTCTGTCTTCTCGCTCAAATTGCTCGCAATCTCTACACGTTTGTGTGCAAAAAAGTCGATTCGAAGGCGGAAAAGCGGGAATTGCGGGCCGACGACGAGGCGGAGGCGGCGAACGATGTGGTCCGGAATGCGAACGGACGGCTCGTCTGGGCCAGCTGGTTCTCGTTCATTCTCGTCATTCTCGCAATTCCGCAGATTGGTGAGTTTGCATCAGGGGTGTGCGGAAAATATTTCGATTTTCCGAAATTTTCCGATTTTCCGAAAATGTTCGGCAAAATTTTCGGAAAATTAGTGTGGATTCAGGGTCAATTTGTCCGAAACCACCGTATGCTTTTTAAAGGCGCATCACAAAATTTTTGGAAGGGTCTAGCAGCGAGCGTCTTATTTCCGAAAATTTCTCGGAAAATCGAAATATTTTCCGCACACCCCTGATTCTCACTGACAATCGGAAAACACTGGACCCGGAGAGCTTCTCTCGGCTAATTTTTTTACAAAAAAATATTCCATTGCTTGGCTTCCGCCCACTCAAGTGATTTCAAATCATAATAAGCATTTTTTGTATTAGAACGTTGTTTAAACACTTTATTGAACCAATGAACAAGTGAGTTTTCCGATTTTTCCGATTTTTCCGAAATTTTCCGAAAAAAAAAATTCGGAAAAACCGATTTTCCGAAATTTTCCGAAAAAAATTTTCCGCACACCCCTGAGTTTGTATCATCATCGGGTGAGCAACAAAGAATGGAGACTTTTCCTGTTGAAAGAGCCCTGAAACCGATTTTTTTTTTGAAACTAGGCGCTTCATTGAGTTTTGCAACAAAACTGTCTTGTTTTCAGTGGACTACTACGTTCCCCTGACCACTTCCTGGCTTCCCTATCACTTTTTGAGCCAATCTCTCGCCCAACTCAACGCGCTCCTCCTCTCCGTCACTGTTTTCCTGGTTCTACCCACTTATCGGTAGCATTTACCCTTTTTGTGTTCACTTGTGTTATGTTTCCTTTTCAGATCAGTGATATTCAGTTGCTGTGCGAACTACAATCGTATCATCAAAGTGGAAGAGATAAAAATCGAGAAAGAGACCGGAATTCCGCAAACTTCGACTAAATCGCTGGAAAAAGAGGCGGAAGCGCTCGCGAACCATCTTCCGACGCCGCCGATGATCCCCCACTTCCGCCACGTGGCAATTCCGCACCGAATTCCGATTCCGATCCATCCGTACCCGAGCATTCCCTGCCCGAACGGCCAAATTCGCATTTTCGTGGCCCCCTCTCCGATTTCTCCGGCCACACAGAAATATTGACCAAAATGCTAATGGCTTGAAGAATGAATGTGTTACTTTGTGTCCATTTTATTCATTTTCAAACTCTTTTCGCTGAAAACTTGCGGTTCTTCTTATTTTATGACGAAATTCTCTGAAAAATGAGTCCGTGAAATGACGTAGTCTGCGCTTGCGTACTTTGCGCCAGACTCACCGACACGATTCCGAAAATCTTCCGAACAGCCCACTTGAGCGGACAGCGTTCCGGTATAACAGTTTTTGTTTCATTTTCTGATTTTTTTTTGTAAGAAAAACTGAGCCTAATGTCAAGCCTAATATCTGTTTTTTTGGCATTTTTGTAAAGGTTGTCGAATTAATTCGAAAACAATGACAAATTTGCTCAGTTTTCGATAAGAAAAGCAAACACGCCCCGTCTCGGACCGCTCTTTTCAGACAAACTGATTACGGTGTGTTTAAAGGCGCATAACGCTTTAAGGCGTTGTATCTCGCAACGATTTTACAGATGTCTCTTAAAAACTTGTTTTTCCTTGATTTCTCGCGTTTCTTGATCATAAAAAAATAGGACAAAGATGAAATTTTCAGATAAATCGACGGATATGCCGTCGGCAACCACTCCCCTCCGCCACTATCCGTATGAGGTAAGTACAAGGCTTTCTAGATTAAAAAAAAAGCAAAACACAAAAACGTGCTCATTTCGCGCGATAAAAATGACACATTACAGCTTTATAAGGCCAGTTTAGACCGGAAATAAGCAATTGTCAGTTTCCACTCGTTTTTCGCGAACTAACTAGAGTCCTATTGGCCAGAGATCCATTGTGTTCAGACTTTTCGAGCTGAATTTGCCCTAGAAGAAAATCCACGTTTTACCAGACAAGGGACCTATTTTTGCTCGAAAATTCTGTCTGAAAAAGGATAGATACCCAGAAAAAGTCATCGGATTCCCTGCTGACTCACTTTTTTCCGCTTTTCCTTCTTTTAGATATCGTCCCGCTCTTTTTCTCATATTTTCAATGACTAATCCGGACGGATCGTTGTTTTGACTCCGCCCACTCGGCGTCTCCGCTCCCGTTTTTACTAAGACACGTGCTTTTTTCTGGCTTTTCACAGCAATTTACGGCTAAAACTCGAGTTCTGCATATTTTGTTCAGATCTTTGACGGTTTTTTTCTGTTTTCTCCCTCGAATCACATTGTTCCCTTTCGGCATGAACACAATTGCGTGTGCATGCATTCGCTGCCGTTCTCCTCCCTGTCACTGTCCTTCTTTCTCTCCCTCTCTCTGCGTCTATAGGGCAGCGCCTTGTCTCTCGCTCTCTCCTGACAAATGAGTCAACCGTTGGGCACACACACAAAACGATAATTTTTGGGAAAAGGAGTGCGTGGGTGGGGTCGGAGAAGTTATGAACTTCTGTGTACTTCACCAATCGGTAGATTATTTCATCGGAACGTCATCTGAGCTGTAACTTTCGTTTTGCCACCCTCTTTCCTTACTTCGACTCACTCGCGTACGATACGGAGTGATAAAAACACGTCACAAATGTTCGTCGTGCTCTAAATCGCCACTTTTCCAGAACTCGCAAGCCGAGCCCTCCAAAGCACCGAAATCGGGAAGCTCAGTCTTGTCGGCCGACCAAATCAAGAAGGAACCGATGGATCGAAACGGAAACGCGTACGACATGACGCCGCCGTTGGCTCCGACCGATCGGATGGCCTACATGGACCCCGACGTGCCGTGGGACCCGACCCTTCACGGATTCCAACACCGCCAGCCGCAAGTCTTCACTCCGATCACTCCGTTTCCGTCGTTGACTCCGGATCAATACAATCGCTATATGACACAGGAGCCACAGCCGGAACAGCGAGAGCTGAGAAGATCAACGAGAACTCGGGGACGGGTCTCCAGACAGATTCGTGATGAGGAGGAGGACTACGAAGATGAGGACGAGAAGACGACGGAGCCGCCGGAGCAGTCGTCGTCCGGAGGATCCAGTCAGTCGGGCAGACGGGGACCGCAGTCCCACCCGAGGTCCTACAAGCGTTTGTCCGACGAAGAGAAGGTGAGGATCGGACACACTTTTTCCCTGATTTTCCCGCGTTAAAGACAAATGTTGATCAGATTTTCGCAATTCCGTTTTGCAGAGCACGATCAAGTACCAGGAGAAGCGCTTGCGCAACAACGAAGCGGTTCGTCAGAGCCGTCAAAAGTCGAAAGCGGTGCAGGAGGCGAAGAACCGCGAGTTGGAGAGTCTGAAGGCGAGAAACGCGCGCCAAACTCGCGAGTTGTACGAGATGCGCAACAATCTGGCGGCGTTGGCGATGACGAAGGACGAGTACAGAAGACGTGCTTCGAACTGCGAGCAGCTTCTCGCTCGCATCAAGGAGGGAATGTACGTTTGTTTTTCTTAATTTCAAAGAAGTGTTCAAAAGTGGCTGATCGCAACGATCTGAAATCGTGTCTGTTTGTAATTTTGAGTTTCAAAATTACGTTTTCCACCTTGTACTAGATAATTCCAATTTTAAAAACCATTTTTTCAGGAAAGGCCGCGAGAACACGTGCTACGCAGTGCTTCCGATTCTCGAAGAAGTGGCCACCTTCCGGGCCTGAGCCCCGCCCCTTTCCCATGCTTTTAAAGCGCACAAACCCCTGTTTTCTTTATTTCTTGTACCAAAATTCATTCGAAACCCACTTTTTGAGGACGGTCTTCACAAATGAAGAAAATTTTGCGTTTTCCATCGTCCATTTGTGAAGACCGTCAATTATGCACCGTTTTTTTCCGTTTTTCTCGTGCTCAATCCGCCTCTTTCACATGTTTATACAGCTTTCAAGTTCCCTCCGGTTTGTCTCTCCGATTATTCCAGATTTCATCCCGATCCTCCGCTTTCCATCCCACTCTTTCCTCTCTTTTTCACCTTGCTGGTCAAGTTTGCCTTTTTTTTCCCTATCATGTTCTATATCCCTCTCTCTTTTAATACATATGTATCAATTTATTCAATAGTTTCCTAATATAAATGTCTTTTGCACGGAAAAGTTGTACAGTAACATGTTTTAAATTAAAGGCGCATATCCCAATTCACCCGGGTCTCGCAACGATTTACCAGCACGTCCTCAAAAGTTCGCTAATTTTTGCCAAAAATGACGGTGTAAGATCATTTTCTGATCGGTTATCAATCGAAATTTGTCTCAGAAATCAGGCCATTTTCGTCTTTTTTTGCTTTTCGCGAAAAAGAGTGCACTCGGCTCGTGAAATCCGATCACAGAACAGTTTTCGTCTCTTCTTTTCATTTTTGTTTTCTGCAAAAAATGCAGTTGCAATTCGCCTCCAAAACCCCGCCCGTTTTGTTTGTTCAGACTTAGTTTCTTCTTTTTTCTCAATTCCTATTTGATTTGCCGATTTGTAGAATTTCAGTGTATCTAGTAAAAATTCGACGTTTTGCTCAAGTTGTTAGGCCCAAAAAGTTGTGCGTGTTCAAACGATCATTGTCTTTGCAGCGCTAGATTCTATCATCAATTCAGGCCAAAAAAAAAAGAAGCGATAACGGGAGAAATAGCGGAGACCTTCGAGAGGACGGAAAACGCCGATAAAACCTGAAGATATCGGACGACGGTTGGCCAGTTGGCGCACTTCTCGTCACAAACTCTCGCGGCGTGTACTTTGTGTCTAGTACGTCGTATTTCCCTAATTTCCCGTCGCAAATCTCGAAAATTCGCAATTTCCAACCCAAAATCAGTTTTTTCGACGAAAAACGTGGATTACGACGCTCCGAAATGACGGCAGATCGTGGTTTATTAAAATTCGGCAAAAATTGATTTTTGCCAGTTCTTCCCAATTTTCCACATGTAATTCATGAAAAATCGCATGTATTAGTAGGTTTCACGATTTTCTAGCTATTTCTGTCGAAAATTCCGCAAATTTCCGCTGAATATCCATCGAAATAGGCCTTCTACGAGACTCCGCAATTCCACCCTTCTTCCTGCTTAGCATCCGCCGTCAATCGGCTCCAATTTGAATTTTCCACGTAATTGGCCACTTGTACGCGAAAAATACTCGTTTGAAATGGCACGAAAACGGTTTTTCTTCGCACTCGGCGCCGAATTTCTCTATTTGTTCGCCCCGTTTCTCGTTATTTGCTCGCCCGGAAGACGAACTTTCTCACATTTTGCCCCCAGGTAATCGCATCCCCTCACGTCGCACGGAAACATGTCGCCACTGCCGGAGAACACGCTCATCGGAATGTGCAACCCACTTCTGGACATTCAAACCACTGTGGAGAAGGTAAAATCGATGAAAAACCTGGAAAAACATGCAAAATTTGATTTGCAGTCTTTCCTCGACAAATGGGGACTCAAGGAGAACGACGCGATTTTGTGCGACGACAAGCACGTCGAGATGTTCGCCGAGCTCACGCGCGACTTCAAAGTCGAGTACATCCCCGGAGGCGCCGCCCAGAACTCGCTCCGTGTCGCTCAGTGGATTCTGAACGCGCCGAACCGCACCGTCTTCTTCGGCGCCGTCGGAAAGGACCAGTACGGAGAGATGCTCGCGTCGAAGGCGAAAGCGGCCGGAGTGAACGTGCAATATCAGATAAACGAGACGGTGAAGACCGGCACTTGCGCCGCCCTCATCAACGGAACCCACCGGTAAGACCCTCGGAATCCCGCGGGACCGAACTGAATGCATCGTTGCCGTGCTGAAATGATTTAAGATCGCTGTGCGCTCACTTGGCCGCCGCTAACACCTTCACTCAAGACCATTTGCAGAAGGACGAGAATCAGAAGATCATCGAGCACGCCAAGTTCTTCTACGTCACTGTGAGTGGGCAGATACGAAGGCAGATTGTCGTTTTTTCCGGGAAAAACTAAACTTTTGGCCCAGTTGAAGTTGTCAGATCGGACCCAAACTTTGCATACTTCTTTGACTTGGATTAAAGTATCTAGTGGTCATGTTTCAGACCGATCCAATTATCTGGTCCCGAGATATATTGATTTGAAGCCAAACAGGCCGAGTTTTTCCTCAAATCAGTAGATCTTGGGACTGACTAATCGGATCGGTTTGAAACTTGGTTCCAAAATACTTCAATCCAAGCCCAAAACGTCTGCAAAGTTTGGATCCGATCGGATTATTGAAAGTAGGGCAGACCTTCAAAAATCATTTTAGTCACAAAAACTATTGTCGTTTTGCAGGGCTTCTTCATCACGGTCTGCCCGCCGGCGATCCTCCAACTGGCCGCCCACTCGGCCGAATTCAACAAGACCTTCACTCTCAACCTGTCCGCTCCATTCATCTCGCAGTTCTTCTTCGAGAAGCTCTCCGAGATCCTTCCGTTCGTCGATGTTCTGTTCGGAAACGAAGACGAGGCGGCCGCGTTCGCGAAGGCCAACGGATGGGAGACGACGTGCGTGAAGGAGATCGCTCTGAAGGCGGCCGCGCTGCCCAAGAAGACTTCCCGGCCGCGTCTCGTCGTGTTCACGCAGGGACCCGAGCCCGTCATCGTCGTCGAGGGCGATAAGGTGCGCGTTTTGTATTTCTTAGCTCATTTGCAATAGTAAAAAAAGATCTTTTTTGTCACTAAAATGTAAAGGTCCTTTTGCTAGGGCCTTCCGATGAGGTCCTAACTTGGCACAAACGTCCATCTTGACTTGTAGTATCAGTTTTGAAAGTTTCAGCCGGATTTGAACATCTGATCCTGAGATATACTGATTTTTGCGAAACTTGGGAACCTTTACATCTCAAGTCTGCACAACTCCGTCTTCGATAATTCAATCCGGCTGAAACATTCAAAACAGATGCTTCAAGTCAAGATTATGTGTTTGTGCCGAATTAGGACCTCATTGGATGGCCCTAGCAAAAAGATCTTTTCATTTTTGTAACCAAATAGACCTTTTCTACCTTGCCTCCATCTAAAACAGTCTCAATTCTGCAGGTGACCGAGTTCCCAGTGACCCGCCTCCAGAAGGAGGAGATCGTCGACACGAACGGCGCCGGAGACGCGTTCGTCGGCGGATTCCTCTCCCAGTTCATTCAGTCGAAGGGCATCGAGGCTTCGGTCACGTGCGGATCCTACGCCGCGCAGGAGATCATCAAGAAGCACGGATGCACGGTGCCGGAGGTGTGCAAGTACCACTAATATATCATCCGAATCTGTGATCTTTTCCCCTCTCAATTCTCAACTTGTTTAGCTATTTTGCTCTCTTCTGCTCCATTCCCTTTCCCTTTCTCTGTTTTCTTTTCTCGATTCGTAATCGTGCCTTGATTTTCTTCACATTTTATTAAGAATACATAGGAACATGGTTATTTATTTCGATGACGGATGGGTACTGTGTCCGGACGTCGACTCCTTCGTCTTTTTCCTCTTCTGAAGAGCCATTTGCTCCGACGAGGGCTTTTCCGGCGGTGCAGGAGTGCTCGGAATGGGTGAGACTTTCTGAAAATTGTCCAATTGTTTCGTAAAATCTCGCTCGGAAAGCCTACCGGCGTCACATTTTTCTCGTTCGGCTTCTCTCTTCCCAGCGAGTTTTGAGCGGTTTGAAGCAGAAGCGGCGGGGCCAGCTCGTCCCGGTTGCTAGCCTTTTTGACGGCCATCGACTCGGCGTCCGGCTGTTTCGGGGTCTCTTTGTTCGGGATCGAGGTCAGTCTAGGCAGGGGAAATAGAGAAAAGAGCACTGGAGACTCACTCTGAAACTCGGGCCGGCGGAAGAGGAATCGGAGCGGCGGACTTCTGCTGCTGCGGCGGCTGTCCGTCCAGCTTGACGGTGAACACCGAGACGAGAAGTTGGACGGGCGCGGAGACCTCCAACTTCAGATCCAAACTGACGTCCGTGAAGTTCTCCGCTTCAATGTTGTCCGACCCGCACCAGATGCGCAGCTTCTCCTCGACGAGTCCCTGCACGAAAACCTTCAGCTCGCGCATCTTCTCCACGTGTCTCTGCACGAGTTCCATCACAAATCGGGCGCGTTCCTCGGTCTGTCCGTACGGCACCGCCGTCTCGTTGATCAGCGAGAGCAGCTCCGGCCCGCGGCCCCACTTATCCACGGAGACCTTTGCCTGAAGCGCTATCGCCTCGTCCTTCTGCACCGTTTTCACGTGGCTCTGATAGATGGGCGCGGGCGTGAGCGGATGCGTCGGGAACACGGGACGCAGCGGACGTTTCTCGAGGACCGTCGTGACGGGACCGTGCGGAGTGCGGACTGTCGACACGTGGTACTGAAAGAGGCGTCAGCACCGGTTGGACGGGGGGAACGCCGGTGCTCCCTACCGATTTGGTGGCGATTCCGAACGCCTGCATCTGCTGCATCTCCTTGTCCTTCTCCGCTTCTTCTTGACTCGCAGCCGGTCCAGGCGGGCGTGGCGGGTACTTTTCCGCGTGGATCTGCAAACTGAGTCCGTGACAAAAGGTCGGAAAGCCAAAAAGGTCGGAAAAACTGCTAAAATACCTGTTTTCTGACTTTTTGTAATTTTTTTCCGACATTTTGTCGTTCCGACCTTTTGTCACGGACTCTGCAAACTCTTTGCAAATGGTGGGCATGAAGACTATCGAAGAATTATCGAGAATGTTTTGTAAAATTCTTCTTGCTAGAGGGTTAGACGTTTCGTTCGCTGATTTCCCAAACAAACCTTTGCCTGTTGGGCCTCCAAGTAGAAGTAATGAATGGTTTGACCGACGATGAACGCGGCAATAATTGTCCATCCGATGTAGACGTGCAGGTTGCGGGGGACTCCTTTTATCGAGTACAGACAGTTTCCGGCCGATCGGTTCACGGAACAGCCGCCGGGTTCCGCTGTGGTTGTTGTTGGGACACGAGTTGAGTTTGGCGGGAAAGAGAGAGGAGTGGTTGAGTGGGAACGGGTCGAAGAAGAAGAAGAAGAAGAAGTGGTAGCATTGAAAGAGGTCGTCGTGCTGGAGAAGGAGGCGGAAGAGACATTCTGAAAGTGAAAAAACTCATTTGCCCGCCGCCTTGAATCCGAATAATACCTGTTGTGATTGAGCCTGAATGGCTTGAATTGAGTGGGAAATCAATAAAACCAAAAAGAGTCCTCGGATGATCATTGTTGTGTCCGTAGCTCGTCTGTTCACAACTCTCGGTGGCCACGTCACAAACGGAGTGGTTTCAGAATGAAAACGGAGAAGGACACGCGGAAAAGAAAAAGCGGTTTATTAGTCAATTTGAATCGGAATCTTTTTGCCCTTTCCGATGAAATCGACCGCGTCGAGCACGAGGACCACGTTTTTTCGGCTGAAAAATCGCATGTCTCCGTCGAATTGAGACAACAACAAAACGCACATTTTCGGAAGATTCGAGACGAGAATGTGGCGGAGATCGTCGTTTCGGATGCGACGCAACTTTTGCGCACCGTCCTCGGCGCGGAAAGCGAAATAGAGAGCGGGAGAAGTGGACGGAGAGGAGGAGAGAGTGGGATGCTCGCGGAGCAGACGGCTCAGCACCGCCTGCACACGATCACAACCGCCGGCCTCCGTTTGCGAGAACGGTCTGGAAGTTGTTGTTGTTGTTGAGAATTTCCGTTCACAAATGGACGAGAAACACGCACTCTTCCATCTGTACATCACATTTAGAGACCGTGTGCATGCTCCTTCAATGCGCAGCCACTCACCTCAACTTGCCGCGGAATCGCCCCTGATCAATGATGACCAACTTGACGAGCACCTTCTGCAATCCATCCTGCAACTCCCCCCTCTAATTCATCTTTCATGGTCCGGTGGGCCAAACCAGAGAGAAGGATCCGGAAGACTCCGAGTACGAATCGGTCGCGTAGATGACGGGCGGTTTGGCGAAAACGGAGAACATGAACGGAGACAGACGGCTGGAGATCGAGGGAGTCGAGGAGATCGGAGAGGAAGAGACGGAGGAGTTACTGAAACTGTCTGTCTCAGAGACTTTTGATACTTTTCATTTGAAACTCGGTAAAACGGTCTGAGAGTCCGATCAAATAAAACTTCTCCGCATGCGCCTTACCTCTTCTTGGAATCATTCGGCGACTGAATCGTACGGATCACGAGAGAATCGTCCGTTCTCTTCGGCAGAGTCTTGCTGCTTCTGACCTTCCATTCCGAATACACTGGAATCGATTTCGACGAGGAGCACGGCTTCTGAACTTGTCTACAAATGGTACTTTGAGAAGAAGTGGAACTCTCGGCAGCCGAGGACGTCTCGAGGGGAGCGGGCCTGAAAATCAGCGACATATTTGAAGGATTGACTGTATAAAAACCAACTTCTCATTGATGTCGACCGGATCAGAAGCACCCATCATTTCGGTATTGTGTTCTGAAAAAATCGACAGATTCAACGTGTCACTGAGAATCCGAAAAGTTTGTTTATAAATGAACAGACCTTGAATGTTCCGTTTCATAAAGTCCCGGTACTTTTGCTCGGTCCCCAGCTCGTCATCCCAACCCACACTGTACGTGTACGTCGTTCTGGAATTCAGATTGAGAGAGGTAGTTGTGGAAAACTGCAAGCTCATAGAATTGTGTGTTCACAGTAATCAGGAAAACGTTTCGAAAGTTACTTATTACTATTTCGAAGCAGAAAGATAATATTGTCCCAAAAACAACAAACTGATTGGTGGGAGCATCGAACGACACCCGCAGATCCGTCGACTTCAGCCCAATCTCCAACTTTTGCAGACATTTCGGAAGCAACTGGAATACTGTTTATTTGAGAGAATATATCTCAGCTGCCGCTGGAGATATCGAAAAGTGGTCAACTGATAAAATGTACACAATTTCTTACTGAACATTTTATCAGTTGACATCTTTTTGATATCTCTGCAGACAGCCAAGATACATCCGTTTTTCTCGCCAAATTCAATAAAATAACGTACCATTTCGCAGTCCATGTCATTTTTGTTGGAATCCGAATTGCCTTTGAAGTCACTCATTTTGTTTTCGTTTCGATCCAACTATCCACAATATTTGGTAGAGCAGAAGACGGAATTCATGAAATATTTCGTTTCCATCGCGAACGGTCAAAAGTGGTGGAATCCTTGGGGTGTCACGTGGGAAAGAAGGGGAATGAAGTAGTTTGAAAGTGCTTTGAAATTGTAAAGTGATTTTCGGCAAGGGTTCGGCATGAAAACAGCAATTTGCTGCTGCTATTCGGTAGTTTGCTCCTAGAAACGGCAAGGAGGCGGCAAGGGGACGGCAAGGATCAAGTATTAGGCATGTTAAATGCACTCAAAAAGTATTGAATCTTGATGACGTCTCATGATCCTGTTATGTCCTTCAAAGTTTACCATTCTGATCTTTATTATTTTCAACTGTCATTTCTGTCGTTTTTGTGATGTGTTTGAAACCGAACGTTTTTTTCAGGTGCAAGGGACCAGCTAGCACATCAAAAATCGATTCGAAAAGTATCAAATTTCTGTTTCCCAACTCTCCTATTTACTTTCAGTTTCTCTAGCGTTTTATTCCTCATTTCAACCCACATCTTCATCAATTTTCGCATCGATTTTTAGGAAAGTTTTCAGTTTCGAACACATTTCAAGAATCGAAAAACACTGGCCAACACTCAGTTTGGTAGAATTGACGGATGACGCAAATTGGGGAAATCATAAGTTTTCGGGTCGGAAACCAATAAAAGTTAGTACGGTTTTGGGCCGCGCTGATCAGGTGATTGGGTGGTGATAAGAGCGGGAACGGAGAGATAAGATAACGAAGAGAGATATTGGAGGGCTTTCTCATTTTCCAAACACTTTCCACTTCTTTCGTCACTCTGATTTCATTTCACTGCAAAAATGTGTCCCCGAGGTCATTTAAATGGACTTGGTGACGCGGTTTTATACTGTGAAACTAATTTCCAATTCAAATTACCTATTTGTGACAATAACCTTGTTTCTCATGAGAAACGGACAGAAAAATTGTTTTCAGTTTCGCTTTGATCATTTATGATCAAATTGACAGTGTTCATCGCTGATCCACCAGAGATCCACCAGAGTGTTCCGTGTTCCGTGTTCCGTATAAACTATATTTTCCGCGGAAAAATTCGATCACAAATTTTATTTTTTCATTATTATTTTGATTAGGACAATTGACGTTTTGTGGTCAAAATTTGAAAATTTTCGGATTCGGACCATATTCGTGAAAAGTGGATTCCATTTTCAGTCGTTTTTTACTGTAGTTGTTTACTGTTGTGTTGTTGGTTTTGTTATTTTTTTATGAAATTTTTCAGTAAAACTTTCACATGAGTCAAACAGCTGCCTTGTCAGTCAGATAATCGAATTAAGCAAAAACATTATTAAAAAATCACTGGAATTCTCTTGAAAACGCTTTTTTTCCGTGTTCCGTAAAAATGTCCGTGTTCCGTGTTCCGTAAAAAAATTTCCGTGTTCCGTGTTCCGTGTTCCGTAGAAATAAGTTTTTCCGTTTTCCGTGTTCCGTGTTCCGTAAAAAAAATTTCCGTTTTCCGTGCTCCGTGTTCCGTAGAGTAAAATTTTTATTCCCAACATCTCTGTGATCCACTCTTACTTAGAAATCCTCAACTTTTGTGCAAAGCAGTGAATTAATGTTTCAATAATTCCATGAATTCCCTTCCTCTTCTTGTCGGTCGTTTGTTGAGAAGCAATCAGTGTTGTCGAAACATTGAAAATGTTGAACTGTTTTTCTCGAAATTGTGTGCAAAGGGTAATCTGTATAGTCACGGTGATTCTTTGCGAGGGTGACGAGGAAAATTCTAGGCCATTTGCCCCGGGGTCGCAGGCCGTGGTACTAGGCCACGGTTTCCGCCGAGTCCCCCGGCTGAACAAGAAAATATTAGGCCACGCCAGAAGTCAGGCCAGGAGGCCAAACCGAAGAAACTCGGCCATGGGAAATGTTTCACGAATTTCGCGCTTGTTTCATATTTTAGCGCTTGTTCTCTGTCAATTAATGCTTGTTTTCGGCTGAGTTTTGTTTTTTTTTTGTCTCAAAAATGAAAGAACGCAGTTTGCAAGGATACAATTGTGAGCAGTAGTAAAATTTATTGAAAAGGTTGCCCTTTTTCCGCTTTCTCGTCTTCGAAGCGCGCCGTTCTTTCCAAAAATAGAATAATTTGTAAATTTTTTGTTTTCCAGATGTATCACGAGCATCATCGCGGGAATGGCCGCTTTTACGACGGAGGGACAAGAGGTCAGTGGAGTACAAGAGGAAGCTACCGTGGAGAGAACTTCCCTCATTCGCAGTACGAAGAGTCGCCGTATGGAGAGTCCCACTACGGACAGTCTCAGTACGGAGACCGCGGAAGATTCCGTTGGAGTCGCGGAACGATACAGCGAGGCGCCGGCGATCAAGGATGCGTGAGACTCAGAGACGGAAGAACTTGGTTTGATGAGAGATTCGGAAGAGACCGAAACGCTGAGCAACATCGCGGATACGGTGGATACCAAAGAGGATTCCGTGGAGGGAATCGTGGACACCGCCGAGCTCCGCAATTCTACGACGATGCGCGTCACCATAGCACTGCGGAGAATCGGACGATTTTGATTCAGCCGTCTGAGCCGCCAATCTCACGAAAATCACTGGAACAGGTGTGTGTTTCTGGCTTACCGTTGTTTAATCTTCATGTATTGTTGTAGGCGGTCGCCGACGCTCTTGCATCGTGTCAATCGCACTTTGATAAGAAGTTAGAAGAGTTGAAGACTCAGGTGGTGGAAAGAGACGCGCACATTGCAGAATTAGTGAGGAAATTCGGAGAAACAAAACAAACCTCCAATAACGACGGACTCTCTGCGGCTCCCTCAATTTTGGAGGTAAGCGTCTCAATGGTGACTTTCTCTCAGCGCAATTCTTGCAGGCACCCATGAATAACTCGCAGAAAACGGACCGCGACGACGGCACTGACGTTGTTCGTATTGAGAAGGACTTGCATGTCGCGGAACCTGGGCAGAGAGAAAATGCTGAAAAGGAGAACGCCAAGAAAAAGAAGAAGAAAGAAGCGAAGCAGAAGAAGAAGGCGGAGAACGGAAAGAAGGGGAAGACGGCGTCGACGAGGCTGCCGAGCAGGCGTTGAACGAAGCGGCTCCAAATAATCGACCTTTCTGTTTTAGGAACATCTGTGTTTTTTCTTTTTACAAATTTCATTGTTACTTTTTGTTGCCGCTTTCGTTTTGAAATTAACGCATTAATTCAGCTGATGTTTTCTGGAAATCATGCTTACGTGTTGGTCAATCCAGCTCCGATTCTCGAGAGGCATTATTGGTCCATGTGACAGTATTTTCTAGTTTCAGATGCATCGCCTTTCGAAGCGTAAGCTGAAAGGAGACACTCCAGGAAATGCCGTTTCTCCTTCTCCGACTAAAGTTGTGAAATCTGCCGATTGTTCCGTTAATAATACATCCGAGAACGGCATTTTACCTGAAAATCAGGCGGTTCTGAATGAGTATGACAGAGTGACGGAGCAGAATGTGCTCCTGGCACGAAAAGCGAAGGAGAATGAGGGATTGATGAGAGAGAACGGAGTTTTGAGAAGGGAGAACATCGATCTGAGAAGACAGATCGCAGAAGAAGTTGGTGAATTGAGAAAAGGGAATATAAAATTGAGCAGTTCCGTGGGAAATAAATTGTTCAAAGAAAGCGAGTTCCTGAGAAATGAAAATGGTGAATTGAGAATAACATTGAAACATGAACGTGGTGAATTTCTCAAAGAAAAAGCGTTGTTGGTTGATAGTAATGCTCGTGATCTGAGAGAGATCCAAATGCGGAAGAGAGAAAACGGAGTGTTGAGAAATGAGAACATAGATTTGCTCAAAGAAAACAAGTTCCTCAGAAATGAAAATGGCGAATTGAGAATAAGATTGAAAAATGATCTTGGAGAACTTCTCAAAGAGAAAGCATCGCTGATTGATAGTAATTGTCGTGATCTGAGAGAGATCCAAATGCAGAAGAGAGAAAACGGAGTGTTGAGAAATGAGAACATAGATTTGAGGAGAAGCCTGCAGTTGAGCAGTGAACAATTATCTGAAACCAGGAAGTGTTTGATTGAATTGAAGCAGCAGTGCTTCGACAAAAAAAGGTCCGTGGGTGACGATAACGAAACTGAGAACAGTGTAACTGCAGAATTGTCGAGCGAAAACAAGTTCCTGAGAAATGAAAATGGTGAATTGAGAATAAGATTGAAAGATGATCTTAGAGAATTTGTGAAGGAGAAAGCACTGCTGATCGATAGAAATTCTCGCTATCTGAGAGAGATTGAAATGCTGAAGACAGAAAATGGAGTGTTCAGAAATGAGAACATTCAGTTCAGAAGGGCGGCGGCTGCACAAAAAAAAGGAACAGGTTTACCGGCCTGCGAAAAAGCGGCACATTCCCATAGCGAACATCAGTCACCACAGGTCCCAAAAGGTGAAAGTTTGCATGTGAGATCTCCACTCCAACTGGCAAATGTCGTGAAAGGTGATAATTGGAAACCGTACTCGCAGCTTCGAGACAGACAGACTAAAGAGAAAAGAGTGCAAGGCTTCGTCAGGTTGTCAAACGTGATTGCGAATGAGAGCGACACGACGTCTTTCTGGAAATCAGTGAATACGTTTAATAATCGCAATGACCAAGCAAACGCTGGGAAACTTAGAATTGAGCAATTGATGCAGATAAAAAGTATGCTCTGTCTCAGCGACTGTCAGGTGGCGGTGCTCAAATGGCTTCTGAAAAATTTCGGTCTTGTAGATCCTTTTCCTAGTTTAAAGAAACTGCAGCAGTTCGTGAAAAGTGTGACTAGTGCGCAGACGTATAACATCGAAATTGAGCAGCGATCTCCGGAGAAAGCTACTCAATCCGTCCGTTGTCAGATGAAGAACGTGAGAGAAGCGCTTACTGAACGTGTTAAAAGTTTGTACTATTCGAATGTTCTTGACCGGTCCACTTCTCCCGTCAAGGTTACCATCTCCGGAGACAAAGGAGCGGGCAGTACTAAAGTAGCGCTCTCGTTCTGCGAGGGAACGAAAACGAACTCCACAGATAACTGCATGATCGTCGCTCTGTTCACCGGCAACGACAACCACGCCGACATGAGAGAAAATCTCCCGGAAATCATCAATCAGCTCCGCAACCTGAAAAATGTTCAATTTGCAGATGAGAATGGAACAGTGGTTGAAAAACAAATTGAGTACTTTTTGACGGGAGACTTCATGTTTTTGAGCGCATGCTTTGGCCATAAAGGCCCGAAAGCTACCAATCCATGTTTTCAGTGCATGGAAGACTCGCGAAGTCTCAAGAACCTAAAAAACTGGGATGTGAAAAAGAAGTCGCAGTCGCGCACGTGTCAGAGCTATGAACGTTATGCAGAAACTGGAGAGAAAGGAGTTCGACGTGGTGGAGTTGTTCTGTTTCCACTTGTGTTACTGGACCACATCATTCCACCGTCTCTCCACATTAACCAAGGCGTTTTCGATAAATATCTTTTCCGAAAGTTGATCTTGCTCGCGATGAAATGGGACAGTCATACGGAAGTTCAGCGGGACTTGGTGTCACAATTGATGGACCGTGATTCGGCCATGAACAAGCTTCATGAGCAGCTCGACTACCACAAGATTTTGTTCAGCATTTACGTCAAAGATGAAGATGAACTTCGAATCATCAGGGAAATTTGGAGGGATAAGCTGACCGGAGACGAAAAAGAACGGTCTCGTGACGACTGCGACGCGCGAACGTGCATTCAAATAGAACTGCGCGAAAAAGGGCACCAAAGGCCGCCGCAACTTTGCATCTGCAGCAGTTGTCACCAAACCCTTCATCTTGAATGTTGTGGTGTGCTTACTTCGCAATTAAGAATCTTAACGGAAGACGAACCGAATGAGGCTGTTTGCTATGATTGTAAAAATGCTGAAGTTATCCCTGAAATTGAAAGCTTGTTGAAAGAGGTGCTTGCGAAAAAGACCGAAACGGCGGTTCAAATTGAGCAAATTGAAAAGAGTATTGCCGAAATTAAAGCCAGTTCTCCCCCCGAAGGGCGATACAGAAAAGCTTTGGACGGCGTCATCTACGGAGAATTAAAGCTCGTTCGCAAATCATACCACGGGGGTTCTTTTACGGGAAACGACATCAAAACTATTCTGCAACCCGAGAACGTTGCCAAAATTTTGAACGTGTTTCCGCATAACTGTGATGAAGCGAAAGAGCTGCGAGAAATGATGCATCATATGAGCAGAATCATGTCACTGTCAGTGGCGAGAGAACTCAGTGACAGCGAAATAGATAATTTGGAGGAGAACATTAATAATCTTGTCCAAAAATTGAAAAAAGCTTATCCTGAAGATGGGGTCACACCGAAACTCCACCTGCTCGCTGTTCACGTCGTTCCTTTTGTTAGGCAATTCCGAACATGGGGAATGACGTCGGAACAGGCAGTCGAGCATTTGCACAGCATTATCAGAAAACTGGAGCTGGAAACTTTACCGATCAAAGATCAATCTTTGCGGTACACAACCATTATGCGCCGAAGCTCAGTGCGCACCTACTTTCACGACAAATGCGTACGAACATACAAGAACAACACTTCATAGGTAATGTGAACGACTACACTTTCTTCGGAACACCTCAGTTTCTCTTTTCGATCCATCAGCCCGTCTCCTTTCTTCTACTCATCTTCGTGTCTATCCTGTAATTGTATCAGTTTTAAAATAAACTCTTCATGCTAACTTTTCATGTTTTGCACATAAATTCGTAGGCATTGCTTATAAAACTACCAAAAATTAATTCAGATTTTTTTCTTGCAAACACCTACCTTCAATTAACTTGTATAGCGGATTTCTGTGCAGAATTGTTACAACAGTTTCGTTTAGCGATGGCTTCCGTACTTCCACACCGATGTTACCTCAATTTATTCTTTCAACCACAGGTTTTACATGAATTTGCGGAAAAATGCAGAGAGCTGACGAACCTGACTACTTCTTTTTTGAATGTGTCGCCATCATCCGCTTCGGTTTGTTCTGAATACCTTAGTGCGTTGATATGTCCATTTTCGATAAAGATGACCGATTTTCACGAGGTTACACAATTACACAAACCAATTCGATAATTATAGAAGCTTTATTATTTTTAGTAATTGTTATCAACAGAGAAAAATTGCCAACAGCAAAAACCAATAACAGCGCTGTGTAATATTCCTGAAAAGCAGTAAGAACGTCTTCAAAATGCTGTCGGAAACAATTGCGGCTAAACAGAAAGCGCACGCGCCAAACTTGCAAAATTGCGTGCGGCAATTGCGCAAGACCACGCCCCCTTCTTTGAATGGTGGCCGAGTTCGCGGCGCGTTTCTCACTACACCCTCGCAAAGAATCACCGTGATAGTGCATGCCCTTGTCCCATGAAGGACACATGCACATGTCTCCTGATAACCCATTCTTTGGAGTGCTTTTCTTATCAATATTGTGCGTTTCAAACTTCTCATGAAGACTCAAGTTTGATTGGAGCACTCAATTAAGCCTTCGCTCTTATAACCGCACACAAGTCTGGCAATCGCGCTCTACCGCTCTCCACGTCAATTCATGAGCTCTTTTTTCGATGTTAGGAAACATTAGATTAGTGGAAGGAAATGTATACGAAGTGGTTCATGTTTCAAGCATTTCAGATAGGCGGTTATGAGTTCTGTGCATCATTAATGGGCCTATTCAGGGGATGAAAAAATGATTGTTTTCCGTTTTTTTCCCTATTCAGCGATGTCAAAAAATGGAAAAAAACGGAAAGAAATGCATCGCTCGCAGCGTTTTTTTCCGGCGGGTCTCGCAGCGATTTCCCGGACGCGATGCATGCGGCTACTGTAAGTGGCGTTTAATGAGTGGATTTACGAGAAAGGGAGGATTTTCGAAAATGTTACTGATTTTTCAGCGAAATTACAGCTTTCTTCAGCGAATTTCAGCAAAATTGGCACGTTTCCCCGCTATTTTGAACCGATTTTCACCAAAAGCTCAACGTTTTGAACGATATGACGAGGCACTCGAAACTATCCAAAAAAAAGAAAATTTTAGTGGTAAATATAAAAAATCCAGCATAATAAATGTAAATTTGATTTTCTTCCACTTCTTCTATCCGCGCTCTCCCGTTCAATAAGCGTCGGAGGGGGAACCTTCTCGGGATTCTCGTGCAACTCATCGTCGTCCATGTTTACCCTATAAAAACTTATTTCAAGCGAACTCAGTCGGAAACAGCGGTAAAACGTGGCAGATTCGAACGAGTTACAATCACGGCCTAAAAACGATAAAATTCAAGCGATATCGGTCGGAAATAGCGGTAAACTTGGCAATTTCGCATCAGTTACCATAACAGATAAATAAGAACTGAAATTCCGTTGAAAATCGGTTGAAAAAAGCGGTAAAACGTGGCAATTTCGCTGAAAAATTAGAAAAATAACTCCTCCCCTTCTCGTAAATCCACTCATTAAACGCCACTTACAGTAGCCGCATGCATCGCGTCCGGGAAATCGCTGCGAGACCCGCCGGAAAAAAACGCTGCGAGCGATGCATTTCTTTCCGTTTTTTTCCATTTTTTGACATCGCTGAATAGGGAAAAAAACGGAAAACAATCATTTTTTCATCCCCTGAATAGGTCCATAACAGGTAAATGACGAATAAGTGAATATGGGGGCATGGTGATGAAATCTTGCACACGTTTCTTCGATAGAACATCATTCATACATTCGATTAGCCGTTTTTCAGTGCATTTGTATTCGTTTCTTCAAAACAAGTTTGGTTAAATGTGATTCAAGGTTTCTATGGAAAGTTACAACATCAATGTATCCGGAAACCGATCGGTTCGTTCATGTTTCAAGAATTTCGGATAAATAACTGAGTTTTACTTCTCTTCGATTGATCGATAACGTTCCAAATTTTCCATAAACTTTCTATTCGCAGTAACGACTTTAGTGAACTGTTAGAACTACAGTATTCCCCGATTATCGACTCCCAAAAGTCAATGAGGAGGTGACGATGGAGAGGACGTGTGTTGGTTCCAATTCATTTTCTACCGTAATCCAATTGATCCGTCCTGAACTCAACTTGAGTGAAAATGTTGACTCGGTTTGAATTACAGTACCTCTTCGCGTCTTCTGTATTTTCTACCGTAACCCAATCCACGCGATCCGTCCTGTACTCTTTCTGATCGGTTCCTTGCTCGCCGCGGACCTCCCCAGCGTGACCTCCTCGCTCTCTCTCACTCTCTCTCTCTCTCTGCGTCTCGCCGTTTCCGTGCTCTTTTCCCTGTCCACATGTGACACCAGACACGCGGAGTGCACTCGCCCATTGATTAGTCCCGTCTGCCGTCTCCGCCGTCCGCGCACTCTCTCTCTCTCTCGCCCGTCCTCTCGCTTCTCTCGCACCCTCCACACTCTCTCGTCGACCTCCTCCTCCCCCCCGGTCCTCTTTTCTTTTCTTTTCAGTCTTCTTCGTTCATTTTTTGGTCTTACCTCTCGATTTTCCTGTCGATTTCCGAGGCCGACTGGTGAGAGAGTATCGCAAATCGAGAGAGTACAGACCAAAACGGTGTTATCGATTTTTTTGCGAGCTTGAAACGCTGAAAATTGCCTTTAGAGCGTCTGGAAATTTTGGAAAAAAATTGAGTCATTTTTCAGGTGCATGGCAAATGAATGTCCGTCAGAATGAGTTGAGATTGGTGAGTTTTGAATATTTGAAAAAAACATTTGCATTTTTCTAACTTTTTTTACAGACGGTGGAGATCCGGCAAGTGACGGACGCGGTGGAATGCGTCTTCCACAGTCTCCTCCTCCATCGGACCCTCGGCAGAGTCAGTTTCTTTTCATTCGAATAGTTTTCGCATTGTTCCAGACCTCCCAGAGTGCTTAAAAATGTTTTTTTAAGTATTTGCAAAGCTGGAAACGGTGGTCTGAAATTTCCTGGAATTCATCAAAACATTTCCGTTTAATCCTGATCCCATGTTCTCAATTTCTTTTTTACTATAATGTCTTAATGTTTTTTGAAAAGCTTGAAAATTTTCAGTCACATCCACATCACTTTTTCTGAAAGTTTTGAAAATTTCAATGTTTAAGTCTCGCTTTCTCGAAAATCGCATTAGAAAAGCCAATTGCTCATCGCCAGCCCTTCAGAACTTCATGTTTCTCACACGGACTTCTCCCTAGCTTTCACATTTTCCCACAAAAACCCTCTAAAAACGGGCTCACATGAAATCCACGTGTTTCTGCTCCAAATTGCCCCCGCCAAAAAGTGTCCGACTTTTCCGAAAAACCTCCATTCCCTTTCGCTTTTCCTCTTCCATTTCACCCCGCGCGCCGTCCCAATGCCATTCCGTCTCGTGTGCGTGAAATCACGTGAACGTGTGCGTCTCGGCCGTCGCCCGCACTCTCTCGCCCACGTGTCACTCTGTCTGCGTCGTCGCGAACTGACGCACAATCACATGAGCGAGACGCGAGAAAAGCGACCGTTTTTTTTTGGTTGTATCGTTTGAAGGCGAGATGGCAACGGGAAACTGGAGGTCTAAAGGGCGAAAAGGAAGGGGACCGGGAAATGGATCGTTTGGTTGCATTCGTACTTTGAACGGTGTCTGTCCTTGAAGTGCAAAGTGTCCTGTGAGTTCACTTTTGAACGTTCTTTGGTTGAGACAGTCTGGATGTTTACGGTTTCTGGAAGGTGGGAAGAAGAAACGGGCTTCAGGAAGTGACTACTACTTCCAATCTCCAGTGCATAACGATTAGTTTATCCGATAAGTGAGATGTCTGATTTTTTCAGTTTCTGAAAGCACATGTCAGTTCCAGGGCTGGGCAATTGGCCGGCACGGGCGCTTTTCGTTGGCCGGCCCTTAACCTGGACTTTTGAACCACTTGCAATATTCCGATCGGACCCAAACTTTGCAGGATTGTTGGACTTGGATTGAGAGCCATTGGGACCAAGTTTCAGCCCGATCGGATCGTCGGGTCCCGAGATATGTAGAACATTGGCCGATTTTTTCCAAAAAGCCCGGGCTTCCGGCCAATTTCGGTCAATGATCCACATTTCTCGGGACCAAATAATCCGATCGGGCTGAAACTTGGTCCCAATATGCTTCAACCCATGTCCAAGAAGCCTGCAAAGTTTGGGTCCGATCGGAATATTGCATGTGGTTCAAAAGTCCAGGTCAAGGGCCGGCCAACGAAAAGGGTCAAGGGCCGGCCTAATCTTCTGGAAAGTGGACCCAAAAATAGTTCCCAAGGCAGATAGAGCCGTTTTCCGTGATGTCTCCCAGGAAAAAACGTACTGAAACTATCACTTTTCGCTTACAGTTTCATAGTGGTCCCTTTAATCGGACACTGTCTTCGATGTGTTAAACAAGGTTTTCGAAAATGTGTCTAGGAAGACACTTTGGTACTTTCGAGGTTTCAAGTCCGCCCTGACTTGTTCAGTACTAACCATTTTTCGAAAGAATGCTTCAAACAGCAACCTTTGTGCCGATTTCATCACTTTCTTCTTCTTCCTCTTTCTATTGTCTCTGTCTTTCTCTTTCTTCCGATTATCTGTTCAAGATCTCCGCCGCCGCGGGTCACACTTTTTTTTTCAAAAAGTGATGATTGTGCAATCGGAAGTACGTGTTTCGTCATGTTTCTGTGTCCTCGTGACCACCGAAGAACACAAATGATATTATGCCGCCGCCGCCGCCGCATTCGTATAGCATCAGAGTACAAAATGAAGAACCATTTCAGTTCCACTACAACTCGGACAAGGAGTTCTCGCTCGGATCGATCGGGATCAAGGAGGTGAACTGCGAGCAGATTGACATGACCTACGTGAGTGATATATGTTAAGAGGAGAAGAAAACATCAAATTAACGCGGGGCCCAGCCAGTTGAAGTGGTGACTGTTTGTGAACGAGCGAGAGGGGACTGGAATCGGGACGGAACACTCGATCACTTTTGTACTTTTTTGTATACACTCTGAGGCAATTCATGATTTTTGTAGTGAAAATCGATGAAATACGATAATTCTCGAAATCGCGCATTCTTTACCGTTGTCCGACAAAAGTGGTTTCACAAATCACACAAATGCAAGCATTTTGAGCGTTCGACAACTGCAATTCACGCAGTTTTAGGCAAGCAATTCGTTTTCGTCTAATCAATTGTTTAATCGAAGCAAACATGAGAAATTCCCAGTTTTTCGTGACTAAATTTGCGTTTCAAATTTCGATTTCTTATGCGGCGGAGCGCGCTTGCACCATTGTAAGTCTCACTGGGCAAACAACGAAAAAACGTTGCTTTTTCGATTGTTGACTTCCGATTCTCGCCGATTCTCTGTTTTTCTCACACTTCCGGGCATCGCGGGCGCAAAACAGCGCCCGTTCCATGCCACGGAGAGCCACAAATAGACGCAAACGGTGTCTGTCTCCAAGCCAGGCACTCATAAACACGGAGACGCAGACGGGAAACGCGAGAGAGAACGCGACAAATGTGTCTCTGCTTCACTTGCGGCTTTTTGAAGATGATCAGCTGACGGCCGGAATGGGGGAGCGGATGACTGACTGGAGCGAAAGTTTGGTGTACTTTGAGGGCGGAAAAGTGCGCGGACGTTTGGGAAAACGATGATTTTTGAGCGAAAGGGCAGACAAACTAGAAAACTACGCATTTTTTGTGTATTTTCCGAGTTGTGACATCTTTTTGAGGGAAACAATGATTGGGCTTATTCAAAGAAATTGAGGAGTAACTTTTTGTGTTGCAGGTGCGTGTCAACTCGACAGAACTGGCGATGTGCGTCGACGAGGACATCCGCCAGTTCAAATACGAGGTGGACGAAGCCACGTGCTCCGGCTCGATCCCCAGACGGACGCCGACCGTCGGAAGCCCCACCGACACGGCGATACCCCTCCTCTCCGCCCAAATAGGACTGCAATTCTACACGAAAGCGAAGCGACAGTCTATGGGCGCCGTCGTCGGATCGTGGCTCGGCGCGGGCAGCGGCGGATCGGCCGACGACGGATCCGTGTGGGAGGAGTGGAAACTGATCCTCGACGTGTTCCGCGTCGAATCGATCGACGAACTGCAGAAGATGCGGCAGCGGGTGGCCGACGACATTGGCGAGAAGGTTCTGGACATTTGCGAGCACGTCAACCACAACCACTACACGCCGAAAATGCCGACGCGCAACGAGATACCCGACATTTTCGAGACGCGCTTCTCGGATTGTCAGCCGTATCTGTTCAAGATTCGCAGACAGGCCGTTCCGCGTGAGTTTTTCCTGTTTATATAATATAAATTATATTTTACGAAAAAGAAAGTGAGTAAGATAGTAATAATGATATAAAACGCATCTGCATTTGTGAACGTTCTGAAGCTGTCGATTATGAAAATTTAGTACCGAAATTCGAAATTTTCGACAAATTCACTTTGTTGTTTTCAAACGTTTGAAAATCCTGCTTGAAGTGCCTGTCTTTGCGGCTAAATGTTATTCTAATACCAGCTTGAAACCGATTATCGATTTTTCTCAAAAATGTGCATATTTCAGCGATGGCCACGAAACAAACGCTCGCGCAAGCGGCAATGTCCCGCTGGAAGGATATTCTTGCCGTCTGAGCACCTCAAAGCTCTGCCCGATCCTTCGGGGACCATTATTCTTTGGTCCCCCACAGTTTAAAATGTTTCCTCACCTCCCCCCAAAAATTGTGTTTGTGTTATTTTTTTCTAGGTTATCCGATTTTTGAGCTTTTCGAGAAAAATTGATCCAATTTTTCTCGACACATTCCTCGTCTTGTAAAATTTTGTACACACTTTTTTTTCCCGACAATTCATTACCATTTTTGTGCAGTCTTGGACGGATTTCAATTTTTCTGAAATTCGCTCCAATTATTTTCTTTTCAAACTTCCTCCCAAACTTTTCCGGGTCCCCGACGTCCCCTTTCAATACAGAATTATGTGTGGAATTGTTCTGTTTTTCCTGTAATTTTCATCCGGAACCTGAATGTTGTAAATCTCTAGTAGTTTCTCATCCGTACCACCTCACCCCGATTTTCACGCATTTTTCCAATTGTTTCTAATTGTTTCATGCATTTACTGTACATTCTCCCAAAAAATGTGAAACTTTCACAGAAAACCGCCCAAAAATGTTTCTCTTTCTCCGCGCCATCTACGGGCAAAACGCTCTCTCTTTTCTTTTGTCGGCGGCGGGAAACTTGAAATTTCTCTTTCCCGACCCCTCTCGCTCTTTTTCTGTTTACTTTTCCCCACATTTTATCGATAAAATTTGTGCGGCCGAAATGTTTGTGTTGTTCTGCAATTTTTTTGGCCTAAAAATGTGCATTTCATTCGACGATAAAATCGTTTTTGAACGCTTTGTTTTTGTGTTTTTCAGAGCTAAAGTTTTGCTGCTTTTTGATACTTTTTCGATAGTGTTTGCAGATAAAAACTAAGTTTTCCGAAGGCAAAAACAGCCAAAAACTGTCCTTCTTTTTACGGGACTAGAAAACTCCACGTCCACGGCCTCGCTCCGCCTATCGACTGTTTCAAACATACGGCTCTCATGATTCATGAAAGTCATGAAAACTCTAAAATTTTAGATATTTTATAAAAGCTGATTAACTATCGTTAAAAAAAAGTAAATAACGTTTTCTGGCTCCATTGTAACTGTAGTCAAACAAATTCCAGAATTTGTATTCTATCCCTTCCGGTGATTCATCATCAAAAAACTTGTTTCTCATACATTCTTTTGTAATCGAATTTCAACACATTTCATCAATTTCTTCGGCAAAACTTTCATTTTCTTTCACTCTTGTTCAAACTTATCGAAAAGCATTATCGACTTCCAGAATTTCGAGAATGGCGACGGGCGGTCGAGTGATGTCGGTGGTCCTTTGCCGGCCGACAATATCCGCCGATATTGTGCCGATTGCGATGGGAAACTGCGAGAATTTGGACGAGGAGACGAGACACAAAGAGATCAAACCGCCCAATGGTTTGTTCTTTAGAGGAAAATTTGAGAAAAATCTGTAAATGTTAAAGATTCCGACGTGGTTCGTCTCGTCAAATCGCGCGTTCGGACGTATTTCAACAACGAGGGAGTCGTCGAGTTGGACGGAGGGTAAGAATCACAAAACGCGTGTCTTTTTGTAATTTTCAGCTTGCAAAATGCCTTTTCCAGTTAATTTCAATGAAAACCTCACAATTTTCCAGATATAAACTTTTCTACGCGGTCGTCATCGAGCCGTTCTGCCCGATGATCTACTGCTGCGTCGGCGAGCCGTCGATGACGGAAGAGCAGGCGCAGGAGTTTCTCAACTCGAAAATCCGATCGATAATGTCGTCGTCGAACATTCAGATGGGCGTTCCGCAGGCGAATCCGTACGATCTGCTCGGCCTGCTGCAGCCGGAGATTCTCAAGTTTATTGTAGGTTTTATTGCTGCGAAAATTCGACAAAATGCGAATTTTCAGAAGCAGCACAACGAGAAATTCCCGACCGCAAGCCAGCAGAGAGTCATCGACATCCGTCGGCAAGTCGCCGACGTCAGAGCGGTACGGAAATTCATAAAAGTTAGAAAAAAACGGAAGATCGATTGCAGGTGATGGCAGATAATGTGGAAAGAATTCTGGAAAGAGGCGGTCAGCTGGAGAACATGGAGAATCGATCGGAAGCGCTCAGAACTTCGGTAAATAATGCTTCTTCAAATGTTCACCATGAATTGATGATTCTTGCAAATTCCCCGAATTTACAGCAAAAGATTGACAATACCATTTTCCAGGCGACATCATTTAAATCGACGGCTCGGCGCGTCCAACATCATTTCTGCCAGAAAAATCTGAAATACACGATTTGCGTGGTGCTTCTCCTCGCGATTCTCGTCGCAATCGTCGTGCTCAGCATTCTGCACAGCCACGGAACTATTTGAATAAAAAAACCGACAAATTTTGCCTATGTACGAGTTGCCCCCTTGTTTTTCCGCTTCGCCTCCTATACCGATTATCAGTTTGATGCCACAAAAATACCTCATGTCCAACGATTTTCTGTACATTTTCCATGTATCTTTGCCACTTTTCTCGTTTTTCTTCACGTCTCCCCCATCGATGTACTTATTGTTAGTGTAAATTTGTAATGTTGCTTTATTTTTAACTAAATGGAACTCATGAATCGATTTCTGCCATCGGTTTGCGCAAAAAATCCGGAAAATTGCAGATGACCTGTGACCCCGGCCTAAAAACCTGCGGGCTTCAACGTTTCCCACGTGACGACCTTTCGGATTCCCACGTCAAGCCGTCGACGCACTTTTTCGTCAGTTTCCGTTTTCAGCGTCTTTCTTTAAGCTGTACGCTGCTTTTGTGTAGATTTTCTGTGAAATTTTGAAGAGACGTTCTTGTTTGATCGACTATTCTTTCAAAAATGGAGTTTCTTGCAGAATTTTGCACTCGACTTGCACCCCTCATCGGAAAACCGCCGAAATGTCGTTTAAAGTACTAAATTTGCTGAATACCGACGGAGGACTGACCTCGACGAGCCTTCTCAACGAGCAAGTGAGTAATTTTTCACAATAATTAATGAAAACTGTGAAATGTGAGTTTTTGAGTGAAGTTTTATGAGGAAACACGACGAAATCATAAAAAATTGCGAGAACAACGCGAAAATGGCATAAGACTTTAAAGACTGATTGATTTTTCAAATCAAAGTAGAACAACTGGAAAACTTGAAAAATTTTACCGCAGCCTTCATTTATTATAGGGGCACCGCACAGAAATGGCGCTCTGTTGAGAAATTCTTTTTGCAGTGCAAATTGAGTCGGGGCCGAGTTTGAAAATTTAGGCCACGTTTTCAGTGGAAAATTACTTTACGGCCTAGAAATTCGGCCAGATTGCGAACAGCGCGCCCTTTCTGTCCGGTGCCCCTATAATATCTCATTTTCGTGCCAAACTCTCGTGAAAATCGCGTTGAAAATTTGCTGAAAACGCAAATTTGACGTCTCGGTGTTTGCGTATTTCAGCAACCACCGTAACCATTGCCGCTAATTTATTTTGGAACAACTGGCAAGACACAACAAGGAAACGAAAAAATAATTTGCAGCACGCGGCGAGCGGGGACCATCGTTTGTGCCAGTCGGAGAGCGGAGTCGAGCTCAAATCCCTGCTCAAACTCATCGACAAAGAGATTCAGGAGAGTCCGGCCACCGACGAGGACGACGACCTTCAGGAGACGCTCCGCTCGACGGTCCTCGAGGATTCGAATCCGTTTTTCGCCCAGAAGACTTTCACGAGAAACACGGCAAGAACGAGCAATAATGAGGAGGAGCCGAAAGTGACTCTGTCGGAAACGCTCATCGTTCCGGTCAAGAAATACCCGAAATACAATTTCGTCGGACGCATTCTCGGGCCACGTGGGATGACTGTGAAGCAGTTGGAAAAGGAGACCGGCTGCAAGATATTCGTGAGGGGAAGGGCCTCGAGCACGACGTTCAACCCGCACACGAAGGCGACGACGCGCATGTGTCCGTTAAACGGAAACAGCAAACCAACGCTTTCGACCATCTCGCAGGACGCGCTCACCGACGACCCGCTCCACGTGTTCATCGAGTGTCAGGACTACCCGGGCATCGCCGAAAAGAAGTTGGCGCATGCCGTTCAGATCATCTCCGAACTCTTATCGCCGCCTGTAACCTAGTTTTTGCGTTTCTATTTATTTTTGCACGTATTCAGGCGGACGGAAAAGACGAGCTCAAGCGCCAGCAACTGGTTGACATCTCGCTGATCAACGGCACTTACAGAGCCACCAGCTCCTCCACCGACGTCCTTCGTAAGCTTTTTAGTCAAGTCACATGTTCGCCAGGGAATCTTTAATTCGCGTGAAATTTTTCAGTTTCTGCAGGTCAATTCCGTCGTTCGTCGCCGTGGAGCCAAACGGTCGATCCGACAGTGAATCCGGGCGATTTGGAGTTGAAACCGCTCAAATTGGAGCTCAGCGAAATGACCGGACACGGAGATTTGGGATCCGTTTATGGGTTAGTAACGTTTTTTATTTGCTTCAAACCGTTGTTGATCGGTGAGAGAGCAAAGAAACTTTATTCAAGCACAGGTAATCATTTATTTATGTTCTGTTTCGTCGACTCCTTGTTTCGGAAGTTTTCATGCAAAACTTGAAATATCTTGCAGGATCGCTCAACAAAAGCGCATTTGGCAGAAGCCACGTGGCCCGGACACTTCTTCCGACGAATACGCCAAATCGGTGTCTTCGCGTGAATACGTCACCGATATTGTCAACAAAACCAAGGTTTTTCCTCGTTTTTTCCCTTTAAAATCACCTGCTAACCCTCTTTTTCCAGAAAAGCCCGGTGACGCAGACTTCCGACGAATCGCTCTTCAACCTGCCGCAATCGGTCGTCACCGAAACGTTGAAGTGAGCGAATTTCTTGAGAAATGACCCGAAACGAAAGATTTTGCAGAGTGGCGAAGAGCCTGCTCGCTTCGCACAAACACATGTCATTCAGAGCACAATCCGATCACGTTTCTGCCGAAATTCCGAAGTTGGCGAGCAAAGGAACGAATTTCGGAGCCGGAGACGGAGGGAACCGATGCGCGAAGAGTGGTACGCATTTCTTTTGTGCAAAAAATCCCAAAAACCCAAATTTTCCCGATTTTTAAGCAAAATCCATTAAGAACCTTCAAAAATCGATTACAGAGATGCCGCCGCCGCTGATGTCGGGATCCCTGCAACGCGTGCCGCCGTCCGACTTCTTCAACCATCCGAACTCGCCGTCTGCCAATCAATACTTCCAGGACTTCCCCCCGATCCCGTTCTACATGCTCCCGCCGCCCGCAATGTTCTCCCGCCGTTTTTAGGCCCCCTCCTTCATTTTCATGTACAATTGCCATTTGTACTTGATCGCTCGCCATCTTGTACCATTTTTCTAATAGGATCTGAAAAAGGGCTCAATTATTGTTTTACACCACCACCGAATGCCTCGTTTTATTGTTTTACCCCCCGAAAACACTACCTCAAAGAGTATCGATTCATTTCTCAAATTGAAGAATTCAAACGAAAAAGTGAGAGAATAGAAGAGGATTGGGAACAAGAGCGTATTGGGAAAAGAGTGTATGGTACAACATGGAACATGGGATCATTTATCCAGCCGATCACTAGTCTTCGTCCATTTTGAACGGAATCGTCGACTGCTGCTTGTTGCGGAGGATCGCAGCCGGGCCCGAAATTGCCGACTGAAAATTGAGCAAAATTAGAAGTGAATCATGAAAATTCGCTTAGAAATAGGATGCTTAGCGGAAAAATGCTTCTCCAAAAAACAAGCTCCAGTTGAGTTCACACAAATTCCGCACCTTTTTTCCGAAAATCTTGCTGGAGCACGGCGAAAGAGTGCTGTCGGAGGGCGATCCGATGTGCAGTTCGGCCTGAATGTGACGGCGATTTCGGACGGCCGCGGGAGTTTCGTGCGGCAGCGGAACCACCGGAGTCTGCAACGAAAACAGGCGAAAAATGAGAAGAATTGACAAAAACGAACCTTCGACTTGGTCTCGCCGCTTTTTGCGTCGTTTCCGGGCGTGTGCGGCTTCGCGGGCTCTTGTTTCGGTGTGCTCGGCTGGGTGCTCATTCTCTGAACCGAAAAACGATCGGAAATGCGGAAAATCGGGTGATGAATGACGGAAAATAGGCGAAACGAAGCGTGCGATGTTCGAATTCGCCTGATTGGCGCGCGATAAAATATGTGCGGTGGAGCGCACTTGCAACATTCTCCTGAGAGATTTTGTCTGGAAAATGGTGGTTTTGAAAGGCGTTTTGGAAGGGGAAAAGAGGGGAAACGTAAAATTAGACACTTTATCGCTTTTTCCTATTTTTTTCGTAGTTGAGCTCATGAAATAACTGTCCACGGTCTCCAGAGCTGACAATATGAGCGTGGCCTCGGCCAAATGGTGTTTTCATGAATTGAGCAGGTTTTCTCTGATTTTTGTGGTCAACGGCGATGAAAAATGATTGTTCGACATGAAAACACACTAATTCTCACAGAATTAATGACGTTTTGGCGCATTTTTCGCGGACTTTGCTTTTTCGCCTTCGCCGCCTAAAAAGCGCACTTCTCATTTTGCGTTTTCTTGGCCGTTTTCAGACAGAATTGGTTTTGAGAATGATAAATCTCGTAAATACAAGCATTTTGAGCGCTCGAACCGCGAAAACTACCGAAAAGCAACTGAAATTCACGCAGTTTTAGTGAAAAACCTTCAAACGGATAAATGTGATTTGCGACTTGACCAAATTTAACGCTCTTGCGCTTAAAAAATTCGTAATAGCCAATACAATCGGTCTATCGAAAGACAAATGAGAAATTATCGGTTTTTCGTGGCTAATCTGGCAAAAAACACAAATTTTGCTGTTAAAATTTGAATTTCGCGCCAATGTATCGCTCTATTGGGCGGGGCGCACTTGCGCCCATTATCAGCTCTGGAGACCGTACTGTCACTGACCTAATCAATGCTAATTTTTCCGGGAACCTCCCTTTCCACCCCTGACTCATCCTCAAGTCTTCCGTAAAAAGTTCGCTTATCACTTTCTTCCTGTCGGCACACACTTGTTCAAATATCGTATAAAAACGTGTGTGGTTTGCTCGAAACACACCTTTTTCTGAAAATGCAAACTCTCCTCTGTCTATCGATTATTCTCGAATCCGTTGGCTGTTTGGTGGTGCCGTTGAGTCAGTTTCTGAATGGAAACAATGCAGTGTATACGGTCAACAAGAGTTCGCGAATTTATGTGATTTCGAACAGCGATCACGCGATTCTGCGGTCGTTGAATCTGACGACGACGAATGGACTTCAGAATTCGGAGTAAGCGAGCGGGAGGATTCCTTCCTAAACACTAAAAAGATGGGAAAAAGAGAGACCTGTGATGAGTTTAGAATATGTTTTTCCTTCAAGGTCCAAATTTCGGAAGAGCGTGAAACCGATATTCGGCCAAATACAGAAAATATTTGTACTATTCTTGTCTCGGCCGTTTAATCTTTTTTGAATATGTTTTGTTGGAACGAAGTAAACAGGATTTATTTCAATACCGTCTATTCAAAACGATGTACCTCGGCTTCCAGTTGAGATATTGAAAAAGTGTCCACTAGTAAAATGATTGTTGACAGGTTTTGTACATTTTATCAGTTGACAACTTTCAAAAACCTGTTCTGGCAGTTGAGTTATAAGTTATAACTTGAGTTTTCTGTCATCCAGTCAACAATGCTTCATTGTTCGTTTCCAACTTTCATGGATCACGAGTAACAGTGATTACACGGATTGACACGAAACTTTGAGAGTCCCTGTAAGAACCGCTGAAATCGTCATCCCAATTCCAGCGGTTTCACTCTCTCCACACGCCAATCCGACGGCTCGCTGCTTCCTTTGATTCCCTCGAAAGACGGCGACAATCTGACGGTGGCCTACAGAAATACCGACGAGATTTCCGGATGGCTGTACATAAACCACGTGACCGATTATCTGAACGTCTTCCCGCTGGACATGAATTGGACGGATCCGATCGGTTTCAAGACCGGAACCAACGTTTTCTTCCGGTTAAACAGTCCCGCCGTACAGATTCCGGTGGCCAGAAATGTTGTGCTCGGCGATTCCGTAGTGTTTTGTGGGTACGTGGGACTGCCCGACGACGAATTTCCGCTCAAGTTCTTCGACAGTACTTCTATTGATGGGTCAGTTCGGGTTTTTGTGCTTCAAAGTGAGGTCAAGTAATCAGTAAGGTTTGCCTATTTCGTACAACGATATTGAATATTTGTTATTGTCAGTTTCAACACTTCCACTTCACTTTTCACCTCCTCTAGCCTTCTTCTAACCGATGTTCATTGTTGTTTCTAGTGCCACTAACTACTCCCAACTGGAACTTCCCCTCAAAATGTTCCATTTCACCTCGAATGGAGTGAATGTCCAGTACGAAGTCACCTATTCCATGCGAATCGGATTGGTGATTGGAAATAACGGATTGATAATGTCCGATGACTTTCCGTCGCCGATTTTAATCACAAACAACTATCATCTTCTGAATGCGAACAATCATAATATCGACAGTTATTTTTTGGTTTGTGGTTTCGTGAGGTGTCTAGCGAAAGCAATGTTTTCAGCCGCGTCTGGACTGGAATCAAAACTACGCGGTGAACATGACTCTCTACTTCCCCGAACCCCTCGATCCCCTCTTCTTCCCGATCCCGTCCTGGGGATCCACTAACATCAGCTCGAACAGTCCCGTCAATCGGATCCTCGTCTCTTCCGGCGGTCCATTTGCCATTCAGTACCGGATGACGGACACGTCGGCCACGACGACGGCGAATCCATTTGAGACGTCCACCAGATCCAGTGGATTCGTGAGCCTCATGACTGTGTTTTTGACCGTTTTCACGATGTTCCTTCGAGTTTTTGTATGACATTCGGAATGAAAAAGTTCGGAAACTTCAAACTTTGCATGATCATCAGCAGAGTTGAGCGGAAGAACACGGAAGAATTTTTATCTTTTTTAGAAAATTTTTTCATGAAATGTGATCAACTGACGAAATGTATAGCAAAGTGAACTGTGCTCATAGAAAAATAATTGTAAATTTAACTTTTCATACAAAAAAGTTATTCGAGTTGTTCCGTGAAAATGTCATTTCGTCTTCCCCGTTAGCCCTTTTTTCACGCAACAACTCGAATAACTTTTTTGTATGAAAAGCTAAATTTACAATTATTTTTCTATGAGCAGAGTTCACTTTGCCATACATTTCGTCAGTTGATCATATTCCATTAAAAAATTTTCTAAAAAAGATAAAAATTCTTCCGTGTTCTTCTTCCGTTGAGTTCTTCCGCTCAACTCTGATCATCAGTCTATCTCGAAAGTTTCTGATCAGGAAGCCCGTTTCAAAGAATTGATATCCGAGCAGTTAGAGTCTAATCTGTCATTACATTATCACGTTTTTAAACGGGGTATTCAAATTATCGCTTACCGTTTCCCAGAGGGGTATTCTGACAATGTAAGAGAAGAATTTAAGTTAGCTAAGGAATAAACGACTTTATTGAGATCATAAAAGTATATCAAAAATACAGTAACTGGCGTCAAAAATTTACAGCGATAATACCGGTGTTAGTAGCGAGAATCTGTGGAAATGGACAATTTCGGATCGGTTTCGAGCCACGGCGCGTCGAAATCGTAGTACAACGGCTCGGCAAGCCATTTCTGAAAGATTTCGCCTTGAAAATACAATGAACGCCTTCGAAACAGACCGAATTGATTCGCGGAATGAATTCCATGGCGACGAGGCAGTAGTAGGTCTGGAAAAGAGGGGTTTAGGAGTAGTGTGGGGCGAGGAAAAAGTACCAAATAGGCGATGAACACGATGTAAATGACGGCGAAGACGATGGTGATCGGAACGGAGACGTCGTTGTAGCCGAACGTGGAGCCGATCCACGAGTAGAGGAAATAAAAGTTGATTATTAGAATTATGAGGGAGATGGCGATGGCGACGGCTTTGGAGACACTGAAATGGACAGAGATTGGATGAGGAAAGTGATAATTCACAGCATAGTCATGTTTTGTGTTCCAATATTTCAATGTAACACTGTTGTGCCAACTTTTAAGATATTGCTTGATAGAATTCTACTGTATCTCAAAATTAAAAGGTTCACGCGGAAAACGACATCCTCAATTACGTTGAAACAGTTGGCAATAACATAATGATGAAACATTAAACGTTTGACACTATTCTTTCTGTTTCAATCTAACTTGAAACTTGTGGTATACCTTTACGCTACTAGAGATTGATAAACAGAATGAAGAAAAACAATAAACGTTAAAAGAATAGTGAAAAACTAATTGCTACAAGATGAAACATTAAAAATATGCCATTCTACTTGCCCTTTTGTCTCGTCAGTAAGCCTAGTTAACTAAAAGTTGAACTAATATGCCCTTTTCAAAACTCTCATAAAGCCCCCTTGTATTTATAAATCTCCAATTTCCAAATGACAATCGTGTCAGTTTTTAGTCACAAATCTGTCATTTTCCAACTAAAAAGTCGATAACAAATGTTCAGAATACCTTGCCAACTTGTACTCGTGCATAATATTCCTGTCCGACACGAACGTGAGGACTGGAATCAAGGCGAACGGCAATTGGATCAACTGAAATATCATTGGATTAGAATGCGAACATCCCGGAATCCGAACCGACCTGAAGACAGTTCAAAAAGTCGTTCAAACTCGAAATATTATCGATTCCGCCGGAGAAGATGACGACTGCGAGGGTGGGCAGAATGGCCAGCGACCGGGTGATCAGGATACGCTTCCATTGCGGCAGTTTTATTTGGATAAAACCCTGCAATTCCTTTTTTTTTTTTAAATATACACTTTGTTTCCCCGACAACATCCTCATCGATTCGAAAATAGAACTTTAAAAAGCGTGTAGATGGCAAGGAATTTGCTTAAAATTAGCGCAACTTTTGTCGCGTTGAGAAATTGAGCAATGTTGCCAAAAAAAGTGTGATTATTTGACGGACCTCCATCGCAAACTGTCCCGCATAAGTGCCGGTCATTGTGGAAGACTGTCCGGCGGCGAGAATGCCGACGGCCCACACGTAGAGTGCGAAGATGCCGAACGTGCAGCCGAGGAAGATGCCCGCGTGGTAGATGTCCGACTGCGCGGCGTCCGAATCGTCCGGGAATTCGACTTTGTAAAAGTCCGGCATTCCGTTGTGCGTGTTGTTGTAGCACTCTTGTCTCTGCAAATCGGATCGAGTTGAGTTCAGTAGTGACTGTTTCACTTTGTCCACTTACTTCCGTTCCTTTATTTCTGTTACTCGGTAGATAAAGACCAGTTTAAGAGAGTTCCAGGGTAGGGGAAGAAGACAGCGGTTGGGCAAGGGCCTATTTTAGTTCGGGGTGCACGGTCTCCAGAGCTGACAATGGGCGCGCAAGTGCGCCCTGCCCAATAGAGCGATACATTGGCGCGAAATTCAAATTTTAACAGCAAAATTTGTGTTTTTTGCCAGATTAGCCACGAAAAACCGATAATTTCTCATTTGTCTCTCGATAGACCGATTGTATAGGCTATTACGAATTTTTAAAGCGCAAGAGCGCCAAATTTGGTCAAGTCGCAAATCACATTTATCCGTTTGAAGGTTTTTGGCTAAAACTGCGTGAATTTCAGTTGCTTTTCGGTAGTTTTCGCGGTTTGAGCGCTCAAAATGCTTGTATTTACGTGATTTATCATTCTAAAAACCAATTCTGTCGGAAAACGGTCAAGAAAGCGCAAAAGTCTAATTTTAACCGGCTTGAACAGCTCTCTGTTCACCAACCCTTTTCGCTACCGAAGACTCCGAGTATAATCCATAAAACGGTACCTCTTTGACCCCAAAAACTCACAATATCGTGATTGGTCTTTCCGAACATTCCCTGCGCGAACACCGAAATGACAAGAGTGTTGATGATGAACGAGACGAAGAGGGCGAAGGCGCTTTCGATGAAAAAGTACTTGTTCGCCTCCGTCACTTTGTCCGCACGACGACGATCCACTTTTCGGCTCTGGAAACATGGTTTTTAAGAAGCACTGTCTCCCCTTCGGCCAAAAAAATTTTCGGCTCTCAGTGTCGATTTACGGGACACGGTTTTTCAACTGAAAACGATGTTTTCCCGGGTTTTTCGGATTATGCACACTTTTCCTTCAAAACTTTTGGCTCACGTTTGTTCATATGATCGATAGCTTCAAAATGATTACAGAGTGCTCGTGTAAAAGTGAAAATACGAAGAGTAATTCCGTTTTTTTTTAAATTTGGCTTGAAAAAACGAACTTTCGGAAGTTTTGAAAAAACAATTGACAGAATCGAAAAACAGTTGCCCCACGATTGTTTAGCAGACAAAGGCGGTCATTTTGAGCACAGAGACGGCCCATAAAATGCAAAAATCACTGAGAAATTTCAGTTTTTGAGGTGCCGGACTGAAATTCACAGAAAAATGAAAAATGCGCTGTTTCTTGTGGGCAAAACGCTAATTTCAGATCACAGCTGTCGTAAGCTATTCGGACAATCCCTGTTTTACCTAATTTTCCTTATTTTCGGATGAAATTTCGAGTTTTCGCAAAAAAATCCAGAAATTTCAGAGACCTGCTTTTGTTTTCAACGACACTCCGTTTTAACGCGGCGCTCAATTTAGCATTAGCCATTGGGGAGACAACACTTTTGGCTACTGTATTCCTGGATCTGACTGGCGCTCTGACATTTGTGAGCAGCTTTTACATAGTTTTCAAACTTGTATTGGACTTTTCAATGTTTTCTAGGCTTCGTCCAGCCAGTTGAGAATCCGAAAACAGTCAATTGTGACTGTAAGCCATTAAAACGGTGTCCCCCTCAGATTGAAAGAACCAAAGTTCGATTCGTTATCATTTTGATCACTGATCTCTGCTCTTCGCTCACCTTGACGAGGGCGGAATGCAAATAAAAGTTGTGCGGCATGATGACGGCTCCGATGATCGCGACTCCCTGCATCATCATGTTGTTGTCGCACCCCGTACACCACGGAACGAACATTCCAGAGAACATTTTACCCTGAAAACCAAAAGGATTACTACTAGACGACACTGTTTGCTTCAAAAGCGTACGGCGTCGGGCGCACTTCTGCCGAACTCGTATCCGAAAGTGGCCGCCATGCAGGTGATGAGAAAACAGAAGAAGAACTCGAACTTTCGCACTCCGTACTTTTCGAGGAACAAAAATGTGAACGTGTCGAAGATGGTGATGAGCACTCCCGCCCACAGCGGAATTCTGCAAATTTCATGGTGTTCAGAACGAGTTGAAACAGAGAAATCTCCAATTTTTGCAAGTTTCAAAAACGTTTGAACAGGTTCGGTTCGAATCGAATTATCACTGATTTCTCTTCTTTGTTGCGTTCAGAAAATCAACACTCTCAACAATACCGTCGATTCAAAGCGATGTATCTCAGCTGCCGCTGAAGATATCGAAAAGTTGTCAACTGATAAAATGTGTAAAATATTTTAGCGAACATTTTATTTGTTGACAACTTTTTGATATCTCTATCGGCAGCCGAGATATATCGCTTTGAATCGACTCTATTTTCGCAACGAAAAAACGTCTGGATAGAATGAATCGAATAGTAAGAAATTCATGAAACAGAAGTTATTTTTTGCTATCCCCTCAACTCACACTCCATTCGAAAGCAGATAAAACGAGATGGCGGTGCCGATGACCTCCTGCATGTCACTTCCCACAATCGCCGACTCCACGAGCATCCACAGAATGAGGCGCGGGACCTTCGGGTAGTACGAGAATGCGATTTCGGCCATGTGCTTCCCGGAGACGACTCCGAGACGGGCGGCGAGTCTCTGCAGGAGCAGACCCATGATGTGAGCCATCATAAGGACCCAGATGAGTTTGAAGTAGGAGACAGCGCCCGCCTGCAGGTCACTTTCAATGTTTCCCGGGTCGAGGTACGCGATGGACATGAGAAAACCGGGACCGGTGAACGACCACAGCTTGCGCCACGAGAACGCCGTCTGCAAAAGTGAACTGATGGTTAGAGTCGGTCAAATATCATTTCCGTTTCAAAAAGTGCATCAATTTTTGTGAAGTTTCATCAAAACCTAGTATAGGGTTCCATCTTCCATTAACTTACGTCGGGCGTATCGTCAATCTCGACCTGAACCTCATAAGTCTGCTGGGCGGCTCTCATGCTCGGCTTCTCCGCATACTGCTGCTCTTCCGTCTCTTTTTCCGGCTTCTCGTCGCTCATTTTCGGCTGAAAACGGTAAAAAAAATGAATCGAAATGAGTGGTAGACAAAACCACATGATAAAAAGAGACGATAACAAAACATCAGCCATCAATTTTTAGCTGATCACAAACAAATGATCTTTTAGGGCTTTTAGGCCAGCGAAACTTTGAAAAGTGGCGAGTTAACTACCGTTTTATACTCTTTGCTCCCTGCCGTTTTCCAGTTTCACACGTTTCCCGGTCTCGGGCTTTCGTCGATGAACTTTCAGCGGCGAGTTTAAAGAGAAACTGCACTGAAAAGTGAGAGAGAGACACTTTTGTGTGCCGATTATCACCGATCTCGGAAACACCGAACCGTTATCAGCCGGCGGCGGCTCCGCCACTTTCGGCCCGTTTTTAATTTATTCACGTTCTCCTCTCGTCGTCTCCACGGGCGCCGCGCTATTTCGGGCCGGATCCTTGATCAAAGTTGACAATTGCTTATCGCTTTTGTCATTCTAGCGTTGTATGACGGTCGTGACGGAGGAAAGGCGAGCAAAGAGCCAAACGGGGCACGGTTTCGAGCAAGTGGTTTGTGAACACGAATTGAAAATTGAAAAGTGCAAGAAACAGTAGATTTTCGTCAATTCGTCACACTTTTGCACAAAAATTACCGAGTTTTGACGATAACATCATATTTAGTGTCGATCGGGCACCCTTTGAATTGCAGATTATTTCAGAAGGTTGTAAATTTGTAAACGTTATAAAACGTTGACTTTAATTTGATTGAAATTCTGCAGAAAAAGAGGATTGTTTCTTATATTTCAGAAATGAGGAGAATATGATAGTTGATTTCGTTTCTGGTAATTTACTCAATTTCCAAGACAATATTCGAATACTGTCCATTCAAAGCGATGTATCTCAGCTGGCGATGGAGATATAAAAATGTTGTCAACTAGTATATTGTTCATCTGAAAATTGTGTACATTTTATCTGTTGACAACTTTTTGATATCTTCTACGGCAGCTGAGATACGTCGTTTTGAATGGACGATATTCAGTTCACAGTTACAAGACATTCATAACCACAATTTTACTGAATAACAACTCTGTTTCCCGCAAATTCAATTCAATTTTTGTGACCTTTTTCTGGCAGGTGTGAGAAAAACCGATATTCACATAGAGACGGGATTACCGTCCAAACGGACCCTTTCCGATTGTTATGACCTAAATGAAACTGTATTCAAACATTCTACTTTCACGGCAAAGCATACTGAGGAGTGGAAATTATGAAGCTCTAACTTCTCTCAGAAACCTTACATTTACCTCTGACCTGGCTCCTGTTGAAGAACCCAGTAAAATTGAACTCTTATCAAAAAATCAGAGGTCCCTATGTTCGATTTCTGAAGATATATTGAAAGAACCGAAAGTCGTATGTATGAAAAGCCGGTCCGTGACTTTCTTCGAGGTTTTTCCAAAGCATCTCCCTCTACTTTGTTATATTGTTGGCCTTTATGCAAGTGCATCCACTTCCCCCCTTCCTTATCACTTTTTGCTTATCATTCCGTTTCGCTTCCCTTATTCACCCACTCGTTTTCCCGTCGAAATGCCCAAAATTGCAGTGTTGGGTGCCGGAATCAATGGAATCGCCACTGCGTTGGCCATTCAACACAACATTCCACATGCGGAGGTGAGCTTTTATTGAGATTATCGATTTTTCGTGCGGCACGGCCGGCGGACTAGAAAACGCGTACTTCTCGTGCACTTTTCCGGAAAATGCCGCAAAATTGGGGTGACTTTGAGCGTTTTTTCAAAACTATTAATGAGAATGACACGTACGCTTGCTGAAACTGTGAATATTGTTTAGGTGACAGTGATTGCGGACAAGTTCTCACCGGAAACGACGAGTGACGTGGCGGCCGGATTCATCGAACCGTACCTTTCTGACGATTCCGACGACAGAATTATGTTCGTTACTTTTGCAGTTTCAACTAAAATGCTTAAAGTTTCAAACTATAGCTAGCTACTTTAGCTAAGTTTATAAACAAACGCCAGAAACTTTCAGAAAATGGACGTCCGCCACAATTTCGCGAATCAAAGAGTACGTGGCCGCCGGAAATTCGGGCGCAGAGGTACTGGGTAGTCTACAGTAATGCGCCGCGCAAACAAACCACCACATCCAGTTTAGGAAATGTCCGGATACTGGCTGCAAAGTGAGAAAAAAGTGCCAAAATGGCTGGAGATTATGAAAAATGTGCACGTTTTGAGCGAGTCGGAGATGGAAAAAGTGCGAAAGAGACCCGAGCACAGGTGGGAACGTTCTGGAAAGATTTTATTGGCTCTTTTTGAAGATTCGGGATATTCTTCACCACGTGGTACCTGGAACCGACCGGCTACATCCGATGGACGACCGAACAGTTCCTGAGCAGCGGCGGCACGATTCGCAGGAGCCGAGTGGACAATATCGATGACGTGGCGGCGGAGGGATACGGTGTGATTGTGAACTGCACCGGATTGGGCTCGCGGCAACTGTTCGACGACGAGGAGATCCATCCGGTCCGCGGGCAGATCATGCGGGTCCAGTGCGGGGCCGTCAAGCATTTCCTCTACGACGGACAATATTACGCACTGCTCAAGTTAGTTCTTTTTGGGGCTATTCAGCTGTTTTCCGTTTCTTACATCGCTGAATTCGATTTTTTGACGTAAAAAAACGGAAAAAATCATTTTTTCACAGTCTAAATAACCCCATTATTGAAGTTTGGTCCGAAACCGTGAAACTAGACACTAGATGTGTTGAAGTGACAAGTGCTCAAGTTGAAACTGTTATCAAACTCTTTCAGCGACTCGTGCATAATCCTCGGCGGAACTGCGCAACCAAACGACTGGAACCTCTCGATCGACGGGCCGACAGCGTCGAGAATATTCCGTGAGAACTGCGTGAACATCCCCTCGCTCCGCACCGCCCGAATTCTTTCCCATCACGTGGGTCTCCGTCCGTTTCGGCGCGAAGTCAGGCTGGAAGTGGAGCGGAGGAACGGAGCTCCGATTGTGCACAACTACGGTCACGGAGGATCCGGAATCACTTTCCACTGGGGCTGTGCTCTCGAGACGGTCCAGCTCGTCCGGACGGTTTTGGAGGAGGATGAGAAGAAAGCAAAGTTGTAAATGTTTGATATCGACTTTTTGAAAATTGCCACTGAAAGACAAACTTTGATAATAGCAACGTAACAGAAGTTGTGTTTCAACTGCTCACTTTCAATTCTAACTCATACGCCAACTCAATTTCATCTATTTTCTGACCCCCCTGCAGTTGAACGGACAATATCCGATTTCTGACTCCCCCCTCTTTTAGTCACGCCGTTTCGTAAAACCACGTTCTTCCGCTGATCTCTTCTGCCAAAGTTCACCGCCGTATTAATCATATTGGCGAGGAGAAATTTCCACAAAAAAGTATGCAAATGACACGCATTTGCATCGTTTTGTTCGCATTTAACAATATCAACAATACTCTCGCTCTTTTTTTTCTCTGTCTGAAACCCAACCCAATGTGAACACTTCTTTTTTTTTGTTGCTAAAAATGACAGTTTCGTACGCGCTGACCGTCTCCTCCGTCAGCTATTGTGCATTTCTAAAGTTGTTGCGAAAATGGAGAGGATCGATTTTGAAAGCCGTGTGGGCGGAGCTTCTTGTCTGGCTCATTTTGTACGCAATCATCGCGATTATCATCAATTTGTGCTGTCCGATTGAGGCCGTCAGGTTTGTGAATTCAAAGTGATGTATCTCAGTTGTGGGTGGAGATATCAAAAAGCGGTCAACTGATGAAATGAGCGTTTTGAAATTGTGAACATTTTATCAGTTGACCACTTTTTGCCATCTCTACTGACAGCTGAGATACCGTAGTTTGAATGAACAGTTTTAATGGATTGCTATTGAAAACCTTTTGTTGCAGCCGATTTTAAACAGACAATAATTTTTAGACACATCAGCAATGAGCTGGCCCGTTTGAATGGCCATTTGGAGAGTTTGGATCTGAAATTCATGCTCGGCTTTTTCGTGACGATTGTGGTGGACCGATGGAAGACTATCCTACAGAATATCAGTTTTATTGAAACGTACGAACCTCCTGCACATGAACTGAAGTATTGTCGGACAAAACTTTGATGTGAAGGGCCTGAAACTAAAGAAGAAAAAACTTGCTCAGTTTGACCAATTTCATAAACTTTTCGGATAATCTGTAATTTGGTCCGTATTGATCGGATGCGAAATTGTAATTTTATTAGTTAAAAATTAACTTTTACGACCTCAAATACTCGTAATTTGCACATTATCTCAGTTCAGCGTGGCACTTTCTGTGAGTACAATCATTCGCGGAAAAGACGATAATGTGCGGCTGGCGAGACGATCGATAGTACGGTATTTGGTGCTTTCGCAGGTATACTGTAGCAATGCCCGCATTCAAAACGATTTATCTCAACTGCGAGTGGAGTTATCAAAAAGATGTCAACTAATAAAATGTTCACTAAAAAATTGTGTACATTTTATCAGTTCACCACTTTTTGATATCTCTGCCCACAGCTGAGATACAGTAGTTTAAATAGAATCCGTTCAGGTAATGGTGTATCGTGACATATCCATGAGGGTCCGAAGACGATTTCCAACTATGAAAAGCCTTGTGGAAGCCGGTAAATCACAATTTTTCCCCGGTATTCCAATATTTGTCAAAAAAAAAGGTTTTCTATTCGAAAATGAGCTGCGGGAGCTCGATTCGACTGAAAATGTGTTCAACAAGTACTGGATGCCCATCAATTGGTGCAATTCGATTGTTTGGAGAATGCAAGAGGTAATAGTATGCAATTCGGATGTCTTTTTCAAAAGACTTATTCATGTTTCGTCAAACCACTCGATTTTCAGCAGAAATACATTGACGCGCCAGTTTCCACGAATAATGTTTTGAATGTAAGCTCGTTTCCCTTCCGGACGCCTCAAAACTCATTCAGAATATTCGAGACTTCCGGATTCAGCTGGAGAATCTCTGCAAATTCGACTGGGTGCCGATTCCGATCGCTTATCCACAGGTTTCCAGACAGTTTTGACGCCAGAAACTACCAGGATTTTAGGTGGTCTTCCTCGCGGTCCGCATCGTTTTCTTCTTGGCACTCTTCACGAGACAGTACATTCCGGTCGACGAGTTCGGCCTTGTGAGTACCTTTTCGCATTGGAATCTTTGAACCTTCTGCCCTTATTTTCTAGTTGACCACTTTTTTGTACAGCAACTCGGAAGACTACTGTAGCTATTGGAAGTAGGTCCACTTTTTTCTCATAAAACTACTTCGTAAGGGCGCTCTACTGCACACCACGTGCGATTCAGCGCGAATTTGCAATAGTCTTAAAGTGTGGTACAACTTCCAAGAGCTACAGTAACCCAGGGAGTGGTCGTACGAAAAAGTTGTCAACTTCAAAAATCAAGATTTCAGTGGTACCGCTACATTCCCCTAATGCCCGCAATGTCGTTTCTTTTCTACGTTGGATGGATGAAAGTGAGTTAATGGCTTTTTGCAATAAAATCCATGAAAAGTACGTTGACAGGTGGCTGAAGGCCTTCTGAATTCGTTCGGAGAAGACGACGATGATTTCGAAGGAAATTGGGTCATTGACAAGAATATTACGGTTTGTTATTCATCATTTATTGAATTGCACAGACAAATTCCGTTATTTTGAGCACTTTTTTGCAGACCGGAATGGAGATAGTGGACGGAAGTCACGCAGAGTGTCCCGATTTGAATATCGATCGGTTCGCCGACCCGAAATTCGGTCCCATGTACCCGATTTTGCTCGAAAATGCGACGAACAACCTGCAAGGATCGGCCGCCGACGTTGTGTGAGTGAAACTACCAATATCGTTGCGTTAGATTTGCCATTTTGCTCAAAAATCATAATAAATCTCCTCATCTTTGGACACTTGGATCTCGAGATCCGATGAGTTTCTCCAATAGTGGTCCACCGAAAAGATGTAGCCAATCTTGTGCTTAACAACTTTTTCATTGAACATTTCACTCCAAAACTTGTCCGAAACTCCGAAAAACTTGTAGACTGGAGTAACGTTTTTGCAAGATACATATTCGGATTTATATGGATTGGTTGAAACGCGAAAATCTAGTTGACTAGTGCTTCAAAATCCTTTTCCAGAATCCCAGAAACGTCTCGGATGGTGCACGTGGACAGCCAATCGTCAATGGCTTCTGAATCGAACAATCAACCGAGACAGTCTTCGATTCGAAGAAGGTTCCAGAGATTGAGCTCACGGTTGAAGTTGGGGTACGTTTCGGAAGTGTACAATATCGGAAATGAGTTTAAAGGCGAACCACGTCGGCGCCAAGGATCACCATCAAATCACCGGCGGCTGACAGCACGCACAGTGCGTTCAGCAGTTAGTTTCCAGAACAAATCGGTTCTTTAATGATATTGACGGTTTAGATCTGGAATTTGTGACCGAGGAGAGTGAGGATCCGCGAGCCGACATGAGGATTGAGATGGATAATAGCGAGAGGGGGAAGAAGTAGAACCAGTTGATTCCAAACAAAATATCTCAACTGTCTGTAGAGATATCAACAAGTGGTCAACTAATAAATTGTAGACAATTTTGTGGGGATCATTTTATCAGTTGACAACTTTTTGATATCTCCTCAGACCGCTGAGATACATTGCTTCAAATAGACGGCACCGTTCAATTACCGGTTTTACGGTGATTGCATATTGTTTTCGTGATATTGTTCTAATAAATTATCCTCTTTGTACGCTTTAAGACAAGAAAATTGAGAAAAATGAACATTTTTTATGGAATTTCGTGTAAAGATGCATTTGCAGACGAAAATGAAGTGCAGCGGAGCGCGTTTGCTTCGGTGTTTTGACGTAATCGAGTTGGAGCTGTCATTGACGCAAAAAGGAAGTTATCCGATTTCCGCGTCGCCGCAAAACCCAATTTGCAGTCGATTTTGACTCGTTTTGACCGCTTTTCTACCCCGATTTTTCAAGTTTTCACCGGGAAAATCGCTGAAAATTAGCCATTTGAAACCGGAAAACACAACAATTTTGAGCAAAAATTTCACCTATTTTTAGCACAAACTTTAGCAAAAACATGAGTTTGAAAGCAAAAATAAGTGGGTGCAATTGGGTGCCGGTCCCTCATCAATCATCTATTTTTCAGTTCTACGTCATTCGTCATCAACCCTTCATTTTTCATTCGAATTCAAGTACATTCACTATTGTTCTTCGGTTTTTTTTTCTGAAAAAATTCTGAGAAGAGTGAAAAGGGAGGTCTGTTTTTGACGTGCTCATTACATCTTTTTGTCTACATTCTGCTATGACGAACACTGAAATTTTATCGAAAAAGTTGAAACCGAGAAACCGCATTTGTGAATCAGTTGCCATTCAAAACGATATATCTCAGCTGTAGGCAGAGATATCAAAAAGTGGTCAACTGATAAAATGTACACAATTTCTTAGTGAACATTTTATTAGTTGACATCTTTTTGATATCTCTATCCGCAGCTGAGATACATCACTTTGATTGAACAATACCTCTTAAAACTGGCTCCCTTTCACTACTACCATAATTCTTAGTTGTTTTTAGTGGTTCTTTAATAGTCTTTTACGTCGATTCATCGCTTTCCAAACTTCACGTAGGTTGGGTCAATTTGACAAACTTCGGGTTTCGAAACTGAAATATTTGTTGATCTTCCGTTTCAAGAAGGCCGAATAAGTTTGCCACTGTAGGTAATTCACTGATTTGCAATCTTCTTTTCAAGTAGATTTCCAATCCCAAAAAGCGTTTTGTTCTCTGTCAACCCAACCCAACCCGATTATTATCGTATGACAAAAAACCAAATGATATCACTCTTAACCTTTCTTGGTTTCCTAACGGGATTCTTCTGAATGCCTCTGTTTCGGAAGCTCATTTCATAGTCTAATGCGCAAATTTCACAATTCTTGATGAAAACATGCGAGTAATAATGCAGAATTCGTTGTTATTGCAGAAAAGTTATGCTCCGTCGGAGATGACATCAATTCTCGATGTCAAATGTCAGATTCCGATGTGTTTTTCACTTTTCATCCTTTTTAATTTCCACAAACTCTCATCCTCTTCCTCATTGGCTTTTCGAGTGGGAAGCAGTGAGAAAGATTCGCAGAAATGTAGAAATGCATTGCCATCTTTATCGTTGTTTCGATAGTTTCACACATTTTCACAAACGTACTGGGATTTGTGATATATTATCCTAATCATATTTCGTATTTTCTTTAGTAATTGGATCTCGTCCAAACTTTAGGGTTTTTAGAGTGCGCCCACGAAAAGTAGGTACTTTGAGGCCCCTGAATATGATTTTTGAGAATAATGATGTACTACAGTACTCACGAAACTTTTGACGCTCTATCCAATGGTATAAGTAACTTCAGCACCAGAGTTGAGCGGAAGAACTCAACGGAAGAAGAACACGGAAGAATTTTTATCTTTTTATGAAAAATTTTTCATGGAATGTGATCAACTGACGAAATGTATAGCAAAGTGAACTCTGCTCATAGAAAAATAATTGTAAATTTAGCTTTTTATACAAAAAAGTTATTCGAGTTGTTGCGTGAAAATGTCCTTCCGTCTTCCCCGTTAGCCCCTTTTTTCACGGAATAACTCGGATAACTTTTGTGTATGAAAAGCTAAATTCACAATTATTTTTCTATGTGCAGAGTTCATTTTGCTATACATTTCGTCAGTTGATCACATTCCATGATAAAATTTTCTAAAAAAGATAAAAATTCTTCCGTGTTCTTCCGTTGAGTTCTTTTGCTCAACTCTGTTCAGCACTGACAAGAGAAGGTTGTGCCCCCCAACTTGGAAAAATCTTGATCTCAAAAAAATCGGAATAACTCTGAATAGCACGCTCAAATTTTTTTGGCTGTTTCACTTTTTTTCAGCAAGTTTAGGAGGATAAGCAGAAAAATAATTTAAATATGCTCACGTAGGAGGTCAAATAAGCTCTTCAAACGCACTTTGGAACGTTCTAGAAAAATCCAAACACTTCGGCCTAATTCTGAAAAATTGAGCGTGATTTTCAGAATTTTTTTCTGATTTTTTTGAGATTTTTTTCAGAATTTTTTTAAGTTGGGGGTCACAACCTTCCCTTGTGAGTATTACTGAAAAGACTTTAGAAGAACATTGCAACTATATGATCCGATTCTCTACAAAACAAAGCGTCATGTAACAGAAAATTTGTGTATCAAATGGAAGTTTAGAAAAAACTTTACAGTTTCAAGAGTATCATTTCAATCGAAGACGATTAGATGCTTATAAAATGATTCTGCCCGTTGCTCTTTTTGTGAAACCGTGTTACTACCATCCATCTGGCGTTAGTTTTGCTCCCAAAGTGTCTATAACTGTTGCTCAAACTTTACTAGGCGCATGATTTCGAAATGTTAACTAAATTTGTGCAAATAAAACAGAAATGTACCATTGCGGTTTCAACTTGTATTCGAAAAATGTATGTAGTCACTTTCTGAACTGATGTTATGTCACTTGACATGAAGCTATCAAGGTGAAATGATCAAAAATCTCGGGAACCCCTTCATTTTCGGAATTCGCACAAAGTCGGCTCTTCGCTTTTCTAGCAATTTCCTTCTTTTTCCTCATGTTAATAAAACTTCCGCCCTCCTCAATAATTCGTAATGAGCTCATTTCCAGCTTCTCCGCCAAATGCTCGGGCCCGTTTTCCTGCTGCTCACCGTCTTGTCCGCGCACGCATTCCGCGGCCTTCCCAGCCTTCCCGGCTATTTGAATGCGTTCGGCACGACGAGTTCTTCCGCCGAAGCGGACAATAGCGGACGCTTTTATAACCGTGGACTGAGGGTCAAAACCTATCCGAGGGTCTACAACGGACTGGAGAATCTCGCGGAGCTCAAGGAGGTGGGCAATCTAGCAACAATATAGCAATTGTGGGTGGAAAATGCACAAATTTGGTTCAAAACTCAGAAAATACCACTATGTTCGTCTTTATCCCAAGTGCAATTGAAAAAGTTTCAATTTCAGAGAGTCTATTTGAAATTTAAGTAAACTAGCCTTGCTGTGATTCCAGAAAGACCCGGTGCTGAGCCAGATCCGGCAGAACGTCCAATTGGACATTCAGAAGATCAGCGACGAGGTCGGATTGGTCTCCAAACAGATTTCCGCCATTTACAACGATCAATCGATTAGTGTGGAAGCGAGAAACAGTGCGATACAGGCGCTCACCGATAAGTATCCAAAGGTACGCTTTCAAGCCTACGTATCTCAGCTGAGTGTAGCGATATCAACAAGTTGTCAACTGATCAAATGTAGACAAATTTGTGAGGATCATTTTATCTGTTGACAACTTTTTTATATCTCCACTGGCAGCTGAGCTACATCGCTTTGAAATTTAGAATTGCAAGGTTTCATGAAACTGTAATATTTTCTTCAAAAGTCATACGTATAAAATGGTTTTCTGCTTCTAGAACATTAGAAAAGACATTAGAAAAGATCACACATCAGTTACGTTCCCGACATAAAAACTTTGCAGATAGTGCCCGCGCTTCTCAATTTGATTGGGAAAATTCACAAAATCAACCACTACAACTCGATGCAATACGAAAGATTGTAGATATCTGATGGAATAAACGATCAACTTGTTTCTCTTTTTCTTTTATTATTCAGTTGAAGCAGTGAAAGGAAATATAGGAAACTCATTTTTTACACATCCAGCGGGACCCCAAAAAAAACCCCCAAAAAGCTCAAAAATCGTCTAGAAAGTGGGCAGTCCCTCTCTGTTCACTGCCTTCCCGATAACCGATAACAATTCGTCGTCCAAACATTTCCCGCCGTCATTTCCGGGCGTCGGCTGATGTTGAAATCACGTGATAAGGAGAGACAGTTTTATTACACTTCAATATTGTCAAAAATACATGAGAGAAATGAGCGGTCTAGAATCCGTGGTGCTGTCGGTGGTGCTTCTGATTGCCGTACGGATCGTAGTTCACTCTGCCGTCCTCATGCGGTCTCGGCGGCTCGGCGCCATGTCCGATTCCGTGGTGCTTCGGTGCGGCGCCGTGTCCGATATTGCGGGCCGCCCTACTCTTCGGCCCCTTTCCCTCAAAACGTTTTCCGTGGTGGAATCGGTGGCCGTGGCCGTGGCCGTGATTTTCGCCGCGGCCGTGGTCTCCGACGAACGGATAAAACGACTGGAATGCGCGCGAAACGTCGCGGTTCTCGTCCTTCAGAAGCGTCTCCAACTTGTCGTTCGCCGACTGCCACGTGTTCTCCTCGGACTCTAGAATCGCATCGGCATTCGAGATGAGCTCGCCGAGCCGCGCGTAGTTTTCCTTTCGCTCCTGACGCTTCTTCTCGCAGTCGGCCTTCTTGTCAGCAAGAAATTTCTCAGTTTCTTCCTGCAAACGAAAAGGATTCTCGCAAGTTAAAAAAAAAATGGGGTTCCGTGGAAACAGAGGGGTGTACATATCTATGGGACTTGAACCGATTGAAAATAGCAAGTGTGGCCAAAAGTTGCCCGTTTCTTAGAGTCTCTTTGAAACCGAATAACTTTCCAATTCTCACCTCCACATCGTACTTGGTCGCCCATTCCCTAAACTTCTCCGTCTTGTCCGCTTTTGTCAGATTTCTGTTCATTTTGACGGAGAAGAAGGCGCTTTTGGCCTCTTCGGGCAGATCCGCCAGGAACTCCGGCTCCTTCTTCTTCCAGTCGTGCTTCTTCCACGGTTTTACCACCTTCGAATCGGCGGATTGCTGAAAAATGGCGGTTTTGACGGTTTTGAAAGGGGGAAATTGAGAGAAAATTGGACACTTTTGAGACAGCGACAAGGGTTAGCGGAGATATTGTGAAACGAATGTACCTCTTGCTCCTCACTACTCTCACTCGACTTTTTGTTGGCTGCCGCAACTGGCACGCTCTGAATGGATAGTTAGTTTAAGAGAACTTTGAATCCCCGCCCGAGCACTTACCTCCTCATCTTCCAATGCAGAAACGGCCACGCAGGCGATGACGAGGAGGGAAAAGAGGACGAACGTCTTCATCCTGCAAAACAAAGTGACATAGAAAATAACGTTTCACCATAATGATAATTGGATCGTAATATAAGTAATGCCGATGATACTAGCCCCCGTTGTGAATACTGCACAAATCTTTTCGTACAGAAAAGGCACTTTTCTACTTTCGATCACTTGACTTTTTCTAATCCTAACGGAACGTAAGTACTTGGAATTGCTATTATCCATTTCCTTGCCAATTCTGATATTGTCAAATAATCGGACCCAAAAGTAGTTACAACATTAAAATTTGCAAATATACCCGTTTCACAGAGATTATGAAACAGGAAACACTTGAAAAAGTTACTCTTTTGCCAAGCGAATGCTCTTATTCATTATTCTATCGATCTACATTCAAAAATGAGCGGTTTCAATGCACTAATCTATTCCTAACTGACTCTCTTATCATAATTCCATAGTCGCACAGTTTATGTACAGAAAAAAAGGGGCGTCGCATCGACTTTGGGCCATTTTACATGGAAAACATTTAAATTGAAGCCCATCCAGATTTTACAACACCTCAAAAGTTTGTTCGAAAAGCGGAAAGGAGTGTCGATTGGCGCGAGACACGCTTCTTTTATTTAGTCAGTTATCACGAGCCTCTTCATATTTTTATCTTTCTCTCTCTCTGTCCCCAAAGACACAAACATCGCCTTCATTAGCGATAGAGAGAGAGAGAGAGAGTGTGCGAAAGTGAGAGACGAGATGACGCATCGGCCGGAAGGGCACGCAGTGACAGAAATGTTCCGTACTTTCCAGCGCCATCTTCGAAGATGCTGAGAGGTTTGACTTTTTGACCTGAAATTGATTTGACACCGATGTATCAAGTGGGAGTATTGCTTTCAAATGTATGGGAACTTTGGATCTTTCACTACAACTTTACCCTGATTCCCCCTCGTGGACCCGAAAAAATCCGTTCTGATTCCAGATTTCACAACTTACACAAAGTATTGCCTCGATCGGGATAAAGACCAGAAAAAGTAATTGCCCACCGTACTAACGCGGTTCGTGGAACGGTCGAAGTTAGTAGCTCGCCTCGGAGTGCACGATCATCTTCACAGTCAGGCTGAAATAAAGTTGATTTGAGAAGTAATGAAAACTGGAATCAAAATGGATTCTCTCGGCTCCACGATTCTGCAAACTGTGAAAAACAACGTTGCCAGCACGAAAAAGTAAGTAAAGTGGGAAACTTATCGAATTTGGAGCCTCCAAATTGGCTCGAATCAGTGGTCCATTGTACTTGACTCAACGGCCATTCAACTCTGTTCTTATTCAATTTTCCGGGCGTCCCAGCGAATTTTGAGTACAGTGGGCACGAAAAGGTTGAAGTGGGCAAGTTCCTGGTTGCGGAAAGTCGGAAACAGCTACAATCAACAATTGACTAGTCGTTCTAAAGCCGGTTCGAATGATGTTGGACACTGGCTCGGACGTTACGCTGCTCAGTCAGAAGGATTGGATCCTTTTGGACAAACCGGAGATGTCACACCAACAAATCAATTTCAGTTCTCGGGCAATTGAAATGTGATTTCGTGCTCAATGGTCAGCCAGGATCAGGGATCAGGGACATGCCGGGTCACCAACACAGAGTCGATCCTGGGCATGGACTGGATCAAACAGGATCAGTCGCTCTACGGACGTTTGCTCAAGGGATCCGTCAATCCCGTCGCAGCGAAGCAAACGAGTTCCAAGTCGCCAGGCACCGTCGACCAAGCAGGCCGGCATCACGGATCGAGGTCAAACTGGTTTGGCATCGGAGAAGTGGTCAAGGTCAGGGACAAGCACGGATCGTGCATCATGGATCGTGGATCAACAAATGGTCGTGGTTGGTTCGTGGCTCGGACAACTACAAGATCGTCGTCAGCAACTGAACGCCAGCTGCTGTCGACTCGCCTTCGTGCTTCAACAAGCTCACCGTCTGGTTCGGGACTACGCCTCCGTCTGAGGACGAACCCTCTATTTCATTCTATTCTGCTGAGCCCCCCCGCTAAGGTTTCTCTCTCTGAATAAACCAACTGCGGAAACTCAGAAACACAACAAATTGTTATTGTGAAACTGGCATTTTTCGATTTCGATGGACGTCTGACAAAAAAATAGCACTCCGAAAACATTTACACACGCCACCAGAGATGAGCGGAAGAACTAAACGGAAGAAGAACACGGAAGAATTTTTATCTTTTTTAGAAATTTGTTTGATGAAATGTGATCAACTGACGAAATGTATAGCAAAGTGAACTCTGCTCATAGAAAAATAATTGTAAATTTAACTTTTCATCCAAAAAAGTTATTCGAGTTGTTCCATGAAAATGTTCTTCCGTCTTCCCCGTTACCCCACTTTTTTGTATGAAAAGTTAAATTTACAATTATTTTTCTATGAGCAGAGTTCACTTTGCTATACATTTCGTCAGTTGATCACATTCCATTAAAAAATTTTCTAAAAAAGATAAAAATTCTTCCGTGTTCTTCCGCTCAACTCTGCATGCCACGTCGCTTTCTTCGATCTTCTCCTGGATTCGCTTGAGATCTCACCGACCCCATGACGCAACAAACAAGGCCTATAAAACGAATTGGATAAGCGATAGAAAAGCCGTTGTTTCATCCCCTCATTCCCCCATTGTCCCCTCATAATGCCTTTATTCCTCCTCCTCCTCCTTCTCCTCCTCGCCCTCATTTCCCCCGTCTCCTGCCAACAACAACAGCCAGCGCTTCCGTTCGCCCAATCGCCCAGTTACTATGGTGAATTCCAAGGCGCCAGCTTTGGATATCCGGCAATCCCGAACCTTCTGCCGCAGCTCCAGGCCATCAATATGGTCGGAGCGACGACGGAGCCGAGACGGGCGATTCCGAAGCAGGCGGACGGCACGGACTGCCCGATGCCGCCCGAGTGCGGATGTTTGTGTGGGAGGAGTGGCGGCAGGAAGAAGAGGGAGGTCGAGCACTTTACGGATGCAGACAACGGCTCGGAGATCACGTGCACTTCGGGCAAATTGAGAAGAGTCGTCGAGAAGGTTCGTGGTTTCAAAGGCCTGCCCAATTGCAATCAACCCTTGGCGAAACAGTGAATTCGCTCTGCGAAATTAGCCTCCTGACATCAAGAAAGGAGCGTTTTATCAACCAGACTTGTAAAGTTTCCGAAACAGTATCCATAGAGAACATTTCGATCGGACCCATTCTTTGTTGGACTTGGATTGAAGTATTTCGGGTCCAAGTTTCAGAGCGATCGAATTTTTGCAAAAACGAGATCATCTCGACACCGGTCAATTTGGTTTACTGTTTTGAACATTTCGTAAACAAAAAGATTGAACATCCGAAAATCCATTGTTGTCTTCTCAAAGTTTCCGTTTTCAGTGAACCCTCGAATGTCGGTAATAGAATACACTGCACTCAAATCCTTTCAGGCCCTGTCGACCGCTGAAAATCAAGGAATTCGATTCGATTTGGGCGCGAACACCCTTCAGAATTACGTGCTTTTCTGTCAATCCGAGGTGGGCTCAAAGTGCGGTCCATTTCAATGTTTCCATATTTTTCAGAAGTTCAAGCAGCTGCAATTCTCGACCGATTCCACGAAATACTGCCACGTCACGCGCGGACCCGTCAATTGTCTCGTTATTCAACACTAACCACAGACATCGCCACCAAATTCAGGAGGGGATTGAAATTGATGTATTATCTATCAATCGTGTGCATTATTTTCATTATCAGTTGGAATACTCGACCTCATTACGACTCGGTATCGAATCGAATAACATGTTTTACCCTTTTTTTTTGAAAGGGATGTTATTATCAAGGTCTGGAAACTTTTTGAATGGGGCGAAATGGATGAGTTTGATAACGGAGGGAATCGCGGTGTCAGATCCGAATACATTTCAATCTCGAAACCCTTTTGAAACAGAATATCAATGTTTCAAGAAGCTCACAATAGAAATATTTTCTGATATTCGCGGATTTGCAGCGGCTTCCCGAATTTAGACCGACTAGAAGAACTCCATTGCCATTCAACTTGGAGGATCCAATGATCGGTCAAATGAACAAATCTGCGCCCGGAAGTCCAATTCGATGACACATTCTCATTTGAAACGCAAAAAAAGAAGGTCTGAGCATAATGGAGCACATTTTTAATGGTTTTGACTTGAAGTCAGTCATCCAGAAGACTTCCAACCAAAATTAGTTATTTTCAATGTTTCATGAAGCGTTCAAAAATCGTTTGATTTTTCTCCTTTTCCGGTTACGAATGGATGAATTCCACGGATGACTGAGAATCTCGGACGATTTTAGAGCCCTCGTTTCCACTGGATACCGTCTAAATGGCCAAAAAGGCATAAAAATGTCGAGATTGCTCTATTTTCCCTATACTATTTTCAATGTGGCTATTGGGTGCTTTAACAGTGCATTTGTTCATCGAAATGGTAGACTTGAACCAGTTTTATTGTATTTTCAGTCGTTTTCCAGACAAACGCCCTCTCAATGCTCACCCATTCGGGCACTCTCAATTGCTCTTCACCAACTACAATATCAGCGGATAATTGGAGGGATTGTGTGGTGAAATGCGGAAAGAATCACAGTTGTATGGTTGGTTTTTGGACACAAATATTGTACTGTTACACAAAGTTGGCTAACAAGGGAACCTTTTAAGTGGGTGTTATCTCCAGCACAAACGAATGACACAGTTCGAAAAAGGGACTTTCTTTTTTCCTGTATTTTTGACGAAATTTTTTTGAAGCGATTAAAGTTGCCAACTGAAATTCCTCATCGTGTATGCGGAAATTCTTCATCAACACATGCATCTTTTTTGCGATGGTTTTTTTCAGAACAGCGTTTGAGTGCAGTTGATTCTTTGATCCATAACTCGAAGGGGAATTTTTGTAGAGAATAATGCTCAACTACAAAGTTGATCAGCATGAGATTTACTCCAACTTTTCAGTTGACCACTTCTTTCTAAAAAATTTTCTTCTTGAGATACAAACTGTTGATAAAAAGTGGGTCGTATCACAAAAATCAGCAAGTTTTCAAAAAAGTTGTCAACTAAAAAAGTATGCAAAATTTCTTCAGTAATGTGTCTTTAGTTGACAACTTTTTGATATCTCATTCAATTCGCGAGATACAGCAAGATTTTGCACCACTATTTTTAACAGCCTGTATCTCAAGAAGAAAATTTTTTCGAAAGAAGTGGTCAACTGCAAAGTTGTAGTAAATGTCATGCTGATCAACTTTGTAGTTGATTATTATTCTCTACAAAAATTCCCCTTCGAGTTATGGATCAAAGAATCAACTGCACTCAAACGCTGTTCTGAAAAAAACCATCGCAAAAAAGATTCATGTGTTGATGAAGAATATACGATGAGGAATTTCAGTTGGCAACTTTAATCTCTTCAAAAATCAACATTTCAAAACAATTTCGTCAAAAATACAGGAAAAAAGAAAGTCCCTTTTTCGAACTGTGTCGTTCGTTTGTGCTGGAGATAACACCCACTTAAAAGGTTCCCTTGTAATGCGTTCATTTGAAGAAATTGCCTAGTTTTCAAAACTTTACTGATACAAAAACAGTTGCTAATCGACTCGCTCCGAACTTTTTCAATTTCCAGGCTGCGCAGACCGGGTCTTCGATCACATGCCAATTGTGTCCATTTGGCCATGTTTCCAGCTTTCAAACCATCAATTCCACGGCGAAAATCGCCCTGAAAGTATTGATTTTCCCATGGAAACGCTCGCGAAAATTGTTTCAGACAAACTCGACCGTTAACCAAACGTGCGCCAACTTCAAATCAGGGACCACTTTCACTGAAAGCTATTCCCAGAACTTGACCACTTTTCAATATACGGCCAAATGGACTGTCGCTGGATGGATTGTCACTTTTAAAAGTCTGAAAGTTACGTAAATCCGCTTTACAATCTGTTTCAGCAATTCGAAAATGTGCCTCTGGCTGGAAGCACTTCAATCGGACCCTCGGAGAATGGTGCATTCGGGTCTCCGTCACTGATTCATATTTGAATCGGACCGACGCAGTTCGAAAGTGTACACGGGATGGGGCGGTTTTGAGTGGATTGGAGACGATCATCGAGCGGGATTGGGTGCATAGTGAGTATTGATGTGAAAGCGTGTTAAATGTGAAAAAGTTATAAAGTAAGTGGAACGGTAATATTCAAGACAATGTATCTCAACTGCCGGTGGAGATATAAAAAAGTTGTCAACTGATAAAATGTACACAATTTGCTGGCAATCATTTTGTCAGTTGACAACGTTTTGCCATCTCCATCGGCAAATGAGATATAGCGGGGACACATATTGTCCCAGTTCCAGAGAAAATAGACTTTTGAATACAGCTTCAACTAGATGGTCATAATCCGACAGCCCGTTATGCGCGATCTTTTGTTGTAAAATCACAGTTTCAACAGTTGCATATTCAAAGTGTTCAACAGTTTCCCAGTCACTCTGAATCCCACGAAAAACCACCCGTTTCCCTTCTTCCAGACACCGCCCTTCCTCTCATGACGGATCTGAACGACGGAGTGTGGCAAGTGCAGATCTGGCTGGACGGCATCCGGAGATCCGAGTGCGCGCCCATCGCGGACCGCGTGTTCCCTGCCGGCTGTGATGGGACCGCCTCGTTCCGGTTCTCCGATAAAACGCTGTCGACAAAGGACGGATACACGTGGTCGGACGGGAATCCCGACGGGTTACGCTACGATTCGAACACGGTCCAGAACTGCATCGTCATGTGGATCAAGCCTAACGCCGCACTTGCCGACGACAATTTGTGAGCGATTTCCTTTTCTTAAAAAAGGATTTTTGTTTGCATCAAACGAGAATCTAGAATTGAGGTGAATTCTAGTGTGCCCGAAACGGATAACTTTCAGTTGTACTGCCTCGACGAACAACTACGGAGCGACTGGGTTCGGGATCCGAGGATATGCGTGTGGGAAGCCGGCCGGATGATGGAAATCAATCAATACTCAATACTCAATCAATTCGATGACGATCGCTTCACTTTTGTAGCACTTTGACGGCCTGAAAAACATGAATGTGAAAGTTGAAATTTTATTTCAAAAACGGACTTGTTTGAACACATTTTTGCAGACTTGCCAAATCCCGGGCCGGCCCGCCGGGCCGGGCCAGCAAATCGTCGGCCCGGAAGTTAGACCTCAAAAAAAATATGCAAAAAAAATATGAAGGAAGAGGAAAAGGCGTGCGGCAAAATTGCTAAAATGGCGTGCCAGAGTTGCAATCAATCGCTCCGCCCACTCTTGAGAAAATTTTTCGTAATTTTTGTGAAAATTTTGCGACTTTAAACAGCAATTTCTATTTTTTAATTTTTAGGTGCATCCTCCCGGGCCGACCGGGCCGGGCCGGGCCGGGCTGGGCCGGGCCGGGCCGGAAAATTTCCAATTTTGGCCCGGCCCGGCCCGGCCCGTTGCAAGTCTGCATTTTTGTAGTCGAAAGTGATTTTGGAGCTTTCACTAAATGAACCCGTGATTGAGAATGCGGATTTTGCAAAGAGGAAGACGCCATTATAGAAGAGATGAAGCATTGGAAACTGGAAAATCTATGATTGTTGTGATTCAAAAGGCAAAAATACCGATTGGAAATGTTCATAACCGTATACAGCTTCAGAAGCTTTTGAAACATTGAAAACGGTTTTCAGTTGCTGGTAAAACTTGCTTGTGAACTTCCATCGACTCCAAACTTATCAAAGATGCTAACAAGTTTTAGGTAAAGATTTTAGCTGTTTTATCATAAAACGTTCTCGCCAGACGAAAAAACATACGATAAAGCGCAAAAATAGGAAAATTGATAAAAAATAACGTGCATTCCCAACGTAAAATTCTCGCGTGCCGGTCTTCATGTGCCCGCCGCCAGCGCTCTTGTCCACGTCCTCTCTGCCGTGTATTTTCGTGTCCTCGGTAGTATAGTGGTGAGTATCCGCGTCTGTCACATGCGAGACCCGGGTTCAATTCCCGGCCGGGGAGAAATCTTTTGCCTTTTTTAGGTCAGAAAAATTGCAGTAGATTGATCAAATAATTAAAATGCCATTCTAAAATAGAGTGGTTTTTTTAAATTTATTTTCTTCACAATGAACGGCAAGGAATGATGATTCTCATTTCCGTTTTTGAGATTTCTCACTCGATTTTGGATATTGTACTTGTATTTGTTTCCGTTTCAATATCCCAATTTTCTGAAAGATCAGTTCCGACACATCTAGTTTAGTTGTCGAGAATTTTGTGACTAGCAAAGAAGTCAAAAACTTGACGGATCCATCTAGAACCGTTCCAATCCATACCAGAGTTGAGCGGAAATGGAATTTTGAAATCCGGAAGACGGCAGATGGCAGACAATTTTTATTACGGAACACGGAAAACGGAAGACGGAAGACGGAATTCCGCTTTGTTTTTTGTGTCTTCTAAAGCAATTATATACGTCCGGTAGAGTGGGTAGATAGTAAGATTTCTGAAAAAAGGATCGACTTTGAGAACCATAATTTGACATGGTGCATTCATGTTCATCTACTTCTTAGTGTGCACCAGAGTTGAGCGGAAGAACTCAACGGAAGAAAAACACGGAAGAATTTTTATCTTTTTTAGAAAATTTTTTCATGAAATGAGATCAACTGACGAAATGTATAGCAAAGTGAACTCTGCTCATAGAAAAATAATTGTAAAGTTAGCTTTTCATACAAAAAAGTGGGCTAACGGGGAAGACGGAAGGACATTTTCATGGAACAACTCGAATAACTTTTTTGTATGAAAAGTTAAATTTACAATTATTTTCTAGGAGCAGAGTTCACATTCCATGAAAAAATTTTCTAAAAAAGATAAAAATTCTTCCGTGTTCTTCTTCCGTTGAGTTCTTCCGCTCAACTCTAATTTACACTGACCTTGAAATAACCAAATGTTGTCCAACTTTGGAAAGATTACAGTTTCATGAAACTGTGATCCGCGTGTTGATTTTCAATGGCTTTCATTTCCAGGTCTCCTCGATAATAATCTGGTTTTCTCTGCTACAACCGCATCGACCGACCGATCTTCACGACGACGACGGCGTCTGCCAAGTTCCCAGTCCCAGAGACCCGCATTCCCTTCGTTCTGGTGCTATCATCTTTTTCGACTTTGACGCGGGCATTTACAGTGCGACCGTTTCTGCTCATTGTTGACACTATCATGCGTGAACTCCTTGGACATTTGAGGAACGGTAATGTGATAGTTATGAAGCAGAAAAGTCTCTGTTTCACTCCATGAACAATTGTTTGTTGAGCAGTCTCTTCAAAGATCCTAACAGAACTAGTCGAATTCAATCGTCTCAAAACTACGACAAGTCAAAGGAATTCCTCAAACTTCAACGCAATTTAATTTTGTGACTTAAACATTTTCAACTGCGCTCTGCTTTTTGAACTTTCAGAGATTGCTCTGACCCCATTTTAATCAAATTCAGTTGAATACCACTGAAGTAGCCAAAGCGAATACTAAAAAAACGTTCATTCATCAGTTCATACACAAAATTGTGACATGAATATACACAAAAAAACCTGTCAAAAACTGTGAGATCACTGTCCGAAAGTGGTGGCGAGGAACTGTTGAACGGAAAGAAGTGGGTTCTCCGGAAGCGTGTGGGCTCTTGGCGGAGCACGGAATGCCGGTTCCGCCACGGCGAACTCCTCATTTCGCTCCAGCTCTTCGTCGTTGTTGAACGAGACGTGAGGCGAAGAGACCTCGGACGCCTTCTGGTAGAAGCACGCCTTCATGTTCTCGAATCTGTCGTAGCAGGCGAGGTAGGACAGATCCAGTTGGGTCACGTTGCCGGGACGTTGGTCACAGAAAGTGAAGCACTGGAAGACATTTGTATCCATGGCATTCCAGAAGAACAACACTTTCAACTCACCTTGTTGCCGGCCAACGTGGTTCCAACCGAGTTCCGAACACAGCAAGCGGTGTGATCGCGTCCCTGGGCGGCGCAGAACTGAATATCGGCGGCCGCCTGCATCGGACACGAGTCCTGCTTAAAGTACATCGCCTGAAGCGCCGATTTGGTGTACGAGCGGAACGAGCACTTGGAGAGACACGAGTCGGGCAGGTTACGCTCCTCGCAGCACCGCTGGAACCGCTCGTCCGGCGTCATTTCCGTCTGAAAATTGGGGGGAAGTTTGTAAATAGAATGATTGAGTAGTTGGACTCGCGAAACAGTAAATTGTTGTTCACGTTCTCTGTTTCGTCTGCATCATAAGTACCTTTCGAACAATACCTTTGGAATTACGGAAACCCTTAAATCTCTTAAAAATGGCAATTTTGACATCTCGTCTTGTTAAAGTTCCTGCGCTTAGAAACATGTGACCCTAACTCACATCTTTTTTGAAAGCCAACGTCTTGGATCCTCTGGCGCGAGCTCTGTAGCATCCGTAGGATCCGCAAGAGTATCCACCGCCACAACCTGGAAACGAACACGAATTATGTGCTCTAAACCTATAAAGTCGTGCCGTAACTCGTGATTATGTACGGTATGATTCCAGGGATCCCTCTGAACTAACCTCCCGAGCAGACAGGCGGTGGTGGTGGCATACATCCGCCGCCACAGATTCCGGAAGCGAAACACGCATCCGAGATGGTGGCCAACGCGAGGAAAGCGAGAAGAACGCAGAGGGTTCGTGACATTTCGCCGATAGTTTCTTCCAGTTTGACCCGCGCTCCTTTTATACCGTCGGGGACCTGTTGATGAGTCAAAGGTTACAAGGACATTATGGGCATTCAGGGGCACAAGACCGCAGCTTTACACTTTCGGAGAGGACGGGCGGGACGAGGAGACGCCGACGGGCGGGTTACGTCATGCGAGGAGAAGCGAGAGGGCTTATTCTTTCGCTTGAATTGACGAAATGATGAGTAAGCAAACACATCTTTAGATTAGGACACCTTTTCCGCCCCTTTTTGACATTGAACTTTTTCAAGTGAAACATTATTTCGAATGCGTACGGGTCGCCCCTCGCCGCCCTTACACCGCTTTTATAACGGCACTGACGGCCGAGTGGAGACGCGTGCCCGTATAGCTCAGTGGCAGAGCGTCTGTCTCGTAAACAGAAGGTCGGCGGTTCAATCCCGCCTGGGGGCATTTTTTTGTTCTTTTATAAAACTGGATAGAAGAAATCGGGAAAAGAGGAAAGGTTTACACAGCTAGACAAGTTCAAATGCCTTTTTAGTCAACGCGTTCTTCATATCCAGTGACATCTTCTTCACTCCAATCGCTCTCAACGTTTTCTTCACCTCTTTCCCATCTTCCTTCGAACTCCATTTGGATATGGATCTGTGCTGAAAGAAATAGGCGTCAAACGTATTGACGTACTTTCAAGAAACTCACGAAAAGTCTTCTCATATCACAGTTAACGGCCACATCCAGCCAAGAAAAGTCAGGTTGCTGCAGAAGACACTGATCTTCGCATCGACGAACCATGTTGAATAACTTGAACTTGTGAGCAAGCTTGGCGACGTTCTTGACTAATTCAAAATTACTATAATCAATATGCTCCGCTCCGAGAATGAATTGAATGAAATAATAGAGAAGGATTGGAGCCATGTCAGCAGGGAAATGGAATGCAATTTGTCCGGAACGGAGAATATCGGCAGCGTAGGGCGAGTGGAAATTGATGAGCTGAAAGTTCAGATTCGTGCGAATTGTCTTATGCTTTTCCGTATCCGACCCGCGTGTCCACATTCAACTGGTCCGTCTGATTCATGACGAAAACAGTGTGCGGAGTGACATCAGTCAAGTTGAAACATCTCGGAATGTGGAGTCCTTGGACCTCGAGTACACGAAACTCCACGTCAACTTCCAGCCTATCATTGTTCAGAAATCCGAGTTCCGCATTCAATATGTCATCAAGAGGTACAAGTCGACACTGTCCGAAACAGAGATCAGGAGGCTTGTAGTCGACGAAACCGCCGTCCCAGTTCACCGATTTCGATGTGACTAAATGATTCACCACATAAAATCGGAACCAAATCCTCAAATCCGAATCGGGTTTGGAATTAGAGCATTGAAGGAAGAAAGAGATTTCACGTATCCCCTCATTGACATTGATTTCCGCATACATCGACCTTCAACGTTTTTTGATAATTTTTTCTGCTAATGCGCTTCAGTTACCAGTCGACATCACCGGTATTCGCGATGAATTTCTGCTCGATGATACCCAATCTCTGCAGCTTCCGACGACTGATGGCCAAGGTCGATGCTACGACGCCATGCGGAGCCAAGTCTAAAATTGTGATGAGCGAAACGAACGAACGCTGAAAAGAAGCTCACTTTTCAGAAAAACATCGTACGAGGACATTGAGAAGCTGTGAAATGGATTGAACAAATTGGGAAAAGAGAGTTCAATGCACGTTTCGGAAAGGGTCACGTGTGAAATGTATCGAATGAACAGTCGGACAGACTACTTCTCCACTCCGTCTTCACCGCTTTCCGATCTTCCTCCATTCGAACTCTATTCGGATATGGATTTGTGCTGAAATCACGGTCTCCAGAGCTGAAAATTTTGGCCTCGGCCAAATGGCGTTTTCATGAATTTAGCAAGGGTTTTCTCTGATTTTTGTTGTCAACGGCGATGAAAAATGATTGTTCGACATGAAAACACACGAATTCTAAGAATTAATGACGTTTTGGCGCATTTTTCGCGGACTTTGCTTTTTCGCCGTCGCCGCCTAAAAACCGCACTTCTCATTTTGCGCTTTCTTGACCGTTTTCAGACAGAATTGGTTTTGAGAATGATAAATCACGTAAATACAAGCATTTTGAGCGCTCGAACCGCGAAAACTACCGAAAAGCAACTGAAATTCACGCAGTTTTAGCCAAAAACCTTCAAACGGATAAATTTGATTTGCGACTTGACCAAATTTGACGCTCTTGCGCTTAAAAAATTCGTAATAGCCTATACAATCGGTCTATCGAGCGACAAATGAGAAATTATCGGTTTTTCGTAGCTAATCTGGCAAAAAAAACACAAATGTTGCTGTTAAAATTTGAATTTCGCGCCAATGCATCGCTCTATTGGGCGGGGCGCATTTGCGCGCCCATTGTCAGCTCTGGAGACCGTGTATATGAAAGGAAACACACATCAAAGGTATTCGTTTTTGAGAAACTCACAAACAGTCTTCTCATTCTGTGCTCAACCGCCAACGATGCGAACAAACTTCTCCCGCCGCCGCTCTCCTATGCCCATTGGATTTTTGCGAAACCACCGGGCGCCGTGGCGGGCGCCTGTGAGCCAGCTTCTTGGCGGTAGACGAGTGTGGATGGAGTGAGAGGAGGAGTCCTGTGTGTGTCGGCGTCGGCGTCGACCGAGCGTCCGTGCCAAGCGCCGCGTCGCCAGGGTACATCTGTCGGAAGACGGGTGCTCCCGGGCGCATAAGGAGCGGTGGACGGTTCAGGCCCGAAAGGGAGCAGACAAAAGCTGCCGCGCGGTGCAGTGGCCGGACAGCGCTCGCGAGTCGACACGTGCACACAGCCTTCTCGACATCTGCAGACCGCCAGTCGAACTTTTTGAGTTTTTTTTTCGGTTTCATGCAAAGTTTGCTTTTGCCAACATTTGCAAAGATAATAGGTTTCCAAAAAACGTGTTCATTTTGCTAACGACACACTGTAATTAACAAGGGAATGTTGTGACCCCCCTAACTGGGAAAATTCTCAAAAATCACAAAAATTCTGAATAGCACGCTCAAATTTTTTCAGAATTAGGCCGAATTTTTTGGATTTTCTAGAACGTTCCAAAGTGATTTTGACGAGCTTATTTGACCTCGCACGTGACCATATTTGAATTTTTTTCTGCATATCCTAAACTTGCTGAAAAAGTGAAAAAGCCAAAAAATTCGGCCTAATTCTGAAAAAAATTGAGCGTGCTATTTAGAATTTTTCTGATTTTTGAGAATTTTTTTGAGAATTTTTCCAAGTTGGGGGATTGGGGTCAAAAAAATTGGGGTCAAAAAAATTGTAAAGCAATTTATCTCAGTTGCCGGTGGAGATATCAACAAGTGGTCAACTATTAAAATGTTCAAAATTTCAAAAATAATCAATTTACTAGTTGATCGTTTTTTGCAGCTCAGATATATCAAGCTACAACAGTTGGAACGTGATAGGCGGTTGAGGACGGTTGTTCGAGGACAATTCCGACGGATTTCGATGAGAACGCGCAGAAGAAGTTGGAGCAGTATTCTGAAAAACAAAATGAGAACATTGAGTGTTCCGAACTTCCTAAACTCACTCAAAACGGCAGTTCGATAGCACTTGACGATGAAAACAGTGGGAAGCGGGTCCAAAACGGGATAAAGTGCGACGGTGACGCTGAAAATCCGCGCGAAAATCTGCTCGCCGCACCCGAAAAGCGGCATAATGAAGACGAAAGAAGCGGGCAAGTGCATGAGGACGAACGGAATGAGCGCCTGGAGGACGAGCGCGTTGAGCAGTTGGGACTGCGTCGATTTGTAGCGGTCCGAGTTTTTGGAGGTCGAAACGAGACTGCTCATTAATCGGTAGGACTTGGCGGCGAAGTGAACGATCGTGTAGATTGAGAGGAACTGGAAACAATTCTATTGCGACAAACTGTTCAAAGTTTTGGCGGGAAAGTGTCTGTTTCAATGAGTCTCCATGAACGTTTTCATTTTTGTCTGATAGTAAGTTAATTTCTTTCTCTGCATAAACTCACAATCATAAGTGTCAAAATGCCGATTCCGGCGATCGCAATCCAATCGATATAACCGTCCCGCGGATAATAGTTCGGTCCGATGTACACGACTTCCGACAGGGAAATGTGTTGTTTGCGAAGGAATTGCTCTCTGGAATTTTTCCTTGATCAAAAAATCAACGGAAACGTGTCCTTTTTGTGAAAACGTTGAAACGTGCATTGGATAATAACGTCAAAAGATAGGGTCCGAAGGAAAAACGAATCATTTCGAAGCGATAACAACGATGCAAATCGTGCCTTCTTCTCGTGATCGGAACTCTCTTCCGGTCAGTTTTTGGAAAGGAACACGTTTCAAGGTGTGCTCTTCCTTCAGAAAACTACGCCAACTTCCGTGATTCTGCCGACGATTCCATCGAAAGAGGCGAGTTCGCAGTCGGGCTGGGACTACTGGAGCCGAGTCTACTCGTCCGACGAGCCGTTCTCCTCCTCCTCCTCCTCGACCTCGTCTGGCCCCGGTCCGCAACCGCCGCACCGTGACATCCGCATCTCGGACATGCTCCAATCGGAGACTCTGGTCCGTGCCAAACTGCTCTTTCTCAACGTGCCCGGCCTTCCGATCGCTCACAAAAACATCATCCGCAACCTGGTGCGTCGCGAGCTCCGCGAAGACATCTCGATGCAGGACGTGATCGTCGCGCCCGGCAAGTGGTTCCTCAACTTTTACCGGCCGGAAGACGCGCTCCGCGTGCTCAAACTCTTCAACGGCTACGCGTACCGCAACCACTCGCTCGTCGTCCGATTCTGCTATCCGGACGGCACGTACGGCGACGAGAGTGCGCTCGCCGCGCTCGTCGAGTGCTCCAAAGCGGCCAAGGGACACATGTTCGAGCAGAAGGAGATTGTGCAGGATGTGAGTGTGATTGGAGCAACTGATTCGAGCACACGGTTTGCAGAGCCTCTCGTCGGACTGCTGGACGTGGGCCGAGTACCAGGCGGTGCACAAGTTCGAGCGGGAGATTGTGAAACTGCTGCAGTCGCACGCCTACTTGCCCTACCACAACGTGCTCCAATCCATGAGGACCATGTTCGCGGGCACTCGAAAGTGAGTCACAAGTTGCTAAACTTTCCGGTTTCTTCATCACTATTTGTTCGCCGAGAATGCTGTTTTGTCGATCTTATAGGTAGGTACCGCGACGGGTTTCGCAAAACTCCGAATTTCCATAAAATTTTTGTTGGAATGTGTTCCCCTGCTCTATATGAGTACACTCCCAATTTTTTCTTCAAAAATTTTCGGTACATCCCGAGTTATACCCCTTCAACGTTGCCCTGTTTTATCCGCGGACGGCGCCCGAGGAGTCTCTCGGCAGGCGATTCTTGTCGTTGTTTGGTGAATGACATCAAAGAGGCAACACATAAAATGAACAGAAATGATGTCCAAAGAAAGCAAAACAACTTTCGAGCTCAAAAGTTTTGAACTCGACACCTCCAGACTGCCGTGTGAGCACTCTGCCACTGCGCCACCGGGCGGGGGCGCGGCGAACCCCAATGGCAATGAGATGCTCGGTGTTCGCCATTCATTTTTGATGCGACTTTTGCGGAATTTCAGCGCAAAAATGTGAAAATTTGATGATGTTTGCCGGGCTGAAATTTTGAATAAATAGATCGTTTTTGTAGAGAATTTCACGCTGAACCCGATTCAGTGGAGAAAAGCCGCGTGTTGGCTGTTTCCCACCTTCAAATCATCGAAAAACAAGAAATTCGGCCGAATGGGGTCTACTCAATCGAACACAAAAATGCTCCTAAAGGGTCTAGAGCTCTGAAATTTTATATTTGGGTTCTCAGAGAGTTTATCTACGCATTGCAAACATAAAAAAAGTGAGGTCATTGCTGAAAATTGTTCGCAAACTTTTTTGACACTTTGACGGTCTGAAAAACAACAATCTAGTTTGCATATTTTGCAGCTGTCCCGGTTCTCTGCTCATCTCGGAATCGCTGTCCGTCTGGCCGACGGGCTTCATCCGCATGTTCAGTCGGTGCGTGAAGGTGGTGGCGAACACGATGTGCCTGTCGACGAGTCCCTACTACACCCAACGCATTCACGATTCGGCGATGCAGGGCGGATGCTCCGTGCACCGCAACTCGTGGGAACCGTTCGTTCCCGAGGACATTCGTTGCGACGTGCAGCTGAGACAGTACGCCCACGCATTCCTCACTCACTTTGGTCCCCAGCACCTTGAGGTCAGTCACACTCGTTTCAATCAATACAGTAACCCCCCCTGTTCCTCCCTCTCAGATCGACGCTCCGATCCGTCTGCTGGCCCAATGCCTGCGTGGCACTTGGCCCAAAACGGGCCGTTCCCTGGCGGTCCTCTTCACCGAAATCTCTCTCGAGTTCGTGATCATCAACTCAGTGCTCTACTTGTCCGCATGCGAGAATCATCGCGACAAGATCATCGACAACCTGGCCGCCTTCCAGGACGACTGCTCCGACGTCTACTACCTCCCGCTCAGCTGCGTTTCCAAAGAGCAAAAGGTGAAAGTGGTCGACTACGAGGACCTGTGAAGACGTTCGTTCCATGATGATGATGCTGATGATGATGATCATGATGAGCCCTTTATCATTTTCCGGTTTTGCTGTTTCAAAAATTGCTATACAAACGGCATTGACTCGAATAAACACGTCCGACTCACTCCAAAATGTGATCCGTATACTTGTTGCCATTCATTGTCAATCCAGTGACGATCATCCAAACGGCACTGTACAAAAGTGGAGCTCCGATCCAAATGAGCAATCGCGGAGAGTCGAACGATTTGAGCAAGTGACTTCTGAAAGAAGGAACGCTACGCGACCGCAACGCGTCTCCACACTCTCACCCCTTGATCGCCAAGTAGCGATAGATGAAGTTGATGGTGAAAATGGCCATGGAATAGCCGAGCATTCCGCAAAACAGCACGTCAATCGGATAAAGAGTCCAGAATGGGAGAAACGTTTTGTTGGCGTCCAAGACGAGCATGAAAGCGGAGCGATAAGTGAATAAATCGGGCGAAACGAGCACGTCGAGCAGCGCGTAGACCAATTCGAACATGGAAATGTAAATAAGCAGGTATTTGTAGGCGCCCAAACTCTTCGGAGACTCGTACAATATCAGCAAAGTTAATGGAAAGTGGACGAGAAACGCGAGAACCGTACATGTTCTCTGAGAGATTTGAACCACCGATTCAAACGTTTCCATCATTTTTCTTCTCGAGGCAGTAGACGTCGTCAGAATGAGTCAGTTTTGTTTGCTCTCCTGCCATTTTATTCAATTTGCTGCGGAATCAAGGAATTGCGGCCGCAGTACACTTGTGAATCAGTCTAATGACGATGGTGTAGACATGTTGAGAAGTATAATAGACGGATGATTGCGTCCGGACCGGAGACCATTCGATTCCGAGTTCTTTCGATGATCGCCCAGATACTTTTAAAAAAAACGACATCAAATTTATTAGGAAAGGTTGTGAAACATAAAAGTTTTTAAAGTAAACAGCAACTTATTATTATTATCATTTTCGATTAATCGAATAATCATTCTCGCTTGGCGAATCTCTCGAGCGGAAGTCCGTTGGTGTGGACGGTGAGCAGAGAGTTCACCGCCTGGTCGCCGCCCTTCATGATCAAATAGGCGCCCAGCATGTCCACTCGCGTCTCGAGCTCTTTGATCGTCTTCATATACGTCGAATGGTACTCGGCGAGCTGTTCGCCAGTGAACGAGTGGACTTTGGGGGCCGGCGCCTGAACTGGCGGGACCACTTTGATCGGGGGGTTGGCAGCCAACGGGACCTGCGGCACTTCCGGTTCCTTGCGGTTCCTTTGCTCCTTTGGCACTTGTGGTTCCTCTTCCACTTCTTTCTTCACTTCAACCTTCACTTTCATGTGTCGACGCACCGGGACCGGCACTGGTCCCTTCTCGATCGTCATTGGTGGCGCCTCAATTTCATTTGGCTCTTTTTTCACTATCATACCGTCACTTTTTCCGTTCGAAGGATCCTTGGTCCCTTCTTTTGGAGCAGACTTTCGGGTTCCAGAAACCGGCGGTGGTGTGAGCACAATAACATCATCGTCATCGTCATCTTCCAGATGGATTATATCGTTTTTGGGCCCTTCGGGTTCTTTGGCGGCTTCGGCGACAATTGGTTCATTAGAAGCCAAGAATTCCAGCAAGAACGCTTCTTTTTCCGGCCGAGGGACGGATTCCTTCGGGGATCCCGTTTGCGAGTCGGCGATTTCGGACGGTCCCTCAGCTCCGGCCAACCACGGGAAATGGGTCTCCTTGCTGAATCTTCCCTTCGGTTTTCTCCTCTCCGTCGTCTTCCGCCCTCCGTAATGATTGGTCTTCCACTCGAAGCGCGACATCTTGACCATCGAGAACGGCTCGTCCTCGGTGTCCGATTGCTCCAAGGTGCCGTCGTCGTCGGCACCCAACGAATCCATCACCTTCGCCGTCTTGTTCAGATCATGAAGGGTCCGTCGTTTTCTCGTCTCCCGCATCGTCGCTTCCTTCTCTTTTTCCGTATTCGAAGAGTTCTTGCCGTCTCGCGCTTTCGTCGGCTTTTCAGACATTCCGTTTGCCTGAAAAACGAGAGCAATTAAAAGTGATGGCGAGAAATGAAAAAACTCACGAGAAGAGAGACTTGATGACGAACCAAAACAAGTGGGAATGAATGAGAGAATGAGGAAGTGACCATTCGCGATGCGCTGCGGTTCGCGCTGCGTGTTCCAGAGGAACAAGTCAGGCGGTAGGTCAAATAACAGTTTAGAGGTCTAGAGGGTTCACAATGAGACTTCCGGACGTCCCGAAACCAGAAATGTTGATACTAGAGGTCAACACATTTTCACAGTCACATCAGAACATTTTTGTAAAAGCGCAAAGTGGAATTAAGTGATTATTTGCGTTGTATTCAGTCTTTTTAGAAAAGTCAAGAAACCGGTTTCTTGAAGTTGATAACACTGTACTCACAGCATTATCAGCTTCGCTGAAAGTATCCGAAACGAAAAGAGTGAACAGAACACTGGGGAATGTCTCAGCAGGGTCTTTTTTTAAATGAATTTTGACCTAGCATCTAGTAATTTCACTTTTGTTTCGAAATATGGCTGTTTCGTGCGTGATTTTTGTGTCATTTTGTTAGTTTTAGGGTTAGCAACGGGGCGCCCCCGCGCCGGCCCCTTAAAGTGTAATTAAAATTGTGAGAAAAAAAATTTAGTAGATTAATGAGTTTATTCACTATCGATGTGCGTTGAGAAAATTTTTCAAAAAAAAATTCCTGCTCGATTTTGGAAAAACCGGTCGGGGCCTGCTGACAACCCTAGTTAGTTTACATTATAATGAACTCGTTTCCAAAAAAGCAAGTGAAATACTGATTTATTGTGATCCGACGGCACGCATCTAAAGTCTCAGAACAGCGAAGAAGCGCGGCCGCAAGAATCTTTATGGGTGCCGAATGGAAGCGGCATCCGTGCCGCCCTGATACGGCTGCAAACGTTTATGCACTGTCAATAGTACTTCAGAGAGTGTAGTTCACTGACGAATCGACAAAACTTGGCAACTTATAATATCAAAATGATTGCCAAAACATGCTCTATTCCTTATCCTGCGTGCACATATCCGCTCTGCACATCACCACATTCTAACCGAACGCGTCTACATATATATATAGCTCGGTGTGCACCACTCCTCATCAAACATTCATCTTCTACTCTCCACTTCCTACTCTCTACCAATAATGTTCTCGTACGATTGCCTCAAGCAAATCGCCAAGTACTCCAAGTACGGAAATATGTAAGTCATCCCTTATTGTACGGTATCATGACCATAATATCATTTCAGTGCCCCGCTCTCCACGTTCGACCGCTCGCTGCGAGTGATCACGAAGATCAAGGCGTGGAACTTCGAAAAAGTCGTCTTCGAGCAAGATCCGGACCAGAACTCGAAGCTCACGGTTGACGGAGTGAACTGGCAGTTCAAGTACGACTCCCAAACGGAGAAGGTCACGGTGATCTGCGAGGCGGCGCCATGGAAGACGAAAACGTTCGAGGACAAGAGTGTGGCCAAAAAGTATCTGGCACACTATCTGGAGAGACCCGTGAAGCATCTGACGCTCATTCGGTGCCAGGACCCATTCGAGTTCGTCACGGACCTCAAGTGTGACAATTTGACGTGGCACCTCGATTCGTACTGCCCAGAATGGTTCGATCGGATCAAGGATCACACGTTTGAGAGGCTCGTGATAGTGGATTCTTGTAAATGCTCGAATGTCGTTGGTTTGGCCGTCGCGAAGAAGGCGAAGAAACTGGTGGTGCGCGCCGAAATCGCCGTCATTCCGAACGAAGACGTGGCAATGCGATACGACGTGCTCAAGAGTCAGTTGGTCAATATCACTTTGGATATGTCCAGCAGTGCTCCGCTTCTACGAATGGCTGACGTGAGCAATTCACAATATCTTATGTGAAATAACAATGCCCAATTTTCAGTTCCTAATCCTCAATGATCTGCCGATCGGAAGTCACTTTACGGGAGTCTTCAAGAACTTTCCGGGCGTCAAAGTATCCACGTTCGAGTACTTTCTGCGGTACTGGATCGGATCCACGTACGACCGATTCGGGTAAGATTTGAGCATTGAAAATGTTGTGCCAATAAATAATTGGTTTCTTTCAGGGAGCGAGTAGTTTTGGGATCTGCCGACGGCTACACCATCTCGATCTACCGTAACTTTCACAACGAGGACAAGCCGGGAACGACTAGCTTCACCGTCGTCAAACTCAAGAAGCTTTAAGTCGATTTTCAAAATTAATAAATTATTTTTTTTTCACAATCAATTCTAATTCCGTCATGTTCTTCGAGCACGTCGAATTACGAGCATTTTCCATCAGTTTGCGTCTAAAAGGCGTAAAAATCTCACCAGTCTATTTGAGCAGAATCCAAAACAAATGTTTTTCTCATGTTCTTTTTATTGATGAAACTTCTCAATGAAAGAGAGAAAAAAAAAGAAAATTACAGAAAAAGTTAGAAAATCGGGAACTTTGACACGTGAATGAATGGATGAAGGGTAGGAAAAAGAAAATAAATGGATAGTATTATAGTTTGTGTCGTTTTGCGAGTGCGGCGATTGCCTCGGCGGCGGGCCGTTTGAGGGTGGCTTCCGGACGTCTGTGCACATTCCGATTGATTGCCACCGCCGCCATTCTCGGGTCGAAGGCGAACGGTGCCGGCTGGCTCACCGGCTGGTCCCGTTGGTTCTTGCGACGAGGTTTGTTCGTAGCTGGAGCCTTGGCGGGAACTGGAGCACGGGGTTTGTTCGTAGCTGGAGCCTTGGCGGGAACTGGAGCACGGGGTTTGTTCGTAGCTGGAGCCTTGGCGGGAACTGGAGCACGGGGTTTGTTCGTAGCTGGAGCCTTGGCGGGAACTGGAGCACGGGGTTTGTTCGTAGCTGGAGCCTTGGCGGGAACTGGAGCACGGGGTTTGTTCGTAGCTGGAGCCTTGGCGGGAACTGGAGCACGGGGTTTGTTCGTAGCTGGAGCCTTGGCGGGAACTGGAGCACGGGGTTTCTTCGTAGCTGGAGCCTTGGCGGGAACTGGAGCACGGGGTTTGTTCGTAGCTGGAGCCTTGGCGGGAACTGGAGCACGGGGTTTGTTCGTAGCTGGAGCCTTGGCGGGAACTGGAGCACGGGGTTTGTTCGTAGCTGGAGCCTTGGCGGGAACTGGAGCACGGGGTTTGTTCGTAGCTGGAGCCTTGGCGGGAACTGGAGCACGGGGTTTCTTCGTAGCTGGAGCCTTGGCGGGAACTGGAGCACAGGGGTTTGTTCGTAGCTGGAGCCTTGGCGGGAACTGGAGCACGGGGTTTCTTCGTAGCTGGAGCCTTGGCGGGAACTGGAGCACAGGGGTTTCTTCGTAGCTGGAGCCTTGGCGGGAACTGGAGCACGGGGTTTGTTCGTAGCTGGAGCCTTGGCGGGAACTGGAGCACGGGGTTTGTTCGTAGCTGGAGCCTTGGCGGGAACTGGAGCACGGGGTTTCTTCGTAGCTGGAGCCTTGGCGGGAACTGGAGCACGGGGGTTTCTTCGTAGCTGGAGCCTTGGCGGGAACTGGAGCACGGGGTTTGTTCGTAGCTGGAGCCTTGGCGGGAACTGGAGCACGGGGTTTGTTCGTAGCTGGAGCCTTGGCGGGAACTGGAGCACGGGGTTTGTTCGTAGCTGGAGCCTTGGCGGGAACTGGAGCACGGGGTTTGTTCGTAGCTGGAGCCTTGGCGGGAACTGGAGCACGGGGTTTGTTCGTAGCTGGAGCCTTGGCGGGAACTGGAGCACGGGGTTTGTTCGTAGCTGGAGCCTTGGCGGGAACTGGAGCACGGGGTTTCTTCGTAGCTGGAGCCTTGGCGGGAACTGGAGCACGGGGTTTGTTCGTAGCTGGAGCCTTGGCGGGAACTGGAGCACGGGGTTTCTTCGTAGCTGGAGCCTTGGCGGGAACTGGAGCACGGGGTTTCTTCGTAGCTGGAGCCTTGGCGGGAACTGGAGCACGGGGTTTGTTCGTAGCTGGAGCCTTGGCGGGAACTGGAGCACGGGGTTTGTTCGTAGCTGGAGCCTTGGCGGGAACTGGAGCACGGGGTTTCTTCGTAGCTGGAGCCTTGGCGGGAACTGGAGCACGGGGTTTCTTCGTAGCTGGAGCCTTGGCGGGAACTGGAGCACGGGGTTTGTTCGTAGCTGGAGCCTTGGCGGGAACTGGAGCACGGGGTTTGTTCGTAGCTGGAGCCTTGGCGGGAACTGGAGCACGGGGTTTGTTCGTAGCTGGAGCCTTGGCGGGAACTGGAGCACGGGGTTTGTTCGTAGCTGGAGCCTTGGCGGGAACTGGAGCACGGGGTTTGTTCGTAGCTGGAGCCTTGGCGGGAACTGGAGCACGGGGTTTGTTCGTAGCTGGAGCCTTGGCGGGAACTGGAGCACGGGGTTTCTTCGTAGCTGGAGCCTTGGCGGGAACTGGAGCACGGGGTTTCTTCGTAGCTGGAGCCTTGGCGGGAACTGGAGCACGGGGTTTGTTCGTAGCTGGAGCCTTGGCGGGAACTGGAGCACGGGGTTTGTTCGTAGCTGGAGCCTTGGCGGGAACTGGAGCACGGGGTTTGTTCGTAGCTGGAGCCTTGGCGGGAACTGGAGCACGGGGGTTTGTTCGTAGCTGGAGCCTTGGCGGGAACTGGAGCACGGGGTTTGTTCGTAGCTGGAGCCTTGGCGGGAACTGGAGCACGGGGTTTGTTCGTAGCTGGAGCCTTGGCGGGAACTGGAGCACGGGGTTTGTTCGTAGCTGGAGCCTTGGCGGGAACTGGAGCACGGGGGTTTGTTCGTAGCTGGAGCCTTGGCGGGAACTGGAGCACGGGGTTTGTTCGTAGCTGGAGCCTTGGCGGGAACTGGAGCACGGGGTTTGTTCGTAGCTGGAGCCTTGGCGGGAACTGGAGCACGGGGGTTTGTTCGTAGCTGGAGCCTTGGCGGGAACTGGAGCACGGGGTTTGTTCGTAGCTGGAGCCTTGGCGGGAACTGGAGCACGGGGTTTGTTCGTAGCTGGAGCCTTGGCGGGAACTGGAGCACGGGGTTTGTTCGTAGCTGGAGCCTTGGCGGGAACTGGAGCACGGGGTTTGTTCGTAGCTGGAGCCTTGGCGGGAACTGGAGCACGGGGTTTGTTCGTAGCTGGAGCCTTGGCGGGAACTGGAGCACGGGGTTTGTTCGTAGCTGGAGCCTTGGCGGGAACTGGAGCACGGGGTTTCTTCGTAGCTGGAGCCTTGGCGGGAACTGGAGCACGGGGTTTGTTCGTAGCTGGAGCCTTGGCGGGAACTGGAGCACGGGGTTTGTTCGTAGCTGGAGCCTTGGCGGGAACTGGAGCACGGGGTTTCTTCGTAGCTGGAGCCTTGGCGGGAACTGGAGCACGGGGGTTTCTTCGTAGCTGGAGCCTTGGCGGGAACTGGAGCACGGGGTTTGTTCGTAGCTGGAGCCTTGGCGGGAACTGGAGCACGGGGTTTGTTCGTAGCTGGAGCCTTGGCGGGAACTGGAGCACGGGGTTTCTTCGTAGCTGGAGCCTTGGCGGGAACTGGAGCACGGGGTTTCTTCGTAGCTGGAGCCTTGGCGGGAACTGGAGCACGGGGTTTCTTCGTAGCTGGAGCCTTGGCGGGAACTGGAGCACGGGGTTTCCTCGTCGTTTTCGGAGCAGCAGCAGGGACCAGTTGAGCCGGAGGGACTGGAGACGGCTGACGTGGAATTGCCGGCGGAGCACTCGGAGTTTCAGGCAGCTTCGGAGCGGACGGAAGTTGTGCACTTGCTGGAGGCGGTGGTGAAACTGGCGACGGCTCCCGGTTCTCCTTATCCTCCTCAGCGGATTCATCCGAATCGGATTCCTCCGAATCGGATTCATCGGAATCGAATTCATCGGAATCGGACTTTTCGGACTTGTGGGCCTCCCACATTGCGCGCATCATTTGAGCATTCTTCGACGGAGCATTGGGATGGACGGGTCGGACCGGCAGAGGCATGTCTTCTTCGGATTCGGATTCGGAAAGATCGAGACCGTACTTGGAGAGACTGGACGGAGAAGACATAGTTGGATGGGAATAGAAAGACAAAGTGAGAAGTGAGTGGGCGGGGCAACAGGGAAGATCCGTTTTAGGGGGATTGGAGGTATACTGGGAAAACACCCGGTGGTCCTTTTAAGACCACCCAGTGTTTATTCCCAAAGGCAACTTTGGACACCGGCTTACCCGGCTGTGGGGTCGTAAATTCAATATAACAATATAACTCGAGGCATAGATGTCAGGAAACTGCCTCGAGGAAGGTATGCATAGGGAACACGAAGAACATGGAGATGGGTTGGCAAAGCACGGGAAAGTGATTTCAGGAAGGAAAAGGAACGAAACTTTCTTGGTTTTGTTGCAGTTTATCATGTACATTTCGATTCCGATATCATCAAAACGCTGGTGGACGGCCAATGTCACCCCGAAAACATGGAAACTTCTTTTCTGAAAGATAGATCAAGGAGGAGTGCTTTCAAGTGGTCCAATCTGTCTGAAATGCACTCCAATGGCACTAGAAGAGGGGTCATAGTCTGAAAGAGTATCAGCGCAAAGAAAAGGTGTGAATCTGACTTTAAAATCGGATTCAGCACATCAAAAACGATCGAATTGCGTTGTTACATGGCCGGTGGATTTGTTTTCATCTTAAGATGGCAATCTCATCATAGACCCCGTCTGTTTGTTTGGGAAAACCAGGACAGTTCGGCTCAAACTGACAGTACCAATGGATTCTAAGAGGTCGACTACATGCATCCAATCACATCTTATGATTCAGTATCACCGGGTGACCGTAGGTGGCCACGGACTCCTCATTCACCTACAGTGCGCGTCATAAAGATAGGACACGGCCCCCTAAAATGACGTCCTAGAGAGAACTGAACATTTTCGAGAAAAACTGTGAAAGCCATTCGATTCAGTATCCAAAGCAACCTACGAAACCAATTTTTTTTTAGATTCCTACCTCAAAAACTGAAGCTACAGCACTGAAAAGTCTTAAAATCGGGCGCGTCATAATGAGAGGACACCCACCAAAAATAGAGGGATTTTAAAACTTTTTTATGGTTTGTTCAGATAATGTTCCGGTTTTCGGGTTGTATTATTAAAGTTTCATTATTCATTTGCGTTTTTATTGAATTTCTAACAAAACGATCCAATTATATTGTTGTTCGCATAGATGTTAAGTTCTTCCGGACAAAATTCGAAATCTTTGAACAATTTTTGTTTTAAAATGTTTTATTAACAAAGGAAACTTATTAAATGTTCACAGAACATGAAATAATTAATAAGAAGTTGTTCCTCAAAACTTTTGTATCACTTGGCTCTGTCGGTTCGGCATTCTCTTCGTCAGAGACTCCAAATAGGTTGGCGAGAGCTTGCCCCATTCGTCCCAATTAACATCCTTGAGCTCGTCAACTGTTTGAAGATGCTGAATTTAATGCCATTCACAGTTTTTCTTGAAAATGTGCTTAGTTGTCTCTAGGACGTCATTTTAGGGGGCTGTGTCCTATGTTTATGACGCGAACTGTAGGTGAATGAGGAGTCCGTGCATGTAACAACGCAATTCGATAGTTTTTGATGTGCTGAATCCGATTTTGAGTGAATTCATTACCCCAAGAAACGGTCCCACTTGTACGATGAAGGCTTTGATGTCATTAAATTAGAGGTAGCATTCCGCAAAAAGTTTTATACGAAATAAACACATTATACACCTTTAAAAAGAAAGAAAAAATAAAAAAAATATCACGGCGACAATAATTTCTTTTGGTCAGTTACTTTAAAAAAAATTTCCCAACCTTTGGTCAGTAAGCCACGGCTTGATAGCCTAGATCCGTGTTTCAGAAATTCCCAAAAAAGCTCACAAAGAATTATGCTGTATCTAGAAAAATCTAGAAATCTTCTCGAAATCTCCGCGATTTCATCAGATTTCCGTTTCATTTTCGTATCAAAAGTTTGCTTTTTTTTCAATTTGTATTCATACCAAAATGTGAGGCCCTTAACAGCAGAAAAACCAATTTATTTAGTCACAGAGAGATTCGAAACGGAGAAAACAATTCACAATCAGATCGGATTCGAAACGGTTCAACGAGAGATATTCGGAAATGGACACGTTTTGGGGTTATTCGACATCAAACTCATTCATTCATTCATTCTCCCTTGTAGAGCAGAAAAGTGCGCGGAGTCTCGACGTAGGCGGTCGGCTCGTCGACGGCCAAATATCCGCCGTGCTCCTCGTACACGTGGTGCTTCAGCTCACCGTACTCGGCAAACTTTCCGTGGCAGATGGCACAAATGTAGCCGTGCTCGTCCTTTTTGTGCTCCTGAAACGTGCGAAACATGGTACCTCAGTTTCGAAAATCTCTTAAAAGTTGCAACAGAAAACCAGAATTGCTGGGTCGGACAAGAGAGAGAACCGCCACGCGCTCCAGAGCTTAAAATGGGCGCGCAAGTGCGCCCCGCCCAATAGAGCGATACATTGGCGCGAAATTCAAATTTTAACAGCAAAATTTGTGTTTTTTGCCAGATTAGCCACGAAAAACCGATAATTTCTCATTTGTCTCTCGATAGACCGATTGTATAGGCTATTACGAATTTCTTAAGCGCAAGAGCGTCAAATTTGGTCAAGTCGCAAATCACATTTATCCGTTTGAAGGTTTTTGGCTAAAACTGCGTGAATTTCAGTTGCTTTTCGGTAGTTTTCGCGGTTTGAGCGCTCAAAATGCTTGTATTTACGTGTGTTATCATTCTCAAAACCAATTCTGTCTGAAAACGGTCAAGAAAGCGCAAAATGAGAAGTGCGGTTTTTGGCGGCGAAGGCGAAAAAGCAAAGTCCGTGAAAAATGCGCCAAAACGTCATTAATTCTGAGAATTAGTGTATTTTCATGTCGAACAATCATTTTTCATCGCCGTTGACTACAAAAATCAGAGAAAACCTGCTCAATTCATGAAAACGCCATTCAGCTCTGGAGACCGTGAACCGTTCTAACAGTTGTGCGAGAAACAGGTCATGCTCACCTCCATAGTAACGTATCGATTGGCTCGAAAATCGCACACTTTGCACTCGAACTTGATGATTCCCGTATGGACTCGCTCATGCGTCATCACCTGCAACGAATTGAATTCCGAATTAAACGGAAGACGCCATCCATACCGCCACTTCGCTGATGAAGATCTCCTCGCAGAAATGGCACTGAAAGGTCTTTGTGAAGACGTGCGACATCTTTTTGTGCTTGCGCAGTTTGCGCGGTGTCAGGAACTTCATGTTGCAGAACGAGCAGCGGAAGCCCGAGTTGGCGCCACGATGGAACTTTTTGCGATGGTTGAGCAGGCGCTGGTCCGTGCACAGATTGCGGATCGGAGTGCACTCGAAGCACACGAACGTCTGCAAACACACAATTGATACTTTCTTCTCTTTTACGCTTAAACTATTTCGAAAAGAGCGCACAGAAAGTGTGATATTTTGAGAAGTTCCGTTCAACTTTTTCACTTGTTTCGCCATTATTCTATTTTCTTGCATTTACCCCACTCGATTCGGATTTCAGTTTCATTTTGGCATCAAAAAAGCGAAAATGACTGAAATTCGAGGCCAAAAAGGATGCGAAAACGTTGAAAATGGGAGACAAACTGTTGAAATGGGAATTCGGAAACGGAAAGTTCGCCTACCAGTTCGCAGTCGTGGTTGGCGAGTTCGGCGTCGTTTTCGAGACACTTGAAGCACTTGAGGCACTGTTTGAATTCGATCATCTCCTCGTGCTTCTTCGCGAAATGCTTCTTGAGCGAGAACTCGTTGCGGAAGCGTTTGTCGCAGAACGGACACTGCGGACTGATCTTCTTCTTGTACGGACGCTTCATTTGTTTGATGCGGCCGTAGTGGTCGAATTGCGGCACGTAGCCGCCCGTGTTCTCGCCCGGAAGCGGAATGCTGCAACACGGAACACTGTTTCAGGTTTTAAAAGAGCAGAAACTAACTGATCGGGGTCCTCGGAGGGCTGCGAGATCTCGTTCTCCGGGGGAATGAAGCCTCCGGTCTGCAACTCCTCGATACGATTCGCCTCGATCTCCTCCAATCGCTGCAGCTCGACCTCCTCCTCCTGCTCCCGAATGTACTCCTCGTAGAGTGCCGGATGCTTGTCCCTCAAGTGTCTCTCGTAGATGTTCTTCTCGATGAATCGATTCTTGCACTTCTTGCACCGCACCATCTTCTGTCGGATCATCCGTCGCACGATGCGCACGTCCGTCGGGTTGTTCTGCACCGGCAAATCGATTCCGTCCTGGTGATCGGCCAGTGTGAGCGTCTGCTGAACTTCCGCGATCCGGCACAACGGGTACTTTGCGGGGTCGCGCTCCACGTATCCGAGCTCGTCGAGCACAATTCTGTGGCGGAACGGTGGCGGTGGGAGTGCCGGGCGCTGCGAACGGAGCTGCTGGATCATCTCGCCGACGCCGCCGAGCTTTGCGCGCTCCTGCGCGTCCTTGTCGACGAGCTCCACGGCCGGACGATCCTCTTCCTCATCTTCTTCTTCTTCTTCTTCGTCGTCGTCGTGCATCTTGTTCAGGGCGTCCGCAAACAGTTCTGCAAGAAACATTTAAAGTATTCTGTCTGCTCGGACCATAGTCTAGGACCAAAACGAACTTGAGCTCCTTATAACTTTACGTCCTTGGCCTCGAGGATTTTTTTTTTTTCAAATTTGGCGGCCGGGGGACTAGAAAACTCCACCTTCCGTGTGGTTCTCGTGGTCTCGTTAGCTTTTTCGCGAAATTTTTCAGGATAATTGCCGAGTAGTAAGTCTCCAACTAATCGGTCCATTTTCCAGTTTCACAGTGTCCTCTTCACTTTCCTCTTTTCCTCTTTTCACAATCTAACTCTCCCCAGGTTCACAGAGACGATCCGAAAGCACTCACTGTATCCGAGTCCCTTCTTCTGATCGTCTTTCTCGTCGTCCTCGTCTTCCTCGTCGAACACATCCTCCTCGTGCCCGATTTCCGCCTTCAAATTGTTCGGCCGACCGCTGGGGACCGCCCATTCGGTTGTTTCCACTGTCAATTGGGTCAGGTCCCTGAAAGAACGGAAATTGTTGATTCTGAACTGAAACGTCAAAGAAAACCTGTGAAAACTTACATTTTTAGAGCTCTTCTCACAGTTTTTTGATTCGAAAGTGGTCTGGAAAAGAAACAATGACGATGACGCAAGAGAAAAAGGCAATCGAATCGAATTGTGATCGATAGAAGAGGGGAAGAGGACGCAGAGAAGGGGGAAAGGCGAGAGAGTGTGCAAAGAAAGGAGGGTGGCAGAGTGGAGTGGCAGAGGAGGACCGGGCAGAAGAGAAGAAGAAGAAGAAAACAAAGGACTGTGAGCGGACGGCCATGGCAGGAGGTGTTTTCAGACAACAGGTGTAGTGGTTCTTGCGGGTCAACCATCTGGGACCGTTCTGAACCATGAGCGGTACCGAAGAAGAGACAAGTGATACCAAAAACTAAATGAACATGAGATATGACGGTGTCTAAGAATAAAAGAGCGATACCTACAACTAACTCTGGAAGTTGACTCCCGGACGTCTCGCAACCAGACATTTCGAAACTAGGTACCAGTGTTGAGCGGAATTCCGTCTTCCGTTTTCCGTCTTCCGTGGTTTTTTTTGTTCCGTCTTCCGTAAAAAAATTTGTCTTCCGTCTTCCGGGATTTTTTCTTCTTACCGTAAAAGAGTAATAGCTTTTCAGAAGCCATTTACTAGCCCCGAAGAACGCGAATTTCCACGGGCAGTGACCCAAATCCAAAATTTTTGTTGTTTAGTTATTTTTTTCAAAAAAAAAACCGGAGAAAAAGGTTGTGCATTGACGATTTTTTTGTTCCGTTTTCCGTTTTCCGTGTTCCGTGAAAAAATATTTTCCGTCTGCCGTCTTCCGGATTTCAAAATGTGATTTCCGCTCAACTCTGCTAGGTACTTGTAAGAGACAAAAGTAGGGATCGATCGTATATAGCGACACTTTGAAACTGTAAATTGAATAGATGCCAACCGAAAAAATTCCCGGATCACATGTTATTGGACACGTGGACAATTCGTGTCGCACGTGAAACCGACGCTAGAGAAGAGCACTTTATTTAAACTTCACAGCTTCATCACATCTACATGCGACCAAAAATTCTTCTTCATTCAATATGTTGTCTTCCTGCGTATGAACCTGCCAAATCAAGTTGTGATTGTGAGCATTTGTGCGGTGTTACGAGAAGAATTCTGGAAATGTGAGAGGCTTTTTTGCAACTGGACGTTTAGCAACCGAATTGTCGGCCACAAGAATGGATGCTCGAAACTCTGAACATGAAAGGTCTTTACGACGTTTCGAATGGATGTTTGCCACGATTCTCGTTAGATTACGGTAACATTTGACCTTCTCAACGTTTTAATAGAAATCATTGTTTATTCAGCACAAAAATTCATGAAATCTGGGCGAATTTTCATAGGAAATACAGAAGCATTATGCGAGAATTCAAAAAATACAATCATAACGGTGTCGGCGATGATTTTCAAGGAACAAAGGGAAAAGAGGAGGTGAAACAAGTGAATTGATATTGTACTACCGAAAAATAGCTACAATAGAGGGAGATGATGATGATGATGATGATGAGAAGAATGGCAGAGCGAGGTGGGGAAGTGGAACGATAATATCGGAATGTTGTTCGAGAGGTAAACCTGCAAAAAGACGTACTTCAAGCCCTGTCAAGTCAATTTGAAAGAGTGTGAGCCAAGGGAAAGAATAGAACTATCGAAATGGCCTTAGAAACTGCACAAAACTGCCATTCGAAACCGAGAAAAATAAAAGTATCTTAGAAGGATAGGACGGATCAATCAGAATTGTCAGAGAATTTTGATACCACCTGGCTGAAACGGGCAAAATTGAGCAAAAGGACCGATTGAGAAGTTAGCGGTATCCGATCGATCCTAGCTCGATTTTTCCGTCAAAACGTGCCAATACTCACCAGAAAGTGTCGTGCTCCTAGTTCTTCGGCTCCTCCTCCTCCTCCTTTTCCGCCTTGTTGTGCTCCAATTGCTGCCTGACGTTCCGTTCCTTCTCCTCTTTCTCGGCCAGCTCCCGCATGAGCCTCTCGGCGTACCGCTCCTCGACTTGTCTCCGATAGGCCTCCTCCTCCTGCAGCCTCTTAACCTCGCGAATCTTCCGTTCGAGCTTGTAGGCCATCTGTCCGATCGCCTTCTCCTCGGCCTTCTTCTTCTCCTGCGCCTGCCGATGGGCCTCCCGCATGCACTCGGAGATCTCCCATCGCATCCGCTCCTCGATTCCGATCTTCGTTTTCAGCTCCTCCTCGTCTAGAAGACCCGCCTCCTCCATCCGTTTTCGCGATTCGATCAGGGCTTTCAGGTCGGAGAGCACGCGGCGAGTCGTGTCTGGAAACATAGAAAACCTGTACACTCTTTCAGTTTCAAATCGATTGGATTATCTGGGAGTCCTTTATAATTCTGCAGCTCGCAACCTGGTGGTAAACTCATCTTTCCAATGAGAGTACAAAAAGCACGAAGATATTTAGCATTTCTTTGAAACCGATAAGTTTCTAGCAAGAAGCTTCATTCAAAACGATGTATTTCAGGTGTCGTTAAAGATATCAAAAAGTTGTCAACTAATAAAATGTGTATAATTTATTAATAAACATTTTATCAGTTGACAACATTTGAATATCTCTACCGGCAAATGAGATATATTAATTTGAATGAGCAGTATACACTAGTGACAGTTTCATTGATATTGTAAAAGCCCCTTGCTCACCATTCATTTTCGATGAGCTGTTGGTCGTGAGATTGACCTGAAAAATACAATTGCTAATAAAAAATCAATGGAAAGAGCGGAAAAACGATCAATTTAGCTTTCACAAATTGATCGAAAAGCAGCGAGAAAGAGGGAAATGATCATTGAAACGGAAATTATTTCGATATCCAAATAACAAGGAGAAGAACATCGAGAAGGAATGAGTTTTCAGTTTAAATTTCCGACTTTTAGACTATCATTTGCTGAATATAAACAAAATCTATAAAATAAACAATTTGTCATCACCGAGAAACCTACAATATTCCGTAGAAATTTCAAAGAAAGAGCGAAAGCTCATCTAAAATTTGCGTAAACGGAAGAAAAGTAAACAAAAATCGTTAGAAAATAGCTCATTTCTCGCTCCGAAAGTGGTGGTAAAAGGAAGGAAGAGAGAGAGAGAGAGAAAGAAGAAGCGAGAGTGAGAGAGGGAGAAAGAGTGGGAGGAAACCGACGGGCAGACGACATCTTTTGCCAATGTCTGGCACTCTCTCTCTTTCTCGCTTTTTGGGGAAGAAAGAGAGAGAGAGAGAGGGATTACTGTAGCTGACGAGTAACGTCCGATGGTGTATGAAAGACGGTCCCTGCTGATCGGATCCTCATTCCGTCTTCTGCGGATACATTCTGACCAGAGTTGAGCAGAAATGGAATTTTGAAATCCGGAAGACGGAAAACGGAAGACGGAAGAAAAAATTTTTCCCGGAAGACGGCAGACGGAAGACGGAACAAAAAAATCTACGGAAGACGGAAGACGGAATTCCGCTCAACACTGATTTCCGAGTTTCAGACCGATCCGATCATCTGGTCCCGAGAGATTCAATGCCGGAAAGCGCGGCGCGTCCATCCCTGACTTGATAATATTGTTTGCACAATTCAGTTCCCATCGTCCCTCTATCCGTCTGCGTTCCTTCCAAATCGTCATCTTCCTCTCTCTCTCTCCCTTTTGGCCCTATAAAAGAGGGAGCCAGGCGCCCCTTTCCGCTCACTTTTCCGTCATTCGACCGCTCGCCCCCTTCTCCCTTCTCCCTTTCTCTCTTTCCTTTCGATCGGCGCCACGTGGCTAGTGATCGCTTCGAGACCCACACTTTCACTAAACTGATAATATTTACAAGGGAAGGTCGTGCCCCCAACTTGGAAAATTCTCAAAAAAATCTCAAAAAATCAGAAAAATTCTGAATAGCACGCTCAAAATTTTTCAGAATTAGGCCGAATTTTTTGGATTTTCTAGAACGTTCCAAAGTGCGTTTGAAGTGCTTACTTGACCTCGCACGTGACCATAATTGAATTTTCTTCTGCTTATCCTCCTAAACTTGCTGAGAAAGTGAAAAAGCCAAAAAATTCGGCCTAATTCTGAAAAAAATTGAGCTTGCTATTCAGAATTTTTCTGATTTTTGAGAATTTTTTCAGCATTTTTCAAATCAGGGGGGTCACAACATTCCCTTGTTATATATTTCTCTAGCCCACATTTCTGTTTCTATCCTTTGATTTCATCCAATTTTTTATCGAAAACGTAAAATCCAAACAAATCCGTGTAAAATCGCAATTTTCCCCGCTTTTTCGACTTAAAATTGCAAAATTTTCAGTTTCAAACTTGTGGTAATGGCCCGGAAATCCACTCGGACCTCCACCTCAATCGGATGTTTTTTAATTTGTAAGTATCAGTTTTGCCCCCAAAAAAAATGCTAATAATTCTAAAATTCAAGAATGTCTGCCCGGGAATCCACTCGGAATCCACTTCATTCAATGCCCCTATTCTCTTTAATTTCAGTGAGTCTTTCGATACGTTCGTCACTTGCAAATTATTGTTTTTTCAGACTAATAATGGATTCCAACTTTGAAAGTGATGAATTCGAACTCGAATACTTTCTTTTAGGAACAAATAAATGCACATCGATTATTAAACATCTACAAACATACATTTAACATTTCAATGACGATATACAAGGTGAGCAACGAAAAAGAGCGGTATTTCTAATACTTTGTCTTATAATAACTCATTTATTCGTTTCGACCACCAGAGAAATTTACAGAAGAAGAGAGGCAGATATAAATAGTGGCTGGAGGAGGGAATAAATCTTGTTTCTTTAGGAACCGCTTCAGTCGGACGAGGAACGGGTCAGTGTACACGAAAAGAAGAGGAAGAGGAAGAAGAAGAAGAAGAGGAAGAAGAAGAGGAAGAAGAAGAGGAAGAAGAAGAAGAGGAAGAGCATCTACATCACCGGGTGCCTTCGAGAAGGAAATTAGTGGAAAACGCGTCCGGTGATTTTCGCAATTGATAATATTTTCTGAATAAACTGCCGATAGAGAAAACAGTCGTTAAAAAGTGATAACAACTCGAATATTCTATGTTTGACAAGTTTGAACGGAATTCCCAGCTGTCCAATGCATGAACCTTGTGTTCTTGTGTAAATTCTCTAAACTTTCCGACGGGTAGATTCAATTCCGCAATATGAGAGTTTCATGAAATAAGAGACCGAACTTGTCATCTGCTTTTAGACGGGCTGGATCACTTTCAGTATTCCAATCGGGCCCAAACTTGGATTATTGTGAACAACATTGTTCAAGCCCTCTCTCGCTCACAAAACACCGAGTTCCCAAACCCAAAGTGTTTTGGGAGTGGGAGGGGGAGCGAACCATATAAAAGGACCACCATCTTTTGTGACTTCAGTTTTTCCTTCCTTATTCCTTCCTTCCTTATAATAAATATTCTGACTATTCTATGATCGTGAAATACGAAACATGGTGACCCAGTCTATTTGAACCTTCAATCTTCTCCACGATCACCATCGAGCAAGAGTGATCATCGAAGAATACAATGAGCTCATCCGCAATCCGATCCCAGATTGGGATATGTCGCAGACGTCTGAAGGACGCCATCGACGAGTCAACGAACGTCGAAGATGTCTCCGCCGCCAAGGATGATTCCAGCGAAGACGTCTACTCAACAATCTCTGCCATTACGGACACTATCTATCGAATCGAGATAGAGGTATCGCGTATCAAGAAGTGCAACGGTGAGTGGAGCCAACTCATCAATCAGCAACCTGCCGAAGCAGCAATCAAGGAGGACTACAAGAAACGTGTTGGAGACTACGAAACAGAACTCGTCAAAGCCGAAGGCACCGCAGTTCGTCTGAAGACAGTCTACGAAGAGTACGTCGCTCTTCACCGCAACAAATCAACGGAATCTACTGCCTACCCACAAGTGATCAACGTCTCCCCACACACCCCGTCATCAACTGTCCTTACCAGCAACGACACAGCAGCCTCCAGTTCCAGTACATTCAATGCAACCGCAACATCAAGTTCCCGTTCAAGCAACACAGCAACTCGCGCAACTCCAAACTCCGATTCACGTGCAATCCATGCATTGAACGTCTGGGTGCCCTAAAATTTTGTGGCGCCAGCGTCTTTTGAAAAAAGATGTCATTTCTTTCAAAATTTGGCAACAACTGAAAGTGCCGGTGAAACTAGAAAAGACAACTGATATGTTCAGTTTGATGTACTGTTATTTATCCAGTCAGTTATTGGATATCATCTTTGCAACCAACAACCAACCAACCAACCGATGCGGTGCAGGTCTTCGCGACAAAATGCAAGTCGGTGAGCGGCTGACAACCGCGCGCAAACAAAAACCACGGCCGCGTTGAAAGACACGCGAAATGAGGATACACGTGCCCTCATGTGTACGGTGTGTTGTTAATTGGCGGGAGTAGAGGAGTGCGGCATATGTGTCGAGTGTGGTTTTGTCAGGAGGGTGGTAGTTGCGATGAGACGTGTGCGATCGGTTTGCCGCGTGTTGTGTTTCCACAGTGCGTACGGTTTGCTGTTCGCGTCGTTTTGTCGGCTGCTTTCGGCGTGTTGTGTGTCATTTTTCGTGACATATTTCACAACGATGGCTGACTACATCAATCCATTCCGGGTACAATGCAATTGTTAGCGGTTGGCTTGCGGTGTCGCGGGCCATATGCTTCAGTTGTCACGACTACTGTTGTTCTCGATGCGGTTTCTGTGGTGTCTCGTGCTCTTTGAACGGTCCTTAAAACACCAAGGGAGGCGATTAATTTGCAATCAATCGTACCGATAACCGCATTAGGTCTCCAAGGTGAACAGCCTCTAGTCGATAGAATAATGTAGGTAAGGGAAGTCGGCAAACTAGATCCGTAACTTCGGGAAAAGGATTGGCTCCAGTGGTTGGAACGGTTGGCCAGTTGGTTGATGCTTGTCCGGCGCTGTTCTGTCTGTTTGATGCTTTCGGGCTGATGGCGGACTAGTGACAGTGTTTGCTTGTGGACGCCTTCTGGTGTGTGCTTTGACCTCGGTCTTACAATTAGTGTCCTGATCGCTCATCTAAACAACCGTACTGGAACCGGTACGGACTCAGGGAATCCGACTGTCTAATTAAAACAGAGGTGACAGATGGTCCTTGCGGACGTTGACTGTCACTGATTTCTGCCCAGTGCTCTGAATGTTAAATCGTAGTAATTCGAGTAAGCGCGGGTAAACGGCGGGAATAACTATGACTCTCTTAAGGTAGCCAAATGCCTCGTCATTTAACTGGTGACGCGCATGAATGGATTAACGAGATTCCTACTGTCCCTAACTACTGTCTAGCGAAACCACAGCCAAGGGAACGGGCTTGGCAAAAATAGCGGGGAAAGAAGACCCTGTTGAGCTTGACTCTAGTTTGACATTGTGAAGAGTCATGAGAGGTGTAGCATAGGTGGGAGACTTTGGTCGCCAGTGAAATACCGCCACTTTCATCGACTCTTTACTTATTCGGTTGAAAGACGATTGGCCGTCAGGCCTTTTTTCGAAGCATTAAGCGGCGCGCCATTTTATGGCACCGTGACTCTCCTCGAAGACAGTGTCAAGCGGGGAGTTTGACTGGGGCGGTACATCTATCAAATCGTAACGTAGGTGTCCTAAGGCGAGCTCAGAGAGGACGGAAACCTCTCGTAGAGCAAAAGGGCAAAAGCTTGCTTGATCTAGACTTTCAGTACGAGTACAGACCGCGAAAGCGTGGCCTATCGATCCTTTTAATCCAGATTGTTTCTGGAAAGAGGTGTCAGAAAAGTTACCACAGGGATAACTGGCTTGTGGCAGCCAAGCGTCCATAGCGACGTTGCTTTTCGATCCTTCGATGTCGGCTCTTCCTATCATTGCGAAGCAGAATTCGCCAAGCGTTGGATTGTTCACCCACTAATAGGGAACGTGAGCTGGGTTTAGACCGTCGTGAGGCAGGTTAGTTTTACCCTACTGTTGACTTGTTATTGCGAAAGTAATCGTGCTTAGTACGAGAGGAACAGCGGGTTCAAACATTTGATTCATGGACTTGGTCGACAGGCCACTGGTCCGAAGCTACCATTTGAGAGATTATAACTGAACGCCTCTAAGTTAGAATCTCGCCTTGTCAAGGCGAAAATTCTTTGCTTCCCGGTGTCGGGAGGCATCTCTATCTCGTGGCAACACGAGACCTTATGCCCTATGTATGGCGTTGGCGTCGTAGTGAACTCTGCGGCGCCTGCCAACGCCAGATCACTCTGGTTCAATGTCGGGGCGCTAAATCACTTGCATACGACTTGGTCTCTTGGTCAAGGTGTTGTATTCAGTAGAGCAGTCATCTTATACTGCGATCTGTTGAGACTATCCTTTGATTGAGTTTTTTGTTTGCCTATTTTTGCAATAAAATTGTGTACGTTTGTCGCGCCGACATCTCTATTTCCACGTAAAAACGATCTCGCTATGATTTGATCCGATCGGGATGAATCTTGAAAAATCATGAAATCCCTCGTGAAAAGTCGAATTTCCCACATTTTGGCTCTAAAAGCACAGTGAACTGTCCCGCACGGCCCACCCTAAAACCCTGAACTTTTGACCCTGCCCCGCTTTTTAGCCGTTTTCCGCTCTTCTGAATTCACTCTTCGCAATCAGAAGAAGATGATAATCGTCATTTCAACGTTCATTCTCTTCGTCTTCTCGCTTTCGGCTCATTTCGTCGGCTGCGGCGGCAAGAAAGGAGCAAAAAAGCCGATAACGCCGGCCACGCCGCAAGTGAGTTAACCGGGGAGGGCGCGCTTTTGCCAATGCCCTCAGGCAGCGGAATATCCCGTGTCCTCGGTAGTATAGTGGTGAGTATCCGCGTCTGTCACATGCGAGACCCGGGTTCAATTCCCGGCCGGGGAGGAACTTTTTGTCCTTTTTTTAGGTGATTACGAAGGCGACAACGCCTCCTCCGGCCACAACTATCGCTTCTTCAATCCCAATCAAGGGTGATACGGTTATCGAGAAATCAAAGAGAAAGAGCGAGAAATCGAAGAGAAAGAGCGAAAAATCGAAGAAAAAAGAATCGGAAAAGAGCGAGAAAAAGGAGGAAAAGAAGGAGGAAGAGGATAACGAAAAAGAGAAAGATAAAGAGAAAGAGGAAGAATCGAAAAATGTGAAAAAAGATATGAAACCCCACAGTAACCCATCAAACTACCGTAATCCCATCCCCCTCCTTTATTTTCAGTCACGGTCGAACCTTCCGGAGATCTCCAATTCAAAACCGAATCCACGTCGCAGATTCGGCTGATTTTGACGAATATCCACACGAAACGCGTCATGTTCAAGATCAAGTTCTCCGAAAATGGGGCCTACCAGTAAGGACGATTTGAAAATGGCCTAGAAAACTCCTAGGCCATATATGCATCTTTTCCGGACTTTTTTTTGCGTTCGGCACAATCCTCAGACGTTGCGAAACATTCACACAAATCAGCGGCCGTGTAGAGTGCAATAGCATCAGACTGCTAACATGGAAGAGTTTTCACACCCGAGTTTTCTAGGCCACAAGTTAAAACTTGGATTTCGCGCCAAAAAGACGATGTTTCAGGGTGAATCCAGTTTTCGGAACGATCGAACCGGGAAAAAGTGCCGATTTGGCAGTGACACACAACAAATCGCCGTGCAAACAGGCGAAGATGGTCATCCAGAACTCCGTGGTGAGTGGGCGAATTCCTGAAAAATGGGTTTGACGCAAAAGCTTCGCTTGCAGTTTGTCGGAGAGGAGAAAGATTTGGCAAAGTCGTTCCGAAGCGTTCAACTAACCGGAGCTGCGATCAACATCAAATTGGTGGCCAGTTAGAAGCAGCATTCCCGGGAAGAAATGTTACTCGACGGATTTTGTATTTCACCTTTTTAGTTGGGAATGAACGTTTTTTAATGTTTTTAACTTTGAAAACATGTTTCAAGTCTTGGTGAAAGTTGAAACTGAAAAAGAAATTGACATTATTAAGTGGTATCCCGGTGTTGTTTTTATAAAAATACTTTCATAATACTTCGTGGATGGCAAAGTGAAGAGAAACGAAGAGTTTATTGTTATTTTGTAGAGAGGAATGTCGTCGGGACGTGATGGCGGCAGCGGAACAACGAACCGAAGACGTTAGTTTATTATCCGAAGAAACGGTTGAGTTCAAAGTCTGATTTCAGCGCCGCGCATTCCCGAATCCAACGAATGAATATGGCTCGAGTTGAGAATTGGTACGCCATTTTTTTGAGAAACTCAGTCTTGAAAACTTCTCGGTTTCTCAAGATGTAGTCTCTGAAAGACGTGTCGTATCTGTGGCCTTTTATACACTTTCATACCAACAACCATTACCTGGGGGCCTGTAATGCAACACCGAACTGTCCCCGATTCCCCCCCGGGTCGGTAAGCTGAAGAAGACAGCCAAGAAAGGGTAACGTCTTCTTCTTCTTCCTCTTCTTCTTTCTCTTTCTCTCTCTCTCTTCCATCTTCGTTCTCCATCGCCGTTTCGTCATGAACTAAGTTCTGTGCGTAAAAAGTGCTTGTGTCGGCGACGGCCGAATCGGGTCGTCGCTTAGCCAGTATCAGAGCGCACAAGGACACATTCACGGCGCGAAACGACGACGGTTCAGGCGCCGCCCACTTGTTGTTTTGCCCTTTTCGCATTGTGTACTGCTGCACACTCTATGAAGGTTACTTTGAAACGTTAGACATTGAAAATGAGGCGAACTCGATCAAAAATGTGATTTTTATGAGCGTACAGTACACCCGTGATCATCATCAAACCGTCTTCTTCCCTGGCTCCGCCCACTTTTACACTGTACAAGGGACACAAAGCGCCACAAAGACCACACGCACTTTCGGCATGCGAACATTTCGTCACTTTCGCCACTTTTTTTTTTTTTTGAAATCCCGTTTCGTTTGCAGGCTTCTCCGAGCGATGACGATTTGCGAGAGAGCGAAAAAGCCACGTGGCGGCGCGAAAGTCGAGCTTGTCGTGGCGAGACCGTCGGCGGCCGAACGGGCCAAGATCAAGAGGAGGGAGGCGGCGAAGAGTGAGTCCAGGTGTCCGATCGATCCGAGATCTGCTAGTCTCTTGTAGCATTTACTTTGAGGAGTTATCTTCAAAATGTATGAAAATACGGTTTCAAAGTGTTCTGAAACAGCTGAGCTGAACGAGATTTGCCACACTTTTTCTGTTTCAACCAGGGGTGTGCGGAAAATTTTTTTCGGAAAATTTCGGAAAATCGGTTTTTCCGAATTTTTTTTTCCGGAAAATTTCGGAAAAATCGGAAAAATCGGAAAAGCGCGTTGAACTTGTGGCCGCAAAAACACGCTTTCTCACCGTTTTTCCGCCCAATTAAATATACGTCCCACTTTCCCATTACGTCAGCTTTTCTGAAAAAAACAACACAAATCGCAACAATCGGTTCATTAGAATGAGAAAAACGAAAGAAATTGCGTAGAATTTAAAAATCAAATTTAAAAAGACGCTCGCTGCTAGACCCTTCCAAAAATTTTGTGATGCGCCTTTAAAAAGCATACGGTGGTTTCGGACAAATTGACCTTGAATCCACACTAATTTTCCGAACATTTTGCCGAACATTTTCGGAAAATTTTCCGTCGGAAAATCGGAAAATTTCGGAAAATCGAAATATTTTCCGCACACCCCTGGTTTCAACCTATCGCTTCTGAACGTCTGTTAAATAGTATCAAGTACAGTTTCAACAGGCTCTCAAGAATCGGGTATAACTTTTTCAAATTGGTCCACCGTGATAAGGCTTCGTCTGACTTTCTGTCAGTGTGCCTTACCGAAAATTTTTTTACCGAAAAAAGTGAATTTCGGTAAATTTTCGGTAAATTTTCGGTAAATTGTTTCGAAAATTTACCGAAACTCTTTCGGTAAAAAAAAGTTTTACCGAAATTTTTACCGGTAAATTTACCGAAACCCTTTCGGTAAGGCACACTGCTTTCTGTGTATATTCAGTATCGGAATGCACATTTTCGGTTCCTAAATTTTGCTGTTTAGTTCCTTATCACTATTCCTATTGTCATCAACACGTTTAGTTCTTTATCGAAACTTTTTTGCATCAAAAATAATCAATTTATGCAATCAAACATCATTTTTCAAAGTGAGAACAGAAAGGAGAGCGGGGTGGAAGGTACTTTAAAAAAGTAGACCCAGTAAAACTGGAATTACAGTTTCATATAGTTCACAAGTACAACACCATCAGAACTTTTCGATACTACTATTGTACATTTGTAACAGCAAGCAGAGAGATGATCAAAAACGACTCTGGACCGAGAGAAAACCGCATTCTTCTTGTGATTACAATTGTTTTGTGTTTCATTGGAAAAGTTAAACTATTCTATACACTTGTGCACTATTAGCGACGCAACTACAATTATAGTCATTTCACTATTCTCAAAAGTTTTGACGCTCGCAAACTGTTTTCCTAACGTTAATCCAAAATGGTTTGACTCTTTCAATGTCCCAAATGTTTTTTCTCATGAAGGATACCCGAAACAATGCTCCATCTCACTGAAACACGAATAGTGTTGACCACTGCTGTCAAAATGTTTGTTTTCACAGCTCGCAGATCCATTTTCTCGCTTTTCAGTGCTGAAACACATGGGCAGCATGTGCTACATCGCGAACGAGTTCTTCACGCAGTTCCGGATCGAGTGCCACGAGTCGGGAATCGACCTGACCGACGCGGAGAAGGTGCTCTCGTTCACGGACAACAAACGGATGCAGTTCGTGCGGGCGCTGAACTACGCGGACCGGGGCGACCAGAAAGTGCGGATGAACCTGATACAGTGCGCGCAATTTCTGCGGCGGCTCATCGAACGAATCGACGATTTTATGAAGATTCTCGCGAAGGGACCACCGCAACGCCGTTAGCGAACCGACACGAGACAAATTGCACACAAACGGACCTACCGTACCCTTTATTTCTCTTCTAAAATAGTCATTTCTTTGTTTTCTATGTCTAACATGAGCTTCTCTTTGTCAATGGTTTTGAAATTCGAATTTGGAGATAAAAACGTTCTTTTCTGTGCTCGTGACGTCACCAACCGTTTTTTTCGCACTTATCTGGGTTATTTGGCAGTCGGAACCGGTTCGTCTCTACCGTAACCCCGAAAATGATAGGTTGATAATGAATATGACAAAAAAACGGCGAAAAATGTGTTTTCCGCTCAGCTACAGTAACCCAACGGCAAAAACAGTACGAAAACCTGAGAACAAGAACGTGTTTTGGAAAAATAAACATTCTCAACTTTTTTGCTCAATTTTCAGATCAATTTCCATATTTTCATTCATTTTCAGGTGTTTTCTTCATTCTCTGCCGAAAAACTTTAAAGACGCATAACGAAATTTGTCGCACCACGGCTCTTTGTTTAGCGGAGCATCGGAATTTCGGAGTGTCGTTGCAAAACCACCGCATTCGAACTTATTTATTTTGCCAAAAAACCTCGAATTTTTTGGCTTTCTGGATGTTTTTCCTTGCTAAAATTGTTGCCAAAAGTGTTTTCTCAATTTCATTGACTTCTCACACGAGAGTTTATCGATTTTTGCAGGTTTCCCACGAAATTCGCAAACGGTGGATGAAAAATGGGTAAAGAACAGTTTCGAGAGGCCGATATGGCCTTAAGAGTGTAAGTTTTCACATTTTGATAGTGGAAATTATAAAATTTTTGATTTTTGCAGAGTGGGCGTCAAATTCGCGCCGGGAGATTGCGAATTTATGCGCCAAACGGCTCACGTGCCAGTTTTCAACAATAAGTTGTACGAGGATGTGAACGGACGTCTGCAGCCGGCCAGATACGGTCCACTGGACCCGAGAATGGTTAGAACATTCGGATTTATCGAAAAAAAAAGTCGACAAATTGCAGGGAGTTTCCACAAAAACCGGAATCTGTGCCACGTGCGGTCTCGGACTGACCGACTGTGTCGGGCATTTCGGCTATTTCGATCTGGATGTCCCGGTTTTCCACGTCGGATTCTTCAAACTCACCATCCAGCTGCTTCAGTGCATTTGCAAGGTCGGTATTGGCCCACAAAATTTCTAAAAAAGAATTTCAGAACTGTTCGTCGATCCTTCTGAGTCCGGAGCAACATCGCGTCTTTTCTCGTCAAGTAATGAACCCGAACATTGATTATTTGCACCGAAAAGCTCTTCACAAACGGATTGTGGCCACTTGCAAAAAGAACTCGACGTGCACGCAGTGCGGACTCAAAAACGGTACGTTTGGCGATTTTTTATGGAAAACCCTTTGAAAAGCAACGTTTTTGCATCAAATCAGTGTTTTCAAACGAAATTTTGCAGGAACAGTAAAGAAAGCAGTGGGCGCCGTGCTGAAAATCGCGTTCGCGAGCCCGGTGCCGGCCGACGAGCTCGGAAAGTTCCAGACGATGTTCAACGCGAATCAGGAGGTCGCGGAGCACGTCAAAAAGATGAAATTCACCCTGTTGAACCCGCTTTTCGTACAGAAAATATTCGCCAACATCCGGGAAGCGGTACGTGATCGGAAATTGGGTTTCTGAGAATTTAGTAAACTTCAATATATTTTCAATTTTCAGGACATTCCAGTGCTGATGGTGCGTTCGGGCGAGGACGAGAAGCACCCGAACGACCTGCTGCTGACGAGAATGCCGGTGCCGCCCGTGTGCATCCGTCCGTCCGTCGTTTCGGAAGTGAAATCGGGCACGACGGAGGACGACGTCACGATGAAACTCATGGAGATCATGATGACGAACGACGTGCTCAAGAAGCACAAAAGGGACGGCGCGCCCGCGAAAGTGCTCTTCGAGACATGGGAACATCTTCAGGTGAGCCGAAAATAATGAAAAACTCAACGGCATTCGTAATTAGAACAGCATAACAACCTGTTACAGTCCGGGTAAATTGGGCAACCTATTCAATCTCAAAATGCTTCTTGGAGCATTCTGTAAAAAATTGGCTTCTGTAGTATTCGCTTTTCATAAAAACAAGCATAATATTCAGATACAATGCGCGCTGTACATCAACTCGGAAATGTCGGGTCTTCCGCCGGACCTGCAGCCGAAAAGGGCGATGCGGGCATTCACGCAGCGGCTGAAGGGAAAACAGGGCCGCTTCCGCGGAAATCTGTGCGGAAAACGCGTCGATTTCTCGGGCCGAACGGTCATTTCGCCGGACCCGAACCTGCGGATCGATCAGGTCGGAGTGCCGATCCACGTGGCGATGACGTTGACGTACCCGGAAATTGTGAATGCGTGCAACATGGAGAAGATGCGGAAACTGGTAATCAACGGAAGTGACGTCCATCCGGGCGCCAACTATTTGGTCGATAAAAAGACGGGAAACAAGAAGTTGCTCAAGTGAGTATTTCTGTTTGTTTCTTGAAAAATTAGGGAGTTTCACTGTTTTCGATTGAAAAACTAAAGATAAATTGAAAGGTACGGAAAACGGGACGAACTGGCGCAAAACCTTCGGCTGGGCGACATTGTCGAGCGACATTTGGACGACGACGACGTGGTGCTGTTCAACCGGCAGCCCTCGCTGCACAAAATCTCGATCATGAGCCACCGCGCGAAAGTGATGCCCGGGCGGACTTTTCGGTTCAACGAGTGCGCCTGCACGCCCTACAACGCCGACTTTGACGGCGACGAAATGAATCTGCATCTGCCGCAGACCTACGAGGCAAAAGGTACCCGATTTCAGGGGGCAAATGGGCTGAATATCATGCGTTTGTAACAAAAAATTGCAGCGGAAGCGTCGGAGTTGATGAACGTGAAGAACAATCTGATAACGCCTCGTTCGGGCGAGCCGCTGATCGCCGCCATCCAGGACTTCATCACGGGCGGCTACCTGCTCACCCACAAGGACACTTTCCTGCCGCGCGCAGAGGTCTACCGTTTCGCAGCCGCTCTCATCGACGCGTCGGCGAAAAAACAGACGAGAATCCGGATTCCGCCCCCGGCGATCCGTCGGCCCGTCGAGTTGTGGACGGGCAAGCAGCTGATCGAACTGATTATCCGCCCCGACAAAGGATCCCAGGTCTCGCTGAACTTGACCGCCAAGAATAAGAGTTATTCGGGAAATCTGGAACTGTGCGCCAAGGACTCGTACGTCATCATCCGAAATTCGGTCCTTTTGGCCGGAGTCCTCGATAAATCCCTTCTGGGATCCTCCTCGAAAGTCAACATCTTCTACATGCTCATGAGGGACTACGGAGAGGACGCCGCCGTCGACGCCATGTGGAGATTGGCCCGGATGGCGCCCGTTTTCCTGTCCAACCGCGGATTTTCGATCGGAATCGGCGACGTGCGGCCCAGTGAGAAGTTGTTGCAGGAGAAGGGGCAACTCGTCGATAATGGTACGCATTTTAGGCCGGGTTTCTTTAAGAAACAAAATATTTACTTAAGAGAAAGTATTCCGAAGTCATCTCTTTAAAGTAGCCTCAAAAAACATGTTTCAAATATTATAGGCTACGAAAAGTGTGCACAATTCATTCGAGAACTGGAGGAGGGAAAGCTGAAAGCACAGCCGGGATGCACGGAATCGGAGACGCTCGAAGCGATCATCCTCAGGGAACTGTCGACGATCAGGGACCACGCGGGACAGGTCTGCCTCAGGAATCTGAGCAAGTACAATGCTCCGCTGACGATGGCGGTCTGCGGCTCCAAAGGATCCTTTATCAACATCTCGCAGATGATCGCCTGCGTCGGACAACAGGCCATTTCGGGACACAGACCGCCCGACGGATTCGAGGTGAGCCTTTCTTCTTATTTTAGGAGAACACACATACGAAGGAATTGAAAGGTTTTCAAATTACAATCAACACTGACAAACTGAACTCCATCCCTGAAACTGTAAAAAAAAAAGTGAAGAAGTTTTCCGAAAATGCAGAGACAAACGAGTTTCGGACCCAAACATTGTAGGCCTGGACTTGGATTGAAATAATTTGGGTCCGAGTCTCAGACGGATCCGATTATCTGGTCCCAAGATATAATGGTTTGAGTCTTTTCCGGCTTCTGATCCTCATATCTCGGGACCAGATGATCCGCTTTAAACCCGAAATACTTTAATCCAAGTCAAAAAACTCTGGACCCGATTCGATTATTGCAAGTTGTCCAAAAGTCCATGTCTTTGGCCAAACTTTCTTACAGTTTCGAGGATATCATTTTTCAAACGCTACAAATTTTTCAAACGATGATGGTTCGATTTGGCTATGAATCATAGCCAAATCGAACCATAGCCTATGATTCATTCTTCGCGCATTTTTTGCGGTTTCAAAACAAAAAAAATTAGAATTTTGAACCAAAATTCTAATTTTTCAAGTTAAATTTCACCATTTTCTACGGAAGAAGTTGATTTATTTTCAAAATAAATGATTGTGCAGGAACGGTCTCTGCCGCACTTTGAACGCAAAAAGAAGACGCCGGAAGCGAAGGGATTCGTGGCGAACAGCTTCTATTCGGGACTCACGCCCACCGAATTCTTCTTCCACACGATGGGCGGCCGAGAGGGACTTGTGGACACGGCCGTCAAAACAGCCGAAACGGGATACATGCAGAGGAGACTCGTCAAGTGTTTAGAGGTATTTCAACAAAACATTTGACGTTTTTAACCGGGCCTGGGCGAGCGATTCACTTCCCGCTGTCTGAGAAAATGCTTAATGTGGGGGCGAGAGAGCGAACCCGGAGGCGCGAAATCTCTCGCTTCTGCGTCTCTGCCTTCTCACACGCTAACCGCCTTTCTCTCGCTCCCACATCTTTCTTCCGGTTGAATTTTCAACTATTATCCGTCTGATTTCCAGGATCTGTGTGCCTCGTACGACGGAACGGTTCGCTCCTCGACAGGCGACGTCATCGAATTCATATTCGGCGAGGACGGACTGGATCCGGCGATGATGGAGGCGAAGGACGGAAGCGTCGTCGACTTTGAACACGTTCTCGAGCACGCGCGCAACACGAACAGAAAGAAAGAGGAGAAGCCGATCGGGGCGGACCAATTCCAGGTCAGTGACCAGTTTCCGATTTTTCAACCCCCATTCAGTTACGCGTAGTTTCCCCTAAAAATAGCATTATTTCAGGAAATTCTCCAAAAAGAGATTGCAAAGACGTTCAAAGGACAATACGTGCATTTCGCGAAACAAATGGTCGAATTTCTGGAAAAGGAGATGAAAAAGATTGGAAAATGGCAGAACGGCGCAGTCGTTTGTGCGGAGCACGAGGGAAAGGCCGACGAATCGGTGACGTGCAAGAAATGCCAGAATTTGAGCGCTTATAAGTGAGTTTTCTGGGTTTTTTTTGTTTAAAAATTCTGAAGCTAATTTTGTTCCAGAACATCCCTGCTCTCGAATTTGGGCCTAACGCGATCGCAATTGAGGTCCTTCCTCCAATTGTGTCATTATAAAGTGGCGAGAGCCATCACGGAGCCAGGAACAGCCGTCGGAGCCATTGCGGCCACCAGTATCGGAGAGCCGTCGACGCAAATGACGCTGAAAACGTTCCATTTCGCGGGAGTCGCCTCAATGAACATCACGCAAGGAGTGCCGCGAATCAAAGAGATCATCAACGCGGTCAAGACGATTTCGACGCCGATCATCACGGCCGCACTCATGGATCCGTACGACGAGTCGCTCGCGAGACGCGTTAAGGCACGCATCGAGAAGACCACTCTAGGCGAAATCTGTGATTACATCGAAGAAGTGTACCTGCCGAATGACTTCTTCCTGCTCGTCAAACTCAATTCGAAGCGGATCCGCCTGCTGCAGCTGGAAGTCTCCATCGAATCCATCTCCTACGCCATCTCCACGTCCAAAGTATGCCCGTTGATGCGCGGATGTCGAATTGTTGCGCACGGAAAGACAATGCTGGCGATTCGGCCGTCGTCGAACAGCAAATTGAGCAAAACGATGACAATGCAAATGCTCAAGTACTCGCTCGCGAACGTCGTCGTCAAAGGAGTGTCGTCGGTGAACCGGTGCGTGATCCACGCGGACGAGAAGAAGGGCGACTGCTACTCGCTGCTGGTCGAGGGGACCGACTTCCGGTCCGTCCTCTCGTCGGTGGGCGTCAATCCGCGCAAGACGAACTTTAACAACGCGCTCGTGGTGGCCGACGTGCTCGGAATCGAGGCGGCGCGCACGTGCATCATCAACGAGATCATCGCGACGATGGACGCGCACGGAATCGGATTGGACAGACGACACGTCATGCTGCTCGCCGACGTCATGACCTATCGGTACGGGTTTCAAAATAATTCGCGATCAGCGACGCTTCGTCAGATTGAAACTCAAAAACATCATTTTCTAATTTTTGCAGAGGCGAAGTGCTCGGAATCACGCGAAACGGACTCGTCAAAATGAAGGACTCGGTGCTTTTGTTGGCGTCGTTCGAGAAAACGATGGACCATCTGTTCGAGGCCGCCTTTTTCTCGCAGAGGGATGTGGTCAGTACGCGGTTTTTTTTTTGAAAAGAACCCCGAAAATTGCATTAGAATCAGCTGTCATTGATTATTGATCTCATTGAAACGGTAAAACATTTATCTTGCAGATCCACGGCGTTTCGGAGTGCATCATCTTGGGAACGCCGATGACGGTCGGCACGGGAACGTTCAAATTGATGCAAAAATGCGAGAGAAAGGCGATGCTCCGCAAGAATTTGGCGATTTTCGAACGGCCCGAACTCAATCTCACTCTTTAAATGGTTCCCTCCCACTTTTACTCATTTTACAGTTATTTTTTTATTGATTCGAATTGTTACCCCCTTGTTGTTTATTTCTCTTGTTGAACACACACATTTTTATGATTCTGAAGAAGAAATGTAGCTATTTCTCTTTTAAAAGTGTCTATTTGAAGTTTTTCCAGCCTTTTCGGTCCATGAGCAAATGTTAAAATGTGTCCCAATAGGTCCCAGTAGTCGGACACTGTTCTCATGAAAATTGAGCGATTTATCACATTTATTGATAGGAAAAATACGTGAAAATTAGCGGAAAGGACGAAGGGAATTGGTGGTCGACGGGCGGCCACGAGTACGATTTCCGATCGATTTGGCCGACTGGGACCGCGGTTTTGGGCTGCAAAACATTTTTGTTTGTGAAATAATGAAAGTACACAGCGTCTGAATCTCTACTGACAATTTAAACCGTTCAAGCATTCGACAGGTTTTTGAATCTGAAAACACTGTGACGCTACAGTGCACTCACCGCTGTCCACGTGCCGAGCGACGGACAAAGTGTCTCGGAACGAGGTTGCTCGGAGGGATCCACGGAATGGGCGGAGCTTCGATCAGCACCAAATCGGCGAGCATCTCGCGCTCCTTTTCCTTCATCTCGATCCAAGTCTCGTAGGCCTCTGTGGCGCACATGAACCGAAAATCTTTCGATAATCTCTCCTCCGTCTCCTGTTTCTCGCGTTCTTCTTTTCGCAATTTACGCGCCTCCGAGCTGAGAAACTCTTCTTTTTGGCGTTTCCTGAAAAACAAAGGTACAGTAAGCTTAGTTACAACCAAAAATTCTGGATACTGTATCGATAAAATTCTGGATACTTTATCGATGAAATTCTGGATACTGTATCGATAAAATTTGGGATACTTTATCGATAAAATTCTGGATACTTTATCGATAAAATTCTGGATATTTTATCGATAAAATTCTGGATACTTTATCGATGAAATTCTGGATACTTTATCGATAAAATTCTGGATACTTTATCGACAAAATTCTGGATACTTTATCGATAAAAGTATGGATACTTTATCGATAAAAGTATGGATATTTTATCGATAAAAGTATGGATACTTTATCGATAAAAGTATGGATAAAACTGACCAGGCAAGGAAGGCCGACTGTGCCTCTTTCCTCTTTTCCGCTCTTTCTTCCTCTTCCGCCTTCCGCTTTTTCTCCGCATCTTCCTCGTTTTTCCGTCGGATTTCCGTCACCGATTTCGATCTTTGTCTTCTCCAAATCTCGTAATTCTAAAGACAGACTTTGTTATTCAAACACTCAAAAAAGTGTACCTTCTCCGCCTCCTTCTTCTTCTCCGTCTTTTCCGTTTTCGCCTTTTCTTGCCGCTCTCTTTCGCTCGACTTCTTCATTTCCTTGAATTTTCTCATCTTTTCATCGTGTTCCTGAACCCATCTCTGATAGAGTTTCGCCGAGTTTTCACGACGATCTTTCTGCAAGATGTGGTAAGCAAGCGCATTTATGAACACGTGTTTTCATTGTACCTCTTGCTGCTTTTTGCGTTCCTCCTCCTCTTTTTCCTTCATTCTCCGCATTTTCATCTCTTTTTCCTTTTTGAGCAGCCACTCTTTGTGATGCGCGTCCGCGCTCTTTGTTGAATTGCTGAAAAATGGAAAATACATGGCTATTTTTCACGTTTCGCAACCGGTAAAAGTGTATAGAAACCCTCAAAGTTCTAGATTTAATAGCTGATCTCAAAGGCATAGAAACCCATCAAAATGCTCACAAAAATAGTGATAGATGTATGTACTTTATTTTGGGAAGAGAAAACGTTAGAGCGCATTGAGATCAGGAAAACATTGATGTGCCGTAACAGTTGCGAGACGTAATGGTTGTGAAGCATTAAAAAAATGCAAAAGTTTGACGAATTTTCTAAAAGTTCCCAGAGACATATAGCCGAATATTCCTATCAAATTAATAATGTTTTCTCCGGTTGCCCGCCGCAACACGACCGCTTTGCAGCTGAAAAGACCACGCCCCTTTCTGCAAGTGCCGCACATGCCGCATCAATAAATTATTTTTCTTGGAAAATACACAAATTAAAGTTCAGAATCTCGTTTAAATCTATCTATTTGCAAAGATAATTCTTTAAAAACACTCGAAAGCAATTCATTTCCGTCAGGGAGTAGCTTTAATTTGTGTATTTTCCAAAAAAAATAATTTATTGATGCGGCATGTGCGGCACTTGCAGAAAGGGGCGTGGTCTTTTCAGCTGCAAAGCGGTCGCGTTGCGGCGCGCAACCGGAGGAAACATTATTAATTTGATAGTAAGATTCCCCTATTTTATACCAAAGGAGTTCGCTAGTGAAGCCATCTGAAAGCACGTAAACTCACAAAAAGGACCTCTGCACCATCAGATTCTCCTCTTTTTTCGTCGAAATCCCGCTCTCCGGTCTCTTTGAAACCGGCCCTTTTCTGGCCGCCTTCTGTTCCGTTTTCTCGTCGACACGGAAAGTCAGACTCTGTTCTTCGTTCGTTCCGATCGAATTCTGGCGCAGATTTGCAGAAAAGGCGACAGTTGGAATCGTCTCATCCGCCTCTTCCACGTGGATTGCGAGACGTGGACGGGGCTCTCTTCAACAAAGTATTCTCTAGTGATTTTCTGGTTCAAACTAACCTTTTCGACGAGTCATCCGAATGAAGCTCCAGATTTTGAACGGTGGAATTATTGGCAGTCTCCGGAACAATGTCCATTGTGGAAATGAGCGAACGACGACGGATTTCGTTTCTGAATATGTGTTTTTGACTGGAATGGCATGAAAGTGAAGGCGGAAGGCGTGAGGTAAAATGGATTCATCTAGGAACACATTTCTTGCTATAAGGAAGACTACAAAGACTAAAACTTTATCGCTAGTCAAGTACTGTTGCGACACAAGAAGAGACTATCCAATAGGTGCTATAATAATCCTTATTGCTGAGTTCACAATGCCTTTTTTGAATTTTGACAATGTGAGACTTTGAGATAGTACGGTAACGGGATGAAGAATGCCTCAAGACACAGGGAACGTGCCTCTCTACCTCACTCCCTCCGCCTTCCCTTTCAGCCTTCGTCTTCTCGTGAAACAGTTCGCTTTCGCCTGTTCCTCGAAGGCGGAAGGTCTTTTTTGTCGAAAAATTACAGTTTCTTGATGAAATCATCGTCCGAATGTCTTCGTTTTTCGGTTGGAACGGAAGGAGGGGCGAAATGGTGTCCGTTTCCGTTTTCAGAAGACGTTTCGGTGGTTATCGGGTCCTGCAACGAATTTTTACGCTTTCAAGTCGTTGTTTTTAGAAATAGAGGCTTTAGTTGATGTTGTGGAAAGTTGTTCAAGGAAAATAATCGGATTTTATAAGGTCGATTACTTAAAATACAACCTTCAACCAAATTGTACCTCTTTATGCATACGTTTCCCATTTTCTGGCCGTTTTTTACGGTTTTCGAACAAAAACTCGGTTTCAACATGCTCATAAAGTGCCAGATTTCCTCTCTTGTACCTTGTTCTCCTCGTTGCTGCCCGCAGACTCCCTTCCGTGGCGCGTCGGCGGTCGCATCGCCGAGTTCACCGAGTTTTTCTCGGTGCCGTTCGATCCGGACGGGTCCGTCTTCCGATGAATTCCCAGGATCTCGTCGAGTGTCTGATTGACGGACAGATTACGCGATTGGTGCAGTTGGTGGTCCATTTCACCGCTGGAAATAGGAATTGGATGATAGAGAAGGTGTGGAAAAGGTAAGAGAATGGAGAAGAGGAAGAAAATAGTTTGAGAAACGTTAAATTCTACAGAACAGAAACGCCATGTAAGATTGTCAAAAGTAGTGTGCAAGTTCGAAATGATAACTGTCAGCCGGGCATCAAATCTCTCTTCACAACTCAGGTCGCAAGACACGCCATTATTCCCTTTAGCTAAAGTCTGTCTAGTCAAGTGCGCCACGTGAGAAGACCACGACTTAACGCATTTGTGAAACTGAAAAACTTTTCTTTTTGCTGTTTCAAATTACTAATATATCACATTATATAACATTATATAATACAATATAATAACATTATATACATATGATTTCAGTTTATATTTTCCAGTAAAAAAGACGATGCATAGACATGAAATTAAAAAATGAATCATAGTCTCCAGAGCTGACAATGGGCGCAAGTGCGCCCCGAGCGATACATTGGCGCGAACTTCAAATTTTTACGGCAAAATTTGTGTTTTTTGCCAGATTAGCCACGAAAAACCGATAATTTCTCATTTGTCTCTCGATAGACCGATTGTATAGGCTATTACGAATTTTTTAAGCGCAAGAGCGTTAAATTTGGTCAAGTCGCAAATCACATTTATCCGTTTGAAGGTTTTTGGCTAAAACAGCGTGAATTTCAGTTGCTTTTCGATAATTTTCGCGGTTTGAGCGCTAAAAATGCTTGTATTTACGTGATTTATCATTCTGGAGACCGTGGCGCGAATTTCAAAAAAAATAGAGGTAATAATGACGAAATGTTTGGGTGAAATGCGATAAAAAAGTGTACTTGAAAGGAAACCCACAGTTGAGAGGATTGCATCGGCTTCTGCTGCTGCTGCTCCTCCTCGCTTTTTCTCTGAAATTGTCTGAAAATGTTGACCGCGTCGTCGTCTTGCCGTCGAATAAAACGCTCTCTCTCTCTCTCTCCCCTCAAAGAGACATTTGCATGTGGTCCCGGTTGCTCATGACAACGGAAACACACTAATTGCGGTGGAAATGGGCGAGAGACCGCCGAGAAAAGAGAGCACATAGTGGAAAATTCGTATAGTGGAAAAAAGGTATCAACATTCTGAAACCGTTAAAAAATGTGTTCCATCGTTAAAATCGTTAAAAATAAAACTGCCGCGGTTATTCCGCCCACTTGTCGGTGGTGGAATTTTCAGTAAAAATCTGTAGAGTATAGAGGAATAGTACAAGTAGAAACGAACATTTAGGGACAATTCGAAACTGCTCTTTTTTCTTTCGATACCTTCAATTACACTGAAAACGTGTTGAAACGTATAAAGTTTGTGAAATCAAGTGTCCACTACTTGCTTTATTAACAAAACGTTTAACAGGAATTCGAATCGAAGAAATTATTTGTTTAAGCAAATGCGAAACGGCTCAATTCCATCTTATTGACTTGAAGGCAAACTGCAAGTACAGATTTATTATTTTTCCACCTATTCCCTTCAGATACCTTTAAAAGTGTCAGTTTCTGACTGTTGTCCGAGTGAATGACCTGAAATAAATGTGCATGTACAAAAAAAAAGTGAATTAATGTTCCGTTACCTTCTTTTTCACACCTCAATACGAAAAATTTGTCATGTCAGTTGAATTCTCCATTTCATCCTTATGATCGAATCGTACGAACTGAAAATTGGTTTTAGATGGATAATGCGTCCAGCGGAAATTACTTTCTAGAATATGATTTTCAAGTTTTGGAGCTAGGTAGAAACATGGAAAACTTTTGGAATATACAAAGTGTAGTCCATAGGGAGAAACGAAAGAAAATAGGGGGGAAACGGGTGCTGCCCCGTGGAAAAACGGAGAGGAATGAAGGGGAACGGGAGCCGCGGAGCCGCGGAGCAAGAAGAAGAAGAAGAAGAAGAAGAAGAAGAAGAAGAAGAAGAGAGAGAGAGAGAGAGAGAGAGAGAGAGAGAGAGGAAGACGAAGACGAAGACGAAATCACCGTCTCCAAACTGAACCGACGGGAAACATTTCAGACAAGTTTCGAGAAGATCCCAGAGTTGAGCGGAAATGGAATTTTGAAATCCGGAAGACGGAAGACGGAAGAAAATTTTTCTCACGGAAGACGGAAGACGGAACAAAAAAATCGTCGATGCAGAACCTTTTTTTTGGTTTTTTTTAAATAACTAAAGCAACAAAAAATTTGGATCTGGGTCAGTGCCCGTTGAAATTCGCGTTCTTCGGGGCTAGTAAATGGCTTCTGAATAGCTATTACTCTTTTACGGTAAGAAGAAAAAATCCACGGAAGACGGAAGACGGAATTCCGCTCAACACTAGAAGATACGTGGCAGAGAAAAGATCAGCTGTGCGGCGGAGAGAAGAGAACATTCCTGACCATGTTATTCGATTTGTCTCGAAATTTCGACATGTTTTCCTGAAAATGCGTCATTGGAACAGTATACACTTTTAAGTTTCGGGCTCCACAATTATCCAACAACTTTTGTTTCAAGATAACGTTTGTTGACTTTTTGAAACAGAAAACATCCATTACGCGGCACAGTTGAGCGGAAGAACTCAACGGAAGAAGAACACGGAAGAATTTTTATCTTTTTTAGAAAATTTTTTCATGAAATGTGATCAATTGACGAAATGTATAGCAAAGTGAACTGTGCTCATAGAAAAATAATTGTAAATTTAGCGTTTCATACAAAAAAGTTATTCGAGTTGTTTCGTGAAAAAAGGGGGCTAACGCAACAACTCGAATAACTTTTTTGTATGAAAAGCTAAATTTACAATTATTTTTCTATGAGCACAGTTCACTTTGCTATACATTTCGTCAGTTGATCACATTCCATGAAAAAATTTTCTAAAAAAGATAAAAATTCTTCCGTGTTCTTGCGTTGAGTTCTTCCGCTCAACTCTGTCACGCGGATGCAAAAAAGCACATTACACAGTGGTTGTGTACACCCCCGTAATCCAGTGGAATCCACTCAAAAGTGTACCTCTTCCGATTACCCTCTCTCATCCACTTTTTCTTCTTCTTCTTCTTCTTCTTCTTCTTCTTCTTCGTTCTCCTCCAAATTCCGCGCGTTCTCTCGTTTATTACGCAATTTCGCATTCTGCCCGAACACAATCGCGTCGACATGCAAAAGCTTACGGTTGTGTGAAAGAGCGCGAGAGATCGCAGGGGAACGGGAGACGGTCGGACGGATCCGCCACTCTGTCCGTTTTCAAGCACCACTCGCGCACACGTATAAAGGCGTCGGCGGCCAAGTGTGGAGAAGACCCATTTTCTTTGCGGTTTCGGCCCACGCCCAACTTTTTCACGTCTCAACCTTTAAATATTAAGCAGTTTCCGTACAATTTTTCAATTCTAGTGCAACCTCAAAATTAGAGCATTTTGAAACAAGTTTTCTAGTCAAAAAGTACTGTTTCAGTAGGTTTTTTATAGTGAAAACAGAGATCAGATACAGTTCTTTTTCTTCAATATCTGAATATTGTCCGATTCCAGATGAAATCGCTGTCGACGCAGCGAGCGGGCTTCACCGCGTGCGTCTTTTCGGGCGGCGCCATCCTCGTCTGTCTCGTCTACGTTCCCTCGCTCGTCACCAAGATTCAGAGCATTAACGATCAAGTAGGGACCAGAATCTCGAATTTTCACCTAAAATGTCTGTTTCAGCTGAAAGTGGACAGCGAAGAGTTCCGCGTGATGGCCGATTACACGTGGAAAGAGTTGGTGACGATGCGCAGAGGAAAGAGACAGGTAGTGTTCGGGAAAACGGCTGTAACTCGAGAACTAAACGTTTTGGAGGCAAATTGTCAACTGCAAAGTTGTAAAGCATGAAATTTGCAACAATTGTGTAGTTGACAACATTGCACGAAAGTTATTGGTTCTCGAGATGCAAGCCCACAAATTATGAGTTTTAAAATTTTGAATATTGTCCGACTCTCTCGTGAAACTCTCACTATTACAGGCGTATGGAGACTCACCAAAGAAGACGTACCCACTGCACACGGCCTATGTGAAAGAGGACGCATTTGTGGAGGGCGCGAGTACTTGCAGTTGCAATCAGAACAACGGATGTCCGGCGGGACCGGCTGGAACTCCCGGAAAAGCTGTGAGTTACAGTGGATACTGTAGGGTTACTGTACTTGAACATTAGTCACTTCTTCCACTAGACTTGGCATTATGCCAAGTACTTTCTTCGTGAACCGGTCCTCATTCAAGAGTGCTTTCCGATCCGATCCGTTCCGCCACTTTGTACGCACTCACAGTTTAATGATCCTTTGAGGAACCGGAGAAAGAGAAAGTACAGTAATCCTGTTATAATACTTTTCAAAAGTAAGCGAACGACAATATTTCAACGTTTCACAATAGTGATATATCTTTTTCAAAATCGAAATCTGTGTTAGGACCTGAACCGATTTATGAGAAATCTGGTTGAACTGGTTTCTCTTCAGCTGCGGGTGGAGATATCAAAAAGTGGTAAACTGATAAAAATGTACACAATTTCTTAGTGAGCAATTTAATAGTTGACAGCTTTTGGATATCTCCATCGACAGATGAGATAGAGCACTTTGAATGCGCGCGGTTAAGAAAGACTGCGCTCTCTTGGCAGTAGTTTTTCAAGCGCACTTTTTCTTAATTTTTTGACGCATACACATATTTGCAGGGACTGGACGGAGAGCCCGGAAAGTCGGGAGAGCCGGGAGCCCCAGGACTCGCCGGAATCGCGCCGCCCGTCACGATCGACCCGACGAAAGGCTGCAGAGTGTGCCCGAACGGACCACGTGGTCCAACAGGACCGCCGGGAGAAGTGGGGCCGTCGGGACCGGAAGGACCGCCCGGAAACCCGGGAAGGATCGGAGAGCACGGACGCGAAGGCTATCCGGGCCAGCAGGGAATCCCCGGCGAGCCCGGAAAGCCCGGAAAGCTCGGAGAGGCGGGTCCGAACGGACGTGATGGCACGCGCGGTCAGAAGGGACCACTGGGACCGAAGGGCGAGACGGGACCGCCTGGACAGAAGGGACCGGCCGGCTATCCTGGCAGAGATGGACAACGGGGGAACGACGGAGAGAGCGGGCCAGTGGGACCGGCGGGTCCGTTGGGCATGCCCGGAGAGGTCGGACAGGTCGGAATGGTCGGAGCGCCGGGCTCTCCAGGCCAGGATGCCTCCTACTGCAAGTGCCCCGAACGGAATGCCGGCGTCAACAAGTTCGAGCCGCCGCCGCCAGTCGAGCAGCCAAGTTACGAGCCACAGCCGGTGGGTTATCGATTTTTATCCCAAAAAAGTGTCGTTTTTCCTAATTTTTTCGATGAAATCATCCAAAAGCAACCAAATTACTCGAAAAAACTACTTACCCATCTCTAATGAATTTTCCAGTCTCAGCCGGCGACGTACGCCCCCGCACCGGCCACTCCGGGTCCGGACGCCGCCGTCGAATCGCCGCGTTCGCCGTACCGCAAGTGGAAGTGGCTTCAGTGATCGTTTCGCGAATAAATATTCCCATTTTATGGTTTACAACACAAGCATCACCGAGATAATTATCGATTTTGCGGAGAAATTCCAAAAAAGTGTGTGAATCACAGTTGGAAAAAGGGAGATTGCACAGAGAAATGTACAGACGAACGGGATTAGGACGAAGGAAAAATACAATATTATTATTTCAAAAATAAATAGCGACTCGAGTTCTTGAAAAATTATGCACTGAACACCGGATTCGAGTACTCTTGCGAAGCTGGTTGAGCACGACGGAGCACCTGCAAAAAATGCGTGTTTTTTGGGAAAAATCGATGAAATTCACATTGAGGAAGGCCCATTTCTGGAAATAGCTCGTCATTTGTTCGGTATTATTCCATCGGCAACGCAAATATCCCCACAAATTGGCCAGATTCATCAGCGCGCCCAAAAGAGCCACAATCATCCATTCGAACTGCAAAAATTACGGCTTAGAAAATCAGCAAAAACTTTCAAAAATTTACCTTCAGTGTCAGGAAGGCAGTGACGACGAAAAAGATCCAGGCGGCGGGTCCGACCACCAATCCGAGCCAGAAAACGCGTCGATCGATGGCCGGAAAGCGCGACATTTCCTTTGCGCTCTCGAACTTCCAGTGATTGTTGCCGTCGGCGTCCACAAAGTTCCACCAGCGGAGGCCGACCAAAAGACGGCCCGTGATGTTCTTCACCGTCCAAAAATCCATTGACAACAGTGTTAGCTGCAAGATTTCCAAATTTTTGGCCCGAAACATAAGGGAAAATACTCACAATGACGAGGAATTGAACGATGAAAGAGTTGGTGAAGAAATTGGCGAAAAAGTAGAAGAAAAGGGCGGCGGCTTTGAACGAAACGTGCGCCAACACGATCGATGGCTTCCTGCAAAAAACTGCATTTTTTACGCGTTTTTCTCCATTTTATTTAAAACTGAAGAATTACAGACAAATAGCTAAAATTACGAAACTTCAGCATATTCCTACAAACTCTTTCAAAATCTAAAGAACGAACCCGAACATTTGCAGGCTGAAACTCTGACTTGACTGACTTTGCGTCATCGTCGCTCCAATCGATATATCATTGTCGAACCCGGACATTTTGCTGAAATTTCAGCCGAATTTCAGCGGCCAAAATGAGGAAGAAGCTGGCTGGAAGGAATGCGCGTCAAATAGCGTACACGTTCATCGTGCGACGATTGCGGACTTTTGCGCACCGTATCCTTTTTGTTCTTTGTTTTGTTTCAATGGAAACAACGCGAAAATCATACAATTTTCTGTGTGCTTTTGTCATTTTTTCTTTGAAAAACTGAATAGATTGCATTCTTGTTCAGAAAATGTGTCATTCTATTGAAAGAATCTAGAAAAAACTGACGGAGATTGAGCTTTTCAGGGAAATTGCGAAATTGTACCTTTTGTGGTGTAGAAAAATCGGGAAATGATGGGAAATAGAGAGAAATAGAGCGTTGACAGTGCCGACAAGTAAACAACAAACAAAATATTCAAACTCTAGGTAGAAAGACATAAATTTATTCGAGATAGCATTCAAAAATTGATAAAATTAATATCTCGGTGTCCAGCCGTTTTTGAACGAGCTGCCCTCTTCGTAATTGAACTTCACTCGAACGAACTGGAAAAAACGTGTAAACAATATGAAACTTATTGTTTCTCACAAAATTGTAAAGCCAAGCGCCGGCGAATTTTTGCATCGTCCACTGCCGATAATATCGAGTTTGTACGAAGAGCCACAGGTTCAGGTAGACGCCGGTAAACGCGAGAATTTCCACGGGAAGCCACCACCGCTGAAAACAAATGTTTCAACAGTTCAAGAAACATTTCAACCAACCCAAAGGACTGTTCCCATCGCCATAAAGATTTTTAAAAACGACCAGGCGGAGGAAAAGACGAAAACGGTGAAGAACGCGTCGCGATCGATCGAAGAGTAGCGGGTCAGAAAATTCTGGAATTTTTTGACTTGCTATATTAATTTCAAACAAAAATCGATAATCACCTTCTCAGCATAAAAATGATAGGAAATCTGTCCGGTCTCCTCGTCTTTCTTGAATCCGTGATGCAAACCGGTCAATCGTGGCCCCAACACGTTTTTCGTGATGAAAAAGTCGGCGAACAGAACAGATACCTGAATTTCGTTCGATTTCTCTCTAAATGTTCGTTCTGAGCTCACATAAAAAATCATTTTGTGTTCGAAGAATAAATTGTCGCAAAGGAAGCCTTTGTACTCCTCGAAATACTTGTTTCCGGGGATCCAGTGCTGAAAAAGGACGAAGACAGCGCAGAAGAGCTTGAGGAAAATGTGCGTGTACATCAGATTCGGCTTCCTGAATTTTTCCAGACTTGTTAGGGACAAGTTTTCTGATTTCCGCCCCTGAAAATGGCTAAAAACTCACTGCCATTTGGGCGGTCTGATTCGGTCCCACCGGAACTCCAAATTCCACGGCGCCGCCTGTTCCGTCGTGTTTCCTTGACGCATTTGGCAAAATTTCTGCTGATTTTCAGACCAAAAATACGGGGTTTTTGCGGGTTTCTTTCTATTTGAAAATTTGCCACGTCTTTCACGTGAAGGTCACGTTTTTTGTTGAAGGCCATCTGAAAAGTTTGTCGAAATTCTCAAAAATCCCAAAAAAAAAGATATTTGCAGGGAGGAGTGTGTTCATGAATATTCGATACAAAGTTGTTGACACGTGAAGAAAAAAGGAGCACAATTTTTGCACGCATTTCCACGTCGCCCACCAAAATAACACGAACCGGGGCGGGCTCATCGAAAAATCCAGAAATGGAGTCCGGAATTAATGCAATTTGAACTGACTGACGATATTCTGGACTCACTTTTTCACGGCAAACATTTGTGAACGTGCTCGTGCCCGTTTTTATCACTCCGTATCGCAGTCGCTACGCAGCGACAAAATACGGGCGAGAAATTCAAATCGGGTTCACAAATGTTCGCCGTGTTTTCAAGGAAACATTCATTAGTGTTGTTTCGCAAAAAAACATTAAAACTCGTTTTCAAAAAGATCAATTTTCTCGAAAACTCCTCAACTACCGCTTGATTGATTTGTCCACTTTTTTTCGTGAAGATTCGTTGAATTTGAATTCGCGACTATACGAGCCGTGAGCTCATTTAAACGGCGAAAAGAGCACAATTCAACTTTCAACCAATAACCAGTTCTGAATGGAGCTGCCTCCCTCCTGTTTGTGCTCTTTCCCCTCCTTTGCGTCATTATTTTTTTCGCTTCGCTCGAGCACTATTTCTTTTCGTTTCTTCAATTGCTTTCGCGGCAATTTGTCTGGAAAAATGGGAAATGTTACGATTTTTCCGTTTTTGTTATATAAAACTCGAACTATTCAATGTTCCACTCATTTTCAAGCTTTATCACGGGGTTCCTATCGCTACCTGACCTATTATATTCAAATTTCGCGCCACTTTTGGCAAATGCGGTAGAGCGCAAAAGCATGTGTAGCGTTTGAACATCTCAAAAAAATTCCAGGAAGAAGTACAGAGTACAAACTAAGCAATATTTTGCCTCCCCCTTCATAATAATTTCTGGCGCTTTTCTTCGTTTCTCGAGCGTTTCCTCTCGATTCTTTCTCTCTTTTTCTCGTCGTCCGGCACTCTCTCACCTCTTCTTTTTCTCTCTTTTTCTCTTCCGACACGTCTCCTTTTAAGGAATCAGCTGATGCCCCATACGACGTCGCGTTGTGTGTTTGAACCGCCCGTTTTTACTTTTTTTTTTCTCCGTAAATGTTAAAAAGTTATAAGCCTTTTAAGCTAAAATTAGAGCTGGAAACTTTGTAGAACTTTTTTGTAGAAAAACATATAAATTGAGCGCTAAAAGTGACAGAAGACAAAGAGAAGCAAGATTTTCGCGCAAAATAGGGTAGAGATTGAGGAGGCGGAGAGAAACGAGCGGAAAAAGTGTTATTTGCCTTTGTTCGTCACCTATTTTCCACGCGTACACACACTTGGCCGCCACAGAGAACTCATCGCCTTTTTTCAAATTTTACTGATTTAATGTTAGCATTTTTCTCTTTTTTTTTCCGAAAAATAACCTAAACACCAGTGCACGCCTTGGGGTATTCCCGTTTTTTTTTTAAATTTTTTTACATCGCTGAATAACCGCTCGAGCGCTCATATTCACGTATTTTTGAAATTCTGGTTATTTTTTTCTCGGCTTTTCACGATTTTTGACGTAAGAAACAAAACAAAAAACAGAAGAGAACATACACGGAATAACCCAATAATCAGTAACGTTAACGAAAAGAAGAACCCACTTGTTGTTCTCCACGACACTCCGTCCATTACGTTGCGTCGTTCATAGCAAGGAGAAAAAACAGACGGTCCCGTCCGAGGGAGATGTTGTGAATTCACGTGAATGAATGGACGATCCCGTCGGACCGAAAAGGACCGCAGAACGTGACACCAAGCTACAAACTAGTGGAAGACTGTGTGCATCTGTCACTCAAACAGCTGTAAACATCGTCTGTTCTCTGTGACAGGTGCCACATTCCTAAACGGTCCCTGCCCCGGTCACAAATGTTCGCGCGAATGCCGCACCGTCGTCTGTCTCCAACACTCTTCTGGCCAATCCTTTCGCCAGAACCATTCTCTTCTCTTCCTCCTCGTCCACTGCCTTCCCAGAGGCAATGTTTTAACGAGAGAACAAGTGCAGGTCTAATACCGTTTTTCTCGACCTATTCCACAGTAAATGCGCTCTATTGATAATGTTTTGATCTCCCGACCTCCCGCGCAACATTGACCAAAGTTTCGTTTGAACGCAAACACATACGATGACTCATATTTTTCTTTTTTAAAGCGAAATTTGTAAATTTCAGACTAGCAAAATTAACTGTAAACTGTAATAACACGAGCATTTGTTCATGGGCTCAGTCAGCTGAGAAGAAACTCCAAAAAACGGCTAAACGCCTCGTAAATCCTGCTCGTCGCTTATTGACATACGCCTTAAAATCATTTTTTAACTTTAAGTTTAAGAATTCCCTCCAAAAAATACTTTTATTTAGTATTTTGCGGACATTGAAATTGTCAGAAGACGGCTGTTGGGTCTAACAATAAGTTTTTGAACTGAATGTCAAGGTCGAGTGAAAATCGATAATCTCCTACGTCAATTCGAAACCTGCATTTCTTCTCCAGAATCCCTCCATTTTCCCCTTCTTGTCTCTCGATTTTTCCGATTCGGTACTCGGTGCGCGCGCGCATAGAAATCAGTCACGTTTTCGGCATTAGCGATGCAAATGCGCTCCACTGCGAATGTGTATAGCGAAGTTCTTCGTTTCCTCGGCATCATTTCGCTCGTCTTCACCCGTCGATTCGGGCGCGCGCTCCGCTCTCTCCCATTGATTTTTAGCCGGTTTTGACAGGAATTCCGGCTGGAAATGCGTAGATTTGCAGAGAAAAACTCTGGAAACCGCCCGTGCTCACCAAACGTTCTGGGATTTTATCGATTTTTAGGGAAAAAAAGATGAATATTTTTGAATTTTCTTCGATTTTTTTCCAATTATATTTTTTTAAGCGCTCCAAGATCATAATTACCGGACCATATTCCAACTGAAAAGTAGAATTTCCACAATCAATTTTTTTCAAAATTCAAATTTCGCGCCAATTTCTTTCCTTCAAAATATATCATCGCTGTCCCATTTGAATGATTATCGAAAAGTTTCGAACACACACTCCATCCGCCCGTAGTCCGTTTATTGATTTTTTGAATCAATAAAATCCCCATTTCGTCATCTTGTGCAACGTTTCTCTTCGCTGCTTTCCGATCGATTTTCTTGCCTCAAACAATTTTTCCGCATTTTCAAAGATTTTTTGCAGAGAATTGGGTACCATTCCTCATATAAATATCAACTTTTCAAAAATTGAATCAACATTTTATGCTTCGATTTTTGACACCTTTTTTTGCGAGTGATTTTTAAGAGAGTAAGCTGAGCAGAATTTTTCAGAAAGAAAACAGTAATTTCAGAACGAAAATGGACGGAATCGATCCAGAAACGCTTCTCGAATGGCTTCAAACGGGTATTGGAGATGAACGGGATCTGCAGGTACGCTACAGTTTTTTTTTGCATGTGTACTAAAGAAATTATCTGCAGTTAATGGCACTGGAGCAGTTGTGCATGCTCCTGCTCATGGCCGACAATATCGACAGATGCTTCGAGTCGTGTCCTCCACGCACTTTCATCCCGGCCCTCTGCAAAATATTCATCGACGAAACGGCGCCGGACAACGTGCTGGAAGTGACCGCCCGTGCGATCACTTACTATTTGGACGTTTCGAACGAATGCACGCGTCGGATAACGCAGGTCGACGGAGCAGTCAAGGCCATTTGCGCCCGACTGGCCGCCGCCGAAATGTCCGACCGATCCAGCAAGGATTTGGGTGAGGAAATGGGTCAAAATATTAAAACTGTCCACGGCATCCCCATAGTTTTCGGCAAGATCTCAATTTTCCTAATTCCCCCCTCCACTTTTCAGCCGAACAATGCGTCAAACTGCTCGAGCACGTGTGCCAACGCGAAACGATGGCTGTGTACGATGCGGGCGGCATAAATGCAATGCTGAATCTTGTGAGAGTGCACGGCGGACAAGTGCACAAGGACACGGTCTACTCGGCGATGTCGGTGGTGACGAGACTGTGCGGCAAGATGGAGCCCACTGATTCGGAGCTGGCCAAGTGCGCCGAGAGTCTCGGGGCGCTGCTCGAGCACGAGGATCCGAAGGTTTGTTGCGATTTTTCTGCGTTTTCCCGTCAATTTTTGAACGATTTTTAAAGAAATTATGGATTTTAGGTGTCGGAAAGTGCTCTGCGATGCTTCGCGGCGCTCACCGACCGTTTCGTGCGCAAATCAATGGACCCGGCCGAGCTGGCGACGCACAGCAACCTCGTCGAGCACCTCATCTCGATTCTGACGGCGTCGAACGACGAGAACTCGCCGACGGCCGCCTCGGCGAACATCCTCTCGATCGTGCTCTCGCTCCTTGGAAACCTCTGTCGCGGCTCGAGTCTGATAACGGAGAAGGTGCTCACGTCGCCCAATATGATCAAGGGACTGCGTGCCACGTTGACGAGCAAGGAGGAGCGCGTGGTGACCGATGGGCTACGACTGTGTGACTTGCTTCTCGTGCTGCTCTGCGAGGGACGTAACGCCCTTCCTCTCACTTGCGTCGTTTCGGGGGACTACGCGAGTGGGACCGGGGCCGAACGCGTTCACAGACAGCTCATCGATGCCATCAGACAGAAAGACTTGACCGCGTTGGTCGAGGCCATCGAAAGTGGACAGGTAATAGCCGAATTTCCCTGTTGAAGCGCTGGATTATCAATTATCCGATGGTTTTGCTTCAAAATAGTGATTCAACGATTTTCGGCTTTCGAGTTTATCTCCAGATCGCATCTTCCAAGTGAACTGAAATTTTGACTGAATATAAACTCGATGCCATCATTGACGATCGTGCAAAGTCAGGGTCCGATCGACCAGATAATCTGATAATAGAAATCTGGGAAAAATCTTTAGAACCAACAAATTTAATGCAAACCATCAGATAATTGATAATTTTTAGAAATTTTTAGTTTCCCTCACTTTTGTCCCGCCAACTAACTCCCTAATAAGAAAAATGTTGTGCAGGTCGACGTGAACTTCGCCGACGACGTAGGACAATCGCTGACGAACTGGGCGTCGGCGTTCGGATCCATCGAAATGGTACATTATTTGTGTGATAAGGGAGCCGACGTCAACAAAGGGCACAAGAGCAGCTCATTGCACTACGCCGCTTGTTTCGGACGGCCCGACGTGAGTGTGTCTGTTCTGAAACGACGCGCCGCCCGTCCATCCGACAAGGTTTTCAGTTCAAATTCACTAGTTTTAGATGGTTTTTGATGTCAAAATTTTGTTATTTTGCGCATTTCGAGCTCAAAAACCCAAAAAAGAGGGCGGTTGGCGGTTAGTTCAGCAGACAAAACATTCGTGACGGTCTGTCTCTCTGTGTCTTGAGCCATCATTCTCTCAGGTGGTGAAATTGCTGCTTCAGCGCGGCGCCAACCCGGATCTACGCGACGAGGACGGCAAGACGGCACTCGACAAGGCAAGGGAGCGGGCTGACGAGGACCACAATCAGGTGGCGAACATTCTCGAGTCGCCGAGTGCGTACATGCGAAACAGTGAGTCGAATCTCTCGGAAATCACACCGAAACCCCCGTTTCTTGCAGAAGAAGAGCAAAAGACGAAGGCGTCGACGTCTTCCCAACAACCGGGACCGTCGGCGAAACCGGAATTGCCGAATTCAAAGCTCGTTCGCAAAGTGCTCCACCAGTTGCTTCCGATCTTTTGCGAAATCTTCCAAAAGTCGCTCAACGCCACGGTTAGACGCACTTCGCTGACGCTGATGCGCAAAATAGTGGACCACATTGGAGATTTGCGTCAGAGTGCGGTTGAGGAGTGCGGAGTGTCGGACAGCACGCGGAAGATGTCGACGGACATTTCGCTCGGAGCCGAATCTCTTATATCGGTCGTCGTTGCGGTGTTGGATCAAGAAGACGATCACGAAGGACACGAGCAGGTGTTGCTGATACTCGAGTCGTTGTTAGAGAAGGACTCGGAGTTGTGGGTGACCGAGCTGGTCCGGCTGGGAGTGTTCGAACGGGTGCAACAGATAGCGAAGGAGCCGCCGAAGGGACTCGAGGAGGTATTGAACGTCATCCGCAAAGAGGGACGCATCCGTCCGAGCCATCCGATGGAGGTGGACGATGCGCCCGTGAGGGGACCCGTTTCCAAGCCCGAGATTATGGACACTGGATCTCCGGAACCTGTTGGACCGGAACGAGAAAACGAAGTGGAAGAAGAGGCTGCGGAAGAGGGAGACAATCAAGCAGTCGAGATGGCCGAGCCAGAACCGGCTCCAGCGGCCCCGTCGAGTTCTTCTTTTGGGGGAGCCATGTCGATCCCACTTCTGACGAGACCGAGACCATCTACCGGCTCCTCCGCCTCCTCGGCCATCCTCCATGTCGTCTCAAAACTCTCCGGAGTCGCCAATCTCGACAAATCGTCGTCGTTGGCCGACAAGAAGCCGGCGAAGGTGGAGGTGACGCAGGGAACGCCGTACCGCTGGAAGGAGTGGCGCATCGTGCGCGGTCCGACGTCTCTGTTCATCTGGAGCGACGTGCTGCTCGTCGAGTTGCCGTTCCAGTCGAACGGATGGTTCCGCTATCTGGCCGACAACGACTCGCACGTGCAGTTCGTGACCGGAAGCGCCAGTGTCGAGCAGTCGATGAGCGAAGAGGAAAAGGTTAGTGAATCAGCGGTTCAACTATGCCTATCCTATCCGTTTTCTTCCCAATTGCAGGAGAATTTCCAGAAGACGGAACGTCGCGAGATGGTCTCTCGCTGGAACGCCGTCAAGGGCGTCTTCGACGACGACTGGTCCACGGTCCCGCAATCTGTGCTCGGAATTCCGAGCGCCGCCAAGAAAGTGAGTCAGAAGGTGTGTTTTTTTGCGTTTTGCGGTTGTGGTTGTCACCGATTGCATGGTTTTCCTCCCTTTATTTCGATGGATCCCTTCCAAATCCGGTGAAACCTCGCCCATTTTCAGTTGGAAGTGCCCGCGTGGGAACTGTGGTCCTCGAAATCGTCGGAACTTCAAATCAAGTCAACCTCGTCCTCCCAACCGTCCGGACAAACGAACACAATGACGACGACTATCAAGGTAGGCGATTTCCAGCCTTATTCAGCCAATCAGCATGATCGGTTCAGGACGATTCTGGCGGTTTCGTGTTCGAATCGTCGGGCGGCGGCCGCAAAACGACGGTGATGCCGGAGAACGCACTTCCATCGGACTTCCACACCGGATGGAGCTCGCACGGAGTCTCGACGCGCAAAATGAAGTTCCGACAGGATATTCAGAGAAGGAAAGTGCAAGAATTGGCATGGAAACTGTGGAACGATTATCTGAAGGAGGCGCACGCAAAGCCGAGAGAGGCGCTCGTTCGGCTCGAACAGGCGGCCACCACTATCGATGTGAGAACTTTCCAGCAGTTTTCCAACTTCAATTTCCTTATTTTCAGACGACGATCCGCTCGATCCGCAGCCACCACAACGTCAAACATCGTTCGGCGAAGAATCCGCGCATTGAACGCGTCCAAGAGTTCGTGCAAGCGATGCGCTACGTCGCCGATTCGGTCATCGACGACCGCCGACTATCCACTTTCGAATTCTCGGTTTCCGGAATTGTGCCGGCCCTCTTCAACCTGCTTTCCGTCTTTGAAAAGTACCCCGACTGCTTCGCGTTCGGCATTTTCCGCGAAATGTTCTCGAAAGACGACGCTCTCTCGCAATTGGCCCGCAAAATGGTGACGGTGCTCGAGGCGAGCGAGAAGTTTCCGCAATTCCTGTACGACACTCCGGGCGGCTCCTCGTTCGGGCTTCAGCTTCTGTCGCGCAGAGTTCGCACCAAACTGGAGATAGTTCCGAAGGCCGACGGACAGACGAACGACGAGAATCTGATGAACAAGACGGGCAAGATTGTGAAGTGCGAGCCATTGGCGTCCGTCGGAACCATCCGATCCTTCCTCTACAAGATGGTCGCTCGACAGTGGCACGACCGCGATCGCGTCAACTATCGATATGTGAAGGAGCTAGTGGATCGCAAGTCGCGCGGAGAAGTGGTCGTGTGCAGATATACCGGAGATTTCGACGACAAGGGAGTCGTCTACTGGGTCGGAACGAACGGAACCACCGTGTCGAGCTGGACGAACCCGGCGACGGTGAAGGCGATGCGCATCACGTGCTCGGACTCGCGGCAGCCGTTCGGAAAGCCCGAAGATGTGCTGTCGCGCGACTCGAACCCCATCAACTGCCACACGTCGGACGACAAAAACGCGCACTTCACCATCGATCTGGGCGTTCTCGTCATTCCCACCTCGTACACACTGCGTCACTCGCGCGGATACGGCCGTTCCGCTCTGCGCAACTGGAACTTCCTCGGCTCCGTGGACGGAAAACAGTTCGACACGATCATTGCGCACGTGGACGACAAGGGACTCGGCGAGCCGGGCAGTACGCACACGTGGCACGTCGAGGAGAAGGGCACCACCGCCTACCGCTTCTTCCGGCTCGCGCAGAACGGAAAGAACTCGTCCGGACAGACGCATTATCTGTCGTGCTCCGGATTCGAGATCTACGGAGACATTGTCGACGTGGTGCTCGAGCAGATTTGTCCGGAGCAGCCGAAGAAGGAGAAGGAGTGCGTAGCGGGACCGTCGTCGGCCATCGCCGGATCCTCTTCCTCCACGACGCCGCTCACAAAAGAGCAAGTGCTCGAGATGCTGCCCGCCGGCGAGAACAACAACCGTCTCAAGTCGGGACTATCGATCGAGGCGGTCACGGCGATGATGCAGCGATCGAGACATCGCAGCCGCATGGCCTACAAGATCAGTGAGCTCAAGTCGCGCGTGGTGCGCGGAAAGGACTGGCGCTGGGAGGATCAGGACGGCGGCGAGGGAAAGTTCGGACGGATCACGAGTCCGCCCGAGAACGGATGGGTCGACGTCACCTGGGAAAACGGATACGCTAACTCGTACCGCTTCGGCGCCAACGGAAACTTTGATTTGGAGCGAGTCAATAGCTCGGGGCTCAGATATCCGACGCCTTCTGTCGGATCGGTTCCGTCTTCGGTAAGCTTCTTTTTAAATTGAAAAGGAACCTGACACTGCCGAAATGTCCCTTGTAAGCAAGCCAAAAATCTATCAAAGTTTCAGGTAATTGAGGCTGTGCGCCGTAGCCGTGCCCTCTACAACTCGAAATCTTCGATTCCACCTCCGTCGGCGGTGTTCAGTGCCATGTCGGGAGTTCCACGTGGAGGTGAGCCCCCTTCCTCTTCTTCTTCCCTTCCGTTCCACGCTCATTTGCCCGTTCCCCCGTGGCGATCGTCTAATAGCCATTCGTCCCCGCATTCTCCGCTGAGACTCATCGGCTCTTCTTCTTCTTCTTCCGCGGCGACTCCGCCCACTTCCGCTACCTCATCGACGCTTTCTACGCTTGCGTCCGGTCTAGGCTTTGGCTTGAATAGACACAAACACAAGGCGCCAGCAGGTGAATCTCTCGGTGTAAATGAATGTGTTCGGTGCTGCTTGTGTTTTATTGTGTTTTCTCTTCGGTTTTCTCTTCACTTTCTGCCTGATTGATATTGTACGATTGTCCGATTTGACTTCGAGCTTTGCACAAGTATGGTATGAAGCATTTTCAGTGAACATTTCAACTCGATTGGATTGTCTGAAGCGGAAGATCCTATATTTTCGGTCTTTTTCAGTATATTTCTAATTCAGATAACCCAATTGAACTTAAATTTTCACCGAACATGCTCCAGGTCATAATTTTGCAAAGTTGGAGACCGATCAGATATCTGATAATTCAATCGGGTCGAAAGTTATTGTAGTCCTTTTTAGTAGCGCCTAGAGCCCTAATAGCGTCCTCTCCTTGGTTTCTATTCAATTTTTTAAAAGTTTCCCTAACAAATTCCCCGTTTTCCAGGCCCACCTGCTTCAACTCTTTCTCGTTTTGCATCGGTCAAAGTCCCAATGACTGCCGGTCAACCATCTTCCGGCGGACCTTCTGGAGCGATCGGAAAGAAGTCAATGTCGACGACGAACCTCGTGGACGACCGTCAGAAGGCGTCGGGACCATCGGTGGCTTCGACCGGACAAGCCGCGTCTGCGGAATCTCTCCAACATCAGACGCCGTCCCTGGAGAACCTGCTCGCGCGCGCAATGCCTCAATTCGGACGGATCGCCGAGAATCAGGAGCCAGAAGACGAGCCGATGACCGCGGGAGAGGAGAGTGACTCGGCGGCGAGCATGAGATCCGCTGCGTCGAGCAACTCGCAGATCTCGATGGAGCAACATCAGCAGGACACCCCGAGAGATTCGGCGGCCACTCCGAGCACCCCGCGCGACGAAAAGAACCAGACTCTGTCGGTTTCGGCGCCGGATTTGGCGGCCGCCCGTCAAAGACAAGCGTCGGCGGAAGTGGACGGAGAGCAAGAGGACGAGGAGAACTCGGAGGAGAAGACGGTAGGCGGAGAAGCGATGGAAGAGGACGAGGAGGAGGAGGAGACGGTCGAAGATGAGGAAGACGACGATGACGACGACGAGGAGGGCGAGGAGAGCAGCAACGAGAATCAGGAGAAACTGGTGGAACTGTTGGGCGGAGAGCGGGGACTGTTCGACAAACTGAAGGAGGTCATTACCGGGGAATCGGACGCCGCGAAAGACGCGAACACGAACGAGGCGCAGAAGGGAAAGCATACGGGATCGAAAAAGAATCCAAAGAGGTGGTTCAAGAAGATGTCGAGCTACACAGACGTTCTTAAAGGTAACGTGTTCTGGGAGGTCTCCAGAGCTTGCAGTATGGGCTTGGCGTCCGCCACAATGACTTTTGATGATTTCAAAAGCGATGAAAAATGAGCTAATTCTAAGCTCTGGAGACCGTGAGCCGTCGAAAAAACAAGACAAAAAAGTTGCAGGACTGATGGCCAACCGTTACCCGGTAACGCTGCTGGATCCGGCGCACGGTGGTGGCCTTGAGATGGACGATCTGATGGACGACGACGACTACTACGACTTCTCGGAGGACGGTCCCGACGAGGGCGACTCGATGGAGGATGAGGTGGCCGCGCACCTCGGAATGCCCGTCGACTCGTTCGCTTCGATGGTCGCCGCCCGTACTCCCATCACCTGGCGCCAATTTTCTGAATTGATGAGTGGTTCAGGTCGTGATCGTGCAGCAATGGCTCGAGCAGTGGCAGCCGGCAGTCGGGGCTCACCGTGGGACGACGAGTCGGTGATTAAGTGCACGTTCGAGGCGCTGATTCCGGCGTTCGACCCGCGTCCAGGACGATCAAACGTCAACCAGACGCTCGAGGTCGAGCTGCCCGGCGTCGTCAACGACTCGAGCTTCTTCTCCAACACGCCGCTCAACATTCCAGCATCGAGTGGTTCGGGCGGGGGCCAGCAGGCTCCGGCCCCGACCGTTCGCAACATCATCCCGCCGTCCACAGTCCGAAACGATTCGGACACCCAACTTCGCTTTTTCCTGCGCGGTCCCAACATGTCAGGCGTCGACAACGTGACCGTCGAGATGGACGACGACGCGTCGTCGCTGTTCCGCTACATGCAGGCGATCAACAACAACGTGAACTGGGCGACGAAGAACGATCGCTCGCGACGCATCTGGGAGCCGACCTACTCGATCTGCTACTGTTCGGCCGATCAGCCGTGCACGATCGAGGTGTCGAAGATTGCGACGGAAGAGTCGCAGACGCCGACGCGTGTGAATCAGTGCCTTGAGATGCTCGGGCTGCTTTCGCGAATTCAGGAGGCGATGCCCGACGCCGAAATACAGCCGTCGGTGTTCATCAGCGACAAACTCACGCTCAAAATCACGCAAGTGCTGTCCGACGCACTCGTCGTCGCCGCGAGGGCCCTTCCAGAATGGTGCTCGCGCCTCGTCTACCAGTATCCGTATCTTTTCACTGTCGACACCCGTAATATGTACATGCAGGTGAGAGTGGACTAAGAAATTGCAAAATATTGAGAAAAATTAGATTTTTAGCTAATCTTTTTATAGTTTACATTCTCAGTTTTTCATTCAAAATTCCTATTGAAAAACGCAAAACTTTGTTCCAGGCGACCGCATTCGGAGTCTCGCGTACCATAGTCTGGCTCCAACAACGCCGTGACGCCGCAGTGGAGCGTGCTCGCGGTTCAGCGCAGGCCGGAAACAGCAGCGCCGCCCGTCAGCACGACCGCTACCACGAGTACCGTGTCGGCCGACTCCGCCACGAACGCGTCAAAGTGACGAGGACGGAGGAACTCCTTCTGGACCAGGCGATCCGATTGATGAAGTTTCACGCGGACCGCAAATCGGTACTCGAGATCGAGTACACGAACGAGGAGGGTACCGGACTCGGACCGACGCTTGAGTTCTACGCGCTCGTCGCCGCCGAACTGCAAAGGAAATCGCTCGCGTTGTGGGTGTGCGACGACGATGACGCCCACGCGTCGAAGAGTGGAGAGGAGAAGGAGCTGGACCTTGGAGAGGGCAAGAAACCGGCCGGGTGAGTAGAAATTTAGAATTTTTACGCTAAAGGGCGACCCGGATTCGTTTATTTTCATCCAAATTGGTGCCTTTCGCTCAAAATATCGTGAAATCGCATTTCAGCTACTACGTTCGCCGCATCGGAGGCCTCTTCCCGGCGCCACTTCCACCCGGATCCGAGGAGACGAAAAAAGCGGCAGACATGTTCCGCGTGCTGGGAATCTTCCTGGCCAAAGTGCTCCTGGACGGCCGACTCGTCGACCTGCCTCTTTCCCGATCGTTCCTCAAACTTCTTGTCAATCCGCGCATCGGAGAGGAGTTTCACGGTCCGAATCTGTACAACGTGCTCACTTTGGACGACTTCGAGGAGGTCAATCCGGTGAAAGGAAGCTTCCTGAAAGAGCTGCGAGCACTGGCGCAACGGAAACGGGCCATCGAAAACGAGTCGATGGATTTGACGTTGAAACGACGAAAGATTCAGGAGCTGAAGCTGCACATCAAGGGATCCACGTGCAAGATCGAAGATCTCGCACTCAACTTTGCGTGAGTTTGAAAACTCGAGAAAAAATAGTCGAAAATGAGCAATTTACAGCGTCAACCCACCGTCGAAAGTGTTCCATTACGCCGAGCACGAGCTGGTCGAGGGAGGTGCCGACATTGACGTTACCGTCGACAATGTGGAGCAGTATGTGGAGAAGTGCGAGCAGTTCTACCTCAACACCGGAATCGCCCATCAGGTTTGTGCGGAAAACGCTAATTTCGGAGCTCTGATTCTGAAATATGACATTTCCAAAACAAGTAATCTTTCTCAATTATGAATTTGTGCAGATGCGTGCGTTCCGCGAAGGATTCGACCGGGTGTTCCCTCTGCGGACCCTCCGTGCCTATTCTCCGGAAGAGGTGCAACGCCTTCTTTCTGGCGAACAGTGCCCAGAATGGACGCGCGACGACATCCTGAACTACACGGAGCCGAAGCTGGGCTACACGCGCGAATCGCCCGGATTCCTTCGATTCGTCGACGTGATGGAGGCGCTGACCGCTCAGGAACGCAAGAATTTCCTTCAATTCGCCACCGGATGCTCGAGTTTGCCGCCGGGTAAGAGGAAATTAGGGGAATCGGTTGTAATGGATGATATTTGCAGGTGGACTCGCCAATCTTCATCCCAGACTCACGATCGTCAGGAAAGTGGAGAGCGGCGACGGCAGCTATCCATCGGTACGCTTTTGCGCCGAAAATGGTTTTTTATGGAAGCTATAAACACAATTTTCAGGTGAACACATGCGTCCACTACCTCAAACTTCCGGAGTATTCATCGGCGGAAATTCTTCGCGAACGTCTTCTGACGGCGATCAACGAAAAAGGATTCCATCTGAATTAGGCCCCGCCCACTTCTTTCCCCCCACAAAATCATTATCATTAAAATGCGATAATCTGATCGCTTTTTGTACAAATAGGCGTTTAGCGGTCCCACCAAAAAACATGTTGCATTCTCTTTTCTTTCGATTTACTTTTCATCTAATTCCCATTTGTTCGTTGTGTTTTGTGTTCAATTTAACCATCCGGGAGTTTCCCGAAACTTATTCTTCCCCCTCTTGGTACAGCATTTTCACGTTTATTTCACGTGTTCCCCTCTTCTTTTTTCACCCAAAATCGTCCATTTTCAGCCCAGATTTTGCAGCGAAATTGGTGTGATGTTCCCGAAGTTCCCCTCAATCTGTCCTTTATTGGCCCCCTCAATTATTGTAAAACCGGAAAAAATTTGCAAGAAATCGCAAACACCTCAAAATGATACTGTCCGTTCAATTGTGTCCTATTCGCCCATTTGTTTCGTCCTCCACCGAAAAATTTGGATGATTTGAGTGCTGTTTTACGCGAAGAATAAAGTTGATGAAAATGGAACATTTAGAGGAAAAGAGAGTTGATCTTCTCTGAAATATTGTTTACAATTTTTCCACGATCTTTAAAGCAGAAAAGATTATTCAATCTGAAAAACTGAAAACTGTTCGATCTGAAATTTGGTTTCGCGGAAAAATTTGAATTGACGTCAAAACGCGGGGGAATCGTGACGTATTCGGATGCGAAATAATCCGAATTCGGCGGAAAATGCAACCGATTTTAGCAGAAACACAAACAGAGAGATACGGAACATTTCTGGCGCTTTTCTTCCTTTCTCGCTAGATTTTTATTGATTTTTTCAATTGAACTGTTGTTTATTTGTAGCTCTCCTTCTTTCGGATAGATCAATAGTCCGGTAGATCAAGTGGGGGTCTAGAAAATAACTTTTTGAAACCGTAATCTTCCCCATTTCTTGTCTCTCCCTCAAACTACAGTAATCACAGTAATCCTTGACTTTGATATCGTATCTCTTATTGGGTATCAGTTGGGCAACACGGTCCCATAATGACAGATTAGTAAACTTTCGGACGGCTTACTTGAGGGGAATCGGGGGGAGTGGACGGGGTCTGAGATCCACTTTGAAAGAGGGGTAATGGTACTCGGTGGTAACAATTTTATGGTAGTTTGGCTTCATTTTTCTCTGGGAATGACATGTTGCATCGCTGAAAAAGGCCCTTCTAGAGAAGAACGGAAGGGGGCGAGAGAGTGAGACGCATGAGAGATTCAGGAGATCACAACCATATTCTAGGAGGGGACGAATATAAATATTGTACAGTTTGAAATACAAATCAGGAGTGAAACGTCTCAAGTGTTTAGCGGCATCATTTAATATTGAACCAGTTTCAGACTCGTAAATGTCGTCAATTCCGTCGGTGGTTCGAGAAGTCACTCTGGTCGGCGAGCAAATTTTCGATCATACGCAAGTGGTGAATTTCTTGAAACAACGGGAAAAAAAGTTCAATTTTGTTTGCAGATTCGTGCCGAAATCGATCGATTCGTGGAGCGATTCGAACGGAACGAGCGCCATCGCGAATTCGACGGAATTCTCAGAGCCAGTCATGCGGTACGCTCCACAAATTATCCAGTTATTCGAATTTTCAACAAAAAGCCATTTTTTCAGCTCGTCGAATCGTCGGAAACGCCCGTCGAAGGCCTCTTCGACATGGGAAGAATGCAGAAAATGACGGAAGACGTCGACGAAATCACGCGGAAAATTCAGGCGTTGAGCGAGCCGAAATATCAAAAAGTAGGCGGGAACATTGACTCTTTTTGCTTTTTTCAAATAAAAATTTACCTGAAAACTCGAGAAATTTCATTTTTTATTTGCAGGAGCACGAGGCGTACTTGGACAAAGTGAAAGAGGAGCAGAAGAAGTACGTGGACGCGTGTCGGGAGCAGGCAATGCTCAAAATGAGAAATCTGGCGGCCAATCGATAATTCTTTGTATTTCCTGTACCATTTTCGTGTATTCTTGTACCGTTGTCCCATTGCTTCACTCTTATCTCCGAAATTTACTCCCAAATCGGCCTTCTTTCTAGTCAAGTCAATTTTGAGTGCTTTCCCTTGAATTTTGTGTGCTTTAGTGATCAATTTCCGATGAATTAATTTATTTTCGCAATTTTTGTGCCTTTTCCGGACGTTTTTGACTTATTCTGAATGTTTTTTGCTGGAGAAAGCTGGAAGAAAACAAAGGGAAAATGATTTTTTGACGCGCAAATGGTGCATACACCGTCACGCGCAAGTGCACTTTTCGGATTTGAACCGAATTATTTTTTTTCGATAACCATTTTTAGGAATACATTTCGTTGTAGTATTCCGTTAATTTTGAGCTTTTTTTCAACTCAAATTCAGTGATTTTTCGTCTTTTTTTCGCAGAAAATGCCGGCGCCCATCAACGATCAGGCGCCCTTTGTGATTTTGGAGACGACGATGGGCAAAATCGCACTCGAATTGTACTGGAATCACGCGCCGCGCACGTGCCAGAACTTTTCGCAGTTGGCCAAAAGAAACTATTACAACGGGACCGTCTTCCACCGAATCATCGCCGATTTCATGATTCAGGGCGGAGATCCCACCGGAACGGGTTCGTGTTTGAATAATTATGGGGCTATTGGAGAATGTTTAAATTTTTAGGCCGCGGAGGCGCGTCGATCTACGGCGATCGATTCGCCGACGAAATCGACGAACGTCTGAAGCACACGGGCGCCGGAATTCTCTCGATGGCCAATGCAGGTACGGTTTTTTTCGACTTCAGGAAAATTTTAATTTCATCCGAAATTTAGGCCCTAACACGAACGGAAGTCAATTTTTTATCACTTTGGCGCCAACACAGCATTTGGACGGAAAACACACGATTTTCGGGCGCATCGCCGCTGGAATGAAGGTAAAAACGGGGCATTTTATCGATGTTGTTTTTTGAAAAGAAGTCAATTTTCAGGTGATCGCCAATATGGGCCGCGTGGACACTGACAATCACGACCGTCCGAAAATCGACATCCGCATTCTGAAGGCCTATCCGTCAGACTCTTCGATGCTCTCCTAATTTATTGATTTTCCAGGCAGGATCTCACATTTTTCGTAATTTTCCCCCCACACTTTTCTGTCTTATTTATTGTGAATGAAATTTGACCCGAAACTTTGCGAAAAAAAGCGGTCCAATTCGACGAAGGCGTCACGAGGAAACGGGAAAACCGAGACGGAAAGATCGAAATTCTTATCAGATCATCAAGGTCGCAAATCGGTATAAAAGACGCAATTTCGGCCAATTTCCTGGTTGTGGAAATGCGAAAATTTGCCATTTTTCTATTTTTTGTACTAGTTTTGGAAGCCGCCGGACAATGTGAGTATTGAGGGATTTCGCTGAAATACACTGCTATTCAGCAATGTGAAAATCGCCAAAACTTCTCGTCAAGCCGCATTCGTAACTAATCCATTCTGAACCATTTCAGGGGGTTTCGGACCGCCGTCTCCGTGGGGTTGGGGACCTCCCCCACCACCAAGTCCGTTCTGGGGACAAGGACTCGGAGGAGGAGCAGGAGCAGGAGCAGGACCCTGGGGCACACAAGGTAAACGCACATTTTCAGCTGACGACGACTATCATTATGTTTTCATTTTTGCAGGAGGCAACGGAGGAGGATGGGGAGGCGGAAATAACGGCGGAGGAGGATGGGGTAAGGTTCCGATTTGAATGAACAAAGTGTACGGAGTCTAGCTCTAAGATTTATCTGAAAGAGCTGAAAGAGCTGGTCGTGACCATTCCAAATGTATCCTACAAAAACGAGCGCTGAATTTATAGGCAGAAGACAGCTTTCTAAAGGAGATTTCTCGAGATTCTCTGGCAAAGAATGAAGATTTCTCAAGCTTAAATAGGAGAACTCAGTCACTTTGTTCGATCTTTGAAAGCGTTTACTACAAACATTCTACTTTTTTCCAGGCGGTAACGGAGGTGGTGGCAACGGTGGAGGAAATGGAGGAGGAAATAGAGGAGGAAATGGAGGAGGAAATGGAGGAGGAAATGGGGGAGGCGGAGCAAGGGGAGGCGGTTAGTTTACGAATTAAAATTCAAAAATTTTCCCTAAAATTCGGTGAATTTCAGGCGGAGGTGGCCGTGGCGGCGGCGGCGGCGGTGCGGGCGGAGGACGTGGGGGAGCTGGCGGGGGAGGTAGCATTTTTGAGATGCTTAAACGTCTCTTGCAAAAATGCATTTTCAGGTGGCGGCGGCGGCGGTCGAGGAGGTGGCGGAAAGGGAGGAAAAGGCGGAGGTCGAGGAAAAGGATGATATATAAACACTCTATGCCCCTTTTCTCAAGATCTCTCGCTATTTTTCTGTTTTTGGCTTGTTTTCCGAATAAATGAACGTTTTTTGTTACGAAACCAATTCAGTACAAGTATTCAAAAATTCAAAAAAGCAGCCAAATTCACAGTAGTTTTTCGTATTGCTCAGGTTTAGTTTTTCGTATTGCTCAGATTAAAAACTTCTCAGTGTGTTGAACAGCAGCCAGTCTAACTAGGGAATTCCTTTTTTTTTAAACTATTTTGAAAAATTCTGAAAAAAATCAGGGTGGCACTATAAGATATGGAGAACATTTTCCGACTCTGAGATTCGGCAAAATATTTCTGGAAACTTCTTGCAAATTCGCAAAATTTTCGCTAAATGTGACACTGATCAAAAATACACTAGCTGGTTCCATTGGGAGGTTCATTGTCTCACAAAAGTCAAAATAGCGAAAACATTTTCTGCAAATTTGCAAGATGTTTTCAGAAATATTTTGCCGAATCTCAAAGTCGGAAAATGTTCTCCATATCTTATAGTACCACCCTAATTTTTTTCAGAATTTTCTAAAATGGTTAAAAAAAGGAATTCTCTAGTTAGACTGGCTGCTGTTCAACACGCTGCGAAGTTTTTAAATTGTCTATGGTACTAGTGTAAAACAAGGGTTCCCCTAGAAAAATAAAATAATAAAAATAAATAAGAAAATAAGGTCTCTCTCAGATATTCAGAAAAAACATGGGCCACCTAAAATAAAGAAGGGTCCCCCCAGAAAAACAATGGTTCCTGGTCGGACTTCTTGAGAATGGATGACAAATTTTCTGGTCTTACTATTGAAAGCTGTAAAAATATCAATGTCAATAAAATTGCCACAAAATCTGTTCTTTGTTGTTTCGCTGTAGTGCCCGGCGCTCGCAACCTCTCATGCGCCTTTAAATCCACAGTACACTGTCAGCTAATAAAAATTCAGCAATTTTTCTTGGAAAAATGCGTAAAAAAGCGGAAAAATCGGATCGCAATGCGTTTCTCATGGGTTTTCTCGCAGGCCTGCTCTTCTTTATCCTTTGCCTGATTATTTATTCCATGGCCGTCTCGAACTGCACTGTTACTCGACAAAACTGGGAAATTGAGGTAAAAAAAACGTGTAATAATAACGTTTTGCTTTTTTCAGATTGAGTGCAATAATGTTGACAAAGCTTTGCCAAAAAATGTGCCGGTTGCGGTTAGTTTTCGAAAAATCTCGATTTTTTTTAAATTGGCTTAATTTTTAGGTTTATCAGGAAGAACCGACAAATTTCGATACAATGGTACCGATGCCGGTGAGTTTTGACGGAAAAACTGCAAACATTTTACTTTTTTAGGCCCACGAGCTGGAAACGAATGAAAATCTGCCGCGAATCGTTAACGACGGTATTATTCCGATGCAATCGAGAGAAATAATCAGAGAAGAAGGACCGGAAAGAGCGCCCGGCGATTTGGCGAGAGTACGGTTTTCTTAGAGTTTTTGCTCTAAATAATGTTATTTTTTGCAGGTGGCGGTTCTCATCCAATACAGCGAATTTCTGGAAACGGAACGCATGATTTACGCCTTGAAATCGTAATAAAACAATGCCATTTCGTGTGTAGAAATGAATATAAATTTTAGACAGCGAAAACATCAAAGCGACTTGCCAATTTACATTTTTTCCGAAGACAACAATGTCGTGACAACGAAAATGCGGAGAAAATGGAAAAGACAACTTCAGGCGAACTTTGTTTTCGAGGTTTTCGAGTCTCGACACGGAAATTCCGTGAAAAATTCATTTTTTTTTTCAGAAAAGTGCGTCTTTGGCGATTCAGGCAATACTTGTCGACGACGACATCGACTTTTTCATTCTTTTGAACGGTAAAGAAACAAACTGCGAAAAAGCACCAAAAGACTCAGAAAATGGGAAAACATTATAACTTTATTCTATATCGAGTTCTGAGACGCCTTCCTTGGGCTCCCCCTCCTCCGTTTGAGTCATAATGCCCATATTGTGAACGGTGGTCATGTTTACAGTGGATTCTGGAAAAAAAACGTGAAAAAGAACAATTCCAAGATTTCTGATTCAACTGGATCGCATTTAGGTTAAAACTTGAAGACATAAAAAATTACAGTTTTCAATTATTCAGATACCGACAAAATTGGCGCCGATTTCGGTGACTTCTATTTTCTGGGCAAAGAATTGATGCGCTTCCACACTGAAATCGAATCGATTTGTGGAAACGGTAACGGAGAAGAATGGCAGGACGCCAGTTTCGGAGACGTTCTTTGGATTTCTCAATCCGAGTGCCAAATGGGTTCGTTTTTTATTGTATAATTCTTCAAAGAATTGGTTTTCCACTCTGCATATTCTTTCAAATTTTTCAGGAAAAATGGTGTCCCGCGCGAGTGCCGATTTTGATTTCCGTCCGAAAACCGGAGTTTCGCTGCGTCCCGAGGTGGGAAGAGTCGGAAAAACGACGAAATCGGTGACGAATTCCACCTGGAACCTCTCGAAATTCGATCTGAGACTGCTGAAAATCGACGATATGGAAAGACGAATGGAATACGAGTTTATGGTGAGTTTCTCGAAATTTGCTGCAGAAAATATAATATTTTGCGAAACATTGTGCAAAGTACGGCATAGGCTTTTCGAAGGCTTTTTTAGGCCTGGACTTTTGACCCACTTGTAATCGGGTCAGAACTTTACAGGCTACTTGCGATTGGATTGAAGCATATCGGGGCCAAGTTTGAAACCGACCGGATCATCTGGTCTCGAGATACCAGAGGCCGAAAAGGTCGGGTTTTTGTGAAAATTGATCCGATCCGTCTGAAACTCGGACCCAATATACTTCATTCGAAGTCCAAGAAGCCTGCAAAATTTGGATCCGACGGGATCATTGCAAGCGGGTCCAAATGTCCTATCTCTTCTTTTTTACCCTAAAAAATTCCAGGCGGCCACGAAAGAACTGGACAGTCTGTACGATTTGAAAGCCTTCGATTCGGATGTGTTCTACTCGTTCCCCTACAAAAATATCAGCGATTTTTACTATTTTTTCGATAAGAATGAGATTCAGGTGAGACCCCTTTTTTGCTAGAAAATCGCAAAAAATTTCCAGAATTTCCACGCGTACAAAGGAGTGATTTCGCTTACAATCTACGGCCGCCACGTCTTCTTGCTCCCGCAGAAAATCTACGAAAATCCATATTTCCCTTAATCTCTTCCCAATTTGCTTCTCACTGTTACATGTTTTACCTTGAAATGTTGTTGTTTTTTCTCCTATGTTTTGTTGTTGTTTTTAAAATATTTCAAAAATATGTTCTTTTTTTTCCCAAGTGTTTGGGAACATTCTTGTAGTCCGCAACAAAAACTACCATAATCCAATGTTTTCGTGGAGAGACCCGCGCCACTTGAAATGCGAGCAGAAACGTGGATTTTCAGCACTGTCTGGGTGAAGCCTTTTGCCTCGGCCCGCGTAGTCTTTTGAGTGTTTCTCACTCAAAAATTGCAAGCAGAAGCTACAGTAATCTCTTGTTTTCGCGGTGAGACCCGTCTCAGCGAAAATCGTTTGTTTTCGCGCCGGAATTTTCAGCTTTTTACAGCAAAAATGAGCGAGCAGTGCTGCTGGAAAGCGAGCACAGTGCTCCTAACCGTCGCCGTCATTTTGCTGCTCGTCGTCATTGGAAACTTAATTTTTACGAGCGAAAAAGGGCCGATTGAGGTGAGCACATGAATTGTTTAATGATAAAATGTTATTTACAGCTAATTCCCGAACCGGCGCCGCATTACGGAATTTTCACGCAAAAACCGATTTGTAGCTCGGAAAAATGGCTGAGAAATGCGGGCGATTTGGAAGATGTAGGCCTAAAATTTGAGAAAATTGAAAAAAAAACACAATTCATTTCTTTTCTCAGGTGGCCATCATTTTGACGCACAATTCGCTGAACGACACGAGCCGGTGGATGCGAGAAATCAAAAAGTTTGCGGATTTGTTAGATAATGAAATTGACCGCATTTTTAAGACAGCGAAAATCGTCGCAAGACCTTCTCATTTACATTTTCGCCAACAATCGCACTTTTTTGGAGCGACAAGAATTGAAAGCGCTCAGAAAGCAGGTCGATGGCACGTACCATATCAAAGTGAGCAAAAATTGTAAAGATTTCGAATTTCTCTTTGATTTTCTAGGGAAGCAACTTGACGGAAGTGATTTTGGACGTTCTGAAAATAGAAAAACATCAGTTTTTGATCCAGGTTGATGGTAAAAAAATTCGTTCGATAATTGACTTAATTAATTGTTCATCTGAAAGTCGATAAAATTCAGATTCTCAACAAATCGGCGCCGATTTCGCCGATTACTATTTCCTGGGTAAACAAGCGCTGAAATTGGATCCGAAAATCGAATGTGTTTGCGGCGGAACGGACAACGAAATGACCGCCGACGAATATTTTCAGCCGGGCGAGGGAAACGTCTTCTGGGTGGCTGATCATCCAGATTACTTTTGTAGATATGGTAGGCTTACAATGACCCGATCGGCACCAAACTTTGCAGGCTTCTTGTACTTGGATTGAAGTATATTGGGTCCAAGTTTCAGACCGATCCGATTGTCCGGTCCCAATATATACCAGCTTGAGGCCGAATAGGCCGGGGTTTTGCTGAAATTGCGGTCTTTTCGGCCTCCGAAATTTTGATCTGAAACTTAATCTCAGCGCCAATGTACCACCGCTCGTCCCGTTTGCTGTTTCTGGAGGAAGAGGAGCGCGAAGACGAAGTGTGCATCCGTCCGGAAGTGGGAAGAGTCGCCAATTCCATCAATTACGGTATCTGTTCGAGTGTTTTCAGTGTTAATGCTCGTAATTTCAGTCACTAAAATGACGGCGCACTTGGGCTCTTTCGACCCGAAGATGCTGACGATCGATGCGCTCGAAAAACGAATGCAATACGAGTTGACGGTCATTTTTCTGAATTTGTATTGACCAAAAACTGGATTTTCCAGACGGCCATCCGAAAAGACAAGTTCTCGTGGGATGATCTCAAAAATCAGGATGATACGAAAGTGTACGCATTCGATTGGGCGGAGTTTAGCGATTTGGAGTACTATTTCGATGAAGAACTGATTATTGTGAGCAAATTTTTGGGATCTTTCTAGAATTGTTTTAAAATTCAATGTTTCAGCCGATAATGCAGTCGAGAAGCTTCCTGAACGTGATTCCGATTTATGTGGAGGGCCACAAAGTCTACATTGTTTCTAAATAATTTTTATTCTTTTCTTCCTTGTTATTGTTGTTTCTTTTTGTTTCAGAAGTTTGAATTAAATTCGTTAAAATTTTAAGGGCCTTTTTAGTTGCAGTGTTCGTTGAATTTCGAGATGTTTTACTTTCTATTCTCTCTTTTTTTGTGAACTTTGGGCCAACTTGTTTGCAGAGAAATGTCGAACAACTCGTCAACAGTCAGTTCGGTCAGCTTTGAGACGGTGCTAAAAATGCACGCGCACCCGGAGCGAAACGCAGACATGGAGAAGAAAATAAACACGCTCGGACAGATTGTGAAGGGCGTTAATGGTAGGGAAATTGGAAGTACGCTGTAAAACAGGGCTGAGCAATTGACCTGCACTTTTGAGCTATAGTGCTTGGTGCCCGCATTTGGCCGAAGAATCCGGGATTTCTGCCAATGATCCACATATCTCGGGAATAGATGATCCGATCGGTCTGAAACTCGGATCCAATATTATTCAATCCATATCGAAGAAGCCTGCAGAGTTTTGGTTTCTGTTTGAAATTGTTTTCCTGCAGAGCCGTGCCTTGTGCTGCTGAACAGCGACACGATATGCCGTCACGTGACGGTCTTCCTCCGATCGATGGAACTCCAGACGAGCATTCTGACGAGTGAAATGTTCGACGGAAAGGAGCGAATAATCGCCGACGAAGAGAGGTGCCAGTTTCTGAAAGCGAAAGGGGCGCACGCGATGATGTGCAGTCTCGACGCCTTCGCCAACGCCAAAATGCCATTGTGCCAAAATGTTAGAAAAAAATTGCAGAAATTCCCTATAAGCTTCTTTTTCAGTACATTTTCTTCGAAATGCCATCAAAACTGTCCCGCTTCCCGAAGATCCTCAGAGAATTGGAGCCGATGGCTCACGCGGAGCATCGCATGGTCCGAATCGACGTGATTGTGAGCGAATCGGAGCCGCAGCCGCAGTTGAAGGCGCTTTTCATGGAGATGGACTGCCGCGGAAACGTGCCGCCCGTTTGGTTGGGCGAGAAAGTCGGGTGGGTTTTGATTATTTTTAAAGGGGACATTCGGGCAGAAAATGAAGACAGTTAAAGGCGCATAGCATGCAATTTATTGCTATGCGCCTCTCTTCTACCACGCAATCGGCTTTCCCTCGCCCTCAGATTTTTTCTGCTTCAAGCACACTATTTTTGGTACCGACGGGATCCCAATCCGTTTGGATACTTATTCAACAGTTCTGAAATTTGCAATGAATACTGGAATAATTCGAACAATTTTCGTTTTGATAAATTCTATTTTTGCAGCTTGATCTCGAAGAAGTGCGCAAAAAAGCCGTCGCCGGATGATCAGACGCCCGTCCGTACTTCCGTTCCGCCGCCGATGCTCCATTCGTTCCCGACTCCGTCGTCGGATTCGTCGGATTCTCCGCCCACGAAGGCGCCGTGCTCATCTCTGGTGGAGAAAGAGAAGAAGAAGAGATTCCTGTGGGAGAATCCGAGAATCGAGATGAATTCGGAAGGGAAGTACGTGATTCCGGTGCCGAGAGAAAACAGCGAGAGCGACTGCGAAATCAACGGATATGTGGCCGACAACGATAACGATTGTACCGACGGGGAATTCGAATACGATATGATGGAGGTCGACGACGCTTACGAATATTACTAGGAGAGTACGAAATATCTATACCTTGCTTGTCAAATATTATCCGTTTTACCCGCTATTATTATATTTTATTCATGATCCATTTACTTGTTTCTTCCATTTCATATATCTGATGTTTTTACACCGCACTTTTATGTCTCGTAACACTTTTTTATCCCTACTAAATTATGCAACGCAAATGTCCAATCGAAATAGTCCTTTATTATTTTGCATTCACATTTTCAATCCAAAAGGGATCGAGCCAAAAAGAAGAGACATTCGAGTCCGTTTTCAAGCCGCCACCAGCGGCACCACCATCATTTGCGGGTGCTCCGACGGAGACGACTTCGCGAACGCCTCTCGCGGGTCCGAAACGCCCTTCGCCTGCAAATTTTTAAAAATTCTTCTACAGTTTCAAAAAGCGCTTTTAAAAATTCGCAAAGAGGTCTGCGATGCTCCGATCGTGGCTGACAGGTAATTATTCCATCAAATTTCCAAAAAAAAAACTGACACTGGCGGTGATGAGCACCAACTTGTCCGTCTTCTCCTCGCCATTCAGACGGAGCACGTCAATCGTGACCGACGAGCGCGGCTCCGCAATTCCGTACACCGGGTTCACGCGATAGAGCGCATTGTCCGAGCACTTCAATTTGAACGCCTTCCGCTCGGCCGACGTGTTTTTGAGTTCGAGCTGACTGACGCCGCCAATCGGCTGGTACTGGAGGCGGGCGGGGACCACCGCCATCTGCGACGAGTGCTTGATCGCGTTCACCTCTTCGGCCAGACTGCGCGACGCCACGACGCCCCCGCACTCCGACGCCAACTTCTGAAACAATTCGTCCTTTCGCCTCTCAAAATTGTGTACAAAATTGTAAAGAACAACTAACCGATTGAGGGGGAGCGGCACCGAAAGCGGCGGCTCCGGGAGCCTGCGCCAGGACCTTGGCCGACTTCTCCATCTTTTTCTGGGCGTCCGAGTCGAGACGGCGGGTGCGACGGCTCTTCGAGCTCTTCGAGCTCTTCGATCCCCGCGAACTCTTCGACTTGGCCGACGACTTCGACGACTTCACCGACGCCTCCGAGTTGGAAGCGGAAGAAGATCCCGGAGCAACGGCGCCCTTCTTGCCCGACCCATCCCTCTTTCCCTTGATCGATTTCGCCGTCTTCGTCGATTTTCCGTGCTTTTTCGACGCGTCACCACGCTTCGAACGGCGAGACGTCGAGCGCTTTGATTTCGATCCGGAACGGTGCGATTTCGAGTTCTTGGCTCCCTTTGAGCTTTTCGACGAACGGCCAGACTTTTCGCTCTTCGATTTGTTCTTGTTCTTCGCGTGCACCTGAGAATAAGAAAGAGTGTATCGGGAAGAAAGAGTTCGTATTAGCATCGAAACGTTGCAAAGTGTGAAACCTTGTTTCGCAACTAACGTGCAAGATTTGTGCGGTTGCGAAACGTCTGCTGTGCTCACCGTATTGCGATCCTTGGCGCAGAAGGCGAGGGCGGCTGCGACGGGCAGCGACGAGGTCACGATGGCAGTCAACGGCACGAGCATTCTTGATCCACAGCAGCACCAGAGGCACCAACTTCTTTCTTGTTCCGAACTTTTGTGGAGAACTGATCGCCCCGGTGCCCGTCTGTCCCCACATCGACATGATGCCGACCTCGCCGTGCTCCACTTTGATCCTTATCTAATACGGAATTCTGGAACGGAACAACAACAAGGGGAGATCACGCGAGAATCGTAGAAACTCAAAATGAACATTTATTGGTGGATATGTACAGATGATCACAGTGAAAAATGGCAAAATGGGTGGGGGAATTTCGGGAAAGACACACTGGGAAACGGACAATATAATATAATGCACGAATAATTTAGGTGAGGTCAAGTCATCCGTGTTGCAGGTAGGAAGTGCTCGATTTGGTGAGCAGAGTGGAGCTGTAGTTGGGCGGCGCCGCCTTGGCCGTCTGCAGCGCTTTGGGAGTACAGTAGCCGCACGAGAGCGCGCAGAACTCCTTCATTATTTGCTCGAAGAAGAAGGACTTGCAGCGGTCGATCCAGCGCCAGCACAGGTTCGTGCGGTCCCGGCAATCTGCAACTTCTTTGGAGTTTTTGTTTGAAGTGATCGCTGTCTTCGAATTAGTCAAAACAACAATTTCCGAAATTTCGAAAGCGTCTAGAAACTGTAAACCAAAACAGACCGTCGTCAACTACAGTAACCGAAGGGGGCGGGGCGACTGCGGGTGGTACGGTACTCGCCGAGACACTTGGTAATTTCACGTCACTGCACTGGTACATCAGGTTCATTTTAAGAATGTCGATCTGAGAAAAAAAACAATGTTCATCTATTCTTCTCGGACGAAACGGGGTACGGTAGCTGATTTGAAAGTGTGCAAACACTGGACTACAGTAACCCGAAAACGTTTATTTGACACGAACCGGGCTGAAGTCGATGGCCGCGCCGATAACGGCCGTCATTTCGGGCGCCTTCGCCACCATCGTCTCGAATCCGTTTTTGGAGAACGCGAGCGAATCGTAGTGCACTGAAACGTTATTTGTTCGAAACAATTAGAAGCAGGCAACTGACTGATTGAGTAATAATCGTATAATTGACCGTAATAGGAGCTCTCCGCCAAATCCACTTTTCCGAATTGATCGTACGCTTCTGAAAACGAGAAAGAGTATTTTAGGATTTGTTGGGAAACATTGAAGAATATGTTTTCCGTTTCAGTACGGCTTTAGTTTAGAAACGTTAATTTCCAGGTGCTCTTTTTGGGAAACATTCTCAACTCTCAGTTAAAGTCGTGGCCGTGGCCCAGAAAACTCCTAGGCCCCCCAGCAAACGCTCGGAAGCGGCTTCGATGAAGGTCGTGGACGGAACTTTCCAGCGCCGCAATGCGCCTTCTTGCCCAAAAATATGGGAAGCGAATTAAACACTTAAAACTGACTGACTGTGTATCACTAAACACGACTTTTTGAAACAGTGAAAAACGGGGTCTGACCGCGATCAATGTTGTGCCAGAGGATGGTTATGTGCTCGTCGCGGTCCCATCGCTCGTGTTCGTGGTAGAAGCCGACCGAGTGCATCAGTTCGTGGATCGCCGTGTCGTACTGCAATCACTTTTCGGTCTCGACTTGAAAAATGCTTAAAAAAATGCGAGGAAAGAATTGTTTTGAAGTTATCTAGGTTTTGGATCACCTTACATCCTTCTTGGGTACATAATTATTCGCGTTAAGTGCTACTATAGTTGCAAAAACTCAAAAAAGTGAAGAAGAGAAACCTGTAAACAGCCGTTGTCCAACGACAATTCCTGTCTGCCACCGGCCCTTCCGACGTCCGAATAGCATCTGCAAATCTTCTCGATTTTCAGTGTAAAACTTGAACTTTTCAGGCCAAACCCGTCGATTTTGCCAATGTAGAGGTAGTCGTTGTCGACGGCCGTTCGGGGCACGAATCGGACGCACGTCTTCTCGTGGTACGCCTTCAAATATTGTCATTATTGTTAATGCGCCCTCATTTGTTCTCTTTTTATGTAAATGTTTACGGAACGGATGAGCGAGTTTGACTACTTGAACAGTAAACTTTACACTTTCAAGTAACACATGAATATTGTTCAGTTTTACAGAAAATCATTATACTCCATTGCGCAGCAGGAATAGTCATTTGACGAATCACGCTCAGAAGTCAACAGATTTGCATAACTGCGGAAACGAAAACCTGGAAGCTCCTGGCCAAAACGGCACGTTCCCTGTCGTTGTATTGATTGGAAATCACGTAGGGAATGCGTCCGTTCGGCCATTTTCTCGTTCCCGTGATCACTCCGTTCCGACGCAGATTCTCAGCGTTCTTCTGGTCCTGAAAGTTAAAATTGTACCTGGTCTATTCGAGTTTTTATTGGTTTCAACAGTTCATAGACACTTTTTCAGATTAAAATTCAAGAATTGACAAAGTTACCCAACAAAAGTGTCGAGCGGTTTCAAATTGACGTCTGTTTATCTAAACAAATCCAAAAAAATCGGCCCCTTTGTCTGTTTTCCGCATTTTTTTCAAAAAAAAAAGAAGAAGAGGGGGGCGCCTAAACCAGTGGTAACCGGTTTCCCGGGGTATAAACGTCAGTTTGTCTGGTTGCGAGTGACAATGATATTGTACACTCACATTTCGGCCGAATGATGTACTTGTGTGTCAAATGAGTGAAAGTATTTGAATGTTGTGAAATAGAAGTTTGCAACAAAAAAAGAGGGCCGTGAAATTGGCGTTGTTTCGCGTCATTTTAGGGGTTAGAAATGAACTCAATAAAAAATGTGTTTCAAAGTGTTCATAATGTCGAGATGGTTTTCAGAACGTTTACTTCATAAGGATTTCATACACAATGTGAAACAGATATTGTAGAGTAAAAAAAAACTGAAAACGTACCAATTTCCAGGCGGCCTTTCCGCGAATGTCCCCCTTTTTGAACACTTGTCTCCACAGAATCGATCCGGCCGCCACGTCGTCCTCCCGCAATTTCTCGCCGTTTCTAAAATCCGTCTCCGTCAAAAATGTTTCGTCGTCTGCAAAGATGAGCAGATGAGCATAACGAAAAAAGCAGGAAAATGGCCCCCCCCCATTCCGTTTTCTGAACTTTTTCTGTCTGTTTCTGAGGCTATTGAAACCCAATATAGTGTTGAAAAAGTGGAGGAACAAACAGAAATGCGGGAGGAGCAAACAGCGGCCGAAAATCAAACAAAACAAGTGTTAATTGGGGGGCTCAATGAGTCCGTCTTCGGCCTTTTTCCGGTCGAGACACTGAACAGGACAATAGTTTGGAATTGGAGACGAAAAAGAGGAGAGAGGCCGGGCGGCGAAGAGGATAATATTCATAATATCCGGAAGTTTGTCTACAGATCCCATTTCATTTCATGTTTTCATGATCTTTAGGGGTTACTATCACTATTTCAATGTGTCGTTGTAACTTTTTTAGTCAAATTATTGGTTACGATCTCAAAGTCAAGGATTACTGTAGTTTGGGAGAGAGACAAGAAATGGGGGAAGATTACGGTTTCAAAAAGTTTTTTTTCTAGACCCCCCACTTGGTCTATCCGAAAAATTTATCGTTATTTTCACTTGTCTATCGACTACTGACTACTCATGTGCACTTTCTTTTCAGAACATTGTGAAACGTCATACTTTGTTTTTCGGCTTGCTTTTAAAATAAAAAAATCTCACCGTTAAGTGGCCTCAAAAAGTCGTCATCGGTGAGGAATGTTTCACTGGAAGTGGATGGTGGCAAGGCTACGTCTTCTGCAATCCATTTCTGTATTAAACAGTTGTTTAAAGGGTATCGTGCACTAAAAAAAAGTAACATATTTTTAAAGAGAAGAACATTCATGCTTCCAAAGTCTCGAATTCCTGGAATTTTGGCAGATTATCGATTTTTTGTGCGGCACTCGGATATCTCGGGTTTTTTGTGTCCTATTCATGCCCCGAAGCGTCGTCTTCCGTCAGCTCCTCGAGCACGACTCCTTGCGCCAGTCCACTCGTCGACCTCGAGCGAATTTCCCATTTCTGATGCGTCCGGGCACGCGTTAAGCAACGTTCGAGGACACCAAAACGAGATTTGGCGGCCAGCGGACTAGAAAACTCCACTCGCCGTGTACTTCTCGTGGACGAACATGAATGCGCCACTTTAATCTTCTTTTTTGAAAAATATGTCACTCCTATCTTGTTTCATTCAATTTTCATTGAAAAAAACAACTCACCACTGGCATAGGTGCATGGAATATGAACGGAAAAAAGTGCAAGAAAAATGGGTAGATGATAGTTCAGCTCATTTCTGCGCATCTCGTGTTTCCGTCGACTCTCTTCGCATTCCGATGCGTCCCTCCTGAAAAGAACAGAGAAGAAAAGGGTGAAACGGCGGGGAAAATACGATTTTCGAGTAGAAAAATGAGTCAGAAACCATGAGAAACCCCTAGAAAATGTGGGAAATCCCCGAGAACCATAGGGTACACAGTAACCGGCAGGAGCAATAAAACAACAGTCTGGGGATGGCAAATGCGCTCGGCAGCGTTCTGCTTGCACAAAGTCTCTCTCTCTCTCTCTTTCCCTCTCTCTCTCTCTCTCTTTCTCTCTCTCTCTCTCTTTCCGGTTCAGCGGGCGGGGCTTGTGTCGCGGCGCCCGTTTTTTGAGGTGACAGCCGGCAGAACCGGTCCCCGGACCGCACGTATTTACACGTGGTGACGCGGCGGACGACGAAAAAATGGGGGGAGAGAAGAGCCGATTAAGTCTCGATTTGAATGCGAAAAAGAAGCGGTCTGGCCACTGAGACTGGAGAAAAAAGTACCCTTACCGAGAGACTAGAACGGTCCCCGTGATACCGTTCCTTCAAGGCCATGTATCTCAGCTGTCGGTGGAGATGTCAAAAAGTGGTCAACTGAAAAAATGTGCACAATTTTTTAACGAACATTTTATTAGTGGCCAACTTTTTGATATCTCCACCCGCAGCTGAGCTATATTAATTTGATTAGAGGGTTCTAACTGATGTGAGACTAATTTGAGACAAATCGAATGTGAATATTGTACTGTTAAATGTAGACGATATGAAACTGCTTTTTCTATATTTTTTTTAGCTTCACATGTGAAAATGCGTATTTTTCGATGTTTTCAAACTTGGCGATGCTTCTGAAACAAACAGAACTTAGTGACTGTAAAAATGTGTCTGAAATGTTGATGCAAGTCTGAAACAGGTTTTTCTTCCCAGTTTCCGGATTCTAAACGTTTGAAAAGTCCTAAATGATTAAAAATGCACTCACAATTTTAGTTCCAAAATTGAAGAGCTACAATAACGAGCTGACTATCAGAGACAGTCTGAAACTGTGTTTTTCTTCTAAATTTGCACGTTTCAATTGAATTTAATCAATTTAAATTCGACACTTCCATTCATAGATTTCCCCTTTTCAAAACCATGTTTTCCGTCTGAAAATGCTCAAAGTTCAGAAATGGAAAAAACGGGGAGGAAATTCAATGAAATTCAATGAATTTTGTCGAGTATCACCCGTGGTTCCGTTGCCTCCTTAACCAAATTTCTCTCGAAATCTGTGTCCTTTGGACCCCGTCAATACTAAATAACGAAAGTAACCAAAAGCGCGCCAACAACAGGCGACTGACGCATTTGTAGTGCCAAACGGGCGCCAAGTTTACGATAAAACTGTTCCCTCTTGTGGCGGTGTATAAAATTCAGTGTTGGAACAGAGAAAGGTGTTATCCGTGCAAAAACGACAAAGAATTTTATTGCTAGTAGTGGTACTTTCCGATTTCCACACTCTTCTGCACACTCTGAAACTGTAAATCTCTGGAAAAAACGGGTCTGCTCTCAAGATAGATAATGTCATTTTTCAGCGATATTTTATTGAAAGTGTGGAGGCCACGCCCCTTTTTAGAGTCAATTCTGACTATGATATGGCATCATGTAATGAGATACTCTAGTTAGTTTTCAGATTTTCATCACAATCTGAAAATGTGTTTTTTTTTTTGGAAAAACCCTGAAATGAAATCATTGGGGGTGTGCGGAAAATTTTTTTCGGAAAATTTCGGAAAATCGGTTTTTCCGAATTTTTTTTTTTGGAAAATTTCGTAAAAATCGGAAAAATCGGAAAACTCACTTGTTCATTGGTTCAATAAAGTGTTTAAACAACGTTCTAATACAAAAAAATGCTTATTATGATTTGAAATCACTTGAGTGGGCGGAAGCCAAGCAATGGAATATTTTTTTGCAAAAAAATTAGCCGAGAGAAGCTCTCCGGGTCCAGTGTTTTCCGATTGTCAGTGAGAATGAGACGCGCGGTTGAAAAGAGTCGCTCCGTTTCTGCAGTCGTTGCGGGAGTACAGAAAAAAAAAAACGGTGGTTTCGGACAAATTGACCTTGAATCCACGCTAATTTTCCGAAAATTTTGCCGAAAATTTTCGGAAAATTGTCCGTCGGAAAATTTTCCGAAAATTTCTCGGAAAATCGGAAAATTTCGGAAAATCGAAATATTTTCCGCACACCCCTGATTGGCATTAGTTAGGCTGGTCGAACAGGCGAAAAAAGTTGAAAAAAGAGGCGCCTGTTCGACTAGCTTATTTGTCATAATTGAAGTTTGAGAAAAGCTTCTAGAATTTGAGTCACGTCTGAAACAGTAACACAGTTTTTAGAAAATCGTTTTTTTTTTTCAAAAAAAAAACCGAGAGACACCTACGAGCGCTGAAAATGACGGAAATCGTTTGGGGAACAGGAGTAGAATGTGATAGCTGTCGGAAAAAATTTTCAGAAATTATTATAGAGTCACAAAGGAAACAGACGTCAACCGACGTACCCCCGGATCTTTTTTTATTGCAAAGAAGGATGTCTGCAAAGGAATCGGTCATGGAATGATGTTTGTTATCACCCGAACACTTTGCCCGTCTATTTGCTCACAATTGTCTCTTTTTCGGAGTGAAAAACGGAAAAAGATGGTCAAGGACACAAATCAGTGTATTTTGAGCCCTCCTCAACACGGATTCGGACTTTGAGGGACCGAAGGTTACAGGACAATATTGCTTTGAAAGAACTTTTCCGTTCCACATGCTCTTTGTGATTTTGAAAAAGTTTCGTACGGTTTATTCTCATGCCTTTACAAGTGCAATACCAGAATTCGATACGATTTTTCGACGAGACTCTTCTTTTGATATATTTATCAATAGATTGTGGATCGGTTACACGATGACTCAACGTAAATTAAATTTCAAGTTTTCTTATACTGCGGCCACAAAACTGTGATAACTATTTCAGGAAAAAGTGCTATGAAAAAGTTGTCAACTGAAAAATTGATGCTTTAGGTACGGACAATATTCCGAATTCTTTCTAGGCTGCTCTAATATCTTATTCACTGAATGTGTGCCATGCACTGAGAGATGAACACTTTTCGACTGGCTTCTATTCAAAACGTTATATCTTCTCTGCCGGTAGAGCCATCAAAAAGTTGTCAACTGATAAAATGTTCGCCAATTCATTTTGTACATTTTTTCAGTTGAGTATTTTTCAATATCTCCACCAACAGCCGAGATACAACGCTTCAAAGTGATCGAACAACTTTTGCCCACATCATTGATGATCGGTTATTGTCGATTCCACAGAACCGCGACACAATTGTGCTCGTGTTTGTGCACTTTCGACCAAAAAATCACACTCACCGCGTGTTTGTCCTTCTCTTTTTCCCGCGCTCATCACCACAACCCAGAACCACTAGGCGGAAGTACGGAAAGGCGGAAAACGGGGGGAAATGGGAATGGCAGAACACTTTTCCAGTGTTTGGCAACCGAATTGCGGGCGCACGGAACAGAAAGAACACACGTTTTCCAGGGAAAGTCCAAATGCAAGTGTATGACATTGAAGGAAACTCACAGTTACTCGAATTATGCGAAAATCTTGAAACGGTCAATGAAATTTCAAGCGAAAACCTTAGAATTTACTTTAAAAAAGGATTTCCAATAAAATATCTCTGAAAAATAACATTATCTTGAGAACAGACCTTTTTTTTCAAAGATTTACAGTTTCAGACTGAGCACAAAGCTGGAATTTTTAATTTCTAAAAGTTTAGTCGACATTGTTGCCGAAATTCGAAAAATGCAAAAGAAATCCCTGTTTTAGACTGTCTTTAACCAATTGGCAGGCAATTTTCGGTAACGGTTCGGCATGAAAGCAGCAGTTTGCCCCGAGAAACGGCAAATTTGCCGAAAGCATGAATCGGCAAGGGGACGGCATCAACTTGAATGGAAAAATGCGAATTCAGGAGACAAACACAGTTTCAGACTGTCCACGAGAACGCTATTGTACTCTTCTTGGTATTCTGTGACTCACAGTGAAAGAAAGTCTGACTGAACTTGTCTAGTAAAATAAACGCTCGCGCAAGAATTGACTACAAAAAAAGGCATAATCTAGAAGAAGACATGTTGAAACACAAATGATTTTTTCCCACTTTCAGAATAAAATCGTATTTTACAACTCGATAATCAGCCAATAAGAGGAAGCATGACAAAATAATGAACAGATCGATGTTGATTTTGTATAAATTCAGTATTGCCTTTTGTAAAATATCATCAAAACTTTTGCAAAAAGTATATGATCGCATTGAAACATGAACTAAGTGCTGTTTCAGACTGTTTATTTGTCACAAAACAACGGAAATCATCTGATCGATATAAATTACGTACGGTATACGGTCTCCAGAGCTGAATGGCGTTTTCATGAATTGAGCAGGTTTTCTCTGATTTTTGTGGTCAACGGCGATGAAAAATGATTGTTCGACATGAAAACACACTAATTCTCACAGAATTAATGGCGTTTTGGCGCATTTTTCGCGGACTTTGCTTTTTCGCCTTCGCCGCCTAAAAACCGCACTTCTCATTTTGCGTTTTATTGACCGTTTTCCGACAGAATTGGTTTTGAGAATGATAAATCACGTAAATACAAGCATTTTGAGCGCTCGAACCGCGAAAACTACCGAAAAGCAACTGAAATTCACGCATTTTTAGCCGAAAACCTTCAAACGGATAAATGTGATTTGCGACTTGACCAAATTTAACGCTCTTGCGCTTAAAAAATTCGTAATAGCCTATACAATCGGTCTATCGAGAGACAAATGAGAAATTATCGGTTTTTCGTGGCTAATCTGGCAAAAAACACAAGATTTGCTGTTAAAATTTGAATTTCGCGCCAATGTATCGCTCTATTGGGCGGGGCGTATTAGCGCCCATTGTCAGCTCTGGAGAAAGCAGCTCCAGCAAGAATTGACTACAAAAAAAGGCACAATCTAGAAGAGGACATGTTGAAACACTAATGAATTTTTTCCACTTTTCAGGATAAAACCGTATTTTACATCTCGATGGTCAGCCAATAAGAGGAAGCATGACAAAATAAGGAACAGATCGATGTTGATTTTGTATAAATTCAGTAATGCTCTTTGTAAAATATCATCAAAACTTTTGCAAAAAGTATATGGTCGCCTTGAAACAGGAACTGAAAAAGTGCTGTTTCAGACTGCGTATTTGTCACAAAACAACGGAAATCATCTGATTGGTAGTACCACTATTTTTTCCCCACTATTTTTTCTTCATGATCCTTCCTGTCGGCCCGCCGGCAACGTCTTCAGGTACATTGCCCTTGATGAACTGAACCTCAAATCACTGTAAATCTCCAGAATCGGTCTGAAACTTTAAAAGACTAGTGGTCCGAAAGAGAAGCACTGTCGGCGCATTTTCAGCGTTTCAAACTCATTATTTCGTTTGAAACAACCAATGATCGTCAGTAACACGAATAATAATTCTCGTCAAAACTTTATCGCAGAGTTCTTCATTCACAATCGACTATTTCTCGCCGCCCGTGTCCTCCATCGGCTGCGCGTTCTCCTCGAAATCGTCGTTGTGCGCCGGCAGACTTATCAGACTCACTATCGAGATTTTGCCCTTCGCCGAAATTTTTATCATTGCTCCATTGTTCTGTTTGTGCCTATAATTGCTGGCCGTGAATATTGTCACCAACATTTTGTCGGCAAAGAATCGAAACCCGAAAGGCACCATCTGAAATTGCAGTTCTACAGTAGCCCCTCCCGGCCTACAGTAATCCCTTACCAAATGGCTTCGAATGATCATTTTAAGGCCCAATCGATTGCAGAATTCTTTGACGGCCGCCTCGTTGTAGAACACCGACACGTGGCGCAAATCGTTCATTTCGTACTTGGGCTTACTGTAAGGCATACTGTACTTTCTACAGTAGTCCAAAAGTACAGTAACCTGGAGGGCACGTGGATGAAATCATAGTCCAAAGTGTCCGACCAAATGAGATCGGTGGCCAGCGGATCGTCGAGCGGGTTCATGAGAGGACGTTTGATCTGGAAAGGAAAAGGGTTACTGTAGTTTGATGTCTCTTTTAGCCTACAGTACCCCTACAGTACTCTCCTCATTCCTACCGTACACCTACAGTACCCCTACCGTACCATTCTGACGTCATCGAACGTCTTGAAATGCGGCGAAATTCCCCCGTGCACGCACAAAATTCGCGTGCCGACAATCGCGATGAGCGGCATCCACGAGAACGTTTCGTTGAACTTGCGCCACAGTTTTTCCGCGTTTCCCTCCGCCTTGTAGTACATTTCCAGTTGGTGCTGAAATCTTTGAAAAGCATTTGGGCATCGTCTGGGGCCTCTAAAAATCACTCATCTTTGGACACTCATATCACGAGATTCAATGATTTTTTCAAAAAGTGGTTAACAGAAAAGTTGTTGCAAATTTTGTGCTCTACAACTTTTTAGTTGATCATTTTATTCCAAAACCCGTCATTCTTGAGTTATGGTTCAGTTTCTGAACAGTAGGGCGATGAGAAAGCGACGAAACAAAAAAACCAGACGAAAAATTAGTGGAATGAGCACAAAGTGACAGGGCTTTTTTGAGACGGACTCACAAAGAATGTCAGATTGTTTGATGGGCATTCAGTGGATCCGCGCAACAGAATGTAGCTGTTCGGTTTCGCCAACTGAAAGTATTTCCAATTGGACAATATCGGGGAGACTCGAACAACTTTGAGGGCGAAAAGGAGACAGATCACCTCGAGCGGACGGCGTTCGTTGTGCAGATAGTCGCCCAGAAACACGTACCTGACACGTTTTTTTTCGCAAATTTTCTGTTTTAACTATTTCTCTTTTCTAATGGCTTCTTGAAACATAAATGTGTTCCCTATATTGTCCATTCAAAGTAATACATCTCAGCGGCTATTTTAGATATCAAAAAGTTGTCAACTGATTAAATGTTCATCAATAAATTCTGTACATTTTCTCAGTTGACAACTCTTTGCTATCTCTGCCCACAACTGAGATCCATTGGTTTGAATAAATGACATTTTTGAACTTCCACTAAAAGCATCGAAATTGCCTTCTAAACGACCACAATGTTTATGTTACCTCTGCGAGGCGAACGGCTGTCTCCTCCGCTTTCCCCTGTCCACGTCCTTCCGATCCTCCCTCATTTCGTCGGCCGTTCTGGCCATGAGCGCCCGTACGAGGTCCGTCAGATGTCCGTGCAGGTCTCCGATCACATTCGTCGCGCCGCCCACCTCCACCACGTTGTCCTCCGATTTGAACACGTCCGTCATGGCGCTGCACAACTGCCACACCTCTTCCGAACTGATGTTCGTCTGAAGTTAACGGTTTCGCGGGCGGTTCCCACTGGTTTTACCGGCTTCCGATCGGTGCTACAGTTCGCGGGATTCAAAAGTCGCTCAATGATCAGGTACACGTCCAACTCTTTCTTTTTTCCCGTCGTTTCTGTCGACGTCTCAGTCTTTGTTTTTGCCGATTTCTGACCGGTATTTCACACTTTTCGAGTGAAAAGTAACCCAAACTCACATTTTTCGCAGTTTTATCCACCATTTTTCGAGAAATTCTCAAAATTCCACTAAGAAAGCGATCACAAGTGTTTCAGGGCTAGTTCACGGTCTGCGCAATCAAAACAACAACACAACTTTATTCATGGTACATGATTCAAACGAAAAAATAAATAAATGGGTGCGTGAGCACAATAAACGAGTAAAATGAAAATGCTTCTTCTTCTATTTTTTGGCCTGGGACCACTTCCAGACGTCCGGCCGCTCCGCTCCCTTTCCGACGCGTGCGAGCACTTCCGACGGTCGCACCCACTCGTACCGCCCGTCGATCGGACCGCTGCCGACTAGCGGATCGACCGTCAGTCTCGCGAACATCTTCTCGTCGGCCCTCTTCTTCTCCTTCTCCAAATACTTCCTCTTCGGTCGGTTCTTGTCCCGTGGCGCGTCGCCCACTCTCAACGGCTTCCGACGGATCGCCACTCCGTTTCGGTACGGCGACCGCTCGTCCATTTGTTCGCTTTTCGTGCGCGCCTCGAACACGTCCTGCTCTTTGCGCGCGAGTTTCGCTATGTTCCGCTTCTCCTGGTTGCGGTGGCGCAGGTATTCGACCATAAAGTGGAAGCGACGGTAGCGGCTCACTTCCCAGTCGTAGTTGAATGGCCAGATGGCCGCCTCTCTCGCCCAATCCTCCTCGAGTATTCCGACGAGACAGTCCTCCCAGATCTCCGCGCGCACGTCCATGTTCAGTCGGTACAGCTCGCCAACCTTCGGGAACCACTGAAATGAGACACATTTCGCAACCGGAATTGCTCGAAAGAAACTGACGCGGAACAAGAGTTCGTAGTGGATCATTCTCCAAATGTAAATCTGATTCTCGACGACGATCGCGCACCGCTTCGTCTGCCGTCCCCCGTGCACCATCGCGTGGATCGAGATGTCGTCGTCCAGCCGGCACAGGATCGCCGCCATCAGCGCGAGGATCAGCGTCATCGCGCGTCCCGACCCGTGCAGACTCATCACCACCGTCGGCGCCAGCTTCGAATACTCGTTGATGCGCTCGCAAATGTCCACGTAGTGCATCCAGTCGAGCGGCATGTGGTCCTGGTCCCAGTCGAGCATCTTCAGCATTCGGAACTTTTTCGTCTTGATTCGCTGCTTGTTGCTGTAAATAGAGATAAAGTTTGGAGTATACAAGAGCGTTTTATCGCACTGTTAGAGAAAGGTTCAAAATTTCTTTAATTATTATAAATTTTGAGTCGTCAGCGACCTTTTCTTGAATACAGCACTTTTTTCCTAATTTTTTTGTCAGAAGCGAGGAAAAGTGATACTGTGGCATGAATACACAAGAGCTCCTGGAATGCTTGACGTTTCGGCATAGATGTTGGACCAAAAAAGGAGTTCAACGACTGAACACTCAAGAATTGCACTTTTTCAGCACAAAAATCACATGAAAAAACCATCTAGAAACCTGCCATCTCGTGAATTTCCCATAAAAACCCACTGAATGAGGGTCACTTTGAACGTGCGCTCGATTCCGTTTCGTTTGTAGACGGCAACGCACGAGGTGCAGACGATCTCGTACTCGCGGTACTGATTGCGATGGCATCGGAGACGTTCGCCGACTCGAAGTGGATACCACACCGGGCACACCATTATGTGTCCTGAAAGGGGCATTCGAGTGCAAAAGAACTGAAAAGAAATGGACAAACTCTCGAGAAACTGATTGAGGACCACCATGAACGGCACGTTGTTCTCGTAGATCCAGTGCCAGAGCAGTCCGATCGTGCACTTGAACATCGGCGCCGACGCCTCGATGATCTTGTTCGTGTACTTGTGCAGCACCTTCTCGTAGAGCGTCTTGTACGGGTGCACGTAGCCCGCGTCGTAGAAGTCGCAGTCGTCGAACGAGTCGGTGGAGAAGCGCACGCGGCACCAGTCGTGCGTGAATCGATGCGAGTGGTTGCGGTAGAGGTGCTCCCAGTAGTCGTGGCGCTCCGACAGAATGTAGTTGTCGATGGCGTCGATCGACGGCCACACGTACTTCACGTTCATCAGCTCCGCGTCCGGATCCTTGTGGTACGACTCGCTCACGTACTTCATAACGTTCTCCTCTGGAGTCCGCTTCGCCTTCTCCGCCTCGTACTTGGCCTGCTCGACCTCCTGCTTCGCCAGCATCTCCTGATCGCGCATCTTGTACGCAATGTTCTTTAGTTTGATCTCCGCTTTTGTCCGGTCAAAGTAGTGCTGCCACTTCTCGTTCATCTCGATAATCTTCAGATGTCGCACCTTCGCCTCCGCCTTCGCAATCCGCTCCTCCAGCTCCAGTTTGTACACTTGCGCCCGCCGATGCCACTGTTCGTAGTGCTGTTGGGAGAGGAATCCGCGATGGCGGAGGATGTGCGTCTTCGCCCAGAACGGCATCGCGCGGTGCTTCCAAAAGTCGCGCACCTCGTGGTAGTCCGTCTCGAAGGCTCCGTCGCGATCGTAGTCGCTGTCCGCCGTCACGTCGCTCACGTTGTCGTCCATGTAGACGGTGCTGGCCGACTGCGTCGACAGCGTGTCCGTTCCGATCGAGCGGAGATCGCCGGATCCGAACGAGCGCGGCGGGTATGCGTCGTCCTTTTTCGTGTCGCTAAACGGAATCCACGTCCAGTGCGACTCCTCCTCCTTCGCCAGTTCGTCGCCGTCGTCGTCGATCGGCGCGTCGTGCCAGCAGAATTGCAGCCAGTCGCCGCCCGCCTCGGCTCCCTCTCTCGTCTGCTCATTCTCCATTTTAATCACTTTCACTTCCGACTTCTTCGGCGTTTCCGGCGTCGAACGAGCAAACTGGACATCTTTCGTTGGTTCTTGCGCTTCTTCGGTCGTCGTCGTTTTGTCCTTTTTGCGCAAAACCTTCGTCGTCTCAATTTTCACCAGTTTCTCTTGCATCCGCTCCCATCGTCGTCGGTTTTTCCATTTCGTCACGTATCCGTACGTGACGCACTTTCCGCAGCAGAGCCAAATGCATAAGGTGATGAAGAGGACGGGGCTCACCCTGAAAAATGGGGCGTTTTGTGAGCGGCATTTCATATTTCGGAGAAAAGTTCAAAACTATCAAAATCGTGTAAAAAGAACTCACATAGCCGGGTAGATACTCGAACCGTTGAACATTCCAAAGAACTCGTCGAGGAACGGTTCGGCCTCGTCCACAAACGGCGGCAGTGCTCCCTTCGTCCGCATCCGCGCGTACTTCATATCGAGATTGTAGGCCGCATAGTAGGCCAGCCGTTCCACACTGTTTGACGTATCGTTCAGCACGTCACGCGACACGTTCAACAGCGTTCCAATGAAGTTCGCATTCAGCAGGAGCGGCGGAATGACGACCGCGTCGAGCGCATCAAAGAATTGATTGAGGTCGGTGAGCGATTCCGTCTTCCATCCCGAACTCTTCTCCATCAGCGCCTTGATCTGCTTCTCGAGCGAATTGACCGCCGCCACCACCTCCGCCGCGTTCGTCCATCCTTCATGTCGGCCCGCCGGCAACGTCTTCAGGTACACATCCACTGCCTTCGCATTGTCCTTGATGAACTGAACCTCTTTGGGATTGCTGACAAAGTTTGCGAACGTGGCGAGCATCTGAGACGAGTAGTACAGCTGGGCGACTGTTTTCTGATCGACCGCCAACTTCTTCAGGTGTTCCGCCTCTGGCGGAGGGGAAGTCTCCGTGTAGTCGGTCGCATTGACGAGATTCTTGATTCCCTCCACGAGCCTAAGATTCGCATCGACTCCCGCTTCTCGCTTCCGACGCCATTCTATCTTGCCTTTGGCGAGTTTGAGCACTTCCGTCACGAGTTTCACATCCTCCGACGCCTTGTGCACGTTGGACACAAACTTGTCGTGCGTCGTCTTCACTAGTATCACCCATTTCGCTCCCTCGAATATCGAATTACTCACTGCCTGCAGTTTGTTGGCCATATTCTTCCACTCCTCCACTATTCCGAGCAATCGTTGCGCTTCTTTCGCTAGTTGTGCAGTGTTTCTGTGGCACTGATTGAAGTAATTGTCTTTTCGCAGCCCTTTTAACGCCATCGAATCGTTCGCTTCATTCGACAGTCTTGTGTATAGCTCATCCCACGAAGCCTTATTGATCGCCGCCAGATTTCCTTTGAGCGCATCGACGTCATCGCAGAACGTGACAATTCCCGCGATTTGTTTTAAGTGCTTATCGAGCGTATGAATGGCGGAGCTATTCGAAAACTTTCCGACCGTCACTCGCGGCTCCATCAGCTTCAACAGCCTCTCCATCGACGCCAAGACGCTCGATCCTTTCGTCACACTGATATTGTTGAGTCCTCGGAGCAGTTCCTCGTCGTCCTCGAGCTCCATCGCCATTCTCAGATTCATCGGCGCCTTCCACGAGATTCTCACGAGCTCCACCCCGACCGCCACATGGTCAACCGGCAGAATACCTTTCATCAGAGCCGTCAGATTGTTTCCATTGTTGAGAACATCCTTCAACCACGGAGCCTTCAGATCGGAGAGCAGAAGATACCAGTCGGCGAGTCCATTCGGGAAGGCGATCAGATGATGCGTGCCGGACGGGATCTTGGCAGTTTTGAGGAAGGCGGAGAGGGCGGTCACCGTCTTCAGAAGGCCTTCGTTTTTGGTTTTGTCGAACGACGAGTCCAAAACGGCGGCGAGAGCGCGCCATTCGCCGAAATCCTTTTGCAGTCTCATCAGTTCGTCCACGTAAGTCTCGCTCTCGTTCACCGCCTTCACAAAAGCTTTCAGAGTACTGTTCGATTGTTCGCCCGCTTTTCTCAATTCGGTGCACGTGAAGTTCCCGAGAGTTGAAGTCCACTCATTCACCGAGTCAAAATGGGCATCGACACCACGTAAAGCCGCCAGAAAATCATCAAGGCCACTGAACGGAGTTTTGCGGGTGTAGAACGCCTCGAGTGCCTGGTGCATATTATTCAGCGACTCCGGATCCAGTGGCGGCAGTGTGGCATCTTTTACCAAGCTTATCGCTTTCAACACCACATTAGGTGGAAGAATTTGCGGTCGATTGCCCGCCCCCGCCGTCAACTCGATCAATGTGGCGACCGTTTCGTTCGAGGATCCTTTGAAGTAGAGCTTTCCGATCTTCTTCACCTCTTTCAGATCCTTCTCCAGGTTCACCTTTTGCAGCGTCTCGATAATCGACATATTTCTGAATCCGCCTCCTTCCTCCGCAATCATCTTCGCGAAAGAGGCGTTTTTGGAGAGGGTGTTCTGCAGGTAGATCACATTCATCACTTGTGCCACGATCAAAGTCTCGGCCGCCAGTTGCGAGAAGTTCTTCGACGTCGCCGCCGCATCTGAAATGAAGGCGTTCCCGTTTTCACAGTGCTTCGAGCAGACTTACTCTCTCCGGCTCGTCGTGCCCGATAGTCGACCAGATCCGAGATTCCGACACCTTCGCTGACCGTAATCAAGCACGAAAGGAGGAGGGCGACTCCGATCACTCCGAACCACTTCTCCGAGAGTGAGGCCATGAATCCACGTCGGCGATCTCTCCGAGGCACCGGTTCGAGGGGGGTCTTCTCGTCGTCGGCAATCTCCTCCTCACTCTCAATCTCTTCCCCAGATTCGCTCATCTCGATGACTTCGCGAGGCTGGTGCTTCTCAACGTGATCGCCCGTCTCTTCCGCATGATTGTCGGCTTTGTCCTGTTTGTACGCGTCGAGCTTCATCTCGAAGTGCTCCAGGAACGTCGTGCACGGTTCGTAGTCTCCCCCTTCAGACGTCGTCGAATCGGCCGTCGGCACGTAGAGGAAGTGGCCCTCCTGCTCGGTCCAACTGTCCGGGAACGCCATCTCCAACGGTTCGGCACTCGCGTCCGTCCAATTCGATTCTTCCGAACAATCGGTGGCCGGCGGGGTCGCTTCCGCCGGAATAAGAGGCATCTGTTCTTCATCGACTACCGCCACTTTCACCTGTTCCACCGGCTTCTGCTCCGTCACCTTTTTCGCTCGTCGAACTTTGACGGTTCGCTTCCGAAACACCTTCTTTTTCAGCCCATTGTTCGAGTCGACCGACGAATCCGAATCAAAATTGAGGCGGCGCACGTCCATTTCCTCTCCGATCAGCGGCAGCTCAAGCGCGTTTACAGGCGGTCCGACGGGCACTTTTTCGACGATCGGCCACGGTCGTGTCACTTTGCGACGTCTCGGCCGGTGCTCCCGCCACTCGCGGTACTCCTCGGCCGCCCGCTTCGTCTTCATGAACTCTGCGAGCTCTGAAAATCGAAAAAATTAGGCTGAAGAATGTTGTTTGGATTAAACGGACCGTCGGGCCGATCGGAGTCCGTCAGTTTGTAAGTCGGTCTGTCGAGCGCTGCCAACTCATCCTCGTCGGCCGACGGCAGAGTCACTTCGGACTTGGTGTCCGAGAAGAACTCTTCGTCGCTGACGACGAACATGAACTCGTCCTGCGTGCGGGTGCGATGGGTGCGGCGGACGGGCTCGATGAACTTCTTGAACGGTTCCTTCTCTTCGAGAATCTTGTAATCCGAGTCGTCGGTGGCTGAAAATGAGCGTTTTGTGTCGCCAAAGATAAGTGCTACTCACGGATGGCGTCTTCTTCGTTGACAACGAATCCGCCGTTCTCGCAAATCTCCTTCGTCGGATCGCAGAGACAACGCGACAGACGCGGAAAGACGGGCGGCACGAACCGCTCGCGCGTCTCCTCCACATCGTACTCACCAATATCGACGCCTTTCTCTTCGAGCATCCGGACACGTCTCGCATTGAACTCGGCATGACTCTTCCGTTCGAACGCCTTCCACGCCCGCCAGCACTTGACACGAGCTCTCTCGTTCAGATAGTCGTTCACGATCCACGCCTCCTCGCAGGGAGTCGCCGCGATCTCCGGCTTCGGCTCTTCCGCGTCCATTCCCGTCACCCACAATCCGTTGATCGCATCCGCTTCGAGAACGGTCACCGGTGGCTCGGGCATGTACGTTTCTCTCCGTTTCTCGTCGAGCTTTTCGACGTAGGCTTTGAAGCGACGAAAGTTGGTGAGACGACGAGCGATGAAGCGCTTCTCGACGCGCGACTGCACTTCTCCGACGATCTTCGCATATTCGTGTTCGCTAAGCTCATCCTCCGACGGCTCCCACTCCGAGTGCGTCTGCAGGGCCAGCGCCTCCACCTCGTCCAGTTCGTAGGGCTCCATCGGCGCGAGTCCCTTCAACTGGCGGAGCTTCCGTTTCAGCGCCTTCTCCCGTCTCGCCAGCATCAGACAGTTGGCAATCTGGTACTTTTCGGTCATCGCGTGCAGCAGCTCCTTGTCGTACCGCGGGTGCGGCCCCTTCATTCCGTCCTCTCGCATCTGCCACTCGCGGATTTCCTCGACAATCTTCTCGTTGCGGGCCATCTCTTCGTCAGTGTCCGGGTCGTTCGGCGCCTCCACGAGTCGATCCTGCCCAATCTTCTTCAGATTTCTCTCCGCTTGGAGCGGTTCGACACGCGTGGGTGGTTCTGAATGAGAAACGACAATGATACGCTTAGTCATGGCAATTTATCTCAGCGAGAGATATCAAAAAGTAGTCAACTAATAAAATGTTCGTACTGTTTCAATGAACAATTTATCCGTTGACAACTTTTTGACATCCTCGCCGGTAGCTGGGATAAATCGTCTCAAATGAATAAATTTTATTGAAAGTTTTGGCAATTCCTCACCAAAAGTCGGCGTCCCGTCCACCCCGGCCACCATTCGCTCCGTGCTCTTCGCCACGACCGTCTCGAGCTCCAACGCCGCCAGATTCACGTCGAAAAGCATTTTCTTCAGCGATCGCACCTCGTCAAAACCCTGCGGCTTCTGTTCGGGCAGCTCCTCGTGAATTCCGCACAATTTCTCGAAATCCACTGACGTCGCGGCTGAAATTATATAATTTCTAGTCAATGAGTACTTTTTGGGCATTTTCTGTTCAATGTACTTTTCAAGTAATTGAAGGGCTCAGATTGCGCACCGAGAAGTTTCGACCCATTTTCCATGACCGGATCATCTGAAATTCGAGAAAATCACAGACGAAACTTTGTGTTTTTTACCTTCGCTCTCAAATTCCACCAAAATCGCCGCTTTTACGCCTGAAAAACTTAAATGTTTCTCCACTTTTCCAATTATTTTACCCTCCGGCGGTTCATCTCGATCGGGCGGACGGGCGGTCCCTCCGTACTCGTTAAAAACGTTCGTCGTGTTGCTCATAATTCGCTGAAAATCGGCTGGAATTGACTGAAAAATGAGGTCTTTTGCGTACCTTGATCCGATGAAAACGTTTTTCTTGTCAGTCAAGAGTCGTTGATGAATGACGACGTGGCAAATCGGGCGGCGATCAGACGGAACGGGTGGCATTCGCGACACGGGTTTTCACGTCCAATTTTTTTGATTGATTAATTTTTCGGTGGTTTTTCGGGAAGTTTTTGGGGGGGGTTGGGGAGTTTTTTTGCACGATTTTCAATGGTTGTTTTTAATTTTCGGTGTTAGAGTCTTTAATCATTTTTCTTGGGTTGTAGGGGATTTTGGTATTTGTAACTTCTTACAAAGTTACGGATATAGAAAACAATGAGGCATTTCACTAAAAAATTCATGTGCATACACACACACGTGTGTGAGATATTTAGGCCATCGGAGAAGAGCGTAAAAAGAAACACGAGTCCAGTACAACATTTTTCCCAAAAATCACTTTTATGGGGCACCCCGCCTAAGTATTCGCCTCGTTTCCAGCCCTACATTAGAGTTGAGCGGAAATGGAATTTTGAAATCCGGAAGACGGCAGACGGAATTCCGCTCAACACTCGTCTCTCTCGTCCCATAAATGAGGCGAGAGGGCGCTTTACAACAACGAAAAGAAAAAAAGCGAAGAGCGAAAAAAGCAAATGTGTCTCACACACTCATTTTTCAACGACAGGCCTTCTTTAAAAATGTTTTCAATTGCTCGCAAAAAAATCGGCAAAAACGGGTTTGCAATGCGTTGTTGTTTCTCTCTCTCTCTCTCTCTCTCTATCAAAAAGTCAAAAAGTGGGACGGGTGCAGAAAAAAAGAGAAGAAATCACGGCAGACGTCAGGCGGAAGAAAAAGATGCATCGCGATTTCCCGTTCAAAAAATTCCCGCAACGGCCAAATTTTCGCGACTTTCTTCTTTCAAAAAAAGGTCGAAATGCAAGTGCGCTCCATCGCACTTTCACTTGTATTTTGCAAAAACGTTGCAAATTATTTTATTTCTCCTCGAAAAAAAGGTGAAAAAAAGACAATTATTCTCGGTGTTTCGTCGTTGTCACCCGGAAATGTTGTCGAAAATCGATCTGAAAATGTCAAAAACATCAAAAATTCTCGAAAAATGTACAAACTCGAGCTCTTTCGACGGTTTCGACGTGGCTTTTTTGACGACCGGCGTTTTTTCGACGACTTTCTCAGCCGATTTGTGCGTCGTCTTCTTCTTTTTCTTCTCCTCCGACTTATCCACCACTTTTTCCGCCGATTTTTTCACTTTTTGCTCTGGTTTTTCGACGTTCGGCGCACAAGTTTGCAATTGCACAATCGCTACTTTTCCGGTGGCGTCCACGTTCAAAAATGCGGATTTGTTCTGGAAATACCGAGAAAATTGGAAAGTTTGCTCCATTTTTCGACATTTACATTGTAGTTATTGTACATGGACGCCGAGAAAATGGTGATCAGCCTTCTGTCAGCGAAAAAACGGAATCCGTTTAGCGGCACCTGGAAAAATTATGATGTTACAGATAGAAAAGATGAAGTGAAACCTCGTGCGATCGGACAATAAGTTGAATTTTGGTCTTCTCGCAAAACACCTTCACCGCCGCCTCGTTGAACGTTTTCGTGTAGTCTCGGTTCACCGATATCAAGTAGACCGGCTCGCTAAAAAACGTATAATTTGCCAAAAACTAAAAAAGTGTGGCGTTTTCTGAATTTTTGTACAAAGAAAGTCCAAAAGTTGTAAGCATGTTCTCTTTCTCACTCCGCCTCGGCGCCAACTCCATCCTCTTCGACCGGACACGCATTGACGAGGTCCCGCACCAACGGCGTCACCGTCTCTTCGCCGGTTTTCATCTGAACACGGAAATTACTGTAGGTGTCCGCAGTTGCGTGTCAATTCTCGCGCACCGTCTGCATTTCCGCAAGCGAATCGCGCATTTCGGGTGAAATTCCGCTGTGCACACAGAGAATCTTGTCGCCGACGGTCGCGGCGACCGGCATCAGGCTGAACGCCTTCTGGAATTGCGCCCAAATCTCTTTCGCCTGGCTCGGCCATTTTTTGTACAATTGACCCTAAAAACTCGGAATTTTCGGGCTGAAAATTGAGAGAAGAAACCTCAAATTCGGTGCTCGTACAAGTTTCCTGACATCCGCGCAACAAAATGTAGCGCTTATCGAAGAAGTACTGAAAATCGAAAGCATTTACTGTAGTTTTGGGGGTACTGTAGGCACGTACTTTGAGGGCAAAAATGAGACAAATCGTCTCGAGATTCCAGCGACCGCCTTCGGTGTAATTGCCGAGAAATAGAAATCTGAATTGAAAGACATTGGGATTTTCTCGCGTTTCCAAACTGTAATTCTTGTGCGATTTTGGGTGAATAACCTATTTTGAAAAGAAAAACGACTGGAAATCAATACTTCTCCATCTGAAACTGGAAAACACAGAAAATTCAAAATTCCCGGCAAAAGTGCGGTGGAGCGCACTTGCCTCTGGCTGGCGAACGGCAGCCGGTTCAGCTCGTCCTCCTCCTTCCCTTTCTCGCCGTCCGCCGTTTTCACGTTGAAAATGCGAATGAGATCGCGGAACTGTCCGTTCAGGTCGCCGACGATGGTGATCGGCGGCACCACCTTCACCAGAGCGTTTTTTTCCGTCGAGAGGCACTCGATTGTCATTTCGAGCAGTTGCAGCACCTCCTCCGCCGTGTACGTCAACTACAAACCGGGGATTTTCGGAAAACTGGCGAAAAAGCGTCTTACCCCCTGAAAATCTTTCCAATTTTGAATTTTAAAATGTTTCAGAATGAAATCGATCGATTCGAATTTCTCATCGCCGCCCGAATCCGACAGTGCCAGCTTCTGATTAACACGTTTGAAAATTTCCGAATAATGCTCAATTTTTCTTTAAAAACTCACTTTTTTCGCTTTCCCTCCTTTTCCAGACGGTTTTTTGGCCGACACTTCCTTCATGACGGGGATGAAATTAAAGAAGAAATTAAAAAAGGGAAAAAAGAAAAACAATAGTGTCACGTAAGTTTAAAAAAAACATTAGAATCGATCGATTTTATAGTACAAAAAACGTTTAAAAAATCACATAATTTTGTGCAATTAAAAGAAATTCGAGTAGAAAACCCGTTACAATGGGTGGGAAAAATCGGAAAATTTCCGGATTTTGTTCGGGAGGGTAGTAGAAAAGGGCAGTCGAAAACGGGGAAAAATCGGGCAGAAAATACGAGTGACCGGGGAGAAAGAATAGTACAATTACACAACTAACTATACAAAGGGCTGGCCTGAAAATCAATTCCAGCATTTCCTCTCTAATCGATTATCAGTCCATTCCTTTGAAAACGGCGTAAAGCCACGGAGCGGTGACGGCGACGGCCGTGTAAATAACGACGACGGTCAGAAGTGTGCGCAGCTTCATTTTCGACTCGATGTTCTTTTCCGTCTGCTCCAGAAGACGTTCCATGTCGCTTCCGACGTACACCTAAACATCATTTTTTCGGTTTTAATTTCTGGGCTGCTCAAATTTCGTTGAAGTATATTGGGTCCAAGTTTTAGACCGATCGGATCATCCGGCCGCGAGATATACTGGTTTGAGGCCGAAAAGGCCGGGATTTGCGAAAACTCTATATATCTCGGGCCCAGATGATCCGATCGGACTGAAACTTGGACGCAATATACTTCAATCCAAGTTCAAGAAGCCTGCAAAGTTTAGCCCCGATCGGATCTGTGAAACCGGGTCAAAAGTCCAGGCCTTTAAAAAGCCTGTGCCGGTAGCCCTGGTTAATGTTTCAAAAACCAACCACGGCAGTAGGATCGGCGTCGAGTGCGGCCTCCAATTTCGCCAATCTCGACAACTCCTTCATTTCCTGCGATAAACGCGCATTTTCCTCACGAATCGCAGCCAGGAGCTGCAAAAAGTGATAATATTTTCGAAAAGCATTCGCACGTACCTTATCCAGATCACTCACTTTCTTCACATCGGTGTGCGTGGCCGTTTCCGAGGGATGCGCTTCCAATTGGAGCGCGTTTCGCATGTCCGACAGGAATATTTCGACCTGAAAATGAAAATTAGAGGAAGAATAGAGAATTCAGACAATTTTTGAGGTATTATCGTTAAAGTAAGCAAAGCCAAGATCTTTCTAACAACTTTGCTGTCTCGTGATCAGTTGAAGCAACTTGGCAACCTGGTACAGTCCGGGTAAAGTCAGAAATGTCTGGATTGCGGAACTTGTCGAAAACGGATGGAAAAAACAGTAGACTTGCTGCCCAACCTTGTCATTCTGTTCGCCGATCGCCTTTGCCATTTCGCTCATCTGGGCGCCTCCGATCGGCAGCATTTCCTTTATTTTGCGCATTCGCAGCTCGTTTCCGATCGAAGTTCCCGCAATTCCGAGCAGAGCGCCCAGAAGGGACGCCGAGACGCCCCACCATTTCGTCTTTTCTGCATGTTCCCGCTCTCTTTCGTGACTTGCACGCACTCTGCAAATGATTTGCATTTTTATGGATTCTCAAAGGAATTTCTTAAAATTCGCATGGCGAACCTCATGGACAACTGATGAAAAGCCTCTCGTTCGGCAGTTTCCAATCCTTCGAACGAATTCAACAGCTCTCGCTCCTTCTTTATGATCTGGTGCTCTTCGGTGAGCAGTTGGAGGTACCTGAAAACATTTTTATTCTCTAAAAATATGATGAAAACGCACTTATCCTCTCCGCGGCTGGTTCTGTCCAAATCAAAGTGTATTTCCTTTAATCTCGACTGAATATTGTTGATTTCCGCCTGTTTTTCGCGTCGAATCAGTTGTGCGTCGCTCAATTTTCGTTCCCACTGGAAAATTTCGGGTTTTTGGAAGTTCTAGGAATTTTTTAAGCAACACTAGCGAATTTTTGCAATTTTATAGTTTCCGCTCGGTAAAAAATCGATGGGCCCAAAACAGACCTGCATAACTTCGTCCTGAGCTTGTCGTACCGATTTGACGCCGATAAACTCTTCATAATTGTCCACATACCGCTCGACCTTGGCTCTACAACAAAAGATAACTCATTTTCTTAAGTTTTGAAAAATACTTGATTTTTCCCGTTTCCGCTGCATTTGCACTGTAATATCGGTACTTAAGCCATCGAAAATGCGGCGGAAAGCGTCGTGCGAGCATTTTTCGAGCTGAAATCGGTTGCGGAACGGCTTAAAATGGATTTCATCAGTGGTGGCCGCGGAGGCGACCGTCCCGCGAATCCTAGGCCACCGCCGCACATTTCTAGGCCATCTCGCTATTTCAGCTCAGTTTCAGCCATTTTCCGCCAATTTTTCTTCAAAAATTGCATTTTCAGATGTCGCTGTTAACACAAGCCGAACGAGATTTTTATCGGCCGATGTACGAAGCGTTGAAGTACAAAAATCTCACTTTCGAAGAATATGCAGCGTAAAATCATTGAAAAATCGGAAACAATAAAAGCAACGGTTTCTTGCAGAAAACAAGTGGAAATCCAGCAAAAATACCGGAATAGTGTGGAGAATTACACGCTTTTGGTGACAATCGGTGCACCTTATCTGCATAATATCGAACTCGAGGTGGGACATCAGAATTTCTTTGCACAACATGTTTTCCACAAGTTTTAGTTGACTTTTCAGCTTCGAAAGCATTAAAAATTCAATTTTGAATAGGTCTCAACCAATTTTCAGCCAATTTCGCTGATGAAAGCAGTTCGTCGATTGATTGTGATCGACGGACCGAATGTTATGCACGGAGGATCGATTTACGCGGATACCAGAGAAGGAGCAGTACAGCGTACGTCGAAAGCTGAAAAATGTTGAATTTTTAGCTAGTTTTATTGCAGACAACATCCCCGACGTGGCGGCGCTCCTTTCGTTGATGCGCTTCTTCGTGGTCCGTTCGTTCGACGTGTTCGCAGTGATCTCGCGCAAGTACACGTACCCGGACGCCACGAATTTCAAGGAGGCCATCGACATGCTCGTGAAGAACAACCTGTGCATCGTGGCGCCCAATACGAATTTGGACGACGTCATCGCGCTCGAGTTCGCGTCGCAAGTCAACGGAATCGTGCTGACCACCGACAAGTACAGGGACCACGCTGAGCAGAACGCCCGTTATTTGCGGCTTTCCGCCGAGAACCGCATGAACATCCGCTGGGACTTTGTGGCAGAGAAAATGAGGAATACGCGGAGCCGCGAGCACTCGGACTACGTTTCAAACAAGAAGTTCGCCTTTGTTTTCGACGAGCCGAGACCCGACGACGGACGCATTGAAATGACGCCCGCTGGTAGGGCTTTTCACGATGAAAATAAAACATTGATTGAATTCTAGTAACTTTCGCCAGTTCGATAGTGAAATTGTGATTGTAACTCGACAAAAACCTTGTTCTTTTCCAGAAATCCTGCAACGCATTTACGTGTCTCCGGACAACATGCAGTACGAGATTTCGAAAGAACGATACGAGCTCAGCAAACCGGAGAAGAAGAAAGAGCAAGTAGGACTAAACTCATTTTTGAAACAATAAAATCACCATTTTTCCAGATGTTGTCAGTGTTGAACTCGCTTATTATCGACGGAATTTCGGTGTGCAAAGCGAATGTAGAGAGAATTAATCGAGAAGTTCCTGTGTACGGTTTTATTGAATTTAATGCCGTTGCGGTCTTTCCGGCCTCCGATTCACATATCTCGGGACCCAAAATACTTTCCAAGTCCAAGAAGTCTGCAAAGTTTGGTCCCAATCGGATCATTGCAATCAAACAAAAATCTGCCTGCGTTTTAAATGACTACAATTTCAGATTCGACCCGTCGGCGCAAGACAATCAGCAGGACGAAGAGGACTTTCCGGACTACGTGGATCCAGTGGATGAGCAGGCGGATTTCATCAGCCCAGCCGATCCGGACGCCGACGAAGATTGGGGATAACTGCGATTATTCTGGAGATTTTGTAAACTTTTCCACCCCAAAATGTACTTTGCTTTATTGTCTCGCCAAATTCACAATTTGACCTACGAAAAATACTGAAAATTTGCGAAAGTTCTCACAAAAATGTGTGTGTACAAAAGAAATTGGATACGTTATGGAGTGGACATGAAATTGGACACCTCCACAGCAGATCGGACTCACTTTTTGTACATTTTTTTTACTTTTTCAAACAATGTAGTTATTATCAGGGCCGGCACTTTTTTTGCTGATCTTGTCAAAAAGTGTAATTCCTCAAAAATTGCATGGAAAAAAGGCGTGGGCGTTGGTGGGCGGAATCAAAACAAAATAACGCTATTTTTATTTTGATCGGAGCAAAAGAGCACATCTGGCGCACATAAAAACGTCCACGCACACACACCTCGACCTCACCCGCGAAACAATAACACAGAATAGTCAAAAGTTTCAAATGAAATATTTGTGAAACTCAAATTTTTGATTAACAACACTTTCCCCGTGTTCTCCAGACATTTTCCGTTTTTTTTGAGCGCTTGTGGTTATGATTTTTCAAACTTTTACCGTTTCCCACTCATTAGCCTATAGAATTCAATACAATTTTTTTTCCAAAGTTGTCGTAAAAGCCGGCGATGCGCATCGTGTTCTTGTTCATGATTTCCGTCATCAAGTGAAGCATGGAATCTCACTTTTCCCGTTTCGAATGCGTTACGGTCGTCCGAACACACGCGTTTCTCCCTCATTCTTGCCCGTTTATGAACGCTTCATCCGTTTTGTATCCCTGATTTTGTGAAAGTTTATAACACGATTCTCTTATTCATTGTGTTCTATTCTAACCGATATATCTCAGCTGCGAGTGGAGATATCAAAAAGTTGTCAACTAACAAAATGTTCATTAAGATATTGTGTACATTTTATCAGTTGACCACTTTTTGATATCTCTACGGACCGCTGAGATACATCGTTTTGAATAGACGATACTTGATATATGATCTACTTTTGTAAGTTTCAATGACTTTCTACCGGCCACAGTTTCATTTAGAGCTCAAAAAATATCTCAGGACCAGATGATTGGTTCGGACTGAAACTTGGTCCCAATATACTCCAATCCAAGTCCAAGAAGCCTGCAAAGTTTGGTCCCGATCGGATCATCGTAAGTGGGTCAAAAATCTATCCAACGTTGAGGGACCACAGTGATTCCTTAAGTTCTTACTATTGTATCTCAACACTTTCTTCGTACCACTATTGTAATGTTCAAACTTTTTGGTCCCTCAAAGTTGACCAATCTGTTTGTGTGTGTGTGTTTCTCCGCGAACAGCCGTCGGATCTCTAGTTGTTGGCTGGTGGTGCTCACAAGAAAGAGAGAAAGAGAGAGAGAGAGAGGGAGAGAGTCTCTCTCTCTCTCTCTCTTCTTCTTCTCTCTCTTCCTCTCTCAGATCCTTCCAAATAACACAAAGTTTGCGTGGCGGCGGCTCTGCTCCAAGTGCATTACACACTGTTTCAATGTCTGCGTCTCTCGCTCTCTCTCTCCCAAATGATCGGAGCGGATCGGGCGGGAGAAGAAGAAGAAGAAGGAGAAGAAGCCGACGAGAGAGAGAGAGAGACTCTCTCTCTCTCTCTCTCGCTTTTATCACTTTCTTCCGATGATTATCATCTTCCACACATCCGCTTTTTCGCCTCTTTTGTTCGCTTTATCGATTGGATTCGAAGCTGATCATTGAAATGTTTCTCTAAGGTTACTGTAGGTCAAAACTACAGTAATTTGAAGAGACTTTCAAACTTTCGACAATAGAACATTGTTCCAATCGTTTTCTCAGTCCCAAGACAATTTCTGTTATTTCCGTTAAGTTATGATTTTTCAAACTTTTACTGTTTCCCACTCTTCACAAATTTGCCGCTTATCTCACTTTCTGATCTGTGGTGACACTTTTCTTGAACCCTTTTTCTCTTTTTTGCTGGCTTTTTTACTTGACACTTTTATCGCGCCAGTGTTTGGGCGTTGACGCATTTCTCGTGCCTCGAAGCTACCGTAACTCTTGTCCACCCCTTGGCGCACTTTTAGTAGTGCCTTTTTGTTGACGCATTTCTCGATCTGAACTTAAACTCTTGTACTACTCCGTGCACCAGGGGTTGGCGCATTTTCAGTGCTTCTAGCTACCGTTACTCTTGACACATTTCTCGATCTTATGCACTGAAAAGGCGCCAGCTCTATCTTGTTCAATCATTCCGATCAGTGAGGGTCGAACCAGTTGGCACCGTGCCAGACTCTTACTCTCTCTCTCTCTCTTCCTCTTTCTTGCTCCAGGAGGAGCAGGAAAAGTGTGTAAAACTGCCAACTCTTTCTTCTTCTTCTTCTTCTTCTTCCTCCCATTATTACACTTTCCCGCTCCCTCTCTTTCTCTCCCGGGAGAGCATCCGCCCACCGATCTCGGGCAGAAAAGAATGTGCTCCAAGAGTGAAAAAGAGAGAGAGAGAGAGAGAGAGAGAGAGAGAGTGAGCTCTCGGGAGCCGCCGTTGTTTATTGCTACACTAGGGCAGTTGGCTCACGAAAGAGCCGGAGCCAGTTCTGCTCCGATCCGGCGAGCAGAGCAGCGAAAGCCGACGATTTGAAGGATGCGAAATGACCGGCGGGAAACGGGACGATTTGAGGGGATTCGCAAAAATGTTCGGGAACTTTTCATATTTCTCCCTTCGTTGCCGACATGATTATGGTCGTTTTGAGGCCACGTCGGGGTCTGTAGCATTTTTTTGAAATTAGTTATGATTTTTCGAAAATCGGAAACGGATTTGGATTTGCTTTTTGGTCGTGAAAAATGCATATTGGTGAAATTGTTACTCAGAAACAAATTTAAATTTGTTCAGTTTCTGAAACTCCCCAAAATTGTGATAGTTTCCAGTTTTGACCTGCTTTTCCCCGGGATCGTAGACAAATTCTCGTGAGAATGTCTCCCTGTACTCAATTTCCACCTTTTCTCCAAATTTATCGATTTTCCTTTTTGCAATCAATGCCTTTTTTCGTTTCGCCACTAAAACAAACGCTCTCTCTCTCGTTTCGCAACTAAGCGTTTTTCAAACAGAGTTGAGCGGAAGAACTCAACGAAAGAATTTTTTTATCTTTTTTAGAAAATTTTTTCATGGAATATGATCAACTGACGAAATGTATAGCAAAATGAACTCTGCTCATAGAAAAATAATTGTAAATTTAACTTTTCATACAAAAAAGTTACTTCCGTCTTCCCCGTTAGCCCCCTTTTTTCACGCAACAACTCGAATAACTTTTTTGTTTGAAAAGCTAAATTTACAATTATTTTTCTATGAGCAGAATTCACTTTGCTCTACATTTCGTCAGTTAATCACATTCCATGAAAAAATTTTCTAAATAAGATAAAAATTCTTCCGTTGAGTTCTTCCGCTCAATTCTGGTTTCAAAGCAGTCAGGTTGCCGCTTCGTGTCAGCGTTGATAAGCATAGCAAAACGTATCTGTTGCAAAACGTACCGGTTGCGAAACACGTTATAATTGTAAGACGTGAGAGTTGCCAAATTTGTTTTACTGACGAAACGGTGAGGTCTCTAATAAAGAATGGATCTTTTGAACCGTTCTGCTTGAAAAATTACCCTTCACTTTATCAGTTTTATGTCGGCTCGACCCAGACTGTAAAGTCGTTTCGAATCCCCTCCAATTTTTGCCGATTTGACCCCGGAAAAGCGGAAAAACGGGGGGAATGAATGGAATGAATGAATGAGTCAACACACAAGTTGGAAGCGGAAGAAAGAGAGAGAGAAAGAGAGAGAGAGAGAGTTCTCAGGGTCACTTTGACCGATAATATATATGTGTTTGTATAGTTACGACCGCCGAAACAGCAGCAGCAGCAGCCAGAAGAGTACCGCGCGGCTATTAAGGACTGAACAAGTCGACTCGGCGTTTTATTATATTATAGGTTCACTTATTTTTCGGTATATAAATCCTACTTTTCAATTTTTCAATCGTCTCGAATCTTCCGGCACGGCGACCAAAAGTGTAGAAAGGGGCGTGGCCTAATCTGAGACGCGTTTTCTGAAAATTGCCGCAATTCCAGCACTTTTCCGATATTTTTGTGTTTGATATCGACGAAAGAAGAGACATTAAAGAGAGAAAACATGGAAATTTTCGTGAAAACACCGCGTTTGAGACGTTTTTGGCATATTTTGCAATTCGCCCTTCGCGGCCAATCGCCGCCGCAATTTCGGAATTTTCATACCGGCCTTTAAGCTCAAAAAGTGCCGCGATTATTAGTTTAACAAAGTTATGCAATTACATCGTCGAAATCCTACAAAATTCGGGTAATTTTTGACGAAAAACATGAAAAATGGGGTAAAATTTCGAATTTCGCGCCAAAATGGTGTCAAAACCGTGCACGCGCTAGGCCACGCCCCTTTCAACGCGAAACTTCCCAATATTTCTTCTAGGTCTTTTCAAACTTTGAAACCTTTTTGAAACGGACTTTTAACTTTTTTGCCCTTTCAATTCGTGAACCGAAAAAGTAACCTTGTCTAGTGTTCTTCAAAACGTCATATCTCATTTGTCGGTGGAAATATCAAAAAGTGATCAACTGACAAAATGTGCATAATTTCCAGATGAACAATATTGTAGTTGACAAATTTTCGATATCTCCACCGGCCACCGAGTTATCCCACTTTTCTCTCCGCTCCCCCCGATCCGCTTGGCTCCCACCGGCGGAAGGGGGCCTGCTCACTAGTTTGTGGTCCGTTAGTGTGCAGACACCTCCGCCCGGTTATTGTCGTTTTCCCCACCCCTGATTCCGCCCACTTTCTTCTCCGATCTCCGATCGCGCTCGCCCACGCGTTTCTATCCGATCAGCGAGAGAAAAAGAGGAGGAAAAGAGTGAAAGAATGGCTTCCGAATCGGACAATATTCGTTTTCTCTCTCTCTCTCTCTCTCTTTCTGTTTTGGATATTGTCCATCAGGAACTGTTTCTCTCTCTCTCTCTCTCTTTCCGTCTACGCATCTCCATTTCTACACTCTCTCTTTTGAATAGTGAAACATGTGTGTGTATGTGAGTAAGTGTGGGGGGTTTTTGAGTAAAAATCCGATGGGGACCACTCTTTCTCTCTCTTTTTCTCTCTCTTTCTCTCGCATTTCTATGCTATTTTTTCGCGGCCCCTACACAATTGTTTCAACGCCTTTTCTCGCTTTTTTCCCTCATTTTTTGACACCTTTTTACGAAAATTGCAAAAAATTGCAAAAAAAATTGCAAGGAGCGCCAATTTTGGGAAACGACAAAAAAAGGGTTGCTCTATCATTTCCAGTCAAAATGTGCAAAGAAAAATCAGAAACCGACAATATTTCCAACCATTTTTATTCAATTTCTCCTCCACGCCTATTTGCATTCGTTTTGCCGCCTTCTTCCAGCGTAAAAACGAAGAGATGAACAAACAAATGCAACTTTTTCTCTCTCTCTCTCTCTTCCTCTCTCTCTTTCTCCCCTCTTTTTCCCCGTTTTTATCATTTTTTCGTGCCTCTTATCACTTCCCAATTCGTCGTTTCACTCTTGCTGAAGAACACTACCTACTCGAACAATTTGCAGATGTGCTAGAAGAGTTGCGAAGGCAGCGAAGGCAAGAAAAACTAGAGAAAATGCCAGTTTTCCACACCAAAACCATCGAGAACATTCTCGAGCCCGTCGCCCAACAGGTAACTCTCACTTTTATGTGCTTGTCCGTCTGTGTACGTTTGTTCCGTTTCCCCTGTTCCCCGCACGTCTTCTTTCCGCGTTTTTGTTGCTGGCGCTTTTTCAGTGCACTGTAGTTTCACCGCACGAAAAGAGCGCCAGCAAGTGTTGATTGATTGCCGCCTCGTTTTCAGTGCTTCTGCATTACCGTACTTCCAATGCTGGCCCATTTTCAGTGCATTCTCTCGACGAAAAGAAGTGCATCGTCTCGCGTGAGCGCGTAGAAATCGTAAAAAGTGAAGAGTGGACTGTCAAGAGTTCTGTTGTTTGGATAATAGTAAAACCGTCTTTCTCTCTCTCTCTCTCTCACTTTTTGTAAGCCAAAAAGCCAGAGATTGAAGGAAAAGAGGGGATTTAGAGATTTCAGTGGAAAATTTAAAAGTTTGATGCTATGAAAAGAGATTTTCTGCTAAAAAAAAAGCTGTAAAACATGGTCTCCAGAGCTGACAATGGGCGCAAGTGCGCCCGCCCGCCTAATAGAGCGATACATTGGCGCGAAATTCAAATTTTAACGGTAAAATTTGTGTTTTTTGCCAGATTAGCCACGAAAAACCGATAATTTCTCTTTTTTCTCTCGATAGACCGATTGTATAGGCTATTACGAATTTTTTAAGCGCAAGAGCGTTAAATTTGGTCAAGTCGCAAATCACATTTGTCCGTTTAAAGGTTTTTGGCTAAAACTGCGTGAATTTCAGTTGCTTTTCGGTAGTTTTCGCGGTTCGAGCGCTCAAAATGCTTGTATTTACGTGATTTATCATTCTCAAAACCAATTCTGTCTGAAAACGGTCAAAAAAGCGCAAAAGAAAAAGTGCGGTTTTTGGCGGCGAAGGCGAAAAAGCAAAGTTCGCGAAAAATGCGCCAAAACGTCATTAATTCTGAGAATTAGTGTATTTTCCTTGTCGAACAATCATTTTTCATCGCCTTTGACCACAAAAATCAGAGAGAACCCCTGCTAAATTCATGAAAACGCCATTTGGCCGAGGCCGCCACGCCCATATTGTCAGCTAGAGAGGCCATCTAAAAGTACTTAATTGAAAAACCATTTCTACTTGACAACCAGATGAAACAGCCTTCTAATTATTTTCCTTGTTGTAACTTTATGTTGCGTTTTTGGAAGCTGAGCCGCCAAATTTGAAAAAAATTTAAGATTTCAAGTTTTGTTTCGGTATCGTGCCGCACAAAAAATCGTTCGGAAAGTATTCTAACTTCTTGAAATGCTCTCAAAGTTTCATTTCTCTGTTACTAAAACCGTTGAAACCTGTTCCCCAGTAGTTTTTCACGATTCACGATCCACTTCTCCGTATCCAACAACATCTGCTCGGACCCTCTTCCATCCACTCCTCTCCACTCTAATCCACTGGACCCACTGGCTCAACCAAGTCGTTCCCCCCCTTCCGATCTGTCAAGTTCAGCTGCACTACGTGCTCGCGATGGCCGAAAAGAACGCGTCGAGTGTGGACGAGGTCCGTCATCTCGGCGCCTCAATGCCCAACCTGGACCGATTCGCGTCCCGCTCGGCGCTGGCGTTGTCCCGCGCGTCGAGTCGGCGCTCGATCCCCGAGTACATCACTCCGGACACGGTGCGCCACGTCGTCGCCGAGGAGGACTGTCCCGTTTGTCAGTTGATGATGCCCAAGGGCCCCGACGGTTGTGTACGTTCGCGTTTTTGTCCGCTTCACTGTCATTTGTCGTTGAATTTTTCCAGTTTCTACATTGTTTTTTTTAAATCCATTTCCAGACCATAACGTTTGAATTTGAAGGTCTCTCGACTGGTGATTCTTCACGAGGAGGCGAATGACGGCAATGCGATGCCCGATCTGACCGGACCCGTCGGAATGGTTTCTCGCGCCGTCGGAAATCTCATTCAGGTGAGCATATATTCATTTTCCAAACTCTTTTTTCGAAACATAATATGGTTCCGCTCTCAAAAATCACTGGAAAAAATTGTGTGTTTCACAAATCCCACTCATCTTTTCATCAATTCTGTTTGGATTGACGAAAAAAAAAAATTGAATTTTTCGCGTTTCATTTTTCGTCACTTCAAGCTATAGAAATATTTTGGAAATGGGAGAATTTACACTAATATTTCTAGCCATTGCCTCTAAAAAGTTCGCGAAACGTTCTATTACATGACTCACAATCCTCACCCCCGCGCATTTTGAAAATTTCGCCTCCAGGTGCGGTCACCCGGGGGACTCCGCAAACTCTTTTTCTTGTGCTCACTTTTTGCGCCGCGTCGGCTCCTAATTCGTTGAATCAACACGCAACAATAGAGACAAACACGTCGGCAAACAGGCGGACGGCGAATTTTTCGAAGAAAATACAGAGAGAGAGAGAGAGAAATACTTGCTCTTTAGGCCCCTCTCTCTCTCTATTACCTTTTTGCTAATTTCTACGATGTATTCTTGTTGCTGTTTCCGACTCAATTTTTATTGATTTTTTTTGGAAAACAAAAGAAAATGAGTCGAGAATATCATCGATCGATGACGTCACTGACACGCTCCAGTGAGGAATATCGATTTTCGGCGCGGCGATCCATGACAAAACGGGCGTCCTGGGGTGATGGGGAGAGACGGAACAAAAAGGTACATTTGGTTGTCAATACGAGTTGAAAAGTTGATTCTGAAACGGGGAAAAAATTATCATTTCAAAAAAATCGATAAACTATTATTGCAGGTCGGCTACGACACGTGCGACCACTCGGACGACCGTATCCTCCAACAGGACATGCCGCCCGCACTCCAACGCGTCGAGGGATCGTCCCGACTGCTCGAGGAGAGCGCCCTCTCGCTCAAGGTACGCGTTCCCGTCAGCTCGGGTTCGAACCGAACTCGCATTTGCAGCACGATCCTTACTCGGTGCCGGCGCGCAAGAAACTGATTGACGGCGCGCGCGGAATCCTCCAGGGCACCTCTGCCCTGTTGCTGTGTTTCGACGAGTCCGAAGTGCGAAAGATCATTCGCATCTGTCGCAAAGTGAACGATTACGTGGCTGTGTCGGAGGTCATCGAGTCGATGGCCGATCTGCAGCAATTTGTCAGGGTAAGAATCACTGAATCTCCTGAATCTGTGAAAAAAATGACGTGTGACGATCCTACTTTCCAATATCTGTATGTACATCATTTTACAGATTCAAGCAAACATTTACAATATTCGAAAATGTTTCAGGACATCAGTCCGGTGCTGCAAGACGTCACAAACGACGTGAACGTGCGTCAACAGGAGCTGACGCATCAGGTGCATCGGGAGATTCTCATCCGCTGCCTCGATTGCATCAAAACGATCGCGCCGGTGCTCATCTGCTCGATGAAGACGTCGATCGAACTGGGCAGTCCGCATCCCCGTGCCGGACACGCGGAAGCCGTCGCCAACCGTAATTTCATGAGTCAACGGATGACGGAGGAGATGAACGAGATCATCCGGGTCCTTCAGCTGACCACCTACGACGAGGACGAGTGGGATGCGGACAACGTGACCGTCATGCGCAAGGCTCTTTCGGCGGCCAAGTCCCTGCTGACGGCGGCGCTCGACTGGCTCGCCGACCCGCAGGCTCGTCCCGGAAGCGTCGGCGAGAAGGCGATCCGTCGGATCTGCGAGTACGCGGAACGTATTGCCGCGCGCGCGCTTCCCGAAGACTCGCAGAGCATCAAGAGGAGCATCTTCGAGATAAATCAGATGACCGACGAGATATGCGCACTCCGCAACGCCGGGCAGTACGATCGAGAGAATCTGGCGGCGCAGACTGCGAGACGGCTCAAGGACCTCGTCGGATCGCAGCACAGCTCCGGACTGATGGGCGACGCGCTGCAGAACGCGCAGAGGCACGGAGGCGCGAATCCGGCACACACTGCCGCCGGAAGACTCGAGCAGGCGCTGAGGTGAGCCGGGGATTTGAAAGCTACAATAGCAGTTGAACTTACCGTTCATTCAAACCGATGTATCTCAGCTGCGGGTGCAGATATCAAAAACTTGTCAACTGATAAAATGTACAAAACGTTCAGATGCACATTTTATCAGTTGACAATTTTTTGGTGCTTCTATCGGTGGCTGTGATATAGCGTTTTGAAAAACGGTATTTGCGGTGATCGGAATCAAGTTCGAACGGTTTGTGAAACTGAAAATAGGAGTAAAAGATGCAAATTAAAATGAATATGTCGGGAACTAGCCTTGAGATATTGATAAAACAGAAAGATTTCGCTTGAGGACAAATCAAAATTTTAGGTTTCTTTCATTGGTCGAAACGATGTATCTCATTTGCCAGTGGAGATATCAAAAAATTGTCAACTATTAAAATGTTTATCAAAAAATTATGCACATTTTGTCAATTGACCACTTTTTGATATTTTCACCGGCTATCGAGATTACCGCAAATGCGTTCATTGTCGAAAAAAAAATGAGACCAAGTTGAAACGGGAACTTTTCAAAAATTAGTGTAGATCTACAATATTTCCCAGTTTCACACACTTTTCTTCCTCAAAACCAACCCAATTGGTCTAAAAAACCGTTTTCAGATGGCTGGACAACCCGGGACTGGACGACGGAGGCCTCGGACTGAACGCCCTCCGTCTGCTGACTTCGGACGCCCGCAAACTGGCCGACAGACTCAATCCGCAGGACAGGTCAGTCGAGTTTAGGTTTTCGCTGGCGTACTGAAATGCACTTAAATTGAGAAAAGTATAATATAAGGTTGAAACTGTAAAAGTTAGCGTGTACCGTTCATTTAAAGCGATGTATCTCGGCTCGGGTTAGAGATATCAAGAAAGTGTCAACTGATAAAATGTACAGAATTTGTTGATGAACATTTTATCAGTTGACTACTTTTTGATACATCCACCCGCGACTGAGATAGAGTAATTTGAATAGACGGTACCGTTCGTTAGCACAGAAAACACATATCCGTGGGAATTCTTTCAAATTTTGACCTGTAAAACGTTTTATTGTACCCTGTAAAAATATTGAAATAAGTGCAAACTTGTTGAGCTCCAATTGAAACTGTGCCCTCGGCTTCTCGCACTTTTCCCCTTTGTCTGCCCCCTTCAATCCACCGCCGCCTTTCTTCCAGAAATCGCCTGCTCGGCCTGTGCTCGGACATCGATCGAATGGCCGCCCAATTGGCGGATCTCGAGCGTCGCGGTCTCGGCAACTCTCCGGAAGCCCAACAATTGAGGGGCCAGCTGCGCGCAGCCCTCAGGGACCTCGGAGACTTCATGCGAAGGGTCCTCACCGATCGTGTCGTCAGTTTTCTTTCTTTTTCTCTGCCAAACAAAAGCGGCTCTTTCACCTTTGTCTTGTGATTGTTTAGCTAGAAATTAGGGGGTTTAAACACACAAAATTCGGCACTTTCAGCGTGTTCATTTCAACACAAATATCAGCCACCTCGTTTCGTTCCTCAATTTCCTTCGAAAAGTGTTCCCGTTTGCAGGTGGACGATTTCGCGGACATCACGACGCCGCTCAAACAGTTCGTGGAGGCCGTGCACGCCGACCAGTTCGATCCGCAGCGCGAGCCGAACTTCGTCGACAAGTCGCAGAGACTGTCGGACCACTCGCACGCAATGACCACCACCGCCCGTCTCGTCGCCTCGTGCGGGCCGTCAAAGAGCAAAAAGACGGTCGAGGCGATTCTGGACACGGCCGAGAAGGTCGAGCAACTCGCGCCGCAGATCATCAACGCCGGACGCATTCGACTCCACAACCCCGGATCCGAGCAACACTTTGAGAACATTCACAAGTGAGTGTTTCAGCAAACGTCCTAAATGATGTGGAGACCAACGGTATTCACTTGCAGACAATTCGCCGACGCGCTCCACCGTCTCCGTTCGCACGTCGACGACGCCATCGACACCGGAGAGTTTGTGCGCGCTTCTGAGACCGTGAGTGCCCCGTTTATCTTTGCATCGAACAGTTTTACTAATAGTAAAACTCCAAAAAAATTGAAAAGACCTACTTGAAACTGTAACGTTTTTGCTTTTGCTCCAAATGATTCAAAAAATCATTAGGACGAGCAAGTAAAGTCCTCAAACACTTTTACGAACAAAAATCGTGTCGGCACTTGAAGCACGTTTGAAGAATGCATTGTAACGTTCAACAACGGTGCCTTTGCACACCGATTCTCATTTTACACACTTTACTGAAACGGGGGGAAAAAATCGATAAAGATGCCATGTTCATTACACTTGAAAACAAAAAAAATGTTAGTCTAACGCCGTGTCCAAAGTCACAATAATCTATAAAATCTGTAGTGTATTCGCTGTTAAAAGTCGGCAGAGATTGAACGAATGTCACCGTATACCATAAAACTACGGAATTTTTTTGAAAATTTACCCAAAAAAAAATTAAATATTTTTTAATATTCTCACTAAATTTAAGCTTTTCCCAAAAAATACCGTAGTTTTATGGTATACGGTGACAGTAGTTTCAGCTGTGCGCACCCTTTTTTTCTGTAGAATTGCGACGAACACTACAGATTTCACCGATTTTTTTTGACTTTGGACACGGCATAAACAAGGGTCCCCAGCAGAGTTGAGCGGAAAAACTCAACGGAAGAATTTTTATCTTTTTTAGAAAATTTTTTCATGGAATGTGATCAACTGACGAAATGTATAGCAAAGTGAACTCTGCTCATAGAAAAATAATTGTAAATTTAACTTTTCATACAAAAAAGTTATTCGAGTTGTTCCGTGAAAAAAGGGGGCTAACGCAACAACTCGAATAACTTTTTTGTATGAAAAGCTAAATTTACAATTATTTTTCTATGAGCAGAGTTCACTTTGCAATACATTTTGTCAGTTGATCACATTCCATGAAAAAATGTTCTAAAAAAGATAAAAATTCTTCCGTTGAGTTGTTCCGCTCAACTCTGGTCCCCAGCCCCTTTCAATGCAAAAAGATGTGTTTCAGGCGATGCGCCGGTACACGAACAACTGCGAGGGCGCGATCGGAGGCTCCGATGCGCAGGGAATGGTGAACAACAGTTCGCAGATCGCGAGACTCGGCAACCGCGTGCTCATGACCGCCCAGAACGAGGCCGACAATTCCGAGGAGCCGTCGTTTGTGAACCGAGTGCGAAGTGCCGCCGATCAGTTGCACAATGGTCAGTTTCACGTCCGGCTCTCCATCAAAACACCGTTTGAACATTGAAAAAATAAAAGAGGAAGGTGGGGAGGAATGTGGGGGCGCCGATTCTATTTACTTTGACGTCCGTGCTGCTCCGACTTGCTGGCAGTTTTGTGAAAGTTCGATCCGAAAGAGAGAGAGAGAGAGAGACCAACTATTGTTTGTTTCGTGCCTCTTGTCATTCTACCCCCCAGACTACCACCACCAGAAGCATTCTTTTCTTTCCTTGCTCTTCACCATACTTTAAATTCTCAATATTTCCGTTACGTACCCAGTGATCGATTGAAGGGTGTAATGATGCCGATAAACCGTTACTCGTCGTCCGTCTCCGATCAGTACGACTCTTCCGACGAGTACGATAATTATAGTGAACAGAATTACGAATGTGTGTACAAAACGAGACTTGTGCCCTTCAATCCGCAAGTTCTCATTTGTAAGTTTACAGCAAAAAAATGAATGTTTCAAGAATTTCTAAACATTTTCCACCGAAACGTTTTGCAGCGATTCCGCCGATGGTGAACAACGCGAAGAACGTTGCGCAGAACCCGCACGATCAGTACGCGGCGCAGCAATGGCGCGGCACGAACGACCATCTTCTGAACAGCGTCCGGGCGGTCGGCGACGCCATTACGGGCGTGCCGGCGAACAACGGAGCCGGCCGACACTCGAGCTATCAGGAGACGATCTCCAGACAGTCGCCCTACAATCCGGTACGTGTCTCGGCAAAAATCTGAAACTTTCAAGTCGAAGAAGCTGAACGATGAACACTTGAAGCTGATCGATGCTCCTTCTGAACAGATTTGTGTGTGTGTGTGTGTGCTCTCAAATCTGTGTGAGCAGCAAATATTTGATTACTATTTACCACTGAAGAAGAGACGAACAGTTTCAGTGCTCTGATCTTTTTCGGTGGGGGAAAACTGATTTGATTCTGCTTCACACTCTTTCCGGAAAGTTTTGCTTTACAAGTTTTGCCGATCGAAAGTTCATGCATACGGTTTCAAGAGTATTAGAAGCGATGAGCCCGTAAAAGTAAACAATTTTTCAACCTTTTTCAACCACACTTGTGAGAACTAGGCTAGAATTCTGAAGAGACAAGCGAAAAAATGATCGTTGCGATAAACTTTAAGGTTTCACGGGTGATCCGATCGATACCAAAATTCTTGAACGTCTTTAATTTTTTTTGTAACAAAGTGTGACTGGTCCAAGTTTAGTGTCGATCGGATTACTAGAATTGTCTCCAACCTCACTCCTTTCAGCCACCACCATCGTCGCAAGTGATCCGCTCGGTGAATGCGTCCCCGCCGAGCGCGCCGATCGTGCACAACAAGATGATCATCCGCGAGGACATTCCGGCGCCACCTCGTCCTCCGCCGCCAGTCGAGCTCTCGCCGCCGCCACGTCCGCCACCGCCGCCAGAGTACGACGAGGAGGAGGAGACGCGCGCCTTCTGGGAACGGTATCCGCTTCCGCAGGCGTCGCATCAGCCGATGCTCGCCGCCGCGCACAACCTGCACAACGAGCTGAAGCAGTGGAGTTCGCAGGAGAACGACATTGTGGCGGCCGCGAAGAGAATGGCCATTCTGATGGCGAGACTCTCGCAGTTGGTGCGTGGCGAGGGAGGCACCAAAAAGGTATGAGAATGGGCGGAAGAGGAAAGAGAGCTAGGCCGTCGTTCAGGATCTCATCAACTGCTCGAAGGCCATCGCCGACTCGTCGGAAGAAGTGACCAGATTGGCCGTGCAATTGGCCCGACTTTGCACCGACATCAAAATGAGACAGGTAAGCGCGCGAAACATTGATTCATGTTTCACGAAACTTTGAAACTCAAAAATCGTTTTGTGACAATTATTATTCACGGAGTCGTGGCGGGGTACACTGGCGCAAGTGCGCTCCACTGAAATTTTCAAAATTTTTGCTTTGGCCTAATGCTTTAAGATAGGGGCGCTACGCAATCGACCGTCGGCGGAAGTTCAAATTTTAGTTTTCGATGTACCCATGACGACTCCGTGTTATTGATTAAATTTTCGTTTGTAAAACAACAAGACTTGCAGGCTCTTCTGCAAGTTTCCGAGCGCATTCCGACGATAGCCACGCAGCTGAAGGTGCTCTCCACCGTCAAAGCCACGATGCTCGGATCAGCCAGTGAGTTTCGGAATTCAACACGTTTTTGCGCATTTCCTAGAATGTTTCTCTCAAAACTTGAACACACTTGCCAATAATTTCAGACGTCATCGGCCCATACGGTCAGCCAGTCGAGGGTAAATATCTCCGCATTTTCAGTGAACATTAAAATTGTGTGATTTTCTCCTCAAATTCCCCACTAAAAACACTGAAAAAAGCATGAAAAGCAACATGAAAACCGTGTGATTTAACCGATTTTTTAACACAATTTTTCCGATGTTTTTTTTTTGGGGTTTTCCGCATAAATTGTCGAGTCTTTTCAGGCAGCGAAGAGGACGATGAAGCCATGCAACAGCTGGTGCACAATGCGCAGAATTTGATGCAGTCCGTCAAGGTTTGTGCGAAGAAATCCATATTTTTCTCGAAAAATCCGAATTTTTAGGACGTGGTGCGCGCCGCGGAAGCCGCTTCGATCAAGATCCGCACCAACTCGGGACTCCGCCTCCGCTGGCTCCGAAAACCAATGTGGTCCAATTTCTAAATGAAACGAAAATATTGATTGCATCAATTATTGAATTATGTACTTTTTGCTAGTCATTCAAAGTCCCCGCGCATAATAATGTTCTTCCCTTTGCTTCAAAAACGTTTTTGTAAGTTTTTCAGTTTGAAATTTGCTCCAAACCCCCTACACAGAACCTCTTGAAATTATTGAATTTAATATCAAAAAGTGCCTTTTTGCAACAAAAACACGTCTTTTTAATGTTCAATTCGTCTACTGAAACTGCCTTATTCTCGGGAATTTTTTCGATAGCTTTTGCAGTGAAAATGCGAAAGTTCGAAAAATTGCCCATTTCTTCCAATTTTCTCTTTCCAGTAGCTTTTCTATGCAACTTTTTCGCATCTTTCTTATGTAAACCTCAAAAGAGAACCATTTTATTCCGATTTTTGTGTAGAATTTCAATTTTATCGCCCAAAACTGCTCCCAACACCAACTTTTCCACTAGCCAACACTTTTTCGTCTTGAAAAATTGATTTTTGCTCGAATTTTTTGTGAATAAAAGTTTAATAATCTTCAATCTATCGCTTTCACATCGAAAAATCTGAAATTCCGAAGAAGAAGGGCTGACAATCTGAAAAAATCCAATTCGTCGACGCGTCGAAATGCCGCTTGTCCGACGGGAGTCCGAAAGTGTGCGATGGAGCGCGTTTGCATCATTTTAAAGGCGCACGCGGTCATTTGTCTGGCGGGTCTCGCCACGAACAGATTTTAGGCCTATCGCAACTTTAGATTTTACATTTATTTTTCTCTCTTCCCCTAAAATCCGTCGCTGTTCATCCGTTTTTCGCAATTTTTTCGGAAAAAAAGAAAGATGTTTAATGACTAATGACGAGCACGAACATTTTCACTATTTCATTTAAATTGTAACACTTCAATTGATTTCCGTTGCATTTTCTGTTTTTCCTTTTGATTCCAGCTTTAAATTTGTGTATTTTTTCAGCTTGAGGTACACACTTGAAAAATGAGAGGACCGAAGAAGCATCTTAAGCGTCTTGCCGCCCCGAAGCACTGGATGCTCGACAAACTCGGAGGAGTTTTCGCCGTCCGCCCGAACCCAGGACCACACAAGCTCCGCGAGTCGCTCCCACTCAGCTTGTTCCTCCGCAACCGTCTGAAGTACGCTCTCAACTACACCGAGGCCAAGAAGATCCTCACCCAGAGAATCGTCCGCGTCGACGGAAAGGTCAGAACTTGCCACAAGTTCCCAACCGGATTCATGGGTAAGAAATTGCCAATTTCCTTCTTGTTCTAATTTAAATTTTTTCAGATGTCGTTGCCATCGAGCGCACCAACGAGTTTTTCCGCATGCTCTACGACACCAAGGGACGTTACGTCGTCCACAGAATCCAGGCTGCTGAGGCTGAGTTCAAGCTCTGCAAGGTCAAGTCCGTCCGCACCGTCATCAAGGGAGTCCCAGTGCTCTCCACCACCGACGGACGCACCATCCGCTACCCAGACCCGCATATCAAGGTCAACGACACTATCGTCTTCAACATCAACACCCAGAAGATCACCGACTTCGTCAAGTTCGAGCCAGGAAACTTGGCCTACGTTACCGGAGGACGTAACGTTGGACGTGTCGGAATCATTGGACATCGTGAGCGTCTCCCAGGAGCCTTCGACATCATCCACATCAAGGATGCCGCAGGACACTCCTTCGCCACCCGGTAAGTTTTGCCATAAAGGCTAGAAGGAGCATGAAGGTCGGGGGCCGCGAGGGTCGTAAAAGTCCGGCTAAGGTTGGTTGCTAATTCAAGCATTTCCTCTTACAGCATCACCAACGTCTTCGTCATCGGAAAGGGATCCAAGGCCCTCGTCTCCCTCCCAGCCGGAAACGGAGTCCGTCTCTCGATCGCCGAGGAGCGTGACAAGCGCATCGCCCAGAAGCACTAAACCATTGTTTTGTTGAAAAATAAAAATTGTTAACTTAAACCAAGTGTTCCGCGAGAAGATAAAAAACTGTTTGAGCAAACCTATCGATGGTTTCAATTGACTCCGAATGGTAATGCTCTTTCCTTCCGTAGATGTCTCAGCGCGATCTCTGGAAAGCCCTCTCCGGTGTCCTCTGCATCTACAAACATTCGGGAATCTCGTCTTCAGCTATCAAGAAGCTGATTACCAACAAGATCAGCGAGTCGGTGGCTGAAATCGAGTCCACCTCTTGTCTCCGGCTCCCGCTAATTTCTCTTCCCGTTGTGGAGCCCCATGAGAAGTCGGGAGCTCTGGTGGTGGTCGGCCGGAATGAGGTGGCCGATTATAGGCATCATCCGTTAGTATCGGGGCGATCGATTCGATCAGAAGACATTCAGCTGCTAGACGCTCTTCCGTTGGCCACAACTAGCTCGGGAATTTGCTGTGAGCCGAAGAAAATTTTGAAAAATGAAAAATAGAAGAGACCTATTTAGTGTTCGGAATAAACGACGGTTGCGAATCAATTCCGAATCTGATGGCCAACTCGTGGACGAACGTATACAAAATTGAGGCAATTCTTAAAAATTCGGCCGAAAAAATCTCGCGGCATCGCGTGGAAAAAGTGATTTCGCGCATGGAATCCGAGTTCAGAGCCGCCAGTTTTCAGCACGCAAACGTCGATTTGCAGGTAAATGAAATTTAAAAAAAAGCCGTGAGCGTTGCCGGTACGTCTTCTATTTCCATAAAAATCGCAGTTTCTAACAGTTCCTAAATATTCTTGTGCACTGAAAGTTACTAACAAAATCATTATCCGACCAAAACTTCGGAAAAATTCCCAAAGTATTGCAGAGTTCGGAGGCGTTCGAACTGGCGCGTCGGGGCCTTCCAAGGGCCCAACTGCCCGGCGCACAAGTATTTTATTCGATAGGATTGAACTGGTTCCGGTCGCCCCGCTTCCATATTACGGCTCAGTGCTCCGGAGAGGACGACGAAATGTTGAGGTGTTTAATTACCTGAGCAATGTTGGATTTTACTGAAATGTTCGCCGGCCGCGGCTTTTTTGCGGCCTACATGCAGATGACCGATCGGACCCAAACAATGTGTTGGACATTGCCCTTGGTATGGAGCATCTCCAGGACAATCTGATCAGGAGATAAATTGAAACACGACCGTCTTTTTCCAAAAAAAACTGGCCGCGTTTCAGTCTATCGCTAGATGAGATGATCCACTCGGGCTCAAAATTGTCCTGGAGATACCTCACACCAAGGGCAATGCCCAAACAATTTTGGGGTCCGGTCGGTCAACTGGAAGGCGGCCAAAAAGACAGGCCGGCAAAATCCCACCTCTGGTTCCATTCATTTTTAAAGAAAATCCCTTAAATGCTGAACAATGATCCTTGAAACGGAGAAAAAAGTGTTCTTCTTTTTCAGGCGACTAATCGAGCACATCGGCGCGAACTTGGAGTCGGAAAGCACGACGATCCGTGTGCAACGACACCGATTCGGACCGTTCGGCGGAGAGGATTGTCTGCTCGAGAAACAGATTAGTTTACAGAACATCGCACGGAATATCCACTTGAATCGGTTGGATTTTTAAACAAAATGGAAAATGACCTTAAAAAATTCCAGAAAAATCCTGGCTGCGTCCGAATCGATGGACACGCGAATTGTGGAGCATCGGAGCACTTGTGACGAGGAAAACGAGGAAAATGGGCGGAAAAGAGAGATTTTCGACGGACTCGGACTGAAAGAATCGACGAAAATCGAGGATTACGATGCGATGCGGCCCGCGTGGCACAGAAATTATAATTGAATCACTTGTCCTTTGTTCTATTCTAATCTTTATATCATTACTTTACAAAATATATAGAACAGTTAGACAGAAAATGCGAATTCGAGTTTTAATTTTTTCGGGCCAAAATAATCGTTTTTATAGAAGACAAAAGATGTGATAACGGGTGGAGAGTTTTATGAAAAAAATCACAAAAATTGTTTCGTGTGTGTGTGTGTGTGGCCGTAAATTCATCGAGCGAGGAAGTATCCGAAGACGAGAAGAGCCGAGGAGAGCGGAGCAAAGTGGGCGGAGCCTTTCGTGGTCGATTCGACGGACGGAGCAGCCGACGGGGAAGCCGGTCCGGCGGACACTGTCGATCCTGTCACCGCCTGAAAAATTTCCACTTTTTTAATCGTATATCTTATTGTAGACTAGAAAAAGTGACCGAAAGGTTATGGAAATTTTGAAACACTAAACAGTTTTTGTGCGTTGTTGCCGATCTTTTTACGATCACCGATTTCGAAAGAGGAACACCGGGGGCCGTTTATGGTTACATAAAATCGGGTACGAGAGCGGTTTCGCAAAATTCGTGAGCTTTTGATTGAAGGCAACAAGATATTGTACTACAATCAGGGCTCCAAGAATTGAATTGAACTTGCACTACAATAATAGGTTATTTGGAATCCGGGAATCGATTGAAGTGAGCGCGGAAACGGCAAATCCAAAGGCTCTCAAGCTTGAGCCTGAACCTGAGCATAAAGCGTTCAAGCATTTGCTCCAAGACCCTGTCGGAATGTTCCTCAGTGAGAAACGGATTTACACAGCCGTATGCGTAGTGCCTTTCTATCTCTGCAATACCTCAACTGGAGCCTGCGATGCTCCGTCGGCACTTCCGGAAACCTCCGCGACGTTCTTCGTGACGACACCTTCTCCGCCCTCGACTGCTCCGGAGACGACTTCGGCTGGTGCGGCGGTCGGAGCCGGCGCCTCGGCGTCGTCGGCTGAAAAGTATCATGGGCGACGGGCTACACAAACCCTTCGTACCGTAGGCGAAGACGGCGATGGTGACGAGCAACACGGCGACGAACTTCATCTTTTGTAGAGAGGAGGGGAGAAGAAGAGGACGGCTGAAACGATAAAAAGTGTGTCGAGCGATGTGCTTTTTATAGAGTGACGGGCGGTGCCAACGAACATTCACACGATATGGAAATGAGGAAAAAGTGTGATAGCGCCCACAGAGAATATTTCGTTACAATCGAGGAAGAATAAGGAAGAAGAAGAAGAGGAAGAAGGGGAAGAACGCTTTTATCGCCGATATATTCTTTTATGGGCCCGTACATGATGACGTGGCAGAACGAGGAGGAACGGAACAGCGGCGACGAGATTTTCAAAGCTGGAGTCGGAGAATTTTTGGAAAAATTCGAGAACGAATGATGATGCGGAAAAGAGGACAATAGCGATTCCTTTCATTTTTGAGTGAATAGAGCCATGAATAGAACCATATTAGCATGATAAAAACGGGAAAACGAACATTTGAACAGTGATGTTGGGTCTCTAGGGTAACTCGAAAAAGTGGCGAAAATCGAGAATTCGTGTCAATAAAATTGGGGAAAATCGCGCATTTGGACACGAGTAATGACCGATTTTCCCCTTTTTTTTTGCCCAATGACGACTGGTTTTCGATGCGCAATTATTGCGGTTTCTAGAACTTCAAAAAGCTGCAATTCGGACGTGTGCTGTCAGGAAGAGACAATATTTTTTGGCGCGCGCGCGGAGAAAAGAGGAGAGTGTAAACATCTTCTGCCTCTTCTTTTCGTACTGCTCCTCCGCGCGTCGACAACTGAAAACACAATATTTGAAGAGAGAGAGAGAGAGAGAGAGTTCGGAATCTAATTGAGAATTCTGCAAAAGCACGCAGAAAAATGGAGATGGAACGGATAAATTTGCCTTTTTTTACAGGGGGGAAATTGAATTTTTCTCTACTGTTTCAACGAGAAAACGTTTCTGATGCCATACGATGTGTATGAGCAACAAATTAGAAATTCACGGAATTATTACAGAGTAGTTATGAATAGAATAGTGGGAGGCCATCTGGAGGGGGACCAAATGAGAAGAAGCATACGTCGGGGGGCTTCTACTCTTCTGATAACAATTCAATTGTAGTGTATTCTTCAAAATGAGTTCATTGGGGATTTTAATCATTCTAAAGCGCATCTACGATCGGAGCGCTGATTTCACGAGGTTCGGAGTTGGAGATGAGGATCCGGACGACTGTTTAGGAGAAGAAAGTACCCAAATAAACCGAAAAAGCCGCCAAGAAACAAAAAGTAATACATTTTGACTAATTAGCCGGCGGACTTCCATAAAAAACCTTAGTCATGAAGTACAAAAAGTGGGTTTGACGTGAGCACATAGCAATCCAGTCAGAGGGACCGACAGAGTTGATCCGAAGGGACCAGGTGATTTAAAAGTTGGCGATGAGGATCCAGTCAGAGCGGACGTACAAAACGAGAAGAAAGATAGTTTCAGATGAGTACTGAAAAAGGTTGCTGCCAATTATTTGGCGCCGAAAAAAGGAAAGAGTGCAACTGAAAACCATCGTTTCCGCCGCGGAAAATGTGTAATTTGACACCAATTTTTCGTCGCTTTGCATTTGCGTTTTCGCGTTTTTTTCTTTGCCGGGCCCACGCATACCAAATATCATTCATTTCCACGTGTGTTGCACACGATTTTTGATGTTTTATGCAAAAATATAAAAAGTGATGACGTAAAGAATCAGTATAACCTATTATAAAAGTGTGCTTATCAAAACAAACCGTCGACATTCGCTGTTCGCCCTAGAAATGCGATGAATCCGGAGGGAAAATAATAATATATTGAATGGGGAATCCGCCTTCATTCATACCAATTTTATGATTATTGACACTCGCGAAAAAGTGGATGAATTGTATACGAATGGGCAAGTTTTCCCCAATCATTTTAATGGTTTTTCACGGAATGCTTATCAGGGATGAGCCGGGATTTTTTTGAGGGGGCGGATTTGATGATTAATAAAAGTAGTCGCGTCTTCGTAGGGCTACAGTAGTCTTGGGAAGAGAGATAGAAATAAGTGATCAACTATAAAGATGCAGTGCTAGTTTTGAACTTTATTTTTGTAGTTGACAACTTTTTTGTACTATCACTTTCTGGAGTACTGTAGCTCTTGAAAGTTGGGGGTTACTTTTGAAGGCTCTGAACTGACCCCAACTTCCAAGAGCTACAGTTCCCCGAGGAGTTGCCCTAGAAAAAAGTGATCAACTGCAAAAGTACAGTACTAGACACGAAGATTACACATAAAACATTTTTGAGACAATAATACACGTTCATAGTCAACAAAACAGATTCTTTATTCTCCGTCTCTCTTGAAATTCCGCGACTTTTTCGCCTCCACGGTTACCCCGCTCTTCGTCTTGTTCACCGATTGTGCACGCGTTTTCGACGGGTTTCCAGCTTCGTCATCGTCATTCTGAAACAATTTAATTGTGGAAAATGCGTTCGCTCCAAACGTTTCTCACATTCGTCGTGCTCTCTTTGCTCAACTTCTTCGTTCCTCTGTCGTTTCTCGCTTGCGGCGACTTTTTTGTGGAAGTCGGCGGGGAAGGGGCTTTCAGATTGGCCCATTTGTCAATCTGAAAGTTTCAATTCATAAACTTTTCTATTCGATCACTAAACTCCGAACAACATTTTGTCCGAAACCAGATTCTGGGGTACAAAGCTCTAAACTAGCACCAACTTCCAAGAGCTACAGTATCCCGGGGAGTAGAGGTAGAAAAAAGTTGTCAACTACAAAGTTGTCACAAATTTCATCCTAATCACTTTTCCAGTTGACAGTTTTTTGTCAAAACGCTTCCGAACCTTGAAAAACGGTCCCGGCAGCTCCCACGGCGCGTCGTTCTGCTTTCTCGCCGCCAACTGCTCTTCGGTCGATTTCGTGCTCTCCCAGTCGTACGCAGAATTCCACGTGGCGTTTGACTTTGTCATCACTTCCTTCAGGAACACGTGCACAAGTTCATAATTTGGATGCTGATAATAGTTGGCGGCCCGGAGCATCGCCTCGATCGCATCCAACTGCTTCTCCATTTGCGCCGTCAGCCGGTCCGGACGGCGATCTGTGCTGATTGGATTACTGTAGAATTACTGTAGTCCAATCCAAGCCTACCATCGGTATACACCCTCAAAAGGGTCGCCTGATTCTTCATGTCCTCGACGGGAATCGGAGAGTCGCCGGTCCACGGCAATTCGACGAAAAGCTCGGCGATCATGTACATCAGCGACCACACGTCGTCCGCGCGGCCCTACAATATATCAACAACTGGTTGGTGGCCGTGCGAATCCTCGGCCACGTACCAAATCCTTCAGTGCGTGGGCGTTCGGCGATGCGTACATGTCGGTGCCGCGGAAATCCGTGCTCGGACGCGCCTTACGGAACTTGAAAGTGACCGCTTTCTCCTTCTCCTCGACTGTTTTCATGCTGTTGTTGTTATTGTTATTGTTGGCTTTGTTTGTCACTTTTGGAGCAATAAGACGATTTCTGATCTTTTTCTGGAAATCAGAGCATTACTGATATCCTACAATCGCTCCAAAAATTACTGTAGCTCTTGGAAGTTGGGGGTTACTTTTGAAGGCTCTGAACTGGCCCCAACTTCCAAGAGCTACAGTACCCCGGGGAGTAGTCCTAGAAAAAAGTGGTCAAGTACAAAAGTACAGTACGAGACATGAAGATCACACTGACCGTGGCCCCATCCTGCTTCGCTTCCGTCCCCGCCGCCTTCTTGCCGCCCTTCTTCATCGGTCCTCCGACCGTCGTCTTCGTCATCGTCGTCTTCTGAATCGTCCTCGACGGCGCCGCCTTCACCACCACAATCGGCTCTTCCTGCTGCTTCACGAACCGGCGCGCGAGTCCAAAATCGAAGAGCATGATCTTTCGGGCGGCCGAATTGAGGGCGACCGCAAAGTTGGCCGGCTTGATGTCACGGTGCACGAATCCGTAGTCGTGCATCATTTTCAGACTGCGAAAAACAAAAGTGCGGCGGAGCGCGTTAGCAATAAACTCACGCATAAAGGCACTGAATGCCCACTCGGGACCAGGTCCCATCGGAAAATGCATCCGGATTCGGACTGCGCGCTTTCAGCACTTTCAGATTGTCGCCGAGCAGTTCCATAACGAGAAAATGGAATTTCGGACGTCGGCCGAAACACTTCATCGAAGGAAACACGTTTCCGGTGGGCAGGTGCTTCAGAGCATTGGCCTATTGGAAATTCATTGGAAAATCGGAGTTGCCGCGCGCGCGTCCGTACCTCCGCTTTGATCGCCGAGCCGCCCTCGAGGTTGTCCGGCTCCAGTTTCATCGCGCAAAACGTTTTCCCGTCGTCGTCCGACACTTTGAACACTTTTCCGAATCCGCCTTCATCGATCTTTTTCACTAGTTTGTAACCCTTGATTCTGGAAATGAGGGACTAGAATTCACACGGCCACCTCTCCCTTCACTCACGTTTGTCCGATATCGAAAAGAGGCTCTTCCGCCGCTTTTCCTCCGTTTCCGTTTTCTTTCGACATTTTTTGATAGCAATGAGGAGGGAGGGAAATGTGGAGAGAGAGAGAGAGAAAAGGACACGCGGGAATTTGAAACATTCAAAGAGAACGGGAAATTGTCTGGCCCGTTCGGCCTACTTTTGAACAAGATGGGCCCAGTTGGAGTCTACTGATTGTTTGTCGGCAACTCTCCCGTTTTGCAACCATTGCGAATCTTTCACACCTTTACGTTTCGCAACCGGTGCTGCCCCGAATGGGAACTGCCCGAAAAAAAAATAAATAAATGGTGGAGAAATAAAAAAATGGTGGAGAGCTAAAAAAAATGGTGGAGATTTTAAAAAATGGTGGAGAAATAAAAAAATGGTGGAGAGCTAAAAAAAATGGTGGAGATTTTAAAAAATGGTGGAGAAATAAAAAAAATGGTGGAGAGCTAAAAAAATGGTGGAGATTTTTAAAAAAATGGTGGAGAAATAAAAAAATGGTGGAGATTTTTAAAACGTGGTGGAGAAATTAAAAAAATGTGGAGATTTTTAAAAAAATGGTGGAGAAATAAAAAAATGGTGGAGAAATAAAAAAAATGGTGGAGAGCTAAAAAAATGGTGGAGAAATAAAAAAATGGTGTAGAGCTAAAAAAATGGTGGAGAAATAAAAAAATGGTGGAGAGCTAAAAAAATGGTGGAGAAATAAAAAATGGTGGAGAAATAAAAAAATGGTGGAGAGCTAAAAAAAATCGTGGAGAGCTAAAAAGAGAGCTATGGTGGAGAAATAAAAAAATGGTGGAGAAATAAAAAAATGGTGGAGAGCTAAAAAAATGGTGGAGATTTTTAAAAAAATGGTGGAGAAATAAAAAAATGGTGGAGAAATAAAAAAATGATGGAGAAATAAAAAAATGGTGGAGAGCTAAAAATGGTGGAGAAATAAAAAAATGGTGGAGAGCTAAAAAAATGGTGGAGAAATAAAAAAATCGTGGAGAGCTAAAAAAATCGTGGAGAGCTAAAAGAGAGCTAAAAAAAAATGGTGGAGAAATAAAAAAATGGTGGAGAGCTAAAAAAAATGGTGGAGAAATAAAAAAAATGGTGGAGAAATAAAAAAAATGGTGGAGAAATAAAAAAATGATGGAGAAATAAAAAAATGGTGGAGAGCTAAAAAAAATGGTGGAGAAATAAAAAAATGGTGGAGAGCTAAAAAAATGGTGGAGAAATAAAAAAAATGGTGGAGAAATAAAAAAATGGTGGAGAGTTTAAAAATTTTTGTTGTTTTCGTATACTTTTAGGCATTCTCGATTTTTTGGAAGCATTTCGAGAATTAAAAAAAATTAGACCAAGTCGTCGGGGGGTCATGACAAAATTTTCGAAATGCTTCAAAAAAATCGAGAATTCCTAAAAAAAAAACATACGAAAACAACAAATATCGCGATCAGAACCCTCCGAAAATTGAGCAAACGCGCTTTTCTCATGTTCGCGAACATTTTTCCATGCAAAAGTACTCTGAATTTTGTGAATTACGGCCAAAAAACCCCTTGATGTCAATCGGGATCGGGGTGAACTTTTTTTTTGCAGAAGCACAATAATGTCTAGATTCAGAATCAGCAATAAAATCATGGCAATGTAGTGTTAAAATTTTTCAGGACGAGCAGAAAACTTAAAAATTTTCTGAAAAATGTCACAAACCAATTTTTTCCTCCATAAAGGAGGGGTGCCAAATGTTTGGTCCCAACGTGAAATATACTCAAAAGGATGCGAGAAATCCAATGGCGTTGAGTCTGAGACGCTAGCATTTTTTTGAAATTAGTTACAGGTTTGATCTATTTTGTGACCGTGATCGGACTAGGGACCACGGAGCCGGACCAAAACTTGTCTGATGTATTACTGTTATGTAAGTACCCATTGGGTATAATATGGGACAAATTGAAGCATTCTGAATTTTTAGTGACCTGCAGTTTTTGAACTTCTCAGACATTGCCTCTTAACTCTGGTAAATGTATCGAACCCTACCTAATTATGCAAGAAGCCCTCGGACACACTCGAAACAACGCCACTTGTAACTCGATTTCATTTGATCAGTGGAAATCCAAGGGTTATACAATCTTTGGTTTTGAACTCAGTCCAGCAGCTCATGAATCATCTCTGTTTGAACTTGCACGCCCCACCAACACATCTATTCGTATCAACTTTGACAAACCAACCCCTGAAGGAGGTGTCTATTGTGTTGTCTATGCTGAATTTGATCAAATTTTGGCCCTGGACTATCAACGTAATCCCATCATTGATACCGTAATTTGAATAGTGTAATAAATTGTGTTTTCGAGAAAAGTTTGACTGAAAAAAAAACGGTGCAAAGCCGTCACTGCGTGCGGACTCACTCCATCCCTTAAACTGTCGGAATCACTTGAAAGCAGACTTGCAACGAGCCGGGCCGGGCCAAAATTGGAAATTTTCCGGCCCGGCCCGGTCGGCCCGGGAGGATGCACCTAAAAATTCAAAGCAAACTAGAACTTCGAAACGAACATAATTTTATAGACTTAAAATTTTATAGACTTAAAAAGGCAATGTTATAGCATAAAAACCTGTTAAAAAATAGAAATTGCTGTTTAAAGTCGCAAAATTTTCACAAAAATTACGAAAATTTTCTCAAGAGTGGGCGGAGCCGGGCCGGGATTTGGTAAGTCTGCTTGAAAGTAGCCGCGTGTAGCCATAAATGTGGCCACACGGGCTCTCAGACTGACTTCCATTTTTGTTTTCGCGTTTTTTCAAAAGAACGGTACGTTTCACGTGAAATGGAGTTGTTCATTGGATTAAAATCAAGAGAAAATTCGTCAGGCCACGCCCCCCCCCCCTTTGTTTCTCGTTGTAATGAAGTTATTCAGGCTGTGAAAAAAAATGATTTTTTCCGTTTTTTTTCCGTTTTTTTACGTCAAAAAACCCAATTCAGAGATGTAAAAAAGCGAAAAAAAAACGGAAAACAAACATACGCTGAATAGCCCCATAAGCAATTTTTGAGCAACGCGTAACCAAAAAGTTCAATCACTTTCCAATAGTAATATTTTCTCTCGTTCTCTTTTTCTGCTTATTCACAATCGTTTTTCTGTTTCTCACTTGTTTTCGTTACCAACGAACTGTTTCATGTGAATGTCTCAGGGCTGGGCAATTGGCCGGCCCGGGCTTTTTGTTGGCCGACCATTGACCTGGACTTTTGAACCACTTGCAATATTCCGATCGGACCCAAACTTTGCAGGATTGTTGCACTTGGATTAAGGGTCATTGGGACCAAGTTTCAGCCCAATCGAATCGTCGGGTCCCGAGATACGTGTGGATCATTGGCCGATTTTTTCCAAAAAGCCCGGACTTCCGGCCAATTTCGGCCAATTATCCACATATCTCGGGACCAGATGATCCGATCGGTCTGAAACTTGGTCCCAATGGCCCTCAACCCATGTCCAAGAAGCCTGCAAAGTTTGGGTCCGCTCGGAACATTGCAAGTGCTTCAAAAGTCCCGGTCAAGGGCCGGCCAACGAAAAGCCCGAAAGAAAACACTTTTTGCTACGCTTTCATGTTCTGATTTAGAAAGTATTGCCATAATGAGTTCTGATTCGGGCAGTTTCCATTCGGGGCAGCACCTCGCAACCAGATGGAGCTCGAGACAGGTGAGCAAGTGTGAGGAAGCAGACGGGCAGACGGCTCCAGTCCATCGATTACTAGGTCATTCCCCATAATGAGCCCTCCGACAAACCACCACGTTTCGCTCTCGTTGATCGGACGAAGAGCTGTGCTCCAGTACTTGAAAATATCCAAAAGGTAATAGGGCCGGCAACTTCCCCATCAATCAATAAAATGTCGATTTGCAGAATCGCGTTGGCCAAATCATGTCCGAGTGTGCGAACACTTCACAACACTCTCGGATTCCTCTTCAAACAAGTGCAAATCAAAGAGGACCGTGTCGTATTTGACGGGTGTCTTACGTGGAAATGGAGTGATCAACAGATGCTCACCGGTCCGAATGGAACTGTCAAATCTGCGGGAAATTTGGAAGATGTCGTCGAGTTTTATCTCAATCGAGAACGCACGTTTGTCGTGGATTTGCGCATGGAGGTGTGTCTCTATCTCTTTTCTATTCAATTAATCTCTCAGGACGGATTCGAAATGTTCAAAACGCGCAATTTCGTTCCGATCACAGTGAGTTGCTGCGTTGTGGAGAACGAAGAAATTGACGAGGCATTTTTCGAATATTTCCAAAAAAATGCATTTGCTTCTTTTCGCATTAACAGGGTTTGTAAGGGCGGCACCATTTTCGAATATATCGCAGTGAGTTTTGGCCATTTTTTTTGTTGCTCTAAAATCAGATTTTCGGAAGTCTTTTTGCAGAAACTAACAACGAAATCAATATACATTTTGACCATCCGACCTCCGAATGAAATCCTTCTCAACGGGGATTTCGAGAAAATGAAAGTTTGCGTAATTCCCAGCGAACGTAGTCGCGGAGAGGATTTCTTGATGCTTTGCACGGTAAATTCTTCAAATTTTAATCCCATTCTTCATGTTTTTCGTCGAAATTTCCAATTTCGCTCATTGTGAGCTAAAACGAGCAGATTTTCGTCATTTTTGCGGTTCGAACGATGCTTAGAATGCTTGTTTTTACAGAAAACCGTTGCGTTTTCACGAAAATCGATTTCTAATCGTTATTCAACACAAAACCAGCAAATATTTTGAATTATTTGCAGAAAATGCTGGAAAAACCTCGCGCCGTCGGTTCGGCGTCCTCTTATTTGTTAAATCAGTCGCATGATTGGAGTCTGAAAGCGTTTTGTGATGAGATTAAGACAGAGTTCGGATTGGAGGAGCGATACTTAAGGAATTCCAATATGTACGTTCGTTTTGACTTAAAAATGTCGAAAAATAACAATTTCAGAGGAGTTTTGTGGAAGAAGTTGGAAGATGGGAAAGAATTTGCGATCAAGTGCATCTGGGGTTCAAGGTACCGCCGGTACGATTTTGTGGCCAGAATAGTCGAGGAGGGTTCGACGGTTAGTTTTTATTTACACTGAACACGTTCACAAAGCAAATTTACACATTTTTATGTCGATAAAAGTCTCGAGAAGCACGAAGAAGTTAAAGTTCGCAATAGAGCGCGTTTGCTCGATTCTACAAGACTTTTTTCAAAAATCTGCTAAAAATTGCCGTTTCAGCACAAAATAATCGAAATGAAGAGAAGATTTCGGTAAAATTTATAATTTCAGGTGGCTCCAGAAGACCTCTGCGCGCCGCTTCGATACAATGGCCTATACATCAATGCCTATTCGCATTTCACAGTTTTTTGCCGTGCAAAAATGCTTCTCGGGCGGGACAACTCAACCCGACGCATTTTCAAAACAATCGTCCATCATTTGTGGCCCAAAATGCTCATTTTCTTCATTTCCCTTCTACTTATCTCGCTCCCTTTCCTTCTCATTTTCTCCATTTGGTTCTCCAACCTATTGATCCCCTTATTGTGTGACGTGGCTTTCTGCGCCCTCCTCGTCCTCATCATTTACATTTCTTTTGAAGGTAGCTGGGATTGTGAAAAAGGAGTTTATTTTCACCGAGATTTATGTGCACTTCATCGAGAGCCCGAACATTTTCCATTTTATTTAATCGTCTGAATAAAGATTTCCGATAAAAAAACGCCGAAGCTTCGCATATCGCCTCGCAAGCCGGGACTTTTGACCGAGTTGGAATTTCCCGATCGGACCCTAAAAAAGATTGTCCGAGTGAAAAAACACAATTCGCAAAATTTCGGCAGGTCTGCTGAAAACCCCGAAGCTCCGCCCCTTTTGCACGAAAGTTATAGCGGCACGCGGAACCCGCGAGGTGTCGGCACACGGGTGCCCATAAATGGCAGCCGGCTGCTGAGCGCTTCGGATTTTATCCCAGTTACCAAGGTATGCTGGTCGTTTTGATCTTTCGAAAGAAAGTGTCGAACATTTGTAATTTTTGGATAAGCTCTATCGGGGAATCCGGTGGGGCGAAATAATGTAGAAATTGCAAGGGAGAATGCGATGCGTGATAGACTTTTTCCACGATAAAAAAAATCTATACGGTCTTTTCCTTCATTTATTCTCCCGAATCTTCTCGACGGATAACGATGAGTTTACATCGAATTCGTCTCGTTCTTTGTGCACTACTCATTTGTCAAGGTATCCGTTTTCGAGAAAAAAAAGGGAAATTCGTCGTTCTTTCAGTGAATGCGTTCTTGAGCGGCATAACCCCTCCGATGGGATCCAAAGATTCGCTTGCAGGGGCGTTCGGCGGATCTCCAGTCGATAATAATGTGAAAGTCGTTTGGAGAACTCTGGCGGTGGGTCACAGAAGAATTTTTGTAAAGAAAACATCAAAAATCGCACAAAATTTGACGTTTCGCAACCGATGAAATCGAGACACCTTTTATAGTAATCTGAAAAGCAGAATTAGCAACAGAAAAAAAATTTCAGCCCGGTCAAGTACCGCCCGTTTGGAATCTCCAACTGGGACCAAGCACGGGGCCTCCGACCCAAGAACCCAGTACCGATGTCCCAACGGATGCTCCGACGACGCCGTTGGATACTTCAGATGCTCCGACGACGCCGTTGGATACTTCAGATGCTCCGACGACGCCGTTGGATACTTCGGATGCTCCGACCACTCCGTTGGATGCTTCAGAAGCTCCGACGACGCCGTTGGAAACTTCGGATGCTCCGACCACTCCGTTGGATACTTCAGAAGCTCCGACGACGCCGTTGGAAACTTCGGATGCTCCGACCACGCCGTTGGATACTTCAGATGCTCCGACCACACAGACCCAAGATCTCAGTACCGATGCTCCATCTCCGAGCACCGAACAAGCCACGACTCAAGATCCAAACTATTCGGGTAAGCATCGGCCACCCCAGAATCCCGGCACTCTGTCTTTCCAGATATTTTCGACGCAGACTATGATCATCCATTTTCAGTAGTTCCGACGGGTCCGAGCACGACGGAAGTGCCGCTCGACGCCTCCTCCACAACCAATCCTTCCTTTGCTGGCAACCGAGCCGGCGGACGGGTATGCCCACGCGTTCCCCACTTTCTCACTGGACCACTATCACTTTTTGCCTCTTTTTGCAGCGCACCGACCTCGAACGGCTACCGGACGGTCGACTCATCAAAAATTTGACGAAGGATTTCGAGACATTTGTAAGCGGTTTCACTCGTTTTCGTCCAAGAGCGCGCGCCCCGAAATTTCAGAACGGAGACACGAACTGGACGAGGATTGTGGCGAATCAGCAAGAGGTGTACGTGTTGCATCCGGTGCAGACGAACGGGAAAACGATGGTCTTCGATCCGTACACGATCGGACAAGTGCTCGGCTACATTTATGAGGTACGGTGTGGTACGGTCAGTATACACGCACACTACACCAACACTTTGAGCTGTCCGAATTCGGTCCGTCGGGACCGCCCGGTGGATTCACGATCGTTTTGATGAACGGAGGAAGCGGTAAAGTTCCGTCGAGCCAAAAAAGATCAGTCGCCGTAAAAAGCCGCACCGGAACGTTGATTTTCACACGAAAAGTGCGGCGGCGCACGCAAAACGAGCACAAATATTGGCAAAATGTTTGGAAATAGCTGAGGCGCCCTCCTCTTTGAATACTGCAGTAGCATTTTGGATTGAATAAAACATTTTTTAAAAAAGCAGAGCGTTTCCAGAAAAAAACCTTTGAAAAGACCGAAAACGAATCAAAATATTGATTGCAATTGTTCCAAATCATCGTAGGGCACATCGTTCCAGACGTCCTCGGATCTCTTAGATTTCAATCGGAAAATGAGCGTCGCCGCTCTGCTCTTTCCAGGGACCGATCGTTTTTGGCTCGACGGAAGGTTTCCGCCGTTCATCAGTGCGATCGTGAATCCTCCGGGCGGTCCTTGAGGTCCGAACTCGGCCAGCTGAAAGTTGAAATTGTGTGTGTAGACACCGTCACGTCACAATTCACACTTTCAAAGCTACCGTAACCGGTGACATTGCATTGCATACCCTACCGTACCTCATAAATGTAGCCGATCACTTGTCCGATCGTGTACGGATCGAATACCATCGTTTTCCCGTTCGTCTGCACCGAATGCAACACGTACACCTCCTTGTTGTTGGCCACCACTCGACTAAAAACGTCGGTAGCGTTCTAGACAATCTTCTGTGACTGTGTAGAACATTTTTCAGAAAAATACGTACAAAAGCCTCGAAATTCGGGTTCAACGCGCTGAAATTGAGTCCGTTGGGCAGTTGCTCGAAATGATTTTTCTGAAAGAACAATAATTGAGATATTGTAGATTTACATAACAATGGAGACCAACGTTTCCGGCCGCCTGATTACCAGTTCCATTCCACGTTGCGTTCGGACCCGGACCTTGGTAGTTGGACGACGGATTCGTCGTATTGATCAGCATCTGAAGGGTGTTGTTTCCAAGGTTGTGAGCCGTTTGGGTGGCATTGCTCAAAACTGAAATCGTCCCGTTGACCACACTCAAAGTATTGTTGGCAGCATTGAAAACTCCTTGCGAGACATTGCTGACCGCATTGGTGAGAGTACCGTTTAGACTGTGGACGGTTCCGTTTGCAACGTCTCCAACACTATTGTTGATGTGCGTGACGGTTCCATTGACAACCGCATTGCTGACAGTGTTGTTGATCGCTTGGATGCTTCGATTGATAGCATTCCCGATCGGATCCGTCACATTTTTCGCTTCGAGTGTTTTTGTAATGTCGTTGAGGTTCAGACTGCCAAAAGACAGGACACCTCCGAAAAACGTTTTTCAGAAATCGTCGGCAAACACGTGCTGTCGTTTACCTTGGCAGACGATGAGAACGATGAAAGCGAGTGTCCAACGCATGGTTCGAGAAGAATCTGACTGGAGTTTTCAATTTTCTCGCGAAATTTTGTTATCAACACTATGCACATATTGATCAAATGCTGTCACGTTTCAAGACAATTTCTCAGTAATTTTTGTGATTAAAAATTGACATTTGCAGGTTAAAATACACACAATTTTCCCTGATTTTGTTCAGCTTCCCCATTTTCTTCGGTTTTTCGCTGAAAACCCGTTTCAAATCCTCGTGCTTCGCTCCAATCGGTCAATTTCGCAACCGAGTGCGGTGGAGCGCACTTGCAGCACCGTTCCGTTTCCACGTCGTCTCGCTCATTTTACACCGCTTGGAGCTCATTTTTCGAAGCGAACGCGATGAGCTCGAAGCTCTATTCACGTTCCGGCGTGTTTGTGTGGAGTCCACGTGGCATTCAGACCAAGGTGAATATCGATTTTTGCGGAAAAACTAACAAAATTATGTGATTTCTTGCAGGGCTTGATTGTCGCCGATTTCGCGCAGTTTTTCGATCCGAATGCCACGTCGATCGAGCAGAAAATCGATTTTTTGTCGGCGAAAAACGTGTTGGAACAGCCGAATTTGCAGCCGAGCGTCTCGGTGAATACAAATTATCGGTGAGAATTTATTTGTGAGCGGAAGTATGCAAATTTTCGGTTTTGTGTTCAGATTCAATGAATTGGCGTGGACTTCGATGTGCTCCGACGCGCATCCGAACGGAATTATCGCCGGAGGCACTGAGGACGGATCCGTCGTCTTTTTCGACGCGAATCGACTTGTCAAAGGTGTGAAAATGTGGAGAATGCAAACATTTCGGAAAAATCTATCAACAATGCCTTTTTCTAATTAAACTTTCTCTAGAAATCACAAAAAGGCTATTTCAAAAATTCCAGAAAATCGTCTAGAAGTGCTCAGCGCTCGAAAAGATCATCACGGCCACGTGTTCACTGTCGATGTGTCCAGAGACGGAAGGTTCGCATTTTTCTTTACAAAGCGCCTTTGCCTGGACTTTTGACCAACTTGCAGTATTCCGATCGGACCCAAACTCTGAAGGCTTCTTGAACATGGATTAAAGTATTCAGGGTCCAATTTTCAGACCCATCGGATCATCTGGTCCCGAGATTTACTGGTTTGAGGCCGAAGAGACCGCAATTTACGTAACAACCCGGTCTTCTCGGCCTCTTATTCACATATCTCGGGACCAGATTGTCAAATCGGTCTGAAACTCGGATCCAAGATACTTCAATACAAGTCCAAGAATCATGCAAAGTTTGGGTCCGATCGGATTGTTGCTTAAAAAAATGCTTTTCAATTTTGCAGATGGATAGCGTCGGGAGGTGGTTCCGGTCAGATCCTCCTCTGGGACTGTGCCAACCTAAAAACGCCATTCTCGCCCGGATCGCCGAATTTCCAGGACCAAGTGAAACTTTTGAGGTGGAACCTTAAAAATGAGTCTGTTTTTGCGTCGATTTCGTCGAGAAGGGTCTCGTGCTGGGATCTACGACGCAACGGAGCGCCCGTCCTCGAATTCGCAGAGGTTGTTATTGACTTCTCGCTTTAATTTTTATCAGGGCTGGACAAATTTCGGCCCAAGCTTTTTCAGGCCTGGAATTTTGACCTCCAAACTTTGCAGGCTTTTTGGACTTGGATTAAAGTATTTTGAGTCCAAGTTTCAGACTGAGCGGATCATTCGGTCCCGAGAATCGGACCGAGATATACTAGTTTGAAGCCAATTTGCTTTATGTACTCGATGTTCTTTTGATTATTGAGTTGAAGCAGTTTTTGGTTGAGATAAACCAACCAAATTGTACCAAGACGTTGAAAAGAAAAGAAATGTGTTGATTCTTTGCAGATTGCCTCGTGCGACTGGTCCTCCCTGTGCTGGAATCCGTCGGATGCGTCTCAGTTGATCGTCGGCAGCCAGTCCCAAATGGTTTCAGTCATTCAGAAGTGGGATTCGCGGTTCACGTCGACGCCCATCAAGGAATACAGACACCATCAGCAGGGGGTCACCTCTATCGATTGGTTAGTCGCGAAAAGACTTCTTCTTTTTCAAACAGCACCTTATTGACTCTGTAATTCCAGCTTATAATCGCATTTTGACAAACTTGGCCTAGGATCCGATGGAGTTTTCTAGGCCAAGTCTGCCTTTTGGAAAAATCAAAAGTTTTTCGAACACGTCATGAAAATACTGGCCAAAAACATGCCGTTTACAGAATTTTCATTTTCTTCAATTACAATTTGCAGGAATAAATCGGATGATCGTCTTTTGATTTCTGCCGGATGCGATGGTCAAGTCATTATTTGGAATCACGAAACTGCCGAGGTATTTGTGAATTTCAGCCGTTTCTCATATTCTCCACAAAAAACCCGTATTTGCAGGTGCTCGGAGGAGCCGGAAGTCTTCAGGGCGACTGGATCCGAAGTGTTCGGTGGAACGAGGAGGAGTCCGACCAATTCGCCATCCAATATTTCCAGCATCCCATTCAAATATCCTCTTTGACCAGTTTGGGAGCGCCGCAGCCTGGCGTGCGTTTTACAGTTTCAAAAAATGTTATTTTGTCTAAGAGTTCGGATTTCATTTAATTTCCTTCTTCCACGATATTCAGAGATTTTTTGCACTTCCGAGCGTCATCGAAGTTTGGATAACAGAGCAAACAATTAAGAATTCCCTAAAAGTCCATGTTTTGCAGACGGAAGTGCTGGCCGCCCGCATCTCCGACCAATTCGTGCCCGCGTGGCACCGTGCCCCTCTCATCGGCTCCTCAGTTGCCCTCGGAGCTCGCCTGGCGACATTCTGGAAGTCGTACGATGCGCAGACGCAGAAATGGAATCACAACGTGGAGGTGGAGACGATTGCGGCCGGAGACGACGTCGGAGTGGCCGATATTGCGCAGTACTTGCACGTAAAGGACGACAAGAGGAATCTGGGGTGGTATCTGCACGAGAGGTACGGTTTTGGAAAAGAATATTAGAGAATACAAAAAAAATGAGTTCAGAGCGTACGCGCTGTCGAAGAATCCATCCGAACAATCGGAGCTCGAATCGAAAGTGTGGCTCGTTCTTTTGGCCTTTCAGGAAGACGCGAGTCGCTCGAAAATTCTCAAATATCTCGGACTAATCGAAGAAAATAAAGAGGATGAAGTGGTGCAGCAGAATACGGTCACTTCGCAAAGTGCCATCACCACAACGACCACCACCAATACGGTAAAATCTGGAAGAAAACTAAATTTCGAACTAAAATCTCGGTGAAAAGTTGTAAATTTACCTAAATCTAAAACACATTTTCTCGTAAAATTCATAATTCTCGATTTTTTCCAGCGTTCGGCCCGTTCGGCGTCTGTAATTTCGGAAGCGACGACCGAAGGAGAAGGCGCCGAAGTTCCGATTGTCGAGAGATGTTCGGCAGTGGATTGGAGCCATTTGGGTTGGGATTCTTGTTGAATTTTATACAGTTTGTCTGAAAAGTAGACATTTTTCATTTGAAACTGAAAGCTTTCCAACTTTTTGTAATTTTGAGGTTACAAAACATCACGTTTTCCGGCTCTAGCTTATTTCCATGAAAACAGCACTCTTTCGAGTAACGAAGCATTGTCTGACAAGGAAATGGATTGCAGACGCCTCGGGATGGGACCTCCTTCTGCACACGATCCGCCAGGACCATCTGGCGGTCATCCGCCTTCTGATCGCCTCGAAACAACACGTGGCGGCGATGATGTACGCGGCACAGCACGAGTCGGACCATTTGGCCATGATTCTCGACGACTACAATAGAGGTGAGCGCACAAAACATCCGTTTTTCCACCCGAAACCCTTCAATTGTGTGCATTTTCCAGTGTCTCCGCAGCCGAATCCGCTCTCCTCTCTCACTCTCGCTCTCTCCTCCCGAAATGAGGGAAAAAGTGGTCCACGAGCAGCTTCGGAAGCCCATTCGCATCAGAATATCGACGAGATTCTGAAGACGTTCCCCGACGAGAAATGGAGAGAACTGCTGGGAATGATTGTGGCGTACGAGGCGAATCCCACGGAAATTCGCGTGGCCGCCAAGCACATTGCACACAAATGGATGGAACAAGGAAGTGCGACATTTTTCACTTTTCCATTAAAATGTCTAACTTCCTGCAGAATCGCTGCGCGCGTGCATCGCCTTCATCATCGCCGGCGATATTGACGGTCTCCTGCTCGCCAACTCCTCATTTTCTCCGTCGGATCGTCTCAAACAGGCACTGATCCTTCATCAAGTGTCTAGAGCGAAAAACTATTCGCCAGGATTGGAACAGGTAGGGGAATCTAATGAAACTTTGAAAAAAGTGAACATCTGCCCGTGTTCCAGCACATAATCTCGTTCGCCAATCGTCTTCTAACGCAAGGAGCCGCGGCGACCGCGTGGAACCTTGTGAAAGGGACTCAAAACGGATCGGCGGAGCTGCAGGAGCTCCAATGGACGTGCTATAACGTGGCGGGCGGACGGGAATGCACGGGCGATTATCCGCCGTTCAATCCGTACGATGCACAAGCGTCCGTGCAGCCGCAGCAGCCACAATACCAGCAGAACAGACAATTCGTCAATAATGTGGTCAGTATCGAAGGAGAATTGGGATTTTTCAATTTTAAATATTACTTTTCCTATTTTTGCAGGTGGCTCCTCCTGTGAATAACGTGTACGCCAATCCGTACTCTCCTTCACAATCACAAGCCCCGCCCCCTCCGACCGACTTCCAAGCTCGTCGAAATTCGAATTTGGCGCCGATGCCACCGTCTTCCACTTTCTATCAAACGCCCTCCTGGGATCACAAACCGGTACTTTTTTATTTTGATTATAGAACAAAATGAATTATGGGAAAAGATTTATGAAAATACAATAAGCCAGTGTAGAACAGTAATAATTAGCTCCGAAAAGGTTCAGCCGCCGACAATGCCAGCGAACATGCCGCCGCCGAAGCCGTCGATTCCGGTGACTCCCGGCTGGAACGACCCGCCGCCGATGGCATTCAAACAAAACGGACCGCCGCCCGCGCACCCGAAACACAATGTGATGCAAGTGAACTGGAAACCGCTGGAAGTGGCGCCGACGCCCGGCGGAATGATGGCCAACGGAATTCAAGGTGCGAACAGTCTGGCCTCGATCCTCCCATTCAAAAAAGGGTGCTGCCCCGAATCAGAACCAATTAGCACTAAAAATAGTTCTGATTCGTACCAGTTCTGAATCGGGAAGTTCCGATTCGGGGCAGCACCCAAAAAAGTAGTACTGTAATCCTACAGGAACCCGAGATTCCAACAGTACTTTTGTGAAGTGCCAAGTATGGGACACATCGGTTGGGGGGTCAAAACGTGGGAAAAGCTTGTACACACATCCAAAACCGCTATTCGTTTAGCAAGAAGAACGATTAAAGTTTTACCTTACATTGCAGGAATGTCTCTGCAAAATAGACCTCCGTCGGCCGCCTCCAACTCTTCCTCGTTTCCCTCTCCGTCGTCCCAATCTGCTCAAGCTCCGCCCACTTCTGCCGTTGCTCCGGCGCCCATTCAACTATCGGCGGAGGACAAGAAAATAATGGAGCCGATCGAGGGACTGGCCGCGCGAATCATTGAAAACGCGCGGATTCAGGCGAGAATCGAAAAGGCGACCGAGCTGAGGGCACGCATTCAGACCGAGTTGACTCCGAGGCTCGCTGCCAGCAGGGTAGGCAACATTTTTACTTTTTTCCCCCAAGGCTGGGCAAATTTCGGCTCAGGTTTTTTTGAAAGCTTTTTGAAGCCTGGACTTTTGACCCACTTTCAATAATCGGATCGGGCTCAAACTTTGCAGGCTTCTTGGAATCAGATTAAAGTATATTGAGTCCAAGTTTCAGACCGATCGGACCATCCGGTCCCGAGATATATTTTGCGCAAAAACTCAATCTTTTCGGCCTCCGATCCACATATCTCGGGACCAATTGGTCCGATCGGTCTGAAACTTGGTCCCAGTATACTTCAATCCAAGTCCAAAAAGCCTGCAAAATTTGGGTCCGATCAGATCATTGCAAGTGGGGTCCAGGCCTCAGAAAGCCTTGGAAACACCTAATCGTAGTTAATAAAATTTCTGTTTGAAATGCTCAAAAAATTTTTTACGAGGTTGTTGATATTATGAAACAGAAAGATGATTTTGTTTGCAGTTGTCGCCGGATACGAAGCATCATCTGACGAACATGGGCTACTTTATTTCGATGCACCAGATTAGAGAGGCGCAGGCGTGTGTCGCGCAGGTGGCCAGAAATGCCGGAGACTTTGTCGAGGTTCGCTTATAGACATTTGAATTGAAAAAGTTGTTTGAATCAATTCTTCTGCAGATCTCCTCGTTCCTGCCGGCCCTTAAGTCGCTCCTCTCGCTCGCAACCCACTAATTCCCGAGTCGTGACCGTTTTCGGCGCCAAATGGATCACAAAAATGACTGTTATCGTTATCAATCAATCAGCCAATAATTATTATCAATGCCTTTTTCGTGTGATTTTTTACCCAAAAATGGTTTTTCGCGTGTAAATTATCGTGTAAAATTACAAAATGTTCCTCTCATTTTTTCTGGTTTTCCCTTGCCCAATTATCGTTTTTCTGCCGTGTTTCCCTCCCCAAATATGCTTTAGAGATTATCGAATTATTTGCCAAGTATCATTTAATAATACGAACAATTAATTATGAAATGAAGAGATGTTTAAAAAATGGAACCCCTTTTTAAGCTGAAAAATGGCTGAAATCCTGAGAAAATGCCTTTTTTTCTGGGAACACTTTTTTTTTTGTTTTGAACGTATTTCCACGTGGCGCTGAAAGTAATGATCCACCTATTTTTCTCGCAAAAAAAATGGTATCTTTGAATTTCCGTCCGTTTGCAGCCTTTTCGCTCGTTTTTGTAGCATGATGGCATCGTTTCGAATGTGTGTACAAACAAACCAACGCCCATTCCGTTGTATTTTATATTCGTATTCATCGTAATCGCGGAACATTCTGGTCAAGCGATTCATTCGTTTAGGTGCGAAAAGCGTACTCTTCCCGCAAAAGTGCGAAATTTTAAGCGAAACATTGTTCTGCATCTTTTCTTCGTAATTTAAGATTTTTTGCATCTTTCTCATTCAAACGACGTTCGAATAGATCCAGAACAGAAGATTTGTTCGAAAACTGTGAAAAATAGTTAGAAACTTGAAAAATCATCGAAACGAGCGTTTCTCGATAGCTTTTTTGTTGTTTTGTTGAGACTTCAAAAATGTCCCGTAATGATTTAAGATGAGGGCGAAACTCGACAATTCATTTCCTATGCGCTCATGTTCAAGATATTTCTACGAAACTGTACACATTTCCTCCCATTCGCCACCCAAATGATACTCATCGGATGATGTGATTCGTCGAATGTGTACACGCCCTGGCCATTCATCCATACCGTCCATTTATCCATTTATCCGCCCTCAAACACTCAAAGCTTCTTCTTCTTCTCTCTTTTATTATTCATTCGTTTCAATGTCCGCAAAGGTGTGGTCATTTTGAGTTTAGAAAGATTGTTTATCGTTTCACTGAAGTTTTAATTAAATTTGAAAGAGGCACACAGGACTTTGAATCCACTTGTAACTTCTGTTATTCGCAATCAGACTCCAACTTTGCACGATTACTGTGAATAATGTATAGGACAGGCATCCAGAAAAATAAGTTTTGATTGGGCACTGAAAAAATAGAAGGACATGCCTTTAGTGTCGGCTTCAAATCATTATTATATCCCCAGGCCTCTATCGGACTCGAAAAAGGTTAAAAATAAAATAAGCCCGTTTCTAACATATTCTTCTAGTTTAGTGCCGAAATCAAATTTCTCCAAAAAGTTAGTGTTTTCCGCTTGTGCCAAATCCATCTTCTTCGAAAACTTCCGTTTGCCTTCCGCACCCAAATTGACACATGACTATTGTCAATCATAGAATTGGTCCTTTCGTCCGTCTGTTCTTCTCTTCCGTTCTGGCCCTTATGTGCAAAGAGAGAGAGAGAGTGTCGGCGCGAGAGACGCAGACGGAGAAAGTGTGCCCCGAAACGGTCTTTGCTTCTCTGTTGTGCCTGTATCGCTGTGATGCTACTCTTTTCATTTTCCAGTTCAATTTATAGCTTTTTAACAATGCATTCCCACCAAAAAACAACATTTCGCAATCCTCGATGATTTACTCGCTTGGATTATTTGGGAAAACAATGGGAGGGGGGGGAGTTTGGTCTTTTCGCTTTGAAGAGAAAATCTATCTTTTTTTTGGCCTTGACCAGAATTAATTTCAACGTCAAAAGATGGACTCAATTGCTGTGATGGCCTTTTTTAACGTTTTTTTTTCTGCGAAAAACCCATTGTCCCAGCGAAATGTTTTGATTTTTGGATCAAAAAACAGGATTTGGCCGAGTTTTTGAATGAGAATTCTCGAATGCTCACAAATTTCGGCATTTTTTTCGGTTGCACAAACTAACGATAGAAGACTCACATTAATTTACTAGCAATATAGTTGGCACAGTGTCAGGCGTGTTCTGTTCAAGAGAGAGCGCGCCTGTGGCCGTGTGCAAACTTTGTTTTATTTTCGCTTAAAATTAGTCTATTGTCAAAAATTTGATGGCATTTTTGAATGAACCTTTGCGGGCAGGTACATGGCCGCGCGTTCATATAAATATTTATGAGTCCACGATTTCTGTGTGTGCGTGAATGACCTCGGAAGGTTTCTAGATCCGATTCGTGGGAGAACTTTGCACTTTTACGGCATTTTCTAGTCTGTGCACCTAAATGTGTGCTTTCTCAATAAATTGCATTGATTCGTCGAAAAACAAGGGAAAATCTTTGGAGACCTTCAAACCGTTGTCCGTTTTTCCTCCATCAATCCTTTCTTGTCCTTCATTTTTCATTCTGATTAATGTACTCGGCCGCCCGTGTTTTCCCGCGGTCAATTCCATTTAGTCCCCGCATTTTGCAGTTCAACATCTGGCCGCATTTGAACAGTTGGCTGGAAGCTTGCGATTTTTCTTAAAATAAAGTCAGACATTGAACTGAATAGTAAACATTTGGCAACAATTTTTTGCCTGAAAAAGCTTCACTCTGCGGATTTTGTTGTTGCGAAATGGAATTGGATGACTCACAACCGAAAACGTTCACTTTTCTAATTAAAAACCCCATTGTCAACTGTGCTTGGTACTTTTTTGTAAAATCTCGTCTTCCGCTATCGAATTTCACAACTAATATCTCTCAATTTTTGCAAACTTGTAAATATTTGCAGGATGCTGTCGGCAGAGGAAGAGGCCGGCTGGTTCGTTTCGCAACAGGCTCAGCCGTGGTGGCAGTGGCTGCTCCGGCAGTTTATCGCTCTCGGAGGGCCCGTTCCCCGCCACGTCGCCTTCGTCATGGACGGAAATCGGCGGTTCGCAAAGACGAAACACTTGGGCAACGTCATCAGGGGACACGAAAAAGTACGGATTCACACAGGCGAACTAAAACAAATTTTTGCTGTAAACATTTCGAATATTCCATTTAACGCATTTTTTCGCAGTTTTGAATGGTGAGCATAATGAGACATGAGTGAAATTTTGAAAAAATAATGTATTGTACTGTTTCAAAGTTTTCAAATACTTTGGGCAAGTGGTGTTTAGTTTAATCAACTGAATACACCGGATTTAATTTAAAAGTGAACTTTGTAAGGGCTAACTAAATTTATCGACAAATTCGACATGACCGCCTGTTTTCGATCGATTTTCACCAAAATGTAATGTGGCTCATTTTCAGGGATTTGTCCAACTGGCGCGCATTCTGGATTGGTGCAGCCGATTCGGAATTAAGGAAATCACCGTTTACGCGTTCAGCATTGAAAACTTTAAACGGAGCGAAGACGAGGTGAGTAAAATTGGAGCGATTCGTGAGAAAAGCATCTCGAAATCGAAAATGTTTAGGTGGCCGGTCTGATGCGTCTGGCGGAGGAAAAGTTTGAGAAACTGTTGAACGACTCGGAGAAATTGGAGGAGAAGCGGATTTGCTTCCGTTTCTACGGAAATCGCTCGCTTCTGTCAGCCCGTTTGCAGCAGCTGATGGGCCGAATCGAGGCGAAGACGGAAAAGTACGGCGACGGACGGCTGAACGTGTGCATGCCGTACACTTCGAGAGACGAGATCGCGCGCTGCTTCGAGACGATCCGACAGAATGTCAGAGACGGAAATGTCCGTCCGGAGCAGGTATTTCACTCATTTCCTCATGGGAGAAGCTAAAAAGGGTGCTACTAATTTTATTGAAATTGAAGGAATCATTTTTGACACCGAAATTTCATGCTCCAATTTTTGCAGATCAACGCGTCGATGGTGTCTGCGTGTTTGGACAGCGGATGCGGCGGATCGGCGCCCGATCTGTTCGTGCGCACGTCCGGAGAGCACCGTCTGTCGGACTTCCAGATGTGGCAGGCGGCCGATTCGCACGTCTACTTTGACGATGTCCTCTGGCCAGAGTTTGGCTACTATAACCTGTGCAAAGCCATCCTCAGCTACCAGTATTATCGATCCACTGTGGCCAAGGTTCGCAAAATTTTGACAAAAAATATGCTGTTTCAAGAGCAATGTTTTTATTTCAGATGGCCGCTCTGAGCACTTGCGAACACGTCAATTCGACGAAATGGACGATGAATTTCAGTGGAGACAAACGAGAATTGACGGCCGTCCAATCCTGATTTTCTAAAATTTTCCCCCTGATTTTTTGAGATGTCTCTTTCTTTTATCCATTTTTCTTTTCTTCCGTTCATTCCTCGCCTCTTTACGTTTCCTCTGGCCTACTTGTTCATTCAAATAAAATTCAAGATTACAGAATTCGACGAAATATCTCAACAATTTGGATGGAATAGTAGGAATCGAGCGAAATGGACGGGAAGGACACTTGTGTGCAGGTCGCATTACGGTGAGAAGGTTTTCATTGACTGAAACTTGAACTAACTTTGGAAACAATGTGTAAAATCGCTGTTTCACGAAAAAGTTATTTTCCAACAATGATCTATTTGTTCAATTTCTTCCAACTTTTGCAATAATTGAAATTCTGTCTCTAGGAAATCATATATTTAAGTTTTCTGTTTCAGTAAAAAATATGTTCCTTGAGTTTTCGTGTTACAGTCTTCCGACGAATTTCGTTATTAATTTACAAAACTTTTCACGACTGGGCCCGCTGTACAGGCCGAGCTGACGCTCGAAAGCGGATATATTCTTATATTTGCTTCAAAATGCATCTAATTAGACTCATATACTTTGGCCAAACCTAAATACATTCTGTTAGCCAGATTAATAACGATTTGCACGAGTCTAAATCCATTTTTTGTTGAACATTTTCTCGGTATTTCAGTATCCGTCCGCAGGGAAACCGCGAGAAGGCCGAAGGGAGTCGCGTGTGCACGGCGGTGCTCCCGAACGACCCGCAGGTGACCATTGGCGGCGATCGCTCGTTCACCTACGACCATGTGTTCGACCAGCCGACCCCGCAGAACGTCGTCTACGAGGCGTGCGTCGAGAAGCTCGTCGACGGACTTTTCGATGGATTCAATGCGACCGTACTCGCCTACGGACAGGTACCGCATTTTCTTTGGGGGGATTTTTATCGGATTCTTGCAGACGGGATCCGGAAAAACGCACACGATGGGAACGGCGTTCGACGCGGCAGTCAAACAGAAAGAAGAGGACTTGGGAGTGATTCCGCGGGCGATTCAGCACACTTTTAGGCTGATTACAGAGTGCAAAGTAAGCTTGTTGGAATTTGTTAGGCCTGTCACTAAAAAATTAGTTTTTGAGATATTTATACCATCGCATAGAGCGTAAAAAGTTACACATGAGTACAGTACGACATTTGAGGCCTCAACGTACTGAAATATGGTCAACTGCAGAGTTGTGCCAGTAGTCATGGATCCATGAAGATCTAACAGATTGTGTTTGGGAATAATGTTGTACTGGACTCATGTGTAACTGTTTACCGAATAAAGCATTTAATCAAAAAAAAGTTTTGTAAATTGCGTGAATCGGTAATAGTTTTTTTTGTTGTTGAAAGTGATTGCAAAATGTGTGCCTTTCAAACGAAGCAAAAATTGATTGCTACAAAACAACGTTACACATTTTCGAATTTTTCTCCAGACGCGCGCCCTCGAACAAGGCCATCTGGAACCGTCGTTCGAGGTGTCCGTGCAATTTGTGGAATTGTACAATGACGACGTGCTCGACTTGCTCTCCGACGACCGCAGCATGTCTTCGAGCATACGGATTCACGAGGACTCGCGCGGAGAGATTGTACTTTACGGCGTCGAGCAACGATCGGTTTTCGACATGCACGGGGTCAGTTTATGTCCGAGAGGATTTTGTCTTTCCGCTCGGATTCATGTGAAAACATCGAACCTTTTGAAATTAGTTTACTAGACCCTTGAAAAATTCAACATTTCTGAATAAAACCCCTTTTTGCAGACAATGGACATTCTCAAGAACGGCGCGCTGAACCGGACGGTCGCCTCGACGAACATGAACGAGCAGTCGTCCCGTTCGCACGCCATCTTCACGCTGCACCTGAAGCAGCAGAGAGTGGCGGCGAACCCGCTGGACGAGGCCGGCGAGCCGTTGAAGACGGGCGAACTCGAGATGGAGGTACTCAGTGCCAAGTTCCACTTTGTCGACTTGGCCGGGTCCGAGCGGATGAAGCGGACCGGCGCGACCGGAGATCGCGCCAAGGAGGGCATCTCGATCAACGTCGGACTGGTGAGGAAGCCTTCGTCTTGACGATCTGATTTTGACAAACATTATTCAAGTTATTCCGACTTTGCTGAAACTGAGTTTTTTGAAAATTTTATATCTTTCCTGCGATGTGCTGTTTGCAGACTCTTTGGCGTCCCAAATAACGCGTTTTTCTTTGTAACAGCTAAAAATTTACAGCCCCACATATACAAGTAACACAAATATCCATATTTTACACCTCTAAAACTTGCAGTTGGCGCTCGGAAACGTGATTGCCGCTTTGGGCGGTGCGAACGGAAAAGTCAGTCATGTGCCGTACCGGGACTCGAAATTGACACGACTTTTGCAAGATTCGCTCGGTGGAAACAGGTATTATTCTCAGAATAACAGAAAAGGGTTCGAAAAAGGTGATTTCAGTCGGACGCTGATGATCGCGTGCTGTTCGCCGTCGGACAGTGATTTCGTCGAGACGCTCAACACGATGAAATACGCGAATCGCGCGAAAGAAATCAAGAATAAAGTGGTGGCGAACCAGGACAAATCGTCGAAAATGATCGGAGAGCTGCGCAGTCGGATCGCCGCTTTGGAGGCCGAATTGCTCGAGTTCAAGCAGGGACGGAGGACGGTCGATGTGAATGGGCACGAAGTGGTCAACGATCAGTACCACGAGAACGTCTACCTCACAGTCAGCTCTTCTTTTTAACTGAAATTTTTGAGAAACATGCAACAGCACACGGTCTCCAGAGCTTTCGTGGCTAATTTTGCGAAATTAATATCTATGTATTCGACGTGGCACACCCATTGTTAGCTCTGGAGACCGTGGCGTATCTTAAAAATTCTATGAACTCATTAAAAATGATTATTGAGAAAAATTTCGAGAACCGAAGAAGCTGCAATACTTAATTTCTAATTTTACAAAGATTCAAATGTTAAACTTCAGAGCGAAGTGAACCATTTGCGATTCCGAGTGAAGGCGCTCAACGAGACGCTCGACATTCTCCGATCGGAAAATATCGATTTGAAAGCGAGGCAGGAGCTGTCGGGACTGTCTGCTTCTGCGGGGACCGACGCCGAGTCGGATGCGGTGCAGACGACGTTCCGAAAGTATTTGGAGGAATTGGAGCGGACCAAGTCGCTTCTGTACGAGTCGCAGTCGACGTGCGACCAGTTGCGGAAGGAGAATGCGCGATGGAAGACGCGGGGAGGCGGCGGAGAGTTGAACAGCCAGAAACTGATCGAAATGGCCAAGCAAGAGGTCGAGCAGCAGCGGAAACTTATGGCCTCGGTGCAGATCAGTGATGGTGGGCGCAACGCATTTTTTGCAGGCGAATTTGACTGGCATTTCTTTTTGAATTCAACAATATATTTCTGATAACTATTATACTTCCGAAAGATTACAAAGAAATATTTGAAACAGTGAAAAAGAAAAAGTTTTTAGTATTCATCATTTCTATACATTTTCGATGCTGTCCTCCTCTGTTTAGCCCAACTTTTCGGCGAAATCTATTTGGCTAGTATTTACAAGACTTTAAAATTTTGAAAGATCTTTCAACCAGACTGTATTACCTGCAATCGACTAGTGAGCGGAAAAATTCTTAAAATTCTGACTTTTAAAGTTTTTTCGTTAAAAATCTCTAAAATTTTACTCAGAAATCATGTTTTTAATTTCTCGTACTAAAATCCAGTTCACAATTTCAGCGCCGACGTCGGAGTACTCCTCGATGGGTCCGGACGACGACGGCACTTCGAATGACACCGAATTGGAGCTGTTGGACGAGGAAATGGACGAGGACGAGGAGGAGGAAAAGGAAGAAGAAGAGTCGGAGGCCCTGCAGATCGATCTGAACGAAGTGATGATCGAATTGGACATCAAGGAGAAGCTGATCGATCAGTTGGAACGGGCGGAGCGACAGAATCAGCAGATCCGAGAGACCTACGAGAAGAAGTTGCGGGAATTGATGGAACGGATCAAGGAGACGGAGACGGAGCGGGACCGTGTGCTGACCGAAGAGACCAGAAGACCCGGCGGGAAGGGGCCGATGAGTGACGAGCAGACGAGGGCGATCCGGCAGGAGTACGAGCTGAAAATCACGGATCTGCGGAGGGAACTCAAAAAGATCGAGGCGCTCGACAAGGAGCACTTGAAAGTGATTGCAAAGTCGCAGCGGGAACTGCAGGAGAAGACGCGTCTGAAGAGTGAGGTGGTCGATCTGAAGAAGGCCAAAGTGGAGCTGATCAAGAAGATGAACGAGGAGAAGCGGAAGCAGAAGGCGCAGCAACTGGCGAATGCGCGCGCGATCGCCACGAAGGAGAAGCAGACGCGGCTGCAGGCGAACAAAATACGCACTCTCGAGATGAAGGACAAGCAGCGGGAGCAGTTCCTGAAGAAGACGACGCAGGAGGTGAACGCATTGCGCAAGGAGAAGGCCGTCGCCGCGGCCGCCGCAAGACAGGTACCGGTTTTTCGGGGGCTATAGACTGAGAAAGTCCAAGTTACACTGTATTTGTATCCCCAAACACCTAGGAGACACGAGGAGAATTTTGCAGGCGACGCGTGGTCCCGGCCGCCCGCCCGCACTTTCCGTGAATTCGCCGTCTCGCCGAGTCCGCGCGCCCGTCCAGGCAGTCAAGGAACTCGCGTTCTCGGCGAAATCCACCAAAATCAAGTGGGACGTGATTGTGCGGAAAATCGAGGAGAGTGCGCGAAGAAGACAGACTGTGCAGAAGATGGAGGCCGAATTGGAGAGGTACCTGAACGAGCGCCACGCCGTCATGCTCGACATTGTCGAGAATGTAAGTGAATGTTGTATACTTGAAGCGAAAAAAAATGGAGACAAACACAAATTTGTTTGCAGGAAAAGCAGTTCACCCAATCGCAAGACGTGATCTACCGCGACGGCCTTCTCGAAGCGATCGATAGTGCGAAAGAGAAGCTGCAGTACGTGCAGGACCAGATCACTTATCAGCAAAAGTTGATTTGCGACGTCGACGAGGTTAGCCACGGTTCTCTTCTGATCCACTTTTTTTTGTTAGCTTTATTAGAAACATTTTCAAAGTGTAAAATGGACGTGGGGAAAACAAATTATGCAGAAATCTCGGATATGAGAGCCGAAAAATGGGGCGGAATTTGAAGGGAGACGAGTTATACAAACAACGAAAAATGTGTGTGTGTGTGTGGAATTATTGGGCAATTCGTTTTGCAGAAAAAGGGGGCGAAAAAGTGAATGGGATTATCGGAGAAACTTGAAGAAAAAACGGGATTCTGTTTCGGGGAGTATTGCGACCCGATTTTGCCAAAAAAATGGGTGAGGGCGAGGGGTGAATTAGGAAGGAATGGATCCACGTGTGCCGGTGACTAGGACCTGCAAAAAAGAAGATTTCGAAGTTTTAGAACATGCGAAATTGTTTTTCCTTTTTAAAATGAGGCTAAACTCGAACCTGAATGCACGTGCTCGGTATATATGTTTGCATTCAAATTTGACGTGAAACAGATTTTTCAATTACCTGAGTCGGGCAGTCGTCTCCGCTCATTCCGGCTGCAATCGATCGCTTACTGACGCGCGCGCCGATCGTCGAACGGCGCTGAGACAGGTCCGGAAGGGGTTCCGGCTCTGGCGGGCTGCAAAAATGTGTGTGGTGCCAAAAGAGTGCCAATTTCAATGTTTCTTACTTCTTGGCGCGCCGATAGGTCATGATGGTGAGGAGGACGAAGAGAATGGCGCAGAAGGCGGCGGCGGAGGCGAAAACGGCACGACGCCATCCGGATTCGCGGCTGAATCCGGCCAGCCACACACAAATGGCCACGCTGATCAGAAGACCCATCACGCACAGAAACAGCTGCAAGAAGCTGTCGATGTTCTTTGAATTTGACTAGTCAAAGTAATATTGTGCACAGACTTGTTCAGTCTAATTTTGGATTTCAACTATAGCAGGTTCGAATTTGAAACAGAATTTGAAAACGTGGACTATTGAAATCAGTGTTGCCTTACCTGTCCTCCGGGTGTGATTCTCGAGTGCGATTGCGACGGAGCTGTCAGAATTTGCTTGATCGGAGTCTTGTAGACCTCCTGCGAAAAGCTGGTCTGAAAATGAGTGGGTTTTTGACGAGTTTCGCACACTTTTCGTGGCGCCTCACCTTCATCTGTACACTGGTACGCTTCTCGTTGAGCAAACTTGACCGTTTCTCGGAAGTTGACGCCATTTTTTTTTTGTGGGGATTTTCGATCCGAAACGCACTGAAAATAGACGGAAATTGATTCGATTTCACAGGTGCAATAGATTTGGGCGACAAATGGACAAAAATAGAGTAAAAATTCGGGGGGGGAAAAGGGGGCGGAGCGTGGCCCCTCATCATGTGGGAAAAGGATGATGTGTGCTCGCTTGTGCTCTCACTCTCACTCTCTTTTTCACCAATCTCGAGGCATTGAAGTGTGGGGTGTATTGGAGGAGGAAGAAGAAGAAGAAGAAGAAGCCACGAGGAAATTTGAATTTGTAAATGCGTTCTCAGTATATGCTCTCAGTTGGAAGTGTTCGAATTGCCGGATATTTCTCTTAAAATTCAAATACCACCCGTTCCTATATCGGAAAAACATTGGCGGGGGGGGGGAGGTCCCGAAAACGTTTTCCTTACAAAAACCCTGTCATTCTTATGAGATCGTTAACCTTTTTTGGGCGTAAAAAGAGCGATAGCTAACTCATTTTGCCGTGTTTTTGACTCTGTCCGTAAAAAAAATTGAAGAATTTCAAAGGGAACGCACTCGAAAGTGCGTGGGCGGCAAAAAGGAGGCGGTAAACAGAAAGGACTGACGATTTTCAGTCGAGTACGTGAGAAATGGGAGTGCGGCACGACGAGAAGAAAAAAAAATAGTTGGATTTGAAAGATTCGTCCGTCTGAAAGGTCTGAAAGTGTGGAAGTGACTCGACGAGGGTGCGAGTGACACATTTGTTCTTTAGAAAAAATGTGGGGGTTGCATTTGAGATCAATTTGGGAGAGGCGGAAAGAAAAGAGAGAGTTTGGCTCCGGTTGGATGGACACGAATCGAGAATTGAGAAAAAAACGCATCTTTTTTGGGCCCGAGTGGATCAAATTGAGCTGGATACTTTGTTAGTCTGTTTTTTTTAGAGTTTGAGCTGAATTGGAGCTTTTTTTTTGCCCTTTTCCCATTCAAATCGAGGAAAACTGGTTAATTGACTTGGATTGGCCATTTTTTTGAAAATCGCACTTTTTCACGAAACCAACGACACTTCAATTTTACGTTTAGCATTCTGTTTCACTCTGCTGTTTCCTAGAAAATTCGAGCGAAACGAATTTTTGTACCTGCTTGAAAGATTATGCTAAATAAGACAAGGTGTGCAAATTTGGAGTGACGTTGGTTTCGTGAAAAAGTGCAATTTTTGAAATGTTCGCTCGAAACACGTTCAGAATCTCTTTACAACTTCAAAAAATACATGGCATGTATCAGGATTTGTTTGGATAAACATTTCTAAAGCGCTCTCATCCGGATTTTGATTCGTTTCGTATTATCGAAGAGTTTTTAGAACGAAAATGATACTGTTTTATTCTACTGAACAAGGTTCTTACAACTGCTCCTTTGCGCGAGGTTACCCCGGAGCAGAACTGTCCCGAACGAAACCTATCTACACGTGGTTTTCGTAATAAAAAAAACCACGCGCAGATAGGTTTCGTTCGGACAGTTCTGGTTCGGCGTAGTCTCGTTTCATGGTATAGGAAAAAAGGAAATTAGGCTTAAGCCTCAACCGCAGGCTTCAGGCTTTAGACAATAAGTTCGAATGTTCTAGTGAAATTCAATAAAAATGAAGTTGAAGAAGAGAGAAAAAGAGAAAAAGTACAGCTCTGTCTCGATGCGTTGCCTCCTCCCCCACTTTTGAGTGTTATCTGATCAAAAAGTGGAGGGAAGAAGAAGAAGTGAGTTGGTGAGAAGCAGAAGAAGAATAGATACATTTGTCCATTTCAAAACACACAAACGGATGATATCAGAAAAAGAGGAGAAGAAGAAGAAGAAGAAGCGGATGATATCAGTGGTGGAGCGAAAGAGAGAGAGAGAGAGAGAGAGAGAGAGAGAGAGAGAGAGAGAGAGAGAGAGAGAGAGAGAGAGAGAGAGAGAGAGAGAGAGAGAGAGAGAGAGAGAGAGAGAGAGAGAATTGAGGGCTATTCTCAGCTCATCACAGCTCAATGTCACTCTGCGAGCACAAGCCGCGAGCACAATAATAGGAGCCCTCCACTGGAAAACACGTTTTTTTCTTGGTTCCCATTCTCGAACCCTCAATTTCTTTTTTTGGAGCGAAAAACGACGATGATGTGGGGGGTGTTGTTTGGGACCGACGCGAAGATTGGAAAGAAATTGAAGAGGTCTAAGAATGGGACTCGACAGAGACCAATTCGGACACTTTGGTTTTTGAACGGGAGAAAATCGGAGTTTGTAGCATTTTAATCTCTTTTCTACGAGAAATGCGAACAGATAGAGGAGGACCTGATCAACTGAACACGAAACCGGAAAACGTGGCTTTAAGGGTTTTTTTTTTCCGCCGAAAAACTACCCGATTTTTTCACTTTTGAAGGTCTGAAATCATTGAATTTCCGCGAAAATCGCTATTTTTCTGTCTAGTCTCAAGATTTGTATTGCAAAAACGACGACGAAATCGGTTCGGCGAAAGGGAAGAAAGAGGGGAAAAACAAGGAGAAGAAGTGGGAAATGTTCACCTTCTCCTTCTTCTTCTTCTTCTTCTTCTTCTCCGTCTTCTTCTTGTTCGGGTCTCATTAGAGCGCATGTTTACTCTTTTTGAGCTGAAAATGGAGGAGCATTCTGGGGAAAACAGAGCACGCACGCTCATTAGAGACTGACTTTTTTATGTGTGCTCCAGCAGCGCCGGCTCTTCTTTTTCAGAGTCCCAAAAGGCGAAAGAGCACGAAGAGCCGATGGATAGGCCTCTCATCGAGAATTTATGAGCAAAAAGAGCGAGAGGAGGAATGAGCTCTATAAAATGAGGATGAGCACAAGGGGTTATGATGCACCATGTGGGAGAGGGGGGACTTGGAGCTATTTGGGACATTTCTTCAAAATTCAGAGAAAAAATCCTTCAACAACAGAGTGAAATTTCAAAATGAATCCTCTTTCACAGAGATCAAAAACGTTCGAAAGTAGGAAGCTGACACAGTCATTTTTTGCAGGACACTACGGGCAAGAAGGCGGAAGAGGAAGAGGAAGCGACAATAGTCGATTTGGCGCTCAAAAAACAGACAATAAAACAGCTCTTCGACGGCTGCGACACGCTCTCCGAGGCCAGGTAACAACTAGCAGGGACCACGGGCCCGGACAGTTGGCGCCGACCCGCTTTTTGTCACGAAACGACGAGCCGGTGCCACCCCCACACACGAAGAAAATTGAGGCGGAATGCACGGGCACTGGGTCGGGCTTTCTCCGCCGAATTTATACTTTGAACCAACTTTTTGCGAAAAGCGTTTTGCAGATATCTCCTCCAGCACTTGTTCGATTTGTGCATTGACAAGGCGGCTCTGGCGGCTAAAATTGAGGCTCAATTCAAGGTTGGTCTTCTTTTTCTTTGCCCACAAATTTATTTAGAAAACGCATTCAAAATATTATACTTCCCATAAGTCTGACTGCAAATCTGTTAGGGGGGAATTGAATGCGAAAATGTAATCAAAAGTGGCCAAAAGTGATATTATGAAAATGCGAAAGTGTGCGAGTGTCTGACGCAAATCCCCCCTCTCCGTTTTCACTCAAAGTAATCAGGCGAATTTCCGCGTTTTTCGGCCCGACTGGTAAAATTGAGGGGGGCGCGGAAGGAGATCGGCATTTCTTAATATACTGAAGAAAAAGCAGGGCTGGGCATATTGCGGCCCAGGCTTTTTAAGGCCTGAACTTTTGACCCACTTGCAATGATCCAATAGGGACCAAACTTTGCAGGCTTCTTGGACATGGATGGAAGTATATTGGGTCCAAGTGTCAGACCGATCCGATCATCCGGTTCCGAGATATGTGGATCAGAAGACCGGGCTTTTGCGAAATTTCGGACGATCGGTCTGAAATCCGGACTCAACATACTTCAGTGCAAGTCCTGCAAAATTTGGGTACGATCGGAATTTCTCAAGCGGCTCTTTGATGGTCACGTGCTGGGCAGTAAAATTGCAACAATTTTGTGAGCCGCAGCACACATGTATAGATTATTTATGTTCGCCAAAAGAGAGCATTTGGAGAGCATTTGAAATGAGCCGAAGGATGGAATTTTGAATGAAATTGGTGGAAGAATTGCAAAATGATTGGGATGAAGATGGGAGGAAATAGGGAAAGAGGGGTTTTGCCGTAGAAGAATCTAGTGATCAGAGCGGAAAAGGAAGGAAGGGCCGGCAAAGAAGAAGAGAGAGAAGAAGAAGTCAAGTGCTCCAATTGAGGTGCTTTGTGTGTGTCAGAAGAAGGAAAAATTGACAAATGTCAATTGCACATGAACATTTCTATGTGTACGTGCTCTCGGATTGAGTCCCGAAGAAGAAGAAGAAGCTCTAGAAGAGAGAGAGAAAGAGCTGATTGTGTTTTGTCCGGACGGAAACACAGAGCTCCGGGAGCAGCCCCAAGATTGTTGTTGTTTCGCCGGACACTCTCTTTTTCTCTCGATTTTCTCTGCTGTGGGATGAATGAACGGGCAAAGAAAAGTTGTTTTTCCTACTCTACTCGGCGCACAGACCGTCAAAACATGTGTGTGGAAGGATATGCAGTCAAAAAGTTGAAAATTCATCCGGTCCCGAGATATACTGGTTTGAGGTCGAAAAGGCCGGGTTTTTGCGAAAGATGTGGTTTTTGTGGCCTCCGATTCACATATCTCGGGACCAGATGATCCGATCGGTCTGAAACTTGGACCCAATACGCTTCAATTCAAGTCCAAGAAGCCTGCAAAGTTTGGGCCCGGTCAGATCATTACAAGTGGGTCAAAAGTCCAGGCCTGGAAAAGCCTGGGCCGGCCTTTTGCCCAACGCTACTGAAAAAGCAAAAAATACACGTTTACCGTTAGATAATTCGACTTTTCTGTGCGCGAAAACGGACGAAAGGCTCAATGAGCACTTCTTTCTCTCAAATTGAATGAGGCGGAGAAGAAAAAGAAGAAGAAGAAGAAGGGGGGAGGGAGAGAGAAAGAGTCTGGAAATGTTTTGATATCCCTCGAGAGCCGCCGCGAATAATGAGCATTTTGAGGCGGAAAAGGAGAGACACAGAGAAGGAAGAGACAGACAATTGCACTTCTTCTTCTACTTCTTTTTCGGGGAGCTATTTTTGGATGACGATGAAGAGCTTGGGAGATTTTGAAGATTTTTTCAAATAGAAATGTTAGTCTAATCAAAAACCAACGGATCAAGCTGTTTGAAATAATGTTTGTGCTCAAAAACCTGGTCTTTTGAGCAGAAAATTGCTCAAAAACATTTTCCGCCGTTTTCCGCTCAAAAAGATTGGTTTCCTGTGTGTGCTGGAACGCTTTGAACTTTTTTACGAAAGTAGTGTTTTTGGGACCCGATTTTCCTAATTTTATCCCGTTGAAACAGGGTCAAAGATTGCGTTTTTTTTCTCGCCGGAAATGTCCCGGACAAAAACAAGGAAATGAGGTGTTTGGCCTCTGATTTGAGCCGAATATTTCATCGGCGAAACGGCCATTTTTCGAGATATGTTTGAGTGGAAAATATAGTTTTTATCGGAAAAACGACGCGCCTTACTAATTGGGGAATAAAATTTCTAACTAGAACAAAAAAAGAATTACAGTCTCACAATCAGGCAAATCGTTTCTAATCTAACTAGCTAATTCTCGTTTCTAACCGGACCGATTTCTGAATCTAGCTAGCTGATTTTGCAATTTAAACATAATCTAGCTAGGTTTGCCCGAAATTTTAATCTAATTAGATAAATTTTGAATCTAATATCAGTGTGTTTGCACCTAATTAGCTTCGCCAATTTAATTAGAAAATTTATCAGTCCAGTTAGAAGAATTTGCAATCTGATCGTAATAAATTAGCAATCTAATTAAGTCCGGTTAGAAACGCGAATTAGCTAGCTAGATTACAAACGACGATAAATAATAAATGCGGTACGATAAACAATAATGCTAGCAACTGTAAGAATGCACTCGAAATTGTGGTGAAACTGAAAAAAACATTGCTTTTTTCGAACTGTTTGGCGCGAAATTCATCTTTAAACTGCAAAATTAGCCACGAAGAACCGATAGTTTCTCATTTGTGTCTCGATAGAACGATCGAATAGGTCAAAAGGAATTCTTAAAGCGCAAGAGCATATTTGAAGTTGTATTGCTAAATCTGTGCGAATTTCAGTTTCTTCTCGGTAACTTAGGTCGTCAAGCACTCAAAAAGCTTGTGTTTATGTGATTTATCACTCTTGAAACCGATTTTGTGTGAAAACGATCAAGAACTCTGGTAAATCGATTAGGGCGAAGGCAAAAAATCGACTTCCGCAAAAAAGGACCAAAACGTCAGAAACATCGAGATTTATTGTGTTTTAATCGCTTTCGACTACAAAAATCAAAAAAGGAAACGTTCTTCTAGCGCTACTATCCAAGTTTTCAAAATTGACCAAAAAAATTTCCGCCAAACACGGGAGGAAACCGGAGATTTCGGCGGGTTTTCCGACTGAAACACTAGCACATTCTTCCGTCTTTTCCCTCGAATTTCGGTCCCCCTGGGATCGGCAATTAAGAAGAAATGCGAGAAGAATGAGGCAAGAAATGGGTTGGCTTTGTACATTTTGCCGTTTTTTTTTTCGCCGGCGAAAATACGAAAAATTTGGGACCAGAAGACCGGAACACGAATTCGGTGGATGCCGTCGAGATACACATTGCGTGATCGTCCGAAGATTTCCGCAAAAAGTGACCACACAATATCTTTGTTTTTTGTTCCGCTCGGACGCCTCGCAAACTTGTTTTTGTTCGTTTCTGGACGGGCAAAAACGAAAAAGTTTCCCATGGGATTTGGCCGGCGGGAAAACGGCGGCGCCACGTTCACCGCCAATCTTACCTACTCATCTCCACTCTATTTTTGTTTATCCACCCTTTCCTTTCCTTTTTTTTCGGGCTCTTCAAATTACCTTGAGGGGTTTGAGCGAAATTGAAAACGTATTCGAGAAACACGAGCTTCCGGAATTGCAAATTAATCAAAGTTCTCTTACAGGAATGTGCGGCGCGAATCGAGCAACTCGAGCAGCAATCGTCGCTGAAAGAGCAACTGCTCACCTCGATAATTGAGGACAAGAATTTGGGTGAGTTTCTAATAAAATATGTATATATATATATGAGGAAATGAGCTTAAAAGCCTCCATCTGACGAGTGGGCGGACGCGGCGAAACGGGAAAAACAAAAAGGACGAGAAAGTTATTTTTCGCATAGAAAAATAACCGAAAAACGAGAACATTTGCTCTCGTCCATGTGCTCTTTTGAGAAGAACAAACATGCGGCTTTTTGACACATTGCATTGTTTTTCTAATGATCTTTCGAGTTTTTCACAAAAAGGCGAAGGCGGAAAGCGTGAGGCAAAAGGCACCTTTCTGTGTGGACAAGAAGGTGTCCGTCTTATTCATCTAGGCGGAAACAACACATTTCTTGCAATAAGGAAGGCTACAGAGACTAACACTTTATCGCTAGTTAAGTACTGATGCGAATAAAAAAAATAACATCCAATTTTGAACATAAGTGCTTTAATAATTATTATCGCTGAGTTGACAATGCCTTTTTTGAATTGTGACAATGTGAGATTACAATACATTTATCTCCGATGCTTTTCAGTGGACGAACTCGAAGGACTCGTACCGTCGGACCTGCGAAAAAGCCGGACTTCGTCGCAGAATTCATTGCAGAGAAGTGTCTCGCCGAGCGTTATTGGTACGTTTTTTTAAAATAAAATTGATATTTTTGGGAGCTTTCGATGCGTGCCGTCGGAGAAATACTGCTTCCTCTCACTCATTCTCTTTGTGAATGTGTTTGTTGTGATCAATTTATGATGTAAACTAACAAAGAGACACAAAAAGCACGCACGAGCAGACGTACTTCGAAAAAAGGTGTTTTGACAGTGACCCATAGACATTTCTGCGAGTTTTTTGTTGCTGATTGTTAGTTTAAATCGTAATGAACTCATTCCCGAAAAATTAGAAAAAATGAATAAGTAGTCTGCGAACAGCACGCATCAAAAGTTTTGGCGCGCGGAAAAAGGCTTGGGGAGCGCGCCGCCGGCCGGCGAAACGAGCAGCCGACAGTTCACGGGACCTCACAGCCCCCTCGCAAAAAATCGCTGTGAGAAATGAATTGATTAGAAAAATGTTTCAAAATTATTTGAAAAATGGTAAGCATGTGAATAGCAACAATCAACTGCAAATTGCAGAAGACGCGCACACCCTTCAAAACTACAAAGTACGTCGTCACACTGCGACGCAGGAAGAGTTGCTCTACGCGAATTCGGAGGCGAATTCGGAGGCGAATGCGACGGCCGAAAATCAGAATTATGAGGTGACAGGCGGAGCGGATAACGATGAAAAGAAGGAGAAGAAGAAGAGAATGTGAGTGGGCGTTTTTCTTGGGATTTTTCGACACTTTATTTCGAAAAGCACAACACACATTGTTTCCCCGCATTTTGTGTTCTTACAGCACCCTTTTTCTCTAAAAAGTTAAAAAAAACACTAATAGCACACACACACACACACACACAAACACAACAATCGAAAAACCAACCAACCAACCCGATTTTTTCATAATTTTTCGAGAGCAGGATCATTGTAGTTTCGTGTAGTTTTGTGTTTTGTCCGTATCTGTGCGTCAAATGTGTTGTCCCGTCGGCTTTTGCATCTATCCGCTGCTGCCGCCGAGAAAAAGAGCCGAAATGTTGGCAAATTTAGCGCTTTCGTCTCGACGTCGCCGGCTTCGACTTCGGCTGGCCTATTTTCGCGGAACACACGACTCCGGAGTACTGTAGGCGGTACGGTAGGCGGCGGTGGCTCCCGACGAAGTACGCAAACACCGACGAGCAATGGGAACGGGAACGGAGGAGCGGCGAGCAAAACGACGATGTCGCCCGGAAAGAAGGGGTAAGGATGTAGTGACGTGTGAATATGTTAATATTGTCGAGTTTTGTGAAACCGTGTCAGCGTTGATTAATTCGAGAGATGATTCGCGTTATTTTAAGCGCTCGCCGAAGTCTGTAGCATTTTGTAGGAATTAGTTATGATTTTTCAAAATTTTCACGTTTCGAGTTTGGGTATGTTTCTTGTGGTATCAACCGTAACCTTTCAGATGTTTTTTCACTTGTTTTCGACAAAAATCAATACATTTTGTTGGAATTTCAAAAAGTGTTAAAACGCCCGCCAAAATTCTGTAGTTTGCGATCATTTCAGTTTTTCTCAAAGCCTAAACTTATCTCGACAACTCTACAATATCCATGTCTCGTGTGTGTGCCCTCTAACATTGTTCTCTCGTAAATTCAGACTTTCCCGCCTGGCGTCCGTCACAGAGGATCGCGAAGAGATCGCAACGTTCGCGGGGACTCAGTCGTACCCGCCGGCGCGTTCCCGTTCGAATCTGACTGCGTCGAGCCTCCTGCTCCTCAACCCGAATCGTCCGTTTCTTCTCCCGGCCACGTCTTCTTCTTCTTCTTCGGCCAAGTCGGTTTTTGCGCGAATCTCGCCCTCATGGCTCAGCGATACGTGCGCCGAACTCATTATGCGTAACAATAATCGGTTTGCCTACCATTCTCTGCTTCTTTCTTGCATTTGCATTCATTCACTCTTGGTTTTATCGCACACAACACACTTACACGCATACACACACAATAATAGCACAGAACACTGTCGCCAATGCATTGCATTCGTCGGATAGCACATTTAAAGAGCGATTTATTGTAGAAAACAAAGCAGAATAGTGGCGGTGAAGGAGGGAATGCGCGGATCGGTGATCACGCGAACGCACACGCTCGAGGGACACGCACGCGGAGTACTTTCGGTCGACGTGGCCGACAAACTGATGGTCACCGGATCCAAAGGTACAACTATACACTATATATACTCATGAACAAAATCGCGGAAAAAACTGTAGCCACCATTGAAAACATTGATCGTTCGTTTCAGACCGCACCGCGAAACTGTGGGACATTGAGGCCGGCCGTGAGATCCGAACCCTCGGAGTGCATCCGAACAACGTTCATCTCGTCAAGTTCGTTCCGTTCTCCAACTATGTCTTCACGTTCTCAATGTACGAGGCGCGTGCGTGGGACTACCGTACTCCCGAGTGCATTTGTGTCAAAGTGCTCAACTCGTCCGGGCAGGTCAACGAAGGTAAGTGGAAGAATTTAACCGGAGCCCCATTCAAGGGTCCGGGTTTCCAAAAATTATGTGGCGAGGGTGAGCGGATGTTACTGTTCGCGCGACCCGTTCTTCGAGTACAAAGTACAAAGTATAAATAGGGACCGCAACGGGTTTCACAAAACTCCGAATTTCCATAGAATTTTTGATGGAATGTGTTCCCCCACTCTATATTAGTACGCTTCCAATTTTTTTCTCCGAAATTTTCGGTACATCCCGAGTTACACCCCTTCAAAATTGCCCTGTTTTCTCCCCGACCGGCGGCCGAGGAGGGGCGCAGTCGCGCTAGCAAGTTTGCCGCACGCGTTTTTTCTCATTAGCTGGTGAACCAAACCAAAGAGTCAACATTTTAAATGAAGAGAAATGATGTTCAAAAAAAGCAAAACAACTTTTGAGGTCAAAAGTTTCGAACCCGACACCTCAAAACAGCTGAACGGGCACTCTGCCACTGCGCCAACCGGGCGGAGGCGCGCGCACCGCCAATCGCGTTGAAAAACTCGGTGTGCGCTGCCCCTTCCAGGGGTGAAGTTAGTGAATTTTTGCGCTGAAATTCGAAACATATCGGACTGTAACTTTTTTCGGCGTCTTGGAAAATTGTCATGCTAAACGGAATTTCGTCGAGAATTTCACGCAGAATCCGATTGAGTAAAAATTAGCCGCGTGTACGGTACCTGTGACCCTCAAATCCTCGAAAAACTAGAATTTCGGCTGAATAGGCTTTACTCAATTAAACATAAAAATGCTCCTAGGGTGGCTAGAGCTCTGAAAATTTGTATTTGGGTTCTCAGAGAGTGTATCTATTTTTGCTAACTTCAATGACTTGTGTACTGGAAAACAATTTCTAGAAATGCTTGAAACGGTGAAACATTTGCAGGCGACTCGATCGACGTGTCGCAAGTGATGCCCCGCCAGAACACGATTCCGTTCCTGGAGACGGTGATCACGGCTGCGGACGTGGACCCGACCGGCCAGCTCCTGTTCACCTCCTTCTCCGCCTACGTCCGGGTGTGGAACCTTCGCGAATGGAAGCCCCTCGGGCGGCTGAATGCGGCGTCGCACTCTCCAAAGTCGGAGGTGTCGTGCCTGAAAACGACGATGACTCCGGAAGGGAGCATTCTGGCGTACACGGGCAGTCGGGACCACTACGTGAAAGAGTACGAGGTCGGGTTGGGAACGGGCGTCATCGAGTCCAAGTGCGAATTCACGCCGCCACACTACGACAATGTGACGGCCGTGCTGCCGTTGAACGGACACCTCTACACGGCCTCCAAGGATGTGGTGAGCTTCCTTTTTTGAACAAATTAGGCCATTTTTTCCGGTTTTTTACGTCGTGAGCGATGTTTCTTAAAAATTATAATCATTTTGCAGAATATAATGAAATTCTCGCTGAAAGACGGAAAACGCGAGCATCTGGAGCTGCGCGCCCATCAACAATACATTCAGAGTTTGGCCGGATTTGGGGTACGCCCATTTTTCTCATTTTTTCTAGAAAATGACATTTTTGCAGCCAAAAGGCAAAGAATTGTTGGTTTCTGCGTGCAAAGACGGAACCCTTCGCTTCTGGGACGTCGCTACTTCGAACCGGATGCGGCTCGTCGAAGAGGTATTCGAAAAAGATGGAATCTGCTAAGCTCCGCCCCGTTTTTCTCAATTTTTAGTATTCGAAAGCGCATCAGGAGGGAATCAACGACATGTGCGCGGCAAAATCGATGCTTTTCACGGCTTCCGGCGACGCGACCGTCGGATTCTGGAAATCGAATACTGTCGATCATTTTTAGACACGTTTCTCTTTTTTTTCTACTGCAAAATCCTGTAATTTGAACTATTTCACTTTTCCACACGACACCCCCTAATTCTCTTATTTATTGTGATGAATAAATGAGCTTTTTCTGCAATTTTCAGATGAAATCTCAGCTGTTCAGAAAAATGTCGTCAAAAGTGACGCCGAGTCCGCAAACACCGCACGCAAAGTTGCAGCGGCTTTTCAGAGGTTTCGTTAATTTAAAGTAAGTCTAATTTTTGGCTCCGGGACATTTCTAAACCAATTCAGTACAAGTATTCAAAAATTCAAAAAAGCAGCCAAATTCACAGTAGAAAAGCTATCTACAGTAGTTTTTCGTATTGCTCAGATTAAAAACTTCGCTGAACAGCAGCCAGTCTAACTAGGGAATTCCTTTTTTTTTACCATTTTGAAAAATTCTGAAAAAAATTAGGGTGGTACTATAAGATATGGAGAACATTTTCCGACTTTGAGATTCGGCAAAATATTTCTGGAAACTTCTTGCAAATTCGCAGCAAATTTTCGCTATTTTGACTTTTGTGCGACGATGACCCTCCCAATGGAACCAGCTAGTATAATTTTGATCAGTGTCACATTTCCGGGCTCTCTCAGGCCTTACCAGATAAGATTATCCTTTTCAGGACAACCTTCCGAGCCTTTTTCAGGGCTCTCTCAAGACCGTGCAAATGTTATGTTTCGAGGGCTTTATATACATTCGTGGGCGTGGCTTTTCGCCAGGGCAGATCCGACCTTGTGGGCGTGGCCAACTGTTTGGGATCACCGTCTGGGCGGGGCGCAAAATTTTATTTTTACGGATCCGTAAAAACGCAAATTTACGGTTTCAAGAAGACGTAAAATCCGTAAATTCCGTAAGATCTTTAAAATCCATAAAGCGCTTGAACGTTTTGGTGTCTTTTGATTCCTAATCTTGTTCTTACTGATCAAATCAGGCATTTCTGATTTTACAAAAATAGTACAAAAGTAATAGATTCGAGAAAAATCACTTTTATCACAAAAAAAGTAAAAAACTACCGTAAACGTAACATCCTAGCCCTGATCCCAAATCATTGACATAGCTCCATCAAATCACATCCGATTTTTCTACTTTTAGTTACTTTGTCTCCCCTAAAGGAGACATTCCAAAATTAGAAATCTGACGCTAAATTTCTTTAGGTCATTCCCAGGTACGCACCTTAACTTGGGTAATTAAACCGACCCTAACGCTGCGTCGCCGCTCTTAAACAGTGCGCGCAACCGACACGTCCGAGAGACGGCGAGAACGAGGGGCCTCACCACAGCACACAACATTTAGTGCGGCTGTCGCTCAGCGAATTTTCGAAGAAGACAAGGTAGGAATAGAGGCGGTGGCTGCGAGAATATGATGGCGACGGTACAGCGAGTATTTCGCTTACGACGTCGTCATTGTTCGCGAAAATGTCATCGACATAGAGTGACGATGGTTTCGCTTATAAATTCCCGAGATCCGCGAAAAATGCGCCAAAACGTCATAAATTTTGAGAATCAGTGTGCTTTCATGTCGAACAATCATTTTTCATCGCCGTTGACCACAAAAATCAGAGAAAACCTGCTCAATTCATGAAAACGCCATTTGGCCGAGGCCACGCCCATATTGTCAGCTCTGGAGACCGTGGAGCCCGAAAGTATTGACTTGAGAATACGACGAATGGGCTCAAGATGAAATGTTCGTTTCAAAACAGTTTGAATATTGACAATTTATTCACAATTTATTGAACACAAATTAAAAGAAATTAGAATGAATACAAACATATTCGACAAGTTATTAATAATGTGGATGCCTCGGTGCCGGATTCCGTTGGCCATTCGTCCCTGGAGAAGTCGGCATCTGCTGATTCTCGACGTTTCCGCTCTGTCCTTGGTGGCCATTATTATGTTGTTGGTAATGTTGCTCCACGTGCCAGTTGTTCTGAAATGGTGCATTTGCACTCACCTGGGACGGCATCACATTCGCTCCTTGAGGATGAGTGATCGATTGATGCGGCGGCGGCTGAAGCGGATACTGCTCGGCATTGCGAACTTGCTCATACCTGGGCACATGCTGTCCTTGAACATGTGCTCCTTGCTGGTTATGAGCAACGTTGCGCGTGGATTCATAGTTCTGCAATGGGACATTAGTGCTTACCTGGTGTGGGACCACGTTCTCCACTTGGTTGTTCCATTGCTGTTGGTCTGGGATGTAGAAGAAGTCTCTAAAAATTTGCTCATCTTCGATCTGCTCTTGAATGAGCACTTGTTGCCCATGAGAATCATTGTTCTCGGATGGGTACTGCTGCAACGGAACATTATCACCCACCTCCTGCTGCTCCACTGGGAGGTAGTCATAGAACACCTGATCCTCGGGCACCACTCCATCCTCGTCCACCTGCACCCAGATAACGTTATCTCCTTCCTGATCCTCGGGCACCACTCCATCCTCGTCCACCTGCACCCATTCAACGTTGTCTTCTTCCTGATCCTCCGGCACGACCTCATCCTCCTCAATCTGCACCCATTCAACGTTGCTTTCTTCCGGATCATTCGGTTCGAATGGGTTCATCTGAAACGGAGCATTAGAACTCACCTCCGACGGAGCCTGCTGCTCTTGTTGCACCTGAACCTGCTCACTTTCATCAGCACATACCTTCCTTTGCTTTCTCTTCGGCTCCGCAGTCCTCTCCGACGGTCTCTTCTGTGCTCTGCTCGGGTTCTCCTCTCTCTTAGCCGCTTTCAACTGTGCCTTCTTCGCCTTGTATTGCTGGCTCTGGAAATGGAATGAATGATTTGATGGAAGGGAAACTCAAACACTTACATAATTAGAGACGACCACGAATGTTTGACTCTCAAACTGGAACGTATACGACGTCCCATTTTCAGAAATGATCACAACGGACACAACGTACTTACGGAGCGCGTTCACAAAAACGTGCAACTTCTTGGTGCAGTTGGGCTTGTTTGTGATGAAGAGCGCGGAGAAGTCGCAAGTCTCCCCCAGCCACTCCATTCCCGTCTTCCAGCCGTCCGGATGCTCGACGATCTGCGCGGCCTGCAGATCAGACTGCTCCAGGCGGCAGTGCTCCACCCAATCCTTGACCATCTCGTTGAATTTGTACCTGTAATTTAGTAGTTACAGACTCTTTCATTGAATTCAAAATGAACTTACTTGTACTCGCCGACCTGATCCACTTTCAACTGCACCTTATACTTTTGGACCATGTCCAGCTTCTCCAGGCTGTACTGGAGCGTCGGCTGGAGTCGTCGTCCTTCCCCGGCAATTTGCTGCTCCACAGTCTGTCCATAGGCAGCCCATTCCTCTCCTTGGAACGGAGTGCAGTGTGGGACATTAACAGAAGACATACTGATGATTTGTCTGAAAACATCCAAATGAAAAAGAGAAAAGAGAATGAGTGACAGAAGAAAAAGTAAAGTGAAATAAGAGAGAATGCGACAGGAGTAGTGCGGTAGATGATGTGGATAAAGAAGAAAACGGAAATGAAGAGCAAGGAGTGGTCACCATTGTGCGAGATGGGTAATAGAGTGAATGACGGTGTGACCCCTTCTTCTGTAAGTGGCGCGGTCTGTAATACCCATGGCAAGTGTTTCCCGAGAGCACAGACACGCCCCGAGTATACCTTCACACGGTGCAGGACACCGATTGTAAACGAATGGACACGTGCGTCGCAGATATCTGCACATTTTAAGATGGTCGCAATCAGGGGTGTGCGGAAAATATTTCGATTTTCCGAAATTTTCCGATTTTCCGAAAATTTTCGGCAACATTTTCGGAAAATTAGTGTGGATTCAAGGTCAATTTGTCCGAAACCACCGTATGCTTTTTAAAGGCGCATCACAAAATTTTTGGAAGGGTCTAGCAGCGAGCGTCTTTTTAAATTTTGCAAAAAAATATTCCATTGCTTGGCTTCCGCCCACTCAAGTGATTTCAAATCATAATAAGCATTTTTTTTGTATTAGAACGTTGTTTAAACACTTTATTGAACCAATGAACAAGTGAGTTTTCCGATTTTTCCGATTTTTCCGAAATTTTCCGAAAAAAAAAATTCGGAAAACCCGATTTTCCGAAATTTTCCGAAAAAAAAAATTCGGAAAAACCGATTTTCCGAAATTTTCCGAAAAAAATTTTCCGCACACCCCTGGTCGCAATGGGGTGCCTCTTTTCAACTTGCCGATAAACATGACCGTTTTCCCATATGTTACCGAGAATTGAGGACTGGGTTGGAATGAGAATGAGCTTTTGAGGGGTCTAAAAGAAATGGAAACTGCAAACCGGAAAATACACATCAACACGAACAGAAGAAGAGAACAGAAAAGTACAGCAGAGTACATAAATGCTTTAGAACTCCATAAGTACAGGACTATAATTTTTGAAAGGAAGGTGCTAGTGATGGGAGCAACATAAGTGAGTCTATTTGATGTTATAGTACAGTAGTCGTCCTTCGAATTCAGAAAGACGAGAGGACTAGTGAAATTATGTGCTCCTAATGAATAAAATGGACGGCACCCTATCTCGGAAATAGGAAATTTAATTGCGCGTGATGCCCTACGGTAGGCTGGTCGAACAGGCGCCTAAAAAGACAGGCGCAGGCGCCTAAAATCGCCTGTCAGACCAGCCTACCCTACGGTATTTTCCGGTCTGATTTGTTTTACAAATCAACGGAAAACGGATAATTTCATAAAGTTTTCTATCGAATGATCACGAGTTGCACGCAGTGAAACCGAATAGGAGGAGGTCGACTGAACTTGAGATCTTCTGGTTTCCAAAATAGGGTGCTGGGAAATGAAAAGAAATACAATAGTAAGAATAGATGAGGAGTAATGAGAAGTTGAAAAAGAGTACAGAAAAACTGAGAATCGATCTCGATGAGAGTGAAAAAGCGGTCACCTTCCGCAAGATGGATTATAAATGGAATGGCGGTGTGGTTTTCTTCTTAGACTGCAAGGGGCGGGGGATTTGGTCTAGAACAAACGTGGCAAGTGTTTCCCGGGATCACAGAAGACGAGAGCTAAAAAGGGAACGCACGTGTTGATCCATTTACAATCGGTGTGCGAAGGTATACTCGGAGCATGTCTTCGTTTGGGAAACATCGGGAAGACCCGACCACTGAGCCCTGTTGTTATGTAATGCTGTGTAGTTGCACAATATAAATCAAGAATACATTTATTATCGAAATCACTGTTTCAAAGGATACTTTATTTTTTCAATTGAATCGGTGTGGGAAATGTGTACCAGAGGGAAGAAATTGTGGGTAACCCGTGACAGGAAATCGTCTCACATTCAAGTTTGCATCATCACGCTTCGTGGAGGGGGCGAAAAGAAAAGAAAACAGCGAAAGAGATCAGAATATGTCCGGTTTCGATTCGTGGCGATTCGTCGCGCATTTCCACTGAAAATGCGATCGAATTGGTCGAGAGAAAGGGTACGGTGGCAGCGGAAACTTAAAGGACCAGGCAAAAGGGGAACGGTTTGGAACCCGATCCTCTCCGTTCGCATTCGATAACAGTAAGGAACCGCTTGGAGCCTTCCCTAACAATCATTTTCAGTCCCGTACTGGACGAGCGACGAAGTGTGCGCATGGCTCTCTTCGATCGGAATGTCCGAATACGGATCGACATTCCGGAAAAACGACATTCAAGGATCCGAATTGATGCATTTGGAACGGTCGGACATTCTCGAGATTGGCATCAACAAAATCGGACATGTCAAGCGACTACAGGTACCCCCCAAGCATCACAAATACCTCTCAACACCATCTTTTTCAGTCTGCCATCCTCGAACTGCGGGCCCACAACCAACGGGCTCGACGAGCACAAGCCCGCAAGAAACGGCGAGTCGCGAAGGATTACAAACCGCGGACAAGCGGAAGGAGTCGAGTGCGGAACGGTATCCGGACGGGCAGCCGTCGACTTCCTCTTCCGCGTCGGCGCCGTCCGGAAAGAGCGGAACGACGCGGCGAATCCCTCCAAAGGACGGAGAATCGGCGCCGGCGGTGATGCAGAAGGATCCGTCGAGCAGCTGACACTTTTTTATATTTAAGAATCGATGTACTTGTTTTGCTTCTGAACCTAGGAATTTGATTGTCTTCTTCCCCACGCCCAATTTTTATCTGTCTGAAATTTTCAATGTCTTCTGAAAATCGTTCGAATCGTAGACGCCAAGCGTCCCCCACTGTTTTTCTTCGCACAATTGCTCATTTCACCATCACTAAATATTATATGGTTTTACAATTATTCTATCTTCCCAAACTTCTAGCTGAATTATTATTATTATTATTTGTCCAATGCTTTTCCTCCTCCCATTTCTTTCCTTCCAATGACCAAATGTCACAAACCTCTGGAGCCTCTTTTCCATTTCACAAACCCCGCCCCCCACACATCATCATCATCTTCATCATCAGCGAACACAACAAAAAACGTCCTTCCCGACTTTCATTTCATTCAGTTATTGTATAATTTTAAAATCCCTGTCGCCCATCCACCTCCTAGAATGTCTCATATCAATTTCGGTTTACTAGATTCGCTCCAAATCCTTTTCTTTTCTCTCTCCTGATTGCTTATTTACTCGTTTTTTATCAGTTCCATTCGGTAGACTTAATTTAATGAACGTTTCAATGAAAACTATATGGGACTTTGCGAAGATTTTGACAAGGTTGGTAAGCCAGGGCCCACGGTCTCCAGAGCTGACAATGGGCGCAAGTGCGCCCCACTCAATAGAGCGATACATTGGCGCGAAATTCAAATTTTAACAGCAAATTTTGTGTTTTTTGCCAGATTAGCCACGAAAAACCGATAATTTCTCATTTTTCTCTCGATAGACCGATTGTATAGGCTATTAAAAATTTTTTAAGCGCAAGAGCGTTAAATTTGGTCAAGTCGCAAATCACATTTATCCGTTTGAAGGCTTTTGGCTAAAACTGCGTGAATTTCAGTTGCTTTTCGGTAGATTTCGCGGTTCGAGCGCTCAAAATGCTTGTATTTACGTGATTTATCATTCTCAAAACCAATTATGTCTGAAAACGGTCAAGAAAGCGCGAAATGAGAAGTGCGGTTTTTAGGCGGCGAAGGCGAAAAAGCGAAATCCGCGAAAAATGCGCCAAAACGTCATAAATTTTGAGAATTAGTGTGTTTTCATGTCGAACAATCATTTTTCATCGCCTTTGACCACAAAAATCAGAGAAAACCTGCTCAATTTATGAAAACGCCATTTGGCCAAGGCCACGCCCATATTGTCAGCTATGGAGACCGTGCGCACTGATTAACGGTCTAGCTCTTATTTTAGGTCACTAAATTGCAATATTATTCAAGTTTAAAGCCTCAGTTGAATAGTCCCACAGTTTACTGTTTCAAAAATGTCTCAATCAATTTATTAAAAACGTAAAAATATTGAAATTGAAAGGCGCCGCATGCGCAAATGTTCGTGTCCGCTCTTTTGTCACCCTCCCATTGCCCCCTGTAAATAATGCAAACGCGCTCCACCGCACCCCATTTTCGAAAGTCGCATTTCGGTTTTCTGTAGCCAGTTTTGCAGTAATTTCCGTGTTCAAAAGTGCAATATTCGCTGAAAATGGCTGAAGTGGACATGCAAAGTGGCTCCGACGACTCGGGAATGGAGGATTTGGACGAGGAGATCGAGCAAATCAAGAAAAAAGTACGTGTTTCCGCCGAAATCCGGCACTTTTTCACGGTTGAAGGTGTTTTCGTTGCAGATGAAAGAAGAGGATCAGAATATTTCGGCCGCCAACCGACTTCTGGATCTGCTTCGCAGAAACGGCGATTTCGAAGAGGTTGGTATCGATTTTTCTGCTTTTATATATTTTCTTTCAAACAATTTGAATTTTTGCAGCTCGACGACAAACGCAAGCAAATTGTCGCCTGGGCACCGTTGAGCCCGAATAATTGGATCAATTGGATTAAGTAATCTTTAAAAATTCTGAAAAAAGATTCTAAAAGTCTATATTTGCAGAGATGTGATCGAAAAAGAGGCGCCGAGCGTCGAGCGCATGGAGGAAATGTTCCAGAAGGCGCTTTTCGACGAAAACGACGTCGCCATTTGGATCGAGCGCATCTTTTTCGCCAATAAAGTCAGTTTCGAGTTTTGTCGCAGTGTAAGTATAACAATTTCTAGAATTTTCACAAGATTGGTTAAATTCAGATCTGTGAGAAGGCTCTGACGGCGATCGGAAGTCGTTACGACGTCGGCGGACACGTCTGGTTCATCTTTCTCGAATATGAACGCGAGAATTTGAAAAGTAAGTAGGAACGGGGAAAAATTGGGTATTTTTCGACAGATTTGATTTCTAGAATAGTAAAAAAAAGTGTTATCAGGTTTTTGCTGTGTACAAAAGTTCCCAAAGCTTCAGAGTACCTAAACACTGGTGAACTCAAAAAACGCGTGGACCACGTCGTCGGGCTCTACCAACGTGCTCTCCGGTGCGCGACGACCCAACTCGAGGAAGTTTATCAAAATGCGCAGCAATTCTGCGAGGAGACCGATCAGAAGCACCAGTTGCCAGAGCTCAAGAAGCTGTTCGAGGCGACGATGCGCCAAAAACGACAGTTGGACGAGATTCAGAAGGTGATCGACGTCGAGGAGACCCGCAAACAGGGCCTGCACACGTTCTTCGAGTACGAGAAGCGGTCGGGCATGCCGGCGCGGGTGCAGATGGCCCACGAACGCATGGTCTCCGAGTTGGACGACGATGAGAATGTGTGGAGTGCCTACGGAACCTGGACGGAGACGGTGCTCAAACTGCCGCAAGTGTCCGTCGAGGTCTACGAACGGGCGCTCCGCCACTGTCCGACCAGTTTTGTGCTTCATCAGCAGGCGCTTTTGGCGTTCGAACGGGCCAAAAAGCCAGATGAGGTCATCGATCGGCTGTGGGAACGCGCGAAACAGTCATTCAACGACGCCGTCGAGGGCCGAAGCATCTACAGAACGTACGCGTACGTGTTGAGAAGACGGATTGTGGCACAGGGATCCACAGACTTTTCCCCGATGGCCGAAGTGTTCGACGAGGGCGCCGCGAGCATGAAAGAGTGGTTTTCGATGAGTTGGGACAAGGAGACAGAGTACAGAGAGATGCAGGCATACTTTTACGCCAGTTTGATGCACGATATGGAGAAGGTGAGGGCTGCGATTTATTTTTGAATTTTTTGTACTAAAAACCTGAAAACTATTTATTGTCTTCGTTTGCAGTGTCGTCAAATCTGGAACGATATTCTGGCGTCCGGATCGGGCCGTTTCGCCCGTAAATGGATCGAAGTGGTCCGTCTCGAACGACAATTCGGAGACAACGAGAATGCGCGCAAATACCTCAATAAGGTACTTGTTAACGAATTTTCTGGGTTCTTTCATTTAAAAATATACAAAATTGACCCCTTTGTGCATTTTGCAGGCGCTCAACTCTGTCTCGGACGACATCAACGAAATCTACCGCTACTATGTGCAATTCGAACGGGAAGAGGGCTCACTCGCCGAACTGGACGCCGTGTTGGAGAAAGTGAACGCGCAAGTGGCCCACCGCGCCGTCCGACCGCAGAAAAAAGTGATCGAGAAGCCAGCGGTGCAGCCGAAAACCGCCGGAGTGCAACAGAAACGGGCGGTCGGCGGCGAACCGATTGTGAAGAAGGTCAAGGCCGAGGATGGAGGTGAGATCCAGAAAACATGCGAGTTTTTAGCAATCATTTTTCAATGAAATCCATCAAATTATCACCGTTTTTGCAGGTTTCAAAGCGCCGTTCCTTCCGGCGCCGAAAAAGACGCCTTCTCCCGGTTCCGCGCCGCCTTCCGCGTCCGCTTCTGCACCGTCGACGGCTCCGAAAGCCGCCCCGGGCACAGAAGACGCGCGGACGGTGTTCGTGTCGAATCTGGAGTTCACGACGACGGAGGAGGACATCCGCGCGGCCGTCGACGGCATCGAATCGATCAGATTCGCGCGGAAGGCGCACACGGACCAGAGCCACCGCGGATTCGCGTACGTCGTGCTCACGGACGAGGCGGCCGCGCGGAAAGCACTCGAAAAGGACCGGGTGACCGTCAAAGGGAGACCCATGTTTGTCAGTTTTTTGAATCGTCGTTTTTAGTGGAAAAAATGAGAAAATTTGGATGGATGATTTTGAGCCGGCCAATTGTTTTGACATTCTTTTCAATTAAAAAATGTACTCCTTTTTTTTACAGTTTCAAAACAAGTTCTGAAATTTCGTCGAAATTTCGTCGGGAATTGCATTTCGATACTCTTTGTTTTCCCAATAAAAATATTTGCAGATTACTGTGAACGATCCGGAAAAGCGTGTGGGATTCAAGTACGCGACGGGACTCGAAAAGACGAAAATCTTTGTGCGCAACGTGCATTTCCAGGCCACCGACGACGAGATTTCGGTGCGTGTTTATGCATTTTTATGGAAAACCGCCGATTCTTGTGTTCAGACGCTCTTCTCGCAGTTCGGCGCGGTGACAAGTGTGCGTCGAGTGACTCACAGGGACGGAAAACCGAAAGGAGTCGCATTCGTGGAGTTTGCGAACGAAGAGGCAGCCGAGAAGTGCGTGGGCGGCACAGAGAAACTGGTGCTCCACGAAAGGGAACTTTTCGTCGCTCTTTCCGATCCGCCGAAGAAGACGAACGAGAAAAAGAGGAGCGAGGAGGACGGGGCCGCCCGGAAAGGACGACTTCAGATGGTTCCGCGGGCTCTCGGTAACAACTTAGAAAAAATTGGATTGCAAACAGTGGCGTTTTGTTGTGAATGTGCATTATTCTGTTTATAATGGGGTCATTCAACGTTTCGTTTTTTGTACATCACTGAGTTTTTTGACGCAAAAAACGTACGATGAATAACCGCATAACGAATTTTTAAAATTCCATAAAATCACTAACGATTTTTTAACGTGAACGACACGCGCTTTTTTTAAACGTTAACGACAAAAAATGTCAATTTTCAATACAAATCTCTTCTGAAACTGGAAAAATTTACCCAAAAATTGTGCAGTACACAATTAAAATTTTCTTTTGAATACTTTGTTGCAGCGAGCCGCCCGCCACTGGCTCCACCTCAAATAACCGCCCGTTTAGAAGCGATGGACACTTCGGATGCTTCGGCTCCAGTGAAAGCCCTCTCCAACGATCAGTTCCGTCAACTTTTCCAGAAAAAATAGGCTCCTCCCGCTTTTTTCTTCTTTATTTTCTCAATTTCCCCCTTATTTATTTCCATTCCCCCCAGGTAATTGGTGTATGGTTTTGACTGTAAATCTGAAAATTTCCGATTTTTTAAAACAATAATCCGCCCCCTGTTTTGTTTGTTTGTTCGCTAATGTTCCCACCAAAAAAATATTGAAAAAATATAATTATTGCCTTAAAAGTTGATTGATAAATTTGTTTTGCACGGGATACAAAAAAATGGAATTTTTTGCGTGGTTTCTTGCCGGTTCAATATTGTTTAATCTTTCTTTTTTTTGCATTAAAATAGATATTTGAAGAATGTCGTCGTCTGAAAATAATTCGGATGCGTCCGCGCCGCCATCTCCAGCCAAATCGTGAGTTTTCAACAAGAAAAGTTTAGTTAGGGACGACGATTCGAACTTATAAAATGAGAAAATACGGCTGTGTCTGAAAAGCACGGACCCAAGTATTATTTTTCATGCAATCGCGCTCTACCGCAATCCAAATTAGTACTGAACTCGCGTGGAATTACGGTGGTAATGGATAATACTGTTTAGTTGCGGGAAGTGCGAAACTTGTCCATTTCGACTCTCATCCCTATGCTATGTCATCTCTATTCTCATCCCTTTGAACCACTACGAATCCTGATAACCTCTAGAGATAGATCATCTTTGAGATAGATCACATAACCAAATATAGAGTGATTCCCGACACCGTGAAGCTTTTCCTGGGATCAAGAATGCTGTTAGGCTTCATTAAAAGGAAAGCAGATGTTACCAATGAAATATTTAGTCTTTAGAGCTGTCCTCACCTTATCTGTCAGTTTTCTGATGCTACAATGCTCACAGGGCCCATAGAATGGAACAAAACACTATTTCTCCCAAGCAATACACTCTAGGATTGGTATTCTGACGGTTATCGACCGTACTCATAGTTTCTGGGGGAAAAGAGGGTTGTGTTCCAAAGTTATCAGGATTCTTTGTGATTTGACACAATGAAGAGTGGGAGTAATCGAAGTTGGAGAGGAGTGAAATTCCGTATCTGTTCTGTTCTATCACCATCACTTGGGTCCGTTCTTTTCCCGGACCGAACCCATTTTTCTTCTTCTTCTTTTTAACGAAAGTTATATTCAGCGCAACTCCGTCGTCGCGCGGCTCCACGCCGCCTGCCCAAGAATCGGCGAAACGGAAAGGGATTCTGTCGTCGGATTCCGAAGATTCCGATCACGGACGGCCGGCTGCCGCACACGCAAGAGTAAAAATCTATTTTTTAAAAAAACATTTGAAAATTCATCATAAACATTTGCAGGAGAGTTCGGGCGGCGATTCTCCGCGTGCGTCGGCGCCGAAAGGCGGCAATCTGTTCGGAGACGTTTCGGGCTCTTCGGACGACGATTCCGAGCGAGAGGGACCGCCGAAAACGGAGAAAAAGAAGGAGATGCTGTCGGATTCTGAGGCGGAAAGCCGTGGAAGTATGGAGGACCTGCAGGGCATTGTGATGGCCAATCCCGACGAAATAGAGCAGGAGCACGAGGAGCACCACGAGGAGGTCCACGACACCGAGGTATGGTGCATCCAAAAAAACCACACCGAATTTTCAAGACGCAAAAATTTGCAGCTACTGTCGGGCCGCGTGCAAATGGAATACGCGCCGGACCCGCCGTTCTTCGTCCGAATGCCCAACTTCCTTTCCGTCGCCACGCACCCGTTCGACCCGGCCCACTACGAAGAGGACGAGGACGACGATCAGAGCAAATTGGACGACGAGGGACGCAATCGGCTCAAGCTCAGGGTCAGAATTACACTCTTTTATATTTAAACGCCAAAATTGCGAAATATTACCATTGACTTTCGATTAAACAGTACTTTCTTCATACTTGTACACGGGCCGGCTGCTAACTCGCTTCAAAATCAATGTTGTGAGTAGAACGACATCAGGTATCCAAAAAAATGTGACAGCTTTGAGCCGGTATTGGACCGACCTATAATCTGCTTTTTGCCACTTTTGCCGGCCCGTAGCCAGGCCTGAAACCCGGCGTAGGAACAAATCATGAAATGAAAGTTTTGAAGCAGCATGTTCTTGATCATGCTAATTCACCAAAAGTGAGAAAAGTGACGAAATAATGCCATCAACTTTCGACGAAACGGTATTTTTGAAAATGCTAATGTTGGTTGCATTGAAACACCCTTTTAAATCGAAAATGTTTGCAGGTGGAAAACACTCTTCGCTGGCGAACTCGTCGCGATCCGAACGGAAAGGAAATCCGCGAGAGCAATGCGAAAATTGTGAAGTGGGACGACGGAACGTACGGTTTTTCGTCTTTTTTATGAATGTGTATAGAAAAATCGAGTTTTTCTCAATTCGTTTCCCTCCCTTCTATGTGTTCTAACAATTTTTGCAATTTTCAGAATGTCCCTGTACTTGGGAAACGAAATTTTCGAAATTTCGTTGATGGAACTGAACAAGAACAATCTGCCGCATTTGTACGCCACCCAACCAGGTCTCATGGTAAGAAAATGCGAAAAATTCACAATTTACAAGTTGTTTTCCAGGTTTCGTAAAAAGACATAGTATAATTTGACGGGAATTGAATTATTAGAATTATGGGAATTTATTTTTTTTAAAACCCGAAAAACTTGCAGTCTGCTCAATCGGTGCTCACTCACCGAATGACGTTCCGTCCGCACTCGACGGACTCGCAAACCCACCGAAAAGTCACTCTGAACATGGCCGATCGCAGCAGAAAGAACGCCCAAGTGAAGGTGATGGACGACGTCGGACAGAACCCCGAAATCACCAGAAGGGTACGCGTAGAACAGTTTAATTGAAAAAAATAACCGAAGATTCTTTAATAAAATTCAATTTGTCTTAAAAACCATCCTAAATCACTGATTTTGCAGGAGAACGCGCGTAAGGAGGAGGAATCGCTTCGGGCGCACATCCGCCGCACCCAAATGGTCCGTAATAACTTCAAAGTGCGCCGTCCGGCCTACGCAGGCGGATACTCGGACGACGAGGAAATGACGTCTTCTTCACGGGGACGGCAGCGGAGGAAGGAGGCGCCTATCATTGGTGAGAGTGTGAGGGATGACGGTACAATACGGGGTTGTAAAGGAATAGTAACTGAAGATTGCAGAATTAAAGATGTCTCAAACTTTTATCAATTTTTAGAAACTGTGTTTGCAGGAGCGAGTTCGGACGAGGACGAGGAGGCGGAGCCGTCGAAGAAGAGCGGCGGAGGATCGGATTCCGATTCGGATCTCGACAATCGAAAGGCGCAGCAGCCGAAAAAGAAGCAGATCGTGACGAGCGACGAGGAGTCCGACTGAATCACACTCAAATCATCCATTTCTTTAATGTTTCATTCACGCAATGGCTTATTTATGTAACCGTCTCCGAAAATGACCTCTGCCTATAATTTATTTCCCGTTTTTTTTGTGTTATTATTGCGGAAATACAAGTAAAGTGGGATTTTCCGTAGGGAAATTATTGGATTTTTGCACAAGACAAAACGTGTTGACAAACCCTTTTTCTTGCTGCCCAACTAATGAGGTCAGAGATATGCGAAATCATTTTCATTCAATTATATAAATATTTCAGTTTGTTAAAAATCAGCGTGCTTTGCTGACGCGATAGGCCAGTCCAATGTATCCGATCGTGTAGAATCCGACGATGAACGCCGACATTATCGCCAGATCCGGATAGAACATTTCGGCGCGGAACGACAATTTCGACAGCACCGAATCACGCTTCTGCAAATGTATTGCGGTTTTTTCAGGTCAAAATTTTTGCGGTTTCTCGTCGCTTCTTTCGGGGAACGCTCTCTAACCTCATCAGTCCAAATGGTCGTATTTGGCTCATTTACACTGCTCCACTGATTGATGGCGAACGCCTCGAAGCCGTATCTGCAAAAACGCATTTAGTATTTATTTAATTCGAAAAAAACTCCAGTTTTCATAAACTTTTCACTAAAAGCAGTTTTTGAAGAGGAAAAGAAGGTACCTGAACCAGGAGAGGTACTGAATCCACGAAATATAAGAGGGAAGTGCTCCGACGTTCGCGTAGAGACCTCCGGTTAGCGAGAGCAGTGTGAGCATCGGACCCGCCGTCGACATGGCGATCTGATTGGAAAAATATTCATTCAAATGATTGAAGAATTCAAACAAAAAAGCGTTTTGCAAGTTTTTCATCCAAAATCATCTAGACATTGATTTTTCTTAAAGTGTCACGAAAAATGATATTTTTCTCTGAAAAACCAACCGGAAGTGACGGAGCGACACAGGAGATCATGATTCCGCACGCAGAAGACGATTGTTCGATGAGGAACGCGATGAGACACGCGAAGAGCACCTGAAAACATTTATTTGCAGTTTCAACGAATTTATACATTTTTTTGCGAATATTGTGCATTATTGAGAACAACTAAATTATGCCTGTCTGTCTTTTTTGCCCACTTCCAGTTGACCGATCGGACCCAAAAACTGTTTGGGCATTGCCGTTGGTGTGAAGTGTCTCCAGGACAATTTCGGGCTCAAATGAATCATCTCGTCTAGCGATGGACTGAAACATCGGTCAGATCAGATTATCCTATAGAGCTGAAACTGGAGAAACAATTTCTGGGTCCGATCCAAAACCACAGGACAGCTTTTTGAGAGAATGTCTGAAAAGAACGGATTAAAAGGGAGGAGGAGTACCTGCGTGAGTGAGTTGGAGAATCCGACGAGCCAGTAGGAGACGAGCAGCATGACGAGTCCGTCGGCGGTGAAGAGAGGCAGGTAGGAGAGGCAGCGGGCGACGTAATACGAGAAAACAGAGTAGAGACCGTCGTGGTATTCCCGCGAGACGAGTGGAAAGTCCGTCGGCAGAAAGTTCAGGATTCCTGCACACAATTGGATCATTTTCGAGGAAAACGCCGAAAATGTTTGAAGTTTCAGAAAAATTGTAAATTAGGCTGCCTAATATAGACTTGATGCGCGTTCGTTGATAAATTACGATAGAAATTACGATAACAAAAATAAACGAACCGAAAATAGTGGAATAGGTGAGTTCGCAGACGAGATAAAAAAGCGCTCCGTTCAAATTGGAAATTCCGATAGAAGTTAGTGGACTCTGCAAATTTTCCCTTTTGATGAGCTCTTTCATAGTAGCAAAATTGCAAGAAATACACTTTTTCGGTACCTGAAGATAGAGTAAACCGATGAAGACGCCCATGATGGTCTTCTGAATGACTTTGGCCCTGGTCAGCGACGGATTCCGCCACGTGTCGATCATCGCCCGCTCGAGAAGCGCGCCGATTTGAGTGCATATTCCCGTCTTCCGACGTTCCGACGGCTTCTGGCCCGCCTCCGTCTTGTCCAGTCCGAATTTGAGTGTTCGGCCGTACGAACTGCAATTTTCGATGGCATTTGTAGCAAAAAGAATACCTTGTAGATGATCGATAAAAGCTAGATTTCGCAGCGAAACAGCGCGTACCTATTCTCGAATTTCGAGCAGATGACTTCGATTCTCTGCCTGCACACTTCCTCCTCGTTTGGCATCACCGCCAGCGTGTGAATGATCAGATCGGCCGGATTGAAGTTGCGCGGACACGAGAAGCCCGAATCTTCGAAGAACTGCAAAAAGGAAGCCAACTGAAATAGAATTCTACCGAGAAAAGAACCTGAATGGCCTCACGGGGGGCCCCCAGAAAGGCGGTCTTTCCGCCGGCCATGAACATGACTCTGTCGAACATCAAATAGAGCTGAGAGGACGGCTGATGGATGGTGCAAATGACCGTGCGGCCGGATTTTGCCAGATTCGAGAGCACTTGGACGACGGATTCGGCCATGAACGAGTCCAGACCGGTTGTGGGCTCGTCGCAGAAAAGGACCGACGGATTGGAGAGCAGCTCGCACGCGAACGTCAGACGACGCATCTCACCGCCTAAACACAGATTATCGGTACATTTTCCATCCGAATTTCCCCCCACCTGAAATGCCTTTTTGCCCGCCGATCGATCCGATTCTCGTGTGCTGACACTTGTAAAGTCCCAATTGGGCCATCACATTTCCGACTCGACGTCTTCGTTTCTCTGCGTCTCCGTTCACTCGCAATTTCGCCTGAAATTCAGGAAAAATGATGCTGTCCGACGGAATGTTTTCAAAATAATTTAGACCGAAAAACGTCAGCTGTGAAATTTGTGGGAAAAATGCTGTTTCATCAAAAATTTAGAAGAACATTTAAAAATTTGAAAAGCGTTAAATCAAGGAAAAATTAGTTTTCTTTGTTTTTACTATAATATCATCGGAATGAGCATTTTTCCCCTGATCTTCTCACCTGAATATCGAGATATTCCTTGACGGTGAGCGTTCCGACGAACAGCTCGTCCTGCTGAGCATATCCGGAAATCGTAGTGATTCCGCGGCCCATCTGAAACGACTTTTCCGCGCTTTTTTCCAAAAAATTGGACAGAAAACGTACCTCGTGGCCGTTCACTTTCACACTTCCGGCAGTTTCGAGCCCTTTTAGGTTTCTGGAGAGCAACATATTCAGGAGGGTCGTTTTGCCGGCACCGCTGCAAATTTTGAAGAAATTAGGTAGGAAATCTAGCTTTGGCAAATACAATTTTTTTAAAGATTTGTAGGACTTCAAAAATGATTTACCTGGCGCCCATCAAGGCCAAAAGCTGTCCGGGCCTTGCGATTCCGGAAACTCCCTTCAAAATCGGTTTATTCGATTTTTCGGCGTGAATTCTGAAATTCTATCGATTCTTCTTCACTTTTCAGTGCTTTATACGAGATGTTATGCCAGGTAATCGTGACCGGATCCACGGATTCCAACGCCGACATCATCGACGGCGCGGCGCCGTATTCGGACTGTCCGGCCGACAAAAGACTGCACGTCTCTGTCGTCATCTGCAAAAAATCAGTTTTTCGTGTATTTTGACGGTTTTTCGGGAAAAAACGGTTGAATTTGAGTGAAAACGCGGCGAGAAATAACAAATTCTTGTTGTCGGGTTACGGTATATTTAAAGGCGCAGCATGAATTTAGAAGATGGGTCTCGCCACGATTTGCAAAAATGTTAAGATTTTGAGCCCGTTAGTAAATTGAACGCAGTAATATTACGCACGGGGGTTAGCCAGTTGTGTGCCCGAGAGAGAGAGAGAGAGAGAAATTGATAATATTGATAAGAAAAGAGAGCACAAGACACTGGACGAATAATATTGGCGAGTGATAAGATTCGGCTGATGACCTTCCCTTTTTCGGAAATGGACAACGAGAGGAAGGGATTAGGTACTTACCAGAGTTGAGCGGAATTCCGTCTGCCGTCTTCCGTCTTCCGTGGTTTTTTTGTTCCGTCTTCCGTCTGCCGTCTTCCGTAAAAAAATGTTTCTTCCGTCTTCCGTCTTCCGGGATTTTTTCTTCTTACCGTAAAAGAGTAATAGCTTTTCAGAAGCCATTTACTAGCCCCGAAGAACGCGAATTTCCACGGGCAGTGACCCATATCCAAAATTTTTGTTGTTTAGTTATTTTTTTCAAAAAAAAAACCGGAGAAAAAGGTTTTGCATTGACGATTTTTTTGTTCCGTCTTCCGGGAAAAAAGTTTTTTTCCGTCTTCCGTCTTCCTTTAAAAAAAAATTTCTTGCGTCTGCCGTCTTCCGGATTTCAAAATTCCATTTCCGCTCAACTCTGGTACTTACCAATCAAAAAGTATTCACAATTGTGAGCGCAAACGAGACTTTGTTAAAGCTTGTCTTCTTTTTCGATGCTTCCCAAATGCTTTCTGGATTTTTGATGGATCAAGAAGTCGGCTACCTTGTTTGATCTGAAAATCAATGAAAAGATCGAGCCATCAACCGATTCTCAGTACCTATCCTCGGGAAAAGTGCGACCACCGCCTAGCCTTCGAGGACCGCCCGTCTCTCGCATCTTCTCTCATTCCTTCCCCCATTCCGCTCCGTGATGAGTGGCTACTATCCTTCTCCGACACCAAGAGGCCTAATCAGTACGGGCAAATTCACTGAAGAACAAACGAAAGCACTCAATGAGAGATTCTCAGTTTCCCCTGTAATCTTCGTTCGAGAACGGGAAGAATTGGGTAAGAAGATCAACTTGAGTTCGAATCAAATCGGGCGTTGGTTTGCAAAAAGGCGGAGTAAGGAACGTTGGAGCAGACCTCAACCTCAACCATTCGAATTACCGCCCACGTACATGCACATGGTCTTTGAAACTGTCTACGAATACTATGAAGTCCCGCAGATTCCAACGACTGTTCCCTTAAATCGTCCCGTACTGGGGCATGGCAGAAAAGCGTTCAGCTTCGAGCAAAGGGAGGCACTTGAGCAGAGATTCTCCATTTCCAAGTCGATTTACGCAAAAGAGCGGAAACAGTTGGGAGAGAGGATCGGATTGAGTTCGAAACAAATCGAGGATTGGTTCACGAACAGACGAAGAAAGGAACGGGCACAATTCCAAGTATTTCAATAATGATCTTTGCCGTTTTTCACTTCTAATCCCATGCTTTGTCGTCTCTTCTTTCAAATTTCACTCAATAAATTTCACTGTTTTTCAATAATTCCATCACATTTTTTTCTCAAACGAAGTGCGCTTCTCGTTTCGTGCAGTCAATTGATTCTCAGTTGAGCGGAATTCCGTCTTCCGTCTTCCGTCTTCCTGGATTTTTTCTTCTTAGCGTAAAAGAGTAATAGCTTTTCAGAAGCCATTTACTAGCCCCGAAGAACGCGAATTTCCACGGGCAGTGACCCAGATTCAAAATTTTTGTTGTTTGGTTATTGTTTTAAAAAAAAAAACCGGAGAAAAAGGTTCTGCATTGACGATTTTTTGTTCCGTCTTCCGGGAGAAAAATTTTCTTCCGTCTTCCGTTTTCCGTGTTCCGTAAAGAACATTTTCTTCCGTCTGCCGTCTCCGGATTTCAAAATTCAATTTCCGCTCAACGCTGCTCAGTAGGTGTCGTCTGGAAATGTTTGGGCTCCACGGAGCAGAACCGAGTTCACCAAAGAGCAAAAGTTTGCGCTTTTCAAAAGATACACCGTCTCGAAGTCGATTCTCAAAAAGGAACGGGAGGCGGTGACTTCGGAACGAATTCAGAATTGGTTTAGAAAGACGAGCCCAGGAGAAATGATTTTTGCTAGTTTTATTCATTGTATTCCTCGACTAAAGTTTATGATTTGTCCATTGTCCAATCCATTTTCCATCAAAAGTTCAGCCTTGCGGTCCCTTCCTTTGATCTGTCTGTTTGCTCTGAAAATCAATGAATAGTTCGAGCCATCAACTGATTCTCAGTACCTGTCATCTGCAAAAGTGCGACCACCGCCGATCCTTCCAGCTCCGCCCTCTCATTTTCTCTTTCATTCCTCGATTGCTCGATTCGCGATCATTGTCCTATTCTCCTACTATGCTGCCGACCATCCCTGCCTTTCCGTCTCGAAATCTTGGTCCCTATCGTCCGCACCATCCGTTCCGTGTCCAATTTGCGATGGTTCTGATGGTACCACAAGTGTATCCGATCGGACTTCCGCCGACTTTTACGATGAGAAACCGTGGAGGAGCAATGAGAGCACATCCGTTCTGGCGTCCGGAAAGCGATAATAACCAGCAGGACCATGGTCTCCGGATAACTCCGCCGTCTGAGACGTCTACTCCGATTGGATCCATTGGTGATCCGAGAATTCAGAACGAGCATGCGTCTGTTCTGACGACGAACCAGTTGACGGATCAGCAAAAGGAGGCGCTCGAGAAGAGATACGCCGTTTTGGAGTACATTCAAGAGGAGGAACGGCAGAAGTTGGCGAGTGAGCTCGGTTTGAGTGCGGAACAAATCAAGAATTGGTTTGATAATAATCGAAAAAGCGGAACGGAGCAACGTAGAATGCATCTGAACCGAAAACATTTCACCAAGGAGCAAAAGGAGGTGCTGAAGAAGAGATTCTCCATTTCTAAATCAATTAGCAAAAACGATTGCGAAGAGTTGGCGAGTGAGCTTAATGTAACTTCTGATCGAATTAAGAAGTGGTTCTCAAACAGACGGACCAAGCAACGCGCTCAATCTAAATGATATTGATAATGATATTGTGTGCCACGAATAAAGTTCATCCTTTCGGTGTCTTCCTTTGATCAGTCGGTCTCTTTGCTCTGAAAATCAATGAATAGTTCGAGCCATCAACCGATTCTCAGTACCTATCCTCGGGAAAAGTGCGACCACCGCTTGCATCTTCTCTCATTCCTTCTCCGTCATGAGTGGCTACTATCCTTCTCCATATTCTCTAACAAATCAGGTAACGTACTTCCCTCAATATGATTATCAGTCACAGACATATCATCATCCGCAAACGTATGAAACGTATGAACTTGCGTCGACTCCAAATGGACACGATTCAAGTGATCAGATGCAATCAGCAAAGCACTCGGAGCCAGCTACCGTGTCATTGACCCCACCGACCGAAACAGAGCCGGAAGAAAAGAACCTTCACGGATGAACAAAATAAAGCACTGAAGAACAGGTACGCCGTCTGTCATTTCATAAAAAAAGGAGGAAAGAGAAGAGTAGATCGGGTTGACTGCCACACAAATAAAGCGTTGCCGACGGAAGAAAGGGAGAGCACCAAAGGAAGGATACGGTACTTGGAGTGGCTGAAGGTGCATTGGAAACGAAAAGAAGAAGACAGTTCACGGATGAGCAAAAGGAGGCGCTCGAGAAGAGATACGCCATCTCCAAGTCAATTCACAGAATAGAAGGCGAGCAGTTGGCGGGTGAGTTCGACACAAATTGTGGAGAACGGAACACGCTCAGGATAAGGGATCTTGTTAATTGTATTCGTATCTTTTCAATAAAGTGTTTATGATTTGGTTGAACAGCGTCCGTGCTTTTTGAGGCTTCTTCGACCGGCTGGGGCCACTTTAAAAAACTTCTACTACCCGAAAAACTGTCGGATAAAAGAAAAAAAACATTTATTCGTGTGACTCAATAACAATATTATTTCATCTGTCTTCGTTCCTTTCTCCGTCTGCCTGTGAACCAATTCTGAATTTGTTTCCAACTCAAACCGATCTCCTCGGCCATCTTGTCGCGTTCTTCTGCGTAAATTGACTTGGACACCGAGAATCTCTTCTCAAGCGCCTCCGTTTGCTCCCTGCTGAACTGTATTCTGTTCTGTCTGTACTCGTGGTTCGATGCACCATCCTTCTGGAAAAAAAAACAGAAACTTTAGTCTCTATCACTGTGAACATACCTGTCGTCTGCTCTGAAACCAAACCAAGATCCGTTCGGCACTCAAACCGATCCTCTCTCCCAACTCTTCTCGTTCCTCTTTCTTCGGAATGTACCGATCCACTGCGTATCTCTTCACGAGCTCTTTTTCTTGTTCACACGTGACTCGTACTCTAGAATAAAAGCACCATGCAGGCAGCTGACTCAAGCGAATCTGGTCGTCTGGAGTTGGTGGCGTCGGTGGAAGAGGACGATGATTGGAATTGAGAGGTCCGATCGGAGTCGGTGGGATTCCGTAATCCATGTGCGTGGGTGGTTCCGGGCGTCCGGTCATCAGGTTCCATGGAAGTCCTTGAAAGTTCATAGACACCATCTGCTGACGGCTTGACACATAACTAATCGGATTGTATTCAATCGGATTGTAGTCTCTTCCAGTCGGAGGGGTCAATGATACGGTACCTGCATGGGGCTGTGGTTGATGAGCCGGCATACCGTAGTATTCGATCGAATTGTAATTGTATCCGTGATATCCGTGATATCCATTGAAGGTTGACGGTTGATATTGATGGAAGTACGGTACTTGATTCGGTTGAGAATAAGAAAAAGGATAGTAGCCACTCATCACGGGCCGGAATGCAAGAAGAATGGAGCAATCCGGGGGGAAGATGCGAGAGAACGGCGGGCGGTCGCACTTTTTCCGAGGATAGGTACTGAGAATCGGTTGATGGCTCGAACTATTCATTGATTTTCAGAACAAACACGTATCTCAGTACCTGTCCGCTGGAATTGTGCGACCGCCCGCCCGTCTGTCGCATCTTCCCTCTTCCGTTCCCCATTTCTCTCCACGATAAGTGACTATCCATATTCTCAACCAACCACGTACTTGGATCCAGGTTCCGTCTCTTTGACCCCCACCGGATGAAGCGGACTACGATCCGAATGGATACGGTCCAATTAGTTATGTGCCGAGCTCATGAACTTTCATGGCATTCCACGGAACCTCACGCACATGACGCGGAACGGATCAGGAAATGGTTCAATGAAGTGGAAAATCGCAAAGCCAAGACGAAAGTATGTTCCGTTTGTTATTCGACTGAAGTTTATACCTTTTTCTTTTCAGAAATCGAATCTGGAACAAAAAGAGGCACTCGAGAAGAGATTCCTCATCTCCAATTCAATCGATAAACAGGAACGGAAGCAGCTGGGCGAGAGGATCGGTTCGAGTTCGGCTCAAATTGAGAATTGGTTTGATCGCAGACGGAGGAAGGAGCACAAGAGCTTCCAGTACCAAAAAAATTTAAAGCTCTGTCAATTTTTAATAAAATCACTTCGTTTTGCGTTTTTTTTTTGAAAATGAATCGATATTTTCATTAAAAAATGTGATAAGAACGCAATTTTGCTAGAAATTGACAATATCAGATGCCTTTTCGAGTGTTGATCCTTTTGGTTTTCGGTCCCTTTCTCCCCGCTCATCCTTTTTGCCCCCTCCCCCGAATACCCTTTTTGTCGCCCGTGTAATTCGACACTCATTTGGATGTGTGCTCCGCGAGCAGAAGCGAGAGAGCCACGCCTAATTGTTTTGTATTTCACATTGAAAATGGGGGAGAGAAATCAGAAGACGAAGTGTGTCATGTGATGATGAATGGACACACAATCTCTTCTTTTTTTGAACATTTTTTTTAGAAAAAAAAAATTTCTAAAAAAATACACGTTTCCTTCCTCATTCCTACAAACATTTATTTCATTTCAATCCGAAAAAGGATTCATCTATTTACTTTATAATATCTTAATAATTTTCGGATTAAAATATAGAATTGCCGGAGGGAGGGCCGCTCCTTCTCCTCCTCCTCCTCATTCACTTTTTGCCCGATTCCCATCCGCAACCACGACGTCTTCAACTCCCTCTTCGATTTCGAAATCATCGAAATTTTCGGAATTTGTCGAATATTCAGAATACATGAATTCCTCCTCGTTTTCCACCGATTTCGACGCGGCCAACATGCTCAAACCGTCGAGTTCGCAAATGTTCGGACCGATCGATATTCGACTGCCGCCACACAAAGATTCTCGACTCGAGCATCGGGTCCGTCTCGCGCCCGAACGCATGTGTTTCGGCACCGTTCGACCGCAGACGGCCGCTTACTTGATTTGTATTGCCGCACTTCACGAAATCACGTTTGGTGAGGGTTTTTAAAGAGTTTCATGGTCATTTTTGAGTTCTTCAGGTGATTTGCAAGGTTTTGATACGCATATTGCCCTAGTTAGAAGGTCTTTTTGTCAGACTTGCAACGGGCCGGGCCGGGCCAAAATTGGAAATTTTCCGGCCCGGCCCGGCCCGGCCCGGTCGGCCCGGGAGGATGCACCTAAACATTCAAAGCGAACTAGAACTTCGAAACGAACATAATTTTATAGACTTAAAATTTTATAGACTTAAAAAGGCAATGTAAAAAAAAAAATAATGCATAAAAACCTGTTAAAAAATAGAAATTGCTGTTTAAAGTCGCAAAATTTTCACAAAAATTACGAAAATTTTCTCAAGAGTGGGCGGAGCGATTGATTGCAACTCTGGCACGCCATTTTAGCAATTTTGCCGCACGCGTTTTCCTCTTCCTTCATATTTTTTTTGCATATTTTTTTGAGGTCTAACTTCCGGCCCGAGCGGGCCGGGCCGGGCCGGGCCAAAACCGGGTAGGGGCCGGGCCGGCCCGGGATTTGGCAAGTCTGCTTTTTGTATATGTGGGCTCCAAAATGCTGCAAATTTAATTTCTGAGCACCACACTGTGCAGACATCTTTACCAACACATTTTCCAGAAAATTTCCACGTGATTTGACACCCATATTGTCCAGAATCCAAAAAAATGAGGAAAATGTGCTCCGTGAGCCCGAGCATTGCTTATAAATTGCTTGAAACCCAAAAAATTAACTTCAAAACTTGCAGGAACGATCCTGGTCTTCGCCAGCGACTACGGCGAGAAAGAGAACTGGTACCAGAGTGCGCAATGGCTCGTCATCCTCACGTGCCGTCTCCTACAGTACCCCTCGTGCTTCATTTCGCTTTTCGGCATCCGCAACAACAATCCGGCGCTCATCGTTCCGTTTATGCTCTCTCAGGTTGGTGCGCATCTTTGGACAGCGATTTTTAGTGATGAGGGAATGAGCATGGGCATTGGAATGGAAAAAAATGAGCTTGTGTGATATCATCCATTTGGAAATGTCACCAAACGTCATTTTTAAAGGCGAGGGTTGTGAAAATCGAGTTCCGCTTGTGATTTCAGGTGATTAGGGCATAATTGGTACCAAATGACTCGAAAAAACGAGCTGATTACGAATTTCCAGGTCTCGTTGGGCAGCTATGCCGATTTGCACACCTACATTCAGCTGGTATCGAAATGCTCGCCGTCCGCAGCCATGCCCACCACTTCTCCGATCATTTTGATAGTGATTCCGATTCTCGTCTATGCGGGCGTTTTGATGTTCTTCATTTATAACATGTACATGATTGTCAAGTGTTTTACCGTAATCCGAGGCGGTGGCGGAACGCACAACACCGACAGATCCATCAATGAAGACTTGTTTTTGTAAATAAACGATTTTCATGACGATTTTCGAGGTCTCCGTCGAATTTGCAAAGTTTTGAGTATAATAATGACACGATTACAAAATAATTAATTTTTTTTGCACGGGTTCGTGGAGCATGACCGGGTAAGTACCTATTTTCAACAATTGAATCAATATGAGTATAAAAAAACTCCAAATTGAGTGGAGATTCAAAAAATGACAATATTTATAGACACAAATCAATAGGAACCCGAAAAACGTACATCACAGGTAGATTTTACAAAAGTTGGTCGCCAGCTCGATAGTCATTTTCAGCTATTGTGATTTTCGTCTTATTGCAAGCGATTTCCGTGTCCTTTCGAACCTAAAAATTGAATAATTAGAAAACGCTTGTCAAAAAAGAGCATTTGACCGTACCTCTGAAAAGTTGTTGGGATAAGCGACCATTTTGCTGGTGGGCGGAGCCTGTTTCTTTTTGAGTCTCGCCTCGTCGCTTCCCTTGAACAAAGTGGTGATACTCGTCCGAAACTGCGGATTGAACCACGAATAAATGATCGGATTGAGGACCGCCGAGCACATGGCGCACACGTGGCAAAGAGCGAAAACGGTCGAGTACCACTGTGTCGTGGAGATTCCGAAAAGGTCCCGATAGAGGTTGACGGCGTTGAACGGCATCCACGCGAGCACGAATCCGACCACCATCACTATCATCATTCTGCAAACATTTACATATCTTTTCACCATATTCTTCAGTTGATTTCCGTCATTTTAAGAGTTCGTGGGGATTGTATGTTGTTCTACAGGTTGTTGGGAAAGATTTGAGCGCCAGGAAGCCATACTTTGAGCATAAACGATTCCGCTCAAGTTCAGGGCTCACGGAGCACCGTATTATTTGAAATTGTGCCAACGGGCTCTCGGAGCTCAAGTGTGCTTCGTGAGCCCGAAACAAAAACTTTGGGAACTAGACATTATGGGGCTCAAAACGTTTGCCAGACAATTTTGAAATTGAAAATAAGCATGTAGCGCTCAGAAAATGAACTTTACTAACAGTAGGTCTTTAAGGAATCCAAATTTGTCGAAAAATCGTCAAGACTAACCGATTTGCGCGTGTTTTCCGGTTCACCAGTTTCTCCTCACTTTCGGGCCTCAATTTATGGCCCCTCCGACGCTCCAACTGGTCCGACATGACTCGACTGATCATCCAATAGCAAATCGAGCTAATGAGCGCCGGAATTCCAAACTGAAGGACTAGGACGAGAAGGCCGTAGGCCCTTCGGATTCCCGATCGACCAGTGTCTGGATTGAAGTCGGGCCTGAAGAGAGAAAACGTGTTTCGAAACAAAAATAATGAGCCTAATTTCAGTGAGAAATTGGCCAAATCAATAGGGGTGTGTGTGACGCACCAAATCTCCTCGCAAAACGTGCCGCAAATGTCTTCGTAGACGGCAATGTCCGAGTAGATTCCGACGGGAAGAGCCAACGAATAACCGAGCAGCCAGATGCAGAAGACGATGAACACTGCACGCGGGAAATTCACAATCTGCAAGGCAAATGGTTGGGATTTCGGACGAATCGATTGAGTATATTTGTGGCCAGGTTTGGACGAATTTCGATTTTGGAGCACAACTCAGAATAGGATTTTCAGTTTTAGGACGTCGGGGCAACAGTTTAGAGTCTAATAATGGCAAAATTTGAGGGAAGTCGAGTTTGTGCTCTTTGCTCCGTGAGCCCAGACAATTTTTCCCTTAATTCTTTCCGCACAACTTCAAAAATCTTAATTTCGGCCCTGAAAGATCAGAAATCAGTCTCCTTAGAGTTGGTCTTTACGCCCAATAAATTAGTGTGTAATTTGGTGTCCTTGTTAGCGTTCACCGATCAAATGGGCGGTAAACACAATTCAGAAGAAAAAGTTCCCGCCGGAAAAATAAAAGAGACAAGCAAACGAGCCTCCAAAGCTCATCAAATTCGGTTTTTCCGGTTGGGGGGTCAAATTGAGTTAACTTTTTCGTGTGCCGTTAGCAAGTTTCGGTACCTCCTGGTTCGGTCGAAGAATGAGCACGCATCGATCCAAAGCGATGACGGTCAAAGTGAACGAGGAGACGAAGATTGTGCCGCCCTGCAAAAACGTTATTCAAATTTTCTAAAAAAAAATGTGAGATTTGGCTTAAATTCAAAAATTTGTGAGTTGACCGGCTCAACTCTATTGAGCATTTCCACACAAAAAGTGCTCATGACGCAACAACTGACCTGAAAAACACCGATAAGCTTGCAGAAGATCGCCGGAAAGACCCAAACTCGCGAGAAAATCGAAATGGCGGTGATCGGCAGCGAAAAGAGGCACATGAGAAGGTCGGAGCCGGCGAGACAGCCCACGAAAACAGTTCGCACCGATAGGGAGACCTGAAATTCGAAAATCATTCTTAACTTTTGACAAATCCCCCCGAAAAAAGTGTCTAACGTGGTCCTTGCGTGGTCTCTACCAATTAGGAATTTCAAAGCGAAAAGACGAGATGTCTGATCATTTGGGACCGGAAATTCGGGAATTTTCAGTGGAAAACAAGACGCAAGCACATTTACAAGCTATTCTAGAGAAAAATGGAAAGAAACAAAGGTTGGGGAGGCCTAAAATGTCCGAAAAAGGTACCTGATTGAAAGTGAGCACATAGAGGACCAACGTGTTTCCGACGATCGCGGCCACCCAAACGAGAAGGTATAAAAGTGAGAAGATTGCTCGAATCTGGTTCATATCGTTGTATTCCGGTTGATATTGTTGCACAGTTACACAGTTTCGAGCCTCCATTTTGAGAAAAAGTCTGAAAACTTGAGGGTTAGACGACGAGAGTAAGAGTTTTGAAATCGGCGGGAAATTCGGAGTGGTCTGAGCTCGGATAGGGCAATAGGGATGTCAAAACTTGGCAAATGCAGAAAAACATGGACAGATAATAGACAAAGAATACTCAAATCAAAGTTCTTGACCTCTACAACCCTAAAATCACGCTCAAAACTTTTAAAAATCGCCCAGTACTCGGTTGAAACCGGGAAGAACAGAATAAAAAACAGCTTAGGGGGAAACAAAACGTGGGCGTGGCCTAATCCAACGTCTTTTCTTCCGTCTTTCCATCCGGAAAACTCAGTTATTACTTGGAGAAACGGGGGGTGCAAACTAATTTCCATTTTCAACCCGACTCGCCCTCGCACACGCGCTGCCTTTGCCTAATAACTAAAACACAAGATTGCGAAGCGAATGAAGTATGCGCATAACATATGCGGGGACAAGGCAAAAGAGAGAGAGAGAGAGAGAGAGAGAGAGAGAAGCCCCCTTGTTTCAATTACCCCCTCTCTCGCCTCTTTTTTTCGGCGATTTTTCGAGCTTTTCGTGGGAGAGTTCGACTTGTTTTGAGTGGAAATGGAGTCAGTTGGACATGGGCAAAGATTCGACACCACTCATGACGTTTTTGAGGCTCTCCTGGATTACGGTAGGCTGGAGATTTTGAAACGTGCGCACAAAAACGAAGACTGGAAAAGTTGGGGTTTTCTTGAAAACTCACGAAATCCGAGCCGCTCAGATTTCCACGCCGAAAATGAAAACTCAAGAAGAACAACACCGACTTCCACTGACTATTATTATTCTCTAGATTTGCCCTTTTATTATCAACTTGTTTATTACGACTGTAAAGTACGTGAAAATAGGGATGTCACAGGGGGGAAATGCGCTATTTTCAGTGTTTTTCAGCCTGATCCCGCATTTCCCAACATTTTCCGGGAAAGTCGAGTGTTTTCGGGGACAAAAAGACAAAAAATTCGAATGTTCTCGGCAAAAGTGATGAGGAAATGGCTTCAAGGGAAATTGTGGGAAAATTAGAGATTTCAGAGCTCGGAGAGTTTTGGTTGCGAAAATTCGGCACTGTAGGGAAAGTTTTGACACCGATAATCGCGGGTTTTGCTTAGATTCAAGTTTTTGAGCTCCAGGGCTCCGCGAGCTCACAAAAAGATCACAAAAATTAAAAAAATTCTTAGAAAAGTTGCGTTGAATTGTGAAAAATCGTCTTTAACAGAGAAAAACGTGATTTGAGTCTAATCATGACATAGTTCTGGGAAAAAATTGTATGGGCTCCGTGTGCTCATTGAGCAATGAGCAAAAAAGTGCACAAGCTGAATTTAATCGGATTTTAGGATGTTGTTTTTCGGTGTTACAATAGTCATATTGGACTAAAAATAAGTGAACTTTTTTCAAAACCGATATTGTCCGACTCGAAAAAGTGTGGGCTCGCCGAGCACAAAACATTTTTTCCCAAAATTTGTCATTATTATACTCAAAATGATCGGGAAAACGAGGGGAATTCGATGGTAACAAAGGGAACGGATGAAATTGAGACATTGAGAAGTTAGAGTGTAGAAAAGTGTTAGAATGAAGACGTTTTGAAAAATGGCTTGAAAATGAGAGAATTCGGCAACAAAATCCGTCTGGCCTCGAAAACGTCATGTCGAAAATAGTGGGCGCATCTGGGGGGCGTGGTGCCCTCTCGAAAAGAGGCACCACAAAACTTTTCTGTTTTTGTTCACACCCTTTCAACATTTCGGAGCCCTAGGAACACTGGAAAAAGCAGAAAGATACGTTTTTTGTTGCCTTTTCCTCAAAAATCAGCCTCTCACCCACTTATTTGTGTCTCTCAGATGTTTTCGGCGGCTCCGGGCGCTCTTCCCCCTTTTGTCGGCTCGCGGAGCACGTCGCAAGAAGATGATGAGCTCATTTTTCTCTTTTCAACACAGAATACACACTGACTTCTCTGGAGCGTCGCCAAAATTCGTCCAAACACCAAACAAGCGAAAAAACACAACTTTTTCGGGAAAATTGAGGTCCGCGAAGTGTGAGAGTATCATTTTGATGTTCCGCAAATGATTTGAAAAGTTTCGATACCCATCATGCCTGGTTTCTGCAATTTTGCCCACGGGCTCGCGGAGCACCGAGATAACGGAGCACAAAAATGAAAAGGAGCTGGATGGGGCATGATTAGTATCGGAACGCGTGAAATTTGATGGAGAACCGGAAAAAAATGGTAAGAACGCAGGAAAAAAAACGAAAAAGTGGGTATAGTGAAGATATGTTTCAGAAAATTTAGAAATTCCAGGAAAAGACTAGGATTTAGTTATTTTCAAGCATCAGAAGCTAGTTTTTTGCGTTCCGACACGTTCAAAGCATTCACTAGAGCCCCATAAAACTCTAGTTTTCCAACAAAAAAATTTCTGAGCTCGCGGAGCACAAAACTGCTCCAAGTTTTAAAAAAAGTTATACTCAAATCACTTCAAATGACCTGTAGAACTCAAAAATCGCGAAGAAATCATCGAGAGAACAGCAAAAATGGAAGAAAAGTGTCTTTTTGGAGGGAATAAAAGTGGGCGGAGCGTGCGAGAATTCATGACACACATACCAATTAAATGACGTAGAATTAAGGAGGGAATCTGAGGGCGAAGGCCTATAATTTCATGATATCACCACGATTTGGATTTCGAAAATTTCAGACAAAACGGCGGCCAAAATCAATGGAATTTGAGGGCGTAAAAACTTCAAAAATCACACCGGAAATTCAATTTTTCGCCTTGAAACTTGTCCGATTTTCGAGTGGAAAAAGAACGAAATCAACGAAGAAACTTCCAAAAATACGAAAAAAAGTAGAGGGGCGGGCCGGGTAATTTGTCATTTTCGGTCTGAAAATCGGCCGAAAAAGTTGTGTCGATTAGTCAATCGACTAAAAAACGGAGAAGAAGAAGAAGAAGGAGAAGAAGTCGCAATTATCTGAGGGAAAAAAGAGGAAAAATAAGGAGAAGAAGCAGATTTTTCGAGCGCTTTTCTGTAGGATTTTTCTTTTCGAACGCTTTTCGGACCCAAACTTTGGAGGGTTCTTGGACTTGGATTGAAGTATTATGGGTCCAAGTTTCGGACCGATCGGATCATCTGGTCCCGAGATATTGCCAGATGATCCGATCGGTCTGAAACTCGGATCCAATATGCTTCAATCCATGTTCAAAAAGTTTGCAATTGCAAGTGGGCCAAAAGTCCAGGCCGAAGAAAAAAGTGTTTTTCAAATCAAAAGCAAGAACCTAATTTGTCTGACATCCTTTTGAGCATAAAAACAGAGACGAATGTCTAGTTCGGAAGAAATCGGAGAAAAAAGTGGTGAAAAATGATCCGGATATTGTGTAATTATGGGCGTATATGACTCTCGCCAAAAAGAAGGAAGACATGAGACATTTTGTGATTTATGGATTCGCAACGAAAGATGACTTCATCACAATGCCATTTTCTCTTCAAGTCACATTTATTTGCTAGTAGAACAAATCCGGAAATTTCGCCAAAAGCAGGTGAAATCTTCTCTTCAATTTTTCCCTTTCTCGCCCCGAGAATAAACTCTGAAATGCAGCTGAAAATGTTTGGAAAGGACGGGCGAAAAAGAGCGAATTCTGGAGGGAAAAAGAAGTGAACCGGAAAAAAAGCGACTACTGAAAAGGGCGAGAAACAAGTGAGTGGGCGGACCCAAAAGCGAAAAGTCAAACTTTTTCGTTTCGCGTTTTTTTTTTTGGGGTTTGACAATTCCCAGGCTTTTGGACCCACTTGCAATGATCCGATAGGGACCAACATACCTTCATCCAAGTCCAAGAAGCCTGCAAAGCTTGGTCCCTATCGGATCAGCCTCAAAGAGCCTGGGCCGAAATTTGCGCAGAGCTCTCCGAAAATTGGTATTCTCAAGTGAAACCGAAATTCCAAACGCAAAAAGTTAATTTTCAAAAGTGCCTTTCTCTTCAAAGAAAAAGTTATGAAGACGAAGAAGAAGAATGTCTATAAAAACGGCATAAAAATGGCGTCGACGACGAGTAGTACATCTTTTTCCGTTTTTCATCACAAAAATGTGTGAATAATTGATAGATTAGGAGAAAAGAAGGACGGAAAGAACAATTTGATGGAATTTCTGATCAATGCGTGCACTTTTACACGCAATTTCCGTGAATAATACGTTTTTGGGACCGGAAAATCGAGTATTCGAAGAAACGCAGTGATTGCTGTCCAAATCGATAAGTTCTCGGCTCGAAAAGTTTCCAACAAGCTAATCGTCCTTAATCTTCAAAAAGAGACACATTTTTCCGAGAGACGAGACTTTCGGCCTAATTTGTCAACTTGCCCCGCTCCCCCGGGAACATTTTTGGCCGGAATTCGTCATTTAAAACGTCAAGAACCAAATAGAGGAACTGAAACTGCGTGATAAAATATTTACGAATTCTTAAAGTGGCCCGCCATCATTTTCTATGAATATTCGAGAGAATTTGCGGTCAAAAGATGATTTAAAAAACGTGATTTTCTGGCTCAAAATTGACCTACTTGCACCGAAGATGCGCCAGCAAAGTTTGCTGGCGCATTTATCGATACTCGCGTTTTCGCTGCTTTTGTGGCAAAGTTTGCGGTAAAAAGCGGGGAAAAAGGGAGGAAACAAGTGAAAAATAAGTTTTGCGCACGCTTTTCCTCTTCACTAATTGCGTTGCAGCGCCTAATTGGACGAGTAGACGGAAACTCAATTTGGCACTTCAAAAGTCCTCTTTTTTGTATTCAAAAAGGACCGAAAAGGGGTGTCGGATAATAGACAAAAAGAAGAAGAAGCAGAAGAAGAAGAAGAAGAAAAACAAGATGAAATGGATGATTAAATGAAAAAATGATGAAGGCATGTGGGGACAGTGGGCTCGCAAAACAGGTCTTTGTGACAAAAGAAAACACGAGGAAGAATGCTCCAAGACACCGGAAGTGCGTCAATACACTGAAAGTGCGGTTGGCGTACTCTTAGTGTCTTTGGCTCCTAGAAATTGAAGTATGGTACGGAAAGGATCGGCTCTGAGTTGTTGACGCACTTTCGGTGCAAGCTACTATGCGGAGGGTTTCTGATGCTCCAATTTGCATAAATCAGGGAAGAAACTTTAGAGAGCACAAAAACAAAACAAATTCTTCTTCTTCTCCATCTTTTCCCCCATTTTTTGGCCAGAAAACAATGGAAAAGTGAGGGGATTGCTGCACAATTAAGTGTGCTTCTTTTTTTGGAAAAAGTCTCAAAACACTTGAAATGAGCGACAAAAACAATGAAAACAGGACAATCGGCTATTTTTGAGGACTGAACACTTCCTCGAAAAGGTCTCCCAAGAATAAGTGCATTTTTTGTACAAGTGTGTCTTATATGGAAATCGATGAGAAAAAGAGGCAAGATGAGCGGAAATTCGACGATATTTGATTCGAATTTCCGCTTGTTTCCCACAAAAATTCGATTGGATTCTGGCACGTAACGGGGGAACAGGATTATCCGACAATATTACGAGGATCTGGGTCTTCCCGAGTATCAAAGTAATTGAGACAAATTGATTAGCAATGCGACAGGATGCGTCGGTTCGGCGACGTACAAAACTGTTCTTCTTGTTCTGAAAAGACACAAATTATGGATTGGATGGTACAAATCGAAGGAATACTCACGTCTTTTGGTCTGGTCCCAATCGCTCATCGTTTTCGATCTTTTCCAATTTGCTTTCCGGTTTCTTTGTGTTAAATGTTCTGCTGAAAAGAGTAATAAGGCCAAGTTTCGAAGCAGGATAATTGAGTCCGACTTTAAAATTAATGGGAAATATGAAATGGCTCACTCTAGTCGAGTTCATTCCGGCCGTGTTTATGAAGAGCCAGTGTGTCCGTTTCGTAATCTGCAAACATTTGATTACCATGAGTATTTTACTAGCCTATCTAAAGGTTTTCGACCAAAAACTCACACGTATCCCAGGTCTTCTTTGCGTGCCTTTCCGTTCTCCACAATTAAATTGTTCATCTCGACTGCGAGAACACGCCCAGGAAGTGCCATATTTGGGAATGGCTTGATCAAAAAGTGAGTGAGTTGTGATGCAAGTATGCTCTATTGATGACCTCTTCGCGCCTCTTTTTCTCTACCGAAATGTCGTCAAATAGGTAGACGTGTGTGTGAACACGGTCACGTCAAGAGTCGGTCAGTGGGTCCCCCTCACTCTTTCACCCCACCGCCTTTTAATTTCTCCCCGATTTCCACTCGGAAATCCCCCGTTTCCCCTTATTTTCTTTAATTTTAATCAAGGATTCCACTGAATTTTTGGATGCTTTCCACTCAAAAAGGTAACTTTTAATCGAACTTCAAATCGCCAATCAAACGCACCACTTTTGCAGTTCTGAAGAAATAAATTGTCGACTATGGTCGAGTCGCTTCAAGAAGAAAACAGGTACGTACAAAAATGCATAGGACTTGTGCACTCATTCTACATTTCAGCTTCTCCCCGCAAATATGGGCAATCAAATTTCTGATGGTCGCCCAACAAACAAGGAAACTATCGATCCGCAATAGTAAAAAAAACGGATATCTCCTCGTTTTTCCAATTTGTGTACATTACAGATTGGGCATTGAAGAGATGAAGAAGAAGAAAAAATCAAAGAGAAAGTGTACAATCTGTGGAGGTAACAGTTTTTGTGTCCGGCTATTCCTTCTTGATTTTATAAATTACAGGAAACATTTGCAATCAACCGAAGCATCGAGAAGAAAAGTAAGACCCCCTTGTTAGGGTTCGCAGTTTTTTGAATTCGCGCTCATTTCAGGAAAGATGACGATTGATGACAAAAGGATAACTAAACAACATCTTGCTAAATAATGTTATGTATTGTATTTATTTTGTTTTAAAATGAAATGTATTGAAATGAAGCCTTTTGATGTTTGATCGATGCTGCACACTTCCGAGAGATTGTGCAGTTCTTTCAATTATTTGAAGGTTCTCATTTCACACCTTTTTCCAGTGACATTTTTTTCCAATTCATTTTCAGTCCGTACTAATTCCTGTGCCAAAGAATTTTTTTCTAAAGCTAACCTGTTGTCACAATCTTCCAAGTTGTCTTTTTCATCTCTCATCCTATTTCTTCCGTTATACGATGCGTATATTGGCGTCCCTAGAAATAGTCGAAATATTTCGCGAAATCTTAGTACTACAAGTATTTTAACACATGACTTTCTTATTCATTTTCACTCGATTCTTTTCGAAAAAGATTGGGTTAGAATTAATTTGAAATTATCGGGACGGGGGGGGGTGGAAGTGGATAATATTATATTTAGGTTGGTTATACAGGAAAACGACAGAGAGAAACAATCGGCGAGAAATTCTCAATTTTGCAGTAAGTTCGTCGAAAATGACTAGGCAATCGGGGTGTGGAGAGAAGGAGAGAGAGAGAGAGAAAAGGTATTTACAAACACGATTTTTGCGGAAGAAACAGGACTACGGGATTACGGTATGCTCCCAATTACTTTTGTGAATTATTCTGCGACGATGAGGATCCGTGTTCGTGACGGGGTAAAATACGGTTTAACAGGTTCTGTGCGGACTGCGCGGCAGCGGAAAACCCGCGCGTCGGCGGCACCATCATCGACTGAGTGGTCGCGGCGGATCCGCCGCTCGTCGTGGGCTGGTAGGACCGTCGGCGTGCAGACAAGTGCGGAGAGTGTCTAGGCGTGCTCGTCGCGTTGTTCGAGTGGGCGGGGCTTCCGATTGCCGAAGAGCCGTCGGGACGCGTCGAATAGGTGCTCGACGACGGTCCGCGGGCCGTTGACGGCGACGGCGATCTGCAACAATACATTTTTATTGGAAAAAACAATTCAAGAGTGTTTCTAAGAATCCCACGAGAACAGCTTTTACTAATCGCTTTTAAATCTTTTAAAAATTCTAGCTTGAACAATAGAGCATACTTGCAAACGGTCCGACCGCTAACTCGCTGCAAATTTGCTGTTGAAGCGAGTTAGCAGGCCGCCCCGTGCCCGCTTTTTGCACGAAAAAACATCACAAACACAGGGAAAAATGTTAGCTCTTCAGCCATTTTTCTTCCAATTTTTCGTACTCAAACCAACCTCATCCGGGGGTCTCTGGCCAACGGACTGACCGCAATCGATTGCGATTTTTGTTTTACGATCGAAATGGACGGCGCCTGCGCGACGACGGACGGTCCCTGAGCGACCGAAGACGGAACGGAAGCGATGGAAGAAGAAGTGGGCGGTGCCGGAGAGGAAGAAGAAGAAGAAGAGGGAGAAGAAGTGGAAGGGGGGACGGAAGCGGGGGAAGTGGAAGTGGAAGTGGAAGTGGAAGTGACAGGAGCACGCAGCGACGACGGACGGTTCGCCTGCAAAAATGGGACGAATTGGGCAGCGAGAAGCACAGAGGAGAAGAGGGAAAACGGAGAAACAGTGGGGAAATGCGTTCAATTTCTCACTTTTTCGCTCGACTTCTTTCAAGATGTTCAAAAAAAAGACAAAATTGCCACAAAAAAGGGTGTACCTCGATCTCGTTAACACTCCTCCTAACGACCCCTTGTTGTGGCTGTGTTCCTGATGCTTCCGGCTGCTGCTGCTGCTGCTGCTGCTGCTCCTTCTGGATGCCCGGCAGATGTGTGAGTATGGATCCGTCCTGGCTCGAGGCGCTTCTCGGCATGAACGCCTGTTTCTGGCTCGAGCTGCCCGGCACGATGTCGTTCGTCGCCCGTTTTCCGGAGAGTCTCCGCAGAAGCGCCGACGGCTTCCGCGCCTTTTTCTCCATCGGAACGACGCGCCGTTGCGGCCGTTTCGGCTTCTTCCGCGCCATTTTGCCGACGGTCCGACGCGCGGCGCCCTCGCGAATACTCGTCGCCTCGAGCGGCATCAGCCTCAGGAACAGTTCGTTTCCGTTCGAAAGAAGACGGTGCATCAGCTGCGGATGGGTCAGATTGTGCACTGCGTGTGTGTTCACGTGCGTGATCATGTCGTCCACTTGCAGATTCGCCTCGTACGCCGGACTACCTTCAAAAAACGATTTATTGAAACGTGAAAACTGGAGAAGCCGGCTAGAACACCTGCAAAGTTTCGAAATTGTTCTGCCGCTTACATTCTACTGAAAAACGGTAAAACACTCGGAAAGTTCTACTTTCTCTACAAAAAGGCTTTAATTTTCCCGCTTTTCAATAGGGAATCTAGAAATCCCCCCATTCTTGCTTACCTTCGACGACGGCCGTCACAATATGCTCGATGGTATAGTATTCCGAGTGCTCTCCCATGTAAACGCGGACGGATTTAAGTGTGAACCCGAAGCCGAACGGTCCTTTCCGGATCGTAATCGTCTTCGCAGCCGCCGGATTCGCCGAAGTGATCGATGATGATGACGTGGCGTCCGGGTGTTCGGAGGGTGCGTGGGCTGAGCACGGGTGCGGCGAGCAAATGTCCGTCGAGGAGACCGACGAGACGGACGCGCCGCCCGGCGATAGTTGGCAACTGGCCGATGAGGTGCCCGTCGACGGGTACATCTGCAATCAAAATGACGATTTCTTGGGAGAAAATAGAGATTTTTATATTCTGCTGGGCCGTGCGATCGGACCCAAACTTTGCGGACTTTTTGGACTTGGATTCAAGTACACTGGGTCCTAGTTTCAGCCCGATCGGATTATTTACTCTCGGGATATAGTGTTTGAGGCCCGCATTTGGCCGAAGAGCCCGGGCTTTCGGCCAATTATCCACATATCTCTGGACCGGACGATCCGATCGGGCTGAAATTTGGACCCAATATACTTAAATCCAGGTCCAAGAAGCCTGCAAGGTTTGGTCCCAACCGGATCCTTGCAAGTGGGTTTCAGATATATTTTTCAGTAATAATAACGTACGACATAGCAAGTCTCTCTGCTCGGCTGTATCACAGTGTCCTTTTCCTGCGCCGACGAAATCGAGGGAATGACGAGCTGGAGCTGTTGGGCGCCGCCAGAGCTCCTTCCTGACGACTGTCTTCTGAATCGGACCGTCTCCTCCTCCTCTTCCGCGTGCTCCGAATCGTCCATCTGCGGGGCGGAGGATCCTTCGCACGAGATCGAGAACTTCGGAATGGAGCCCCGTTCGGCGAGGGAACCGCCTCGGGAGGACGTCTGGAAAACGGGCAGCGAGGAGGCGTCGACGGAAGAGTCGGTCGAGGAGGCCGCCGTCGCGAAGCACGTCCCGGAGCCCGTCCCCGAGGAGGAAGTCGTCGAGACCTGGTGACGTTGGGCGGAGAAACGGCGACGAAGGTTTACGGCCTGCAAGAAATAGAACGTTTTCTATTGATCTTTCAGATTTTCCACTAGGAAAGGTGTTTTTTCTCTGACAATAGCTTCGCAAATTCGAAATTTCGGAAAATCATGATTACCGTTTCACCGTAAGACTTATACTTCTATAGAAAAAATTCATCACTCGTATAAAAGATTGTTAATTTTTCTGATCTTTCCAATTGTTTCTACCCCACAGATTCGGCAAAAAAAACTTTTTTTCAACGTACAGTGCTGCTGGTGTGATCATCGACAATATTGAAGAGATCGGTGGGTGCCTGACCGGTCGAGTAGGACCTTTCCGGTCGTATTTCCGATTTGGACGCCGCCGAAACCGAGTGCGATCGTTCGATCTCCTTGGCCGCCGCGTTCGCAGTCGAGAGAAGGTGCGGCAGGTGGGCGGGGTCTATCGAAACAATCGAATGACGCGGGCTGGCTGTCGAGAACGAGTGGAACATCATCGAGGAGGCCGTCGACGAGCATCCGCCCGCTTCCTCCTCCCCGCAGCTCTCCGCCTCGTGGTTGTAGCGGTCGGTTCGCGCTGAAAAATTGGAAATTCAGACAGGCACTAAAAAAAAATGAAGAGTCCAAAGAAAAGAGTGCTGACTGTCAAAGTAGCTCGTGTCCTCCTCGTTGTCCAATTGCGGCACAAACTCGGCCTTCTGCCTCAGGAGCGAGGTGAAATCGAGGAGTGCGAAGAAGGCGTGGGCCATCAGCTGGGCGGCCCCGTTCACCGTTCCGAGTCTCTCCGCCGGGTTCTTCTCCAGAAGACGTCGGCAGAGATCTTCCGCTTCGGCAGGCAGCGCCTCTTCTTCTTCCGGATACTCCACCTCTTCGCTGATCACCTAAAAATTGGGAATTCAAAATGTTTGCTTGCATAATACTATGACAATTGCAGGAAAAAACGCCGGCCCAGGCTTTTTGAAGGCTTTTTGAGGCCTGGACTTTCGACCCACATAAAAAGTCAAAATTTTGCCCAGCCCTGGTGATAACAAAACTATTTGTGCAGCAAAAAACTCTTTCGCGTCTATTAAACTGAACTGTTACCTTTGAAAACAAAATTTCGGGCGATTCGCCGAAGAATGGCACAATTCCGACGAGGAACTCGTACAAAATGATGCCGAGCGCCCACCAATCGACGGGTTTTCCGTATCCGCGACGGAGAATCACTTCTGGAGCAATGTATCTGCAAAATTAATTTGCAAAATGAACTTGTATGGAAATCTTGGATTTTCTAGTGTTTTCTACACTACAAAAAAGCGTACTCGGGTGTTCCGCACAGCTGCTTGTCCTGGAATTGTTGTGTTTCGGCGACGGTCTCGTAGCCCTCCGCCACAAGCGTCGTTCTGTTCATTAATCCGATTTTCGAGAGCCCGAAATCCGTCAGTTTGATGTGTCCCATTGCTGTGATCAGAAGACTGCAATTTTAAAATAGAAAGTAGTGAAAGAAACATAAGCTATTCCAAAAAGGGCGTACTTATCGGGTTTGAGATCCCTGTGCACAATTCCGTAAGAATGTAGATATTCGATGGCGAGCACGGTCTCCGCGACGTAAAGCCGTGCCAACTCGACCGGAAGTGTGCCAGCCGACTTGAGCAGCGCCGCGCAGTCCCCGCCTTCGACGTACTCCATCAGCATGCACAGATATTGTCGTGTTTCGAACGATCCGTAGAAGGAGACGACAAACGGATTGTCGGCCATCGTGAGGATGTCCCTCTCCGCGAACACCTGATCCACCTGGTTCCGCAGCATCAGCGTCTGCTTGTTCATCTTTTTCAGCGCGAATCGTTGACGCGTCTCGCGGTGACGGACCAGATACACGGCGCCGTACGCTCCGTTCGACACCAACTGCAACACACTCTTTGTCAAAAATCAGAATTAAAGAAGGCATCCGGAGAGAGAACTAAATTTACCCGAACTGTAATAGGTTGTTAAGTTGTTCTAACTGTCTGAATTACTTCCATGGGTCATATTTGTTCATTTTCCACTCATTTGAACCCGCTAGGATACCTGGTACATGCACAAGAGTCGGAAGTGTTCAGATTGCAGGAGTGTCCTTAAGGGGCAACAATCTGGACATTTCCGTCTTTTGGGCTATGATCTTTTTTTTTTCCTCCCGCTTTTCTCACCCGAATCGTGTCGAAATCGTCTTCGCAGGGAGCACGATTCGCCTCCGGCCACGTGGCTTTCGAGGCGGAACTCGTGGCCGTCGCGGCTGATGACGTGGCCGCCGGGTGCGGTTCTTCCGTCGCCTCCTCCACGTGTTCCGTCGAATCGAGCAGCGGATCACGGTCCAGACCCAGTTTTCCTGCAGAAAAATGCATTTTTAGCTGGAAAAAAGTTGCATGTTTTACAAATTTGGAAAAAAGCGTATTGTGGGCGTACAAGACAATCTTCGTTTTTGAAGAAATCAGATGCGTCACATCGGTATCATGTTTTCGGGTGTCTTTCAAAATGCAAATTCTAGAGTCACGGGAAAAAAAATGAAAAGCAGCTCACCAATAATGTACTGTGGCAGATCGGGCACTCGGGCGGTCCCGCTGCCCAGCTGCTCCCTGACAACTCCTTCCGCTTCCTCCAGCAAATGATAGAATTCGTCCGGGTTGAATTCGAGACACTCCAAAAGGCGGGCAGGCCGCGAGACGATCATCAGCAGTTTCCGCACCAATTTCGACAAATATTCCAGCGATTCCGGCGAGGTTTTCATTTGCGCCTTAAACAACTACGTATAAATTGAAATAATGCGACAATCAAAAAAAGGTTGTTCTAAAAATGTTACCCATTATCGAAACAGTAATTTTTGCCAACTTTTAACCGATTTATTTTTTCCTCACAAAAATGCGGGCTGACCTCGTTGAGTGTCTCCTCGAGTCTCTGGCTCATCTCGCAAAAGTAGGAGCAAGTGATGAGGTCGTCCTTCGATTTCGAAAGGCAATCGACGGCCGTCTCGACGATCTGATGGTGCAGGAATCGGGTGGCGCCGTCGCCGATCAGCCGGAGCAGACTGCGGTCCGCGTACGATTCCGCTTCGAGCACCTGCAAGAAAAACGGGGGAACAATTGCTAGTAGAGACGCAAATAATGGTGATCTCTTTTGCAAAAATGGCAAAACGAATCCAAAGAACCTCAAAAACACATTCATCACTCTGTTTTCGGTCCCAGTAAGGCCACTTTTTATTTCGAAGAAGAGAGAAAAAGAAGTATATTATCTATTTTTTGGGGTGAACTCTAAACTCTAAAATAATTCCGAAAAATTCGCTCGCTCACCGTGGACCGCCGGCTCCTCATAACAGCCTCCTCGACGCTGTCGTTGGCCTTCAGAGTGCCGCTTGCCGCCGCTTTTTTATCGGTTCCGTCCTCGTCCGAATCGCCGTCCGTTTTCTGTGAGATTCCGCCGCTCAGTGGCCCGTTTTCGGCGACAAACGCCCGCAATCTCTCCTCCATTTGCAGTTTGGCCCTAGGAAAGCGTTCCTTGTAGACCGACGTCCGGTTGACCATCTCCACGTTGTACTCGTTCAGAAATTTCATTGGGCTTCTGCAGAAAATACATTAGAGTTTTGAGAAAAAAAAAAGTATTCTTCCGTTTCAAGCAAAAATAGTATATTTTGAGAATTGTTGCTCGAATTAGTATAATCACCGTAACGATAAGATGAGTTGATTAATTTGCGCATAACAGTGGTGTCAGGACCGCTAAAACGGCTCTGGCGGAGAGCGGCGATTCGCGTGCGAAAAATTAGAGACGCTGGCGCGCAACAGTTTCGCCAAAACTCGCCCAGGCCCGCTACAGAGGCTACGCCGAGCCAGAACTGTCCCGGATGAGAACCTAGGCGTAGTCGCCGCCAATTTAATACCATGTAATATGAGTACAAAGGCCTTCGCTGCGCGCGCGTAGGCTCTCTTCTCCTGAGGAAATCACACATTTTCATTCGGAAAAAGCGTACGTCAGACTGCGGCTTCTGGGCCTATTGAGGAAGGCGTTCTGGGCGGCCGCCTGCTGGGATGCCACGTCATCATAAGAGTCGTTGCTGTCAAATCGCGACGAATTCTGACGGATCGGTCCGGAAATTCGCGTCTGCTCGAGCATTTCGCCAATTTGTTCCGATGAAGAGTACTGGCTCTGGAAGCGAAATATTCAAAAAAAAATGTAGATTTGAAATTTTCAAAAAAAAATGTAGATTTAAAAAAATGTAGAACAATTTCTCTAGAAAAGCCTTCTTTCCAGGAGATCAGAGAGACGGCGAATGACAATATAGAAAGACCAAACTTTAAACCAAAAAACGAAGAAAACCGTACCGAGACACCGGAATTGCTGCCAGTGCCGGGAGTTCCGTATCCGCTCGTTGAAGGCAGTGAAGCGAGGGACCACCTGCGCGTGTCCTGCACCGGAGCCATCAGCGAAGAGCCATTTCGGGCCGAGTACGTCCTGCAACCACTTTCCACTCTTATTGTATGCACTGTTTAGGTGAAATCGCATGAAAAATCGTTTAGAAATATACTATAATCTTTTTTCTCTAGAAAAATCAACAACATCTTTCTGTCAAATCGTTCGCCCAATTCTTTCATCTCGTGGGAGAAAAAGTTAGAAAAAAAAGTGGAAAATAGACAGAGAATTAGAGAAAGAAAGGCGGAAAACTCGTGGTCGGGTATTGAAAAACAAGCCATTGTTGACTCGTTTCGAAAGAACGAAAAAGGGGCGGGGCTTGTTTGTTTTTTCGATTTTCATCAGGTGTCACGCTCAAACCTCAAATTCCCCCCTAAAAGTTTCAAAAAAATGGACAAACCTGAGAGTGATGGCGCCACTGTGCACAGAGCTTCCGGAGCTGCCGGGCGCTGCCTGACCGGCTCCGAAATTGTGCGAGGACGACGTGGATCTTTGCGGGACCCTCAATGGACTTCTGCACCTCTGCAGAGTCACCGGCGACGTCGAGGAGTGCAAAGAAGGACGGGCGGTCGGGGAACGGGCCGAGTTGGAGGAGGAGGCCGACGATTTGGGCGGATGCAGCGACGAGGTGGAGGTGGAGAAGCACGAATTCGTGGAACTCGAAGACAATTGGGGGTCCGAGTGGCCCAGCGACGAACGGATCCGGCACAAATTCGTCATCGAGGCCGACGACCAGCCCGTCGACGCCGCCGTCTGCTCTGTTTCCACGCCTGCATTTAGAGAATTGCATAAAATGTTTTGTGCGTGAATATACCATGAATAGCCATGGTCCTGCGTCGATTCCTCTTCAAAAGGCGTTCGACATTGGCGACGGAGCCGCTGTCGGAGGAGTCGTTGCCTCCGCCGCCGCCCCGATGGAACGACCTTCTCGGCGGGATCATCAAACTGCCGCTACCTTTCCAAACGCCTCCGCAATTGCCGAACACAGAGACCGTCTGGATGGACGCAGCACCCGTCTCGCTTTCAGAGTCGGAATTCTGCAAAAAGCCGGGAATTAATTGCATACTTGGCCGGCTGATAACTCGCTTCAAAATCAAAGTTGTGCGTAGAACAAATTAGAGCCGGTATTGTGGCGCGGTCGGCCCACAATACCGGCTACAAGTTGTCACATTTGTAGAACTCATCGAGATCTACAATCTGCCACAACTTTGATCTTGAAGCGAGTTAGCAGCCGGCCCGTTTGGGTCAGAAATGCGGAGAAGTGAACATTTTGCGGGTTTTTCACCAAGCTCTTTTTTCTAGAAAATGTGACATTGCTCGCCTGAAAAACACGCTCTTTTATCATGATTTCTCAAGAGGGTAAAAAATGAAAGAAAATAGGCGTTCGAGAAAAAAAATTAATTAGAAAAAGCGGACAAGAAGAAGAAGAAGAAGAAGAAGAGGAAAGAAGATGTCCGGTTTTTCAGAATTATCGGAAAAAAAGGGATTTTCTAGGCGACGAAGCTCAAAGTTCTCTCCGTTTTTTCTCCGGCTCATTCTCGTGTGTCAAATGCAACTGACATCCTTTTCCGCCTCTATTTCTGCTCTTTTCTCTCGTGAAAATGCTCACAAATCGAGGAGATGCTAATCGAGTCGAAAATAGACTTATCTCGACGGAAAATCATTGATCAAAATGGATAGAAAGAGTCGAATATAATCCAATTATACTCTTTTTACGCAAGTGCCGATAATCTTGACATCCAGCAGAAAAACAAGGTATTAGCATGTTTTCAGCAGTCAAGGAGAAAGCTACAAAAGTCGGTCACTTTCTCCACACTTTTCGCTCAAAAACACGTCGAAAATCCAATGTTTCCACTGAGAAGAGCAAAAAGTGTGGTGTGCTCTGTGGGAAGCGAAAAGAGAGCGGAAAAAGGCGAAAGAAGGGGGAAAGGAAGAAAATTGAATTAATTCCTCTGTCTGTCGCCCCAATTTTCTCATTTTCCGATCGATAATTGCGCAGTTTACGGCCTCCTAAGCTTCTCGAAATGTTTGTGCACAAAAAATAGTGGAAAAGTAACTGCTTCGTGGAGAAAATTCCGGAGAACCCCCAACTTTTTGTGGAAAAAGAGCAAACGAGGGGCGCATTTATAATTAGACGATTCCCTCAAGAGCAGCGCTTCCGGCTCTTCTTCCCGTTTTCCGAGCTCGGAGCCCAAAAGGCGAAGAGTTAATGGCCTATAAAAGGCCGGAAATGCGCTCGTAAAAGTGGCGTTTCGAGAATTACACGAAGATGGGTCAAAACTCTGATGGAAACGCAGAATTATCCAACCAGAAAAATGGTATAAAACACTGAACATTATCCGATTTCTATGATTTAGCAAAAAACTACAGAAGAATACTTCAACTGGAAAAATTAACCGAAAAATTGATAAGACAAATTGTTAACATGTATTCTTGAAACAGAACATTTTTAGAATTGAAAACAGCCGGAATCTTCGTACCGGACAAGGAGAAAAGCAGAAATGCTCGTAGAAAAAAAGACATTGTCTACTGCCACAAGAAAAGGAGAGTTTGTCCGCAGCTTTATTAGCTAGAACTAACGGACATCAAGTATCAAGTAAGGGAGGCGGTTGAAACGAAAAATGAAGGAACAAAATGGATGGCGGAAATTTGGGCGATTTCCGGGTGAAAATAATGAGATTAGAGCGGGAAATATGAAAAAGAGAAGCGATTGGAATTTCCGGAGAAAAATTGAAAAACGGCGGAAAATCAATGATTTATTGCGGAGAAAAGTGGCGTTGGCGACAATTTTCTCCGATTTTACGCCTCAATTCATCGAAAACTTTCGATTTTTAATGATTTTCACAAGGTTTGTGGAGGGAGTTTTGGCTTTTAAATACGTTTTTCTAATTGTGCTAGAAGGGTTGAAGCCACAACTATTTTAACAAAAAATAGGAGAAAAATCAATAAATATCGGGAACATTTAAATTTTTGTGCAAGCTTCTCGGGGCTCCATGCATTGTGAGTAATCAATTGAGTGCTGGGAAAACGAGAGGAAACCGAAAGTGCGCCAACGGCTCGCATGGCGCACTTCCGGTGCCAACTCCCTTGTTGACCCTCTTGAGCCGCATTTGCTCGTTCTCGCCGCACCGCAAAAACTAAAATATCTTCATTTTCGCAACGAAAATACACTGATTTCCATCGATTTTTTCACCACAGTGACAAGTTGTGTGCGTCTGACTGACAAGAGCCACTTTAGACGCGGAGCACACTTGAAATTGAGATGAAACGGTCAAAAAGTGGTCTTTTTACGTGGGAGAACGGTTTTTTCGGTTTCGTGGGGGAATTTTGGAGGAATTCAGGTTTCTCGGACAATATTTCGCTACTATCAGATGGAATTGACGGTTTCTGAAAGGTTTTTGGTGAAAAATGAACGTCATGGGAGAAAATTGGCGTTTCTTGTCGAAAATGCGGTTTTTTGGGCTCCTATTGGTGAATCAAGTCATTTTTACGTTTTTGAGCAATGTTTTGCAGGAACGATAGCGGAAAATAGCGAAAACTGGAAGAGATTGGGAAAACGTAGATATTGAAGTAAATCTCCTATCTGTTAAAGATTTTAGCGCTGAAAAACATTCGAGGTCACAGTTTGACAAATTTTTTGACACAAGATTTATAAAAACTTACTTTTTAGCGCGAAAATCAACGAAAGCTTGCAAAAAAATGTCGAACGGACTACTGTAGCCGACAAACTGTGTAGTGTGTTTGCGTACTCGGCATCAGAAAGTGGTGTCAACCGTAGTCGTTCAGCATGGGAACTTGCGATTTTCAGCTCAAATTTTACAGATGTTCAGGCGATTTCTGCGAAAAATTGCGTCCGAAAGAAGAGAATAGCGATTTTTGCAGTTTTGCTGCAAAAACGCGCCTCAATGCATAATAAATGTGTGCAGAGTAGGCAAAAAACTAAAAATAAGAGCCAATCGAGCAGCGAGGCAATTCTGAAGTGGGAATGACTCATTTTATGTACGAAAACTTTGCGGTCAAATAAAATGACTCATTTTTGTGATAATAAAGTGCAAAAAAGTGAAAACTTGCGTGATGAGTGCGAAAAGTGGGCGACATTGACATTGTCGGCGATATCGATCGAATCGGACGGGATAGAACCGGCGAAAACACAATCGGCGGCACATTTATGCAATCCGACGACGAACGGTTGCTCTGCAAATTGATCCCTTTTGTTGTGAGTTTCTGACGTTTGCTCATCAACTTTTTTCAGCGCCACTCACTTTTTTCCGACGCAACGACATCAGGCAGCCCGAGAAAAAGAAGGCGACAAGAAATTACATAGTTTTCAGAACAAAAAATGAGCAGGTGTCTCTGCGGGGGTACGACGACTAATTAGTTTATTCGCCAATTCAGTCATTCTTTTGTTTTGGCATTATTTTTCGAATAAATTTGTATGACGACACTTTGGGAGCTAGGATTTCATCAACAAACCAAAAAATTTGAGTATTCAAGGGAAATAACCAAAAAGTGGGCAATTGGCAGGCCCTTGTGCTGGACTTTTGAACCACTTGCACTATTCTTATCGGACTCAAACTTTAGGGACCAGGTTTCGGATCATCCGGTTCCCTATGTGGATCATTGACCGAAATCGGCTCTAAAGCACTATATTTCGGGACCGGATGATCCGATCGGGCTGAAACTTGGACCCAATACACTTCAATCCATGTCCAAGAAGTCTGAAAAGTTTGAGCCCGATCAGAAAAGAACAACTGGTTCAAAAGTCCAGCAAAAAGGCTGGCCCGATCCAGAACTCACCCGTCTCGGCTTGAAATACTGCATTCGATGATTTTATGGATTAACAGTATACGCAACTATGCATAGAGATATCAATCGGACGTTCTCGATCGGGAAATAGAAAGAGAGAGAGAGAGAGAGAAAGAGGAAGACAAAGATATTGTACAGTTCTTCTAATTTCCCAATTCTTCCACAATAGCCAACAACTGTACACTGTCTTTTTCTTTTTCGGGAAAAGAAAGATGGGCGGTGTGTGTGTGTGTCGTTCTTTTATAATATTACACACTCTTTTTAGTATTCGGCCCCCAAAAACATTTTCTCCCACTAATTAAGTTAATTTGACACTAATTCGACATGTCTATTGGCTTCGTTAGCAAAAAAAAATACTATTAATTTATAGACTTTTTCAATTGAATTGTTTGCTCCGTTTTCTCACGTTTTAGGCTAAAAAAACGGCTCAGGAGCGATTTTTTCTGCGTAAAAACATTCCGCTTTGGCACTGTCTCCCCTTCGGCGGAAAAAATTTTTCTCGCACTTTTTCGCGTGCGGCTCTCAGTGTCGATTTACGGGAGACGGTTTTTCAACTGAAAACACTGTTTTTCCGAGTTTTTGGGCCAATGCACAGTTTTCATTCAAAACTTTTGCCTCACGTTTGTTCATATGACCGATAGCTACAAAATGATCGCAGAGTGCGCGTGTAAAAGTGAAAATTCGCAGAGTAATTTCGTTTTTTTTAAAATTTGGCTTGAAAAAACGAATTTTCGGAAATTTTGAGAAAACAGTCGACAAAATCAAAAAACAGTTGCTTCACGATTGTTCAGCAGACAAAGGCGGTCATTTTGAGCACAGAGACAACCCATAAAATGCAAAAATCACTGAGAAGTTTCAGTTTTTGAGGTTCAGAACTGAAATTCATAGAAAAATGAAAAAATGCGCTGTTTCTTGTGGGCAAAACGCTAATTTCAGATGACAGCTGTTATAAACTATTCTGACAATTCCTGTTTTACCTAATTTTCCTCATTTTGCGATGAAATTTCGGGTTTTCGCGAAAAATCCAGAAATTTCAGAGACCTGCTTTTGTTTTCAACGACACTCCGTTTTAACGCGGCGCTCAATTTAGCATTAGCCATTGGGGAGACAGTGTTCGGGTCGAAAAACTGACCAGAGCACTCTTGGACCTGCGCGGACTCGGCTCGTTGGGCGGCGTCTCGTTGTCGTCGCTCGCGTACTTGGCGGTGCTCCACATGGGCGACAACAGATTCTGATAACTCGACGACATCGGAATCGTGATCGAGCTGTTCGTGTCGGACATTGTCGACGCGAAGCTCGTGCGGCGGTCGGGCGGCGGCGACGAAATGCATCGGAACGGACTGCCGAACTGAAAGGCGCCGCCGCCGCCGCCCGTCGAGACTTCCGGCGAGTTCTCGTCGATTTGACCGCCCGGAACCTGGAGGTAATGCATGCGCGGCTCCTCATTCTCGCGGATATCGCCGAGCGGAGACGGACTGAGGAACGGCGGGCTCGGCGGATCCAGCGAGATTCGAATGTGCGAGAGCTGCTCGGAGAATCGTTTGAGACGGGGCGATCTTTGCGGCGAGAGGTACGTGTGCGACGGTTGCATCGATTCCCGGCGACGTGCTGGTTTTCTGCAATCCAACAGTATGTAGAAAGGAGAAAATGTGGAAAAAACGAGAAAAAACGCGTCTAAAAGTCCGTCTTTTCTCTTCTTTTTCTCTCTTTTTCAGTGCTCAAAAAGGACGGGCTCACGCTTGAAATGAGCCCCCGAAGCAAGCAGCCTTTATTGCTTTTTTTTTCGAGCAGAAGCCCCTTCTCGGCGCACATTTATTTCCGAATCTTCTCGAAATCTCGAGCCGTCTCTTCTTCAACTCAATTTCCAACTAGCATAACCACTCTTTTTTTTTTGTTGCTTGTTTCTAATCAGAAACCAGAGCTCACAGCAGGTGAAAAATTGTTGGAAACATGTTGCGATTCAAGAGCAGAGTAGCACAATTTGCTCATGTTCTCGGAAAAAAGGTTAACATGCATCGGAAATGAGATGGATTATATTGGAAAGAAGGAGAGAGAGAGAGAGAGAATTGCTCCGCCGAAGAAGAAGAAGAAGAAGAAGAGGAAGAAGAAGAGGAAGAAAGAGCAGGCAATTGTGATCTTCTTGGTCGGAAATATGTTTTTATCGCTAGTAAATTGGTAACTTACCCGCAAGACCAACGACACTCCGCTCTAACGGTCCCGTCGGACCGAGAAGGACCGCAGAACGTGACACCCAACTACAAACTAGCGGGAGAACTGTCTGTACCGATCCGGAAGACAAATCCGGAAGACGGTAGACGGCAGAAATTTTTTTACGGAACACGGAAAACGGAAGACGGAAGACGGAACAAAAAATCGTCAATGCAGAACCTTTTTTTCTCCGGTGAAAAAAATAACTAAACAACAAAAAAATTGTGTTCCAGAGTTGAGCGGAAATGGCATTTTGAAATCCGGAAGACGGAAGAAAACATTTACGGAAGACGGAAGAAAACATTTTTACGGAAGACGGAAGAAAACATTTTCACGGAAGACGGAAGAAAACATTTTTTACGGAAGACGGAAGAAAACATTTTTTACGGAAGACGGAAGAAAACATTTTTTACGGAAGACGGAAGAAAACATTTTTTACGGAAGACGGAAGAAAACATTTTTTACGGAAGACGGAAGACGGAATTCCGCTCAACACTGGTACCTATCCCTCAAACCTCCTCAAGGTCTCGAACTTTCTCCTGCCCCGGTCATGAATGTTCGCGCGAGAGCCGCACAGCCGCGTGTTTCCAATCCCTTCGACCACAGAACCGTCAACTGTCTTCCATGAATTCGCCGCCATAATACATATAGACTCTAATGCAGACTTGCGAGATTTTGGGCCGTCCCTGCCAAAGTGTCTAATCGATTGATGCGCTAAAATTTTTTGTATGCAAAAATGGAATTAACATGCTGAACGTGTTGGTTTTTTTTTTGGATATTCATGCTCACACAAACAGACATGTGCGTGTGCATCAAGACGGAAATGCGAAATGTTTGGCACCTTGATTATGCGCTCTTTTCTCTTGAAAAGGGGCGCGAAAAGTTGTCTGAAAGTGTGGGGAATGGCTGAAAAAATCTATCCGTGCGGGAGATTAACATTTATCCGGGATTCCTCTCGGATTAACCAACCATTCATTCGTCCGTCTTTTTCTATCAAATCTCTCATTTTTTGCCATCGTTTATCTTCAGTTTTTCCTATCGAAAAAGTGATTGACGTAATCGAAAACGTTTTGAACGAATTGGGATTATCGATAAAACCGCAATTTTAGTCAAAAAAAAGACAAAAGACTCACTTTTTCTCCTCTTCAACTTTTTTCGTCTTCTTCTCGATGACAACGACTCCGAAATTGAGCATTCGACTCTGAAAAACAACACGACAGGAAGTCCGAAAACGATTCGATTTTCCGGAAGAACTAATCGAAATCAATACCGCGAAATTCAAATTTAATTTAAGCACAATGAAATGTATTCCTAATTTTTGAGCAAGTCTGGGAAAAAAGATGTGATATGTGTGTGTGTGTGGTGGTTTGGATGAAAAGAGATTAATTCAGTTATCATCATCATCGCACCGCCGAGAAGAGAGAGAGAGAGAGAGAGAGAGAGAGATGATATAAATATAACTAAAATCTTTTCCTCCGGATATTCAAACATACCCCCAGTTAATCCTAGCCGATCACCGCTATAGAAAAGCGACGAAACGTTTTGAGCACCTCGAATTATACTGCTACTTCATTTGGAATCCACTTTTTCTTATCAAGTCAAGTTGAGAGTCACTCATAAATTGTGAAATTTTCGTGGGAAATAAAGCTTAAAAACTTCCAAAAAGGCAAAAAAATTTCTCCCCGGCCGGGAATTGAACCCGGGTCTCGCATGTGACAGACGCGGATACTCACCACTATACTACCGAGGACACGAGAGAAGCCGCACCCTGAGGGCGTTGACAAGATCGATGCGGCTGGCAGCAGCGGGGGGTATTTTTAGCAACTATTGTAGCACTATCTGAATGTGTTCCCTTGTAAAACAGGTTCCAACCAGTTGAGACCAGTCAATTTCACTAAAAGCCTCAATATTCAGTGGATCCAATCGTCTCGTCCGCTACTTCACTAAAATCGTGTACCCTGATCTGGTCCCACTGGTTGACAAGAATAAATTAAACTGATAATAATGATTTGCTTCTATTCATAATTGCAAGACGCTTTTTCGAATAATAAACCGTTTCTTTTGTTCATCTCCTACTTTCTCACGCCTTTCCGAACACATTCGCATGACGTGGCACTCCTTCGCCTCTCCTCTCCGGTCCTTTGAAACGGGTCTACGCTCGCCGAAGATGTGTCACCAATCTGCGCGACGAGCTGGAAAAAATGAGAAAAAGGAGGAAAAAGAGGGAATTGAACGCGCCGCGTCGTTGAGTTTAAAAAGGGTCTGTCTGCGAGTCATTCCACAACATTCTCGTTCGAGTAACATCGGACCAACTCGACGTTTTGCAACTGAGACATCTCGCAACCAAGTGTACGGTTGTTACTTGTATCAGTTGCGAAACGTCCGTTTGTATAGACGAGAGACGCTTTCACTTTTCGACTTTCAATTTTCAATTTTAAATTTTCAATTTTCAGTTAAAGGTGGTGTCCAACCTAACATACAACATATTTTTAAAATAAACTTCGAAGTGGGGCATTCACTTTCCCAAAGTCCCGAATTACGGAAAAAATTCCCCGATTTTTAAGATTTTTTTCAAAAAAGTTAATGGTACCGAGAGAAGTACACGACGAAATGGAAGAGCTGGCCTAGATTTTTCTAGTCCCCGGATGAAATTCCCCTTTCTTCCGATTTTTTTCCGTTTTCGCGCAATTTTCTTAAATTTTCAATCGTTTTTTCACTGAACACATTTATTTGCAATATTTAAAAAAAACGTATGATTTTTTCTGTGCCGTGACGCCAAAAAAATCGATAATCTAAAACTTTTTTTTTTGTTTTTCCGGGTTTTTCGCTCAATCTTCGGTTTGCGCGCTGAAAAATAAATAGAAAGAGATCGCTCAATCATTTCCTGAGTCTTAATTAAATTTTGCGAGTTACAGAAAGTTATATTTTTTTCAAAGTAATGAAAAAAATCCAAAACTTCCTATTTTCAGTTTTACAAAAAAAGTGGCTGAATTTCTGAATTTTTGCTGAATTTTGAAAGTTTCAGATTATCGATTTTTTTGGCGTCACGGCACAGAAAAAATCATACGTTTTTTTAAATATTGCAAATAAATGTGTTCAGTGAAAAAACGATTGAAAATTTAAGAAAATTGCACGAAAACGGAAAAAAATCGTAAGAAAGGGGAATTTCATCCGGGGACTAGAAAAATCTAGGCCAGCTCTTCCATTTCGCCGTGTACTTCTCTCGGTACCATTAACTTTTTTGAAAAAAATCTTAAAAATCGGGGAATTTTTTTCGTAATTCGGGACTTTGGGAAAGTGAATGCCCCACTTCGAAGTTTATTTTAAAAATATGTTGTATGTTAGGTTGGACACCACCTTTAATATCCTCGTTCAAGATGTACCCGCGCCCGATCGTCCCAGTCGCGCTCCTCGGATCCGCCATTGCGGTCCAGGCGGCTCTGGATACGCTGGCGGATGATGAGGCCGTCCTTTATGACGGCCAAATGATCTTGGCCGGTCTCACGATCGCGCCCCAAAGGTTAGTTTCGTCTCGTTCTCATGACTTTTCTCTTATGTGTGCTTCATTTCAGAGCCGGAGAGTACCGGTTCAACGAGAAGTACTCCATGAGAATGAAGCTCAGGGAGTACAAGAACATGGAGATCACTGGGGACGAAGTGATTGTGGAGGACAAGGGAGGCGCCTACATCGCCTCCCTTCTGACAGTCATCAGGCTGCCATCGTAAGTTTTCCTAATTTTTTGCTCAAATCCATACAAACTATCGCTTTTCAGGCTGCTCGATCTGACGAGGGAACGACAGCGCCGAAAAGACTTCACAAAGTCGGAGAGGAAGCAGAAGAAGGAGCTGATCAAGAGGGAAACGGAGAAGAAAGAAAAGGAAGCGATTGAGGAGGCACGGGTCCGATCGCCGCGCTTTCAATGTTAATCAATTTCTCTGTTATTCTGTGTTTCATAAATATATTATTTTTGAACGAGGCTTTTACACTTTCTTCACTTTTTGAATCACATTATTGAAGTTCCTTTCATTCGACGCACTCTCTTTCCGCTGATTTGTCGACCTCGGTGCGAGCAAGGATCCACGTTTATTGTTCATTCAAGTCCATGGATCCCAATGACCAGTATTCATACGAGATGGGAAAGATCGAGCCGTTCATCCGCATCCACCACAATTGCAACGCGGAGCCGGACCCTGAGGGAATTGACAAGATCGGTGCGGCTGGCAGAAGCGGGCTGTTTTTTAGCAACTATTGTAGCACTACCTGAATGTGTTCCCTTGTAAAACAGGTGGTTCCCTGGAGTTTACAGGTTCCAACCAGTTTGGACCAGTCAATTTCACTATAAGGACACGGAAACAACGGGCGCGCTGGCGAGTGAAAGGAGCGACGGGACTTTCTTTCACTTTTTCACATGCTAGAATCGTTTCAAAACTCTCAAAATCAACTCAAAAATCATTTATATTTATTCGGTTGGGTTGACATGACAAGAAAAGAACGAGAATAGAAGGGAAATACCAGTAAATTCGATAGAAATTATTAGATTTTTTCAAACGATCCAAAAAAAAATTCGTTTAGGCCCAAAATTCGTCGTCGAGTACGATTTCCTCGCTGAGATGCTGGAAAATACGGGCGGAACCGAAGAAATCCGTGACTCGCACTCGCTTCACTTCCTTCGGATAATGGTCTTTTCGGACGCCTGGAATTCTTAAGAAATGACTGAAATTCGAGCATTTTTAGCATTAAACTCGAAATCGATTCAATTTTTTCATTTCCGAATGAAATTTGCTCGTTTTGAGCCCAAAATGTGGGCAATGAATAATTTCAGCGATTTATGCGTGTACATCGTCGAAATCGTGCAAAATTTGGAGCATTTTTGACGAAAATTTCGCGCCCCAAACTGAAGCGTACCAGTGTTGGAAAGGCATTTTCTGGCGGGACACGAATCGATATAATCCTGCATGTTGGCCGACGAATTCAACGATTTGACCTCTTTCGACAAGAAATTGACCGTGTAGTGCGTGTAACTGCAAAAAAAGTTCCTATTCATTTATTTTATTTCTGATTCGACGTTGAACACACTCTCACGAAAACTTTGAGCGATTCCTTTAAAAAACTTGTGAAACAGAAAACAAGTTTCAACGTTTGTTTGAAAACCCGTACCGATCGATAACGTAGACGCCGATATCGGTGTCAACGTCGTAGGAATAGCTCTCCTCGTGAGTGAGACTGCTCGAAAGACTCAGCACGTTCGGAGAATCGATCCATTCGTACATGGATGCACTCCGGCAGCTGTCTGCGATCACCAGCATCTCGTGGTATCTACAATATCACTGACAATATTGAAGATTGGAAAAGAACGCTTTTTTCGGGTGATTTCGGTGATTCGTGGTGGGTCTAATCAGAACTCGAAGCCGGTTATTCAATAGACACATGATAGACCGATCACGAGCACTTTTCAGGGTTAATAGGATATGATATGCATACCATGGGCCTACGTTCTCAATAGACTGATCGCGAATCACCTGTTAGCCGAGCGAGTAGACATGCGAGCGCAGCAATGCCCGTAGCCATCCCTGAGGCTTGTTTTTTCAAAATAAAAGTGGAGATCAAGTTCACATGTTGTGTTTTAAATTTATTTTTCTCGGACCGTACCGATTGTCCTCGAACATTGTCTGAATGGCGTAGGCCAAATCGACGTTCGTCAGCTCTTCCGAGTCCTGAAATTTCATGAAACTGTCGCCGCCGTGGCCCGTCAGGTACACCTGCAAAAAATAGATATTTTCAAATTCGATGGATTTTCTTACCAAAACGTTGCTCTGATGATCGGTCAAAAGTCTTTTGGATCGAGGAGTGGCCGGATGGTGACGGCCCGTCAGAATTCGGATGAAGTTTTCCACCTGAAAAAGCGAAAATTGCCCCCGAGAAAAACCGCTAGGCTGTTCATCTTTCAGTTCAAAAAATCGATTTTATAATTTTTTGATCATTTTTTCCAGTAAAAATTGCAAGAACTGTGCAATTTGACTCACATTGACTTCTTCCCCGCGATAGTCGACTTCCACGTCGGATCCGTACAAATTGGCGCCAGCACGGGCGGCGTAAACGGTTCCGGGCCGCGGATTTCGCGAATTGCACGGCACATCCTCGGCCAGCATCATTATTATATTACTGCAAGATTTTACCCATTTTTTTCGCAAAAAAAAATCGATAAAAACCTGTCGGGAATTCCGAGTCTTTTCAGCGAGTGATAAAGAGCCAAAACATTGGAAACGTGGCGATAATTGAACCAGAATTTGGAGGTGCACACGAGCACCGCCCAATTATTTGTGTGACCTGAAAAAGAACGGAAAATGCTTGAAAACCCTGAAATCTTCTACCTGGCGTATCGAAAAGTTCGTCGATTTTCAACTGAAGACCCGTATTTAGAACTGCTTCTGCCACCGCTATTGCACAAAGAATTGATAATACAAGACGCATCAGGCGACCCGAGAAACGACTGAATAGGGAAGAAATGTGCAAGAAAGGGGTGTGCAATGGGGCGCGCTTGCTTCGCGGCAGGGCAGATGGCAAGAAATTACAAGGCAAACAATAGTGATTCACATCTGCTACATTTCAACAGAGATTTTCGACGCTAGACAATTGATGGAAACCTTTCTTGTAATGAGTAATTTCAACGAGTGTTGACAAACAATGCTTTATCAGTTGCTGGACAACGGGATAAAGAATAATAACAAGATGCTTATCGGTTGGACTTGGCAACACGCTCGAGCTCGTCCTTCTTCTTGATGGCGTAGCTGTTGGACGATCCCTTGGCGGCGTTGATGAGCTCATCAGCCAGGCACTCGGCGATGGTCTTGACGTTTCTGAAGGCGGACTCGCGAGCTCCGGTGCACAGAAGCCAGATAGCCTGAAAAACTGATATTTTTTCGATGAAACGGCTTACTAAACATACCTGGTTAACTCTTCTGAGTGGAGCAACGTCAACAGCCTGTCTGCGGACAGTTCCAGCACGACCGATACGGGTCGAGTCTTCACGTGGTCCCGAGTTGATAACGGCGTTGACCAAAACTTGCACTGGGTTCTGAAAAAAAATACAAAATAAAGTCTTGTTTATATGAAAGTGTAATATAACCTCTCCGGTGAGCAAGTAGATGATCTCGAAAGCGTGCTTGACGATTCTGACGGTCATCAGCTTCTTTCCGTTGTTGCGTCCGTGCATCATCAAGGAGCTGGCAAGACGCTCGACGATCGGGCAAGCGGCCTTGCGGAAACGGCGGACTTGGAAGCGTCCAGCCGAGTGCGGCAGGTACTTGGCGGACTTCTCCTTGACTGGAATGTAGTCGACAAGGGAGATGTCGGACACATTGACGCTCTGGAGCGACCACTTTCCGAAGAGAGCAACCTGAAAAAACACGTTACAGTTTTTGCAAAAGCACAAAAAAAATTACCTCTGGTGCCTCGGTAGCCGGAGCGGCGTCGATGATGACGTTTTCAGATCCCCAGTTATCGGTCATCCTGCAAATAAAAACGATAATCTTGCGCAAAACTTTAAATACACTAATAAAAAATAAGATAAAATGTACAACAGTTTGCAAAGTTAGCTTATCAAAACGTTTCCAACAGATCCTAAAATTTTTCGGGCGTTTCAAACGGGACTTCGCGACAAAATCGATAACATGTAGGTGTTATCGAATGCGAACAATTTTTCTACGCTCGAAAAAGCTTGAATTTTAGGCCAAAAACAGCGAAAAAATCGAAAAAATTGATTCAGAAAAAAAAGAAAATAGAAATTGGGCCTCGGAATGGCGAGTGGTGCGGAGTTCGTGGTGAGACCCGGCCGTCGCGAAAATGCATGTGCCTTTAAACTCTCGTCGTCTGCGTCTCTCCTCCTCGCGCTGCCGTCCGAAATTTGACCAAATAAATTCGGTTTTTGGGTGGAAAAACTGATTCCGATGAGGGAAAAATATTGAAATTCATTGTTTTTACGTGAAAAATGTAGAACTTTATGATTTGTATGCAAAAACGTGAAACGTGAAACGTGGCAAAAATGACAAGTTTACCAACGGGAAAGCCAGAATTTAAAATTATTCTTACAAAATTCGACGAACGAGAGAAGCGCTTTGCAGAATGTAAGCAAAATTTTTTAATAAAATTGAAAATCTCATAATTTTGCAGACAAAAAATGGGAAAGTCGAAGTCGAAATCCAAAAATCGATCGATTTCCAAATGGAAAGTCTTTTCGCCCTTTCGAAGGTCTCCATCGTAAACATTTTACAAATTTTACAAAATAAAAACGAAATTTAGAGCTGAAAGAACGAGGGACAATGAGCCGGTCGAAGAGACACACACGCAAAAAACATCCCCGGCTCCCGCGCCCGAAATCCGTACAAAAAGTGCCCCGGTAAGCGGTTTTTCTGAAATTTTTAGCCTAAAATTATCGAACCATTCGAGTCTTGACAAGATTTTGACATAAACCGTGTCTTTTTAAAATTCCCAATTTTTGCGTGTCAGAAGTGTCCAAGAGGCACCGCGGAGACCGCCCGTGCGCCAACTCCGCCGCCGAGCAAAACCGACGAGATCAAAAGATCGTCGGAAGATCCGGGAACTCTGAGAAAAGTGGAGAAGAAAGAGGAAAAAGTGGAGAAGAAAGAGGAAAAGGTGGAGAAGAAAGAGGAAAAAGAGGAGAAGGTGAAAACGGAAGAAAGTCCGACGAAACCGACGATGCCGGCCGCCGCTTCGAAGAAGAAAAAGTCGGAGAAGGAGGAGGGAAGCGTGTTTGAAGAAGTGGCCGGACCGGCGGCTCCGGCTCAGTCCGGCGCCCATGGAATCAAGAACAAAATGAGATGGAAAGTGGACGTGGACCCCGTGGGTGCGTGAAAAAACATTTCGGAGGCCTCAAAGACCTTTCAGATTTGAATGGCGACCCAAAAATGTCGGAAGTGCTCGAGAAGTTTAAGACGATAAAGAAAAAGTACAAGCAGAAGAAGAGCAAGCAAATGAAGGAAATTGAGAAAGAGAAGACGTGGGAGGCCGATGAATCGGTACGTTTTTATTCGAATTTTTTGATCCCAAAGTCCGTGACCCTGAGATTCGGCATTTAATTTTCAGGCAGAAGAACAGATCGTGACGTCCGCCCGTGTTTTGCAACTGATCAAAATGGAGGCGTTGATCTCGAAGGAACTGTCGGAGCCGGAGCAAGAGACCCTTCGCGGCTACTGTCGGAGCGGCGATCACGAGGAGAAGGCGGAGGGACTCATCGAGAAGATCGCCGCTTCCGTCCTGAATGCGGTCGTTTCGAAGAACGAATTCGTGCGCAATGTCAACGTCTCCGGACAACTTCGCATGTTTTCCGTCGACGATCGAAAGGTTTTATTGGAAAACTGCGAAAAAAATGGAATTTTCTTGAACCTTCCTCATTTTCAGGCCAAAATTCCGCTGATGGCCCTTTTGATGGCTCGCAAAGACCTGTTGTACGTGTCGTGGTCGAAACCGAATCGTGACGTCGAAATACAATTAGTACAATAATCCGCTATTCAGTAATCTGACACTAATTTTCCGTTTTCAGGATGCCACGTGGAACTGCATGGCGACGAGACAAGTGCCGCAAGCGGCGGTAATCAGCACCCGACTCGCCTAGAACCTTTTCCAACGCTCACGCACTTTTCGCCTCAATAAATTTGAGAAATTGTCTTTTGGAAATAGACAGAAACAGCTTTCGAGTTTTAGACGTCGAATTTGAATAATCGATTGAAAAAAGAGAAGATTTTTTAACAAAAATTTATCGAGAAACAGAAGAATGATGTTCAAGATGTATTTAAAAATTGGGACGAGCTAACGCTCGGAAGCGGCTTGAGATTCTCAAAATCGTTTGAAAGTTCACGAAAAGACAGAAAGACCCGGTTAGATTTGTCTCTGCCTTCTAAAAATCCCTCAAATTATCGTAAAGACCGAAGGGAAGAATGACGACGACAATAATGAAGGAGAGCAGGAGGGGAACGAACTGCGGAACGCGCGGGACTCTCGGCAATTGGTCATATCGGGGAATTGGCGGCAAGAAGCGAATCAGCGGCATCTTGATCTGCAATGTTATACGAATGATGATTGGAAATGATAATGAAAGTTGCATTTGAAGGCTGGATGTGGTTCTAAGCTCAAGGTAAACATGTGGCAAAAACGTCATCACTATAGTGATGTGCTTGAAAGAGAAAACGAGAGAATCCATGAGCACATGGAAGCATTCCTTTTCCGAAAGAGTTGCGAGAATGGAGAGAGCTAAATAAGAACCGAAAGTAACGATTTTTGTTTGCAAAATGATGAGTTCTCATCGAAATTTGTGCACTGACTCAAGAATCGTCGTTTAAATACGAACACGACGCAGACGATGCTCATCTCGACATAAGTGTGCGGTGGCGGGCGAGGCGATGATGATGGGCTGACGATGTGAAACTGATGTGACATGGATTTGACCTTCTCCGAGGGAACACAGTCCGTAGAATGTATCAGAGCTATTGACAGCCATTCGGAAGCTCTAGAAGCCTCAAACTGTCACTGTGCCAGAGCTATTCCGAAGGCTCCAAAGGGTTGATCACCGAGGGAACACAGCAGTGTTGAGCGGAATTCCGTGTTCCGTCTTCCGTCTTCCGGGATTTTTTCTTCTTACCGTAAAAGAGTAATAAATAGCTTTTCAGAAGCCATTTACTAGCCCCGAAGAACGCGAATTTCCACGGGCAGTGACCCAGATCCAAAGTTTTTGTTGTTTAGTTCTTTTCTTCAAAAAAAAAAACCGGAGAAAAAGGTTCTGCATTGACGATTTTTTTCTTCCGTCTTCCGTCTTCCGTTTTCCGTGTTCCGTAAAAAAAATGTTTCTTGCGTCTGCCGTCTGCCGTCTTCCGGATTTCAAAATTCCATTTCCGCTCAACTCTGGAACAGTCTCCAGAGCTTACAATACATGGTCGTGGCGAGATCTCATTTAGTGCGTAAAGTGAGTGAATCCATTAATATTGTGAGTGCCTCACAATATTTTGTCGTTATTTCCCACTTCTCGCGGTTTCTTCTCCCTCTTTTCCGTCTCATTTGCCACGTCAGTTGTCTCGATGCTCCGTCACTTGCTCCGCGAGCACACACACACACAATTGATCCCCCTCCCTCATGACACTTTAAAATACACACAAAAAGAGGTCCTTTTGTTTTTTTTTCTGAAATTGTGTTTAGTTTTCGCTTTGTGCGTCTTTCACGTTTGTGGGTCTCGCCACGAAAAGTGGAATATCTTCAGAATTACTGGTTTTGAGGGGAAATAGGTTGTAAGAAAGTTGTAGAGCATGAAATTTGCAACAAATATCTAGTTGACAACTTTTGAGAATAAGTATTTGCTCTCGAGATATAGGTCTCCAAAGATAGCTTTTGTTTTGCAACTTTTCAAAGGCAATCTGATAGGGGCCGAGGTACTTTTAATGATATTAGTGGCCATCTTTAAGTTGTCTTACATTTTTTTCCTTCGTTTTTCACTCTCCAAACTGTACTTACCAACCAGACATCCCCAATACCAATACCGTGTATTCAACGCGTTATATCTCAGCTATCAATAGAGATATCAAAAAGTGGTCAACTGATGAAATGTACAGAATTTCTTGCCAAACATTTCATCAGTTGACCACTTTTTGATATCTCCCCCCGCAACCGAGATATCCTTGATTTCCAGATGGCCTCCCGCGGACACGTGTTTTGCGTGGGCGTCTCCAGTTTCCTGGCCGTTTGCTCGTTGATTTTGCTCGTCGTCGTCCTCTTTTCCGCGTCGTTCCGATACAATTTGGACAATTTGGAGGGCACCAAAAACTACGGACTCTTCCGATTCTGTTATACGCCCAAAACGGACTCACAATCGCGAGACGGTAATTTTTGTGGAATTAAAAGCAACACCACCTGAAAAATGTTCGTTTTCAGATGACAGTAACTCGAAGACGTGCCACCTACGCAACTACATTAATTCGGATTACTGTACAGAACGTCATCGCGCCACTTTTAATCACGAAAAATCGGCGAGAAACTGTTTTGGTGGTTGGTTTTATTATCATTGCAAACATAGCAATTACTTTTAAAAAAACTTGAGGGCCACCTGGTCCTTTAATTAAAACACTTGAAATTTTTCCAGATTTCGAGCTGGCCACAATAATCCTGATCGCCGCCTCTATGGCCTGCTCCATTTTGGCCGTTTTCTTCTCAATTTGCACAATTTTCACGTCATTCGGAGCATTGGCTCAGAGTGTTGTGCTCGTTTCGGCGGGTGAGAAACTGGAAAAGTTCTGATTTGCCGCGTGTATATCACCGCGCGCAACTCCGAAAAACCAGTGGTCCAGGTGATGTAGCTGTAACGCTTTTGCCGTCGGCGCGGTCGACCAAAGTTCGATGCCGACCGGCGTCAAAAGTCTTTTGCTTTGTTTCTCCGCACCTAATTTGATGTGTTTTCTGCAAAAATCTAGTTTTTCAGCCATTTGCTCTCTGTCCGGTTTCCTCACATTCACCTACAATTACGAGTTGAAGGACAATCAGTACGAAGTGATCAGCGGATATCAATATCAGGTGGGAGACAAAGTACAAGTGGTTTTTGTGTTTTACATGGTGGCCCACCGTTACCCGTCCAAAAAAAGTGTTCGAATATTGTAGATCCACTACGGCTGGGCGTACTACGTGTTCGGCGTCTCCTCGCTGCTCCAATGGTCTTCATTCGTGTGCAGTCTGTTCGGATCCGCGTTCCTTCTCGTCAACAAGAACAAAAAAAGACAGTCGAAAGTGACGAGCACCTCCCTTTAATCGATATATTTCTATTTATATTCCCGAGTCCTGGTGTTTCACTCCCCAATTCTTTCTTCTTGAAAAATTGTACATATTTTGTGTCACTTCTCTCAATTCCATAGGAAATTTTCCCAAAAAAAAAGCGTGGTCACTTGCATTTATTTACTTTTCCATCCGAATGAATCACTGTTTTTTGGGGCCGAACAAATGATGAGACATTGATAATCTTTCGTGTTTTTCCATGCTTTCACAGCAAATCGTGATTTTCCTTTTTTTTTCTAAAAATCGTCCATTTTGTGCTTTTCGGGCCAACAGTTTTTTTTTACATTTTCAAAGTAAATACAATGTTTGGTTCTGTAAAGTTCTCGGCGGCGATGTGCTGCTGCACGAGAGATGCGCCCGCAAGCACGCATACATCGCATTCCCCGTGCCTTTGCGCACTTTCGGTGCATTGAATTGAAAATCGGAAATTCTCGAAAAATGTAACCTTTTTTGTAGTTTTCAGGATAGTTCACTTGAGAGAAAACATTATTTTTATGAAGATCGAAAAGAGTTTTAAGTTAGCGAAACGATTGCGCTCAATTCTCAATATTTTCAGGTGTTTGCTCGCTCAAAAGATGCGTCGCACAATTCTGATTGCGGCAGAAGTCAATCGATTCGAAATAGCGTCATAGCTTTTCCGGCCGATAAATTTATGTTGTCGGAAATGTTTTTGGCTGAAAATTTTCGCTTCGTTTCTCAAGATTCTTCGCCAGGACGCCATTGCGCATCTTTTGAGCCATCAAACGTTTCGAACGAGCTGATTCTCGACTAGCCCGCCGACTTTCTCTGAAAATTGTCCGATTTTGTCGCCTGGCGATTATTTGTCGGGCATTTTCTGAAAATGCTGTGAAATACGTTTCAATGCTTTTCTAATCGTAAGGAAATTTTGTAACGTTTGAAAAAAATTGATGTTTGCCCCGGAAATTAGCCCTCCCGGCGGACGGTTCCCATGGATTCTTTCCCGTTTTTATCACCATTCTCCCATTCCCAAACAAAAGAGAGCCGTTTCGTCCCGCTTCAGTTTCTCTCTCATTTTTGTCCTAAAATATGTCGATTTCCACAATTTCCTACTCGGAATCCATCGAAATGAGTGAGCATCCGCGCACGAGAAACACTCGCATTAGTGTGGAAAAACGGAGACGGTCGCGGCAGGCGAAAGTGAGTTTTCGTGGCGAGACCCTTTTGTTTAGGACTAACCGTTGACCTGTTATGTAAAATCGATCTATTGAGAAGCGCAAAACATTATTAAAACGAGTAGATGAATCACTTTAGAAACAAACAATATCGGCAGTTGGCAACGTTCCCGCGTTCTCTAAACAAACAATATCGAAGAAGTGGACAATATTCATATAAATCCAAAACAGAAATACGGTGATTCATTGCGAAAATCAACACGAATATAGTCTGCTCTTTCCCACCACTCTTACGAATACGAATATTGTAGTTTTCAGAATTTTCGGTCACCTCTCCTTGAAATTGTATCGTGCAACTCACTTGAGTAACGATAATTTGAACGTTTCACTTGAAAACCTTTCATTTTTGAGTCAGGATTTTGTGTAACAGAATGTAAATTAATGTGCTGTTTCTTCAAAGCGTTATATCTCAGCTACCTATAGAGATATAAAAAAGTGGTCAACTGATAAAATGTACAGAATTTCTCGCCCAATATTTCATCAGTTGACCACTTTTTGATATCTCCCCCCGCAACCGAGATATCCTTGATTTCCAGATGGCCTCCCGCGGACACGTGTTTTGCGTGGGCGTCTCCAGTTTCCTGGCCGTTTGCTCGTTGATTCTGCTCGTCATCGTCCTCTTTTCCGCGTCGTTCCGATACAATTTGGACAATTTGGAGGGCACCAAAAACTACGGACTCTTCCGATTCTGTTATACACCCAAAACGGACTCACAATCGCGAGACGGTAATTTTTGTGGAATTAAAAGCAACACCATCTGAAACACGTTCGTTTTCAGATGACAGTAACTCGAAGACGTGCCACCTACGCAACTACATTAATTCGGACCAATGCAGTTCGAGTCTACGCAATCGCGGAGGATCGAACAAGGAAAAATCGGCGAGGGACTGCTTTGGAGGTTCTAGTTTTTGAGTGTTGAGAAGAATCTGAAGACGGAGGAGAGCATTTGCAGACTTCGAACTGGCCACTATAATCCTAATGTGCATCTCGATCGTCTGCTGCATCATCGCGTTCGTCTTCTCATTTTGTGCATTCTCCAAACAAATTCGCACAATTTCCCAGAGTATCGATCTCATTTTTCTGCTTTTGGCCGGTAACTACACGACAAAAGTTGACTACCGTAACCCATTTCATTTGCAGCCATTTGTTCGCTGTCCGGATTCCTCGTTTACACGTACTATTACGAGTTGAAGGACAATCAGTACGAAGTGATCGCCGGATATCAATATCAGGTTTGTGGGTGATCAAACAAATCCAAAAAAAGTGTTCGAATATTGTAGATCCACTACGGCTGGGCGTACTACGTGTTCGGCGTCTCCTCGCTGCTCCAATGGTCTTCATTCGTGTGCAGTCTGTTCGGATCCGCGTTCCTTCTCGTCAACAAGAACAAAAAAAGACAGTCGAAAGTGACGAGCACCTCCCTTTAATCGATATATTTCTATTTATACTATCTGCCCACTCCGAATTGCTCCCTGTTCTTTCTTTTGCATTTTTCAAAATAATTGTACATACAATATTGGATTGTTTATTTGAAATAAAGCACATTTTTGTACTCCTTCAAGTTCAGTTCTGCAAAAAATTCTGCATTTTCTCGTGAACTTGTTGAACTGGAACATACACTTTTCGCAAAATTTCAAATTTCACATCAGTTTCAATAAAAAGCCCGAGCTCCGGGAAACATCAGCAAAAAAAAGCGATGATGAGGCCGGCGGATGCGATGCACAGTTTTATTAGGTGATTTGGTGTCCCCAAATCGAACAATTTTCCGTTTTTTTTTAGTCACTCGTGGTTGGCGGACGAGATCGAAGGATCGGTGCGTGAGCTGGCTGGAGCCGACTCTTCGCAAGCGACTGTGGATCCGGCGAAAGAACAGGATCCGGAAGAGCCCAAAAACACGGACGTCACACCTTTGGAGGCGTTCAACGCCGTTCAGCTCGAGGGGGTACGTGGCAGAGCTCTATTCAAACACTCCTCTCCCTGGTTATTAGGAGCCTCTGCTGACGGACATGCACGCGGCGGTGATGATCAGTCCGACGACGTTCGACAAGAGCGCCAACAACATGGAAATGAACCGGATCCCGCACATTTACTGCTACGATCACACGAGAGTCGTGCTTTCCGAGGAGCACGGCAAAGGGGACTACTACCACGCGTCGTTCGTCGACGGCTACAATAAAAAGTGTGAGATCAGTTTTCATTGCTTTTCATGAAAATGTCCCTTTGGTTTTCAGCCGCGTACATCTTCGCGCAAGCGCCCTTCGACGACGTGACGGAGCGCGCATTCTGGCGGATGGTCGTCGATCAGAAGCCGTCGATGATTCTCGTGTTCGGCAAAATCGACGAGAAACAAAAGTGCAAAGCGCCGTACAACGTGGCCGACAAAGCGTTCGAGAAGGCGTTCCTTCAGGAGTTTGGCGCGAAAACGTTCTTGGAGTGCGAGCTCAAGGCGAAATTGTGCCGTCAGTTTTGGGCGGAAAAGGACGGAAAGAAGACGTTCGGCGAGATAAAGATCAGCACGACGTGCGAGAACTCGGAGACGCACATGAAGACGTTCAATCTGAATGTGAAGGACGGAAAATCGGAGGCGGGCGACGGCAGTTCGACCGTTCTCATGCACTTTCACGAATGGGGCGACAAGCAGGACGACGAGTTGCCCGAGTACATGCTCGACATGAGAGCTTCGGTCGGTTTCTTTTTTCAAATCAGCTGCGAAGCGGTCGCGTTGCGGTCGGAAGCTGTAAAGCCGTTGTTTGTTTTTAGATAAAAGTGCAATACATTCGAAACTCGAAGAAGCCGGGCACGTTCGCCGGTCCGATCATGTTGGTGTGTGCGACGGGCGTCGCCAAGTGCGCCATCTACGCCACCATCGACATCATTGTGAGCCGAATGACCGAAGAGCACACGGTCGGATTCAAAGAGACCATGACGGCGATCAAACAGCAGAGGTGTGCGTCGGTTCTGAAAGCAAACTCGAGTAACTCACGCAGATACGGATGTTTCCGCACGACGGGACCGTACACGACGGCGCGCGAGATGCTGATGAAGTTCGCGGTGAGCACGGGCGTCGTGCACGACACGGCGATCGGCGACAAACCGAAAACGGTCAAATCGAAAGTGAACAACGAGCTGTCGGCGAAAAAGGCGAAGGGCGGATTCACGAGGGACAAGAACCGCAAGAAATAGTTGAACCTTTTGCTGTTTGGCCTGAAATGAAGGTTGTTCAGACGAACGGTTTTTTTGCTTAAACTCAATTCATCGCTATTGCCCCTCGGTGTTTGCAGACGCAAGCCAAAATTTCCTTTAAGGCTTGAGTCTGCAAACACCGAGGGGCAAGAGCAGCAAATTGAGTATATTTTATTCTTTTCGGCTTGATGAATTTGGAATTTTCGGGAAATGTTTTTCTAAAAATGTATTCATTCCATCTCTACAATCAAATATGTTCGACGCCGTCAGAATTTGATCTTCTCAAACTCTTTGATGAGTTTGTCGTGCTCCTCCTTCACTTTCTCGTCCTCGAGCAGCTTGCGCTTTCTAAAGTAGTTGAACAGCACCAAATGCACGAAAATGTACTGGGCGTCCGTTTGAATCGAGTTGTTGCGTTGCTCGCGGATCTTGACGAGAATCTTGTCTCCGTCCTCGATCGTCTGTCCCGATGCCAACTGATCCATCACGTACTCGAGCATCACCACCGATCCGGTACGACCGATTCCCGCCGAGCAGTGCACCGCGATCGGTCCTCTGGAGAAAAATCGATAATTTGGCTTCAAAAAATGTGCTTACTTGGACACGCGGGCCTTGTCGAGCAGCTCCAAAATGGCCATATCGGCCTTGGGCACTCCGCGGTCCGGCCAGTCGTTCCAATGATAATGGATGGTCTTGAGCGTACCGCCCGGACCCTCGACCACGCATTCCGTCGCCGTCACCTTCGCGGTCGAAGATCCAGAGAACGAGAACTGCAAACTACAAGTTGTTCAAAAAGAAAACAAGTTTTACACCAAATTCAACTGAACCTTGGACTCTCCGTCGTACTTGACCGTAATCTTCTGATCGCCCTCCACAAACTCCAGCGTCTTGTTCTTTTTGGTCGGATAATACTCGTGACACTTTTTCGTGCCCTTCTCCAGCAAATTGCACAACATGAAGATGTTCTCGACGCGTTCCTAAAAACGCGTACAAATTTTCAGAATAAAATCGAAAAATGCTCACCTGAAGGCACATGAACCAAAAGTCGGCGCACGTCTTCTCGAGTGGCGCCTGCGTACAAATGAATCTTTTGGGATTTGTGGGCGTCGCCACGTAGTTGGCGTGTATGTACTCGTGCGGCCAGGGACTCGCCAACTTCACGCGGTTGTTGTCCAGACATCCGACGTCTTTGTAGCGGTTCTTTCCGAACTCTTGCGCCTCTTTGAACGCCTTCATCTTCTCGAAATCGTTGAAACGGCGCATCGAGGCGAACTGCTGACGGAGACCCGTCAGGCCCAGTTCCAGAGTGCGCGACACGAACGACAGGATCTGCAAATTGGCACCTTTTAGAGTTTTTCATAAGAAAAAGTCAGCGTTTCTGGAATTATTTGGCCGACCTGCTTTCTCTGAGTCTTGCGGTCCTTGGTGGTCGGCTCATCGAAAACCATCGACTTTTGGCTCTGCTGCACATCCGGAACATCGCTTCTCGGTTTGTCTCGACTACGACGTTCTGAAAAATGATTGCTCGATTTTCAAATTTTTTAGAACAACAATTGATTTTAAAATCGAAGCACATTTTCATTTGAAACTCACTTGGATTGACAGACATTTCGAGAGTTTTCTAATCGAAAAACCGGTCAAAATAGCCGAAATTGGTTTTTTGCGCACAGACAAAACAATTGGGAATAAATTGAATTTCGGATGGGCGGTACCTTTTTGTTATCCGAAAAAAAGTGATAATAGTTGATGTCACGCAGAAATGTGGACCCTTCGAAATTAGAAAATTCCGAAAATAAACCGAGCAACCCGGTTTATTTTCATTTTCTTTTGCTTATTCACTTGCTCTCTAAAAACTGTTTGTGAATAATGATCGAATGGATGTTATGGTCCTACGGTACACACAAAGCAGCTGTAATCCAAGCTACATTTATTCCAGAAAAATTCGCCATTTTTGGCTTTATTCTGACTATGCTCATGGCTCCGATCACTGTGGAGTGTGGCAATAACAAGAAAGGTCGGCGATTTGTAACAGTAAAATTCTCTGATATTTTCTCAATTTCAGGCGTAAAAAGCACAAAAAAATCGATGAAAAAGAAGGAGAAAACAAAGGGTTCGGACGAATCGGAATCGGTGAAGAAAACCAAGAAAAAGACGAGAAAATCGAAAAAAACGGAAGACGAATCGGATGAGGATGACGTGGAAAAGAGCATAAAACTGTCGAAGAAGAAGAAGGTTAAAAAGGAACATTTTTCTAGAAACGAAATCGATAATTTCACATTCAGAAGCCGGGAAAAGCGACAAAAAAGCCGCCGCCGAAGACAAATGCTCAATTTCCAGTCGAGGAGTACAAAGTGGGCGGGCCATGCGTTTTTCCGGTGCCTTGACGCGTTTCTTTTTCAGGCGCCGCCCGAGTGGGAACGTCCGAAACATCCGGGATTCGAGATGCCGTTGGACGAGATCGACGAGCACAAAACAGAGCGACAGGTCTACAAATTCGTCGATGCGCAAGACTTTGTGTGACCTCTTTGTGTGCATAAATTAGTAAATTTTCAAATTGCGCGATTTGTTCTGAACCGCTTAATACTTCTTCACGGGAAGAAGAAAATTTCTGGAACACGGAAGTCGGAATTCCGTCTCGCTAATTTTTGGTGCATACATTTATTCAGGTTTCACAGAAGAAAAGAGAATTTCAGAGGGCGGCAGTGACGGATCGGTGGACGGAGTGAGAGTGGGAGTCAGCGGGACCATCGGAATGATCGGTGACGGAGAAACCGGCGAGGGGGCGGTCGAGAGGTACGGCGCCGGCGCCTTCGCTTCGTAGATTTGCAGAAGGGCGGTCGCGTGCACGGACATCTGCCGCCGCTTGTCCGGGTTCTTGTCCCAGCAGACATCGACGATGGCCACAACTTCCGGGGGCGTTTCTTCCGGAAGCGGCATCCGGTAGTCCTGCGCGACAATTTTGGCACGGGCTTGCACGTTCGAAAGGCCCGGGTAGGGCTCGTCGCCGTCCGCGTACGTCTCCCACACCATGATTCCTGCAAGAATGGGCATTGTCGACTGGCGGCGGGCGGGTTTTTTCTGCACAACTCTCACCAAAGGCCCAAATGTCCGATTTGAGCGAATAAATCTTTTCTTGCATCGTTTCGGGCGCGAGCCATTTGATGGGCAGTTTGTCGAGCGAATGGTCGACGACCAGTACACGATCGTCGGCCAATCCAAAGTCGGATATCTTGATATCCTGCAAAATTATCAGCCTTGTCCTTAATTTCCTCCACGGATGCTCACATTCTTGGCGGAAAGCAAGCAATTCCGGGCGGCCACGTCGCGATGGATGCAACGCTGGCTTTCCAAATACGCCAGTCCACTGGCCGCTTCGTAAATGAATCGCAACTTTTCGAGTGCGCTCACTTTTCCCTTGTTCTTGCGCAAGTACGAGATTAGCGATCCGTCTGAAACATGCGTTTTTCGGTCGAAACCAAACTTGCGCGTGGCACTCACTCGGACACAGTTCCATGACGATGAGAAGCGGATTCGAGAGTGTCGCCATTCCGAATATCATGACGATGTTGTTGTGACGGTAGTTTTTGCGCATCATTCGGGCTTCTGAAGCAGTCAATACGATGCTTCAAATAGAGTTTAAACAAAAAGAGACCTTTGAAGAACCGAAGCTTCGCCTCTGTCGACGCCTCCTGCTTCATCGTCTTGACTGCACAATCCAACTGATATTCAGACGTCGGGTCGAGCATTCTCGCGAGAAACACTTCTCCGAACGCGCCCGCGCCAATCTTCTTGACGAGCGTAACGTCGTCGTGACGGAGGAGCCACACCGGACGATGAATGGGCTTTTTCAGGCAAATGTTCCAGCGGACGTTGACTGGCAGCCCGCGCGAACTGCAAATTTTTTGAATTCTTCACTGTCGGGGCGTTTGAAAGTAAATGCGCTCTGTTGTGATCTCCGGGGAGAGAAAACATCACAACAGAGCGCATTCACATTCAAATGCCCACGCACATGTGCACCCCGATGACGTCCGTGACGGTGGGCTCCTTGACGGCCGGATCGAAGAAGAAGTGCTTCGTCTCCTTGTCCAAACTCAACGGAATGTGACAGAAGCCGCTTTCGCGCTTGATCGACAGCACCACGAACATTCCCTGATTGCTTTCGGCGCGCCGCAGAAGATAGTCGCCGCACGCGTGCAGCTGAGCTTCCGCGTCCACTCGCGGGATCATCCCGTGGTAGTACTTGGCGGTGCGCACGTCCGCAGGCACCGGGCCCGACGGGAACTCCTTCGGCGATTCTGGAAAATTTCTGAATTTTTATAAAGAGTTTGTCGTCGCCGCAGGAGGGTTTTCACGTGGGATTGCGGTAGAGCGCGATTGCTACCTTTGATGATATCCTTCGGCGGCGGCTCCTTCGGCGCTTTCTCTTTGCCTCCGCTCACTTCTTTCGGCGTCGTTTGCTCTTTTTGTGCTCCTTGATCCATTTTTTGTGCTCTTTCGAGATACAGGTGGTAGATGTGAAAATTTCGAAAACTGATATTTCTCTTCTTCTCTCGGCCCCCACATCGACTTTATCGATGACTTTTCGGAAATACGTGACCGCCTACTCCTTGAATTATCATCCCGACCTCCACGTGGCAGTGAGGGGCCGATCGACGTCATCGATAAAGTCGATGTGCGGTCGAGGAAAGAAGAGAAAGATCAGTTCTCGAAACTTGCACCTCCTCTACTAACGACTTCTCTTCTCGCTCTACTGGACTCTCTCCCGAAGATGCAGCCGATCATCCACTTCCTGCTCGTCGCTCTCCTTCTCGCCAACGCCAGCGAGTGAGTGCTCCTTGGATGGATTCGAAGGTTCTGGAACCTTTGTGCTGTTCCGGAGCACTGCGGGTTCCTTGGATGATTCTGGATGAATCCGAAGGTTCTCGAGCTCTGGAACCTTGTGCATCGTGTCTCTTGAACCCTGGACTGTTCCGGAGCTAGAAAAAAAAAAACGAATTTTCAGAGTCTCGTCGGCAGCTCCGTCTGCAGCTCCCACTGCGGCTCCCACTGCGGCTCCCACTGCGGCTCCCACTGCGGCTCCCACTGCGGCTCCCACTGCGGCTCCCACCGCGGCTCCGACCGCTGCTCCGACTGCTGCTCCGACTGCTGCTCCGACTGCTGCTCCGACTGCTGCTCCCACCGAAGCTCCGACTGCTGCTCCCACCGAAGCTCCGACCGAAGCTCCCACCGAGGCTCCGACCGAAGCTCCCACCGAGGCTCCAGCCGAAGAAACAACTACCCTCCCCGAAATCCAAGGCCCCGATTACAACCCATATACGGAGGCTCCAGTGACGTCTTCGCGCCCCGTCTTCTCGTCGACAACGAAAGCGTCGAGGCCGTCGACGCGGTCGACGCCGTCCTTGGATTCTTCCACTTCGGATGAATTTTCGTCGACGCCCACTGACTCGTCGGCCTCGTTTTCGGCACTCTTGGCTCCGCTGCTCGCGCTGCTCGTGACCTTCTGAGGATCAGATGAATATGCGATACTCTTGATACTAACCCTAAATAAATGATTGGATTGGAATTGCGTTTTTGTTACTTGGGAGAAGGGATGTGTTTATGCCATGGGTTTATTACTAGGTAAATAAATAAATAAACTACCGACGGAAAACGTAAATTAATACTTTTTGGTTCGTGAAAAGAGAAAAAGGACAGGAAAAAAGCTAGAGAAGGGGGAAAGACCCGGCTGGAAAGTAAAAGAAGATATAATCGGACAGTGGGAGGAAGATTATGCTAAAAACAGTATTTGACATGAAAAATTGGAGTTAGTTGTTCTTCTTGGCCGAATCGACGCGTTTCCGGTTCTCCTCGTTGTCCACGTACTTTCCCTCGTCGTAATTCCACAAAGCCGAGACTTCTCCACGGATTGCGGCCAACAGAAGAGGCACGAACAGACAGCACGGCACCAGATAGAGAAGGGCCGGCTGAGCCGCCTTGAAATGGTGCATCACGGCCATCGTGACGAACAGCCCGAGCATGTAGGCGACAACCGTCACCCAAAAGTAGGCACGCGTCTTCTTGTTTGGGTTCTTCGCCTCTGCGCTCGTCTCAACAAGCCGGAGATCGAAACGACGGAGGAGCGCGATGAAAATGCCCGGAATGACGATGTCGCCGAGGCCGAGCATACTGTACTTATTGGCTTCCCACGGTCCGTTTCGGTAAATGTCCTGCGGGAATTGGAGGAGGATCGGCGCGTCGATTCCCTTCGCGACAGAAGTCATCACGTCGGTGGCAAAAACCCAAAAGATGTCGTAGAGGAAGAGTCCGCAGAGAAGAAGGGCTCCGGCCTTGAAACTCGACAAGTGAAGGCGTTCGATTCCCAAAATAGAAAAGCTGATGCCAATGAGATTGTTGGTGATCCAATGACGTTTGTAGAGGTGCGAAATGAGCACCGGCGAGCAGAGGAGCAGTGCGATCACGTCGTGGCGGTCGTATTCGATCTTGAAGACGTATTCGGTGTCTCGCGAGTGCGCCTCCTCAATGTCGCCCTCCTCCATCTCCTTCTTGCCCTTTTTCAGCGAAATCAGGTAGGGAGTGTTGAAGCTGAACGGCATAAATGGGATATTTTGCAGGAATCCGGTCACGAAGGGCTTCAGAAGTGAGGCGAGCGCCGTCAGTCCTTCGAAACAGATCAGGAACGTCAGAAGGTACATTAGCTCTTGCTTTCCGACCGCCGCCAGCTGCTCGTGGATCGACGCCGCCCAGATGTGCAACAATTCCGGGATCTACAAATTGCATTTAAATCATATCAAGTTTTTCTTAATAAAAAAGTGCATTGTTTAAAAAAAAATCCCTCCTACCTTGTCCTGCGGCAATTTGTGAACTAATCGGACCAAAAGCGGCTCGGCAACGTTCTCAGTAGCTCCCGACTCCGTGGTCGTGTTGGTAGCCGTGTACGCAATGATTGTCTCGTTGATTTTCTGCACGTACTCCTCGGGAACTCTCAATTTTTGCGCCACGGCCGCCACCCAAAGGAACCGTTCGCCGGCGGGTTTGAAGAAAATGTACAATCCGAAAAGGACCATCGAAGCGGACAACGGGAACTTTTTCGCCTCTCTCAAAGTTATCGATCCGTCCACTAATCGCTTTTTCTCGATGATTTTTCGGATATACTGTGACGAACGGATGCTTCCGACGATGATGCACAGAATTGACATTCCGTAGAGAGCCAGAGAGCTCGTGGCCTGAAAATTTTTTTATTCAGAGTTAGCAAACGAACTTTTTGAGCTTACCTGCTCTTCAAAAGTGAAAACGGTCGCATTTGGGGCCGTCGTCGGCGGAATTTCGGAAGCAATGTCCGCCATTTTCGCAAAGGTTCAGGTTCCCAACTGAAAAACGGATAAATAGGGTAATTTTTGGATTTTCCGAGAAAAGCGGCTGGTTTCTACGGTTTATGAGCGGATTTCATGGTTCTCATCAGTTCCCGGCTGGAAAATCCGTTCCTGACTCTTTTTACGCGAAAAATACAACTTGACAGCAAATTTTGAATTTTCCGAGCAAAAATCTGGACTTTTTGCAGAACATCCAGGAAACAAAGGATTTGGGGCAAAAAATTTCGTCTACCCGAAATTCCTCCCTAAAAAACATGAAAAATCGATAAATTTTTGTCAAAAGTGGCTCCTGGAAATCAGAATATTCAGGCTCTGAAAATCGGCGTGTTCCAGGCCGCGGGGCTCCACGTGTCCGTCAGGCTGTCGTAGCGCACGCCGATTGGCCGGCCACGCCGCTTTTTGCAACTAGTACGCGCCGCAGTTTGCAGTTTCGAGCGTGAGAGCGCGGGGCGGCGAGAGACGCAGCCAGTGTGCGGTACTTGCAAAAAGGGGCGGAGTCGGGAGGAAAGGACACGTCGAAAAGGGAGCCCCGGCGGGAAAAGGGCGGATGAGGAGAGTAAACAGAGCGTCGAAGGGAGGGGCCTAATTGACCCGCACTCGCAGCCATTTTATTCGTCCGAGAACCGAGAAAAAGGATCGGAACGATGCGATTCCTCGTCGCGGGCCTTTTCGCCCTTATTGCTGTCTCAGGTGAGCTATTTAGAAGGATCAGTGTGAGCTCGGCGAGCATTTCATTGTGATAATTTAAAAAATTCCAATTATTTCGGCCCAAAATGGAGGGAAATTGATTTTTTCCGATTTTTCCGGAAAAAATGCTTTTCAAGAAAACTTGTTTGTGAATCGATTTTCGATCAAAACGGACTAATAATCATCGGCAAACAAGATAAATTTCGCAAAAATTCGAAATCTTGCAGCATTCATCCCATACGCTCGTGCTGCAGACGAAATTGAAGACGCGCCGACGAAGGACACCAAAGAAGAAGCTAGGTAGGTGACAAATGGCTGATAATCTGGAAATTCTTTTAAAAAATCGTCTGAAATCCTCGTTCATTGCTTCCAATCACGGAAAACCCTGGAAAATTGCCTAAAAATGATGAGAATCCGATTATTTCCGCTCGACTAGCCTTCGAAACCATTGAAAAGTCGCCAAATTTGGGTCAAGCACTTGGCGTTCGCCTCTAATTAGACCCCCTTTCTCCGAATGACCAAACGGTTGTCTCTGTGGTGGTTACTTTGCAGTAGACTAATATTTGTCGACTTTTTCTTTTTCCCCCTCCGTTCCCGGCCGTACCAGTCGGCGACCGTCCACTTGTCGGTCCGATTAGTGTCTGGGCGGTGTCTCGCATCGGAACGCTCTCTCGTCGCAATGACATTGAGCACAAATAGTGAGTATTTGAGCAAAAGAGCCCAAAGTCTTACTTTGCTCGTTGTTCCGCATTCGGGTCAAAGGCAAACACATTCAAATGTACGCACACTTTTTTCATTCGATCCGACTTATCATATCTTATTTGCTGTCCTCAATCCTGATAGGATTTGATTTGGTTTCTATTGTATTTTTGAAGAATACAAAAAATTGGTCAGCATGGCCTAGATAATGGGTCAGCTTTCCGCCGCACGTAACACTTGGTCAAGGACAGATTTTGGGGGAGAGATAGCCGAAAATAGAGGCAAAAGGGATTCTAATCTCTAATGGATTGGTCGAATATTCGAGATTAGCAGAGGGGAAAGAGGATTTTTAGGGCTTCTTGAGGTTTTGGATGGGATTTGGATGGTTGAGAAGGTTCTGGATATGCGATCTTGAAGGCCGTCGTGTGCTTTAAAATTATTTTGAAATTTTGAAGATTTCGTTCTCAATATGAGTTCGAAAATTAGAGCTTGGATGCCTTGGGAGGTTGCACAATAATATTTATACGAACAATCGAGAAAATTTTAGGATTTCTGGCAATAAAATGCTCTAAAAAATTCAAATTTTGCAGAGATGAGGACACAATCAAACTCGATGGATTGTCGGTTTCGCAGATCAAGGAGCTCCGTTCGAAAGCGGAAAAGCACGAATTCCAGGCGGAAGTGAACCGAATGATGAAGTTGATTATCAATTCGCTGTACCGCAACAAGGAGATCTTCCTCCGCGAGCTCATTTCGAACGCCTCCGACGCCCTCGACAAGATCCGTCTTTTGTCGCTCACGGATCCGGAACAGCTCCGCGAGACGGAGGAGATGACGGTGAAGATCAAGGCGGACCGCGAGAACCGTCTCCTGCACATCACGGACACGGGAGTCGGAATGACTCGCCAGGATCTGATCAACAACCTCGGAACTATTGCCCGCTCCGGAACTTCGGAGTTCCTCTCGAAGCTCATGGACTCGGCCACGTCTTCGGATCAGCAGCAGGACCTCATCGGACAGTTCGGAGTTGGATTCTACGCGGCGTTCCTGGTCGCTGACCGAGTTGTCGTCACCACGAAGAACAACGACGACGATCAGTACATTTGGGAGTCGGACTCGGCCACGTTCACGATCAGCAAGGATCCACGTGGAAACACGCTGAAGAGAGGAACCCAGATCACGCTTTATTTGAAGGAGGAGGCCGCCGACTTCTTGGAGCCAGACACCCTCAAGAACCTGGTGCACAAGTACTCGCAATTCATCAACTTTGACATTTTCCTGTGGCAATCGAAGACGGAAATGGTGGAAGAGGAGGTCGAAGAGCCGGCCGCCGCCACGGAAGAAGACGGAGCCGTCGAGGAGGAGAAGGAGGAGAAGAAGACGAAGAAGGTGGAGAAGACGACGTGGGACTGGCAGAAGGTGAACAATGTGAAGCCGATCTGGATGCGAAAGGCGGCGCAAGTTGAGGAGGACGAGTACAAGCAGTTCTACAAGAGCATCACGAAAGATTCGGAGGAGCCGCTGAGTCACGTGCACTTTGCCGCCGAGGGAGAGGTCTCGTTCCGATCGATTTTGTACGTGCCGAAGAAGTCGCCGAACGATATGTTCCAGGTGAGATTTATCGTCAAATTTTCGGCAAAAGCACTGAAAATTAAGGATTTTGTGGAAAATTTGCAGTTCTTCCTTGATTCGCCATTCTTTACCAATTTTCCTTGCAGAACTACGGAAAAGTGATTGAGAACATCAAACTGTACGTGCGTCGTGTGTTCATCACCGACGATTTCGCCGACATGCTCCCGAAGTACCTTTCGTTCATCCGAGGAATCGTCGATTCCGATGATCTGCCACTCAACGTCTCTCGCGAGAACCTCCAACAACACAAACTGCTCAAAGTGATCAAGAAGAAGCTGGTGCGCAAGGTGCTCGACATGCTCAAGAAGCTCGACGGCGCGCAATTCGACGATTTCTGGAAGGAGTTCTCGACGAACATCAAGCTCGGAGTGATGGAGGACCCGTCGAACCGGATGCGTCTTGCCAAACTGCTCCGATTCCAATCGTCGCACGACGAGGAGAAGACGACGACGTTGGCGGCGTACGTGGAAAGAATGAAGGAGAAGCAGGACGCGATCTATTATATGGCCGGAACGTCGAGAAAGGAGGTGGAGACGTCGCCGTTTGTGGAGAGACTCATCGCCAAGGGATACGAAGTGTTGTTCCTGAACGAGGCCGTCGACGAGTACTGTATTCAAGCGATGCCCGAGTACGAGGGAAAGAAGTTCCAGAATGTCGCCAAGGTGGGTGATTTTTAGAGAAAATTGGTTTATAAAATGGAATAAAATTTAGGAAGGAGTGACCATTGACGACGGAGAAAAGGCCAAGGAAGCCCACAAGGCCCTGGAGGAGGAGTACAAGCCGCTGACGGACTGGCTCAAGGAGTCGGCTCTCAAGGAGCTCATCGAGAAGGCCGTCGTCTCGCAGCGACTCGTCAAATCGCCATCGGCCCTTGTTGCCTCCTCATATGGATGGTCCGGAAACATGGAGAGAATCATGAAGTCGCAGGCGTACGCCAAGGCCAAGGACCCGACGCAGGACTTCTACGCGACGCAGAAGAAGACGTTCGAGATCAATCCACGTCATCCGGTCATCAAGGAGCTTCTGAAGAGAGTCACCGCTTCGGAGGACGACGTCATCGCCACGTCGACCGCGAAGCTTCTGTTTGAAACTGCGACGCTCCGCTCGGGATTCTCTCTGCAGGACCAGGTTGGATTCGCCGACAGAATCGAAGCGGTCCTTCGTCAGTCGTTGGATGTTTCGCAGGATGCTCAAGTCGAGGAGGAGAAGATCGTGGAGGAGGCTCCGGAAGAGCCGGAAGCCGCTTCCGACGAGACGACTATCGAGGAGGAGCACTCGGAACTCTAAATGATCGAACCAACTTGGCAATAATTTTCGCCCCATTCCCCCAAGCTTTATTGGCTAATTTTTTTTCGTGAAAAATGTGATATGTTTGTGTTGTAGTAATTTTAAGTTATTTAATTTCCCCCCATCCCCACCCCCAACCACTTCTCAGACAGTACTTCTCGAACACTTTACGGTTCCCCCTTGATTTTTGGTTGCATTTCTCGATAAACCTGATGCAATTTTATTAAAATTCCTGACTACTATCATTTGCGATCATTTCTTCTATCAATTCGGAAATAAGTTCGGCGTCCTCGATGTCACTATTCTCTTCTTCATCTGATTCGCCAATTTTGTGCTCAATTCTCGGAATTTCCGGCTCCAGCCCCAAAAGGCGTGGCCGGATCAGAAATCGAGACATGAATTCGCTGCCGCACAGATTCACAGACTCGAGTTCGAGCTTAAATCGATTCTGGAGCATCCAGTCGAGCTCGCGCGTCACTTCCTGCTCGCCCAATTGAATGGAACGAGGGATGAGACGGTGGATTTTCGTGTGATCCTGATTGGAAAGCGACAATATCTGCGACGGATCGATCGGGAATTTGTGGAAGTCGGATGGGTATAATCTGCAAAAAATTGGAACTTTTTCGGGACGTTTTTGGGTAAAATTAGCAAAATTTCAAATCGAAATGTTATTTCCATAGATTTTGAACAGGTTTTGAAGAGAAAAGTACCCAATCCACTGAAGAGTCGGCACGAACGCTCCTCGCCCTTCCGCTTTCTCTTTCATGGCTCCGTATTTGTATGTCAAGTAGATTTCGAGGCCTGACGCAATGTAACCATTTTTTTCAATTTTTACAAGATCCCCTACCATGTGGGTCAGCGTCAAACAGCCCGAAAACAGGAATCCGTCGTTTTTCGGCGATGAATTTGACGACGTTTCGTGTGGAAATGTCCGGATATCCGCGGGCGGTCACCAGAATTCCGTCCGGGAAAATCGACTGGAAGTTCTCGTCGAGAAGCTTCTGGAACGTCGTGTCCTTTTCCACTATCAACACGAATTTCGCCTCGCAAATCAGGTCGGACGACAGGAATGAGTCTGCAAAAAAATTGGAATTTGTTCTCGAATTTCCGCGTACCTGTTACGAGCACAGTTTGCTCTCTTCCATCAATAATTCCGAATTTATCAGTGATGAAGGTGATGGCGCCACGGAGCAGGCCACGCCCACACGATAACTGGAAAACGTCAATGTTCAGAAAATTAGAAAGAATCCCGGAAAACCGTACAATATTCAAATTACTGCGTTTTTCGTCCAACAGCTCACAAACCGCCTTGATCGACGTGTCCATGTTCTTCTGAACGCCATAAAGCGCTTTGAACTCGTAATACATTTCTCTTTTCGTCGATTTTTTATCATTTTCCAGCAAATCGTACACTTGATGCAGACAATTTAGGTCTCTTTCCAGTTTCAACTTCAAATTCGAGCTGTATTTGAGCTGGAAGTGTGAATTGTCGTAGGATCTGCAAAAAAAATCAGTTTTTGAGAATTTGTTTGATAACAACGTTCTCAAAACGACTCGTTTGAGGCCCGAACTCATTTGTTCGTTGATATCGTTCAGCGCGAATTCGATTTTTCGCTTTGCAATTTCTTTGGGCATTAAAACTTCGTCGGCCACAAAACTGATATCCTCATCTGAATCGGAATCGACGAAATTTTCAAAATTTCCAGCAGCTTCCTGAAAACCGCAATTATTGGGTATTTTTTGAGATTCTAGTGATAAAACTAACTGATTTATGATAAAAATCATCATCGAAATTATTGTAGTTCACTTCTTCCACTTCGTCTTCCATTTTTGAGTTTTTTGAGATCGAAGAAATCTGGAAAAATTTTTTAACTCAAAAAGGAAGCCGTATCGTTTGGGGATAAACGAGAAAACGAGATAAACGAAAAGGGGAAATTCGAAAAGGGGACCCGCGAAAACGGGAGAAACGAAAAGCTTTTTAAAAGAGGAGAAAGGAGCGGAGCTTCAATTGCGTGCGGCAAAACTTCAAAATCATGCGCCCACGTTGCAAATTATGGCAAACTGTTGCTTTATCGGCTGTCTGAAAGATTGAGCATTTTGAAGAGAAGCATGAACTTCTTAAAAATAAAAATGAGTAAAAAAAAATGCGCCGTTCGCAGTCTTGCCCAATTTCTAGGCCGCAAAGTGATTTTTCACTGAAAACGTGACTTAACTTTTCAAACTCGCCCTCGAGGTCGCTCAATTTGCACTGCAAAAAGAGTTTCTCAACAGAGCGCCATTTCTGTGCGGTGCCCCTATAATATTTTTAAATTTATAATGCAAAAATGATGTTGTTTCTTGGGGCAACCTGACAACCTGTTACAGTCGCGGTAAAGTCGGAAATGTCCAGATTGCTGCCCCTTAAGGACAATCCTGGCAATCTGAACATTTCCGACTCTCGGGCTTGGTACAGACATTCTAGTGGGTGCAGCTGAGTTATAAGTGAAGGAGAAGGCCAAAATGAACATGTTTAGACAGTGAGAAGGTCCTAACAACCTGCTACAGTCGCTAATAGAACAAGCCTGACGGAATGTCACTTCTCTGTTCAAACTGTCAGGTTTTTGGAGATGGCGGCCGACGGACGTTGTCCAAAGGGCCCTATTGAATCAAAACTGATAGAACATAACTAGGAGAGTGTGTCAACATAACTGGATCCCATTCGGAAGCGATGGGATCCTCAGAATTCGCAAAAACCTAACGGAATGCAACTTCTTTGTGCACTCTGCCAGGGTTTCAGAGGTGGCGGCCGACGGACAAGTACCGTTGATGTCGTCTCAAACACTGCCATCGTCCCACTCGAGCTTCTCTAGGTCTAAGATGCTTCTAAGACCCATTTTGGTTTCAGTTGATCGGATGCTGTATTTTTTCTTGAACATTTTCTTGAAGATTCTTGAAGCTCCGCTCTTTTCTCCCCTTTTCGTTTCTCTCGTTTTCGCGGTTTTTTTTCGGTTAAAGGAACATGCTTCCAGTTGAGCTGTAGGTCTCGCCACGATGTGCGTTTTATTACGGTAGCGTTTGCTTTCTTTGGGCCGCCCGCGACAATTTTTGAATTTCGCGCCAATTTTTTTGTATTTCTTTGTGTTTTTTTCGCTAAAAATTAAAAAAACCAGAATTTGATTTTCAGAACACTTCGGCATGGAGCAAGCACAGAAAAAAGTGGAACTGGTGAGTTTTTGAATATTTTTCTAATGAAAACTCGTATTCTCAGCTGACGCGCATCGTCATGGCCCAGCAGCAGTTCCAGGAACAGATCATAAAGGTATTTCTTACCATCTTTTCTGATTTTCACACAATTTCTTCGAGATTTTCAGGCGCTCATCGGACAGCCGGTCGGAATCGTCGGTGGATCGCCTCTGGCGGCTACTTTCGCTTCTCTCGGAGCCCTGAGTAGTGCTCCAGGCGCACCACGGACTTTAGAAGCCCTGGAAGCCGCTCCGACGGCGCCGAAACCAGAAGAAGCCGTCGTTCCGAGCACGCCCACCAACAAATCCGCCCCAAGATCGGCTCCGCCGCCCAGGACCCCGCACAAACGACTCGCACCGCTCACTAACCTACTAACTTGGGGCGACGAATCATCGGATGACGATTTCTCCGGCCCGCCGCCGCAAATGGCTCGGACCGACTCGAACGAGTCTTTGATGACGTCGATTTCGATCGATTCACTGAGTTCGGTGAATTCTATCGAAGTCGTTGAAAGACCGTCCAACAAGAAAAGCAGTTCTGAAAAGGTATAGTCCGTTTTCTCGAAAAGTTCCCTTCAAAAGAAGTTTTTCAGTGCACCCATTGCCGAAGAGTCTTCCGCAGCACCCGCCTCTTGTCGGCACACGAGGCTCGTTGCGGCGTGGATCTGTAAAATTCCAATCATGTTCAATTAATTTCCTCTTTTTTCTCTCATGCAGCATCCCTTTTTCCCTCAAAACTCCCATTCACACATTAAAATCGCCGGTTCTGCAGAAATTTGATAGTAAAAAGTAATAAAATAGCTGTGTTTTTAGAATTTTTTGCTATTTTCGGTAAAAATTGGTTTACTGGCAATGCAATATCTGAACAAATTGAGTTATTTAAATCGGACAATTCCACTAGCATTCGAGTCGTTTTTCACCAAGTTTCCCTCAAAATTGTTCAAAGATGATGTGAAAAATCGATTCTTCAACTCTTTTTCTCCCATTTCCACTGAAAAAATCTCTAAAAATCTGAAAATCCTCTGATTACTGTACCTAAAACTTCACCCACATCTTCCGTTCAATTGATTCCTCTTTCAGTTCGTTTTCAGGATGATTTCATGGGGATTTCGCAGAAAAATCGATAAACTCTAATTAATTCTATTCAAAAGCTTTCTAAAAATGTGCATGTTCAGGCGGTTTCAGGTGCCGCATTGGATTACTGTAGGCGTACACATTCATCTGTGTCCGTCCGTCCATTTCATCCCCCGTCGTCATTCTGTGTGCCGGTTCTGCGGAGAGACGGCCACTTTCTCGGCGTCTCTTACCTTCGCACACTCTCCCGTCGTCGTCTGCGTCCCTGCCTCGGCCTCGGCGCGTCCTCCTCGCACATTCAAACGTCCGACGCTCGCACACACACACAGACCTCCTTTTGGCCCCCTCCGTTCAATTTCTACCGTTTTTGCTCGTTTGTCCCGCTTTTTTCTTGGATTTTTTGCAGATTCTAGAGCAACAATCGGGTTCTACACCTGTTAGAAGAGTATTTTTGCGATTTTCGGCTCGAAACACCATGAAAAAAGCTCGAAAGACACGTTTTGCTCATTGATTGACAATCGATTTTTCCAAATTTTTGCGGAAAATCTAGATTTTTCTGATTTTTTGCGGTCTCTGGCCATTTTTTAGACAAGAGAAGTGTTAGGTGCGTTCAAATTTCAATATTTTGCCGCCGACAAGTGCAACATTACGGCGGCGTGTTTACACTTTTTCGCATGCCCGCAAACGCCGATTTTACGATAGTTCAATTCAGCCGTTGCCAAAACCGATATATCTGTGACCGCCTCCATTCATACGTTTTTTTGTCTTCTTATTTCTACCGTTGCACGTCGATTTGTACGAGAGAAGGATTGGGGTGGCATGATGGGAGGCCGTCGGGATCCGTTGGAACTTTGCCATGTACCGCCTCAGATTGAGAACGAGCACTCGGAGTTGCATCCATTTCTGACTCCTTGACTTCCTGTTTACTGAGTTTGACTTCTCCGAAAATACTCTCAGAAAATGGGTAAATGCCGTTTTTACTGCCTGATCTATTGCCTCACGTATGCTTACGTCGAAGTCCGCCACGGCATGCTTCATTCTTGTCTAGTTGTCGATCCCTCAAAAATTCTCTATTTGGCTAGAATTCACCCGGTTGTTCGTGTACTGTTATCGTGTTTTTTCCGTCATTTTTTAATCTTACAATCTTTTTTTTCATTTCAGAACCCACTAATCCCCGGCCCCAAAAACAAGAACGAAAAGCGATAAAATTGTCAAAGGAAATGAGCGGTAAACCGGCTTTTGAGCAATTCACTGCTCAGCCGCCGCAACCCGCCGGAGAGGTCGTGGCTCCCGCCGCCGACGCGCAGGTACGCACAAAATGGGCGACGGATTAGGAAAATGCAGAAAACTTGGGTCCGAAAATTAGCTCGAAAATAGACTTTAAAAAACGTTTTTTTGTACGCCACTAACGTGTTTCAAGAGGTTTCAGGGCCAGGAACTAACGATCTCGAAGCTGGAGAATGCGATCAGTTCGATGGAGGACATGGGACTGCAGAACGACCATCGGCACGCGAAAGCGGTGCTTCTAAAGGCGAAACTGCAGCAGGGACCGTCCGAATCCACGGCAGAAGCCGGAACTCCGCCCGCGAACGGAGCAAATGCGGCGCCGCAGCAGATCTCGGCGCAGCAAGTGAACCAGCTGAGGGCGCAGGTGTCCGCCTACCGGATGCTCGCCCGGAACGAGCCCGTCCCGTCGCAGCTCATCGCCGACGCCGTCATGCTCCGTCCGAAAGTCACCACGTTGCTGCCGGAGCCCTACGAGTTTGCCGGCGAGGCGGAGAACGGCGAAAAGTTGCCCTACGACCTGATGAAGGTGAATATATGGGCGGGCAATTTGTGAATTTTTCAGCATTTTCAGAATTTCTGTTCACAAAATTCACCTAATCAAATTCAGATATTCAACCTGCACCAAATCCGCTGCAACCGTCCCACGTCGATCGCGGTTCCGCCCGGAATCGACCCGGTCGGAATGCTAAAACAGAGAGAGAACACGATTCAGAACCGAATCGGGCTGCGGATGAAGGCGTTGAGCAGTCTGCCGGCCGACATCCCCGAGCAGCTCAAGCTGAAGGCCGAAATTGAGCTGCGCGCGCTGAGACTCGTCAATTTACAGACTCAGGTAGGGAAAATTGAGATAATTTGGATCGTTTCAGCTTTTTGACTCGTTGTTGTGCTCTCTTCGAGCCATTTTTGTACAAATTTTAGAATCAAGGGACTTTAGAGCTCAATTAGATGATTTTGCAGGTGCGCAGTGAAGTGATGGCCTGCCTGAAGCGCGATACGACGCTTGAGACGGCGCTGAATCCGTACGCCTATCGCCGCACAAAACGACAATCTCTGCGCGAGGCCCGAGTGACGGAGAAGCTCGAGAAGCAGCAGAAGATGGAGCAGGAGCGGAAGAGACGGCAGAAGCACACGGACCTGATGCAAGCGATCATTCAGCACGGCAAAGACTTCAAGGAGTACCACAGGAACAACCTGCTGAAGCTGTCGAAGGCACGCAAGGCCGTGATGACGTACCATCAGAACAACGAGAGGGAGAGGAAGAAGGACGAGATACGAAATGAGAAGTTGCGTATGCAGAAGCTGATGCAGGAGGACGAGGAGGGATATCGCGCGCTTCTTGACGAGAAGAAAGATCAGCGATTGGTGTACCTGCTGCAGCAGACCGACGAGTACGTGGATTCCCTGTGCTCGCTGGTCCGCCAGCATCAGAACCAGGAGAAGCGAAAGAAGCGGGAGGACAAGAAGATCGAGAAGGGCAATCAGATGGACGACGAAGCGAAGGTGCACGTGCGCGACGTGGCTTCCGGCAAGATTTTGAACGTGGACGAGACGCCGAAGCCCGAGGATCTCGAGTTGTGGATGGAAACGCATCCGGGCTACGAAATTGTGCCGCGGGATCAGTTGTCGGACGATGAGGAAGAGGAGGAGGAGCCGCCAGCCGAGGAGCCGCAGGAGGAGAAGGACGATCAGTACGCGGGAATGGACGAGGAGACGAAGGCGAAAATGATAATCGAGAAGGCGCGGAACGAGGAGGACGAGTACGATCAGAAGACGAAGAAGCAGATGGCCGACTATTATGCGACGGCGCATCGCATCAAGGAGAAGGTGGTCAGGCAGCACCCGACGATGGGCGGCGGAGACCCGACCCTCCTTCTGAAGCCGTATCAGTTGAAGGGATTGGAGTGGATGGTCTCGTTGTACAATAACAATTTAAACGGGATTCTCGCCGATGAGATGGGACTTGGAAAGACTATTCAGGTGAGAGTTGGCAGGATTTTGTAGCCATTTACCAAAATTTTTCTGAAGTGTGTTCAGAAACCACTCTATTTTTTTCAACATTTTCAAATTTCCAGACAATCTCTCTGATCACGTATCTGATGGAAGTGAAGCAGAACAACGGCCCCTACCTGGTCATCGTACCGCTTTCGACACTCTCCAACTGGTCGTCCGAGTTTGCAAAGTGGGCGCCGTGTGTGCAAACGATCCTCTACAAAGGAACGAAAGACGCGCGGCGGCGAGTGGAGGGACAGATCCGGAAGGGCGCGTTCAACGTGCTGATGACGACGTACGAGTACGTGATCAAGGAGAAGTCGTTGCTCGGCAAGATCCGCTGGAAGTATATGATCATCGACGAGGGTCATCGCCTCAAGAACCACAACTGCAAACTCACGCTGATGCTCAACGGCTTCTTCCACGCACAACACCGCCTCCTGCTCACCGGAACGCCCTTGCAGAATAAGCTGCCCGAATTGTGGGCTCTTTTGAATTTCCTCCTTCCGTCCATTTTCTCGTCGTGCGGTACTTTTGAGCAATGGTTCAACGCCCCCTTTGCGACCACTGGAGAGAAAGTGGAACTGAATCAGGAGGAGACGATGCTCATCATCCGACGTCTTCACAAAGTGCTCCGACCGTTCCTTCTCCGTCGTCTTAAGAAAGAGGTCGAATCGCAGTTGCCCGATAAGACGGAATATGTGATCAAGTGCGATCAGTCCGCACTGCAGAAGGTCATCTATCGGCACATGCAAAAGGGTCTGCTGCTCGATACGAAGATGCAAAACGGTGCGCGCTCCCTGATGAACACTGTTATCCATTTGCGAAAACTGTGCAACCATCCGTTCCTCTTCCCGAACATTGAGGACTCGTGTCGCGCGTACTGGAAGGTGAACGAGGTGAGCGGCAACGATTTGATGCGTGTCGCCGGAAAATTGGAGCTCTTGGATCGCATTTTGCCGAAACTCAAGGCCACCGGACATAGAGTGCTCATGTTCTTCCAAATGACGACGATGATGACGATCCTCGAGGATTTCCTCAACTTCCGCGACTACAAATACCTTCGACTGGACGGATCGACAAAGCCCGACGAGCGTGGAGAACTGTTGAATGTTTTCAACGCGCCGGATTCGGACTACTTCCTGTTCATGCTGTCCACACGTGCCGGAGGCCTCGGTCTCAACCTGCAGACCGCCGACACTGTCATCATTTTCGATTCGGACTGGAATCCCCACCAGGATATGCAGGCGCAGGATCGCGCGCATCGAATCGGTCAGAAGAAGGAAGTTCGGGTGCTGCGATTGATCACCGCCAATTCGGTCGAGGAGAAGATTCTCGCGGCGGCCCGGTACAAGCTGAACGTGGACGAAAAGGTCATTCAGGCCGGAAAGTTCGATCAACGATCGACTGGAGCTGAAAGAAAACAAATGCTCGAGCAGATTATCCGCGCGGAAACGGACGAAGACGAGGAGGAAGAGGTGCCGGACGACGAGACAGTCAATCAGATGGTCGCCCGTTCCGAAGAGGAGTTCAACACGTTCCAGTCGATGGACATCGATCGGAGACGCGAGGAGGCGAACAAGCTGGACCGCAAACCGCGGCTTTTGGAGGAACACGAGATTCCGGACGACATTCTCAAGTTGTCGTTCGAGTACGAGGAGATGGAGAGGGCGCGCGAGGAGGGACGCGAGGTCGTCGATGCGACGCCCAATCAGAGACGGCGCAGAAGAGAGGTGAGGCAGAAATCTGACAAAAACCCTTTTTGAGTCAATTAGAGTGGAAAAAATGGTGATTTTACTCGACATTTCAATACCTTTTAAGAAATTTGAGCAGAGTCGATGGGTTTTGTGTACTTTGAAGCCATAAGGGTCACAAAATTGAGGAAAGATCGAAAAGTTACAATTTTGGCTCGAAAATTCTCGGAGATTCTGAATTCCATTGTTTTTGTGCAGGTGGATTACTCGTCGGATCTGATGTCGGACGATCAGTTCATGAAGCAAGTGGAGGAGGTGGAGGACGAGAACGAGCGCATGGTGGCCGAGCGGAAGAAGCAGCGGAAGCGGAAGATGGCCGGACTCGACGAGAACGACGACTCGATGGACGACGTGGTGCTGCAGGCGAAGAAGAAGCGGACGGACCCGGAGCTAGCAGAGCGGATGCAGAAACTGCTCGCGGCGGTGATGGCCGACGAGGACGAGGAGGGCAACCAGACGGCCGCCGAGTTCGTGACGCTGCCGACGCGCAAGGAACTGCCCGAGTACTATCAGGTCATCACGAGGCCTATGGACTTTGACCGCATCAACAAGAAGATCGAGACGGGCAGGTACACGCAGATGGAGGAGATCCACGCGGACATGCTGCTCCTTGTCTCGAATGCTCAGCAGTTCAACGAGGAGGACAGCCAGATATACAAGTGGTCCCTGACCATCGAGAAGATTTGGAAGACTGAATACGCGAAGGTTAGCTTCATTTTGGAGGGTCCGTATCACATCAAATAATCCAATTTTTGCAGATGATGGCTCCACCGAAACCGGATCCGCCAGCGATCGTTGCCCCGATCGTCAAAAAGGAGCAGCCGTCGACTTCTGGACCGTCCGCCCACGCAAAGACCGTCTCGGCGACTCAACAACTGACAGCAGCCGCCCAACAACAGGCCATGATGGCCCAAATGGCGGCGATGGCTCAGATGAACCCGGCGCAGGCTCAGATGCTCATGCAGATGATGCAGCAGCAACAGCAGCAGCAGAAAGGCGTCGGGGCCGGCGGAGCTCAGAATCAGGCACAGATCGCGGCGATCCTGCAGATGCAGCAAATGCAACAGATCCAGATGATGATGGCGGCGGGCATTCCGATTCCGGGCGTGGCTCCGGCTCCGATGGCTCCGAAGAAGGAGGTTCCGGCTAAAAAGGAGTCGCCCGAAGGACCGCCGGCTGCGAAACGGAAGAAGCCGGAGGAGAAGGTGGAGGAGGAGGATGAAGAGGACGAAGACGAGGAGGAGGAAATCATCGGCCGCAGAAAGGTATGCGGTTTGGGGGGAAAAGATTGGAAAGAAACGGACGAGTTTTTATAGTTTTAGGGCTTCTTCTAGAAATTTCTGGAAATTTAATTGATTTTGTTTGCAGGAAACGCCACTGGGACGTCGCAAATCGCGTCCGACTCGCCGTTATTCGAACGACGACGACGACGAGGAGGAGGACGATTAAAATTCGAAAAATCTGAATTTTACATCTGAAAATTCGTGAAATTCTTGTACTATTAACCTTTTTCTTCTCTCTCTCTCTCCCCAAAAACTATTCTCAATGATAGCCCCCTATTTTTCTCTCCCATCCCCATGTTCTATGATGTCTGATCTTGTGAGCTGTCACCAAAACATAAGCCCCGCCCATTTTTTCTCTCTGCGCTCTCCCCGCGATTTTTACACTATTTTTCTGCAAAAAGAAATTGTATTTATCACCCTAAACACCACTCCTTTTCGATGCGTTTTTTTTCTCCATCTAATTCCCATTTTTATTCCCCACATTCATCGTCAAGTTCAATATTTTATTCGAATAAATTTATGAGAGAGCGATTTTCGAATTATTTGCCGATTTTGTTGGAGATCATTTTTACTTTGTTGCTTTTTGAACATTTGAACAATTTTCTACTTGTTTTTCAGAAGAACTGAACAAAAATGGCTGCGCTTAGAAGCACAAAGGTGAGCGAGAAAAGGAAAACGATTTTATTGAATTGGATTGTGATTTAATGCAGAATATCTCTCAATTTGTTCTCGTCAAACTGAATTTCCAGGGACTGGTGGCTCTGGTGACGGGCGGCGCGTCGGGACTCGGAAAAGGAACGGCGGAAGTGCTGGCGCGGGCCGGCGCCCAAGTGGCCATTCTGGATCTGCCGCAGTCGAAGGGCGCCGACGTGGCCAAGGAAATCGGCGCCATTTTCACGCCCGCCTCGGTCAGCCAATCGATTGATGCGTTTTCACATAAATTTCTAACTTTTGCAGGTGACATCGGAAGAGGAGGTGCGTGCGGCGTTCGAGAAAGTGCGTCAGGAGTACGGACGGCTCGACGCGCTCGTCAACTGCGCCGGAATCGCCTACGCATTCAAACTGTACTCGGTGAACAAGAAGAAGCACGTCGAGTTCGACAAGATCCGGCAGACTATCGATGTGAGCGCAGAAATCGCTATTTATGACGAATACTTGTAGAAAAACCACAAAATTTTCAAAATGCAAACGTTTTGAGTAACCGCTTTTCGATGTTCTTCTGAAGTTGAAAGCAAGGATGGAACGTTACTTCCACTCGCTAGTAATTCTTCAAAAAACTGTAATTTTTCAGGTGAACGTGCTCGGCACGTTCAACGTGATCCGTCACGGAGTGGCTCTGATGGGCGAGCACGAGAAAGATGCGAACGGACAAAGGGGCGTGGTCATCAACACGGCCTCCGTCGCCGCGTTCGACGGACAGACCGGACAGGTTCGCGACGAGAGATTTTTGGGCTTTCGGGCCGAAACTATGCAGGCTTTTTGGGCTTGGATTGAAGTATATTGGGTCCAAGTTTCAGACCGATCCGATTATCCGATCCCAGGATATACATATGTAGTCATTTAGCCCCGAAAAGCCCTGGCTTTCAAAAGCCACCCTTTTCGGGCCTAAATCGATATATTAAATAATCCGATGTTTCAATCCAAGTCCAAGAAGTCAGCAAAGTTTGGGTCCGACGATTCCTTGAAAAAACCGGTCCTTTTCTCAGTCCGCCTACTCTGCCTCGAAAGGAGCCATCGTGGCGATGACGCTCCCGTTGGCGCGTGATTTCGCCGGAGACGGCATCCGATTCAACACGATCGCTCCGGGACTCATGGACACGCCCCTTCTCTCGTCCCTCCCCGATAAGGTTCGTTTTGTTTCTACTTAGAATTATGGGGGCATTCAGCAAATTGTTTTGTTGGGTTTTCACTGATTTTTTACATTGGTGAATTGAGTTTTTTGACGAGAGATCATTAAAAAAAACGGAAAAAACCGTAATATTTACCGGTCGGAATGTAGAATGGAATTGAAAAGTGAACATTTGTTTAAGTCCAACGTTGAAACAGCAAATTTTTTGGATAAAATAACGTTTCACTCGAATCGTTCTGAAGCCATCTAGATTGTTGTTCTAGAAGAGTTTACCGTCTTCAGAAATACAAAAAAAGTCGCAGAAATTCCGTGATTTCAGGTGAAGACGTTCCTGGCGCAGCTGATTCCGAATCCGTCGCGTCTCGGACATCCGCACGAATACGGAGCGCTCGTGCAGCACATCATCGAGAATCAGTACCTGAACGGAGAGACGATCCGTTTCGACGGCGCCCTCAGAATGCCCGCCTAATTCAATATTCTTTACCTTTTTTTGTGCTTTTTAATGCCATTCCGGTAGATTGTAGGTGATTTTTTTGAGAACTGTTATTATATTCTTACATTTTTATACACATAAAATCACATGTTTTAACAAACCCGATCAAGCTTTGTCATTTTTCCCTCCCTTTAATAATCGAAATCCCCGTTCAAAAGTTTAACATTTTCGTCGAGATAATACAATTGAAATGGCCACGTGGCGAAGGCGAAAAGGCCGCGTTGGACGGCCGAAACGAGCGAACGAAGACCGCGGAAAACGAGGAAATAGACGAGAATTGTGGGGAAAATGAAGAGGAGAATGACGAAGAGCGAGGTGGCCAGAAACTGTTGTCGCGTGTCCAGAATCACCTGAAATTGTCTATTTCACGGTCTCCAGAGCTGACAATATGGGCGTGGCGGCCTCGGCCAAATGGCGTTTTCATGAATTGAGCACGTTTTCTCTGATTTTTGTGGTCAAAGGCGATGAAAAATGATTGTTCGACATGAAAACACACTAATTCCCAGAATTAATGACGTTTTGGCGCAGTTTTCGCCGACTTCGCTTTTTCGCCTTCGCCGCCGATCGCCGCCTAAAAACCGCACTTCTCATTTTGCGCTTTCTTGACCGTTTTCAGACATAATTGGTTTTGAGAATGATAAATCAAGCATTTTGAGCACTCGAACCGCGAAAATTACCGAAAAGCAACTGAAATTCACGCAGTTTTAGCCAAAAACATTTAAACGGATAAATGTGATTTGCAACTTGACCAAATTTGACGCTCTTGCGCTTAAAAAATTCGTAATAGCCTATACAATCGGTCTATCGAGAGATAAATGAGAAATTATCGGTTTTTCGTGGCTAGTCTGGCAAAAAACACAAATTTTGCTGTTAAAATTTGTTAAAATAAAATAAGAGAAAAAATACTGAATTCAGGAAAACGTCACTTGGTGGAGACGGTGTCAGATTTTTATGATTTTTTCGGAAATGTTTCATTTTTTTAAAGGGAACCCTGCGAGTTAATGTGTCTGTCCGAGTCCCAACACTCAGAAATGCATATAAACGGAACAGATGGCAGCAGTGCTGGGCAATTGCACTTTGAGAATCTGTTAATTTGTGTGAATGATTGGCTACGTCTGAGAATTGAGATCCCATGGCCTAGGAGTTTTCTAGGCCATGGTCATGACTTTAACTGCGCGCTGTTCCGTTTTCAGGCGTTTATGAGAGTTGGGACTCGGACAGTGAACTCGCAGGGTTCCCTGGTTCTTTAAATAAGTCCAATTCAATAGCACGATTCAATAAATAGGTAAGTAATTTTCAAAATAAAATCTATTTACTTTTAATGAAACAGTAAAAAAAAAGTTGAGTGTAATCTTTTTGTTTCAAATATTGTACGCACCGTATCTTTTCTCTCTCTCAACGGATTCCATTTCTTTCCTCGCACAATACTCCACAATACGGTCAAAGTGTGATAGCACAGGTGACACAGTCTGCAAATTGATTCTTAGCATTTTCAAAAAAATTCACAGTGGCGTACTTGGTTGCGTAGGCGTCGAAACAGTTGAAATGGAGGAAGAAAATCTGCGAGAAATCGTAGATAAGTGCTCCGAAAGTGGAAAATCCGGCGAGGAGCGAGTAGAAGATGACACGGAAAAAGGTGTCCGATCGGAGGAATCCAATGAACGCTGCAATCGAATTTTCAAGTTTTTAAATGTTTTCAGGAAACGTACTGGTCCACAAATAAATGTGATAAGTGAAGAACCAGGCAAGTGTTTCGTTGACGGGCGTGTTCAATTTAAGGCCAGCCGGGTTGCTCCGCAGCCACGTTATTGTCTGTAAATCGATTTTGCAATGAAAAATCTTTCCAGGATTACTGCATGCGCCTTTAAATCTTTTTATTTTGCTTCAAGACATAGTTCTCCCTTAAAAATCGACTTTCTCCACAATTTCCCCGGTTATTGCGCCTTTAAACTATATACCGTACCCCGTTGAGATTATCTGCCACGTGGCCAGTGTTTTTCCAGAATTCGTCGACGGTCCAATCGATTTCGGGCGACACAAAATGGTACAAAAATATGGAAAGTGTGACGTCGGCGACGATTAATCGCGAGAATTCAAAAGTGCCCATCAGAGTCATTTTCAATTGGGTCGTCCGCCAGAGCATCGAATAGTCCGTCGGCTTCTTCATCTTTCAATTTATTCTGAAGGCAAACATGTTCATAATCAAAATGCATCGGTTCTTTTTTTTATTGTCAACGGTAAAACGAGTGAGGGAAAATCGATTCGAACTACCCAATCCATTGGACTCTTCTCGAGTACGCACACACAAACTAACGCCAAAACATTTCGATCTGTTCTTATCAGAGGGTTTTTTTATGATCATCTTCAGTATTTTGTGATGAAAGAGAGAACAACTTGAAACAAAAGGAAATGAAAATGGATAGAGAATCACACTAAAACCGAGCAAAAGGTGCACTAATCAATTAGTTTACGGGGTGGGGACTGGATGGGAAGAGGGGACGAAAATTGGGTGGAATTTTCAAGAAATACGACGGAGGCTAGAGAGGAAATCTGTTCTGCAGGGAAGAGGAGGTTAATCATCATCTAGTCTCTTGTATTTATTGTTGAGCGGCGAGCTTGGCCTTGAGAGAAGCTGGCATCTCTGGTGGTGGTGGGCGTGGGAGGTTGAGGGCGACCTGAAAATCAGCACATTTTTGCAAAAATCTATCCGAAATGGATCAACTGACCTTGACAGAGTCATAGATGAACCATTGGAGAGCGGTGAGAGTTCCGATCATGATGATACGTGGCACAAGTCCCTTCCAGACTCCGGCGAATCCGAGCTTCTTGAGGATTCCTCCGGCGGTGGCTTGCGAGTCCTGGTTGAGCTTCGAGACGACAGTGTCGGCTGGGTGCGAGACGATCGCGCAGAACACTCCGGCGATGTATCCGGCGACGAAAGTAACGACGAGCTGCTCGGCCTTGGAGCACTCGGCTCTCGGCTTCGGCACAACGTATTGGTAAAGAGCCTCGACGGTCTTCTCGAAGCAAGCGAACTTCATCATGGTGTACGGGATCTGTCTCATCCAAAGTGGCGGGAGTCCCTTGTAGAATCCCTTGAGTCCCTCGGTCTTGAAGATGAGTGGAGCGCATCCGCGAAGAGTTGGTGGGGCTCCTGGAGCGGTCTGGATACGGACCTTGGTGGCCTCCATTGGGGCGAGGAGGATATCGGCGAAGAATTCGGCCGAAGCGGAGGCAGCAAGGTACAGGGAAGTTCTGTAGAGGTAGGCATTCTCCTCTCCGATGAGGTCAGCGTAGACGTTCTTGAAGACCTCGTAGAATCCGAACTTTCCGAGTCCCTGGGCAGAGTATCCTATGAGAGTCGGGGCCCATCCCTTGACGAGAGCGCGAGCTCCCTCTTCGGTGACGGTGGTACGGAATCCGGCGGCGATTCCTGTATACTTTTCCGGGTTGACCTGGATTCTGCACTTAACGAGATCAAGTGGCACGATGGCGGTGTGGGTGATTCCGCAGGAGAGAACTCCTCCGAAAGCACACAAAGCGTAGTATTTGCCAGATCCGAACTCGACTTGTCCAGCTGCAAAAATCAATATTACGATGATTTCAACAGAAATTTCAAGACAAAAACCTTCATAAGCCGACGCCACTGTGGTAGCGGCTCCGATAGCAACCCGTGCGACATACTGCGTTGAACTATAGGCAAACCAGTCCATTAACCCGTCGACTAGCTGGGTAACACCCCAGAAATAGAGAATAATCCACATGCAAAAGATTACAATAACGCCAAGCCGTCCATTTCGAACGTGTGGAGATCTGGCACGAGCGATGAACGGAAGCGCTTTCTCCTCGGTCTCCGACGTCATCGAAAGGCGGTGATAACAGTGCTCGTGGTTCCGTTTAGGCATGTGGGGTCATACGTGGCTAGGGTCCTGGGGGCCACGTGAAACGGAACGGACGTGGCGGAGAAGGGAATTGCCTCAATGCCCTCCTTTTCCGTTGACGGTTGCCACGTTTTCGGCAGGCCACGTCCGTCTGCGGTCTATTCCCGTCTCACGCTGTCTCGCCGGCGGTCTCTCGTTTCTCTCCCTCTTCGAGTGCACATGCAACGCACGGGAAAGTCGCGGGGGCATAGAACAGACGGTACCGTCCGCCGCTCTACTTTTTTTGTGGGAAATTCGTGAATTGCGCGGTATTTTTTTGAAAGAAAAAGTAGGATCACGATCTCTATGGGCACAGGAGGCTATCGGATACCATTTTTACAGCAAAAAGAAAAGATGAGTCTTACCTGGAGCTGGGGCTCCGCTTCCGCAGCTTCCAGACCTGACTGGCAGGCTGAACGGGTTCTGCTTCGACGACTCGGCAAGCTGGCTGATCACGCTCATAGTGGTTACCTGCAATTCAACAAAAATTATGCAAAAAAGTCGGTTTTCAGTGTTGACACACACAAGAAAAAATACAATAGCCCGGGAATATCTGGAAAAATCGGTTTTCACACGAAAAGTACGCTTTTCACAGTCATTTTAGTAAATTTTCAGTAAAAAATGTCTGAAAAATGGCTACAAATGGAAAGAATCTGGAAAAATTCAGAGTGAAACTGATAATTTATCACTGGCGGCCCGTGGAAAGCATCTGAAGATAAGATGGACGTTCTGTGAGCCATGGTCGGCCCCTACCGTATCTCGTTTGCTATATGCCCTGCACATCTAACTCGCCGCTGGCATCGCGCCAACCCTTGCTTTCTCTCGATTTTTCTTGCAAAACTCGACATTTCTCTTGTTTTTCTTGTTAATTTGAACCCAGAAATATTTTCTTTCCACTCAAAAGCACGTAAACATATCGATTTTTCCGGAAACCCCCGGTATTTTTTTGTTTTTTATAGAAAATGGCCGATGAGGAAATCTCCAAGGCGTTCCGCGAATTGCAGTTCAAGACGAACGAGACGAGAATGCGAATAGCTCAGGGAGAGCAGAACAAGAAGCTGAGCACTCACGTAAGTTATTGATTTTTCGCCAGAAAGAAACACATGTAATTTCCGCCAAAATCTGGGATTTTGGTCAAAAAGCTATAAAATATTGAATTTTCGCTATTGAGACCTAGAAATTATATCAAATCTCCGCAAAATTGAACTTTTTGCAGAAAATGCGAGTTTCGCAAAGCACAAAGAAGAATTTGGTGGATTTGGACCAGGACCTCAAGTATTATCGGTCTGTCGGACGTATGTTCTTGCTCACTGACAAGGCCGCCGAGATGCAGAGACATGACGATGAGGCCCAGCAGGCAAAGTAAGTAGAAATTCAAGATTGGTGGCGAAAAAATAAAAAATTCGATTTTCAGGGACAGAATCGACGCTATTGACAAGCAGAAGGAGTATTTGGAGAAGGGATTGGCCGAAGCCGAGGCGAATCTTCGCGAATTGATCCAGAGCAGACGCTGATCGATGGAAATGTTCAAATTGCTAAAATTTTTGTAAAATTTGCTTTATCATCTTTTTGTGCATCATCTTCAATGAATCTCATAAAAACATTCGGAACCAAAAGAAACACTCGAACTATTGTGGATTGCCGACGATTTTATCTCTTTTTCATGGATTTTCACAGAAAATCGTCAAACTTCCAGGTAAAAATGTCGAGAGCGCCGGGGATATTACGATTTTTCTCACAAAATTTTCAAAAATGTGCGGCCAGCTCGTCGACGAGCCGATTTCCAGCAATGAATTCCAGACGAAAACGCAATTCTGGTATATTAATTAGATTTTAGGAGAACATGAAAAAAAAATTGAAAATCCCCAATTATTAGCTCGAAAAGTGGCGACAATTGAGGATTTGGTGGAGCCGCGAAAGGTGAAACACACGAATCAGGCGACGGCGGGAATGCACGAATGGATTGGAGCACTGGACAATGTGAGCATTCAAACTGTAACCTTGGGCATTTTTAGGCTGAAAATTGTCAGAATTCGACGATGTTCAACAAAAAATGCACCAGACCTCAGCCTGCTAATCGAAAACAACAAAGTTTTTGCAGACGACAATCAACCTGTCACTGGACGAGTTTATGCGGCGTCCGATGGTCCGTCAGTTGGCCAAAGAGAACGGAATAAATGAAAAACTATTCATGCGGGCGTTCAAATCGTTCAGGGAATACTGTACTCCCGACGATTTTGTGAGTTTTGAATATGGAACAAACTTCCTTGATCCGAAAGTTCCGTATATTTCAGCAACTATCTGTGCTTTTTTTTTGCAGAGCTCCGTGGATCCGGGCCTTCTCATTTTGCTCAGCGACATTTCGAAAGGAACAAAAGACTGCGAAATGCTTTATCCGTTCTTTTTGGATCATTCTAAACAGGTACATTTTTATACTTTATTTTAACGAATTTTTATGTGAGAAATATGAAAAATCCTCATGTTTCATAGGTATATCCGCATCTGGAAGCGATGGACGATCTGCGAATCATCTCCGACCTGACACAGCCCCACAATTGGTATCCGGAGGCACGGACCGTCACCAGAAAGATCGTTTTCCACGCGGGACCCACGAACAGCGGAAAGACCTATCACGCACTCAAACGGTACGCTTTTTAGGGATCTTTGGCCATCAGTGGCGAAGAGTGCAATACTTGAAGTCTACTATATGGATTATTTAGAAAACGTTTTGAAACCGAAACATTTATTAGAGAGCAACTTTTTAAATCGAAACGGGGCTGATCAAACGGCCTGGACTTTTGACCCATTTGCAATCTTCCGATAGGACCGAAACTTCACAGGCTTCTTGGACTTGGATTAAAGTATACTGGGTCCAAGTGTCAGACCGATCGGATCACCCGGTCCCGAGATGTACTGGTATGAGGCTGAAAAGGCCGGGTTTTTGGCCGGTAAACTGCGGTCTCTTCGGCCTCCGATCCACATATCTACGACCAGATGATCCGGTCGGTCTGTAACTTGGACCCAGTATACTTCAATCCAAGTTCAAAAAGTCTGCAAAGTTTGGGTTCGATAGGATCATTCCAAGTGGGTCACTATTATTTTTTCAATGTTTCGATAATCGCACTCTACCGAACTTTTCGCAAAAATGACTGACCTTATGTATTATAGGGGCATCTCACAGAAATGGCGCTCTGTTCGCAATCTGGCCGAATTTCTAGGCCGCGAAGTAATTTTCCACTGAAAACGTGGCCTAACTTTTCAAACTTGGCCCCGAGGTCGCTCAATTTGTACTGCAAAAAGAGTTTCTCAACAAAGCGCCATTTCTGTGCGGTGCCCCTATAATACCATATAACTTTCTACTCTCTTCTAGCATAATTACCCACCTATCGCAATTCCTCTTTTTGACATCTCTATTTCCACGTACTTAACAGACGTAATAAAAAATAACAAATAAATTAAAAAATAAATTGATAAATTGAACCATTTTTTCTTATAAAGTTGAAACAGTAAGTGTGTTTTAACAACAAATCCAATTTTTCAGATTCGGTGAGGCGAAAAGTGCCGTTTTTTGCGGACCACTGAAATTATTGGCGACCGAAGTGTTCAACCGGACCAATTCATTGGGAATAGCCTGTGATTTGGTCACCGGAGAGGAGAGAAGGTCTGGGAACATTTCTTCGCATTTTTTTCAAATCATTTTGCTGCTCTCCTGTTCAGATTCGCAAAAGACAACCACCACCCGAGCCAGCACCTCTCTTCGACCGTCGAAATGCTCTCAACGCAGATGAGAGTCGAGGTACCGTTATCCGGAAACACGGAAAAGTACAGTAATCCCCCCCTCCTGCTGTAGGTGGCCGTCATCGACGAAATTCAAATGTTGAGAGACGAGCAGAGAGGCTGGGCGTGGACGAGAGCACTTCTCGGAGCAGCCGCTGATGAGGTTGGCGCCCTTTTTGCTGACATATCTAAAAATCAACAAAAAAAACATCATTTTTCTTGCAGATCCATTTGTGCGGAGAGCCGGCAGCTATTGATATTGTGAAAAAGCTGTTGGAGCCGATCGGAGAAAGTGTCGAAGTACGGTATTACGAGAGGAAATCGCCGTTAACGATCGCCGACAAAGCCATCGAGTCGTACAGTAATGTTGGTTTTCAATTTCCGATTCTTTGGATTCCTTTGCCAATTTAACTCGTACTTTGGTTGCAGATCGAGCCGGGCGACTGCATCGTGTGCTTCTCGAAGCGTTCAGTGTTCTTCAACTCGAAAAAGCTGGAGGAGAACGGAATCAAGCCGGCCGTGATCTACGGAGACCTGCCGCCGGGCACGAAACTCGCGCAGGCGGCCAAATTCAACGACGAGCACGACGCGTGCAGTGTGCTCGTCGCGACGGACGCCATCGGAATGGGACTCAATCTCAACATCCGCAGAGTCATCTTCAACTCGTGCACCCGTCAGTCCGAGCTGCTGCCCACCTATGCGGCACTTCAGATCGCCGGAAGGGCTGGGAGGTACGGTGCACCAAAAAAGTAACCAAAGTATTAAATTCCAAAAAAAATGCCCCCGAATTATGATGAATTTTGCGAAAAGACGACGAGAAGTACACGCGATAGTAGTAGTTCGACTGATTCAGATTCGGAACCGCCTACGCAAACGGAGTGGCGACGACGATGCGAAAAGAGGATTTGAGCACTTTGAAGGCGATACTGGCGGAAAAAGTGAGCTCATCTGACAAAAGAATATCAGTTTCAAACTTTGATTAAAAAAACGAAAGTTCCCTTCTAAAATCGATGATTTCCCTTGCATGTTTCAAGCCATTCTATGTCAGAACAGAATTGTTCTTGTGAATATGAAAACGTTGCAGATCGAGCCGATCGGATCGGTGGGCATCGCGCCGACGTACGACCAGATCGAGACGTTCTCGTTCCACCTGCCGCAGGCCTCTTTCGTCCGTCTCCTCGACCTGTTCGTGTCCGTCTGCTCCGTCTCCGACCATTTCTTCATTTGCACCGTGTACGACATGCGCGAGTTGGCGGTCCTCATCGATCAGATTCCGTTGCCGTTGAAAGTGAGGTACACGTTCTGCACGTCGCCGTTGAACACGGACGACAAACGGACCGCCGCCGCGTTCGTCAAAATGGCCAGGAGGTACGGACAAAGATATTTTTAAATTGTGTGCAAAATGGCCTAAAAATTGCAGATTTTCGACGGGCCAGGCGCTCACATTCGAATGGCTCATGGATATGCTCGGATGGCCTCCGAAGCCGGCCACAAACATCACCGAACTCGCCGTGCTCGAACAGGTATTTTTTGGGTTTATTTAAGGCCTGGGCGAATGATCCGCTTCCCGCTGTCTGAGAAAATGAAAACAAAAATGCAGGGTGTACGAAATCTCTTGAAATCAACTCGCCTTTCTCTCGGCTTCACTGAAACCCTTTCGAAATATTCTTCGAAAAACATTACTGTTGTTGCAGACGTACGAAATAATGGACCAGTACAAGTGGTTGTCGATGCGATTCCCCGACATGCTGCCCGATGAGCCACGTGTCAGAGAGGCCAGTCGACTGTTGGATTCCATGATTCAGGTACAGTAATCCTCAGCGGATTTTCCTCTGGCTTCCGCTCGAATAGGCCTAGTCAAAGAATCTCTAGAGGAACTTTTCCAATCTCAATTCCAAAATGTGAATTGTTTGCAGGAAGGAGTCGAAGGATTCATGGGTCTTTTGTCCGCCCACGCGGATCCATCAAACCCACAAAAGTACTCGAAATCACCGGAAACAACCACGGAAAATGTGAAAAAATCGCCGCGGAAATCGTCGATACTGGAGTCGCTGCTCAAAAGAGCCGACATTTCCGAAGCGGATTTGGAGCAATTGAGGGAGGAATTGAACAGCAAAAAAACGTAATTTATTACATTTTTCTAGTAGGACTATAGCTTTTTTTAAATCTTTTTTTCTTGTTAAGAAGGTTACTTAATTGTTGATGATCATTGTTTTTTTTTTCTAAAAAAAATGTCCTAAAAAGAAATAATTACATCCGTTCATGATTCCGTCACAATAGAGCCAATTCACACCTTGCGGCAATTTTGTCAACAGAAAAAAGCAGTAATAGTTTCCGTCTTTTTGACGTAACAATGTTATCAGTTTGTACTCTTCCGCCCACGCACAAATCCCTCCCGATCCCTTTTGGTTGGACGGTCCCCGACGGATCACGGATTACCGACAGAAAATGTGATTGTGCAATATTTAATTTAAGACCGTCTCTTTTTAGTTGCGCAACTTCGTTGAGTATACTGTAGATTTTTTGTGCCTATCGTGTTTAAAATTCACTTTCGAAACGGTAATTAGTGAGTGTGTTTTCTGAAATTCACTGTTTCTTCAGTCCGCTGATAAAAATGCTGTTCCAGAAACTGTAATAGTTGTCCAAATGTCTGGAATTTTTGTGAAAGCCAGGAATTTTTGCGAAAGTTACTGTCAAATTTGAAGATTTTCATCCAGAATTCGGCTTGCAATGATTAGCACTTTTCCGAATGCAGTTGCCCGAAAATTAGCGGTTTCTAGAATAATTTCGGTCAAAACTCGCCCCCCGTCGTCCCTTATTGTCTTTTAGAAAAAATCCCAATTGGGGGATTATTCTTATTGCATAAAACATGATATGCCCGTGGTTCGGCTCTCAAAAAAAAGGTGTTGCACAATATTAATCGAGTTAATTAGAGACCCATATTTCGGTGTTTTTTGAGCAAGAAAACGATAATATCTGTAAGAAAAACAGATGTTTTTCGGGGCGGAAAAAGAAAACAGGTGTATGTGATCGGATAATATTCAAAAATATAAGGCCCAGGCTTTTCGAAGGCTTTTTGAAGGCCTGGCCACTTTTGACTCACTTGCAATGATCCGATCGGGACCAAAATTTGCAGACTTCTTGTACTTGGATGGAAGTATATTGGGTCCGAGTTTCAGACCGATCGGGCCATTTGGTCCCGAGATATGTGGATCTGAAAAGACCGGGTTTCCCTTGCGGCCTCTGATCCACATACCTCGGGACCAGATGATCCGATCGGTCTGGAACTTGGACCCAAGATACTTCCATCCAAGTCCAAAAAGTCTGCCAAGTTTGGTCCCGACCGGATCATTACAAGCGGTCCAAAAGCATTGAAAAAGCCTGTGCTCAGCCCTGGTTTCAACAATTTTTCAAATTTCCAATAAATTCACAGTATTCCATGTGACTGACATCCCTAAAAATCCCTTCGATGCCCAAGAAGTGCGGTCCCCAATGAGACAATAGTAATTAACCTTCAAAATCAGAAAAGAGAGGAAGTGCTCGAGAAATGGATAGTAGCTGAGCACTCGACGATCCGGACGGTCTCCTCCGATCCAAGGCCGAAATCCATCCGTGTTTGTTTCCATTGTTCCACAATATCTATTCATTGAAGCTACAGTAGCCCTGAAGATGACTACCGTAATCTTTTTTTCAAAAATGTTATCAATTTAAGTTCGCAAGGCGCTTCAACTCTGCGAAAACTACCGTAATCCCTTGAAATTTGTCATAAATGCATCGTTTTCGCGCATTCATCCATTTTCTCTCCCGTTTATTTGCCCAACATGATCTATATTTATGCACATCCCTTCTTCTTCTTCTTCTTCATCTTCTTCCTTTCGCTATTATCCATCCATCCTTATTTGTCCCCCCCATTTCTACAGTAATCCCCAAGTGTCTTGTGGCGTAACCTCTCTTCTAACAAGTTGTCCCGAAAAGAAGATGTTACACCGAGGAGGAGACGAACGGATTAGCGAGTGATTGAAAACATTCTCGAAAAGTGTGCCGACAAAGGCGGCGGATGACGTGGCAACTCGGATTATTGTACTTTTACGAAGAGAGCCGACTCTTGACGTTGTACTCGTGGGAACATTCCGCGAAAAAAAACCGCGTTTTTTCGCCTCCTCTTGGTTCCAAAGTGTCCTAGTTGCCAGGTGTCTTGGCAGTGAACTGGCCGGTTTTGGACAGAAAAAGGATGAGATTTCGGCGACTTTCAAAAAGGGTATACTGTAGTTGGTCACAGTAGTCAGTCAACAAAAAGTGGCGGGGTACTTGAGGCAAGTTAGTGACACCCGGCGGCGAGGAACGAAAAATAGAAAGTGCGCGACGTAAACTACCGTAATCCCGGTCGTCTTCCGTATCCGGGCCCAAAAGTCCCTTCAAATCCATCGAAATAATGAAATGTATGCGAAGAAAAGACTTCTAAACGCTGCTAAACGGCTCTTTGGCAACTCATCGATGCGTGCCCAAATCGACAATTATATCGCTCATGATCGGGAGGGAAATCCCGAATGAAAGGGACTGCTTCCGCTTGTTATTATCTATTATTTCGGTGTGTGTGTGTGTGTGTGTGTCCTTTGACCACTCTTTCCCGCGAGATGTCATGCCGTCCCTTCCGTCCGCCAGCCACAATCATTTTCGAAACGATGTATCTCAGTTGTCGGTGGAGATATCAAAAAGTTTGCAACTGATAAAACGCGCACAATTTCTTGATAAATATTTTGTTAGTTGACAATTTTTTTGTATCTCTACCAGAAAATGAGATATGGCGTTTTGAATGAATGGTGCTGTTGTAAAAGAAAAAAAAAGAAACGAGACGTGGACGCTTTGCAACTGGATCTAACACAATTATAATTACTGCATCAACCATAGGTTTTTAGGTTTCGAATAGTCTGAAAAGTGATGAAAGTCTGGTGGACGGTTTGCAACCGACAGGACATTCTGCAACTGGGCCTTTTAGTCTGCAAGGAAATTGGTTTGCAACCAATGGACACTTGGCAACCAACAAAAGAAGCCTTGATCTTCAATGAGCCGGTTGCGAAACATCCCGAACAATATTGTCCATTTCCCCACATCCCATTGTTGCACTGATCAAGCGGGACCGTCCCTCAGACCCCCCTCCTCTGTTCCTGCACGTGTTCGTCCGAAATGACCCTGAACGGATTGTTGCGCATTCGGTCCCAGCTGGGTCGCCCGAAAAAAAAACTATTGTAGTGGTATTCTCGGGAATTTGGAGAAAACAGAGATTTTTGATGGCGCAACGCCCCGCAGGTGTTCGTCGTCGATTTGGGAACGGAACCGCGAGTTTATGGCCGCTTTTTCGCATGCATGGTGCATCGAAGCACCGAGCACAGAGCACTGCAATGAACGCGAGGAACCAGGGGGCAAAAAAAGAAGTTATATTGTTCCATTTGTTCTCCGGAAAATCCCCTCATTTTCATGAATGATGGTGGCGCCAGCGGCCCTCAAAAGTCTCTCTTCAGATGGTCAAGTAGTACGTCTTCTTCTTCTTCTTCTTCTTCTTCTTCTTTTGCTCACAAAATGATGGCTCTTCAACTTTTACGCCAAACACTAATAATAGTAATACATTGGAGTGAATGAACAAAAGGACCCGCCCGTCGGGAAGTTGCTCCGAACAAGAAGAAGAAGAAGAGGAAGAAGAAGAGGGACTGCCGACAGGAAGTTTCGAGTGAGTAGTGGACGGTAATTGAGACACGGGCGGGGCGGTAAATGATTTACTGGAGACTCTGGAAAATGCAGACGCATCGATTTCTTGTTTTTTTGTCGTCGATCACAACTTTTTTGTATGAAAAGCTAAATTTACAACTATTTTTCTATGAGCACAGTTCACTTTGCTCTACATTTCGTCAGTTGATCACATTTCATGAAAAAATTTTCTAAAAAAGATAAAAATTCTTTTTGTTGAGTTCTTCCGTTCAACTCTGTTGTGAGTGTGATCTCGAGCCGGGCGCCAATTGAGAACAGATCAAATTCCTTCAGAATTTTGTTTCGCGGCTGCAAAATTTGGTCTTTTTCTCACAGTTTATCTTTATTGTAGTCCTGATCAGGGATCCAAACTTTGCAGACTTCTCGGACCCGAGTTCCAGGTCGTTCCGAACCTTGCAGACTTTTTGGGCATGGATAGAAGTATACTGGGACCAAGTTTCAAACCGATCCGATTATTTACGGTCCAGAATATCTCGGGACCGGATGATCCGATGGGTCTGAAACTTGGACCCAATATACTTCAACCAATGTCCGAGAAGTCTGCAAAATTTGGTCCCTATCGGATCATTGCAACTGGTCCAAAAGTGTCAACATTTTTGCACGAATTTTCAGTTTCAAAAATACACCGTTTTGCATAACATGTAAACATGCGATAAAAAGAGAGAAAAAAGAGGAGGAAGAGGTGGAGAAAATTCCGGAAATTTATTATTTTGGCGTTTGAAAGTCAGGTGGGAAATGAGCGGAAATTAGTGACGATTCCCCAGCCGCGCGCCTCTATTTTTCGCCCCCCTCCCCCCATTTTTTTCGTCCGCCGTTTTCATTCAGAAGTCATCATATTGTATAGCGACGCGTCGTCGTTTTTGCGATTTTTTCACACTGTATTACAGGGCTTTCTAAATTACAATTTTACAACAACAACAACAAAAAAAGTAGGGGGGTGAAAATGGGAAATTTTATGCAAAATTTGGCCTAAAGCGCTCACTGTCACTCGAAAAAAGGTGTTTGCCGTCGGGTCCCGCCCCTCGGGCACCTACAGTAACCCGCCGCTCAATCGACGCGACCGACAAGCTCCGCCCACTTTTTTTGACGACTCGACTCTCGGCACCGCCCGTCACTCGCTTTCTCTTCGCGCCGGCCGGACTCTTTTCGTCCAGATTTGAATTCATTTCAAATCAATTCGGTGTGTGCATTTTCAGACGCTCGAAATGATCACTCAACAGCAGCCGAGCAGTAAGTCGCATTCGTTTTTTTTTTCCAAAAAAAAATTCAATCTGATTCTAGAGCTCTCCCTTTATTCTAAAAATGTGTCGGTCTACGAAAAGTGAGGAGTGGAAAAATAATATAAATATTAATTGGGAAGGCCCGACGCCTAAGCCCGCAGGCCATAAATTCGAGTGCTCATAAGGAGGATGAAGATTCTAATTTCAAGTGGTCTCGCCAAAGATTTTGACAATATATTTATTGGAATTTCGATTAAATGTGTATTGAGGGAAATAGTTATGGGAAGGGATTGGATTACGGTAGGCGCACAGCTTTATGGGCAGTTTCAATAGAAGTTCTTGGAAATTTTCTCAATTTTTGCAAAAGTCAAAATTAGTTGAAGATATCGCTTTGACTATTGTCAATTTCTCAACAACAACAAAAAATCTAGTCACCTCGAGGTGATAATTCTAAATATTATGGATTCACATAATTGAGCTCACCTGCAGGCAACTTTCTCTCTCTCTCTCTCTCTCTCTCTCTTGCTCTCTCTTTCCCACCTAGCCTCTAATTCACACCCAATCAAATATTGTGGAACCACAATATTTGGGAGTCATTTATATCTCCTAATGACTTCCTATTCCCGCTTTTTACGCGTGCAACTCTTAATTGGAGAACGATAATATTGAGGGGGGACCTAGATTTTTCTAAAATTCCTAAATATCATTCACTTCTTCTCCTTCTCCTTCTTCTCCTTCTTCTTCTTCATCTCCGGTAAATACGTAGCTCGTGGTCGGCTTTTCGCCACCTAATTAGGCTCCTTTTCGTTGGTGGAGGGGATCAAAGGCAGGAAGTGGCCGAATAATTGGAGTCCCTTCCTCTTCTACCCCCCTTTCCAATCAACTTCCACTTTTCACATAGTTCACAGGGATCCGAAGGGTTCAGGGGGCAAAAATTAAAGCTTACACGTGTTTAACCAGACTTTTTGAGCCAGACATCTAACGAATCGGTTGAAAATTACACAAAAATCGTTAAAACTAAACTGGCATACTTTCAACGCTTTGTATCTCAGCGGCGAGTGGAGATTTTGAATAGTAGTTAACTAACGAAATATTCCTTGAGAAATTGTCTACATTTGGCCAGTTGACAACTTTTTTATATCTCTACCCGCCGCTGAGATATGTCGATTTGAACACAAACGGTTATTTTTCAGGTCGAATCCTTCTGGACGTGCCGTGCAGAGTGTGTCAGGATCACTCTTCCGGCAAACATTACGGAATATTCTCGTGCGACGGATGTGCCGGCTTTTTTAAGGTAAACCGGACAAGAATTTTTATCTTTTTTAGAAAATTTTTTCATAAAATGTGATCAACTGACGAAATGTAGAGCAAAGTGAACTGTGCTCATAGAAAAATAATTGTAAATTTAACTTTTCATACAAAAAAGTTATTCGAGTTGTTCCGTGAAAAATGGGGGCTAACGGGGAAGACGGAAGGACATTTTCGGCGAAAAGTATGAAAAGCTAAATTTACAATTATTTTTCTATGAGTAGAGTTCACTTTGCTCAAACTCAACACAGTTGAGTCTTTGCTCGAAGACATCGTTATCAAAAGTAGAATTTTCTAGAAAAGCGTTCTGATCTTTGTTATAAATAAAACCCAAGAGACGTCTGTCTGTCTGTGAGCGCTCGCTTTTTTTCAATTCGTTCAATTTGCAGCGCTCAATCCGCCGTCACCGTCAGTACGTGTGCAAGAACAAGGGCGGCTACGAGGAGGGACGGTGCGTCGTCGACAAGACGCACAGAAATCAGTGCAGGCAAGTCTATGGTCTATGGGGATTAGGTTTCAGGGCGATCACAAATTACCGCACACCTCCTCCTCCCTCCACTTTTCGCTTTTTGATTGATGACTATTGTAGTGTTCAACCAAAAAAAACCGACTAATCCATTTGTATTTTTAAGAGCGTGCCGCCTGCGAAAGTGCCTCGAAATCGGCATGAATAAGGACGCGGTGCAACACGAAAGAGGCCCGCGCAACTCGAGTTTACGGCGCCAGCAGATGATGTTCGAGCACGGCGGAACGTCGCCCAACTCGGTACGTCTATGCAATAACAAAAACGGGGTTTGAAGGTCGAATAAGTTTGAAGTAAACACTGTAATAGAAGGGCACACCAATACGGGTCATTCAAAACATCATATCTCAGTTTTTGGTGGAGATATCAAAAAGTTGTCAACTAATGAAATGTTCGCTAGAAAATTGTCTACATTTTATCAGTTGACAACTTTTTGATATCTCCACCCACAACTGAGATACATTGTCTTGAATAAAGGGTCCGATGACAGAACTGGACCATTCACACAAAAATCCAATTCGACAGACAGAAATCAAAAATCAGTGTCAAAAACGGTTGGCGCGAGTGTCAAAAATCGAAAATCCCGATTAACTACAGTAATCCGTGTCAATCTGCGGCCAGTTTTCTGACGGCGGCGGCGGCGGCGGAAAAGCAAAAAAAAGGTGAAAAGTTGTGTGGCCACCTACAGTAATCGGTTAGTCATGCGCCCCCCGACGGCGGATATTGTCTGGGAAGAAAATGGACGGATTTGTACTGTTTTCACTGATAGATTTCGAAAAAAAAAAAAAACGCCGAGCAGATGTGTACTGTGAATACTGTGTATTCAGTTACCAATTGGTCCGAGATTACATTACATTACATTACAAGTGCTTAGAAACAGATGATGTTCGTTCGATTGGTTGAGCAAATAAAAATATTGAGAGACAGTAGCGAAAAGAGGGATTACTGTAGTTGGGGGGGAAAATGGATTTCAAAACTCTGTCAATTTTCAGCCGGAAATGGGTTCGGAAAGCGACGCAGTGATGATGCTGCCGCCCGCGTCGATCGATCGGGACTCTGTGACGGGCACCGCCGCGCGTCTCTTCTTCGCCCTCGTCGGATTCTGCCAAAACTCGCTGAACGGAGTGCCGCGCGACCGTCAACTCGCCGTTTTTCAACAGAATTGGGCCGCCCTGCTCATTTTGCACGCGACGGAAGCACGCGCGATCACGGCGCGCCAGATTCGGAGTGAGAGCGGCGGCAGTGCGACCGCCAAACAGAGAAATGAGGTGCGTTTGAAGTGGTGTGCTCAAGTCCCCTCATTTTTTGAAAAATTGTACTACTATGTACATTTTTGGCGGCGCTGTACCCAATGATATCAGTATCATCACTTCACCGCGAAGTTCAAATTGGGCCCCGCCCATTCAGCGTTCAATTCTTGCAAGTAGCGCGCGCAGTTTTCGCAAAGGTGCCGCACGCATTTTGCCCTTCAGTTCGACAGTGAAAAAACAAGTGAAAATACTTTCGTTGTCGGTTTTTAGTGTATTTTTTCTGAAAAGAAGATGAAACAAGGCGACAGAATAGGTTTTGATAACAAAAAAATAATTTTCTGCTTTAATTTTCAAGAATTCGGTGTTCAGAGCAATGCGTGCGGCACCGTTGCGAAAACTGCGCGCGCTACTTGCAAGAATTGGACGCTGAATGGGCGGGGCCCAATTTGAACTTCGCGGGCTTTTCTCAGGGGACAGGAGCGGTGAAGTGATGATATTTTGAGCATACGTTGGCCGGAAATTGAAATTCTCTAAAACTTTCAGGTGGCCGCCGCGTTCGAAATCGTCGAAAACCTGCACCTGGACAACCGCGAGTGCATGCTTCTCAAACTGTTTTCGCTGATGAAGGACTCTCCGTCAGGGCCGCAGATCGGCTTCCAGCTCGCTTCCATTCAGAGCATGACTCATCGCGCCGATCCGCTCCGCTTCTGGAAGTGAGTCACTATTTTTGTTCGTTTTTTCGATCTGAAAAGTCACGGTTGCGAAACGTCCATCTCCAGAATCATGTTGGATGTTGTGTGTTTTGAAGCGTATAGCATTCCATATCACACGGTCTCCAGAGCTGACAATATGGGCGTGGCGGCCTCGGCCAAATGGCGTTTTCATGGATTGAGCATGTTTTTTCTGATTTTTGACGTCAAAGGCGATGAAAAATGATTGTTCGACATGAAAACACACTAATTCTCAGAATTAATGACGTTTTGGCGCATTTTTCGCGGACTTTGCTTTTTCGCCTTCGCCGCCTAAAAACCGCACTTCTCATTTTGCGCTTTCTTGACCGTTTTAGACAGAATTGGTTTTGAGAATGATAAATCACGTAAATACAAGCATTTTGAGCGCTCGAACCGCGAAAACTACCGAAAAGCAACAGAAATTCACGCATTTTTAGCCAAAAACCTTCAAACGGATAAATATGATTTGCGACTTGACCAAATTTAACGCTCTTGCGCTTAAAAAATTCGTAATAGCCTATACAATTGGTATATCGAGAGACAAATGAGAAATTATCGATTTTTCGTGGCTAATCTGGCAAAAAAAAACTAATTTTGATGTTAAAATTTGAATTTCGCGCCAATGTATCGCTCTATTGGGCGGGGCGCATTTGCGCGCCCATTGTCAGCTCTGGAGACCGTGCATATTGTTTTAACGACTTCAGTTTGAGAGTGATGTTCCTTTTGGGCCCAAATTTTTTAACGGTGGCCTTCATCAGGCATTGGTTTAACTATCTACAAGTGATAACATTGGCATATGTCAGTAAATGTGTACCGCCGCCACGTACCTATGAAAGGCTCCAAAAAGAGCATCACTCTCCCTAAACTCTTCACCAGAGTTGAGCGGAAGAGCACGAAAGAATTTTTATCTTTTTTAGAAAATTTTTTCATGGAATGTGATCAACTGACGAAATGTAGAGCAAAGTGAACTCTGCTCATAGAAAAATAATTGTAAATTTAACTTTTCATACAAAAAAGTGGGGTAACGGGGAAGACGGAAGGACATTTTCACGCAACAACTCGAATAACTTTTTTGTATGAAAAGCTAAATTTACAAGTATTTTTCTATGAGCAGAGTTCACTTTGCTATACATTTCGTCAGTTGATCACATTCCATGAAAAAATTTTCTAAAAAAGATAAAAATTCTTCGGTTGAGTTCTTCCGCTCAACTCTGCTCTTCACTAACAGTTGCACAAAAATCGATGACTCTGGTTTGCAGATGCATGACGGCCGTCGGATCGCCGCCCACTCAATCCATCATCGACGTTCTGTTTCGTCCGTCGATCGGCTCGGCGTCGATGAGCAGACTCATCGAGGACATGTTCAAACCGCCGAAAGTGGCGGCCACTTCCCTGTTCCCGCTCGCCAATTTAAACTTGAACTTTTTGATGAAGCACCGCAACGAGGTGGACGAGGAGGAGGAGGAGGACGAAGAAGACGACGACGACGACAACCAATTCGACGAGGACTCCTCCATGGATGACAGGTAACACTTGTGTTCTATAGATACGAAAGATGAGACCGAATATTGTAGATCTCTGAGTGACGTGGACCCGATGCAACTGCTCCTTAAATTGAACAATTCGCAAGAGATGATTCCGTCGAAGCCACGTCATTCGATTCGATCGATAACCGAATTGTTATCGATAAAAGAGGAGGTGAAAGTGGAAGAAAGCTAGAAAAATACACGAATCCTATAATATTTCATTTCATTTTTTAATAAACAAAATCGATTTCCCCCCTCCCCTCGAAAGTATCTCCTCTCCTCACATTCTTTTTTCTTTCCCTGAAACCCTTGCCTCTCCCGGACTTATTTATTTGTATTTTCACACTTTGTCATGTTTTTCCGTAAATGAATAACATTTTGAAAGTACTGTAGGATTACTGTAGATACAGTACTCTTCAAAATGATCGGATCGAGAACAGACTTTCATGGTAACATGTTTGGAGTATTGTAGGGTCACTGTGAACATTTGGAGCGGATTACTGTAGGATAACGGTAGTACGGTAGCAAATCAGCTCGCCTCCTTTTTCGCAACCAATTCCGCAACCAGACACTTAGTTACTGCGGGAAATGTTAGAGTTGCGAGGGAAGCCAACAAATCGAAGCATTCTGAAATAATCGTGACCGTCTTGAAATGTCGAAAAAAGAGAGGAAAAGGAACAGAGAAGAGGGGGTGATATTGTTGATGTGATAATCTTGTCATCCGCATCCGAATCGCCCTTATTCCCCAATCATTTATCACTCATCTCGCATTGCGTGTCCTCGTTCCCCGCTGACCCTCCAAATCTATCGCCTATTTGTTCCTGTCCACAAAAAATGACTTTTAGAACCGATTATCGATACATTTTCTCGATGAATTTATATCGAAAAACCAATCCAATATATATATATATATCAATTTCCCTCTCAAAGAAACGGTTTCGATTAGCAGATGATTAACAGAGAGAGAGAGAGAGAGAGAAAGAAGAAGAAGAAGAAGAAGAAGCCTGTCTTCTTCTTCTTCTTCTCCTTCTTCTTCTTCCTCTTCCCGTTTTCTGTGTAATCACTCCCTCCTTTTTTCCAATTTCCTTCCGCGTTTTCCTTTGTTTCACTCACCCGTTGTTGTTTTATAAAACTTGTGTACCAAACCATTTTTGTATACTAAAAAATGTATGTTTTTTTTCAAGCTCCGCCCTTTTTTGAAGGTGCTCAAAAGCACGGACAAAAGGCTTTCTGGTGCTCCTTCTAGGCTCTCGTAACTCGATTTTTTCAGATAAAATCCAAGAATTCGAATGAAAGAGTACAAAATTGTGGTGCTCGGGGACGGCGGAGTTGGCAAGAGTGCGCTGGTAATAATTCTTTTCAAATTCTTCAAAACCTGGCGTAACTTTTCCCCCGGCCCTGGGCCTAGAGACTTTTCAAAGGCTACATTAACCACCGCAATCCTACAGTAAACCTAAAGTACTTTGCAAAGTCTTAGAATGTTTCAGACTCTTCAATTCGTCCAGGGAATCTTTGTGCACAATTACGACGCGACCATCGAGGATTCCTATCGGAAAATGTCGACGATCGAGGCGGAAAACGCGAGATTGGAGATTTTGGACACTGCCGGAACGGTTGGTCATTTAATTTTCAAAAAAATCAGTGAAACATCCCAAAATTTCAGGAGCAATTTTCGGGAATGCGCGAGACGTACTACCGTACCGCCCAGGGCTTCGTGCTCGTGTTTTCTCTCGCCGAAAAGTCGACTTTCGAGAACTTGAAGCAAATTTTTCTCGAAATATTGAAAATTCGCAATGAAGATGTGAGTTTCTCTGCTTAAAATGTTTCAAATTGCAAACTTTTCAGGTGCCAATGGTGCTGGTGGGAAATAAGTCGGATTTGGTCGAAACGCGACAAGTTGAAGAGGCCGAAGCTCAGAGTTTCGCGAAGAAATTGAGAATTCCGTATTTTGAGTCGAGTGCTCGACTGAATCAGAACGTTTCCGAGGTAAATCCGTGCTTTCCCGGCGTTCAATCGAGTTCCGTTCAGGTCTTCGAAGAGTGCGCAGTTCTCATTCAAAAATCCGCCAAAACCCACGTGGAACGTCGTCGATGGTCATCTGAACCCGAATTAACCGATAAAAATTGCAAAAACTGGCTAAAATCCTACTGCTGTTGCCTTATTCCTTGCATTCACTAATCTCTATATGTTTTATGAACGAAAAATCAACAACAAACGCGAAAATATTCTATGAGATGCTTCTTTTAGATGGGGGTCGCCCATTCCTCGCTGACCGATCGGGCGACGACGACTCCGACGCCGAATCCGACGATTCCCTTGAAGATGCTCCTGAAATCGATAGAATTCATAGAAAAATCAGAGAATTTAGGCGACAAATACCAGAAGAACGGATCATTGTAGACTGTGTTGACGATTTCGAAGCGCGTCTTGAGGGGCGGCGGCGGTGGTGGAGCTCCTTGCATACGGAACATTTTTCAAGCTGAAAAATCATTTTTTTGAGTCGAAAAAATAGCGGAAGAACGCTGAAAATGTGCTGAAAAATCTCGAAAAAATGATGTAAAAAATTCTAAATCTCGCGGGTCAGCTATTCTTTGTTGACGCACTTCTCGTGGCCGCGCTGGCGTGTTTCTCGTGCCGTCCAAAGTCCACCGTTCGGGCCGGTGTGGCCCGTTATCAGGTTCATTTCACGTCATTCCCGCCGTCGCATCGAACGAATCGCATTTTTGCCGTCCTATTGAACCCAAAACGCGCACATTTCCACCGTGTTTTCACTGAAAACTCGATTTTTTTAGATTTTTTTCCGATTTTCAGATGCTACGCTCGTCAAACTTGTGCCGAGTGGCTGTGGGAGCCCGTGCGAAGCACTCACTGGTCGGCGACGACTATCAGTACCTCGAAAAATCGGAAATTCCGTCGTATCACTTCCAAAAATCGTTGCGACGTCTTCCGATTCCGAAACTCGCCGATACAGTCAATCGGTAGGGCGTTTTTTAGCCAAAAAATCAATGAATCCTCTCAGATACCTCGCCGCTTCGAAAGCGGTCCTTTCGCCCGACGCCTTCCAGAAAACCGAGGCCTCAATTCGGAATTTCGAGAAAAATGAGGCGCCAAAGTTGCAAGAAGCACTTCTGGAGTACGATAAAGCGCATCGGGACACGAGCTACATCTCCGAGCCGTGGTTCGACATGTATTTGAGGGCGAGAGTGCCCGTGGCCGTCAATTATAACCCATTTATGATGTACGCACCCGATCCGGACCCGAAATTCAATGATCAGGTGCGGAAACGATATTGTGTTCGAAAATTTTGGAAGAAGATCCGATTTTTCGTTGCTAGTCTTATCTGTAGTCTGTCTGACCTCCATTCACCGATAAAAACGAAAAGAGGAGAGAGGAAAGAGAGCGCAGAGAGAAATGGGTAAATTGTAGTCTTGTGTGTGGGTCTTGGAGGCTATTCTGTAGCCAAAATATAGAAATTAAAAGAATTCATTTATTCTTTGTGCTTCTGCTTCTTGTAATGGCTACATTTTACACTGAAAACTCGAAAAAAAGCTCCGTTTTTCCAGCTGACCCGAGCCACGAACCTCGCGATTTCGTATGCGAGAATCAAGCGATCACTGGACGAGAATGTGCTCGCCCCGGAGGTTTTTCACATGAATCCCAAGAAAAGCGACACGAAGCTGTTCAGGACCGTCTGCAAGTGAGCAAGAAATTCGTAATTTTCAACCACAGTAATCTCTTGCGTTTCAGGACCCTTCCGCCCAGTCTCTCTTGGTTCGGAGCCGTCGCTTTCAAGGCGTTCCCGCTGGATATGTCCCAGTACAAATCACTGTTTTGTGGATCGAGAATTCCGAAAAGAGAAAAGGATGTGCTCTATGTGGTACGTCTTTTTATTGTAATAATCTGAAACAGTTCAATTTTTGCGCAGGACGCCAAACAAAAGCACTTTATCGCAATTTACAAGGGAATTCCGTACGCGGTGCGCATTTTCGACGATTCCGGAGCACTTTTGGAGGCGGAAGACGTGCACGCGTCGCTCGCGTGGATTCTCAAGAACGGAAAAGAGGCAAAGCCGGAGGAGAGCGTCGGTGAGCACTTTCTGGCTTTTTGAGGCCTGGATCTTTGGCCTACTTGCAATGATCCGATCGGGCCCAAACTTTGCAGGCTTCTCGGACTTGGATGAAACTATATTAGGACCAAGTTTCAGACCGATCGGATCATCCGGTCCCGAGATATACTGTTTTGATTGAGGTCCTTTTGCCGAGCCCTCATTAGTATTGCTCTATTAGACTATTACAAAACGTTTTCCAGGAGCGCTAACGTCTCTGGACCGAGATTCGTGGGCCGACGCACGTGTGGAACTCGAAAATGCCGGAAATGGAGCACACTTGAAGAAGGTTTCACGATTTTTTGGAGGTTTTTGAGAATTTTGAAACATTCAGATCGATGGAGGCCTTTTTGCCATCTGTTTGGACGATTTGAAGACGCAGTATCACAAGAGGTGAATTTTGATTTTTAGCTTTGTAAATTCGTTAAAATTGTCAGACTGGTGCAATCGTTGCTGATCGGAGACGAGGCGCGCAACCGCTGGTTCGACAAGTGCTTCCAGACGATCGTCGACGCAAACGGACAGGCGACCATCAACTTCGAGCACTCGTGGGGCGACGGGGTGGCGGTCCTTCGACTGATGGAGGAGTCCTTCAAAGACACCAATCGCAACCATTTCGTTTCTTCGGAAGATGCTCCGCGAGCCGTCGACCCCGCCCACGTGGAAACGCTCGAGTTCTCGCTCACCGACTCGCTCAAGACGAAAATTGCGGCGGCGCAGAAGAGCCACGTGGCGGCGAACCGGGACTTGGACTTTGCGACGATGGAATTCGAGGGCCTGAACAGAGATGCGATCAAGAGGACCAAGTTGTCGCCGGATTCCGTCATGCAATTGGCCATCCAAATGGCCTTTTATTCGCTTTATAAGGAATTTGTGCCCACTTACGAGTCGTGCTCGACTGCCGCGTTTTTGAAGGGACGGACGGAGTGTATGAGGTGAGAAAAGTGGTTTTTAAATACGTTTTTAAACGGAAATATAAACTATGTTTTTGTGAATCAAATACTGTTTCCCAATTTACTTTTTTGCGCTGTTATCTTATCCGACAATATTTCCCGATGTTACATCGCATTTCCATCGAATCTAATCTCCTTTTCTTGCAGATCCGCCACTGCGGCCACCCGCACCGCCACCCTGGCAATCCTCGAAGAGGGCCGGAAAGACGTGCGGTCGCTGCTGAACGACTGCTCTTCGCAGCACTTCCAACTGGTCAAAGAGGCCTCGATGGGCCAGGGATTCGATCGGCACCTGCTCGGACTGAAGATCACCGCTCAGAGACTCAACCAGGACACTCCCCAATTCTTCCAGGTAAAAATGATCATTTTGTATTCACAAACACATAGATCCATAGAAAATGCAATTTTTCTACCTTTGACAGGACGCGGGATACGCCCGAATGGGTCATTTTGTGCTGTCGACGAGCACGCTCAGCACCGAAACCATCGTTTTCGGAGGATTCGGACCCGTGGTGGCCGACGGATTCGGCATCGGCTACAATGTGGTCGCCAGCAAGTTGGGCGCCGTCATTTCCAGCAATAAGGTGGGAAAGTGTGTGAAAACACGCGTTCAAAACACTGATGTTGTTCATTTTTTCGCGCCTATTCGCTTTTCCCTTGCCCCTTGTCTTTTCTTGTAAGCAGTTTCTCAATCGTCGCTCGCCCAGGCCTGGGACCATCCTAATCTGGCTGAGTTCGAGTGCAGAATGGGGTGCATTTCCTAAATAACCTGGTATTCTTAAAAGAAAGCCCCCTCCCTTTTCAACAGAGGACATATTCCGAGCCGGAGAAAACATTTCTGAAACAAGTACTGTCGGGCGTTTTTGTATGTGACTCCTTTTGAATGTTGCCATGAAAGTTCCACAAAAAACCGGTTTCACAATGAATACATTTGAATTTTCAGTCAAAACGCGACGCGGCGGCATTCTCGGCGGCCCTCCATAAGAGTTTGGACATTCTCCGTGGACATCTCGTGGAAGCCAAGTAGAACATTCAAAAAAATTTTGTAATTAGATTATGTGTAAACTGCTTATTTATCTGATTATTCTCGTCAATTCAATACCTCTAATTTTCTGCCGCCAGAATTACAGTCAGTTTTAACAGGTAAAAATAACGTTTTTTTTTGGTACTGTTTACATGTAAATTTTTCTATATTTTTTGTGATAAAGACTCTTATCAGTCGGAAAATGCGATCGATTTTTTGTTGAAATGGTGATGGCTGACCAATTTTATCTGGTTTTTTGTTCATTTTTTTGTGTTTCATATCAATTTTACGCTTTCTGGATCGTTGGAGAGTAAGCCCGCTTTTTCAATTATTTTCTCTTCTTTGCATGTTTTTTTTATTCATGAGAACACAGCGTTGTGAAAAAAATTTAAAGCAAAATTTCAGCGTCTCAAAAAATGGCGGACTCGACGTCTCCGATCCGAGCAGAAATGGTGGAAGCGGCGCGGAAATTCATGCTGACTCCGAAAGTGAAAGAGACGCCTTTCGAGGAGCAGCGGCAGTTTCTGATCGGAAAAGGAGTGACGGACGCGGAAATCGCCGAGGCGAGGGCCTCCATTCCGCCCGAACAGCTCAGAACTCAAATTGGGATCAACGGGAATGGAGGACAGATGTACATGGGTCATCCGCCCACGCAACAGAATAAGTACGGTTTGGAGACGATTTTTGAATTCGTTTTCGAAAAATTCACTTACAATATGGGCGTGGCGCTTTATGGCTCGCTTTTGCGCTTGAGAAATTAGTCTTGGCCTGTACAATTATGACTAGTTTGACTAGTTTGACTAGGTGACTAGCTATGGAAAAATGTGGAACTCGAAACAGAAATAATTTTTAATTGCTTTTCCATCTGCAGAATCGTCTCCCTGGCCCAATCGGCCGTGGTGCTCGGATCGATTTCCTATGCCGGATATCGATTTGTCCGCTCGTACGTTCTGCCACGATTCTTCGATATTCCCGATCCGGCGACCGAGGAAATTCGACAATTACAGGTCAGATTTACGGGTCTTCGTTATTATTTTTCATATAAGAAAGTAGCAGGATTCCTGTAAAAATTTGTTTAAAAAGTGCAAATGTTTTATGTCGCCAAAAAACGAGAGTTATATAAGTGGATTTCTATTGGAGAATGATAGGAAATTACATTTTTTTTTTTTCATTTCAAAGACAAGATACATGTTTGCAGTCGCAAGTGAACGATCTCCAGAATTCGATCAAGTTTATAATGGACAGTGTCTCGCAAACGACTCAACAACTGGCGACGCAACAAGCCGAAATATCGAGAGCCCTTTATTCGGTGGCCAATCGAGACGCCGATTTGAACAGGGTCGAGGTACGCTTTCGCCTTTTTTTAAATAGAAATTTTGGAATATAATTCGCTGACAACTGACAAAAGCTGGGCATTGGGCCGGTGTGGACTTTTGACCCACTTGCAATGATCAAATCGGGACCAAACTTTGCAGGCTTTTTGGACATGGATGGAAGTATATTGGGACCACGTTTCAGACCGACCCGATTATTCACGGCCGAGTGCTTGAGGGCCGATTTTTTCTAATGATGATCCGTTCGGTCTGAAACTTGGGCCCAACATTTTTCAATTTTTTAGTCCGAGTGAGAGCACTAGAATTTCGAGCCAAAACTGCATATATATATATATATATAATTTTTCTGAAAGTGGAAAAAAGACGTATCAGAAATTGCATTTGGAAAATGTGAATTGTTCATTCTCCAGAGCGGAATCTCGACAATAAAAAGTCTTCTGCTGAGCCAACACAATTTCGCGCCGATCGTCGCTCCGAGCGTGACTTCGTCGATTCCCTCATGGCAACAGGTACTGCAAAACAAAAAAGATGAATGAATGAAATGTGCCATTGTTTACAGAGCGCAATTCCGACGACTGCCACGTCGATGACGACGACGACGACGACGTCAGAAGCGGCTTCCGGATACGCGACGCCGCCGGCGAACTTCCGCGAAGCCTCTTTGGCCGACGAACTGGCCGGAATCGATGACATCGAGGAGGCCATCTGATTTTTTAATTGTTTCAAAAAATCAAGTTGTTCGATTTTCCCCCTGTAATTGTATTGCATTTTCTGTGATTTCTCCAACATTCCCAACCGCCATTTTCTTGTTACATTCTCAGGCATTTCCATTGAGCATTTGAAATTCTGTGATAATTTACTGAGTTAATAAAATAACATTTTTTAGAACAATTTGTAACTGTTTAGGGTCAAATAACGGTAATTTGTTGCCTGAAAGTTATCAGAAAACAGCTTGAAACTAAACATTTTTGAAATCCAGAGCGCATAATGCATAAAACGCTGATTTCGGCCGGAATTTGCACTTTCCGCCGATTTTTGGCCACCGGACGGAAAGGGACCAACGGCGATGCGAATCGGGCGGATACGGGTGCGTTTTTGAGCGAAACTTTTAGAAACATTTGGAAAAATTGGCGGCGAAACGAATTTCCTCCTAAAATTATTGATTTGTTAGTTACTTAGCAGGGGTAATTGCTCGAAAAATTGCAAAAAGTAGATAATAAAACCAGCGTTCATTAAAGTTTAGTCTACAAAATGTGTTTGTCGCGTCTGGATTTGTGGCGGGCGGCCACCGACGACATGTTGACCTGCATCAAATTGGCGGCAAAACGGCAGCCGTCGGCGAAAATGGTGCCGCGGACGACGGGCTCGCCGAGCAACGCTTTCACGTTTCGGCCGAACGTCGTCGTCGCCGAAAGAATCTCCTCTCCGCGCGTCGCCACGTCGTCCGGCTCCGATGTGTCCTCCGAATCCGACAATATAAAATCGGAGAGCGACAATTCGCAAATGGCTTGACCGAGGGCGATCCAGCGCTCTTCTTTCTGCAAAATTTCACGGTTTCACGAATCTCTCTTTACAAAGTTAATAAAACGGAAAAAATAGTTATTGGTGGGTTTACAATTCCAATAACCCGTCGATAAACAACGTATTCCGTTTCAAATTTTGAAAAAAAAGCCCTCACTTTTTTGGCCGCAATCTCCTCCTTCTGCGCCTTTTTCTCGGCTTCTTCCGCGACGGCCTTGCGGAATAATTCGGCGCGTTCCTCGAAAGTCATCAGTCCCGCCGGCCGACTCGTTTCCTTTCTAGGCTCCGCCCACTTTTTCGGTTTTTGTTGTGGAATCGCCGATTTTCGCGGTAACATCGCTACTTTTTTGTGCGCCGGCGCCGTTCCCAACCACGCCCTCCACTCTCTTTGATTCGCCATTCTCGCCGTTTTCGCTTCCTTAAATTGGATTTGTTTTTCTTCAAATTTTTGGATTGAAAATACCATTTTTCCGTGATAGCCAATGTCATTCTGATAATGGGACATTGCCTGAAATTATAGAAAAAAAGGAAGATGTTTTAAGGAGATGAAATTCGCTCACTTCTTCCATAGCCTCCTCAATTTCATAATTTAACTCTGGCTCTTCAAGACTCTGAAAATCGGATTCATGTCGACGTCTTGTTTTCAACGAATGTTCAGTGGTTTTTTTTTGTCTTTTCTCGAAAATGCGACTACAGATATTATAGGGGCACCGGACAGAAAGGGCGCGCTGTTCGCAATCTGGCAGAATTTCTAGACCGCGAAGTAATTTTCCACTGAAAACGTGGCCTAACTTTTCAAACTCGGCCCCGAGGTCGCTCAATTTCTACTGCAAAAAGAGTTTCTCAACAGAGCGCCATTTCTGTGCGGTGTTCCTATAATATGTTTAAATTTATATCATATAAGTTAGAGTTCAGTCTATTCTTCGTGTGGCCGAAGTTTTGCAACTGTTGAAATTGCTAGGCCACACGTCGCTTGTGTATTTCAAAAACCTACTTTTTCTGCCTCTTCCTCTCCGCTCTCCTGATCATGCTTCTCCATTTCGTCGAAATTCTGAAAAAGATTTTTTTGTGTTTCAAAATTATCGAAAAATGTTGGCTGTTGGCTGTTGGAAGCTGTTTTCGAAGTTGCACAATACAAATATTATTTATTAATAAAAGAAAGCTAAAATGAAATACCCGAAGGAGAAAAGGAAAATTATGACAAGTGGCAGAATTGGTTTACAACAAAGTTTTTAGTGCCCGACACCCTTTAAATTAATCAAATCAATTTCCAAGTTTGCGGATCGGATGTCGGTCCCGGACCGACTTCTCGGCCACGTTGCACGCCATCGAGGTGAACTCGAACGCGCTGCGGAATACAGTAGTTTTCGCATCGGGACCCAGCAAATCCTTGAGCGCCGTCGAAAAGTGCCACACGTTCGCGACGACGTCCTCTCCGCGCCACGCCAATTTTTGTTTCGACCGCCCGTTCGGCTCCTCGTCGTCTTCCTCGCAAAAAGAGCATTCTGAAGTGTGTGACGGCGATTTCTGTGCAAATTCTGGTCGGTTTGCGTCGGCGGAAACGTCCATTTCGAGATCTCGGGGAGTCAGAGCACAAACTGCGCGGCCCACTTGGATAAAGTGATTGTCGATCTGAAGATTGACTAAGGTAGCAGTAAATTACAACAAAAATTTGAATTAAAAACGGAAAAATGACCAAAAATGCTGAGGAAACGGTGGAATTTTGAACAGTTCCGAAGCGCAAATAGAAACACAATTTCTGGCTGATAATGATTTTCGGGTCATTTTCCCATTTTTACGTCAATTTTGTAAGTGTCCATAAAAATTAAGGAAATCGCTGAAATTAATTGACAAGCGGAGTCTGCGTACACCGCGCGACATTAAGTTTTAAAAAAAAGCGAGCTCACCTTATCCCTGGCCTCCTGCTCTTTTCTCGCAATCTCCGCCCGATGCTTCTTTATTTTATCGACGCGTTGCCCGATGTAAACCACGGATTTCTGGTTCACATTGCAAATTGTGCCAGTGAGCGCGAGCGTGTTCGCCAGAATTGTGCCGCGCGAATTCCAGTCGCCCGTCAACTTTTTCAAGTTGTTCACAAAATTGGCGACGTTCGCGACGACTTCTTCTCCGGAGCACTGTTCCGGCGGGCACGGATCCGCGAAATCCGCGTGGAAAACGCCGAAGTCTTCGGGCGAGAGGTCGCAAATCGCACGGCCCAACTCGATGAAACGTGCCTCGTTCTGCAAATTTAGTACTATCGCTGAATAACCTTGTCAAAAAGCGAATGTGCTTATTTTGATTGTTTTTACACTTCCTCAAAACGAAGAGCAGCTTTAAAATCTGAAACTGTGATTATGACGTCGGTTTTCCTATGTTCACTAGAGCGCGCTTGCCAAATACGAGCGAAAATCAATGTTCAATAAGATTTTCGTCCGTTCCATTCCAGACGCGTACTTTTTTGCGGTACTCCTTCTGCTTGGCCGCTTTTCTCGCCCGTTCCTCCTCGATTGCGATTCTCCGTTTTTCGGCGAGCTCTTCCGTCGTAAAAACCTGCTGTTTCGCCGGTTTCGCTTGCGTTTTTCGATTGCTCCCAGGAAACCACGGCACATTTCCTTTCATCACTTTTTTCCGCTGAAAATCTGACAGGTTTTGACAAACATATTGGGTTTTACGATGAATTTTGCGAATTTTCAGCAAAATATAAAAAGAACGGTGAAAATGGCCGAGAAAAGAGGAACGGCACGAAAAGTTCGGTAGAGCGCACTTGCATTCACAACGGGGTGCCGAGTAGACGTATTGATTCGGGAAAAGGGCGAATTTGAGAGGAAGTTGTCATAACATTTGGGAAAATACCAGAAAATTCAAGATTCCTGTAATCAAGCTCAACTCTCTGCGAAATAATTAAACCAATTCAAAAGTGTCTCTGTTTCAAGTTTTTGTGAAACAGTATTTCGGCGAAAAACATCTTCAATGCTAGAGAAGGAATGTTTGCAAACCAGAAATGATGAATTGCAGGAGTACTGGACGGATACCACCTGAATCCGTTGGGCGAGTCGGACATGACCGAACGGAGTCGCATTTCGATGCTCTCGACCGAAATGCTCGAGGCCAAACAGATTGGCGTTCGCGGCCTCTCCTGCTACGGATTCCGACTTCTCGACGGATCATTCTTGTTCGTTTTTCTGAGATTCAGTGTGTGTTTGTCGAGAAAAAGCATTTCTCAAAAAAGTCTCGACGCACACTGATTAGGGGCTTGTTCAGTTTGGCAGAAAGCTGGTAAATTGCCAGTAATCAGCCGATTCTGGTTTCTCCCATAAAAATCAAGTTTTTAATGGTTTTTTACCCAACCGAATGAGCCCATGACACTTTGATTTTTCTGTTAGAATATCACAAATTTCCCTTAAATATCCTCTTAAAATGTTTGCAGATACGGTCCGATCGCGCTTTTCCCAAAAACGGCTCTTTCGTGGCGAGTGCCCACTCCAGATGACATTTCTCCCCGATCGCTGGCTCTTTTCACGGCACTCGAACCCAAAATTGATATTTTGGTCATCGGAGTTGGCGACAAGAAGAATATCGATCGGTTTGATCATTTTTTTTACATTTTTTTTCAAATATTTGTTTCCAGAGTGCGCGCTAAAGTGGCACCGTTCCTGCGTGAACACAAAATCGGACTCGAAATTATGGATACGGTAGGTTCTTGAAAAGTCTGCTGAAAATTTCCGTTAATTTCAGGAAGACGCGATCGCCACTTTCAATTTCCTGAACGCAGAGGGTCGGTACGTGGGAGCGGCCCTGTATCCACCGGACGATATGATTGTGACGGACAGGGAGTATGGAAGAGCACTCGCACTCCTGAAGGGATGGGACACGGTATGGTTTGGGCCAGCTCTTGTGAAAATATGGAACGTTTGAACTGAAATGAGCGATGTAGAAAGAAAAACCGTTGAAAAAACTTACTCTGAATAAACTCATAGCTTCTATGAATCATTAAAACATACTCTGCTTTTCCTGGCTTATATTTCGAGTGATTTTCAGGTGGAAGAGAATCCGATGCTGACGGGACTGTCGGATACGATCAACGAAGCAGAGGATCTCGTAAGACGGCTGTGGAGTGGAGATGAGCAGAGTTGGCAGACCGCCCGCAAAAAGGTTCGCTCTTCTTTTTTTCTGTTTCGCGAGGTATCGACAGCAACAAGAATGATTTTAAGAAGCGAACAGATGGGGCTTCTTAGTTATGAGGACCGTACCGTTTTGCAACGTGACGTTTCGCCACTAAAACAGTTTTCGAAACTATTGCGTTTCGCAACCGTTCTGTTTCGCTACTAAGGGTATTTTGAAGCAGCTTCCGGGTGCTCTTCGACTTTATTTTTTACGAATGTGTGATCACCCTGAAGCTGGAGAATCTTTTAAAAAAATGTGGTGAGTACGACGAGATTGCCTCGATGGGACACCTTCAAAAAGTTGGGGCTAGTTGCGAAACACATGGTTGACATTCGCTATGGTTGGCAAACGTGAGAGTTGCCAAAATTGTTTTAGTGGCGAACCGAAGAGGTCTCCAAAAAGGGATCTCTCAACAGAGCGCATTCACATTTCAATGCTTTGCAGGTGCTCGAATCGCCGTCGGAACGCGAAGAGCGAATGCAGTTGGAGGTGGAAGAGAAGGACAAAAAACGCATCGAATAATTCTAGTCGGAAGAATCTGTAATTCTAGCTTTATTCCGTTCATTTCAATAGACCGCTTTCCACTTTTCATCAAATTTATTATTCTTCTCTTTAGTCGAAAAAGCACATAAAAATCATTCAGAAAAGTGTGAAGAGACATTTTTTGGGGGAGAAAAAGAGAAAGAATCAAATTGTCCAAAGTCCACAGAAGTCCTTGTTCCGAAGCAAAATCCAGTTCAAACTCCGCAAGTTCCGAGCATCCAGTGGGACCGCCGAAAGAAGAAAGGTCCGGGTCCATGTCCAAACGGCCAAATGCCGAAAATCCAGAAACAATACGACGAGCTTGACGATGAAAATTGCAAAAAATCGATAATCCTTCGAGTTGAGTGACTTGAGCGGAAAGGGGGCGGAGCTTGGCGGAAAATTGAACTTGGATCTCGCAACGAAATTGAAAAATCGAGCAGATGACGACGACGGCGACGTGGGAGCGGGGAAAGGGGGGAAATACAATTGTTGACGAAAAATTTGAGAAAAAGACACAATTTCTGACAATCAAACGGTGAACAAGAAGAAAAAGACGACAAAAACGTTGTGAGCACTTTCATTTTTCATTTTCCCAAACGTTTCTTATTGGAAAAAGTCCGAAAATCGCAAGCGGTTTCGAAAATGCGCTGTCTCGCAAATTTCCAGAATTTAGTGCTCTTTTTTTCAGAATTTAGCGCAATACTCCCGAAACGAATCGGAGAAGAAGGGACGAAAAAGTAAACTTACCTTTGTTGTGGAAACAATTTTTTTTTGTTTTTTTTTAGAAGTTTTTTACATTTTTTAGGGGCTTCTTCATGTGAACATGCTAGAAACCGGGGCCTCTCCGTTTCCTAGGACCCCGTTTGAAAATTCGTAAAAGTTCAGCAACACTTGGAAAAATTCAGCAAAAATCGTAAAATATCAGCAAACATTCTCTGGCAAATAATCCGTAAAGCTTTTTTTATCGAAAAAAAGTGGTAAAACGATCAAAAGGTGAGAAACGGTCATTCTGTTGCAAAAGGGGACAGCATTTTCTTCTTCAAACTTCTTCAAAATGTGAACATTCTTCGAGCTCCGATAGTTTTCAGGAAACCGACTTCCCTCGTCAATTCGCAAATCGATATTTCGCAACTCTGACTTCTCGCAACCGCAGTTGCAGAACAACCGGTTGCGAAAATTGAATTTTATCCATTTTCGCATCTCTTACGCGTAAGGCGCGCCTCCACAACCTCAACGAACGTCTATTCTGGGGATATTTGAGCGACAGAGAGACTAGTTCGCGCGGAGGGGCGCAGAAAAAGCGATAATCGAAAAGCCCAAAGCAGGGCTGGGCAATTGGCCGGCCCGGGCTTTTCGTTGGCCGACCCTTGACCTGGACTTTTGAACCACATGCAATATTCCGATCGGACCCAAACTTTGTAGGCTTCTTGGACATGGGTTGAAGCATATTGGGACCAAGTTTCAGCCCGATCGGATTATTTGGTCCCGAGAAATGTGGATCATTGGCCGAAATTGGCCGGAAGCCCGGGCTTTTTGGAAAAAATCGGCCAATGATCCACATATCTCGGGATCTGACGATCCGATCGGGCTGAAACTTGGTCCCAATGGCCCTCAATCCAAGTCCAACAATCCTGCAAAGATTGGGTCCGATCGGAATATTGCAAGTGGTTCAAAAGTCCAGGTCAATGGTCAACCAACGAAAAGCCCGTGCCGGCCAATTGCCCAGCCCTGGCCCAAAGTACTCGGAGCGCGTTGGGTCCCGCCACGAAAGCCGATTGAACAATTATCCGCCGAGTGTTTTCACGTCCCACCCATCGCCAATAAAAACGGGAAAAACACTCGCAGAACGAGAATTTCATCGAAACTTTCGTGGTACTCTGCGTCTTCAAACTATGGACTTTTCTGCGCCCCTCCGCGCAAATTACCCCCTCGTTGTCTCGTCGATCCCCAGAAGTTGCGAAACGTCAGAGTTGCAAAGCATCGAATTGCGAAGGAAAAGACGAGAGAAGTCGGTGAGCCCTTTGATGCTAGGGGGTGTCCCGTGCGTTCCGACGGGCTCCACAGAACGCACATTTATGTGGGACACCCCCCGAATCGCCGCAAAACTGAGCATTTCTCGCCAAGCTCAACTAAAAGCAAGAAAAAGCTCACATTCTGCCGGCCGGCGACTGCCGCAGAATGAGAAGTGACGGCGGTCGAGCGCCCCGTCGAAAAGGGGCGGAACCTATTTCTCTAGCGCCCTCCGTAAAACCTTGAATATTTTCCCAAAGGCATCCCGTGACACGGCGAAAAGAGAGGGATAAACACGAGAGAAATGTCTGCGCTCTCTCGTGATTTTCGTGTCAGGCGTTGCAGGGCGAATCGAAAGTATTTGCGTCGGAGAAAATAGTGCGGCAAAGTGAGAGAGCGCAGCGGAAATTAGGCCTTTGCAGGGAATTAGAGGGAAAAACATGTAAATTGAAGAGGAATTTATTGAAATTTGGAAAATCATTGAAAGAGTCCAGCTCTGCGAGCAAGTTTGTCGGCGAGAGCATCCATACGATTGCGCTTTTCCTTGTCCAGTTGATGCGAAGCCACTTGCTCGGTGACGGCCTGGAAAGAACAAAATAGTTGGAAAGCATTGGAACAGGACAAGAGAACTCACCATGTTTGACTGATTTTCCTGTTCATTAGTGTCCGTTTACAGCGAGACTTGAGACGACTCGAGCAGTTTGTACAGACCATTCATATCGACCGATCCTAGACTGGAGGAACGAGAAGAAGATGGGAGAGATCCTGGAGAGCTCGTTCGGGAACACGACTTCTTGCGCGGCACACGTGGAATCCCCTTGACTGTCGATTGGTGGAGGGATCCGGGAGCGTTGTTATTGACGGCAACCGGCTGCACGTCTCCGGACAGGTTGCCAGCGCGAACCGATGCACCATGCTTCCCCAGATCTGCTCGGTTCCGGAATGTCCAATTGCAGCAGCCACAAGTGACGACTTTTTGCAGTTGATGCACTATTTTCATGTGCTCCTGGACTCTCTGTGTTCCGTCAAGAGGAACCATGCAGATGAGACAAACGAGGTCGGCGGTGTGCTTGGCTCTTCGGTGCTTGCTGAGGGATGCATTGTGGGCGAACTGTTGGCCACATACTCCGCAAATGTATTTACCTGGAATAATGGGGTTATAATAGTCAAACGGTGAACGGAATGTGCTTACCTCTCAAATCCGGTCTTTTGAGTGAGTCGATTGACGACTGTTGAGCAACGGAGCAAGTGTTCAACGACATGACGAGTAGATTGGATTGAAGAGTAAATGAATTCAAATGAATGGTATATCGGAACTCCACCCCTTTACCATAAAAGTATCCGCGATGGTGCATCCTAGAGCAAACCCGAAGGCGTAGATGGTGAGTATACCATTCAATCTCATTATCTTCGCGTACATTCGAGCCGATATGTTGACCCACTACGAAAAAAAATGATATACTTTGACTAATTAGCCGAGGCGGGACCACAAAAATGTCATCTAGGGCCATGCAAAAGACAATTTGAGGTCAATGATTCGTATCTCTGAAACTTCACAAAAGAATCTGGGAAAAATCAGTTTGATTGATATCTCCTATTATAATAATCTCAAAGTTTTTGGCCTTTGAAGATTACAGGGTGCCGCCAAAATATGATAACAACTTCAAATGAGTATAAATTTCTGATAAATGATCGGACCAACGTGAAACGGCCGGAGGATTCTAGTCCGCGGCACTCGTCAGTTTTTTCTCTGTCACGCTTCCCGATCAGAGTTGCGCGGAATTCCGCTTTCCGCCTTCCGCCAAAAAAAGTTTCATTCCGCCTCCGCTTTCCGTCTTCCGCCTTTTCAAAAAATCGATTCCGCTCAACTCTGTTTCCGATCAAACTCCGCTCCTCCGTTACTCCCCGCGAAGGGGCATCCCATATGGTCCGCGACCCGTTATATGGCCAACGCACATCGATTTCAAAGGAATTTCGGCGAGATGCCGCAGAAAACGGCCCCGCTTACAAGCGCGAATCGTGCTCAAAATTGTCAAAAGACGAACGGCTTGATGCCTGATACTTGACCGCAAAATGAATTTAAAATATGAGACAAGTGGGGAAGATTTGTCTGTTTTGGCAACGGTTCAATTGAACCTTTTCTAGTGGCGTTCTGAACATTACTCAACGTGACTTCTTCCTGAATAGAAACTGATTGTTTACAAGAAAAGTTGTTGAAAATTATTGTCGCTCTCAAAACCGAAATAAATGGAAATGATGTTTCTTATTTTTGTGCTCGATTTAGTCATTGGTAAGCAGCAATTCATTTTCAAAAAGTGAACATTTTTGCCAGGAATCGCTGCGAGTACTGCTGTAGTTCCTTCGAATGCAACTTCCGTTGCTCCGGCCACCTACACACCGATGGACGAATTTCAGAAAAAAAAGTTTTTGGAGGCGACGAACGGGCATCGGAACAAACAATTAATCGGCCGATACGCACTCACGTGGGTTAGTGTTTTTGAAAACATAGTAATCCGGTAACTTTCTTGGACAAAAACAATGCGAATTATTGAAAATGTAAACATTTTCCAGATCTGGGACGATTCTCTGGAAGCTTCGGCGGCTGCTCGTTTCGCCAACTGCTCCATGAGCCCAATGCACGGAGAGCACTATCATGAGACGATTATGACGGCGAAACAATGGCATCAGACCACCAGAGAAGGTTTCTGACTTGTCTTTTGCAAATGTTTTCCAAAAAGTGTTTCAGACCAACTGCTGCCCGTTATCCAAGTGGAAATATTTTTAAAGGGAACGTCCCGGGTGGGATGCTCTTCGCAAGTCAGCTGCGGCGACAATCAGACCCATACTGTCTGCCACTACGGTCCCAGGTTTGTGCCCTTTTCCCTGCACTTTTAGACTTTTAGTTCTCCTTGCATTCACGGCGAGTTGAAGCGTATGCGCTCCAAGTGCGCTCCATTGAAACTGGAAAATTTTCCCCTTGCCGATTCATGCTATCGACAAATTTGCCGTTTCCGGAGATATTCTGATTCATTTTATTCGTTCTCTTTGTGAATGTGTTTGTTGTGATCAAAACCAGCAAAGAGCAACAAAAAACTCGCAAGAATTCCTGAGGTTCACGAAACAGCTTTTTTTTCGAAGTATGGCTGCCCGTGCGTGCTTTTTGTGTCTCTTTGTTAGTTTACGTCGTAATGAACTCATTTATATTCTTCCGACGGCACGCATCTAAAGTTTTGGCGCGCGCCGGCGAAACGCCTTCGCCTTTGTACACTCGGCACTGTGCCAGCCAACACAAATCGACCGCCGAGTTTGAAAAATGTTTACCAGACAGTTTCAGACCAAACAAACTTTAAACAATATTTGTTGCAGTATTCTCAAAACCGGCGCCACTTTCGAGACGGCCTCCGACGGGTGTCTGTTCGACCGAGTTTACACGAATCTGTGCGTAGACGTGTCTCCGACGACCCTGGCTCCTAGCACCGAAGTTCCGCACGAATTCAATCCCAGAAAATACTCAAAGGCCGTTTCGAACTTTCATTTCATTATGCCAATTGTCTCGCTGATTCTTGCATTGTAAATGAAGATTCAAATATTAGAAAAAATTCCAAGCATTGATCGTCTATTGAAAATTTGAAAAAAATTTGTCCATTTGTTGAAACATTGTTTTTTTTCTGGAAAAAAACGTGACCAAGCCTTTCCGTTCTTTTCAGAAATGTCCGCGTGAAACGAGATTATTCGCGCCGAAGCCTCGGGTTATTCTCACAAAACGAAAATTATTTTCTCATCGATCATCGTCTGATTTTTGGCCAGCTCTGGAAGTACGACTACGTTATTTTTCAGTACAATTCGCTTAGAAATCATGTCAACAAAGCCAAAAAACAAACCGACCGGCCGTCGAAAGAACAAGGTTCGAGGTTCCAGAAATTTAAGGAAATTCAGCAAAAAAATTACAGCCATCAGCAGCGGGACCCGGTGACCGCTCGGGAAACAGCATGCGCAAGGTATTTCTTGAACATTTTCGGCGTTTTTTTTTTCAAAAAACAAACTATTTTCAGCCATCAGCACTCGGAGCTTGTGAACGTTCGGGGAACAGCATGCGCAAGGTAAGGATTTTTTTGTATTTTTTAAACGAATTTGAACCAGCTTTTCGAAAAAATTGCTTTAAATTTTCAGCCTTCGAAAGATAAAAACCCGGAACTTTCGTCAAACAGCTCACGCAGTCAGAACAAGAAGCAAGATGTGAGTTTGCTTTTCAAAAACGACAATTTCGCGATCAAAACCCCGTTTTCTTTCCAGTCGCCCTCGTTATTCGGCCGTTCGCTCATGAAAAAGATGTCGCAGGAGCCGTCGGGCAACAGCAAAAACACGGGACGCAGTCTGCAGAAGGCGCCGAAAAAGGAGACGCCCGAGAACTCGACGCGCAAGAAGAAAGAGGAGCAGGAGCAGAAGCACGTGTTCGCCGTCGGCGACTCCATCGACGGAATCAACGTCTACAAAGTGGTCTCGGCGCTTCATCGATCGCCGAAACCGTCGGAAGTGGATGTTTACGCGGTGAAGGACGAGAACGGCGAGGAGGTGCGCATGAAGGTTTCGAATCTGGCGGCGTTCCAACTCAAGAAGGAAGCCGTCATTCTTCAAAAGCTGCTCAGACACAGCTCCGGAGACGGCGAACGGTCTTTTGTGGCGATGCTCGAGTACGGAACGACCCCCAAGTGCGAGTTTCTCATCTGCACCCCATTCGGCACCACTCTGCAGGAGGTCATGAAGAACACGATGAATGGCGCCTCGTTCTCTCTGGACTGTGCTATCGCTGTCGGACTTCAAATGCTCAAGGGGATCAAAGACTTGCACGCGATCAGCTGGTTGCACCGAAATATCCGTCCGGCCGCATTCCACGTGGGGCTGGGCGCCGAGGAGACGTCGATCTTTTTGCAAGACTTTCGCAACGTGCGAAAGTACGAGGAGGCGAAAAAAGTGATTCCCGCGAAGACGACGGTCCGCATCGACGCGACCGCCCGCTACGGACCGCGATGTGTGTTGAGCCAGAAGGATTTGGGCAGAAAGGACGATTTGGAGTCGTGGTTGTACTCGGTACTTTCTCTTGAAACGTTATTTACGACAACAATACCGAAAATGTTGCAGCTGTACTACATGATTGACGCGGCGACGATTGACTGGAAAAGGGACACGAGCATTCAGTGGTTGAGCAAAGCCAAAGAGGCTTTCATGAAGAATGGTGCGTTTTGCAAGCTCCAAAAAAAAAATTCAAATTTTTCAGAAGGACCCCACCAGTACACCAAAGTGCCACGTGCACTCGCCGCCGCGGTCACCCTCATCGCCGGCTACGACTTTGCCGCCGAGCCCGATTACGATAGAATTCGCAAAATTTTAACGGATGTGCAAACCGAACTGAAATTGAATGCGAGCGCGTGCGACTGGAAAGGAAAATCGAATTTGCAGGAGATTACCGGAGATACGGTAGGATTTAAAGAAGACGAGACTCGAGATTAACCACGACCTTTTTCTCTAGCAACGCAGCTTTGATAACGTGTTGACGGGCGGACCGGAGAACAAGGAACAATCGAAACGGGACAAGAACAAGAAAAAGAACAAGACGAGCGACTTGCGCAAAAAATTGATGCCCGGAGACGTGATTCAGAGTCAGGCGGACTCGAAAACGGCGTAAGTTATTATAGGGGCACCGGGCAGAAAGGGCGCGCTGTTCGCAATCTGGCAGAATTTCTAGGCCGCGAAGTAATTTTCCACTGAAAACGTGGCCTAACTTTTCAAACTCGGCCCCGAGGTCGCTCAATTTGCACTGCAAAAAGAGTTTCTCAACAGAGCGCCATTTCTGTGCGGTGCCCCTATAATACTATGCTTAATCTCGAGATTATTTGTGACCTATCCTGTAGGTGGCGCGTGGTCAACTTGCTCGGCTCGGGCGGTTTCGGCGACGTCTACAAAGTGCACCGCAACGAAGGATCGAGCTCCAAGTGCTACGCGCTCAAAACCGAAGGCGAGGGCGACAAGCGCTTTATGCGATTGAAAATCGAGGTGACGGTGATGATGAAGACGGCCGAGAAGAAGAAACAGGGCCTCTTCGAGAACTTTGTTGAATTTGTCGATCGTGGAAAGTGCGAGGAGTTAAAGTGCAAGGTGGGAGCAGAGTGCCGCACAAAAAATCGATAATCTCGGGTACTTCTCGTGGTCAGCAAAATTTGGGACTAGGGAAACAGAAGTTCACGATACCCTTAACGAAACCCAATTTTCGAAACGTTCCGAATTTTTTGCAGTACGTGGTGATGGGGCTGGTGGGTCCGTCGTTGGACGACGTCCGCTACAAGTTCATGATGATAGCGCTCTCGCCGTCGACGTGCTTCAACATTGCCATCCAAACGGTCGCCTCGGTCCGCGACCTCCACTCGATCGGCTATCTCCACCGCGACATCAAACCAGCCAACTTTGCGGTCGGGCTGGGCGAGCACGAATCGACAGTCTTCATGCTCGACTTTGGAATCGCGAAGCTCTACCTAGACGCGAACGGCAATCACAAGGTGAAGCGGCGGAAGGTGAAGTTCCTCGGCACGTTGCGATTCGCGTCGCGCGCCTGCATGGATTTGCAAGAGCAGGGACGGAAGGACGATTTGGAGACGTGGCTCTACATGGTCTACGAGATATTCAGCGAGGCGGCAAACAAAATCACCGAGAGCTACGGCCTTCCGTGGAAGGGCTGCGCAGAGCCCAAGCTGATTTTGGAGGCGAAAAAGAACTTTTTCCATATGTCGTGTGAGTTGAATTTCAAAACACTGAAATCTTTGCCGAAGCAATTTTGAGCTCGCAAAATATGTTTTCCGGCTTATAACACCTAAATCCAAGTGTCTAAAAACGTGCACTGAAAAACTGTGTTTGCAGTCGACAGAGCGCCGCGCGTTCCGAAGCACCTGAGGCGGATGGGACCGCTCGTCTCGTACATAAACGGACTGGATCACGAGCAGACGCCCGACTACCAGTACATTGAGAAGTTTCTCAAGAAGACGGCCAGCGATTTCAACGTGAAGTTGGACAAGAAAATGGATTGGGTGGGAAGACTCGGAAAGCCGCCGCCGGGCGAGGGCACCTCTTCGGACAAATCGGAGAAGAAGCAGAGTGTCGACGACGACGGAGAAGCGCCCGACAAGTAGAATCTCATTTTTGTGCTTATTTTGAGGAGGATGGACGGCGACTCAATAAAAATACTTGAATTGTGACCCTGGGTGTTTTAACTGAAAATTGAAAACAATTGCGGTTTTATTGAATTTTTGCTTGTACCTTTGAACAGTATTTTTGCAATTTGTTGCTTATTTCAAAATTGTCACTCGGTCAAATCGTTTGCCAAAGTGTTTTGCGCTGAAAACTTCTGAAAACACTGAAAAGCCGAAGTTTTGCCGGTGGCCGAGATTTTCAATTTTCTAGGCCACTGGCAAAATCGTTCTTTTTTTGCTGAAAAAATCTCAAATCGCTCTCAAATTTACTGGTTTTTCAGTGAAAAAATGAATAAAGATAATGAAATGAAGGGATTTTTGCGGGAATTCGGCTCCTGGCAGCTGTATGACGACTACAATACCGATAGTTGTGAGATTTCTTCAAATTTCCTAGTTTTTGACATGAACGATAGTTTTCAGGCGGACCAACACGAGGAAAAGCGTTGAAACGATTAGTATATGAGTTGCCTTTAACAAAATCGCAAAGGGAGCAAGAGGAATCAGCGAAAAATAAGGCAAATCGAAAAGGAATTTTTTATGATGGTAACATACTGAAAAAAATTTGATTTTTCTCGATTGTTAGAGGTATTTTTTTGCAGATGAAAAAGCGGAAATTGACGTCTGAATGGGTTTATAGCGACGGAAACGTGAAATCGTGGAAAAAAATTCCCGAAACGATTCCGAAAAAAATCGACTCGACGAAGAACTCCACAGGAAAAATAGTGCAAATCAACCCCAATTCGGTTGGTTTAATTGTCGAAATTGAACAAAGTCAATTTCAGTTTTACCCATTATTTCGCGTCGTCTGGAAGAAATTGACGAGGAAATAGACGATGCAATACGCAGAAAAATGATCGATGAGGTGTTGTTTGGCGAGAAGTTTCAAGGTTAGAATATTTTTTGAAAGACACTACATTTTTTAATTTCCAGAATCGCCAGTAAGCAGTAGTCATCGCGAAATTGTCCGAGAAACGGAAAACGACAGAAAAGAAGGTATTCCTCTATTTCTTTTCTCAAAAATTGAAATTTTATGCTCAGAACTCGTAATAAAGACGCATCGATGTGTGAGCGGTCGTGAACATTCGCAGAAAAATCAGAGAGAATTGATTTTTCTAAAGAACGAGAATCGAGAAACGAGACGGGAGACGGAGCAGTGTTTCAAGGTGTTTCAGAAGATTTTGGACGCGAGCAAACAATTGGAAAAAAGAATTTTGGAGTGAGCACGTTTTTTTCAAGGCTGGGCAAAAGGCCGGTCCTTTGCCTCGACATTTTTGACCCAGATGTAATTATCCGTTCGGACCCAAACTTTGCAGACTTCTTCGACTTGGATTGAAGTACACGGGGACCATGTTTCACACCGATCGGATCATCCGGTACCGAGATATACTGGTTTGAAGCCGGAAAGACCGAGTTCGGCCTCTAATCCACATATCTCGGGACCGCATAATCGGATCTTTCTGAAACTCGGTCCCAATATACTTCAATCCAAGTCCAAGAAGCCTGCAAAGTTTGCGCCCGATCGGATCATTGCAAGTGGGTCAAAAGTCCAGACCATGGACCGGCCAACAAAAAGCCCAAGCAAAAAACAGCAATGTTTTCCAAATTTCCAAAGTTTTCAGACAATCCAAATCGCCGCAAATGGACAACATCCTCTACAGTGTAAACGATAATCGATTGACAGATACTATCAAGTAGCGTTTTTTCAAGAACGTTCACACTTGTTCAATCTTCAGAGAAAAAACGCTGAGAATGAACGAAATGCTGCACAAAGTGGACTTACAGAGGATGAAAGAAGAGCAAATGTTGATGAACGAGGTCAATTTGAATAGCACCTATCGGTTCGTTTTTCATACAAAAATGCGCCACTCAATCCAACTTTATTCGCATTTCTATTCGTGCGGCCGTGTAAACGACATCAACGACTTCATCACCGACTTTTTTTCGTCCTTTCATTACTATTATTGTTGTTATTCTCCTTCTGTTGTTGTTGTTGTGCTCCGATTCGAGCCGTCGCCATCTCCGTCGACTTCTTCTTCCGTGTTTCGGGCGCACTCTGCCGCTCCTCGCTCGACAACGCCTTCCGGTCGTAGTCCTTCGAGTTGTCCTCTTTCGATTTCATCTCACGAGCCATCTTTTGCTCTTTCTGCAATAAGCAAAATTGACGCGAGGTAACCTTTCAAAACTAGACAAAACTGACCGGAATAAGAGTGGATCGCCGGACGGTGACATTCTCGTACGAGTTGCTCTTCTCGCACACCGGAATGCCCTGATCCTTGTTCGTCGGCATTTTTGACAGCTGCGCCAGACGGACCGCCGATGAGTCTTCGGGTCTGAAGAACATTTAGATAAACTTTTATAGAACCAGAATTAATGGACGCGATTACAAACATTAGCAAAATTCGGGTCTGATTGGATTATCCGATTATTGATTCAGTACAATCAGTTTAGAATTTTAAGGCGCATGCGCAAATGTTCGTCTCCACTCTTTTAGAGTGGAGACGCGTCGTCTGGAAGAAATTGACGAGGAAATAGACGATGCAATACGCAGAAAAATGATCGATGAGGTGTTGTTTGGCGAGAAGTTTCAAGGTTAGAATATTTTTTGAAAGACACTACATTTTTTAATTTCCAGAATCGCCAGTAAGCAGCAGTCATCGCGAAATTGTCCGAGAAACGGAAAACGACAGAAAAGAAGGTATTCCTCTATTTCTTTTCTCAAAAATTGAAATTTTATGCTCAGAACTCGTAATAAAGGCGCATCGATGTGTGAGCGGACTTCTTCGACTTGGATTGAAGTACACGGGGACCATGTTTCACACCGATCGGATCATCCGGTACCGAGATATACTGGTTTGAAGCCGGAAAGACCGAGTTCGGGCTCTAATCCACATATCTCGGGACCGCATAATCGGATCTTTCTGAAACTCGGTCCCAATATACTTGAATCCAAGTCCAAGAAGCCTGCAAAGTTTGCGGCCGATCGGATCATTGCAAGTGGGTCAAAAGTCCAGACCATGGACCGGCCAACAAAAAGTCCAAGTAAAAAACAGCAATGTTTTCCAAATTTCCAAAGTTTTCAGACAATCCAAATCTCCGCAAATGGACAACATCCTCAGTGTGAACGATAATCGGACGATAATCGATTGACAGATACTATCAAGTAGCGTTTTTTCAAGAACGTTCACACTTGTTAGAAAAAACGCTGAGAATGAACGAAATGCTGCACAAAGTGGACTTACAGAGGATGAAAGAAGAGCAAATGTTGATGAACGAGGTCAATTTGAACAGCACCCATCCGTTCGTTTTCATACAAGAAAAATGCGCCACTCAATCCAACTTTATTCACATTTCTATTCGTGCGGCCGGCATTTTTCGCGGATTTCGCTCTTTCGCCTTCGCCGCTGATAGCCGCCGATCGCCGCCCAAAAACCGCACTTCTCATTTTTCGCTTTCTTGACCGTTTTCAGACAGAATTGATTTTGAGAATGATAAATCACGTAAATACAAGCATTTTGAGCGCTCGAACCGCGAAAACTACCGAAAAGCAACTGAAATTCACGCAGTTTTAGCCAAAAACCTTCAAACGGATAAATGTGATTTGCGACTTGACCAATATTGACGCTCTAGCGCTTAAAAAATTTGTAATAGCCTATACAATTGGTCTATCGAGAGACAAATGAGAAATTATCGGTTTTTAGTGGCTAATCTGGCAAAAAACACAAATTTTGCTGTTAAAATTTGAATTTCGCGCCAATGTTGCGCTCTATTGGGCGGAGCGCACTTGCGCGCCCATTGTCACCTCTGGAGACCGTGCGCGCTCCATTGAAAATCTGGTAATTTTCGGCAGTGTGCCAATCAAATCCTTGCCGTCCCCTTGCCGATTCATGCTATCGACAAATTTGCCGTTTCCGGAGATATTCTGATTCATTTTACTCGTTCTCTTTATGAATGTGTTTGTTGTGATCAAAACTAGCAAAGAGCAACAAAAAACTCGCAAGAATTCCTGAGGTTCAGCACGAAACAGCTTTTTTTCGAAGTATGGCTGCTCGTGCGTGCTTTTTGTGTCTCTTTGTTAGTTTACGTCGTAATGAACGCATTTCTATTCTTCCGACGGCACGCATCTAAAGTTTTGGCGCGCGCCGGCGAAACGCCTTCGCCTTTGTACACTCGGCACTGTGCCAGCCAACACAAATCGACCGCCGAATTTGAAAAATGTTCTCCAAGCAGTTTCAGACCAAACAAACTTTAAACAATATTTGTTGCAGTATTCTCAAAACGGGCGCCACTTTCGAGACGGCCTCCGACGGGTGTCTGTTCGACCGAGTTTACACGAATCTGTGCGTAGACGTGTCTCCGACGACCCTGGCTCCGAGCACCGAAGTTCCGCACGAATTCAATCCCAGAAAATACTCAAAGGCCGTTTCGAACTTTCATTTCATTATGCCAATTGTCTCGCTGATTCTTGCATTGTAAATGAAGATTCAAATATTAGGAAAAAAATTCCAAGCATTGATCGTCTATTGAAAATTTGAAAAAAAATTTGTCCATTTGTTGAAACATTGTTTTTTTCTGGAAAAAAACGTGACCAAAGCCTTTCCGTTCTTTTTCAGAAATGTCCGCGTGAAACGAGATTATTCGCGCCGAAGCCTCGGGTTATTCTCACAAAACGAAAATTATTTTCTCATCGATCATCGTCTGATTTTTTTGGCCAGCTCTGGAAGTACGACTACGTTATTTTTTTCAGTACAATTCGCTTAGAAATCATGTCAACAAAGCCAAAAAACAAACCGACCGGCCGTCGAAAGAACAAGGTTCGAGGTTCTAGAAATTTAAGGTAATTCAGCAAAAAAATTACAGCCATCAGCAGCGGGACCCGGTGACCGCTCGGGAAACAGCATGCGCAAGGTATTTCTTGAACATTTTCGGCGTTTTTTTTTCAAAAAACAAACTATTTTCAGCCATCAGCACTCGGAGCTTCGGGGAACAGCATGCGCAAGGTAAGGATTTTTTTGTAATTTTTAAACGAATTTGAACCAGCTTTTCGAAAAAATTGCTTTAAATTTTCAGCCTTCGAAAGATAAAAACCCGGAACTTTCGTCAAACAGCTCACGCAGTCAGAACAAGAAGCAAGATGTGAGTTTGCTTTTCAAAAACGAAAATTTCGCCATCAAAACCCCGTTTTCTTTCCAGTCGCCCTCGTTATTCGGCCGTTCGCTCATGAAAAAGATGTCGCAGGAGCCGTCGGGCAACAGCAAAAACACGGCACGCAGTCTGCAGAAGGCGCCGAAAAAGGAGACGCCAGAGAACTCGACGCGCAAGAAGAAAGAGGAGCAGGAGCAGAAGCACGTGTTCGCCGTCGGCGACTCCATCGACGGAATCAACGTCTACAAAGTGGTCTCGGCGCTTCATCGATCGCCAAAACCGTCGGAAGTGGATGTTTACGCGGTGAAGGACGAGAACGGCGAGGAGGTGCGCATGAAGGTTTCGAATCTGGCGGCGTTCCAACTCAAGAAGGAGGCCGTCATTCTGCAAAAGCTGCTCAGACACAGCTCCGGAGACGGCGAACGGTCTTTTGTGACGATGCTCGAGTACGGAACGACCCCCAAGTGCGAGTTTCTCATCTGCACCCCATTCGGCACCACTCTCCAAGAGGTCATGAAGAACACGATGAATGGCGCCTCGTTCTCTCTGGACTGTGCTATCGCTGTCGGACTTCAAATGCTCAAGGGGATAAAAGACTTGCACGCGATCGGCTGGTTGCACCGAAACATCCGTCCGGCCGCATTCCACGTGGGGCTGGGCGCCGAGGAGACGTCGATCTTTTTGCAAGACTTTCGCAACGTTCGAAAGTACGAGGAGGCGAAAAAAGTGATTCCCGCGGAGACGACGGTCCGCATCGACGCGACCGCCCGCTACGGACCGCGATGTGTGTTGAGCCAGAAGGATTTGGGCAGAAAGGACGATTTGGAGTCGTGGTTGTACTCGGTACTTTCTCTTGAAACGTTATTTCCGACAACAATACCGAAAATGTTGCAGCTGTATTACATGATTGACGCGGCGACGATTGACTGGAAAAGGGACACGAGCATTCAGTGGTTGAGCATAGCCAAAGAGGCTTTCATGAAGAATGGTGCGTTTTGCAAACTCCAAAAAAAAAATTCAAATTTTTCAGAAGGACCCCACCAGTACACCAAAGTGCCACGTGCACTCGCCGCCGCGGTCACCCTCATCGCCGGCTACGACTTTGCCGCCGAGCCCGATTACGATAGAATTCGCAAAATTTTAACGGATGTGCAAACCGAACTGAAATTGAATGCGAGCGCGTGCGACTGGAAAGGAAAACCGAATTTGCAAGAGATTACCGGAGATACGGTAGGATTTAAAGAAGACGAGACTCGAGATTAACCACGATCTTTTTCTCTAGCAACGCAGCTTTGATAACGTGTTGACGGGCGGACCGGAGAACAAGGAACAATCGAAACGGGACGAGAACAAGACGAGAGACTTGCGCAAGAAATTGATGCCCGGAGACGTGATTCAGAGTCAGGCGGACTCGAAAACGGCGTAAGTTACTATGCTTAATCTCGAGATTAATTGTGACCTATTCTGTAGGTGGCGCGTGGTCAACCTGCTCGGCTCGGGCGGCTTCGGCGACGTCTACAAAGTGCACCGCAACGAAGGATCGAGCTCGAAGTGCTACGCGCTCAAAACCGAACGCGAGGGCGACAAGCGCTTTATGCGTCTGAAAATCGAGGTGGCGGTGATGATGAAGACGGCCGAGAAGAAGAAACAGGGCCTCTTCGAGAACTTTGTCGAATTTGTCGATCGTGGAAAGTGCGAGGAGTTAAAGTGCAAGGTGGGAGCAGAGTGCCGCACATAAAGTCGATAATCTCGGGTACTTCTCGTGGTCAGCAAAATTTGGGACTAGGGAAACAGAAGTTCACGATACCCTTAACGAAACCCAATTTTCGAAACGTTCCGAATTTTTTGCAGTACGTGGTGATGGGGCTGGTGGGTCGGTCGTTGTACGACGTCCGCAACAAGTACATGATAGCGCTCTCGCCGTCGACGTGCTTCAACATTGCCATCCAAACGGTCGCCTCGGTCCGCGACCTCCACTCGATCGGCTATCTCCACCGCGACATCAAACCCGGCAACTTTGCGGTCGGGCTGGGCGAGCACGAATCGACAATCTTCATGCTCGACTTTGGAATCGCGAAGCTCTACCTAGACGCGAACGGCAATCACAAGGTGAGGCGACGGAAGGTGAACTTCATCGGCACGTTCCAATTCGCGTCGCGCGCCTGCATGGAAATGCAAGAGCAGGGACGGAAGGACGATTTGGAGACGTGGCTCTACATGGTCTACGAGCTATTCAGAGAGGCGGCAAACAAAATCAACGAGAGCTACGGCCTTCCGTGGAGGCTCCGCGAAGAGCCCGATGAGATTTTGGAGGCGAAAAAGAACTTTTTCCATATGTCGTGTGAGTTGAATTTCAAAACACTGAAATCTTTGCCGGAGCAATTTTGAGCTCGCAAAATATGTTTTCCGGCTTATAACACCTAAATCCAAGTGTCTAAAAACGTGCACTGAAAAACTGTGTTTGCAGTCGACAGAGCGCCGCGCGTTCCGAAGCACCTGAGGCGGATGGGACCGCTCGTCTCGTACATAGACGGACTGGCTCACGAGCAGACGCCCGACTACCAGTACATTGAGAAGTTTCTCAAGAAGACGGCCAGCGATTTCAACGTGAAGTTGGACAAGAAAATGGATTGGGTGGGAAGACTCGGAAAGCCGCCGCCGCCGGGCATCCTCTAAGATAAAATTTCAAACTTTTCTTAGCTATTTTCAAACTTTTCCAGGCGCCACCTAAGAAATTCTTGGAAAAGTTTGAGAATTTCTGGAAAAAGTCTGAGAATTTCTGGAAAAAGGCTTAGAAAAGTATAAGAATTTCTGGAAAAAGTCTGAGATTATCTTGAAAAAGTTTGACGACGGCATAGAAAATTGTGGGAATTTATTGGAAAACTTCTCGTCTTCCCCACGATACGAATCACCTCGAAGAGGTAGTCTGCAATGATTCCATACATTACTTTTCACAATTCCATGAATTTTCGGCCATTCAAGATGTGAGCTTCATTTCCCCGGTTTCCATGATTGCGCGCAATAGTTTTACCGCCTGCGTCACTGCTTTTACGCACGATAATCGCCAGGGCTGGGCATTTGGCCGGCACGGGTTTTTCGTTGGCCGGCCCTTGACCTGGACTTTTGAACCACATGCAATATTCCGATCGGACCCAAACTTTGCAGGCTTCTTGGACATGGGTTGAAGCATATTGGGACCAAGTTTCAGCCCGATCGGTTTATTTGGTCCCGAGAAATGTGGATCATTGGCCGAAATTGGCCGGAAGCCCGGGCTTTTTGGAAAAAAATCGACCAATGATCCACATATCTCGGGACCCGACGATCCGATGGGGCTGAAACTTGGTCCCAATATGCTTCAACCCATGTCCAAGAAGCCTGCAAAGTTTGGGTCTGATCGGAACATTGCAAGTGGTTCAAAAGTCCAGGTCAAGGGCCGGCCAACGAAAAGCCCGTGCCGGCCAATTGCCCAGCCCAGATAATCGCCTCTTTTTCGCCTTTTGTGTTTTTCGTGGGTTTTTTCTCCTGTGGAACCGGTAACTCTCCTTTTTTCCGGTCAATAAAGAGCCAATTTCGAATAGCAATACAACGAGATGCTTAACAGTAGTTACTTCATTGTAAGAAATGCAGAAAGCGCGGAAAAAATCTGAATTAGTTAAAAAAAATGCTTTTTTAGGCCTATTCTACAATTTCTCACGGATATTCCTTTATTTTGCCGCTTAATTCGTTAAAGACTACCTTAAAAAATTAAAAAATTCAATTATGAGCTCAACAAGACCGAAAAATGCGAAAACCCTTATATACAACTATAACAACTGGGGAAAACGCTAAAAAGATTGCAGAAAACATTGTTGTCCACGAGGAGTCCAAAACTTCGTGGCCTAGGAATTCCTGTTCAAAACTTTTCTTGTAGGCTGGTCGAACAGGCGAAAACAGGCGCCTGCGCCTGTTTTTTCAGGCGCCTGTTTTTTCAACGCGCCGCTGCATCCCTGCGTTGAGAAAATAGGCAACGGGTTTCACGAAACTCCAATTTTCTATAAAATTTTTGTTGGAATGTGTTCCCCTACTCTATATGAGTACCCTCCCAATTTTTTTTCCAAAATTTTCGGTACATCCCGAGTTACATCAAAGAGGCAACATATTTAATGAAGAGAAATGATGTCCAAAGAATGCAAAACAAATTTCGAGCTCAAACGTTTCGAACCCGACACCTCCAGACTGCCGAGTGAGCACTCTGCCACTGCGCCAGCCGGGCGGAGACGCGCCGGCCGCCATTGGCATTGAGAAGGTCGGTTTGCGCGGCCCCCTTCCAGGTGACGCCCAAATCCCCCGAAAACTGAAATTTCGGCGAAACCGGCTCCACTCAAATGAACACAAAAGTGCTCCCAGGGGGTCTAGTTCTCTGAAAATTTATATTTGAGTTCTCAGAGAGTTTATCTATAGATTCCGAAAGTAAAAAAGTATGGTCATCGCTGAAATTTTTTCACAACTTTTTGTGCCAGTTTGAGGAAAAAAACGGAGAAGACGAAATCTGATTTTGACTTCAAAAACGGATTCCCCATCACTTAAACTGTAAACTAACTAAAAATTAGCCGCGTGTTGCACAAACCCCGGCCACACGAGCTCTCAGACTGAGTTCCATTGTCGTTTTCGCCGTTTTTTTGGAAAAACGGTGCGTTTTCACGGGAAACTGAGTTGTTAATTGGATTCAGCATGGTCGATTACATGAAGTAAATCATTTTGGGTATGGTACTTCATTTGTGGACCTCGTGGCCACGCCCCCTTTGTTGCGCCCCCTAAACAGGCGCCTGTTCGACCAGCCTATTTTCTTGAGAAAGTTTGAGAATTGCTTAGAAAAGTTTCAGAAAGTTTGAACTAATTTCGGCAAGAAAAAGTTTAAGAATTTCTGGAAAAAGTGAGAATTTATTGAAAAAGTTTAAGAAAGGCTTAGAAAAGTTTTTAGTGCTTCAGAAAGTTTGAAAAGGTATTGGAAAAGTTTTTTGTCTTCAGAACGTTTGAGAATGTCTTCAGAAGAGCCAAGAAAAGTTTGAAATTTTACCTGATCTTCGGACAAATCGGAGAAGAAGCAGAGTGTCGACGACGACGGAGAAGCGCCCGACAAGTAGAATCTCATTTTTGTGCTTATTTTGAGGAGGATGGACGGCGACTCAATAAAAATACTTGAATTGTGACCCTGGGTGTTTTAACTGAAAATTGAAAACAATTGCGGTTTTATTGAATTTTTGCTTGTACCTTTGAACAGTATTTTTGCAATTTGTTGCTTATTTAAAAATTGTCACTCGGGCAAATCGTTTGCCAAAGTGTTTTGCGCTGAAAACTTCTGAAAACACTGAAAAGCCGAAGTTTTGCCGGTGGCCGAGATTTTCAATTTTCTAGGCCACTGGCAAAATCGTTCTTTTTTTGCTGAAAAAATCTCAAATCGCTCTCAAATTTACTGGTTTTTCAGTGAAAAAATGAATAAAGATAATGAAATGAAGGGATTTTTGCGGGAATTCGGCTCCTGGCAGCTGCATGACGACTACAATACCGATAGTTGTGAGATTTCTTCAAATTTCCTAGTTTTTGACATGAACGATAGTTTTCAGGCGGACCAAAACGAGGAAAAGCGTTGAAACGATTAGTATATGAGTTGCCTTTAACAAAATCGCAAAGGGAGCAAGAGGAATCAGCGAAAAATAAGGCAAATCGAAAAGGAATTTTTTATGATGGTAACATATTGAAAAATTTGATTTGCTCGATTGTTAGAGGTATTTTTTGCAGATGAAAAGCGGAAATTGACGTCTGAATGGGTTTATAGCGACGGAAACGTGAAATCGTGGAAAAATTCCCGAAACGATTCCGAAAAATCGACTCGACGAAGAACTCCACAGGAAAATAGTGCAAATCAACCCCAATTCGGTTGGTTTAATTGTCGAAATTGAACAAAGTCAATTTCAGTTTTACCCATTATTTCGCGTCGTCTGGAAGAAATTGACGAGGAAATAGACGATGCAATACGCAGAAAAATGATCGATGAGGTGTTGTTTGGCGAGAAGTTTCAAGGTTAGAATATTTTTTGAAAGACACTACATTTTTTAATTTCCAGAATCGTCAGTAAGCAGCAGTCATCGCGAAATTGTCCGAGAAACGGAAAACGACAGAAAAGAAGGTATTCCTCTATTTCTTTTCTCAAAAATTGAAATTTTATGCTCAGAACTCGTAATAAAGACGCATCGATGTGTGAGCGGTCGTGAACATTCGCAGAAAAATCAGAGAGAATTGATTTTTCTAAAGAACGAGAATCGAGAAACGAGACGAGAGACGGAGCAGTGTTTCAAGGTGTTTCAGAAGATTTTGGACGCGAGCAAACAATTGGAAAAAAGAATTTTGGAGTGAGCACGTTTTTTTCAAGGCTGGGCAAAAGGCCGGTCCTTTGCCTGGAGATTTGACCCAGATGCAATTATCCGTTCGGACCCAAACTTTGCAGACTTCTTCGACTTGGATTGAAGTACACGGGGACCATGTTTCACACCGATCGGATCATCCGGTACCGAGATATACTGGTTTGAAGCCGGAAAGACCGAGTTCGGCCTCTAATCCACATATCTCGGGACCGAATAATCGGATCTTTCTGAAACTCGGTCCCAATATTCTTCAATCCAAGTCCAAGAAGCCTGCAAAGTTTGCGGCCGATCGGATCATTGCAAGTGGGTCAAAAGTCCAGACCATGGACCGGCCAACAAAAAGCCCAAGTAAAAAACAGCAATGTTTTCCAAATTTCCAAAGTTTTCAGACAATCCAAATCTCCGCAAATCGACAACATCCTCTACAGTGTGAACGATAATCGATTGACAGATACTATAAAGTAGCGTTTTATCAAGAACGTTCACACTTGTTCAATCTTCAGAGAAAAAACGCTGAGAATGAACGAAATGCTGCACAAAGTGGACTTACAGAGGATGAAAGAAGAGCAAATGTTGATGAACGAGGTCAATTTGAATAGCACCTATCGGTTCGTTTTCATACAAAAAAAATGCGCCACTCAATCCAACTTTATTCGCATTTCTATTCGTGCGGCCGTGTAAACGACATCAACGACTTCATCACCGACTTTTTCGTCCTTTCATTACTATTATTGTTGTTATTCTCCTTCTGTTGTTGTTGTTGTGCTCCGATTCGAGCCGTCGCCATCTCCGTCGACTTCTTCTTCCGTGTTTCGGGCGCACTCTGCCGCTCCTCGCTCGACAACGCCTTCCGGTCGTAGTCCTTCGAGTTGTCCTCTTTCGATTTCATCTCACGAGCCATCTTTTGCTCTTTCTGCAATAAGCAAAATTGACGCGAGGTAACCTTACAAAACTAGACAAAACTGACCGGAATAAGAGTGGATCGCCGGACGGTGACATTCTCGTACGAGTTGCTCTTCTCGCACACCGGAATGCCCTGATCCTTGTTCGTCGGCATTTTTGAGAGCTGCGCCAGACGGACCGCCGATGAGTCTTCGGGTCTGAAGAACATTTAGATGAACTTTTAGATGAACCAGAATTAATGGACGCGATTACAAACATTAGCAAAATTCGGGTCTGATTGGATTATCCGATTATTGATTCAGTACAATCAGTTTAGAATTTTAAGGCGCATGCGCAAATGTTCGTCTCCACTCTTTTAGAATCGACTGTTTTGTCACTCTCACAATTGTCAATCGTGCAAAGTCCGGGCCAAGCCCAGGTACCGATTACCCACTCGCTGGCTCTTTTGTAGTCGGCCGCCGTGATCACTTCGCTGATCTTCTGCCCATTCTGTCGGACGGCGCCGTTGCGGAAGAGCGGACGGAAAAAGTCGTCCTGCAGCAGCAGTTTCCCCCGCAAACGCTTATCGGGCGGATAGACGAGAATGCGCTTCATGAACGCCAATTGCTCCGGAGTCGCGTCCGTCACCAGCTGAAAACCAAACAAAACGACGCCTACACATTTTCGCGAGAACAACAAACTCTCTGTAGTCCGCCGCCGCGTTGGAACTTCCACAATTCGGGCTCCAACCGCTCGCCGGCCTTCATCGCGCGGACCTCCGCATCGGTCGGCGCGCCAAAGCATCGGCAGTAGAGTTTTAGCTGATGAGCACTGTCCCGCCCGGGAAACACCACGTGGCGACGGATCATTTCGGCGATAATGCACCCGGCCGACCACACATCTAAAAGTCATAGCCTTAAAATGTCAAAGCGCTTTGGCATTTTTCTTGATTTTTCTCGGTTTCAAAAAAATCACAAAATATGAAAAACCACACGTAGTTTGATTAGCTGGCACAAGTGCATGCATTTTTTGAAAACAAAAAACCGACCGACGGAAGCGTCGTACTCCTGCGCCTTCATGAGCAACTCGGGCGGTCGATAGAATCGGGTGACCTGATAGAAATTGTTCGGTTTTCCCTTCTCCAATATTTTCGCCGATCCGAAATCGGAAATCTTGAGATAGGCGGTCGCGTGGTCGACGAGAATGTTCACCGGCTTCAAATCGCGATGCACCACCTTGTGCTCCTCCAAATATTTGAGACCGGAAAACATTTGCCACGTGTACAGTCGGACGTCAATGTCCGAAAGTTTCTGGCGAATCACCTCGGCCAACGTGTTGGGCATGTAGTCGAACACGTACGATTCGCACACCTGGAGAATAATGCAAATTTTTTTCGGTTTTCCGCCGACGTTGCCAACCTTTTTGTCATTGTCATAATTGTGACTGAACGCAAATATCATCTGAATCACATTTTTGTGTTTGCTCCGCTCGCGCCCAGTCAGAAAAATGAACTCAAAATTGCGTTCGCCCTTCTCCGGCCACGTCTTTTTGATCGCCACCGTCTTCTCGTAGGGCTCTCGCAGATTTCCTCTGCAAAACGTTCGAACATTAATGAGGAACACAAGAGACTTTCGGATTTCGAAGCTTTGAAGAAACCTGAGCTTCACCGAAAAAAGCCGAGTGCTGGCCATTTACGGAAACGTTTTTGACGCTCTTTTCACAGAATTATAGCGAATTATGGCCTCAGAGCTTTGATATTTTGTACGAAACACTGTGACACATAAACCGTCATTTAATGTTCGTTTCGAAGCCCACGCATTTTCGTGGCGAGACCCGACCTGTAGACATTGCTGAATACGCCGGACGAGTGAAGATGAACATCGTCGATTTTAAGCATAACTTTTTTATTGTCCGCCGGCATTTCATAGGCCTCCTGCTCAACTGTAACACTCATTTCGGCGGCCGTCTCCAAGTTGGTGGACAGTTTGTCGATGCACGACCAGTTACAATATTTTGTTTCGAAATAAACGCATTTCTTGTTCGGTATTGAACGTTTTGAAATGTGGAGTCGAATTTTGTGGTGTCACGTAAAACTTGAGATCTAATATAACTTTGTACAAAATCTGGAACCGCAATAAAAAAATTTTTCAGAGATTTGTTCGGCGCCGCGTGTGAAACACACCCTCCTGCGTACGAAATCTTCTCGAAAGCGATGAATATGGCGGCAAATGAACAAGATGAAAAGGAGAATGTTGTGAAGGAAGAAGAGCAAAAGTATGCAACTTTTTTGAGAATTAAAGGACCACCGGGGGAACGCTGTGAGTTTATGTGTCTGAAAACTCTTCCCTTGCACTTTGACGATCTGTTGATTTGTCTAAGGATTGTGCAGAATGAAAAAGAGATCCCTTGGCCTAGGAGTTTTCTAGGCCACGGCCACAACTTTAACTTTAACGAGAGAGTTGGGACTCGGACAGTGCATGTGGAAATTAAAAGCAAATCAGACAGACACATAGTCTTGCAGGGTTCTCGTTTCCTGGTCACCGGTAGCGCCAAAAAATCAAGCATGGCGCATAGTATCATCCAGATTTTCCTCAAATTTTTGTCGAGTGTACACCACTGATACAAGCACGTTCCGGAAATTTGGCAAAAATTTCAACAAACTTACTTTCAGGCTCTCGGAGCGCAAAAAAGCGAGCGAAATGGAGCACCAGGAGCCGCCGGACGAGGAGGAATTCGAGGATTCGGAAGACGAGCTCAACACAACCGTCATTTGTAAAGTCGCTGTACTTTTGCCATAATTTTTTGAAAATTTGGACCCTTCTCGTTGTTATTGTTTTTTATCAGGGCTTGGCAATTGATCGGCCCTTGACCCACTTGCAATGATCCGATCGGGACCAAACTTTGCAGGTTTCTTGGACATGGATTGAGGTATACATAATTACTGTCGAGAGCTTGAGGCCTATTTTGGCCGCAAAGCCCGGGCTTCCGATCAGATGATCCGATCGGGCTGAAACTTGGGCCCAATATACCTCAATCCGTGTCCAAGAAGTCTGCAAAATTTGGATCCGATCGGATCATTGCAAGTGAGGCAAAAGTGACAATTGCCCAGTCCTGCTCTTCATTAAAAGAGAAGAAAATGCCAAAAATTTATTTCTTATTAATTTAAATGATTATTCGAAAGAAGTAATGATAAAACACGACTAGACAATACCCAAAATTAGAAAAAAAAACAGAATTTCTCGTACAAAACATCGTTAAAACGCATCACAAATTACTTGGGGAAATGAGGAGACTGATGATGCGAATGATAATAGTGATTCTGGTTGGGGGTACTGTAAAAGTGGGCGGAGCCTGGCGGCGGGAACGAAGGGCTCTGGAAGGGCGTCGATTGAAGGGATTGGCTCGCCGAGCAGCACGAGCACGACGATTCACAGCAATTCGAGGAAAACACGGGCGACGGGTGCGTGGGCGATGGCGAGGAGTCGCCGGAGAGCTCGAACGACAGGCGCGCGATGTATCTGCAATGAAAAGGATTATTTCAGTCAGTTTCAGGGCTGGGCAAATTTATGCCCATTTGCAAGGATCCGATCGGGCCCAAACGTTGCAGACATCCTGAACATGGATCAAAGTATATTGGGTCCAAGTTTCAGACCGATCGGATTATCCGGTCCCGAGATTTACTGGTTTACTGGAAAAGACCGGGTTTTTGCGAAAATTGCGGGCTTTTCGACCTGTAATCCACTTATCTCGGGACTAAATGATCCGATGGGTCTGAAACTCGGACCCAATATACTTCAACCCAAGTCCAAGAAGTGTGCAAAGTTTGGGCCCGATCGGATACTCGCAAATGGGTCTAAAGTCCAGGCCTCGGCAGGCCTTCAAAAAGCCTGGGCCGGCTTTTTGTCCTTTGCTCTTGCTCACATGCTTTTCAGTTTGGACATTTCAGTTATAGTTCTATGACACTCATTAAACAGTTTTTAGGCCAAAAAGTACAATTTCCCCTAAACTCACTCCTGCGCCTTGCGCAACGTCTCAATCTTTGTCATTTTGGGCTCGTCCGGCAGCGACGGAAGGATCGTTCGCAAGTGCTCCAACGCGTCGTTCAGACTGTTCATACGACGACGTTCGCGAGCGTTCGCCTGCAAATTTTACAATTGTTTCGTGTCGCAGCAACCTCAAAACGCTCAAACCTTGTCCCTCCGAACTGTTTTCGCGCGTTCGATCGCCGCCGGACTCCTCTTTCTGCATCGATACTTTCGTTTTTCCCGTTTCACCGGAGCAGCGGGCGTCGAATCAGTGGCTTCCGATTCCTGTAAGATTCAACATTTGATGTACACTTGTCCAATTCACACTTGTCAACGAAAACCGACGATTCTTCCGGTTTGAGGTAAGGTGCGAACTACACATTTTGCGAGAATTCGTCGATAAGTGCGAACTACGCCTATTCCGGAAATGAGACGTTTCGCCAGAGCAAAAAATGATTCTTCTTGACTTTTACAGATCGAAAAAAGATCGCGACACACACACACACACACAGAAAAAGCCAGTTTTGACAACAAATAAAGGTACAGCATAGCCGTTCTTTCAAAACGATATATCTCAATTGAGAGTTGAGTTATCAAAAAGTTGTCAACTCAGAAAATGTTCTTTAAGAAATTCTGCACATTTTATCAGTTGATCACTTTTTGATATCTCCACAGGCGCCTGAGATACAACGCTTTGAATATTGAAATGTCGTTATTCAAAAAAAAAAAAAGAACAAACCTGTTTAAATTCCATGCCGGAATGGTTGTGTAGTTGATGATTATGATGATGTTCGAGAAAAAATTGCTGTTGAAACATTTGATGATCGGCTGAAGACATTCCGAATCGGACCGATGTGGAACAGAAGAATAAGACGAGCGAGAGGACGTCTTCGGAGAAAGTGGGCGGAGCTTGAGGGGGCGTGGCTTACGGGTGGGTAACAGGAAGAAATGACGAGGTTGGTGAGCCGGATATTGTACTTGGGTGTGAAGGGGAAAACATTTGATGATGATTGATGAGCGGAAAGATCGAAAAGTTGTAGATCAAAGGTCAAATCCTTTGGAAGTTGGTCACAATGTTCATGCATTTTAGAGCGAACTAGGAAAGAGAGTTTAGGAAGAAATTGAGATAATTCTGGAAAAAATCAGCGCACAAATGTAAACGAGGAAGTCATTTTGTAGCGTTCAAGTGCCAAACATTTTCTCATGCTCCAATACCGCCCAGATTTCCTTTGTTTTTCACATCGCCACGGCGGCCAAAAGTGTAGAAAGGGGCGTGGCCTAATCTGAGACGCGTTTTCTGAAAAATGCCGCAATTTCAGCACTTTTCCGTTATTTTTGTGCTTGATATCGACGAAAGAAGAGACATTAAAGAGAGAAAACATTGAAATGTTTGTGAAAACGCCGCGTTTGAGACGTTTTTGGCATATTTCGCAATACGCTCTCCGCCGCAATTTCGGAATTTTCATACCGGCCGATCTGGACAGTTTTGAGAAGAAGTGAGTGTCGGAAGTGATTAAGCACGTTAATACAAGTATTTTAAGCGTTCAAACGGCAAAAAGTATCGGCGAATGACTGAAATTCGCGCATTTTCAGCACAAAACTTGAAAATCGATTCAATTGATTGAATTTCTGAATGAAACCTGCTCGTTTTAAGCTCAAAAAGTGCGCGATGATTAGTTTAACAAATTTATGCAATTACATCGTCGAAATCGTAAAAAATTTGGGTAATTTTTGACGAAAAACATGAAAAATGGGGTTAAATTTCGAATTTCGCGCCAAAATGGTGTCAAAACCGTGCACTCTAGGTGTATGGTCGCCGTGCATCGCTAAATAAGGATTCACTGAATCGGTAGTTTCTCAAAAACGACTTCCCTAGTTGGCTAATTTCTCACATAACTCACGAACCGTTGCGGGCAGGTGTTCATTCTTTTGCATGTTTATATAATACCTATTTGTTGTCTCAAAACATTACGAACGAGTCTTTATGCCCTTTTTGTTAATCCCTTCTCTTTTTTTCTTGGATAATCCAATCCAGTAGCTCACTGACACCTAATATGAGCGGATTAGGGCCGTGGTTTGTTGAGCGACGTCCCTCATTAATTTCTGTTCGGGTCTCGAAAGGGAGATGGGTAATATGTCAATGACGCGCGGAGAGAGAAGCATCTGTTGAGGGACTTTATTTATGAGCTTTGATTGAATTAGAGCAGTCTGGGGATTTTTCGGAATTTTTTTTAACCTTTCGGGGTTTTTTTCATTGACTTGGCCATCCCTATGCCTGTACTTTGCCGTTTTTTGACAGACGGCTACTGTAAACTGAATTCAGATTTTGAATTTTGAAAATTCTGGGCAAAATGAATGAACGTGGCGTTAAGAAATGTTTCCTTCATATTTGCTGTTCCAATTCACACTTGTCAACGAAAAATGACGAATCTTCCTGTTTGAGGTGAGGTGCGAACTACACATTCTCTGAGAACTCGCCGACAAGTGCGAACTACGCCTATTCCGGAAGTGAGACGTTTCGCCAGAGCACAAAAAAAAGGCTACCATCGAAAACAGTTGGTTAGGAAATTTTGGGCCATAAAATAGGCTGTCAAAATTCATGAAGCTTGTTCCGTTCCAATGGGACCAGTTGTGAATGGATGCGAGCAATTAATTGAAATTCATGATGATCCGAATGGGCGAACCGAATGGGATTTCGCGGATTTCTCATTTCTACGCCCAAATGACCGTTTTTGACGACCTAATCTTGAGTGAAAATGTGAGAGAAAAGTGCGTGAAATTATTGCGATTTTGAGGGAACAGGCAGGAATTGGGAAAAAAATGAAACAAATGCTCTGTTTCAAATTTGTATGGAACATTAAAAAGAAATCGATATCACTGAAAAACGACACTTTGCAAAAAATACAATTTTTCCTTTAAAAAGACACACACACATGCTCCCCCCCCCTAATCATAATTCTTAATAATAATAATAATAATCACGCGTGTATCTGGTTACCTAATCCAAATTAGTCGCAATCCGAAACGGCCCCCTCCCTCCCAAAAAATGACACGATGACGTAACAGTTGATTGACCGGACACACCTGACTTACAAGAAAATAATAGAAAATGGTACAGCAACGCTAAACATCTCATTTCGCGTGTTCGACATTTTGAAGGGACTGTGAAACTGCAAAAAATTAAGGAAACGCTTACTTTGCTTAAAGTTAACGAACATTGTCTGTTTCTAACCTTAATGGATGCATTTTTATGCATTTCACTCTGAGAACCGATTTTTGTTTGAAATGTCGATGCATAAGTCATTTGAAGAAGGGAAAGTGAGGGTGTGACAAAAAAAAGCGCGACGCGACTTCGAAATAGGACTCGGCTCGGAATAGAAGTGTTCTGAAATAAAACTTATTCCGATGTTGAATTGTCTCGGAATGTCACTGTACCGAAATAGAACCGTTTCAAAAAAAAACACACACAAAACTCAACGACCGCTTGTTCTATTTCGGTACAGTGGCATTTTGAGATAATGTCTATTTTGAAGTCGCTCCGAAAATCACGGAAACTAACTTTTGCGCATGCGCCTTTAAATTTCAAATTTTGACCGTACTATCCTAAAATAAGGGCTAGACCGTTAATCAGAGCGCTCAAATTTAAAGGCGCATGCGTAAATGTTCGTTTCCGCTCTTTTCGCATCCGCGATTTTTTGAAACAGAAAACAGCTATAGTTGATCACCACAAAAAGAGCCTAGTCATATTATAATTCCATTCAAATACAAAAAGAGATGGATAATATCCGTTCGGCGGTCGCGGGCGGCTCATTCTAAAAGTGGACCCCTGCTGATCTGGTGATGGTGGTCCCACCGTTTAGGACCACCGCTCTTTTGAGGTTAGACCGTGTCGGATTACATAATATTATTAATGAGGGGCGGAAAGGTAAAAAAGAACATGGACAGGTGCCTTTTTCGGAGGGGAAACGGACCGAGAATAGGGGGAAATTTTTGGAAAAAGCTAAAAATTCGCCAATTTTATACACCAAAAAGAGGGAGAAACTATTTCGGGAAAAAGGTATTATTATGAATTTCAATGGACTTTCGAATGGGCGCGAGTTGGTGAAAGGGAAAAAGAAAACAAGAATACAATTCCGAAATAATTCAAAATTTTCAACAACAAAGAAAAATGACGCCTCATTATTAGAGTTTCAGAAAAGAAAAAATGAGGGAAATGCGAGTTTCGGGGCGGTTAATTTATTTTTGTTCAAAAGTCCGCTTTGTACTGAACATTCGTGTTCACCGAATGGACGGACGTCGAGAAGGAGCGCAGTTGGACCTGCAAAAATTGAAAAAATTGATTGGAACAAAATTTAGAAATCGAAACCGACCGTCTCGGAGTTCTGAATGAGACAGGCACCGCTCTCGGTCCAGTCCTCCGGCGCCTGAGTCTCTTTTCCCGTGTAGATGAGCACGTCGAACGAGACGGGCTCCTCGAGCAGCGGCAGGAACGAAACCGATGCAGTGATTTGTCTGAAAGTGACGAAATTTCGCTTAAGAACTGATTTTCAGCGATTTTTTCGATTGCAACGCAAACTTTGATCGAATGATATTATACCCACACGCACAGTGCACACACACGAAAATAATTGGGCTCTCTTCGCCAATTAGTCAAATAAAAGACGTCTGTCGCCAAGAAACGAACCATCTGACGCACAAATCAATTGGATTACGGTATTTGTGTGCCCCTTTTTCGGGGAGAAACACAATTTTCGGAAAAGAATACGTATAATTAGGGATGAAGGATGGGAAATGGGCCATTTGTGAGGGTAAAAGTTGAGTTTTGAGAAATGCACAAACCTGAGCACATCGCTCATCTCCTGGCGAATCTTCTTCTCGTCCTTTTGGCGGTGAGCATTTTCGCTGAAAGTTATTGAATTTTATTTAATCGAAAAATTGGAAAAATGTGAGCGTTTTCTCTCGTTTTCCGCTCAAACAGGTGTTCAAGAGCTTTCGAGCTCTCGACGGGACATTTGCAAATGTCCGTTGCGTAATCACAGAGGAATACCGTCCGTTTTCCGGTTCAATGACACCCACGCACTCGAGATGAGCACTTGACACCCGCGGAAACCGAACGATTGTTGTTGGAACGGATTAACAAAAGCAAAAAGGTGAGAAAAATGAGGGACGAGGGACTTTTCCAGGGAAATTTGCGAGAAGCGATTTCCGTACCCCTCCTCCTCCAAATCCTCGGTGTGAATATCAAATTGCCATCGCTCGACGACTTCCTTCGTTTTCACCTCCGAAATGACCATGACGAGCCGTTTCAGTTGTCTTTTGGCCAGCCAGACTGCAGAGAATTTATTTAAGTCAATTTTTAATCGAAAAAATCTCAATCACACTTACACTCGACCTGCTGCAAAAGCGGCTCCATAAACGCGTGCAACTTCTTCTCGTGCGTCACAAACAGCGTCAGCCCGTACTTTTTCTCGCGCTTGAAGCTGTCCGACGGGTAGAGCGCGCGCTGATACAGAATACTGTTCAGGCCATAGTCTGCAATTGATTTTTACGCGTTTTTGGCATAAAATTATACAAAATTCGTACGGAAAAACTCTTTGACGAGCGTCGCGGACCCTTTCAGCGAAATTGCGTTCTGCGTCTTCACATCCGTCATGTTCCTGCAATTTTTGATGAGAATGGGGTGTGTTCTTGACAATTTTGCGACGAGAAAAATGGAAAGTTGATCCAAAAATCGAGAAAAACGGCTGGAAATCCAGTTTTTAGCGGGAGAATCGTTTGAATTTCAAATTTACGCGCCGAAACAATTTCACTGACCGCCTGCGACTCGTCGCCGACACTTGGAGTGTCGTAATGTCGTCCGGTTTAGCAGAAAGCGGCATTTTCAGATTTCGCCATAGAATTTGTTGAAAATCAAAAGAGAACAAAAGTAAAAGAAATCCATATCACATTTATTTTGCTTCCTTATAGCAAAATCCCTTCAGTTTGAGACGTCGTAAGATTTTGACAGGGACAGGACGGCGATGCGGGCGATCAGATTTCCCTCAATTGGGCCCTTCAGATTACCTCCGTCGGTCGCCGTCCTTTAAAATCTGACAGTTGGCACACAGATGTGGCATTCTGTCAGGCCGTTGCGATTTCTGAGGATCCCATTGCTTCTGAATGGGATCCAATGATGCTCACACACTTTTCTAGTTGTCTTTCATTAGAATTCCAGTATGACAGCTTCGGATGATCGGAGAGCAGCCATTGGAAGCGAGCGGAGCCAGTTGCGTGCGATCCGCCCGCGCCGCCGTCTTCTCCCAGCCTTCTACGCGCTCCTGCTAATTCCAGCACGCTTCTGATGTATTCTCCAGGCTTCTCAGAAACCTCGACCATCAAAATCTCACGACGTCTCCCCCGGATGCTGGAAGAGCAGCACCTCCAGCATCTAATGCACTACATTTTCGAAAACTAAAAGGATTTTGCCAGACTTGCCAGATTTCGGGCCGGCCATGCGGGCCGGCCCGGCCCGATCGGCCCGGTTCAAAAGGCGGGAATTCAAATTTTCGCGGAAATTTTTTTTTCGTTATTACAAAAAAAATTTTCGAACTAAAGTTTTAGTGTTTCTTCTTTGTTTTTTTGCTATTATGAATTTTTTATGAGAAATACATTTGTTTTTCAATGTTCGATGCTTGCAAAAAACCCCTAATTCTACAAAAAATGGCTTCATGCGATCAATAATTCAAATTTTGAATTCCCGCTTTTTGAACCGGGTCGGGCCGGGCCGGGCCGGAGTTTTGGAAATTTCGGCCCGGCCCGGCCCGGCCCGTGGCAACTATGGATTTTGCTGTATGGAAGCAAAATAAATGTGATATGGATTTTTTTACTTTTGTTTTCTTTTGATCTTCAACGCATTCTTTGGCGAAATCTGAAAATGCCACTTTCTGCTAAACCGGGCGACATTACGACACTCCAACGGTCGCCGACTAGTCGCCGGCAGCCAGTGAGCGCAGTCTTGAAATTTCAGCGAATTTAGCTGAAAATCGCACAATTTTTCCAGTTTTCAATATATTTCCTGTATACAGAAAGTATTTTCAACCTTTTAATCATGTTTTTCGCTGCAGAAATGTTCAAAATGCTCATTTTCCAGATGAATCGCTTGGTGGTTGCTCCCCGCCTCTTCTCGGCTCGTACCATGGCCTCCGCGGCTCCGAAAATCACCACTGGCATTGAGCACGCCGAAAAGGCACGACAGCTCGCAGGTATGATTCTAAAAATTGTGTGAAAACGATTTTTTTAAAGATTATTCAAAAAACTTGTTGAATCTTGGTTTTTCGCGTTGAAATCTAATGTTCCCTGTCTTAAAAATGATGGAAATGTCGAAATGAAGCTTGTAATAATTTTTTTTCAAAAAATTTTGAATTTTCAGGCGGGAAACCAGACTGGGCGCTGTACAAGTGCGACGACTACCTGAAATTCGACAAATACTCTTACGCCCACGCGGAAATCACGATGAACAAAGCACGTGTTCCGCAGCCGACAAACCGCAAAGCGGACGTTCTTCCGCAAGTGCGCAAAGCTTAAAATCCCGGATTTTCGATGGAGAATTAGATTTTTCCGCTTTTCCTACACCTAGATTCGTCGTTTCCCATGTTTTCCTCTTAATTGATGTGTAAATTCGCCTTTTTCTGTAGTTTTCCAATGAAAAAAGAGTTATCGATTTTCGGAAGAGATTACTGGTTGAAGCTGCTCCAAATACCTTATTGTTCGCTTGTTTTGAGTTGGTTCCCATGGAAACTGGCTCTCCGGCCGCCTGCAATCGATTTTCAAGGTGTTTCGTGTTAAATTTTGGTCTCTTTGCGATATTATCACTTTTTGCCCCTTTTCCACCCACGAAATCAGTTTTTTTCCCATTTTTCAGTGAAAGATGGCATCTCTGACAATCGAGCGAATAAACGAGATATTTTCCAAGAATCCGAGTGAAATTGAGAAATTTTTCGCGGATTTGAACGCTCGTCACACTCAACCCAACAATATCATCGAGTTGCCGACGGAAAATAAAATGGTATGTTGAAAATTATTTTTTGAAATTTTTTAAAGCCTTTTTTTAGCTGCTCGGCGAAAAAATCTCGGAATTTCTGGAAATTCCCGATTTGGCGCCGACTTTGCTTTTTACCCTTCGCATTTGTAGCCGAGATGTCAACGGAATCGAGGTCGGCAATCCTTTTTTGAATTTCTTGCCATTTTTCATTTTCAGAGCCTTCTCAGCACTCAACTCTGCGAAAAATTGCTCAATTTCGCGTGTGTCCTGAAAAATGGAAAACCATTTACCACAGTTCCAAGTTTGTCTATTTTTCCAGACAAACATTTGAAAATTCCGAATTTTCAGCACTAATTGAGGCTCAAAAAAGTCTGATCAACACGGTTTTCCATTCGAGCAAAATGCGCAGTGTTCTTAAGTGAGTTTGCGATTTCTTACAAGCAAAATTAGTGGAAAAATCGATATCAAATTTACAGAGAGCACAACGAGCGGCTCATTCCATTTTTGGCCGAATTCGACGAGTCGCGTCGCAAAACGTCGAAATTCGAATGGATTCGGCAGTTGGACGACAAAACCGCCGACGAAATCGCCTTTTTCTACCATAAAATCGCTTTTGTGGCCACCGCGAAGTGCAAGGATATTCAGGTGAGGTTTCGGGAACAAACAGAAGTTTTCCTGCGTATTTCTCAAAAACCAGGGCTGGGCAAAAGGCCGGCGCAGGCTTTTTGAAAACCTGCCGATGCCTGGACTTTTGACCCATTTTCGAGGATCCAGTCGGGCCCAAACTTATTGAAGTATTGAAGTATATTGGGACCAAGTTTCAGACCGGTCGGATCATCTGGTCCCGAGATATACTGGTTTGAGGCCGACAAGCCCCGGATTGCGCAAAAATTGCTGCCTTTGCGGACTCTGATGATCCACATATCTCGGGGCCAGATTATCCTATCGATCTGAAACTCGGACCCAGTATACTTCAATTCATGTCCAAAAAACCTGCAAAGTTTGGTCCCTATCGGATCTTTGCAAGTGGGTCAAAAGTACAGGCCTCAGCAGGCTTTTAAAAAGCCTAGGCCAGTCTTTTGCCCAGCCCAGTCAAAAACAAAACTACTGTTTTTTTGCAGAAGTCGTGGCCGCACTATCCGGGAATCGTGGACATTCTGATGGTCCCACTGGAACGCCTTCTTCACAAAAAAACGGATCCTACTGATTTACAGTTCAAAATCGCCGACGAATCGCTTAAAACGTTCTTCAATATTTTCTGTCGTGAAGAAAAGGATTTGCCCGCCATTGAGAAGGTTCTTAATGCTTTTTCCAATTTTTCAATGCATCTTTCTTCAGGAACAAGCCTCGAAAGCGTCCCGAATCTTCCGTGACCTGATTCTATCGGATTCACTGCCTGAAATTGTGGTCCAATCGGCCGTCCACTGCCTTTCGGTTCCTCCGCTTCGCATCGATTTGAGCATCGTTTGCGGGGATCCGAAAGCCCCGCCCACTCAAAAAGAACAGGAATTCAAGAATATGGAGCTGACCGAACGACTTCTCGCTATTATTGAACGCAAGTGCGATGAGGTAAACATTTTAGACAAATTTAAGCGTCAAAAAATCAGAAAAATACTGAATAATTTCCAGATTCGAGAGTTGGGAACGGATCCGTTGGCGACGGAATCCACCGAAATGCTCGGACCGTACTTTCAATTCTTGAGCCGACTCTGCATGCTTAACAAGTATTCGCGACGCTATTGCAGACTCAGAGTGCGTTTTTTTGTTTTTTTTTGTATGGGAATCATTTTTTGCAGATAATCCCTCCGTTGACGGCCGAAGAAGTGCAGAAACGACCGGAAGAGCAGGAGAACCTGCGCGGCAAACTGTGTCGGATGATGATGACTCCGACGGCGACGAAAGAAGTCGTCCAGGCGTTCCTTTTCATCATTTGCAAGCGATCCAGTACGTGACACGAATGATTAATTTTTGTCAAAGGTGAATTTGCAGCCGACCGTTTCATCAAATACTTTGGATTCGGCCACGCCGCCGGTCATCTAGCCAATTTGGGACTGCTCGGAACGATAAATCAGGCGAAACGCGACTCGGATTCGGAGGATTCCGAGACGGAAGAGTACAATAGCATCAGGGATACGTGAGTGTTTAAAGACAATTTTTTGGAAAGAAATTACTGTTACAGGAAAAGCGTTTTGTTTTTAACTGGAAAAACCTGAGAGATGGTTTTTCCCTGTCTTCCTTCATTCAATGTTAATTTTCAGTGTGAATCCGGTGACGGGAGCGGTGTATCCGGCCGATCGAGGCTCTATTTTGGCCGGAATGAGCGACGAGCAGAAGGAGTTCGAGGCGATGAAATTGGTGGATGCGATGAACAAAATGATGGAAGCCGGTCAGTGATTTTTCCGAAAAATTGGCAATTTTTTTTACTGTTTTAGCACTAGTAATTGAATGCTAGAAGTACAGACTACATCCTTCAATACTACTGAAGATTGTTAGTAAAACTGAACAGTTTTCGAATTTACGCTTGTGGTCTATTATTTGGGTCCATTCTTCCCGGACACAGCCAAAAATTGCAAATGTTTGCAGGAATTGTAAAGCCCGGAACGATTGGAGAAGACGGAAAAGTGCGCGAAGTGAAGCACGTTCTGGAGCTCATTGATAAAGTTCAGGAGCTCGACGACAACTCGGATTCGGACTAATTACAAAAATTTGCATGTTCTTCCTCTATTTCCCATTCTTGTAAGTTTGCTATTTGGTTTGTACAAAATTGCCCCAAAAAGATCTTTGAAAGCTTTATATTTTTTCCGTAAACTTTGAATTATTTTGATTGTCGATTCTCTCTACATATTTATTAGTTTTTTCCATCGAAAAAACTCCAGTTTTTGCAAGAAATAAAGGCACAGAAATGAAGGGGAAAGGCAACATAGAGTGGGCGGAGCTTGAGAGGGGGATTACGGTTATCGGAAAGTGATAAGAATGAGCGTGATGAGGAAAAGAGCGATAGATTGGCAGTTGAGACCCGTAACCGCAAAAGACATTGGTAAACCGTCGAGGTAGTCGAGAACCTGCAATCATCGCACTTTTTTTGGGATTTTAAAGTGTTCACCCACTTTGACTTGTTTAACAGTGGACAGAACGAGCTGAAAACGAGGCGATTCGTTGAGGGCAAAGTGATCGGCCAATTTTCGGACGTACGGAGAGCAGATCTGCAAAAAAACAAAAAATTTGAAATGTTTTGGGTTCAAGTTTCGCAACGATCCGATTATCTGGTCGCGCACTGGTTTGAGGCCGAGAAGTTAACGTTTTTCGGCCTGAAGCCTGTATACCCCTGGACCGGATGATCCGATGGGTCTGAAACTTGGACCCAATACACTCCAATCCAAGTTCAAGGAGTCTGCAAAGTTTGGATCCGATCGGATCGTTGCCGGTGGGTCAATAGACCCAAAGGTTATTTCAATTCGTGGCCAACCTTTTCGGCGCCGTCAGAATGCCACTGTGTGCGCGTGTGGTTCAACAGCTCGTTCCGTCCGTACCACTCGATTTTATAGAGCGCGTTTCCGGGTTCGCTGAGCTCGTGCATCGTGACGATTCGACACTGGAGGGCCTGGGGAAGGAGGCGCTCGAAGGCGATCTGCATGCGGGACGCGATGTCATTGGAGGCGTCGGAAGACGAGAAGCCGGCCTTGTCGAGGATCTCGCGAGGCACGGCCTTCCGGATGAGTTCCACGTCCTTAAGGGAGTAGCCGACAGAGATGTAGAGTCCCGGATACGTCTCCGGCGGGTCCGACGGGTACTCGCACACAAAGTTGCCCGTCTCGCAGTAGCACGCGCCACGGTCCTTCAGGAACACTCGCTCGCCGAATTCTGCAAGAATATCGACTGGGTTTTATCGATGAACAATTTCTTCGTACCTATGGTAGTCAATGGTGCATCGCACGTGCCGTGCTCCAGACACGGGACCGGCTCGCACGAGAGATGGTCCTCCGATTCGCATTCACACCACGTCGAACATCGGCCCGACCAGTCGACGTACTTCTGCAAATAAATTGATACAGAATCTTGGAAGAGCAGACTAGAACTCTAGAAACACTCTACTTCTTTCACAAAATCTCAAATTCAAATATCTCAAACAAACCCTCATAATGGCGCCAATGTGCGTGAAAATCTCGCGTCCATTCGCGTCTTTGGTGCTGCATCCCTCTTGCGGAGGCGGTGCGTGAGTGGTGAATACGGTAGTCGACGTGGCAACCGTACTCGTCGTCGAGACCCAAGGCGGCGGCGCTTCCGACACCGCTGGCGGAGAGACCGTCGTCCGGAATTTCGGCTTTTTCCCATTCGATCCGAGCCCGTCGGGACTTTTCTTGATCATCAAATCCTGGGGCTCCGTCACTGGGGCCACTTCCATTTTATCCACCGCTCCCTCCTCGTTTTTGTCGTTCTTCGTCTCTTTTTTGCCAAAAATTCCGAAAAGATCCAAAAAACTCGACTTTTTCGATGTTTGCGTGGGCGTCGGGGCTCGTGTAGTTGTGGGCGGCGCTAGCGTAGTCCGTGGCGCCCGTGTTGTGCTCGTTCTCATTCGTTTTCCCGGCCGACTCGAATTGTTCGTTGGGACCGCGGATCTTGGGGACGGTTTTGGCGGTTCCTGATAGATCGCCGCCATTGTCGTTTGAACTGTCGGCTCATAGATTATCTGCAAACATTTTCAGATTTTTTCCAGATTTTTGTAAAGGTGGAAAACTGATTTTCAGCCGATTTTGACTCAAAAGCATGAGAGGTCAGAAACTAAGAAAAGACGGGACAAATTTCAACACTCGGGGGGTGGCAACCCTCAAACTGCACCTGTTCAACTTCTCGACGTGTCCGCTGAAATTCGTCTGTTCTCGTATCGATTTTTGCACTTTTCAGCCAATTTCCAAAGCTTTGATACCCATATTGTGTGGGTTTTTATAATTTTTTTAAAATTTTTGGTACCGGCTCGCGGAGCACAAGCAAGTGTGCTCTGTGACTTCTAGAAACTTATAGGAAAAATAGGGCAATATGGGTGTCAAACGACTGGAAATTGGCTGGAGATTACGAAAATCGAGGTGTTACCGTGCTAGGAGCCCTCCGCATCGGCTCTTCCTCCTCAACAACTCGGTTCGTGGTGAGACCCGGCTTATTGTAGCCCATTATCCGAGAATACTCGATCATGGCGCTTTCGATGCACGGATTCGTCGGAATCATCGAGTTTTGATGGGCCAAACATTGCACATCGGACAATTTGCAGAAACATGGTTGCTCTAGGATTGAGGCTCTGAAAAATGACTTTTTTGTGTCAAAAAGTTGGATAATATACGGTACCTGGCCGACAAAATGGTCCTTCTACAATCGTCCAACGAGTTGCGGGCACACTCGCCGTTTCGGACCGGACAATGAGCCGTCAGGGCCTGTCGAATATGTCGGCAACGAGTATCCGAGTCGCATTTCTGAACCGCCTGCGTACACGTTTGCATGAAACCGCTCGACTTGTAAAGGCACTTCGGATAGATCATTTCCTGCAAAAAAATTGTTGATTGGTCATGTCAGGGTTCGGTCGGAAAAGTTTCGGTGCTCGCGGAGCCCCAAAAAAATTTTCTTCGTGAATTTTCAAAATCTCCTCGAAATTCGCAACGTTTCGAGCCGCACAATGCACAAATTAGCTACAGATGTTGATTTTGTGCTCGCGGAGCTCAAAATGATGAAATTCGCAAATCGGGTCAATATGGGTGTCAAAACGATCGTCTCGACCTGGAGATTCACAATATTCCGTTGATTTGACCGAAAAGCTCTCTCGCCGATGATTCTGGCACATGGCGGACAATAAAATGGCACTCTAGCTAATCTGCCTCTTTTCTCGTTTTTCCGTGCTGCGTCGCTTGCGTAAGAATGACAAATGATCTTTTTCGCGGTCCCTCAGGTTTTATACCCTTTTCGGGCACCCATCTTTCCGCTTTTTTCGCCCGAGTTTTCCCGCCGAAATTGCTTTTTTTCTCTTGAGAGAGAGAGAGCGAAAAATTGCGTTTTTTTCAGAGCGCTGATGAAAAAGTTGTGGAAAAAAAGCGGGTAAAAACTTCTCGTTTTCCTACTTTTTTGCGGGACAACTGAATTTTTGCTCATTTTTCGCTTTCGTGCCAATTATTTGGCCAATTAGTCGGCGAGGCACTTTTGACGAAAAAGTACGAGGAAACGAGTTTCGACAAAGTTGCTGCTAATTGGGAATTTTCATCAATTTTCACCCGTTTTCCTCCTCATCTTACCGCGTTTTTTCGAGAAAATTGAGGGGGAAAAAAACGGCCTTTCCCATTTGCTCGTTCCGGTTTTATTGGCAAATTTTACGGGCGCCGCCGCCAGTGCCAACCATTTTTATATGTTCGCAAAAAGAGCTGTGTAAAATTCGCGTGCACTCGGCGGATGTTATGATGAAAAACGAGGGGGGAACAAAAGTTTTGACACCCATATTGATCTAGTTTCATGACAAAAAAGTATAGAACTCTCCTGAACATTTCTAGACCATTTTCGAATGGTTTCCGACAAACCTGCTGCGTCAAACACGCCTCGTCTTCGGGCGCGCAATGGCAAAACATGATGGATTCGACGAGGGCGAATGGAACGTACGTCGAGAATCTTTGGAGGCTCTGAAACACGAAACTGGGAGATGTTGGAAGTTTTTTTGCAAAAAAAAAACCAATTTACCGCCGCACATTCCTCTCGCCGACAACTGGCCGCCGTGGAGCATCGAACGCGCAACTCGCCGAGGTGCCAACGACATTCGTCCACTGATTCGCAACGACGAATCGCATCCGGACACGAGGATCCTGGAAGCCCCGCATTGTCTAATGTTTCTCTCAAAGTTTTTGGGCTCCAGAGCTCGCGGAGCTTTTTAACGTTTTTCAAATCTAGGCGTTAAGGGTGTCAAATCACTTGGAATTGCATGGAGAAATCAAATCGACACGTGAAATTGAGTAATTTTGAGTTGGGGGCTCACGGAGCGCTACAACGAAAAAACACAAAGTGTCGGGTATCAAATTCATCCTAATCACGTGTAGAATTCAAAAATGCGCAAAAAATCGAACCTACCATAATCGTCGCCGGAAAAACCGGCAATCACGGGAACGGTCATCAGATTCAACGATAAAATGAGGGCGACTATCATCATCTCTTCTCACATTTCTCCGAAAAAAGACTTTGTGAGTGAAAGTGTGTGTGTGTGTGTGTATATGTGTGCTCTTCTTCTTCTTCTTCTTCTGCTCCAGAAGAGCGGAGCAGGAGAAGAAGGTAGAAAAAGTGGGCGGAGCCTATTTTCGGGGGAGCACACACTCACATACATGCGGGGAGCAGCAGGAGGAGGAAGAGAAACGGCGAAAAGGCGAGAAAAAGTGCCTCTTCCTCGCCGCTTTTCTGCCGGAAATCAACGGCCGGGAAACAAGGACACACGAGCAGGAAATTTTCTTGTGTGTGTGTGGGTGAAAAAGTGAAAAGACACCTCCTTCGTTTTTGTTTTTCGCCATTCATACAGGATTATGTTCGACCGCAAAGCGACCAACACTTTTGACCCGTTTTTGCCGCCGGAAAACGAAAAACTCGTTTGTTTTTGAGCCGCCCGCGTGAAATATGGGGCGCTTCTCGACGAAATGAGCAAGTTTGCCGGGTTCCTGAAGTTGAGAGGATCCATTTGGAATCGAAAGCTCGAAATTTGAGGAGCACTGAAACCCATAACGTCTAGATTTGGAAAAATTTTAAAAATGCTCCAAAATGTGCTCCGCGCTCGGGCTCCGCGAGTCTCTCGACGTTCTGAGCACGATTTTTAAGCTCTCCGCGCAATTTCGCGAATCCTACAATTTCCAATTTCACGCACTCCTCTCAAGTACGCTTGAAACGATGCGCCTCGGGGCGTTTGTTCCGCATTTTCACAAAAAACAAGAGGAAAAACTGACTTGCACTAGATTTGCGGGGCTGAAATTTCGGCGCCGACTCTTTTTGCGGTCCCGGATCCGAGATTTGTGTGGGCGGGTCTATGACGGCCTTCAATTTGAAGGAATTCGAATTCGATTTCTCGTTTCGGACCATTTGGACCGAGTATTCGTCGCGTCGCGAAGTGTCTCGATGACGTGGCATTTGGTCGGATTGCCACCACGCGGGGACCGTTGTTGCGGGCGGTCCCGTTGGTTCACGAGTAGTTGTGGTGGTTGAGGTGGTCGTGGTGGTGGTGGAACTTGAAGTTGAAGTTGATGTGGTAGTGGGTGGTACGGTATGTAGGACATACGGTACTCGAGGTGGTCCCGTTGGTTGGGGTTGAGGTTGGGATACTTCTGAAAAATGAAAAATTTGAAAAAAACATAACTTTTTTCGAAAAAATGCTACAGACTCCCACGAGCTCTTAAAATGACGGAAATCATCTGGAGAATATGGCGAAAATATGATACGTTTTTGAAAAAATGTTTTAGAGCACAATTTGAGCATATTTTCGCTCACCAACTGTTTCCCGGTTCTCGTATCGTTTCCGGTACTCCTCGGCCGTTCTCTGCTGATTTTCTTCGCGATTCTTCTGTGCCAAACTCATCAAAATCGGAAATTGACCGGATTTTGAGATCTCGTCTGGAAAAAGCAAGACAAATTGAATGTGAAATGTGCAAGAAAACGTACAAATGCACTTGTTGTAGTTGGTGTGCAGACGAATCCAGTGGCAGTCGGAGGAGTTGCTGCGAGAGCAGTGGCAGTCGCCGAGTCCGGACCACGTGAGGCCCTCGAAGGACTGCCAGCAGACGTTCCGATCCGCCATCCGGCACAGATTGTCCTGGTCCACGTCGCAGTTCTTGCGGAACATTCCCCACAGTTGGGCGCACGAGACATGCTTCAGACACACCTGGTAAAGTGCCGCATCGCACGTCTTCTGCTGGATCGTCTCTTTTGTCAACTCTGCAAAGTTTTGAAATTTTTTTTTTACATTTTCCGCGCATTTTTGACCGTTTTCGGACAAAATTTGATTTGAAAATGATCAATTACGTAAATGAAGTAGTTTTAGCCGAAAACTTTAAGCGGAAGAAACGTCAATTACGAACTGACCAAATTTGACGCTCTTGCGCTTAAAAAGTTTGCTTTGACCTATTTAACTGTTTTTTAGAAGCACGAATGAGAAATTATTGATTTATCGTGCCGAATCTTGCGAAAAACACGAAATTTGTTTGAATCGCTTTGTGCGGTGGAGCGCGCTTACCTCCGCTTAATTGCGACTTCCACTGCTGAACCTGATCCGCCGCCGGCGTTCTCGTCGTCCTTTTCTGCCCATTCTCGTGCGCATATCGATTGGATTCGATTTGGAGAAGTTTTCTGAAAATTCGACATTGCCCTCTTGTTCTAATTCAAAAAGGAAAGAAAACGTACCGATTGTTCAACTTCATCTCCTCGCCCACGTCCCTCATTTTTCGCTCGCACGGATGATTCCAGACGAATTGACGGAAAAAATCGCATTCTTCCGAGAATCCTGAACGATTACTCTGGTTTTTTTTTAAATTTTTCTTAACCTACCGATGGCCTCATAACAAGTGCATGTTTTTGTGGGAAATGTGTCTCGTATCCGTTGCAGATGAAAGACACAATCTGACGGAGACGTACCCGAGCACACTGCAAACATTATACATTTAGAAATGTTATGTTCCAAGTAAAAACTACTCACCATTCAAATCATATCCACAACTGGACTGAAAGTGCTGTAAATGTTGCTGACACGTGTCGTTTCGCAAACAAATCGATCGATAATGAAGGCAACTGTCGTAGGTCTCAATCGGTTCTGAAATTGAAGCATTTTGTATTTTAATCAGTGACATTGATTTGATTGAATGGCGCACGGTCTCCCTCGGGGGCGACTGATTTCAATGGGGCGCACTTGCAACAGGCGGGCTGTGTCGATTTACGCGGTGGCCGATTAATTAATTTTCAACGGGAACTCGCGTTTTCTAGACGTTTTTCAAGTCAAAAAGAGAGGAATAAAGGTCGTAAACTCGAATTGGACTTGATGAACTGAATTTTTCGAACTGCAAATGTACTCCGCAATTTCTGTTTAGCATTAGCGCCCTGGGAGACCGTTACAGAGCTTAGAATAGTGCGCCCGCCAAAAAGAGGGCAGTTTGACGCGAAATTCAAGTTTTAAAAGCGAGTTTCGTGTTTTTCGCAAAATTCGCCACGAAAAACCGATAATTTCTCATTTGTGCCTCGACCAAAAATCATTCTTCATTGTCTTTGACTACAAAAATCAGAAAAAAAGTGTTGGCGCAGGAATTTCTTTTCGATATTATTAAAAACTTGAAAAGGACCACTGACCAAACAAATAATAAAGTAGAAATACGAAAAAGAAGAGCGGCATGAGGGCTCATGTGCCAATCTGCAAAAAAAATGGTTTTTTAAGTTTGGTACGGAAAATTGAGTAAAACAAGAGAGATTATTATAATAAGTAGAAGAATAGAGTTTCCTTAAAAGTTTTTTTGAAACTCGAAAAAACGTCTTCTTCTCGGACCCCAAAAATTAGGCACGCTCAAAAATGCGAAAAACGAAGAAGATTTGCGAAGAAATCTCTCGAGGGACCGATTGACACCCGAAAAAGAGGGCTCCTCCGAATTTTGGAGCTTTCAAAAAAAAAAAGAGTTTTGCTGTGCTCCTCTTGAGTTTTTCTTTAGAATCTTCGGCAACATTTTCGCCACACTTCTTCTCTCTTTTTGTGTGTCCGCCGCCCGTCCGCCCGCCCACGCACTTTGTATCGAAAAGCGGGAGAAATGCGAAAAGAGCGGCGGCCCGTTTTAGGTAAAAAGCGGCCGAAAATGGATGCGAGAAATGGCTTTTCACGCAACAACGCGCCTGGGAAAACGGAAATGAGCACAAAAAGAGAGTAATGAGCAAACGATGCGGATTCGTAGATTAAATCCGATAAGAGCGAGATTTTGGCGCCGAATTCAAACGTTAACAGCAAAGAACCACCGATAGTTTCTCATTTAACGATGGAATATCCCATAACGAAGTTTTTTGTGCGCTTTGGCTGAAACTGTGTGAATTTCAGTTCTGAATCGAAAAAAGTGTGGTTGTGGGTGAAAGAGCATGGAGCACATGTCTCTTTTTTCCGCGTTTCCAATGATTTTCAAGTGATTTCGGGCGGTTTCGAGGGCCGAGAGAGTGCTGAGGTCGGAGTGACGCAAACGCACAGAAAAACGGATATTTTTGAGTGTAAACGGGTTCGGGAAGGGTCCTGAAGGCCCGGTGTCAGTTGGCTGATACCCGACCGGACCCGTTTGCACTATTTGTCAATCGGGATGTTGATTTGTTTCGAACACATCGAGCGGTCTTCAGGAATGGTACTTTTGAAGACGAGGCGAAAAGAAGCGGATGGTCTCGGCGAACGAATGGCCAGAAGAGTGGGTTGGACGGCCGGCGGTGCGGCTCTCGCGTTTGTGGCCGCGGCAGGGACCGTTCAAGTATTTTACAGAGGTTTTGATTGACAGGTGCTCATGTAAACAGATCATCGGAACACGAGTTCGTAGTTTGATCTCGCGTTGCGGTCCTTCCTCCCCGACGGGACCGTCCGATCGGAGAGATCTCTCCGCACAACATTCCTTCCTTCCCAAAGGTGAGTACGGTCACGTTAAAGGCGCATACATACATTTTGTCGCATCGCAGTTTTGACCTACCGCGAAACAAGTCTCATTGATCAAAACTGTCACGTTTCTTTTTCTTCTTCTCCTCGTCTAGCCCTGTGTTTTAACGTTCGAACGGATCGATTCGGAACGCGTTCCGAATCGATCCGCTTTTTCTAAATAAAATCGTCTCGGTGGTCCAAAGACTAGCACTTTCGAATGAAGATTGTTTTGGAACTTAACCTAACACATGACTTGGATTCTTTTTGAATGTGTGCTTTACGATCATTGAAGGCGTTGTCCGTACTCATTCGGCACAATCTTCAGACATTGCCAAACATTCCCACACAAATCAACAGATTGTCAAAGTGCAAGGGAAGAGTTTTCTAGGCCACAGCCACAATTTAATTACGCGCTGTTCCATTTTCAGGCATTTCTGAGAGTTGGGACTCTGACAGTGCATGGCAATAAGAGGCGATTCAGACAGAAACAAAAACATTTCAAAAAATTTGAGACTCCCCCTAACTTGTAAGAAAAAGGGCTTCAGTGAAAACAACTTTGAAAAATGTTTTTGCTTAGAAAAGGAAAATGTGCATTGAACTCAGCAAAAGAGCCCTTTTTAGGCGCCGCCCACTTTTTGAGCACGCCTTTCACAAAAATCAATTCTATGATAATTGATGATGGAAAAAAAACCTGAAAATTACAGGGCAAACAATTATAAATCCTACATTTTCCCAATTCTCACATCATTTTCCGCTAAATATATTTTTGATTTTCCCACGATTCTCCAATTAGAAATTCGTCTCGAATGTTTCCATTTTTCGCCGTAAACAACCGCAGCTGCCCCCGAATGCAAACGCGCCCCATTGAGCACGTTTTCAAGCGGATCTGTTGGGTTGGCAACCGCGTAATTACGCGGAAAATCAATCCGAATCTGAATTTTTCCTGAAGAAATTGGGTTTTTATAGGTCTTTGAGACGATTTTGAACGGTTTTAGTAGGCTTTTTATTAGTAGAGACAAATTTTTACGTTCTGAATCAGAATTTCTGATTCGTCAATGATTTTGCACGATGTCAGATGATTATTTGGCTGAAATTCGAGCTTTTGCAAAGTTTCTTCAAATGAAAAGTACTGTAAAAAATGTGAAAGTATGTAAACACCGCCGAATGCATCAAAATTGACGCCACTCGCAAAAACTTGATGTTCGTCCGGAAATGCGCCAATTTTCGCTCAATTTCTCCATCAAAAACGCCGTAAATGTTGTCGTTATCTCATCAATTTCTTCTTGAGAAAATGCTCGTCGAGCAATTAAAATCCGGCCCCGGAAACCGCTTTTCACTTTTTATCGCTCTCTTCCGGATTTTCGCATGAATTTACGGTCCTTTTTGCAGGAAATCAAATGGAACGAGGAGAGGGAGCGAATCGAGTGAGTTTTCCGAGAAAATAGAAGACAACTTTTTATTGGGTTGAAAACTGCCGAAAATCTGGTCAAACTGATGGAAAATTTCTAGAAGTTACGTTACTAACTTACCTGGATTAGTTGGAGTCCGGTAGATCAAGCGATGTGGAATTTCACATGAGGATCTTGAAGGGGTTCGGCTGAGTGAAAGGCTGCCCATGCGCTCCTTGTCATTCTGCTCAGCGCTTCCTCCATTTTCCCGTCTGAGTTTATCCATCTTCCTAAGTAACGGCATTCGGGCGAGGCTTTTGTGAGTGATCTCCTTGGAGTCATGCCTGTTGGACACTAAAACGGTTCTGGTCCTACGGCTGATTCTTTCCAAGATTTCTAGTCGATTTCTATAGACCAGAAACTGGGCGAAAAGAGACCAAAGACAAAAAACATATTTTTCTTGCAGAACAACGGCGAATCCAATCACGCGGAAGCGGCAAAGAAGATTCGTGAACGAGAAGAGGTTTGTCTGGAAAAATCTGCAAAAAATCTCATTTCTGCCTAAATTTCAGTACTTTTGCTCAATTTTTAGCATTTCTGCCTAGACTCGAACATGTTTGTTAAAATGTAAGAATTTTAAGCCAACTTTGAACATTTTTGCCCAATTTCAAGCATTTCTGTGTGAATTTCATCGCAATTTTTTGGCAGGAAGAAGAACCGCAAAATGAGGAGGACGAACTCGAGCGCGCGACTCAGGCGGGCGCCAGAAATTATCCGAAAAAATTGTGGAGCCGGCTGAATAATCCGGATCCCGACAGGCCGACCATCGACGTCTGGGAAATCAAATCGGTGAGCAGAAAAATTACAGAAAATTCGGCGTTTTTCTGCATTTTTACAATTTCCAGGAAAACGACTACGTCGCGATGACGTTCATTGTCGACGGCGAACGATTTCACATGTATTTCTCGGAACGAAGCCGAAAGTGAGACATTTTTAAACGTTGGTTTCCAAAAATGTTAAAAATTTGCAGTGACTACCAAATGCTGTCGAACACGTGGATTCCGCGCTCGAAAATGTACAGTGCGCTCCGCTCGCGCATCTATTCGCTTCCCAAAATATTGTCCATCAACAAATTGGTCATATTTGTGAGTTTTTGCACATTTTTAGGCCATGGGATCTTTTTCGCATTTTTTTTTGACGTACGGCACAATCTTGAGACGTTGCCAAACATTCACACACAAATTAACAGATTGTCAAAGTGCAAGAGAAGAGTTTTGACACCTGAGAGTTTTCTAGGCCACGGCCACAACATTTTCAGTGAAAAATACCCGATACCATGGTTTTGTTAACGATTACAAATTGTTTTAGAATACTCCGGAATGCGAAGCGGAAGACTGCCTCATCGAACTGTTTTTCATCAAAAAATGGAAATGTAAACAGGTAATTTTCGAACCGTTTCTATAAATGTTCAAATATCAAAGAAATTGTTCAAACTCAATCGGAGAGTTAGTCGAATCTTTTCGTTATTCTAATTCTAATTTAATCTTCAAAAAATATACATATTTTGTCAGTTGGACTACACGATCGCGTCGGAATTCACGCAGCCGCAGCATCTGCGCAAGCTGGTGCACATGTTCAAACCGGCCGAAATTATTATATTTCTCAATTTCGGACCGTACCAGTGCTCGAGCGGAAATGCGCCCGAAACGGGAATGCACAACCATCTGGCGGCGGTGGCCGACGGGACCGTCGAGATTGAGAGGGACTTCCGCATCGACTGTGCTCAGGCGCTCAATTGTAAGCGACCTTTTTGAAGAAAAGCTGCGCAACAGGCCGGTCCAGGCTTTTCGAGCCCACAGGCTTCTTGGACTTGGATTGAAGTTTCTTGGGTCCAAGTTTCAGACCGATCCGATCATCTGAACCCGAGATATGTTCCAGTATGTCTCGGGACCGAATGGTCCGATCGGTCTGAAACTTGGACCCAATATACTTCTATCCAAGTCCAAAAAGCCTGCAAAGTTTTTGCCCGATCCGATCATCGCAAATAGGCCAAAAGCCCAGCCCTGATAAATTCCGAAAAAATCGCCAAAATTGTTCGTTTTCAGCGGCGGATCCATCTCGCCATGACGCGTCGCACTTGTACGGCGAAGCGGGAAGGGGTCGCATGTTCGGCCAGCAAATGGTCCGCACTCTCAACGCCCTCAAACAATTCGTCTCGCTGATGGTCGAACGCAAAATGACGATGGGGCAGGCGGGCAGCTGGGAGATCAAGAAATTCATGGTCAAGTGAGTCTTTTTCTGGCCAGAAACCGTAAAAACGCGAGTATTTTTCGAATTTCAGCGGCCCGACAAACGACAAAATGTGTCCGAAACTGCAGGCGCTCTTCAAAGACGACGGAATTGAGGAATCGAACCGGAAACGGCAGGCGTACGCGTCCGGGGAAAAGGTTTGTGGCGGACCGATTCACAGCCCGAAAATTGTCGATCGTTGTAGGTGTACGTGTGCGTGCGCCAACAACTCCATCGCCACCTGAAATACTCGCTCTCAATGCCGGCGACCGCCTTCAAAATGGCCATCGGAAACCACGAACTGCTGCATTTCACGAAAGTCGTGCCCAATTTCCACTGCCTCTTCCGCACGAATGTCGACGAGCACGGAGTCCGAACGCTCATTCAGGTACCCGCGAAAATCGGTGGAGAAACCTGTAATTGTTGTTCAGGAATGGCTGAAAGGAGAGCGGTACATTGAAGAGATTCAAATCCACGTGGACAAAGTGTTCGAGCCGAACTTTGCCGACTCGTTCGTGCCGGAGCACAACGATCCGAAGCGCATCAAGATTCGACGATGCTTGTGGGTTCAAAAAAAGAGCATCTTTGCTAATAACTTGAGAAAAATCTAAAGAAAAATTAAGATAGTAAAATGGACTAGGAGGAAATGTTTATCAGAATCTGCTGACGGGCCTTACCTGTTTTTATATGTATTTTTAAAGTCAAATTCTGCCGAAAAGCCGAAAAGTTACCTATGGTTCATTGTATCGCCTTGATTCGTCTTTCAGATTTTTCTCAAGTGCACCCTAAAAGATCTGACCTAGGTACACCCGAAAATGTATTTTTCTTTCAGAAATGAACGCCGCTCGACGCTGTACATCGAACGGGAACGTCTGACGACTCGTCACCTGTCTCTCCGTGTTCTCGACGCAAAATAATCGCGTTTTTGAAGATTATTTATCCGAACAATGTTTCATGATATCCACAAAACCATTCCGAATACAATCGCTTTATTATCTCGATGCTTAAGATTGTTCATCAAATCTATCCTTGCTCTCAAAATTGATACATTTCCAGTATTTACGACCTCAATAAAATGTTATTCATTCGAACGAATTGGAAAAAAAGAATACGACGAGTTACGCATGGTGCATCGACCAATTACTAGTTGAAATGCACTGGACATTGGGCATTGGCCCAAGTCGAAAATGCCCGACTTTTCCGTCTCTCAATCGGTGTCCAATGCTCAATCTTCATTTAAAGAGTCCTCTGGTCGATGCACCATGGCTAACCGATTCTCATACTCTCTCTCTCCCTCTTTTTCTTCTTCTCCGCAATTTCTAGGATTTTGAATGCGAAACCGTACGTTTTCACAAGTTTTCCTTTAAAATTCAAATAATCAATAACTCCATTGCGCACAGGTGATTCGTGGTGGGTCTATTCGCAACTCGAAGACGGTTCTTTATCGATCACGAACATTTTATGCTTAACAGACCGCATTGTAGGCACTTTTTCTTCGCGATTCGTTCATGATCGCCTGTGAACAAGAATTATCGATTGGTTTCTAGTAATTGAAACCTTTTCGATCGAAACCCTGTCAAATGAGGTCTCAAAATGTTCGTCGCCACCCGGCGAATCCAATTTTCCTAGTTTTTCTCTGAAATTTTCACATGTTCAGTGTGAAAACGTCCCAGCAAACGTCTTCGTTTCTCCCGTTTGCATCTCCCAACCCCGCCGGTGTGTAATCGTAGGGAGGCGGCGGGCCACCGACGTCGTCCTCGGTCGGTCGGTCGGTCGGTCGACGGGCCGCCGGCCGATGCACCATGTTCGTACCCTGACACTCGCTCTCCTCCTCGTCTCGCCTCCCGTCGCACTCTCTCGCCGCACCGCACCGCACTCTCGCCCGTCTGCGTCTCTCCGTCCCGCCGCGTCTCTCGTCTCGCTCTCTCCGCCAATCGGCCACACTCCTCCTCCTCCTCCTACTACTACTCTTCTCTTCTTTCTCTTTTCCACTTTACTTTCTGCCTCTCCCCCACCCCACCCCGTTTTTCGCCGTTTTTAGCCGATTTTCAGCGAAAATTTGTAATTTTTTCGGCGCCTAGTAGATGCGCAAAGGGTGAATGGATAATATTGCCCTGGAAAATTGATTGAAAACCGATGAAATTCGGACGAAAACGCGCGAGAAAAAGTGAACGTGATTATCGATTTTTTGGCCGCGCTTGACGGGGGTGAATGCGCGCGTGCACGCTCACGCTCAGTTAATGCAATTGCGCCCTGTTGAGAGCGATTTTTGGGATTTTCGGTGGAAAATTAGGAAATTAGAATAATTTAGCGATAGAGCGCACTTGCATTTTCTGATCGGAACCTTAGAGATAATTTTTTGTCGGAAAAGCGCGACATTTTGCAAATGACTGATCCCTCTTCTTCTATTTCTCAACTTTTTGAATCCCTCTCAAAGCCACACTTTTTCAGGCGGGTTGAAATAACATCTAGGAAGGAGTAATGAATTCCACGCTTCCCCAGGATCAGTCGGGCACTCCGCCCGATCAGCAACAGCCTCCGCAACCAGTGCCATTTGCCACGTCGGCCCAATCGGCCGCTTCGACGGCTCTTCAAAACGATTTGGAGGTGCTTTTTAGTCGGCATCGCATCGACGTTTCGAACGTTTTCAGGAAATCTTCAACACGGCGCCTCCCACCCAGCCGGCCACCTTTTCCGACGGCGGTCTGGCTCCAGTGACAACAATCGGAGCCGCCGGGCTATCGATCGGCGAAACGACGAACACCTCGCTGGGTGCACAGCTTCAGGGCGTTGATGTGCAGGGACAACTTCCGGGGTGAGCGATAGGAATGGTTTTGCAGGGCGGTGTGCGACGAGGATTCCTTGTACCCCCTCCGTGTCGCCAAAAGTTTCAAAGTCGAGTTTTTTCAGTGACACCCATACGGGCCTCCAATTCCAATGCCCTCGCCGTCCGAACCACGGAGTCGAAGGTCGTGCCATTCTCCTGCGCGCCAATCACTTTGCGGTTCGCATCCCCGGCGGAACCATCCAACACTACCAGGTGGACGTGTCGCCGGACAAGTGCCCGCGTCGAGTCAATCGCGAGATCATCAACTGTCTGATTCACTCGTTCTCCAAGTACTTCACCAACGTTCGTCCGGTCTACGACGGAAAACGGAACATGTACACCCGCGAGCCGTTGCCGATTGGCCGCGAACGCATGGATTTCGACGTGACGCTTCCCGGCGACTCGGCCGTCGAACGTCAATTCGCCGTCTCCCTCAAATGGGTCGGACAAGTCTCGTTGTCGACTTTGGAGGACGCGATGGAAGGAAGAGTGCGTCAGGTTCCGTTCGAGTCGGTGCAGGCGATGGACGTGATCCTCCGCCATCTGCCGAGTCTCAAGTACACGCCCGTCGGCCGTTCCTTCTTCTCGCCACCAGTACCCGGAGCGCCGCCAGCATCCGGACCCCACCAGGGACAGTACCAAAGCGCCGAGAGCAAGCTCGGCGGAGGTCGTGAAGTCTGGTTCGGATTCCATCAATCCGTGCGTCCGTCGCAATGGAAGATGATGTTGAACATTGACGTCTCGGCGACCGCCTTCTACCGCTCGATGCCCGTCATCGAGTTCATCGCCGAGGTGCTCGAGCTGCCGGTCCAGGCGCTCGCCGAACGACGTGCGCTCTCCGACGCCCAACGTGTCAAGTTCACCAAAGAGATCCGCGGGCTCAAGATTGAGATCACGCACTGTGGACAGATGCGCCGAAAGTACCGCGTGTGCAACGTGACTCGTCGTCCGGCTCAAACTCAAACGTTCCCGCTCCAACTCGAGACGGGCCAGAACATTGAGTGCACCGTCGCCAAATACTTTTACGACAAGTATCGCATTCAGCTCAAGTATCCGCATCTTCCGTGTCTTCAGGTAAGAGATTTCAATAAATTCTCAATGTAACATTTGTTCAATTTACAGGTCGGACAAGAGCAAAAGCACACGTACCTGCCGCCAGAGGTGTGCAACATTGTGCCAGGACAACGGTGCATCAAGAAACTGACGGATGTCCAGACGTCCACAATGATCAAGGCGACGGCTCGTTCGGCGCCAGAACGCGAGCGTGAGATTAGCAACCTTGTGCGGAAGGCCGAGTTCTCGGCGGATCCGTTCGCCCACGAGTTTGGAATCACCATCAATCCGGCCATGACGGAAGTCAAAGGACGTGTCCTCTCGGCGCCGAAACTCTTGTACGGAGGACGTACTCGTGCGACGGCACTGCCGAACCAGGGCGTGTGGGACATGCGCGGCAAGCAGTTCCACACTGGAATAGACGTTCGCACGTGGGCCATCGCCTGCTTCGCCCAACAGCAACACGTCAAGGAGAACGATCTGCGCATGTTCACGACGCAACTCCAACGCATCTCGAACGACGCCGGCATGCCGATCGTCGGCAATCCGTGCTTCTGCAAGTACGCCGTCGGCGTCGAACAAGTCGAGCCCATGTTCAAGTACTTGAAGCAAAACTATCCGGACATTCAATTGGTCGTCGTCGTTTTGCCCGGCAAGACTCCGGTTTATGCCGAAGTCAAGCGCGTCGGAGACACCGTCCTCGGCATTGCGACCCAGTGCGTCCAGGCGAAGAACGCGATCCGTACCACTCCGCAGACCCTCTCCAACCTCTGCCTCAAGATGAACGTCAAACTCGGTGGAGTCAATAGCATTCTGCTGCCGAATGTGCGCCCACGCATCTTCAACGAGCCGGTCATCTTCTTCGGATGCGACATCACGCACCCACCGGCCGGCGACTCGCGCAAGCCCTCCATCGCCGCCGTCGTCGCCTCGATGGACGCGCATCCGAGCAGATACGCGGCCACTGTCCGTGTCCAGCAACACCGTCAGGAGATCATTTCGGATCTGACCTACATGGTCCGCGAGCTGCTCGTCCAATTCTACCGCAACACCCGCTTCAAGCCGGCGCGCATCGTCGTCTACCGTGACGGAGTGTCCGAAGGACAGTTGTTCAACGTGTTGCAGTACGAGTTGCGTGCGATCCGCGAGGCTTGCATGATGCTCGAGAAGGGCTATCAGCCGGGCATCACGTTCATCGCCGTCCAGAAGCGACACCACACGCGTCTGTTCGCCGTCGACCGCGGCGATCAGGTCGGCAAAGCGTTCAACATTCCGCCCGGCACCACCGTCGACGTCGGCATCACGCATCCGACCGAGTTCGACTTCTACCTGTGCTCACACGCCGGCATCCAGGGAACGTCGCGTCCGTCGCACTACCACGTGCTGTGGGACGACAACAATTTGACGGCCGACGAGCTGCAACAGCTCACCTACCAAATGTGCCACACGTACGTCCGCTGCACGCGGTCCGTCTCGATCCCGGCGCCAGCGTACTACGCGCATCTCGTCGCGTTCCGTGCTCGCTACCATCTGGTGGATCGTGAACACGATTCGGGAGAAGGATCGCAGCCGTCCGGCACCTCCGAAGACACCACACTCTCCAATATGGCCAGAGCCGTACAGGTAAGCATTGTGGGGAGGGGCGCCACAAAACGTGCGTTTGCACCGGAGTGTTGTCGTCGACAGAATTCAATCGATAATGTCTCTCTTATTGCAGGTTCATCCGGACGCCAACAACGTCATGTACTTTGCCTAAAAACCACGTGGAACCGTGGATTTTGGTGCAAAAGTGGGCGGCACGCCAGCGATCGTCTTGCGAACCATGTCGGATAGGTGTCCGAGGTGATTTCGCCGTCCTCCCACCCACATTTTGTGCCTTTTTCCCGCCCCCCTCGAAACAACCCTAACCTTCTCAAACTTTTGTATCATTAGTCTTCTTGTGCGATCATGTCTTGTTCTTGTTTCTTCACTTTTCTTCTGCCTTTCCTTACGTTTTCTTTCCCTAACTTGCTTTAAACTTGGCCTAACTCTCACTCGTATATGCTTTTTTTCAACCACCATCACCACCACAAAATGTGCTCACACTATTGATTGATCCGTGCACTTATTGCTTTATTCGGTCTTTCTCTCGCTCTCTCTCTTTTTTCTCATTGTTTAATTCGAAATCGATCAGCAAAAGACGGCATTGATAGTATTTCAAAGGCGAAGAAATCTTTGCCGCGAGAAATATTGTGAGCTTCTCAAAAAGTGCGCCCTTTTTGCCGTACGCAACAATCCTTCGAATCGTGTGATCATTTCGAATGCCGACTTGTGAAATACACGCGACGTTTTGGATGTACGCCTTCCACTTTTTTCTCTGAGCCGCTCGGGAACGCTCGCTTTGATTCTCGGGTAGATTTTCTTCTACACGAACCATTTTGTTTCCAAAACTTGCTCGTCTCCCGCTGATCGACAGCATCCTAATCCATCCATTTGTCTCTTTCTCTCGACGTGACTCACTTTTCGGACAACATTTCACACACATCTCTATTACTATCCAAAATTTGCCAAAAAAACTAATAAGAAAAACATCTCAAAAAAAAACCCTCCATTCTTTCATTTGCATATTCCTGCCAAAACCGCCGCAAAAACCTCAGCATTTGTGTTCCCTTTTTTGTTTTGCCCCATTGTGTTGATCAGAATGTAATGTGTTTTTTCGTCGTTAACAATCGTGAATAAAGTATGGAGGACCCAAAAACGTTTCTTTTGCGTTGTTGTTGCTTTCAGAGCACGATTTCTCTGAATTTTGTGGTCCAAGGCGATGCGATTTATTTTTTCAAATAAATGTCAAGATACAATCACGATCTCCAGAGCTGACAATATGGGCGTAGCGGCCTCGGCCAAATGGCGTTTTCATGAATTGAGCACGTTTTCTCTGATTTTTGTGGTCAAAGGCGATGAAAAATGATTGCGCGACATGAAAACACACTAATTCTCAGAATTAATGACGTTTTGGCGCATTTTTCGCGGACTTTGCTTTTTCGCCTTCGCCGCCAAAAACTGCATTTCTCATTTTGCGCTTTCTTGACCGTTTTCAGACAGAATTAGTTTTGAGAATGATAAATCACGTAAATGCAAGCATTTCGAGCGCTCGAACCGCGAAAATTGCGGAAAAGCATCTGAAATTCACGCAGTTTTAGCCAAAAACCTTCAAACGGATAAATGTGATTTGCGACTTGACCAAATTTAACGCTCTTGCGCTTATGGACCTATTCAGGGGATGAAAAAATGATTGTTTTCCGTTTTTTTCCCTATTCAGCGATGTCAAAAAATGGAAAAAAACGGAAAGAATTGCATCGCTCGCAGCGTTTTTTTCCGGCGGGTCTCGCAGCGATTTCCCGGACGCGATGCATGCGGCTACTGTAAGTGGCGTTTAATGAGTGGATTTACGAGAAGGGGAGGAGTTTTTTTTCTAATTTTTCAGCGAAATTGCCACGTTTTACCGCTTTTTTCAACCGATTTTCAACGGAATTTCAGTTCTTATTCATCTGTTATAGTAACTGATGCGAAATTGCCAAGTTTACCGCTATTTCCGACCGATATCGCTTGAATTTTATCGTTTTCAGGCCGTGATTGTAACTCGTTCGAATCTGCCACGTTTTACCGCTGTTTCCGACTGAGTTCGCTTGAAATAAGTTTTTATAGGGTAAACATGGACGACGATGAGTTGCACGAGAATCCCGAGAAGGTTCCCCCTCCGACGCTTATTGAACGGGAGAGCGCGGATAGAAGAAGTGGAAGAAAATCAAATTTACATTTATTACATTTATTATGCTGGATTTTTTATCTTTACCACTAAAATTTTCTTTTTTTTGGATAGTTTCGAGTGCCTCGTCATATCGTTCAAAACGTTGAGCTTTTGGTGAAAATCGGTTCAAAATAGCTGGGAAACGTGCCAATTTTGCTGAAATTCGCTGAAGAAAGCTATAATTTCGCTGAAAAATCAGTAACATTTTCGAAAATCCTCCCCTTCTCGTAAATCCACTCATTAAACGCCACTTACAGTAGCCGCATGCATCGCGTCCGGGAAATCGCTGCGAGACCCGCCGGAAAAAAACGCTGCGAGCGATGCATTTCTTTCCGTTTTTTTTCCATTTTTTGACATCGCTGAATAGGGAAAAAAACGGAAAACAATCATTTTTTCATCCCCTGAATAGGCCCATTAAAAAATTCGTAATAGCCTATACAATCGCCACGGCCCGGCAATTCATACAATGGCCGAGAAAAATGCGTGGATTAAACACTCAGCCGAGCGATTTCGCTGCTGTAGACTTGCGTACAACCCAAAACCCAAATAACCCAATAACCCAAGTAACCCAAAAATATGCCGCAAATTAGATAAAAATTTATCGAAAGTACACAAAAAGCCGAAGAAAGACGGAAAAATGTGCTAATCTCATCGAAAGTATACAAGAAAACGTGATTTTGACACTAATTGCAGACATTTTCGACTAGAATTGATTTTTTCATTTCTCGGCAGTTACACTTCCAAAAATACATTTTTCGGTATCTCTAGACGTTCTATGTGTAAAAAATGTTAGAAGTATACATAGGTACCGCAACGGGTTTCACGAAACTCGGAATTTCTATAAAATTCTTGTTGGAATGTGTTCCCCTACTCTATATGAGTACGCTCCCAATTTTTTTTTCGAAAATTTTCGGTACATCCCGAGTTACACCACCCCAAAGTCGCCCTATTTTCTCTCAGGTCGGCGGCCGAGGAGGGGGCGGAGTCTCACTAGCAAGTTTGCCGCACGCGTTTTTTATCCTTGTCTGGTGGACCAAACCAAAGAGTCAGCATTTTGAATGAGCAGAAATGATGTTCTAAGAAAGCAAAATAACTTTCGAGGTCAAAATTTTCGAACCCGGCACCTTTAGATTGCCGAGTGAGCACTTTCCCACTGCGCCAGCTGGGCGAAGGCGCGCCGGCCGCCAATGGCATAGAAAAGCTGGCTGCGCGCGGTCCACTTCTAGGTGTCAAATTAGTGTTTTTTTGCGTGCTCAAATCCAAAAAAATGTTACACTTTACAGTCACTTTTCAAAAAAACGGAAACTAGATAGATGGAAAAAGTTCGACATGGATCGGTCGGAAATTTGATGCTGAATCCGATTTTTGGGAAAAATTAGCCGCGTGTAAGGTACCTGTGACCCTCAAAACCCCCAAAAACTACAATTTCGGCCAAACTGGCTCTACTAAAATGAACACAAATCTGGTCCTAGACTGTCTAGAGCTCTGAAAATTTGTATTTGGGTTCTCAGAGAGTTTATCTATGGATTCCAAACATAAAAAAGTATGGTCATCGCTGAAATTTTTTCACAATTTTTTGTGCCAGTTTGAGGACCTGTAAAAAAAATCGGAAACTAGATTGTCTGATTCTGACTTAAAAAACGGATTCCCCATCCCTTAAACTGTTGGAATCACTTGAAAGTAGGCGCGTGTAGCCATAAATGTGGCCACACGGGCTCTCAGACTGACTTCCATTCTCGTTTTCGCCTTTTTTTGAGAAAATGGTGCGTTTTCGTGGGAAACGGAGTTGTTCATTAGATTCAGCATGGTCGATTGCATAAAGTAAAACTTTACGAGTATGGTACTTGGTCTGGGGACCTCGGTACAGGTCCTCAAACATGCGCGCGCGGAAATCAAGAGAAAATTCGTCAGGCCACGCCCCCTCCTTTGCGCCCCCTAAGTATACAATAAAAGAATGAAAACTACGAATGACATGAAAATATTAGCGGAGATTCGTTGGAAACGCTGGCCGAACTCGAGGCGAACATAATTAGCCCTAAATTTATTAATTCGGGGAGAATTGTGTCTTGCAATTTTTATTATATCTGAGAGGAGAGTTTCCGGCACATATCCTTTCGATGTAGAGCATTTACACGCCAGCGTTCCGACTTGTTGATGAGAGTGTTGACTCCACGCAATAACCGGATCGGGTCCATACCTTTCAGGCTTCTTGAACTTGGCTTGAAACTTCTTTGATCCAAGTTTAGAGGCTAGAAAAGGCGACTTTTTGCGAAAATTGCGGCCTTTTCGGCCTCAAACCCTCGGGAAATTCATGAAAAATCGAGTTGCAATTGTGGTGGATGCGGATGAACGGCTCGATCTTTCCCATCTCGTATGAATACTGGTCATTGGGATCCGTGGACTTGAATGAACCAAAAAACGTGGATCCTTGCTCGAACCGAGGTCGACAAATCAGCGGATGGAGAGTGCGTCGAATGAAAGGAACTTCAACAATGTGATTCAAAAAGTAAAGAAAGTGAAGAAAGCCTTGTTCAAAATTAATATATTTATGAAATACAGAATAACAGACAATTAATCAGCATTGAAAGCGCGGCGATCGGACCCGTGCCTCCTCAATCGCTTCCTTTTCTTTCTTCTCCGTTTCCCTCTTGATCAGCTCCTTCTTCTGCTTCCTCTCCGACTTTGTGAAGTCTTTTCGGCGCTGTCGTTCCCTCGTCAGATCGAGCAGCCTGAAAAGCGATAGTTTGTATGGATTTAAGAAAAAAAAAAACGAAAAGAAAACTTACGATGGCAGCCTGATGACTGTCAGAAGGGAGGCGATGTAGGCGCCTCCCTTGTCCTCCACAATCACTTCGTCCCCAGTGATCTCCATGTTCTTGTACTCCCTGAGCTTCATTCTCATGGAGTACTTTTCGTTGAACCGGTACTCTCCGGCTCTGAAATGAAGCACACATAAGAGAAAAGTCATGAGAACGAGACGAGACTAACCTTTGGGGCGCGATCGTGAGACCGGCCAAGATCATTTGGCCGTCATAAAGGACGGCCTCATCATCCGCCAGCGTATCCAGAGCCGCCTGGACCGCAATGGCGGATCCGAGGAGCGCGACTGGGACGATCGGGCGCGGGTACATCTTGAACGAGGATATTAACTGAAAATTGAAAATTGAAAATTGAAAATTGAAAATTGAAAGTCGAAAAGTGAAAGCGTCTCTCGTCTATGCAAACGGACGTTTCGCAACTGATACAAGTAACCAGAGATGTTGGGAATAAAAATTTTTTTTACGGAACACGGAAAAAAGCGTTTTCAAGAGAATTCCAGTGATTTTTTAAAAAATAATGTTTTGTTTAATTCGATTGTCTGACTGACAAGGCAGCTGTTTGACTCATGTGAAAGTTTTACTGAAAATTTCATAAAAATAACAAAACCAACAACACAACAGTAAACAACTACAGTAAAAAACGACTGAAAATAGAATCCACTTTTCACGAATATGGTCCGAATCCGAAAATTTTCAAATTTTGACCACAAAACGTCAATTGTCCTAATCTTTCCGGAGATAAATTTGTGATCGAATTTTTCCGCGGAAAATATAGTTTATACGGAACACGGAAAAAATATTGAAAAAAACGCGGAACACGGAATTCCCAACATCTCTGCAAGTAACAACCGTACACTTGGTTGCGAGATGTCTCAGTTGCAAAACGTCGAGTTGGTCCGATGTTACTCGAACGAGAATGTTGTGGAATGACTCGCAGACAGACCCTTTTTAAACTCAACGACGCGGCGCGTTCAATTCCCTCTTTTCCCTCCTTTTTCTCATTTCTTCCTAAAATCGTCCACAGGATCGGCTCGTCCCGCAGATTGGTGACACATCTTCGGCGAGCGTAGACCCGTTTCAAAGGACCGGAGAGGAGAGGCGAAGGAGTGCCACGTCATGCGAATGTGTTGGCGTGCGAAAGTAGGAGATGAACGAAAGAAACGGTTTATTATTCGAAAAAGCGTCTTGCAATTATGAATAGAAGCAAATCATTATTATCAGTTTCATTTATTCTTATCAACCAGTGGGATCAGATCAGGGTACACGATTTTAGTGAAGTAGCGGACGAGACGATTGGATACACTGAATATTGAGGCTTTAAGTGAAACTGAATGGTCCCAACTGGTTGGAACCTGTTTTACAAGGGAACACATTCAGATAGTGCTACAATAGTTGCTAAAACAATACCCCCGCTGCTGCCAGCCGCATCGATCTTGTCAACGCCCTCAGGGTGCGGCTTCTCTCGTGTCCTCGGTAGTATAGTGGTGAGTATCCGCGTCTGTCACATGCGAGACCCGGGTTCAATTCCCGGCCGGGGAGAAATTTTTTTTTTAGAAATTTTTTCATTTTTACGAAAAAGAAGCGTTATTCGGAATGCTTCTTCAAGATGTATCCATCGATTTTGCGAATGAGAGCGGTGGCCATTTCGGTGGTTTTAGCAGAAACACTGGCCGCTTTACGGATAGTTTTCTGTAAAAAAAAAAAGAATTTATTCTGGAGACAGCGAAAAAAATGTTTCACCTTGAATCTCTCGATTTCCTCCTTCATTTCCTTTCCGTTTTCGATGGCCTCCAGCTCGATACACTCTCTGATCTCATCCTTCTCTTTTATCAGTTTCTGAATGCATTTACGTGAAAAAACTTGAAAAAATAGGCTAAAAAGCACCTTCAAGTAGTCAATCTCCATATCCTTATGACACAATCTCATTTTTAGTTCATTTTCCATTTTCGTAACGATAATTCGAAATTGCGCAATCCAGTGGAACGAGACGAGTTGAAATGAGAAGTCTTCGGTCTTTTGGAACGTTCACGTTGCATATCCGTTCCCTAAATGCAAAAAGATTGCTCCCCGAGCCGGGTCTCGCATGTGACAGACGCGGATACTTTTCAAAACAAAATATCTCAGTTGTCAATAAAGATATCTAAAAGTGGTCAACTGATAAAATGTTCATTTGGAAATTCTGCACATTTCATCAATTGACAACTTTTTGATATCTCCATCGGCAGCTGCGATACATTGCGTTGAAAATCCCACATTCCCACGATGCCCCATATGGATTGCTGAGCTAACCTCTTCAGGGAACAGGGAGGGATTTTGATGGAAAAAAAACAATCGTATGTTTTTTCTCAGTTGTTCAGAAAAAATTATAAAATGCTCTCCGAACGATGCACCATGTGACTTTCTGGCCTCGAAGCAATTAGTAGGACATTACGCAACTCGAGTCCGTCTTTCTCATTCAAATTTTCGTATGTTAGTAGTTCATTGACACAGAAACAGAAGCATTTTTTGTAAAACAGAATAATATTCAATTCAATTCCGTCCATCCATCCGCGGCGACAATCTGGGTCCCTGTCCGAGCGCCGGACCCGCAACGTTCACGTTGGCCTCCAATTGCGGATCGATGCAGAGACGGATGCCGTGCGGCGGCACCCGATCCAACACGAATTGGTAAATCTTGTCGCGCAACTCGAACATCGACATACGGCCGAGATCCTCCTCCCATTGAGGGTCGAATGGCGCCGTGTGCTGGAACATTTGAATGACGGGACACTTCTAGAAGCTACAGTAGTCCTGGGAGTGGTTTTACGAAAAAGATGTCAACTAGAAAAATAAAGTTCATATCTTGCACTATACTTTTGTAGTTGATCATTTTTCCATACGCCCACGCGCTGGACTACTGTATCGTTTCGTAGTTCTAGACTTCACTTTTTGCAAGTCCAAACTTCTAGAAGCTACAGTAGTCCAGGGAGTGGTTTTACAAGAAAGTTGTCAACTAGAAAAATAAAGTCCATCTCTGGTACTACATGTTTGTAGTTGATCAAGCCTTCTGTAACGCGTCGGAAAAACTCACGGCAGGCTCCAAATCGTCGGCTCTTCTCATCGGATCGCAACACGTGCACACGTCCGCATGGAACCTCTGGCGGCCGTCGAAAAGGTACGGATGCGCCAACGCCGCCGCAACACTGATCCTCCTGTCCGGATTAAAAGTGAGCAGCCTGAGCAGCAGTTCGTACGCATTCGGGTCCATTTGCGGAGACATCTGAACCAGCTGATCCGTCTTCGGTCCCTGAGGGACCTTCGCGTTCACATGATTCTTCGCGCCCTCACTCGCGTCTCTCATCGCGTCGGGCGCCGGCGTACCGAACAGATCGATAATCATATCGAGTTGCTCGATGGGACTCGGCGCCTCGAACAGAATCCTTCGTTGGAGCAGCTCGGCGAGAATGCACCCGACGGACCAGACATCGATCGCCGCCGTGTACTTACGCGCGCCCATGAGCAGTTCGGGCGCTCGGTAGCACTGTGTCACCACCTCGTGCGTCATATTCTGCGCGTTTTCGCGGTCCCAGAGGCGCGCCAGACCAAAATCGCAAATTTTGAGAAGACAGTTCGGGTTGACGAGCAGATTGCCGGGCTTGATGTCCCGATGCATGATGTTGGCCGAGTGCAGGTACTTGAGACCTCGAAGAAGTTGATACATGAACAGTTTGATGTGGTCAATGGTCAGTGGTTGGTGCGAGAAGATGATCCGATGCAGATCCGATTGCATTAGCTCGGTGATGACGTACCTGAGACCAGAAGTCGTTTGAAGAACAAAAAAAGCGAGCTTTTTACAATTCTTGATAGAATCGCGAGTTGGCCGGTTGCAGAATGTCGATCATCGAGAGGACATTGTCGTGGCGCAGTCCCGAAAGCATACGAATCTCGCGGAACGTTCGCAGGCACGTCATCAGATTCATAAAGATGTTCGGCACTTTTTTGAGAGCCACTCTTCGTCTTAATCGTGGATCCGTGCACTCCCTGCAAACCGGTTTTTTTTTCAACGCAACATATCTCAGCTCGCGGTGGAGATATCAAAAAATTGTCAACTAATAAAGTGTTCGTGAAGACATTTTACACATTTTATCAGTTGACACTTTTTTGATACCTCCACCGCGAGCTGAGATATTTCCACTTACCATACAATACCGAACGCTCCACTTCCAATCTCCCGGATCGGCTGAAATGCATTGAAGGATACGTGCGCGATTTGTGCCATTTCAGCTATTATTGTTGGGTGGAGAAGCAAATCGATGACTGGAAAGATGAGACAAATGTGCAAAGTGTGTGACAGATGTGGCAGGAGGTTCGGAGACAAAATCAATATGATCGTTGTGTTCCCCCCCGGTTGGACTGTAGGCCTCTGTCATTTTGGCGGGCGAGGACACAGTCGGTTGGCATTAAGATCAAAAAGTTGTGTACTTTAACGACTCCCGGACACGTTTTGAATCTAGGTGCTGCGAGTTTCCCTTGAAGTTTGGAAAGTTTGATACGAGTGAGCAGAGCTGACTATGGAGCGGAAATGGAATTGTCGAAATCCGGAAGACGGAAAACGGACGACGGACACGGCGCGGCTTTCGCAACATACGCAGCCAAATGGTATGCATTTTTGCGCGTCGGTGTATCTCTGCGTACAGTGCATTTTATGTTACGCGCAAAGTTCATTTTTTTAGTTGTTGATGAATTTTCGCCAAATATCCATCTCTTTAAAGCGTTTTTCTCTGCTTTCTACCTCAATTAGACCTTTTTACAGATTCCAGATGAAGTAATACGCGAAGAAAAGTCGATGCGATGAAAAGAAACGCGTAAGTAAATGGAAGTAATGTTTTATTCCGAAAATATACGATTTCTCGAAAAACGTCTCTAGATCTTCTAATCTTTTAATTTAAAAAGTTCACTAACATGACTGTGAATGCCTTCGAATCAAAAAAAAAGTAGAGTGACAGCTCACTTTCGCGTAAAATTGGTCTTTTGCCGGAAAACAGTGACATTTCGTTGAAAAAAAAAAGATTTCTCAAAAACCGTCTCTAGATGTTCTAATTTTTTTGTTTAAATAGTTCACTTACATGACTGTGTATGTTTTCGAACCAAAAAAAAGTAGAGTGACAGTTAGTAGAAGCAAAAAAAAATTTTTTCAACGAAATTTCACTGTCTTCCGGCAAACTATCGGTTTTTCCGCGAAAGCGAGCTGTCACTCTACTTCTTTTTGGTTCCAGAACATTCTCAGAAATGTAAGTAAAGTTTTTTAACCAAAAGATTAGAAAAATCTAATCACGTTTTTTTCGAGAAATCGTGCATTTTCTGAATATAACCTTTTTGAAAAAAAATAACTAAACAACAAAAATTATGGATCTGGGTCACTTCCCGTGGAAATTCGCGTTCTTCGGGGCTAGTAAATGGCTTCTGAAAAGCTATTACTCTTTTACGGTAAAAAGAAAAAATCCACGGAAGACGGCAGACGGAATTCCGCTCAACACTGCTAGTGAGAATAGTAAATAATATGTATTAAAGATCAATTTAGAATTGCAACAATATAAAGAGAATAGAGAGATACAAAGATAATACACGAATGTAATCATTGATAATATTGGCGGTCTCTAGTCGTCTGGGGCCTCGGTCACCTGGATCCGCTGTCCGTTGACCACGTGGCAACCGGAATTGTGTGCCAGACACCGGTCCGCCGACGCCTTTTCCGCGAAAATCACAACTGCCGGTCCCGGTGGTTGGACGCGAAGTTGGATTTGATCCAGCGTTCCGAAGGTGTCGAAATAGATCCGAAGCGCGTCGATCGAATGGATCCGTTCGATGATCCCACTCAAAAGGACCGAACAGCCAGGCTCCGCGGCCACTTGGACACTCAGGAACGGGACCGGCTGCGGTGGAACCATCTGATCGCGTGGAATGGCTCTTTTCGAATCGACCTGCAAGACCGACATGGTCCCATTGGTCCCAGTTGCTCGTACGTACCTTCCTTCCGCCGATCACGTGCGGCCTCGTCATCATCGCCAGTTCCGCACTGAACACCGAGCCGAAAGTGACAAAACCGAAGCCGCGCGACTGTTTTGTGCTCATGTCACGCATCACGATCGCATCGACGACGGGTCCCCACCGGGAGAAGTACTCGCGGAGCTGAAAATGATGTGGTCCCTATCGGCTCGGTCCTCTAACCTGCACACTCGTCGTCTCCTGACTCAATCCACCGATGAACAGCTTTCGAATTTGTGGCGGTGTGCCACACTACAAACCATTATGAAAAAATCTGTTTTTTGTCACCTACTTGAAGCATCTTTTGAATTTCCGCGTAGAGGTTGGATTTCGGTGGAATTCCGCGCGGAAACATTTGCATTATTATCGATTTTTGTGGCGGGCAAGTGGAGGAATGTGGAGGGACGGAAAGAGCGCACCGCTGGATCACTGAAGAACCCGGGAAAACAAGTGTTTGTGACATCAATGGTGCATCGACGGCCAACGCACAAAACAATTCGATCAATCACGGCGACCAAAAGTGTAGAAAGGGGCGTGGCCTAATCTAAGACGCGTTTTCTGAAAATTGCCGCAATTCCAGCACCTTTCCGATATTTTTGTGTTTGATATCGACGAAAGAAGACATTAAAGAGAGAAAACATCGAAATTTTCGTGAAAACGCCGCGTTTGAGACGTTTTTGGCATAATTCGCAATACGCTCTCCGCCGCAATTTCGGAATTTTCATACCGGCCGATCTGGATAGTTTTGAGACGAAATGAGTGTCGGAAGTGATTAAGCACGTTAATACACGTATTTTAAGCGTTCAAACGGCAAAAAGTATCGGCGAATGACTGAAATTCGCGCATTTTCAGCACAAAACTTAAAATCGATTCAATTGATTGAATTTCTGAATGAAACCTGCTCGTTTTAAGCTCAAAAAGTGCGCGATGATTAGATTAACAAAGTTATTATGCAATTACATCGTCGAAATCGGCCAAAATTTGGGTAATTTTTGACGAAAAACATGAAAAATGGGGTTAAATTTCGAATTTCGCGCCAAAATCGTGATAAACCGTGCACGCTAGGCCACGCCCCTTTCTACTTTTTTGGTCGCCGTGTCAATTTGAAAAGCGACTGTCGTTTTCTTGGCGATTTCGCTGCTTTTGAGTCTCTCCCAATCGTCGCATGCGTCTTTGTGTATATACTGTTTAGAAACAAGACCATAACTCGAGAATAGCAAATTTCGGAACAAAATGTTCAACTACAAAGTTGTAGAGCACAAAATTTGCAACAAATTCATAGTTGATCAGTTTTTGAAAAACTTATTGGATCTAGAGATATAAGTGTTCAAGTGGAGCATGATAATTGTGAAAGGGTACTACAATTTTAGGAAACTTGACAATATTTGATTTCAGAATGCGGCTAGCGATCAAAGATGAGACATTGAAAGAGTTTTGAATGCAATTGACCAGGAAATTATCGATTTTTGCTATTTTTTCAGATCCGAACGGCAAACGCATGAAGAAACCGGCAAACAACATCGATATCATCCGATTCTGTGTTCTGCCAATCTGTGGCCTACAATTTTTCGACGTTTCTCCTGGAAATCATCAAAAAACGTTCAGCAATCGGCTTGTTCGACGATATCATCCCGCCGAAACACTTTTGACGTTCGAAAGTGTTAGCAACGAGGATATCAATGCGTCGATGCACCATTGGCACCGAGCAGACAGTCCGAGAATTGTCCAGTACCGGTTTTTGAGTAGTAATCGGACTCGGCGACCTGTTCGATGGGATCCGGAGAAACGGGCGAGACGATTCAGGTACGGTGAACTTAAAAATGAGCGCGTCTCCAAATACCGCAACTTTCTCGACTTTTCCGTCTGTCAGGATCCGTTCCCGATGAGTCCATTGCGAGAATCAAGGACGCCGAGTGGTTCTATGGTTCGTTAAAAACGATAAATCCCAGTGTCTTCCCAGAAGTGAGCTGACACTCATAGCCAGTCGTTCAGTCCCTTCTCTCACCATGGACCCGTTGGATATTGTCGAAAAACTGGCCCAAGTGCCTGTGAATCTCATCGCCCAGTACCTGGATCCCATTGATTTGTAAGTTGTTTTGCAAACAATCATAATAATCATTACATTTTCATTCTTTCAGTTTCCTCATCGGATTCGATCAAAAAAGGTCCAAAGCGTTCCGCAAGTTGGCTCGCAATCAGCTCTTCGGCGCGTCGATCGATATCGATTGGAATCTCACGACGAGAAGAGAAATCAACGTGGCATACTATGATTGTGATGGAAATGAGCGCATGCAGAACCGCTTGTACTTTGGCGAGTCGGATGAGGATCTCGAGCGGAACAAACTCAATTTTTCGAGTGCGACACCTGAAGAAGCGGCTCGGAAGCTTCAAAAATCGATGAAAATCATCGGAAAGTTCACGGCGACTATCGATTTTCGGTCCGTCGACATCGGCAACAGTGAAGACGTTCAATACTTTGACGCGTTCCTCAAACGCCGCACGATCAAGACGCTCCGACTCGGATCCCCGTACCGTACCCCTCAAAAATGGTGTGGCAAACTGTTGACGGCTTTTGTGGACGGTAAAACGGTGACGAATTGGATGCGCTTCGAGCTGAGATCCGATCGACATTTCGATTTCGGCAAGTTGACGTCTCCGTGGCTTGTGCACTTTTCGACGGGCGGATGGATGAGCCCACAACAGCTGATTCGTCTGCGTTGTCGACAAGTCGAAGTGAAAATGGAGCATTTCAATTTCTCGCCGCAAATTTTGAACAAATTCCTAAAGGCCTGGAAGGAATCGAACGTTCGCAACGAGTTGGAGTATTGTCTGTTCACAATTGATGGCCGACACGAGTCGGACACTTTGGACGTGCTCGAACACGTCGATTGGCTGCCGTGGAACGCGACGAGACGAGATCGAAAGTTGCCGGTTCAGAACAACGAGTTCGGCTCGCCGTACGACTACGATTTCATCGATTTCTCGGAGGCGTACGACATTACGCGCGGCGACGGAACCATCGGATCCGTGAAAATCGCCGCCGACGTCGTCGAATTTGTCGTCTGGACACATCCGTTCCCATCTCGATCGGCAATTGAGACGCTCAACGCGCGCAAGGCCCAAATCGACCGAGTACTGGACGCTCTGAGCCCACAAATCAGGGCCCGAGTGATGGAAATCTCCGAGGAGTACGGTGGCGTCGAGGAGTTCCAGAAGCGAGCGCCCGAGGAATTCGAAGCGATCGGACCGGAGGGATTGAAGGCGTTGAAGGATGTGCTCGATAAACTGACGATTGAAGACAGCCTGAGGAATTTCAACGCATAATTATGTCGGGTTTCACAGTCTCCAGAGCTCGGCCAAATGACGTTTTCATGAACAGCCAAGAAATAATGCTTTGAATCTACAATATTGCATGGCCAACTGGTAAAATGTGGACAATGTCCGAATGAACATTTTACTAGTTGACCACTTTTTGATATCTCTACTGACAGCCCAGATAAATTGGTGCTCAGTTCGAATTCACTTTGTTGTAACACTTCTACACTCTACATCCTTCAAGGTGACATGGCAGGTGGTCTGAGCAAATTAGCACTCTAGCCCCTAATGGGCTCTCTCTGCACTGGGGTGACACTTGGAAAGATTACTGTCATTCAGATTACAGATACCAATGCCACGTCATGACAAATCAATTAGAGTACAAAATATCAAGTTTATAGTATTTATGATCACTGCCACTTTCAACATGATATCCGGGAGGCAAGGGCACTTTCGGATGTCTGTTTCGTCCATTTTCTGTTGGTCCCGCTGGTACAAGACAGTTTTTCGATCGCTCGATTCCTCAAATGTCATCGATTAGCCTTCAGAATCCTTCCAGACGCAGAAATAAAGTGTTTGGATGGTTGAATAGTAGCAGACTCCGTCGAAACTAACAATATCGGCACCAAATGCTTCGAGTGCCGTGCGTGAACCTCACAATATTTAAAAGCGTTTGCCGTGCGCCTCTTCGAGCACTATTTTAAAGAGATTTACAGTATTTGAATCATGATTCATTTGTAAAGAAAAATGGAGGAGCGAACAAAGTATAAGTATGGTAAAAGAGCATGCGATATTGTCCATTCAAAGCATCATATCTCGGCTGCCGGTGGATGTATCAAAATTTGGCCAACTAGTAAAATGTAGACAATGTCTTAATGAACATTTTCCTAGTTGACCGCTTTTGGATATCTCTACCGACAACCGAGATACGCCTCAACATTCATCACGAGTTGAACTCCGCCACGACAATCCGCTTCTTCTCCTTCTCCATCAAGTGTTCAATGGCGATCCGGTGGGCCGGTTCCAAATTATTCACAATTTCCGGTTCGCTCTTCTCAAACGACTCGAAACTGTCAAAGTGTTTCGAGATGAACGTGGCATACACGACGAAAATGCGCGGGAAATTCGAGAGAAGTTCGTCGGTGAACCTGACAATCTCTTCGTAATCCGCCAGAAACGGCCGCATTGGGAACGGCTCCGGCCACGTGTAAAACTTGAAACCGACGCCAAAGTGATCGCAAAGGACCGTTCCGATGGTGCCGTCGCGACGGACAATATCGACGCCTTTGCCGAGATCGGTGAACGGCACGTGTTCCATGTGCTTCAACGGTCCGTACATGTTTCTGCAAACCGACAATATCAGCGTGTTGCCGCTTTTCCTTTAAAACGTACTTGATCTTTCGATCGCGTCTCTCCGGCTTCCACGGTTTCGCGTCAAGCCCCTCCAAAATCGCCGTCAGATCGAGCCCCTTTTTGTTGAAATACTCGACGAGCTTCGGATGATCCCCTTTGCCGCTCCGCCAGTTCTGAAGGAACGCGTTCAGGTCTTTTTCGGTCAAAACGTTCTCGTAGTCGCTGATCCTCAAATATTCACTTTTGATGTTGAACCAACAGTCTCTCGTCGTGTTTTGATGGATGCTGAGCTCGAAATCGACGGGTTTCGGCTTGATCTGAAAGGGTTGAATGAAGAGTTGAGCGAAAGAACTCAACCGAAGAATTTTTATCTTTTTTAGAAAATTTTTTCATGGAATATGATCAACTGACGAATTGTAGAGCAAAGTGAACTCTGCACATAGAAAAATAATTGTAAATTTAGCTTTTCATACAAAAAAGTTATTCGAGTTGTTCCGTTAGCCCCCTTTTTTCACGCAACAACTCGAATAACTTTTTTGTATGAAAAGCTAAATTTACGATTATTTTTCTATGCTTAGAGTTCACTTTGCTCTACATTTCGTCAGTTGATCACATTCCATGAAAAAATTTTCTAAAAAAGATAAAAATTATTGCGTGTTTGCCGAAAAGAGCAACTGAAAGCGGGCGATTCACAGCCAACAAAGCAGAGGTTGCAAAACGTCCGTATTCAAAACCGAGTCTAACCTTTGACAAATTGATATCGCCACGTGTCATCAGGCCCCAAATCAGCCGATCCGTCACCTTTGTCTTCTTCAGCAACCGCTGCACTTCCCGTCCGTTCAGCTCGCCGCTTCTGTTGCGAACAGTCAGTTCGCCGACGGATGTTCCCTCGACGGTCCCTCTAAACTCGGCCACGGTAATTTCATCGTCGAACGTGAGAGACATTCTTCGAAAGTTCACCGACGGTACGCACTCGAGAATCATGTTTCGGACACGGAGCACTTGCGCCGAGATCTCTTCGATCGAGTCGTATCGCAGGTGGATCGCGTTGCTAGACTCTATCGAACTGAAATTGTTTGGATATTGTTGGTCCAGGTTGGATGGCTTACTTATAGAAAAAAGGGCCTGCGAGTCTTGGCCGCTTCTCGAAAATCACCACATTTCTATTCAATTTCGGTGGCTCTCCAGGAAGACGGAGCGAAACTTTTGCGACTTGATGGCAGTGCTTGCCGACCGTCATTTCCAGTTCCGCGTCTTTGAGCATTTTGAGCCGCAATTTACGCTTTGCCGCCTCTTCAAACCTTTCCGAGTAGAGCGCCGTGGTCAAACTGAAAAACAAATGGTGCCGAGAAGTTGTGGGGGGTCTCGAACTTACAGCATAGCCGGCTCCAGGTGCTCACAGATGACGTCGAGTGCAAGGATTTCGAGTTTGCCAAAAAATTGGATAGCTTCCAGTTGGTTCATGATGATGGCGAATGAATGAGTGATCCGTCGGGGACTAACTAGGCGGACCGGCACTATTATGCTTCCCTGGAGCAATGTACTGACCCGGTGCGCACTAGAAAGTGGGAGGACCGTCAGTTTGATTGACAAATGAGAACCGAGTGAGTCTTCCCAAAATTCATATTGATCTCGGACGGGCCTTCGCTGACACAATGGGACAATTTGTAAGACAAAGGGGTCTTGCAGGACGGACCGAGTTGAAAGGGACCATCCAAGGAACTGAAAGAGAAGGCACTATCCAGGGGGGACCGAGTTGAAAGGGACCAGGTACTGGGACACGGGATTACAACTATCTGAGGACTCATAACTGATCTGACGAAGCTCTTCGAATTGACTACGATTCATCAGATCTCAAAATCATCGCGTTCAATGTCATACAAAACCATAGAGACCACCAGAAAAGCACGACAAAACTTGGAAAAAGCTATCGAAATCCTTGTGGCAACAGCTTTGAAACCATTTCGGAGTTACAGGACTGGGCAATGACGGAACCGAGCTCCACGTGGATCCAAACTTTGCAGGCCTTTTGGACTTAGATTGAAGTGCCATCGGATTAGAGAATTAGGGCCGAAAAGACCGGGCTTTTAGGCCCTAAATCACTAATCCGATCGGTCGGAATCTTGGACCGAGTCCCCAGGCCGGCTATTTGCCCAATCCTGTAACGTTCTAATCACGATACTCAAAAAAATGACATGAACCTGCAATATCAATGATTTTCTGTTAATTTTGCTAGCAAATCGTGTACGACTTTGCTCAAACAAGTTTTGGCCTTTTAAAATTGACACTTTCCGGCCAAAACTTCTCTGAAAACCACATTCGAGTCTCATTTCTCTGAAAAAAAACCGCGCTTGGGTGGTAGATCAAACGGGAAACACGCAAACAATGAACACATCGATCGGGCCCACATTTATCGCTTTTTCTCATGTTTTTCTTCCATTTTTTAGTGATTTCGCAGCTTTGTTTTTTCCGAATGATCACTACTATAATCGAACTGCTTCCGCTCGCCATCATCGCCAGCCATCTTACTTTTCAAACTCTGTTAGTTTTTACGCAACCAGACACTTTGCAACCGTCTATTTCGCAACCAGACACTTTGCAACTGTCCTTTTCTGCAAGCCAGGTCTACATTTTTTGTCAGAATCGTCTAGACACTTTGCAAACATGTTTTCTCTCAAAAATTTGAGAATCCATCTTGTTTTGTCCAACTGTTTGGTTGCGAAACGTCTCATTCTCATCCATACTGTTGCTAATCTTCTAGCAGACGTTTCGCAACCAGTTGCAAACCGTCTAGTTGCGATGTGGATTGTTTTTCGGGTTCAAAACGTGTAAACCTCACAACTTAATAGTTTGCAATCGCATTTTTCCTCAAAACTTGAGAATTCAGCAGACTATTCGGTTGCAAAACGTCTCCGTCTCATCTAAAATCTATATAATTCTTTATCAGACGTTTCGCAACCAGTTGCAAAACGTCCCTGTTTGCAACTCTACCTCGGCATCGAGATCATTCTCAAACAAAACATGGTGTTGGCCGTTCGATATGATATCCGACAAGTACCTGAACTTCCGCCGGATCCATCTGCCCAAGTACACCCGATTCGTCTACTCGATTTGGCTGAATGTGGCCCAACTGAAGAGCATCCGATCGTCATACGTCAATTTCAAGGGACTCGCGTTGAAAGAAGAGCACATCAACAAGTTTTTTGAGGAGTTGGAAGGAGACGCGACGCCAGAATGTCGAATGATGGGAGCGCAACTTTCAAGGAAGGATAAACCAGAAAAAGATGCTCAAAGATCTACACATGAACAGTTTCCATCCGCCGCGGATCGAACGGTTTCCTGGGCAACATCTCAAGTGCCCGATGGCCGAAATCGAGGAGTACTTGGCGTTGTTGGACCAGCAACTGATGGACTACTTTGAAGACGTGGCGATCGAGCAGCCGGCTGAAGTTCGACGCGTTGAAGGGCATTTTCAATGTGTATGTCATTGACAAGGTGATCGCACGATTGAGCTCCTAATTATCGCTATTTCTTGATATTTGCCGGATAAATTCTGATGTACTTTTGAAATCTTGTGGTCCCTTGCTCTAATACCACAGTAAACGCACTTGAACGATCTGAAACTGAAGTTGTGCCGAGTAAATCTGTTATTCTGACGTCAAAAAATTGTGAAAGATGTGATGTTGAGAACCGCTCATTCAGGACAATGTATCTCAGCTGCCGGTGGAGATGTCAAAAAGTGTCAGCTAACTAAATGTACAAAAAGTGTCGAGGAACAAGTTATCAGTTGACAACTTTTTGATATCTCAAACCGCTGCAGAGGTATATCGTCTTGAAATCGGTCGATTCAATCAAATATTGTCGTATTCTGTGGCCGGACAAGTAGTTGTGCAATTGGAGAAGGAAGCCCTGGAAAATCACTAGCCAGATAAAAAACATTTGTGAAGTGTTAGCTCTCAAACTCGCTCTTCTTACGGTGACTGTTTCACGAAAAACATGAAAACTTGAGTCAAAATCGGGTATTTCGCGCCAAAATGATGATGCACCATGTGATAACCAAGTCTAGAGGGACCATTTATCGGTCTACACTCAGAGATCGTCCATTTGACCTCTTTTCTACAGTACCCGTGCCGCCAAATGGATCAATATCGGCGGAAAAGTGAAACGACTGAAACATTCGGTCATTCTCTCGTTTCTTCCTCTTTTTCAACGATTCTGACTCCCAATTGCAGACAAATTTCAGGAAAAAAAGGTATGAATCCGCCGGCGCCAATCCGACCCCAACCGACAGGACCATTGATCGTGAAAGCGATGAGAATCGCTGAAGTGCCGTTTAGCAGAGTCGTCTACAATCAAATGTACGTTTATTGTGCTTCATTGTTATCGACAATATCGAGTTTTGCAGAAAGCGAAACGTAAAATCCAGCCCATTCCACACGGCTTTGCAGGAAGTGTTTCGCGATCAAAAAACTCGGCTCATGGAGCTGAATCTGCAAAAAAGGGAGAAAAACAAAGAGGATGCGGAACAGGAAAAACAGCTGGACGAGGTGCTGACAAACGAAATGATGATGGGCCACGGGATCTACAGGTTCGGAGATCCGACTGATTGGCGTGACAAGTTGCCGGAAGTGCGAACAATTTACGAACACGAAATGAGAAATTTCGAATTGCAAAAGGAGGCAATGCTCGTGTCGATTCGGACCGTTTTGCAGAAGCAGACAGAGTACCGGCCTATCACTGATGAGGTATTGTCGTTCCTTCCGTTGTACCCGGTGTATCTCAGCTGCCGGTGGGCGTATCAAAAAGATGTCAACTACTAAAATGTACAAAAAGTGTCGAGGAACAAGTTATCAGTTGACAACTTTTTGATATCTCCATTGGCAGCTGAGATATACCGATTCGAATAAGAGTGACCTTCTATTACAAATTCCAGGACATTGAATGCTTGCTGGAAGTGCGCAGTCGTCCAATGATCCGAGTCCGACTTGGTTTGAAGCGATCCATGTGTGACATAGTCATCCACTACCGAGAAACATCGATGCGTACTCAAAAAGTGCGAAAGTTCTACGGGGGCACGTCGAAAAGCGACATTCTGAACAGCTACTTCCACGCGAACATCTTCGATCAATTCCCGTCGAAAGCAGTGAAAATGGAGCTGGCGAAAAAGTGCGGCATCACTCACAAAGAGGTTCGAACCGAATGCGGGATGACGGGAATAACCAAGTACTCCGAATTTAGGTGTCAATGTGGTTCAACGCGAAGCGTAGCCGTCAGAAGAACTTGATGAAGAGAGTGATAGAAGAAGAGGAGAGAACGAATGGACCGAAATATTATAAGCCCATGGAGCGCATCATCAGCTCGTGTGAGGGAGTTATGGATCCGTTCCGGACCATGTTCGCTTTGTGCGGAACCAAACGCTCTTTGTGATTTCGCCCCCCTCTTTCATGTCGATTTTTTGTGTGAATTGTGAATGATTATTATTTTGCAACGTTGCCAAATTCGATGAAGTCAAGCGTGCTTTCAGTTGTTGGGTTTTTGATAGATTCTAAAGTCGAAAACCGTTTTTTATGCGACAAATCAGTCATTTTGTGCCAAGACACGGCGACCAAAAGTGTAGAAAGGGGCGTGGCCTAATCTGAGACGCGTTTTTCTGAAAATTGCCGCAATTCCAGCACTTTTCCGATATTTTTGTGTTTGATATCGACGAAAGAAGACATTAAAGAGAGAAAACATCGAAATTTTCGTGAAAACGCCGCGTTTGAGACGTTTTTGGCATATTTCGCAATACGCTCTCCGCCGCAATTTCGGAATTTTCATACCGGCCGATTTGGATCGGTTTTGAGACGAAATGAGTGTCGGAAGTGATTAAGCACGTTAATACAAGTATTTTAAGCGTTCAAACGGCAAAAACACGGAACCCCAGCCTTCCAATAAAAAATTCCCTTGGCACTGAGTCACAGCGTGGACGTTTATCATTGGAGCGCACTTGCAGCGCACGCGCGGGAGTTCAAAAATAATAAATTTTCGGCGAAAATTGCGTTATTCCCCGTGTAAAAATTGAACGCCGTAATTTTTTCGTTTTTGTCACAGGCTATATTGTAGCTGGGAGTTACGATATTTCAGGACTGAGATATGTCCTCTCAAAGTTGTGGACTTTGGTTGCTATTGTAGGTCAAACAAAACAAAATATTTGACCTTCAAAGTTGAAAATCAAGTTTTCGCGGCAAGGGATGATGCAAGTACGCTCCACCGAACATTTCCCGAGCGCATGGATCATTCAGTCCATCTGGCAGACGGTATGGATCCCAGCGACCGTATCGACTTCGTCAATCCTCTTCTCGCCGTGCTCAATGCAAAACCTGGTGCGAATAGGTGAGTTTATAGACGTTTTACAACTGCTGGACACTTTGCAACCGGCGGACGTTTCGCAACTGCAATCCATGTGAGATCGAGTGCGGCTTGCTGGGCATAAATGAATCTGGTGGACGCTTTGCAACCGGCGGACACTTCAATGATTACGGTTGCGAAACATCTGTTTGCAATGTGTCGAACGGTTGCGAAACGTCTCACCAGAACTGTCGTATATCTTTTTTGCTTTTCAGAACAGCAGACGGATCCGGCGCCGAAGACCCATTGATCCAAGTGAACAGTCGGGGACCACCCAGTACGTTTTGCCACGTCATCAACTAGAATTTTGTTTTTAACTATTCCAGAGGACTTTGTTCAGTGCCCGCACTGCCCTTTCAGATCCAAATATCCGCAGCGGTTGGCAGCACATTTGGTACGCCCACGCACTAAAAAATTTATAAATCCGTCGATTTTCAGCGATCTCACGACCGATATCAAAGCAAAATGTTCGAGTGTAACGTTTGCAATGCGAAATTTGGAACTCGGGTCAGTTTTCTGTTATATCTCGTCTGCCTGCAAAGATAGAAGATAGGTGTCAACTAACAAAATGTTCCTTATGAAATTATGTACATTTTATCAGTTGACAACTTTTTGAAATCTCCAAAGACAGCTGAGATATAACGCTTTGAATATAGACCAACCTGGCGCGTCACCGCAAGGGACATACTGGCGAGCGGCCGTTCAAGTGCCGATTCTGCGGCAAACCATTCAGGAGGTCCGATCAGGTAAGTGCGCTCCACTGCACTCTGAGCGCGAAATTTGAATTTTCGCCATATTTTTGGCTCAAAATGACACATTTTCAGATGGAAGAACACTGGATGGCCCACGTTGACATAGAAGGTCACTTTGAGTGTCCTGTGGCCGGGTGTCCCAAAAGTTTTGTTCGAAAATGTGACCGGAAGGTGCATTTGCCAACGCATAACGTTTCATGTACAACTCCGGAGAAATGTAAAGGATGCAACACGGAATTCATGAATATGCGACGACTTCACCTGCATTATGAGACGAAGCACGGATCGTTGGTTAAGGTTTGAGAGAGCATATCGATCTGAGATTTATTTTCTAGATTCTTGACACCTTGAACTTTGTTTTTGTAGTTGACAACTTTTTTGTACGACAACTTCTAAGACAACTGTAGCTCTTGGAAGTTTGGACGCCACAGGAGGCGCGCTAGTCAGCGCCAACTTCCAAGAGCTACAGTAGTCCAGCGAGAGGTCGTAGAAAAAAGTGCTCAACTAGAAAAGTACAGTACTAGACATGAAGATACTGCTCAACAATTTCTAGAACAATGTGAACCCGTCGGGTCCAGTTACACGCGCTCAAAGTTGAAGAGCAATTTTCAGACGATCCCACCGTCATCCTCGACAACTCCTTCACGGTCTTCGAGAAAAAGAAAGCAAATGGGTGGGGCGACGGAGCCACTGGCGTTGAGTTTATCGGAAAAAAGCGGTGCGAGCACAGACGTGTCCTCAAACATTTCGTCATTTGACACTAATATGGTGGGTTTTCAGGATCCGAGCATCCGAATTTCTATGCATTCAAAGTTTTTGAGCATTTATGAGCTCTGAAACCTTCAAAATTGGCCCATTTTCACTAAAAATCGCTCCTTTCAGACTCCGTGGTCCCAAGAATCAAGTGATCCACTCGGTCCAGCCGCGTTGCGGTCAATTTTTACGAAACTCGAGGAGACTAAAGTATGTGCACGAGTTATCCCGCCCTACGCACTCAAAATTGACACTCTTCAGTCATTCGCCTCACTTTTGGCGTTGACATCGGACAATACGGTCGGCGAGCAGTCAGATGAGCCGGAGAACGCGGCGGAAAAGTGTGAATATGTGAGGAAGGTGGTAAAAGACCCCCGAATATTGTCGTTTTGTCAGAAGTGCACCGATTGCGGCATCCGATTCGACGACGTCTTCATGTACCTCATTCACAAGACGATGCACACGGACGGAAATGCGTTCAAGTGTGCAATGTGTGGAGCTGAGTGCTCGGACAAGTACACTTTTATGCTGCACACGATCAACTCGGACCACAAGTTGTATCCGGATGATAATAATGATATTTGAACAGTTTATACCTGTTTATTTGGTAAACCTGAACCTTTCTTGCCCGCTAGACATCGTGGAACTATGAACTTGTGTAATTTCTAACTTTGAGCATCTATAACTGAGCTCCGGCGCTTTACATTGTTCTAGAAAATTTTGTGTAACATCTTCATACCTAGTACTGTATTTTTGCAATTGACAACTTTTTTCCACGCCCACTCGCTGGACTACTGTAGCTCTTGGCACTTGGGGCACTACAAAACGAGTTAGGATTAACTTCCAAGAGCTGCAGTAGGCCAGGGAGTGGTGGTACCAAAAAGTTGTCAACTAGAAAAATAAAGTACATGTCTGGCACTGTATTTTTGTAGTTGACCACTTTTTTCTAGAACCACTACAAAGACTACTGTAGCTCTTGGAAGCAAGGACACTTTAGAACAAGTGGCAGACAGTCTCAACTTCCAAGAGCTACAGTAGTCTCAGAAGTTGTCAACTACAAAACTGAAGTACTAGGTGTAAGAAGATATCACTCAAAATCTTCTAGAACAATATAAACTTAAAGGAACAGAAATTGGATGGAATGGAGATTCAGAAGACGCACGGAAAGGGACTTTTGAGCTCTGGAGCACCGAAAATGACTGAACTTTTCGATTTTTTCTTCGAATGTCATTGTTCGGTAGAGCGCACTTGCAACTTGAACGTTTGAGTTAACAATATCGAAAGTAGAACATATGGTTTAAAAAAAAAAAAGGTTTATTAGATGATATAATATAATTAATTATAGTAATCGTCAAACGTCCTGCCACACGCCTCCTTGTCCTTAATTCCCTGCACAGCCGCTCGCCCCATGGTCCCAAGACGCTCGAACATCAGCGGATCGGCCTGCTCCAATTGCGACACGGTCTCAAACGAGGCGGCGGCGATCTCGGCGAGTTCCAGAGTGGGCGCGTCGATTCGTTGGAGCAGTCGATCCACTCGGTCCACCAAATTGCCGAGGCGTCCGAGCACCGTGAGTGCTTCGAATGGCTGCGCCCAGACGCAGAAGTTGACGAAATTCGCGCCAACGCAAACCGAACCCACCTGACCATAGACGTTCCGAATGTCGTAGGCGTTGCGCATGTCGATGAACTTTGGGGAATAGCCGCTCGGATCGTGGACTCCGAACTTTTTGATGAACTTGATATCCCTCGAGAAGTTCTTGTTCTGGTCGTACCTTTCCGCTCGAACGCCTTCCAGAACATTGTCGATTTGAAGATTGTGCACTTCGGAGACGAACTCGTACTGCACAGCATTTCGGATGGATCCATTCGCCCAGGCACGCAGGAAACGGTTAAAGTCGCGACTCGTGACGGTGGTCCCTCTCAGCTCGACACTTTTGAACTCGAAGCTCAGCAGATGCTCGCCGGTCAGCCAATCGGCGGATGCGCACTTGAGCAGCGGAGGACACGATCTCAACTTTTGAAAGTCGAAGCTCGCATCGCTGCGGACACCGATCTCGAGCTTGTCGGTGATTTGCACGTCGACGAGAAAGTCGTTGAACACGTGTCCGGGCACAAGAACGTTCGCGTGGTCCCCGAAGACCAGGTCCTCGACGGTCCCTTCACCGATCATGCTCTTGAGGGCGAGGAGCGGGGTTCGCGCGGAGGTGTGCACTTTGGAGAACTCCACCTCGAAAAACGAGTGGAGCAGTCCATGCAAGTGCAAAAGTTGCTCGGTGAGCACGTCCATTGACGGACACCTCACAACGAGCTGCCTCTCGGAAGGCCACGTCACTTCATAGTGAAGTCGTGGCACTTGCACGAACTCGACCCTGCCCTCGGCCACTTTCTCGTCGGTTTCCTGGTCCCGAAAGTCCAAGACCAACTCGAGGACCGTCTCCGATCGGGACCGCCCGTGCACATCCACCAGCACGTAGAGCCCCATCCGCTTGGCCAATCTCGTCGCTTCTTGACGGCAGCTCTCGGTCTGGAACGACACGAACAATCTGAAATCGATAATATTAGTTTGAAATTCGCAGAAAACGGAGGGAAACTTACAGTTCTCGCGGTGCCAGGCGATTGCACACCATCCGACGGGGTACGTGCGGTAGGCGCGACACCATTTCGACGGCTGCGGACCGATCCATTTTCGGAATGAGTTGAACGATGGTCTGGACGGACCGCGAATGAAAATGAGCAAGAAAAACCGTAAAAGGGCGGGACGGTCCCCGTGCATCTTCACATTGAGCAGAGATGTCACTCTTCTGAATGACCGTTGCGACGTGGAGATAGCGGTCAGCATTCAGGGCTCAGCTAATGAGCCACTGGGACCGCGCAGAGGAAAGCGTTCGCTTGGTCCCTTTGGTTCGCTCAAAGTTGAACTCTAGACCTGCACATGGTCCCGTTTGACCAACCAACAGTCTGCGGTCCCCGCTAAAACGTCCATCATCAAACACGCTCGATGTAAACATTCACATCACACCACTCCTTTGACCCAATGTCTTCTGGTCCCAGTGACCAACCACCGGGACCGTCCGGTACGTTTTGCCACCACGTCATGAAGCCAATCAATTGAATCGCTCGCTTCAGCCACCAATCAACAATGTCCGCGCTGTCCGTTCACCACGAAACAGCCGAAACGATTGAGAGAACATGTGGTTTGACGGGGACTTTTTTGGCTGGAAAAAAAAAGGTTTTCTAGGAATCGCACGACGAACGCGAAGATGAGATGGTCGTTTGTCCGATGTGTCAGGCGAATATTCGAAATGGGGTGAGCGTTTTATTGAAATGTCCTGATAAATGTGGATTTTGTCAGCCAGCATTTCAACATCATTTGTGGGCGCACGAATCGGATCGTCCGTACAAGTGTGTCTACTGCGAAAAAGGATTCGCGAGACAAGATCAGGCAGCCGCAAACTTAGCAAATTACCGCTAAACGCGTCATTTTTGTGTTTCCAGCGCGACAAACACTACATGACTCACGCGGCTCAATTCAATGAATTCGAGTGTCCGGTGGCCGGGTGCAACGTCGCCTTTTCGCTCAACAAAATACAGCGGACACATTTGCGGGTGCACGAAATATCGCAAAAAAATGTGGCAACGTGTAAAGGATGTACGATGACTTTTGACAAGTCGTTCCGCATTTTCAATCACTATCACATCAACCATGGTGTCATTTTTCGGGATCTTCAGGTCGGGCCGATATTCTCCATATCTAGCACTTTGTTTTTGTAGTTGACAACTTTTTTGTGCGAACACTCCGAAGACCACTGTAGCTCTTGGAAGTTGAGACGTTTTAGAACAATTAGCAGAAATGCTCAACTTCCAAGAGCTACAGTAACCCAGAGAGTGGTCGTACAAAAAAGGTGTTAACTGAAAGAATAAAGTTCACATTTTAAGCTTCATTTTTGTAGTTGACAACTTTTTTGTACGAACACTCCGAACACAACTGTAGCTTTTGGAAGTTGAGACGTTTTAGAACAATTAGCAGAAATGCTCAACTTCCAAGAGCTACAGTAACCCAGAGAGTGGTCGTACAAAAAAGGTGTTAACTGAAAGAATAAAGTTCACATTTTAAGCTTCATTTTTGTAGTTGACAACTTTTTTGTACGAACACTCCGAACACAACTGTAACTCTTGGAAGTTAGCGTTGCCTTATGATTCTCTGCTAGAGGCGTCCTAACTTTCAAGAGCTACAGTACCCCAGAGAGTGGTCGTACAAAAAAGTTGTCAACTAAAAAAAGAAAGTACATGTCTGGCACTGTATTTTTGTAGTTGACCACTTTTCTCTAAAACCACTACAAGAACTAGTGTAGCTCTTGGAAGTTAGCGTTGCTTTATGATTCTCTGCTAGAGGCATCCTAACTTTCAAGAGCTACAGTAACCCAGGCGGTGATTGTAGAGAGCTCTGTTATAGACACACTCGAAGTAGAGCATTTTTATGTTTTATTTTCCAGAAAAAGGCGCAGTTGGATCCATCAATTTCATGTCCAGACTCATCGGACGGGTCCCCGAGCAAAATAGCGCGAATGGATGAGCACGTGGTCCCACTGGCTCTCAATCTAAACGAGGGAATGCACGGAAGCGAGACCGCGGTGAGTTTCATTTCAATTTTACAGATTTTTCATTGAAAAATGACTGAAATACTCTCTTTTCCAGACCACCAGTTCAAGTATTCCACAATCAATAGCCAGCAACGTCGGCGCCCACGAAACGCCGAGTTTGACCGAAGAAACGGTAGGGTTCGGAGAAATTGCTTCCAAATTTTCTGGTTTTTCAGGGACCCACTTACTTTACATTGTGATCATGGCGTTGTGACCGGCCCCCCTGGGACCGTGTGCACTCTAAGAACCAAATTTTCTATTTTGTGTGGTATTTACTCGAATGAATTTCATGTACTATGTCCAATTGGCGTGTAATGGTCAAATTTGCGGGTGAGCAACGTTCAGAGCACTTTGGCCTCGGATCATCTCCGATGATTCCAAGTATCGAGGATCTGTCCAACGGGAACGTCTGGTCAGATCAATTCCCGACTCCTGTCAGCAATTCAACAACAGTTCGATCGGTTCTTGGCTCAGATCGATCGGGAACAGTTGATGAATCGTCAAAATCGACCATATGCATCCTTCTTAAAGACTCATGCTATTATATTAACATTTTAATAATATTTCTTGTGACCAGTACCACAAAAGTCCTTCTCATTAATATTGTGAAACCTATCGTTTTTATTCACATGAAATTCATCAATATAAAATAGCACAATATCTATTTCGAACATCCAAAGTTATGTTTGTCGAAAATACGGTGCACGGCTTCATGTCTTGGCAATTCTGTCGGAGATTTGAATGCTGGCGTTGCTGAAAAATGCGCCAATTTTCTGTCTTCGGCTTGTTGAGCGGAAGAATTTTTATCTTTTTTAGAAAATTTTTTCATGGAATGTGATCAACTGACGAATTGTAGAGCAAAGTGAACTCTGCACATAAAAAAATAATTGTAAATTTAGCTTTTCATACAAAAAAGTTATTCGAGTTGTTCCGTAAAAAAAGGAGGCTAACGGAACAACTCGAATAACCTTTTTGTATGAAAAGCCAAATTTACAATTATTTTTCTATGAGCACAGTTCACTTTGCTCTACATTTCGTCAATTGATCACATTTCATGTAAAAATTTTCTAAAAAAGATAAAAATTCTTTCGTTGAGTTCTTCCGCTCAACTCGCTCAACTCCACAATATGACTCCGAAACGTGGTAGAAAGGTTGAACTTCCAAGTCGACAGGTTTCAAGTGCTCACAAACGACAGTGTTTGGTATAAATCCGAGCCGTCGCGTCCATTTTGGTCGGTTGGAGGACGTCCGCACACAGAGAAATTGAGTGGAATACAAGAAGACAATTAGAAGTGCTAGTCGAAAAGTGGAAAGAGTACAATTTATTGTGCACACAAAAACCAACAAATTCCCAAAAAATATAGTTCATAAACCGGCGATTCATCTCAAAAACGCCTGAATCGAGTCTCCGATGTGCTTCTTGTTCAGATGTGCCTCCACAGCCTTCCGTCCCTCCGCTCCCAGCTTTTCGTACAATTCCGGATCGTGGTGCTCCAGAGCCGGCACGCTCCAGAATCGTTCTACCGCTTTTTGCGCCAACCTCAACAGTCTCGGGTCGATCTGTGCCAAAAACCGATCGAACTGCTCGGTGCAAACATTCAGGCGCCGGATCTCGGCTCTCATCGGGAACGGCTCTGGCCAGACGTAGAAGTGAATGTTGTGCTGGGTCTCCGTCGTCGACCGTTGAAACACATTAAACTTGAGCGTGCCGATGACGCCGTCCGAACGGGTGATGTCCATTTCGGAGGACAGGTCCACATAGCCGTACCGATAATCGTTCAGCTGGCCGAGAATTGGAAATCTGAACAAACGACTTTTGGCTTTTTAACGCCAAACACTCACTTGTACTTCTTCTCGCGTCTCTCTGGGCTCCAACGCTCGGCTTTCAGGCCCTGCAGAACGTGTTCGGATCGAAAAAGACGGCTATTCGTCTCAAATGTGTAGTGCTTTGCGTTCGGCGCCTCTCCGCTCATCCACCTTCTCAAAAACGTGTTCATATCGTCGTCGGTGAACGCGCAGTTTTGGAATAGCGCGACGTCGGCGTTCAAATCGATGATCTGCTCGATTGTCGGCCAACTGGCACAGCTGAACTGAGCACTTGGCGGTCTGATCGGCAGCTGAAACGAAAGACCGTTTCGGAAACTTGTGAATAAGGCAAATTACCAATTTGAAGTCGACATCTTCATCGGAATTCAAAGCGATCACCAACTTGTTCTGTATCTTCAACACCTTCAGGAATTTGTTCACCAATTTGCCGGGAACGGCTCTCAGTTCATCGCCCAACTTCGTCATTCTGACGTCCTTCCACTCGTTGCTCGATGTCAAAAAGTCGAGCACTAGATTTCGGGGTAATTCCGAGTCCACGGCCACCCACGCATTCAATAATTCGACCGATCGATACGATGAATCAATGATATTCTTGAGTGTGTGCATGTTTTCGAAGAGCTTCTCAAAACTGGCACTTTTGCAAATGAGCACCTCTTTTTTAGAATCATCGCCGAACGACAATATCTGCTCGTTTCCGCAAGCGTCCGGCCTCTCGAATGCAATTTTAAAGTTCGAATTTTGACATTTCGTCGTGTAAATGTTGAACTTGACAAGCGCGCGTTCGGCTGGAGTCGCTGGATTATTCTCGAATGAAAAGTTCACTTCCAACAGTCGATTTTTCAACGTTTCACGGGCCACTGATCTCCAGACGTCCGACTGAAATTGGAGGGCGACTCTGAAAAGTAGCGGAAATGAAATTACTCGTGTTTTTTTGGGTTCAACTCACAATTCGACCGGTCTCAAATGCTCACAAATGACGGTTTTCGGTATGAATCCGAGTGGTCCGAAGAAGTCGATGAGCGGCGGGTCCATGTTGGTCGGCGGTACGAGTGGAATGGCTGATGTTGTACGCACACTGGACGGTGACCCTTTACAACCATTCCATTACCCGTCTGTTTCATTGATTTTCTTTTGTGGATGCAAGTTCAAACTTCTTTAGGACAATCTGAGTTATAAAGTTATGGTTACACACCAACCAACGTGAAAAAGCCACATTTATTGTGCATAATGAATGCAACAAGGCTCGAACCGAGCTCGGTATATTAAACTTTTGATAAAACGAATCATTCGAAAGACTTCCAAATCGATTCGATTCTCGAATCTCCTCTCAGCTTTTTGCGTACAATTCCGGATCGTGGTGCTCCATAGCCGACAGCAGAGTTGAGCGGAAATGGAATTTTGAAATCCGGAAGACGGAAGACGGAAGACGGAAAACATTTTTTTTTACGGAACACGGAAAACGGAAGACGGAATTCCGCTCAACTCTGGTGCTCATAATGAAAACGATAATTGTTCGGGGTTCAGGGAATGGGCGATCTGAACGAAATGTGGATGGACCTTTGACATTTTAAGAATAAAAACTCACTTTTACTTCTTCTCCCTTCTTTCTGGGCTCCAACTCTCGGCTTTCAAGTCTCGCTGAACTCGTTTAGAGCGAAAACGAAGGTTATCCTCGTTGGTCAATACGATTTCGGAGTTCAAATCGATTATCTGATCAATTGTCACCCAATCGGCAAAGAGGAAATGAGTATTGATGGGGCACTGAAATGATATTATAGTTCCGATTGTTTCTAGAACTTGTAAATGAGGCAATAAACATTGAGATAACTTTTAATAAACTATTCAGACCCCCTTCCCTTGAAGTCACCAACATATTCTTCACCTTCAACACTTTCAAGAATTGGAGACAATGGAATTACTCATGTTTTTAGGCCGACTCTCACAAATGACGGTCTTCGGTTGGAATGAGAGAGTTTCGCGAACAAATCAATAAGAGTCTGGTCCGTGCACACTGAACGTGACCCCTCCTGCACCTAATCTGCCCAATTATCCAGTCGCGCTCATTCGCAACCATATGGTTCGGTGTGCAATGCAGGCCGCTCTGTTCCTTGCATCGATGGGACCACCTTTTCAAGTAAGTCTTCTATACATTTCCACTTTGAGCCCTCAAAAAGCACACTTCTGCAGCAACCACCAGGTCAGGAGGGTCCCTCTCAGTTGCGCAAGCTCTTCATCGGCGGTCTGAACCATGAAACGACTGGTGAACAGGTAGGGTTTCCAACATTTTGAACCTTTAAAGTGGTCCCCCTTTCAGCTCGGCCAATACTTTTCCAAGTGGGGACCTGTGGTCGATGCGATCGTGATGCGTGACGCGCACACAAAAATCTCACGTGGATTCGGATTCGTCACTTTCGCCTCCGTTTATAGTGTCGAGTTGGCGATGGCGGATAGACCGCACGTGCTGAGCGGGAAGACGGTCGACTCGAAACGAGCGATTCCACGCGAGCAAATGGCGCCAACTCTGACGGTCGCCGGCTCAATCTCATTCTTCCAAACGTTCGGGCCTCCTCCGAGTCGCGCTCGCAAAGTGCTCTTGAGTGGCATCATCGCCGGAATCCATTCGATCGACGCGCTTCGCATTTACTTTGACACCTTCGGCACTCTGGATCAAATCGAGATCCTCAACGGATCCGGACTCGCTTTTGTGATCTACGCGGCAAACGCGTCGGCGGATCGGTGTCTGATGCACAATCTCGGGCGACACGTCGTCAACGGACAGACGATCCACGTGCAGCAGTTTGAAAAGCGCTCGTCGACGACTACCGAGGACGAGTGCAACAGTTTCTCTTCGGATGACTAGGGAAAACCCCAGCCCCTTCCAATAAAAAATTCCCTTGGCGCAATTCACGTGCGCTAAACAAGGCGCGTAACGCGTAATTTCGGAGCGTCGTTGTAAAGTTTCTCATTTCAATTTTCCCTTTTTTTGCATTATTCCCATCTTTTCAGAGCCAATCAGTGTCAAAACTTATGATAATGATTCTAAATGAATAAAAAATGAAATGTTAACTCAGCTTCGTCATCAATTTCGAAACGTTTTATGTGAAAATTACATAAATTTTTTCCTTTGAAATCAAAAATTTGCCTCAATTATCTCAATTCTGTATATTTTTTGACGGTTGAGCGCTCAAAAGATGCGCAATAAACTCATTGTTGACTGGACGGTTCGAATGCCAGTGTCCGAACTCGATTCGGCAAATAATCGTTAAAACTCCGTTTTTTTTCAGTAGTTTTCGACAAAATCCCTCAATTTGGTGTCAATTCTGAACGAATCTGCTCAGTTTCGCGCTTAAATCGATGCTTTTAACTCAGACAATCGCCCTACGGTTCGTAAAGAACAAAATTTGAGTGTTTATTAAGAGAAAAACGAAATAATTCTGGTTTTCAATTGAAAAAAGAAACTCCGGTGGATGCAAGCGCGCTCCAAGCGCATTGGAATGCTGGGGTTCCGTGTCGGTTTCAAATGCACAATACTCGTTCTCAGTCTCACAATATCCACTTGATCTACTCCATTTGATCTACCCGAGTTTTTGTCGTCTTGCAACGAAACAATGCGTTGCGGTCCCTCGGTGGATCGCCTCTTTCCTCGACATCATCAAGACCGTCCTTCCACCCTCCAATCCGCCACAATGAACTTGCAATTGCTCGACTTCTTCGCTGCCCTGCCCGAAGTCGCGAAACGAGAAATACTGATGCATTGGATGCCGTCTCAAATGTAACTTGCACACTTTCAAACGTCCACTTTTATCTCAAACATTGCAGGTTCAAAGTGGCGCGCGCGTCCGAACCGTGGAGCCGACTCGTCATTCCGGCACTCGGACGCGACGGACTGCACGCTCAACTCGTGCTGGCCACTGGCGATTCGGGGAACAATACGCACGTGCAACTGATCGCGACACTCCTCAAAGACGGTCTGGAAGAGGACAAAATCGAGATGGAGATCCGCGAAACGCCGCGAGTCTTCCTGCCGCAATGGACCGAACTCCGCGGACTTCTCGAGAGGTGCTTCCCGACCATCACCGCCGGTCCCATCCACATCGACATGGACACCGAGCTGAGCGTTGCGGACCTTCGGCGCGTCATGGACGGTCTCGAAATCGACGCGCTCTTCGTGGGAATCGATGAGGGGCGCGTGGTGCCCGGCCGAAAGTTCAACGAGTTGGTGGCCGGTCTGCAACCGAAAAAACTCGATTTGGAGATGGATTCGGACGACGATTTCAGCTGGGAAATTGTGAGTTTGTACCCTTGCATGATGGGCGTTCCCATGATTTCAACACTTTTAAAATGATGTGACATTACCTCGACTTTTTTTCCAGATCCAGCACGTCAGAGACGTGAACGTGCGGAGGTCCGAATGGATGTCGACGGCCAAGCTGCTGGACCTGAACTGTGAAAAAGTGGTGATGGACGAATGGAAGTTCACCGATCGGGACCTCAACCGATTCCTGAGGCACTGGCACTCGGGCGCCGCTTCCGAAGTACGGCTTCTCGAATTCAAGAAGAAAGTGTTCATTGAGCTGACGCATCTGTTCGACGGACTCGAGCCCCTTCGATGGAGCCCAACCCGCAGGGACCGTGTCTTTGTGGACCGACAGAACAAGCTCGTCGACCTGTCGGCCGGCATGGATATTGTGCGGGCGGACGGTAAACTCGCGACGGTCCACTACTCGCTGAGCACCAAATCGCTGCACCTCTACGTGTGGGAAGATCGGTTTCCGACAGGACCGCTTAAGGAGAAACTCGAGTCCCGGATCGCCCAGGTCCAAAGACAATTGACGGAACTGTCGCCGAAGCTGAAGGCTCGAGTGGAGCCGGTCTACCGAAAGCACGCGACTTTGGAACAAGTGCACCGAGAAGAACGAACGGTTTACCGGAAGCTGAAGGCCGAGGGACGTGCCGCGTTTGAGCTGTTCGCGGAGAAGGACCGGATCCAGAGGGACCTGGTCCAGCTGACCGAGTTGAATGCGGCACCGCCGGTTGCCCCGCACGACTACGCCCGATTCAACGTGCTGGCACACAACTTGAGGGAGATTAACGAGCGCTGGTGGCAGCACTTGGTAATTTGATGATAGCGCATCTATTTTTTTATGATAACTGATATTGTGGGACTCTAACTAAATATTGTGGACTTGAAATTCACTTATTTATTCGAACTCGATAATAAAAAATGTCAGAGAAGCGAACAATTACAGGAGAGAGTTGAAGCGAACGAAGTGAACAAGTGTTTGCAATATTTTAAGACACGTTTACTCTCTTTTTTCATTTTATTATTCTGCCTAGCCCATGTTTACCAAAAAATACGTGACCTTTCCAAAAAGTGTCAAAAACGTCACGACAACACTTATTTCACCAAAAAAAATGTCGAGTGTTCAAACGAAGTCAACGTTTGTATCGCAAGGCTCCACGTCGAAGGGACCGTCTTCGACGGTGTCGAAATGTTCGGGACCGTCCGAGTCGACTGTTTCGAAAGTATCATCGGGACCGCCCGAGTCGACGTCGTTGGCGCCGTCGAAGAACGAGAAACAGGCGAAAAAAGAGAAGAAAAAGGCGAAAAAGGAGAAGAAAAAGGGCAAAAAGCAGTGGGATGACTATTGGTTCGGATGGTATCCGGTGTACGAGCGGGAGGCGAAGCGAGGCGTCCCACTGGGTTACATTCCGATGTACGACGAGCCGTCGACGCTTTACTGGGAGCCCGGATGCGTCGATCCGTGGCAGGTTCACATCGGACTTTGTGCGCGGGTGAGTCCTTTTCCTCGAAAAATCAATACATGCAACAAAAAAATGCGTGGGCTAGTTGGGAGTTCAAATTCTGACGCGACTTCTCATGTTTTTAGTAGAAAATGACTCAAAATTCGCACTTTTTTTGAATAAACGTAAGCGTTGATCTCAAACTTATTTGAATTTCAAGGTTTGCGCTTAAGATGCTCGAACTTCAGTCATTTTCATTGTTTGAAGGCTCAAAATTAGTTTTTTATGATTTCCGACACTGATTTTGTCTGAAAACCGTTCATATCGCGAAAAACGCTTCGAACGAGACGTTTTCACGAAAACTTCAATGTTTTCTTCTTCAAAACCATCTTCATCGATATTTGCCTCAAAAATTGATTCAAAATCGCGCATTTGCAAAGGCCACGCTCCTTCTCAAACAAATTGTTCGGGCTATCAAGTCGTAAAAGCTAAGTATTTGTGAAAAAGCGAATTTTGCAGGAGCACCTCACTCTCGCCGCCGGTTTTCAACAGGTTCTCACGCTGATCGCTCAAGTTCTCTCGCTGTTCTTCTTCAATACATTCTAGTAAGTTTTTCACATATTCGACGTTCTTTTTCTTCGACGTATTTTGTGTGTTCGAACAGCAAAAATGATCGAGAATTGACTGAAAATCGATTTAAAAAATCGCAAATTTATATAAGACTCTTGTGTTTTATATATACGAAAAATAGAGCTAAAATTTGAATCTTTTCGTTTCCAGTCCATTATTCACTACTCAACACGATGTCGACACGAACTACATGCTTCACGGATCGCTTACTTACATTTGGGTACTTTTTTATTGGATAAATTGTCAAGTTTGTATTTTTCAATTTTCAGCTCTATTTTATGCTCTCGGTTGTCATCTTGTGTCCCGCTGATTGGTCTCGCAAAAAGCACATGCTGTTGCTCGGACTTGTTGTAAGTTTTCAAAAAAAGTTTCGCGTCGAGACGCAAACAATGTTTTTTTTCTGCAGATTTCATGCGTCATCCTATCTGGAGTCGTTGTGCCGATCGTCGCGAAAATTATGGGCTGTAAGTTTTCAAGCAGGCTTTTTACAAAAGAAATGAGTAATTCAGATGACACACTGATTCTGATCATTATCTGCGAGGCCACCGCCTTGGTTTACATCTATCCGACGGTTATTGTGGCGTTAATGCTGTTAGTGTTTTTCTAATAATTAGATAAAAACAAAAAAGTGTTTTTTTGCAGCTGGAAACCGGGCCGTCACCCGTTTTGGCGCCTTTTCGCCATATACCACCGTGTCGGATTGGCCGACGAGGACGGAAACATAACGGAAGCGGGAAGGAAGTGGGAAGCCGAAGGATGCGGATTCTTGGAGACGCTTCCGGAAGGCACTCCGGACAGTCTGATCGGCAGCCCGTCAGCCACCAAAAAAACGGCCACGACCACCGGCAATACGACCGCCTCGACGATGCGTTCGAGCGGCGGCACCGAGGAAATCGATGCACTCGTTTGACTTCTTCTTTTAATAAATGTTTTTGTTTCCGTTTTTTAAACCTTCTCTCCACACAAGAAGAAGTGGAAGTGACTAGTTTACAAATCCGAGAATACAGTTTCAGAATCCAACTTGAAACCCATCAGCGTTCGAGGTCCACATCCACTTCGTCTCTTTGCAAGCGTGCACACGAAACTATTTACATGCATGTGTACGATTTTGATTGACAATTCCATGCAAAAACACACTTCTTGTTCGAATTTAAATATTTATTTATTACAAAACCGCAAAAGACAAGCGAGAAGAACAATAGTCACAATTTTAATTTATGTTGGTGAATATGGATTCATTCCATTCAATTTTTAGTAATACATCGTGCCGGGTAGCCTTCAATTAGTGACTGAGAGCGGAGTGCTTTCAAACTGTTGTTTCAATTTGTGCAATAAAGGACATGTTACTAAGACCCGGCCATACCTCAAATGCACACACTCCCGCTCAAGGCGCATAACGACGCTTTTTTCAATGAAAAATTACCTTCTGTGCAGTTGCCTCTTCTTTTTTTTCTTTTTTTCTCCGTTTCTTCCTCCACGGCTCTTCTTCTCTTCGACATTGTGGACAAAAGTGTTTCCGGTTTTGGTCTTCTCGGCGTCGGCGGCGGTTTCGGCGCGAGCTTCGGCTTTTCAGGTTTCCTTCCGCCCCTTGGTGGTGTCTCGGGAGGACGGATCTCTTTTAGCTCGTTCGAACACATTTCACCCAGTCTGTAACTTTTGAAACTCTTGACATGTTCAAAATATGCGTTTCTAAACAGATTCGAACAACAGTTTGCGGAAAATGAGAGCAAACATTGACGACGTGCACCGTTTTTCGACTGCGATAGTTTTTCCTGGAAATTCTATACATGAAAAAGGAAAAATTAATTAAATTCACTACGAAAAAGGTGAGAACACAATCAATTTATTAGAAAGAAAATGAAAAAACAGAAAGAAAACAAAAATTGCTGCAGCAGTCGACGTGGCCGCGGACTAACTTTCTTTTCTCACACTATTCAAATTTAGAGTCCCCCCAGGTTTTCGCGAGCTCTTCTCAATAGCGCGTCCTTTCTGTCCGGTGCTCCTATATATGGATTTCGAAACTATATTATCGAATTTGTAAGATAGTCACTTTCACTTCTTCTTGTGTTTTTAAGGTTTTTTACTTTCGTTCTCTTCTGATCTTTAACGAATTGTTTGTCGAATTCTGAAAATGTCGCTTACTGCTAAACCGGGCGACGATACGACACTCCAAAGGTCGGCGACGAGTCGGCAGCCAGTGAGCGATTTCTGATTTTCTTCTGAAATTTCTGCTTTTCGTAAGCTATTCCGACCTTCTTTTTGTTCTTGACCCGATAATAATACTTTGATTTTCTCATATTTCGTTCCTATTTTGCGTGACAACCGTCAAGAGCTCTAAATATATATTTTGTTTTTCCCTGGAACAACGTGGCAATTCAGAAGAGAAAACGTCATGGATCGTCAAGAAGTGAGTGCCTTCCCCTCTTTCATCTCAACTTTTTCCGCTTTTATGGGGTTATTCTGGCTGTAAAAAAAATGATTGTTTTCCGTTTTTTTCGTTTTTTTACGTCAAAAAATCCAATTCAGCGATGTAAAAAAAACGAAATAAACGGAAAACAAACATACGCTGAATAGTCCCATTAGACGGATAATAATGGGGTTATTCAGCTGTGAAAAAAATTGTTTTTTTCCGTTTTTTTAGTTTTTTACGTCAAAAAACCCAATTCAGCGGTGTAAAAAAACAAAAAAAAAACGGAAAACAAACATACGCTGAATTTTTCAGCTGAATAGCCCATAAGTAGGTACCGCAACTGGTTTTGCAAAACTCCGAATTTCCATAAAATTCTTATTGGAATGTGCTCCCCTACTCTATATGAGTACACTCCCAATTTTTTTTCACAAATTTTCGGTACATCCCGAGTTATACCTAGGGGGCGCAAAGGAGGGGGCGCGGCCTGACGAATTTTCTCCCGATTTCCGCGCGCGCATGTTTGACGGTCTGTAGTGAGGTCCCCAAATGACGTACCATACACCGAGGAGGAGACGACCAATGAGAAGAGCAGAAAGGCGCCGACGCCGAGCAACAAGAAGAAGGACGCGACGAAGGCCCCGAATGTGGCGGTCGACCGGAAAAGTCCGAAGACTGAGAGCCAGAAGATCATGAAGGCGACGAAGAAGGAGTAGAATTACTGGTTTCGTTTTCTTTGTTTCTTTTCTTACTCTTTCCTTATTCTCAATAAATCGTGTTTATTGTTTTTTTTTGCCAACGTGGCCTTCTGGATTCTTCTAAACTCGTGGAAGTAACGATTGAATCTCTCCAAAACCGTTCCATTTCAGACATTCCATTCGAAATCGCTCGCCAAATCCCCGTTTCTGAAAGAGGTATCGTGATAAACTGGGAAAAAGTAAATTGATTAGTGAATTATTCAGAAATCGTTGTGTCATAACAATAAAAATGGACGAGAAGCAGAAAGATGGGATGATCGAACCAAAAAAGGGCTACGACAATGTGCACGATCTGAGCGGACTGGGTCCGGACGGCAAAGGAAGGAAAGGCGCAAAGAGAAGAAAGTTGAGGAAGGGAAAAAGAGAAGAAGAAGGATGAGGACGAGGATGAGAAGGAAGAAAAAGAAGGAAGAGAAGAAGGAAGATGAAGGGGGAGAAAAAAAGGAAAACGAGAAGAAGAAAAACAGAGGAAAAAAAGAAGAAAAAGAAGGAAGAGAAAAAAAGGAGGAAAAGGAGGAAGAGAAAAAAAGGAGGAAAAAGAAGGAAAAGACTGAAGAGAAGGAGGAAGAGCCCAAGAAGAAGCCCAAGAAGGAAGAGAAAGAAGAGAAGGAGAAGGAAAAAGTCGAAGGATGAAAAAGGAAGAGAAAGAAAAAGGAGAAAGAGAAGGAAAAGCCTAAAGAAAAGGAGAAAGAAAAAAAGAGAAGGAAAAGGAAAAGGAAAAAGACAAAGGAAGAGGAAAAAGAAGAGCGAGAAAAAAAGAGTGAAAAGAAGGAAGAAAAAGAGAAAGAGAAAGAGAACAAGGTGGAAAAGGAGAAGGAAAAGACAAAAGATGAAAAAGGGGAGAAGACGAAGAGCAAGAAGAGCCAGGAGCCGGAGAAGAAGTCGGCCGAGAAGGTGACGGTCAAGGAGCAGCCAAAGAAGTCGACTGTTGGGGGTCTAGACTTCCAGTTCACTTCCGTTCTCACTAACTATTCTGTTTACAGGACCGGCTATTCCGCGCAGACCGCCACCGCCGAAGAAGAAGGGATGCTGCATCATTCTGTGATCCTCTATCAATTTTGTGTGTCAACCCTCTGGTCAGAAGAACATGAAGTCGGCGAAAGAGGTAGAGTTTTGTTTTACTTTTCTTTTCTTACTCACTTTCTATTCTCAATAAATCTTTTTATTGTTTTGTAAAAGAAGTTATGTACCATGAGGTATGACAAGAATCGGTTTTATTCTATTAGACCAGCAAATACTTCTCCGCTCTCCATTTTTTCAGATTCTCTCCGCCCAAAAGTCGCCGCTTACATCGAAACGAGTTTATGTGAGTTTATCTCTAGATTCGATGATTTTTTTGAAAAGTGGTCCACTGAAAAGTTGTAGCAAATTTTATACTGATCAATTTTGTCGGACGGTGGCACCTGCGAAATCGAGTTTATCGTGTGGAAGGAGCCGTTTCCAATCCGAAATCCGAAGCGGGAGCTGGATGACGTGTCGACTAACGGATCCGAGGCTCAGGAGCTCGCCGACGGCCGCTGAGGATGCGGCGATCGAGAAGTTGATGGAGAAGGAGTTTGTTTAGAGGAGCGTTCTACGGCTCGGCTGCAAATATTCGCTTCAAAACTGTTTATGTATGAGTCTGAGCCTAACTTTTTGATGTTTTTCACCTTCTGATATCATTGGTTTTCAAAGTTTTTAATACTTTTAATGAATTGTTGTTCACAGTCGTCTCTAAAAGTTTTGCAATGTTGTTGCGTGGTCAGCTAATAAATAATTAATAAAATGTACAGATCATTTTAATTAACAATTTGCTTGTTGACAACCTTGCGATATCTCTACCGGCAGCTAAGATAAGATATTTCGAATCCATTTATCTTTATGTGAACTTTGGCAATGTTTCAATGTTGAAATGCTTCCAGTGTTCCAAAGGCCAATTGCTACGGGACAATTGCAAGCGAATTCCGCAAATTCCACATTGAATTTATCGAATTCTGCAAACTAAATTGCGAATCACGTGAGTTTTCCTTTTCAGAATCTTCCAAAACACTTTGTTTCAGGCGAACACCCAACACGAAATGGGCAAACTTTCCAAACTGACAAAACGGCATGAGCGTACGATATTGAAAAAGAAAAGATGTATAAAAATGTTTCGAACATTTCAGCGAGTCCAACAATCGAGACACCTCGTGACGATTACTACCAAGGACTCGCAAACGACGCCTTCTTGAGACACCACGTAGTCAAGCGTTCTGCCAACGGTAATTCTTGATATTATCAATTTTCGTCACCATTTTCTGCTGAACATACTCGAATTTCAATCATTTTTCCTATTACAACACTAAAAATGCTTGGACACTGATTTTGGCCTGTATGACACTTCCGAAAGTGAGAGTATTGCGAAGTGATCGAAATTCCTCTACAAATGACTTTTTTTATCGATATTCAATACAGAAAAAACGAAAAAGTCCTTTGTATTCAGGCGATAACGTCAACGACTTCATGAACAGAATGGAGATTTTCGCTCGCATCTCGAACGGAGCCGCTCTGGAAGTTGATTTGGCCGAGGGAACGATGAAAGCGGAAGAGGTGGTCGCCGAACTGCTCCACATGGGATCTCTCAGCACGACGGAAATTGTCAACATTGATGTCGGAACACTGAACACCGCCATGGATGCACTCGAAGACCTTCCCGGCAAGTTTGACAATTCGGAAGCGATTAAGGACGGCGAGGAGTTGCTCTTGGCGATGGAACGTGTTAAGGAGGCATTGTCGAAACTCACTGATGCCAATAACCTTCCCGGCAAGAAAAAGTTCTTGGATGCGTTGAAGGCGGCTCAGAAAGTGAATGATACCGATATTGTAACACCCGTGAAAAAATTAATCGTTTCCGTGAACGCATTCAAAGATGTCATCAACAAGCACGAAACATGGACGAGTGACACTGATCCGAACGAAGCTGCTTCAGATAACGCCTTACTCAATGTCTTGCTGACATCTATGAATAAATTTGAAACGGAACAAGCAAAATTTCCGAAAGATCTCAACAAGTTCAAAGGAATCGAAGATCTCGGAAGCGGGCCGAATGTCTTGAAGCCCATCAAGGATGAGAATGAACTTCACAAAGCGTATAACGATCTCTCTGACAAAGTGAAGGATGTCAATCAAGTCATTCAGAACTTCAAAGTGTTCGAAGACGTCGCCGGAAGTTTCAAAAAAGCCCAAGTCCCGTTGAAAAGCATTCAGACCTTGGTTCACAATCGTCTCGACTCCCGCTCGAATCCGAAAAAGTTCACTCCCGGATTTCCGAATGGAATCAACGACCTGGATGAGTTGTCTCGCGATACCGACAATAAGTGGCTCCAGTCAAACATTGCGGGAAAAGAAAAAACGACGACAAACATTGACAGCACGTTCCTGATTATGGAGGACTTCAAAAAAGACCTGAGAAATGTGGAGAATGCGTGGCGTGTGACCACGGACACCGCGACTACGGTGGTCATTGATCAGACGATCTCGGCTCAGTTGGCGATCGTCAGGCTATCCGACAACGGCAAGAGTGTTATTGCAATCGCGACGGAACTCCTGAAGTGCCACGCCGATAAACCAGATTTGGCGGGTTTTGTAAAATTTTCGGGTTTGCTCGACGCAGTTCTTGATTTCAACAAAATGGTGGACAATCTCTCGCAGATTGAACATATCGAACCGATAAAGAACCTGGATGTTTTGAAGAACGCGATCACGTTTCCGGATGGATTGAACAATGCGCAAAAAGAAGAAAAGACGAGAGAGATAGTGGGAAAGTTGAAGAAGATGCCTGAAGTCAATGGAATTATTGAGAGTCTGAACAGTCTGAGTGATCAGTTGACAGGCTTCACAAAGTCCGTCACTAATATTCCAGTGAAGGCGACAGAACTTCTTGCCGAGTTCTCAAACGTTGACAATTATCTCGCGAAAATGAGTGCTGAATACAGAAATTTCAACGGATGCTTGAACAAGGCGATCGGCGCAGATGGTGCCAAAGTCAGTGGTGTAATTCGAGAGATTCAAAAAATCCGGGACGACAAGGCGGATTCAATGATTTCGAGAGCGTTGATGATTGTGGAGGATATCAAAAGTTCGGCAGACGGTTTGAAAGTGGTCCTGGAGACTGCGCGACAATTTACGAAGCATAAAAATTACGTGGCACAGCTGAAGACCAGTTTTCCGAACGCATTGGATGCAGCTCGTGGTTTGGGAATGATCGTGGAGGAGATGTCGAGAATCAAGAACTTCCGAGATAACCGCAAACGGTTGAATGCGCTGATGACCATAAATCCTGACGTCATTCAGAAGGCGGCGAGCGACAATCAGAGCGGTCTCAAGACGCACTACGACGAGCTGCTCAAATTCAAAAAATTGCAAAATGACCTCAAAAGTGTTTACGTCGAAATCGACAAAGTCATCGGTTCGGTCGACAATCTTCCGGATGTCGCATTTTCGAAGAGTGGCATGTACAAGGCTGTTTTCGACAATGCGGCCGCGATTCAATTTGCAGCAACTCCGGCAACTTTAAAAGAAGCAGTACGAGCTGTGATTCGTCTCGATCGGAATCTAAATGGAAAGTTCTTCCCGCTGATCAAATCTCTGGAGACTCTGGAGACGATGAACTCGGACTTCGACAGCTTCCAATCAACAACGGCGGTCGACTCCTTGTCAAAAATCGATAAATTCTTCAACGAGTTCGCCAAGCATTCCGTCCAACCGCCTGCTTCCACAATCGGCGGTACACCACCGCGTTTGAAGGATACGCTGATGGCCGCCGTCCCAACTACTGAGGGAACTAACTTCTTTAGTAGGTATGGTTCCCAAATCAAAACTGATCTCTAATAAGTGAAATTATTTTTCAGCAACTATCTAATCCCCTCCGTTTTGGTGTCCTTTCTTCTCGGACTGGCAGCAGCTCTTTTCTGCGGTTCGAACATTTGTCTATTTTATAGAATATTCAGTAATGGAAATATCTGAAACATTTTCAGTAATTTTCGATGCATGTTTACATCAAAAGTTACAACTTTTTTGCAAAGTTTTTGATAATTCAAAGTACTGTAACATTAGAAAGTTGTATTGCTAACTCGTTTGGCTTGCAAACACTCCGCTGCACAAAGTACTTTACATTTTTCAGTCGAACGGGTCAGCAATAGAAGAACCGACATTAGACTTTAGAATTTTTAGAAACATTAGAAACCTTCTCTCTTCCAGCCTATTTAATCCAGCGCCATCGATGGATAGGAGCCGAGACACAGGAAATTGGCTGTCAAACAGATTGGTGTTCGCCCGGTCATCACCCAGCGGATTGCTCGAAGCAAAGCCGGGTCTCAATGGCCTCTCCGGCGCAATCAAAAGCTGCGCAAGTCAAACGGTCCCGTCGTTGTTCAAGGTTATTTTATTAGAAGTTTAAAAACGCTCTCCTCTATCGGTTTCAATTGACAAATGCTTTGAAAGCTTCCAATTACAGCTTCCAATTTCAGAAGTGCCGAAGTTGGGGTGATTGATCGGACTCATGTGATTTTCAATCGAGAATTTCTACCTTCGAATGCTCAGCCGTTTTACCACGCGAACATGGTCGAATTTGGAGTCGAGCCGAATATTCAAAAGTACATCATTTGTCAGTCGCCGCAAGAGGACAGTACCGTACGGTTCCGAAAGACTTGCAATGTGCCGCAATTTTGGGCATTGCAATATCAGAACGAGACGAGAGTCATTATCGACGCTTCTTTGCGAAATGATAGTATGTCACATTGAGTTCATTCTCAAAACCAATGTACCCGAACTGCGAAACGCAAGCTGATATTGTCGCGTTCAAGCAGTTCGGGTACATTATTTGTTCCTTATCGTACTGACTTGTTTTGCAGGAGATTGTGCACGATACCTGCCGGAAAAAGGGACACCGTTCACCGCCGGAATTTTAAATGTTGCGCTCGATGATCAAAAAATGTTGGTTTACTACGGGCAGGCATTCTTAAAGACCGTCGTGCGTCTCAGAATCCAGTAAGACTCATTTCAGATGTAAATATTTCAAAGTACTGTTTCAGAAACCGAGAGGAATCTCGCGAGATTATTGTGATAAGACCGCAGAAAAAGGTGACTCGCGTTGACTCGAAAATCGCGGCCATTGGATTATGTGCTCACATGGTTATCCAATGGGTAGGTCGCAGCGAACGATCGATTGTCGGTCCGTGGTATTCATGATTTGGTTTTTCAGCTGACGAAGGAAAAATATCTCTCAATGTACTACTACGAACTGAAATATTGGATCCAGCAATTACTTAGTGGACAATACCAGAATGAGGAGTCGTCTCGCGCAGAGCTCAAGGCAGATAACCAAGCATGTTTGAAAACAGCTTGGGAATGTTACGTGGACAGCTTGCGAAAGAGACACAGAAAAAGTTATGTTCGCTTCTACAAATTGAATATGCCTGCTAATATGCAGACCTTAATCGGACTGGATAAATACTAGTGAAAATTGACTGATGTCTCTTGTTAATTGAATAAATGTTTTGAGTGGAATATTTTATGGTTTTGTCAACTGATCGGTCTTGTTTTAATCCAAGTCTAAGATACCTGCAAAGTTTGAGTCCGATTGGAACATTGGAACACGGTCAAAGATTCAGGACGGAAAGGCGGAGAAGGAGAGAGAAATCGCCGAGTTGTCGGAGACGGAGCTCGACGAATTGGAGTTTGAACACGTGTGTTTTTTTTTACTGGAAATGCGGTGAAGCGAAGAAAGTGAACAAGTGTTTGCATTCTTGAGATCTCAAACAAACAAATTGTTCGGGCTATCAAGTCGTGAAAGCTAAGAATTTGTGAAAAATTGAATTTTGCAGGAGCACCTCACTCTCGCCGCCGGTTTTCAACAGGTTCTCACGCTGATCGCTCAAGTTCTCTCGCTGTTCTTCTTCAATACATTCTAGTAAGTTTTTCACATATTCGACGTTCTTTTTCTTCGACGTATTTTGTGTGTTCGAACAGCAAAAATGATCGAGAATTGACTGAAAATCGATTTAAAAAATCGCATATTTATATAAGACTCTTGTGTTTTATATATACGAAAAATAGAGCTAAAATTTAAATCTTTTCGTTTCCAGTCCATTATTCACTACTCAGCACGATGTCGACACGAACTACATGCTTCACGGATCGCTTACTTACATTTGGGTACTTTTTTATTGGATAAATAGTCACGTTTGTATTTTTCAATTTTCAGCTCTATTTTATGCTCTCGGTTGTCATCTTGTGTCCCGCTGATTGGTCTCGCAAAAAGCACATGCTGTTGCTCGGACTTGTTGTAAGTTTTCAAAAAAAGTTTCGCGTCGAGACGCAAACAATGTTTTTTTTCTGCAGATTTCATGCGTCATCCTATCTGGAGTCGTTGTGCCGATCGTCGCGAAAATTATGGGCTGTAAGTTTTCAAGCAGGCTTTTTACAAAAGAAATGAGTAATTCAGATGACACACTGATTCTGATCATTCTCTGCGAGGCCACCGCCTTGGTTTACATCTATCCGACGGTTATTGTGGCGTTAATGCTGTTAGTGTTTTTCTAATAATTCGATAAAAACGAAAAAAGTGTTTTTTTGCAGCTGGAAACCGGGCCGTCACCCGTTTTGGCGCCTTTTCGCCATATACCACCGTGTCGGATTGGCCGACGAGGACGGAAACATAACGGAAGCGGGAAGGAAGTGGGAAGCCGAAGGATGCGGATTCTTGGAGACGCTTCCGGAAGGCACTCCGGACAGTCTGATCGGCAGCCCGTCAGCCACCAAAAAAACGGCCACGACCACCGGCAATACGACCGCCTCGACGATGCGTTCGAGCGGCGGCACCGAGGAAATCGATGCACTCGTTTGACTTCTTCTTTTAATAAATGTTTTTGTTTCCGTTTTTTAAACCTTCTCTCCACACAAGAAGAAGTGGAAGTGACTAGTTTACAAATCCGAGAATACAGTTTCAGAATCCAACTTGAAACCCATCAGCGGTCGAGGTCCACATCCACTTCGTCTCTCTGCAAGCGTGCACACGAAACTATTTACATGCGGGAGTCATTGACAATGTTGTTAAACTGTTCAATTTTTAGTAATACATCGTGCCGGGTAGCCTTCAATTAGTGACTGAGAGCGGAGTGCTTTCAAAATGTTGTTTCAATTTGTGCAATAAAGGACATGTTACTAAGACCCGGCCATCAGGGATCTAGGACCAACTCCCAGGAGGGTCCGTGGTCAGTAAGTCCCATAGTCTGAAGCACCTGCTGGTCAGTGAGCGAGGTCCGGCTGGTCAGCAAGTGCCTCTCTAAACAGGGTCTTTTTTTAAATGAATTTTGACCTAGCATTTAGTAATTTAGCTTTTTTCGAAATATGGCTGTTTCGTGCGTGCTTATTTGTGTCATTTTGTTAGTTTTAGAGTTAGCAACGGGGCGTCCCCGCGTCCCACACACCCTCGTTCGCCCCCGGCTCCTTAAAGTGTAATTAAAATTCTGAAAAAAAATTAGTAGATTGATGAGTTTATTCACTATCGACGTGCGTTGAGAAAATTTTTCAAAAAAAATTCCTGCTCGATTTTGGAAAAACCGGTCGGGGGCGAGGGGCGCCCCGCTGCCAACCCTAGTTAGTTTACATTATAATGGACTCGTTTCCAAAAAAGCAAGTGAAATACTGATTGTATTCGTCCGACGGCACGCATCTTAAGTCTGAGAACAGCCAAGAAGCGCGGCCGCAAGAATCTTCATGGGTGCCGACTGGAAGCGGCCTGCGGCAAAATGCTGTAAGGGTGCCGATTCCGTGCATGCTACGCGCTGAACCCTGCTACCGTGGCTGCTTCTATGCCGCTCAAAAACCTTGCTTCCTTCCCATCCCACTTTTTCCTGCTGACATGCTCATTCTATGCTACCGTAGCAACTTGCTGTCCACTTGCCGCTCGCGTGCCCCACCCTTGTTGAAAATTATCTGAGTTCAGATGCGTGCCGTCGGATGAATACTGATTAATTTCACTAGCTTTTTTGGGAACGTGTTCATCGACCCAAAAAATCCTTAGCGCGCACAATTCTGGATGTTTCTGAAAACACTGGAAAAGTTGATTTTCCAACTTTGGCTCCGCGAGCAGCACTCTGGATGTTGAAAATATTCTAGCAGCAGCAAGTGCGCTGGATAGAGCAATCCAAGAGGATCATTTTGATACCCTTATTTGAATGATTTCATCTATTTTTCGCTGAGTTAGACTTGCTGACTTTACATCAATTCGTTCACATTTTAGTACGAAAAGCAGCAAGTCTAGCGCCGTAGCCATGACATATACATGCCCAGCAGCAAGTGCGCTGTGTAGAACAATCCTAGAGGATCATTTTGATACCCTTACTTGCCCACTTTTGACTATTTTTCGCTGAGTTAGACTTCCTGACTAAATCTACCAGTTGCAACTGGTCGTTCCAAAAAATTACCAGTTGCAACTGGTAGATTTAGTCAGCAAGTCTAACTCAGCGGAGAATAGATGAAATTATTCAAGTAAGGGTATCAAAATGATCCTCTAGGATTGTTCTACACAGCGCACTTGCTGCTGGGCATGTATATGTCATGGCTACGGTGCTAGACTTGCTGCTTTTTGTACTAAAATGTGAACGAATTGATGTAAAGTCAGCAAGTCCAGCTAAGCGAAAAAAAGTGAAAAAGGGGCAAGTTATGGTATAAAAATAATCCTCTTGGATTGCTCTATCCAGCGCACTTGCTGCTGATGAGGTACATATCACGACTGCCCTGACACGGCTGCAAACGTTTATGCACTGTCAATAGTACTTCAGTGAGTGTAGTTCACTGACGAATCGACAAAACTTGGCAAGTTATAATATCAAAATGATTGCCAAAACATGATCTATTCATTCCACTAGATACTGTGAGTGAATTCATTACCCCAGGAGACGGTCCCACTTGTACGATGAAACCTTTGACGTCACTAAATTAGAGGTAGCATTCCGCAAAAAGTTTAATACGAAATAAACAGATTATACACCTTTCAAAAGAAAGAAAAAATATCACGGCGACAACAATTTATTTTGGTCAGTTACTTGAAAAAAAATTTTTTCCCAACTTTTGGTCAGTAAGCCATGGCTTGATAGCCTAGATCCCTGCCCGGCCATACCTCAAATGCACACACTCCCGCTCAAGGCGCATAACGACGCTTTTTTCAATGAAAAATTACCTTCTGTTCAGTTGCCTCTTCTTTTTTTATTTATTTTATTCTCCGTTTCTTCCTCCACGGCTCTTCTTCTCTTCGACATTGTGGACAAAAGTGTTTCCGGTTTTGGTCTTCTCGGCGTCGGTGGCGGTTTCGGCGCGAGCTTCGGCTTTTCAGGTTTCCTTCCGCCCCTTGGTGGTGTCTCGGGAGGACGGATCCCTTTTAGCTCGTTCGGACACATTTCACCCAGTCTGTAACTTTTGAAACTCTTGACATGTTCAAAATATGCGTTTCTAAACAGATTCGAACAACAGTTTGCGGAAAATAAAAGCAAACATTGACGACGTGCACCGTTTTTCGACTGCGATAGTTTTTCCTGGAAATTCTATACATGAAAAAGGAAAAATTAATTAAATTCACTACGAAAAAGGTGAGAACACAGTCAATTTATTATAAAGAAAATGAAAAAACAGAAAGAAAACAAAAATTGCTGCAGCAGTCGACGTGGCCGCGGACTAACTTTCTTTTCTCACACTATTCAAATTTAGAGTCCCCCCAGGTTTTCGCGAGCTCTTCTCAATAGCGCGCCCTTTCTGTCCGGTGCTCCTGTATATGGATTTCAAAACTATATTATCGAATTTGTAAGATAGTCACTTTCACTTCTTCTTGTGTTTTTAAGGTTTTTTACTTTCGTTCTCTTCTGATCTTTAACGAATTGTTTGTCGAATTCTGAAAATGCCGCTTACTGCTAAACCGGGCGACGATACGACACTCCAAAGGTCGGCGACGAGTCGGCAGCCAGTGAGCGATTTCTGATTTTCTTCTGAAATTTCTGCTTTTCGGAAACGATTCCGACCTTCTTTTTGTTCTTGACCCGATAATAATACTTTGATTTTCTCATACACTGCGCCCAATAAGTATAGGACCCCCCTCAGTTTTGGGTGTTCCGAGAAAACTAGAAGAGATATCAAAAATCTGTAAGCGCCATTCGATTTGGAATACAAAATAACCCCCGGACCCAAATTTTTACTATCTAAAAACTATTTGTACCCGTCCACCATCAAAAAGTCACTTTTTCCACCGCCCAATAAGTATAGGACCCCCTCACAATTTTGACGGATTTTGGCAAATTGAAGGGAATTCAGCCATTTTTTTTTCATATTATTTTTATAATTGTTGTTTTTTTATTGTTTTCATATTATTTCGACTTTATTTCCCAACTTTCTATCATTTTCTGATTGGATGATGAAGGATCTTTGAATAAATCTGTGAAAATGGATTTTTTTAAAGTAAACATTTTTTATTCAACAAAATCAAATGATAACAGGGAAAAAATTAATAACTGGTCTCGCCTCCGTTCTTCTGAATGACTTGGAAAAGTCGTTTTGGCATGCTCGATACCAGATTCTTCAATTCCGCGGCTGTGACCAAATTCCACTCGATAAGAAGGGCATCTTTCAGATCCTGGACACTGGCATACTGTTTGCCATGGCGGTAGACACGACGAACCAACAATCCCCAAACGTTCTCAACTGGATTGAGGTCTGGGCTACACGCCGGCCATTGCAGATCCTTGATTCCTTTCGCAGCGAGCCAGTTTTGTGTCGAAATGTATGCCAGTGTCCAGGATCTGAAAGATGCCCTTCTTATCGAGTGGAATTTGGTCACAGCCGCGGAATTGAAGAATCTGGTATCGAGCATGCCAAAACGACTTTTCCAAGTCATTCAGAAGAACGGAGGCGAGACCAGTTATTAATTTTTTCCCTGTTATCATTTGATTTTGTTGAATAAAAAATGTTTACTTTAAAAAAATCCATTTTCACAGATTTATTCAAAGATCCTTCATCATCCAATCAGAAAATGATAGAAAGTTGGGAAATAAAGTCGAAATAATATGAAAACAATAAAAAAACAACAATTATAAAAAAATAATATGAAAAATGGCTGAATTCCCTTCAATTTGCCAAAATCCGTCAAAATTGTGAGGGGGTCCTATACTTATTGGGCGGTGGAAAAAGTGATTTTTTGATGGTGGACGGGTACAAATAGTTTTTAGATAGTAAAAATTTGGGTCCGGGGGTTATTTTGTATTCCAAATCGAATGGCGCTTACAGATTTTTGATATCTCCTCTAGTTTTCTCGGAACACCCAAAACTGAGGGGGGTCCTATACTTATTGGGCGCAGTGTATTTCGTTCCTATTTTGCGTGACAACCGTCAAGAGCTCTAAATATATATTTAGTTTTTCCCTGGAACAACGTGGCAATTAAGAAAAGAAAACGTCATGGATAAAGAAGTGAGTGCCTTCCCCTCTTTTATCTCAACTTTTTCCGCTTTTATGAGGTTATTCAGGCTGTAAAAAAAATGATTGTTTTCCGTTTTTTTCGTTTTTTTTACGTCAAAAAATCCAATTCAGCGATGTAAAAAAAACGAAAAAAACGGAAAACAAACATACGCTGAATAGTCTCATTAGACGGATAATAATGGGGTTATTCAGCTGTGAAAAAAAATGATTGTTTTCCGGTTTTTTCGTTTTTTTACATCAAAAAATCCAATTCAGCGATGTAAAAAAAAAACGAAAAAAACGGAAAACAAACATACGCTGAATAGTCTCATTAGACGGATAATAATAGGGTTATTCAGCTGTGAAAAAAAAATGATTTTTTTTCCGTTTTTTTCGTTTTTTTACGTCAAAAAAGCGGAATTGAGCGGAATTCCGTCTTCCGTCTTCCGTGTTTTTTTTTTGTTCCGTCTTCCGTCTGCCGTCTGCCGTCTTCCAAAACAAACGCCCCCTTTGTTGCGCCCCCTAATAATAAGAATAGAATTCCCGGTGATGATCCTTTGATACAGGAACGGAAACTTCTGCGGAGCAGTCTGTCTAGCCTGATCAAATCGCATATGAACCAAGTAAGAGAAAAGGAGTAGCGAATATCGGACTTTGGTTCGAGCAAGTTTATCAAGAAAGGACCCATATACATCCCGATGAAGCCCGATGTGAGTACAAGTTCTCGGAGGCCTAGTTTCTGTTGCTGTTTAAGTTATAATTAGCCAGACTAATAGCAAAAAGATTTTGCACCTAAGCTTTAGAGTACTTTCACAAGTTTTCCAGACAAAGTAAAGCCTAAGCTTCTAGGACAAAACATTATATTCCCCTGAGAAGATTAGGCAGAACAATTGGGCCTCCGATTCCAAAACAGCCGAACTTTCCACATTTCACACTCTAAATACTGCAGATTCCTCCTCCAGCGAACCTGCCGAATGACATCGTTCTGACGCAGGTGATTTACGATCCATCGGGAAACGAGATCTACGACATCGGGTCCGACGTAGACGACATTGAGATCTAGCCTGACCATCGACAGGCCGACGTTAACCGAGGAGGAGACGAACAATCAGAAGAGCAGAAAGGCGCCGACACCGAGCAACAAGAAGAAGGACGCGACAAAGTCCCCGAATATGACGCTCGACCAGAAAAGTCCGAAGACTGAGAGCCAGAAGATCATGAAGTCGGCGAAGAAGCAGTAGAATTACTTGTTTCGTTTTGTTTTGTTTTTTTTCTTTTCTTACTCTTCCTATTCTCAGTAAATCATGTTTATTGTTTTGTTGTCAACGTGGCCTTCTGGATTCGTCTAAACTCGTGGAAATACCGATTGAATCTCTCCAAAACCGTTCCATTTCAGACATTCCATTCGAAATCGCTCGCCAAATCCCCGTTTCTAAAAGAGGTATCGTGATAAACTGGGAAAAAGTAAATTGATTAGTGAATTATTCAGAAATCGTTGTGTCATAACAATAAAAATGGACGAGAAGCAGAAAGATGGGATGATCGAACCGAAAAAGGGCTACGACAATGTGCACGATCTGAGCGGACTGGGTCCGGACGGCAAAGGAAGGAAAGGCGCAAAGAGAAGAAAGTTGAGGAAGGGAAAAGAGAAGAAGAAGGATGAGGACGAGGAAGAGAAGGAAGAAAAGAAGGAAGAGAAGAAGGAAGATGAAGGGGGAGAGAAAAAGGAAAACGAGAAGAAGAAAACAGAGGAAAAAGAAGAAAAGAAGGAAGAGAAAAAGGAGGAAAAGGAGGAAGAGAAAAAGGAGGAAAAGAAGGAAAAGACTGAAGAGAAGGAGGAAGAGCCCAAGAAGAAGCCCAAGAAGGAAGAGAAAGAAGAGAAGGAGAAGGAAAAGTCGAAGGATGAAAAGGAAGAGAAAGAAAAGGAGAAAGAGAAGGAAAAGCCTAAAGAAAAGGAGAAAGAAAAAGAGAAGGAAAAGGAAAAGGAAAAGACAAAGGAAGAGGAAAAGAAGAGCGAGAAAAAGAGTGAAAAGAAGGAAGAAAAAGAGAAAGAGGAAGAGAACAAGGTGGAAAAGGAGAAGGAAAAGACAAAAGATGAAAAAGGGGAGAAGACGAAGAGCAAGAAGAGCCAGGAGCCGGAGAAGAAGTCGGCCGAGAAGGTGACGGTCAAGGAGCAGCCAAAGAAGTCGACTGTTGGGGGTCTAGACTTCCAGTTCACTTCCGTTCTCACTAACTATTCTGTTTACAGGACCGGCTATTCCGCGCAGACCGCCACCGCCGAAGAAGAAGGGATGCTGCGTCATTCTGTGATCCTCTATCAATTTTGTGTGTCAACCCTCTGGTCTGTCATCATCTTCTTCGTTTCTCGATCTGAAAAGTCCATTGAATAAACGAATTTGAGAATTTTTTTCTCTCAATTCTGAAAGCTCCATTAAAGTTATTTGAGAGCATCGATCCGATTCCTTCCACGCGCCCCTACTTCTTTCAGCACGCTTCTGATGCCTTCTCCGGGCTTCTCAGAAACATCGCCCATCAGAATCTTACGACGTCATCATCAGATGCTGGAAGAGTAGCATCTCCAGCATCAATTTCACTACATTTTCAAAAACTAGTAGCAAAGGGATTTTGCTGTAGGAAAGCTAAATAAATGTGATATGGATTCGAAACTGTTTTCTCGAATTTGTAAACTAGTCACCTTCACTTCTTCTTGTGCTTTAAGGTTTTTTACTTTCGTTCTCTTCTGATCTTTAACGAATTCTTTGTGGAATTCTGAAAATGCCGCTTTCTGTTAAACCGGGCGACATTACGACACTCCAAAGGTCGGCAGCGGCCAGTGAGCGATCGAATTCCTGATTTTCTGCCAATTCATTCCAGATTTTTCCGCTGAAAATGCCGCGTTCGCCGTAAGTTTTTGATCTAGCATTGTTCAGCAAATGAATTTCTTTATTTTCAGCTCCAGAAATGATCGAGATCGACGAGATCGCGACCGGGATCGTCTTCACTCCTCAAAAGATCATTCCAGCGTAAATAACCATTTTGTCTCAATTTTTCAGCCCAAAATAAATTTTCCAGGACGTCGCAAAGATGAAGGAAAAGATGAGAAATAATTTGGAGTCGGCCAGAAGTTCCTCGCAATTTTCTGCGAAAAAAACTGAAAAATCCGAAACTCTCTCCGCGGAAGAGCATTTGGCGCGCACAAAAGTCATCGAACAGATCGAGGAGGGCGCGTTTCAGCCGGGAAGTTTCAGAAGTGGAAGTGCCGCCAAAAAAGTACGCACTTTCCCGAAAATTCTGCGACGAATTAATTTTTAGGACCAAAAGGCGAAACAAGAGACTTCTCACGATGCGGCCATCTTCGGACCCGCCTGGAAATCGGCCGAGCAGCGAAAAGTCATTGAAAAGGTTTAAAACTAAAGAATTGCTTCGATTATTTCAACAGAAAACATTTCAGAAAGAGTCAAACGTGGCCACCATCAGTTTGCCGTCGGCTCCGACGCCGCCGATGAATGCGATGGCTCCGATGGTACCGAGCTATGTGAGCTTTTAAGAAATTTTCATAAAAATCAGTTTTACACTCAATTTCATTTAAAAAAAAAGGTTCAGATGCACTCTGAAAACGCTGAGTTGCGAAAGGCCGACTGGAAAGTGTATTGGACGAGTTTGCGGAACGAACTTTTGCAGCAAGGATACTGAACACCTGTAATTTTAATTTTTACAACAAAAAATCATGTTTTTATCTTAATTTATCGTATCAAAGTGACATAAAAATGAAATGTATGTTACGATTGCTGAAAATTTATTGAATTTATTAAAAATTGCCGACAATGAATCAAGTACCAGATGAAAAAAATAATTTTCGAATGCATAAAGTAGAAATTATTCGCTTTTTCGCTGGCCGCTCTAATAAGTAGAGGTGGCCGGAGCGGGAGTGACGGCCGGAGCAGAAGCCGGAGCATCGGAGGCGGCTCCCCAGGTGGCGGCAGACTCGGATTGCCACGAGTCGACGAGCGGCTGCTGGGCAGAAGCGGAAGAGGCCGGGTTGGCGGTTATCGGCTGCGGGTTTCCGAACGTGTTGGACGATCCGGACGAGGATCCGTACGGGGACTGTGCTGGGGGCGAGGAGGCCGTGTTTGAGTAGGTCGACGGGTTCTAGAAATCGATTTTTTAAAATAATTTTTATGGTTTACAGAAGACGCACCTGAGCAGCCGGGTTGGATCTCGGAGCACAGCACACGCACTTCACATTGGTATTGTAGGCGTCGGGGGTCCATTTGGCCTCGACGACGTACGTCGAATCGACCTTGTGGAATCTGCCTCCTCCGTTGCGACGTCTCTTCTCGTCCTCATCATCGTCGTCGTCGTCGTCTTCGGCATCTCTTTTGGTTCTCGTAAACGTCTCGTCGTCGTTGATCTTGGTGATGGCGAGGAATCCGAACAGTTTCTCGTTGGGCAGAGAGGTGTCGCGACGGGCGGTCTGTTGGCAGCACAGTTTGCACGAGTCCTCGTCGTTGTTCGCCACTTCGGAACACTTGACACGGACTGCTCGGTTGGCCGGGGCGCCAAAGTACGGGTTACGGTGGTGGTGACGGTTCGAGTCGACGACCAAAAGTACCGAAGCGTCCAGGTCGCACACGAAGCCTGTAAAAAGGCGCGTTAGACTTCGAAAAAGAACGATTTTCGAAAAATCGGACCCTATTCTAGTTAGAGCGCGAGTCTCAGTAATTACACGGTGTACTGTTTGGCAGACATTTTGGTAGACCCAGTTTTCTAGGGCCAGGTCCGCCAAAATGCGATTTTTTCACGCCGCTCGGAAGCAATTGATAGATATTTATAAGCGAAACGAACGATCTTGGATGAGCGGCTGCCAGAAGTGTGGAGGGAATCCGCCGTGCGGGGGACGGTGGTGACGGCCGGCCGCCGCTTCGCTCTTCACCTCCTCGGCCTGAAAATCGTCTTTTTATCTTTTTTTACCCCAACAGAAGGCGAAGAATATTTATGGTCTATAATGTTTTCCCCAAAACTTGTCTATTTGCTTTGAAACAGCGTTTTTTTCAGTCACTTCAAAACATTCTAGGAGAAATTTCACGCGAAAAAGCTTTAAAAATCCCTAAAAATTCGAGACTTTTCAAAATTGATCTGAAAAGCGAACCGGAGCTCCGAGAACGGCGGCAAGTGAGGCGACGGTGAGAAGAAGGACGGGAGCTGCTTGCATTTGATCGGTGGATGATTTTCCCGCCGATTCGCCGCCCTTTTTATATCCGCGTCTCCAGCGGATCCGCCCAGTTCCGGCTCCGAGCGAAAAAGAATGTCTGGAAGAATGTGGGCGAAAAAAATGATCGGATTGATTGGATCGGAGGGGAAAAATTGCAAAAAAAAAAGATGAGAGATCTTCGAGAAATGTTGCGAGTGTTGGGAAAATGAGAAAATCGGCCCGGAATGAACCGTTTCTTTAATGGGCCTATGAAGAGAGTGCAAGAAACGGTTGTTTTTGTTTTTTGTCCCGATACAGAAACAAAATTCCTTAAAAATATTCATTTAGGTCTAGAACAGCGAAAAAGTTCTCCTCGTGGCCATGGCTTAAAGGCGCATAACAAGTTTTTTGCCATTTTTGCGTTAACGAAATCAACTCTCTGCATAGGCTCGTAAAGGTTTTTTTTTTAATTAATTTTTTCAATCAACGTTTCCCCCGGGATTGTTGACAACGCTCCAAAGTTCCAGTAAATCTTTTTTTTTCTGAAGACGTGCGAAACAATGGATCTTTTAAATCTTTCCGCTTGAAAAATTACCCTTCACTTTGATTGTTATGTCGACGAAAAAAACGAGAGCAAAGTCTTGTTGGTCTGGAAAAACGCAATAAATGCTGTCATTTGCCCCGCCGACGCCCACGCACCCGCATTTTTATCAGGGCAGAAAAAGAAAAATGATGCAACTCTGGGATTTTTTTGATTGGATTGTGTGTGTGTGTGTGTGTGGGATTGGAATCTGAAAATAATTTTCCCGGTCAAAATCATCCGATCCAATCATCTATCAATCAAATTTTTTCCCCTGAACTTTACACCTTCCAATCCGTCTCCTCCCCCCTTTTTCCGATATAAAAAGGTGCTCGCGGCTCCGAGAAATCATTCCCGCTCGATCGGAAATGTTCTCGTCCGTCTGGATCCTTTCCGCTCTTTGCGCCGTCGTTTTGGCCGCCGAAAAGGCCGCTCCGGCTAATGTGAGTTCGAATTTCGCTCAGAGAGTAGAGGAAAGGCATTTTTAAATGAATAATTTGCAGCCAGAAGTGAAGGATGCTCCGGCGGGTGCTCACTACGGAGGCAACTACGGAGGACCGTCGTCCTACGCGGCGCCACAATATCCCGTCTTCCAATTCCCGAACTTCGACGTCAACTACTGCTCCGTCCACGCCTCGTTCCCGCTCGTCGGATTGGACAGAAGACGTTAGTGTATTTTTCCATTTTTTCAACACAAAATGCGATAATTCAGACGGGGACCGCCGCCGCGACCGTCGTTCGACGTACGGAGTCGCGAACGATCAGCCGGCCGCCGGCGCCTACGGATCCGCTTCGGACCCTTCGTACGACGCGCCCGTCTACGCGCCGCCCACTTTCCTGCCGAGGCCCCGTCCGTTCGACCGTCAGGGATGCAGAAATACGGCCATTTACTCGCACAAATCGTGCCAAAACTGCTGCCAGGTCGCCTCTCGTGCCAACGGAAACACCTCGGTTAGTTCGGCGCAAATCAAGGGAAGAATTATCGATTTTTCCGACTTGCTTCTTGGAAGATTGATTATATATGGGGGTAATTTGGAAGCTCGGATGTTTGCAAAAGTCACTGTTTCATTGAAAACATGTTTTGATAAATTCAATTGACTCTTTGGTTCAATCGTAAATTTTTTACTGTTAGAAAAATAGATCTTTAGAGCTTTGAAATTGTTGATGGGGGTACGGTAGTCCGATTCTTTTGATTGAAAACTCAATTCTATTAGAAATGTCTATAATTTTCAGCCAGTCGTCGGACTCCTTCTGACTTTCGACCCGAAGCTCAGCGCCGACAAGAAGCACCACAATAAGGACGACCAGCTCAACTCGGTACGTTTTTTTCGATAAAATTTTTATTTATTTACGTTGACGTGAAAACTCAAATTTCTCAAAGTTTCTGACGTTTTGGTGCGTCTTCCGCGGATTTTGCTTTTTCGCCCTCGTCGCCGATCGCCGCTCTTTTCATTTTGCGCATTCTTGACCGTTTTCGGATAAAACTGGTTTTGAGAATGATAAATCACGTCAATACAACGAAAACTACCTAAAGGCAACTGAAATGCACAAAACACGACATTTGCTATTTTCAGCCGGACCGTGCCCTCCAATGCGTGTGCTGCACCTCGAGAAGAGTGTAATTGAGCCGACTTCTCAACGAACCGAAAAAAAACTTGATAATAGCTATTCCATGACGATGTTCGTCTTTATTTTATCGTATCTTGAATGCATAAAGCTATGATTTTATTCGATTTTTGTCTAATTTTGGAACAAAGTCGTTTTTTACGATTATATGATTTATATCTCGCAAACGCACAGATGGAAGAGAAACACCCACTAGGCCCCCGGCCATGTCGATTTACGGCAGCGCTGCTCTTTCTTTCGCAATTTTCGTTGAATTCTTTGGATTCTCAGCGGTTTTTCATCTTCTCTGGCAATTTTCCCGTGTCCTCACCACAGATTCCGTCTAGAAATTGTCTGGAAATTATATATATTTTCAAATAAACAGAAGCGCAGAGTTGCCACAGACTCTTCAAGACTTCTCTTCAATCAATCAATCTTCAAAGAGATGTTTGTCTCATCTATTTCTAACATCGCCCGGCCTGTCGAACGACGAAAAACCAAGAATTGACGCAAATATTATAATTCTGAAATTTTGAACGTTAAAAATAGAGTTTCTGTACGTGTTGCAAGTGTATTCATGTGCAAGACGTGCGGCGAAGTGCATGTTGTGCACAAAAATTACTTGAAAATAACGTTTGCCTGGCCGGAAGTCCTCATACATACACTGTTTCATTCGATGGCCTGTTTATGATCACTTTCACGCTATTTCAAGTTCGTTTCTACTCAAAAATTATGAGAATTTGAACGTGGCCTAAGTTTCTTCAAATGCAAAACCTAGTCCTCGCCAGCTGGCATTACTGGCCCATAAATTGTGGCTTCGGTGCAAAAAAGACTGTGGCAGGAGGCAGTCGAAACAAACGATTAAAAATATTCATTAGATGCATAGAAAACGAAAAAAACCCGTAATACATTAAAAGTGCGTGGCAAAAATAGTCGAAAGCAAGTGAAAAATAAGCGAATAGGCTTGCGGGGGCGGGCGAAATTCCAAGAAAAATACTCGATTTTGATTTAAAAAAAAAAGCACACAAATTGATAACAAGAACAAATCAAAGAAGAAGAAGAAGAAGAAGAAGCTATTCTATTTATACAGACATGGATTACTGTGGTCTTAAAAACCTCCAGTGATCCGCAAAAAAAAGCGATTGGATCGGAGAAATACTGTATCATTTGATGATATGATTATCGATTGATTGTTTGGAGGGCGGCAAAGAAAACTATAATATTGTTGGGAAATAATATAAAAATAGGGCAAATCTGCTTAGAAAATGGGAGTGTTTGAAACTAAAGTGGCGTTGACGGTTGCGTCGGCTGATGTTGTGATAATGTGCCGGAGCTGATGTGGTACTGAAATTGAATAAAATTCGAAAAACGTAAGAGATGACGTCACGAAATGTTCCCTTCCTTCTTGTCACTTCCACCCTCTATTTTCAGCATTTTCAGCCGGAAAACAAGACAATGACTCACTGAAAAGACGGGAATACACGCCAACGCGACTTTTTGTATCCGTTCGACGTACTTTTCGCATCCGTCCTCGAAAACCATCACTCGCATGTTGTAGAGCATCGGTTCGCAGTGTATTGTGCCGCCTGAAAGACAGAAAATTCTGCTATTTTTCGCGAGTTTCAAGCTCGCGCCGGTTTTATCACTGCCCTGACGGCTAGCCGATTGTGATGCAGGTGTGGCGCAAGCGTGTGGCGCAAGTGTGCCTTACCGAAATTTTTTTTACCGAAAGAAGTGAATTTCGGTAAATTTTCGGTAAATTTTCGGTAAAAACGTTTTTACCGAAAGAGTTTCGGTAAATTTACCGGTAAATTTACCGGTAAATCGTTCCTTTCGACAATTACCGAAAGAACAATTTTGATTTTTTTTTTAAATAATTTTTTTTAATTTAATTTTTTCAATTTTTTGCAATCAAATTTTTTTAAATGCTATGCAACGAGTTTCGCATTTAATGTGTCCCCAAAGTTCCTCATTCGAAAATAAACTGTTCGTTAAAAGAAAACAGAAAAATTGAGGCGCCGAGCGGTGCCGTCGATACCGAAAAGGCGCGGCACCGGCGTTCTTTTTTTGACAAGGGAAGTGACTGATGTGACCAATTTAGAACATTCTGAACAACATCCCAAACATCAGGAACACGCTGAACAGTCGCCTCAATGTTCCGTTCTCAAAATTGAAAATTGTTTCGAAAAAGTACCCATTTACCGATAAAATTTACCGAAACTTTCACCGAAATAGTTTCGGTAAATTTTCGGTAAATTTTCGGTAAATTGTTTCGAAAATTTACCGAAACTCTTTCGGTAAAAAAAAGTTTTACCGAAAATTTACCGACAATTTACCGAAATTTTTACCGGTAAATTTACCGGTAAATTTACCGAAACCCTTTCGGTAAGGCACACTGGGCGCAAGAGAGAAAACGCGCGATGATCAATTTCTGGGTGGTTCGATTCGATTCCCCGCTGCTCAATTTCCCGCTTTCCTCCCTTACCATTCACTTTGACGTGTTGACACGAACATTCGACCTCGGAAATTGCGGCGGGTATCCTCTGTAACAAGAAAAAGTCGGTGACATCACATTATAGGAATTTTTTCGCGGATAAATAATTGAAAGCGTCTCGTATGCTGCTACTGAGGCACCGAGTAATTTTCCATTTATTTTCCGCGCGGAAAATTTGTAAAGAGCACAAAAGTTCAGCTCATTTTTGATCCGTTCATAATTGAGCGGAAATTGCCAGGAGGAAGGAAGTCAAAAGAGCAAAAACTCGCCATGCACTTTCGTAGAATGTCACTTTTCAGGCAGAAAATCAATAATTTACCTTCTCATCATAATTCAAGACATGATGATAGGGACACAGCGAGCGTTCGGAAAGCGGTTGGTCGGGAAGCACTTCCGACGATTTCTCGAACAGATTTGTGGCCGTACAATCTCGCGTTTTGGGCGTTAGAAGATGTCGGTGACGGGGTTGATACTCGAGCAGAATCTGTGAATTGAATCGCAATTTTTCAGGAGGTTTTTGGAAAAACAAATAATACTTGGGACTTTTGCAACTTCTGACCCACTTGCAATGAATGATCCGATTGGGACCGAACTTTGCAGGCGTCTTGCACTTGGATCGAAGTATTTTGGGTACGCACGGCGACCAAAAACGTAGAAAGGAGCGTGGCCTAGCGCGTGCACGGTTTATCACCATTTTGGCGCGAAATTCGAAATTTAACCCCATTTTTCATGTTTTTCGTCAAATATTATCCAAATTTTGTACGATTTTGACGATGTAATTGCATAATAACTTTGTTAAACTAATCATCGCGCACTTTTTGAGCTTAAAACGCGCGGGTTTCATTCAGAAATTCAATCAATTGAATCGATTTTAAGTTTTGTGCTGAAAATGCGCGAATTTCAGTCATTCGCCTATACTTTTTGCCGTTTGAACGCTTAAAATACTTGTATTAACGTGCTTAATCACTTCCGACACTCACTTCGTCTCAAAACCGATCCACATCGGCCGGTATGAAAATTCCGGAATTGCGGCGGAGAGCGTATTGCGAAATATGCCAAAAACGTCTCAAACGCGGCGTTTTCACGAAAATTTCAATGTTTTCTCTCTTTAATGTCTCTTCTTTCGTCGATATCAACACACAAAAATATCGGAAAAGTGCTGAAATTGCGGCAATTTTCAGAAAAACGCGTCTCAGATTAGGCCACGCCCCTTTCTACACTTTTGGTCGCCGTGGGTCCGAGAGAGTTCCGGGTTTTTGCGAATATTGCGACCCGCTCAAAAAGCCTGGCCCAGCCTTGTGAAACGCATTTTGTTTTTCTCGAACATACCTGCGTATCGGGCTGAAAAAAGGCGAACATGTCCTCGTCGCGACGGTTGATGAGCCGCGAGAACGACTCGTGCATTTGTTGGTTCGCAGTGCTCACACACGCTCCCGGAGCACTTCTCTTCTGGTGGCGTCGAGCAATTCGGGCGTCCAGTGTCATTATTAACTGCAAATTCCGTTCAAATCCTTGCCTTATCGCCGCCCCATTCCTAACGTGGCTCGTGTTCCTGATGGGGGTGGACACGTCTAATCACCCGTTTCGTGTGTCACCTTTTCCTTGAAATTATTGGGTATCGCGCGAGAATTTCGTTAAATTCCAGACACTTTGCTCAACATTTCGAGAGATATTGAAATTTGAGAATCCACCCTCACACTGACATTTAGCAGGCGAGAAAGAGGCGATTTGGAGAGAAGATGGTAAACAGGAAGCAAGTGTTGTGCGGGTTAAAAAAAACAGTAGCCTTTTTGTGTCCAGATTTCTCCTTCCGATATTATCGTCGTCAAAATGCGCGTGTGGCGCCTCCAACAAACGGTTCCGCATTACGCAAATCGGGATGCACACCAGACATCTTTGCCGCCCTCTTCCAACGCTGGGTGCAAATGTCACCCGAAAAAGGCGAAAAGATAATAATAATAATAATAATTGGTTTGGCGCGAGAGACAGAGACAGAGAGAGAGAGAGAGGAAGAAGAAGAAGAAGAAGAAGAAGTTTGGGGAAAATGTCAACAAAATGGCGAAAGAATACACTGGCATTTCGACGACGATAATATCAGAATGCGTGCATTTTTTCCAGATTTTTCAGAGACGATTTGAAGGAGATCCGAAAAACGGTACAAATCAAGGGAATGGTCGCTTGTAAGTCACTGAAGAGTGGGCTATCACTCAACATTTACAAAAGTGTATAAAAGACGGGAAAAGAGGTTTCTATGTCAACCGCCTTTTGTAGGCCATCATGAGGGGTCATGGATCCGAAAATTGGTTAGTAATAGGTGTCAAATTTTCCAAGGCCACCCCCGGGTACGTGGATGTCTGGGAACGCACTTACCATACTGAAAAGATGTGCAGCGAGGAGTAGTGCGAGTGTGCCGCCCGGGTGCATAATACAATTGTCGGCGTCCGTCTTCTTCTTCTTCTTCTTCTCCAACCGGCCCACTCCGCCACAGTTTGTGTGTGTGTGTGTGCAGGCTTCTGGCTCCTGGAATGTGCTCGGACAATATTTGAGAGCCCGGATCACTTTCATCGGCTCCGCCCTCTTTTTTTGCCGGCTCTCTCTCTCTGCGTCTCACTGAATTTATTCGGAATTCGCGCCAACGCGCCGCCCCCTTTCTTTTTTGTCGGTCACATCTTCGGAAGTGCTCGAAACTTCCGGCTAACCGAGAAAGTCAGTGTCCGGAACAAGAGAGGGGGCGGAGCTTCGAGGCGAATTGGTGTTCAAGGAGCAGAGCGAGGCTAGACAGCTTGGCGCCCGCAAAAGGACACCAATCAGAGGTCGGAGAGCGGTCGTGGCCTGGAAAATCACGGTCTACCTGGATGGCCTAGCTTTTTGACATGATGGCTGCAAAGAGATGAGTTTCGAGTTTGCCATTCCTTCAAATTATCATCTCGTCGGATCCTAGGCCATCATCCCACAAATCACGATCGTTCATGTCTATAATATCAGGAAGCAGGGTTCGTCTGCAGCTCGTCGGATCCTAGGCCACCAATCAAAATGCCCGGTTTCACACAAATTCGCATTACCATACGCGTTGCGTGGGCGGCCATGATCTTCGTGAGCGAGCCGGTCGTGTGGGGGGTGTCTGGGCCGTTCCGTCCCATTCACTTGACCCAATTACCCCCTCGGCCGCCGACCTTTTTGCCGTCCTGCTCCGTGAGCTTTGCGAGAAAAACAAAAAAAAAGAACGAAACTTTTGCTGCCATTTCTAGTCGGTCGCCTCTCTTTTTTCCGGGTTGTTCCGGGTCGACCTGCTCAATTGACAATGATGTCATTGTCAATTGACACACGGAAGTGAAATTTCTAGGCCATCCGTGGGAAAGTAGGGGATTTCAGTGTTGGACGTTTTGTTTTTGAATGCGCCGGACGATTTGTCGGATTCTCGGCCACACCATGTGTTTTTGACGCGTTCCCTAGCATTTTTCACGGGAAATTGAGTTCTAGTTGGCTTTTTTGTACTTTTTAGGTGAATGCCCTGAAATCCTAGGCCACCAAGTCATATTTCTAGGCCATAGAACGGGAAGCGCTCATTTTCGGTCGAAAAGAAAATCATAAATTGTGCTTTGTCGGATTCTAGGCCACCGGAACTTTGACAAACTATTGAAAGTGTACTTTTTGATGAAAATCGGTGTGCGCCTAGGCGATCAATGCGAATTTTAGGCCACGTTTGAACTGGCAGGCCATATTTTGTATTCCGGAGCCTCGAATTGGGATCCTATGCAAGTTTCTAGCAGTGTTGAGCGGAATTCCGTCTTCCGGATTTCGACAATTCCATTTCCGTTCAACTCTGGTTCCTAGGCCATCAATTCGGATTTCTAGGCCAGCGCATCCGCCCCCGAATCCAATTTCGCAAAAGTTCAACTGTTTGGCGTCGTGGTGACCTTCTCCTCAATGTTTCCCGCTCCCTATATTTAGAGTTCTTCCGCCACTTATTAACTTTTCGCCCTTTTCCTCCGTCCGGTGCTCCTTCCACAAGTGAGCAGCACATTTTCGACGACATTTCGATCAACTATATATATATAATAGGCGGCACATTTTCCAGAATTAATGTTTATGGTGCATGCGAGCGCGCGCGCGCGCGAAATTTTGTAACATTTCGGGTGTATAAGGGCATTCGGTTAATGAGATCTCTCGTGGAAATGAGGGTTGAACTTTTTGAAAGGATTCGAAAAGTTCGGGGGCAGTGGTTGTGAAACCTTTAAAACACGTTTGAAAACTTGAAAACAGTAGCTGAAATTTGGCTGAAAACTTGGCCTCCGATCCGACGGCGTTTTCTAGGCCACGCTCAATAGAGGACGAGACCGACCATCGAAACAGTGTGCGCTCGTGTGTAGTGTGGTCGCGGCGACGAGTGCTCCGCGAGCCCACAGTGTGTAAATGCATCAATTATCATCGGTGCGAGTGATTCAATGATTTCGCAAAATTATCAATTGCAAACCGAGAGGGGGCTTTTTTGATTTTTATTGAAGACACACGCCTAACTTTCCAGTATTCGTGGCCTAACTTTTGCATGAATACTTTCGATAAGTCGAGGAACTTCAAATGCGCCCGCCAAACTTTTCCCCGTTTGAACTCAAATCTTCAGGGGCCTAGTTTTAAGTTACTGTAGGTACAGTACTCCTACGACGCTTCTTATACATCCACTCAATTATCCATGCGCAAGAGCAGCATGGAAAATGAGAGAAAAAGTCAACTTTAGGTTACGGTAACTACCAAATTTTCACAGCGACCTACAGTATCACAATGTGCCAAGTATGGGGTTAAAATGTTATTCACGAGAAAAGTTTGTACACACACACACACACAGAAATATGTCAAGAGGAAAGTAAAGCTTGCGCAATGAACATCAACAAAATTAAAACTATGTTTTTCATAAATCCACAGAGCTTGACGCATTTGTACCGATCCGATCGGGACCAAACTTTGCAGACTTCTTGCGCTTGGATTGAAGTATGGAAGGGGAATCATCTCTGGTCCCGAGATGGCCTGAAACTTGGGCCCAATATACTTGAATCCAATCGCAAGAAGCCTTTTGCCGAGTCCTATAAGTTGAGCACAAAAATCAAAACAAATGATGCGTCGCGTCGTGGGTGAGCGGAAAAAATTGATAGCCAATTCGGCTAAAAGTCCCGAAAAGTGACCCGTTTTCACAGAAAAATCACAGGCAGAAATGGGCGGTTTTGAGGATGAGAGGACGGGGGGGGGGGGACCCGCAAAATGCGATAATACTCCAAACAAAATGGGTAAATGGGAATAGGTTAAGAGTGTTTAGGCGGTTGAGGTGGTGGTTGGCGAGGCGCCCATCTCGACGACGACGTGTTCCACCCGGGACGTGCCACGTGGCAGCGCCGGTTTTGTCTCGATTTCGGGTGCGGACGCCTGCAAAAATTGAAGCGTTTGAACGTGATTCTAGCAAAGGTTTTCCGCCTCCTCCATCAAAAAGTGCATTCTTCTTCGCGTCCGGCTTTCGTCAATTATGCGCAAAGCTCAAAAAACACTCTTTTCCATCGTACAATTATGACTTTTTTTTTGTTTTGCGGAATGAGCATTTTTTTTTAATTTGCGCTCTTCTCGTCGTATAAGGAAATTCTTGGAATCTTTCGAGCGCTTTGTGAACCGTTTCTCGCAAGTTTTTGTGCTTTTGGACGCGTAGGGACCGGATTAAATCAGCGAAAAAGTGGCAATCTCACCTCATATTTCGGCGGGTACAAATATTGAATGTTCAGCGGTTGAACCGTCGGAGTCGTCATGTGATGTTGGTGGTTGAAGTGACGGCTCATGAGCGGACGGGCTCCGGAAGGCGTCGTTCGGAAGCCCGGCGCCACTTCTTTGCCAATATCCGAGTAGAGGGGCGGCGGCGCGTCCACCGAGGTCACCGCTGAAAAATTCGCATTCTTCGTGTCAGAGTTTGTCGTTTGCCAATTTTTTTTTTGAGCTTCTAGTCTAGACTGAACAAGATGTATATAGAATCGAATGGAATGCACGAGAAGTGCGCCAGCAAGAAAGCAAAACAAAGAGCAGCTGAAGTTGAATTCCGTTAAAATTCGAGAATGTCTAGACTCTAGCCCTTTCCGCAAATTGTTCGACGACCTTGACGTACTTCCGGTGCCGCACCCGAAATTGACCTAAAAATAGTAGAAACGCGGAGCACAGATTGTGCATCTTCTTCACGTGAACTTGATAACGGCGCCAATGAGCGCTCACTAAACCAGGCACCAAAATCACGTCAACAAATAGTGGCTGACGCCATTCGGGTGTCTATTTTTAGGCATAGATCCCCTCAAAGTACCGGCTACATTCCCACCATCATAATGTTTCTCCTTATCAGCCGTTTTTTCGTGTGTCTACAACTTTTACGCAATGAAAGCCATTAAAAAGACTGATGCAATTGATGAAATGGCTCCCGGAGCGTCCGGAGGGGAAACCCCGAGTAATTCCATAAATTTCTGCACCGATAACGGTCTGCTGATAAGAAAATCAGGGAAAAGTGGAGTGATCTGATCAAAATTCACAAACTGCCGCAATTTTTGAGCCATTTTGAGCTGATTTGAAGGCCGATCGAGAAGTGCGTCAGGAAATTTTGCTGGCGCACTTTCGGGGCAAACTATAACTCAGTACCCAGACGACCTAGCTACCAGAAGTTTTTTGTATGAAATCTTGAAGCTAAAACAATTTCTATGAACCAATTTTGTTGACGCACTTTCGGTGCATGCGCTTACCGATATCATATTTTGGTGGCGGTGGAAGTTGACGGAGGATTGACGCAATTTGAGATGAAGAGGATTGACGAAGGGCTTCGACCGACGGAAGGGTGGCTGAAAAAACAACGATTTTGGTGCTGACGTCTTTTCGGTGCCTTGACGCATTTCTAGTGCATGGTCCAAAGATCAAAAAGTTTTCGTTATCATCGAACTAACTGCTCGTCGTATCAACAAGGTGCACAGTTCAGAAAATGAATTTTTCAAATTGGACACTGTGAAACCGCGTAAAACTGTCTAACGATTAATTGAAAACGTACGTCTCTCGTAACTGCGAACCACTAGACAAACGACACAAAGACAGAGGAAAATAATGAAAATGATGGGACACGAGGCGACCAAAATCACTTCCCACAGTTCTGTCGTCGAGTTTCCTGCAATATACACACTCGTACATTTTTTCAAACGCATTTTCGAACGAACGTACCCGGTCTGTGAAGGTGCGGTTCCGGCGTAGTTGGAACAATTAGGCTGTCCATGTGGAAGGCGGACTGAAAAATGGGCCTACTGTAGGATTATTGTACGTTTAAGCGCTCAAAATCATTTTGAAAGACGCGTACCATTTGTGGAATAGTCGGGCCGGAACGGGACACGTTCTGATTTTTGAGATCAAAACAATAGTTTCAGATAAAAAAGAGAAGTGTGTGTGTGTGTTTTGAATTGAGAAGAATTGAAGTGGAACAAAAAACAAAGCGAGTGCGGGGAGGGGGGTCGAAACGAGATTGGTTATCATCTGTTTCAGGGCGAAAATAGTGTGCGGCGAGAGAAAGGGAGAGAGAGAGAGAGTTTCGAATGAACTTGAAGAAAAGAACCGGGTGGTCGAGAAGGTGGACACGAGTAGACAAAGGCCCAATCGGAGGACGAACTTTAAGTTTCTGGAAGTTTTTGGTGATAGCAGCGACCAAAATTGCCCTTGCAGCGACTAAAATGAGCCCTAGCAGCGCCTAAATCAGCCCTAGCAGCGACTGAGATCAACCCTAGCAGCGACTGAATCATCATTTGCAGCGACTAAAATGAGCCCTAGCAGCGGCTAAATACGCCCTAGCAGCGACTGAAATCAACCCTAGCAGCGACTGATTCATAATTTGCAGCGACTAAAATGAGCCCTAGCAGCGCCTAAATCAGCCCTAGCAGCGACTAAATAATCATTTGCAGCGACTAAAAATTAGACCCTAGCAGCGACTGAAATCAAACCTAGCAGCGACTGATTCATAATTTGCAGCGACTAAAATAAGCCCTAGCAGCGCCTAAATCAGCCCTAGCAGCGACTAAATCATCATTTGCAGCGAATAATAATTAGACCCTAGCAGCGACTGAAATCAACCCTAGCAGCGACTAAATCATCATTTGCAGCGACTAAAATGAGCCCTGGCATTTCAGAAAATTCCAGAAAAACACAAAAAAAGCAGCAACCACACCTTGCTATGTCCTTATCAATTGGGCGAAAAAAGTGAGCGCATCGCATCAATTTCCTCTCAATTTCTGGTCAAAAAAGTGAGGGGGGCAAACTGTTATCAATTTATCACACTGATAATTTGTTTCGACGCCGTCGTCATTAACGGTCACTTCTTCAAGACGAGCGATGGATGATAGCGGAAAAGGGGCGGCGCCAGAGTTTTCAAGCAAATTTGAACGAGTTTCAGAAACTAAAACTGACGATTTTTTGACCGCCGCTAAACCGCTGACAAAATGGGATGCTCTGGAAAAAGGTGCGCCTAAAAATCAAACAAGGGCTGACGGGGATTTGCATAATATTGTTTCGGAGGGGCACAAGTATTATACGTAGTTGAACTGTGTGTAGATGGTCAGACTACTCAATAACACATTTGTTAGATTTTGGCCTAAAAATGCTCCAAAATATCAGGTCGTCGATGATGAAATCTGATGAAGAGGACACTCGAAATGCCCTTTCTGTTTTTGATTTTCAAAACAAAAATGTGTTGTAGAACGACAATATCCAATGAATTGATTGAAAAACCTCAACGAAAATTGCCATTAGATGTTCACTAATTCTTCAGAAAATTGGGAAACCAACTAAACCAGTTGTGATTTGATTCTTTGCAGACAGAAAAAAATTGTTCTCAAATTGATGATCAGCCTCCTTTTCTCCTTCTTCTTCTTCTTCTTCTTCTTCTTCTTCTTTTTTGAGAAGAGATAGAAGTGAAGGTCATTCTGGGCCGAAAAGGGTCTCTCCTCAATCGCTATTGTATTTCTGCGCGTGATGACCGGAAAAAGGGTCAAAAGTTATGAATTTCCGATGAGAAACGACCGTTTTTTTGAGGGTCAAGTGCAAATATTTGCAAAGTGGTCAAATTTAGGCCAGAAACTATGATTTGAGGAAATGTGTTTTCACTAAAATAGTCCCTAGCAGCGACTAAATTCTCATTTGCAGCGCCGGGGCTGCATTCACTAATTTAGTCGCTGCTACGGCGAAACAAGCAGCCGACAGTTCACGGGACGGGGCACCTGTTCTCCGCACAATTTGGACCGTCTTGCAAAAGCGCGAAAGTGTTGTGGATGCTCAAAAAACCGAGAGAGATTTGAGTGGGGGTGGATCCGAAAAATCCGCTGAAAATCCGCCGAAAATCCAATTTTTTGGAGTGCTCTCGAACGGATTTTTGAGAGGATATCAGAAAATTACGGGAATGATGACATTTTGAGTGAATTTCTGGCAAAAAAAAAATCGCGATGATCAGTGAAGAATGGCGTGTCGGAAACACACAATACTGAAAGAGGATTAGCGGAAAACAGTTGTACTCATCTCGAAAAAGTGCAACGTTTTTGTAGGAGTTTGTGTACTTTTCTGACTTTAATGTACCTATTTTAATGACAAAAAGACCGGTTTTTTTTTTGGGTGGCAAATCTCATCATTTGCGGTTTTTTTCTCGACTAGAACATTCGGACTACTGGTAGGGCGGGGCAAAAGGTCGGCTCTTTTATCGATCTGAAACTTGGACCCAATATACTTCAATCCAAGTCCCAGAAGCCTGCAAAGTTTGGATCCGATCGGATCCTTGCAAGCGGGTCAAAAGTCCAGGCCAAAAAAAAAGACATGGAAAAACAATTGAAGGAGACAGCGAAATCGGTACAAGATGTGCTAATAAAACTCATTAACCGACATTTACAAGTGAGAATGTGAGGTATCCAAAAGTTTGGGACCCAGTCAGGGAAACTGGTCCTCTGTCTCTTAGAGTTCTCTTAGAGTTTCCCAAACGTCCACGTGTACGTACTGTGCTCGAAAAAGACGACACTTTGAGCCGATTAACTTTTTCCTTTTCCAAATCTAGACAACTCTTCTCCAGATGATTTTGATGACGGACAATTTTGTGATAACACTTCTTTTTTTTTTGGCTGAGCGGATTTTCGGAGAAATTGAAGTGTTCCGGGCCGAGTGACGTACGTTTTTGCGTCACATACACTTGATGAGTGAAGTTTTCGAGTAATTCTTTTGTGAAAACAAGTGTCACGTGGTTAGAAACTCTGGCCAAGAGTTGGATAATAATCGGAAATGCTCTCATATTTTATACGCGTGAATGCGTTGGGACAAGGAACAAAAAGTGCACGAAAGACGTACCTGTGAATTGTTGGCAAGCTCTTCTACAATGTTGCAGAAGAGCCAGCCGATGCACGCCGACATTTCGAGAAGAAATCGGCCAAAGACCTGGAAAACAATGATCCGATTTGGACCAAACATTTCAGGATTATTGTACTTGGATTAAAATATATTGGGTCCAAGTTTCAGACCCTGAAAATGCCTCACTTTTCGCATGTTCGGCCTCTGGCCCACTTATCACGGTCTGAAACTTGGACCCAACGTACTTGAATCCAAGTAGGCCCTCGTTTTAAGCTCCATTCAAATAATTTTCAGCAAAAAACCTTTTCCTATTAATTTTCCTTTTTTTTCAGCGACAAACTCGCCAAAAACCAGGTCATCAATTTTGCGAAATTACGTCAAAAATGATCAAACTCTAATTATAGATCAATTGAATTTTTAGTGATAACGTGAGCCGGAAACGGCGAATTTGAACTGAAAAACTTTTTTTTTTGAGATAAAAAATGAGAAGAAGCGCAGCTAGCTCTAAAACTTACCAAAAGAAATGGAAAAAAAGTGGGTGTGGCCTATTTTTGACGAGTTTCCACACAGAAGTACATCGGACAGACAGATCGGGGAAACAAATTTGAAATTCAAATTCACGCCAAAACAAACTCTTCAAAAGTCATCCAAATCGGATTGTTTTCCGTGTTTTCCCGCTTCTCGGTTGCGAAACGTCCGCTCTCCAGTTGCAAAGTGTCTGCGATCGGTCACCCGTAGTTGTCGCACAATATCCACGTTTCGTCCTTTTCATCTCGCCGCCTTTGTTTTTGGTTTTGGGCGGTCCGGCGGGCGGGCGGATCAAAGAAAACGCATAGATAGGATAGACTGAAAAGGGACCGAAATGGGTCAGTCGACGCTTTTTTTTACCGTCTTTACTCTCTTGTGGCTGTGCTCTTTTTTTTGTGCAATTTTTTCCCTAATTTACAGAATTTTTCAGTCGAAAAAATGGATCCGTACTACTGTGGCGAGTGGCCTCACTACCGTAATCACTATTATCCGCCGCCGCCGCCACCACACTTCTACAGTACTCCCACGACGCCGCAGGATTACTGTGGTTCGCCGGGCGCCGCTCATTTCCCGCCGTTTTCCACCACCGAAAACTACGGTAGTTTGGCGGCGCCACTCGCGCGGCCGTGGCCGAGTTTTTCCACGCCGACGGCCACCACCAAATCGTCTGAAAAGCCGCAGAATTGCGCGGAGAAACACGTGCAATTCGAGTGGATGAAGAAGAAAGGCGGAAAAAGTTGGTTTGCGAGGAAGAAGAAAAAAAAACTGGATTTCAGACGCCGAAAAAAAGAAGCAGAACACATTTTCGAGACTTCAATCGATCGAACTGGAAAAGGAATTCCTCGTCGAGCCGTACTTGAAGAATCAGCGACGGGCGGAAATTGCGAAACGGCTGGAAATCAGCGAGGAACAGGTCGGCCAGTTCTGGGGCGAATTTCGGGGAATAGAGGCGGAGCCAGAGTTCGGAAATCGACTTTTTGTGTGTGTACCAACTTGCACGTGTGAAATTCGTGTTCGACAACCCAAAAAACACACAAAAAAGTGGCGAGCTCACCCCCAAATGTGGTTTTTGTGCTCTTCAACACAAAACGCCCATTTTCAGGTCAAGACGTGGTTCCAAAATCGGCGTCAAAGGGAGAAAAACTTGGCGAGAAAACGCGCAGATATGGCCAGAAGCTCATCGTCTCCGGAAGAATAATATCACGAATCGACGGCTTTCAGAAGTGCCCATGTTTGTTTCTACATGGATCTATGCACAATTTCAGCAAAATGATGCAAAAAATGCACAAGAAACAGTACACAATGGGATCAGTGATGTCTCTTCTAGTTCTCCACATTTGTAAGAACGGACAATAGTGGAAAGAAGCCACGATGACGAGCAAAAGTGTAGAAAGGGGCGTGGCCTAATCTGAGACGCGTTTTCTGAAAATTGCCGCAATTCCAGCACTTTTCCGTTGTTTTTGTGTGTTGATATCGACGAAAGAAGAGACATTAAAGAGAGAAAACATTGAAATTTTCGTGAAAACGCCGCGTTTGAGACGTTTTTGGCATATTTCGGAATACGCTCTCCGCCGCAATTTCGGAATTTTCATACCGGCCGATGTCGATCGGTTTTGAGACGAAGTGAGTGTCGGAAGTGATTAAGCACGTTAATACAAGTATTTTAAGCGTTCAAACGGCAAAAAGTATCGGCGAATGACTGAAATTCGCGCATTTTCAGCACGAAAACACTTAAAATCGATTCAATTGATTCATTTCTCAATGAAACCTGCTCGTTTTAAGCTCAAAAAGTGCGCGATGATTAGTTTAACAAAGTTGTGCAATTACATCGTCAAAATCGTACAAAATTCGGGTAATTTTTAACGAAAAACATGAAAAATGGGGTTAAATTTCGAATTTCGCGCCAAAATGGTGATAAACCGTGCACGCGCTAGGCCACGCCCCTTTCTACGTTTTTGGTCGCCGTGAGAAGCAGTAAACTGAAAAATTGGAGTAAATATTGCTCAGAGCAACTTTCTAGACAAACTTTCTTTCGGTTGAAGAGTCAAATGATCCAATGTACTCAAACTGTGCTTTTTCTGAAATTGTGCATTGATCTAAATTCAAACATGGACGCTTTTGGAAGCAATGAAGATCCTCCTTTAAAGATCGTGAGCCGACAAGCGCCGATCTCTTTTTGTTCTCATTCTTCTCATTTCTCAACGTTATTGGGCTCGAATTTTCGAGAAAAATTAAATTTATTTCGTGTGTTAGAACAAATAAAATAAGCACAAATCAGTTGTGAAGGATATCATATTCAAGAGATAAAATGAGGCACGTGAAAGCAATTTAAGAAGAAAAAAGAACAAAAAAGGGACATGACCTAAACACTTTTCAAACGAGAAAAACGTTTAGCATGAAGCAAGTGTGGCAGTTCGAAAGCTGGATTAGCACTAGAAAAAGAAGGGGGAAGAAAAAGGGCATAATTAGCATCTCTCCTGGATTTCTCCGTCCTTGAGTCCAAGACATTTTCCCCACTCTTTGATGGAAATGTTGCCGTCGTTGTTGGCGTCGCAGCCTTCGAGGAACGGCTTGATGCACGACTCCATCGGGATGACGGGCGCGGTGATCGGAATGAGCTCGTGGTGAGAGACCGACTGAAATTTGACGTTTCGGATGGTGGTGCTTCAACTTGCTTTCCTCAAAAACTGTTTTACCTTGTCGTGTGGCTTGGTGTCGAGCTCGCAGAACTTCCAGATCACCGGGTACACGTGCTTCTTCTCGTCGTCGCTCTCGGCCTCGGAGAGCAGCTCCTCCCACTCGAGCTTGTGCAGCTCACGACGTTTCTTCAGCTCCTTCATCACCTGAAAACGTCCAAAGTAGGGCTTATGATGACTTCGAGGGCGTCAAAATTCGGTCAGAATTCGAAAGAAGGTCCATGCCGCTCACCTGGAACAGCCAATCGGCCATACGCTCCGGGAACTGAGCCATGTGCTCTTCGGTGCACTCGTCGAGCTTCTTGCACTCGCCGAGGTACTCGAGATGAACCTTCGCGTTGGTCGCCTTCTCGCACTCCTTCGACTTTCTCTTGCACAGACATCTCTCGCGGTACAGATCGCACAGCGAGGTGAACGTTTGATTGTTGTTGGCGCACACCTGATATGTGGATATTGTTGGGGTTTGAGACGTTTTTAGACTGAAACTCACCTTATCCATCGGATCTCCGTCGAGTTCGGGGCACTTTGAGATGCACTCGCACGTCGGCTCGCCCTTCTTTCCCACTACGCATTCTTTTCCCCATCCGCACTGATGGTCCTCGCACGGGTTCTTCGCCGGCTCCACTGTAAGATGAAAAGTTAGGCCCTCGAGGTTTGGGTTCGAGTTTCTAGGCCCTAGATTAAAAAATTAGACCTTGACTAGCTCAACGTGAGCGAAGTTTCTTTAAATTCAGCAGAGTTGAGCAGAAGAGATCTACGAAAGAACACGGAAGAATTTTTATCTTTTTTAGAAAATGTTTTCATGGAATGTGATCAACTGACAAAATGTAGAGCAAAGTGAACTCTGCTTGTAAAAAAATAATTGTAAATTTAGCTTTTCATACAAAAAAGTTATTCGAGTTGTTCCGTTAGCCCCCTTTTTTCACGCAACAACTCGTATAACTTTTTTGTATGAAAAGCTAAATTTACAATTTTTTTTCTACGAGCACAGTTCACTTTGCTATACATTTCGTCAGTTGATCACATTCCATGAAAAAATTTTCTAAAAAAGATAAAAATTCTTCCGTGTTCTTCCGCTCAACTCTGCTGTCTAGTAAGGACCCCTTGAGTTTCAAGGCCGCCAACTTTTGAGGTATTCTCGAACATTCCCCCCAGTTCTCCAAACAAACCCATAAAACTATCATCTCATGCTTTCCGATCCTCTTCGGATGCCTTGAGCTCTCAGAGAAAAGAGCAATAAATATTATTAGTGCACATTGAGGCGAAAGAAGAAGAAGAAGAGGATTTCCGCCGAGCGACAGCCCCGTCTTTACACCGTTTGACGGTTTGCGGAGCTCCTCTCCTGCTCGCTCACAACTCTTTTTACACAAACTCGCTTCTTTCTTCGCGACCGAGCCGCCGAGCAAGACGAGAGAATGCAACAGGAGCAACGATGATGGAAACGACGTTTATGATGCGAATTTCATTTCGAAAATGATTGATCGCGTTTTGAGGCGGCGAAATGAGAATCAAAGCACACAAACTGACCGGACTTCTTCTTCTCCTCAGCATCCGCGTCAATGTTGTCGAGCAAATCGCCGAGCTCGTCATCGGCTGCCTTTTTCTGAACAAAAACAAATATATAGTTTTGCTAAACTTTTAAACAAGATCGAACCACAGATTTTAGGCCCTAAACTTCAGATTCTTATAATTTTAGACCGTAGACTGTTGAAAGACTAAAAAGCTTGTCAGAATTATGTGATTAGGACCTTAAAAGCCTAATAAAAGCTTATTTGTTACAGTCTTCAGTCTAAGAGAGCTTAAAAGACGTTACAAGTAAGAGCAAAGCTTCGAGAACTTTCCGGATCTGCTTGACAAGTCTGAAAGAGCCAGAGGCCCGAGTATGGTGCTTACAACCATGTCATTTGGTAGGGCGTGACCCATCCGAAGCACCTTCTATTCAATTTTCAATGTTCGATCACCAAATGAGGTCTAGGAGGTCTGAGGACTAAGGACAAAAGGACAGGTTAGGCCGACAAGGCTAAAAAGTGTCTGAAAGTGTACGGGTAGAAGTTATAAAAGCCTAGCCAGACTAAAAATGGGCCTTCAAGGCTTGTCTAACAGACTACCACTTTCAAAAGACATCTATAGATTTGCGGTGGCCGAACACCTTCCACTAACCTTGGCATCGACGAACGAGGAGGCGACGGCGAGCAGCAGAAGACAGGCGACCAGTGCGTAACGCATCGTGTCGAGTAGAATGAGCTGGTGGCTCCGAGCCGAGCTCTTCGCAGCCGGAGGGTCCAGGCGGTGTCGGGTGGGGGCGGAGCTTCGGCGCGGCAAGAAAGAGCCTGATGAATCATCGGAATGTTGCACAATATCTGAGGAGAGCAAGATCGCAAAAGTTGTCAGAAAAGTGAAAGTGCAAGATGGATTGACTGAAGGAGCATCTGGACTTTTCGATGGATAATATTAATTGGACCGATTCGTCTGGATTGACAAAATTGATTGATTTTCAAAGATATTGGAAATTGTGAGAAGGATCCGTTTACCATGTATCTGTGAGCTCTTCTTTCACCTTCAAACTCGGGCTCATCGCGTGGTATTCTGCTCAAATTCAGAGGGTTATCTCCTATGTTTTTTTGTTTACAATTTTTGCGAAAGCACATCTGCCCGACGGCGTAATAGCGGATCATTCGGGGGTCAATGAGCACATTTTGCGGCTCAACTCAAGTGATCACCTTGGAAACCACCATAACTCGCGAACGGGTAGAGATATCAAAAAGCGTTCAACTGAAGTTTTATAGCCTAAATATGTACCTTCATTTTTGTAATTGACAACTTTTTGATATCTCTATTGGTTGAGGAGATAGAAGTGAGCAATCATACAAAACCTCAAGATCTCATGGATAATTTTCTCTCGGCTTTAAAATACCTTTTCACAGTGAGATTTTTGCCTGTGGCCCTTGTTTTGAACGCCCAATCTGATGGTGACAGTCCCATAGAAACCGCAAAAAAGAGATGAAACCCGGTGTGCCTCGACTCAACCCGTTGTGTTCCAATTCCGTACAAACAGCTGTCACTGGTACTATGACACTATTTTTTGCGGCGCCAAACTTTTTCCACTGCTCAAATGTTTGCTCAGTCTTCACAATGTGCTGTAAAGTATACTCTCCAGATGCCGATTGACCTTCCGACGCAAAAAAAAATGAATGACAACGCAATGGTTTTTTGTTGAAAATTCGATCGTTATTGCCCAGGCATTGCCAGAAAGTGTCATCGTTTCGACGAAATGTTTATTTGAAGTACATTTGTATCATTTTAGGATGACCCTTTCAGCGGGTCAAGAACGAGAAGAAGGAAAAAGAAGGAGTGGAAGACAGCTGTCGTTTGGTGGAGAGTAGAAGGAGAGGAAGAGCGAGGAAGAGTTGTTTAAAGGAGCACAGCTGTCCGCCAGCAATCGTACCGACGGTCCGCCGCATCGGATGGAAATGCTCGCAGCGACGAAGGGGACCGGTAGCATCGCTGAAAATTGTGGCCTTTACGAATTCAGTTTCTTCAAACGGCACACGGCGACCAAAAACGTAGAAAGGGGCGTGGCCTAGCGCGTGCACGGTTTATCATCACCATTTTGGCGCGAAATTCGAAATTTAACCCCATTTTTCATGTTTTTCGTCCAAAAATTACCCAAATTTTGTACGATTTCGACGACGATGTAATTGCATAATTTTGTTAAACTAAACATCGCGCACTTTTTGAGCTTAAAACGAGCAGGTTTCATTCAGAAATTCAATCAATTGAATCGATTTTAAGTTTTGTGCTGAAAATGCGCGAATTTCAGTCATTCGCCGATACTTTTTGCCGTTTGAACGCTTAAAATACGTGTATTAACGTGCTTAATCACTTCCGACACTCATTTCGTCTCAAAACTATCCAGATCGGCCGGTATGAAAATTCAGAAATTGCGGCGGAGAGCGTATTGCGAAATATGCCAAAAACGTCTCAAACGCGGCGTTTTCACGAAAATTTCAATGTTTTCTCTCTTTAATGTCTTCTTTCGTCGATATCAAACACAAAAATATCGGAAAAGTGCTGGAATTGCGGCAATTTTCAGAAAAACGCGTCTCAGATTAGGCCACGCCCCTTTCTACACTTTTGGTCGCCGTGCTAGAGCATATAAACATTTATTCATTGCCAGAAGAGTTTGTCAGAACGTGACTGCATTTACTGTTTCACGAGCATAAACGTGTCCGTCTTCCAGTCCACATCGATCGACAATTTCAACGTTTCCATCGCATCTGCTCCAAGGATATTTGCAGCCTTGAAATTGCCTTTAGAAACGCGGCACTCGATTCGGCGTTCCTGGTCCTAAACATTTGGAATGAAACGCGTTTTATTTGAGGTTCTAGTTGGCTTCTATTCCATTCTATTCTTTTATGAAATCGCCGAAGAAAAAGCGTTTTTCACCGGAGGCGGCCTTCAAATTCTACATAAACTAACTTGAATTGCGAAAGAATAGAAGGAATTTTTGACATTTCCTGGTCCCAAGAACGCTTCCAACGACTTCGACGTCAAGCATGTGAACGGCGAACCAGTGGCGACGAGAAACCACACGACGAGGGCTTTCGAATCCGGTTCATCTGCATACATTCATTCGATCAACACGTTTTTACATTGGGCATACTTGCGCGCTGGCAAACCAATGGAACCATAAAGCGCATGTTTAGACCGTGAATCGTTCCGCTGACCGGAAATGCTGGAGAAGCAAAAGTGGCGGCGCTCAAGTGTTCGATATCATTGGCTTTGCCGATCTAAAATCACAAAATTTTAAGACAATCATCGAAAAACATTCCGCATACATTCACAAGTTTTTCCTCGGTGATGTCGCTTATCGAAACATCGAAATTGGCATAAGGAATGGCCAACAGGTGCGAATACGCATCTTCCGAAGAGTTCTGAAGAAAATCGATATAATTTAGAAATGTCAACATTTATGCTTACTCCTTCATTATCCCGCATTTTAATGTAATCGTTGAATATCGCTGAAAATTAAGAGTGAATAGAGCAAAAATCGGGAAATTAAGATTAACGGGGCGTCGAGAGATGCGTAAAAAGGAGAGTGACAGACAGCGAGAGCGCCCACAACCAATACTCAACGCAACAAAGAAGGATCTAGAAATTGATTGTTTTGGAGCGAGATCACAACCTTGGACATGAAAAATTTCGAAAATCCTCAACGCCATTCGATTTCTAGCACCTTTTTAGACATTTTTTGTGTTGTGATAAAAAATTTAGGGACACTCCTTGAATGCGATAACATCAGTTTGAGAGTAACTACCCGGAAACTATCATAACTCGCGAACAAGGAGAGATATCAAAAAACGTTCAACTACAATCTTGCAAAGCAGAAGTATTTCTTCATTTTCGTAGTTGACAATTTTTCGATAGCTCTACTGGTTGAGAGGATATGAGTGAGCAACCATACAGAACCTCTTCCAGTGCTCAACTGAGAAGACTTTCCTACAGATGATCGCAATTTTAATTTAAAAAGAATCTTGTGCGTGAAATTTGTTTTCTTTTTCTTGTTCCCTTTACAAAATCCCGAACGTTTCGCTCATTTCGAATTTAAATCACTGTCCAGAAGCACGTAGAGAAAGCGATTAATGGTGATGAAACGAGGGACAGAAAGAAAAAAAAACGCAGGCAAAAATAAATCGCAGTGAGCTTTTAATCGAAAAAAAATAGGAGAATTTCGTTGAAAAACCTGAAGCATGCAGAAATCGTCTTCCAAAACCAAAACTGGTAAACTTGCCGGTGTTGGCGGCGCCGAAAGCTCCGTCTCCGCACGCTCTCCACGCACCGACCAATGCTCCACAAATCACCGCCGTCCTACCAGCGGTACACACGTTTTTCATGGTTCTTCCTATTGCACGCTACACTACGCGGTGATTCGTTGCGAGGCTGACGACGAAAGTTAGGCCAGGGGGCCGAGAAACTGAAAACAAGAGTAATCTAGGCCACTTTTAGAATTTTGCGATTTTCAGGAACTTTCGATGCGTGCCGCCGGTGAAGAACTAATTCATCTTACTCGTTCTCTTCGTCAATGTGCTTTTTGTGATCAAAACTAGCAAAGAGCAACGAAAAACTCGCTAGAAGTTCTGAGGATCAGCAAGAAAACAGCTGTTTTTATCATAACGAAGTCATTCCCAAAAAATTAAGCAAAAGGAATCAGTATTCTTCGAACAACACGCACCTGAAGCTTTGGTGTGCGGAAAAAGGCTTGGAAAGTTCACGGGACAACTTTCTCCCTCTCTCCACTGCACCCTCGCAAAGAATCACCGCGCTCTAGCAAGAATCTTGTTAAGCATTTGCTACTTTGTCTAAAAATTCTGTAAAATTTCAGGCTCCTCCAACGTCATCCGCTCCGGGACCGAGCAAAGCTCCATCGCCGATTACTCCGAAAATTGTGGCAAAAGAGATTCGGGAGCCGGTGCAAATGAAAGCGAAACGGGTAAAAATCGAGAATTTATCGATTTTTCACGAAAAAGTGCCAAACCTTGTGCTTCCAGACGGTCGCACAGACGGTTCCAGTCGTTGCGGACCGCGAAATTGCGCCGAAACCGGGTCCGGCGACGGTTCGCAAGAAGAGAAAATCGAGTTCGAGCAACTCCACCGATAAGGTGATTTTAGAAATTATCAGAGAAAAAAGTCACAACAAAAACCGTTTCAATCTTTTGAGTTCAGTGGGTACTAATGAAAAAGCGATTAAAAAATAAAGTTGCAGACGTCGGCGGAGAATGATTCGAAGCAAGCGGGACCGATTGGGAAGGCGCCGCCGTCGCACACTTCCTCCGAGACGGACGGATCGAAGGAGCCGTCGGAAACGGATTCGAACAAGCGAATGTCAAAGTTTAACAAGGATTTGGCGCAAAAGTTCTTCAAAGAGATGATCGAATCGCAGAAGGCGAAAAAGAAGCGGAAAACGTCCGACGAGAGAGAGGTTTGAGGAGCGAATTTGAAAAAAAATGCAACGTTCAAAACATTGTTCGCGTAGTTTCCAATTTCAGGCCTGAACTCTCAAACCATACCAGATAAGATAATCCTTCAAGCTTATTAAGATTATTAAGATTTGGTAAGATTATTCGACCGAACCGAACAATTTCCAGAGAAAAATACGTAAATACAAGCATTTCGAGCGGTCGAACAGCAAAATGATTGAAATTTGAGAATTCTCAACACAAAACTCGAAAATCGATTCAACTCTTTTTTGACATTAATTTATGGTATTAAATCCGCGGCGGAAATCACAGTTTTTTGGCTAATTTGTGACGAAAATACGAAAAAATTGGGATAAATTTATTTTAGTTCGCAATTTCAGCGAACAATGGACACAATGCCGGAAGGATCGCAAATCAACATGTCGGCGCGGGCGCTCAAGAAAAAGAAGAAGAAGGAGGCGAAGAAGGAGCCGTCGACGACGTCAGAAGTGAATTATTTCAAGCCGAACGGCGAACCCGTGTGGATGGTGGCCGAGCTGGCGCCCGGTGAAGGCGAAAAAGACGAGGACGGGGTGGTGATTTCGAATCCGGAACTGGTTAACGCACTCGCCGAGGACGATTTGGAACTCGAGGAGAAGGACTGGATTCGGCTTTCGGACGCCTACATGCAGTGCGCGATGACGGCTGGCAAACGACTGCCGGAAGAGTAAGTGTTGTATTCGTGGGAGTCGAGAGAGTTCGTAGAAGGGGTTTATTCAGGAGAGAGAATAAGGATAACCTCCGGGTGGAATATCGCTAGGGGAACATGTCAGGGCTGGGCAAATGGCCGGCCATGGCCGGCCATGGCTGGCCAATGAAAAGCCCTGGCTGGGCTAGTTGCAAGCGCGCTCCACTGCAAAAAAGCCTTGGCCGGCCAATGGTACGTAAGCAATTCGGTTCACTGAGCGGTGTTTGCACACAAAGCATTTTAAATAAAGAAAAAAACGTGTTTTCGAAAGGGTTTTCTTTTTTTTCTAAGTTTTTTCACTTCATGATCAAATATTTTCACAGAAAAATGCTCTATTCGATGAATTCGATTCATAACGTTGTTCCCATACATTTTTTCTTTCGTTTTGTTCTCATGCATCTCGTTCTCGTTAATTCTGTCGTTTTCTTTTATTTTTCTCTTCACTTCTGCTAATTTTCGAAATTTGTCAGCTTTCATTTCATCGAAATTTAATTCACTTACTTTCTTTTCACCTTGTTTCTACTTTCAAGCATGTCTTCTTCTCATTTTAAAATAATTTCTTCGATTTTTTCTTTATTTAAAATGCTTTGTGTGCGAACACCGCTCTGTGAACCGAATCGCTTACCGTACCAATGGCCGGCCAGGGCTTTTTTGCAGTGAAGCGCGCTTGCAACTAGCCCGGCCAAAGCCTTGGCCGACCGCTGGCCAGCCAAGGCCGGCCAATGTTTTGCCCAGCCCTGGAACATGTGGATAAAAGATAAATATAATATTTTGCGGGGTGCGGGTAGTTGTAGATCAAAAGATACGGTAGGTCAAAAATATATAATTGTGGGCCTGAACCCAACAATAAACTTCGATAATTTCCTTTAAAAGAAAACCGTAAAAACGTATGATGATGGGCCTTTTTGGAGCTACCAATTCGACCCGTTCGGACCGCTCGAATCGATCGAAAAGACGAGCGAATATGTGAGTCAGGAGACGGTCGGATATCTCACAATCCGCAATCTCGTTGAGCTTTCTGAAGGTACACATATTTTATTCTCGAAAAAAAAGTTACAAACATTTTCAGAAGCGCTCAAACGCTTCATGAACCGAAATCAGGGAGAGGATCGGAACCGTCAGTTGGGCAGTCGGACGCCGTCGACCACCGATTCCGTCGAGACTGGTGAGCTTCCTTCGACATATTCTAAAACAGAGCTGGGCATTTGCCGGCCTGTCTTTTGGCCCATTCCTAGTCGACCGATCGGACCCAAAAAAATTGTGGACATTGCCCTTGGTGTGAAGTGTCTCCAGGACAATTTTGGGCCCAAATGGATCATGTCAGCTAAAAAACACAGGCCGGCAAATGCTCAGAATTCAAATCGTTACTTTCTCAGGTACACTGGAGACGCCCGCCGTTTTGAACACGGAAAAATCGGAGGCACAGCTGAAAACAGGTCTATCGACTCAGACGGTCACTTTCGACGTTCGCAATGTCATTTATTTGAGTTACGATGTGAGTTTCGTGCAATTTGCACATTGCTCCTAAAAATCTGACATTTTCAGCGTCAAAACCCGCTGAAATCGGCTCAAAAATTGCGCGAAAAGACGGATTCGACCGAGAAAACGACTCAGGAGATTACGAAAGAAAAATGACATTTTTGAGTGATAATAAAAACGATTTTGATATTTCCTGATGTTTTTCAACACAAAAATACGTTTTTGTAGGAAGAATGCAACGATTTCCTGATATTTTTCCATTATTCCTGAAAAATTCGATAAAAAGCTGATTGGCCTAGAGGCCGTGGCCTAGCGAGCGCTTCTAGATTTACGGTGTACTACACGCGGACAAGGGGTTTTTTTCGAATCTCTCGGAATTTTCCCCATTTTCAAGGCCGTGCCAAAACGGGGGAATTCACGAAAACCGTGGAAAAATATGCCAAAACCGCGGAACCGTATAAAAAAAAGGCAGTAGTAAAGAAAAACAGCAGTGAGCGTCAAATGTGGTCGTTCCTCTCTCCGACGTTAATAATTATTGCTATGCAAGAAGTCGGATGCGAAAAAGTTTATTTACATACACAACAGTGCGTTATTTTACACCACTAAAATCGAAAAACGCGATTCCGATCACATGCAGAAATTTTTGCACTCATTATAAGTGCCGAAATTATTGGCGTTTCCGTCGCGACCGTAAAAAGTGAACAGCATGCAGTTTTTGTAGTTTTTGCTGTAGAAGTATCTGAAAAAAAACGTGGATTGTTTGAAAATGTTTGAATAAGTTCACCTCGGAGTATGTTTTCCGTTCGAACCGAACTTTCCGGCGTCGTACTGAAGACCACAAGTGAACTCTGAAATTTCTTATTCCAGAACACAAAACACAAACACTTTCGTTAAATGTTTGCAAAAACTTGATCACTGATCCCTATCCGTTCACTAAAAATGTTACACTTTAACACGGGAAGACTACTAAACGATTTTCGATAATCGTGCAAGGGCGATGAAATAATCGAGTAAATATTTGTGTCCCGAAAATGTTTGGGATCTTTCTGGCATTTTCTAGAGGCTCATTCGAGAACTTTGAGCGCAATATATTCATTGACTCATTAACTCGAACGGGTAATTTTTGTTTTTCTCTGCAATTTTTCACTCGTGAGATACAAGATGTTGAAAACAGTACTGCAAAAACGTGTTGTATCTCGAGAACTTGTCAACAGCTCGTTTTGATCAACACCTTGTATCTCAGCAATGAAAAATTGGAAATTGTCCTTCGAGTTGTGGGTGTCAATGAATACATTGCGCACTTGCAGTACCTCTGGTGGGACAGCACTGTCCCGACTGGCATTCGTATCCGTGTGGACAGTTGGAGCAACTGACCGTCTGGCCGGAAGTGGCTCCTGCCGGATAGGCTCCAGACGAGCACGCGGCTGAAATGTGTTTAAAATGTTTGGGAGCAACATGGGAAAAAGTAAACTTACAATAGGCCAAATCGCCGGAATCTGTCGCATTTTTACATGCGGATTCACACGCGTTTTTCGACGAAAATCGATTTCCGTTTCCGTCGCAGCCCTGGAAAAAGTGGACTTTTGAACGCTATTTTTTGCACTTACCTGATAGAAGAAGGGCTGACAGGTTCTCGTATTTTTGTGGAAATAAAACGATTGAGCGCCCGATTGTCCACAATCCGAATTTCCGACGTCTCTGCCCAGAAAGCAGTCGGAATTTTCGGCCGAGAGCGCCGAAGAAACGAAAAGAGCCAACGGAACGAGCAGGAATTTCATTTGGACTGAAGAAAAATCGCTCAAAATGTGGGTTTTTCAATGATTTTCAGTGGAATTTCGGCAGGTAAATATCGTGGGAACCGAACAAGTAAGTGAACAAATAGTATCTCGCCCACAAAAGACACACACACCCACAAGAAGATCAAAAGTTTTGTACTTGAACCAATACTGTCGGAAAACATGATGTTTTTGTCAATTTCAGCCGGAAAATGTTGTTTAGAATAACAAAATGTGAAGGTGTGTTCGAGACGACCAAACAATGAGAAAATGGGCGAAATGGAACTGGTTTCTGATTCAGAATCGCATCGTATCGATCGGTTACACCCTTTCTTTGTTCTTACTTTTTCGATCGAGATCGGCATTACTCGAAAAGGGAAAATTGGAGACAGTTTTGACTGGAAACAAGCATTTGTCGGAGCCACGTTTTCCGACGGAAGACTCTGAAATCACAACTTTCATTTTGAATCGAGTTATCATCGGGCCCGTTTGCAAGAATGGATTTATTGATTTTTTTGAAGAGGCGCTAGTTGATTTTGTTTAGTTCAGCAACGCAACTTACAATAAATTCCCTTTCATGCCGTCAATAAAGAGCATTCGAATCAAAAACTCCTATATCTTCCGTTACAGGGTATATGAAAACGGACCAATATTCGAAGCGAACAAGAATACATTTACATTTATACAAAGTCGGTATTCTACAAAAAAGAGCGGATATGGATTCTGGCCAATTGTTGTCTGAAATTAGACGCTATTATGCCGGAAATGATGAAACAAAAGTACACGTAATTGCAACAACTTCTAATCGATTTGTCTGATTTTTGATGCTTTTTGAAGAGAAATGTGAACGGGGGGAAATGAGGGTCGGCAAAATGAATACAAACGTTTTTAGGCCAGAATTTCGCGAAGCGAACAATTTGACATTAGCAACTGTTTCAGGTCGTCCTCCACGTTCGACAGGATCTTCACCACTTGACGCACCTGAAAAATAGAAGCTTGTCAACGTTTCAGACCGAAAAATGTTTCTAACCAATTTCTGTTTGGTGTCCGTTTCCGCGCTGATTTCCATAATTCGCTCTCGTATCCGAAGCACCAGATCCACAATTTCGACGTTGTGTTTTGTGGAGAGCGTTTGATTGCCTGCAAACCGAATTCTACACTTTTATTCCTAAAACTAAAACGTCTAAAATACATTTTTAAATTTAAAAACTCGACGAACAAGGTTCTCCTAAAAGTTAGTTGTCTTTCGCAAAAGGTTTGAATTTATTCTTTCTTTGAAACTGGAAACTTTGTTATAACAAATTTTCGGCAGCAACGGAACATTTTGTGGACCAGTGAGTGCAAGCGCGAGCGTTTTGCGAGGACGAGGTTTTGCATTTGAAAAAACTTAGGCCACGTAGTAGAAAAGAGCTTGAAATCCGGCGACGCCGACACTGACTGTTGCAGGAGGCCGTGTTTTGTAATAAAAAACGTACAAAAATCGGCAGAGCACAGGGCATCGACATAATGCGTTTTGAGCTGTGCATTCACGTCTCTCGATCGCATCGAGAGCCAACCGCCAAAGTTGGAGCACAAAATGAAGCGACGGTAGAGACCTGCAAACCTAACGTTTTCAAAACAAACATTTTGAGTTCCGGAGTCAAATTTGTCAATCGTCTTGCTTCGAAGATGTTCGAAAGTTACAAAATTTGAAAAAGTGTCACCTTGCCAGTCTCCTTTCGTTCCGCACGTCAAAGACGGTCCGCCGTTGCTGTCCAGCGAGGAGAGGAAGTCGTCCATCGAAAACGGGCGGGTACTCGGAATTCCCTGCAAACAATTATGCGCATATTGAGGAAAATGGCTGGCGTCAACACTTTGTTCCTGGTTTTCATGGTCAAAAGCGATGAAAAATCATCATTTCTTCGCCGCTGAAAAACCGCACTTCTCGTTTTGCGCACTCTTGGCCGTTTTCAGACAAAATACGCAGGTAGAATAGATCGAAATAACGCGCATCTAGGCCAACCCATTTTGCATTTTTTTGAAACTGTAAAAAATGGAAGCAAATGTGTAAAGGCCTCACTTTAAAGGGTGACATTTCCTTTTTGAGTGGCATTAGCGAGCTCAAATATCGCTCCATCGGAATCATAAAACTTTGAGTCAATTCCAGAAAATGTCGTTGAAGAATGTTGTGTTGGACCTGCAAAAAATCGATAAACAGTCAGTGAAAAATCGGCCGGCACAAACCTCCAGCGAATTTCCGGATTTCAGCAATTTCTTCGCCAACGATTTATCCTTCGAAAGGAACGGTTTGTAGTGGGTGTAGAGGCCGGCGGGCGTGTCCAACGTTCGCGATGTCGACCAATTTTTTCTGGAAAATCAGCAATTTCCGGGGCTAAACGCCGATCAACTTACTTTGGTTTTTTGTAGTCGTCTCCTCCGATTTCCGTTCCATTTTCGGCCACTTTCAGTATGTGCGGCCAGTGATCGAGCGCTTTTATGAAGAACGGATTCGTGACGCCCAAAATAACGCGGGGTCTGCAAGAAAAAAATTGTTTGCAGTTGTTATCGATTTTTGCAATTAGAGGAGGCAAATGGACGAATTCTTTGACACTTCTATATCAACCCCACAATCACACGATTTTTCTCGCTTTTTTTTGAGCAAATTGCCGTTCACCGATTTTTTCAATGTTCCCAAACAAATCATGTTTTCTCCATATTACTTATTCTAAGAGTTCTTTCCGTTTGAGCGTGAGAATCTGGAGAAAACTTGATTTATTTGAGAACATTGAAAAAATCGATAAATGGTAATTTGCTGCTGAAAAAATCGAGAAGAATCTGTGTTTGTGGTGTTGATTCGGAAGGTGTGCAGTGTGACACACTACTAGTGTCAAATTATTCATCAATTTTCTTCCCAGACGCCTGCTTTGAACAATTTTTCAAAAGCCTACGGTGTTCTCGATTTCGACGAGTATTCGCGAAACTCCGAGTCGTGAATGGTGAAGTAGGGTCGAAAATCGCTGACGATCCGCAAAGGCGACAATAATCCGACGACGGACTGGACGAGAGATGAAGTGATCGCGGGCGTGGGCGCGATGATCAAAAGGGGCTCGCCGAGCAGAATGAGCTCCCAAATGAGTTGGAGATGGTGCACGTGCGCCACAATCGGCGAGGTAAAGTCCGGGCGGTAGAGACGCAGAGACTCGTCCCGGTGGTCCGACAGCTAAAAGTACAAAAAATAGGCATTTTCTATACTTTTACCATTTTAACTCTAATGTAACAATCGAACAATGTAAAACATATTTTTTGAAACTGCAAAGTTTTTCGCTAAAAATCCCTCAATCTGTTCAGATTTTACAGCCCCAATATTCTGTCAAAAACACAGACAAGTCTATGTCGAAATTAGAAATGAGATGGAGCAGGTGATTTGCATTTTTAAAAAAAAGCGATTACCTCGACGTGTCCGTCCAATCGGAATTCGTAGGGTAAATCGCAGGCGGCCGGAAGGCGACAACTGATCAGAGTGCCGAAAAGCGGCAATTCTATGGAACGACCCACTTGCGGCTGCAGCCACGTGTCAATATGGTGACAGGCTGCAAATTGCGGGGGTTATTTTCAGGACTGGGCAGACTTTTCGAAGGATTTTTGAGGCCTGGACTTTTGATCCAGTTGCAAGGATCCGATCGGGCCCAAAGACCTTTTCGACCTCAAACAAGTCGGTCTGAAACTTGGTCCCAGAATAGTTCAATCCAAGTCCAAGAAGCCTGCAAAGTTCGGGCCCGATTGGATTGGCATTGCACTTTTTTAAAATCGTGTAGTCATACCGGCTTCAATTGCGGCTTCTCCATTTTCGAAAAAATGCTCTGCAATTCGGGCGGTGACCGAGTAAAATAGCGAGAATAGGGGAAGAACAGACATGAGCACGATGCTCTGCAAAAATTACCATTTTTTAGTGCAAAAAAACCGCAAAAAAAGGCGTACTTTCTGGTAGTATCCTCTGTGAATTGTGGCATCCTTGCACTGTCGAAAATGCACGAATCCGTACATGAAATGCGCGTCGAACGGCAGCGAAGACGGCGATTTGTCGACAAACGACTTTTGGCACGGACGCACTTCGCTGATCGCTCTGCAAACCTATTTTTTTTCACAATTTTTCCAAAAAAAAAGCGCGCCCCGCCGCACTCTTGTAATTTCTTGGCTTTAAATTTAAACCTGCGTATCCGGAAATGAAAATTGCTGTCTCTGGCGTTGCTGGAATTCGAATCCGGAAATGCCAAATAGCAAATGTTTATTTTTTCCGTGTTCGACAATATCGCATCGCCCGGATAGATGACCTGGAAATTCAAAAAATTATGTTCTTTTTCTTCTGTTTTACAATTTTCTAATTACGGTTAACACACTTTTTCAACGGTTTTTAAGGCACTATTTTTAAAAAAGTAACTCAATAAAAAGTTACCTCCAACGCCTGTCCGAGCTCCAAATCGAAAGTGACGACGCAAATGCAGTGGAGCCAATCACGGAATCGATCCCACGGTTCCACATCTGTTTCCATTATTGTTTCTGTAAAAAAAACGATGAGTGTTCTTGTTAGTTTTCAGTCATAGAATCAAAAAAAAACAGATACATTTCTCGAATTCAGAGCATGAATTAATTCTGGGCAAAAGACCGGCCGAGGCTTTTTGAGGCTTGGACCTTTTACTCACTTGCAATGATCCGATGGGGACCAAACGTTGTAGGATTGTTGGACTTGGATGAAGGTATATTGGGACCAAGTTTAAGACCAGTCCGATCATCTGACGCCGAGATGTGTGGATCGGAGACCGAAACGCCCGCAGTTTTCGCAAAAACTCCGTCTTTATCAAACCAGTATATCTCGGGACCGGATGATCCGATGGGTCTGAAACTTGGATCCAATATACTTCAATCCAAGTCCAAGAAGCCTGCAAAGTTTGGTCCCAATCGGAACATAGCAAGTGGGTCAAAAGTCCAGTCCTCAAAAAGCCTGGGCCGAAAAAGCCCATGAAAAAATCTTCACATCAAGATTACAGCCCAATAAATTCGTCGCAATTTTTTCGAATTTGTGTCGACGAAAAAGGGCGGCGAGCGAAAAAGATTTCCGACGGCGAAACCCGACAAAAAACCGGATTCGAGTGTGTGCGCGCACTCTCGGCGTCTGGCGCCCTCCTCGTTTCGCGTGCTCTCTCACCGCTGATTCTCAATGGAGCGCGCTTGCATTTCGGGCTTGTTTTGAGCCGAACAAGCTGGAAAATAGCTTAAAATTGCGAATTCCGCACAAGAAAAAAGATTAGAAGGAAATCCGATTCAAGCAAAATTTATATCGACCAATTCGGAATTTCACATGAAATTGAGCTCCGAAATGAGCGAGTCGAGCTCGTCGAGCTTTCTCGAATTGTGCGTCTCCACGTAGACTCTCGCCTGCTGGAAAAAGGCGGTCAGCTGCTCGCGGAGCTGCTCCGCCGACGCGAAAACGTCCAACTCGTCCTCCAAATCCGTCAGCGAACGTGTTTCGTGGTGCGAGTTTCGGAGGGAACGCGACTGCGACGGCACCTGTTGGAGCAGTTTGTACAGGCGCGGATTCGCCTTTTCGATCGAGTCGAACAAGGTTTGGGTTTCGGTTTCCCTTATCACTTTCCCAAGGAGCCCACCTCTTTTTTGGTGTTTCCCACATCAGACACGGTGAGCTCGAAGTCGAAGTTCAAATTCGAAGTAAGATTTGTTCAGAAAACCGAACAACTGGAAGTTCGCAAACACAATTGGCATTCTCGCCACCAATTTGAAACGTTTCGAAAAAAAGTTTATATAATGATAAAACCTCGCTTGCCGTTTGAGTGTGTTGTGCTCCAAAACAACGAGACGTTTCGTCATATTTGAACTTTATTCATTTTAAAATCAAGATTAGACGGGCAGGAAGGGAGAGAAGAGAAAAAGACCTTTTAGACATTTCGCTTAAAATCGTCAATCATTTTGGCAATCTGTTTCCTCTCGTCATGTTTGTACACCCTTTCGAACATCTTCAAATCAGCGACGATCCACATGTTCCATACCATAAATACGGTGAAAATATCCTCCTTCCGCTCAAACAGTACATTTTGCTCATTGCTGACCGACTTCAGAATATCCGTCATCTGAAAATGGTTGATTTTAAATTGTTGACATTCGTATATTGTTGGCTCACAATTGGCACCGTCTTGAGGTATAGACGGTTTAGGCCGATCAGACTGACAAGCCAAACCCAGTTGTCAGTATTGTTGTTACCGAGGATCGCGATAGCTCCAGAAGATGGATCGAAGGTTTGAAGGGAAGAAATGTGGGTCTTCACGATCAACCACAGTACTCCTGGATCCGAAGGACGGAACATCAATACGAAAATGTCTATTGTCGCAGTTTGGAAAACGGTGGCACGGTTTCCGTCGGTTGGCTGTATTTCAACTCGGAAACGGTCGATTCGGTACTTCCCAAGCTCTTGGTTATATTCACCGGCCATTATATCATATTTCGCCGTGATTGTACCGATGGAGAAGTTGTTGAATCCAAGAGATCCACCCTGATTCGGTTGAAAAATGTGTGCCACTTCGGAAGCGGTCGAGGCTTCGATGAGCAAAATCTTCACACAATCCTCCTGCACGTGTCGCCAGAAGTGTTCGACGCCTGACGGAGGCGGCACTCGACCGACGTACGTAGTTGGAAACTGAAAAAAAGACAATTTTATTTTTTGTTCAAGTATAACGTCTCCAGAGCTTACGGCCGTGGCATGATTTCAACACTTTTCTCCTGATTTTTGTGATTAAATTCGATCAAAAGCGATGGAAAAATGATGATTTGGCACGAAAACACAAAAATTCTCTAATTTCTGGCATTTTTGTCAAAAATTCTCTAATTTTCTGGCATTTTGGTCAAAAATTCTCTAATTTTCTGGCATTTTGGTCAAAAATTCTCTAATTTTCTGGCATTTTCGTCAAAAATGCTCTAATTTTCTGGCATTTTAGTCAAAAATTCTCTAATTTTCTGGCATTTTGGTCAAAAATTCTCTAATTTCTGGCATTTTGGTCAAAAATTCTCCAATTTTCTGGCATTTTGGTGAAAAATTCTCTAATTTTCAGGCATTTTGGTCAAAAATTCATTAATTTCTGGCATTTTGGTCAAAAGGTCAAAAATTCTCTAATTTTCTGGCATTTTGGTCAAAAATTCTCTAATTTCTGGCATTTTGGTCGAAAATTCTCTAATTTTCTGGCATTTTGGTCAAAAATTCTCTAATTTTCTGGCATTTTGGTCAAAAATTCTCGAATTTTCTGGAATCTTGGTCAAAAATTCTCTAATTTTCTGGCATTTTGGTCAAAGATGCTCACTTTCTCGACGCTCACTTTCGCCGGATTCGGCGCTTCCTTCATCGTGCCGATCGAACGCATCGAATTCGTGAAGTCTTGCGGCATTTGGGACAGGTAGGCGCGGGCGTTCGCGTGTCCAGCCGGATTCGACAACACTTGCTCCTCACGCGGCTTTCCACGTTCGACGGCCACCTTGTTCTTCTCGTTCTTGCTTTGGCTCTTCCCCATCTGAAATTGTGGTTGTTGCGTTGAAAAAGAGGCGGGGTTTTACCGCGAGTTGTGCGCTTTTGCTGCGATCCTCTCCGGTCGTAATCAGAAATGGCCGATAGTTTCGAGAGAATGCACTTGGATGTCGAGCATCCCGAGGCCACGTGGAAGTACACGTGGAAGGTCACAACTAGTGGAGGTGCTTCCGAAGGTCACGAGGGACGTGAACTCAACTCAAACATGAACCATCTTTTTGTAGTTGGCAACTTTTTTGTACAATTTTTTCTAAGGCCACTGTAGTAGCTGTAAGGAGTTAACTGTATCTTTAGATTTGATGTAGAGATGAGATGGACCATCCGAAAAGTTGAAGAACTCATGAGAAACTTGGATCAAATGCCATCTGACTCTGCAAATTCTGCGAATCTCTATCAGCAAGCGCTAAAATCTTTGGAGACGTTCTGTCGGACCGTCCAGGGCCATCCGGAGTGTCTCGGGCGGATCCCTTTTTTGGCAAGTTATCGATTCATGCGAATTTTCCTACTAGAACGGTTCCGGTTCAATTAGCCATAGCATTTTACGGATTTTGAGGACTGTTGTAATAATTTTCATGAAACTAACAAGGACATCAGTTTATTTGCGTCGTTAAGAATTTTCGTTCAATGTTTTTTGTTCTTTCCGACGGCCGTATCGGCGCGTCCCTTCACCATCTCCTCGTTTTTGTCGTTGATGATTTTCGTCACATGGGCTGAGATTTTTTCCTGAAATTCACAAATACAGGCTCAAATTTTTCTTAAGAAAAGGCGACTAACCGCCTCGATGACGTGCTGTTTCTTGGGTGCGATATGCAGGAATTTTCCCTTCTTCGGTCCCTCCTTCTTTACTTTTTTGACCTTCTGCTTCACTCCTTTCGGCAGCAACGTCTTCTGCTTCACTTTTCCTTGCACCATTCTTTTTTCAGCGAATGCACAGCACGTAGACGGCGGCAGTCAGGCACGAGAGGGCGACGAACGAGTGGAGACGGACCTGAAAAATAGGGAAATTTTGTCGAATAAATCGAGAAAATTGGTCGAGTTTCCCGCACAAAATCCAAGCGAAAACAAAGGATCCATGAAAAAATCTTCACATCAAGATTACAGCCCAATAAATTCGTCGCAATTTTTCCGAATTCGTGTCGGCGAAAAATATTTCCGACGGCGAAACCCGACAAAAAACCGGATTCGAATGTGAGCGCGCACTCTCAACGTCTAGCGCCCTCCTCGTTTCGCGTGCTCTCTCGCCGCCGACTCTCAATGGAGCGCGCTTGCATTTCGGACTAGTTTTCAGCCGAACAAGCTGGAAAATAGCTTAAAATTGCGAATTACGCACACTTCATTTACAAAACAAAAGTCCAATTCATAGAATTCAAAATTTTTCAAATGGGAAAACATTCCAAAGAAATGCACAAACTCGTCAAATTCAAAAAGAGATTTTTTTGTTGGTTGTTGTTTAAAAAAAAAGGGGAGGGGGGGTGACAGGAAAAAAAAGATTAGAAAGAAATCAGATTCAAGCAAAATTTATATCAAACAATTCGGAATTTCACATGAAATTGAGCTCCGAAATGAGCGAGTCGAGCTCGTCGAGCTTTCTCGAATTGTGTGTCTCCACGTAGACTCTCGCCTGCTGGAAAAAGGCGGTCAGCTGCTCGCGGAGCTGCTCCGCCGACGCGAAAACGTCCAACTCGTCCTCCAAATCCGTCAGCGAACGTGTTTCGTGGTGCGAGTTTCGGAGGGAACGCGACTGCGACGGCACCTGTTGGAGCAGTTTGTACAGGCGCGGATTCGCCTTTTCGATCGAGTCGAACAGCTCTTGCACTTCCTGCAAATCACAATTTGTTTTTAGAGACTATTTTCGATAATGTGTAAAATGCAGGCAAGTTTTAGGAAGTCACCGTTTTACTGGCCTGGTTTTTTGACCCACTTGAAATAGTCAATAACCCGATCGGACCCAAACTTTGCAGAATTCTTGGACGTGGATTGAAGTATATTGGGTCCCAGTTTCAAATCGATCCGATCGTCTGGTCCCGAGATATACGGATACACGCAATTTTCGCAAAAACCCGGCCTCTTCGGCCTCTGATCGACATATCTCGGGACAGCAAGATCTGATGGGTCTGAAACTTGGACCCAACATACTTCAATCCAAGGCCAATGAGCCTGCAAAGTTTGGGACCGATCGGATCATTGCAAGTGGATCAAAAGTCGAGGCCTCGAACGCCTTCAACTCACCGGCTGCACCTCTTTCTTGACTCTTTTCGGCGGGGGCGGCGCCTGCGACAGTTGGTCCCTTCGGAGCGTTCCCTCGAATTCCATCACGTCCCGCATCGCCTCGTTTGCGCGCCGTTTCGCGTTCCGTCCGCGGCCCAGTTCCTGCAAAGAAAAATTGAAAGCTCAAAACAAAAATTGGTATTTGGGATTACCTCCTCCGCCTCCATCGGCTCCTCCTCGTCACTGGACGCTCCGCTTCCTCCGTTCTCCATTCTTTCGGCTTCCGCGGCCGCCTTCTGCTCGGCCAGCTGCTGACGTCGCGCCTCTTTTTTGCACTTTACGCACAGCCAACTGTAACAAACATTTCAAATTCCTTTTAATGGAATGGTGTCTGCGAGACTACAGCCGACCAGCATTAAGACCGCTTATTCCGACGAACTCAGAAGACGCCACTAAACCTCACCACCCACAAGGAATCAATCAAATTGGAGAGAGATCTTCGAAATGCACGTGAACGCCAACGTCGACGACAGTTTTTCAAGGTATTCTAGGTAATCGGTACAACAAATCGTCACAACACAAAATCGTCGAAATCAACTCAATGAGCTCACAGGACTCAAAAATTCCCAAAAAAAAATTGCAGATTTTCAGTGGTTGCCCTCACGAACCTCTCCTTGAATCCCTCCTCCTCGACCATCAGCCGCGCGTCGACAATCGGCCGATGACAGCCGTTGTGGTAGACGGTCGTGCACTGCTTGCACATCAATTTCCGCGCGGTCCCCGACTTTTTACGGCACACAAAGCACGGCTGTAACATTTATAATAATTTTTAACTAGATGGAAAAGAAACTCTAGATCAGAGGCGCTTCTGATTTTCCAATTTTTTTGAAACCGTAAAAAATGCGCAAAAAACGTACCAGCTCGGGAAGCGTGCGTCGCATGTCGATCCGGGCGTCGAAATAGGCTAGGAGCATGTGCAAACACGACGGATTCGTCGCCTCGTTCACCCGTCGCACGAATCGATCGATTTTCAGGTGCGAAAAGCATTTTTTCGCGATCGCAATCGCCTGCGGAAACTTTTCGATCAACGTCGACGAGGGCACCGAAGTGACGAGTTCCACGAACAGCGGCTTCTGCAAAAAAAAAAAGTATTCTTGAGAGATGAGTACTGTAAAAACTGTAATAGATAGTGTCCATTCAATGCAGCGTATTTCGGCTGTCGGTAGAGATATCAAAAAGTCGTCAACTGATAAAATAAGCAGAATGTCTTCCTCAGCAATTTGTCAGTTGACAACGTTTTGATATCGCCACCGACAGCCGAGATACACAGCTTTGAATATCGATGACATCGGGGTACGGACCATCTCGTCGAGCGTGTGCGCGTCGTCCATCCGCGTGTCGAACATGGGCGCGTCGCCAATCTTGGTGATTCCCGAAATCTGCCAGTCCGCCAACATTTCGCTCATCGTCTGCTTCAGTGCGGCCAGCGGTCCCGTAAATTTCGACGGTTCCGCCTCGTTCGCCGCCGCCGCCGCCGCTCCGTTGTTGTTATTGTGCGTTTCCGAGCTGCTCTCGCCACCCTCCTCCGCCATTTCTTCGTCGGTTTCTGCCGATGGTCTGCAAAAAAGAATAATTTGTTTCACACAAATATGTCAGAATTGCGCGTCGGCAGTTCGGGACAGGCACAAGAGTCGGAAATGTCCAGATTGCTGGAATGTCCTTAAATCAGCAAAAAATGTCAAAAACTAACGTCTGCGATCTGGAAGCCGATTGTCTTCTCGTCGATTTCGTCGCGTTATGCGCCTTGTTAAGACTCGACAAAATGTCCGACATATTGTTGCTCAGATATTTTTTCAGGCCCTTCTCTCGTTTTCCGTTCTTTTTCAGCGCCGTCTCGAGCGAACGGATCGCCTTTTCCGTGCACAATTTGTACCAGATTTCCACGTCCGTCGTCGACGGAAATGGTCTGGAAAAGGAAAATTCTTGAAGAAGAAAAATTCTGGAAAGCTCACAAATCGACGTATTCAGGCAGCGAATCGCTCGGCGTCTCCACGTCAATCAGTCCTTTTTCGGCGCACTCACGCACCCATTTCTCGTAGAAAGTCGTTCCGAACTGCAACACAATTAAGTTTGAAAGAAACAAAAAAGCGTTTCAACAATTTCCTAAAAATCAGTTGAAGCCCATATCTACCAATACTTGGTGTCTTATTTTTTCAATCGTATAATAGAAAGCGTACATCCTGGACCCAGAGGCCGGCGTCGGAACTGTAGGCGAACCAGTAGTATTTGCGCAAGTGTCGGTCGGTTCCAATGCTGACCACGCGGAAAATGCGCTCCAAATCGTCGCGTTCGCGGGCCGCCGCTTCCCGATTCTCTTCGAGTTCGTCGCGTAGTTCGTCAAGTCGATTCTCGAATGCCTGCCGCTTTTTCACCAATTTCTCCGCTTCTCTCGTCTGATTTCGCGTCATTTCTTCCGCGAAGTCAGGTTGTGGAAGGTCCGCCAGTTGACGCGTCTTTTCTTCGATCTGCAGTCAACAAAATTGTACGTAAGGGGCTGGATCGGATCACCGCAAGTGTGTCAAAAGTCTTTTTCAAAGCATCGCTGTTTCAAAGAAAATATGAATTCGGCAATATTTGTTTTGTTTAGTATGGAGGTTCAATGCTCAACAAAAAGGCTAAAAACTCTATTTTAACTTGAAATGTCGGAAATCGTCTCTAGAATTCAAAAAAAAAAATTGCATTTCCCCCCCCAAAAAAAACGAACCTCCTTCGTTATCAAATTCGCTTTCACTTTGAGCGCCTGCAACTGATCCGTATTCGCGTCCTTCAGGAACCATTCCCGGATGATCGGCAGTCCGTGCACGACTTCCTTCATCGCGTACAATATTTCCAGCTGTTTTTCGGCGGCCCACTCATAAATGTGACCGTTTTCGGGCTGGAAAAACGCCAAAATTCGCGTCTTTTCGCGCTCCTCCGCCTCTTTTTCGTCGTCCTCCTCTTCGTCGTTCTCCTCCGTATTTTCCGCAATTTCCGTAAGTTCCGCCGCCGGCTCCACATGGTGCGTCATCGTTTTCTCCTCCGAATCCACGTCTTCCGCCTCTTTTTCCGCCAAATTGCGGTCGTTCTTCCACGACATGTCCGTTTTGCCGACGAAAAACGCGCGCACGAGCTCGGATATCGTGTGCTCCGTGATTGGGAATTCCGACAGACGCGCGTTGCAATGCGCCACCTTTTCGTGCTCTTTTTCCTGCAAAACAAAATTAATAAAATTTGAAAAACGCGCCAAACCTGAAGGGCGGTCTCGAGCAAATTGGCAATCATTTTGTACGTGCTGCGCTTGAATCCGGGCAGTCCGGCGTGAAGATCGGCGAAAAGTTGTTCGGCAGTCACATTTTCGGTCCACACCAAAATTTTACGCATCGAAACGAAGAACTGCGTGATTTCCATGCACTTGAGCAGCAACTCGTTCGCCTCGATCCGTTCGGCCTCCTCGGACAATTCGAGACGGTCCGCCGTGACGAGCAGGTCGTCCAGCGCAATGTCCTGCAAGTTTGTACATTGCAAAATGGCGTAGCCCGGGCGACAGGCTTATATGCAGGGTTGGGCTGGGCAAATTTCAGCACTTGCAATGATCCGATCGGGGCCAAACTTTGCAGGCTTATTGTACTTGGATTGAGGTATACTGGGTCCACGTTTCAGAACGGTCGGATCATCTGCCTCCGAGATATGTGGATCAGAGGCCGGAAAGACCTAGTTTTTGCGAGAACTCTCTGAACCGGATATTCGGATCGACGTGAAACTCGGCCACAGTGCACTTCAATCCAAGTCCAAGAATCCTGCAAAGTCGGGTCCCAATCGGATCCGTGCAAATGGTCCAAAAAGTCCAGGCTCACCTCACTGAACCACGCCTTGATTCTCGGCTCAAACTGTTTGTACTGCTCTTTTCGTTTTTCCGCCATCTCCGCCTTGTATTCCGCCTTTTTCGCCCATTTCATGCCTTTCCTGCAATTTTGAAATAATGAAAACACAGTATTGAAACGGCAAAAGTGTCGTACATATGCGCCTTATCCTTGGTTTTGTCGACCAATTTCTGAATTGCGAATCGCCAAATCGGATTTTCGATCGTTCTGTGCTGCGCGCCCGATAGATTCTTCTCGCACCATCCGCACGCCTCGTGGAACGCCTAGAAATGCGGATTTTTAGCTAAAAGGTTTTCCGGTAGATTCTCACCTCCAGATCTCTCTTTTTCCACGCCTCCTCAATCTTTTTGACTCCAGACGCGACTCGCCGTTCTCCCCACTTTGACGGCGAAAAAATCGAGGCGTTTCCGGCTGATTTACTCGGCGAACCGTTGCTTTCTGACGCTTTTTTCACAAATTTGTCCATTGTCTGCAAATTGTTTGTTGTTTAAAATTTTTCAAGAAATTCGCAAAAATTCACCCCATTCTTCTTGGCCTTTCCCGCCTGTTTCTCCTCCTTTTCCTTCGCCTTTTTCGCTTTCTCCTCCTCTTTTTTCCTCAATTTCTCTGCCTTTTCCTTCTCTTTTTTCTCCGCCTTTTCCTTTTCTTTCGCCTCTTTCGCTCGCTGCTTTTCCATTGCTTTTCGGTTGGCCGGAGTGCCCGACGCACGTGGTTTTCGAGCGTTTCCAGAAGAGTGTCCATTTCTCGCCTCCGTGACCTCGTCGATATTATCGTCCTCTTCTTCCTCTCCATTTTCTCCGTTCTTCTGCTCATTTTCCGATTCGGAATCTACCGAAGTCGACGGCCTTTCGGCCATCTTTTTCGCCGATTTCGGAGTATTGAAGATGGCGGCAAACTTTTTCACTTCTCGAATCGGATACGCATTTTTCAGCGCCTCCTTCACCTTCCACACTTTTCCATCGACAAATTCGGCGTCTTCAAGTGCGATCTGCTTGATTTCCTCCACCGAAAGTCCCTTTTTGCGTCTGTATACGGATTTTTCATAATTTGCGGCAGATTTTTTTTTACCTCAAGTCACGATGTCCGATTTTGGCGCCGTCCTCCATCGTGTACGTCGTCAGGCCGCCCCTCTTTTCGCTCGAAGCGATCACGTACTCTTTGCCGGCGCTCAGCACTGTCTCGCCGACGAAATACACCTCGTCGACGAGGTCTTCGATCTCATCGCACAAATCCTCTTTCGACAGAGTGCCTGGAAACACAGTTCAGATTTTCACAGCTTTGCTTCGATTATTTCTTGAATTTCTCAATTTATGAAAAGTATAAACTCACTATTCTGGACTTTGGTGTACACTTCGATGGCGAGCGCCTTTGGAAGTCGAGAAATGGCTGAAAATTGAAAATATAATGAAAAAAATTGCAGAAAACAGCAAAAATCCAAAGGGTTTTCCAGTATAACATGGAAAAAAAGCAATGTATTTTTGAGCATAAAAACCAATAAAATCCATTTCTAGGCCAGAAATTTCAGATTTTTCAGCACTCACCTTGTCCGATGTCCGTCTTTTCCATTTGTTCGTTTCCGTTGCGTGCCGTCGCGTTTTTGGCGAGCGAAACGCTGCAAAAAATTGGTTAAAATGGCGAAATTTCCGCCGAAATGCGCCTGCCGCAATTCAAAAATTCGCAATGGGGCGCGTTTGCAACACGCTCACTTTTGGCTAAAATTGACGATTTTGAGGGAAATGTCGCTTATTTTCTGGTGTTTTTAATAGATAATAGGGTGTCAAAGACGATTTTGAAATGCTTGAACTTATGATCATTTTTAAACAATTCTTTTCATAGACGCATTTTTCCACTTTACTCCCGTCCAGTTTTGCTCTGCTCAATTCGATTGATTCGATTGATTTTTTGAACAAACAACGTCTAAAATGGCGGGAAATTCGAATTTTGAACGTACTTTTTGCGTTTTCGAGTGTTTTTCATTGGGAAAATGAAGAAATAACGAAATTTTAGGCTTACTATAAGTCAACTAGAAAATAAACGCGCCAAAACTTTTTTCTTGCAAAAAACCGTACTCGGCAACATTTTCCGGGTTAGAAGCGGTCATCCTCTTCGTTATATCGTCTCCGAACGATCGGTCGCTCATTCAACACTTTTTTGAGCGCTTTACTCTGAAAATAGACAGAAATCTATAAAAAAGGACGCAAATGCGCGAAAACCAATTTGAATTCGATGGGTTCCCGCCAATACGAAACTCCGCTAAACCAGGCGCCGAGCGTTATTTCGGAGCGTCGTAAGTGGAGGAAAATTAATTTCGAAACTCGTTCTCAATGGAGTTTTGTCAATACTCAACCTTTTTTCGCCGTTTTTTCACTCAATTTTTGCAGAAAAAATAATTGTGTACCTGAATAATCAATTGTTATATCTTCAGCATCGAAAAATTATGGGAAAAGAGCACAAACGCAAGCGATCTCGTTCGCCGGAACGGAAACGAAGCAGAAGTCGTTCGCCACGCGATCGCCGCGAGCGGGACCGTGATCGGGACCGTCGGCGCGACCGGAACCGTGATCATGAACGCGAAAAACGGGATCGGGAGCGCGAGCGAGAGCGTGAACGCGAAAAGCAGCAGCGAGAAGTGGAGAGGAAGAAGGAGAGCAAGACGGCACTTTTCGAAATGGAGGAGACCAAAAATGGTGGGTTTTTTGGGGGGAAATCGAGATGAAAATTTTGATTTTTTCCAGACATTGACGACATACTAGTCATGAAAACGACGGATTTGGAGGCGGAAATGGAGAAACGCCGCCGAAATGTCGAGCTGTGGCGAGCGAAACGCAAAAAAGAGGAACTGGATCAGCAAACGGAGGCTTCCGAAGGTCAGAAGGCAAAGAAGAAGACGTGGAATCTGGAGGACGAGGACGACGAAGACGAATTCGACCTCGGAGCACAGACAACCACGGAAAACGGGCAGAAAATCGAGGAGATAGCGGTTAAAATGGAGGTGGTCGAGGAGGAGGACGACGAAGACCCTTTAGACGCGTTCATGAAGGATATCGCACAGAAAAACGCGAAAAAAACTGGCAAAAGTGCCTCGGGAGTGGTCACGATCGTTCAGGAAGAGAAGCCAGAGGTCGAGAAGGGACAAGTGCTCGAAAATGAGGATAACACCGATATTGTCATCGATGATTTCGATCTGGAGACCGCCGCCGCTTCATTGTGCCATAAAGGACGGCTCTTGGCGCAGACGGACCACAACAAAGTGTACTATCGCAAATTTAAAAAGAACTTTTATATTGAGGTTAGGTTTTACACTTTTTTAAATGTCTACATGGGCACAATCAAGAAATATATTTTAAAGTTTCGCAGTCTTCAAGAATGGGTGTTAGGGGGAGACGGAGGAAATGCAGCAAAGAGAAAAAGGGCAGACTATTGTCTTGATAGTTTTTCCGTGTTCTCGCGCGTAGATCAAAAATGTGTGCTCGAACGACACTCCGTTCAAACATTGGGCTCTGGGAAGGCAGTGCGGACGAGGAGAAAAAAGCGGATGGTCTCGGCGAACGAATGGCCAGAAGAGTGGGTTGGACAGTCGGCGGTGCGGCTTTCGCGCGAGTATTTGTGACCGGGCCAGGGACCGTTCAAGTATTTCACAGTGATCAAATCGAGTTTACGAGTGTTTTGATTGACAGGTGCTCATGTAAACAGATCATCGGAACACGAGTTCGTAGTTTGGTCTTGCGTTGCGGTCCTTCCTACCCGACGAGACAGTCCGTTCGGAGAGATCTCTCGGCAGAACCTTCCTCTTTTTTTTCCTGTCTTCCCAAAGGCGATACGGTCGCATTAAAGGCGCATACATAAATTTTGTCTCGTTGCTTGTTTTGACCTATCGCGCGTACCTCCCAAAAAGGACCATTCGTTTGTTCTTCTCCTTGTCTTGTGAACTCTCTTCCCAAAACGTATCCTTGTGAACGGAGAGTCGTTGAGAACAAACGACATTTGCAACAAAGCTGAATCTGAATCTTTTTCTGTCGAAAAAGTCGAAATTTTCTTATTGCAGACAGAAGAGATCAAGCGAATGACAAAGGCAGAAGTGAAGGCGTACCGCGAGGAACTGGACAGTATCACGGTGAAGGGTGTCGACGTGCCGAAGCCGATCAAAACGTGGGCACAATGCGGAGTCAACCTCAAAATGATGAATGTCCTCAAAAGGTGCGTTTTTCCGCTTTTTTAGATTTTTCCCTTTAAAAATCTGTATATTTAGGCAAGCGTACACAAAACCAACGTCAATCCAGGCGCAGGCGATTCCGGCGATCATGTCCGGCCGCGATGTGATCGGAATCGCAAAAACGGGCAGTGGAAAGACGTTGGCGTTCATTCTGCCAATGTTCCGACACATTTTGGATCAACCCGAACTCGAGGACGGCGACGGACCCATCGGTTGGTGGTTTTTGAAAAATCCGGACCCTGTTGTTTTTTTTGCAGCTGTGATCCTGGCGCCAACGCGCGAGTTGGCAATGCAAACGTACAAAGAGGCGAACAAATTCGCGAAAGTGCTCGGATTGCGAGTGGCGTGCACGTACGGAGGCGTCGGAATCTCCGAACAAATCGCCGATCTGAAGAGGGGCGCCGAAATTGTGGTGTGCACGCCCGGACGCATGATCGACGTGCTGGCCGCTAATAGCGGTGAGCTATTCGAATTTCGGACCAGTTCCGGAATTGCAACATTCTTGTAGTTTCACTCCTCTTCAACTTTGATGACTCTCAGAGAATCCGGATAACTTTGGAAGACAAACCTCTTTCCATCCAGAAACCGTCAGAAAACTGGTCCTAGAGTGTATTGCTTGAGATCTATTCTATGATATCTGAGAGTATTGTAGCATCAGAAAAATGACAGATAAGCTGATGGCAGCTCTTGAGACTAACTATTTCATTGGTAACATCGGGCTCACTGTCTATATACCTGGATATATCTAGTCGTAGAGGAGTGACACCATACTGTTTTACTGTTAATGTAGCCTAACAGCATTCTTCATCCCAGAGAAAGATGGTAAGCGTGCGAGAAGGCGCGCTCGCTCTCGCTTTTTTCGCACGCTAGGGGACCATTTATTCTTCCTGACTCATGGTACCTAGTGCAGCATCTCTGTTTTTATTCATTGAGGATTTCGATTCAAAACCTCGCTATTGTGATGAAAAAAAAAGAAAATAATAAATGTTCAGGAAAAGTGACAAATTTGCGAAGAGTCACCTACCTGGTGTTGGATGAGGCCGATCGAATGTTTGACAAGGGATTCGAGCCACAGGTACACTGTTTTTTTTTAAATTTTTCTGTGCTTTACCCATTTTTTTGCAGATCATGAAAGTGGTGAACAATATCCGTCCGGACAAGCAGACCGTCCTTTTCTCGGCCACATTTCCACGTCACATGGAAGCGTTGGCACGCAAAGTGTTGGATAAACCCGTCGAGATTTTGGTACGCGTTTTATCCCTAACCAATATTCAACAAAAGTCAATTTTTGCCACTTTGCAGGTGGGCGGCAAGTCGGTGGTGTGCTCCGACGTCACTCAGAACGCGGTGATCTGCGAGGAGCACCAGAAATTGCTGAAATTGCTGGAATTGCTCGGAATGTACTACGAACAGGGCTGCTCGATCGTTTTTGTGGACAAACAGGAGAAGGCGGACGATATTGTGGACCAGCTGATGAAGACGGGCTACAATTCGGTGGCGCCGCTGCACGGAGGCATCGATCAGCACGACAGGGACTCTTCGATCGCCGACTTCAAGACGGGCGTCATCAAAGTGTTGGTTAGTCGCTCCTTTTTTTTCATACTTGCAAACGAGGCGATTTCGGGCCGGCTGATGACTTGCTTCAGAATCAAAGTTGTGAGTAGAGCAGGGCAGAGGCCTGGACTTTTAAACCACCTGCAATAATTGGATCGGACTTGCAGGCTTCTTGGACTTGGTTTTCAGTCTGATCGGACCATCTGGCCCCGAGATAGGCCGAGTTTTTGCGAAAATTGCGGCCTATTCGGTCTCTGATCCACATATCTTGGGACCAGATGATCCGATCGGTCGGTAACTCGTTGCAAGTGGGTCAAGAGTCGAGGCTTCTTCAGGCCTTCAAAAATCCGGGCATTTTGCCCAGTCCTAGAGTAGAACGACAAACCAGATTGTAGATCTCGATAAGTTCTACAACTGTTTCTATGTTTTTTTTCTATTTCCAGGTCGCCACTTCTGTCGCCGCACGTGGATTGGACGTCAAAAATTTGATTTTGGTGGTGAATTACGATTGTCCGAACCATTACGAAGACTATGTGCATCGAGTGGGACGGACGGGAAGAGCCGGACGCAAAGGATACGCCTACACGTTCGTGCTCCCAGAACGTATGCTTTTTTGTTGCCCAAACGACAGGATAATAATATTATTATTATTTTCCAATTGAGCATCAAGTTTTTCTTGAAACAGCAGAAATATACAATGTTTTTCAGATCAGGAAAAGATGGCGGGCGAGATTTGTCGGGCGTTCGAGACGGCCGGATGCAAGGCGCCGGCGGACCTAAAGGCGATGTTCGAGCGGTTCAAAAAAGAGATGGAGGAGCAGGGAAAGGAGGTGAAACTGGGCGGAAAAGGATTCGAGGGCAGCGGATACAAGTACGACGAGGGAGAGGCGGAGGCCGACGCGAACAAGAAGAAGATGGCCAGATTGGTACGCAGTTTACAGTATCTTTATAGGAAACATTGAGAATCGTGGACTATTTCAGGTGCACGGAATGGAGACGGGCGGCGACGACGACGACGATCTCGACGAGCAAATTTCGTCGATAATGAAGACGAAGCGGCGAGTGGTGCACGGAAAATTGCAGTCGGCGGACAAGTCGGCGGGTGGCGGACCGCAGAAAAACGACAAAAATCTGGAGAAGCGGAAGGAGACGGCGCTGCAGGCGGCCGAATTGCTCAATTCCCGACTGAAAGGAGCCTCGGCGGCGCCGCCGCCCGTCGAGAAGAACGCCGCGCAGCTGACGGCGGAGGCGGTAATGCGCGGCGGTGAAATCGCGCCCGCGCAAATGTCGGCCGCCATGCTCGCCAAGCAAGTCGCCGATCGGCTCAACGAGAAGCTCAATTATCTGGGAGGTATGCGGGCTTTATCTTTGAGACCTCTTCGTTTCGCCACTAAAACTAATTTGGCATATTTTTAAAGTGCAAATTTTTGTTCCCAAAGTCCTAGTGCAACATTTTGCAGGCGAGACGGCGCCGACACAGCAGCAAGAAGAAGTGTGGGAATATTTTGAGGAGGAGTGGGACATCAACGACTTCCCGCAACAAGTGCGCTGGAAGATCTGCTCGCGCGAGTCCGTCGGCCACGTGGCAGAACTGGCGGAAGTGGGAATCAGTGTGCGCGGAACGCACGTGCCGGAGGGAAAACAGCCGAAAGCCGGCGAGCGGAGGCTCCATTTGCTGCTGGAGGCGAGAAGCGAACGCAATCTGAAGGCGGCCAAGGAGGAAATTATTCGCATCATGAAGGAGGCACTCAGACAACTCGTGAGCACACATTTGAAATTAAACATTGAAAAAATGATTGCTTTACTTCACAACTTTACAAAATACCGGGGCTGGGCAAATTTCGGCCCACGCTTTTCAAAAGCTTTTTGAGGCCTGGACTTTTGACCGGGCCAAAAAGGCCAGGTTATTGCGATTATCGCAAGTGGGTTAAAAGTCCAGGCCGCAAAAAGCCTTCGAAAAGCCTTTGCGGAAAAATGGAAATGTTCAGAGAAATTAGCTGCTGGAAACTGTTAATTTTTCTCATTTTTCAGACCGCCCAAATTCAACGAGGAGGAACTCAGGCCAGATATCGCGTCTGATTTTAATAATTACATTTCATTTTACAAAAATTGGTCTCTTTTCCGTTTTTAAAGACGATTTTGCAACTAAAAACAATTGTTCTGTAATTTATCACAATTTTATTGCCGTTCCAATGAAAACGAATAAATTCTGTGTAAATGGGAATATTTAATCAATTCCCGTAAATGAGACGCGTAACGTTACCTGAAAACTTTAACAAAAATGTTGAACTCAAAAATGCGTCTTTTATTGATTGATGTTGGGAAGAAAATTATTTGAACAAATTGAGAGAGAGAGAGAGATCCAGAAAAATCGGCAGAATTTGAGGAAGAGGAATTCGAAGGAAAAATGGGGTCCAAATCGATCAATAGTCAAAATAAACGGCTCCGTGCGTCTCGAAGTAGTCCCTCGGGATCACATCCGGTCCCATCAACCTTGTCAATCGTGCGTTCACCAGACGGCCCAGGTTGAAGATCAATTCGCGCAAATCCGAATCCACATTCTCCCGCACCGCGCGTTTTTTGAAAACAGCACAAGTGCGAATGTAGGCGTGAAGCGAGGGCAGTTCGCCGCGACAAACGTACGAGAACTCGACGTACTGCTCCGTATCCGCCTGCAATCGTCTCACCTGCTCCTCGAGCGTCTCCGTCTCGTCCTCTTTGAGCAGTCCGTCCGACAGCACCTCGGGCATTTCGATCCTCTTCGGCGCCTCGGACCAAATCGCCATTTGGACGGCGTGTGGAACCATATCCAACACCGGGTCACAAGTCGGAATGGTCTTGCAGAGCTCTTTCAGTGAATTGTAGGATTTGACGAAGAAAATCGGGAGACGTGGCGGATGGTCTTCGAGAAATTTCGACGCGGGCATCGAGATTTGATGCTCGTCCATCACGGCCCAATTTTCGATGAATAGGACCGTCTCGTCGCGAATCTGCTGGGCGGACTTGCCGATTGACGCGATCGTTTGGGCGGACATTCTAAACCGAATCGATGGAAAATGAGAGAAGGTGAATGAGGGGCAAATGAGATGGAATGAATGAATGAGCAGTGAGGAGCAAACTGGAAAAAAGTGAACAACGTCACCTACGCGCGACAGCATTCTAACGTCGCGTACTGTGTGCAAATTTGAATTCCCGCCGCTAGCGTTCTATCGATTTTATATTTCCACGAATTGACTGAGTAGCGACTCAACAAGCGTTGTGATGATACGGAGCTTTTTTTATAGCCTCGAAGTACTTTTGAGAGTTAAGTATCAAGATTTTGAGGGCCTGAACTCCGGATCAGTATATCTCCAGTGTGAATAATCGGATTCGTCTGAAACTTGGACACAAAATAGTTGAATGCGAGTCCTAAAAGCCTGCAAAGTTTGAGCCCGATCGGCATGTTGAAAATGATCTGAAATTCCAGAATTGCGGCAACAGTCGGACAAATAGGTCCGGATGAAACAGTAAAAAAAATTGGTCGATAACTTTTGTAAACCAGACTTGCAACGGGCCGGGCCGGGCCAAAATTGGAAATTTTCCGGCCCGGTCGGCCCGGGAGGATGCACCTAAAAATTCAAAGCAAACTAGAACTTCGAAACGAACATAATTTTATAGACTTAAAATTTTATAGACTTAAAAAGGCAATGTTATAGCATAAAAACCTGTTAAAAAATAGAAATTGCTGTTTAAAGTCGCAAAATTTTCACAAAAATTACGAAAATTTTCTCAAGAGTGGGCGGAGCCGGGCCGACCGGGCCGGGCCGGGCCGGCCCGGGATTTGGCAAGTCTGTTGTAAACCGATAAAAATGAATGGGCCGGAATCCAAAATTATCGACATTTATCGATAAATCCGTCCGGCCCGCACGATTCATTGAAATCTATTATATAAATATTTATCGACAACCCCCTCATTTCCATTCCGTCACATGTTTCGTTATGGGAAATTTCATTGAAAAGCTATGAATATTGTCTATATTTATCGATAATTTCTCTCGATGGACCCCTCTTTCCGATTTCTGTCCGCCCGGGCGGCTGTTCGCATTGTGTCCACTGAATATGCATCACTCTTTCTCTCCCTCTCTCTCCTCGTTTCTCTGCGTCTTTCACTCCCTCTTTCCGCCTACTTTACTACACTTTTCCGCCTTCTACTTCTTCTTCTTCTTCTCTCTCTCTTTCGTTGTTGGTCTGAGCCATTACACAGTGTTGAGCCGCATTTGCGAGCAGCTTTGCTCGCCGAGCACAACGCCTACGCATTCATTCGACTCTCGCCGATTTTATTGATTTTTCGGGCGATTTTTGACTGAATTTAGATGGATTTATACAATTTAGGCGAATCATCTGGAAAACCGTGACTATCAACTTGTCAACTGACTCATTTCGCCAGCATTCTTCTTTCTTTTCTTCTTGAAACCTTTAATCTCTTTAAAGTAATCGGTTTTCTTCAGAAAATGTCCTCAACTTTGGGTCGTAGCAAGACTCCGTCAAGGGAAGAGCCCAAGAAAAAGGTATTGTCTGAAACATGGCCACGCGAAAACCGGGTTTTCAAAGTTTAATTTCAGGAGAGTTTTGTGGACAAACTGACGGGAACTCTTTCGAGAAAGAAGAAAGTTCCGGAAGACGAGGCCGCCTACGACGAGGACGAAGTTCTCGAGGTTTTATTGATTTTCATTCATTTTTCAATTAAAAAACAGTTCTTAAAGGTGTTAAATTGTTTTTGTGTAAAACTGAAAGAAATATTTGGTTACGTTTATTTACAGCTCGAACTGGAAGGCCGCGATGCTCTCGACTCGTCGTTGGTGCCGACTTTGGCCAAAAATATTTGGCTGGAAGAAGGTACGGTGGCCTAACTCTTGCCAATTTTGTGGCCTAGGAACCCCGAATTTAAAAACATTGAGCAAGCAAAAAAGTAGTTTGCAGGCGAGATCCGTCGCTACCTGACGAAAGAGACGGCGCGCGACCAAAAACTGGCGCAAGTGGTCGATCTGCTCATCTATTGGCTGAACGAGGAGCTCGCCGAGCAGCGAATCGTCGTCCGTCACATTCAGGAGGACCTTTTCGACGGACAAATCATCCAGAAACTTTTGGAAAAACTCGAACAAATTCGGGTGGGTAATAAAGACACAAAACTGTCGAATCTCAGACAATTCGATAATCTCGTGTACTTCGCACGACACCTTTTCAAACAACCCTATTGCTTCGTTTTCAGATCGAAGTTCCGGAAGTTTCGCAATCGGAAGAGGGCCAACGTCAAAAGTTGCAAATTGTGATCCAAACGGCGAATCGCGTGCTCGGACAGCCGAGGGAACAGGAGAAATGGTCGGCCGACCTCATCCATCAGAAGGTCCGTTTCACAAATCATTTTTTTTAAGCGCTTCGCACTTTTTAACCTTGATCGATTGAGATGGTTGGAGAATGCGGATTTAAATCGGAAACCTATCGATTTGATGCATTTTTCTTGTGAACACACAAATTTTTGAGCACTTGACGCAGTGTGAATTTTTGAAGACATTTTTTAAAACTTTAAGAAAAAAACGACAATGTTTTTATGTCGAAAACCCCGATTCTAATTTACAAGAGAGTACAAAAAGATATCGAATTTTTCAATATCGATTTTTGTTACAACATACCCGCGAAACAGTACTCATTTTCAAGGACTTTACCGCCATCCTCCAACTGCTCGTCCTTCTGGCACTCCACTACCGCGCGCCGATCCGTTTTCCGGATAACGTCGTCGCGAACGTCGTCGTCGCGCAAAAAGAGCACGGACAAGTCAAGACGCACCGAATCGCCGAGCAGATCACTACTGTGCAGACGGAACTCGCGCCCAAAGTAGGAAATTCTGACGAGTACTCAAACACTATTTTTTTTCTCAGGGAACCCGCGACGCGTTCGACACCCTTTTCGACTACGGACCCGACAAACTGGCGCACGTCAAGACTTCTCTCTTGGCGTTCTGCAATAAGCATTTGAACAAGATCAATCTCGAGGTGATTTTTAGAAAATCGATACTTTTTCAAGACGTTTTTCCTGATTTTTGCAGTCAAATTAAGGCTGACTTTGCATTTTGCGCATTCTTGACAGTTTTCTATGATCAATCGCGTGAATAGAGACATTTTAAGCGCTCAAACCGTAAAAACCGTGCTAAATTTTTTTTTGCAGGTCTCCGATCTGGACACTCAATTCCAGGACGGCGTGTTCCTTGTCCTTTTGGTCGGTCTGCTCGAAGGATACTTTGTGCCACTCTACCATTTCAATCTACAAGTGCAAAACCATGAGGAGAAGGTGAAGAACGTGCAGTTCGCGTTCAAATTGATGGAAGACGCCGGACTCGAGAAGCCGAGATCGCGTGTGCAGGACATTGCCAACGGAGATGTCAAGGTTCGGAGTTGGACTTTGAAAAAAAAGAAAACTGCTTCTTTTCCAGAGCACTCTCCGTCTCCTTCACTTGCTTTTCACCAAGTACAAGCACATCTAAATTAAAATTTTAATGCATTTCCTCAGATTATTCTTGCTCAACCAATGGTGCTTTACCCTTCCTTTTTTTAACCACAAGATACTATCGTACGAACTTTTGTAAGACAGCTTATGTTTTTTTGTCATCATTGCATTACATACTTTTGAAGAAACCGCATTTATTCCACAAAAAAAAAGTCAATTGTCCTTTGAGCTCTTCTCCTCGGATTTCGTCGCCGAACTCTCCTCCTCCTCCTCGTTTTCCGACAATTTCATCAGGTTTTTACGCAAAATTTTACCGCTCGCCAGTTTCGGAATCGCGTCGATGAAGACGAAACGATCGACCCATTTGTAGGAGCTCAACTTTTGTTTGTGGAACTCGGTGAGCTCGGCCTCTGTGAGCGTGTGCTCCTTTTTGACGACGTACGCTTTCGGCGCCTCGCCACGCTGCTCGTCGGGCACTCCAATCACCGCGCAGTCCTTGACTTTCGGATGCAACAGGAGCACGTCTTCGATTTCGACCGGCGGCACCTGCAAACAAACAGGTTGATCAATTACAAAGTTGTTTAGCACGGCGACCAAAAACCTAGAAAGGGCGTGGCCTAGCGTGCACGATTTATCACCATTTGGCGCGAAATTCGAAATTTAACCCCATTTTTCATGCTTTTCGTCCAAAAATTACCCAAATTTTGTACGATTTTGACGATGTAATTGCACAACTTTGTTAAACTAATCATCGCGCACTTTTTGAGCTTTAAACGAGCAGGTTTCATTCAGAAATGAATCAATTGAATCGATTTTAAGTTTTGAGCTGAAAATGCGCGAATTTCAGTCATTCGCCGATACTTTTTGCCGTTTGAACGCTAAAAATACTTGTATTAACGTGCTTACGACACTCACTTCGTCTCAAAACTATTCAGATCGGCCGGTATGAAAATTCCGAAATTGCGGCGGTGAATGGCCGCGGTGGGCGTATTGCGAAATATGCCAAAAACGTCTCAAACGCGGCGTTTTCACGAAAATTTCGATGTTTTCTCTCATTAATGTTTTCTTTCGTCGATATCAAACACAAAAATATCGGAAAAGTGCTGAAATTGCGGCAATTTTCAGAAAACGCGTCTCAGATTAAGCTACGCCCCTTTCTACACTTTTGGTCGCCGTGTTTAGCATAAAATTCTCTACATTTTCGAGATATAGTACCTGCATTCCGTTCACTTTGATCAGTTCCTTGATCCGCCCGGTCACATGGATTCGTCCCTTCTCGTCAATGGATCCGAGGTCGCCGGTCCGCAAAAACCCGTCCTTGTCAATGATATCCGTCTCTTCCTTATTCAAATATCCCTTCATCACCGTGGGACCACGGAACAACAGTTGACCGATTGTGTTGATGGCGGTGATCTGACGGCCAAGGAGGTGAGAATGAGCAAAAAAGTCGTGAAACCGCAAGTACCTCTTTGCCGTCCTTGCCGCACAGCTTCATCTCGTACGTGGCGCCCAAACTGCCGACCGTCTCGAAGCAGTCGCCGTGTTCGAAGCGCGGAAAAGTGGTGAACTGGACCATTTCGGTCATTCCGTACGCCTGACACAGCCACGCGTTCGGAAAGCGCTTCTTCACCTCCTCGCACAGCTGCTTGCCCGCCGTCGCGCCCGCCGAAAGAATCACTTTGAGCCACGGGTGCACGTTGAAGATCGGCACCATCGCGTCCTTGGCCAGAAATATGAGCACGGGCGGCACCACCCACAACAGTTTCACCTGCAACCAACACACAAATACGTAGTATTATTCGAATGAAAACGCTTTGAGAACGAGACAAACAAAAAAACCTTGTAAAACTTGATGCGATTGAGCATGACGATCGAGTCAAACTTTTTGAAGACGAGTCCCGTCATTCCCATGAGAATCGTCTCGAGCATCGTGTTGAGTCCGTACGCGTGGTACCACGGCAGAAAAAGACACGTGTTTTCTTTCAGCCACTGCTGCGGCTTGTCCTTGCCGAACATTGCTTGCGAGATTTCCGTCTCAAAGTGACTGCAAAACAGGCTATTTGACTGTAGGCATCGTGAAATCACTCACTGTTTCGCCACATCCAACATGGCTCCAATGTTTCGGTGCGTCAATTGGCACGCCTTCGGACGTCCGGTCGTTCCCGACGAGAACGGAAGGAGGGCGATCGAGTCGAGCCTACAAAATTGGATTGAGCGTCCAAAGAACATTTCGTCGCCCTACTCTAAAAACCCGTAACTTTTAGATTCATATATCTTGAGATTCAATGAGTATTTCAAAAAGTGGTAAACTGCAAAGTTGCAGCAAGTTTTGTGCTAAACAAATTTGTAGTTGATCATTTTATCCCAAACCCTGTCATTCTTAAGTTATGGTCTCGTTTCCAAACAGTGTCGACTAGGGCGTGATTTTTTTTTGAATCGATAAAAACAACGAACGGGCACTTATAGTTGACGGGCGGCTCCTCGGGCGTTTGCGACAATTCGACCCAATCCAATACGTTCTCGGGAAAATCGGTTCTCATCGGAAACGTGCGCAGACAAATGATCTTCCGCACGTTGGGACACTTTGCGACCGCGCGACGGATACGAGCCAGACGGTCCTCGTCGGTGAACACTATCGACGCGTTCGCATCGTGGAATTGCAGTTGGAGCTCGTCTGAAAATGTTTTAAGCACCATGCACCACATTTCATTTTCCGTAAATGAGAACATTTGAGTTTTCAACGAAAGTTTTTTGCGACAAAACTCTGTTTCAAAAGAAATTTATATAAGAATATGAATTCGGCGTAAATGTTAAACTCACAATCGGTGAAGATGGCGCTGGCATTGGACATTGCGCCCCCGCATTTCATCACGGAAATCATCGAAATTAGAAACTCGGGACAATTGGGAAACGCCTGCGCGGCAGTGTCTCCAGGCTTGAATCCACTGAAAAAACGTTAAAAATTTATATCTTTTTTCAAAAAATAGCTGCAGACTCGTTTTTTGGCTTAAAATTTTACGAGTTGTCTGTAGAATTGAAAAAAAAAACTAATGAGACCCCAAAACTGACAGCTTGACGAGCGCGGCGGCCATACTATTGACGAGTGGCTCGATTTCACGATAATACTTTTTTTTCGTCGTCGTTTCAGCATCAATCTAAATAGAAAATAAGTTAAAATTTATAAAAAAGCGTGTTTACAAAGCAAACAGCGTCCTTGTCGGCGGCTGCGTGGGTCCGGCACGCCTCGAGAATCCGCTCGTGGACCGTCGTCGTCGAAAGCTTCATTGGACCGACTGTGGACACAAAAACCATCTGAAAATGTGGCATTTTTTTTCAGAATCTTAATAGTGCTGAAACGTACGTTGTTCACGAAAACTGTCTCGGTGACAAAATCTCAGCAAGAATAAACTAGCGCTGACGGTGAATTCAGAATAATTTTGTGAGAACTTTTTTTGAAATCTGTTTCATTTTAGAGCAATGTCAGTTCAGTTCACGTCTTCTGTGAGTTGCTTTTTGACATTTCACCAAATATTTCATGTTTTTGGTTGCCTGAACGATCTGAAACAGCTCCAAATCTTCTGAAACCTGAACTTCTGAAACCCCTGCTCATTGTTGAGCAATTTTTTTTAATTTTGGGTTATTTCGTGCGGAATTTCTTTTGCCTTTGTGTTTGTCTCTTCAAAGCCCTTCAAAATCACAAATTTTCAGCCAAAAAAGGCTGAAATCCGTTGATGATTCAAAAAAGTGCAGTAGAGCGCACTTGTATATCGTCTTCAATCCCGTCAATTTGTTTCGATTTTCTTTGCGTTCTTTGTGTCGTTCGTTGATTTTCCAACAAAAACTATTGAGATAGTGTTGTTTTCGCTGAAACTGTGTTGAAAATCATATATTTTCTAGTAAAATCCGTGATTTCTCACTACAAACGGATATTTAGTGATTTTCCATTGATCTTTTTTCGACTCCTTAATTGTTTGTGACATTTTTGACTTGATCGATTATTATTTTTGACTTGAAATTCCCCTTTCTAGTTCTAATAAAACTTGCATTTTCAGATGGCGTCGTCGTTGCCGCCAGTACTTCTTGCACGCCTTCAAAAGCGTGGTCTCATCAAGAACGAAGAGGAAGTGATCGCCGAGAATTATGACAAAGAACCGGAGAAAAAAGTACGTTTCTCTTATGCTTACCTCAGAAATCAATAAAACGCAGACAGCTTCTCCAAAAGATGCTAGACCTTGAAACCTACGTACTACACATTCTTTACGCGAAAAATATGCAAAAATCGGCAATTTTCAGGTGGATCACGAAGAAAACGCGGCGGGAGCGCCCGGCTGTCCGAATAAAACGAATCCGTTCCACGTCTGTGTCGAATTCTGTTACGATCATTGGGGAGACGGTACTCCCGAGTACAGGTACGTCCTGGAATTTTTTTGCGATTTTTCGTTAAATAATTACTTTCAGACTTCCCGAAAAATATGTGCAACAAAAGAACCGAATGCTCGCCAAATTTCCGCTTCCCGACAATTGGGCCGAGGTTTACGACGAGGGAATCGCCAAATTCTATTTTTGGAATAAAGTCACCGATGAGGTGTGTTGGTACTCTCCACGTCATCCACGCGCAATAATCAGCGATCCGGCGCCGAGAATTGCGAGAGAACAGGCGGCTCAGTTATTCGGCGATCCCACACAGTCCGAGGTATGTTTTTTTTTTGAAAGACCGTTAAAAAAGGGAAAACATGGAAGAAAAAACGTCAAAATCATTTCCGTTTCAACCAATCTTAAAATTGAAGGGGCATTGTTGTGTTGGATCCGAGCGGAAGCGAGTGTATTTGAGAATACTTTATTGAGGAAGTCACAAGTCCAGACAGGAGAGAGAGAGAAGAATAATCGGGGAAGCGGGGGGAGATGTCGAGGACAGAAGGGCCAGGTAGAACACGTGGCCAGAGAACAAAACGTTTTAGTGAATATTTGTGTGTATAGCGCCGTACACAACAGGCATGATCGACAAAAGTCGAATAAGCATCATTATGTCGACGTGGCAATCGACATGAAAGCGCGGTGTTTTTAAAAAAAACGCTTGTGTGTTTGAGAGACCTTTTTTTAATCTACAAAAACTTTCTGATCTGCACGGCATGACATTTTGTTAGCTTTTTTGTCACTCTACAAAACACTTCTCTTTTTGCAGGAAGACAACGCGGCGCGTCGTCGAAATCATCATTTCGGAGGTGGTCGTGATCGATTCGGCGGCAGAACATTCGAGAAACGCAAGAAGAACGAGCCGATGACGTCGAATGGACCGGATTCGGACGACGACGAATTGCAGGAAATGAACAATAGAGACCGGCTGAAGCGGGCGAAACGGAAGGGAATCGATCCGATGGACCCGGCCGCTTACGGAGATGCTCCTGTGTATGTTCACTTTTTTTTGTGTTTCGGTGTGACTTCTCAATAACTTTTGTTTAGAAAAACGTTGCTCTCAAGAAGTGACGAATAGGAAAAAATTGACAATTTTTTTTTACGAATTCTGTGTTAACTTTACCGTTTCTGGCGAGTTTTTAAATGTAAATTCTAGTCTCCACTCTAGTCCACGCTTCTCAATTGTCTTTTTCAGCGGAAAATGGTCGGACGGACTGCGAGTGGACCAGGTGACGGGCGCTGACGTCACCGCCGGCGGACCGCTTTTCCAGCAACGACCCTATCCGGCGCCCGGAGCAATTCTCAGAAAACAGAAGCCGCAGGACGAATAATAATCGATTTTCCATATTTTTCTCGTAAAAGTCATTCGAAAAATTGCAAAAATGAGAGGAATTACGGCAGTTTTACCTTCAACAATCACGCCACTTTTCTCTCTTATTTATTCGTAGTACGTACATGTTCCTGTGCTCATTGAGCAAACACGCACACACCACTTTTTCTCTCTGTGTCTCCATGGATTCTCAATGTGTTTTTCCTCTTTTTCTGGCAATTTTCCATATTCATTTTGAACGGATTTTCGGCCAATGCGGAAAAATTGGCGCTAATATTTCGCAATGAACATCCACATTTCCTTGACATTTCGCCACTTTTCTGTCAATTTTTCTGACTGATAACAGAAACAAATACCGGTTTGCCAACCCGCATTTCTCTATTATCAAACACACGTTTTCTTGTGATTTTTAGCTTTTTTCTAGAACTGGACATTTGCCGGCTCAAAAATGTTTGGAAATTGCCCTTGGTGTGAAGTGTCTTCAGGACAATTTTGGGCCCAAATGGATAATCTCTCTTCTAGGGCCTCTGCAGCTAGGTTCTTTGAAAAAAAGACGACATATCGAGCTGAAAATAGTCCTGAAGATGCCCCATACCAAGGGCAATGTCCAAACATTTTTTGGGTCCGATCGGTCAACTGGAAGTGGGCCAAAAACGGTAGAAAGATTACTAGAACGATTGTATTCCGACTTTTGAGTTAAATTTCCAGCATGGAATCCATAAAGCATACGGCCGAGGTTATTGTCGATCTGACAAAAATGCACTATCACATGGTCAATGATCGGTAAATTTTAAGAAACTACATAAAAAATAACTTTGAAAACGGTTCATTTTTAATAAAAAAATTTTAAACAGTAAATTAAGGACGCATTAAAATTTAAGAATGCTTCGATACGAAAAGGATATTAGATACGGGTCCGTGGTCCCTGGATCCGTCAAAACTGTAACTTGGCTCAACGCCATTCGATTCCTCGCATCTCTTTGATCTATCCACGGACCGTGGGACCACGTGCCCGGACCTAGCATCATTTTTTGATCTTGGTCGAGTCTTACAGAAAATTTGAAAAAAGGTTTGCGATTTTTCAGACTCTCCCGTTACGATCCGGCGATTCTCGTGTTGGCGGCGTTCGGCGGTACCCTCGTCTACACAAAAGTCGTTCATTTGTACCGAAAAAGTGAGGATCCGATTCTCAAAAGGTTCGTTTTTAAATTGGGGGAAGGATCGGATCGACACAATAAATAACGAAATCGGTTTCCATTTCCAGACTGGGCGCCTACGTATTCTCACTTCTCCGCAAACTTCCGCAAGTCCGGGAGCGCATCGAAAAAGAGCTGTCGGCGGAAAAACCGAAATTGATCGAAGCGATTCACAAAGACGACGGAGACCGCCAATTTATTGCCAGTTCGTAGACAAACAGTATTTCGACTGAAATTTGTCTGAAACTGACATTTCGCAACTGCCACGCTTCGTAACCCTTCGGTCAGAGTTGCGAAATGTTTGAGGAAATAGTTAAAACCATAGTCGAACACACAAAAACAGCAAATGCTAGCTAACAAATTCCGGTGAAACACAATACTTTTATCGAGTTTGCAGCGCTTCCCATTTCGCCGCTCTCGCAGGATTCAATTTTGGAGTTGGCCGACAAGTACGAGAAATATAACACGTTCAACATTGAGGAAGGACGCGTCTCGGGCGCCGTTTACACTGATAGACATGAGGAACACGTCGATCTACTCGGAAATGTTGGTTTTTCTTGGTTACTATAGGGGCACCGAATAGAAATGGCGCTCTGTTCGCAATCTGGCCGAATTTCTAGGCCGCGAAGTAATTTTCCACTGAAAACGTGGCCTAACTTTTCAAAATCGGCCCCGAGGTCGCTCAATTTGCACTGCAAAAAGAGTTTCTCAATAGAGCGCCCTTTCTGTTCGGTGCCCCTATAATAAACGTGTCGCGTACTACAAAATGAGCATATTTTTAATGTGCAGTTCAAATTAGCCGATTTGTTTCGAAAAAAAAGCTAAGAAGTCCACGAGAAGTACACGGCGGGTGGAGTTTTCTAGTCCTTCGAATTTCAGACGAGTTCCGCTCGAGAAATCGATAATCTCGTGTCTTTTTGAAAATTTGTTCATTTTGTACATAGTACACGACACCTTTAAAGGTAGTTCATCATCGATTCGCTTATGTCTTAATAGATCTACAAAAAGTACGCGTTCTCGAACCCGCTGCACCCGGACGTCTTCCCGGGAGCCCGTAAAATGGAGGCGGAACTCATCCGGATGGTGTTGAATTTGTACAACGGGCCGGAGGATTCGAGCGGCAGCGTCACGTCCGGAGGCACCGAATCCATCATTATGGCCTGCTTTTCCTACAGGTTTCACACCTTTAAACAAGGGGTTTTTTTTTCAAAAAGGGTACACCCGAATGAAATTAGTACTTGACAATTAAATTCCACTTTAAAATTGTAATTTTGAAATGGAATTTAGCTAAAACGGTAAAATTTATTGTTATTATTATAGAATCTATAGAATTTATCAACAAAACACAAGGAAAACTACAACTTTTCAGCGCCATAAAACGTCGTTAATCGCAATAGAGTTAGCTGGAAATTTTAGCTGAAACGGTTAATAAATTTGGAATTTAACTCGAGAAATCGAGCATAGAGACCTCGGCTTTTTTGATAAAAGTATAAGTGTATTGTGTTCTTCAAAATTAGCCAGATTAGAGGTTTAAAAAATAAATCCGAAAAAAACGCGTTTCTTCAGAAACCGTGCCATCAAAATGGGCATCGAGAATCCGGTGATTTTGGCGGGACGGACCGCCCACGCGGCGTTCGACAAAGCCGCTCATCTGTGCGGAATGCGCCTGAGACACGTTCCCGTCGACGAGAATAACCGCGTCGATTTGAAGGCGATGGAGAGACTCATCGATTCCGACGTTTGCGTGGTCCGTCGGCAGATTTAGACAATACTCAAACGTTTATTTATTTTGCAGCTCGTCGGCTCGGCGCCCAACTTCCCGTCCGGAACAATCGATCCGATTCCGGAAATTGCCAAGGTGATCGAATGAAAACATGCTCAATCGTAATACTCGATTGCAGCTCGGCCAAAAGTACAGAATTCCGGTGCACGTGGACGCGTGCCTCGGCGGATTCCTGATTCCGTTCATGAACGACGCCGGCTTCCTGCTGCCCGTCTTCGATTTCCGCAATCCCGGAGTCACGTCCATCTCGTGCGACACACACAAGGTACCGTATCCTTGTCGATCGTGTGTCGTGAAACAATTTCTATCTTCTTGAATGTTCCAGTACGGCTGCACGCCGAAAGGCTCGTCGATCGTAATGTACCGCTCGAAAGCACTCCACCACTACCAGTACTTTTCGATTCCCGACTGGTGCGGAGGCATATACGCGACGCCGACGATTGCGGGATCGCGGGCCGGCGCGAACATCGCCGTCGCCTGGGCCACACTCCTTTCGTTCGGGCGGGATGAGTACGTGCGCCGGTGCGGACAGATTGTGAAGCACACGCGGATGTTGGCCGACAGGATCAAGGATATCAAGTGGATCAAGGTAGGCAAGGCGTCGAATCAGTTCATCTCGGGACCGGACGTTTGTAATAGTTTTGAGTGAAACAGGGAACAACGTGATACCTAGTTGCTGTACTTGAATAACGAAACGTTTTTGTAGCCCTACGGCAGCTCGGACGTGTCTTTGGTGGCCTTTTCCGGAAACGGAGTCAACATTTACGAGGTGTCGGATCGATTGATGAAATTGGGATGGAACCTCAACACTCTGCAGAATCCGGCGGCGTAAGTTACACTTGCCGTTTCGCAACCAACTCTGCAACCAGTGTGTAGCACTTAGATTGTGCGCGTTTAAAGTTGTGGAATGTTTGGTTGCAAAACATGATAGTTGCTTGCTGTTCAAAGAAATTAGAAGATTTTGAACATTCTCGATAGCTTGTTCCCTCCCAAAAAATGCGTAAATGTTCCAGAATTCACATCTGTCTGACGATCAACCAGGCCCGTGAAGAAGTGGTCGACGCGTTCGCCCGTGACCTCAGCAGTGTGTGCGAGGAGCTGGCGGCGGCCGGGGACACGAAGCCGGAGCACGGAATGGCGGCCATGTACGGAATGGCCGCGCAGGTGCCCAAATCGGTCATCGATGACGTCATCGCCCTCTACATCGACGCCACCTACTCGGCGCCACCGAAAGCATAAATTATTTTACGTTTTACTGTGATGGACTCAATTTTATACGATTTTTATTGTGAATAAAGAGCTTCTAGATGGTTTCTTAGAATTTTGAAAGTATTTTTACATTTCTTGTTATGAATATCCCATTTCTCATTAACTCTTCAAAGTTTTCCAACGTTTTTCCATCAAAACTCAGCTGGAAAACCGATTTTTTGCATGAAAAATTAACTTTTTTAAGGCGCACGCCAACCTTTTCAGCCGTGGGTCTCGCCACGATACCGTACCCGAAATTTGAATTTGTTGTTTTTCTCACCCAATTTTGCATCATCTTCAGCGATTTTTTTTCGGATTTTGGCCGATTTCGATGGGGTTTTTTGTGTTTTCAGCACTTTTTTTGGGTTCTGAATGCTTGCAGACATTACTTTGACTAGAAATTAAAAGAAATTCAGGAAATCAGAGATTTTCTAAATTTTTACAGTGAGCAAGTGTAATCTCCCTATTTCTGTGCTTTACACAGCTTCCCACCTTTTTTGTGTTTCTTCCGTCGTATATTTCTATTGTTTCTCGACAAATTCTGGATTTGTTTCCTAAAAAAACCGCAAAAATTGTTTTAATTTTTTGTGGTCTGATCATGATCACTGAAAATGTCTCACAGACCAGACACATTGCGGCGCCACCACAAGACAAGAGTGTCATGTGCACAAAAACTGGGCGGAGCCTCTCATGGATCAAGAAAAAGTGAGATGAAGCTCTCGTTCTTTCGCTTGCTCTCCGAGAAAAGAAAAGAGGAGACAAATCGATTCGGAGCACACGGAGCCCATCGGAAGCCAAGTGTCAGGTGCTTCGGGAGCCGACGGAGCACGAAAATCGGCGAGACGCCGACATTTTTCGTCTCATCTGTCGGTCGGGGAGCTCCCGGGAGGACCCATCAAGAACAGGGGGCCTCTTTTCCCTTCCGCGTGTTTTCCCGGAATTTCTGTATCCCCGCAACTTTTTTTTTAGAATTTTTGGGCTTTGAATCGAAAATCATTCCAAATCGCAAAGAATGTCAAATATTTCCCAATTTGTCCAGCAACAACATCAGTCTAATCGCTTTTTTCCATCTTTTCTAGATTATTCTCGGCACTTTTGCGTCATTTCGCTTATCTCCGTCTCGATTGGCGTTCCGATTCGTTCCGCCAGCCAATTTGCCACATTTTTCGGTTTTTGTTTTGTCAGAAAGCAATTAAAACGAGCCCTGGTTATCAACAAAATTTTGCGATGACTCAGCAAGCGAAACATTCGCCGCAAAATGTGTTCATTGCTACATTTTTCGGTTTCATAGATGGAATTTTGAACGTTTCCTTAATTTTTCCACTTCAAGAACACTAAAACTCAAAATGTTGACACTTTTTTTTCGGAAAAGTCCATTTGGCGTAAACAGAGTCCGTGACAAAAGGTCGGAAAACCAAAAGGACGGAAAAAAGTGACAAAAGGTCGGAAAAAATGCCGAAAGATCGGAAAACAAATTTCCGACCTTTTGTCACGGACTCCGTAAACAACCGAAAAAAGCTGACCTTCACAGATGAGGGATACGGTATTGGTGAGAAAAACAAACAGAAAGTCGTTGGTTTCTCACTTTTCGAATTTTTATGATTCGCCATAAAATCGACAACGTGCGGACGAACGCCCACGATTTTTGGATGATTGACACCATTTCTCTTCAGTTCAAACAAAAATTGTTGATAAAAAGAGAGTGAGTAATCGGAAAAGGAAAAAGGACAAACACAGTCCGTTGTGGCGCTTTCTCACTCATTTCCATATCTTTGGACGGCTGCGTCTCCGCCGATTTCTATAATACCTATTCTTTCGCCAACTTTTTGCGTCCGTCTGATCATACAAGAAGTGACCCCCATCCGCAACATTCGGAAGAGATTCTTCTCCGTCTTTTCCGCGTAATTTCCCTGCGTCTCTCGATATTTTTCTCGTTCCGAGACGGTTGAGAAGGCGTTATGTTTATGTTTCGCTTCGACAAATTTATGATTCAGCTTTTAATCTGAATTTTTCGGAAGTGTTTTAAGACTTTATTGGTTTTTGTCTGAAGGCTCCCAGAGAATGCTCAGGTAAATCGTTTGTAATATAGCTAGCTAATTCGCGTTTCTAACCGGACCTAATTAGATTGCTAATTTACTGCGATAAGATTGCAAATTCTTCTAACTGGACTGATAAATTTTCTAATTAGATTGGCGAAGTTGATTAGATTGCAAAAACACTGATATTAGATTCAAAATTTATCTAATTAGATTAAAATTTCGGGCAAACCTAGCTAGATTATGTTTAGATTGCAAAATCAGCTAGCTAGATTTAGAAATCGGTAGCAATCTAACTAGGTCCGGTTAGAAACGAGAATTAGCTAGTTAGATTAGAAACGATTTGCCTGAGTGTGATTTTTTAGGAAAATGTTTGGATTTTGCCTAGTTTCCTTGCATTTTTCCAGGTTGAATTCAGTTTTCTGTGCGTTCGGTCTTTTTTTGGTCATCTAGGTTTTTATTTTTGGTTTTTCCTAGAAGATGTTGCTTTTTAGAAGAATTCGCCACAGTTATCCGGGTTTACGAATTGAAAACTTGGAAATTTGAAATGCTTTTTTGATGGAAACAGATAAGCTCACAGAGCAAGTCATCGCGCGTTGCTTCTCGACAAAACTATAAAAGAAATTCTGAAACTGTAAAAGAATCAGGCAAAGTTGACAAATTGGTTGGTTTCCTCCGCGCCCACGAATTTGTCTTCACACTCATTCATTTTGTTCTCCTCCGTCCCTTTCCCTTCCTTTTTCCGTCGTCGACCTTGAGAACGGACATCCGAAACTTATACGTCTTAGTTAGCGAAATGAGGCGAGGCGGGGAACATGGATTTCGACGGCATTCGGCCATTTTGAAGGTGTTCTGACGATCTAGCGTTTTCTAGCTTGAAAATTCGAGTTCTAGAGTATTTTCGCCGTAATAGAGCTGTCCAGGAGTAGTTTCGTCAATTTTTGAGCTCAATCTTCAGTTTGATGGGTCTTTTCGAGCATTGTTATACAAAATACCTGAAACTAGGTTCCACAGCACGGTTTTTCTCTATTTAGAGCACTTTTACGCTCAAAAGTTGCACTAGAAACCCCATTTTTTGCCGTTTCTGACTCACAATAGATAAAAGAAAAGAACGCCGGCAATATGTGATGGAGGAGGAATGCATGACTAACGCCTTCATATTTGGGGAGAACGCCTTCTCGCGGATGGAAATAGAAGCAAAAAAGTGTTTCTTTAATTTCTTCTCTTTTTCCGCCCAAAAACCACACCCATTTCGGTCCGAAATTGGACGAAAAAGTGATAAGCGGCCGAGGAGAAGGAGGAGGTCATTAAAATGCGTTCGCATTTCCATTTTTTTTTGCGTGGCAATGGGTGATAAATTGGCAGAATTTATCGCTTTTCGAATCGGCCGACGATTATGAGGTGGCCGCACCGACACCGCCCTTCTTTGATGTGCGGAAATGCGTCGTTTTTTCGGTTTTTTTTTTGGACCTAAAATTACTGTAGAACCACTGGAACGAATTAAACCGCCCCATTGTCTTCATCTTTCCCATCCAAAAATTAATTAAAAATGTGTCATCTACCGTAATCCGACCTCTTTTCTTCTGTACACAGAAGCCGTCCATCTGTGTCTTTTCATGCGTCGTTTTTGTTTTATTTGTTTTCAACACAAAAATGATGAATCATATGAATCTCCGGGAAAGGAGGCACCGCTCGACCGCATATGTACATTTTAGTGTACACATTTGGCTCCGCCCACTTTTTTGTGTTGCTTGAGAACTTTTCGCGAATGCTTTACGAACTTTTAGCAGCTTTTTGTGAACAAAAAGTTTCTGTTTCGAATGTTGAAAGTAAATACATTTCAAAAAAATTTAGTCCATGTTTCTATTATGGGCGCTATTATCCACCGGAAATTTTTCAATTTTCCACCTAAATGTTTTTTTTTCAGAAGCGAACATAATAGATAATAGCGATAATAATCAACGTCAACTGAAAAATGGCGCAACCGAAACGCCTGGATCAGGAAGAAGAGGTTGGTTTTGGAAGCATTGAATTTGTATGGTTTTCCCTGTTTCTTTGTTAATCAAATTATCAAGAACAAGTAGAAAATAGAACTTGGAGAAAAGAAAGAACGAATTTTACAGGTCGTTCCGGCGATCCGTCACGAAGACGCCGAATGGAAGATCATTCAGCAGAACACGTTCACCAGATGGGTCAACAACCATCTCCAGAAGGCCGGAGAGACCATCGGCAGCCTGGTAATGTTTGTTTCATATTTTAGGAGCAAATTGAATTCTTTGCTGATTTTTGTTCATTTTTATTTCAAAAAATTGCAGGAAACTGATCTGTCGGACGGACTGAAGCTGATCGCTCTGGCGCAAGTGCTCTCGCACAAAACGGTCGGAAAGTTCAACAAAAAAGTGAATTTCCGCTCGCAAAAGCTGGAAAACGTCTCGTTGGCGCTCAACTTCTTTCAAAACGAGGAAAATATCAAGATTATCAATATTGGTACGTAATTCTGATATTTGAACAAAAGAATACTTTTCTCATTTTCCCAGTGTTCAAAGGGACTGTTAATACCATCAACCGGAAACCAGCGTATTTTCTAAAGAGTTAAAGTTCAAACGGGAAAAGATTCTAGCAATTGTTCCCTGTTTTCCGGTCATTTCACTCGTTTTTTCGTCCCCGAAAAAGCTCTCCGCAAACGGACAATACGGTCAACTATGTGTGTAATTATTATGAGTTCGGGGCCGGCCGGCTGCTCCTGCACACAAAAACAAACAAAAACATGTTTGACGAACGGATTCGGCCCGTTTCGAACTCGCTGGACAGTTCTCTCCGAGGAGAATACGAACTTTTGGATGTTTAGTATTTTTGTGGAAAATTTCCCGATTTTCTTGAATTCCTTACTACCAAATTTGATTGATTGCAGACAGTACGCACATTGTCGACCACAACAAAAAGCTGATTTTGGGTCTCGTCTGGACTCTCATCCTCCACTACTCCATTTCGATGGGCTGGATTCAGGAGAAGCGCGACGACGGCGCCCAGGAGGAGACTCCGAAGCAGAAGCTCCTGAACTGGATCCGCAACCGTCTCCCCGGCATGCCGATCTCCAATTTCACGTCGGATTGGAACGACGGCGTCGCTCTCGGCGCACTCGTCAACTCGATGGCTCCCGGAGCACTCGCCGACTGGGAGAACTGGTCGCCGAACGAGGCGCTCGAGAATACGGAGAAGGCGATGCGATCTGCGCAGGATCTGCTGAAAGTCGCGCCGCTCATCGCGCCCGCTGAAATGATCCATCCGGAAATCGACGAAATGTCCGTCATGACCTATCTCTCGCAATTCCCGGCCTCCAAACCGGTGGTCGTGAAGCCGCGCTGCGAGGCGATCGTCTCGAATCTCGACCGAACGCTCCTCGTGAATGAGCCGCGCGAAATTGAGCTGCGCTTGTCGAAAGACGGCTACAAACCGAAAATTTCGATCAAAGATGCGGAAAATCAGGAAATTCAGCTGGCCATCAAGAAAGTCGAAGATCAGGAGCAGACGTTCCGCGTCAAATTCACACCCACCAAAGTGGGACCGCTGAGTTTCGAGCTCGCCGCCACCGACACGCACACTTTTGAGACGCAGCCGATTCCGGATGCCTCGGCCACGTGTCAGGTAGGGAAATTGATGAAAAATAGAGATTTTTTGAGTGGAAAAATGCAAAAATTGGCCGACTTTGGACAAGTGTTGGGAAAGCGGGAAATCGGGGTTTTTATGCGCATTCTTTTGAATTATCGAATTTTGCATATCAAATTTTGACACTGTAACAAAGAAAAACAAACATTTTGCAGGTGGTGCCTATCGCTCGTCTCCTGGAATACCAAAAGGTCGCGAAAGTGGGCGAAGAGGTGAAATTCACTGTGGTCGACGCTCTCGAAGGTCCGGTGGAGGCGATCGTCGTCGATCCGACCGGAAAAGAGCACAGAATGCCGGTGCTGGATGGATCCACGCCCGGAACCCACTCGTTCGAGTACAAAGTGCCAAACATCGGACTGCATTCTGTCAATGTGTTCCACAAAAAACTTCCGCTCACCGGATCGCCGTTCCCGCTTCGTGCCAAACCCAAAAGTGAGAGTTTTGCCGATTTTCAAAAAGTTTCAAAATTTTAGTGTTTTAGCTGAAATTTTTCAATTGGTTAGATATTCTTATGATCCTTCGAAGCGTCAACTTTACCAGAACCACAAGATGAGTATTTTCAGACGCGTTCAAAGTGTGGGGGCGTGGTCTGGCTCCGCAGGGAATTCGCAAAAACGACGTCGTCGGCGTCCATGTCGAGGCTCTCGATCCGTCGGAGAACGTGGCGAACGCGAGTCTTTCGATGGAGGTGCTGCGAGCCGACGGAACGAATCTGCCGATCTCGGTGGGCTACGACGAGGAGGCGCAGACGCTCAACTTCGAGTACAAACCGACGGAGGCGCCGGCAGACCTGGAGATCCATTTGAAGGTCGCCGGAGAGCCGCTCGAGACTCATAAAGTCCATGTAGCTCCATTGAGCGCCTCGAAAATCCGCGCATTCGGTCCGGGACTCGAAGGAGGACTCGTCGACGAGCCGTGCGTTTTCGACGTCGAACTGAACGGCGAGTCGGCGAACCTGTCGTTCGCCGTCGAGGGACCGTCGAAGGCGGAAATCGGATGTCAGGAACGGCCCGACGGATCCGCAGTGCTCTCGTACACGCCGACCGCGCCGGGAGTCTATAAAGTTGGAGTGCTCGCCGATGGAGAGCATATTCAGGTTGGTTGTTGTTTTTTTAATCAATTTTTAACGTTGCTGCTTCAAAATATCTTGAAAATCTCTTTTTTTTTTTTTATTGACGGACTCGTAGTGGTTAGTTTTCCATGAACGCGGCATTTTTCAAACCAGAATGTTATTATTTCACAAGCTTTAGGCATTGTTATCTGAAAATTATAAATTCTAGAAAAATACAGTTTCAACGGTTTTTGATAGATTTTGCACATTTTTTTTGCTTGATCATTCTCTCGAGCTTTTATTATAGAGGCACTGGACAGAAAGGGCGCGCTGTTAGCAATCTGGCCGAATTTCTAGGCCGCGAAGTAATTTTCCACTGAAAACGTGGCCTAACTTTTCAAACTCGGCCCCGAGGTCGCTTAATTTGCACTGTAAAAAAAGTTTCTCAACAGAGCGCCATTTCTGTGCGGTGCCGCTATAATACATAAAAATTATGTATTTCAGGACTCTCCGTTCGTGCTGAAGGTGCTCGATTCGATCGCGGGACTGAAACCGTCGGCGACGCGTGTCACCGGAATCGATGAGACGAAAACGTACCGAATCGGCGAGAAGATTCCGTTCCGAGTGGACACGCGCCTCTGCGGACTCGATATCGTGCCGAAAGTCGACATTCTCGACCCGCACCTCAATCGAATTTCGTACGGAGCACGCGAAATAACTCCCGGCATTTTCGAGTACATTCTGATTCCCGAGCACGCCGTCAAACACAAAATCGACGTCAGCGTCGGGGGAGTTTCGGTGCCTGGAGCTCCGTTCTCGGTGGGTTCTGAAGCGCATGGAAAAATTCGAATTTCTCCGATTTCTATCTAGGAATGTAGTCTTAGGAAGCACTCATAAACATTTCTGAAGATCATAATTTTTTAAATTCCCTTCAGATCAAAGTGGCGGAAGCTGTGGACGCTTCGAAACTGCGCATCTACGGACCAGGAGTCGAAGGACCGGTCTACTCGAAAGAGCCGACCAGATTCACGATCGACGCCACCCAGGCGGGTCCGGGAGCCGTCGAAGTCGCTTTGGCCGACGATCACGGAGAAAAAGTCGATTTGGATGTGTTGGACAATCAGGACGGATCGTTCACGGTCAAATACACGGCTCAGAGACCTGGAGCTTATCAGGTTTGCTAAAATTCTCGATTCTTCGAGGAAAAATTGATTGCTTTTATGATTTTTTCGCATTTTTCAGCTGAACGTTGTGTTCGCCGGCGAGGAAATCTCTCCGATCGAGATCAACGTGAAGCCGAACGTGGATGTGTCCGGAATTCGTGTCGACGGACTTGAAAACGGTAATTTCGGAGTGAATTGCGATTTTTCGATGATATCGCATGAATAACACTTGGTTTCCACTAACAGTATGATTTTCCATTAATTATCTTTTTTTTTTTTGCATTTTTCATGCGTTTGTTACTAAATCTGAAGCGATTTTCAATTTTTAACCGTTTGACAACAACTGATGATGATGATGATGATGATGACGTGGACTTGAAATATTGACGGAATGTGTGGTAATTTGATATTTCATGCATAATTTGCAGCGGTGGTTACGGTGAACGTCGAAAAAGAGATTCACGTCTTCACGACAGACGGAGAAAACACGCGAATTGTGATCACGTCGCCCTCGGGACGAGTCGTCGAGGCAATCATCGAATCGACGCCCACCGGATTCCGGGTTCGATTCACACCGTCCGAAGTGGGAAACTACACGATCGACGTGACCTATCAGGACATTCCTATCGAAAAATCGCCGTTCACTCTGCAATCCGTGGAGCCGGAGACTGATTTTGAAGCTCCCAGCGGTTCGACGCTCGCAGAAGCCGAATACGTCGTTTTCGGCTCGGGACCACCTCGCGCTGATCTTGTTACCGTGTCCGGGCCGGGATTGGGACCTCTGGTTGCTCAGCGGAGCACCTATGTGCTCATTGACACGACGAACGCGGGATTCGGAGACATTGACGTCTATGTGGACGGTCCGACGAAGACGCCGTTGCACTGTGTCGACAATCAGGATGGAATTCTGAAAATGTGCTTTACACCGAAAACCGCGGGGCTCTACTACCTGCGGGTGATGTTCGATAACGAGCACGTGCCGGGCAGTCCGTTCCAGATTGTCGCGGTCGCCGCGTTGCTCGGAAGCCCTTCGTTGCTCGGCGCGGATCAGAGGAGCAAAACGGAGAGTCCTTACTCGTCGATTTCGAGTGGATCATCGAGCACACCGAATCCACCGCCTCAACAAGCGTGTTCATGACACTTTTCTGGCTGGCCGAGATGAACTGTTTACGGTTTCATGTACTCCCACACATCTGATAGATCTCAATTTTCACTCCTTTATCGCCAAATCTATCTCTACCAAGCTTACTTGATTTCTTTACGTTTTTCCCTAAAATCTCTTGCCTACAATACAAATATTGAAAAAAACAATAAAGTTTTTGTACGTTTTGTTTGTTTCTACTACAAAATTCTAATTTGGGATTTTTCGATCTCAATTTGTTCCAATATCATGCAAATGAGTTTCCAGACAATGTGCTCATCGGCTCTCGTCTTCGTCCGAAAATCGACGTTGCTCACCTGGAGCCAAAATCGAAAGGACTCCAACTCTTGGACGATTTCAACGGAAAATTGTACAATATTCCGCTGAAGATAAGCGCTGACGGCACGTACACCAGCGATACGCCGCTTCTGAATCCGGGAAAACATCAGCTCAAGGTTAGGCCGTTTCTCGTTTTTTTTAAATTAGAAACAGGGGCAGGCGCGCAACTGTAATTCTAGTACTGAACCCCGTGTCGCGACAAGCCTGCGGAAACTATTGTAGTTGTAGACAACGATTTTATACCTATTTTTGACCATCAACTTTATTTCATCTACTTGGCGGCAAATTTCACTTTTCTCATCATTTGTCATCACTTTTCGGGCCAGGTGATCGCAGTCATTCTTTTCGGGCCAGGTGATCGCAGTCATTCTAATCGACATCTCTGTTTGAAGAAATTTGCCAATTGAAAATTGTTTCTCTACTGTTGCTCATCCATCATTTTTCGGACCATTCATTCTAGTCGACATCTCTCTCTGTTTTGCCAATTATTTTGGGTAATTATGTAAATTCTATGACGCGCAACTGTTTCGTTGTTGTTGTTTGTTGTTTCGCGCCCGCATCTCTGCTCTTTCCCACGCTAATCGCAAAATGTTTCGAGAAAAGAACACGAATCAAAATTGCAGTTGCTGTTCGACGAGGTGCCAGTGAAAGAAGCGATTGTTGAGGTGAAAAAGGGTACGGACGTGAGCAAATGCCGTGCCTACGGACCAGGACTCGAGGAGGCGGTCGTCGGAGAAAAGGCCAAGTTCGAACTGGATTTGGATGTGCGTTATTCAAAACTCTAGAGTTTTTGTAGATGTTTGGGAAAACGGGTGACTTTAAGGAGGAAAGGATTATAATTTTGAAACAGTATTTCTCGAATCATCTAAATTTTAAGGGTGCCGGCGAAGGAGCCGTGAGTATGGAGATGCGCGGTCCGGCGAAGACCGAATCGCGAATTCAGGACCACGGAAACGGGAAGTGTTCGGTGGAATATGTGGCGAAGACGCCGGGCGAGTACGAAATGGCCATCAAGTTCGGAAAGAACGAATTCAAGGATCATGTCAAAGGTACGGACAATTATTAAATTTTCCGATGAATTTCTACGTTTTTCCCCGGAGAAATACATAGAAAGCCAAGATTTATGCCAACTTTCTCGCTTAGGAAGTCCATTCAAAGCTGTTGTGGACTACAAAAAGGATCCGTCGGCGGTGAGCGTGCAGGGACTCGAAAATCCGATTTGCCGCGTCAATCAGCCGATCAATTTCGTGATCGACGCGTCGAAGACCAAGGATTTGCCGGTCACCGTCAGAATTCAGCCAGGTAATCATTTTTTGAGTTTACCTACATTTTCCTGCACATTTTCTAGTAAAATTCGGAAAGAGAGAGAGAGAACAATTGGAACCTAATTTTTTAACAAGAAGATGTTCGGTTACAGCAATTTGTTCTAAACATTTCGTTATGTGATGACAATGAGTAGAAATTTTGGAAACAATTCTGAAATTTGTTTTTGCAGAACACGCACAACTTCAACCGGTTCTGACAAAGTCGGCGGCTAATCCGCGCGTCTACAATGCTAGATTCGTTCCGAGCGGCGAAGCGGGCGTCTCTGTGCCGTTGGAGATTCTCTACGACGGAGAACTCGTCGGCGGTGTCGTCCGTGCGCTTAAACTGCACCCGGAGACCGAACCGCAGAAGCTCAAGATTCGTATGTTTCTTATTATATGATTAAATGACTGTTTCAGCAAAAATTGTTGTTTTTTTCGATCAGAAATTGAATCGTTTTTTATTCCAAAGAAATTTATGATTAAATGACTGTTTTAGCAAAAAAAATTTGTTTTTTCGAGCAGAAATTTAATAGTTTCTTATTCAACGTTTGAAATAAATTTTTTTTTTTGCAGTTCACGAAAAGAAGAAGGAGCAACTGTCGACACCGGCGTCGCAAGAAGGGCACGTGCCGATCGACGTGCGCGAGTGCGGCCACGTGAAAGAGATCGAGGCGAAAGTGATGGGTCCGGACGGAAACGAACGCATGAACCACATCCGCTCGACCGAACTGCCCGGCATATTCGACGTTTCGTTCCCGACGGACATGGCCGGACAGTATACCGTCGTCTTTTTCGTGAACGGAGAGGAGGTGAAGCAGAGAGTGCCGGTGAACGCCGAGAAGGTCGGCAAGAAGGACGACGTCGTCAAGAGCGGCAAGTTTTGGACAGAAATTTGAAAAAAAGATGTTGGGAACATTTTCGGCTCGGCAATCATTTTCATAGTAATTCTAGCACTGAAACCCGTGTCGTGACAAGCCTGCGGAAACTCTGTTGTAGTTGTAGACACACAAAGAGTTTGTTATACCTATTTTGGTCTTCAACTTTATTTCATCTACATACTTGGCGGCAAATTTCAATTTTTTCACCATTTGTCGTCATTTTTTGGGCCAGGTGATCACAGTCATTTATTCTAATCGCATACATGTTTCGAAAGGTGCCCCGGCAGCATGGGTGTTTAGGAAAAAAATTTTCCCCACCCGCTAGGGTGGGGAAAATTCTTTTCGCAGTTGTTTTTGAAGACGGCTGGATAATGGGAGTAAAAGAGATGAGTATTGTTATTGATGGATCAATTGGGACGGAAAAGGGCTGTATAATTGATTATCCACGCTGGAAATTGCATAAATAAAAAGTGAAGTGAAAAAAGTAATGTACTCACGCGGTTCGTCGCCTGTGGTCACGTAAATCGAGGAAAACTTTGTATTCGTTGAAGTCCCAGCGTGGAAAAGATGAGAGACGTGTGGAGAATGAAATTCTGCGTTGATTAAAAAAAAAAACGGTTGAAAAGCGTCCACTTACAACCGAGATAATGTAAATGTGCCGTTTGCACTACGGCCGCATCTGTTTTCTGATGAAAAGCACATTTAGTATAAATCAGTCAAATCCAAGTTTCCAGCGTGGAGAATGAAGCAGGATTCTAAGAGGACCTGAAATACCCCATTTATACGTTTTTAGCCACCCATGACCAGTTTGAGCCCACTTCCGGCCACCTACCCTCCAAACTGCGGGAGCGGTGGTATCCCGTAGCATGGGGGGAGGCACTCGCAGGCTTGTCTTCGCGGAGAGAGAGTTGCGTTTTCGCGAGCATACTGGCCGACTGGTTAGCATTGCAGACCATCAAGTTTCTGTTCTTAGGTTCGAATTCTCGCCTCACCGAACCTTTTTGCTTTCTTTAACAACGGTCGGGAAGGGGTGAAACTTACTTAGAAGATCTTCCACTGACCCAAGGTTGTCAAACGTGCTTTGAATCATCAGTCTGATAGCTTTCTTGTCGGCGATGGACAACCTTGGGTCAGTGGAAGATCTTCTAAGTAAGTTTCACCCCTTCCCGACCGTTGTTAAAGAAAGCAAAAAGGTTCGGTGAGGCGAGAATTCGAACCTAAGAACAGAAACTTGATGGTCTGCAATGCTAACCAGTCGGCCAGTATGCTCGCGAAAACGCAACTCTCTCTCCGCGAAGACAAGCCTGCGAGTGCCTCCCCCCATGCTACGGGATACCACCGCTCCCGCAGTTTGGAGGGTAGGTGGCCGGAAGTGGGCTCAAACTGGTCATGGGTGGCTAAAAACGTATAAATGGGGTATTTCAGGTCCTCTTAGAATCCTGCTTCATTCTCCACGCTGGAAACTTGGATTTGACTGATTTATACTAAATGTGCTTTTCATCAGAAAACAGATGCGGCCGTAGTGCAAACGGCACATTTACATTATCTCGGTTGTAAGTGGACGCTTTTTGACGGTTTTTTTAATCAACGCAGAATTTCATTCTCCACACGTCTCTCATCTTTTCCACGCTGGAACTTTTCGTACGCCTTTTTTAAATACACTATTCGACAAATTTCGCATTTCCTCGGCACATTTACATTATCTCGGTTGTAAGTGGACGCTTTTCAACCGTTTTTTTTTTAATCAACGCAGAATTTCATTCTCCACACGTCTCTCATCTTTTCCACGCTGGGACTTCAACGAATACAAAAGGTTTTCCTCGATTTACGTGACCACAGGCGACGAACCGCGTGAGTACATTACTTTTTTCACTTCACTTTTTATTTATGCAATTTCCAGCGTGGATAATCAATTATACAGCCCTTTTCCGTCCCAATTGATCCATCAATAACAATACTCATCTCTTTTACTCCCATTATCCAGCCGTCTTCAAAAACAACTGCGGTTCTACCGCGAAAAACTAATTACTTACAAATTTCATTCAAATTTAGCTCCAAAATTTTGATTTCTACCTACCTCCCTTTAAGTCGGGTTACTGTACCTCCAGCGTGGTGTTTTGCGAACTTTGCCCACCCGCTAGGGTGGGCAAAATTTTTTTTCAGTTTTGGCCCTTTCTTTCCGCATGTATGTCTAATCGACATCTCTGTTTGAAGAATTTTGCCAATCGAAAATTGTTTGTCTACTGTTGCTCATCCAGTTAAAATTGAAAAAAAAAAACATTTTTATCTGGAAAAAATATTTTCAGACCATCCACCGTACCCACAAGTGGTCGAAAACGCGGCGACGAACTTGACGTATCTGCATCCGATCGACAACAAGAAAAAGAAGACGCACGCATCGATTCGTGTCGTGGCCGCCCGTCCGGACGCCGTCCGTCTCGAGCACGTTCAGGAGATTGTCGAGCACGGAAACCGCGTCGCCGACCGAATTCTCTTCACGCCCACCAAGTTGGGCGCCAACATTTTGGACGTCTACTACGGTGGCGAACACGTCGATCACGTCGAATATGAGGTACTTTCTTGGGAAATTATGAGAACATTTGGGTTGTTTGGGAGCTCAGAAAGCGAGTCTAGTTCGGGACGCTCCGAGCAGGAACTCATCGTCTTCGTTGTTTCGTCCCCTGCTCACTTCGTGCCAGTAATCGTGGGTTCATGAAGATATTACGGATATGGCTCGATGAGTTCCTGCTCGGAGCAATCCACAAGTGCCCGCATGTAGGGTTGGCAACGAGGCGCCCCACCTAGGCGGGACGCAAAATGACCTCGATTTCAGTGCGTCGCTAATTTTTCGCCATTTTTGTTGTCTATTCATCACACAAAATAGTTTTTCGGCGTGGAGAAATGCGAGAAATGAGTGTAAACAAGAAGAAGAGAACGAGAGAAAGTGGGGGTGGTCAGTAGCAGAAGGCCCTTTTCCCCCTCCCCTCGCTTGCTTTTATATTCTGAAGCGAAATTAGGGAGTGAAAGTGGTCGAGGAGACGCAGACGACTCAACAAACATGAAAACGGGGCGTAGTGACGGCGTAAAGGACGTCGTACTGCGAAAAATTGAGACTTTTTGCTTCTTCGGAATTTTTAACTTTCTGTTCATATTCTCTTTATAAACAAAAACTGAAATTCTGGAAACTTTCAGATTTTTCAAAAATGTTTCAAACTGAAATTTATTTCCGAACAAATGCGTTTAACCAGTTGACGAGAGAGAGAGAGAAAGAGAGAGAGAAATCGGTGGCATTTTTATTTATTTGCCAATTCTGTTTGTAGGGGCAACCGGTGGAGGAGTGCTGTTTGTAATAGTCTCCTATTGTTATTGTTCTCTTCTCTTTCCGTCCGTCGAGGTATTCCCATCGCCTGTTGCTTCATTTCGCTTTCTCTCTTTCTCGCCCCATTTCACCGCCTTTTTCGACCATTTCGATGGACTCTTTTCACTTTTCATTTTGCTAAAAGCAATTTGTTACAATAAGCGTCTCTAGAAGTTACCTAGCTTCTTGGCGAGAAATGTCATACTTCAGAAATTCTCCTCAAGCTGTGCATTTTTCTAAATTTATTTCGCACAAAAATCTTCTAGTTTAGGTTTTCTAGTCAGTTTAGATTAACTTCCCCCTTCCACCCCAACAACCCATTTTACACTCAAAAGTTTGACAACAAAGAAGTGTCATCACTATCAGCAGTTTCGGGAAGAGAACGTGTGATTCGTCCGATCTCCGATCATCTGTACCTTTTGTTTTCGGCACGAGATCCCCTCCCGACGTCATTCCATCGTTTTTTCACGTATTTTCAAGTTTTTTGTGCACATCACCTGAGCCGTTTGACATCTGGAAGCACTTTAGTGGTGCGATCCGTGAACTCGTTTTCGAGTGAAACACCTTGAAAACTAGGGAAATCTGACGGATTTTATGTGATTTTCGGTTTCGGTTCAATTAAAATGATAAGCGCATCATTTTAATGATGTGGAACTGTGGAATCGTTCAGTCCCTCGGGTTTCTTTGGGATTTCTTCAAGGTTCGGATGTCAAAAACAAGACGAAGATTCGATGCGATTCGAGAAAATAACAACTGTCGACTCCAACACAACACTTGTTGTCACTCAGTCACATTCATTCATTATTTTTGTCCCCCTCCGCCTTCCTATCTGTCTATTTTTTTTTGTGCCGCTTGAGAAACGAGAGGAGTGGAGAGGAAAAGAGGAAATTGTTGTGATGGAACGAGCCGCTTCGGATACCTGCTCTCGATCGGAGAAAGCCTTCTTCTCTCCGAGAAAGATGCATCACTTTTGTTTTGGCTCCCTCTTGTATCACGTAGCCGCTCCGGGCTGATTTTCTGGAAATTTCTGGGCGATTTTTCTACAGGCCTGGGCCTTAGCGAGTTGTCAAAAGTTGCAAAAAATGGCGTCTCCAGATTTTATATGAATTTTCAAATGCGAATGGTGTAGGACGAAAAAAAGAGCTGCAAGATTTGTCATTGAAAATTCGTATAAAATCAGGTAGCACTATTCTGCAACTTTTTGACAACACGATCCGATTCAGCATGGCTTACTGTATCACCTTGAATTATTTTTCTATAATTTTTAACGAAAGCTATCGTAATCCCATGCAACTCGGAAATTTGCAAATCCCAATCAATTACAAGAGTCTCATTAGTCGCATTCGCCAATTCGACACCTTTCCGATTGATTGATCGGATCCTCATCAGTCCGAATTGTTCTCCGATCAGAACTTTCCCTTCCACCGCTCGGAGACCTCGAAAGTCACGTAAACTTCCGTCGCGTCACGGGCTCATCCCGTCGGGAGCTCCGGAGCCCGCCACACACATAATAATGCATATCAGCACGTGATTTCTGAATCTTCGACCCGGCAGCTGGCCTTGAATCTAGTCATTCTCACTATTTTTCCGGGGTGTTTTTGACCTGAAAAAATGCTCCAAATTTGGGAATTTCTAGAAAATTCTGAACTTTCGAACTTATCAGCAATTTTTCGAAAGCTTTGGAAATTTTTTAAGCAGTGCTGAAATATTGAGAAACAAATTCCATTAAGACTATCAGAAAAATGAGTTTTATCGCTTGTTTTTCTTTCTTTCTTTTTTGTAAATCAAATCTTTGATCTCATTGCGATCAAAAACAACCGTCTCTGCGTTACCGGAAAAACATGACACGGACGATTGGCCGTTTTTTGTGCTTTTTTCTCGAAGATCTTCTCAAGTTTCATTGTTTCTCGTATTCAGGCGGTTGGACAGCTCGAGTACGAGCAAATTCAAGCAAAGTACGCGAAGCAGGTTGCAGCCGACGAGGACCTCGTCGAAAAGTTTGAAAAGAAGTACCAGGTGAGGGCGACGAAGTTGGAGACATTTTTTAAAGAAAAGAATTGCCTATTTTTTGAATGTTCGATCAAAAAAGAACGCATGGTCTTTTATAATATTTGCTCTCATTTGTAATGTCGTGACCTCTAACCGCCCCTTCCTCGCACAGGACGCATCTTCTTCTGCTGCTCCGGCCGCCACGCGAACTCAGAACAACAACAACAACGGAAAAGAGGAGAGAATCGCGCCGACGCCGACCGAAATCGAGCACAAACCGTTGGACGATTGGACGGACATTCAGTCGAAATATTTCACTGTAAGACGCGCGATATTTCGCAGTTTTTTTTTGAGTGAAAGTGTGTGATAATTTTGGAAAGATTGAATTTTCTTGTCGAGAAACGCCCCTAAAAGAGTGTCAGTTCCAGTTCAACATTCGTGATTTGGTGTGCGATCCGAAAGAGCTTGAAGCCGTCGTGATGCCGCCCACACAGAAGAAGGAAGTCGCCGAGATTGTCGACAATCTTGATGGTAATGGTGAAACATTTCGAATTTTACAAAAAATTTGGCCCGAAACGGTGGTCCTACGATTTTTGTGCACATTTTTCCTCCAAAAAACGCCCGCGTTTGCAGGAACGATCCTGGTGAAGTACACGCCGAAAGTGCACGGATCGCATGAGCTGTCGATCCTGCAAAACGGAGCCCAACTGCAGGGAACGCCCATCAAGTTCTACGTGGACGCCTACGGCGACGGATGGGCGACCGTCTACGGACCGGGCCTCCAGAACGCCGTCGTCGGCGAACCCGCCACTTTTACCGTGTGCGCCAAGGGATCGCAAGCCAAAGAGCTCTCTGTGAGCATTGAGGGACCAGCGAAGAGCCAGATCAAGATCCACGACAACAAGGTGAACGATTTGAACTATTTTGTAGAAAGATGCCCGAAAATAGGCCATTTTTCTGTGAATTAACGGGATTTTGTCAGGAAATTTGGGAAACTGTTCCGAAAACGCTTTTAGGCATAATGTGTCTTTTCTAGAACTTTTTTTCTTTGAACGAAATCTTGGTTTTTTGCAGGACGGAACTTGCTCGGCCGCCTGGGTGCCACCAGTGCCGGGAGAGTACAAAGTGCACGTGAAACTCGGCGGAAAGGCGGTCCGCGACTCGCCGTTCCGCGTGCTCGTCATGGGAGAAGGACAGGTATCTGGGGGTAACTCGGAAAGAGAAAAGTATCTACGTCGTGATGTTTGGTATATTTCTGCTGAAACTACAAAATTGTGGAGAATTTGCAATATTTTATTCCAGGCCTGGGCGGATTTGCGATAGAAGCGGAGAAAAATCATTTTCTCAGACAGCCAGAAGCGAATCGCTCGCCCATGCCTGATTTCATTGAAAAAACCTTGAATTTTCAACAATGCTCACAAGAAAATTATGTGAATATTTTCCAGAAACGCTCTCACCTGTCGGTCGGCTCCACTTCGGAAGTGGCGCTTCCGATCACCCAACAAGAGTTGAAGGGCATTTCCGCGTCGATCAAATCGCCGGCCGGCATCGAGGAGCCGTGTTTTGTGCGTCTTTTGGACGGCGGCCGACTCGGCGTCTCGTTCACGCCGCGCGAAGCCGGAGAGCACCTGATTACGGTTAAAAGAGACGGAAAACTGGTGCCGAAGGCGCCGTTCAAGATCAAAGTGGACAAGTCGCAAGTCGGAGACGCATCGAAGGTCGAGGTGTCCGGGGCCGGAAAGGCCAAGGCGCTCACTCTTCAGGTACGCTTTTTCATCGTCTCAAAATCTGAGAGTTACAGAAATGAACGCTTTTATTAAACTAAAGCTACCGACTTTCTCCATTAATTTACACATTTATCGACGAAAATTGCAGGCGAACGAATTGCTCGTGGACACGTCGAAGGCCGGCTACGGAGGACTCTCCGTCTCGGTTCAGGGACCGTCCAAGGCGGAATTGACGTGCAAAGAGGTGAAATCGGGACTGATCAAGGTGCTCTACACGCCCACCGAGCCGGGAGTCTACGCCATCGCCATCAAGTTCGCCGATCATCACGTCAAGGGTGAGCGGGTGTGGAAAAGTTGGGAAAACTAGAATCTTGGGTTCAATGCATCGATGTTTTCAACAAAAAGTAATACTCTATTACCGTTTCATAAAGTTTTCAGATTAAAAGTTTAGTTATTCGCAACGGTTCATCCCGAACAATAAAATGTTGCAGACTCTCCGCTGACTGTGCAGTGCACCGGAAAATCGGCTGGCCGCGTCATTCAAACGATCCAAAAGGGCGTCGAACAACACGGAATCTCGCTGCCCGACCAGGAATCACTGATGTTCCTGAAGCTGCCGAACACGTCGCCGATGGACATTTCGGCGCGTCTGATGGACCCGAAAGGGCACACGGACGACATTGAAATGCGCGACCTCGGACAGCAGTTCTATCAGCTCAAGTTCACGCCGAAGCTGGAGGGCATCCACACGCTGTCGGTCATGTACAAGGACGCTCACGTCAACGGATCGCCCTTCCAGTTCACCGTCGGATCGTTCTCCGAGGGCGGAGCTCATAAGGTACACAAATTGGGGGAGAAAGTGGAACCTTTTTTCCTAGTCGAATTACCTTCGTTCTGGGATTCAAAATGCCATCGTTTTTTCATGAAAATTAGTTTAACTGGTAACATATTAAAATTTAATTTCCGTTTAGGTGCGCGCGGCAGGACAAGGAGTGATCCGCGGCGAGACGGGCACTCCGAACGCGTTCAACGTGTACCACCGCGAGGCGGGCGCCGGAAACCTGGTCGTTTCGGTTGAAGGACCGTCGAAGGCGACGCTGGAGTTCAAGGAGCACAAGGACGGCAATTGCCACGTCGACTACAAGGTGCTTACCCCCGGAGAGTACATTGTGGCCATCAAATTCAACGACCAGCACATTCCCGACTCGCCGTTCAAGGTGTTCGTCGCGCCGGCGACCGGAGAGGTGCGCAAGCTCGAGCTGGCCCAATTCCACGACCAGGGCATTCCGGCCGGCAAGGCGTTCACGTTCACCGTGCTCACGCACCGCGCCAAGGGACATCTGGAGGCGAAGGTCGTCGCGCCGAACAACGAGGTCGACACCATCGACATTGTGCCCATCGAGGACGGAGAGAGCTACGCGATGCGATTCGTCCCCAAGGTTTGTGGAAATCCGGATTTGAACTGGAACATGATTCCGCGCAGCATTGAATTTTTTTTTCTGACGTGAATTTTTGAAGTGTTTCTTCAAAAAACAATTTACCGAAACTAGAAAATAGAAACTATGTTATGGGATTTGGTAATCGCTTTCTGAACCAAACATTCGAATAATAATTTTTTTTTGAAACTAATGAATTTTTGAACAAAGAGCAACCAAAATTGTGAACAAATTTACATTTTCGCTCTTCCAGGAAACCGGAAACCACTACATCCACGTGACGCTCGACGGCGCGCCGATGCGTGACTCTCCGTTCCGTCTGCGCGTTGGCGGCAAAGATCTGTGCGATCCGACGGCGATTTCGGCCACCGGCGACGGTTTGGTTAAGGGAGTGACGGGCCAGAAGTGCGAGTTTCTCATCAATACGGCGAATGCGGGAGCCGGAATTCTGACGGTCCAAATGGACGGTCCCTCGAAGGCCACGCTCGACGCCTACGAGCTCGAGAAGGGCTACAAAGTGAGATACACTCCGTTGGCGCCCGGATTCTACTTTGCCAGCATCAAGTACAATGGTACGTAGTTTTTTGGGATTTTTAAAAATCGCGATTTTTGTGCAGGAATCCACGCTCCTGGCTCTCCGTTCAAGATCCCGGTGGAGGGAAAAGAGCTCGGCGGAAACGGCTACAACGAGACTTCGACGGTGAAAATCGACGCGGTCGCGAAGACGTCGAAGGGAACCGTGGCCGTCGTGCCCGAATATCAGGGAGACGCCACCAAGGTACGCTTTTTTTCCCCCGATAATGGCAGGTTTTTTGAAACAGTTTCTAGAAAAATAAATGATAAAAGTCTAATTTGGAAGCAATTTCTGGCTGTTCAGGTGACCGCGAAGGGCGCCGGCCTGAACAAGTTCTTCCCGGGCCGACCGGCGGCGTTCCAAATCGACACAGGACTCGCCGGCACGAACCTTCTGATGGTCGGCGTCGTGACGACGAAGGGACCGTGCGAGGAGGTGGTCGTGCGCCACCAGGGACAGGGACATTACGTCTGCTCGTACCGTATCCCCGACCGGGTCAAGGGATTCATCTTCATCAAGTACGGAGATAAGGTTCGTTCGCTCTTTAAACGGAAAAGGATTGATAATACAATGAGCTTATAAGTACGACCTTTTGAAACCACTGGCGTAATATATATATATATATATATATATATATATATATATATATATATATATATATATATATATATATATATATATATATATATATATAGAAATGATAGGCAGCAGTGTTGAGCGGAATTCGGTTTGCCGTTTTCCGTGATTTCAAATTCCACTTCCGCTCAACATAGCCAAGCAGGAAGAACACTGTTTTCAAATAACGTTCAGAACTGTCTTTCAAATAACGTTCAGAACTGTTTTCGAAAGTTATGAAACTGTAAAAAATAGCAAATTGGTTAACGAATTTCTTTAAATGTAATTTTGCAGGAAATTCCCGGCTCTCCATTCACCATCGAGCCATAAACTGCTCACAGCTCCAAGCCCACCGCAAGTGCTTTATAATTGTCGACGGTTTTTCGTTTTTCTCTCTCTCCCCTAAACCCCGCCCCTTTCTTCTCTTTCCTAGTTTTCCCCCTAAAAAATCCATTATAACCGTTGCCATAATCCCACCAAAAAATTCGCCCGGATTTTTATTGTATTATTTTTATAAGAAAATATAGGGCTCCCCTAAATGTCTCATTTTTCATGCAAAAATTGAGATTTCTCTCTGGAAATTGTGGATTTTTATCCCCTCACTGATGATGTTCTTTTTTATTCTAATTTTTGTACTTTTCTCTCTAATGTAACCCCATCCCATCCATGCATTTCTCTCCCCGCAAAAAGTAATTGGAATTTTTAAAAGGACCCTAAAGAAAATGTTGAAAAATGATTTTGCTCAGCTTGAAAGCGTTTGGGTTTCCAAATATTTTCAACGATCTGATGATTTACACACACTTCCCCAAGTTATCCCCATCGAAAAAACTCCAGATTGCAATTGGGCGTATTTCTGAATGGTCCAGGAATGACAAGCTGTCTCTTAACCTCTCAAATCAGTTCGCAATCCCACAATATCTAAATATTTTATAGACACAGCTGAGATCAAAGATAATCAACCTGCAGAGACCTCGAATTTTTGATCTCCTCAAATTTAGATTTTGCTGAACACTAGAAGAAGACCATTCAAAAAGCGATAAGAAGTTTATAATCAAATTGTTAGCTAACAAAGTAGAGACATCAATCTCAATGACTTCTTCCTACACTGAAACTCAAAATATTCTACACGTACTAGACGAAGCCACGTTTACCGATGGAAGACTCCGAAAAGATCAAAAAAGGGACGTAAACTTTTGATGTCCCATTTTTAAAATGACGTGGCGAAAATGCGTGTCTCGATTTTCAATCGGATTCTGGAAAAGCAAGACGAAATTGGAGTCACTTGTCGAAATTTGATAATTCGAAAGAACAGAGACGAGCACAAGAAGCGTCGCGACAAACGGAAATGGACAATTGCAAAGGTGAGCAATTTTATTGCGATTCTACACGTTTACCATGAAATTCCGGCATTAGAGAGAGTATTCAGGTTGCATTCGCTCACCCATTTTTCTCATCTCCACCCTGCTGATCCTTCTGACGACGCGACGAGTGGCGGCCGATCAGCAACGTGAGCGCTTTTATTTATTCATTTATTTACGCACGCTAGGTACGTGAAAAAGCAGTAGGTTCCAGTGTTGAGCGGAATTCCGTCTTCCGTCTTCCGGGATTTTTTCTTCTTACCGTAAAAGAGTAATAAATAGCTTTTCACGAGCCATTTACTAGCCACGAAGAACGCGAATTTCCAAGGGCAGTGACCCAGATCCAAAATTTTTGTTGTTTAGTTATTTTTTTCAAAAAAACCGGAGAAAAAGGTTCTGCATTGAGGATTTTTTGTTCCGTCTTGCGGCTGCCGTCTTCCTTGAGAACAATTTTCTTCCGTCTTCCGTTTTCCGTGTCCCGTAAAAAAATTTTCTTCCGTCTGCCGTCTGCCGTCTTCCAGATTTCAAAATTCAATTTCCGCTCAACTCTGGTACGTTCGATAGTTCTAATTCAAAATCCGAATTTCTTGTTTCTCGCGCTCCACGTGGATTTGTACATGAGGAGGATTCCTTGTTCACGCTTTCCTAGTTGTTCTTCTTCTGATCCCTCAATCGTCGTTTGGCTCTCTTCTCCTTTCTTCTAACAGACGTTCCTGATCGTTCTCCCCCAAGCTTCGGGGGTCTTCCTTTACTTCTGCTTCAAGTCCAGCGTATTTCCTACTTATCAGCTTTAATTGCAGCGGTTGACGTGTTGCCTGCTGAGCCGGCTCGAATCATGCTCCCGATGAAAGCGGGCGAAATACAAAAGAAGCCGTCGGAGGCATTCGGCGCGTTTCCGGCCGGAATGACATATTGCGGAAAGCACACTCTGGACAAGGCCAAAATCGGATCCGCATTCACCGATTCGGTACGTCGATCGATAAATTGATGATTTGGTATTTAATTTAGTACGTTGCCGTTGCAGAACTTTGAAGTGTCGGTGGGTTGTCAGCCGAATCCGACGCGAGTCGTCGTCTCGGACGCCGCTCAAATGACCGACAAGACTGGAGATTCTGTCATTGGAAAGTGTTTGGGGTAGGTCGAACAGTTTTGGCGCCAAACACACTTATCTAAACTTTTGCAGAACGCAAACGTGCGCCCGTCCGAAGGCTACAATCGCTTCGGTTCAGCACGGTAACAAGGGCCCGACGACTCTGAACATCAATTACTTTGACGAGTACTCGGGTCCTTCGGTGTGCGACGGCGACGCCAAAAACGAAGTTTTGTTCGCCAACGAGGACGGCTGCACAGACCGCGACTACAAGATTCCGGAGGCGTCGATGTCGACCAACGCGAAGATTTCGTCGGTGCCGAGATGGCTGAAGGACGGCAAAGTGTACCGATTGCAGCGGCCGTTCAAGCACCATGGCATCGGAATTGTGAGCACAGCAGTTTCCAACCTTTTATTTTATTAATCTAGTTGGATTTTTGAATGGCAAAAGTGTTCGTCATTCTGTTGAAACATGTTTATTTTTTAGCCGTTCAAACCGGAAATCGGCTGGACGAACAAGTTTGTGTCACTGCCGGCGCACAAGGATCAAGTGTGGAAGTCGTGCTCGAACACTTGCGATCGCGGACAAATCACGCGGATGACGATGACGGCGACCGCGTGGAAAATGGTCATTTTCCTTGATGCGAAGAGCACCGGGTTGGACGATTGTTTTGAAATTTTTATGACGCGTCCAAAGTCTCGGAAAAACTGTCCAAAGTCGGCCGAAATTTGCGTGAAAAAAACGGGGGTGCGCACAGCTGAAATGACGGTTTTTGAAAATTTGTTAATTTCCTGAGGATATTTGAAAATCTTCAAATTTCTTGCGCAAATTTTCTAAAATTCCGTAGTTTTAGGCCCCCGTTTTTCACGAAAATTTCGGCCGACTTTGGACAGAAAAATCTGCGGTTTTTCCGGTTTTTCCGAGACATTGGACGCGGTATTATGACTCACCACAAGAGCTCTCTAAAATAATTTCCCCCCAGTTAAGTCTTTAAACAAAACTTCGTTTGCAGTTTCAAATTGTGCATCGACGCGGACGATCACTCGGACGCGAGCGCGATTCCAAAGTGCAAAAAACTGTTTGAGATTTACATTCTGCCTCGGAGCGGAATCGTCGTCTGGCCGAAATCGGGCAGCGCGTCGCTCATCGAACTGAGGCCGAAAGGACTGACGACGGGCACGTACGCGATTGAGGTCGGATACGGAGTCGAGGATCCGGCCACGAAGAAGCACGCCGGAGAGGTGAGATTTTGAAGAAATCACTACAGAAACTATTCCTAAATGTTACCGTAACTTTTTTTTTAAACATTAGGGAATTGCATAAAGTTTAGGAACACAAAATCGTAGAATTTTCAGTTCTACGTCGGCAACATGTACCGCGAGGTCGTCGTCTCGGACACGTCGGGATACTCGGCCGTCGACGCCTCGAAAGTGTCGTTGTTCTTTGACTCGGAGGAGAACAGTCTGCAGCAGCACGGCGGAATTCACTCGAAGGTTTTTTGAGCTTTTTTCCGGCATTTTTTGAGAAGACGTTGTTTTGAAACTGCAAAAAATTGAAATGTTGAGTATTCTCATCGTTCACTCACTTTCCAAATGTCTGATTTTTCGAGACGTCTTTAAAATGTTTAATTTCAGCAAATCACCCAAGCGCACACGTACGTGTCGCCGGCGGTGTCGGACAAGAAAGGCAACAAGTTGGAAGACGGGAAACTGAACGCGGAGGGCCTCGCAAAGACCACCGAAGGCGGCGAGAAGATTGCGGAGCCGCCGCTTACGCCGATCGTGCCGGTGCCCCAGACGACGACCCAAGCACCGGCGCGCATCATTTCGAACGCCGCCTCGGGGGCGCTTCTGATGCAGCTGGACACGATGAACGACGCGGTTTACGTGGCGGGCAAGTGGTGGACGTGGGGAATGTTCATCGGATTCTGCATCGGAACCATCCTCGGATGCGCCATCATTGGAGTCATCTTCTACTTTCTTCGACGCACCGTCTACGGATTCTGGTGGGTGCTTTGTGTTCAAAAAGTGACGCGAAACGTCGCTTCAAGGGTTTTCTATTAATTTTCAACTTCTTTTAGGTACCGCGGAATGTACAAACGTTACGGATGCGACGCGTCGGGAACCACTGGCGGAATCACGGGAGTCGGATTCGGAAAGACGACGACCGGCGCCATTACGATCGCCGGGACCACGGGCGGAACCACGGGCGGAACCACGGCGGCCGGGACCACCGGAGGGACCACCGGAGGGACCACCGGAGGGACCACCGGAGGGACCACCACCGGATCCGCATCGACGATTGCGATGTGATGTGTGGAACTGAAATGTTATTCGATTAGACTTGTGTGAAATGAAGGATTTCAATTGAGATTTGTTTTGTACTGTTGAAAAAAAAAGGTTCGACATTGGATTCGAAGCTGGCAGTGTGCCAAGGCCCGGCCTCCCAAACGCATATGCTGCGCGCGATTGTTGCCGCATTGCCGCACGATTTCTTCTTCGTTTTTGTTCTTCGTTTTTGTCTTTATTTTTCGGCTAAAAATCAGCAGAAACTTCGCTTTTTCCCATTTTTTACCCGTATTTATTCATTTCAATCGTCTTTTGCTATAAAAAATCAACTTTGAAAACAGATTTATCGATTTTTAGCTTGCATTTTCGAACAATTCTCGATTTCTGTTTTTCTCCTTTCGATTTCGCTGAATTTGAGAATTTTCAGGATTTCCACCACCGGAAAAGTCGAACAAGCAACAAAAGGGCATGGATTTCTTCTTTTCGTGTTAGTTTTTGACGTAACAATAATTTTCTCGCCGATCAACGTTTACAGACTTCACTCCTCCGCCGTCAGCAAAATTCAAGCTAAAAATCGATAAATCTGTTTTCAAAGTTGCGGCAATGTTGCAAACAATCGCGCGCAGCATATGCGTTTGGGAGGCCGGGCCTTGGCACGCTGCCAGCTTCGATTCCAATGTCGAACCTTTTTTTTCAACAGTACATGTGCAAGTTTTAGAGCAAAGTTACTACTTCTATTATAGGGGCACCGGACTCTGTTTGCAATCTCGCCGAATTTCTAGGCCGCGAAGTATTTTTCCACTGAAAACGTGGTCTAACTTTTCAAACTCGGCTCCGAGGTCGCTCAATTTGTACTGCAAAAAGAGTTTCTCAACAGAGCGCCATTTCTGTGCGGTGCCCCTATAATAACAATGGTCACTCAGTTTTTAAAAGAAAAATTCAAAAATGAGCATTTATTCAATCAAATCAGTCAGTTTTCCGATCGCTTCTCCCTTTTGCGGAACATTTTTTCTAGCTCGGAAAATTTGTCGACAATCTGCTCCTGAAGACGAATTCGCCGACGGAGCAGCTCGTTTTCGGCGCGCAATGTTCGAATGTGCTCCGAGAGAAAAGAGGGATCCGACGAGACCGGCGAGCCCGTCGAAGAGATCGAGGAGACGAGCGACTGCTTTTCCGCAACACCGTGCTCCTCCAACTGCTGCTCCGCGACCATCATCTTCCTCTTCGCGAGTTCCTCGTCCGGCGACTTCCACGTCTTCCCGCCGTTCCAACAATTGAAGCAAATGCACTGGGCACTCGGGCTCCGCGAGATCGAAGGCAGCCAATGCGGGTACTTTGTGAATATCGACGGTGACGATGGCTTGGATTCTTCCGAAAGGCGCGGCGTCGTTTGCTCCAGAGCCGTCGGCAGCACCGAAAGTTCCGTTTCATCGTTCTGAAACACAAAACTTATCGGTTTTCTTGTTACAATTGCTCACCGTCAAAAAGGAGTCGAGCTTCTCGATAGTCTGATGACGGGACACCGGTTGTCCCCATTCCAGCACTGTCGTGTCGAGCGAATCCGAGAATAAGTCGTGCTGAAAATTCTTTAGATTGGAATCAAAATCACAAATCAATTTCAATTTTTTCCAAAAAAAAGTACCTCAGTGCGTGGGTGATCGTACTCGGTGTCCGTGTCGTACTCCTCCATCATCCGCTCCGTCTCTTCGAGTTGCCACTGCTCGCGGAGCCCGTCCAAACTGTCGATAAAGTGTCCGAAGAGGTGGTAAATGCGCTCGTCCATTGGTTAGTTTTGAAGAAGTCAGTCGAGTTGAATCCAATCGAATATTGTCATGTTCCTCGTTTTTCGCCCTTTTATACCCATTTTTATCTGGCCTTGTGATCTCTCGAGGACGGTAAGGTTCATCGGAGGACACGTGGATTGTTGTGCATTTTTTCTTCTTTTTTTTTTAACGAAAAAAGTGAAGCCGCTTTGGGGGAAATAGATGGTGGCGATGAAGTATGAAACGATATTATAGAACACTTGGTACGAGAGTCGGAAATGTTCAGATTGCCCGGATTGTCGTTAAGGGGCAGCAATCTGGACATTTCCGACTTTAACGCGACTGTAACAGATTGTCAGGTTGCCCCAAGTATCCTGTTAGCACTCGGGTGTCTATAATCCTGTTATCTCACTTTTTAGGAGTCTCCTGCCACCCGTGTTGGTACACCGGCTGTCAATTGTACCACACTCTCTGCACACCTATTCTCCTTTGGGAATCATGTTACTTTAAAGTGTTTTTTTGTTCTTCTTTGTAGTCGAGTAAAAATTAAAGGAAATCATTGTGAATTCTCTAGGAATAACGCAATTTCAATCGGCTTGTAATCGGGTATTATAGTGGCACCGCTCAGAAAAGGCGCTCTGTTGAGAAACTCTTTTTGCAGTGCAAATTGAGCGACCGCGGGGCCGAGTTTTAAAAGTTAGGCCACATTTTCCAAGAACTTCGGCCAGATTGCGAACAGCGCGCCCGTTCTGTCAGGTGTCCCTATAAATTATAATGTTTTAGGGCTACTCATTCCATTAATCAGTCTCGCTAGCAGTCCGTTCGGGGCCACATCTTTTGGCTTGGTGAGTTTCGGTGCTGCCAGCTGAAGAGCACACACGGGTCAAAACAATAATGAAACAAATGCTCTGAAAAAACGTTTCCCGTGACACTTTGTCATGTGCCGCTCATGTTAAGTATCGCTGTCAATTTTTGCTGCGAATTCATCACGTAAAAGACACTCATTGCTATTATTTTCTACCGTCGAACCGAACGAAAATCGGAGCGGAAATAAAATGTCAGGACCAGCAGCAGGAGAGGAGGGCGGCGGAAGCGACAAGAAAGATGAATTGGTGTTCAACGTCGGCGACACGTAAGACCCTCCGTTTTTCTGGCATTTTTCAGAGCTGGTCATTCGCCGGCTGCGTCTTTTCTGCTGTCTGTGTTTCTGGCCCACTTCCAGTTGTCCATTGGGCCCAAATGGAACATGCTCATCGAGCGATAAATTGAAACGCATTGTCCAAGCATTGTTTGGTTCCGATCGCGATCGGTACAAAACAATGCTTGTCACTGTCTCCCCAACAACTAATGCTAAATTGAGCGCCGCGTTAAAACGGAGTGTCGTTGAAAACAAAAGTAGGTCTGAAATTTCTGGATTTTTTTCCGAAAACCCGAAATTTCATCCGAAAATGAGAAAAATGAAGTAAAACAGGGAATTTCAGGATTGTTAATGACAGCTGTGACCTTAAATTAGCGTTTTGCCCACAAGAAAGCGCGCATTATTACACTTTTCTGTGAATTTCAGTCCGGATCGAAAATTCTTAGTCATTTTTGCATTTTATGGGCCATCTATGTGCTCAAAATAACCGCCTTTGTCTGCTGAACAATCGAGAGGCAACTGTCTTTTTATTCTGTCAACTGTTTTCTCAAAACTTCCGAAAGTTCGTTTTTTCAAGCCAAATTTAAAAAACGAAATTACTCTTCGAATTTTCACTTTTACACGCGCACTCTGTGATCTTTTTGTAGCTATCGGTCATATGAACAAACGTGAGGTAAAAGTTTTGAAGGAAAAGTGTGCATAATCCCAAAAACTCGGGAAAACATCATTTTCAGTTGAAAACCCGTCTCCCGTAAATCGACACTGAGAGCCGCACGCAAAAAAGCGCGCGAAAATTTTTTTCGCCGAAGGGGAGACAGTTAACTGGAAGTGGGCCAAAAACACAAAATGGCCACACTTTTCCGAGAAAAGTGTTCTTGAAAGTTGTTAAAAGAAACACAAAAGATTCCTGTTTTCAGAATCCACGGTTACAAAATTGTCAAAAAAATCGATGAAGGCGGTTTCGGTCAAGTGTTCAAAGTGACCGACAAAAAGCAAGATGTTTTCGCAATGAAAGTCGAGCCGAGCGCTCAGGAGGGCGGCTCCGCCATCAAGTTGGAGGTGATTTTTTTGGATTTTTGTTTCATTTTTCTCACAAAACTTGCAAACGCCACTAAAAATCATCGTTCCAGGTGCATGTTCTGCAAAACTTGCCCACAGACAGTGTGTTCCCTCGAATGGTGCTCGGCGGTCGCAAGCGACTCTTTCATTATATGGTGCTCGAGTTGCTCGGCGACAATCTGCGGACCCTGAAAGCACGTAGTACGAACCCGGAGGTCTGGTCCGACGGAACGTGGTCCCGCGTCGGCATCCAGTGCCTTTACGCGTTAGTTTTCCCTTTTTTTTGCAAAAAATCACGGATTTTTGAATGACTTGCAAAAAAATGTTGTTTGCAGTCTGAAAGTGATGCACAATTACGGTTTCGTGCACCGCGACGTAAAGCCGAACAACTTTGCGATCGGCATCAACACGGCCACAGAGATCCGCAACCGTCGTATCATGCTCTTTGATTTCGGACTCGCTCGACGGTACTTTTCGCTTTTTTCTCTCATTCTTTCCCCATTTTTTTCAGATTCGTGAAGCAAGTGCCTGTTGCGCCGGCGAAACGACTTCCATCGACAGCGATCACGGCGAGGACGACGGCGACGACGACGACGACGAAGACGAAAATGGGCGGAAGTTCGAAGCCGAAAAAAACGGAAAACAATGGTACGAAGAAGCAGAAGGAGTCGAAGGTTCGGTTTTCAATTTAACAATTCCCACGCTCGCCTCGTATTGCAGGAGAAGGTCATGGGGCGTTTAAAATTACCTTCCGGTGCTGGGCAGAAGATCGGCACGACCGTTTACGAGTTTCGCATCGCACGCCCGCACACGGACTTTCGCGGAACACAACAGTACGCGTCGCCGAACGCGCACGCACAACTCGAATTGGCAAGTACTCTTATCGATTGATTGCTCTGGTGAATCGTTTGAAATATGCTATCGACGCTTTTCAAAGTCAATGCGCTCTGTTGAGAAACTTCTGTTTGGAGCAGCGAAACGAGTTTCAGTTGTTTTTCATTTAAATTCTGGAACAATGTTCTTGAGATTACAATTTGACATCTAATTAGAGAGGCTATTTGTTTTGCAGGGCCGTCACGACGACATTTGGTCGCTGATGTACATGATTGCGGAGATGTTTGTCGAGTTGCCGTGGGCGTTCAACGATTCAATGTCCGTCGAGGACTTCAAGAAACAGTACGACCTGCCGCGCATTTTTTGTGATGGTGAGAGATTTTTGAAAAAGCGTTGAGATACGATGTTTCTTTTTATTTAGCAGAGAAAAACGCGGGAATGCGCGGACAGCTGGAGAAGATTGATTCGATGCTGAAATCGAAGAACTACTACGAGCATCCGGACTACGAATGCGTGCAGCAATTCCTAAAGGACGTGATGACGCGGGCGCGCGTCGGCTGGGAGGATCCGTACGACTGGGAGACCAACTCCAAATCGGCCGAAGTCGTCGGCGTCGTCAAGAAGGCGCCGTCCACCGTCAAAATTACCGGAAACGAGTGGGAGACGCCCGGAGAATTTTTCAAGGTGAAAAATCAAAAATGATGACTTTTCGGGAGTGAAAATTTTGCAGACTGACATGTGGGCGCGTCTCAAAATGCCGAGTTACTCGATGGAGATGGCCGAAAAGAAAAGACTGGCGGCGAGCAGAGCGGATCGCGGAAAGCAGCAGCTCAGCCACGAACAGATTTCCGCCAATGTAGGTCACTCGACACTTTTCCCGACATTTTTCCGTGTTTTCAGCAAGACGAAGAGTTGAAAATGGTGAAAACGCCGACGGGGAAATCGCTGAAAAAGATGACGAGCGTCGGCAATTTGAGCAGCAACGAGTTCGCACCATCGAAGAGAAAGTGAACGGCGTTTGAACATGAATAATCTGTTTGAAACGTGTTTTTTTTTGTCTTGCACTTTGTGTTGAATATCGATTGAAAAGACGTTTTTCGCAGGCCGAACTGGTCAGTTTTGCGGCAAAATCAGTGTCGGAAATGAAAAAAAAACACGTAGGAGCGAGCATTTTGAGCGTCGAGAAAGGACTGAAATGCGCGCATTTTCAGCGCGAGACTCGAAGCTCAAAGTGTGCGCAAAATGATTGATTTCGCGGAAATCGTGAAGAATTTGTGTAATTTTCGAAAAAATACATGAACAATGGGGTTAACATTTTCAGACAATGCCGTCAATGCTTGACCGTTACGCCTTAGCAGGAGTCGCCGAAGAAGACGAAGTAGAAGAACGAGCCTGGAAACTCTAGAGCCGAGGAATCGCCGAGAGCGAGTAAATGCTTGATCAGTTGAAGAACCAGAGAACACTCCGAGCTTTTCGCTGCGTTTTTTGATGAAAAACGAAGAAAATGATAATTAACAAAAAAGTTTATTGACGGAGAAGCAAAGAATTAGAAGTCTTGCTCGTATTCATTATCCGATTCGCACTCATTGTTGGTCTGCTCGATCGAGTCGTCGAAGACCAATTTGAAGAGCTCTTCGCCGTCCTCCGAAGCATCCTCGTCCTTCTTTTCCTCAGCTTCCACATTGTCCTCTTTCTGCTCCACAATCTCCTCCGGAATCGGCGTCGAGCACGCTACTGGCAAGTAGGCCGAATCGAAAACGGCCGCGATGGAGTCGTCCAGCTCCGAGACGACCGTGGAGTCATCCATATTCCACGTCTCATCGTACTTTTCCGGACTTCCGGAACCTTCATCCAATTTGGCCAGCGCCTTCTCCACCTCCATCTCGGCCATCACTTCTCTGGCGGCCGCTGCGAGCTCATGGACTTCTCGGATCGTTTTGTCCATCTTGGCGAACATTTTGCTGATCGATTTGCTCACGTACATGTTTTTTTTCTGGAAAAAAAATTATTGCAATTGTCAGTGAAGAGTACGGAAGAGAGATTGTCAAAAAAGGACAAGCTTAGGGCCTTAAGACCGTCTCAAGTCTTTCAATCTGATTCAAAAATTGTTTGCTTTTTTTCGGTAAAGTTGCGAAGCGTACAAGCTTAGGAAAGTGGTCTAAAGCAGACTGGGCTAAAAAAACGTCTCATTTCTCCCTAGGCTAGCCTAGAAAAGAGTAGTCCGAGCAAAATAAGAGGCTTTAGGAGAGTGCGCTAAAAACTAAACAAGACTAGAATATTTCTCACAAACATAGGCTAACCAAATGAAATTCAAGCAACTAAATACGAAAAGAAAAGCACAAAGTTTCGACATTGAGCATTCTAACTAGGTCTCTAAATTTTCTCATAGAATTTTACTAACAAGACTAGAGGATGAGTGAGGTTAAGAGTAAATCGAGACAAAGAGCAAAATGAGAGCAAAACTGTGGATTGATGGTAAGACTACCTTCGGACCGTCCGTTTTTATACTCGCCCGCTTGACTCCGCCCCTTTTTCTTTTCCGTTCGGATCCGTTCGACACCTATGCCTTTCGATTCATCTCTGCCTTCCATCTTCATGACTCCTTTGAGTTCGCCGACGATTTTTCGGTGATGGAATGTGACAACGTGTCAAAAAGTGGAGGGCTGTGGTAAAATGGGAAACAGAGTAACAATTTACGTTGAAGAATCTGATAACTATACAAAAAATTACTCGTTTTTCCAGCACTTGTCCCCTCCAGACGCTGAAATTGAGCAATTTTTCAAATAAATAATTGTTCATCCGTTAGAATTGAATAAATTGGGCGAAACGGCGAAAAAGGATAATAAAACATATCGTGGCGGATAAAATTGAGTTTTCACAGAAAAATCACACAAGCAATTGCAAAAAGATAAATTTTTATCGAGATGGCGCGGCCACCGAACTCTCGCGTTCCTTGTTCTCTCTCGGCACTTTGATCCATTGTCCTTGCAGATTTTCACGCCAAATCGAAATCTGCAAAAAAAACGCTTGAATTACGGCTCTAGCCGGGAAGAACGGACCCAAATAATGGTGGTATTATAGGGGCACCGCACAGAAATAGCGCTCTGTTGAGAAGCTCTTTTTGCACTGCAAATTGAGCGACCTCGGGGCCGAGTTTGAAAAGTTAGGCCACGTTTTCAGTGGAAAATTACTTCGCGGCCTAGAAATTCGGCCAGATTGCGAACAGTGCGCCGTTTCTGTCTGGTGCCCCTATAATAATACTGTTCAGATCCGGAAGTGCAAAACTTGTCCAGTTTGACTCTCGTTCAATGTTATGACATCACTACGAAATTTTGCGTCAGCAGTCAGAGAAATACGTTGTCTTCTAAAGTTATCAGGACTCCCTACGGTTTTAAACAATAAAGATTGGGAGTCATCAAAGTTGAAGAGGAGCAAAACTACTCAAACTTTGCATTTCCGGATCTGGTCGGTGCTATTCTAACAAAAAAAGACCAACCAAATTGTCGTCGCCAGACACGGAAAGGAACGATCCGCAGGGCGAGAACGAGACGTGGTACAGTTCGGTCGGCGATTCTTCCAGCAATTTCGATTTCCATCCGTCCGTTTCAATGTTATCCGTACGGTAAAGCACCAGGTGACCGTCCTGCAAACAGAATAGCATAAGTTTTGATGTTTTTCGTCAATTTTCATGGAAAAAACGGGAAAATTCGTACCGTTCCGCAGCTTACAATGCTGTGCTGTCCCTTGTTGATAACCGGACTCCACGCGGCCTCCCGCACCACGTCAATGTGTCCCTGTAGGGTTCTCTCGCAAATCCACTCGTTCTTTTCTTCGTCGCTGAAAAGTATGACCGTTTTTCTTAGTTTTTCAGAGGAAGAAACTTACAGAAGCCAAATTTTGACAAATTTATCGCATCCGGCTGAAACGAGCCGTTTCTTCGCATTCGGATCGGCGGATCCGGGCGCCCAGGCGACAGAATTGACCCCTTGCTCGTGGCAATTCGAGATTTTCGACGAGATCCACTGGCCGGACTGCTCGTCGTAACGGAGGATTCCAATATCGGAATCCGAGGAGGAAGAAGCCAACATGAGCCCGAATTGGGGCGGAGCGAAGGCCACGCAAGTGACTGAAGCCGAGTGCACCGCCCATTCGTACGTCTTTTGCCAGCGACCAGACAACTCGCGCCAGATTATCACTTTCCTGCAAATTTTTCACATTTTTTTTTGATAGAGGAAAATTACAGCATTTTCAACCAGGTTTTCACTATTTTCGCAATTTGCACTAACTTATCATATGCGGCAGAGGCCAGAAGGCCTCCGTACTTGGGATGGGCCCACGAGACTTTCCAGACGGGACCGGAATGTCCGGCGAGTTCGGCAAGCGGAAAAGATTGACCATTCGGCCGGACCTGAACGATTTATGGTGTTTTCGTGGGAAAATTGCGAAAAACCTCGAAAATTTTAACAAGTCGATCGGATCCACACGTGGCAAGTCGGCTTCCGTACATGTTCAGCTGGGCGTCGTGCTGAAAATTGAAAAAAATTGTTTTTCAAGGATTTGTTGATTTCTCCTTAATTTTTTTGATTAAAATCACTCACAATGGCATCGCGATGATTCGTATCGATTCTCTGGCGAATAGTCGTCATTTTTATGATAAAATTCGGCTGAAAATGCTCGAAATTCGCCTTGAAAAATCCGCGTTGGAAGGATCGAGAATGATGTCAGCACGAGGAACGCGTCAGCAGTATTTGCTGGCGCGCGAAAAGTAGGCTGTGAAGCACGTGGAAAAATCACGTTTGCGGATGAAAAACATCGAAAAACGCATGGGAAAAAGACGGAAAACAATGTGTTTTACAATTTGAACATTCGGCGACGATATAATATTATCATTCGATCCTTTGGAAGATCCCTTAAAAATCTGAAAATTTGTTCTCCTCAAAAACATCTTTCTACTGACTTTTTCCCAATTTTTCCAATGATATTCTATCAAATTCGACAAATTCGCGTAGATTTTGTACCTCTCGTCTAGAAATTTCCATCGCGCAACGACAGAAATCGCTCTAAAAACGTCGTCGTCGTCGCGTGTCGCAAGAATTTTTTTATGACCATCAGAGAATGATTATATGTGCGTGTGACTTTGTGGTGTGATTTTTTCCTACTCATTTGTGTCCTTTTTACCGGTTACAAGTCATAAGTTCCGCTAAAAAAACGGACATGTGCCTTTAAGTTTTTACCGTACCGGTAACGGTAGAAATTTAAAGCACTGACTTTTATGCGATTTTTTCCAATTTTATAACATAAAAAGTCCAAAGAACACACATAGCTTTTCGTCAAATAAACTGCGCGGAAGGGGTATTTGCCAATAAAAAATCAGCGCATCATCAAGCCAATAAAGCCACATGACCGCCTCATTTCACCTCGATTTTTCATTGATCTTTGAAAAAAGTAAGAAAAAATTTTAAGCCTTTCAAAAAATCATCTGACCAAGAAGCGGACTGTCTAGTTATTTCTGTTCTGAATTGTTTTTCAAACTAACGGAGGTAGGTCAGCAGGTCTCGCAGCGAAGTGACAAAATATATGCAATGCGCCTTTAAAGCAGACTTGTCGATTAAAATTGGTTCAAAAAACGTGTTTTGAAGTTTCAGCACTAAAACCCTTTCCGGCCCACGACAAGTCTGCTTTAAAGTGAGTAAACTTTAGAAAAACGCGCAAACTGATTTGCATGTCTTGAAAATAGAGCGGTTTCAAAAAATGTATAGAACTATTTTTCACATTCGAAAGTTACTGGGCGATTGAAAAAGAAAGTTCTTTCATATATTCCAAGGTCCGAAATTCTGAAACTTTGCAAAAAAAAAGCAGGGGAGACCACGAGAAGTACACGAGACTATTTCTGTCTGAACCCGAAGGAAATTAAAAACGTCGAACGTATTCCAAATTTGGCGGCCGGGGGACTAGAAAACCCCACCCGCCGTGTACTTCTCGTGGTCTCCTTGGCTTTTTTTGGGAAATTTGGGATTCTGTGATTACTTTTAGCGAATATGTTACTGTTTTAGTGCAAATTCCTTGCCAATGTTCTCCGCTGACCGCTCTCTGTGTTCTCTCGTTTCTCGGCGTCCTCCGCCTTCGTCGCCCTCTCTCATCGCGCCCTCCATCCGTCTGCGTCTCTCGCCCGTTCCGCACTCTCTCGCCGCCGCTCTCTTTTCTCTTTTTTCCTCCGTTTTGCACGTATTTGTTTGTATTCTTCCTCCCCCTCCTTTTGCCCATTTTCTTCATTTTTCTCCTCATTTTCGCGGTTTTTATTGCAAAAACACTCAGAATTTCGAGTGAAAGTTGACGAAATTTCGGAAAATTATGCTAAAAAATCGCGAAAAATCGGCGAAAAATGGGGAGAGAAAAGCGGTTGATAAGTGATATCGATTGATTTTCGGGGGCACGTCACAGACCCACGCGCACGTCTATTATCTGTTATCGAGTGATCACTGGTCGATTTGTGTGGACAAGAACACCGTTTTTTTTTTAATTTTCAGATGGGAAATGTGAGGGCAAGTAGTGATTGTTTAATGATCAAACTTACTTACTTTTCTCTTTACAAAGATCTCCTTTCTTTTGTTCACTTTTCGAAATTCTAAATCATATTCATTTTCAGAGAAAAAATGGGCCTCAAGTTTTTGCCGCCAGAAGTCGAAGAGGTAATTTTTCATTTATTAAGAAAAATCAACGTTTTACTTTCAGATTCTCGCTCAATTCCGGCTGGATCGCGGAAAATTGCAAGAAATTAGCGAAAAAGTGGAGGAACAGATGAAAAAGGGTCTCGCGCAGACGAAGGGCTCCTCAATTGCCATGTTGCCGAGTTATGTGCCGGCGTTGCCCGACGGAACCGGTAAGGTCACAAAATTTCATCCAAAACCATTGCTTTTCCTAAAACTCTCGCACAATCTGGTGCCGAGACCGCAAACACCGGATTTGACGACAACTGTGCAAGAGCACCGTAAAAACCGGTAACAAGTTGCAGAAAAAGGAAAGTATGTGGCAATCGACTTGTCGGGCAAAAATCTGAGGATAATGTTGCTGACAATGGACGGAAAATCGCCGCAACGACAGAATACCGTCAATTATATTGTGGCGAATCATGTGATGAAGGGCACCGGCGATCAGGTAAGCCGGAAAACGTTTTTTCAAAAGTTCTGCTGCTTTTGTTTCCAGTTGTTCACATTCATCGTCAACTGTCTTCAACGATTCCTTCAGGAATTCGGACTCGTCGATGCGAACCTTCCAATCGGTAATTTTTCGACGCTCCAGCATGCTCCAACGGCAACAGAAACTTATTTTAGGATTCGTTTTCTCCTATCCGTGCGAACTACTGTCAATCCGTTCGGCGCGTCTTCTCTGGTGGACAAAAGGCTTCGACATCAAGGATTGTCTTCAGAAAGACGTCGTCGCACTTCTGGAAGAGGCTCTCGAGATGAACATGGTCAGTTTTTGAGCGATTTTGAGTCAATGATGCTTTTTCCGCGCATTTAAAAAGCTATCAATTTTCAGTCGACAAAAGTGAACATCAAAGCGGTGATGAACGATACGGTGGGCCAGTTGGCGGCCGCCGCACACAAATACGGACCGGAATGCACAATCGGAGTCGTCATCGGCTATGGGTCCGTTTTTTAATTCATTAAAGAACCTGGGGCAAAAAATTCGAGAAAACATCCCAAAAGTGTTCTAGTTTTCTAGGCCACGTCCACAACTTTAATTGTGCGATGTTCCTAAGAGTTGGGAAAGAAAGACAATTCCACAATTTTTGCAGATGCAACTCGTCGTATTTGGAAAAAACGTCACGAATCACAAAGTTTGACGCGAAAAAGCTGAACTACAATCACGAGAATATGATTGTGGTGACCGAGTGGGAGGAGTTTGGCAAAAATGTGCGTTTCTTCGATTTTTCGACACTGTCATTGTTCAAATTTCATCATTTCAGGGAGAATTGGACGATATAATGACGCAATTCGATCGGGAAGTCGACGCGGCGAGCGTGCACAAGGGAAAACAATTGTGAGCATTTTTCGGGCAGTTTTTGAAACTTTTTTTTTTAATTTTAAGAATCGACAAGCTGTGCGGAGCCCTCTACATTGGCGAAGTCGTCCGAAAAGTGCTGTCGCAGCTCGTTCTGGACAGGTAAAGAGCATTTTTTGGTGGATTCTAGAAATTGCGAAAAAAGTGTTCAGAATACTGTTCGAAGGACAGTCGTGCGAGAAGCTGGACGAAGTGGAATCGTTCCCGACAAAATACATCTCTGAAATTCTTGGGTGAGCATTTTAAGCATTTTTTTTGAGTAAAAAATGTTAAAATTTGGTGGTGCACTTTTAAACCAATTGGATTGTTCAAATAAGACCGAAACAGGCAAAATAACACCACTTTTTGTCGAGAAACTGTAATCATTTATAAGAAAAATTCACTAAAATTGATGAATTTCCAATTCGGATCGAAAACCCTAAAATTTATCCAAACTCGTTTGCAGAGAAGAAGAGGGAATTTTCAAGGCGTGCCGACGAATTTGCGATGAGCTGGACGTCCAAATGCACGGAACCACCGATTATATTATCATTCGAGAAGTTTGTGACGTCATTTCGAGACGAGGCGCCAGTATTGTCGCCGCTGGTACGCTTTTTTCTGAGTGAACATTGTAAAAAAAACTGTCCGAACTCTCACGAAATGCCTTAAAGTTGTGGCCGTGGCCGAGAAAACTCTTCCCCTTGCACTTTGACAATCTGTTAATGTGTGTGTGTGAATGCTTGCGCCGAATGCCAAAAAAAGATCCCATGGCCTAGGAGTTTTCTAGACCACGGCCATTTTCTTTATCAATTTGCAGCCCTCGCCGCGCTGCTCCGTCACCTGGAACTGTCGTCCGTCAAAATTGGCGTAGGCGGTGCGCTCATCCAATTTCACCCGACCTATCATCAAATGCTCAAGGAACAATTGGAGGAATTGACGCCGATCACGTTGAAAGTGAGTCGATATTATCTATCTATTGTTTCCAGGGTTTTTGTATTAGTTGAGACGAAATCTTGTCAAATTATTAAAGCTTTGTGTTTGTTTCAGTTCGAGCTGGTGCCCGCCGACGAGGGAAGTTGTCAAGGAGCGGCGCTGATCGCCGCCGTCGCCGAACGTCTAAAGCTCTGAAAACGTTGTCCCTAATGTTATCATCAGATTTATGAGATTTCTAGCCCCTCTAGATATTGTCATTGACGAGTTTTTCCCCCGCACATTTTTTGTAATATTTTTTCCTTGTTCAAAAATTCTTATTTTTCGCATTTCTTTACTCGAAACATGTACTTTTAGGTACTTATTCCCCCCTAAGACAATTATTGTAATGTTTCATCGAATTTGCCATAGTTTTGTACTGTTTTCGCCACTCAAAACCCATTATATCGGGGCTGGGCAATTGGTCGGCCCTTGTCCTGGACTTTTGGACCATTTGTAATCATCCGATCGGGCCCAAACTCTGCAGGTTTCTTGAACTTGGATTGAAGTGTACTGGGACCAAGTTTCAGACGAATCGGATCATCCGGTCCCGAGATATGTGGCTTTTCGACCATATCTCGACAGTAAATAATCGGATGGGTCTGAAACTTGAACCCAAAATACTTCAACCCATGTCAAAGAAGCCTGCAAAGTTTGGGACCGATCGGATGATTACAAGTTGTCCAAAAGCCCAGGAGGAGGGCCGGCCAATCGCCCAGCCCTGCATTCACTACACAAATGAAATGCTTCTCACGAAAATCTCCGAAAATTTGACCCATTTCGTCTCGTTTTCACTTTTCTGCGTCTCTCGGAATCGGACAATATTCGTGCGGGCACCAATGATTTTAGATAACGATAGAAGCGATGCGAAGAGGATTTTCACTTTTGATTTCTATTTATTTTCGCCTTCTTTTTCCCCCCTATTGATTCTGGATTTTTAACGAGAAAAAATGATTGTTTTTATTGCGGTTTTTGCAGTTTTTGGTAGGTTTTTCCGAAAATGTCTCTTTTTTTCGCTTTGAACGCTCTATAGTCACTACTCCGCGGTCCCTGCTCGGATCACGGTGCCAAGTTGGGTCCAAAACGCTATCCCACGTGAAAGCCCCGCCGCGACCGCCACCTTTTCCAATTTAACACTGAATTCACGTGGTGTGCGGTAGAGCGCGATTGCAAAACACTTGCTAGACTGTGTTTCGATTGCACAACCACCTAGCTAGATGCAGAAATCGGTACAGAGATGGGCGCGGTGCGGGAACAAACAGATTTGGGCTCAAAAGTTTCGAACACGTTCCGGTGTACTCGAATTTGCGTCGTTCTCTGCGCCTCTCGCATGACACACTATTTCTGATCGCTGACGCAAAATTGTGTGCACCGGAACGTGTTCGAAAGTTGATTATTTATTAGAAATATAACTGCTTAGGTTCGGTTAGAAACGTGAATAAAGCACCCCGCATTTCCAGGTCTATCGTATGGAATTCCGACGCAGCTGAAGGAGACGAATCCAGTGACGATTCCGCCGTGTCCGTCCGGCTCCCGCCCACTTTTGCGGCCCGACGGACAGCCGAGAAAGTGTCTGCCGCACCAGAATTCGCTTTGTATCAATGCTCTTCCGGATAAGGTATCGATTCTTTTGATTCTCATGAAGCACAAAAATCGATAATGTCAGCCGAACGCGGACACGGTGTGCTGCTTCCACAACCAGGTCGATTACTACTGTTGCCTGGACACGACGGAGCAGCAGTGCCCGGATTACCATCAGGTTACTGTCGTCATTCACAACAGTTTCCCGCAGAATCCGTTCGCGCTCAAGAGCTTCTTTTTTAAGGACGGAATCGAGGACGATGTAAGTCTTTTCAATTTTTCCTGTAAAAACGACATTTCTTTCCTGAAAACCTGTATGAACTTCGATTAAATCGTGAATTAAACATAAAATCGTGAATTTAAACATATTAAACATGTAAACAAATTGAAACTGTAAAAATTTCAATTTGAATGCGCGGAAACAGGAAAACGACTAGATTCAAGCGGCATGAACAAATGGAAGAGAAACTTTTTCGATTTTCAGCGGTTTTTCGAATCATCAACAAAATGTAAAGCTCTTCTTCACAAAGCACATCGGAAATCCAAAGATTGTAAAGAAAATTGCGAGAAAAGCTGACAGCGGCGTTGCCGTAAATCGACACGGCCGGCGGCCGAGTTGGTGTTTCTCTTCCATCTGCGCATGACGTTTTCGTGTCCCCGACCCGTTTTCGCGCGCATTCACATTCAAATGCCCCGTTAGTGATATGAGATTTTCTAAATTTCCAGATAATCGACGCCACATTCGGGCGCGGAGACGAGGGACTTCAAAACGAGAACGGACTTCTCGTTCGTCACCAAACAAATGAAATTTTGAAACAATAGGCCCCACGCATCTCTTTTTGACATAATAATAATAATAATAAGAATAATAATAATTTGAAACTTTACAAAATGTTTATGTAATTATTAAAAATCTAGGAGCTCTTGGGACATCCATTATTTCCATAAGTGTCCAAATCGGTATTGAAATAGTGGGTGTGGTCGTTCCAACTCAAATCCGTTTGTTGATTGGCACAATAAAATCCGTCGGCCTCCTGACAAACGTGGTACGCAGAGCCGGGCGTCATGTCGTTATTGTACCTGAAAACACATTTGTTTCATTGGAATTCACCATGGAAATGGTCTTGTACTAGTTTTTTAACATTTAGAAACTTGTCTGAAACAGTAAACTCACCAGATTTCGGTTCTGTGATGGTACATCTTGTCCTTATCCACAATTTCGTATTGGAACGGAACGTGCGGCACAATGTCGTGATGATGAACCACTCGGAACGACCAGGCGAACTGCAAACATACATTTTTCGGTGGAATGTGTGTCTCGAAAGCGTACAGTATTCTGATGCCACATGGCATAGTCGTAATCGCCGGTTCTCGGCTGTCCGACCGTGAGCACTTTCACGGTTTCCGGCTTGAAAAGACCCGATTTGACGACCCACGAGGCACCGACCGAGGCCAGCGCCGCGCCCAGCGAGTGACCCGTCACCTGCAAGTTTATCGATTGAAAAGTTGAGAAAAAAAGGAGCCACGGTCTCGAGGCCGGCCCAGGCTTTTTGGAGGCCTGGACTTTGCAAGTGTGTCAAAAGTCCAGGCCTCGGCCTAAAGATTCATGCTCACCCACAACTCGTAATCCGGATACTTGTACTTTAAATTCCGGATTTCCGTCTCGAGACCGCCCTTCCAAAGTGCCACGTAGGCGTCGTAGAAGAACTCGAAAATGTAGCCGCTGTCGAAAAACGCCTTTTTGGCGACGAAATAGTTGAGAATCTCCTCGTCCAACTGGGTTCCCGTGTTCGTCGCTCGGAACGACATTACCAACACTTTTTGGCTAGTGTCCACCGCTGTGATCATTGCGCAAGTGGTCACTGAACAAAAAAAATCGATAAATACTCGTAGATTGAACAAAATGTTTTAACTTACGTGGCAAAATCGGGCTCGGATCACTGCAATTGACGAGAATTCGCTTGGAGAGTTTCATCGTCGGCCAGTTGTTGCTAAACTTTGTTTTAATTGAAAATCTGTCAAAGAACCCCTAAAACTCACTCGAAACACTTTTGAGCCATGAGCGAATCGGTGGCACTTGCTCCGAAAAGTGGGAGCCATTTCGTGCGCGCCTCATTATCGTCATACGTGCCATTCGGAGCTCTCGGACAATTAATCAGATGCTAAAAACTGATTGACGGTTTACTGTAGACGCGAAAGTACGTCGACTTACCGTAATCGTATTGAGACAAACTGGCGAGTTACAGAGGTGCGTATCGGCGCAAAAACTGAAAATTTCGTGATGCAGGCTTAAAATTCCGAAAATTTGTGACTTACTGTAGCCCGGAATTCAGACATTGTTCGCAAGTTTGAAGAGCGTGGCCGGCGGCCAGAAAAAGAAGAAAAATCGCCGAAAATCGGAGCATTTTTCAGGGAAAATTACCTAAAAAATCAGATAAAGTATGTCAACACTTTCCGCTGGAAATTCCACCGGAGAATGATAAGAAACACGTGGAAATGCCAGTTTTAAAGCCGTCTTATCGGTTTTTGCGGAATGATCATGAACGCGCCGCAAAAATCGCATTTGGCGAAAGATCACGCTGACATTTTGCGGCAAATTTTTTGATAATGACTGAAAAATCAAAATTCAAATTAGTTCTCAAGCAGATCGGATCGGTGGAATCATCTTGGCACGATGCCATGACGTTTCGAAATTCCAATCGTACTTTCCCATCAGAGCCCTTTGTCGGCGTCCTTATCACTAATCATCACTCATTTTCTTGTAAGTGAAACTCTAATGTTGTTTTGTGCCCATTTCCCAAACTGTTTGTTTAAAATCAAAATTCAAACTCGCGTCAAGTGCACACTGTGCACTTGCTCGTCAATTAAAATGCACGACGCACATTCGCGTACCATTCAATTTTGTGCGTCCAACTCCATTTCTGGCTGTATTCAGCCGATTTCGGCCGTTATTCACCGAAATGGTGAACCATGCCATTCGAGATTTGCTCAAGTAAGTCAAATCCATTCGAAAGCTGCCGTTAAATGCTGAAAAGTGTTGAAAATTCTAAATTTTCAGTCATTTTCAAAAAAATTAGAAAATGAGCGGCTTTTCCCGCTTTTTTGACATAAAAATGGGATGTTGCGTTATAATAAGCTTCAAATTTATTGAAACAGTTTGAAGAGAAAGTTCTTTATAGCGGACCCGCCTATGAGGGCAGAAAAGAACTTTTTGTGTGCAAAGTTCCGGATCGCAACAAAAGAAACCATCCGTGCGATTTTATCGGAAGCCTCAGTGCGGTTCTGGCGCATTTGGCACAGCATGTGTAAGGCTTTTTGTTGTTTTTCCATTAAAAAGCAATTCTCAGACCTGTACTTCGCTGGAAATGCGGCGTTTGCGATCACAAAGTCGCCGATCGAGTGGAACTCATACCGCACCGTCAAGGACGATTTCGGTGCTTCTCGGTAATTTTTTTCCCCTAAGCACCCCCAAAATGAATAAATTTCCAGACCGAAAAATCAGATGTTCCAAATGAAAAATACAATCGGAACGACGAAGTCGATTTTTGGAAGATGAAAAATGTTTTTATTCGTGTGGCAAGTGAGGTCGAAAAAGAAGTGCATTTGCACACAAAAAAGATGAAACCGACAGCACGGAAAGTTTCGGGAACGCCCGGATACGGAGATTCTGACGACGACGGCGACGAGAATCGTCAAATTGTGGTATATCGGGTTCAGCGTCTGATTCTAGTGATTTTCTACAATTGTACTGACAAAATTGATACTAACGTGATGAACAATAGTCAAAATAGCGAGAATGAGAATATGGGAATACAACCTACAGCAGAAGTTCCCAGTTGAACTCGTTATCCATCTTCCAGTATACTTTCAGTCAATTATCGATCTTTACCTGTTACAATTGAAAGTAACTAAAATTAGACACTGAAAACAATTTATTCCAGAAAATTCCTCCGCCGAAGCCCGCCGAAATTCCGTCCGCACCCGCCTCGAAACCACATTTATTCTCTCAAAAAGCGTTGGAAGCCATCGGAACGCTCCGTCCACCGCCACGACCCGAACCTCGATTGGTAGGATGCTTTTTAAATCTTTTTCCGGCTAATTTAGTGTTGTTGAATTGTCAGTTGCTTTCATTTGTTTAAGCTGAAAAAATGCTTCTGAAAATCTATTTTTCAGCCTCCCAGCACACCAGCCAAACCGGAACGATCGAGGGCACGGACTCCACGATCGCGTGCCAAAGACACGCCGACCGGGTGAGCGGGCAATTTGAAATTTGCACAAAAAATTCGAGTCTGTTTTGTTGTTGTTTCTGCTTCTTTCGCACGCAAATCGCTGTTCTCTCGCCCCCTTTGCTTTTCATAAGCAAATTCTGAATCAACCGAATCGCTCACCGAGGCCTGTGATCGATCGATTTTTCAATAATTTTCAGAACGTTCTCGCTGAAAGTGGACACGCCGGCAATTGTGGGCCAACGGCGTCCGAGCACTGTGAGCTACCTAAGCAGAGGACGGTCCCCGATCCGACCGGCCGAAGAAGAGGAGTATGAAGGTAGTTGTTTTTGAATTTTACGAAAAAAATAATGGATTTTGCAGAAATAAATCAGCTCAAAGACCAATTTGCAATACAATCGCGTCCGACGGTCAAAGTGCCGAATCGGATGAATCGCGGAGCCGCACTGCTCGAGCAGCCGATTGGGTAATTTTTATGAAAAAATGTCTCAAAATTCCTCTGATTTTCCACTCTTTCAGACCATCCCACACACATCCAAAAAGACGAACAAAAGCGGAGATTATGGAAATTTCGCGGAAAGCTCTCAAAAAATGCGGAAGAACGGACGCAGAGATTGAGGAGTTTTTCAAAATGAAAGGATACACTGAAGAAGCGGCGGCTCCAGAAGTACCGAACATTCGGATATTGCCCGAACACGAGAAACAGCCGGTCGAATCGATTCCGCTGCCGGAAAAGTCGCCAATTGAGGAAGAACGGAGGGCTAGACGACGTTCGGTGTCGAGAAAACGATCGAGAAGCCCGAGTGTGAAACGACGCCGATCCTGCTCAAAAACCTCCAGAAAACGCTCGCCGAATCCGTCACTTATCGAAGAATATCAAAGAACTCTCCCCTTTAACTACAATTCCTCGTTTTCGAGAGATCGAGGATGCGGAACGAAGTAAGCTTTTTTGAACACATGTTTTCTAACATTCATAAAACATGAATACTAGAGATGTTTGTTGGAGTTCTTGAAACAAACACATAATATATTTTTAGTAACTTCAACGGTCCATCGACGTCATCTGGAAGTGCTCAGCCCGGATCTTCGGGTCCGAATCGATACGAACGGCGCCAGGAGACTCCGAAAAAGAAGGCCGAGCGAAGATATTAAATGTTTCATTCAGAGAAATCCATTGTTAGTAGTTTCCAACGAATTACTTGTTTTATAATGATTTCCTTTCCCCCCAGCTCCCTCCGTACTGAAAAGAGAATATACATGAATTTAGAGAATTTTATTGAAAAACGTTATCTTTTCGGACATCCCTGATCTCCGTACACATTCAAATCGGTATTGAAATAGTGGGTGTGGTCGTTCCAACTCAAATCCACTTGTTGATTCACACAATACAATCCGTCGGCTTCCGGACAAATTTGATAAGTGGAACCCTCGGACATGTCGTTGTTGTACCTGAAAACACATTTGTTTTATTGGAATTCACCATGGAAACTGGTCTTGTACCAGTTTTTAAGCATTTAGAAACTTGTCTGAAACAGTAAACTGACCAGATTTCGGTTCTGTGATGGTACATCTTGTCCTTATCCACAATTTCGTATTGGAACGGAACGTGCGGTACAATGTCGTGATGATGAACCACTCGGAACGACCAGGCGAACTGCAAACATACATTTTTCGGTGGAATGTGTGTCTCGAAAGCGTACAGTATTCTGATGCCACATGGCATAGTCGTAATCGCCGGTTCTCGGCTGTCCGACCGTGAGCACTTTCACGGTTTCCGGCTTGAAAAGACCCGATTTGACGACCCACGAGGCACCGACCGAGGCCAGCGCCGCGCCCAGCGAGTGACCCGTCACCTGCAAGTTTATCGATTGAAAAGTTGAGACAGAAAGGAGCCACGGTCTCGAGGGCTTTCTGGAGGCCTGGACTTTGCAAGTGTGTCAAAAGTCCAGGCCTCGGCGTAAAGATTCATGCTCACCCACAACTCGTAATCCGGATACTTGTACTTTAAATTCCGGATTTCCGTCTCGAGACCGCCCTTCCAGAGTGCCACGTAGGCGTCGTAGAAGAACTCGAAAATGTATCCAATGTCGAAAAATTGTTTTTTCGCCACAAAATAGTTGAGAAACTCCTCGCCCAACTGGGTATTTCCGTTCGTCGCTCGGAACGACATCACCAGTATCTTTTTGGAAACATCCACCGCCGTGATCATTGCGCACGTCGTCGCTGCAAGTTGACACGTTTTTCAGCTAACTTTTAAGGTAATCTTGAGGAAAAAAGGAACAAAATTAAGATCTTACTTGGCAAAATCGGACTCGGATCACTGCAATTGACGAGAATCCGCTTGGAGAGTTTCAGCGTTGGCCAGTTGTTGCTAAACTTCGTTTTAATTGAAAATTTGTCAAAGAACCCCTAAAACTCACTCGAAACACTTTTGAGCCATGAGCGAATTCGTTGCTCCGGCTCCAAAAAGTGGAAGCCATTTCGTGCGCGCCTCATTATCGTCATACGTGGCATTCGGAGCTCTCGGACAGTTTAGAGCAAGCTGAAAATGCGAAAGTGCGTGACGACGGTGTTTGCGTACTTTCGCGCCTACCGTAATCGTGTTGACGCACGCCGGCGAGTTGCAGAGCTTTGTGTCGGCGCAAAAACTGAAAAATAAGAGCATTCGTTTTCGAGACAAAATTTGACTAAAACTCACTGTTTCCCGGTGCTCAAACAGTCTTCACAGCTCAGAAAAGCATGCGAAAAAAGGGGAAGAACGATTAGAAAAATGGAGAACAATTTGAGCATTGTCGAATTTCAGCCAAAAACCCGATAAGAGCTGCCCAATTTATATGTGCATTTGCCATCGAAAGATGACGGTGAAAATTGACGAAAATGCATCGGAGAAACGCATAATTGTAGCCATTTTTGTATTTTTGTGCACATGAACTTTGTCTCCAAATTCCTCCATTCTCAGTTCAATTTCGTCATCTTTTCTTATCTTTCTCAACTAACTCTGCAATTTTTATTACCTCAAATTGTATGACTTTGAACTGTGCGCACCAAGTGACGAAACGTCATTATCAACAATTTTTGACGAAATATTGATCCGCGCACGGTCCCCAGAGCTGACAATATGGGCGTGGCGGCCTCGGCCAAATGGCGTTTTCATGAATTGAGCACGTTTTCTCTGATTTTTGTGGTCAAAAGCGATGAAAAATGATTGTTCGACATGAAAACACACTAATTCACAGAATTAATGACGTTTTGGCGCATTTTTCGCGGATTTCGCTCTTTCGCCGATCGCCGCCTAAAAACCGCATTTCTCATTTTGCGCTTTCTTGACCGTTTTCAGACAGAATTGGTTTTGAAAATGATAAATCACGTAAATACAAGCATTTTGAGCGCTCGAATCGCGAAAATTACCGAAAAGCAACTGAAATTCACGCAGTTTTAGCCAAAAACCTTCAAACGGATAAATGTGTTTGCGACTTGACCAAATTTAACGCTCTTGCGCTTAAAAAATTCGTAATAGCCTATACAATCGGTCTATCGAGAGACAAATGAGAAATTATCGATTTTTCGTGGCTAATCTGGCAAAAAACACAAATTTTGCTGTTAAAATTTGAATTTCGCGTCAATGCGCACTTGCGCCCATTGTCAGCTCTGGAGACTGTGATCCGAGAAACAGAAAATTTCATTTTTGACCTACTTCTACTTGTCCAATCGGATTTTCACTGTTTCCGGCATCAGGGAGACTAAAAAGCTCCGTTGTACAATCAAAATCGAGTGCATTCCTTGTGAGATGGCACAACGAATTCTCACGGAAGCTCCACCAACATGCCTGAAAGTAGTTCCATTGCGAACAAGAGTCGTAAGTGATTTTTGTGACCTTTCCGCTCTTTAAAACACACCAAAAATCAGCGGCGAGGTTACCCGGTCGGAGATGGCCGGAGCCTAGCCTTCTCTAATTACACTTGGTTTTTAGAAAGAGTTTTCAGAAAGAGTTTCAACAATGACGCCAGAAGAATGGAATCAATTGAGCGAAGCGCAAAAGATGGATATGTGGAAGCAGGTGCTCTACAAATCTTGCCAAAATTCAGGTATTCTTTGAACAAATACAATTTACATAAGAGAAAAGAATATTCCAGAAAGTTCGTGCGAAAAAGCTTTCGGCGAATTCATGACCGGATGCGACCAACATGTGGTGAAACAGTGGGTAAAGGGGTGCCGCGATATATACGACGATTTTGTCAAATTTATTTGTAAGGAGAGTTTCGCGGAGGCTTGTAAGTGTTTGCCGATCGATTTTTTTTTCAATTGAAAACTTTGCAGACGGCATCTGCCGCGACGAGAACTCGACGACCGACGACTACTCGGCCGCAATCACCGTCTTCGTCGTGCTCGCATTTGTCTGCGTCTGCGGCTGTGCCCTCATCGCCCTTCTCGTCTGGTGGCGCTCGAAAAAACGGAAATCGCAGCAGAGGATTATGGACGGTGCCGCCGGTGGACCCCCGCAGCTTGTGGCCGGTCCTGCTCCGACTGGTCCACAGCCTCAAGTCATCGTTCGTGGTTGAGCCGAAACACATACTTATTGCAATCTTTCTACTTGATAAATTTTTTTTGTTCGGAAACTTTCTTCGATAAATGTGCCAGCACTACTGTTTTCAAGTTCCGCAGACTTTTCTCGAAAATACCATTGACCTGTCCCTTAGCCTACTCTACTAAACTATTGAGTACCAACAAAAAATGGTAGGTAAATCCGATTGACGTTTCCGACCGATCGGCCTATTCTTGGGCCCAAAACCCATCGAACTTTCAATTATTTTCAGAGCGTAAATGTCAGACTTGCAACGGGCCGGGCCAAAATTGGAAATTTTCCGGCCCGGCCCGGCCCGGCCCGGTCGGCCCGGGAGGATGCACCTAAAAATTCAAAGCGAACTAGAACTTCGAAACGAACATAATTTTATAGACTTAAAATTTTATAGACTTAAAAAGGCAATGTTATAGCATAAAAACCTGTTAAAAAATAGAAATTGCTGTTTAAAGTCGCAAAATTTTCACAAAAATTACGAAAATTTTCTCAAGAGTGGGCGGAGCCGGGCCGACCGGGCCGGGCCGGGCCAAAACCGGGCCGGACCGGGATTTGGCAAGTCTGCAAAATACTGCATAAAACAAAGCATGGCAACACACGACTGTGTCTCGTGAGCTCTCAAAAATTCAAAACTGGAATGAAAACTTCGAAAATGTGCTTCGTGCACAACTTTTGTACCCCAAAATCGTGAAATTTGTACCCTTAAATCATAAAAGTTGTACCCCTTAATCAATGCCTACTGAATCGGTAAATTTTTGTACCCCAGAATCGAAAATTTTGTACCCTCGACTTTTTGTACCCCAAAACCATGAAAGTTGCACCCCAAAACCATGTGTACCCTGTTGTACCCCCTAATTTTTGTACCCTCCGAATTAAATGCCTCCATTGCCTTTTCTGTAAAAAACTTGAGTAGTTCTGGAGATTTTCTGAAAAAATGCCGCTGCACCGATTTTTCGAAAGGAAATGATCATAAGCTGAAAAAATATCATTTCTTCTTTTATAATTCAAATGCACTGAAGTGTCCGACAGACTTGCCAAATCCCGGGCCGGACCAGCAAATCGTCGGCCCAGCCCGGCCCGGTCGACCCGGGAGTTAGACCTCAAAAAAAATATGCAAAAAAAATATGAAGGAAGAGGAAAACGCGTGCGGCAAAATTGCTAAAATGGCGTGCCAGAGTTGCAATCAATCGCTCCGCCCACTCTTGAGAAAAAAAATTTTCGTAATTTTTGTGAAAATTTTGCGACTTTAAACAGCAATTTCTATTTTTTAACAGGTTTTTATGCTATGACTGATTTGTTGCAATTTTAAGTCTATAAAATTATGTTCGTTTCGAAGTTCTAGTTCGCTTTGAATTTTTAGGTGCATCCTCCCGGGCCGACCGGGCCGGGAGGATGCACCTAAAAAAAAACGGAAAATTTCCAATTTTGGCCCGGCCCGGCCCGGCCCGGCCCGTTGCAAGTCTGGTGTCCGACGAGTCCGCGAACGTTCACCCGATCCGACCACGTCCGAACGACGCAAACCGGCGAAAACCTGTACATTTGCCACGTGTGTGACCGGAATTTTGCTCGGAGCGACGAGAGCCTTCGAAAGTGCACAAGAAATCGATTTTTCAAATGTTGTTCTCCAATTTTCCAGTGCTCCTCTTGTTTTTACTTAATTTATCCACGTCGGCCTAGGCCTTCGGACGTCGTTACCCTAATCTGAAAAAGAAGTATATAAAAGGCCCAGAAGATGATACAGAGAAAAATAGAGGAAGAATGGCGGATCCGAAGAATGATCAACGAAAAGCGATGGATGCGCTGTGAGTTTTTTACCAAACGTTTTTGCGGTTTCAAAAAATCGATATCTAGTCACGACGTTCTGCTGACGCGTTTTAAGCAGACTAGGTTTTGCATTTGAAAAATCTTATAGTTAGATCACGTAGTAGAAAAATGCTTAATAGGCGATTAAATGAATGAGAACTTCTGACCAGGCAAAAGCTATTTTCAAGTGATTGTTTTTGGAATTATCGGTACAGAAACTCTATTTTTAACGTTGAAAGATGCAGAATCATAATGTTCCTTTTAAATTCCTTGTTTTTCTGCGATTATTCGTTCGACGAGCCGGACAATGTTAAAAATAGATAACAAACATCTTTTTTAAGATTTATTGATTGAAAAGATTGCAAAAAAAAGATATTGCATTTTGCGCTCCACCGACAGCCGTGCAGGAGGCCGTGGCTCGCAAAATTCTGGAAAAATCCCAAAATTTCAGCAAAAGACTGGGCGAAAATGCGACGGAAAAGGAACTAAACGCAGGGGTGGAATTTATGAGAGCTATTTGTGATGCGCTCCTCGGATTCGGCTATTCTGAGAGTTTGTTTCTGAATTTAGGAAAAATAAAAGAAAAATTTGAGGTGATAAGAATAAATGTGTCGAAGAAACGGATGATTTGGTGGAGGAGACGTGCAAAAACGATAAAATTCGTGATTGTGAGTGTTTATTTTGAACAAAATTAAAGAAATTATTCTAGTTGACATGTGCCAAAAGTACAACTCGACCACCGGCTCTACCTTCGAAACCGTGCTCATCGTCGTGGTCGTGGTCGCTCTTCTGGCCGCCTGTGCCTCTTCCGTCGCCGCTTTTTTCTTCTGGCGCCACAAAAAACGTCAAAAGACTTCTGGGGTCCGACCGGCGGGACCGGACACGGTTTCCGGAGGAACACGGCACGACACAACCACTGGGACCACTTTGTACACGGCCGGAAATCCCACTTTGTTCCCTGTCAAATAATCTGTTTTGTTTTATGATACTTGTAAATGAAATTTGGTTTTTTTTGCATATAATGAGGGTCAAAATGAAGAAGTTTTGCACTTATTTTGCACTCTGAAATCCCTCATCTTTAGACCTCTATATCTCGAGATCCGATTAACATTTCAAAAAGTAGTCAACTGAAAAGTTGGTGCAAATTTTAAGCTCTACAACTTTGCAGTTAAACATTTCATCTCAAAACTTGTCATTCTCCAGTTATGACCAAAGTTCCAAAGTCATAGGTTTATCCTAATAGTCACTTGAACCCTGGCCAACCTTGGCCTGTCCGGCCAATAACCGTTACCCTAATCCGCTAATATGGTAAAGAAACCCTATAAAAGGCCCAAAAGAGTAAAAAATCAAATCAAAAGGCGATCTCTCTCGAATATCCGATCATGGCAACCGATGGCGACAGCAAGTTGGCGGAACTGTGAGTTTGATTAAAAAAATGCTAACAAAAATGTTTTTCAAAAACGACAATTTCAGCGAGAAACAGCTTGAAATGAACCCGCCGAGCGAGTCCGAGTTTGGCACATTTGTCGACGCGTTGTACGAAGTTTGCGATACGGTCGGAAAGGCGCTGGGCGACGATAAAAAAGAAAAGTGCGACGACAAAACGGCGGAGGCAATCGAGAAGCTTTGCAAGGATTACGACAAAATCTCCGATTGTGAGTGGGCTCAAACACGCTCTTTTGGGAGCAAACTGTTTCTGCGCTGAGGAGAAAATTGCGTAATTATCGAATTTTTTCGACATTCTTCAACTGTTCAGGTAAAATTCCGGAAAGAAAGTGATTTTCAGTGCCCTAGACGAGTAAATTTCCATTTTTTCCTAAAAATTGTCGATTATCGATTTTTCGCGTAATTGCGCAACCTGAACGATTTCATTGAATAAAACCAATAAAACCCGCGCTTTTTCTGTAAAATTTCTAGAAAACAGTGATTTTTGAGGCTTCTGAATGAAAATCGATATTTCAGACAAGCAGTGCAAGACGTACTTGAGCACGACGGACTCTGGAACCGCGACCGTCGTCGCGGTCGTCCTCGTCATCTTTCTTCTGGTCGTTTGTGCCGTCATCATCGCCGTTTTTTGCTTTTTGCGCCGCAAAAGACAGAAGGGCGGCACGGATAAGGCGCTAGCCTGAAATTGTTCGGATTTTCGATTTGTTCGCAATAAATGTTGAATTGTAAAGGTTTTGTGGTCAAAATTGAAGAATACTGCGAATTTCCACTATTTTAGCTTTCAGTTTGCTCGAAATCCCGTTTTTACCGCGACAACCGTGAAATTTCGTATAAAAGTGCAGTGGAGCGCACTTGCAAACCTCTTCGACACAACTTGTAATCAAAAAGCTCGGAATCTCGGTCATTTCGACAAAAAAACGAAAAATTATGCGATTTTTGTAAGTTCGATGGAAATCACTTGCATTTCATGTCAAATATCATCAACACCAAACTAAACAATTCGTCAGTCCAATTTTCGACCTTCCACCCCTTTTTGATCTGTATAATCCTCCTCCGTTCAAAAAATACACAATATTTTTTCTCGCATTCTGCTCGTAGCCCGTACAAAATGCGTTTCATCACATTTTCTCTTATTTTATGCATGATACTGTCCGGTTTCGAGGGCAGGGACCAGATTGTGCCGCCCGCGTTTCGGGCCATTTTTCCGTACGCCGACCATTCGGATGTTTGGAAGGTTTGCTTTTGTGGAAACTTTACGGAATACGGAATTAACGTCGACAATTTCTTTTCCGGAAATTCTCGCAATTTTTTTCAGCTGACATTCGACGTCAACCACCAATTGACTACCCTTCAGGCGATTAGTGTGATGGAGGAGTGGGCGCCCAAATATTGGGTACTTTCACTTTTTTATCATTTCCAATTAGCCCAAAACTTTTCCAATATTGTAGAAATCCAAAAACGCGACCACTCTGGATTCCAAAAACCGTCTGTCAAACGTGTCGTTCGCTCAGGATCAGGCGTCGGATTTTCTGATGCACCGAAGTGCGGTTCGACAATTTCTCAAGTACATGTACCGTACTTCCATTTCCACGTTCAAATTCACTGAAAAGGAGGCGATTAGGGTGGGCACGAGAAGCGCGCCAGCAACCAAAAAAAATGTTTGCTGGCGCATTTCTCGATCAATCAATTTCAACGGGGATTTTGTCGATTTCGGCACTTTCAGATGCGAGAAATCTTTTGGAAAGCGGATCTGGACGCGAAAAGCAACTACACGAGCGCCAGGACACTTTTCAAAAACGACACGGAACTGGCGGCCGCCCACAAAAACTTTCCGGCGACTTTTGAAAACTTGACGGCCTCCTACTATTACATGCATTTCTCGTCGGCCGAACGATTGAATTGGACACTCTCGCGTTGATCTTTTATTTTGTTTTCACATAAACAATTCAATATTTCACAAATCTCCAATCCAATTTGTCGCCGATTCCCGCAAATTGATGCACCACATTCGCCAAAACTCGCACATCGCTCGACACATTTCGATGCACATTCTTGAACTTTTTTCCCATTTCCGTGAAGAAATCGCCTTCGCAACAACTGAAATAGTTGTCGCAGAGTTTGTCCGCCGACCAGAACATTGTGCGCATCTGCAAAAAATTCTTTAAAAATTCCCAGAAAAAGCGGCTACCTCGGTGGCTTGCTCCTCATTGAAATATCCCAAAATCTGAGTGGTCCTGAACAGATATCGAACGTACAACTTTATCATTTCCCTTTGCTCCAAGTAAGTTGTGCTCAAGTTGCGGGCGTATTCTTTTTCGGCAAGACGTCCGTAATAAACGCCCGAAGTCGTCGTCAATTTTGTGTTCGTCGTCGGTTTCCGAGTCGTTGTGGTGATTAGATCAACCTGAAACAGTTGGGGAAACCATTTTTCGAAAACAAATTTGCGTACCCAATTTTTATCGATCCACTCGTTGAGCACTTCAATTCCGTCTTCGAGAGTTGACTGGATATTGATTGTGTCGGTTAACTGAAAACATTTTCCGCATGGATTACTGTAGGGCGATTACTGTAGTACCTGCTGCGTAGCTGTCTCGGCGATCAACGGAAAAAGCATTCGAAACGGCATCGAAGTCAATTGATCGCGGCCGAGACCGTTTTGGGCGAGAATTCCAATGAAAATGAAAAGTTTCACAAACATTTCGGCCTAAAAATGGCAGCCACGAACTGTCGATCTTTTTATGTGAACGGATAATAGCGGGTAATCTTCTGGGGGGCGATTATTCACGACTAATCATACTATATTCATTGCAGTTTGGTCAAAAACGTTTCGGTGACGCATTCTTCGATTTCTGGTACACACGTAAGCCACAAAAACATGGTAGAATCGCCGTTATGACCACGGAGAATACCATAAGGAACGTGAGGGTTCGCTACCGTAAACTTGACCAAAAACCCCTGCAAAGTGATGTTTGAATTGCATTGTTGACTCACTTTTTAGTCCGAAAAATCATTCATTTCACGGCGGGGATTAGTCGGCCAAAATTTTACTCATAAATACCCGCAAGACTATTATTACACATTTTAATGGCTATGCGGCTCATAATTCTATCGCTACTATGTGTTCCCGTCGTTTTTTGCGTCACCGAGGAGGTTATCGTCGCGTGTTTCGAAGACATTTTCCCATTCACACCCAAGACGAAAGTCGACAGAGTTTGTCTAATTTCCACATGTTTTTGGAGCGGAAAATGACGTTTTCCCTCTTTTCAGCTGGTCACTTCAATGAATGACGCCAGTGGTTGGACACAAGTTTATCAGATTTTGGATACGTGGATGACTAATGATTGGGTAAATAATAGGGTTAAATGTTGTCAAATCGATCGGATATGGGAAAAAATGTGCTCAGCACCTCGAAAAACCATTGAAAACCTGGAAAAAACGTGTTTTTGACAAATTGACTTCCATGGCCTAGTGGCACCCGACGTGGCTACCAATTTGCCGTCGGGGGTTCAATTCCCAGTGGTGGCAAATCTTTTTTGCTCATTCTTGAAAGCTATTATACGGCCGATTTTCTCCCAACAAAATCGATTGTTTCAGGAAGTCAACGCAAAACTCTCTCAGAACTTGTCCAGCGAATATCCACGTTTGGAATGTCTGAAAGTCGGAAAAAATGCAAAAAGAGAAGCGATTCGATTCAGTGAATTCCGACGAAAAGTTCCGTATTTCGAGGAATATTTGAAGTTTAGCGTCAAAAAATTGCAGTACTTCAAGACCGACGAAATCGATATTGTGCGTTTGATTCTTTAGCGAATCTTCAAGTCACAACTTCTTTCAGATGAAACGGATTTTTCTGGAAAGCGATAATACGAAAGAAGGATTCGATTTTGACAATTTCTACACAAAATTGTCGCTGAAAACCGGAAGAAATGAGACGGAAATTGAGGAAAACTTTGGTTTACTCTACAATGCGTATCGGAAGTTTACAAATTCTCAAGATGGAATGAGTTATCACTTGTATTTGGGATGCGACGAGTATAACGATGATTTTGTTGAATAATCGTGTTTTTCTCCATGAAATATTGTTTGAATTGGGTTTTACACTTGTTTTTTGAACTCTACACCAAAATACTCAGGAAAAAAGTCGAAAAAAAATTTTCGCGCGCTTTTTTGTGTGCGGCTCTCTCAGTGTCGATTTACGGGAGACGGTTTTTCAACTTAAAACACTGTTTTCCCGAGTTTTTGCGATTATGCACAGTTTTCCTTCAAAACTTTTGCCTCACGTTTGTTCATATGACCGATAGCTACAAAAAGATCACAGAGTGCTCGTGTAAAAGTGAAAATTCGAAGAGTAATTTCGTTTTTTAAATTTGGCTTGAAAAAAAGCGAACTTTCGGAAATTTTGAGGAAACATTTGCCTCACGATTGTTCAGCGGACAAGGGCGGTCATTTTGAGCACAGAGACGGCCCATAAAATGCAAAAATAACTGAGAAATTTCAATTGTTGAGGTTCAGAACTGAAATTCACAGAAAAGTGTAATAATGCGAGCTTTCTTGTGGGCAAAACGCTAATTTCAGATGACAGCTGTCGTAAACTATTCTGACAATTTCTGTTTTATCTAATTTTCTTTATTTTGGGATGAAATTTCGGGTTTTCGCAAAAAATCCAGAAATTTCGGACCTGCTTTTGTTTTCAACGACACTCCGTTTTAACGCGGCGCTCAATTTAGCAGTTAACATTTAGCATTTAACATTTAACAAGCATTTAACAATTTAACAAGATGTCATTCCCCTTTTTGTTGTTTGTTTTGTTCGCCGTCTCGATTATTTTCGTTTCGTATACTATAAAGTTACGTTTCAGAATGATTTTGTTGACATTTGATGCGAATCGCCTTCATCAACGCATCGAACGCACACGGAAAACGAGTTGAGGACCCCGGAGTTATGCAATTACATCGTCGAAATCGTACAAAATTTCGGTAATTTTTGACGAAAAACATGAAAAATGGGGTTAAATTTCGAATTTCGCGCCAATATGGCACGCGCTAGGCCACGCCCCTTTCTACGTTTTTGGTCGCCGTGCAAACGTCTTTTGCAAAATAAAGCGCTCTCAAACCATCAGGAAACATGAAAAATTGTCAAGTTATGCAAAAAGGACCACGTGAAACATGTTTTTAATTTGACTCCAGACCATTATGACAATCCTCAGAAAGTTATTTCAACAAAAAGAGTTGTGGACGAAAAAAAGAAGAAATCCGCGCGAGAATTTGAGACAAAATGTCGTCGGTCAATAAGAAGAGAAAGCCGCGCAAGGCCCAGGCGCCCGCGTGTCCAGGTACGGAATTTGCTGGGAAACTGGGAGCACGTCAACGTTTGCAGTGTCAATGGAGACGGAAGACGGTACTCAGGCGGACCGTCCGAAGAAGAAAACGGCGAAAAAGAAGAGTCAGGTGACGAGACGGGCGGTCGGATACGGAGAAGTGAACGAGGAGCGGCTCAAGGAATTCGTGAAGGCGACGGTCGAAGCGGGCGTGAAGGGACTGTGCAACGAGTTCCTGGCGATCCGTGCCGAGACGCAGCCGTGCAACAAACCGAAGACTGCCCACGAGAAGAACACCGACAAAAATCGATACAAAGGTACGCGGTTTCGGCGGTCAAACTGAAATGTTGGAGGAGCGCGGTCGGCGTTTCAGTGAAAACATACAATTTGCAGACGTGTACTGCATCGACGAGACGCGTGTGGTTCTGACGTGGCCGGAAGACGCCGCCCATGATTACGTGCACGCCAATTGGGTCAAAATCAACGGACTTAACAAGTTTATTTGCACGCAAGGTCGGGAAATGTTTGAATTCCTATCATTGTATCGATTTTAGGCCCGACCGAAAAGACGATCGACGATTTCTACCGTCTAATGTGGCAGGAGAAGGCGCCGTGCGTCGTGATGCTGTGCAACATAATGGAATTGGGGAAGAAGAAGTGCGAGCAGTACTGGCCGGAGCCCATTGATTCGGCGATGAGTCTGATGGACGGAAAGTTGACGGTCAAAGTGGTCGAGGCGCCGAAAGAGGTCGAGCAGAACATTATGCTCATGAAGATCCAGCTCACCGACGACAAGGCGGTTCGCGAGTCTTTGAATATTTGGCGAGAACATCTGGAGATTTCAGGCGACGCACACATTCGAGCACTGGCAGTGGAAGGCGTGGCCCGACCGTGGAGTGCCCGAAATTCCGATGGCCGTCTTCAGACTGATTGCGAGAGTGAGTGGCGGAAGCATTTACTGAATTCGACACTATTTTGCAGCTGAAAACGGCGTCGCCGATCGTTGTGCACTGCTCGGCGGGCATCGGTCGGACCGGCTCCATTGTCGGTCTGGAAATCGCGCTCGGAAAGTTCACGGCCGGCGAGAAGGTGGTGCTGAAGGAGATTGTGAAGGAGATCCGCAGCCAGCGCCACGGATCCGTGCAGACCGACGCCCAGTACCTGTTCATGCACCGTGTACTCCTCGCGTTGGCCGAAAACAAAAAGGTACTCGTTTTTCTCGTGTTCTAGACACTTTTTCATCACGTTTCTTGCAGATTACCAGTCCGGAAATGACGGCCTTCGTGACGGAATACGATCGAGTGATTGCGACGAAGAATGGCTGAAATAGAAGTGAAACAGACGTCTCTAAATGAATTGAATTGATTGAGACTGAAATTTAATTGTTCTGAAACTGTCAGTCCCCTTTGAAATTGCTCCCACTTTTCTCTGTTTAATCGACTTGAATCTCCTCTCTTCCCCGGCACGAAAGTTTCCAATTTCCAAGTGGTTGTACTGGAAATTCACTTGAAAAATAAGCAAAAGCGAAGCCCTCATCTCTCATAATCAGTATCACGGTTCCCACCGTTGTCGGTCCGTCCTCAACTCGGACCCCACTCCGATTCTCGAGACTTTCGGGTGGGCAGGAATCAGCGAATAGTTGATATCACCGGGCGGTGTTGGGGCACGCGTGTTAGCCACTCGGCCACGAGTGCCAACCGAGGCATGCGGCCAGAGGGTGGTAATAAACTCGCGCGCGGCGGGGATGGAGGGCTGCGGAAAAAGTGATGGGAACACGCTGAAACTGGTCTGAAAATGCTGACACTTTTTAGTATAAGAGTGTGAGAGATGCTCTATTCGATGATTATGTTTTCAAAGTTGTCCATCGACTAAAAAGAAGAGTTCTTATGCTTTTATTATTATTGTATTAACATAGATTCGCCTAGAAAAATGTAGCGTATTTTAATGTAATTGTAAGAGAAATACATGTAAGCAGCGCAACGAGATCAATACGAATCGAGAACAGCGATAGTCAAATATTGGAGTTTTATAATAGTCGATTCTAATACAATAATATAATATGTGTGACACATACACAAAAAAAATCTAAATACCATCCCCGCTTTTACGGTGAACAATGACCAAAAAGAGAACAGAAAAAAAATTGAATCGTAACTCACAGCCAACGGCCCCCAGATCCGTCCGTCGATCGATTGAAGTGTCCGTGTGAATCCTCTGAAATTTCACACTTATTTCGAGAACAAGAAATGGAATTGGAGAGTGACGTAAACTGTAAAAAGCGGAAGAAAATCAATAATACAATTATGGTGGGGGGCTGTGTTGTTCTCGTGTATTCGCCCAGGAAACCTGCTAATTTTTCATGGTTTTACAGACTTCTCCGCTCGGTTTTTCAACGTCCTCAACTCGGTTTCGACACTTTCCGCTGATCTGTACTCCAGAAAACTGATTGTAAATTCAACAAAAAACACATTGCAAAGGATCATGCGCTCCCAAGTTGGCTTCATCAACAATTCATTCCCTCCGGCTTGCACCTTTTCCGAACCGCATTCTGAGGAGCGGAGCATCTGAATACCAGAGTTGAGCGGAAGAACTCAACGGAAGAACACGGAAGAATTTTTATTTTTTTTTAGAAAATTGTTTCCTGAAATGTGATCAACTGACGAAATGTATAGCAAAGTGAACTGTGCTCATAGAAAAATAATTGTAAATTTAGATTTTTATACAAAAAAGTTTTTCGAGTAACAACAACCGTTAGCCCCCTTTTTTCACGCAACAACTCGAATAACTTTTTTGTATGAAAAGTTAAATTTACAATTATTTTTCTATGAGCAGAGTTCACTTTGCTATACATTTCGTCAGTTGATCACATTTCATGAAAAAATTTTCTAAAAAAGCTAAAAATTCTTCCGTGTTCTTCCGTTGAGTACTCTGCTGAATACCTGGCAGAATTGAGGATTCAGAGAAAAGCCCGAGCGCCTTTTTCAGATTCTGCGAAAGTTTCACACGTACGCTCTAGTACGCTCTATATGATCAAGATTTATCAGCAGACTGGACTCTGCTCCAGATACTTCCTCGTCTGACAACCGCCAATTAGCGAGAAGAGCAGAGTGCGTCGGGTGCGCAACGCGCACGCGCCCGCCCGAATCCGTTGGGACTACGGTAGCGGCGGGCGACTAATGCTCGCGCACGATTTTGCAATCTTTGGCTCAACTCTTGTCTTGGCAAATTATTCATGAGCAAACTGGATGAGCCCTATTCGCAGAAACACCGGGAGTTTTTCATTTCATTTGCCAGGCGGCGCTCTCACATTCATTCCAATGTGTTTGTCGAATTTGGCGTACGAAGAAGAGTAGACGGGTTTTTGATCATTTAGGTTTTGGGGAAGAAGTCATGGAGAAATGTGAGATTATCTGAAATTGGAATGAATTTTGCGGTTTTCTGGGACATTTTTTATTCAGGAAGCAAAGAATCGATGTACTCCAATTCGACTTGACGCCGTCCCTTTCGTAGGAATTTCAAAGAGCCCACTCTCACGTGTGCTCAATTTGTGGCGTCATTTTTGCACGTGACAATAACGATTACGTGCTCTTTCCGGGTATTTTGAAATGTACTCCGACGGCTAATTGGCGATTACCCCTCAAAGTCCATTTCTGACGTCGAGTACCTCGATCAGAGTCCGGTTCCGTGATGGGCACAGGGCTAGAGGATTTGTGAGCACCATACTCACTCTGGCAATTCGATATGTATTAGGTTGTTCGGAAAGTTCCAGTCATTTTTCATAGTATGTTTTTGAAGATTGTTTTTTCTATCGGGAAGCAAGCGACTCAGTTGTCGTTTTATCAGTATGTTGGTAGGGTATTGAAGTGTTAACACAGCAACGGATATCATTCTCGTGTTCCCGAGGAGTGAGATATGCCGAACGTTTTCGTCTCTAACAACTTACATTTCCGAAATGTAATCTTATTTCTATTTATATCTGACCTGAAAATGCCGACATTGATCGCCGTTTCACGGAGGTTTTCAACAAAGATGCACCCACTCGAACTACCATTAGCACTTGGTTTCATCGATTCGAAAAAGGAGAAATTTCGATGGATGATCATCCACGTTCAGGAAGACCGATATCGTTAGACTTGGAAGCATTGGAAAGCGAGATTGAGAGGGATCCTTTTCAATCCGTCCGTGAACTATAAAGGACACTTGGGGCGAGCCTATCATCAATTAGTAATGGACTCGAAGCAATTGGAAAAGTCAAAAAACTCGGAAGATATGTTCCGCATGTTTTGACTCAACACAACTTGGATACACGTGTGGATACCTGCTTGAATCTTCTCACCCCGCATCGCACACATGGATGGTCTGATCAAATCATTATGGGAGACGAGAAATGGGTTATGTATGATAGCAGTGAGCGACGTGCCGAGTGGGTTGACGAAGACGCTCAGCCAGCTGACGGGCCAAAACATGAAATACACGAAAAAAAGGCAATGTTATCAATATGATGGTCTGTCCGTGCAGTTGAGTATTAGAAGCTGCTTGATGACGGCGTCACTATTACGACCGATGTCTACACTGGTCAGCTGAGAAAACTCAGACTCCATGTGGATCTCCATTGGGGGAAATGCGAAAGTTTACTTTCTGCATGATAACGCTCATCCCCATGTTGACAGAAAGGCCAAAGCTGAACTCGCTGGATACGGCTGGCCAATCTTGTCTCACCCACTGTACAGCCCAGACCTGGCCTCCTCTGATTACCATCTCTTCAGTCACCTCCAACGCCATCTCAGTGGAAAAAAGTTCAACTCAAGACAAGATGACAAAATCTAGTTGGCTTCATTTTTCGACTCCCAGCCGCAGGAGTTCCGGAAGGAAGGTATCCACAAGTTGGTGACACGTTGGCAGACAGTCATCGAAAAACATGGGCAATATATCTAATTAATCGGATAACTCTTTGACTTGTTTCACAATAAATTTTTCTGAACCCAAAAATGACTGGAACTTTCCGAACAACCTAATATCTAATAAGAAAGTTACTAATCTAAACGCGACCTAATTAGATTCGACTGTTTTTTCTTGGCGCAATCGAGATTTGAGCCAGCAGACGGTTGGCGTGAAACTTGATTTGAGCACTTATTAATCTAATTAGGTGTCATATTAATCTTATTAGGCCGCCGTATAACTCGAGTAGACTGCGATTAGATTAATAACGAAACGCCAGAGATACGACCTCTTAACTCATCAATTTGTACAGCCAACGAGTACAAAAGCGCTGTTTCCGAAGAAGAAAGCAAAGGCCCAAGTTGCGGCCCGGAAATGCTTCATACATTTCACAAGATTCACACGAGGACAGAATCTGCGGGAACTTGGACAAGTCTGATCAGAACACGAGTTTTCCGTATTTATAAACTATTTATTAGGCGGTGAAATAGCAAAAGAGAATAAGAGCGAAGGCACAAGCGTTGAGAAGAATAGCAGCAGCTGCAGAACCCGATGCGAACTCGAATGTCGATCCGTGGCCATCGGTCGTCAATCCTTTGGACAGCACACTTTTCTCAGGTACTCCTCGTCACACGAAATCGTGCAGCAGTGCGTTCCAATTGCTTCTCCGCTAACTGAAAACGAAAGAGATTTTGAATTTGAAACGGGGCAAGTGTGATAACTTACATATGGTGCAAAATCCTCCGCACACCGCCTTGATCGTATCGAATATCCTTGGACCGCACTTGCGTGTGCCTGCAACTCGTCGTCTCCGCAACATCCACTCCGGCAAATCGTCAATGACCGGATCCAGTTTGACGAGACGATTCGGTTCTTCAGTTCGTGCCACCAAGGCCCAGGTCAGAATCATGCAGGCAATGAAAAGTGCGTGCATATTCGTATGGTTCGTGGTTTGAAGTGGCGAACTTCGGAATGAAGTTTTCCAATGGAATCCTCTTGCTTTTATACTTTTCAAAGCCCTTCTTCCAGGGGCGGAGCCAACGCAAATCTCAACGAAATATCAGAATTGAGAGAAAAGGGGCGGTGCCAGATGACGTTAATCAGTAGACATTCTCAGAATGCTATTTCGAGTGCGCGACACAAAGTGTGGTTTGGGTTCGTCACGCACGGAAGAGTCTAGTGGGAATACGGTAGCCTTTGAAATTACGATGGTTTGGTTTCGCAGATCTGTTTCATTCAAGGTCACGTTTTCAGTGGAAAATTACTTTGTGGCCTAGAAGTTCGGCGAGATTGCGAACAGAGTCCGATTGCCCCTATAACATAAGTGATGAGGTAATAAAAATAGGACGAATTGCTGAAGACAGAAAGGATGAAAGTTAAAAACAAT